AGCTGGGTTGCTAGCACCACTCCCTATTCCAGGAACCCCGTGGGAAGGGATCTCAATGGACTTTATCGTGGAGCTCCCGCCGTCACTACACCGACGACTAGTGTACGACTCAGTGCTAGTGGTTGTGGACAGACACTCTAAGATGGTAAGACTGATACCGTGTAACAATGATATAACGGCAGAGGAGCTTGGAGTTGTGTTGATAGACGAAGTCTTCACACGATTTGGGCGGCCGTCATCAATTGTGAGCGATAGAGGATCTCTGTTCACATCCAGATACTGGGAAACGTTCTGTCACTTCCTGAAAGTAAAGAGGAAACTGTCAACAGCTTTTAGACCGCAGACAGACGGCCAGACGGAGCGTGTCAACCAGGTTGTTGAGTGCTATCTCCGATGCTATCTTAATGATGAACAAGACAACTGGGCAGAACTACTCAGCGGGGCGGAATATGCTATCAACAACACCTTTAATGCGACGATCAACGCAGTGCCGTTCCAAATCGTACACACGTTCGACCCACGAGACCGACTCGTGCCAGCCTCCCAAACCAACCTCAGGCAGCTGCCACGCGACTCGCATGAGAAAGAACTTCAGGTTGTGAATGAGAAGGCAAAGTCAAAAATAGATAAAATGCATGAGGCTCGGATTCGCCTGCAGGAAGCGTGGACAAAGGCTCAAGAGAGAATCAAGAAGTATTATGACCATGGCCACAGGGCAACACAGTTCAGCAAAGGCCAATGGGTCATGCTCTCATCACGAAACATCCGACTTGCGAAGCCAAAGAGAAAACTAGCCGACAAGTTTATTGGACCGTTCCAAATCGAAGAAGCGGTCGGCCCCAACGCGTACCGCGTGGCACTACCCCAAAAGTATGGCCGCATACACTCAACATTCCATGTGTCATTGTTGAGACTGTATCACCGGCGCCCAGGTACAGAACCACCAGACCCAGTGGACATTGACGGAGAAGAAGCATTTGTCGTTGAAGCGATCCTGGACGCCTGTGGAAGGGGAAAAAGGAGAAGGTGGTTAGTCAAGTGGGAAGGATGGAGTAATGACCACAACACGTGGGAGCCCAGGAGCCACCTGGAGAATGTCAGCCACATGATTGAAGAATTCAAAAACAGGGGCCGCCGGCCCCAAACCTCTTGAAAGTTACATGCGATTCGCATGTAACAGGAAAGGAAGAAGGGAATCTTCCCCCAGGACTGCGAACCAGTCAAGGATGAAAATTCTCACGAGCCCACCCACTCACGAAGGACAAATGCCCTGTGCACAACACCAAAACTTTGTGCACCCACAAATAGAAAGGACCTATTGCATGCCCGCCTCAGCCCGGAGACGAGAGAGATAAAACTCCCAGCCTCCCCGGGACCGAGGGAATGACCACAGAAAGTCAGTGGTAGGATTTCGAACCCAGCGGTGAAACCGCTCTGTCTCCCTTACCAAGAGATCATGAGCGGTTTCCACCGCTGGGGGAGGGAAGGGGGGAGGAGAAGGAGAGGAGGAAGGAGAAGACTGCTGTACAGCTCCCTCCCCTCCCACCATTGCTGTGTCTTCATCAGAGAAGCCCTCAAAGATAGAGCCTTCCGACTCTACCTCATCAAACTCCTCCTCAACAACGGGCGTGGAGAAGCCCTCAAAGACAGAGCCTTCCGACTCCATCTCATCAGACTCCTCCTCAACAACAGGCGAGGGGGAAGGGGGGTCTGGAGCATCCCAAATCCCGTCATTGTCCATAGACTCAGGGCTGGGAGCATCAGCAGGGGGCGCAGAGGGAAAACGAGACTCGAAGGCTGCCTTATCGAGCATGGGAACGGAGAAGGGTTGGATATCCACAGAATGTGGCTCCTCGCTTCTTGCTGCCGCCCTTGTGAGACGGCCCGCTTCACGCTCGATAGCACCGTCCAGCTCACGAGCCCGGGATGACAACCAGGCCCGAGAGTCTGCGGACAGACCATCGATTCCACCATAGGCCTCGTCCACCTCACGAATGAGGGTGAACAACAGGCCGGCAGACACTCGAAGATTTGTTGGGATCTGAATTCTGTTATTCCTGTCTTTCTAGGTACCATGCGAATCGCATGAGGATCGGAGGAGAGTGGAAGGAAGCGGGAGGCATACGATTCGACAATCCCGTTTGCTGTGGCATTGACAGCGGTGACATTTGAGCAACCCCTGGGGATTGCAGGGGCTCTCGAGGAATGACCTCAAGTCTAACCAACTGTGGACTGTCAGTAACACTCAAGGTCCGGGAAGGAACACTCACGCTGTGCCGACGCACTTGCAACAAGGCAAAGCGGCCCCCGAAGGAGCGGGGCCCACGCGATCTCCATGTGTTGGAATACCTGTCAAGGTCAGCGCGATTCGCGACGAAAAGAATGGGAAGCTGAACTCATTTCGATGTTGTGGACAAAGAGAAGAAAGAAAGAGGAATCAGGATTCGCGAGCGAAAGAAAACAGACACAAACCTGGAGAGCAGACGCGCTTGCATGGCAACGCGTCCAACATGGCAACGCGACTCACGTGGCCATGAGAGTCAAGCAGTACCACGGGCTGCCTTGCAACTGACCTACAAGAATAGCCCATAGCAACGGGAACAACGACTTCGCTACTGTATCCCATAGCTATCATTCCCCACGCGAATTGCGTGAGGGCTACAAGAATCAAAAACCAAGGGAAGAGAGGGACACCGGGCTGATCGAGTCGATCAGCCTTTAGAGGGAGGGCAGTTGTCACGATTGCCGAGGCCAGACAAGGCAACGAGGCGCCACGGCCCTCTATCGCCAAGGACTCCAAGGTCTCAGGGGTCAAGACACTTGGCATACAATCTCCCACGCGACTCGCGTGGAAGATCATGTTGATTCTGGACTTGCTCCTGCAAGTACTGAATCGTTGTACATAGAGAATCACAGTTGACACCTATTCGTCCTGAGGCTCCTCTCACACTATCCCGAGTGACTCTTACACTGGAGATTAATGACAAACTGGTTCATAAATGCACGATCGTCCGATCATGATCAGAATTAGATCAATCTTGGCTTTTTCGACAAGCCGTTTGGCTTCTTTAACCTCGTAATCTTCGGTCGCCATGAGCAGTGATGCGCTGCCAGGAAACTCGATCGAACCGCCAGAATCCAGGACTGAAACACAATTGAGCGGCAGCAAATGACTAGTTGTTCGAGGTGGATGACTCAAGGTAGAACCTACAGTAGTGAGGAACAAACGTGGTGAAGAAAAGAAAGACCCTTCCATAAATTCTTTTGGTCGCTGAGGATGATGAGGAGTCTAGCGAAAGAAAAGGAGCTGCTGGTAAGAAGGCGTTGTCTGGTGTCAGAATAGACACCATGGTTGTCAGAGCTGAGCTCGAGAAATCTGAACAAGATTTTGCTTTGCAGGATTGTATAGTCCGTCTCAGATAGCAGTAAGTAATGTACAGCGACCCTAGTGCACCTAAATGACACTTGTGCTTCTGGACTGGTGCACAAAAGTCCTCGGTAAGGCTACAGGAAACAAAGTCTCAGGGATCTTGAAGACCCCGAGATGAAACCGCGCATCCAGACACACTTATTCTATGGGACCAATACGGGAGTGAAGTATGAAAGGTAACCTAAACTTGGATAAACCGCAGATAGACTGGGATGGCCTCGCTGCTATGTCGAGACAGTCCAATTAAACCAACATCATTCTCGAGACCTTATCCCAAGAGATTTGAGGCCCTATACAGATATTGGGCATCCTTGGCCTAGCTTGCAATACTGCCTGCTTGCGTTAAGAAATTGTGCCTAACTCACCTTTTAGCACTATCTCAAGAAGGGTCTTGACTCTAGCTGAAGCTCTCTCCGAGTGGTAAGAGGAGTTGGAGACAGGTGTTTGTGAAGCCGATCAGCTGCTGGAAAGATCCTATTCGAACTTGGGCGCAGATTATGGCCCTGAGTCTGTGAGTGTGGAAAGCGCTGCATATCCTGGCCAATCGGTGTCGACCAGCAGGTTGCAATTTGTTTCGAATTGATGGCAGCTGTGATACGCTACGCCTCAAGATTCCATATTTCGTATGGGTCGTCATTACCCGCGAAAACTTCACGCAGAAGTTCGACACCCTAGCAGCTATGCAAGCCAGATACAGTGGACTGGGTAGTCTCGCTAGGCCGGGTTCGTAGACTACAGCATTGCCTATAATTCTAGACCAAACGCTATAGTTCAATGAGCAGCACCCAGGGTCCACGGCCATTGCCGGAGCCACAGAGGGTATCACAATGCTCAAATCAGTGACAGTGCTTCCTCAGGGCGGCCAGCAGAGCTTCGACATGCTTATCGCGATGCCTAATCCTCTTGCTGGACCAGAGGACTGGGATTTTCAAGGCGTCGATACCGCGTTCTTGGACAATTTATGTGGGTATTACGTCGATGCAACGGTAGAGCGATCCTATCGAGAGGACTACTAGGACATCACATGTGGGAGACATGCTAGTATAGTCTTGGAAAAAACGAGCGATTGCTCGGTGCAGTGCGACCGTGTACAGATAGGTACTGCTTTCATGCATTGCCGGAAGCGCTCACTACTCCAATGCTCCAATGTAAGCATTGCAGACTCTTTGATTGGAAGTGATAGGATACGCACAGCTGCATGTCTACCTCATGTCACACTCTGCCGATCCCCAAGCTAGCGAACAATGGCGTTCATTATGAGCAGCCGCATGGATGCCTGAGACTTGCATGTCAGACCGGGCGCTGCATCGCTGACCGACACTTGGAGGCTCAGCGAGAGCGCGCTTATCGCTTAGTGCTGCGAGATACGTCAACCCACATGCATTCTGTGTGGTACTTACATGTCTCGATTCTTGAGTAGGCCTGAGATCGCCCCCGCTGACTCTGTGGTACGGCAGACGTCATATCTGTGAGAGCTGGAGTCACACAAGGTGGGAGAACCGCTTTATCAACATGTCCAGGCTTCCTCTTGTTCTGTGCTGTCGAAGCCGCTTTTGATCATCGTCTCAGTATGGCTTCTGATTCTATTATGCAGACTCTCGGTGGGGCTGACGTACCCGGGTCCGATTGCAAAGAGAGCACCGCCGCCTACGAGAACCACAAGCTATCAGCATTGGTTGGAGTGCGCGACCTCGATTCGAGGACCGAAAAGCTTGCACACAGAGCGTATTTGAAAGGGCGCTTAGTCCTCGCCTTCCGCATCTTCGGTGACAACCGCTTCGATGAAGGCACAGCCGGACATATCAGTCTTCGCGACCCGATGTTGCCGGACCACTTCTGGGTCAACCCTTGCGGCTTACCATTCTCGATGGTCAGATCATCAGACTTGCTCCTTGTAAGCCCTGAGGGAGCTGTCATTGATGGCGGGCATCGTACCCATAGGAAACACATCAACACGCCTGTCTTGCTGTTGCATCATGCGATCCACCAAGCCCGACCTGAAGTCATGGCTGCCGCACATGCGCATTCCCTGAGTGGCAGGGCTTTCTGTGCGTTAGGACGAAATTTGGACATGATCACGCAAGATGCTTGCGCTTTCCACAACGACCTGGCGCTGTATACCGACTTCAATGGTCCCGTCGTAACCGAAGACGAAGCTCAAGCTATCGTCAACACACTCGGTGCCAAGAAGGCGGCGCTTTTGCAGAACCATGGCTTGCTCACTGTCGGGCGGAGTCTCGAGGAGATGGTGTGGTGGTTCATCAGTCTGGAAAAATGCTGCTACATCCAGCTACTCGCTGACGCTGCGGCTGCTGGCAAGGGTGGCCAGACGGCCAAGATAGACGAGGAAGTGGCGGCTCGGACGTCTAAGTTGGTGGGATCTTCTGCCGCTGGTCTTTCCAGTGGTCTGCCCTATTTCGAGGAGATGGCCGCAAGATGTGGCAATGTGTACATGAACTAGTCTGCTCCTAGCTTTGAGGTCAACAACATCTGAGGGTCGAGTAGGTGCTTTCGTTGACGCCCAGCAAGTGAGTCGGGAAAGGGCCCTCGTTTATCCCTGTACCTAATTGCAGACAAAGAAATGTTCTCCGGTAGCCGTTGCTGCTTCATTCACTTCTTTGTTGTGCTCTCTGCCCACATTGGATCTTTGTCACCTTGTGCCTTTTCGGGCGGCGGCGGCATCTCATAGAAGTGACACGATGGGGGTCGGATATATCGGTGTGCGTCTTGTGGTGTTTACCAGTCGTCTCCTTCTGTATCTAAAGGCTGCTACGCGTGCTGTTCTCGTTTGCAGCCCATAGTCCAGCATTTCGGCGATCGCCAACAGCAGCAGCCATGCATACATTTCTCGAGCTCACACCCGAAGAACAGCCTCAATGCATTCCCGCAATGGCATTCACTTCCTCCGATATTGCGCAACGAAACGACAGTACCAACCTCCAAGCCGGTGCACCCGTGTACTTGAGACTCATTCCCGAAACATATCAGCCATTCATGCCGGTCAGTGCCATCGATTCCGAGAAGACCAGTCAGCCCAAGTCAGCAATGACTGCTGATGGCAACAACGCGAACATGCCTCCGACCAAGACAAAGAAGCAGATCAAGTACGTATTGAGATTCGGCAGGTTTCGACGCGCACTCGGTCTCAGGCGGTCCTGAATGCTGTACTCGGATCAGTAATTAACATTAACCCAGGGTTCATGGCTCCTAGGTACCACAATATCTGCAGCTGGGGAGGACTACGTTTGTCATCTTCTTGAGGCTCATAGAACTGGTTGAGTATCTCAACACAAGGGAGGAAAGGTCAAGCAACTGGTACGGTATCTGAAGGGTTGGTAGCAGATGACAACCCAGGATCGAGGTTGGAACTCACACTGAGGCGTTCGAATGAGCTAGCAAAACTTACCCCAAGTGGCTTAGTGTTAGTGGCTTTACGTTCGTGTTACCGATCGCCGCTTGGTAAACTCCTCGTTGACTTTACATGCCCTTCCCTACAGCCCTGAACTGTGGCTTCGTGTATACGTCGGGTTCCTTCCATTCGTCATCATCGCTGCCCAACTTCCACTGACCCATGGTCAGGTGTAGCATTTCGAAGTCCTAAGTGGCAACACTTCTTTGATAGAAATGGGAGAAGGGAAGCCAGTGTATCGGACAGGGTGCATCTCACATCTCCACCATTCCATGAATTACAGTACCGCATCCACTGATTATGGTGAGACCAGCACGTGAAGGTCGCTCGCGTGGCTGTGTTCCGTGCAAGAAAAGACGTATCAAAGTATTCCACCCCACAACCACTCCTCCGCGATTGGCGGCTAACCAATGCATGGTGTGATCTCAATCAACCAATCTGTCAACGATGTGTTGACTCTCGTATCCGCTGTCCTGGGCCAATTGACACGCCATTTATCTTTGTGGCTTCAGGCCATCAGACCAGACGCAAGCCTGCCAAGGGGACCTCCAGCCATGACCACCTTGCAGTATTGGAGCGGCCTCTACATCTTGCAAACACGTACCTCCAGTCCCCGTCCCCCACCCTTCCCGACACACCAACGACATCAATTCTCCTCACGACATTCCTACGCTACCTCTCGCATTCTGCCCGTGCCTCCTCCTGGACCTTCTCGCTCTCTCGTCTTTCCGCCAGCACTTCACCAGCCACCCTGACGCTCAGAGCATCACTGCAAGCCGTGACCCTTGCCCACTTCGCCAACACCACATCCGACCCGGTCTTCTCGCATCATGCTAGGCTCGAATACGGCCGCTCATTGTCCCTACACCGACACTCCCTCGCGCGGCTACCCACCCTACCACTCTCCCAAGCCTCCGCCAAGCCCGCCCTCCTCGAGACAGTGCGGTACGCAGTCCTGGCGTCCGTCATCCTAGCCTACTACGAACTGATCGCCGCCGTTACACCTACAGCCTGGCTAACGCACACGCTCGCCTGCGAGCAACTGCTCTGCCTCATCGGACCCGACCTGGTCGGGCAGGATGTCACGCTTCGCCAGATAGCCGTCAGCGTACGCAGCCACGCCGTCGTGCGAGTCGTCCTGTACGGGCAGCCCACATCCTTCACCACGCCAGCCTGGCGGACCGCGGTCAAGAAGTGGACGAAGGCGCAGCGGCAGAGCATCAGCAGAGACGCCTATGACTGGGTCGTCGACTATATGCTACGGCTGTGCCTCTACGCGCGACGACAGCCCGCCCATGAGCGTCTCGACCCGCGGCTTGCCGGGGAACCACAGTCGGAAAACGTTGTCAATTCTCCAGAACTTTTCCTGGCGGATCTACAACGGGCCTACGACGAGTGGCTTTCCTCCTGCTCACCGTCGTCCTTGCCCCTCTTCCCACCCCCTCCCTTACCGATCCAGTCACAGCCAGACCTCGGCCTCCCCCACCCCCTCCGCCAACAATTCCCCTCCATGGCCCTCGCCTACTTCCACGCCGCCGCCATTTTACTAGTAAGCCACTTCCCGCACCTGTCCCCCACCAACACCAACACGATTCCCGACGACACCGCCGCTTGGAATGCCCGGTGGATCATGAGCGCAGGCCGCTTTCTCGAGCAGAGCATACGCACCAACGCCACGGCGGTGCTGCGCATGGCGGTGCCGTTTGCTGTGGTTTGGATGTGCTGCGACCGCAGCGGCAGGGGTGGCGGATTTGGTGGCAGCAGCAGTGACGACGAGGGAAAGGAGCAGCAGGAGGAGGAGGAAAGTCTGCGGCATCGGTCCCGGGCCATGTTCGACGAGTGGGCCCGCAAGGAGGGCATGGCGGGGTTGGTGGTCGTGAGTTTTCCCTCGAGCCTGTCGAGCTAGCTAGTTCTGCTCAAAGGGGGAGTGCTATCTTTTGATTCAGCGAGAGGCTTTGTTCGGGCTTTCCGGTCCGTCGTTTGCGTCGAGAGACTAAGTTGGGAGAGGGACTATGTACCTCCGTCCGGTTGTGTGCCCCACAGGGAAATGCTTGGGCGGCGAACATAATCAAGGTATGACCGGTGATGTACGCAAGTAGTGGCTGGTGGGCAGCTACATGTCAAAGACAGGAGAAGGGGAACTGACTGGCCAAAGACGGAAGGAAAAGGTCGCTCATAATTTCGCCATCAAGGACAGATAGAAAAAATCTACAGGACGTACATGCACGCCCCATGCCATGCCATCTTGTCCTATACACCATACACCATGCGCAGAGATCATGACATGATCCCCTTTTTTATCCAGACAAAAATGCTCACCAAGGACACCCCTTCCACCACACAACCATCACGCATCCACGCCATCACTCATGCTCCGGGCCCTCCCCAGGCGGCCTTCTCAAGTTCGCCGCCGCGTCTCGCAATTTATCAGCCACGAGCTGCAACGCGAGCTGCGCGTCTCCCGCATCTGCACCCTCCTCATCAATGGCGTCTCGCACGCCCGGGAAGGTGGCGGCCCGGGTGGAATCCCACTTCATGGGCGCAAACACTGTGTGCTTGTACTGCGTCCTGTTCTTGAGGCCGCCGCCCTGGCTGAGATCGAGGAGGTCCTTTTCGAACTGCGCGACGCGGTCGTTGTGCATGATGCGCATCATGGCGAAGCGGTTGCCCTCGAAGCCGCCGTGGGAAAAGACGTGGCGGGCCCAGTGCTCTTCGATTTCGCGCGTTTGCTTGGCCACGCCTGCGACGAGGCCGATGGAGTCTTGGAGCGGGGTGAAGTCGAGGTTGCCCATGCCGTTGTCGCGCGCATATGACGCGAGGTCGTCGGCCCAGCGGTGCAGGTCGGCGGCGTAGGCTTCCAAGTCGAATGGAAGCATGGGCTTGTCAGAAAGCTCGAGGATGATGAGCGCTACGATCTCCCCGAGAGCTTTGTGATACAAGAAGCCAGAGTCGGCTTCGCTAGACACCCAGTCATAGCGATCGTAACAGGAGCCTGAGGGGTAGCGGTCGCCTCGGAAGCCGACGTCGATGGAGGACATTCCCACCATGTGCTGGAAAGGCACGTAGTCAACGCGGCCACCGGGTGGAGAGATGCCTTGGCCGAGTTCTTCCCAAGCTTGTTTTACTGACTTCGGGTTATCGTCCTCGTCTGTGGCAGGGTCGCGGACACGATTAATGGCATCGAGGAGTGCACGACGCATCGTTGGCGAACCAGACGCTATCAGGTCTGAACCAGAAACGCCGGCGCCGAGGTTGACATAAGCTACGCCGTCTTTGCGGAGCTCGTCCAGCCTGTTCTCGACGTGTTCGGTGCTGCCTTCGAGGTTGTACACTGCGCTGTCCCAGCTGGCAAACTCGATTGTTCGGAGAGGACGCCATCCTAGGCGTCTGAGCTCGCCAAAAATGCGAATCACATCGAGCATGATGGAAGTGCCAGTGCCCGGATTGGCGGCACCAAGACACCAGGCGTCATGGTGGTTGCCAACCACGATGCGCTTTTCGGGCTGCTCCCATCCAGTGATTCTGCCTACGACGTTGTAGATAGGCTGATAGGTCTCGTCATCCTGCTCGTTCTTGAGATTGACCACTGGAGAGTTCTGGTCTCCCGTCCAATACTCGATCTTCTTCTCGCCCTGCCAATCACGGTTCATTTGTTTGCCAAGACCCTTGATCGAGTCGAGCAGGTGCTTTGCATCGTTCCAGGATATTGGTAATGAGGGGATCTTGTTCAGACCAGCGCTGTCCTCTTTCTTGTTACGCTGCTTGTTGCCCGGTGTAGATGCCCATCCTGGACTCAGAACATCCCCAACTACCCAGGACTGCAAGCTGACCGAGTCTCGCTGCACGCCGTCCTCGGGCAGGAATCGGCCTGCTGGAAAAGCCGGACCCTTGACGTAGCCATTGTCCGCCGGATCGGTATAGAGCACAGCTCCGACTGCACCAGCCATCTCGGCAGCCTTGACCTTCAAGGCAGCGTCTTCTTGAGTACCATAGTACCTCATTAAAACGATGGCGCCTGTGATGTCAATGCCTTCGTCGCTGAGCTTCTTGAAGTCATCTCTCGATCCATAGTTTGCATATACGACTGGTCCTTTCACGTCGCCAGCCTTCGCATGACCATGAAACACGGCTGTCTGCTCGGCCTCTTCCTTGACCGTCGCTTCCCACGCGCGATCTTTGGGTTCCACAATCGCTAATCGTCTCCCATTCTTCTTGGGGTAATTCAGGTACACGTCGAATCGCTCCATATCAACGTCTTCAAGCTCCGCCGTCTTGAACACCTCGCCAATCCACTCGGCTAGGACGTAGCTCCCCTCGGAGCCCGCCAGATGTGGGAATTCGGTGACATGTGCCAGGTAGTCCTGCATCATGTCTTTATTGTTCACATGCTTTTGTACAAATATGCGTATCGACTCCGGGTCATACATCTGGCCGATACTCAGCCGGCTGCGGCCAAAGGCGAGGATATCGGTTGCGATGAGAGCATAGACGACGCCGAGGATGATGAAGATGCCAAACAGCCGGCCGATGATGATGGCGCGGTGGGAGTCGATGCTGTCGTAGTTGAATCGAGGTAGGGAAAAGGAAGGGACCCAGGATCGGAAAGAAGGCAGAGTCAGGGACGAGAAAGAGGTTGTCCAGGAGAAGTTCTTTGCGAAGCGCTGCCGCAGGAGAGATGGACTGGAAGCGGAGCCGTTGAGGGGGTCTTCGATGTCCATCTGCTCCATCTCGCGGCGCGTCTCGCCGGGCGAGGCGGGGACGTCGATGCCATCGAGGGAGTCGAGACTCCCGCGCGCGGATTCCACAGTCGGAGGCTCATAGTTGGACTGGCGGCGCAGGAGGCCTTGCCTTTCGGCGTCGTCGCTTATTTCTTCTGGGCCGGTGCGGGAAGTCGGCCGGGAACTGACGGCTTCATCGTAGGTTGGTATGGGGAGATGGGCATATTGTTCTGTATTCAAACTCGGCATTTCGGCGGCTGTCCATGAGGACGCACTCGGGGCAGTAGGGTTACCGGCGGGACATGTCGCGGTTGAAGGGGGCGAAATGAGCGACAAAGAGCGATTGGTCTTCACCTAAGAAGATGAGATAGCCCTGTGTGGCTCAGAAGTGCAGAGAGATACGTTGATTTCTGCGCAGATGCTGTCAAGAGTGGTGTGTAGCAGTTGGGTCGTTCAGGAGTGTTGCTGAGGTGCTCCGTTCCGGCCGGCAAACCACGCGGCCGCTGCTCGGCGTTCCTCGGCGAGCCGGCCCCATGCTTGGCACATAGGCGACAGGCGACGGGCACTGTACGGAGTACATTTACTGCCTCTACAGGGTCCGGAGAGAAGATTGCAGAGGTGTAGCTGGTAAATGATTTCATGAGCGTCTTGAAGTTGACAAAATCATCGAGTTTCATTACAAAAGCGACCGTAGTCCATCTACAGTCATCCATACCAGATGTCCCAATCTACCCAAACCGGGCACCCAAACAAGAACCCATCAAGCAAAACAACAGCTCTCATGAATCGTCATACGAGCAAAGCGCTCCTGGGCCATTCTTATTCCTTATAGTCCGTGCTTGCCACTCTCGTTCTTGCCTTGCCTCTCACTTCTGGTAAACACCTCTTTGCTAGTCAGGTTGCCGACGCCCTCGAGCACGCCGCCCTTGGCAAACTGGCCGGTGACACCCTCATTCACACCGTCCTGGATGGCGTCGACGTTCTTGTCGCCAGTGATCTTGGTCTTGTCCATCTCGCCTGAGAAGTGTCAGCTTCTGGTAAGAGGAATTAAGGGCAGTGTGGCGTACCCTTGGCCACGTAGCTGGTCTTGTTCTGCCCGAACCAGGCAAGATACTTGTCCTCCATCCATGGCACCCAGGACTCATACTGGCGATTGTAGAAGTTCTTTGTTGCCTCCATTGTAGATATGGGGTATGAATATCCGCAGAGAAAGGCTACGAGTAGGGCGGTGGTCGTAGAATGTAAATGTGATCAATGACAGTAGTAGATCTTGTCAACAGCGAAGACTCCCAGAAATGATTAAACACGGGAAAGCAGGCAGCGTCCGTCCCTTAAGAAGGACCCCTCCACGTGTGCCACGAACACGAGCAAGGCAGAGAGAGAATCATGCGTTCATTGTCACGGGAAGGGTGGCTGATGTCACTTGCACTCTACAACTGTGGCTTGAAACACCTGAATCCTGGCAGGGTTTGATTCTCAGCACTCTAACAAGCGGCTTGAGCACAGGTTTACAGGCATGTGCCATCTATTCCAGGCATGTGAGTGGTGTGGGAAAAACCTGGACTGCGGTTGTCCGTGGTGCTGTACGTCATCGAGCCGGGGTGCCCCTGCTAGGATCAGGACAGTCGCGATCGGGGAGAAGGGAGGATCACTGTGGGGTTTGTGTTGTGAGTGTCGAGGACTTCGGGTGTATCCCACCACAAGCAGTTACTTTCGCTCGAACTAACAAGTGGTAAGGAGAAAGATATAAGAGGATGAGATGCATATTGTATTCAATCATCATACCTTGGCACGATGCCGTGTACGAAAACCCGAGAACAAGCGACGGCGAACAGCATTAGAGAAAAGGCGTAAAACGTTTACATGACAATCTGGCTCATGATGCTGTACATAATATATGGTAGGATGGCAAAAGCTCGCCGCAAATCCCCACAGACTCTGGCATTACTGTCTCAATGCTCACTGAAGACCCGCTCTCCGGGCGGGCGCGTCATCAGCCCACCTCCATCTTACAAGTCCGTCAAGACGAAGAGAACGCTTCCACAATGTCTTTCCCGTAACGCCGTGCAAGCAAATGTCGCAAACACACTTCACGCGGAGACTGCTTACAGACCAGCAGCAATCTTACCTGCCTTCTCATCGGCAACCGACTCCTCGAACCAGTGCTTTATCCGTTGAGCCTTCTGCTCGTCACGGACGACCACATCCATCTTGAAGGGCAGGGGACCGCCGATCAGGTTGGGAGTGAAGTCGTAGCTGGGGGGAGGCTGGGGCTGGCCGTTCTTATCCTTCTCAGGACGTAAGTAGAAGCAGCCAATGATAGAACCGCAGGCAACCAATAGCTCAGCCTCTGTGACCTCGATACCGGGGCACATACGGCGGCCCATACCGAAACCGTGATGGCCCATCAGACGGGGGTGCTCGGTCAGGGGCTCCTTGTACGTAGGGAACTCGGGCTCCAACCAGCGCTCGGGGCGGTAGCTTTCAGCATCAGGGTACAGCTTCGGATCGCGGGCAAGGGCCAAATCAATGGCGTGAATGACCGCGCCCTTGGGAAGGTAGTAGCCGTTCCACTCGTCATCCTCCTCGAGAAGACGGGGGACACCGAGAGGGACCGGGGGACGCCAGCGCACGCACTCCTTGATGCAGGCGCGTAGAATGGGTAGATTGGGGGCATCCGCAACCTCAACAACACGATCGCCGATAACCTCATCGTATTCCTTGCGGACCTTCTCTTGCCAGTCTTCGTGCAGGACCATCTGTTGTTCGTTAGTTCAAGTTTGGGGTTGACTGAAAGCAGTGCACGTACCGAGAGGAAGAAGCAGTACAGTGGGCCGCCAATGGTGAAGATGGCCACAGTCACAAGCATACCAACAGCATAAGCAGCCTCATGGTCATCAAAGCCAAAAGACTTCTTGCCAGTTTCGGCTTCCTTGCGCTCAAAGTAGGTCTTCGCATACGAGACGGGAGCAGTACCCTCGTCCATTTCCTGGCGAACCTGCTTCATGAGACCCTTCCAGAGCTTCTCCTCCTTCTCGCGGCGCTCGCGCACCTTGCGGATCGAGGGATTGATCCACTCGGGGAGGCTACCCAGGAAGGGCATGAGGTTGGTGACAGAGCCGGACGGAGAGATCTGGGGAATGAATTCACCCGCGTTCTTGCAGTGGGCGGCAGAGGACTCGGGGCGGCCGTAGCCGAGACGGGCGGAGATACGGCCACAGAAACGGTCGGTTAGGGCGAAATGGTCCTTAGGATCAACGAGGAGCTTGTACATGAAGCGCTTGGCCTCATGGGAGACATAGCCGTAGTACTTGGCGTTGAAGCCCGCGGTCAGGACGGTATGGGCGAACTTGCGCTGGTTACGCCAGTGGTCTGGATTGTGGTCAATTTCGGGAGCCCTGCTTGTGGTTTTTCATTTCTGCTTACCATCGTGAGCCAGAAGAGGCAGGTATTGGCCCTGAGAGTCACTGCCAGGAACAGCAGGCACCATGGGGCGCGAGGAATAGATCCTGGCCTTTTTGCAGAGCAGGTCGTACGCAATTTGAGCATCACCGACCCAAACGTGCATCTCACCGCAAATTGTGGAGGCAAAAACACCGTTGTACTCATCCGAGAACTTCTTCATGGCGAACCAAGGGCAGTTGGGATCAACATCGTGGACGCGTCCGAGGTAGGGGATCGTGCTTCGTGGACCGGGCAAGAGCTTCAGGCCCGAGCCCCGAGGTGGCTGATCGTGAACGAAAAAGTAGTGGAACATGCGGAAGCTCGCAATGAGAGCGAATACCATGGTTCCAATGACCCATTTGTAAGTGAAGAGGATGTTTGCCGCACTTTCGGGTTGGAAAAGCGCGTCGGAGGAAATGTTGTGGGAGTTCATGTAGTCCGAAACCTGGGTCATGATGACCGAAGGCGAGATGGACGCCGCCATTGTACAGATGCTGCCGTCAAACAAACAGCTAGAGAAACGGAAGGGAAAGAAATGGTAAGGGTGGGTGAGGGTCAATAAAATGACACGAAGGAAAGGAAATCATGAAAGGGGAACCCCCCCGTGGCTATAATCAATTCACCCCAGCGGTCAAGTAACGCAAAACAGGGGTGATCTGGATGGCTGAGGCTTGTACCCAAGGAACTCATCAGGAGGAGCGGGCTTGGGCTTCGTGCCGGTCAACGTGGTTGGCTGCTGGCTGAGGACCAGCAGCAACGGTTTCCACGCGCCAGCCCAATTCAGTAGTAAACCAGCCCTATCTGCCGCCAGAGAACGAAGGGAGAGCACTGCTAGGCCACCGAGATTGAAACTTGTCCGCAGTCTAACGCGGTGCGCGGTGTTGGACCAAGACGTAATTTCAGGAGAACCGCCAAAGCGGACCGCGCGAAGGAGACCGCTCTGGGGAAGTCCTGCCAATCAGGGAGCGTGTAAACAGGTCCGCTCCAGGGTTTTTAGCTCTGGCAGTCCAAAATTGGAAGCATTTGGGCCCCTGGATGGAGCCTTGTGAGTGTCCGGGGGCGGAAGGGCAACATTGAGGAAGGGAAGGCTGTGAGAGGTGGTGGTTCCGGGATGAATCAGCTGAAATCCTGATACCAATACCGCAGCTCCGACGAGAGAGAGTCCGAACCATTTGTGAGCCGAGCAGTAGATCTTGTAGCTGAAAAGAGCTTGGTCGTCCGGCCTCCGTATTTGACCAAACGGTATCTGATACGAGGCTATGCCACTTCTGACCAATGTCCGTACGCTAGCATATCCGCCAATCATAGACCTTTTTCAGCGACGACGAGGCTCTGGCTTCAAATGACTATCAACCACCATCGAGGTCTGAGAAGTTCCGAGTAGTCTCTCGCACTCATCGGAGTAAGCATGTGCGAGCTACAGGCGAGTATCCTCGTATCATTGGGCTCTATAGCGTCAACTACTCCATGGCAGAGATTGAGGCGCCTGAAGCAGATCCTATGCTGCATTTGCGAATGATGAACACTTCCCAAATCCCCGAGCCGATGGCTGCAGTCAGCATGGTAAGTCGACGTTCTGCAGGCTGTACGGAAATCAGGTAGGTCCTGCACTCAAACCAATTCATATGTAACAATACCGCCAAAGCGATTTGCAATGGGCTCTTCCATCGGATTCGACCACTGCCCTGAAAACTATTCAACATACATTACCCAGTAGGCTACTACCGGCTACAAAGCATCACTCCTAAAGATACGCTTCACACTCGACATCCTTGAAGGTGACGGTGTCGACTTCGACCCAGCCACGGGCACCAGAGTCGACGTCGCTTCTCCCACAGCCGTGCTCTCCGAGACTTGGCTACTTCCACCATGTGCCATCGGAGGAGCACTGGCCCCAGCCGCCTCTTGTGATCCCTGTGCACTCTCGCTCGCTTTCCTGACCATGGTCTTGACATCACTGAAAGCATGCTCCTCGAGTCTGAAGTTCAAGCCCTGCGCAGTCTCCGAGTTCTGCCTCTCGACCACGCGCCCATCCCCATGTGCCCCAGTGCTCACACTCATCCTCCTGATATTCCTGATCTGTGTGATCACTCCACAGAAGTACACATATACCACCAGAACCAGTCCAGCCACAACACCATATGTAACATGCACGCCCAACGGCCAGGGGCCTGGGCGCATGGGTAGGTCGCGGTCCAGCTTGGCCGAGTACACGAAGCCCAGCCCGCCATGGATGAGGCCGGCCACAATCAGGAAGCGTCCGATCCAGATGTGCGCATATCCAATGAACTTGATCTTGGCCCAGATCTCAGGGTCGCGCGAGCACAGGAAGTGGTTGACAAGTTCAGTAAAAGGCTGGACCGTAAGGAAGGCCAGAATCGTAAGTCCCATGATGGGGTGGAAGCCAACCAACTGTGCCATCCGTGGTCAGCCTTGTTCGCATCCGTCAAAGCCAGCGCAAAATCCGCACCAAGCATCAAAGGAGCGACGAAGATGGTACATACCTTTCCCTGCACAGACCCCATCCACACTCCCATCGCCGTTGCGCACAGATACATGAAGTACCCAACCATCTGCACTGTCGCGTGGACCCATGGGCTATAGTCGTGCTCCCACACGCGGAGCACAATGCCTCCGACTGGGAAGAAGAACATCACAGCCGTGATGCCAAAGACCGTGTGCGCGATCCGCACTTTCGGCGCCGTGTCGACCCAGTCCGGTTTGCGCCAACCACCGGCTCCTGCACCCACGCTACCGGCTCCAGGCCACTGTCCGCCTGTTGCATCACCCGCACCACCTGCACCAGGCCATTGTCCGCCTGCCGCACCACCAGGGCCCGCTACACCCGGCCCTACGCCACCATTCGGCGCCATCCCACCCTGACCACCGGCACCTATGTTGGTAGGAGCATTAGAGAAGGTGCTCGTGGGGGCGCCCAGAGCGGTAGCGTTGGGTGCGATGACGTCTCCGCTGGTATATGTTGTGCTAGCGCTGCTGGTGACGACGATGCCTGGGGGGATGGCTGCGGCAGGAACTGGGAGGTCTGGTTTCTGTGGGACAGGTACTGCTGCTGCACGAACTGCTGCTGTAGGTGAGAGTTAGCTGGCCAGACGCGGCATACGGATATGAGGGACGATTCACCAGTCACCAGTGCAAGCACGAGCAGCCGATGTTGTGCACCGCAGACCACGGAGCGCAGAAAGCGCTGGCGAGTCATTGGCGCCATGTTCGGCCGGGATCTCAACGGCTCCAATGTGCCGGATACGGCTGATGCTCAGTATATCCCGTCGGATAACCGTACGGTTGTTGGGTCTGAGGCGGCGGAGGCGGATTCGCTCGATGTTCCGAGTACGGCTGGCCGAACAACACCTGCTCGTGACCCGATTGTTGTTGCTGAAGCCCTCCCGCCGTCGCCGTTTGTTTCTGCTGTTGCTGCTTCTTGGCCTCTCGCTTCTTGGAGAACTTCTGATAGTACCGATAGAGCTTCTCGACGCCGCTGATCAGTTTCTCGACTTCGCGGATGGCGGACGTCAGGCCCATGTCGGGACTCAGAGTCGAGGGTACACTGGGAGATCCGTGAGCAGAAATGTCGATGACGACGATCTTGGTTCTGTTCTATTGGTAGGGAAAGGTGCTGGAACTCAAAGGTGAGGATGACGCTTGCCATGCTTGTCGTGAGATGTGTTCCTGGCTGCAAGCAGCGGCGAGTGCTGGGCGCGTCAAAGCTGCTTATCGGTATTGGTGTAGGTCACTTGGTTGGGCTGGACGCACGCGGTTTGTGTGTGGCCTGTGCGAGGCCGACCCTTTTACTGCCTGTGCGTTTAATGCTGAAAGTGGCTCTTCAGGCAGATCACTGATGGCTTTCGTGCCGGGAACGAGTATCGGGGGTAAGATTGTGCTGGTTGTCACTAGCAAGAAAAAACATATTCTCATTAAGTCGTACACATCCTCTGCCGGTCGCCACCCGCAATCTACTGCTAAATCAAGAAAATCCCTGCACATCTCAGAAGCCCAGATCACATTACTGTCCTTCACCACAGCAACGACCACCACCTCAACTCGGCACCATCTTACGCTGACACCATTCCTTCCAATCCACCACCTTCTTCTCGTTCCTCGACTCCTCCGCCGCAAACACCACCGCGTGACTCCTCACAATCTCCTCCATATCACATCCCACATAGCGCCACTGCGCCTCCTTGACTCCCAGCTCCCCGCTCTCCACCTCCTCTACGGCTCTTACAAAGGCGCCTGCGAGCCCCCAGTCACCGCCGCCGTGCGCCTTCTCCACTTCCGGCGCCTGCTTCGGGATGACGTGCACCTTTGTGTCCCCTTCCGCAAACGTGTGCACCTCGATCTTCTTAGAGTCGTAGCTGATCTCGCCCAGGCTGCCGTAGATCCGGCCGCGACGGTCGCATTGGGCCTGGGTTGGGTAGGTCATGTGGAACAAGGCAGTCTTGGGGCCGCGGCCGTAGCCGTTTGCGGCCGGGGTGTTGGGTACGGGGTTCTCATCCCAGGATATGGTGACGGTCTGCTCGTCGACGACGCTGTTGTCGGATTCGTAGACGCAGCGGCCGTACCAGCTGCGATTTTCGACTTCCTGCTTGGGGGTTGCTTCGTTGTAGTCCTCGGACAGACGGGTCATTAGGGTCTCTTCGGCCTTGTCCCAGTCGGAGCTGTCCACGATGTCTTCGATTTCGGGCACGATGATCTTGAGCGGCCAGCCGACGTCCTTTTCCTTGCGTAGCCAGCGGTCACGGTAGATTTTCGGTGCCGAGTAGTTGCAATCAGGCTCGGCTGCACAATTGAGGCAGTTGGTGGCGTTGCCTGCTTTTCGCGGCTTGCGGGATCTGCGGAAATGGGTCATGGCGCCGGTGCTGTGGATGCTGCTGGGTAAATGAGGCTGGTCGCCGGTCAGAGAGCTTGGGCTGGTCAGCATCCACATCAGGAAGTCGATGTCGTGGCACGACTTGGTGAGGAGCGAGCCAACACCATCTGGTTTGATGTGTCGCCAATTGCCACGGACATAGCTGTGCGAGAAATGCCACCAGCCGATGGGTTCGGTGTGTTCGATGCTCACGACCTCACCAACGGCCTGGTCTTCCAGTAGGAGCTTTCGGAGGAGGATGTTGTGCGGAGAGTAGCGAAGGACATGGCCTATGGAAGTGATCTTTGGAGGTTGTGCGGACAAGGCTGACGAGATGTCCAAGCAGTCGCTCAGGGACAAAGCCAGGGGCTTTTCGCACAGAATGTGCAGATTCAGCGGTGCCAGTGCTCTAATGATGGTAGCGTGTGTTTCATCGAGGGTGCAGATGAAGGCGCCCGTGACTGGAACATAAGCAGGATCGGGAACAATAGAAGGATCTTTGCGGCGGGCAGTCTCCCATTCGACCCAGTCTTCCCAAGTTGCAAACGACTCGTAAGGAGCGGCCTTCCTGTCGCCCCAGATGTACTTTCGACCAAACTCCTCCCTCACAAATGGGTTTATATCGGCGACCGCAGCGATTTGACCATTGGTCGAGGCTGTAACAGCCCGGGCGTAGGCGTTTCCACGTGAACCCCCTCCGATGACAATGAAGCGAGGCGCTGGGCCACTTGCTGGAGGCGGTACCGAACCCATGGTGCTGGCTCAGCAGAAGAGATGAGGAACAAAGTCCTCAGACCGAAGTATCGTGGACAGGCACCAGTCCCAGGGTTACACCGACCAGCCTGCCAATGTGCCACCGTAGAGGGGGTGGTCGTAAAGCAAAAAGGGCTGCCTGTGATTGGCTGGTATGACCTCCGCACGGGCATTGACCCCCACAAACCGCTGGCCCCCCTCGCTGGCCCGAGAGAGAGCACACTTCAACACCCTTAATCCAGCTTCTACGACCAAATGCATAACTTCCGCTTTCCTGCTGAAGCTATGCACGCGCAAGGAGCATTATCGCACAGGGCAAGCCAAGCGTCGTCACTCCGTGAGACCGACTGTCTGGAAGTCGGGCGTGAACTAGCCAGACGTCTTCGTCCCTGGTTCTGGAGACGACAGAATCTAAGGTCTATCGTTGAGTAGCCTGAAGATCCAGGACTCTGTCATCTAGTCTCCGAGTCTGAAGCTTGGGTCTTAAGATCTTAAGCCTAGTACAGTGGGATCTAGGATGGGGGTTTCCGATATTCAACCCGTATCTCATTGGTTGGCATAGATCACACTCGGGCAGTGATTGCAAGAACCGCTGACCCCCTCTTCGATGTCTTACCCCTACTCCACAAAGGCACACCGCAATTACTTCAAAAAAGAGCAAAAAGTTCTGAGGATGTGATCCTTGATAATTCCGTGCCGGGCTAAGCAGTTAGTACGGTTATAATGCTCAGAGAGCCTGGTAGAACTCACGAATCGAACCCCGCTATGTAATGTTAGTTTGGCTTCAAGTCTACGAGCTTTAAGGCACTTACGGCGTGACGGCGCACCCAAATTGCTGAGATGAGAGCGTCAAATGTTACCTCTACACCAGCACGGACGTGTGTATTTTTGGAGCAAAATTTCTGACTGTATGAAATATATACCTCCAATAGGCTAGCGCCTAACGATGGGATGCTTGATGACCTCTTCCCTCGGTGAACATGAAGTCACATGGAGACGGTACCGACAAAACGCTTACGATGTCCTCTTCAAGTTATGTGTACCATGCTGCCAGCAATTTCCAGTATTGGTCGCCATTGACACCGTTGCTAGAGCTACCTGACTTAACCCATCGATTGGGGTATCATGGCTAGCCAAGAACTCCAGCTGGCTCGAGAACTCCATCTCATCATGAGCCGCACAACATGATTCATCGAATCTCGTCTTGACCACCGGCATGCCGACCTCAAGGACATGCCCGCGACCCGCGCTGGGGATGGCTGGTCTCAATTAGCCTAAACAACGGGGGGATCTTACACGATGCTGTCGGTAGTTTGTGGGGATCCCCCGCACTACATCTTGGCCATTTCACTGCCTCGTTGATTCCTCCCCGAGCCAGCGAATCTAGATCTACAAACGGCACAGCTCACGATTCTAGTCTGCCTAGAGGGGTAGGTCGCGATGCCTCAATACTCCGACGCCACAATGACTCGAGCGTGGATCCCATCCTGCTTGCAGTTGGAAGGAATTGGTTCGGGTTCACCGTACCTTAGCCCTCAATCTCAAGCTCTACGGCTTTGCTAGATCCGCTGCCTCAAATGGTAACCTCATAACACATGCCAGATTCCGGCTATTATCTTGCTGGTATCTGCCCGGCTCAATGACGATGTAGTCAAGCCTCGCAAGTATCGATGCCATCGCTGATATAAATGCTTGCGAAGCTTGAGTTACGCCTTCCGACAGCCAACCAGCACCTCAAAACTGGTCCGCACAGAAAGGGCATGGCATCTCCCACCCTCATCGCCCTTGTGGCGCTCCTGTCGCTAGGTGTTCATGCCCAAGACCATCCAGATTGCGAGAGTGGGCCACTGTCAAATAACTCGGTCTGCGACACCTCGCTACCGCCACGGCAGCGAGCTCAAGCACTCGTCGATGCCTTCACGCTGCAGGAGAAGCTCAACCTGACGCACAACAATTCTCCTGGCGTGCCCAGGCTGGGTCTTCCAACCTACAACTGGTGGGGAGAAGCTCTCCATGGCGTTGCCGCCGCACCTGGCGTTGACTTTGCCGAGGATGGGGAGTGGTCGTACGCCACCTCTTTTCCTCAGCCAATCACTATGGCCGCTGCCTTTGACGATGATCTCATCTACGCCATCGGCGACGTGATTAGTACCGAGGCCAGGGCCTTCAACAACGCCAATCGATCAGGACTTGACTACTGGACTCCCAACATCAATCCCTTCCGGGACCCTCGCTGGGGTCGCGGCCAAGAAACACCTGGCGAGGACACTTACGTCGTTAAACGCTACATCGACAATATGGTGACCGCTTTACAAGGCGGGCGCAACCTTGAGCAGTATAAAATCATTGCAACCTGCAAACACTATACAGCTTACGATATGGAATTCTGGTCAGTAATCCCCAGCAACATGGGTCGGAGTGAACATGTTGCTTTTATTGCTCTTCTTAAGACAATAATTCAAGGGGACCTCGAGACCATCTTCCAACACCGTTTCATCCGTTTCCCTACCGATGCAAGTTACTGACTGCATATAGGCAAGGTAACACCCGCTATGGCTACGATGCCAAGGTCTCGCCTCATGACATGAGCAGCTACTACATGCAGCCTTTCGTGCAGTGCGCGCGAGACACCAAAGTCGGCAGCATCATGTGCTCATACAATGCCATCAACGGAGTCCCCGCATGTGCGAACGGCTACAATATTGAGACCATCCTGCGCGGCCACTGGAACTGGACAGCGGACGAGAACTACATCACCTCGGACTGCACCTCCATACAAAACATGTACACCGACCACCACGCCTTCGACTCGCGGCAGCAGACCGTAGCGGCGGCTCTAAACGCAGGCGTCGATGTCGACTGCGGTTACTACAACCCCACCTGGCTCGCCTCCGCCTACAGTCAAGGTCTCTTCGACGAAGCAACACTCGACACCTCCTTGCTCCGCCTGTACACCGCCCTCGTCAAGAGCGGGTACTTCGACCCACCGACCTCACCATGGCGCTCACTGGCATGGAGCAACGTCTCGACTCCCGACTCAGAGGCGCTCGCCCTGAAGATTGCCGAAGAAGGCATCGTGCTGCTCAAGAACGACAACGACATCCTCCCCCTCACCATCTCCTCAGACCGCAACTACACCATCCTCATGGCGGGCGGCTGGATCAACGCCACAGAGCAGATGCAAGGCATCTACGCCGGTCCCGCGCGCACGCTCGTATCCCCCTGGATGGCACTGCAGAACGTCTCCAACCTGGTGGTCGAGACCTTCCAGTGGTACGAGTCCCCTCTCCTAGTGGCGGAGCGCCTGCAGCCCGACCTGATCCTGTGGATCGACGCCACGAACGAAGGCGCCGAGGAGACCGAGGACCGCAACACCATTAAGTGGGACCTCATGCAGGTGGACGCGCTGGAGATGCTGGCCTTGACGGGCATCCCCACCGTGGCGGTGCACATGGGCGAGCAGTGCGACGACGCGGCCATCCTGGCCAACGACAACATCTCCGCCCTCGTCTGGGCGGGCTACCCGGGCATGCTGGGCGGGCAGGCGTTGGTGAACGTGCTGCTGGGTGACGCGGCGCCCGCGGCTCGCATGCCGCTCACACAATACCCCACCGACTACGTGCATTTGGTGCCCATGACCGACATGGGTCTGCGTCCCAACAACGAAACTGGCAATCCAGGCCGCACGTACAAATGGTACGACAATGCGACCATCGACTTTGGCTACGGCTTGCACTACACCAACTTCAGCGCCGCCATCAGCCCTCCAAGCAATACCACCTCTACCTTCGACATCGCCTCGCTCATCTCCTCGTGCGACCAAACAGGCCTCACGCACGTCGAGCTCTGCCCCTTCCTCCCCTTGTCGCCCCTACAAGTCAACGTCAGCAACACCGGCGCCGTGACCTCCGACTACGTCGCCCTCGCCTTTATAGCCGGCGAGTTTGGGCCGGCGCCGCATCCGCGCAAGTCGCTCGTGGCGTACCAGCGGTTGTTCGGCGTGGCGCCCGGTAGTGCGCAGATGGCGAAGCTGAATCTCACGCTGGGGAGTCTGGCGAGGCATGATGAAATGGGGAACCAGGTGCTGTATCCGGGGCGGTACAGGGTTGAGGTGGATGTGCCGGTGCAGGATGTGTGGGAATTTGAGCTCACGGGTGGGGAGGTGGTGTTGGATGAGTGGCCGCAGGAGCAGTGAGCTGTGAGCTGTGGGGGATCATTTGGCCGTTAGGCTGGTGATGGAAAATGGGGAGTAGAAGATGTATATAATCATAAAATGCGTGATGGTGTATGCTGCATACCTTTCATGGCCCATTCACGAAAGTCTTACTCTGGTGGCTCTCCATGCTTCTACGCTAATCTACCTCTACCATCTCCATGACTATGGACAGCATCTGTCTGCGCACTACAACTCCCTCTTCCTCGCCTCCAGCCCGCCGCCCTGCCTCGTCAACGCATTCCTCCCACTCCCCGCCACCTCGAACCCACCCAACACCGCCGTCCCCTGCCTCCACCCCCCCGCACTCCCCGCCACCATGCCCGCGTCACTGAACGCCCAATGGCTCTGCATCACAAACCCCCTCTCCCCAATCCTCACCCAGCTCGCCCCGCCATCCTGACTGTAGAACCCACTGATCGTGACACCCTGCACGCCCAACCGCAGCCACACCGGCAACTGCACGCCCGCCACCGTCTCCCACGTGCGCAATTCGCGGTAGTAGCCGCTATCATACGCGAAACTGAGATCGCCGGCCGCAGTGACGATGACGGCGGCGTAGCCCGTGAAGTTGTTGGTGCTGTTGCTGTCGAGCTGCAGCTGGTTGCGCAGGACGAGGCCGGCGTACGAGGCCGGGGTGATGGCGTCGATGTGCAGGACTTGCGCGGAGATGTTGGCGGCGGAGCCGATGGCCGAGGGGAGGTAGAGGGTGGACATGTCGTCGAAGGGTGGGTGCAGGCCGCGGCCGCCGGAGCGGATCGCGTACGTGGTGTTGTCGCTGGGGCAGGGGGTGCCGTAGGTGGCGTTAGTGGGAGATTTGGAGCTGCTGTTGAGAGGGTGGGTGGCTGAGAGGGGGAGGCCGGGAGCAGTGCCCGTGATGTTGAGGGTGGATGGGGAGGGGTTGCTGGTGCTGTAGGTTGCTGTTATGGTGATGCGGGAGATGGAGCAGTCGGTAGGTGGAGCAAGGGTCCAGGTCGCAAGGCCGAAGGAGTTGGCGGATATGGTGGTGGGAATGTCTCGAGGCTCGAGGTTTCCGCCAGTGGCTTGCAGGTTGAGGGCACTCAGCTCGACGTCGTCAAAATTGGAGATGTTGAGGATGAGAAGAGTGCCAGAGTCTGTGCTGTTGAAAGTAAGGTCGAGATGAGCGTTGGGCACGTCTGGGTTGTGGACGGTCCGAAAAGCACGAGAGCCTGGCGACACTCCCGCTCTGTATGCTGTACGCTTGGCATCGACCGAGGTGTCGTCCAGCGATGTCACAATGTAGTTCTTGAGGAAGGTATTGTTGAAGATCCCGGTATGATTGGGCTGGCTATAGTGGTCGGCACCGAATATACCGAAGTTGTCAATCAATGTATTGTTCGCCGTGTGCGCACGAGGTCCTTGATTCGGGGCGTAGTAGTTGCCTCTGACCATCCAGACATTACCCTCAGCGGTGTAGGAGTTGGAGCCTTCGTCGGTATACAAGCCGAACCAATCGCCATCTGTGGCGAAATTATTACTGATGACGGTATTTGGGCTCTTGGCTAGCGTATATACAGCACCTAGGTCCGTGTGGGAACGGCCATAGTCATGAATCAGGTTGGCTGAGATCAGATGGTTCTGAGACGTGGTTGGAGTTTGATATAGAGGTTGATAGTCGTACAGGCCCCGTTCTAGGTACTCCTCTGTACCGTTGACATCGTTGGCTCCCCATCCATAACCGTGAGCGATGCCTGTATAAGGAACGCTGCAGATCTCATTATGCATGACCGTTGAGTCCTGTGCGTAGGTGATCAGGATTGGGACTGTCGAGCTGAACAGAGAAGACACGTTGTAGAACACATTGTCTGTGAGGTGAATACCAGAGTTGATGCTGCGAGTACTGTTAGGATGATGGGCCTCAGCCCGCACCCCACCCGCTGTGATGGAGTTACCCATGACTTGGTTGAAATAAGCCCCTTGAATCGTCACATTTTGAGCGCCGAGACCGGGGCCGTGATCGTAAGCTGTCGCATCATTGCCGATCCCCACGCCGCCAGAGCCCAGCTGTGAGTAGCTACCACCTTGGAAAACAATGTTGGAAGCCATAGCGATCCTGACGGCGCTGGGCATTTGGCACCACCATGGTCTAGCGGCCTCGAATTGGGGGTACGTCTGGTTCTGACAGATGTATGCTCCAGTTTGCTGATCGACGTACCCATAACCTTGACCCGGCAGTAACCATGTAGTGTGGGCAAAGTTAAAGCCTTCGAAAATGATGTCGTGGATGGGCTCGTCAAGAGTGCCTTGTACATAGACGAGGCCTTCCAAAATGCCCAGGTAAGCTTCGGCCGAGCTCATGTCTTCGCCCTCTAATGGCATGTAGAACACAACGCCCTGGTCGGAATCCAGAAAGAATTCCCCACCTTCGTCCAGCAACGCCAGTGCATTCTGGATATAGAATCCAAAATCGGCATTTGGGTTGTTAAGGGTATCGTATCCCATGACAGTACTTCTCCAGGCATGTTGCTTCATGATCAACTTCTTGTCTCCCACAGACTCGATCGGTGCGTAGCGATCTGTGAAGGAGTTGATGCCTCGGATCTCGGCGTTCTCAAGACCAGGAGTGTTCATGACCCAGTCATAGTCTGACGAGTTCCATGAAAGAGTCTCATTGTCGAAGTCGAAATCTTTGCGTTGAAGCGTACTCCTGGCATAATTCGCCGCCTGGCCGTTGATATACAGATTGCGTGACTCGGTGCCTGGTGGTATCCGTGCACTGTAGATGCCGGAAGTCTCGTTGAGCTGCCAATTTGACACTTTCAAACCACCCGAGATGACTACATTGGTACCTTCGGCTCGCCAAGTGACCGGAGATGTGTTGGTGCCGGAGTCTGCACTGGTGAGGTTGAGAGGCTCGTCGAGCGTATAGAAACCGTCAGCCACGTGGACGATGTTGTCTTCATCGGCTGCCCGCGATGTTGCGTTCCTTAGCGCTGTCTGGGCTTGAGCCAGGCTTTGAAATGGACTCCCAACTGAGCCGTCGCTAGAGTCTGAACCGCCCGGGGCAACATAGAGGTCCAGTGCTCTAGCAAATGGCAGTGCCAGGACCAAGGAGGCGCCGTGTATTACCAAGTGACCCAGCATTGTGAAGTTGTTGTAGCTAAAGGTCCAGCTTTCGCCATCCCTACCGCAAGGCGAAGAGAAGACGTTTCAACCACCGCTCTTATAAAGAGCATCTGTTCTGACAGAGTCGCTGCCATCAGCTTGTTCCATCTCGCTAGCAGCATTGCAGCAAGACCCCGAGATGGCGGTCGGGAGCTGACCTCGGGCTTGGGCATGTTCTGACCAATGGTGAGCGCTCATTTACTGCCTGATCAGACCAGGTTCAGTCAAAGATTTCAGGCAGAATTGTATGCACTAGGCTAGAACCTACAGAATGCCTAGCTCAAGGCGGTTCTGTCGTCATGGTGTCAACAAGCTGCTGAGGCCCAGTATGGAGGCGAAGTGACCTTGCTGTATGCAGGAACTTTTCGGTGGTTGTTGCGGGGTTGCCTTGCGGGGCAGCACCCCCAACATCCATCGCCCAGGCACCGTAAATCTCCCTTCGCTGCATTTTGCCGGCTAGCGAGGGTCTTCAGCAAGGACTACCCCAAAGTGTTCCCCCGGGCTGGGCTCCTTTTCCCGGTGGGAGCCTCTGGGCGTTTGACGAGGTTGTTGCTCCAATAATCCCGACGGGATTTTTCCAATGGATGCTGGGCCGTCATGAAAAGCTTGGATGCGCAGTGTGATTGCTACAGCCGATACCGGACTCAGTCGGTGATGCTAGAACACGTCGATCAGCTGTAGATATCTTGGGAGGCATCTGGAGAGAAAACAGGAAGAAAGGATTCGCTCGATGACTAGGCTTCGGTGGTGACATTACGCTACACTGAGCTATCTCCCATGCTCAGTATTGAACTTGTCAATAATCTCCTTCGTAGTCCTGATGATATCCATGCACCCGGGCGAATCCGAATGACAGCAGATTGATATCGGATACTCTTTGACCGGCAGCTCGACTCTTGATCCGTCCACTGCAATCACTGACTGCGTGTTGAGCTGATCGCTGACATGCTTTCTCACGTCCTCGAGATTCCAAGGCTTCTTCTTCTTGTCAATCACCAGCGATCCATCTTTGTTGTACTTTACATCCCCATAGAACTCGGCCCAGAACGGAATGCCCAAATCATTGGCGGCTTTCTCCATGTTCGTCCCTGCGAGGCCGAAGACGGGGACGCCTTTTGGGATGCCCAGCATGACGGCTTTCGCGATCTCGTAGTCGCGGCACATCATGCCATAGAGCTTTCCGTGCGGCTTCACGTGGTGTAGAGGCACGCCTTCAGCGTCGAGGAAGCCTTTCAAGGCGCCAACTTGATAGGTGGTGATGGCGGTGAATTCTTCCAGTTCAAGTTGAATCTCGCGCCGGCCGAAGCCCTGAATGTCTGGGAGACCGGGGTGGGCACCCGCTTTGATGTTGTGCTTCTTACAGGCGCGGACCGTCTCTAGCATTATCAGGGGGTCGCCCGCGTGGAATCTATTGTAAAGGAATGTTAGCCTCTTCAGATAGATATCGGAGCCTTGCAGCTTGTGGCCTTTGAGGTTTGACACCCGCCCACGGTGACAAAGATGCTGCCATAGCCTTATCGCAATCTATAGCCGCTAGAAGAAACACTTACTACGCCAACTATTAGCATTTCTGACAGGTACAATGTACGGAGCAATCCGGCAACGGGAAACTCACCCCACATGCAATGTTGGCGTGATCAATAAGTGGAATAATCTCATCGTCAGGTCCGCACTTGAAATTACCGTATGCTTCGCCTAGATCGACGTTGAGAAGGGCCTTGTGCTTGATTGGAGGTGGCGACATGTTTGCTGCACGCTGTCTCGGAAAAGGGTGGAAAGTCTTGGCGTTTGATATGCCGACGTCGCGGAGGCTGCAGCAGCTTTGCTATACTCGTCTTCCTTCAGTATTCGATTCACTAGACTCTCTTACAACTTCGAAGATGGCCGCTTATAAGTCAGGCATCCGTCCCTCCTGGCGATATCTCAATTCGGAGCTCTCCAACAGCTTACGTCACTGGTAGAATGCGCTCGAGCGGACAAGTGCCGCAAGATCAGGACATCCCCTCACTTCACGGTTCCAGTTCGCTGGGCTTTGTGTAGGTTCATCCAATAACATGTCAGCATGTATGACGCCCGTTATCTTTGACTTCGCCATGCCTCGCGACGCGTCTCAAGTACCTCTTCCCCTCACCCGCTCGTGCTCTGCTCTACTCACGTGGCTTCCTGAGCTCGCAGCACCACGATGGAGAAGCTCAAGACCCTCCTCGTTGCTAACCGCGGCGAGATCGCGACGCGTATCATCCGAACGTCCAAGGAGCTTGGGATCCGTACCATCTCCATCTACACGGCTGCTGATGCAGCTTCTACACACGTGGGCAACGCCGATGAGGCGGTGTTGCTGAGTGGGCTGGACTCGAAGGCGTACCTAGATGGCGAACAGATCGTGGAAATAGCAAAGGCCAGGAAAGTTGATGCCATCATTCCTGGTTATGGCTTCCTCTCAGAGAATACCGAGTTTGCCAAGCAGGTCATGGACGCGGGAATGGTGTTTGCGGGTCCCAGTCCTAAGGCTATCGACGCCTTCGGCATCAAGCATACCGCCAGAGAGCTAGCTCAGAAGGCTGACGTGCCCATTGTGCCTGGGACCAAAGGCCTAGTCTCCTCGGAACAGGAGGCAGTCGATGAAGCCAACAAGCTGGGCTACCCGGTCATGCTGAAAGCTACAGCTGGTGGTGGTGGTATGGGCTTGCTAACTTGTCCCGACGAGAAGACTGTTCGAGAGTCATTCAAGACTGTCCAATCCCGGGGCGCGACCCTCTTCAAGAACTCTGGTCTATTTATCGAGAAGTATTATCCGTCATCTCACCACATTGAGGTACAAGTCTTTGGCAACGGCCAGGGGAAGGCGATTCACTTCGGCGAGCGTGAATGCTCGATTCAGAGAAGACATCAGAAAGTCATTGAAGAGTGCCCCAGCCCTTTTGTCACTCAACATCCAGAGCTTCGCGAGAAGCTCGGTGCTGCAGCGGTGCGCCTTGCCGAGTCAATCCAGTATGGCTCGGCAGGGACCATCGAGTATCTTGTGGACGACGAGTCCGGCAAATTCTTCTTCCTCGAGATGAATACGCGACTGCAGGTTGAGCATGGCATCACAGAGCTTTGCTACGGCGTGGATCTTGTTGAGCTAATGCTCCGTCAAGCGGATGCCGAGCTGCAAGGCAAGGGGGGTCTTGACGCTGACTATCTGGCGAAGTTACAGCCATCTGGCCCCAAGGGCGCGGCTGTGGAAGCTCGCATTTATGCTGAAAATCCCGCCAAAGACTACGCGCCATCGCCGGGAATTTTACAGGAGGTGGAGTGGAAACAAGTGCCTGGCTCGCGGATTGATACATGGATCCACAGAGGTACCAAAGTAACAGCAAATTACGACCCTCTCCTAGCAAAGGCCATGGTGCACGCCGGCTCTCGAGATGCAGCTGTGGAAAGCATGCTGGAGTTGCTCGGAGGCTCCAAGATCCTTGGACCACCAACAAATCTGGACTTTCTGGCAGCAGTCCTGGATGATCCGACTGTGAAATCCGGGAAGACCTTGACAAAATTCCTCTCCACCTTCAACTATGCGCCTGCTGCTATCGATGTCATCCAGGGGGGCGCTTATACGCTTGTTGAAGACTGGCCCGGACGTCCAACCGTTGGCAGAGGTTTCTCGCACGCTGGTCCTATGGATCCACTGGCCTTCCGAATTGCCAACTCGCTAGTCGGAAACGATCAGGGCATCGCTGGGCTCGAGATAACCTTGAGTGGCCCAGAGCTCAAGTTCCTTGGTCCGGCGATCGTTGCTCATTGCGGTGCACCAATGGAAATCACTCTCGACGGCAAGTCCGTTCCTATGTGGACGCGACTGAAGGTGGAGGCTGGCCAGCGTCTGAAGATTGGCAAGTGCACCGGTGGCGGATGCAGATCTTACCTCGCCATCCACGGCGGCCTCCCTACCATTGCTGAATGGTTTGGTAGCAAGTCAACGGCGCCAATGACCGCCGTCGGCGGCTACCAGGGCCGAGCTCTCGCAGCTGGAGACCTTTTGGGCATTGCTAAAGACCTACCGGACATCAGGGGTGAGCTCAAGATCCCTGACAAGCTTGTTCCCAAGTACCCTGATGAATGGCACATCTTCTCAATGCCGGGACCATATGATGAAGGGTTCATCACGGAAGAAGCAATCGAACAACTTTACCAACAGGAATGGACTGTTTCACACAACGCCGCACGCGGCGGCATCCGTCTGTTGGGGGGCAAAGCCAAATGGGCCCGGTCTGATGGAGGTGAGGGCGGTGCCCATCCCAGCAACGTCATCGAGTATGGCTATCCTGTTGGAGCGTTGAACTGGACTGGTGACGATCCAGTGCTCTTCCCCGTCGACGCGCCCGATCTGGGCGGTTTTGTCTGCAGTACTACGATCGTCAAAGCCGAGTTCTGGCGCTTTGGTCAGGTGAAAGCTGGCAACAAGTTGAAATTCGTGCGAGTGTCCTATCAGGATGCGATCGCGAAGCGCAAGGAAGTCGAAGAATATTTGAGCTCTGTTGATGATTGTTGCGAGAACAAAGGAAGCTTCGATGATGTGTTCCCCTTGAAGTATGAGGGCCTGCCGCCTTCAGCACAATCAGAGACGAAAGAGAAGGCCATCATTCATCAGATACCAGAAAAGGGAAACAATCCTTTAGCCTCCTACCGACAGGGTGGCGATGACTTTATCCTTGTTGACTACGGCCATGGCGCCTTCAACCTGAACTATCGATGTCGCGCTGTTGCTCTGTACAGAAAGCTGAAAGAGCACAAGGGCGACATCTCATTCGACGCCGGCACTATCTACACTGGTATGGCCTGTGGCAATTCCTTGATGGTCTACTACAACTCTCTCAAGGTTGGACGAGACAACATGATGAAGCTCCTGCTGAGGCTTGAGGAGGAACTGGGCGATTTGAGCGAAGCCAAGTATCCCAGCCGGATTTACAAGCTTCCGATTGCCTTCAACCATACAAAGCAGAAGGAGAGTCTGAAGCGTTACATGGAAACACAGCGGCCGTACGCCAGTTATCTTCCAGATCCGGCGGAATTTGTGGCCGAGAACAATGCCTTCACAGAGCGACAGCTCCGCGACATTTTCACAAAGTCCAACTTCATGACAGTGGCTGTTGGCTTCTTTGTTGCCCTTCCTTTGATGCTGCCGATCGATCCACGACAGCGGATGCAGTCGCCAAAGATGAATCCGTCTCGTATCCACACACCAGAGGGTCAGGTCGGCTGGGGAGGCGCATGTATGGCTTTGTACAATGTGGAGAGCCCAGGTGGATACATGAACATCGGCATCTCAATTCCATGTGCTGACATCCTTGGCTATAAGAACAGTTATTCGGCTGATCGTCCATGGCTGATTGAGGACTTTGATCAGGTCCAGTTCTACGAAGTATCAGAGGAGGAGTATAACAAGATGCTGGCGACCTTCCATTCGGGTCGCTATGTGTACGAGGTGGAGGACGGCGAGTTCGACATGAAGGAGCACAACAAGCTGTTGGAGGCGACCAAAGATGAAGTCAAGAAAATCCGCGAAGAACAGAGCAAGGCTCAGGCGGAGATGACGAAGAAAGAGAACGAGCTGCTCGAGAAATTGAGCAAAGAGAAAGAGGCTGGCCAGGTGAGCATGGATACCATTGATGAGTTGCTCAACGATCCAGACATCATTCCTGTAGAGGCGCCCCTGAACGCGAACGTCTGGAAAGTGGAGGTCAAAGAAGGCGACACCATCAAAGAGGAGCAGATCGTCTCCATACTCGAGGCAATGAAGCTTGAAATACCGGTCAAGGCAGAGGCGAGTATGGCAGGTGCAACGGTAGAGAAGATGATTGTGAAGCCGACAGATGTGGTGGACGCGGGTAAGCCGCTGATGTTGTTGAGGAAGGCGAAGTAGATGGCGAGGACGACCCTTCCACTCGATTTTCTGCGCCGGTCTTGATTACCCAAAGGTTGACAGGGTGGTTTTCAGCGTTATTCACAAATTCATAACTGTTCCTCTTCAATCCATCATGAAACGTCAAAAGTCACGCACTTTCATCAGCCGCACCATCTCGCGTGTCAAGTCTCGCATTTCTTCATTCGGGTCCACGACCGAAAGCCCCAATCCACTCATTGCTCCACCTTCGCCATCTACCACCTTGATCTCTGCGACTCCTACGCCTCGAGCATGTCGGACCTTACCGCCGCGACGCACGGTACATGGAACGTCGATAGGCCAAAACGTTGATCGGACAAGCCGTGAGGTCAACCGAGCTCCACCTGTTGATGGACCGTCTGACCGGGATGAGGCTTCGCGATGGCCAGCGGTGGCTGCACTGGAGCTGAAGACATCAACCTGGACAGTGTTTGGCACGCATGCGAAGTATCCGGCCACCGCCTATGTCAATTTCGATATCACCTGCGAGTACCATGAGCACGTTGTCGGCAACTCCGGAGGTTCAGAGTTGCACCGTGATTCAGCGAACGCGAAAGAAGGAGGATTTCTCATGGACCTGACAATCATTCCCACACTCACTGGACCAGGTGTCCTTCTCAAGCAATATGGGCATGTCACCAAGAAGTCACTCTCTCCGGGCGAGCGTTGGATGCTCGTTCTTCACATTGGAATCAAGGATACATCACTGGCATCAAAGCTTTCCACCTCATTCAGATCCCTAGGCGGACGACTCGGCAAGGTTAGCAACGTGGATGTGATCAATCGATGGCTTGAGGTACTACAAAAGGACACGGCCCAGCCCGAGTTGGTTCGGCCTAAGCTTCTCGTCTCGGCACGGGTAGGGTTCCGCCACAGCATGCTTCCTCAGACCACCTTACTCATCGAGGAGCGGATGACGGAGGTTGCCATGACGGAGCAGGAGATGGAACGTGCAAGACTTGGGGGAGTGAAGCTAGAAGACGTGGACGAGGAAGAGGATGAGGAGCGATTGAGAGAGATGCGAGTGCTGGGAGCTCCATGGCTCTGACTTGCCACAGCGTTGATCCCGGCACCGTTGTTGGGATTGTGCTTTCCGCACAGGGCATTTTGTCGCATACCGCCGGCTCAGCTACAGTTAGTGTTTACATAGTCAGATCAGCCCATGGTATTGCATATTTGATAGGTCGGAACTTGATGTGATTCCTTCCGCCAGCCCCCATTCAACATCCACCAGCCTGGCAGGGGGTTGCCTCCATCGTGTCCTTATCCCCATTATAACTGCCTGTCACATTGCACAATAGACCAACGCTCCGTCCATTTTACGTGTATCTTGAGTGTCTTGACTGTCGTTCACTGTCATCAATGTCCACCGGCGGAGTCGTTGGGCCAAGTCCCAGAGCGAGGGTGCGCAGGTAGTCAAGTGACCAGAAGGGATGTATTTGAGATGTCAATCCCTGCAAGCCTTCGAAGCCGTTTCCATCATTCCGGATGACAGGGTATGACAGGGAGTGTCAATAACAGGGCCCCCCGAGCCCGATCCGAGTCCCATTGGTCAAGAGGAATATACGACTCAGGGCGTTCTAGTACATCTCGATGTGGGAGGCACCGCCGTCATGCTATCAGACAATATCTGCCAATCATTGCAGTATTAGGGACATTTACGTCGTTTGTCAACAGCGACCGAGCGACACCAGCCATCTGAGCATCTGAACTAGTTTTGGCGCATGAAACGGCGCGAGCGCTAAGTGCACACGCAAGGGCGCGGTTGCTTTCGCGCCTGCGGGCAGTCTTCTTGGCACCCTGTTGCGGTCGCGCGAAGCTTTCGGTGCTTCCGTACTCTAGATAGCCGAGAGGGCTGCAGCAAGATCTGTCTCGAGCAACACTAAGCGAGTCGATCGATCCGAGATTCCTGCAACTTGCCCTGGTCACGGACCAGGTACCTACTTACACCCTGGTCTAATGCTCGAGTTTTCGCTTGTACATGACACGAGCATCAGTCGAAGCGAACCAGCGAGCGATCGAGTACGTGAAATCGCCCTCAGTCCAGAGTACAGTGCCGCCGCCGCCGCCGCCTCGACGGGAGATCCCACACACACCCTGCTCCCTACCCGTTTTGGGCTCCGAGAATGATGGCTTTTGACAAATAAAACCTTGACAGCCCACCCCTGCCTCCTGGAAAGGCTCGAACTAAGCCATGCACGCAATGGTTTCGGCCTCTACCGAACCAGACTTTTCTCCCTCCAGTCTGCTGTGGGCCAGGACAGAAGAGTACTCCGTACTCACGTACCTTTCAGCGCCTTTCTCCCCACCACTGTACATTTTGATGCAGACGGAATTGGATAAACCTCCCGTTTGCGGGACCGCCAGGCCCCATAACTTGAGTTCGTGTCAATAATGCATCCGAGAAACCTTGCAGGCGGCAGGCACGGCTCCCCGCCAAACAAGCGAAACACCGTCCACTTGAGTGCAGCCCATCGACCTCTCTACGTCGTCGTACGAACAGGTCTGTGCTCGGCCTCTCCACACGCCACCCAACCAGCTCCCCCAAACGGTCGAGCCTCCTGCACGACACTCGATCAGGTGTGGAGCCTGGTCCAACGCCTCTCCCGATTCACTCAACGGATATCCCAGCCTGCAGCAAGCTATTCGACTTTCTAACACCTTTGACCATGCAGGAGGCCACGGCCAGATCGATTTGGCTGGTATGAATCTCAATTGATGGCTGCGGCAATCTCCATGTCGTCCCTTTTCGTGACATAGAGCAGCTGAGCCTCGCCGTAGGGCTCCAGCTCATTGCATCCACCGGTCCGTTTCGGTAGAGCCACTTCCTTGTATGCGCTGGCGGGTGGGTTCGCAGAAAGTGCACGTCCCGCCGAACGTTCGGTGCCTCGAGTGAGGTTGGTCAAGCACAAGGTCCGTCGTGCCGGCCAGATAAAGGGTCCAGCCCTAGGGTTGGATCGGTCTGTATAACAATCCGTCCCCTGCATTCCCTTCCGCACATCATTCCCTTGTCCTTGGTCGTACAGACATCTCAGATTTTTCCTCCGACGTTGCTCCAAAATGTGTTCATCGCCCCAATATCAGAAACTCCCCGGCTTCCAGGAGTTGTGCAAGGCCACAGGTCAAGATGTACTCCTGGAGTCAAGTCCTGTCCAAACCTCACTGGAGCTCTTGGTTGAGCGTCCACACGAGCCCCAAACAACCGTCCCTGAGTCGCGGGGATGGTTCAACGCCTCGCAGCCAGAGGTCCGCCGTGCCATCCACACCTTGCAGCGCCTTGGACTCAGCCGAGACGACCTATACGACACTGCCTTTGACATCAGCCCTGACAGACCACTCTATGAAGGCACCAAGTTGGAGGTGGAGCCTGTGAAGCCATCGCGGTCAGGCCTCTCACACCAGACCGCCTCGGCGGTCAAACACTCTTTTGTCGAAAAGAAACGCCGCTTTCGCCATATGGAATGGCAAACGACTCTGCATCGTATGTGCCCGGAGAAGGCACACGAGCTTGTCACCTCAGACCCCAGCTATCTGGGCATTGATGAGGACAGCACCGACGACGGTGGCCATACTGCCGCTAGCAAGAAGGGTAACAAGACGTCTTCAAAGAAGCCGGGCAAGGACGAGTCCTTTTGCGCTACGACATACTCGCTTGCCATTTGCGGCATCGTCCTCCAGTCCGAGCACGAGGGCCGCAAGGCCGCCGAGTCTCGAGTCGCCTACCTGGAGAGACAACTTCGCAAGAGGAAGTTTGAGGACGACGATAGTGCATCGACCTCATCTCGCTCGTTCGCCCGTGGGAGCTTCCCGCCTACTAGCCGACTTCCCTTGTCGCCGTCGCCCACACCTACTTGCTCATCATCGAGTTGGTGCCATTGACTTCGGCCAGCGGTTTTACACCTTACCTCCTGCAATGGCATAGACAGCAAGCCCTGAAGCGTTCAATCAAGCAGCTCATCGTTGAGGGCGGCATTCTCGCTGTTCTCCGTCTTGAGGCGGCGAACTGTACAACATTCAAAAGTTTCGCTTACCTCTGGCCCAGTGCGGCCCAAAAGCATCTTTCGGCTATCAGTTCTTTTCGACGACAGTGCCAACAACACTGCTCGTGGGCATCAGGCCCTGTACTAATACCAGTTTCTTCCCTTTGGAGAGGCGTACAGTGATCCAATGCCGTTTCCGGCTACATTTTCGGGTTTTCTATTGTTGGGTTCTCAGGCGCACACGGGACTATGAGCAGGCAAGAATGATGAACATTGCCATCTAGACGACGTCAACGACTACAGGACTACAGGACGCACTCTGGCTGATGATGTGTGCATGTGTACAACACGATTTGAATGGGACAGACGACCAGGGAATGAAACGAGGAGATGAAGAACGCCAGCACACCAGCACATAATTGGCGGTAGATAGGTTGATAGCCAACATTTTCGGGTTTCTCTCACCATCCCTTGTGGTGGTGAGAGCTTTTCATGACTACAAGAACATCAAGAATCAAAGCTGCTGACGCGGCCCGTGGTACCTGCTCGAGGCTTACAACCTGCTGCACCCATGCTGTCGTGAGCGACGTTGAGCTGCGACTGACCGGGGGCCCGGCGGCGGCGGCGCCAAGTTTCGCCAGTGCCGACTTGGCGGTCGAGACACGCTCGCTCGCTCCTGCCGAGTAGCTCAGCACTGACTCGTTTTATTTGTCTTAGCCCCTTGCTTCGAAGCTCAAGCCACTCTCTGCTGTCAATCTCGGTTCTGGCTAGTGCTCTCGGAAATTGACCTCGTCGTCGTTTCACCGTTGGCGAGCAATTAGACGACTCCTTTTAATGCCCCCAACGCCGTCCCATTCGACGCAGACCTCGACCAACGCAGCCACAGTGAGGCTCTTTGCTGATGGTCAGCCACGACCAACGTCCTTGATGAGGCACATCCAGGTAAGGCGTTAAGCTCCTTCAGGCCATGGCCTCGCTTTCGTGGCCTTGAGCGCCCGGGCTATCGAAAGTCTGTCCGGCCACCCAAGGACTTTGCGGCACACTGCTCGTGAAGACCCGTTCTCGCCTTCTCTCCAGGCCTCACATGCACGAGCGTGGAAACATGTTCTCGACGCCACCGCAGTAACGTACAGTGGGACCACACACAGTGCTACTGCCAATGTCTTGAAAGACACGTTGAGAGTGTCGTCTCCGCGATGCACTTGGCTTTCTTTGTATGCCTCCTGGGACTCATGTCAGGTCGACGACCGCCCTTTGGGCAAGGCCGACCGCAGACGAGTATTCCCATGGACGACTCACTGGCGGTTGCGACGGCTCCTCCGTCTGTGACCGACGCGATACCTGCGGCGGACAACGCTGCCGCTGCTGCGGCTACCGCTGGCTCCACGACAACGGCCGCTTCTTCCAGCTCATCGGCGACCGCCGCCTCGTTCATTTACCCTACGACAGACCTCACGATAAACAATATTGACGATATAATAATACAATACGAGTCGCCGTGGCAAGACCTGTCTTTGACAGTGTCGTGCAAGGGGGACGGCGTGGGGGGAGCAAAGTCATACGACATTTCTCTGTGTAAGAGCTCTTGAAGAGTTGCCCTGCTATACATCACGGTTGCTGACATCTACTCCAGCGCAGCAAGACGGCACGTACCGCCTGACACCAATCGACGGCGAAATCACCGTCTCGGACTACCCGGTCGACTGCTCCCTCATCCTTCAAGACAGCGATAGCGTTGCGAATTTCTTGGTCGGACCGGATTTCACCGTTCAGAGCACTGGTGGTGTTGCCTCGGTGTATGCTGCATCTGCTACGAGACCTGCAGCAGGAGACTCGAGGGCCACATCTTCCGGATCAGGAGCGGCGGCAACAGAAACACCGGATGGAGCTCCGGAGGATTCCGGCTCAAGCGAATCGAGCGCGTCAGGCCGCGGAGGATCAGAAGCTACATCGACCAGCGTCTCAGGCGCGTCAACGTCCAGCTCCTCGGACGCGGGCGCGGGTGCATCCGCAGGTGGCCTCTCCGGCGGTGCGAAAGCCGGCATCGCCATTGGCGTGATACTAGCTGTAGCGCTCGTCGCGTTGGCACTCTTCTACGCCTTCCGCACGCAACGGCGCATGGCGGTCATGGAAAACGAGCTGCAGGAGACCAAGAAACAGCACGAGACCGACCGGGCTTACGTCGACGGCATCCTCAAGGCTGCCGGGAAACCTGACACGCGCAACGGCGGACGCGTTGTCATGGCCGAAGCCCCGACTAGAGGCTCCGGAGACTGGAAGAACTTCTTTGGCGCCTCTAGAGCTGGGACGCCCTTGACAGCGCCGCCTTCAAGGTTGGGAAGGACGGTACAGACGCCGTCACCGGCCCCACGATCGAGTATTGGTGGTGATGCCGGGAGCACGGTTGGGTTGGTGGGCAGGTGATGCTCTGAGTCCTCACCCCTCCCAAAAGGAGTGCATGCATTTGGATAGGGCGTTGGATCAGGTGTCAATATCTGGATGCGTTCGAGCGAACATCGCAATTTTTCTTTGGAGAGCGTTCTGGAATGATTCAAACGAGTAATCAGGCTCATGACAATTTGCAGAGATAGGGTCAATAGCCAAGCGAGGACTGCGTGTTCAAGCTTGGGAGAAACGTGTATGTATATATTTCACGGCTCACAGACTAATCACATCCTACTGCAACTATATCGCCCCGGATTTCTCACATCGTTCACCGCCATCCGCCTCGATACCTCCACTGACAAGAGAAACTCAAACACCTTGAATGTACCGCAAGAGTTCACAGCACTCGATAAGCAACGGCAGCCCTGATCTGGAGCGACTCGCTGCTCTCTTTCGAGCATGATCTTCTCCGGCCAGTTGGGCAAACTACCACCTTCTCTTTTATTGGCCTTACACGGTGGGTATGTAAGGCGACTGTGTCTGGCTCGTCATGTTGGTGGCTAGCACGCCAGTCAGTGCCCTCCATACCTGCCAGCTGGGGGTGGTTGCTTGTCATCTGATCATCGGTCTGCGGCTTTTCAGAGAAGCGCGATGCTTGTCCTTGCGAGCCACTTGTGCATCCTTCACCGACGCTTGTTTCTATATGCGACGCTGGCTCAGGCGAAGATTGGGATGGTTCAAGCGGCCTGCCATTGCGCACAATGCTTTGCTTTCTGAACCGGCAATGAGCACATAATGAATGGGTTAGCTTCGTCGCATGCTGACACAGACTAGCTCCGCCGCACTATGTCGTTGGGCGTTCCATGGCGTCGACGTTGGCTCCCAGGCAAGGCTTAGACGCACAGGATCAATGTCCGCCGCGCTCACCGTCCCGCGCTGGGTGTCCATCTCGACCACGACCCAACATTCACGCCCCCTCCTTCGCACCAAACACGTCCCCCCAGATCTCCCGACAAGGCGCATCAAACTCCGTCGCATTAATGGCCTGCACCCCCGCCACCTCCTCCCCAAACAGCACCTCCAAGGTCTCTCCCCGACCCTCATACGGCTTCCACCCCATCCCCACCTCCAACCCCTTCGCCGGATCCTTTACGAAAGCCACTACGGCCTCGCGCAACCACGCCGCCGCCTTACGTGCCTCGGGCCCAACATCCCCCCACGCCACCGTCGTCTCCCCCTTCCCCTTTTTTTCCTCCGCTCCCACCCCGAACGCCAACAATATGTCCGCGCCATGAAACGGCCGCATCCAATCATACGGCCTCACCCCGCCGAAGCTGCCATTATACACGCCGCGCCACACCGGCACGCCCGCCTTCACGCGGAACCCCGCGTGCAGCCACGCGGGGCAGTGCATAGCCTGCCGCGTCACAATGTCCGCCTCGGTCGCATTGATTCCCGGCACGACGCCAGTGTCGAAGTCGACGAGGTTGTCGCCGTCGTGCGACACGTGCTGGATCCAGGTGGGGAGACGGGCGAAGGCGCCGGCGAGGCCGCGCGAGAGGTAGGCGCCGGCGCGGGCGTCGAAGTTGGTGAGGTTGTCCGGGCTGGGGCTGCCGGCGCTCCAGCCTGAGGTGTAGGCGGAGTAGGGGAGGAAGTTGGAGGGGTGCAGCGCGTGTTTGATGGCTGGGGCGGAGAGGTCGGGGCGGCGCATGCAGTCGAGGACGGCGTTGGCGTTGGCGTTGGCGTTGGCGGTGTTGTTGGCGGTGTTGTTGTTTCCAACGCCATGGTCCAGGCTGGTGGTCACCTGAGCGACTCCCCCGTCGGTGGAGCTGTTGTTGTCGCACCCAAGGCGCTGCACGGTCTGCGCCCACCCTTTGCCTGTGTCCAGCAAGCCGCCTTCCGGCTGGCCGGACCACATGATCAGGCCTGCGACGAGGGGATCAGTCGCGTGCGCGAAGGCATAGTGCGCGATCGATTGGGACCCCGCGGACTGGCCCATCAGCGTCATGCGGACTGGGTCGCCGCCGAATTGGGCGATGTTGTCGTGCAGCCACTCGATGGCGGCGCGTTGGTCGCGTAAGCCGAGGTTGCGCGGCGGATCTGACGTTGTGGCGTTGTTGTTGTTGCCGTTGCTCGCGGTGGGGAAGGGGAAGCCGAAGATGTTGAGGCGGTAGTTGAGGGAGACGACGATGAGAGAGTCGGTTGGCGAGGGAGTGGAGAGGAGGAAGGGCACGCCGTCCGTGGGAGTGCTGCTGCCTTGGGCGAAGCCGCCCCCGTATAGCCAGATTAGAACGGGTAGGAGGGAGGAGCTGGAGGCGTCGTGTGTGGTGGGCAGCCAGATGTTGAGGGTCAGGCAGTCTTCGGACTCGGCGGTGGGCGTGAGCTTGTCGTTTAGGAGCGTGTCGAATGTGAGCTGCATGCAAGCTTTAGGACTGGGTACTGGGGGCCGTGGGGTGGTGGTGTCGTTTGGCACGAAAGGTTGGGGTGGTGCAAAACGGAGGCAGTCGAGAGGTGGAGCGGCATAGGGAATGCCCAGGTAGGCGGTTACGTTTGTGTAGGGGGAGAGGGAGAAGCCAGTTATGAGTCCGGACGATGTATTGATGATAGGGAGAGCTGGTGGAGGTGAAGGGGGCGAGAGAGGGAGGGATGCTTCGAGGAGGGGGAAGCCTTGGGCGAGGAGTAGGCTGTTAAGCAAAAGTGTTAGACGAGCAGCCATCTTTGGGACTCGCCTGATCGTTCTCGAGTCCTTGAAACCGTTCTGGTCCACTAGCAAGAGGAGTTGGATACAAGAGCAGAGGGGCTGGCAAGTAGATTTATATCTTTCCATCCCCGATGTTGCTAAGCATCTTACCACTCTCCGGGTTGCCCACACCATACATTGCGTCACTGGAGTTCACGTACTCGCTTTTATGGTCAACTTGTAGACCACTGAAAGCAGTAGGAGCCGAGCAAACATCAAAAAGCTTGCGAGGACGTAACGCGACGAGAGTAGCCCAAGTGTGGACTGTATTTTTCAGTATATGTATTTCATCGTTTTCCTGAAGCAGTAAGGTCGGTCAGCTGCGCACCAATGAATGGCGGTATACAGAAACGCCAACGCAAGAAACAAGTGGCCAAGGCCATATGAGATGCACTGCCTGTATTGCAAGCTCTGATCTCAGTGGGACAAACAAGTCCCCAAGGAAACGGAGGCGCACAAAAAAAAACTGGCTCAGGTAACATCGACTTTGCGCATCTGCTCAAATTTCAATACACTGCCTGATCCTCTTGGCACCTGCCTCTAACACCCCTCGCTCGCTTCGTCACTCCCCCGTCGGAATCGTGCCACCTCCAACACCACAACTCCACCCCTTCCAAGCCAGCATCTCCGTCCTCGCCCTCTCCTCCTTCCCCCAAACCGCCTCCCACGCGTCCCTCCCCACCAGCAACCTCAACGGCAACCCTCCCTTCCCCTCCCCCTCCCCCTCCGATCTCATCACAACCTCCACCACCGCCCTCGCCACCACTCCCGCCTCCAGACACCTGGCCTGCAACCCCTCCTCATCCATCAACCCCTTGAGCATCCTCCTCACCGCCAACCCCTCATCCCCATACGCCCCATGCTCCAGCACCGCCCGCCTCGCCGCCTTCCCCGCAAACTCGCTTTTGACTCCTCCCGGCTCCAACACCAGCACGCGCACCCCCCACGCGGGATCCAACTCGGTCGCAATCGCTTCCGAGAAGCCCTCGAGCGCGAACTTGCTGGCGTGGTAGGCTGCGTGGGCGGGGAAGGCGACGCGCCCGCCGAGGCTGGTGACGTTGACGATCGTGCCGCCTTGCACAAGCGCCTCCTCTTGCGGACCGTGGCTGGCTGCATCGACAGCGGCCCGCGGGTTCTCGTCGCGCATAATCCGCACAGCCTCGCGTGTCAGGCGCATGGGGCCCCAGAAATTCGTCTCCATAATGTCGCGCATGGCGGATTCGGGGACGGCTTCGGCGATGCCGAAGACGTTGGTGCCGGCGTTGTTGATGAGGATGTCGATGCGGTGGAAGTGGGTGAGCGTCGTGGTTAGTGCGGCGGCGATGGAGGAGGGCGAGGTGACGTCGAGGGCGAGGGTGAGGACTGTGGTGGGGCGGCGGGGGAGGTAGTTGAGGGTGGAGGGGTCGCGGGCCGTGGCGACGAGACGCGCGGAGGGGTGCGTGCTGGCGATGTGCTGCGCGAGGGTGCGGCCGAGGCCCGTGGAGCAGCCTGTTACTGGAGCGGGAGAGTGTTAGGGCTGCTTTGGGGGGGAGGAGGATTTAGGGGAAGGAGGACGTACTGAACCAGACGGGGTTTGGAGACAGCATGTTGAATACGTGTACGAGGGACGTGTCTTGAATATCAGCTTCGTCAGTGAAGCCGATAACCGAAGACTTTATATTCTAGACAACGGCTTTTATATCTTGGTCTCAAGGACCGTACGCGTGGACTTCGGCGCCCGTCTGAATGTTAAATCCGACCTTCGAATGCGGACCACAATCATGGACGGACCTTGCTTGGACGGAATGCCTTCCAGTTTTCATGCCTTCTGTTCTGCTGTAAACCACATCCCCGATGCCATGAGCCAATCAACATCCTCGCTTCCTGGCCTGGTTACCGCTATCGGATTAGCGTAGGCGGTGAGGCAGCGCGGTCGAAGCCGGCCGAAAACATACATACCCAAGCATACCTATCTCCGTACAAGGTCCTTCTATCTCTCTGATTATTATCACCACAAGAAGACATGTTGGAGCCTACATACATAGCTGCTTCTCGGGCAGTCAAGAGTCTCCACCGCATCCCGGTCAAGCAAAACACGCCATATCCGCCCGCTCTTCGGCGCGTTCGCGAAAGCCACCCTTGTCAATATCGTAATTCGACGCCTCCGTGAAGCACCAGGCTCCGGTATGACTCCCACGCCGCGGGCTCCGCGCAGAGGCTGACGGGTACTGCGTCGTCTCTGGCTTTGTCGAGACATTTCTGCGTGAGTACTCTTCCGACGCCGTGACGCTGGCGGGAGGGATCGGTGCAGATGTAGGTGATTTCTATAGGTTTCGTTCTAGCCTGAGGATGTCAGGGAAGAGGGGCGAGAGAAGAGGGCCAGGGTGCCGTACCATAGCCATCGAGATGGTCGAAATGCAGATCTGCCTCTTCGCTGATTCTAAACCCGGCTGCCAGAACTTCGGGCACTGTACCCGGTGGTGCACCGACGTTTCGCTGCCCGGCTTCGCTCTGGCCTTTCAATGTCCCATAATTCGCAGGGCCGACCGCTAATTGCTTCGCTGCGGCATCCGCACGCTTCCGACTAAGCGCTATATAGCCCAATATATTGCCCGTACTCTCGTCAACGGCTTTCCAGCACTCGAAGTCCGGATCCGCGTGGCTAGAGGCCACAGCTTGCGTAGGAACTGGCTTCTACGCAGCGTCGTTGGGCAAATGCTCGAAAAGCAGGCGATTGACGGGGAGGGCAAGCTTGCAGGTGTGCACTAGGGTCGCGAATGTTGGAGGTCGGCATTCTGGACATGGCGAACGGTGCATAGTGAAGAAGGCATAGCGAATGAGAAGTTAAGCGTGTGAGTTGTTCGTGATGATCCTGCTGCAATTGGTCTGAAGGATGCGCTGGCCGTTGGTGCTAGGCGTGGTCGTGGATATTTGGTATCCTCGAGCCGTTCCCTTGATACACGCATATATACCGAGGCACGAATCAGGCGTCAACGCTGCACGCTTGAGAGCCGAACTGGTGAGCATGCGGAGGTGTTTAGGATGACCCACGTAAGGCTCCCTGTGCTTTGGAGTCTAATTTGAGTTTCGAGTAGGCAGTCTTACATTTCCGGTTCACCACGAAACCAATCAAGAGTCAACATTCGAGTGGCACGGTCCTTCGGTGCCCCATTCCTCGGTGTCGTCGAGACTGTCGTTTCCGCCTAGTCTTGGAAGACTGTGCTCGACGGTGCCTTTCGTCAAGAGCTGTGCTGCGTGGCAGGCATGGTCAATGTCTGCTGTCTGCTGGCTGAACTCTGAAGCGGAAGTCTCATCTACCGATCTGCAGAATACATCACGCTAGCATTCTTGAGGTTGGAACGCAAGGTCTCTCAAGATCTTCGGAAATGCCCTTCTGTACTGGCGTCCAGGCAGGAGAGGTCATGGATTACTTCGGTAAAGGCCCGATCAGCGTCCAGACCCTGGCAACTCGACTGGCGCCGTCTCTCCAGGTAGTTCATTCGCACCCGCATAGCCTTCCGCAGGGAGCTCACTGGCTTGGCTAGTCTGCGCGCTTGGGCTATGTTGCGTTTTGGGAGGATGTAGTGCGTACGCTGAGTCATGGCCGGTGTAGCCGGGCAGGCTATTGTGCTTTTCCTCAGAGACTGGCGTCTGGCCTCGTTGAGCGCGAGATCGACGGCGACGGTAGAAGATAAAGCCACCAATGGCAGCGAGGAGGGCAACACCGCCGACCGCGCCCCCAACACCACCGCCAATGGCAGCTGCATTACTGCTGCTCTTTGGTGTAGCATCTGCTGTGCTTGTGCTAGAGGATGTGCTGGTGGCGGCTGCTGCTCCACCGGAAGATGAGCTCACATCTGAGGTTGGCGTGTTCGTTGTGGAGGAGGAGTCGGTGGTGGAAGATGAAGACGAAGGTGTGGCACTAGGGTTGGGATAGGTGCCGGTCTGACCAATGACTGTAAGAGTATATGGTTCTCCAGAGAAAGAAACCACCTGATCCTGCCCGTTTTCTGCACAGGTACAGTCATTGTTGCAGCAATAACGGTCTTGGCCTGTCGTATTGCAGCTGAACATGACATTTCCGCTAGCTTCGCCTACGCTCCGTCAGTATGGTCTGCATGGGAGCATGCCCATCTTACCGTCTAAGCAGAATTTTGGACAAGCACCTGACTGCCAATTCGGATCGGTGCAAGTGCCTCGCGCATATTGCAGGACGCCATCTACCTCACCAGTCATACACTATGATGTATCAGCCACGTGCTCAAGTAAGCTGGCATTTCTACAAACGCCAGATGCGTCATACCAGTCCGTTCGAGAGACAGGCTTGGCCACCAAAGCAGCAAGCAGAATCGGTGGCGCCGGAGTCGCAGGCAACGTCAAGGAACGATTGGGTTCCATCCGGAAACCCTACGACATGTTAGCACTCACGCCTGTGGTGGTTTGAGTATGGATGATGATGACAGGGCCAAATCACGTGCAGTGGGAGCACTGCCACCTCGACCCATCAGCGCAAGAACTCACAGCATGAGGCTGATGCCGAAGCAATAAGAGAGCCGAATGAATAGGCGGTATATTTGACCATCTTCGGGAACAGGAAGGTGCTGTATAGAGGAAGAGGGCAGGAAGTGGGAAGGAAGGAAAGAAGAGATGAGGCGAACGCACCCGCTCGCTCCTAAGGCTGTGTAACGGTGCGATAATCAGGCGCGCTCTTGACTGGAGGTGTGGTGTCGCTGCAGGCGGTGGAGGCCGATGGGTATCCATTTTGGGGAACCCTTCACGACTCTCTGGTATCTGAGTCCGCCTTGTCATTGATGGACAGACTCCACATCAAAACGGAACCACGGAAAGGTTGGCGCGGATAGTTTGATCTTGACTCGAAGCAGGTACGGTCATTGAGACACGGGCCGGAAAACGTTCTGGACTGACAGGGCCTAAGATCCAAACTGATACTTGATAGAACTGGCTTGCCACTGCTTCTGAACGCGGTCTGGCACTATACGTCCGACGGTACATTGCAGCAGGCTCGGCGATGCGTGGCGGGGAACAAGTGCAGAACGCCCACATAGCGATATCGGCTGTTCTCTAGCGACTGAAATTGGCAAAATATTAAGATTCAGAAACAGGCAGATCGCGACAGGGGTCGATCGCCCCAAGCGTCGGGTGCCTGACGGGAAGACTTGCCCAGCGATTGGCTATTGGCGACAACTGCATCGAGTTTATGACCCATTGAAATGTGAAAGCATCAGCCTGACGCATGTGACCACACAGCCACAAGGCCGCTGTTGGACAAGGAGATTCTCTGGGTCCGATCTGGCGGATGGCGGTGGCAGTAAAGTGCAGTCAAGTGCTCAGGCTGCGTTGAAATCGTCATTGATTGGAGTACCGCATCTCCTGGACTCGATGAAGACAAGTTTTGATACATTGAGCTCAAGATAGCATCCGGCGACCTCAGAACGCTGCACGGGTCTCTAGGTTGCTGTAGAGTATGTGCAGATGTGATCATTGGGGAAATATGAAAACCTGCGTACTTCCAACAAAGCCTTGGCGCGAAGTGGAGGAAACATAAGCCTTATTGTTCACCCACAATACGCTCGACAAACGACAAGCTTTCGCTAATTTGCTTGAGGTCAATCTGGACGATCAGAGTCAGTATACTGTAACAGGCTGTAAGACGTAGTGGCCAGAGGAGATGCCGTCGTGGCAGTGCCTGCAACACCAACTACTTTCGCTCGTTGATGTTGCTTCCCAACGTGGCCGCAGAATGTGCTAAGTCATGTCATCACCAATACCTCCCATCCTATCTGGCCTCGAGGTCTGCTTGCCCTCGTTCCAGTCTCGGATTCTCTCATCTGCCTTCCCATCATCAAACCATGCCCTCAAGGCTTCCTTCTCGCTATCTTGTAGCACTACCTCACTCCCAATTTCCCTCAAAACAACATGCCCCACAAGGCTGCCTTGCCGTTTGACGCCGCTCCCGACTTCTTCGCCTTCGTGATCGACCATACCGTGCTCCTTGAGCAGGCGGGAACCGGCAGCGGGCGTCGGGTTCGCCAGGTACGCCTGAAGGAAGGCGAGTTCAGCTCCGTCAAAAACCGGACAGGGGTCATCATGGCGGGTGATGACGTTGTGGGCCAGCGTGTGCGTAGCGAGCATATCGGCTGTGGAAGGGCCGGTCCAAGGTGCGCCGGGGACTGGTGCCATGGTTGATATGCGGATCTCGCACTGTGATGTTGTAGTTGTGTCAGAAGCGAAGTTAAGGGAAGGTGCTTCGATGGACCGGACGACAAAAGCTGGAGCGCAGCAAGGGCACAAGGAAAGGAATCTTCGTATGAGTGTTACGAAAGACAACACCGATGGTAGAAGGTGACGTTGTATCTGTTGGCTAGGCAGCCGAGGTCAGCCTTCGCCATTATTGGCCAGTATACTTGCAGTCCCTGGCAGAGTCCATGTTGCCCCCCGGATGGACGGTACACCGCGCTGCACCCGCTGCACTCCAGCACGTCTTCTGAGCACGTTGGGGACTTCTTTCGGTCGGCACATGATCCCAGAATTGTTCGCATAGCAAATATTCGCGGCTCGTGCCATAGTTGCGGCAGAGTTAGCATTTCTGCACACGTGTAAGCGCGGGGTAGAGGACCGAGTGCAGCCCGTAATAAGTCCACGATTCCGTCACAGGACCTGGCTCCAGGTTGGGCCTACGTGGGGCGAGCGTGGGCAACGATGTTTGCTTTTTCTTCGGGACAGTCAAATATATCGCATGTCGTGAAATGCGACTTTCATGTGCAAGTTTGCTGGTGGCTGTCACCTGGTGGTACCATCGCCCGCTGTTTCACCATTTGATGAGACGCGACGCGATACACGTACTCTCGTATCGACGCTTGGTGATTGCGCTCTGAGACTGTGTCAGATGTCAGCCGCGAATCTGCTCTATACGAGACGACCGTTGAGACCGGAAATATTGGCATCCCCATGCAGTGGTGCTGGCCGACCCAGCGCGTTTGCCAGGGAATCCCAGTTGGTGCGTGGATGGTCCTACAAGTGCAGATCCGAGGACATCCATATTTCCCATTGGCAGCGTTCGGTAAGCTGAAAACTATAGGAATTTTCGCTTGAGCAGCCCAATCGCAACGACGACTGTGCCCTGAGCTTTTGAGTGGATTTATTTATCATGGAGCTGAGAAAGAGGCCTGGCGACCGGATAGGCGGTCGTTTCTCGTTGTTTTTCCCTCAGCTGGGGCGTTCTCTGACAGCTGTCAGGGCCGCCCCCAATTCTCCTTCTTCCGGCGTCTGGCAGCCCATACACAGACCAGCTCGCAGAGCCCGTCAATCCCTGATTATTGCTGCTTTTCTTTTCTTTGTTTCTGCAGATTTTCTGCAAAAGTGGAATGCACTTCTGTGATCGTCATTACTGGCCACCCTCGGCTGTTTGATTAGGGATGCACTGGGCGTTGACTAGCGAGATTCATGCACCGGAATGAGTGCCCAAGGCCCGGCAGTCTGGGTTCGGCGGGGGCTTCTTCCCCATCCGCGTACCGCGCACTGATAGCGACTGTTCCTTGTTGCGCAGTTGCTACTGGCTGGCTCCTTCAACGGTTACTCCTCCGCGTGGCTTAGGCTTCGAGGCCGGTCTGGCTTGGAAGGTTGGATCGACTGGCTTCGCACTTGGTCGGAGCCTAGGGGAATCGCATAGGCCCTCCCACTGGCCAACCGACTCGACGCCCCATCCTCGTCCGAACAAGCGACGACCAGCCTATCACGTACTCTTCCCTTCCACACCATCACCACCATCACCTGCACACTACTGTGCTCTATACACTCTCTTTTCGCATCCCACCTCGTCGCCGCCGGCACCTCCTGCCCTTGCTCGCTGCACTCATCCGAATTCTCTCCTTTGTGCCGTTTGCTGCTCTTTTTCCGGGTCATAATTGCAATTAGGCTCGCTCTTTCCCACGACTGTCGCTCTGTGTCACCTTCCGAACTCATCTCGATTCAAGCGCGTTGCCAACATACACCCACACCACTACTGTCGTTTGCCGTCTATGGCGTGAGCTGTGATCATGCCATCGTCCTCGACTATGAGAGAAGCAAGACGTCTCCGATGGTCATGACGACAATTGAATTGGTATAATTCGCATTACCTGCACCGAACATGGTCTCCGACACGGCGACGAGTAGTCGCGCATCCATCATTTCTCTTGATCCCGCGGTCGCGAGCCAAATCACTGGCACCACCTTCACTGGCGCGACCAGTCACTCTCGAACCGGCTCCAGTCCCTTCAAAGGTCTCAGATCCCCAGAGGCTGCTCCTCCCTCCCGTGGCCATGTTAGAAACAGGTCGGCCCCGCTACAGCAACCTGACAAACATTCTCTCCGTCGCGCCAAAAATAGCACAGAGATTCTCAGGCAGCGTTCGACTCGCTCAAACAAGAAGACACAGAAGCTCGAGCCCATCGCTGATTCAAGAGGAGGTCGAAATTTCACCATTGGCAATGTCGGAACTGGTGGTCTGTTATACCTGAAGCCGTCTCCTCATCAGAATGCCCTCTCCCAGGCCTCTCCTCCCGTCATGGCGCCTCTCACGGCTCCGGCAGATTTGGACCACGAGAAGGAGTATTCCACGTTCCGGCTACCAACTCATGGCGAAAACGTTTCCCCAGCCCTACGCTCCGCTTCGCCCAGGACTGGCGCGTCGACGCTAGGACGGAAACCCACTATTGAGACCGTTAGGTCGAGGCACGGCAGGTCGCAATCATTTTCTACCATCGACGAGCACCAATCAGCGGTGGCAGGCCAGTCCAAAACCTTGAAGATTGTCATTAACCGCCCCGAAACCGCGAAGCCCAAGGCACCTCAGGAGACTGACAGCCATCCGCAATTCACTCTGCCCACCCTTGAGGTCCCCATTCCTCATTACAGGCTTGGCAATCCACGCTTCAGTAACAATGGTACCCCTGCAATACGATCCTCTTCGTACACACGCAGTTCCAATACCCCTTCAGATGTCACGGAAACACCTGGGCAAACGACAACGCGGCACGGCCCAGCAACAGGTCCCCCGCCCTCTAACGTGAGGCTTTTTGCGCGACTCGATGCGACCCAGGGTCGATCAAAAGGACTTAATGAGGATCATCGTCACACGAGCTCTTCTGGTTCCGATGCCACCATTCGCGAACCTATCCATCCTGAAATCTATGATGCTCTGGCTGAGGTCTACGACGACCCCGATGTGGTCCGCTACTCCCATAATGTGAGAGAAATCACAGCTGCAACCCCTGCGCGTCTCATCGCGCAAATCTCATCCGAGTCCTTCATGGACTACGAACTTGTGTCCGACTTTTTCCTCACCTTCAGGTCTTACATGTCGGTTTACAACGTGCTTGACCTGCTCTTGGCGCGCTTACGGTGGGCAATCAACAGGCAGGAGGACGACGGGAGGATTATCAGAGTGCGTACTTTCGCGGCTCTTCGGCACTGGATTCTCAACTACTTTATGGACGACTTCATGCCCGATGTCAAGTTGCGGCAGCGATTCTGTGAAGAAATCAATCGCATGTACGGAGAAGTTGCTGCCCGACGAAACTCTGGGACTAGTGATCTCAAGGTGCTACGAGACTTGAAAAGATGTTGGAATGGCCGATGTTCGATGTACTGGGATCCTGAAGACTTCAATCTCGAAGGTGACCAAGACGAAGATCTCAACCCTGGTGGCTACGAAGAACCTGAGACGGAAAAAACAAAAGTCCTTGACCAACCGCCCCCTTTGCCAAGGAATGTCAGAACTGTGTCGAACTCAAGCTGGTTCAACGTACCACCTGCTGTTGCCACAAAGACTCAACATGGAAAGCAGGACTCGGTGGCTAGTGACCAGAGCCTCCAGGCTAAATCCTGTTCCATACCCAAGGATCTACTCAAGCCTGGGGATCCTTTGCCACCTGACAGAGCTTCACAACCGGTCCCTGTTCAATTACGTCGGCCGAACGCGACTGGAAATCTGGAAGTGAAGACTGCACATCTCGGCCACCGCCGGGGCGCTGCCTCGATCGATAGTGATCGCCAGTCGACACCACGAGAGGAGAAGGATGAAATCTTGCAACCCTTCGACGGAAGCATAATTCGTGGCTCGATCTATGCGCCGTGCGCACCCTTCGTGCAAATTGTCTCCTCGCCTTCAGCACCATCAGTTGCCCGATTTGAGGCGCCGCAAGAACAACAGACCAGGTTAGATCGTCGGGCTAGTCCCAATTCTGCGCATAGCCCAGGTGTCAAGAACATTTTCGGCTCGTTGCGGAAGGCACTTGGTGGCAGGCATAACCACAGCGATGCAAGCTTGATCACGGTCTCTGCACCCATGCCTATGCAAGAAGAGCCACGCATGCAACGAGCTCAATTGCCGCTGAATATGTCTCGATCACACGACGAGCTCCGTGCCAGGGCACAAGCAGCCCAACCAAAAAGGCAGCTACGAGTTGATTTACTCTGTGCCCAAGTCGCGCAAAACTATGAACTGCTATTTCCCCATGCAAAGTACGCGAAGCATCACTCTATCCTACCAACAAATGTTGTACGACCAGCTACCCATCATGAACCCCAGTCTGGGATGAACCCGACGCTTCTCACGCCAGATCTGCGGCGAGACAGGCTACCAAGTCATACCACGGCCCAGAGTGGATCCATCTTGATCATCAACGACACAGGCATGGGCGCGTCGACCATGTCGGGCGCTCTTCCCTCACAGTCTTCTCTACGTGCTGCTTGGGAAGCTCAGGCAGTCACACAACGATACAACGACAAAGACAACGCCGTAGGGCTGGGTATTGCCTCAAAAAGGCCAAACATTGCCGACATATCGCCACAACGCAGCTCAGACGCGTTGGGAGAGGCTAAGCCGGCTATGTCTCCCGAGAGGCCTCATTTTGTAAAAGAGGACGACACTGCATCGCTGGACGAAGTAGCTATAGCTTCATCATCCCCACGCCCCGCGCCTAGGTCTCCTATGTCGAGCACTGATACGACACATGATCGAGGATCGGGCCAGAGCACAGAGCAAAGCCGCGCGGTCACGAGTGTGCAGACACCCGCCTCAAGCACCAACCCAGGGAATGTTGCACCAGCCCACGGCCTCCGACGGCGGCCTGGGGGAGAGCTGCGTAATATTGAGAACGTGAATGACTTGGAACAACACCGTCACCACGATTCGGTAGATACCACCACGACCACTGGCACAAACGCGAGCGGATCCCCAATTCATTCATTCGCGCAGAATCAGCCGCCGGTGCCGAACAAGGGTGTATCTATGATCAACACCCATTCCTCGCAGAACCTCAGACCAAGCTTTGAACACGCTGTAGCAGGGTTCTCGGCGATTCCAGACGATGGCGATGGTGGACTCGAGGCAACACTCTTGAAGCTCGAAGGCAGATACGAAAAGGCATCCCCACCGCTACAGCAGCACCCACTCAATGCGTTGGAGCGGAGACGTTCCATGCCTGAGATGAGCACGCGCAACACCTTTGCGCCCTCGGATGCGGCGGAAGGTCCCGACGTGCCGCGGGGGTATGTCTACCAAGCGAATATGATGCCTCGCGGCAGCCTCGATGACTTTGTTCTTTCAGATAGTGCCCGCCCTCAAGCACAGACCGTCGACAGCGGACGAGGATCAGGCAGATCTTCAATTTTCGGCCTTCCGGTAGGATCTGACGATGGCGAGGACGTGATGTACGATCCAAGTCCACTGCTCAAGCAAGACACCAACTCCGGGTCAGGTCCTAGTCAATCAGCGAGCCGCATGTTTCCTAGCCCACTACATCTCCAACAAGGATTTAACACCGCCACACAGGGCCAGACATATGGCTCTATCGCAGACGCAGACAGACCCCATCTCAGCCCTCGACCCCAGACGGCTGGGGAAAGCGCGCAATCATTCTTGCTGGACGAGGATGAAAACCTGTCTGACTTGTCTTCGGAGATTTCAGTGGATGTCATCAACTATGCGCCGGGCGGGAGATCCATGTCTCCCATGCTGGCCGCACCAGGCACAGCCGTGTCGGGACTCGAGATCCCCTCGCATCCGCTGACCTATGCGTCTGTTGTCAACCTTGCTCCCGCCGAGATGCCAAGGGACTCGTCGTTCATGAGGAATTCGCTGCCGTATGTTCACCTTCCATTACCAAAGACGATGGCGCCTACGGCCCCTCAGTACGGCAATCGTTCTTCTGGTGGTCCGGCACATATACCCTTTGTTTTGGCTGCAGATTCTCAGGTCATTGCACAGCAGATGACACTCATCGAGAAATCAGCTTTGAGCGAGATTGAGTGGTCAGACTTGGTGAACATGAAATGGCACGATTCATCATCCAAGATCTTGGACTGGGCTGAGTATCTCACCAAGAGCGATATCACGGGGGTCGACTTGGTCATCACACGCTTCAACCTGGTATCGCGATGGGTGCGATCGGAGATTGTGCTCACGCAGGACATCGAGGAACGTGCACAGGTTATCACGAAATACATTCATGTGGCAGCCCACGCTCGCCGATTGCACAACTATGCAACTATGGTTCAAATAACTATCGGCCTGACCTCAACTGATACGACACGACTTGTCCAGACATGGGAACGAGTTCCCGCTCCAGACAAGTCGCTACTGAAGAACATGGAACGACTGGTCCAACCGATCCGCAACTTCCATGAATTACGACTGGAAATTGAGCAGGCCGATTTCAGCGACGGCTGCATCCCCTTCATTGGACTTTACGTGCATGACTTGACCTATAATGCTCAGAAGCCTGCGACGATCGCGAGCAAGCGAGGCTCCGAGGCTCTGATCAACTTCGAGAGATACCGCATGTCGGCGGTAATTGTGAAGAACTTGCTGAGGCTCATTGATGCTGGTTCGAGGTACAACTTCGAGCCGGTCAAGGGACTGGTTGAGCGGTGTTTGTGGCTGGCAGCTCTGCCAGAGGACAAGATATATGCGTTGAGCAGGGCATTGGAGGTGCCTTAGGTACAGTGCGGGAAAGGTTTTGTGAAAAGGAGGAAATGGGTGGCTTCACTGACATGTTTTGTGTCTAGCGTTGCAAGCGATGGCGTTTGAGTAATATGCACGGTAGTAATGTTTAGAATAGCTGGCGGCTACGCATCGTACAGGGCAAAGGGTACTGTTGCCGTATGGACCGGAAGGACAAGGGCATACATATATCCTTTGATAAATATGCAACTCATACTTGAACCACCATACCTCAACTCTACAACTGCTGCTGGGTGGACTCTCGAGCTTGACGCGGCGTCGCGGGGGAGGGAAGGGGCGCCAAGCCCCAGTACTGGCGACAACACGTGCTTCAATCCACCACTCTGCCTGACACTGCACTCGCCGCTCTTCTGCACAAAACCACATTATGTCTCGAACATCTCCAAGCTGAGAACCATCTGCTACGATATGCAGCAGAACGTTGTCCTGTTGCCGCACAGTCATGGACCCCACCGAGCCGTACGCTGGGGCCTCAAGTCCCGATGCCACGAGTCCAACGAGCCCCAAGAGCCCAACCAGGCAGCTGCCCGCTGACCTTCCCACATCCCTCGATGACCGGAGAGGCTACAAGGACCCATTTGCGGCTGAGACTGAATACTACGATGGCTGGCAAGGTTAGGGAACACGCTGTGTTCTATGCCACGGCAATGCTAACACCCCGCGTCAGGGTCCTCCCAGTTCATTTCCGCGCCCACGCCCGCGCGGGCCCTCACGTTTGATCTCAAGCTCGACACCCCCGCATACGATGAAGCAGAGACATTTGCGCGAATACAAGATAGCGATACCCGGCTGATGGAGATGGTTGCTGCTCAACAGCGTCAGAGGGAAGATGGTACAGCGGCCGGGGACGAAGATGCCATTGCCCTGGATGAGACACTTAGCCATGAGGACAAGGCCGAAACACTCCAGAAGGCGCTTAATATGGCGGCATCGAATGGCGATGTGACTCGTGTACGGAAGTTGGTCAATGGGCGTGCGAAGACCTTCATTGATGTTAACTTGACGGACGAGGAGGGAACGGTGCCATTGATCTATGCAAGCTGTTTTGGGCACGAGGGCGTTGTCCAAGCCCTGCTGGACGCTGGCGCCAATGTCGACAAGCAGGACCGCAATCAGTGGAGCGCGCTCATGTGGGCTATGACCAACCGCCACAAGGTCATTGCCAAATTGCTCCTAGACCATGGCGCCAATCCCGATATCCGAAGCAGTAGTGGAGGGACAGCCTACGATTTTGTCCAGCCGGGAAGCGACTTCAGTCAGTACCTGGCCGAAAATGGTTATCATTTCGGTGGTGGGGCGGATGCGCTTGGAGAAGGAGACTTTTACCAGGGCGGATGGGACCAGGAGAGGTTGGATGAAGAATATGCTGAAGGTGAGATGAGGCGGAGGGCTTTGATGCAGGAGAGTGCCGCAAATCTCGAAGTCGACCTAAGCACTCTCGGATTTGGGGAGGAACAAGCTCCCGCCGAAGAGTCTGATGAAGAGGAAGAGTTCATATGGGAGAGATGTGTGGGTGATCAGATGTTTGTCTTCCAAACCGACCAGCTGGAAAAGATCTTCGACCTTATCATCACCAACATGACCCCCCAGCGATCACCATCACAAAAGCCTGTGCCGGCAAACCTAATCTTTCTCATGTGTCGCTACGCGCACTATCACATGACATCTGCACTCCTCGATGAAGTGTTGACGAAAGCCATGGACCGCATCAACGACGTTATCGAACGATATCAATGGGACATGACCATGCTTGCTTTCTGGATCTCCAACGAGACCCTTCTTCTTCACTATCTCAAAAAGGATGCCGGCCTCTTCACATCTACAACCCGATATCAAGCCGAACTTGCCGAACTTGTTAACGAAACCTTTATACTAATCATTCGAGATGCGGAGCGTCGCATGAACAAAGTGCTCAACGACGCCGTGCTCGACCACGAAACAATACCCGGCCTTGGCGACGTTGAATACCAAGGCGAGTGGAACGTCTTCAAGTCCAAAGCCAAACAAGTTGACGAGCCCCCTGAGAAGCGGTACCGGCCTCCCTCACCCAAACAGCGTGCCAAACCGTCCCCTCGTAACATTACCTCTCTTCTCTCGTCCACTCTATTCGTCCTAGACCTCTACGATGTGCACTCGGTCATAACGGCCCAAATTCTTGCTCAGCTTCTCTACTGGCTGGGTGCCGAGCTCTTTAACCGAGTGATCGTCCAGCGACGCTATATGTCGCGCATCAAGGCCATGCAAATTCGCATGAATGTGTCGCAACTTGAGGATTGGGCACGAGCGAACAATCGTCAGCCGGAGCATTATGAGAATGGCAGCACCGTGACGACAGGTGAAGACATCATTGCTGCAGCGCGACGTCACCTGAGTCCTATCATCCAACTGCTGCAGTGGTTGCAGTGCTTTACCGGCCTGGGTGAGGACCATCAGAGCTTGGTGGATACGCTTACCCAACTTCAGAGACTTACGCCATTCCAGCTCCTCCATACAGTAAAGAATTATCGCGCGGAAGTTGGCGAGAAAAGTCTATCGAAAGCGCACGTCAAATTCATCAAGCAATTAGAGAAAGGACAGGAGAGCCTGATCCGGCGACCCGTCACGCCTGTTCCGGACAGCGGGAGGGCGACGCCCGTGCCACAGGCCCAACAATCCAAGGAAAATGGCAGTGCTGCGGCACAAGCGAGCAGCCCCGACAAAGATTCCGATGGCAAACTTATGCCGCCAGAAACGCCCTCGATGCAAGCAACCCCGTCAGCACCAGAAACCGCCTCTCCGTCGACGACACTGACAGCGCCTAATTCCACCGGCTCCAGCAGCACACAACCCGATTCGCATCAAACTCATTCTCAAGACGCAGACCTCTCTCCCAAGGCTAAGCCCGGCCAGCTGACCCTGGACCAATCCATGATGCTGCCTTTCAGCCTGCCGACCAGCACGGACATGCTCATCAGCTACGGCGCAGGTATCGGCGGCGCCAACCGTGAGCGCGCCAAGAAATACATCCCGACCGTGCCGGTGGAGGTGCTGGGTGGGTTGGGTTTGGGCGGTCAGGCGGCTACTACTAGCCCGGGCTAGACACGGTGGGGGATTCTAAATATTTCACTGTCGGTGCCGGCGGCAGGATAAGAGGGATGGGAGCTATGTGATGATACGGATTGATGCATCTTTCAATGTGGTGGGGTGAGGATTCCGGCAAGGAGAGATAGTAGTAGCTAGTGGCTAGCGCCTACGGCATGTGCTATATATGTTCCAAAATAAACAAGGGGGTTAGTTACACGTGTGTGTGTGTGTGTGTGTGTGTGTGCCGAAAAGACGAATTTTCCCTGGGTCTGTTGGACTGTCTTTCTAGATATCTCTATCTCTATGCTGGCAATATGATGCGGAAAAGCCAGGGACGGGAAAACCACACATTCATGATATTCTATTGCGCCTCGTGCCGTTAAATTACGCTGTCTTTTATCGTGCTGAAGGCGTGGACGAAACCCATGCATACCATTGTTGCTTTGTTCGCTCTCGCTCGCGGGCTCGCTGCCGACATCTACAGTACGAGCTCTGCGGCCATTTGATCGAGGCTCGGGCTTGGCTTCCAGGCTTCGGTGCATTTTGATTGCTGCAGTGCACGTATTAATGGATTCGATCAGAACTTTCGAGATCTGGGGGCGTGGGATCGGAAACTCTTCGTGTTTCCGTGGGGACTGGCGAGGCTGCGGGCGAGTGGGCGAGTCCATGCCTGGCTCGTAGCCGGAGTCGATGTCGACCTGCTCGATAGTGGTGGTCTGTCGCGCTGCTGGCGCTGCTGTTGCTGCTGTCGATGGTTGTGGGGTGAATTGGCTGCTCACTCGTGTCTGTTGAGCTTTACGGTCGTTGTCACTTTCGACAAGAAGGTCTTGAGAGGTTTTGTCGATGGTCTACAGTTTGCTCTTCCAGGTGTGGCATTTGAGAGGTCGAGGTTGGGGGGACGGGATTGGACTCGTCGTTTGGTGGAGAGGACTTTTGGATGTGGGACGTCTAAAGCTGAGGATGGACCGTTGTAGTGTTCGTGGTGGAGGGTGTTCGTCTTGGGGATGTGGCCTGATGAGCTGTGCCGTGGGGTGGAAGAGAGTGGCGATGGGAAGGGTGGAGTGGCGGTCTCGTTGATGTTGTCGGTGGTGATGCTAGAGATTGAGCTGCTGCTGCTACTTGAGGTGCTGCTGAAAGTACCTGGCATCCATAGCCTGCATGAGGCCTTTTCAAGGAGATAATCCTGGACTTGACGAGGAGACTGGAGATCTTGGGACCAGCCTCTGTGCTCGAGGCACGGCACCGTTGTTTTGAATGGTGAAGTCAAATGAGAGCCTATGATAGAGCTCGACGGGAGTGTAATCGATGAGTCGGAATAGCTGGACGAACGAGAGCGGGAGGATGTGGTCGAAACGGCAGAATTTGGACAGTCGAGCGACATTTCCTCCTGCTGAGACAAACTGGCCAGGTCTCTTTCGATATTCGGCGGAAGCGAAGGCTCCTCGTCAGTCGCAGTCTTTGCACTTTCGTTTTGAGGGTCCATGGTGAGTGTGAGGGTGTGGGTAGGTGACTTCTGCGAGAGACGACAGCTTCGGAATGGAATCCAGCAGCGCCAGGGGTGAGAATAGTCATCAGGGGTAAGCTTTGCGGCCTTCATAGTATCAATATCAGTCAGCATAGTCATTTGTTGCTCCCTGTAGCTAGCAGCCTGTTTTAAATAGTGATAGAAGGCAAGCTGGGCAAGCTGATCAAGGACATCATGGCAAATATCATCAAAGCTTTTTGAAGACCAAAGGACTGTATAAGGAGACATTCATTCAAGGGTCGTGGTGGGCACACAATTTGCCGATAGTATTTGCTCCTTCCCCAGTCCTTTGATCTGGTATATGCGACAGGTAGATCTTGAAAGCTGTCAGCACTGCTGAGCACTATGGTCTTTGTTTCGGGTTCACGAAGCGGCGTAAAAGGACCAGACAACCAGGCTTGGCGTCAAACGAACAATCATTCCTCGCTGTCACATTACTACTACGCTGCCACTCGGTCAGTCACTACACGCAGGCGTTGGGATTCGTTGTTCCATCAAGTTTGTCAGCCAACTGCGCTCTTGAACATCCAACGCTCCCGTTGCCACTGTTGCTCTTGTCCAATCATTTCCGAAGTTCGAATTCAGGAGAAGTCAGCTACCATGTCGGCCGACACTCGCATCACCCGCAGCAAGTCGCTCAGCGCTGAGCCCACAATGACCCGCAAGAAATCCACACGCAATCGGAGAGTCGCCGCGAAGGCTCACGCTGTGCCCGCCAATCCTGAGGCTAATGACGAAACTTTGCGCATTGTCGTACCTGGCGACGACATAGCCAATATCATCAACAACATGGCCAACACCGCCATCAATGGCGTTCATAGCGAGGCAGCTACTCACAAGGCCATCCGTTCCGCACAGAAGCAAGCCATCCAAGCACTTGACAATCTATACGTCAGCATTGACGACCGCGCTGAGATAGCTAGAGGCCACAACAATGGTACTCCCGAAGAGTTGATGGAAGAGGTGACTAAGGCTAGGAAAGAGGCTGAGTCTGTGAAACCTGACTACTGCTTCTGTCGGAAGCCAGAGGATGGTTGGATGGTTGCCTGCGATGCACCCGAATGTCACTACGAATGGTTCCACGAGGCATGTGTCCACGCTCTGATTCAGGAGAAGTACTGGCCTAGACGTCGCATGGAGTGGTATTGTCCCGTTTGCAGGGTGGCTGCGAAGTTTTGAGAGCAACAAGTTCGTTTCAGTTGGCCATCACAATGCTGTGCTGTTCTTCAAGCATATGCAGAACCCTGAGGGAACTTTGTACTGCTACTCGGGTTCTCAGTATCAGCGTGATCTTGGCCTTCTGTCCTTGGGCTCACGCTAGCAAGTAGTTAGAAAGCTAACTTGTCCTTGGGAGGCATTAGATCGTTGTCTTGCAGGAGAAGGCACCCAAGAAGAAGCATAATACCTCTTCTCAACTCCATCTCCCGAGGGCAATGAATGTATGAACTTCTCCGCAGAAACACAATTGGAGACAGGACAATAGTTTGGGCCGAGGGAGTCGGTTGGCTTGATCGCTAACAATGACTTGCTCGGTATCCCTCCGCACGTAGGCAAGGCAGGTTCTGGGTATCTGTGAAAGCCAGCCTCGTGCTACAAACGCAATATACTCATCGGTACAGCCTGTCAGCCTCCGGAATTATGTCACTCCGAGAGCAGCCTAGACTGGTGACAAGGCAGGTCGTTAGACTTGAGCCACTTCTATCAGCCGGACTGTATCAACCAATATCTTCATTGTTTACCGCATCGCTGCATCCAAGGTGACGTTGAACGTGTGACAAACAGGCATTTACTTGAGTCGCGACAACCAAGTTGTCATTCAACATTACTTTGGAGTACAGTTGCATCCATCCGTCGACTATCTGTACCTCACACAATTAATACACGACAAAAATCTGGTACAAGCCAAAATGGCGAACAAGAAGCGCAAAGCCACCAAGCCGCCCGCGAGCAGGCCTGCTTCTCGACCGAAAGTCACTCCCGAGCCAATCCCTGAGCCATCGCACCTGACACACAACCCCTCCGATAAGCAGTCATTAGCTCCAGACCGCCTCTTCCACGCTCAAGTTGACGTCGAGCTAACAGCGGAGCCCATCACCAGCATCATCCACAACATGGCAGCGGACGCGTTGGCGGGCATTGACGCCAAGGCGGCGGCTGCTGCTGCTCCTGGTACCAGCAAGAAAATCCGAAACTTCGACTGGGCTAATCTGGCAAAGCAAGCTATTCTAGATGCCGAAGCCAACGCAAAGCAGGCGGTGCTGGACTTCATCGGACCTTTCGCCAAGCAGGCATGGCAGCAGGGCCGTGCTGCCGATGAAGCTACGCACGGTATTCCGGTCGTCAATGAGAGTGTGTTTGCCGGTGTCGAACGAGGTCTTCAGGTCGATGAGACGGCGTTGTCTAAAAGAGCTATGCGGACACGGTCGTCGGCAGGTCGAGTTGCTGACACGAAGGATGCGTCGAATGCTAAGGGTGCTGCTGCGGACGGTGTGAGTGGTGCTCAGGCCCCAGCTGTCGTCACCAACATTGCTGTCGAAGAAACTGAGGTTCTTTGTTTCTGCCGTCAGCCTGAGCATGGAGAGCGGATGTTTGGTTGTGATGGCGAGAATTGTCCACACGAGTGGTATCACGAGAGCTGTCTGCGACGCGTGCTGAAGGTGAATGACTTCCCCAAGGAGGACAAGAGCTGGCTGTGCCCATGGTGTGGCAAGTATGGAGTCAAACGTAAGACGGTCTGAGACTCAACTGCTTGCGCCATCGTGGCCACATACGAAGCAGTTTTGGGGGTGGAGCAGGGAGTGGGACCCGCTGCATATTGCGACTGCCTCCGCACACATGGTCGTCGCTGTCGTCAGGAGCAGGTGTTGATCCTGGTTTTGTGGGTCGAGGCCGGAGTTTTCTGCGTACGCAGATGGGTATTGCTGAGCCTCATAGGCTGCGGACTTCGAGAAAATATCCGAGAGTCTGACTTGCTCAGAAGGTAAACTATCCAGAGAAATGCAAGCTTCTCAAGGATCACATACACGAGGGATAATTTCGTCGAGTCGTACCAGTCGTAACAGTCGTTGCAGCGCGATGCTGATCTCTCGTTTCGTATCTCCTAAGGTCCATGCCTAGGACGGGACCCTGATTCAGCATGCTTTGCAAAACTTCTGATGAAGGTTCTTGCTCCCAGCCCGACTCTTGGTTCTTCAGATAGTAATGGATTCTGTGGTATGCTTCGAGATATGCTTTGTAGGATTCGGCTGCCAGTGGCTTGGGAAGACCTCGAGAGCTGTTAATGGCGTCAATCTCCTGGCTTATCTTCCGGTAGGCGATCTGCAGCTTGAGCTCCATGGTCGGAAGCTGCACGGAGAGTCGCGTAGCGGCCTTCCCGACGGACACCGTTTTACGAAACGGCATATCCCAGTCACGAACGGGTGCTATCACTACAACTACGGAAGACCAGACATGAGACACTACAGCGAAATCAAGAGGTCACTTTGTGTTGGTCCTTGTAGGTACTCAGACAGCATGAGTACCTCTACAGACCATTAGAGGTACGACAGAAACTTTTGTACCCCCTCGACCATAACTTTGCTAAGATCTAATCATAGGCAGAACTGAGCAGAATTCAGGTATATATCTGCTCTGCAGCCACTGGAGTTGCGATATATTTTGTTCTTGGCAAGTTTGCCCCTGAAGCCTCACAGCCTTATTCGCAATTTGGCTTGCAGCCTTGTGCAACGAGACTTCACTTCTCCAAGCATGTTAACACCATTAATTCAACACAATAGACTAGTCACTGGCAGCTTTGTAGCTGCCGTGCGTGACTTGGACTGTCTCTTTACGCCGGCTCTAGATGCTTATTAAAGAAACATGCAATTACTAGACTCATCTCGCCGCTGTGAAGTACAAGGTTCATAGATTATCTACAATGGCTCTTTGCACCAATCTTCGCGCCTTGAAGCAGCCAGCACTGCCCAACCTCAGTATCAAGCCCAAGAACAAGACTGCCGGCGTTATGCACACCTCTACCAAGCCCGCCGCCCAGCTCTCGTCTCCGGCACTGACACCCTGTTCTCCGCCTCATAGAGCGGCCCCATCATCACTACCCTCACCGCTGCTTTCGCCGGGGACGAATGGAATCCCAATTCCTCGAGCGAGGACACCAAGGTCGCATATAGCAACGACAAGCTCCTCCCTCCCGCGGCAGCCTTCTCCGCGGCATCCACCGCAGCAGCCGATGACACTTTCAGCCCGACCATCAACCAACGATGCTGCTTTTGCGATCAGCTGCCGGAGGGCACGATGATCCTTTGCGACGGCGCCCACTGTAGCTACAAGTGGTTGCATGCGCGCTGTCTGCGATGGAGCAAGCGTGCAATCAAGCGCCAGCGGCAGCGCGAAAAGGATTGGTTCTGCGAGGAGTGTGCCGAGGCAGCTAAGATGAGGCAGGGTGGGTTGGGGAAGATATATCGCCAGAAGATGCAAGCGGAGAGATGGGGGAATGACGAGGGTCTTCTAGATGTGAGAGTCGAGAAGAGGTGTAGGGAGCAGAGGGCGGGTAATGTGTGCGGATGGCTCTTATGCATGCCGAAGTAATCGCGGTGTGGCGCGAGCGGTGTCTGGCAGTCGTTGGCGATAGAAGGTAGTCTTGCGGCCGGTACGATTCGAGAACCAAATCTTCATTAGGTTTGCATCCGGTATTGCTTGACGTATTCGGACAGCGCTGATTCTGGAAACCAGATGGCGTATCTAGCTTACTGGGCCTGAATATCATTCACAAATTGATCTCACTGACCCAGATGAGCATGAGCTACTGCGATATGACAGTAGTAACTCATCTTAATGCAGATTCACTGCCTGCGCCAACTATCTCCTCCACTTTAGATATCAAAAGCAGTATTCCGCCAAGATACGCTAGAACTGAATAGTAACGTCACCAAAGTACAGACGTCGGAAAGCCCTGAGGAAAAAGTTTGGCTTTCCATTGTACTGCTCTTCATAGTCAGCAACAACAAAGCCACAAAGCCACAGAGGCATCGAACCGCAGATCAACAGCAGCGACGATACCACAGCGTCTAAGGCACTGTCGACTACTGCACTGAATCGGTCAGCGAAATTTTTTCCATGGGATTGCCCTTTTGTCGAGTCCACTCGCTACTGATTCCAGATCAAGCCGCGGGAACAAGCTCTAGTTGATGGGTGCAGAAATACGGTATAGCCTGTGATCACCGCCCCCTACTGGCCTCGACATGGTCGTCCCTGTATAAAAGGCTGATTCAAGAAGGCCTGATGCCTCCACTCAGCAAAATGGTCTTGTAGGTGATAGTGCGGCGTTGTTCGATCGCAGTATAGAGTAGCCTGCTATCGTTGGGTCCGAGGAACGATTGATGTTCATCGATGTTCAGGACACCTGTGTCAGCTGCAGCACCTTGCTTCTAAATTCCATGCACAGTCTTGTCGTCATCTGCAGACCTTCCACTCAGCGACATTACTTCACCGGCAGAGGTGTTCGAGGATCATGTCGGCTTCAGTCGAGTTCATCAACCCCAGTCAATACGGTGGACTGTCCTCGAGTTTACTGAGAAAGAAAATCAAACGGCAACATTCGATGTCATTCACGGAAGTGCGATTGCGTGGAACCCTCATACAGAGCAGGATGATTGCATATCTCTATACCAGCGTAACGATAGGTCGGGACTCGGATTGCATGCAGGATCAGGCATTGAAGGAGGAATTGTGGTGAAGAGTTCTACGACATACGGTCTGTCTCCGGGTCAGAAGGGCCTATGAAGGATCATTGAGGATGTCGACCACATACTAGCAGCAGCTGAAAAGCTCGTACTAAATTATGGAAATGCTGCCTTGTACATAGGTCATTTCCAAGTCATATGAGTTCGCTCTGATCCCTGTGCCTCTTGATATCTCCGTGAAGGGGGTCGCTAGCCCATCAATCAAGCCAACCAATTCTCAGATCATCTCCAGCTGATATCAGAGATCATTCCAGAAGATTAAAGCATCCCCGTTTGCCTGCAGTGCGTCACACGAAGGCTCGCGTTTGTTGCCTATCAGGTGGTGGGTGGGTTTCTAGCGTGCTCTGTCGCGGTCTCGAAGCCATAAATTCGGCTGCAAGTTTGCAACACTTCTTTGAACTTACCACCCACACCCGCAACTCGTTCATCAGTCCTGGACTCGGTCTGAGACTCTCTCTTCTTGCATTGTTACACCAGGCTTTGACGACGGTTGTTTGCTTGCCCTTCAATATCCCAAGGTATGTATGATGCCCAAGTTTGCCGCTTCCAACTCTTTTGTCAAGACCCATCAAATGCAAGCTGTTTCGCCTCCCATCGATGCTAGCCCTTCCTTTGGAAGATGCCATAAAGCTACAAGATACTTGACTGGGTCCCTTTGCTTGACGACGAACTGAATGCCTACCCCTGTGACATTTTATTGCTGCAGGTGAGGCTCTGATCACCAGCGCATAGCGTCGCTGCGAAGAGCTGCAAGGCTTTGACGAACCCGAAAGCTCTCTTTCACACTTTACGAGTGAATCGACTTCTGAGATTCGGCCTTTCGACAACTTACCTTTCCCTTCTTCCTCTTTTTTTAATTTCTTTTCACCCATCCGACACTCCTCTTCCAGGCTCCGCTAACAATCTCTCGTTCAGCAACCGCCCTCCCCTCCGTCGCTATGTCCTTCGACACCGCCGACATGGCCTCGGCTTTGCCCCAGGTCACCAACGGGACCAAGGCTGGGGCCAACGGTCCTATCAAGGATCAGCAAGCCTTCGACAAGGCCCGTGAGCAGGGCTGGGTCGCCCCTGAAGCCTACAACTACGATACCTCTGCCAACAAGGTCGCCAACAACATCGCTGACTCGCAGCCTACCCCTGGTGAGCAGTACAACGCTCCCAAGTGGGCTCACGAGGCTGCTAAGTACGAGTGGCGCGACGAGTATGGTGATGTCGGCCCTAAGTTCAAGGAGCTAGAGGACCAGCTGTTCCATGGCCAGCACATCATGCGCAAGGGTGACAACTACGACGAGTAAGTCGACCTTCCAAGAGCACTTCATCAATGACTAACATCGCCAGGCTTACCACCATCAAGGTTGTCGCTGAAGCCACTGAGCGTCCTGCGCCTATCACTGACGTATGTTGGCCGTCCCTATCTCATAAGAGTTGCTGACCGTTCGCAGTTCCACTCCGCCGGCTTGCACCCCGTCATGGTCGAGAACATCGATCTCTGCAACTACGAGAACCCTACTCCTATCCAGGCCTACACTATTCCCGCCATCATGAAGGGCTACGATGTCATTGCCACTGCTCAGACCGGTATGTTAAGAGCAAAAATATTCCTCATTGCGCAAACTGACAACAACCAGGCTCAGGCAAGACCGCGGCCTACCTCATTCCCGCGTTGTCAAAGCTCATGGGTAAGGCCAAGAAGTTGGCTGCGGCTCGTCCTAACCTGGCCAACGGATTCAACTCCGCTACTGATGGCGTCCGTGCTGAGCCTCTGGTCTTGGTGGTTGCTCCCACCCGTGAGCTCTGCTGTCAGATCTTCGATGAGGCCCGTCGCCTCTGCTACCGTTCTATGCTGCGTCCCTGTGTTGCCTACGGTGGTGGTCCCATGCGCGAGCAGATGGAGGAGCTCCGTAAGGGCTGTGACATCTTGATTGCCACCCCCGGTCGCCTCAAGGACTATATGAGTCGTCCTGAGCTTCTCTCGCTCGGTCGCGTTCGGTTCACCATCGTCGACGAGGCTGACGAGCTTCTTCAAGATGACTGGGAGGAGGAGATGAGCGCCATCATGGCTGGTGGGGACACCAACGAGGATGCTGATCACCGCTACATGCTGTTCTCGGCCACCTTCGACAAGACCATGCGCAAGGTCGCCAAGAAGTGGCTCTCTGGTGACCACGTCCGCATTCGCATTGGTCGTTCGGGCTCTACTCACGTCAACGTGAAGCAGAACGTAAGTCATCTTCCCTCCTCTTTGCTACCTCACTGACAGTTCTAGATCATCTGGGTTGAGAACAACGAGAAGCAGAAAGCTCTCTACGACCTTCTCATCTCTATGCCTCCTTCCCGCACCTTGGTCTTCGTGCGCTCGAAGAAGACTGCCGACTTCGTTGACGACTTCCTCTTCAACCAGGGTCTGCCATCCACCTCCATCCACTCGGATCGCACCCAGCGCGAACGCGAGGATGCTCTGCGCTCTTTCCGCTCTGGCAAGTCCCCCATTCTTGTTGCTACCGGTGTCTCGGCCCGTGGCTTGGATATCCGTCATGTTATGCATGTCATCAACTTCGACATGCCTCTCATCGAGCACAAGGGTGAGGACGAGTACATTCACCGCATCGGTAAGTCCCTTCTTCCTCGTTTCTCAATCCCCTCTTCTAACACTCACCGATAGGCCGCACTGCACGCATCGGCAACACCGGTCTCGCGACTTCCTTCTACAACGACCGCGACGAGCCCATGGCGGACTTCCTGGTCAAGATCCTTCTGGAGACCAAGCAGCCGATCCCCGACTTCTTCAAGGACAAGATCCCCGAGGACCTCAAGGTCGAGTTCGACGACGACTCTGCTGGCGAGTCTGAGGATGAGGCTGCCGCTGGTGATGCGCAGGGTGATAATTGGGGTGCTGGCGATGCTGATGGCTGGTAAGCGCCCTCACCACTGACTGTACGCGACCGCCACTCCGGTCTCTGGTCTCTGGTCTCTGGCTAGAATGCAAGTCCACTGAAGCATGGGCTTTGCCAAACGAACGATCTTCCCTCGAAGTAGAGGGTTCGGAGCAAGCAAGCAAGCCTGGCGAATACCGTCATCCGGGTAAGTCATGAGCCATAGCCTTGCTCCCTTTTCACAGGTACCTGGTGTAGATGTCTCAATGAATGAAACGACATCTGCTCGCCTATGGGTCTGAGTCCTTATTCTTTAACGCGGGTTTGACATCCATGCGCGCTTGATCGGCTGGCGTAGCTCCGTAGAGCGGCCCTTCCCCTGCAACCCTCCGATTTCTCGGCTGCTTACCTGTGTACTACTACCAGTATTGGCTTACGATCTTCATCGCCACCAAAAATGTCCGTGGTTACTCACGATCACCCCCTGGCGCATCCCACGTCACCCTCTCGACCGATACCACCCCTTTCCCTGCCACCTCTGACGACTGCTCTCAGACATCGCGTGCCTCTCAAGCAGATCCCATCTCACCCCAAGCCAGCCATGGCTGTGCTATTTCCAGACAGTCCAGACTTGCCTGCGTGCTTGCACCATCCGCGGAAAACAAAATCTCCCTCGGCCTACCTTTCCGCCACCAGCATTCGTCTCCGGCGGCGAATCTCAAGTGGACCAACTACCCCCGACCGGTGTAGCTCAGCTAGGTTCGACCTCGGATATCGATCTCGATCTTATCTCGCGCCTGGTGAGCACAGGAGTCCCGTTCGTCAGAGCTTGTCCAGTAGTAAGTAGTACGAGACCATGCTGCGAAGATGAAAACGGATACGATTGCGGATGCAGGTGAGAGCAGATGAGATGAGGCGTCGGCGACGCGGGCACGAGATAGCGTGGGAATCCGAATGCGGCTTTGACGAAGTTAGTGAGGGGTGGAAGATGAGAGACTTGGGTGTGGTAGTTTTAGGTCGGTTTCATTGCTCTGCAGACGCATTGGAGACCTGCGTCTTCAACTTGGGCTTGGCTATGGTTTTGTTGTTACGACTCGGTCTTCCGGTCGCTGCTAGAGATGACATGAGACGGGGATCGCAGACGGCGCTGGCGATACCCTCATAGCCCGGCTTGCCAGTTAATGATGCCATCCTCCGGAGAGTCTTGCAGAAGATGTGCGTCCTCAGCGTCTCGACACTGTGGACGAGGGCGACTTTGCAAAGGCTGGTGCGCTAAGTTGTTGAGCGTGCGTGTGAAGCGCGGGCTCCTCCTGTTTCGACTGTCGCGTGAGGCCTGTAGAGGCGTGTGTTCTGTTGCTCAAGGTGTAGCCGTCCTCCTCGTCTCACCTGGAGCCCGTACCATGAGCATATTGCCCATCTGCGCCTCGAATATGCATGCACTCCTACCTGGCGCAGCGGCACAGTGTATACGTGGCTGGCAGCAGAGTCCGCCGCTTGACTCCAGGTAGATGAATACAGTGGTGCCTTCTGCTGGTACTAGTAGTTTCAGATCATCGTCTCCCTGTCCGCTTGCACCTTTCAACCTCCCTCGCGTCCTCCCATCCTCCGCCTCAGAATCTTTCGCTCGACCTCACGGAATTTCTCTTTCTCGGCAATCTCCTTGTCAATCTCGGACTCTTTCCTCTCGCGCTCTTCCATCCGTGTTTTGATTTGCTTAATGGCTTCTTCCTGCTCGGCTCTCACTCTGTCCAAGTCCACCTCGCCCCTGTCGTTCAGTACTGTCTTGCGCAGTTCGTCATACTTATGACTCGCAAGCTCAGCAGGTGTGAAAGGAGCGAGGGTGAGAGGATTGACATTAGCTGCTGTGGCAGGCTCGGCGGAGTCGGGTAGGAGGTTAAGTGTCGGCAGAGACGAGTGGACTGGAACCGCGCGAGCAGGGTGGTCTAGCGGGAGGGTTTCGGCGAGAGAGGTCGAATGCTTGCGGCCTTGCGTTGGGGAGACAGGCGCGGCGGCGACGTGAGACGAGTGGCCGGCAACAGGCGAATTTGCCGGATCTTTCGCTGTGGCACTCGACCTGGACTCATCCAATATTTGCGCCATGCTTGCGGTCACAAATGTGAAGTGACTCGCGTTCGATGAGGACAAGTCAGTGTCGCGCCGAAGTTCTACCGAAGCTGCGGTTAAAGTGGCCGTCATACAGCACGTCCGTCAGGTCCTTGACCACATAGCAGCGCCGAATTCACTAATTGATGGATATGCTTGAGAAAGGTATACTGTTTGGATGAATTGTTAACATTGAGAAGGCTAGACTCGAGCACATTGATCGACGTAACAGGCAGGTGCTCCGTGGATTGTGCAGGCCTTGGGCAATAACGACTATGTGTATGAGAGATCCTGCACCGAGAACTGCTGCAGCGCGACAGCATTGTCTACCAACTACGGACAATACCATGATCCAGAATTGTCTACAGCTCCTACCGGGTAGGGTCTCGAAATTCTGGGTTTTGGTCGCAACAAGCAGCCTTGCGGTGGCCAGTGCTATATGGCTCGATGTCCGTCCTCAAGCTCTTCTCATACAGAATTAGCCTCGGTTGAGTGGCGTGGCTGCAACCCTTCATCGATCGTCTACAGTAGTTGGGGGCAGATTCAGCTTACCTGCTGACATGACCGCACCGACTCAGGGGGTAACCTACCGGTAAATTTGCGGAAACGTCGCGTAAGCCGCAAGACCATGATGTTGGTGCTCGTCGTCCTGCTGAATCGATCTATCCGGGTCTCGCCTGAAAGAACTGCATCCGGACAAAGCAGAACACCATGATAAACAAAGTGCTGCCAAGTCGCCAAGGCTGGGTGGGCAAAAGGTGGTAACATCTGTGGCGGTTCCGGGAATTGGACTGCACGCTGCCCGCTGGCTTCCCCATTCTCGCATCGCAAAGCCGGCGCCAGTCTCAGTCCAATACGTCGAACCGACGTGCAGAGACTACTCTGGAGTCATTCTTGGTCAAAGCATTGCGCGTCCTTTTCCAAAAATCCCGCCAGCAATCTCGATTCAAGCCGCCGTCATGCAAGGTGATCAAAGTTTTGCAAGCGCACTATTCCGTACACTCTTCGGCAAGGGCGATTGTCACATTGACCACTGCCCACTTGGACAGACCATAGGCTGGCGCTCGCAGTCCAACCATATCAGAACCGGTCAAAGCTGCCGGGGGCCGATCCCACGAGATACGTCACTAGGTGCTGCAGGAGAATGGGCGCCAAGCCAGAGGGTCGGCTTGTCTCCAGGGTCGAAATCGGCTCGAAGGTGACCGCCTGAAGTCGCTGAAAAGGTGCAGGATGGTTTATGGGCACATAGACATGGCATGAAGTTGAAATAGGCAAACATGCGGGTGTATATACAGTCTTGACGAGTCTGAGGCACGCTAGGTGAGGCGCAGCAGCAAAATGCTGATTGGGCGTGCTCTATACAGGAGGAGCCCCCCCCGACGGCGCCCGGGTGTCGGCACGCAGCTGACAGGGATGTGACAGCGCTGAGGGTTACGCTAAACACCCTGTAGACACGATCTCTAGGCGACCTCCACTCGACGTCAGGGTCCATCTCGTCGGTTTCCTCTTGATGAACCTTCCACCCCCTTTGCGTCCCATGGTGCCTCCAATGCACTTTTGTGCTCCGTACCACGAGGCTGACCCGCCCACGAGGGTACACGTAAGGCAAAGTCTTGGAAGAATGCAGGGTACCACGCTTTGACCTCCCCCATTAGGACACCGGAGGGTCGCCGGTGGCCGGAGTGGGTGTCTGAGGCTGCCACAAGGCGCCTTTCGCCTTTCGGCTTTGGTCAACGTCCGAAATAGCATCAACCCATGACCTAAGAATTCCCAAACGGTTAAATGCCACAGGCGATCTCAAGGCCATGTTGCAGTGCCGGAGTGAACCCTGTCAAGTAGGTTTGTGACCTCTAGAGGCGTCTCTGCCATCTCTGACCAGCATCCTGCTCCTGGACCTTTGCGCGCTACTGAGATCCAATGCTGCAGCCACCACCGGCTAGTCTGGAGGGACGCGCAATGCTCTGCTCGTCCTTAGCGAGCTACTGGCCTATACTGTGCTTTCCATAGAGGTTCGCGCGAAAGGACAGGGTATGATGGCTAAATGGGTTCAACCACCTGGTGCACGCATAGGTGTAAGATCGGCGTTCGCTTCTGGCCATCCAGTCGCCGATATCGTTTGCTCCTCCTACAGAACACAAATGCACTTCCTTTCCCTTAAGCTGATTTTTCTGCATCCTCGGGGCCCATACGAAGCCAATTAATCATCTCAAATGACGCCACTTTGCTGCACCTAAACTCTCGTCCCTCGTATCGAATCGTGAAATTCCGCTCGACCTATACTCCTCTGCCGGCACCCGTCCGCTTGTCCCTGCTTCTACACATGCAAGCAGATCGACCCTGAATCTTCCCAAGCCTTCCAAGAACGCAAAGCCTTGTGAATCAACGGCCGTGGTCTCGACTTTTCTCCTCGTTGCATCGCTCCGTGTCGCCAACCCTTGCACAAGGCAGTCTCGTTTCTTGACTGCATTCGCGCGGGGTATCCGCTCAGCTCATATCGCTCTAAAAGTCAAGAAACTTCCAAAGATCGTTGCCAGTACTGTTTCGGCCGTCAGCACAACAACTCACATAACCTAGACCATCGCATCTGCTTCCGCCCGTTTCCCGCTTCACTGCCGACTTCCGGAATCCATGACAGCTCTCGCTCATTCTCGTTGCGGAATCTGCCTACCCTAGTCGCTTTAGGCATCATTTCCACATGGCTGAAAAAGGCAGCGCCTCTCCATCCTCTTCTGGTCCATCTCCGGAAGAGGATCGGGATCAAGATCAGGATGTCTCTTCTCCGGAGCCTTCAGACCAATTGTCGCAGCATAAGGCCTCAACCGCCGCTGACAGCCATGGGAAACCGTCCGTTCCGATGCAGAAGCGACGTCGCGTGACTCGAGCATGTGACGAGTGTCGGCGCAAGAAGATCAAGTGTGATGGCAAACAGCCATGTACACACTGCACCGTCTACAGCTATGGTTCGTAGACTCTTCATTTGCTCTCCTTGATGTTCGTGGCTGACTTTCTTTACTAGATTGTACATATGATCAGCCATCCAACAGGCGGCGCAACCCGGCACCTCAGTACATCGAGGCCCTCGAGCAGCGATTACAGAAATCAGAGGCGATCCTGCAATCGGTACTACCCGGAATCGACCTCGATGACCCCAAATTCGATGCTCGGGGTGTCGACCAGATCGTGGAATCGACTCGCGCGCGATTACATGCTAGGCAACCATCCGCGGCGAAGCCTCAAGATGATGATGGCGAGATTCAGCCTATGGTCGAACAGATAGGTCTACTCGATCTTGATGATCAGGGTCATTGGGATTTTCATGGGTAAGTTCCTCGACCCTTGTCCGTTTGAAAGGCCCATGTGCCTTCAGACGTACACTTTCGCTCCGTCTTCTCTTGGAGCATTCACTAACAATGACTTAGGAATTCTTCCGGCTATGCCTTCATGCGTAAATTCAGATCACAATTTGGCGAACAGTTCCTGCCGATAGCGAATCCTCGGGTCACATCCAAAGCCCGCAACATAGCGCAACTGCTCGAATCCCCGAAATCTGCTCAGTCTTCGCCCTATGAGAGCACTCTCCCAATTAATGTCGATCTCCCCACTAAAGAAGCCGCTATCGAGCTATGTCGCAATACACTGGACGACTGCTGCGCTTTGATGCGACCTGTACGTTGTTGAACTCCTCAAACGCCCATTTGGTAGAAGCTAGGCGGCATCTGTGTCCCTGTTCTCTCGTTGTCTTGCGTCAAAATACTAATTGAGGCATCATAGTTACATCGACCAACTTTCTTCCGCCGTCTCCACTCGATATACGAAACCGAGCCCGAGCAGTACAGCAACGAGCAAATGAAATTCCTGCCGCTTCTTTATATCGTAATTGCAGTTGGCTTCTTATTCTCGGAGACAGACACTGCCAACAGTATGCTCGAAATCAAAGGATATGGCGAAGCGATTGAGCAAGGATACCGCTATCTGGATGCCTCGAAGCAAATGCTTGACATTACGGACTGCCGCGATCTTATCACGATCCAAACAATTTTCTTCATGATTCTGTTCCTCCAGAGTTCCGCTAAGCTCGCGACCTGTTACGCATACATTGGAATCGCCCTAAGAGCATGTTGCAGGCTGGGTCTACACAGAGCCATTCCGAACAACAAGTTCAATGCCATTGAGCTCGAAGAAAGAAAGCGAATATTCTGGCTGGTGCGCAAGATCGACACGTATGTTGGAGGCATGTTAGGTTTGCCACAGATGTTAAGTGATGAAGACATTGATCAAGAGCTGCCTGCCGAAGTCCACGACGAATGCATTACAGAAGGAGGAATCCAACCAATTCCCCCAAAGAGCATCCCACTTATGAGAGCGACGAATTCACATACGAAGCTCACATTCATCTATCGAAAAGTGGTACGTTATGTTTACCCCATACAAAAGTCGGCCAGCTCGTCTCTCAATGGCAGCTACACCATCAGCCATGCCAGGATAAGAGAGCTCGAGCGCGACCTACAGCTATGGATGGACGAGCTACCTGTGGAGCTGCGGCCTTCAGATAACGCTCCGATCGAACTTTCTCGCGTCCAGCAGCTTTTACGAATGTCCTACGCCCATGTTCAGATGATGATGTATCGGCCTTTCATCCACTATGTATCCCAGGCTTGTCAAAACGGGGTCCAGAAAACCGATAAACGAAGCTTTGCGTGCGCCGCGGCGTGCGTCAGCGTTGCACGCAATATTGTCCACATTACGACTGAGATGAAGAGAAGGGGTCTATTGGTAGGAGCGTATTGGTTTGTCATGTACACTACTTTCTTTGCGATCATTTCTCTGGTTTACTTTGTCCTTGAGAATCCAAACAGTCCGACCGGGGCGGATATCCTCAAGGATGCGTTGGAAGGTCGTGAGACATTGGCGAGCCTGGCGCAGCGTAGCATGGCGGCTGATCGATGTTCAGAATCGCTTGCGGTAAGTCTGCTATGCTTTTTTATGTTTTGAAGGCCTCTTGTGGTACCCGACTCCATCACTGTGGCCTTGCAGCTCCCAAAATCTCTCCGAGCAATGACTGATCTCCCTCCCTGGCAGAGCCTATTCAATGAACTTCCCGAAAAGCTCAAGGAACGACGCAATTCCAGCAATCCGCCATCAACCAGCCGCAAACGAGGCGCACCCGCCTCCGAAAGCGGCCTCAATAACACACCCAGCCGCGAGAATACCATGACACCTAACCGTGCGCGCACCCTCCCGCACGACTACCTAGCCAAGGTTGCACAGCGCAATTCCATGGCTGACCCTAGCGAAGGAATCAGCTCTATCTCCAACCCGCACCTCATCAATCTTAATTCTCCTGTCGCCTCTTCGCCCATGTCCGCACAACCATTCGATTATCCTACCCAGCCGCTCGGACAGACTCAGATTCCCGACCTTAAGAACGTTATGTTTCCTTCCGACAATCCCTTCGCCTATCCCAATCAGCCAATCTCCACTCTTGAGAGCGCTGATGCACGCTACAACAGCTTTCCCACAGACACTACATCGTCGGCAATGGACTCACCGTTTGCGGGGTCGAATGAGAACAGTACGAGCATGTTAGGCACGCCCGTCAGCATTCCATCTCAACCACATTTGCCAATGACCTCGAATCCAGAGCAACAGCGCAGAGCCGGCCCCGGGCATCCGCAACAGTTGGATATGACAACACTGCAGCGGCTATACGAGGAAAATCCGCAACTCGCAGCGCACCTGGCGCAGCAACAGAGGCAATTCGCGGGGCAGGGTATACCTCAGGGTTTTATGCAGGAGCAGCAGGCTGGTGGCGGTCATCAACAGCAGCCAACGCAGCAAATGTTTGGGATGCAGGGAGCAGCCGGCATGCCAGAGGACTACTGGACTCAAATGGGCAAGGCCGGCGTCCCAACCAGGACGGGATTTACGCCAGGTGGCACTGTCAACCTGGATGAATTGTTTGGTGGAGGAGACGGCTGGGGCCCCGGTGGCATGTGGGAGGCTCAGGGCTTTCCTAGGCAGTGAATAAGGGCAACTAGCCGAGTTCTGATGATGTTGGACCAAGGGGTTGATCTCCAGTTTTAAAGCAAAAGGACGGGTAGGGAAAACGGAATCGGCGCTGAGGGGTTTGCGACTTACTAGAAGGGTATGACATGATCAACAGCATCAAAGAAGACCTGGACTGGGAATGGGCAGCACAAAAGGTAATGGCAGACGGCTGGGGGAGGGATGAACTTGATGAATGACTTACGATACCCTTAAAGCTGGAAGGTGGAAGAGGGCGTCGGTGGGCGAGGAACACGAGGCTCTGAGTAGCTGGTGTAGTTTCACTGGCACATTTCACGTTGCTTGTCGGCATTGTTCCACTGCGCGTCTAACCTTGCTTGATGCTCAACTGCTGCCGACCTTTATTCACATTTTCGCAATGCTTGGGATGCAACGCTAGAGAGAAACACACGCTGTCTGGTTCAAGGAGTCAGCCGCGCCGAATTATAACTGCAGCTACAATGACTTGACTTGTCGATAGAGCGGAACCCGCTACTGCTCGCATTTGCAGTTCTAGTGCTTGACGCGCATCTTCAAGTGGAGCTCAACGAGACCTGTACAATTCATTCAACAGCCTGAAGAGCACCCCGTAGTGTCCGCGCATACCACCATCCTTGTGAGGAGACTCGGACACCACGAACCGACGGCAAAGAGCAATCGACAGCAAAAGCGCAGTCTCCAAGCACCTTTGAAGGATACTCAGAAGACTACATGCCCTCGAAAACCATCAAGACAAGGCTTATGTCGATTCTACCAGGTTTCGTTGGTGCCGCGGTCTTGGGACTGCGGGAAGGCGCTGAAACATCAGAGGCACGTCATATGCAATAGTAGCATTTGTAACGGCCGGGCGCTTCGACGTCCCTCTTAGTCCCCTTATACCGCTCTCTGGCACTTGTAGACCTCTGACTGTCGATGCCGTGAATCCTACAGTAGCTGCTGAATATCTGCAAACACATTTTACGCCGAGCTTGCAGCCCATGCCGCCCGAGAATACACCCATTGTACAGTCTCCCTTTCGCTAAGTTCCGAATTCGGCTCCGATCTGACACTTGCTCTGTAATAGGACACACGACCTTCCACGCCTCCCACGCACACTACGACCTCAGATGCGAACCCTTCACTCTCGTCTCATCCCTACCTGCAACAACTCGAGGAAGCTATTTCCACCCCGGTCCCTGACCTTGCTTCCACCTTGACCACACCTGAAACTCGTCACTCCACCACCACAGCCGAGCACTCATGGCCCGATCGACCGAACCAGCACCCTCCCGGTGACGAGCCCGCACAGACACAAACCACAACGCGTGAACTGGGCCTGACTGCGTCGCTGGACAGGATGCAGTCGGAGCTCGACCGATGGCAGGCCGAGCGCAACCGATTAAGGACTTTCTTACACAACCAGCAGAACAGGCAGAGCATCCTAGAGCGCCAGAATACTCGGTTACGAGAAGAACATTCGCGATTGCTAGAAGAGCACTCTAGACTGTCGTCTCGCGACCCTAGCGAGCCAGCGAGCCGAATATCAGACCAAATTCTATCGTTAGATCAAGAAGAAAGCACACTCTCAAACCTCGCCAGCGCAATCGCTGAGGTCGGCCGCGATAGTTATGCTACGAGAGGCTCGACGCCAGACAGACAGCGACTATATGACTGGGCAGGGTCACAGGATGGGTCAGGAAGCAGGAGGAACCATGGCGACAGCCACAACGAGCCTCCGTCGGAGACCAGAGACTTAGGTCGTGCGCGGCATAGAGAGCTTGAGCGTGCCTTACGCAACTATCGGATAGCGCGCAACGCACTGAGATCTGATCGAATACCTGGTTCCGACCTTGGGACTGTACCCACAGCGAGCGCATTGCGCGCGTACTGGTCAGAGGAGTCGAACGACGAACCACAGTCCTCATCATCTCATAGAGCGCCCTTCGCCTTGAGCCAATTTGTCGAAAACCACCGTCGAGAACGCCTGCGAAGTCAGGCCCAGCAGGCCGACTACCAGGCGCTGACGGCAGCGCAGCCCGCCCAGCCCACAGCACATCAATCTAACATCTCCGATTCTAATGCTCTCAAAGAACGAATACGAAACACCATCCACTATCTCTCCAAATTACGAACGGCTCCTCCTGAAGGTGGTCTCGAGCTTGCCCGTTTCCTCGATCTTGATGTGCTTTACCAATGTGAAGACTCCAACATACCCAATGACTTACCTCTGCTCGTTGACAGCCTGCCACAACCACAGCCCAGCTCTTGGCTAACGCCTGGCATGACCTGGCATGGGCTGCAGTCCACCGACCGCGAGCACAGTAGACCGACCCTACTGTCCTCGACGCTCCGCAGGATTAGACAGCGCGACTACATCGGCCGTGCCATGACGCGACGAGGGATCACTGATGCGCAGACCAGCGCTGCTGCAATGCTGACCTCCGCCGAAGCTGGCCTCGACCTCGACAGCGACCGCTACCTGTCTTCCCTCATGCGCGATACCGAGGGCCGATGGGGCTTCAATTCCTCACGAGACCACGCCGAACTACCCAGCTCGGCGGCCGATGGCGGCCTCGTCCGCGTCTCCCCGCATTCAAACCCTTCCAGCGAAACAAGCGGCGACCACTGGCCCGTAACAGTCACGCTGCACAGTGTCGACTACGACACAATGCAGGTGACAGGCACCATGCGCGCCAGCCAGATCCCCGACCACCGCGGGCCCACAACCAGCTCCGACAGCAAAGGCCGCAGTATGGAATCCTTCTTCCACGGTGAAATCATCGACTTCCGGCACCACTCGCTCGAAACCGAGAGCTCGAGTGGGCAGCAGGGCTACAAGGTCGGCGGCGTGGACGTCGACGCGCGCTACTGGGCGCGTCTAGGCCCTTTCCGGCAAGCGATCGCGAAGCAGGCTGCGGCGCATGCCGGCTGGGAGCGTGGGAGTGCGGGCTGGGAGGAGAAGCTGAAGACGGGAGACGCAAAGTACTGGGAGCTGCTGAGGGCGGCGGAACGTGAGGGCAGGGAGGTGGAGCGCGAGAGGATCATGATGGGGTGTGTGGGTAGTGCGAGGTGGTTGAGGGAGAAGATGGGCGAGAGGGGCGAGTGGGTACTCATGCGGTGGAAGGGTATGTGGTCCTGTTTCTTTTGTTTCCTCTGCTCTCCTTCTTCGTCTCGCCTAATCCTGCCATGCCAACCAACGTTCCCGCCAATCGACTGACTGACCGAGCCATCACAGAGAAGTGCTTCGTCGACCCAATCCTCAAGTCCCAGCCGTCGTCCTCCTCGGACAATGGCGCCCCCACGGCTGGCACAACAAATGGTGCCGGTGGCACCCCCAGAGCAGCAAACAACGAATCGCCTGCAACCCACCAACACTGGGGCCTCACGATCTCGGGCTTCTACTACGTGGCGCTGAACCGCTTGACGGGCCAGATCGATGGTCTGTACTACGACCCCGGAAGCCAGCCGTATCAGAGCTTGCGCATGATGCCGGAGGGGATGCCGATGGTCAAGCCCGGAGTGGAGGGCGAGGCGGAGGCTGGAGTGGCGGGAGTGGCGGATGTAAGGAAGGGAGGACCCGTGGGTGGCGCCTGTGGTGGGAGGGGTGCCGAGGGTGAGAGTGGGAGTCAGAGGGAGGTGCTCGGGCGCAGGCAACAGGAAAATATGAGAGATAGGGAGAGGGAGAGGGAGAAGGATAGGGTAGTGGCGGTCAGGAAGTGGTTTCCTGCCGTGGAGTTTCGGTGAAGATGGAGACCCGGTGGGCTCTGGAGTGCGTACAGCATACGGCATATGGGCTTTCACGCATGCTTGGCATAGTTCGATGGCGTTGTCCGGGTATGGTGTGGCATGCTTGCATGGTTGGGTCAACCCGAGGGCGGCCGTGAGGTGCGGCGCGGGTACGATTCAGGACGCAGGACATTGCAGGGTTGGTATGGAATAGCGACATCACATACCCATTGACATGCTTTATTCGCTGTACCGCAGTAAGCTATCCCGTGCTTTGCTACGCTGTTATGCTACGCCTCGCCATGATCTGCTGCTGATCCGGCACCCACGAACGGTGCAGTAATGCGGACGTTCTTTCCTGAGAATGCACGCAGAGATGTCCTGTTCCATGACAACGCCCAAAGGACAGCTTCAGGAGCTTGCAGGCCGCTTGAAAGGATCAGGGACGCTTCCCCTTTCGTACAAGCAGGGTTGTTGGAGGAGAGGAAAGGCGAGCAAGAAATGCTGCAGAGCATGATTACTTGGTAAATTTCTTCACATCAGGTTACCCCATCTAAGAAGCGTATGTCAGAGAGAGAGATTTCTCGAGAGGCACGAGCACGAGTACTGTGCCTTCCCAACAGAGCAGTTCTTGAGTGCTGCATTGGGAAGGTCTCCGAAAAGGCATGGTGCCCTCCATATTAACATGCTCTTGAGTAATAGGGGTGTAGGAACCGGTGCACCTAATCAGCATATTCTCGAGTGACGAGTAATGGGGCTGTAGGATCTGATGGCCTCCCTATTAGCATATTATTGAGTAATGGGAGTGTAAGATCCGTGTCAACATATGCTTAGGGCACTAGCATGGCCGCTGAAAGGGCTGGTACGCCCGACGTTAGTATTCGCTTGACCTGTACGCACTCATCAGGTCGAGTATCGGAATCAGGGTGCCCTTCGGACGAGCACATGGGCCGTAACAAGTCGAGGGTATGCTGACTCCAGCGGCCTTGTGGACGACACGTGGCCACGGAGAGAAGGCTGATCGAGCGCGTGAACTTTGGTTCACCTCGAGATAATCTGCAGGCGAACTTAGATGCTCTTCAGCCAAGCATGAGATCATGAAGCAGAGCCAAGAGGCGTGAGCCTGTCTGAAGATCGAGGTTTCTCGTTCTTCCCGCAGGAAAGTATGGGCAAGTTGACACGATCGAGTGTTAGGGTCTTGAGGCAGGCTGGGCAGATGAATATCTGACCAGTCGCTAGGGATGGCGAAAATGGACTGGTGGCTTCGTAGCAACGGAGGCATGCCCAGCGCAGTGACAAGATCGAGTCGGCGTTGATGATGAATACGGGAGTAGGGGAAAGCACGTCGCCTTGGCGCTGAGCATATCGTGACGCGTTGTTATGCCACTACGGTGGCCCGCTGCGCCTCTGGGTGATATGGGAGACTGTAGCGTCGTGGCCAGCCTAAGTACCTATTGGGATGGGGCTCGGCCATAGCAGTAGGTAGTTAAACAATAGACAATCTAGACCTATGTTTGCTGACTTATCTGGCTCCCGTACCACGCATGGTGCCCTCCCTATGAGCATATGCTTGAGTAATGATGGTGTATGATCAGTAGCACTCACGTGCGGGTGGCAAGGCCGAAACAATCTCGGACAGGACGAGCGGCAAAAACGACAGTTTGACACCCCCTCCCGGCGGGATTCTTGGATTGAAACCCAAGGAAGTTGGCACTTGGCAGTTTTTTGCCATGGCCACCTGTTCCGCCCCTGAACTTGAGGAAGGGCCATGGCGCGTGCCCAGCATGACAACGAGGGCTCACCAGAATGTGGCATAAGAGACGATACAAAGACCACCATCGCCGATCGTGCTCATTCTCGGATGGTGCATGACTTGAGTCAATCATTACCGGCACGGTTTCGCTCGGGTGGCTGAGCTACCGTATTATGCATTAGCCCCGCGCTGCATGAAGCATAGAGGCCGTGGTAGCTTCCAACAAAGCTGACTTCCAGCATTCATTGTTAATGGCCTGCTCGCTATGGTATATTGTTCAGTATCTCTACGAGTGACATCTGCATATCGTGTATAGTAAAAAGAACGAACAGGTAGGTCTACGGCAAGTGGCGTTTGGATGACCTGAACAGGCCTTTGGATGGGACAGAAAATGCACTCCGCGAATAACCCATCGATAGAGCTCGCAAAGTCTACTGCTCCCAAGAAATAAACTTTGGAACAGGCTTTGTTGCAAGTCGTGCTCGTTTGGCCGAGGCAGGGTGACATGATCTATCGGACCAGGGACGAGGAATAAATCCGACCGTGTGCCGTGAGGGGTTGCGCCGCATTATTCAGATAGGAGGATTTTCGGGTAAAGCACGACGGACGACCGTGACTGGTCGAAACAGGGCAAAAGGAGAGTCTCATCTCATTATGCTCACCGGTGGCAATGCACAGCCCCGGGTGCCCTCCACGCCAATCTTTCGAGTGCCAATCCACACCAGTCGTGCCAAACGTTTCCGCGCTTGGAACGCCTAGGATTCCCGCGCTGGCGCCCAGGGTGGTGCCCAGAGTCCGCTCTTGTCAGCGTGGATTGGAGTACGGGTTGAATCAGCTGAAACGTCAGCAATGTACGAGATTGTGTCCTGTGCAGATGCCCAGTGACACAACACATACAACTTACATCTTTGCTGCCGGCTTTACCACCAATCTATCCAATTTAATTCTCTCAACCATGGCATGCGAGAGCGCGGAAGATGGCGTAAAAGTTGCGAGACGGGGAGGTCGCCCAAAGCGAAAAGCCCCCTTGGGCCCCGCAGTCCAAAGACGAGTCGTGCCCAGCATTTTTAGCGTCTCGGCGACTATCTTGGCAGCCACTCAATTGGCGGTCAAAGTGGAGCCTGGCACCTGGCACCCGCAAGAGCCACGGGCGAAATCAGGATGCTTGATTGAAGGGAAGCGATGGGCGGCGTGGCTGCGTGGTGTGGGTAATGCACTGTGTCGCCCGCCTGCCTTCGCCTTTCTCTTCAAAAGTGTCTCCGGTGCCCCCCCTCGCCCCCAGGCCAACCTGCCTTCCAAACCCTCCTTCACTCTCGCCCATTTTCTGACTCTCCAAAATTTTCGACTTTCTTCTCTTACGACAATACCGCTCTCGTAAGCATCCATCATCGCCACGAGTGTGCGCCTGTCGTAATTCATCTCGTGCGTGGCTTCTGTCATCTCTCTCGTCTCTGAGCTTGATTGAAGTATTGTCGTCGCTTGGCATATATCTCGTCTCGGCGCGCCAAGGCATCGACCTTCTTACGAATCTCAACTACCATGTCTGAACAACCTACCCAGAGCCCGCAGGTCGAACCGCCTGCGGCTCCTCAAGAGACTGTCCCAGCGCAGCAAGGCCAGCTTGCACAGCCTCTTGCTCAACAACCTTCCTCCGTCTCCTCCGCTGGCGAGAACCTCCAGTGCCAGTGGCAGGGATGCGGCGAACGATGCCCGACTGCTGAGGCTCTCTATGTAAGTCCTATTGTCACTCTCATTCGTGTCGCGTCGCCTAACCCGTCGTCCAGGAGCACGTGTGCGAGCGCCACGTTGGCCGCAAGTCCACTAACAACCTCAACCTGACCTGCGCCTGGGGCCAGTGCCGCACCACCACCGTCAAGCGCGACCACATCACGTCGCACATTCGTGTTCACGTGCCACTCAAGCCTCACAAGTGCGAGTTCTGCGGCAAGGCCTTCAAGCGCCCCCAGGATCTCAAGAAACATGTCAAGACCCACGCCGACGACAGTGTTATCATGCGCTCTCCTGAGCCCAATGGCGGTGCTCGCCAGCCCCAGGGCATGCCCCAAGGTGGGAATCAGAACCACTCATACTATGGTCATTATCTGACTGGTCAAGTCCCCCAAACTTACTATGCCCCTGCATTGCCCCCACAGGACTATGCTGGCCAGCATCACGGAAACCCATACTATCAGACCCATCCCCAGGTTCAGGTGCGTTCCTCTCCCGAGGCTTTCTTCGACGATCCCCGTCCGAGGGGCCTTACTTACTCCGATGGTGCCTACGATGATCTCGCGCTAATCACTTCCTTGCAGACAGGCCAGCACCCAGGCTACGGCCCAGTGACATACTACAATGCTCCTGCTCCCCAAGCTACCTATGACTACGAGACCCGCAAGCGTGGCTATGATGCGCTTGATGCCTTCTTCGGTCAAGTCAAGCGCCGCGAGTTCGACCCCATGCAGTACCAAGCCGTCAGCCGAAGACTCTTTGAGCTCCAGGGTCTTCAGCTTCCTCAGATCATCCCATCTACTCTCGGTGTCCCAGCCTACCAACCTGTCTCTGTTGGTGGCGGCTCCTACGAGTCTAATGATCCCATTCAAGCCTACAGTCTCCCACCTATGGGCAACGCAAAGACTCGCGGTGATCTGACCTCCATCGACCAAATCCTCGAGCAGATGCAAGCCACCATTTATGAGAACGACACGCACCAGACCGGCTACGTCTCCTACCGCACCAGCAGCAACAGCCCCCCTTCTGCTCAGATGCCCTCTGCCTCATCCAACAGCCCGACTCAGCTTCTTCAGCACCAGCACCAGAGCAGTGTCAGCACCGCCAGCAACGCCGAGACCGCTTCCACTCCAGGTCTCACTCCTCCATCTTCCGCCCAGAGCTACACATCAGGCCAGAGCCCTGTCCAAGGCCACTCCGCCCCCAATGGCAACGCCATGTACCCAAGCCTACCTGCCTCCAGCAGCGATATGGCCTACGCCGCCGCCAACGCCGCCACTCTCGGCGGTATGTACGATGATGAGTCTCGCCGGTATCGCGGCGGCATGCTCCAGCGCGCTGCGCCAGCCAAGAAGGACGGCGACGAGATGGAGACCGCATCAGATGGCTCCGTCACCCCTCCTGCATCTGCCATCAATCGGGCGGCTAAGGGCAAGGACAAGGCGGACCTCAAGGATAGCGTTATTGACCCTGCTCTGTCGTCAGCCGCTGATGCCAGCACGCCCAGATCCGATGTCACCAAGGAAGAAGACCGCGAGACCGCATGGGTGCAGAACATGCGCCTCATTGAGTGGATGCGTGATATCATCAAGAAACGCCTCGAACGTGGCGAATACGATGAGGACAACGCTGACGCCTCCTCCGCCAAGAAGGAAGGCGAGTCTGCGGATGCCGAGATGACTGGCACTGATGAGAAGAGCGAGAAGACCGATCAGGAGCAGCTCTACCCCGTGCTGCGGCATGTTGAGGAGACGGCCTAGGCTGCTCCTCAAACACGGGCTGACAACCCGTCTGCACAAATTTGATGATGACTGAGGAGTTCTCATGGCCACGGCGTTTGATTATTTGCATGGGTCGACACGAACGACAAATCAGAACAGTACCAGGAATCACGACAGTAGTCACGGGGTGGGAATGGGGAGGCAGCGAAAGATGCATGTCTCTTGACGATGGGTGGATGACTTTTCTCTCTCTCCTTTTTTGAACAGACCGCGCACCCCATCAAATGGTGGTGTGGCCGGCCATCTGCAGCTTTTGTCAGTACGAATGGGATTCTGAACGGCGTGGGACCAAAGGCGTGTCACTTTAGGCCAAATGAGGATGGGGTTTTTACCTGCTTTTACGCTGCTTTACGCTGCTTTACGCTGCTAAACCGAGGAGCCAAACGGAAATGCAAAAAAACATGGTGATGACGAGCGAAGAGGTCGAGATTGACTACTACTGGTAGCGATAGTGTTTTGTCTTGAAACAAAATCGTACCCTTCTGCAAAGATTCTTCTTGCTCGTGCGTTGCTTTTACTATGGTTGTCGTGGGTGCATCTCTTGAGTGTTCTCCTTCCCAGTCTCCATATCGACCTGCTTGAGATCGCGATATGGTGTGCTTGCCTTGCAACAGCTATAGTCCAGGTGTGCACCCAGTCGTGCATCGAGTCAATTTTCCTCCGTCAAGTCGTCCAGAGTCAGGAGTGTTGATATTGAAATGTCTTGGTCAGCCCTAACCCTAGCAACGGATCGGCAGTCGCATTCCCGCCGGTCGCCGCTCCAACTCCAAGTCGAATTCGCAGACCCGACGCACGTGCAAAAGGAATTCGTACCTCGAGTTTCTACGAGCTCAGCATGCCTCATGGCGTGTTGCTCATTCGCTGACGTTCGCCAGAAACATGTTATGCGCCTATGCGGGTGCATGTAACTATCCCCGATGGCTTCGCAGCCTCCCTTGAGCGTCGAATCGCTCCCTTCCTCGACATCCCCGCATCCCACGTCCTCATCTTTGCCGACTGCTGCTAATGCCTCTGCGGGGGACAATGGCCCTACACAGCAAAAAGGCCTCTTGCTTCTGCTCTCTTTGCTCATAAGCATGTTGGCCATGATTCCCAGTAGTCTTTTGCAGACTTTTACATTCATTACAATCACTTTGCCGGCATGGCTCTTCCACCTCTTCTCCATGAGCTTGACTTTCACCATGAACTTCACCACTCTCCTACTGATCGTCCTAGCCGTTGTCTCAACCGTCAGCTGGTTCGTTCGGTACCGGTTCCTTAACGTCTACGCCAGACTGCCGCAAGAGTTCCAGCGAAAAGAGCCTCAGATTGATCTGTTCCCCGACTCGCAGGATGGCGACTCCAAGCCAGGTTTGTCCAACTACCTGGACGAGTTCTTGAGCGCCATCAAGGTCTTTGGCTACTTGGAGAGACCGGTATTCCACGAATTGACCAGAACGATGCAGACTCGCAAGCTGATAGCTGGAGAAACTATCTCGCTCGAGGAAGAGAAGGGCTTCTGCTTGGTGGTCGACGGCATAGTTCAAATCTTTGTCAAGTCCCTCCGGGACGATGCCTCCGATGGCCTTGTCAACGGGGAGCACGACGACGAAGACACATACCATGAGGGCCATCAGGGATATCAGCTCCTCACAGAAGTCAAGAATGGTGCTTCCATGTCTTCTCTATTCTCTATCCTGTCTTTGTTCACAGAAGGTGTAAAGCTCCGCCATGATGAGAATGATCAAAATGGCCCGCGACCCTACACACCTGATTCGACGTTGCAGACGCCGGCGATGACCAACCCAGGCACTCCTGCTCATCACCAGCACGAGCGAAACCCTTTTCACGATGCCCACGGAGCTGCAGCTGCGCGCTTACCACGTGTCCCACCACTGAACCTCGATCCTGCGTTCGAGTACCCCTCGCGCCGTGGTTCGCAGAGGCCCACAAGTGCCACCTCGGCGCATCCTGATATCGTTGCTCGTGCGTTGACCGACACCACCATTGCAATCATTCCTGCCAGCGCCTTTCATCGTCTGACCAGAGTGTACCCCAAAGCAACTGCACACATAGTACAAGTCATCCTGACTCGCCTCCAACGCGTTACATTCTCGACCGCGCACCAGTATCTTGGTCTCACGTCTGAATTGCTCCAGATCGAGAAGCTCATGAACAAGTTCACAAGTTACGACCTTCCCAATCACCTTCGTGGAACGGCACTTGATCGACTCAAGGACAAGTTCAGCAAGGAAAGGGAACGTCTGCGCGACGAAGACGTCACCAAAGGTATCGCCTTACATAACCCTGTCACCAACCGAAGACGTTCTTCCAGTAGCTTGAGGAAGGAGGCCGCCCTCGCCGCACGCATTGCAGCCTCGAGGACAGCTGGCAAGCCGAGTGAGCAAGTCTCTGATCCTGCCGAGGATAAATCGAATATGAGTGCTGGCGATCTCGTCTCCAATGCGCAACCGACGCGCCAAATATCTCGAGCCGGTAGTATGAGCTTAGGAGAGTCCAAGCTGCGTGAATTCTCAGGGTCTGAAGGCCAGCAAAGGGCAATAAGTCCGCTGCAAGCTCGCGATCGGTCACACATACGCCCGATCTATCCAGGGTCTGTTGCAAGACAGGACACCAGTAACGAGGATTCGATGTTTCGAGAATCGGTATTGCAGAGCATGATCAAGGCACTTGGCCTCTCAGAGAATTTAAAAGAGAACTCGCGGCGAGTACCAGCATCAGTCGAGCAGTCTCCACGCATGGTATCCTTCGATGCGAAGAAGCAGACCGCCGTGTTCAACAACGCGTTTGGGTTCATTGATGCTTACGATGGGTCAGTCGATGGTGACACCGAATCAATAACTGCATCCCTTGCCAGCCTCAGCCAAGGCCGGAATCTCGACGATGAGCTGATTGACGATGTTGAGATCGTCTTCTTTCCCAAGGGCTCTGTCCTCGTGGAGCAAGGCGAGCGAAATCCCGGGCTCTACTACGTTATTGACGGGTTTCTTGACGTCAGCATACCAGTGGATGAGAAGGAGGAGAAGGGTGTGCTTCTCGAGTCCGGTGCTCGCCGAACTTCTCGGGATGCTCCTCCACATTTGCGGAGATCTCAAACGTCGACATCCAGAAAACCCTCAATGCCTGGGCAGACAAGGGAGCCTCGACGCCAAGCTCAAAAGTCTCTCTTCCTCGTGAAGCCAGGTGGTATGGCTGGCTATATTGGCACGCTCTCGTCTTACCGATCGTTCACCGATGTTACCGCAAAAACTGATGTTTATGTCGGCTTTTTGCCTCGCTCTTCCATCGAGCGCGTGATTGAGCGGTTTCCTCTCGTGCTGTTAACGATGGCCAAGCGTTTGACAAGCTTGCTTCCCAGGCTTATCTTGCATATTGACTTTGCCCTGGAGTGGGTGCAAGTGAGTGCAGGCCAGGTCATCCATCACCAGGGAGATGACAGTGACTCTATCTACATTGTGCTGAACGGCCGATTACGTTCAGTCAAGGAGCTCGATGATGGCAGTATGCGCGTCACTGGTGAATATGGTCAAGGAGACAGTATCGGCGAACTTGAGGTCATGACCGAAGACACTCGACCCGCGACGGTCCATGCTATACGCGACACTGAACTTGCGAAGCTGCCGAGGACGCTATTCAACAGCTTGGCCCAAGAGCATCCTTCGATCACTATACAGATCTCCAAACTCATCGCTCAACGTATGCGGGCACTCGTGGAGGATCTCGGCAACGAAAGAAGCCAGGAGAAAAAACGAGCAGCTCTGAGCGACTCTTCGACGTCCACGATGAATCTCCGCACTGTCACTGTCCTTCCGGTTACGGCTGGCGTGCCAGTGACAGACTTTGGCAACCGCCTGCTTGCGGCTCTCATTCAAGTGGGAGTGCCTGGGGGCGTGACTTTGCTCAACCAGAGCATCATCATGAGCCATTTGGGACGGCACGCATTCAGCCGCATGGGCCGACTTAAGCTTACCCAATATCTTGCGGACCTGGAAGAGAAGTATGGCATGGTACTTTATGTTGCCGATACGAGCGTCAATTCGCCCTGGACCCAAACATGCATCGCACAAGCCGACTGCATCCTCCTTGTGGGTATTGCGGAAAGCTCACCAAGTATTGGCGAGTATGAGAAGTTTCTGCTCGGCATGAAAACTACTTCTCGCAAAGAGCTTGTGCTCCTTCACCTTGAGCGCTTCTCCCAGCCTGGGCTGACGCGTAAGTGGCTTCGCAACCGGGTCTGGATCAACGGCGACCACCATCATATTCAGCTTGCCTTCAGGCCTGCACCGGAAGCTACGCCTCACAGTCAAACCCGTCGACTGGGCAACGTTATCAAACAGCGGGTACAGGTCCTCCAAGCTGAGATACAGAAGTACACCTCCCGACGAGTCCGGCAACAACCCTTATACACAGCCGACACCCCTTTCAAGGGCGACCTGCATCGCTTGGCGCGCCGCCTCTGTGGTCGGTCTGTCGGGCTGGTGCTAGGCGGCGGTGGCGCTCGAGGCATCGCCCAGGTGGGCATCATCCGCTCTCTCGAAGAGGCTGGTATCCCGATCGACATCATTGGCGGCACATCGATTGGTGCCTTCATCGGTGCCTTGTATGCACGAGATGCGGACGTCGTACCCATGATGGGTCGTGCCAAAAAGTTTGCGGGAAGGATGGGTAGTATGTGGCGGTTCGCTCTGGACCTAACGTACCCAACAGCTTCTTACACTACGGGACACGAGTTCAACCGCGGTATCTTCAAGACTTTTGGTGACTCCCAGATTGAAGACTTCTGGCTGAGCTTCTACTGCAATACCACCAACATCAGCAAGTCGAGGCCCGAGATTCACACGTCTGGCTATGCTTGGCGCTATGTTCGAGCCAGTATGTCTCTTGCAGGCCTCATCCCGCCCATGTGCGATGAGGGCAGCATGTTGCTTGATGGCGGTTACATTGACAATTTGACTGTCGCGCATATGAAGTCTCTTGGAGCAGACCTGATATTCGCGGTGGACGTTGGCAGCCTCGACGATACCACGCCGCAGCAATTCGGCGATTCTCTTTCAGGCTTCTGGACGCTGATCAACCGCTGGAACCCATTCTCCAGCACGCCGAACCCGCCCTCACTGTCCGATATTCAGGCGCGTCTGGCTTATGTCAGCTCGGTCGACGCACTCGAGCGAGCAAAGAACACACCAGGCTGCCTCTATATGCGCCCGCCTATTGATGCCTACGGGACACTGGACTTTGGAAAGTTCGACGAGATCTACGAGGTTGGATATGCATATGGCAAGGAGTTCTTGCAACGGCTCAAGAACGAGGGCGAGCTGAGGGGAGTGATCAGCGCCTGGGATGAGAGCGAGGAGAGTAAGGGTCTGAGAAGGACCATGGCACCAAGAAGAGCCAGTATTTAATCGCAGAGACGGAGTATCTTTTGCTGAGCATTTGGGGATGCATAGCGCGGCATTGATATTTCAACCCAGCGCCTGTATCCGTAGCGTAGTTGTTGCTACGCTCGGATAGATAGAACTCAACGAGGCGAATAATCACCCAAATCTAAGTAGACTCTAGACCTGCAGTATCCAGCATCGATCTCCCCCTCCCTGTGAGAGGTCTCATCTCTTCACAACCCAAAGAGACCATGGGCCAAAGGGCCGAAGCCACACCGAATCTCCGTTTTGCACGATTCTAGGCCTGCCCGTTCCGGACTCCGACCCCCTAAACCCACCTATTAGATAAAGTACCCCATTGTACAGCAGACGGCGAGCCCCGATGTTCGACGGTCAACTCCCATTCGTACCTTTTTGCTTGTACTTCGTGCTCCGTACCAAAAAAAAGTCCGTCGTTTCTTTTGTTTTGCTGGGCTTGGGCTTGGGCTTTTGTGGAAGCTGGCGATAAGAGACAAAACGTTGCTTGCGTTCGTCATCTGTCTATAGAATACCTTATGATAATGACTCCTTGAGAAGAAAAGTCTGCATCACTGCGTTTCTCCTAACTATCTCTTCTTTTCTCAACATCCTGATAAAATAGCGGATCACCAGAATGGCTTCCTCCTCCAGCAGCAGCAGCAGCAGCACGATCTTCTTCGGCCGCTTCATCGACGCTCCCTCCGCCAACGACCTGCGCATCCGGACAGGCGCGGTGCTGGTGAGTCGGAAAGACGGCAGCGGCGTGATCGAGAAGGCGGATTGGACGGTCAACGGCCCCAACGATGCGGCGAGCAAGTTGGGCGTTGAGGCGCCCGTCGTCACGGCGGGAGAGGATGGGTTCTTCTTTCCTGGCTTCATAGGTAAGTTCAGACAGACGGGTCCAGATCCGCAAGTGGGTTTCTGTTGGGCGGAGTGATATGGTCTGTGTGGGCGCGGGCTAAAATGCTGACGATGTGCAACCTTTTCGAACAGATACGCATATACACGCACCGCAGTATCCCAATTGCGGCATCTTTGGGAAATCCACGCTGTTGGACTGGCTGGAGACATATACGTTCCCGTTGGAATCTTCGCTGGGTACTTCCGCGTCGCCTATGTGGGCGAATGCCTCCAGTCCAGATCCGCTTGCGCGCGCAAAGACCGTGTACTCGCGCGTCATCGCTCGCACGCTGTCGCACGGGACCACGACGGCGTCTTACTTCGCCACGCTGTCCGTCCCGGCCACGAATCTCCTGGCCGATCTCGCCTTCAAGAAGGGCCAGCGCGCCTACGTCGGCCGCGTCTGTATGGATCTGGCCGAGACGTGTCCGCACTACTACCGCGACGAGTCCACCGAGGAGTCCGTCGCCAACGCTCGCGCCAGCATCGAGCACTGTCGCGCCGTGGACCCCACCGGCGAGCTGGTCGCGCCCATCATCACGCCGCGCTTCGCGCCCAGCTGCATGACCTCCACCCTTTCCGCGCTGGGCGATCTGGCGCGCGAGCAGGACCTGCGCGTGCAGACACACATCTCCGAGAACGTCAACGAAGTGGCACTCGTCAAGTCTCTGTTCCCCGAGCGCAACTCCTACACCGACGTCTACGACCACAGCCGCCTCCTCACGCCTCGCACCATCCTGGCGCACGCCATCCACCTCTCCAGCGAGGAGATGGACACCATCCGAGCCCGCCAAGCCAAGGTCTCGCACTGCCCCGCCTCCAACTCGGCCTTGGGCAGCGGCTTCTGCCCCGTGCGCGACCTGCTCGATCGGGGCATCGACGTCGGGCTCGGCACGGACGTCAGCGGCGGCTACCACCCCTCCATCCTGGACGCGGCGCGCCAGGCCTGCCTCGTCAGCCGGCACGTCGGCTTCGTCCGCGGCGGCGATAGCAGGTACAACGTCGGCGTGACGGAGGCGCTGTGGCTGGGAACGGTTGGGGGCGCCAAGGTCGTGGGCATGGAGGGTCGGCTCGGCACTTTTGAGGAGGGCATGCTCTGGGACGCGCAGGAGATCTCGCTGGGTCGGGACGTTGCGGGCGGCGAGGACGCAGATGTAGATGTGCGAGACGGGGGCGTGGATGTCTTTGGGTGGGAGACGTGGGAGGATCGCGTGGCCAAGTGGCTGTGGAGTGGAGATGATCGGAACGTGGTGCGGGTGTGGGTTGGAGGCCGGCTGGTGCATGAGTTGAAGAGTCGGTGAGGAGAAGGGTCTGACCGAGACGAGACTAAGCCGGAGGCCACCACGGTGGTCCGCCCTGCTGCCCTGCACGAGCGCCCACTTGTTCTTGGTTTTCATTTTCAGGCTCAAGTGGCACGACGCTGTTGCAAACGGCAGCAGGAAGTCAGGGCAAGGCTCTGAGACGAGGGCAGCGCGGTGGGAGTAGCTGCAAAGACGTGATATGACCTCGATTCATGCGCCATGGTTGCAGATGACTTATGGGTTTCTGCAGTCATGTTAAGGGGAAGAGGGCGACCGTGTCGAGTGACACTGAGTTTGAGACATTAGTGGGGACAGAGCTCTAGTAGAGGTCGTGTCAGATTGCAGGACTGAGATCGCAAAGGCAGAGTCTGGCTCAGGAACAAAAGATATCAAGATAACGCTGAAGATGAAGTATGTTCGTGCAGGCAGCCAAGATCAGTTCAGTCTGTGCAAAGACCGACTCATTGCTATACCCGGCGTTTCGATGATTGGCTGCTGCCTCCTTGCGGCTGCTCATGGCCAAATGAAGATGCCCACCTATATATCAAAGTGAGGACGTTTCAATAAAACATATATCTGGAAAATGCGCAAAGTAGGGTATCTCATTTATCATTGCTTGTCATGCCTACGCCATGTATTGATTGCGCCTTCCAGCTTCATAGCCTTGATTGGATCGTAGGATGAATAGAATGCGCAACTCCATAACCTGTTAACCATTGTTGTCACGTACCGCCCCGAAGTGTCACCGCAGTTCTGGGATATCTCGACCCTAACAGGTGTGCCAACACTGGCAAAGTTCGATACCAAAGTGGTTCACGCTTAGTCATCCCAGCGTCTGTAGCATACTTCGTCAAAAAAGCAATCTGCTGCTTCGTATCGTCAAATCAATGGCCTCGTGTCGTAGACGGGAAAAGAAAAATCGTGGTGAGGGTGATAGGGAGATCAGACGCCAACCTGCTTCTCACACGAAGAAATCCTGAGGAAGAGCAGCGAGAGCGAGAATAACACCGATGGCACCAAAAGTAGCCCCAAAAGTTGCACCAACGAGAGCTGTCCCCGCAAGTTTAGCAAAGGTTGGACCATCGCCCGGGGCACGAGCACCGGAGTCGGCTGTGCTTCTCTTCTGCTTCTTTCGGACAGGCTCGAGAGCGGCGGGTGGTGGTGACTTGATGCTGTCGACTGTTTCGGTGACAGTGATGACGGGCGCTTGAACATTGGGCTCGACGTCCGTAGCCAAGTCATCAGAGGGCGCGGTCGAAGCAGAGGCAAGCTCTGGAGTGGCCGAGCTCAACATAGCCGCGGCTTCTTCATGAGTGGCTGCCTCATCAATCTCAGACATATCGGAGGCTTTGCGTTTGCGGCCCACTCTAGGCGCCGGATAAGTCTGACGCTGCAGGACCGCAGGCATGACCGGTGTCGTTGGTGGAATGGCAAACGGTGGTGCGTAGTAGCCAACTTGATACATGTGGTCGAAGGCTTGATCCGGCATCGAAATTGGCGAGTAAGCATCGTACATGGGCGCCATCATAGGCGGAAGGGGTTCGTGAAGTACAGCATTGTGACCGGCCCACGCATTATCCGATCGGAGGCCAGACTCTGGCTTGACCTCGGCGCCATCTTGGACAGGCGGTGACTGTTGGTCGAATGGAGGCGCCCGGGACATGGCAGTGGTGGGTTTGACCATTGCAGCATCCGATGGGCTTGGATCACGTTGAGACATCGCAACCACTGGCACCTCGAGGCTGAAGCTCGGCTCGGCGGGCGCAGGATCTTGGCTCTCAAATTCGTCGATCTCATCGAAATCGTCTACTTCTTCTCCTTCAGACTCTTCATCACCGACACCGTAGTCGTCTTCATGGGAACAGGAGACCGGAGCATGCTTGACGGCACTCAGGCGTTCAGCCTCATTCTCCAAGAGTGCGGCGACATTCGGGAGTTGCGACTGCAGCCAAGGTCGTTGAGCAGGCGAAGCGATCTCCTCAGATATTTGTCGAGCATGTTGAGAGGCGTGACCTTCGAAGTCCGAAGCATGCTGGGCCGACTTTTCGCTGATAAGAGTCACTTCTTCTTGCAGCACGACGGGGCTCGATGAGGGTGACTCATGATCATTAGCAGAATCATCCGAGATAATGCTGACGAGGTCGTCCGAGTAGTCCGACTCGGGAACAGTAAAGCGGCGGGGTGGGTCGACACTGTGAGCATTTTCCTCATTCACATCTTCGTCGGAGTAGCCATGATCGTAGACGTCGTCGTCCTCCAAGTCATCCGGTGCAGTAAAGCTGTTGGGCAAGGCTGCGATTGAGATGGATGACGAAGGCTGATCGTAAACCCAAGTCCAGTGAACTTGTACCTGGATTGGTTTGAATGTGTCTTTGAACCGTAAGCGTTTATTCTGAATGAATGCCTGCATGAACTTACGTTGTCCACGATCAACTGCAGCGCCAAAGACAATGACATTCCCTTGGACGAGATCTCGGGGCTGGTCTCGCTGCAGTCTATGGCGGTAGAGATGCGTGCCATGCATAGATCCCACATCTTCGATCGTGACGGCACCTGACTTTGGATTGGCAGAGATGTAAGCATGCTCTCGGGAAATCACTCTGGATTTGAAGCAGGCATTGTCAATCTTTTCAGTTGGACCAGAACCAGTAGAAGTCGCTCGGCCCACTCTGACCGTCCATGCATTATCCGCTGACAGGGTTATGACTCTGTTCAAGAGAACACTGGAGGTGTCAGGGTCGTCGGAGGCATCTTTGAGCACGACTTGAACTGTATTCATCGTTAGTGGCTCAGTCGACAGCATATCAGGTAGATGGGATGTACCGGAGGAGTGTTTAGAGCGTGACATGGCGAATAGATCAGCAGGAGCCTCGGCGATGATGGTAAGGTGTTTGGACTCCCACGATGGTTTCTCTGATCGGAGTGACCTAGAAATGTGAAGGCGGTGGTAGAATCAAGTAGAATCAAAGTAAGTTGGGCTGTTTCAGGCTGAAGGATGGTTAACGGTGCCCCTCCTTTATCAGGCAAACGTGGAGGATGACTCGAGTCTGACCTAGGCTCAACTACCGCTGAGCGCCACGAATCCGGGCAATGTGGCAATAGTGGTGCTCTCACAGAAAGCGTAATGGAGGCAGAGACCAGACTCCTGCGCCTTGGACAGCAAGGAGTGTAGTACACATGAAGCTGCGGAGACCATTTACGACTTGCAGTCACGTTTGACACGTGAGAGCGGGCGTGCCTTCTGCCTGGCCAGGCGGGGTCGCTGACTTAAGACCAATAGGCATCCACGGAGCAGATCCACCTAGCTACGATAAGATAAGCTCCATATGCGCCGGACAGCAGCGAGGCTGCGCTTGCTGTCTGTACAGCGGAGGTTCATGCAAAACCATGCGAGGCAAGTCGAGTCATCTGCGGGCTATTCTTGTGGCTTCTCAAATGCGTGACAAGGCCTCTCGGTGCGTAATAAACAACTTGAGGCAAGACAAAATCACGTAAAGGGGGGTTTGGCTTGTTGTACACTATCGCTCTCTTCTCATGTATCTCGACTATCCACGCCAGTAGTATCCCAAGCGAGACTGTCCCAAGCTGAAGTCTAGCATGGCAGTCGTCACCACAAATAGTATTAGGTACACAGTGTGAAGAAGCGCTCATCAAGCATATGTCCATCAACACCTCATTGAAACCATGAAGAGGAGCAGGGAGCTCGCTTGCGCCGGTGCATGCCCCCAAAAAGACTGAACACAAGACTAGAAGACATTATCTCATGCCTCCAATGCCGCCACCGGCCGACATCTGCGACAATCTCGATGCTAGCTGCGGATACTTTTCGGAGACCTCGAGCTGGGTTCGGGTGGCCTCGGCGTAAGACAGGGCATTGACAATCTCGCCCTCGGTTCTCGACAGCTCGGCTGCACGTTCGAAGTATCTAAGAGCGTCAACAACCTTGCCTTGCTGTAGCAATAACTGCGCCATGGTGGCAACGGCAATGTCACAGTCAGGGTCAACTAGATTCTGTCAGCACAAGTCACGGTGAAGAGGAGGGAAAGCAGCCTACTGATGAGGGCTTTGTTGCAGAGGTCTTCGGCAGCCTTGAAATCCTGTTTCCACTGGAACAGAGCCAGAGCCTTGTTGATGAGGGGTAGGACGTTGATAGCACCAGCCGGCTTTGTGGTTCTCTCCATATCGATCGCAGTCTCGAAGCGCTGAATAGCCTCTTCATACTTCTGCTGGTCCAGAAGCAGCTCACCATAGTAGTTATAGACGTCGGGAACCTTGTCGAAATTTTTGATGCACCTTCTGAAGGTGGCCATCGACGATGCAATAGAACCCATCTTGTACTGTGTCACACCAAGTTGAATGTGCGAGTAGATGAACTCGCGGTCCAGGTCGATGGACTTTTGATAGTCCTTAGCCGCATCTGCGAATTCGCCGAGGATAAAGTGTAGCTGCGCACGGTGGTAGAAAATGTCCGGGTCATCGTTGTTTTGTTCTGCGGCCTTAGCAAAGTCCTCGGCCGCCTTGTCTTTGTCACCCAGCTCCAGTTGCATGCTGGCTCGCTTGATGTATGCTTGTGTCAAAGATGGTTGCAGGTCGATGGCTTTTGTGAGATCTTCCATGGCTCCATTGACATCACCCTCGAGGTAGCCGAATGTGGCGCGCATATTGAGGGCAAAAGCCTCATGTTCGCCAAGTTCCCCGAGCTCGACAGCCTTCTTGAACGCATTGGAAGCTTCCTCATAAGCATCAGCAGTCTTGTTCTTCATAGCGACCAATCCTTTGCGCAGTTGGCCCTTGCCGGAGTTCTCGTCGAGCTCTGCGGACTCTTCGAGCCCAGCAGGAGGTGGCTGGGGGCGGAAGCTCTGGAGGTAGTTGGTGACAAAGGTAGCGCTGGGCAGCTTGTTCTTCTTGCCCTCAAGGATGGCCTTGCCCTTCTGCTCAGCAACCTTCTTGAGTAGTCTCTCCACACTAGCAGCGGAATTCTCGTTCTTGAAGCCATCGATGATGCAGCTGGCGGTGTAGTCGAGCAGAGCTTCGGAGAACTTTCCAAGATGCTCGTAGGCGTGTGCGCGACGGTTCAGGGCCTTGATGTATTCGGGATCCATGGAGATGGCGGCGGTTGTGTCTTCGACGACTTTGTCCCATTCGCTCAGGGCATTGTAGCAGGCGGCGCGATTAGAGTAGAAGACAGGATCTGGCTTGCAAAGGATAGCTTTGCTGTATAGATCGATGGCTTTGTTGTAATCTTTCGAGCCATAAGCCTTGTTTCCGGCCTGCTTCAGCTTGCCAGCATAGCTAGCACGGTCCTCGGCGGTAAACGACTCGACGGTGGACTCGGTGATCTCTGGTAGCTCATCTTCGGCGTCAGCTTCAACAGTAGCGGCTTTGGGCGCTACGCCTTCAAGTTTTAGTAATGGTTCACGCGCGATCACCTGAGCTGCACTTACCAGCTTCCACATCCTTGACTTTGCGGGCAGCTTCTTCGGCGTCCTTCTTTTCTTTCCGTCGTTCCTTCTTGCTTTTTCGCTTTTCCGAGGGAGCAGGTTTTTGCGAATCGGAAAAGTAGTATATGGCACCAGCACTAGTGACGACTACCACAGTACCGGCAATCGTGTAGGCGGCAACTTTGTTCTCCGAGACCCATGTTGTTACGCGATCCCATAGGGAGCTGGAGGGTTGTATCTGCGCCGTGGTGACAGTTGGGGCAGCCTCAGACATTTCGGAGAGTGCGCACTATGATGGAAAAGAAGGAGCAAATGAACAGAAGATGGAAAGTGGAAGCTGCGAACCTGGCATGCAGCTTAATGTCGATGGGGAGTGAGCAAGAGAATCAGAGCATGAAATCTTTCCACCAAAGTCGATCAACTTGGTGCCATCATCTTTCCCCAACTCTGCACCCATCTGCACCAATCAGCGTCCACTATATCTTGGCAGAGAGCACTCTACTGCTTCAACGGCTTCACTTTCTGAGGTACAGAAAACTCTGAGCTTCACACCGCACATTCCTACATCGGCTGTCGCCATAATCGACGCGCTGCGAGCCTTAACAAAGAAATGAGCTGTTGCTTTGATCCATAGCCGAGACGTTGTATGTCTGTTCTCCAGGTCTGTCCGGTACTGGAATATGGCCAATGCTATACCATCGCCCAGCGAAGGATATGACGGGATTGACGAGATCATAGCTGCGCCAGGCTTCCGTCTGACTACATCTTTACGTTGGAGTCCACCGAGGGTCCCGTCGAGAAAGCAAACCCATACAACCCTGGTGGCATACCACAGAAAACGTCTTCTGGAGTCCGCTCAGGCTTTCAATCTCGATACTATAACGAAGCTCTTTGCAGATGAAAGTGGGGAGAGTGTGCTGAAAAAAGCCATTGATGCGCACTCCATGACCCTCATTGGGCCTGAACAAACATATAAGTTCACTTTGTCCGTTTCGATATCTGGCTCCATAAGTATAACTTCGGCTCCTGCCCCCGGCCCGCTCTACGACTTCAGTCTTCCCGCTGCAATATCGAACGCCGGTGCAAACGTTCTGCCGGATTTGTGTCTGGCTCCATCGCCGACAACATCGTCGCTATTCACGCGTCACAAATCCAACCACCGGCCAATGTACGAGACTGCTCGGGCTGCCACGAACATTCTCCATGAAGCTCCGACTACCACCGAAGTTCTGTTACATAACGAGCAACGCCAAATCACTGAGGCGTCGCTCTCGACAGTCTACTTTCAGCGCCGGGATGGCTGGGTAACTCCTGCTGCATCTTGTGGCGGCAACCTCGGCGTGACACGAGCCTTGGCCCTAGACGAAGGCTGGTGTCGAGAAGATATCGTTCTTCTGGAAGATCTTATTCCTAGTGAGATCGTTATCCTCAGTAATGGAGTTCGAGGCTTCTGGCCCGCACAGCTGATTCTACCAACCATTTGAAGTGATGCCGACCTCCTTATGGGTTGCATAGCAATCTGTTCAATCTGTCACATTCAGAGGCGACAACCCGTACTAGGCTGCTGTTGCGGAGGGTTCGAGATTTCTTCCACGCCTGCTTGAGTGGAGCCGGATTCGTTCATCATGTTTCAATTGCCAAAGTCGACCAGTGATATCCTCCAGAGGAATCTTTTGTTGCCAAGGTATGCTTCGGTGATGCAGCTGATCGTTACAACACGATGTGTTTCTCATCGCTGTGGTGGAATAGGCGGTCTGGTTTGGAAGACTTCTGCCTTTCCCGTCTTGATATTCAGCGTGATGTCTTCGCCGAGCTACATTGGCAAAGCTTCGTGTTACAGGCCGGTGACCCATCGCTGACCCTCAACGCGCTGTTGAACTTAGCGGAAGAGAGCTGCATCGAAGACGTGAAGCTCGCAATCATCGCTAACATTGATTCCGCGGGGAACCAATGGCTGCTCAACTACGCCTGCGCCACCACCGAGTCAAAAGACCGCGCTGATACCATTCAGGCGTACGACCACTACGCTGTGCTTCTAGCAATGCTCCAGAGTGGTGCTTTAGGAGCACTGATAAATGCAGACAGTTTTGCGCTCCTCGTTGCGCACCACGTTTGGCTTTACCTCTATGATGCTATGCGACCGGACCAGGACACGGGTATCCAGGCTGCAGAAGCAGAACTCTACGAACTTATCAAACTTATCAAACCTTATGGACTCGAGCCTCCGCTGTGAGCACACTGTCGTCTAATTACTCACGGCCACTTTACGACTACGTATGGGACAAGCTTTCTCCTAAATCGCAAGCGGTCTACACTATCAGAATGGCCAAGATCAGGTTCCTACTAACGCAGCCACCACGACGATTGCCACGAGCTCCCATTGACTTTCCAATATGGATCGAGCTGTCGTGGATCCCGATGCTGTTTCCGCCGCACTGGTCAAGCCATGGCGGCGAGAGCCTGTCCCAGAAGTCTATGAGCAGCCACAGGCACTACATCCCATACGCGTGCTGGAGCTTGCGCCCCGTCAACTGCGAAGTGCCACTGCACTGCCGTCCGATATTGAGGAGTATCTGGTCGCGGTCTGCAAATTGCCATTAAGAAAATGATAGGCTCCGCGCGCGTTGGGCTGCAATGCAAGCCCTGACAGAAGGCCTGGCTACAGTCATATTTTCATGTCACGTTGATGTCAAACATGGCCTACCTCTCTTGCACTGTGGTACGCGTATTCGAGGGCGAATGTCCACAGTCTACACACCAAAATTCCATACGTAGCATCACCGAGCAGACATGTCTTTGTAAGTACGTTACCTCTGTTCATTATTTGTTCTATCCATCCCATGTGATAACTCGCCGGACCGGCAGTAGATACGGTCTGGCTCGATGCTACTCAAACTCAACGACGATGCCTCGCACGAAGAACGCCGCAGCATGTTGCACTTGAACTTCAATCCCCTCCAACGTCCTCGAACTGCCCAGGCGGCAGAGCCCTTCCCACCTGCAGAGGCAAGCCTCCCGTGCAATTCTGCAGAGGCGCTTCCATCTCGACCACTTCTCTGCTCTCGCGACTGATGCCATACAAGCTGCCCGTCTGCCCCGTTACCGCCGTGCCATTGAGGCCACTTCGGTCCCACGCAATGCCCTGTCCCGCAATCTCCGGCGCCTGTATCGTGGCCACCCACGTCAAGATACTGCCCGCGCTCGGGAACCCCATGACATACACCTCGCTCGCATCATGCCCCGCCACGTAAAGCCAGCCATCCCGCCCAAAGCTTCCCCCACTGTTGCTCATGGGGCTGAAACTCTGGCGCAGCTCCTCCGGAAAGATCCAGCTGCGCGCGACCTCCCAGTCGACGCCGTCGACGAACTCGACCAACTGCGTATTCATCGTGAGGCCGTACGGCGCCACCTGGCCCGCCTGCACGCGGTCATAGTTGGCGAAGGCACCGTACCACACGCCCGTATAGGGATGCTGGTCGACCCACGTCAGACTGCCGCGGTAGATGCCGAAGCTGTGGGAGTGCGTGTGCTGCATGGTCGCGACGTCCCACGTCTCCACGGACGACGTGATGGGCGACTGCGGGTAGTTGCTGTGCGGGCAGAAGAGCGTGCCGTTGATGACGGTGCCGCCGTCGAGGTGGATGATGGGCCCCGACGGGGAGCCCGCCCATTGCTGGATCGCGGTGCCGTTGGCCTTGTGGTGCTTGGTGATGGAGTAGTTGTCGATGGAGTAGTAGTGCGTGGCGTCGACAGCGACGCCTTGGTTGGCGTCGCGGGCGGGCACGGTGCGGATGGTGGTGCTGTTGAGCTGCTGCTCCGAGCCGGCGGTGCCGTTGTAGGTCGTGCCCACGGTGTTGGCTGAGCATTGGAGGAGCTGGGCGCGGACCGGGTTGGCGCAGAGCGCTAGGAGAGGTAGGAGGTTGTGGAACATGGTTGCTGGAGGCACTACGAGCCAATACCAGAGGACTGGAGGTGATACTTCCGCTGTGTGCCTTGTACTTATGCGTATGTTCCAGCTGTTGCGTGTATCTTGAGCTTTGTAAAAGGGCTATAGAAGCTCCCGAAGCTTCGGCATGCGAGACCAGCATTCAAAAATATATCAATTCGCCGATAGTCGCCAGCCGCTTTGGGACCATAAACGCACCTGCGGTATCGAGCATGGTTGCGTCCTGGAGCAGCTCAAGCATATCTCCAACGTGCATGGAGCTCCAACTGTGATACGTTGACACGCAAAGTTAAAGCGCGCGTCAGAAGCCAAGTTGGAGGAGCAGTAGATAGAAGACATCTTGGCACGGTTATGACTACTGCTTCTGTGTTTGCACGTGGGGAAGATCAATGGGGCATACTGCTGTGAGAGTCTCACCAGGGCAAGATGAGAGAAGAATGAGATGTACCACTGGAAACTCGACTCGATAGTGTATGGTCATTTGGAAGCATTAGACTGGTGCATCGCCACCAAAGCTCACCCCAATTTCAGGCCCGCTTCCCAACCATCGTCCCGTTGTTAGAATCAGTGTAGAAGCTCAGGGTATCAGTTGAGTTTGAATACGTGACATTGCACTTCTCGGAGAAGCCGCCAAATAGTGCTTCTCTCTCGCTCAGATACTCCTGCAGGCCGGAAGCGGAACAGCTTTCCAGCGGGCCATCGGCGCAGCCTGGCAGTGTCTGCGGGCTTGAATTCACGAGCACACGGTAAAATGTCGAGTCGCCTGAGTCGGCGCTCCCAGAGCTGTCTGTGCAGTTCATGCGTTCAATGGCGATGTTGGTGAGGAAGGGGAGGATGTATGAGGAGATCCAGGCTCGGTTGTAGTTGATCTGCTGTGTGGGCATGGTCGCATTGACGTTGTTGGCGCCTGTGAATTGGCTGTTGTTGAAAAGACCCATCGCCACGAGTACTGTCGGAGGTAGTTCTCGGTGGGTGAAAGATATGTAGAGGTCTTGATCGGCTTGGTCGGCGGTCAGGAGACCAAGGGACGCATTAAGCCAAGGAAAGCCAATCACTCCTGAGTTTGGGTTGCCGTACCCAGTGTTGTAATGGTAGAAGATATCATTAGCATACTCGAAGCTGAGCCACTCATCAGGTGAGAAGAGCTCTGTGGAGCAGAACGGAGATGAACCGCGAATAACGCTTTCGTAGCCGCAGAGCGCTTGCATGGCAAAGATGTCGTCGGCAGTGAAGTTGAAGGACGAAGCGTCGGCATTGAATCGGGATATTATCGAGGCGGTGTAGCGTTCTATATATTCCTGGTGTTTGTTAGCACAAGAACCCTTCAGCAGAAATTGGACGAGCTCACAGATTCCTGATCACTTCCAGAGCTTGAGGAATATTGAGGACAAGACTCATATGCCGTCAGGGAATTTGCGCCATCTTCTTCACCTTCGTAAACCTCAACCAAATTAATGGTATCATCCTCCACTTCAAGGCCTCTTATCAATCCTTGAGCACTCTTGACTGTTCTTTCAGCTGTCGAAGCCCAAACACGCTCTGGTAGCCGCAGGTTGCTGTACCTGTATGACATGGTCACACCCAACTGAGCAGCCTCGAGCTTGCCGGTTCGGGTAAGCTGTTCTGCTTCGGAGAAATTTGGAGGGATCCAATCACCGAGGAACGCGAGTTCTGGGGATGAGGACCAATCGACGGACTTGTTGCCCAACTTATCGAGGAAGGGCTCGATATAGGTCTCATAATCAAAGTCGTTGGCGTTGATGGCAGCATGTCGAACCAGGTAGGCTGCACGTGTTACAGAACAGCCTTGAGGTGGTGCTGGATCTCGCGGCGGATCGGAGGGCTCAAAATATGGTGCTGTGCCAGCCAGATGCTCCAAAGGATCGAATTCGTACGTGCTGTAAAGCGTTGCAGCCGTAGCGGCGCTGGCAAAGCTGAGAACAAGCTGGACGAGAAGCATTTTCGATGAGATTGGCAGCAAGCACTGGAGATTGACGGCATGAAAGGAAACGCAGCTGCTCACTCATCGATCTTAAGACGAACGGCGGACAACATATTTACGATGACGTTCAGGTACTGCATACTTACAGACAACCAAGCTCGGACTAAGCTTTACCTAGAGAGCTTCGAAGGTTTCTGCCAGGTTTGATGCAGGCACGAAAGCCGATCAAGATCAACTCTACCAGTGACAAGGCGGATCCACCGCTTGACAGCTCATATTAGTGAGACCCGGAACCCAAAGAGAACGAACGGACGGCCGGCAACCGGAACTTGCTTCGAGTTCGAATTTGTTTGTGATGCAATGATGAAATGATGTCATGCTGGACCGCGACGAGGCTGCACAAGGCTGAGAGCTGCACTGAGACCCACTCTCAGGCAGTGAATGAAGCTGGGCCACATCGACAACTGCTAGTAGTTCTTGAGCTCATTATACCGTCCTTCGGCAGGGCGAATCGGGACGGCCCTGTGCTATGTCTACCACTTTGCCGGTGTGCCAGCTGTCGCCAGCTGGGCCAGCTGCGCCTGCGCAACCGAGACACCTCGCTACAGCAAATCTCACAGCTAGACATACTCGTTTCACTCGGTATGGACCAGGACTGGTGATAGTGAGGCAAGTGCGTCACCAATCAAGCATCCTGGATCCTGTGCTTTTACTGTCGAATGTGTTCTGCCCAGCATAGAGAGATTGGACGGTGACGAAGTCTTTGATTGGGACGAGAGCGTCCAGGCACGGCTAGACGCCTGGCTGTCGTTCTTGGACTGTGACAACATCACAATCTCGCAAATTTACGTTGCCGACAAACCGAGGGGTTGTCAATTACAGAGACATCTGCCACAGCCACGTACAAGACTGCATTGTTCGAGACTTTCGAATGGACAGACGTCGACTACCTACAAATATGGGTCAACTGCCAGCCGTCTATGCTCATCCTCCTTCCCATACATTCTCACACCTCTCGTACGACCAATTATCAAAACTAACGCCCAACAAAATGCCGAACAGAAATCGTCAACCACCGCAGCCCCCTCCGCAGCTCCCACAGCCGCTCATTTTCGTGGCTTGTGGACACCAAGTGCCGCCTGATTGTGCTCCATCTGGTGGTATCTCCAGAAAGAAGGGTACCAGCACGATCTTGGAGCCTGCTATGTGCCTCGAGTGCGGCATTACCCACACCAAGAATCGCCAGCAGCTCATTGTCGATTCCTACCAGTCCAAGGTCGATGCTAAAGTCAATGAAATCATCGAGCGTGCCATGGGCGTGCAAGACGAAAAGGACCAAAAGGAGATCATCGAAACCGGTAAGACCCATGCCGTCGGAGACGTCCTGCTGCAACGAAATTCAGAGGTTGTCAGCATCTGGGCCGACTTCATCAAGGGCTGGAACTTCAGCGAGCGTCAGCGAACCGTTGAAGTGAGGGCTGATCCACGCAATCCTCGTTCAGGTATGATTCGGAAGGTGGTTATCGACTATGTGACTATCCTTGTCAGCCGGACTGCCAGCGAGCTCATTGTCACCAAGACTTGGAAGTGTAAGGATGATCAGCAAGTTATGGAGGCTACCGAACTCACGCGGCTGTAGAGTTGTCCTTCGCTCATCTGACCAGCAGCTACGATCCCCACTACTCACTAACCATGCCTTTCCTCACTAACCCCAGTCCTGAACTCCAGAGGCCCGAAAGTGTAAGGACAACTCACAGCGAGTTGCAGAAACACAATGCCCTGTAGCACATTTGCGAGTCGACGCTGCCCATTCGGTAAGTGATTCGACTCCCGCCTCAGCCCTTTCCAAACCCCAAAGCTAATGGGTACCGGAAACCTCTCCAGATTGCCATGCCATAGATTCCCTAGTTCCATCCCCCGTACTCACTAATTAATGATTATTATCATATCGCCCCCACCAAATCCATTTCTCTCTCTCTTTTGGCCGTGATCTGCTGATCTTGATACTTATCGTCTTCTCAAGCAATGCTGGTGTCCCTGCGCTCATTGTACGATGTTCTGCCTTGAAGTGCCTATTACAGACCTCTAGCCTAAATAGGTGTATGGTTAGAGATGTTGTGATCTAGGAGGGCCAGCAGGAAGAACGAGGAAAGTAAGCCTGATGAAGTTTGTGAGACTTTAGGAACTCGCTACACCGAGCGCTATCTTGAAAATTCCTTTCCCTTATTGTCGTTGACCGTACTCCATCGAGCCGTGCTGTGCACAAACAGGAGCGCCTACTCAGGCTGTCTATATCCCCAATGCCCCCGTGGCGAAGCAAAAACTTCGCACTCGCAAAGTAGCGGCCCGCCTGTGTCCGAGCGCTGGTCTGGCTGCCTGCTTCTTCAAATTGGCTCCTTCGTTCAGCAGTAGCTTGTTGATTTGACTGTTCTCCCAGATCTCCTGAGGGCTGTCGCACTCTGTGCACTTCTCGTTATAGGACTGAGAAGAAAACGGCAGCATTGTGTTTTAAGTTGCTTGAACAGAATAGATGTAACTGTGTTGACGGGAACAAAGTGTCTAATGGAGTTGTATGGGACTTTGAGGACGGTGTATGTATGTTCCCGCAAAGGTGCTTATGTGTTTTGGAAAAGTGCGATTTTGGTTGCGAAGCCTTGGGAGTTGAAGGTCAGACTGCTCAGTGGCTCTGCAATACTGCAGCAGACTGCCGCGCTTCTTATACGAACGAAAGTTGTAAACAGTAAAGGTAACCGTCTTCCATGCTCGTCATTGCCAATAGTTTGATTTGCTAATCTCATCAGTGTACGTAGACCACCCTTATCACTGGACATGCTTTTCTTGATTAGGCGATCAGTAGCCTGAAAGGCGGGTGGTCTGCCATTTCGGGCACTGCATTGTAGCTACTGGGCATGAGGAAAAGCGCGCACGTCAAAAATGACCTAGGCGAGTGCCAGGCTCATCCGTTTAAGGCCTCTTGCAGACGAACACCTTTTGCGTTATTTTACGCGATTGGACCCGATCATGGTGAGTAAGCCGTGTCGGAGGAGTTGATCTGTCGCTCTCCTTGCCTCTTTTTGCTTCTAACAACGGGGCTGAGATCCCTGCAGATGATCTAAAGTGCATCTGGGCAATACTTTTATCCTTGCTCGACGCTGTATACAGCAATTTTGTTTTTCTACGGTACTAAACCTGAATTGAAGTGAATTTCAGCATCATTTGAGTTACTGAGCCTCTTCAGACACATCAGAGCGTTCGTGAGTCGTGACAGCTAAGCCAAATGCCTCAGATGCCGTCAGTAAGCAATCAGCGAGCGCAGAATAAAACACTGGTCTCCAGCGTAATGGCAGGACGCTGTTATAAAGTAGACGCATGCCTTCTCATTGAGAGTTGCACAGGCAATTGAAGAAAAATACCATGGCGCGACTTAGAGAAATCAAGGAAGACAACGACGAGCCGCCACCATACACACAGACGGCAGGCTCTACAGAATCTATAATCCATTCCTCTGAATCAGCACACAGCGAACCAGCGAAAAGATCCTCAGAACAAGAAAGAAACGATGTAAATCACAGTCAGACAGTCACACAAGATCTTGCGAAACTTGATCACGATGCTATCTCAGCGAAGACAGATCACAATGCTCTGGAAGAACACCACGACGATACCTCCGGTGGGAAGCATCACCACCATATCGGCCGCCGCTTGAAGGACAAGATTACAGGCACGACGCACGAGCAACGGGAGGAGGAACGAGCTCGGAGGGAAGCACTGTACCGCAAAGCTTACGAGGCTGCGCCCAACTACTATTACTATGGCGCGGGTCCCGGGGCTGGATTGGGCTGTGGATATGGCTACGGATATGGCGGCGGCGCAGCTTATAACTCCTATCTTCTAAATGCGGCGCTGTTGGGCGGTTTCGCAGGGTTCGGATTGGGCGGTCTCTGGTTTTAAGGCGTTTAAATGTCAACGCTGGGCTAAGCCATCCAATTTGTACCACCACTATTCCTCTATACGATGGATTGGACAACAGCACAAAGTGGACATCAGACGCTGATTATCGCGTAGACATCGCCTTCAGTATACTCTCACTTCCCGCAAAATCCCCCGTCAACGACAATGCAAGCTCCGCTCGTGAACTGATTCCCAGGAGCACACAAGAAGAGGAGGGCGCTTACAAGATCTCCTGGCTCTCCCCACCTCCCCATCGGCACGCGGAGCATCAAGTAGTCTGTCATCTTGGCATCATGCTGGTACCTGGTCAACATTAGCTGCCGCAGATAGAATGCACAACCTGTCCCCAACCCCGCCAGAGGTTCAGAGGAGTCACTCACTGAGCAGTCATGCTAGTCTTCATGAAACCGGGCGCAATGCAGTTCACCTGGATACCTTTGCTAGCCCACTCATTGCTGAAAGCCTTCGTCATCTGCAGCACACCTCCCTTGGTTGTACTGTAAACCGATGTGTTAAAACCTGCATTGAACGCTGTCACGGACGCAATGTTGACAATCTTCCCCGGTCGTGACTGCGAGAGCAACCGGCGTCCGAACTCTTGCATGCAGACATAGTAAGACTTCACATTGACATCAAGCAACTAATCCACCGTATGAGTAACCCGTCAACAAATCCTGAATGGTCCCCAGCACCTCGGCTAGGGTGAAAACGGAGTAGCAGGAACAGACATCAGCTTACCAGGTCCAGTTCTTCATCCGTACTCGCTTCGCAGAGATTCCGACGCATCACACCCGCGCAGTTAAGCAGTATTCCCGCTTCGAATCCCTCGGCCCAGATACGGTTGAAGCACTCCCTGATACTGCTCGCATTGCGTAAGTCACATTTGAACACGCGAAGGCTCCCACCTGCAGCTTCGACCTGCGTCTTCAGCTCAGACGAGAGCGGGTCAGACGGCAGCTCGATGGAGATAATGCTGCTGCAGCCGGCACGCACGAGAGCGAGGACAAGCGCAGATCCGAGGCCGCCGGTGCCACCTGTTACTATAGCAGTCTGGGATGTTAGGCCAAAAAGTTGGTTTAAGTACTCGGCGGCCATTGTGGATTAGGTGAGTAGATAGGGATCAGTGTGGTTTGAAACGAACAATGCTTTGAGCGGCGGAAAGCAGAGGACAGAATCGCCGGTGTAATGCTATGGGACCAGTCCTGCTAACATGAATCAACGCGCCGATGAGTGCCACGCGTGAGTTGCACATTTGGTGTATGCGAGTCGGGGGACCGTGTGGAGAAGGCGGCGGCCAGGACCTCGGTTACGCGGGGACGGAGCATAATGTATACACGTGCAAGCAGCAAGTCGGTTATAGTTGACCGGGTCGATACAAGGACTGCTTTGTGGTGCAGGGACAATGCTCGGCGCACAAGGTGCCTCGTGATGGCGCCGTCGAAGTCCGGCTTGAAGCAGGTTATTGGTTTTGCTCCTCCTGAGTAAGCCTCGGGCCCAGAGCGGCCTGCCACAACGTGTACGATGTTCGAGCCGGTGAGGGCGAGAATTTGGTCACCTAAAGAGTGCAAGCATCAAATTTACACGCTGGACAATGCTGTACAAGCTTGGATTGTGATTGCCCGCACCGGTCAAGCAGCTTGACAATATCATCAGATGGCGCTTTCTGCACAAGATCGCCGGGAGAGCCATACATGGCACTGACCGGACTTGCACTTCACGAGTGCTTCAACACATGGCTCACGTTTCTGTAGTCTGCTTCCAGTCTGAAAGCGTCTGTGTTTGCGAGAGCAGCCACGAACAACCAGGCTGGGCGCCAAGGCGCTAAAATAGTTAAAGATCGACTTCGCGTCTTGTAGCAGGCACGCGCTGTCAAACTGTTCTTCTGCATACATCAACATACAATCCATCGCTTGCCATCTCCCTCTCGCTCTGCTGCGCTGGCCGTTGTGGAATCATCAGCTGTGATCGGTCATTGCTTCGAGGTCAGCGAGCAACATTGGGTGTCTTTGCGCATCGTCGACAAATTCAATACGGAGCCTCAGAGCTGTCCAACAAATGGACGGTAGTAAGCTGTGTCACTTTCGCGTCACGAAAGGATAAGATAGATCGACTCCCGGACGACCTATTCCATCATGGTCACCTGCAAATTCTTCCTGCAAGGTAACTGCAGATATGGTCAGAACTGTCGCTTTGACCACCCAGGGTCTGGCAGCTCTGGAGGCCAAAGCCAGAGCCAGAACAGATTTGGACCCCTGGCAAGCGGGAACTCTGGTGGCAGTGCGGGCGGTAACCGCTTTGGCGGTGCTGGCCCTACGGAAGCCAGCATAGTCGCGAGGGACGCTCCAGCCGATCTTGATCCGCAGAAGGCCCGGCCGAAATGGATCTTCTCATCATATGGCCCTACGAAGACTGCCTCAATCTCATTAATGGAGGACAATGAATACAGCTCTGAGGAGATCCGTCTACGATACTACCAAGCCGCCGCTGCTGGCCAGGAAGCTCAAGCTGATCAGGAAGCGACGCAAATGTACAACAAGATCGACCAGGACTATCAGAGCATCGTGAACAATGTCAACAACATTCCGAAATTTCTGGAGGAAGGAGAAAAGAAACGTCCCAACCGCCATGACTTCACTAACGTCGCGGAGTTTAATGGCAAGAAGACTCGTGACGAGTTCATTCAGCAATTCAGCCACGGAGCCGGCTCGGCTTTTGGGGCACCCACCAGCAATGCATTTGGATCTGGGTCAAGCTTTGGGTCCAGCGGAAGCAACTTCGGTCAGAGCCAGAGCAATTCGACGAACCCTTTTGCCAAGGCACCTTCTTCGACCTTTGGGCAGCCTACAGCTGCATCAAAGTTCGGAACCCTTCCAGCATTTGGCGGATCTGACATCACTACTTCGACCCCAGCGTTCGGCCATGCTTCTACCCCTGCTTTCGGACAAGGTGCTTTCGGAAAACCGGCGATGGGAAACACAGGATTTGGTCAGCCTGCATTTGGTTCGTCAAGCTTTGGACAAAGCGCACAGAAGAATCCCTTTGCTCCAGCGTCTGCATCAGGCGGTCTCGGTCAGACGCCGTCAGCTTTTGGTCAGCCATCCACCACAAACTCCGCCTTCGGCCAATCCCCTCAGACCAGTACAGCGTTTGGTCAGGCTCCTCAGACGACTAGTGCTTTTGGTCAACCTTCACAACCGCCCTCTAGCTTTGGACAGCCCTCACAGCCGACCTCTGCATTCGGCCAACCTTCACAGCCTACATCCTCGTTCGGACAGCCATCACAACCTACCTCCTCGTTTGGACAGCCGTCTCAGCCTGCTTCCGCATTTGGCCAGCCACCTCAGCCTACCTCAGGATTTGGCCAACCCGCACAGTCGAGCTCCGGTTTTGGTCAGCCGTCGCAGCCTACGTCTGCATTCGGCCAGCCAAGCCAGCCAACGAGCTCCTTCGGGCAACCTAGCCAGCCCTCTACGTTCGGCAAACCGGCTTTCGGCCAGACTGCTCAACCCAGCTCTACTTTTGGCCAGAACACACAGCAAAGCTCAAGTATAAGCACATCTTTCGGTCAGGCAGCTGCACCCAGCAGCGGCTTCAGCAACGCCACCAATGCTGGCTTTGGACAAGTTCAAGGTCAAAATGCAGGCTTCGGCAAGACGAACGACCAAGACATGGAGTCAGAGCCGACGGCGCGACCAAATCCATTCGGCGCACGCCCTGCTAGCTCAGCCGCCACTGCTACGCAGCCAGTTCAGCAGCAGCAAGGGACAGCCGCTTCCGCCTCAGGTGGTTTCAACCCCGTCAACCCACTCCTGGGCAAGCCCGCCGCTCCCCTTCACGTCACAGAAAGACTGCCCGCCCAGGATCCCACTTTCGACATGGGCGGTCGGCTGACTAGCTTCCGTGGTCAGTCCGTGACCTATATCGAGCCAGCACCGGTGGAGAAAACCGATCTTCCCGATGCCTACAGGGACATCAAAGCCGCCGAGGCGGCTGCATTCCCATGCTTCATACGCTCTGACACCAAGGAGCCGGAGAGAATATGGTATCCAAATGCAGGCAATGAAAAGACTCTACAAAGTTTGAACACGGAGGGGAAGCGGCTGGATTTTGAGGGTACACCGGAGGAATATACGGATGTGGTTAAGGAGGCGTATCGGCATTTGTATGAGACCGGATCGTGGAAAGATGGGAAGCTGCCGCTTGTGCCTCCGGCAAGGGAGATGGTGGCTTACGATTTCTAGGCGCTGAGAGCGCATGTTGTTGGAGTTTGCACGTTCTAGCGTAGGTATACAACTTACTTGTACCCGGAGGGTATGGTGTACGTGGTATTCGGGCTAAGACACACAACTGGGCTGTATAGTGCTTTCCCGTGCTTTCCCCTACTGAAGCATCCGTTGTGTGAACATCACAGTGGAAATGATAGGCACACGCCGGTACGCGGCATTTGAAGTACAAGTGTTGGAGCACCAAGTTTCACAGCAATGTCAGGCGAAAAAAATCTGGGCTCAGATGGATGTATTTGTTTCGTTGAGTCAGGGTATCAACCTTGGTTATCTGCGTGCCAGACCACGGCCACTGCCATTCAAGACTGGTCAAGAAACAGCAGCAGTCGAGAACCAATCCGACGCTCTTCTCATCGACTGCATTTAAGCAGCAATGGTGACCTCGACCTCGACACCAGCCTCAATGTTGATGATGATCTGCTTGACCACCTCGGTCGGCGCATTCAGATCGATCAGGCGCTTGTGGATGCGCATCTCGAAGAGATCCCAGGTCTTGGAACCCTCACCGCAAGGAGTCTTGCGGGTCGCGATCTGTTTAGGGCGTTTGTCAGTATATTTCCGTCTGCGTATTATCTGCGTTGCGCAGGAAGCGCAAGCGCGTTCCCGGCCGCAGCGAAGTGGGCGAGTCTTACCTTGAGAGTCTTGGTGGGGAGGCGAACGGGGCCCTTGACGCGCAGGTTCTTGCTCTTCGCGCGCTCGAGCAGCTCGGTGCACACCTTCTCGAGGGACTGGACCTTGCGCGAGGTAAGAGTGATGCGGATCTTGTGGACCTTGGGGCCCTCGCCGAAATCTTTCTCGGGCTTCTGGAAAGACATGTTGTCGGGTCTGGATTGGTTGTTCTTGGAGGGTGGATGAGAGATATGGGGGACGTGCGAGGGAGTCGGAGGCGCCAAACACGACCTGAACTGCTGTGGTTCGGTAAGGTGATGAAAGGCTGGAGAGGAGTATGGTAATGTCGTCGTTGACCTTGCGACGCTGCAAAAAACCGACGAAGTGCGCATTTTGCTGCGCCAAGATTTCGGTGAGACTAGTCCCGAACAGGCACGAGGGAGTTCACGGTCGACCTCGTGCCAAGAGTGGGTCGCGATCAGTGTGTCATCGCCCTCCACGATACATAATCCTCAACGAGATGCGGGTGGTCAATGTGACCACGGTAAGGACACCGCTAACGGCTCTGTTAAACGATGGAAGAAGTGCCAGGAATTCCACATACGATACCGCCGTTGGTGACCTATCCGGAGGAGAAGGTCAGAGCGAGTCTCCCCCCCGCAGAATGGCAAGCGTGCCTGGACTTGTGGCTGTTCAGCCTGGAATTTCGTCTGCGGCTCCCGGACGAACAATTCGCAAAGCTCGAGCATTCACGAGCAGCGTCAGGGTTGGATTATCTCAAGTCTTACGTCGACAATCACCCCAGTCCAACATTAGTCACCACTTCATCGAAGGAGGCACAAGTTCAACGGAGAACGTATCTTTTGTTGAAGCGGCTGTTGCTATCGACTCAGGCCATACCACATCTGGGAGCTTCATCCATCGTTGACTATGTCATAGCCGGCAGTGCTGTGTTCCAGGACCTCGCAGATTGGCCGCGTTTCGTGGGCGCCTTGACAGCCAAGTATCCCAAACAAGCCTCGGAAGGTTTCGACAAATGGAAAGCATCAGCTATGAAACAGCTCGACATGATGAAATCAACGGCCCGAGCCCAAGAGATACTGCGTTGCGTCAATGCGCTGCTCAAGGTATACGCAGAAGCCGGCGTGAGGCTGATGACCGGGTCCGATTACTTGGAGACCCTCATCGAGGTGTATCGTCGGCATGCGGCCTCGGCAGAAGATCAAGCCATGCAACAGGTCCTGACTGAGCATCTGTACCTGTGCTTGAGGAATCTGATGTCAGATAAGACCCGTCACCCCTCGCTTCTCCTTGATCAATTGTACATCCTCAGATCAGATTCGAACAAACCTGGCGTGAAGACAACGGAAAACAGAACGATACTCGCAGCATTGTTGTGCACGACTAGCTTTCTACGACATTTGGCTGGAGATGCTGCAGTGGTGGACTCCAAGCGTGGTGCGGACATGCTGGATGCTCTTATGACACACCGGGAGCAAACGAAACACCTCTTCCCAGCGCCTGTGCCACACCGACGGAAAGCTGCCAAAGGGAAAGGCAAGGTCGATGCCGCTGAAGAGTTGCACATACATCAGACCTCACAAGTGTCGCAGATCCATGAGCTCTTCCCCGATCTTCCCAATGGCTACATCCTGCGGCTGCTTGATCACTTCAATGACGATGTCGAGCAAGTGACAGCTGCGTTGCTCGAACCGGCATCCCTGCCTGGAGATTTACAGGAACCCAGTGCCTTCACAGACACCCCGATACCACAGCCAGACTTGGCACCTCGATCGACACCGCCTCCATTGCCTCAGAGGAAGAATGTCTTTGACAACGACGACTTTGACAAATTCAAAGTATCATCAAAACAGCTCCATAAGGGCCGCAGAGACATCAAAATCAACGAGCCGGAGACTATGGAAGAGCATAGCCGCAGTAAAGCAGCCATTATGGCAGCACTCTCCAGATTCGATGCAGATGATGATGAAAGGGATGACACATACGATGCCGCCGATGTCGGTGGTAGTGTCGACCAGAGCGTTGATACCGATAGTAGACCTCGTGCAGAGCCAACACTTGAACAAAGTCCGCATGAGGAGGTTTTGTACCGCGCTTGGAAGGACGATTCGAGTCTTTTTGCCCGAGACAGCAAAACCCGCATATCGAACGTGCGTCAGGACCTAAAGCGACAGACGGGCATGAGCGATGAGCAGATTGAGGGGTGGGCGATTATGCTGGGTCGGGATCCTGCACTACAACGCAAGATGCAACAAAAATATTCAGTCGTGAACACATTCATGGGCAACCAGAAAGGGCTAGAGCCAACGAGATGGCAGCAGAATACCTCTGGCGAGAACTCTATGGATGAAGCAGAGGGTCAGAGCAGCGATACGGCCAACAGTTCGGGCCGCGGAGGACGACCCTTTGGTAATCGTGGACGTGGTCGCGGAACACCCACATTTGTCACTCCATCGAGCGGTTCTCAGCAAGGCGCGCGAAGTCGTGGTAGGGGAAGGGGGGGTGGCCGACCGAATCACAACCGCAGAGAGGGCCGAGCTCGCAAGATGGGACGAGGAATGGCGGGAGCTCCTGCTGGTACATAACGCATCATTAGTCACCCAAGACGCTGCTTGAAGGCCGCGCTAAAGGAACCGACGCGGCTGTGCCACGCTTACCGCGTTCTGACGCGCTCCTGCCTGTTGTATAGCGCCGGCTCCACAACGGCAGCCTAACCTCAATAGAGTTTAGCGTACGATACACCTTCCAGGCCACTGTCTCTTCACATTTAGGCGGTGTCGCTGATGGGCTGTAACAACCTCGAGCTGCTTTCAATCGGTGATTAACCGTCAGTAGGCATAATTCGCGGGATCAGGCCGCGTTTGTTGCATCCGACAGTGAATGACCGCGTCTGACCAATCCAGTTCACATTCGATCGAGGCTCAGCTCGCCAAGCTTCAGATTTGTTTGACAATCGACTGCATTTGCCAACCACAAAGCGAGCGCCCGTCTTCAAACGCTTTCTCTTCGAGTATCGCATACTTCTACGACCTGGGCCTCTCCTATCATTTTAACCGGAAAGAGTCTCTGGCGTTAGTGTTGTCTTTGCGGTCCCTCACGTGGCCGCCCCGCAAGGCAACGCAGCACGTGCCACAACTCTCCGCGCCCGACTATTTCGGTTCTTATGATGCTAGACACGATCTACGATTTCTAGTGCGACTTTGATGGCAATGGACAGCCTAGCTGGAGGCGAGCTATCCAGCTACAGTACTCCGAACATTCTCCACGCACTAGCGCTGATACACAATCCCACAACCAAGAACCAGATTCGTCGGCAAGCATCAGACTATCTTGACCAGCTCAAGTCAAGCCAGGGTGCCTTGCAGCATGGCCTCGCCTTGGGAGTCGACCAGAGTCAGCAGCCACTTGTTCGACACTTCGGCTTGTCCTTACTGGAACATGTTGTCAAGCATCAATCTCACGAGTTAAGTGACGTCCAGAATGAAGAGCTTAGGAGATGCATCATCGATCTTGGAAGGAGCATCACAGCTCAAGATCCTCTTTTCGTTCGCAACAAGGTTGCGGAGTTGTGGGTGGACCTGGCTAAAAGGAGCTGGGCATTGGACTGGCTAGATCTCGACCAGCTCTTGTGCCAAAGCTGGGAGCAATCAAATATTCACAAGAGTTTCGTCCTCACTGTCCTGGAGAACCTCTCGGAAGACACCTTTTTTCGCGACGATCCGACGGCCATTTTGAGGGGAAGGGACCTCAACGCTGCGCTGGTAGAAATTTTCACCTCGACTTCCGACTATGGTGGCGGCATCAGAGTCGGTGAGACCATACACCACATGCGCTGTGGTGATGAAGGCTGGCTCTTCAGGATCTCAAGCTTCCTCCAGGGCTCTTTCGGCCACGTGGGCGAAGATGCCGATGCGAAAACGACAACGCTGAAGGCCATCGCCACACTTCGGTCGGCTTTCGGTTGGGTAATGGCTCCCGCCATCGAGACTGCGGGCTGTCTTCTCGTCACTTGCAATTGCCTTACCCGCAGTGACGAGGACATAATTATTTCTGCCCTTGATGCTCTGATTGCGCTCTACAGTCGCCAGCACCTCCAGGACGCGGAGGTTCAGACCCTTGTGTATTCCCTTTGCCAAGCAGAAAGTGTTGGCATACTACGCCAGGTTTACTCCTGGTCTATCGTCAGCGTTGATGACATCCTTACCCAGCGATACACGATATCCAAGAAGTTATCGGAATTGGTCTCGCTCTTATCCGATCTTGTCACCCGGACAGCCCCTCCAGAGTCCTCCTCTATGGACATTACAGCCTTTCTGAACTTCATGATCGCAATTGCTCAACACGATAGCCTAATCGTGTCAATTCCTGCAGTACACTCTTGGGAGCGTCTCTTTGCAATGCCCTCATGGCGCCGAAGCGAAGCTGTGTCTGGCTGTGTCTCTACTCTCCTAGATGTAGTATGTCCACGACTGCTGCAATACGACCAATTACCGGAAGACACAGATGAACCGGCAGTGATCTTTGTCAATGAAGAGATTGAGATTTTCCCCGAGCGGCAGGGGTTTTACTTGAACTACCGCCGGTTGTGTTCCTCAGTCGTGGAATGGGTGTGCTATGTACACTTGGAGCATGCTACAGACTTTGTCTTATCTCAAGTCGAGACTGCTCTCGGCCGGGTCCGCACCGAGGATGCCGCCTTCAACCCTGCCGATTACAGACGCATCAGTCCACTCGGTCTCCGCGCCGATACGCAGTTCTCTATCACGGATGCTGCATTCAAAGGTTTAGATAAATACCTGTCTGGGTCAAGGGCTCATGCCACCGAGGAGACGAAAGAGATAGGTGAGAGAGTACGCGAGAGATGCAAGGCCTGGGCTTTGCGTATGCTGGCCGACCATCGTTTCAAGGACCCATCGATCACGCAGCGACAAGTCAAAACCGCAGTTGAGATATCGGCCCGAGCTTTCCAAAGCGATACTGGCTTTGCCGTGGCAGTCCTAGAACATATTCTAGCCTCCTTCATGCCTGCCAAGCCCGAATATCCAGCATATTCCGACGGCGTGACCGAGCTTCACTCATACAATGCCATGGAGCTACGTCGCCTAGCCCAGTCCCATGCTGATTATTTTGCCTCTTTCTATGAGCAACTTAGCGGCAAGTTTGGGGACCTGATATCAACGCTCAATATGGACCCAAGGATTCAGACAGACCTTAAATCCATTTTATTCTTGATCTTGCAGCGAGCGTCCAGTACAGATCCCGAACAGCAGCGATCCAGGCTCTGGACCTTTTTGGAACCTATTTCCAACGCCTGGAATGATCCCTCGCTGCAAGAGGCACTGTCTAGCTTCCAAAACTACACCAGATCGCAAAACTTTGATGCGGTCGGACCATTTCTTTCATCAGTCAACGCCGGCCAATTAGAAGAATGGACATCCACCTTCACCAACGAGAACGGGCGGCGGGTTCAGCAACAAATGGTCGAAGCTTACAACCAGGTACCACTACGCGAAGCACGCATTCTTCTGAGTACTTCGACGGAGCGGCTGGAGCAAGACTCCCCTGTGCACCACATGATCTGCGATTTGTGGACGCCAATAATGCCCCAGATCCTGCGTGGGGTCCTCCAGATTGCCAGCTACAATCATCAATTGCATAATCCAGATTCGTGGCCAAATGTATCGCCAGATCTGGCTCCAACGATCAAACGCGTCCTCCGTGACCGTTACTGGCAGTCAGGCATCTCTGAAGGATCAATGAACGACTTTCATTCCAAAGTCAAGCAGACCAAATCCACATTGGAGGGTTTCGCGTCCTCAGTGCGCGGACGGATTCGCACTAATCTTGAACAGTGCTACAGCATCATTCACACATTAGGTCGACTGGGAGAAAGATTTTACAGCATTCCTCAGGTTCCCGAGTTGATTGCAGAAGCATTGATCTCGACCACGGGACCGTTGAGCCCTCACCACTTTTCTGTTCTACTTCTGATGCTACCGAAGCTGATCGAGGAGTGCCCGCCAGCGCTACGTCAACATTTCCTGACTCCAATTCTGTCTATGCTGCTTCAGCAAATCGATCACAAGCTTGTTACTGAATGGCAGACCATGGAAGTAAGAAAGCAGACAATGCAAGAGGGAGAGAGCCTAAGTGACGAAATGCGTGACGAGTCCGTCCTCCGTCAGACGACCTACAAAGCTGTCAACATGGTCTCTTTATGGCTGAGTCCCAGACGCGAGTTCGAGCTGACCGCTAAGAAGTCCATCGTCAATGGTGCTCATCTCATGAACGGCAACAAGTCGCAGACGATGTCTGAGTTCGTCCTATCCAACCACCGCGTACTAGAGCCACTTCTCGTCTTCACCACACACGCCCTTACATTCAAGGATACGAAGGCCACTCAGACCATGATTGTCACTGCGCAACGCATCATCCCCGCCTTTGTGAACGAGCAATATCTCCAGGGCGAGGGAGCAGCATCCGTGCGAGAATACATCTCGACGGAGATACTAAAAGCTGCTATCACTGCTCTCAACGACAGCCACTTCGCCGACTACCAGCAACACTATGCCCACCTGATCGCCAATATCTGGCTTGCGTACGGATTACCTGCCCACGTCCCAGCCACTGACAATCACCCGGCCCACGACCGTCCATCGCTGACTGAAACGCCTCGCAATGTCTTGCTTAGTCTACCGAACATGGACGTGGCCAAGGTCGACGCAGCTGCAGAGAAACTTCTCAAGGAGGGCATAAATGGCAAACCAAAAAGACTCCGCGCTATTGTACTGCATCTTCTGGAGGGCGTTCGCGGAGTTAGAATCAGCGACTTGGGTAAGATCGACACGCGTGCGCAGCAGAGCAGGATACTGGAGAAGTACAAACAGCGCGAGAGTTTGGCTATGCAAGGTATTGATGGTAGAGCAGAAACGGAAGGCCCAGATTTGGGAGGTGTGGCGGATATGTTCGGTGAGACTTGAGATCGTGTAGCGGCCCAGAAGGGTAGACAGAGGTCTGAGCATTGCGTAGGCATCATGACAACCCGACCAGAGTTCCGCGAGTCTGATTCAGCACTGCATGCCTTTAGCAAGCACATAGCCAAGGGGACGGATGTTCGTGCTCGCACAGGATGGATGCTTCGATGTATCGCTTGTTCGTGTGGGTTTCAGGCCATATGTACAAGCTTCAGCCTCAAGCTCTTTCTTCATGGCGATCTTGTCATGCAGACCACCAATCCGTAGCTGTTGTAACAATTCGGCACCCGTCATCAATATGTGCCGCGCTCGCCTTTCGAGTCAACGCCAGCGTCTTGCTCGCCCTCTTCTCCAAGCCCCACATCATTGCGACCGTCCCGGACTCGGCGAGAATGTCGGCCGTACAAACCTGCAAGTGCATCAAACATTAGCAACATAAACCAAATTGGACCCCCGGCCGAAGAGCTCTCTCTACTCTTTAAAATCCACTCAAACAATAAAACATACCGATCAGAGTTATACGCCCTAGTCTCGCTGCCCAACAACTGCTTCTCTCGCGCCAGGTCGGCGTAGTACCTGCGAGCCTGGTCTCGGTCCTCCTCCGCCTGCAGCAGGGGCGTCAGGTGAATACGGGCCCACGCCTTCTCGCGCGCGTACTCGATCTTCTCGCGCTGGCCGTGGAAAAGGTGGTACCAGCCGTAGCCGACGACGCCGCCCATGATGGCCATGTACCAGATGGGGCGGAGGCCGCGGGTGGGGATGTTGCGCTGTCGAGCGGGTTAGTGTGGGTGGGCGAGGATCTTTGCGCGGGACGGAGAGAGAGAGGGGCGGGAGGGAGGATGAGGAGGGCTTTTGGGGGATTGTCGTGGGAAGAGAGGGGTGGTATGACGAACGCGGTATTGGACGGCATCGTAGCCTCCCGTAGGAGGGAGATCTTGAGGCATGGTCGTGCGAGTCTGAGGAGGGTGCGCTGCGATAGTGAGAGCTGTCGTTGGTGCTGGCTGGAGCTGCGGTGGACTGCGGTCATAAGTCACGTGGATGGAGGGCTATGCCAAGGCGCTAAGTGTATAAATGGTTTTTGGATACTTCTTCTTTTACGTGGAGGTATTTTAAGCCTCATTCATAGTTGGACGACATTCTATCGACCACGGACCAAGGGGAAGCATACCAAAGAGCTGTTCTAGGTGAGATTTAATGCATGAGTTGGAGTATAATGGCGGAAGGACGACCGACCAAACTGCGAAAGCTCTCCCATACCAACTCTGGTGGTGATGGTGTCGATGTCGCCTCGAATGATTCTGGATCTCCCGACATTGTCGTTGATGAAGATGTTGATCAGTCCCGCGGCCCAGAAGACGGGACTAACGAGGCTCCTGAGGCCAATGGGACCTCGCCAGACCAGAATGGGGAAGCCAAGTCGATGTCCAAAAACCAACTGAAGAAGCTACGCAAGCGCCAGGAGTGGGAAGCAGGCCGGGACTATCGCAAAGCCAAACGCAAGCAGAAAGCCAAGGAGAAGAAAGAGCGGAAGCGGGCAAGCAAGGAGGAACGTAGGGTCAACGGAGTGCTCGAGGAACCTCAGTCGAGGAAGCCCCGGAACCCTGTCCAGCTGCCGATCACCTTCATCATCGACTGTGGCTTCGATGACTTGATGATGGAGAAGGAGATGATTTCGTTGGGATCTCAGATCACGCGAGCCTATTCGGACAATTCGCGCTCGACTTACCAAGCTCACATTGCCGTCAGCTCTTGGGGAGGCAAACTGAGGGAGAGGTTCGATACCAGGCTCAGTGGCAACTACAAAAAGTGGAGAGGGATTACGTTTTTGGAAGAGGATTTCGTGGACGTGGCCGAGAGAGCTACTCGGTGGATGGCTGATCCAAAACGGAACAAGATGGCCGGTGCGTTCCTGAAGCATGCTAAGCCACAAGCAAGTCAGGAAAGCCAAGCTTCAAAGGAGAGCATCTATCCTTCCGAAGCTGGCCGAGATGAAGAAGATGTTCAACCCAAGCCTGATGAGCACGATGACTCTTCCTCAAAGGCGAGACAGGAGCACAAAGAGTCAGACCGATCCTCAGCTGGGCAGCCTGAGTCCGCGCAAAAGGAGTCCGACGAATCTAACGGCACCACCGCTCCCAATTCCTCGCAAGCGGTCGAGGGTGAGATCATCTACCTCAGCTCCGACTCACAATTCACGCTGGAAGAACTCAAGCCCAACAGCACGTACATCATCGGTGGTCTGGTAGACAAGAACAGACACAAGGGCATCTGTCACAAGATCGCAGGCGAGAAGGGAGTGCGCACGGCCAAGCTTCCCATCGGCGAGTACATGGAGATGCAGAGTCGGTCTGTCCTCGCCACGAACCATGTGAATGAGATCATGCTGCGGTGGCTGGAGTGCGGCGACTGGGGCCAGGCTTTTATGCAGGTGATTCCGAAAAGGAAGGGTGGGAAGCTGCGGGATCAGGACGATGATGCGGCGGATGCGAGGGCTGCTGATGACGATGATGGTATGGACGATGTGACTTCTGCGGATGGCGAGAATGATGAGGGCGTTGGGCAACCCGTTGACGCGGAGCCAATTCAAGACGACGAAACAACAGGAGAGACTTCAGTGCTCCCATAGTATTCGTATCAGATTCGAGCGGCACCAGAAGCTCAAGGTCTCCAACGGCCCTTCCACTGCAACGAGAATGAAATCCAAGTCGTCAGACTGTATGTACAGCTATGTTCTGCCAATGCTATTACGCCCCAATCGGTGGGGAAAGCCGTACCCCTGCAACGCTCAACTACTCGATTACGCCAGAGCTAGAAACGAAGCACTACCAAGGCCAGGGATGAAAACTCCTCATCATCCTCCTTTTTGCAGCCATTGGAACCGAGTTCACATGATAGAACAGTTCTGCGCCACCTTGGCCATCGTTTCGAAATAGCCGTACTCCTCATCCTCAACTTCTCCGCCAGCGACGCCCAGCTTCCTCCTCACACCCGTCACCTTGATAGTCTGCTCACCCTCACCGTGCCACCACTTCAACGTCTGCATCGTCTCGCCTTCCACATCCTTCAGCTCGATCATCCACTTCCCGCCACTCACCTCCACGTGCGATTTGTCGCCTGGGAAGTGGAAGTCTGGCAGGAACATCTCGGTGCACACCTCTTCGGTGCAGGGCTTGTTGGCAACGAGGCTGAATGTGAAGACGCAGTTGCGGAGATCGAAGCCGTACTTGACCACATCGCCTACGGTGTGCAGTGGAGATGGTCGTATGAAGGCTTCGGCGGCGCGCAAACCGGGTGACTTGGGCTCTGCGTTCGCTTTGGATGTGGAGGCGGCAGAGATGGACGGGCTCTTTACGTGGCGGTTGAGGTTAGATGGATCGACCACGGGGCTGTGGGTAGATCCTTTGTCCAGCGAGAGGGTCGAGGCGCCGGCCGAAGGAAGGAGGGTGGCTTTGCTGACGGGAACGCTATCGTCGATACAGTAGATCGAGAGATCTTCGCCATTCCAGTTTTCGCCCCATTGGTGGTTGTTGTGGCCAGCATATGTCCATAGTGTATAACCGTTCGCGCTGCTGCCTTCAAGAGCAAAGTGATTGGCGTCCAACGCGGACACCTGGCTGCTGAAGTCGCCCGTGCGGTAAGCATAGCCATTGTCCATATCATAGGGAATTCCAATTTCAGTAAAGAGGAAAGGGTGCGAGCCTGTCATTTCAGTCGCCTCCTTGCGCAGGTAGTCCAGTTGATCTCGAAGGGAGTTCCTGATGGCTGTCTCACCAATCTTCACAGCGAATGCAGGCGACGAATACTTGCCGCGCATGAAGCCGACGATGTCGAAGTTCCAGAACTTATTCCAGTGCTTGTTGAGCAGGGTGACACCATCATAGTAATGGGATGCAAATATCAGTCGGTTGTCATCGTCTGGGGTACCCTTGATGTTCGGTGGTATTTCCAGCACTGGTGCTTCCATGAGGATAACAGCGTCTTTGTGGACACTTCGAATAGCATCCCTGTATTTCCGATAGTGATCGAGAAAGTATGTGTTAGTGAACCGATCATAGTCGAGCTTTTCGCCCGTTTTCGGGACTTTCGAGAAGTAGTCTTTCTGTAACAGCTGATCTTGACTCGGATCCCAAACCCCTATCTGAGCCCACAGACATTCGCCCAACTTCCAACTTGGATCTCTTTTCCAGGTATACTGCTCATCGATTGCCGGAGCAGCCCACGCTGACACGCCTTGTGGATCAACCAACTCAGTGCCACTTTTGTACGGGCCAAAGCTGCCAAAATCCCATACATCAATCTCAAGGGCACGGCCCGACCCAGTGAGTAACGATTGCCATGGAGTGGGCATGGTTCCCTTCCTCATCTTCAAGCTGTCCGGAATCGCACTCATGTCTTCCCAGCCCACGAGGCCTCGATGTGGTTCGTTCATGCTTTCCCAGCCAATCACGCACACATCTTCCAAGTCTCCGGCCTCATGAATGCCTTTGGCTAATTGTGTGCAAGACTCGATGAAGTGGTCTGTAAGGTAGTCTTGGATATTCTTGCCATCAATCATAGCGTTGGGAGCGAAGTCGCGACCAGCGTAGAACAGAGTGAACGTCGTTTCGGTCGCAAGTCGCGTGTAGTTCGTAGGCCACAGCATCTTAGGGAAGTCACTGACATCGGACCAGGTGTTATGCACAACCGCAGCCTGGGTGTCAACAAACTTCTCCGGATCCAGGCCACAGGCGTGCAGAGTCCATAGCGGTGCTCCTGATCCGCCAGTGAACCGCGACCAAACATCCTGGTGGGGATCCATGAAGACGTAGAACCCGTAGCTTTTCGCTATCCTCAAGATCTTGACGGTATGTGCAATAAAGTCGGCGTCATATATGCCCGGGCCTGCGTGCTCGAGCGCCTCCCACGTGAAGATGTATCGTATCACATTGTATCCCCATCTCTTTAGCCTCGCAAAGTGTTCGTGCGCCTCTTGCTCGTTGTATGGCCTGTCTACAAAGGACACATTGGGGTCGAAGAATCTCTTGCGCTCGTATGTCGGCTGGTCTGGATGCCGTGGCATCTTACAACCAGCGTCTACATTGATCCCCCGAAAAGTGACTTCCCGCCCTTCCGCATCTCGTATCCGTTGGCCATCGAGTCTGAGAGGATGATTCGCCATGGTGGCACTATTGCGGTGCTGGAAGAGGAAGCATGCGGATAGGGGCGGTCACTTCTCAAATGCAAAGCGGAAGAGTGGGTGGATCCAGATCAATTGCATCAATCGTAGCAACCGGCGCGAGGGAAGATGCAATGGTCAGATGAGCGTAGGAGCTATGGCACGGATCTATACTGCAGAGAGAAATATCATGCGAAGCCAGCGAAGGACGTCATGCACGCGTTCTGGATCTGAGGCGGCCCGGCCGGGGATTATTCCGGGGGCGGTACTCGACGCCTAATTATGATGCCACCTCCCTTGACTCGTACCACCGCCAATGCTCACTGGAATCACTACGGAAGTACACGCACAGACCCTCGAACGCATTTTGCTCAGTCACAACATGTACCTCATGTCAACCGTTTCCACAGAGTGCGAAGAAGGTACATGACGAAGACACTTGCCGGAAGAGGATTAGTGTGGCCGCCTTCTTGGATGAAGTCTGCCCGGCGAGCAACAACTGGACGATCCATCACTGTACAGACGCTGCACGTGGCTTCGCGGGTCACGGTTTACGATGTCGGCGAGTTCGGCCCTGAAGTCGATTCGGGGTAAAATAGCGAAGAGTCACTATCAAGAGGCTGTCGACGAGGCCGGACAGTTACTGGCCCATGATCCCCAAAACCACTCGGCTTTGCTTTTTCTAGGCTTCGCCCATGAGAAACTGGACAATCTTGACGCCGCAGAATCGAGCCTAGCATCAGCAGCCAAGCTCAAGCCAGGGGATGTGAATGCCTACAAGGGTCTCATCAACATCTACGAAAAACAAAATGGTGCCAAGCTCACCCAGTACCACAACACCACTCTCCTCCTCGCTGAAATCTATGCCGATCAAGACGACAGAGAGCAATGTCAGACCGTTGTGGATAGGTATGAGACATTTGCGAAGAAACATGGTACCCCAGAGCAATACCGCCACGCTTTGGAACTAATCCTCCCTTCCTCGCCACTCTACGCTACTCTTGAAGGACGTGTGCTGAAGCCATCACTTGCTTACCAAAGAATTCTGGAGTCGGCGGAGACAGAAGAGAAGCATTGGACCAAGTCTCAGATTGCCGAGCGCAGAACGAGGCTAGGAGCGAGGATTGATAAGGTCACGGCCGAAGTCAACCTTGAAGCAGCTGCCAAATTCCAGATCGAGGATAAGTACACTGCTTTGATTGACTGGATTCAAGACGATGAATTGCGGCATGAGCTTGAGCAGAAACGCTTTGATCGTATGTACGACAATCTTCTCGTTCTGCCACCCTCGGAGAAACCTGCACAGAGAGACAAAGTCCTCAACGCAGCAAACGGAATTGTTATCATCAAGCAACAGTTTCCCGCAGCATGGAAGGTTGCTCTGGAGTGGGTCGACGCAGAAGACCTCTATGACTGGGATCCTAAACTATTTCGAGAGTACATAGGCTACTTTCCCGAGGACGGTCTATCTAAAGTCCTGCGTGGCTTCCTCGGCGGTGAAGCTTCTCCATTTCCCAGGGAAGAAGAAGCCGAGCAAACCGAAGATTATCCTACGCCAAAACTATCTGAGGCGGAGTCACTCATCTTGATGAATGAAGGCTTGGAAGACTGTGCCGACTCGCCTTTGGCACACCGTATTGTCGCTCATGCCTACTCATACCTCGAAGAATGGCGGGAGGCTGTCCAGTATGCCGAGAAGGCTTACAGCCTGCATCTTGAGGCGCAGAAGAAGTTTGCGGTCTCCCTTCAGAATAGTATTGATGGTGTCAATCTTACACTGGCCACCTCCCTGATCTACTACCAGTCGCCTCGCCACCATCAGCGATCCAGATCTCTATTTGAAGCAATATTAGCCCGCAAGTCCAAGCTGACCGCTGCTTTACTTGGCGTCGGTCTAATATATGAGGAAGATGACGACTTCTCCAAGGCGATTGGGTATCTGCAACCAGCTTCCGAGCGGGATCCGGATAACCTACGCATCCGTTGCGAGCTTGCCTGGTGCCGGGCTAGGGCAGGAGACCTGGGAACAGGTCTTGACCAATTGACAGAAATTGACCAGGTACTGCAGGGTGAGCAGCCTGTCAACACGAAGATGAGAGCCGAGGTGTTGTATCGCATCGCTTATTGCAAGTGGCACTTGAACCCGTCTGCGAAGGCCAGAAAAGACAAAGACGGTGCGTACGGCGATCTTATGGCCAGCGTCAAAGCCAATGCCAGCTACGCTCCTGCTTGGGCTCTCCTCGGCACTTTTTTCCAGAGATACACTAGAAAGAGAGACAAAGCACGCAAAGCCCTACGTACCGCATTCGAGCTATCTTCCGCGGAACTTGAAGCGGCGGAGGCCCTTGCCAAAGACTATGCTGAGTCCGGCGAGTGGGACTTTGTCGAATTGGTTGCGCAAAGAGTGGCTCGTTCTGATGCTGCCAAGGTCTGGCCCGGTTCCAGAAAGAAGGCGCCTAGCTGGCCTCATGCAGCGATGGGCGTCGTCAATATCAACAAGCAGCAATATTCGCAGAGCATCGTGTGCTTTCAATCGGCTTTGCGCATCAACCCGTCGGAGTACCACTCTTGGGTTGGCCTCGGCGAGAGCTATCTTGACTCAGGGCGGTACGTGTCCGCGGCGAGGGCATTCGCGAAAGCCGAAAGTATCGACCACGGTCTTTCAGAAGAGCAGACCTGGTTCGCCAAATACATGCTCGCCAACGTCCAGAAGGAGATGGGTGTGTTTGACGAAGCTATTGAGTCTTATGAATCAACTCTCAAGGTTAAGATCGATGAACTTGGTATGCTCATCGCATTGCTTCAAACGTTTGCGGACAATGCTTGGGCCAAAATTGGCCAGGGTCGTTACGGTGCAGCCGAGAAACTTGCAACAAGGGCCATCGATACCGCTCTACACATCGTTGAACAGCGCAAAGACGTTTTCAACCTTTGGAAGTCTGTTGGGGATGCCTGTTCAGCTCTTGCCCACGTCAAGAATCACTCAAATTTCTCAAATATTGCCAAGATCAACAGACTCCTTCGCTTCAAGGCTGGCGAACATGAGCTTGAAACCTTTGCCGAACATGACGGCTTCAGCATCGATACGACACAGAGCCAAGAAGGAGCGACAGTTGACAACCTCGCTGATCAATTCCTTGCGGCGGCAGTCCTTGCTCACAAGCGTGGCATCTTTGTCGCATCGCTTGATATTCATGCACAGGCTGTGTCATGGTACAACTTGGGATGGGCCGAGTATCGTGCTTACAACTCCGCCGGTATGTCGCTGCAAAACAAAGGAAATAAGCCGAAGCGGCTTCTCAAAGCCGCCATGCGATGTTTCAAACATGCAATCGAGCTTGAGGCGAGCAATGCCGATTTCTGGAACGCTTTGGGTGTGGTGACGCTAACGTTGAGCCCGAAAGTCTCCCAACATTCGTTCGTACGCAGTATACACCTGAACGAGTTCAGCGCCCGCGCATGGACAAACCTTGGCGTTTTGTATCTCGTACAAAATGACAGCCAGCTTGCAAATGAAGCCTTCACGAGGGCTCAGTCCGCAGATCCAGAGTATGCTGAAGCCTGGCTTGGCCAAGGCCTGGTGGCTACTTTGACCGGCAACACAACCGAGGCACGATCGTTGTTCACGCACGCTTTCGAGATTTCGGACGCGAGTCTTCTGCCGGCACGACATCTATACTCTGCATCGGTATTTGACCACATCGCTGGAGACCTGAGGCAGTCCGACAATCTTGTCAGTCTCCTCAATCCTCTGTTAGCGGTTCGCCAACTGCATGTCTTGTCACCCGCAAACGTGGCTGCCTCACATCTGATGGGACTTTACGCTGAACGTGTTGGAGACTTCGACTCAGCAGTCCTCGTCCTGGAAGAGGTCTGCAAGGTGTTGGAAGAGGGGTATGAAAAATCAGAATCCGACGAGCACTTAGCGCGGTTTGCTCAGGCGAAGGCGGATCTTGCGCGTGCGTACCTGGGAAAGCTTGACTTCGAAAATGCTGTGGATGCAGCAAATGTCGTGCTTGACCTCTCAGCTGAAGACAACATGAGTCCTGCTTACAGAGATGTTCGCACAAAGATGAGATTGTCGGCGCACATGACCGCTGGGCTAGCTCATAGCCACCAGAAATCTGTGGAAGAAGCAATCGAGATGTTTCAAACGGCTCTTCAAGAATCTCCTGGTGATCCTGACATCATCTGCTTGCTTGCACAAGTTCTGTGGGCAAAAGGGGGCGAGGAAGAAAAGGAGATTGCGAGATCCAATCTCTTCGATCTGGTGGAGGCGCGCCCGGACCACGTACAGGCCGTATGCTTGTTGGCCGTCATTGGTCTTGCCGATAGTAACGAGGACATTATTGATGCTGTAACAGAAGCTTTGGAGGATTTGGAGAAGAACAGCGCCGTCTCGGACGTCGACAAGCTTCGTGTTAGCCAGGTGCTGGCGGGTATACGAGCCAAGCAGCCAGCAGAGTCGCAAGAAAAGGTTCGGCAGGCGACTGCGAGTATTGCACTTGCCCCCGGGCAGCCTCAAGGATGGCTCGCCCTGTTTGAAGCCACTGGCAATGAGACAGCTGCCGAGTTGGCGAAGGGCAATGTCGAACGTCAGATTCCGCCGAAGGGGAGTCTGGAGGCCGCAGATGTCGCTTCGGTATTTGCTGGGATCGGAAGCGCGGAGGAAATCCAACTGGCGAAGGTGTTGGCCCCCTGGAAAATTCGAGACGTGGAGAGTGTGCCACTTCTCGAAGCCTTGTAAAAGTCTCAAACAAGAGCACGAATCCTTGGGGCATACATGGAGGATGCCGAAACGAGAGACAGAAGACCCAGCAGCCCTCAATTGAGAAGATCTCAACCACCATTTCTTGCAAGTCACGCCTCTCCGTTGCCATTGCCTGTAGCCTCTTCAATCAGCCTCTTCTTTCGATCCTCCTTCCACTTCTTGTCCCAGGGCTCTATCTTGCCACCTAACACCCTTACATCCCTCGCCGTCAGCATCACCATACCCCTCCTCACCACCGTTCCGGCCTGCAGCACGATTTTGCACCCGATACTCAAACCATCCTCGCCGATCCACAACCTCGGCACGTTCTCCAGCTCGAAGCCCAGCACATTCGTCCCCGCCGCGTCCTGCAGCACAACCTTGTGCGGACCTTGACTGCGCTTCGATGCAGACGTGGCCTGGTTCGCGTTCGCGTTCGCGCCACTGCCTCTCCCCCTCCCTCGACCACCACCACCACCAGCGTCTCCTTCATCACTCTCCTCCAGCGCCGCGACGGTGCGTATAACCTCCCGGCCCCTGACTTCCTCGCCACGCTCGACGCGCTCGATCGCCTCCACCTGCGACCACTTGCTGCTGCCCACGTCCTGGATGTCGAGGATCTGCACCGCCACGGGTCCCGGGAGGCGTAGTTCCTTGGTGGCGACGTTGCTGATGTCGCGCGGCAGGAGCGTGGCGGCGTGGTCGGAGCTGAGGGACGTGGTGAGGTCGGAGGCGAGGATCCGGAAGTGGGCGGTGGAGGTGAGGGCGGGGAGCGGCGGGTGGGGTTGGCGCGTGGAGGAGAGGAAGTGGGTGAGCCAGGTGGCGGAGGCGGGGAGGGAGTAGCGGGTGATGAGGGCGGATGAGAGGGCGGTCTGAAGAGCGGTGCTTTTGTTTGCTGTGGCGGCCATAAGGGCGGCTGAAGGTGACTAACGGTGATGTACCACGGGTATATTGCATGCCAAGCGGCGCGAGAGTCAAGGTCAGTGGCTACCGGGGCGGAGGGGCGTCCGCTTCCCGCTGCTGCAGCTCAACGAGGCCAAGTGGGACCTACGTTGAGATGTCTCGCCGCGGTGCTAGAGAAGCAGTTGCAATCGATGGGATGGACTTGGCTGAGGCACATCTCTGCTGGCCACGCCTGGTGCCATCGCATAGACACGACTGCGAGTAGACCGCAGAGAACATCGCGACGCTATTCCCGTTTAAGCATTAGCGCCCCTCACCTGAAAGTCAGAGGACAGTGGAAGCCATGGCGACGGCAGGCTGTCCATCACTCTATATCAAGCTCCTGAATCGCTAGATAAGCTCGGGTCATGTCGATGAGAGTTCTGCAGCTCCTCTCGTTCCAATAACGTAAAAGTCGCGAGCATTAATGCTATCAGTCCCTCCAACCAAATGCCGCCGCAAAAAACCCTGTTCCGGCAGCGCATCTCGTCTACTTCAAAAGGAATGAAAGCCGGCCCTGCGTCTCGCCTGTCTGCGTAGCGCTTTATCAGCCCCTCCTAGTCGGCACCCCTGCGCAGTAGGCGTTTTCTTCAAAAGCGCGTGCGGGGCTGCCCTGGACTCCGCAGCTTTCACCCACCCAAAGGCTTTGCCCAGTACTACCAGATATGGACAGAGGTCTCTCGCCATGGCCAACAAGTTCCTCATCTGGCCATAGTGAAGACAATTCTCCCCCACCTTCTGCGTCGCAAAAGAAACCCTCGAAGCCCAAACAGACGTTCCTCTTTGTCAATAAAAACGCCAAGTCCGAGCATTTGTCCCGAAGCGCGGCCCCAGACGAGCGGCTCGAGATTCGACGCCATGTCAAGCAGAACCTGGATCGTCGCGACCGCGTCCGGCGTGGTCGAAGGGTCGAAGTAGCCCCATCGACTGCGAGCCGCATTGCTCGGGAGGGTTTCCAACTTGTTGATTCGTCCAGCTCAACCTCACCAGATTCAACACCTAGCACGAATGCAGGGACCAAGGCAGGCTTTAAGTGGACTTTCTCCGATAAGGCTGATGACTACGATGAAGAAGATCACGACACGCTTCAGGAACATCAGGATAAGCTCATTGTACGAAGACGTATCCAGCAGCAGCAGCAGCAGCAGCGAATGATCCAGCCGGGAGTCGATCCTGCGCGGATGGTAGATCCGAGCGGCTCAGCGCCCCTCGAAATGAACAAGACCGCACTCAAAGTCATTCAGCTATACATGAGGATGTCGAGCATGGACAAAGACCAGCAATCTGATCTGAAACGCGCACCCGGAAGCGTGGTCCGCTACAACAAGATTGCATCCTCGAGCCTGTCTCAGGCCTTCTCCAGCAGAGTGCGACTCGCGTGTCTAATCGCTGCAACGGGAGCAAGCATGGCCGTTGTCTACAAGAACATGTCCTACGTCGACGCTATGTACCTTGCTCAAAGAGCGGTCGCGTTGACTCGGCAGCAGCTGGCGACTGAGTCCCAGGTTAGCCCGGATCACTTCTACGTGGCGTATATTCTCTTCGTCACTGAAACCTACTACGGCAATACCGAGGCGGCTATCATACATCTTCGGGCTGCGCGGTCGGTATGGTCGCAGCTCGGAGGATACGACAACATTGACGGTCCTAATCGAGACTTGTTCTTGAGTATTGCCTTCTTTCAACAGTTCATCGAGTACTGGAATGCTGATCCTCCGATTCAACCTTTCTGGACACCAGCCGATTCGCCGTGGCCTCCTGAGATTATCATACCTCCAGGCAGAAGTACTTTGGCAAGTCCGAAAGAATTTTCACCTGGCAAGTCGGACATTCTATCACGACCTGACGTACACTTCTTCCTCCAGGAGATCGTGTCTTACGCGCAAAATCTTCAGCAAGTCGCGGACGAGGAGACTCGAACTTTCGAATACGAGCTACGCAACCTTATGTTCCGCCAGCGCCTGCTCTGTCTTCGCACCAATGATGCCCGCGTACACATTCTCCGGCGTTGTCTACATATTCTGGTATCAGCTCTAGCTGGGTATCCATGGCTCAAAGGGTATCTTGAGCAAGGTATTATGTTTCTCAAAGGGGACATGTTGAAGTCACCTATTACCGCGTGGCAGCAAGAACTGAGACTTCGAGGCTTCTGTTTGATTGTAGGGGCTATCCACAGCAGCGATTCATGGTTCATGGAGCAGCCGGCACTTAGTGTGGCCGTAGCCGACGGAAGGCAAGGCACGTTCGAAGCATTGCGCAGATGCTGCGGCAGCTTCGTTGAGCCGAATCTCGTGTCAGCCGAATCGCTGCGCGAACTAAGCGACAGGATTCTGACCTGGTGGTCGTTGCAAGCGCCTGGCTCTCGGTCGGAATCCCCTGGAATGTCTCAAACTCGGCTCGACCGGGAGCGCGCCGGTCTCCTCACGCCGCCATCCGAAAGCGATGGTCATCATCTGAAGCGAGAGCCAACATGAGGCGAGCCGCTCTTGGGCATTGACCAGCTAGGTATTTTGGCGAACTGCCCTCGCAGAGAAAGTTAGATGCAGCCATGAGCGGTTTCCCGCATCTTCCCGCATCTGAGACACAATTTTCTGAGGCTGCCGCTCTCTGCACACACAGCCTCGAGTGGCTGGCTCAGCATGAGTTTCGAGAACCACGCTAGAATCCGGGGTGCATGTTGATGTTCCTGTCATGACCACATGGCGAGCTTTGATGCTTTGCTTTCTTGAGAGCTCAAGATTTGAATCAACCAATGGGAATGCATGCACTGCCAATGCGTGCGTCGACTTGCCTGAAAGAGACCAAGTCGTTGCAGCTGGAATACACTTTCACCAAGCTTTCCCCTGGGGCTGAGTAACGTGTGCCATAATTGGATGCGCCATATACCTCGTCGTCGAGACTTCGGTCGTGTGTGCCGTGCTCTCGCAACTTAGTCTTGCCGCCCATGGAAGGATGTTGCAGTTCAGCTGCAGGTCCTGTTGTGACATCTCGACCCGAAGTTCCACTGCTGTGCGAGTGTGCCATGCAGGTGTATAAGTACAGAGCACCTACTGCACCTGTGGAAAGCTGCAACCAAAGCTCGACTTGCATTTCGACACTTCACAGCTACAAACTACTATATCCAGAGACTCAACAACCACCTCTACAAACATGAAGTCCATCCTCATTCTCCCGGCAGTTGCCGCCTTCGCCGCAGCCCTACCGCAGGACTCCATTCTCACCGGCGTTGTCCAAGCGACCACTACTCCCTGCACCCTCGACGTCTGCACCAATCCTGTATCGGAACCCACGTCCCTCTATACGCCCACTACCACGCCTTGCACCCTCGATGTCTGCACCAACCCCGTATCAGAGCCCACTTCGCTCTACACACCCACGACTACACCATGCACACTGGACGTCTGCACCAACCCCGTCTCAGAGCCCACTTCGCTCTACACGCCGACCACCACACCTTGCACGCTCGATGTATGCACGAACCCTGTCTCAGAGCCAACCTCTCTATACCACAGCACTACTCCATCTTCTTCCGTGCACCCCCACCACACTACCGCATCCTCGTCCGGCAGCAGCAGCAGCAAATGCACGCTTGACGTCTGCACCAATCCCGTGTCAGAGCCCACGTCCCTGTACACACCCACCACCACATCCTGCACACTCGATGTCTGCACCAACCCCGTCTCCGAGCCAACTTCGCTCTACACCATCACTTCTGGCAGCGTGGTGCCTCCTCCAATGACGCCGACCACCATGCCCACCACCATCACTCAGGGTGGCAGCACTGTTGTTACCGAGACGGTCGTCACGCCCACGCCGCATCCCACGCAGTTTGTCGGTGGCGCGGCCGTGGTGCGTGAGGGAGGCTTTATGGTGGGCGGCTTACTGGCTGGCGTGGCACTGTTGTTGTAGGTGGCCGGATAGCTTGATACCAAGTCATGGTCGGAAAAAGTTCACGGGCAACAAAACAATGATAGAACACGAGTTGGATACCTGATCTGTGGTTGTTCGACATGGCGTCACTCCTTGGGATGTTCAAGATAGTCAATTGAATCAAGATTCTAATGAGCTATGAGTCATGAAGTTATGATCACTCTTTCTTTCTGGGGGGCTGCCAGCTGGCACACCAGAGCCAGCAGGCGGACAAGCCACTATTCCTCAGTGCGCTCTTCATACTGCATCTCGTCCAAACTGTCGCGTTCCTCCTGTGGCAAACGCTACTTGTCACATTGCGTTCTGCATGTCAGCCAGTGTTGTTGAGCAGCCATGCGCTTTCCTCACAAGCTTGAGTATTAAGACCTTGTCTCTCCATTCACCGCATCCCTTATTTCAGACTGAAGTATCTACGTGGCTATGCGTCCTGCCTTCGTGCTAGCTCTCCGCTCATTAGAAGTCAGCTTGTCATAGAATAAAAGTCAGAAATGAGCTTGCTACTTCCAAACCCCCGTCTCTCCCACAGCTGTCGGAACCACTTCGCACCCAACATGTGTGGGGTGTCATCCACGCCTTTCTGCATGCATTTCCTTGGTTCGATCTTCCGGGCCTCGTGTGACCGTCCTCGACAGCCACCTCCCTGAAAGCATTCCAACATGGAAGCGCGAGACAGCCCTGCGTGGACAGCGGATCCTGGTCTTTCTCTCCTGGCACCCTTGCCAACCATGCACCTGAATGTTGGAGAGAATTTTGGGAATGTCCTGCGGACTTTGTTCATTTGGATATCTTGCCGGCATTCCGGACCGGAACAACGCATATTGCGAAGTTGTTGTCTGGCTTAGGGAAAGCCTCCTCGATTCCAGCACGAGCGCAGGGGTGCACAAAGAACAGCTTGGGGCGAACAGGACCATGCCTGTCCACCCAGTAGCTCGCTTCCCCGTCACTGTCCAACCCACCTCCATCTCAAACATGGACCACAGATCCCTCTCCCCTCATCACTCCTCCTCCGCCTCCGGCTCCTCCTTCGCCTCCCACCAGGCGACACCCCCGCCTTCTTCACCACCACCTTCCCGTCCGGACCAACGAGGTGACCTCGTTGGTCCACCCCAAGGCAACCTGGTAAACATGGACAGTTCTTGCCTGTCCCACGCGCTTCACGCGCCCCTTCGCCTGCTGCAAGGCGCTCCGTCAGCGGAACGCGCTTGGCACGACGTAGGGCGCCGCAAAAGACATGGATATACAGTCTTTTTCCCCACCCCGGCAATGGTGAGAACATCTACCTCTTCCAGTTCATTCTGGCAGAGGTAGATGCCATGAGGCGGGAGTAGCGGGGAGGGGAGGAATGAGCGTAACTCGCCCATTTCGGACGATTTTGAATGGGGCACAAGAGTGCCCGGCTGCAGCAGCCGTTAGTGATGTTCGAACACTTCTTTGCAGTAGCTGCGAAGGCTCACCGGGCGGGACTCTACAAGCAGAGCTCGCGATTGCTGCGATGGCGGCGGCAGCGGGGACCCCCCTCGCTCATTGGAAGATGGTGAGGATGGGCACCCCCCGCTAAGCGGGCGAGGAGGCACCACTCTTCTGGTGGTGGTGGTGCTGCTGCGCGATTGTCAGGTGACGTTCCAGAGCATTTCCAATCTCAACGGAGACTTACACGCTGGGACACCACCGAAGCGGTTGGCAATGGCAGCAATTGCGGTGGGGGGGAGGAGGAGGTATATGAGATCTCGGGATTCGTCTCTGGTAGAGATCGAGGAGACTGATATGCCTCCAAAGGGACAAAGTATTTGAATTCTTGCACAAAGGCAAGCAGAGAAATATGTTTTTCTTTGTTCAGAATCTGCTGGTTTTGTTGGTTCTGTGATGGTTTGGTATAGGGTATAATGCAGAAGAAAAGAAGAAAGGTCTGTGGAAGCTGGAAACGCGCAAAAGTCTTGTATTCTGGCAGGGAGGGCTTGTGACGTGGCCTGCAAACGCGGCTGCAAACGCGCAGATATGGCAGAACTGCAAGGCGGTGAGGCTTTGTGAGCCCTGGTTGGCTGATGGACTAGGTGGCAGCCTGGATGGTGGCGTGGCAACGCAAACCGGGGAGGTTGGGTCGAAAGGGGTAGACGGCTGTGGAAGATTTCTGGATTGAAGGGAGGCATGCATGCACACGACTACAGCAGTATTGTGAACGGCATCTGTGGCTTGTTAGCTTTGTGTGGAAGCAGGAACTGGCTGCTATTTGAAGGGCATTAATGCATGAGCAGCAATTGTGTCGATAAGGGGTGGGATCGAGGTCACTAAGTTAAGCTAGGAGAGCCTCATTGGCATTCAACGCAGAGCAACAGGAGCAATTGGGAGCAATTCGCTTGTCTCTAGTACACAGGAAACTGCTTTATGACTTTTGATCAATCCTCATGGAGCATATGCTCTACAGTAGCAGCCAGGAGATAATGGGATGACACCGGCTAGCTCGGAGAGAGGTTGCTCGAAGACCATTCCACAGTCAGTACGGTCTTCGCCGCGCGCCAGGTATACAATGGTATTAGGGGGTTGTTCTTCGGGACTTCGAGTTCAGCCAAATCCTATAAGCGAATGGGGCAATACAGAACAGAGGAACGAGGTTGAGGCTGATGCCAAGAGGCAGTGAACATGCCAAGACCTGGCGTCTTTTGCCCGATGGCCATGAGCCTCCGCGCAAGCTAGATATTTAACATCATGGGCTGTTTGTTGTAAAGAAACGTGTCGTGAGCAGGTGTATTCGATGGAAACATCACGTGACCATGATACAGCGCCGCTGATAAATGGCTGGTTCGACCGCCTACAAAGTAACCCAAGAATCGACAAATATATTCCTACACAGCACAAGTAACTACTCCATCTTCTCTTTCGGTCTCCTCCTCCCAACATCTCCTCTCCTCTCAAGTCCATACCCTGTCCCATCATACATCCCCTCCTCGAAAGCTCTCCGCACCAACACCCCACTCCCAGCCACAAACACATCTGTATGCCCCACGCCTCCCACCGTGTCAGGCGGCACGAATCCATACGCCACCTCCGGCTCCTGCAGCTCTTTCGCAATCTCCTCTCCCCGTAGCATACACCCGTGTCCCGCCAGCCGACTAAGCAGGGAGTAGTACACCTTGGATATGGCCAAGTGGCTGTCATCCCGCACAGCGGCTTTGTTCGCCCAGATGATGACCGCCATGAGGGTGAGGAATTGCAGCACTGGCAGACCCACTAGGATTGGCAAGCAATAGGCCCACTTAACCTGCAGGATCTGCGCGTCGACGGGTGCTTGACCGTGCGACACGAGTTTGCGACCGATCCCGGGGGCGGTGCCGTCGCCGGCGGCTATTGCCCCGATGGCAAATCGGGATATGAGGTCGGACATGTTGATTGCGGTGGGAGTCGAGGCAAAGGCCACGGGTGAGGAATTGAGGTAGGAAAGTTGCTGATGTGTCCCTTGGGCAAGGTCGCCAGACCAACCGATCGCACCGGCGAGCATGCGGGCTTGCAGATCGGGAAATTGATATTCGGGACCAGGAGAGAGCTCGAGATCGTGTATGGTGGAGATGGTGTTGTTGCAGACAAAGAACCGGGCTTCAATTGCATCAGGCGAGTCAACGCTGGATGGTGCAGGTCCCGAAGCCTGGAAGGCAAGGATGTTGATGCACCGGGCTCCGCATGTAGAGTTGGTGGAGGTAATGAAGGCGAGGCCACCTGTTTCGGGTGGGTCTTCGAGGGTTTGATTGATAGATCTCCCGTTTTGGGAGTAGGTGACAGATGTGTGGTTGCCATCCTGGCCATCGAGGACTTCGTAGGCTGTACATCTTGCTTCAGATTCAACGTATCTCCAACTGACTAGGTCGCTGGTGCCCGCTTCGTTCCAGTCGTCGAAGTAATACCTCGTGGAGCCATTGAAGCGGCTGCCAAAATTGCCAAGGAAGGCATCATCAGGGTCGTAAGAATCTATGGGTTGGAGGTTGAAGCCGCGGAACCCCCATGTGTTGACGGCACTGAGGCTAGCTTGATAGTCATCAGTCAAAACCTTGGATAGGTCGGTGATTTTGATAGTAGCGTTCCGAGTCAAAACCAGACTCGGTGAGATATCCAAGTTGTATGTCAAACCAATCATACCAATCAATATCGTCGCAATGAGGTTCACCAGAAACCACAGTACGGCATAACCTTGGATCTTCGACCACAATTTGCCCTTCTCCCTTCCGCGCCATAATAACTTGCAAATGTTGAGAAGACTGTCAGAGCCCATGATGAGATCAAATGTCTGCAACGGACGGTAACGAATGGAAAGCAGTCGCCATCGCATCATCTTGGCATAGCTCCTGAGCGAGCCGGCGAGGTTGACTCCCAATGCGAGGGAGTTGGCGGTGGTGAGGGCATTAAAGATTCGACGTTCGGGTACGCTGATGGTGTCCTTGTTGGAGTAACTGTATAGAATCGCAAAGTAGGTAACACAGAAGGTGACTGTCAGCATAAACTCGCCAATGGACAAACGCCATAGGCGGCGTCTCTGGTCATGCTTGGAGTATCTTCGAACCGTTCGCTGATCGGCAGTGCTTGCGGGCAACAGGTGATGTTGTGAGGGCGTGAGAGAGTAGCGCAGGCCATCTTTGAACCTGGAGAAAGTCTCGGTGTCGGTACTATTTCTGCGAATCCGCGGCCGTTCTTCCGTTTGGCGTCTCGAGACGTCGTGGTCAGCAGTGTCTCCGGCTGGCGAGGCACTTCTGCGCCTTAGCTCAACGGGATGCCCTGGTGCCGGAGGATCATTTGAATCTGCTAGTCCAGGTTCTGTCGTTGAGATCTGGCTGTAGGATTGATGAGCCATCTGCCCCCACCTTGTAAAGCACACTCAGCCTTGCCGAGAACAATTGCAACATAAATTGGCTTCTGTAAATGAATGAGTGAACAGAGTTTATGCGGCGATCCGTGTCGAATCTGGAGCATTAGTACATCAACATCAGGGCACCAAAGCCTGGGCCATGCGCTTCGATGTGCAAACGGTTGGAAGGCAGGAGAAATGAGGACGTGTACGGGGTGGGAATGATGATTCGGATCGTCCATAACGGCACGGGGCTGCTAAGGTAATCATTCATTGACACCGCACCAAGCCCAAAATAGGGAAAGACTTCTTCGCCCAGGGTCTACACCCCTGGACATTTGGGCCGCGCGGGCAGCACCAGGCCGTTCGCCAGATTGAAGGGGCCCGAAGCTCGCGCTGAGTCGCTGGTTTAGTGACTAAGCGCTGATCATGCTGGCTAGACATGCATCTTGTAAAACATTGACGGCCTAGAACACAAGACGGAGTAAACTTTCAGTGCTCCATCAACATGCATTCAAGCTCGCGTTCGTTCCGAGAACGCCTCCATGGCGACGGAACAGAACTTCGCTCGGAAGCACCCTTTCCTACAGCGCTTTGCTCAACAGTTGCGACCACGCGTCTTGGTCTGGGTAGCCATGTCGACATTGTGCCTGACATGGACAGTTTTGAAACCGACTCTAGGCGCTGGACACCACTATTGCGCAACGCTTGAAGGCGCAACACCCTCCTTGCGGCGAACCGAACGAAGGTAAGCCCGTACTTCTTGCGTCCTTAGAGTATGGCATGCTTGGTCGTACGACTGCCCCAAGTGCAACGTGCCATAGCGTACAAGCGGCGAATGTGTCCGTGGCTACGGACGTGGTCCCAAGCGACTCAACGATCTGCTGGGCGGATCAAAGACCCTGCCCTGCGACGGCGGTCCGCAGTGACATCCCATAGTATAGGCCTGCTTTCTTGAAGGTAAAACAGGGCGCAGGCGAGGGCTGCAGATCTGCGTGCCTCTGGGAGTGCAGCCTTGGACAGAGTGGCACAGTCGAAGTACCACAAGCCCTCTTTGTCTGTATTCGTACCGTCTCCTGTGCCGGGAAATGGTGGGAGTCGAAAGCCCGAATATTGAGCGACTGTGGCCATCTGGATCGTGTAGGAATTACGGACCTTGAGGCTTGTCCGCAGGATTCGTCTCAGACACTGCGGGTCCCATCTCGAGTCCCAGATTCTTCCATTCATCTTTCGCCATAAGGCCTTTGTCCATCCTGCAGTTGAGATAATCTTTCGCGTGTAATCTGCATTCGGGGTTATTCTGCCCTGGTGGGCTCTGCGATTTGATGCACTTCAGGTAGGATGTCATAAAGTGCTTGCATTCAGCATCGTGGTCGAGTGGGAAGGAGCCTCGCTCTGGTGGCGATGGCTTATAGGTAATCGCTCGTCCTCCCGGACCTCCAAAGCCTGACATGGTGGCGAGAGGTCTGTCAAAGGCAGAAGTGGTCTGACGCTAGAGTAGCAGAGCTGCAAGTTTAAGAAGAAATATGAGATCGAGTCAAGCAAGGTCCGCGGATCGTTCCGCTAAGCGCTGGATGCCGCGAAAGCTTGATTCTTGAGGTCTTCTTATGTCTCGAAGCACAACATCAGCAGTAGCGAATGTGAAGAAACGGATTACATTTGTTGGCATTAAATACTGGCTATAGCTACTACAAGCTATTGTGTGCCACAGGATGACTGCGCGATACCATCACAGCACGATCATACTGGAATGCGACGACTGCCCACAAAAAACCACGGACGTCGTTGTCAATTGATGGACTTCATACACATTGCTGGGGTATCCATTGCATCTAGTATGAAAGGTTGCTGTCACATATTGGGCGTGGATCTGAAGACATCATGTTAGCGAAGCTCGCACATCGAACGATGGTCTAATAGTTGCTGGAAAAACTGCCGTCTCAGTTCTCCAAGGTGAAAAATGAGTAGGTTCGTCATAGTGATCAGAAAGAACACAGCGAAAACATAGATTCATCAAAGGGGCAGGGACAGTCGAGAAGGATAGACTTACTCATGACATGGAGTGGGCGCGCCCGCCTACAGTGGACTGTACCTATAGACAGAAAAGGTCAGCAATGATCCCTCAGTCTAGCGGCGAAACGTGTAGTCTTCGATGATTGTCAGGCTAGCAGCAGTCAGTCGAGTCCATTATCGCTGAAGCATTAGCAACGTACCTCATTAAATCAGAATTTTCAGTGTTGATACGTTCATTTCCGAGCATTGCTCGGTTCAAACAGTGTGAATAATGTTCATCATGTAATGTCGAGAGTGAAGTAGGAGGAGTGTTACAGTACCTGCGGTGCACTGTCAGCAAGGTCAATAAGTATCCAGTAAAGTGGCAGTCGTAAGCAGGTCGAGCATGATCAGCTGACGAATTCTCAACAAGTGCTACAGGGACAGCAAGTCCACAGGAATTGTACGTCCCGCTTTTGACGGAAATGCTGCTCTGCGCACGATCTGTCCGCCCGTTCGTTCAAGTATTCTTCATATGGGAGACGAGGTTCGGTAGAGGGCAGAATTTACCTGGACAGCGAGTTAGCCAGTGCCTCCAGGGTCCGTGAAGAGGTATGTAAGCGTAGGAGTGGCTCAGACAAGGCTGAAACTTGAAGTAGACAGATTCGACATGGAAATTTAGTTCGAGGAATGCCATTGCGTGTCGCGGTATCATCATCGAATGGAGGTGCGGGAGATGGACTGTCATACCTTTGATAGTTGATGAAGCAGGACTTGAGGATCTGAAGAGCTAGTGATAAGTAGACTATACTTTCGGCGAGTCAGTATGAGTCTGATAGCAGCCTACATCGTTCGAGTGGTGGATATGGAGGGATCAGAGTAATTGTAGAGTTGATCCGCAGAGAGCAGAGCCCTCGGAGTTGGATTGTAAAGCTCATCTCGAAGGAGGGGGGTGGAGGGAGCTGCATCGACTTACACAAGACGCAGGTGCACAGAGCAGCTGCCATCAGGAGACACCGACACCGCCAAAGTACTGCGAAAGTCGTGTTGTTGAAGATGGTAAAAAGTTCGAGAGCGTGCTTTAGAATTTCCAGGTTGCTTGCGGAGCCAGCTCGCGTGCCAAGGTACTACGGTCACTCTTTTGAACCGCTAGCTTCAGCGGCCGCTGCTGTATCTTGCGCACGTATTACTCCAGTATCTTTGAAGCGGAAGGGTGTAAGCTACTATCCACGACGATATGCTGCCATTGTTTTACAAGGCGACTACTACATGTGGTATCCGAACATGGAAGACGCGGCCGATGTTTTACCCAGAAACCGGAGACCGCATCCGAGAAACGCAGCGCGCGAGGGGAGAGTGACGCGTGTTGGTGGGTGGTATAGTACCGTAGGTGGCTGCGCGGGGCACCCGAGACCTCTCCACTCGTCTCCTTTCTTCTCATCACTTGACATGACCCTCGTTTGAGAACTACTTCCTAGGTTGACCCCGTGGACTTGGACAGCAGTTGTTTCCTTGTCTCCCTCACTCGTTCTCGCGTATAACATCTCTTCCTTGTGTAGATGGACACGATATGGCGCGTTTCGTCGACCTCGAGGAGTCTGACGAAGATTCGTCCTGCAGTCCTGCCCAGGCCTACACACGCAAGGTTATAGCAGCTGCTCGCACGCCGTCTCAGCCTGCTCAAACAGAAAATCATGAGAGCAGGCCCGAGGTCAGCGACAACGACCACGCGAGCCGAGCCAGCTTCGCAGCGGCTCTGACTTGCTATCCGTACGCAGACACACATGCGACTCATTGTATACTAGGGTCGCAAGACCACCTGAAACCGCTGACCATTTACACAGTGTTGCCTTGTCTCTCTCATCACATCTCGATCTGAATGACTTGCACTCGCTCTCTCTTACCTCTCGCAGCGTACACCGCAGCGTATCTCAATACTGCAGCCGCCTCAAATCAAATTCCTTACGGTGCACGTTCGATGACCAACCTTTACTGTCTGACCTGCGAAAATCCGTCACTTCAGTAGATCTGACAGACTCTCGGAGCGACTCCCGTGACGCGGAAAACGAGATACACCTTTCACAGCCGGGTCAGCTCTCTTCAGCTTACAAAATCAGCGGCTGCGCAAGGGACTTGGTGACCGGGTGTCGGAAATGTGGCACAGTAGTCTGTCGGAACTGCGTTGCGAAAGCTCCCAGTGATCGATACCTCGGCGATCGCCATCGCAGGCTATGTCGAATATGCCTCGACGCCCCGCTATCCGCGCATTTGCAATTCTTGAAAGAGGACTTTGCCGTTCATGATCCGCCTCCGAAATCCAGTGCCAGCTCTGCCCGATCTACACGATCTTCGTCAGGGTCGTCGCAGGAAAACACAGCCTTGAGCAAGGACACAATGCTTAGTATAAGCACCACACACAATTTTACTTCACAAGCCTTCCTACGGACGCCATGCGTTTGTGCCACCCGAGGTGTCTACCTGTGTGGGACATGTGGACACAGCCTACGCGCCAATGACACGACTTACAAACGAGTTTGGACGTGGAGATCCCGTTACTCAACGCACATCGGTGGCGGGCTTGGGACAGGTTTGGGTGTAGGGGATCAGGGCCAGAAATGTGGTCGAGGTGATCATTGTCTGAGCACCTGCGCCAGCAGTGTCAGCTGGGTCGAGATCGACTGCTCGGATGGATCTCTGGTTGATCACTCAGACAATGAGATAATACCTGGAAGCAGAGTTGGTACTCCTACTGGAGACCGCCATGACAGCCCTAGTCCACCAAGTAACAAGCCCGGGTACCTTCAACAGGAGATCGAGGGCATTGGCGGCGTTGTTAAGAAAAAGGTCAAAAAGCGAGTCAAGGTTGGCGCAACGGTCTGGGAATACGATGATGAGAGAACTTCTGGCAAATACTTGGAGCGCGAGATCAGTGGTCGAGAACGGAGCTGGTGCGGATGGTGCGATCGAGTGTGCCTGGGAGAACACGATCGACAGGTACCTGCATAGGGCAATGCTCCAATGCAATCAATTCGATGGCTAATCTTTGCTACTGGTTCTGCGCTCTCGTTTTCACTGCTGAATCCGGCGCGTTCCTAGGTTCTTGAAGCACGTGGATTGAAGCGTGAGGCTGTCACAAAGCTCGGGATCTGCGATACTGCGTATGAAACGCCTCGGAGCAACGCTCGCACAAGCGTACAATTGGACGGGATAAGAATCCTTGCTACATTGCAATATCAGAGGGGTGGGCTAGCCATGCTCCGCAGAACCAATAAGAGGCGTCTACTGCCTGTTGACGGAAACGTTCATTGGCCAGAATCAAGAGTGTGGTCAGTGCTTCCTGCAAGGCGCCAGGCTAAACTACCCGTGTCCTGCTTTTCTGCAATCACACGACAAAGACTTGCATATCGGAGCGTCATCACTGACGGTCCAGGCCGCTGCGATGGCACCTAATCTTCGCCGCCGGAACTCTCGATCAAGAGTGCATCTAGATAGGGTTCAGCCGATCATGGATCCATATCCGTCATTGAGACGGCTTCGCGTGCAAGGACTGGATTCTAACTCCCCTCGGGCGTCCTGGTCGAGTTGCCAACATACCGGTCCGAGTGTCACACAAAGCACGACTTTCACACACAACGATACAATCCATCAAAGCAATGTCACCCCATGAAACATCAGACACAGTCAAAGGAGCACATGAAAATCTTCGCCATGATGATATTGCCGATCTTGAGCGCCTGGACTCGAAGAATGGCGTTGACAGTCCCCGACTTGTTTCCGACCCCGAGCTCGAAGGGTTGACACTGTACGAGAAGAAGGCGCTCCTTGTCAATCAGGAACTCGACCGGCAGGGCATGGGACGATACCAATGGATGATATTCCTCCTTTGCGGCTTCGGCTATTTTCTCGATCTGTTGTGGGCCCAGGCCTTTGGTTTGGTAGTGCCTCAGATGCAGTACGAGTTTGGTTTCTCAGACCCTGAGCTCGGAAACATCTTCGTCTGCTTTTCAGCTGGATTGACCGCTGGTGAGTAACCTTTGGAGATAACAACGCTTCTCTGTCAGTCTTGACTTACACATATAGGCGCCGCTTTCTGGGGCATCGTTGTTGACATTATCGGACGCTACTGGGCATTCAATTTCACGGTTCTCTTCTCCAGCATCTTCGGCTTGTTCATTGGGGTTTCCAATACCTACACTGCTGTCCTCATTCTTACAGCTTTTGTTGGAATCGGTGTCGGAGGGAATATCCCCATTGATACGACAATCACCTTGGAGTGCTTACCCCAGAATCGACGGTGGCTGTTGCCAACGCTTTCCATCTTTCAACCACTCGGCGTTGTCATCTGTAGCGCGATCGCATACGGCTTCATACCTAAGAATTCCTGTGGCCCAGATGACTCATGCGCGACAGTGGAAGCTGGCCAACGCTGCTGCCAGAAAGCCGACAATTGGGGCTGGCGGTACACGATGTTTACTCTCGGCGCCATCACCATGGGTGTGTTTCTCGCTCGATTCGTGATTTTCCGGTTCCAGGAAAGTGCCAAATGGCTACTCTACCGCGGCAGAGATGAAGAGGCTGTCAAGGTCCTCCAATACATTGCAAAGTACAACAAAAGGGAGTGCCATGTGTCTCTAGAGAGTTTTGAAGCTCTCCAGGACGATACCTCATCAGCCGGGACAGGCGACTCATCAAGGCCCGTGCTAGGATCTGGAGTGCTCCAGAAGGACGCGGCTATTAAAGATAAGCTTGTGCTCGAGCTCCAGCGCTACAAGTACCTCTTTTCGAGCTGGCAGATGGCTCGTTTCACGATTCTCGTATGGATTACTTACATGTGGGACTACTGGGGATTCAGCATTGCCGGATCGTTTCTGCCAACCATTCTGATACGAAAGGGAACCGATCTCGGCCTTACGACAGACGACACCTACCGCAGCTTCGTCTATATTTACCTGTTCGGAATACCCGGAGTTTTGCTGGGCACAACAATCTACAGGTGGCGCCAACTCTCGCTTCTATTATCTTCGGCGTTGTTCGGAGCCATGCTCTTCACATTCACTGCAGTCAACGATCAGCCAAGCTACATTGGTATCAACGGTCTGGTCTATTTCTTCCAGTCCATGTTCAATGCTATACGTAAGTCTATCTCTCTCGCCAGTGTTGGGGCGAAGTTGCTCTCGCACTGCCCACCCAATATGTCCAACTGGCTGACTGCATGTAGTGTACGGTTGGACGCCCGAGAGCTTCCCTGCACCAGTGAGAGGCACTGCCTGTGGTATGGCTAGCTTCTGGGGAAGGATCTTCTCCATCATCGCCCCGATTGCAGCCTCTCGAGTACTGGCGCACAGCGAGAATGGTGTATTGTATCTTGCTGGGGGTGGAGTCTGGATAGCGACGATCTGTATTGTCCTGATGCCGAGAAAGTATTTCGGTACTCAAAGCTACTAGCAAGAGCTATTAAAACGCAATAGCCATTCAAACACGAATAATACCGGCTTGAGGCGCCCACTTGTTGATTGCATTGACTGCCTGCTCATTCACTGCCTGAGATCCGGAGATAGCCGCCTGCGACGGACTTGGCAGACGTGTGTCGATCCCAGCGTGTCGGCGATGCAGTCGTCTCGGTTCACCACTGAACAGCGCCCACCACACCCACGCCTCTTATTAGAAACATTTCAGCTGAGTCACGTTGATATCTGACATCTATAAACTTTGTGCGATATTCCTGCGAAAACCTCTATGTGTTCCCAAACGCTCGCTTTCACCAGCAATCCCAGCCAGCTTAGCCTTGCAAGGACGAGAAAGCTGCAACCACGACACAATGGCACCGCTCAGTGTTGAGACGATGGAAACACTCCTGAACCTCAAGCGTAAGATCAGACGCGACAAAGACGGTAAGACCGCCTCCGAATACTCATGCTCGTGTCTGACACTGTTTTCTAACATCCTGCTAGCCGCCCCTACTCAACCGATCGTTGGCGCGACCAATCGATACAACAAGTTGCAACCAGGAGCAACTTACATACACGCAGGTGCTCTACCATACCCCCGCGGCCCAGAAGGCTACAAGAAAGTATAGTAACTTCACAACCTGATACGCGATCTACAACTGACACGGTTTTGCCAGACAATCGAGCACGCTGGTTACACTCGGAGCATTCTCGCACGTAATCCTATTCGACATAACGAATTCGGCGATGAAATAGAGGACGAGGATAGTGACCCCGAAGCAGATGCCGATGCGCAGGAAGAAAACCCTTACAGCGGGGTACATTTAGAAGGTAGGGCGAATCCAGTGAGATGAACCCCGTACTGACCACTAGCCACAGAACTGCTCGCCCCTCTCAGACACCCATCAGAATTGGCAACTCACCCTTCGCTATCTATACCATTCACCGATTCGGCTCTGCCAAATATGGTCAAGGAAACCGAGGAAAAGTTGCGCCATGAGCGCCAGATGTTAGCGAACGCTCAGCGGTTGCAAGAGAAGTTGATGGGTGATGAGTCTTGGATGCCTTCCGGTCGTGTCGAAACACCTGAAGACTGGGACTTGTTCGAGCCAAGAACGCGGGCAACTGAAATCAACGGGAAACGCAAGAGAGACGCAGCCGTGCCGGTGCAGAACGGGGATGCCAGCCATGGTCAGGCAGCCGGATCCAACAGGTCAATAGAAGCCCGAGAAACAGAAGCTACCAACGCAGATATCACCGAACCAGCCACCGCGGTGCAGAACCGCACGGAGTCCAGCGAAGAACATCCCACGGCCAACGACGTGGACATGCAAGACGCCGACCTACCCTCTGACAATGCTGTAAAACAACCAGGATTGGAGGGCGATACAGAAGACGCACAAGAGAAGGCTAAGATCAACGGTGACGCCGACGACATCGACTCCAGGAACGAGCCTACCACTGGTGATCCCGATGAAGATGGCAGTACTCCTGCCCCACCACCACGGCGCATAACACGCGCTTTGGCTGCCGAAAACACCACAGCCGACGATCGATCGCAGCGGTCCCCCTCGGCGCCCGTCTCCACGGTGTCCTCATCGCTCCTGCAACCCGACCCAGTGTACCTCCTACCTTCGGAGCTCAGCACATCCGCACGTTTTGCTGCTCTTCCCCTTGCTCTTGAGACTCCTGCCGACGAGCTCCTCGAAACCCGGCGCTTGCTTGGACACTACATCCAAAAACAACAAGAAACCATCCGTGGCTTCGAGTCTATTCTAGAAAAGCTGTACAGAGCGAAACATCTCCGCTCCAAAGTATGGGAGGCTTGCAAGGCTGAAGGACATGTAGGCGAGTGGAGCGATGGCGAAGATTGGATCGATGCAGAGAGCTGGGGAGAGAAGGAGGAAGACCTGAAGAAGGGCCGTGATGAAGACGAAGCGCCCGAAGGTCAGGCTGAAGAGGAAGCTCCGACCAGGGTGCAGAGAGGGGCGAAGGGAAAGAGAAGGCGAGGCAGAGGCGAGAAGGAGTAGAACTCCAGCGAGGAACAGGCTTCATTGAGAATGCAGTATCTTACACTGCAGGACAACAGACCCAAACCGACAATGTTTGCACACAGCCCAGCACAGCCAGGGCCTTCGCCCGAGTCGAAACTCTCAGCCAAGTTGGAACCGAGTAGTCTCCAACCAGGGACACGCAGGCAATGGGGCCGCACTGCCCCCACTGAGGGCGTGCACTTCTCGACAGCGCCTCATCCGGGCGCAGACCGAGCTGCTGAGGCTGTTGACGATGATGGCCACATCGATCGAGCCCGAGCCGAGGAAAAAGTGAAAGATGAACTTCAAGATGAGCATGAGAGCCAGAGCCAGAGCCAGAGCCAGAGCGATACTGAGGAACAGCGGATGACCCTCTACGATGAGATGAATGCCATCGCTGCGCGCGCTCGTGAAGAAGCTCGCGCTGGAGAACGTGGTGCTTGACGCTCTGCCAGTGATCGTGGCAGGAGCTGTACCAGTAGGGCGGGAGGGAGGGACCAGACGCATCACTGTGTTTTGTATACCCGGCTGTTTGCACCCAGAACAGAGTCCTCCAAGCCTGACCATCGATTGTAGAAGATGGAATCGAGCCACCAAGAGGAGATTTATCCTTTCATGCAACCCCATCGTCATCATTTGCTTGTTTACCCTTTTCGCGCCGAACGCCTCGCTCTCGTGTGCCCACCGTGATGCATACCTCCCTTCCTCAGCCAGACAATCAGCGGACCGGGCCCACATCAACCTTGACGTTGCCTCCCTCCACGACGGGCGTGCCCTGCAGCCTCGCCATCGCAGCCTGCAACGCCCGCGCACGCGCCGCTCCAGCGGCGTTCTCAGACTGCCCACCACCACCCGCTTCGTCCTCGGCGCCCACCTGGTTGGTAACATTGCCGGCCTCGACGGCCTCCACGTCCTCCATCATCTGCGCACGCACCGCCATGCCGTCATCGTCCTCCTGATCCTCGATGTACAGCTGCTGGGCCTGGCCGACGACATTGCCCTGTGGATCCGCGACGTTGACGTTGCCGATGCCCGCGTCGGCGAGGCGGGCGCGCATGTTACGGCGCTCGTCATCCTGCCAGCGCGCGAGCGAGGCGGCGAAGTGGACCTTGAAGCCGAAGATCTTGGGCTCGAAGCGGCGACGGGACTTGGCGGGGATGAGGGCCGGGTAGACCTGCAGCAGGGTGTTGTGGAAGGAGGTGCCGAAGTAGGCGCCGTCGATGGCGGCGTGGCGCGAGGATTTGGGGTTGTAGAGGTCTTCGCAGCGGGCGCAGTAGAGCTTCACGGGCCGCTTGCCGGGGTTGTCGTCCTGGCCGCAGGGGAGGAGCGGTTGGCCTTCGCACATGACGCGGGGACAGCGGCCGAAGTCGTATTTCTTGTACTTGTCAACCATCTTGGCGAGGCCGCGCGTGGTGGTGATGTAGCGAGCGTGGACTAGGCCGTAGAGGTGTCGGGCGGACTTTTCGATCGTCTCGCGCATGTCATCTTCGCAGTCGAGATCGAAGACGTCGGTGATGAGATCGAGAGCGTGTTGGTAATAGTGGACCTCGACGTTGAGGCCAGTAAGGTTGAAGCGGTCGGTCAAGTACTCTTCGTCAATCTCGCAGAAGTACTCGTTACCGCGTGAGGAGATGAACTGCAACGAAAGGGTGTTAGCATGGGTACGAAGTAGAACAGAAACAATTGTGCGGAGCCACTTGGAGGTGGCAAGGTCCTCCCCGTCGACGCCATGGTGCGTCTCCAAAACACTCTCTGCATCTGACTTGACACGCATTTGTCTCTTTGGTCAAACATCGCAGCGGCAACTGCTCTCCACGGGTCCCGTCGAGTCCCGTGTCCAGGACACCCGTGCGTACATCAACCGTTCTCAACAGCGGGGCAATCAGCCAGTCCAAAATCTGATCGATTCTTCAAGGAACACTGAGTCGAACTGATCCGGTGATCGAGAACAGAGACACTCGACACGTTGCATGGTAGCATGTCCAAGCCATAGATCCGCACCAGAACCTTTGGTAAACACGCCATACACCGCAAGGACAGGCAATCCGTGCAGAGCAATCCGTCGATCAACACAGCCGTCCAGAGCCGCCAGACATGGCCAAAAGTTCAGGAGACGTGCTATGAGGCTGTTTACTTACCCAGTCGCGCCAGTAGCTGGTGTAGTCGCTGTCAGTCTCGGACTGAAAGTCGTCCATCATGGTTGAGGCTGCGGGGTCCCCCACGTAGATGAAAATGGGAAAGCCTAGTAAGAGAGTTTTGAACAAGGCTAAGCGCACTTGCTGGAGACTGGTTGGGAACCCAAAAGAATGTGTGCGAGGTTGAGATGGGCGCGGGACGTCTTTGTACTGAATGAAAGATGACAAGAAGCCTAGATTACTACAGATTACAGAACTCGAGGGCGGAGCGGAGATCCTTGGCCGGATCGGTGTTACTTTGTTCCGGGGTTCGCTTGAACAGAACCCTAGTATCAGGCGGGAGGACATCTTACATCGTCAAAGACTTACATAATGGTTTGGACGGACCTATAGCAGGCTTTAAGAAGAATGCATGCACCATACCAGCAGGCAAGTTTGGATATGCACGACCCGCATCTATGTGTATGATTTAAACATATCTAGTAGCGTGATACTGAATCGTAAGAACGGACAAGCAGCACCACCTCTATACAACCTGCCACCCATTCCTGAAAAGATGAAACTGCTCCTAGCTCGATAATAGGCGATTGTGTCTCATATAGCCCTCTACGGACAACTTTCTGAAACCCATGCGAGGGGATTCGGCCTCGTACTAGGGTCTATTGGATCCTGAAGATTGGCTAGGTCCGTTGGATGCTCCGCTACCAGAGTTTATGAGGTCAGCACTGAGAGCGCCCTGGCGGTTTCTGCTGGATCTCGACAGAGAGCCCATTCTCTCTGGATTGGTCTTCGATCGGGCACGGATAGGCTCCTTTGCTTTGCTTTTCATAGAGGATATCGGTTTGCGAGGTACGTTAAGTGCTCGGGCTCCCAAATCACGCAGTGGCCCGGTTGGGCGCATCGGAAATGGCTCGGAGTCGGCGGCCACGTTTCTCCAACTCTGATACGTTGGCTGCTCCTGCAACTGTCCCGAATCATTGCCAGCGCTCATCTTGCGTTGACCTAGACTGGATTGGCGCTGGAGCTTCAGTTCCCTCTGCTGATTGATCATCTTTCGTTCATGTTCGCTGAGCATGACCTTCTTGGGTGATTCCGAAGGTAACTCAAACTCGGATTCCGAGAAGCCCAAGCCGGAGGTCGATACTTGCAGCCGCGGCAGCCTTGGGCCGGCCTGAGTTGCAGAAGTTCCTGGTCGCTCTTCTTGCTGCTTGTAGAGCAGATGGCAATGATAGCAGCTTGCATGGTGCTTGCTGTGATGATGTGTGGCTGACGTGACGCTGGGGCGTCCTGATTTATTCTCTTTCATTTCTGCATGAGAAAGACCCCGGCCGTGGAAGCGCCGGGGAGAGTTATCCAGCTCTTGTGTCAGCAGGCTAACATCATTGGATGCCAACACGGACTCGGCTCGCGATTGCTCCAATGACTGACGTCGAGGGGCGGCGAACGCTTGACCTTGGTGATACTGTTGATAGTGTTCTTGGCTTAGAGGGAGCGTGCGAGACCTCTTAGCTTCGATCGAGGCTGCGACTTGCGCCAAAGAATTCGGTAAAATGTCGAGTGAGTTGATGTGAATAAGCGTGACCGGCAGCTGCACGGTGCAGGACTTGAACATGGATACCGAAACTACGACATTGATGAAGTAGCGAACCTCGAAATAGCGCCCAGTACTAATCGTAACATGGCCTCGAGGTATTTCCAAAGGGGAAGTTCGTACTTCAGATGAGTGGGGAATCACTCCAGCCCAGTCTTTGTTCTTCTTGATGGTCGTCGTGTTGACCACTTCGGTGTCGCTCCTTTTCGGCAGGCGAAGATGACTTGCGCTCTTCTCTACTGTTCCTGCCGCAGCATGAGTGTACCACAGAGTAGTCTTCTCCAGCTGAACCTCAATTTTCTTGATTGTCCGAGATGATTGGTTAATGATATGGACATCAACAAAGATGACGGATCCATTGACCCAAGTCTGGCGGTGTAAGCCAGCAGTGACTCGTACCGTCTGGATATCTGGCGACTGAGATACGGTGAGAGAGTCTGTAGCCAGGAGAGGGCTAGGAAGGCTTGACAATGCCTTCTCCGGATCATGAACCGTAAGCATCTGGATGTTCCAGCTCTGCCTCACGATCATGTGTTTGTCTCCAACGGCAATTTGTGCTGTTGGGCAGACGACGTATCGTATGCAGGCTTGTTTCGACGTGTAGGGCGGCGGGCCAAGGTTGAGTGGTAAATTGATGCAGAAGGGCACGGTTGCAGACGCTGGTTTCATTACCCAACCAAGCTCAGATTTGTACTTGGGAGAACGGCTGTCGATGAGAGAATTCGGCGGTGGATGATCTTCGCTGAAAAGGTCTATTCCCAGGGCCAGGAAAGCCCATCTCCGGCCATCGTTGATCTCTTCCACACCAATGATATCGACCGACAGTCTTGAAATTGAGACGGGCTTGAGCCTCTTCCTTGATACCAGAATCGCGTCATCAACAGTCAAAGAAATATGTCCCTCGACTGTACCCCCTCCAACAAAGAGGGGCGAGGGGAGATATACGCCCAGCTCGAGTCGGTCGCTCTTGACATTTGCCTTGTCGAGCAGATCCATTGGTGGTATTGTCCGAATCACAGTGTGCAAAGGAGATGGACGCATGGCGTCCGAGCTCTGAATGGACCGGTCCATTGCCAAGCGGACTGGAGAGTTCGATCTCCCTCGATTAGGAACTGTTCGAGACCGGGACGACGGCCGTGGCAGGTTCCATTTCGGCACCTCTTGTAAGCTGGGCTTTCGCGAAGGTACACCACTATGTGAGAAGATGCTGACGGAAGAGCGTCTCTTCGGTACATCGCGCCACGGGAGACTCATTGCACTGGCTGCACGGTTGTTGAGACCAACAAATGAGGCTTTCTGACCTGCCGGCTTCTTGACTGAAATGGCATTTTCCGAGGCGGAACTCTCGTCATACTGCTGGACAGGCGTGCTTGGAAGCTCTTTGGCACCATCGACGGATGCCGTACGCTCTTTCGTGCTGGCTGCGGCCTTGGATGAATCGGATACTTCTCTAATATCGGACAGATGTTGGATATGATGCCTGCGCAGCTCGGATGCTGCGTCACTAGCTGCTATGTTGTGGTCGGAGCGAGGCAGACTAGTGTCTTTCCCTTTATGAGCAAAGTCGCGTCTGGGAAAGAGGGAGCGCTTCGAAGCACCTGTATGCCAATTAGATCATGATCCCGTACTGAGGAAGCGTTGCTGTACCGCTACGGTCCATTTGGACACTGCTCACGGCATTTGCACGTGTTTTAGGTCTGTGAACGGTGGAATAGCTGCTAGTAGAAGATGTAACCAAAAATCTGGCCTACGCGAGACAGTCATGTGGTCCAACACGGGAGAAAGAAATGCGCAATGAAGCTGTTGAGGGGCAAGAGGCTTCATTGTCAGTCAATTGCGATCGGGGTGCAATTACACATTCGCGGCTGCCGCAAGAGGCAGGCTCTTTGCACCTACCTTCTCGAAGCCATTTTGAGATTCGCAGCATCGCGGCAAGCGCACTTTGCACTTTCGATGACTAGAAAGGACTCCGGTGTCTGCGTCGCGCCTTCCTAGCGGAAAGAGCACATAGCGCGGCGACTTGAAACGGGTGTGATGTGGGAGAGAACCTCGGAACTTCAGCGTGTACGGCAGTGCAGGCTCTCCGAGCTCATCACGACATTGTGGCCCAGTATTGCACCTGCTCCGTACGTGGCACACCCGAAGGGTTTGCACCCGGCGAGCTCCGGGTAGGCTGGGCTCTGCTGGCGGTAGCCTTCTCAGCTCCCCAACCGACGCATTGGCTTGGCACTGGTTTGCGAGTGCAAAAGTCAAGACCTCGCTATCGCCAACATGATGCATCCAAGGCCCCCCGGTTCGGGCCTCTCGTGAGCGGATTCTCGCTTGTGGTAGGCATACGATAGGCCACCCAAGGCTCAGTGGCTCCGAGGAGAAAGGTCGACGGTGGAGAGCTCACCTGACCTCTCTGGTCAAGGCTTGATGTTGGATCAGCCTTGATTAGTGCCTCAGTAGTGCACCGAGCCATGCCCATTCAGGCTGCTGTATCCTTGGAGCTCGTTGTCCTGTGTCTTGCGATTGGTTCCCGCATTTTGGGCCTGGAGATGATGAAAATTTTTCCCACGTGTCGGATGCACCCTTGAGAGCTTTGTCGAGCGATCTTTGCTCACCTGTGACTTGTCCCCCAAATTTTCGTGTTTTTTTCGCTTCGGTGAACCATCAGGACCACCCTGCGTGAGTGGCTGTGGACGTGGCCTCACTGCTCAGTGCCAGCATCCTCGGTTTCCGGGGTCCCGGATGCAGAATTTTCACCCTCCTCGAATGTTTCGTGCCCGCCCTCTGTCAAGAGCTGCCTGAAGAGGATTGGGATCTGCCTGACCGCTTCACCTCTCCGGGCGCTTCAGGCATCTCCATGTCGAGGTCGCATCATTTGCAAGTCGGTGCGGGGGTTCGTCACTCGCGCTCACACCCAAGTCCGAAACCCTCCCTCTGCCAGTGTTGGACCTGGAAGTTTGAGTGAGGGAAGAACAATCCCATCTGCAGGAGGGTTTCATCTCTAATAACCCTGCTCGAATCCGCCACCCTCCCTTGCCCCCAATATTGCTGCAAAATTTTCTTAGCTCATACCATTACCTCACAGCTATCTTTCTCCGCCTCATCCATTGCTTCTCTCATCCTTATCTCTAATTCTTGCTGTCACCCATTATCAACCATTACCCTTAGGCTTCGTTAGGGTTGTATCAAGTCTCGTCTGCACGAGGCTGAGATCTCCTGCCACCGAAAAGGGGGCCCTTGTTTTGCGCTTATGCCAGGGACGCTGCATTAGACCTTGTTCGCGCCAGGTCAGACATGGGATCAGTGCCAGCAGCCGACGTCATTCTCAAAGATGCCCCAGCTGTATCAGGCCCAGATGCCTCCAATTCCGACAGTGTGGTCCCAAAGTTAGAGCATGGCCATGATCTCTATGATAGTCCATCCGACTCATCGCCAGAGCCACAGGCCAGCGCCAGTACGGAAGCCGCGTTGGACAAAACCTCGCAGGATCCTCCGCCTCCAGTGAAGCGCAAAGGTGGAAGAAAGCCGGTAAGTGTGTTGCGAGTTTGACGAAGTCGTTGTACTAAGCCCTGCCAGATCTACGCTACTTCGGAGGAGCGCAAGCAGCGGAATCGACAGGCCCAAGCTGCTTTCAGAGAGCGCCGCACCGAGTATATTAAGCAATTGGAAACCACGATCCAACACCATGAGGAGCAACTCCAGAACCTCCAGCAGAGCCACCGCCAGGCAGCCGATGAATGTTTGATGCTCAGGTATAAGAATTCACTGCTCGAACGAATTCTGCTCGAGAAAGGTATGCAGTCGTTACGTCGAACGAGGCAAAGCTGACTTCAGCAACAGGCATCGACGTCCAATCCGAGCTTGCTTTGAAGGGAAGTCCTCATCTCCGGCCAACACGTCCCCCCATGGCCAGTCAGGCGTCACCCATGCAGAAAGCCATGCTTAATCGGCAGCAAGGGAGGCAAAGACCTATTCTTGCGCCTCCCCTACAGACTGTAAATCAATCTTCCCACGCTGGTGGGCACCGCAACTTTGGAGGCTCACCTACAGTACAGCCGACACCTCCCTCGCAGCACTCTTCACCCTCTACAAGTAAATCCCCCGCATTCGCCATTCAAGGCGGCATTGCTTCGCCCAACTCCGACTTCCAATCCCAGCAACCCCAGCAACCTCATCAGGCTCGCCTTATGCCTGGGTCCCGTCATCAGCAATACACCGGACAACATCAACCACACATGCGCAATATCTCCGCTTCATCTGCATCACAACAGCCTCACAGCGGCCGACAGCCCCCAAATACTTCGGCAGGAAGTTACTATCCGCACTTTCAGAAACATTATGACCAACTCGGCAAGTTTACCCACAACCTCCCTTTCCTGACCTGCTCGTGGAGCTTTGTTCGTCCTAGGCTTATTCCGTGATACAGAACAGGAGTACGATGCTCAAGGTGGTATGCTAGATGAAGTGGATGGCGACGACATTGACACGGACAACTTCATTCCCAACTTTCGCTTGCCGACCACCACTGCTGCACCTAGCGGGCTGCAAGCATCCCCTCCAATGACAACAGTGTCTGGAAGCGACGTTTCCGGACCAGGTGCGGGCGTCCACGCCATCGACCCATATGACCCTATGCTTGATGCAGATCCTTTTGGTTTGACCGCCAGCATGCACTTTCCGAATCCTTTCAATTTCCAGCCTCATCAACAGAGGCGATGAGACGACATGCCCGTCTGCTAGTGGGCGTTTTCTGCATAGCCAGGTTGTAATTTCTGTCAAGCGATGGCGTTGGGGACTGGTGATACCAACAAAATGGACATACCCGCAGGTTTTGAGGGACATTGACCTGGTCGTGGACAACTCAAGTAAGAGACAATACTGTACATCAACGTCAATCACGCACGTACACGTAGGAACTCGAACAGTATTAGTTATGGCTAATGTAAACCCAATGATGTCTTCAATTTGAGAAGGAATTGGCCTGCTTCGCCCATCAGGGCTGCCTGCGTCCCCGTAGGTCCTTGTGCATATATTCCCACTGTGGTTTTCAACCAGGTGACTGATGCTGAGTGCCTGGTACCTGGTTACCTCGCTGAACCCGGCTTCGGCACGATCTCTTGGCATTTAGTGCCAAGGGCCACTTAATGCTCGCGCATTCGGCCTGCCGCATTTTCCAACATTGACCTCATCAAACCGACACCGCTCACACGACCCATCCTTCTCGACAAGACTCAGTCCTGGTGTTAAGGGCACAGTCTTGCTCGAGCACTATTCTAACTGCCTCCACATTGAGGTAACCTTTTGGAACAGCCTTCGCGGAAGGCGCTCTAGAGGCCACCATGACGGACGTCACTTCAAAGGTACGAAAAATTCCCAATCGCAGCTTGTCCAGCTCATACTGATATTTGTGACTTCAGAACCTCTACGAGCTACTGGGTAAAGCTTTCTGAGCCCCTGCGATGCGAAAGATCCCAACCTCTGACCATATTTCACAACAGGCAACACCTCCGACCAGGATTCTGATCGCGAGCCTGACCCACCCACAAAAGCCATTGACAAGACCGGCGCCCGCTCCGGCAAGCGCGAGGCCCCTAAGCAAGCTCCGGCTGCCCCTGCGAACAATGTAGGAGGAGGACGCGGCGACCGACGAGGCCGTGGCGACCGCACTGGCGGCTTCAATGCCAACGAGAATGGTGCGCACGTTCGATACGACACGAGATGAAAATTTACTGACTTTTGGTAGCCTTCCGCGACCGTGCGACTGGCCGCGCGCAAAACCGTCAGCAGGATGTAGGTGATGATGTTGGCGGTGGTGAGAAGCGTCGCGACCGTGGCCGTGGCCGCGGCGGTCCTCGTCGTGGTGGTGACCGCCACTCCCGTACTGCTGTTGGGTGAGTCCTCAATCGAGATCGTTGCTTTTAGCCGCCTCTAACCAGTGTACAGTGACCATCAGAAGCAAGTGGGCCATGGCTGGGGTGAGCAGACCGGAAGTGGTGAGTGGGCTGATGAGAGATCCGGCGAGGCGCAAGCCACCCAGGAGCGCAAGGAAGCTGCCTGGGATGCCGACAAGAACGAGGCTTGGAACGAGGACAGCAAGCCTGTCACTATTCCCGAGGGTGGCCAAGCCATTGACGAGGCCGAGCCTGAACCTGAGGACACCTCCAAGTCGTATGCCGAGTACCTCGCCGAGAAGGCTCAACAGAAGCTTGAAGGTCTTGGTCTCAAGGAGGCCCGCGCGCCGAACGAGGGTGCTAAGGAGGACAAGAAGTGGAAGGGTGCCAAGGAGCTCGTCCGCGCCGAAGATGAGGATTACTTCAAGGGCGAGGACAAGGCTCGCCGCGAGCGTGAACGTGGTCGCAACGCCAAGGAATTCCTTGACATTGACTACACCTTCAAGGAGCAATCTCGAGACTCTCGTGGGGGTGCCCGTGGCGGTCGTGGCGGACGCGGTGGACGCGGCGGCGAGCGCGGCGACCGTGGCGACCGTGGCGACTTCCGAGGCGGACGCGGCGGCCGTGGTGGTCGTGGTGGCGAGCGCGGCGAGTTCCGTGGTGATCGTGGTGACCGTGGTGACCGTGGTGGCCGCGGACCCCGTGGTGGCCGTGGAGGTCCTATTGCCGTCAACGATCAAAACGCGTTCCCCAGCCTGGGCGGCAAATAGGTGCGCCCAACAATGGCAGCACATCAGCTTGCACTACATGAGCGAGCTATCACCAAATTGTTCTTCGACACCTACTCCCCCGACTTCGACAGTCCTACCCTTGAACCAAAAGCACAACAAACATTGAATCATAGGGTCTTAACAACGAGACTCAGTGATCATGCAGTCGTCACATGGAGATCGACACAGTCATCTTGCCATAATGAAAAGTCTTGAGCAGACATGGAGAAGGAGGTATTTTGTCCTCATCGGAACGGAGCGCTGGACCAGTCCTTGAGATGATGTGTAGCACTATGCTCTTACCTTTTCGTACCTTTCAACGCTGGAAGGGACAGAGTCCTCTTGACACAGAACCTTTCCTCTTTTTATCGTTCTGCCCTATCTACGCACCCCGCTGTTAGACCCAGTACTCTGCTGTACCGAGATAGCTTGGCGTGGTCGCCTGATTATGCGGCCAATGACGATTGGAAGTTGATCGTCCCAACACCAAACCACAGTCACAAAGCCTGACAATCCGCCATGGTCGATCTGCTTGCAGTCTGCTTGCAGTCTGCTTCATTGTCTGTCAACGTATGGCCTTTCGGCAGTTCTGTCAGCCCCATGTCCGACCGCCAGCCTCGTCCGAGGCGTGGGCAGCGTCCTCCAATATTCGGCAGTTGGGTCCATCTCAACTGCCGACGTTCGCCCAGGCGCCCTGGTACTCCGCCATTGCGAGCGGAATGTTGAACGTCCTCCACACAATTACCCCTACACTTTACTCTCCCACATCTCCAGATTTGGCCCAAAGGCCAGCATCTCAAGACATTCTGCAACGCGGGACTGGCGCGCCTCAGCCGTCCGCCACCCGTACCTCGGATGGAATACCCTTCCTAAGCAGTGGGCAGCACACCCATCGGCTGCTGCCCGCCGCCTGGGGAGCGGCACGTTATGCTGATGCCTTCTGCACACTGCAGTCATTGTCTCTAACTGCCGAGACTGTTACACGGTCTCGTCTCCGATTAGAGAGTTACTGCTGATAGCCACCCAGAGTCTTGCCTCCCTCGCTCTGACTTTGACGCGAGGTTGCCAATCGTAGCTGTTGCATTTTCAATATATCTCCCATATCATCAGCAGTCTCTTTTTGTGGTTAACGCCTCAATCTGCCATTGACATCTTCAGGCATTCAACATGTTAGAAGAGATACTATATTCGCTGCTGGCCAAGTGGCCTTTGGTGCTCGTTGTTGCTCTAGTAGCCGTCTGTGTTGGGAATTACTTCAACCATGGTCTCAACAAATATCCAGGTCATCCTCTGGCTAAAGTCACAGACTGGTGGCGATTCTACGATGTCTGGAACCGCCGACCTGACATCACACATCTCGCTCTTCACCGGAAACATGGCGACATCGTACGCCTGGGTCCCAACTCCCTATCTTTCGCCAATCCAAAAGCCCTCAAACAGATTTACGGCCTCAACAAAGGCATGGTGAAATCCGGCTTCTACCCTGTCCAACAAGCTGTCTCCAATGGACACCGCCTGCCCTCCCTGTTCTCCACCACCGATGAGGCTTACCATGCCCAACTCCGCCGCTCCGTCAACAACGCCTTCTCCATGTCCACCCTCGTGCAGTACGAGCCCCTCGTCAACGAAGTGCTGGACAAGTTCCTCTCACAGACCGAAGCCATCTACGTGCGTACCGGCGAGACATGCAACTTCGCAAAATGGCTCCAATTCCTCGCTTTCGATGTCATCGGCCAGATCACCTACAGCACTCCCCATGGCTTTGTCTCCAAGAACACCGATATCGAGGGCATGATCGCCTACCTGGCCCGACTCTTCAGCTACGTTGCCCCAGTCGGCCAGGTCCCTTGGCTAGACCTGCTCTTCCTCAAGAACCCTCTCATCCTCCTACTGGACCGACTGGGCGTCAAACTCTTCGCCTTTCCCGTCACCACTTTCGCCAAGGCCCGCATGTCCGAACGCCTTTCGGAGGTAGCCAAGAACCGCGAAGCAGGCGGCGACCCAGATCCCAACCCATCCGGCCGTGCCGACCTGCTCTCTATGTTCCTCAAAGCCCAAGCCGACCGGCCCGAATTCATGACTGATGCCCGCGTCCTCACCATGGCCGTAAGCATGACCTTCGCCGGCAGCGAAACGACCGCTATCTCCCTCAGCGCCGTCTTCTACTACCTCTTGCGCAACCCACGCTGCTACGCGAAGCTGATGGCCGAGCTCGACTCCGCCGTCAGCAACGGCACGGTCGAGAACCGTGCCAACGGCGCCGTCTCTTGGGCCGAGAGCCAGACCCTGCCTTACCTGGACGCCTGCATCAAGGAGGCCTTCCGCGTACACCCCGCCGCGGGCTTACCACTAGAGCGTATCGTGCCCAAGCAGGGCATGGAGATCGATGGCGAATGGATCCCTGGCGGCACCATCGTGGGCTGCAACGCGTGGGTCATCCACAAGCGGCCCGAGGTGTTTGACCCGAACCGAAAGTATGACGTTGACGAGTATGTGCCGGAGCGGTGGCTCGAGGTGGATAAAGGTACGGTTTCTCCCCCCCTTCTGCCATTCCTCTATATACAAGGCGAAAGGCTAACACGCAGGGTTCTCTTCCCCTCACAGAGCAACTCAAAGCAATGGACGGCACGCTCTTCCAGTTCGGCGCCGGGTCAAGGACGTGTATTGGCAAGAACATCTCTCTGCTTGAGATCTACAAGCTGGTCCCCAGCTTTCTGCGCAGGTTCGAGGTACGGATGTCTTTCTTTCTCTCTGTCACTCGCTGCTTTTTTCCCACTCCCATATTCCCCTACCACTTCTTCTCGCTACAAGTCTCTGACATGCCATGGACGTCCCAAACGCTAACGAGAACGACAGGTCGAGTTCGCCGACCCCTCGCAAGACTGGAAGCTGCATAACGCATGGTTCGTGGCGCAGCGGAACTTCAACGTCAAGTTCAAGGTGCGGAGTTTGGAATAGACATGAAATGCAAATGCGGAACAACGACGGTATAGGCCATGCTTCATTTTTAGGTATAGAGAGCTTCAGTAATACCGGCTCTTCGTCGATCTCGGTTCATCTTGGCTGTCTAAGGGTAGACAGCACAACAAGGGATGTCTCCTTCATCCCATGTCTCGCATGATCCGACACCTTGCTTTTTTTCTTCTCGCAACTCGTCAAACTGTGTGCTTCTCCGGCAGAGACACTGCACCCCCTCCGTGCTACCCATTCGACGCAAGTCCTTACTGGACCAGCACCAACCGCTTCCCCTCAATGGGCTCAAAAGCCTTGTCGCCAGCCGGCGCGGTCGGTGTTCCGAAGACCAGCTGAGCCTTGGGTTTCCACGTCTTGGGGACTTTCAATGCATCATCTGACGAACACGCGCGAGTCAGTAAAGAGACCAACAACTGCGTCGAGACCAGTTTGGGTGAGACTTACGGTAGTAGCTCATGACATCGGGGGCGAAGTGGTGATGTTGCAGCGAAGCACCCAAGCCTTCGGCCTCGAGTGCAGTCCAGGCTGTGTGTGTGGTGTTAGCTTTTCTGCAACTCTTCAGGAAATGGAGATCATCCTACCGTTGATCTGGTGCATGCCGTTGCTCTGGTCACTCCAGCTCTCCGCGAACGGAGCGATGGCCGGGTGGGTTGTGGTCAGCTTCTCGATCGCCTCTTCGTCTTCAAACCACAAGACGGTGCCTATGGGAGTCAGCTTAGCTTTGGACGGGCCCATACGTGGGTCAGGGTTTCGAAGGTGGTTCACCTGCTCCGCCACTGCGAAAGCTCTTGATAGAGCCGGAAAGGACGCTCCAGACTTCGGGTGGGAGGATCTTCTCTAGGCCGCTCTCTACGGCGTCGAAGTACTTCCGGTGATTGTCGTCAAAAATGATAACTGCTCGGGCAGTCTGGGCGTTGTAGGGGGAAGGGGTGTGCTTGATGACTTGAGTGATGATCTCCTGGACGCGTGAGGTGGGAACAGGCAGGTTCTCTGGGCTGATGGTGTAGATGGTTCGACGGGCGGCAATGGCCTCGAGGAAGGGCTTCTTGTCAGCCATGGCTTATTCGTTTTTGCGACGTGATCGAGATTCTATTGCTCCAGGAGATGGATTCAGTATATTGGTAGCTGTCTGACTCGCCGCTACGGCTCCTGTCTGTTCTGTTTGGTGAGAGAAGGTCCTCAACTAGCGACATAAGGTTGATATAAGTCTTCGATTCTCTCCTACGCTGGAAATTGTACCAAAGATGACTGTACTGATCGCTGCCTAGCGACGTACACCGCCAACATTTCTTATCGAATGCTTTGAAATTCCGCATCTCTCACGCCCAACAAAGCTAGCTCATCTGAGCTAGCTGTGGGCACCCATTGTCATTCCAAGTACACATTGCGTGACGGCTCAAGTCGAATCTTCCAATAGAGGCCTGGTACTTGCTGACAGACATCGCGGTACTTGGCCGCACTCTTCGCAGGACTGTTCCGAAAAAGGACGGACCATGCGGCTTCTTTCGCACGAGATCACGTGATTCGTGGTTGATGACCATTGTCTGTTGTGTAAGCAGGTGAATGATTGTTCGAACGCTCGCAATGCAATCTCCGATGATGCACATCTCATACTGTGCATAGCTGCCGCGGCTCGTCAAGGGCAGTGGCGGACAAAGACCATCCGTGTCAATCACTCGGCTTGATGGTTCAGCACGGTGAAGATGAAGCCTGCCTCCTGTCATTCGTGGGATTTCGAGAGATGTTCGTGACCGCTAGCCTCCATCTTCCCAGAATGCAGAGTATATTCGATGGGGGACGCAAAAGGTCGAGCCTGATCGAAGTAGGTGCCGAACTTATGCTTGAACCGGATGCCCCTACTCTCGGGACATAACCTTGGTCAATCTTGCGTCCTCAAGGCTATTGCGTCTGCCCCAATTCTTGGGCTGTCTCTTCAAGAAGGCCCCGACTGCTCCAAGATAGCCTTCATGACGCAGGAAGTATGCTTGCTTTTCCCCTTTGGACCAGAATTTGATGGCATAAGATAAGGTGTTCATGGTCTGGGCATGGCCGCGGATAAACGAACCTCCAAAATATATGTGTTTGAGGCCATGCTTCTCTGATTGCAAATAAGCAATCTGACCGATGTTGTTCGAAATGGCATACAACAGACTTCGAGCCATGTCCTCGACTTTGAATTCGCCGCCACTGTGGTCCCCTTCATCCGGTCCGAGTCCCAGAGGATCGCGGTTGTACAGACCCTCTCCATCCTCGGCACTGCGCTCGGCCATACGCTTCATGCGAAAGACCTTGCCAAAGGTACTGGCAATAGCTGTGCTCTTGAGACCAATCCTGTTGTAGTCGGTGCCATAAATGTCGCCGACCAACAGGTCCACGCCACTGTTGTCACCATGTTCTGCCATCTGGAGCATGTCATCGAACGTACGGGCGCCGGTCAGCAAGGACAGAATGCCCCAGAATGTACCGCCTCCCAAGTGGGTGCCGCCCACACGGACGAAATCAGCTGGACCAGAGACTTTGACCATCGAAACACCAGAGCCAATGTTGACGAGCAGGTAGGGATAGATGTCGGCTCTAGGCTCGGCAAAATGCATGGGCTCTTCCTCTGAGTATGTGAAGACCTCTTGCGGGATTTCGGTGATGAAGAAATCCAGGCCCATAATCAAGGAGCCCATTTCCTCCGCCTGCACAATGTCAACCTGCAGGACATTTTTCATTCGGTCGTAAAACTTGTATGCGCCGCCCCCGGTGGCCATGACACATAGCTGTGCCGGAGTAGATCCATTGAGCTTGGATTGATTCTGCTTAAGCTCTTGTATGAAGTCGATGCAGAGATCGATGCGATCGGTTTCGAAGGTCAGGAAGTTGAGTCGGCCTCCGCCATACTCAGATCCATTCTCGCGGGAGAAGTAGACGAGCTTGGCTAATGAGCCGCCAATCTGTGCTGCAGTCAGCGGGGGTTTGGGAAACTGCGGCTGGGTCACGCACGTCTACTGCAACGTGGCTGACAACGTCGGTATGATGCGGTAAGCGAATATCCTTCTTTTCCCAGTGCACATGATCGCTGACTGTGTGAGAATTGCCTCCAGGACTGTAGCTCTCGCTCTCTTCGTCAACAATAAATGCGCCCTCGACGTTGATTTTGACCGAAGTTGCGAGCGGGGGCACGCGAGAGGGGCGGGCATCGTCGTGAACTGCGTGCGCAACCGCATCGGTGTCAAGTGATGACATGCTAGTCATGCTGGTCGACAACCTGTCAACAGCCGACGAGCTGTAATCGGAGCGGCTGCTCTCGTCATCTGAGATACAAGCACACTCGTCGTTCTCGGTATCGTGGTGGGCGGGGAGGACAACAGCAGTCATAACTTTTTTCGCCGGCGGATGTCACAATAGCATTGGGGACGAGTCGTGTTACAGTCACTCCGGTTCGCCGGTGCTACTACAAGAGCGCGTTCTAATTAAATATTCTGCCATTGCCGATGCGGACGATCACATCTAGCTGCCTCGGTCTAGTCTGTGGCTACCGTCGGCTCAGCGCAATACTGATGTTGGTTGGGTGCGAGATTGTTGGCTGCGGTGGTGGGGAGGCGCGAGCATCTTTCGGGGCCCGGGCAAATTGGGCCTCGGTGGTTGCAACACTGCTCTGGCTTCCTTTCCTCCACCCCGACACCACTATCATAGCCAATAGCACTCAAGAATAACACATTGCGGATCTGCCAGTATCTGTATTGCGCCGGAGCCTCAGGTATGCTCCCATGGCGCCAGCACTTTGTGCTCCGGTCCGTTCTCCGGTCTCTGCAAGCCGCTGCAGTCAGTGTCCGTCCTGTAGATGGAGGTACTGTAGAGTAAGGAGCCACTGTTATTCGAACAGCGATTGCCGTTTTCACACCTGAGCTGCATCTCACATGAGCTGGTGCTCGCTCACGAATGCAGGGATACAGCGATGATGGCTCCTTCCAGGTTTCTGTAAGTGCAATATGTGTATCCTAGCCCTGACCAGCATTCTATTGCCGCACCGCCAACTCGTATGACAGCACATGGACTTACGCGACATGATGTATCTTCTCTGCATCCTTTTCTTCTCGCTGCGTTTGGCTGCGGGTGACCAAACCATCGCCTTGGCTGGCAATACCGGTGTTCCGGCAATGCATGCCGCCCTCCTTCTTGACGGCAGCGTCATGTTCCTCGACAAGATTGAGAACCGCAGCAAACTCTTCCTTCCCAACGGCGGCAAGGCGTACTCTTCCATCTACGATCCCGAGTCTCGGAGTGTGACTGGCCTTGGAGTCACAACCAATCCGTTCTGCTGCGGAGGATCCTTCCTTGCCGATGGACGCCTCATCTCGCTGGGCGGCAACGGGCCCCTCTACCACGATGATTCCTCCGTCGGAGATGGATTCGATGGAATCAGATATCTTGTGGCATACGGTGATCAAACAAAATGGTCTGAGCCGGGCAACAAATTAGCTTCAAAGCGATAGTACGCATCAGCGCAGACTCTACCGGACGGTAACGTGTTTGTTGCGTCCGGTAGCCTTACGGGCCTGGACCAGTACAATCCAGTCAACAATAATCCCACCTACGAGATCCTAGACCGACATGGCATCAGTTCGGGAGACAATATCGATATGGAAATCTTGATCAACAACCAGCCTTACTTCATGTACCCATTTGTGCATTTGCTCAGGGACGGTACTATATTCGTCTTTGTATCGAAGTCGTCTCAGACGTTCGACGTTGCCATGAACAAGGTTGTCAAGGAAATGCCAACCCTACCTGGAATGTATCGCACATATCCCAACACCGGTGGCAGCGTGATGCTGGCACTCAGTTCAAGTAGAAAATGGGAGCCGGAGATCATGATCTGTGGTGGAGGTGCGTTCCAGGCTCAAGATAGCCCATGTGATCACACGTGTGGCAGAATCAAACCACTCGGTGATGCACAATGGACAATCACTGAGATGCCTCAGCCTCGAGGTATGGTCGAGGGCATCAACCTTCTTGACGGAACCATTCTCTGGCTCAATGGTGCTCAAGTTGGGGCTCAAGGTTTTGGTATCGCAGACAGTCCGGCGTACGATCTACTGATTTACAAGCCCGAGGCTGATGAATGGATGGTTGCGGCTACCTCGAACATTCCGCGGCTGTACCACTCGGTGGCCCTTATGCTTCTCGATGGCAGGATCCTCATCGCTAGAAGCAACCCCAACGAGATGCCCGTGTGGCAAGATGAGACGGATCCAGACGATCTGTTCAGGAAGTATCCTACGGAAATGCGGATCGAGATCTTTACACCGCCTTATCTGCAAGGTGAACGTGCCAAACTCCGGCCTACTGATGTCGAGCTTTCCGCACGTTACGTGAGTCCTGGTGACACATTTAGTGTCGAATTTTCCCTCCCCAAAAAGATGGAGGTCGAGAGTGTTGAGGTGGCTCTGTATCAAGGTGGTTTCGTCACTCATGCGCTTCACATGGGCCAGCAATTGTACATCTTGGAAACGGCTTGGGAGAGCAAGGATCGAAAAATCATTGCCAAAGCTAGAGTGCCAGAAATCAAAATGGCTCCAGGCCCCTACTTTGTGTATGCTCTGGCAAATGGTGTGCCCAGCATCGGCAAGGCGCTATCGCTACGACGGAATTAAGGGGTTGGTCATATTGTTAGGGTGCCCAATCTGACAGAGCAGCTGTTAGATTCACGAAGCCATTATCAGTCCACAAACGCTTAGAACAGATCACACGTTGAAATTCTCCATCTCCCTTGAATGTCGACCTCGATGCCGACACAGACATTTGCCTTGTTGCCTGGTCTTGGTAGCACATTATGTAACCCATGCTCTCCAGGTGCTGCACAAGGTCTGGTCACCTGCCAAGAAAGATACGCGTTATTGGGGTACTGGAGACTTCAAGTTGTGTGATACCTCCCTTTGCTGAACGAATAGAACCCTTCGTTGTCCCCTATATCACCACTGATGCTCATCTCGAAATTGGTCCAGCAATTACAATCGTCACGCCAAGATTGCACATTGACCGCTCGACCTACGCGCGTCATGCACCTTTCCGAGCAGGAGCCGAAAGGACGGGCCCAGGCCTCGTCGAGGTTTCAGGGTTAGCCTTCATATTCGTCGCCGATTTTTCCGTAATTTGTGTACAGTGGATCACCGTGTCAAAAAGCTGTTGATGGGTCATGATGGCTTCTAAATAACAGCTCTCGTCCGTGTTTACCACAATTCCTAACAGTGCGTTCAACATGCCTCAGGGTAGCATCGAGACGAAGGCTGCTAGAAGCCCAGTAGCTCTCCTCTGGCCACCGTATAGACAAGGCAGCGATGGGAAGAGCACCACAGCGCCATGCGGGTCCTGGAATGGGGAGCTGACCAGGCATCAATTCCCTATCGGTGAGCGTTATGGAACGTGTTCACAGTGCGACCGCTGATCAGTTGCAGGTCCATACTCAGTGCCCATAATCTCGGCCAACGAGACCTGGATTGCGCAGCTCGCCATCTCTTATGCTGCTGGTAAGAGAATATCTGTCCCCGAGAATCTCCATTAAGTTCGCGGCAGACCCAACATCAAATGACGATTTTGAGCCGTTGTACACCGATTCTTTTGTGAATACCAAAACGAAATGTGTCTCTGTCAACAGCCCTGGAGATGTTGAACCAGGTATGCATGCGACTCTGCAGATGCGGTACCATGACAGCTCGGACGCGAGCTCGCCTATGCACTACGCATGCTCCGACATCGTCTTTGTGTCTCGAAAAGCTGCCACCTTCACAAGCCCTTGCTCTGGTCCATTATCTGAGGAAGTGGAAGTCGCTTTCCATCCCCCACCGGTCTCCAAGTCCGGTCTACCTTCGCACAGCTTCCTGGGATCAATCCTGGCTTTTGCTGCGCTCCTCGTCTTTGCTGCCACGGCACGTTTCTACATCCTACCCCGCCTTCGCCAGAGGCGAACGGCAGAAGGGGACGAGACGGAGATGGCGAAAATGATTAGCTGAGCGTTGCACCTGGAAAGCTCGTCGATGAGCTACGGACAGGCCACACAGCATTAATACGGACCTTGAATCCGGAAATCAGCTGGAAGAGGCCCAGCAGTTCTCCCCGCACTTCCCCCACGAATAACTGCAGCGATCCAGCACTCCCCAAAATGCGGAGTGATTATACGTGGTGGAGGCTCCCACTTGTCGGCAGATACTCAACGACAACTTCGGCAACCATCCGACGTCTCTCACAATGCCAATCAACTATCAGTATTGCGCTGCGCTACCTCCCAGACTTGCCCCAAGACGCACCGCGCAGTCGTGGGGCGATATGGTCACACCCAACTCCAACTACCCCAACACTCCACCCCTCGGTCCTCCTGCATGGCGGGAAGGCCCATATTACCAGCGCATCTTGACAAGAGCTGCCACAGTTCTTGTATCAAAGCTTGAAACAAGACCTGAATAGTCTCACTGTACAGCACAAAATGCCTAGTCTTCTGAAGAGCAACTTTGCCCACCTCCGATTCAAGGAGCTGCATCCTACCTTCGCTGCCGAAGTCGAAGGCGTTGACTTTTCACAACCTATTCCAGACGATGTATTCGAAGAAATCCTGGCGGCGTCGGCAAAGGTTAGCGCTGCGTCCCCACTACATTCTACTTGGCTCATTCATACCATAGTATGGTGTGCTAGTGTTCCGTTCAACTGGTTTGACAGACACGAAGCATGTCGAGTTTTCCCGCCAATTTGGCGAGCTTGACGACGTCAGGCCGTACATGACCAACGGGCGCAAGCCACGCTACGAATACTATGAACTGTTCGACGCGGGAAACATCGATGGCGAAACCGGGAAGGTGCTCGACCCAACATCCCCGAGGGCTCAGTACAACAAAGGTACGCGCTTCTTAGGTGCTCAGTGGCACCCCACGAGCAAGAATCTGCTTCCGGTGTAGGCCGAGACGGGCTTTCGTAGACGAGACTAACATGCCTTGACCGATAGGCAACGCTCTGTTCCACGTCGATTCCTCCTTCAATCCTCGAAGGGCATCTTATTCCATACTCAAGGCCACAGAGCTACCTCCTCCTGAATGCGGAGGCGATACAGATTTTGCAGATACTCGCACCGCCTTCGACGAACTGCCCTTGGACCTGAAGAAGCAGCTCCTGGACAACGACTATATCGGAGCCCATTCACTGCATCACAGTCGGAAGGTTGCAGCACCGGAGTTCTTTGCGGACACCGACCCCACACAGCATAAGATGCATTTCCATCGCCTTACTCAGAAGCATGAGCCGAGTGACCGCATGAACCTCTATATTGCCGCTCATGCCCATCACATCGAGGGGATGCCGCCTGAGGATTCTGACGCTTTGCTGAAGAAGCTTATGGAACACGCCACTCAAGAGAAATATTGCGTGTCAGTCCCGTGGAAGAACCCCGGCGATTTAGTGATTTGGGACAAGTCGGTTCGGCCACAATCCTCAGCGTAGCACTACTGACCAAGATACAGTACTTGCGTAATGCATCGTGCGGGCAAAGGAACCTTTGCCGGAAAGTACAAGCGCGATCTCAGGAGAACGACTGTGCACGATTCGAGCAGCCAGGCATGGGGCCTGAACGGCGTTAACTCGGACACCAGGCAGGGCTTCCAGATGCCGAAGGGCGTCTTCTGAGCGCACGAATCTGCAAGCCAGAGTCTGAGATTGTCCGGTATCGATAAAATGCTCCTGTCGCTAGTTCACTCGCCTCGGCCCTTGCAAGGTGACAGCTGGGCAAGGCTGTAGCGGACAGGGGCGGTAGCAATTGTATATTCCGTCTTGTCGTACCTCGTCAACATAGGTCATGTTCAGAACTCTCTGCTCTCAGTCTTGACCGTACTCCACCATGGTCTTGGTCCCAACTGCGAGCCTCCATTCCCAAGACCACCGGAGCACCGTTGCGGTGCACGCACGATGATATCAGGCTAATAACCACCCCGCCGAGCGCGCTCCCCCCGACATTTCTCCAATTGTCCTTGCACGCATGCAAGCCACCAGGCAGTGAATCAAACCTTCCTCATAGCACACAGACTTCAGACCACACTGAATTAGACATAAGCCATTGTACTTGATTTACCCGTCCAGCGTGGCCGTCATTTCGTGAGAGAGAGATTTATATACATAACGACAATCCTGGTCCAGCACCCGCAGAATGCCACCCCCACAGCATACCAAGTTGACGCCAGTCACGACTCCCTCCAGCATGGCTTCTCCCAGCAAGGCGATCAACAGCACGGTCAACCCGATCATCCCGGGCTTCGCACCCGACCCTACCATCATCAAGCACATGGGCAAATACTGGCTCGTCAACTCGACGTTCCAATTCTTCCCCGGCCTCCCCGTCGTAAGTTCTATGAAGACACTTATATTTCCCCCATGCACACTTCCGTGACCCCTCCCTCCCCCGGACAAAACCAGACAAACCCCCATCTCTCCACCCAAACAAAGCTAACATCCATCCCCCCTTCCTCACAAAACAGTACCACTCCACCGACCTCACGCACTGGACGCACGCCCACAACGCCATCTCCCGCCCCAGCCAGCTCTCGGTGCTGCGCTCCTCCGCCGACCTCATCACGGCCCGCAACCCGGACGCCCCCAACACCAAGCTCTGCTTCCAGGGCGGCCTGTACGCGCCCACACTGCGGTACCACGCCCCCTCTTCGACGTTCTACCTGCTGTGCACCAACATCGTGCGGCCCGACAGGGCGGACCAGACGGTCAGCGAGGCGCAGAACTTCTGGATCACGTGTCGTGATTTGGAGGTGGGGGAGTGGAGCGATCCCACGTATTTTGAGTTTGAGGGCATTGATCCGAGTATTTGGTTTGAAGAGGAGGAGCAGCAGGAGGGAGGGAAGAAGACGAGGGCGTATGTGGTGGGGAGTCGGGGCCCGGGGCCCGGGACAAAGATTAATCTGTTTGAGGTGGATTTGGAGTCCGGAAAGAAGTTGAGTGAGGAGAAGACGCTGTGGGAAGGGGAGAGGAAGTCCTATCCGGAGGGGCCACATATTTATCAGGAAGGGGGGTGGTATTGGTTGCTGATCGCGGAGGGGGGAACGCATGAGGGTCATTGTATCAATGTGGCGAGGAGTAAGGAGCTGTGGGGGCCGTATGAGTCGAATCCCGGGAATCCGATCGTGAGGGCTGTGCCGTATGGGGAGGATGTGCAGTGTACGGGCCATATGGATTTGGTGGAGGGGGAGGATGGGCAGTGGTTTGGGGTGTGCTTGGGGATACGGAGGAGTGGAGAGAAGGGCGTGAGGATGACGCATGGTAGGGAGACGTTTTTGACGAGGGTGTGGTGGCCGGAGAGCGAGGAAGGATGGCTGAGGGCCGAGAAGGTCGAGTTGGGAGTGGAGGGGAAGCAACGGGATGGTAATTGCGTGCCTAAAGTGGAGAAAGGGAGGGATGGCTTGGATTTGCTGTGGGTCAGGGAGCCGACGCTGGGAGACTACGTGATTGAGGGCGATGGGGTGAGAGTGAAGGTGAAAAGTAGTAAAGGTGACTTGAGTCAGTGGGAAGAGCCGGTGAGTTTCGTTGGGAAGAGGCAACGGTTAACGGAGGCGAGGAGTGAGGTCACGCTCAGGACAGATGGGGCTGGAAAAGGCCTGAAAGCCGGCTTGGTGGTCTACAAGGATGAGCACCGGTTCGTGAGGATCTTTCTCGACGGGGACAAGAAAGTAAAATGGGAGCTGCTGAACAAGGCGAAAGATTTGGCGGACTCAAAGGAGCTGGACCATGGGATAACTGGTCAGGATCTGTGGCTGCAGATCAGCTATGACGAGGAAAAGTACATCTTTGCGTACAAGGAGAGTAAGGGCGCTCAATGGACGAAGGTGATCGAGATGGACCATGCTCAGCTGTCAGGCCCAGATTTCGTGGGACCGGTCATTGGCGTCTTTGCTACGGGAGAGGTTGGACAGGAGGTGAAGTTCGAGGATTTCATGGTAGATATTGAATAGAGGCATCGCTGTGAGCATACTAGACGTTTGAATGGACACAGGTCGTCGAACTGGCGGCTGTGGTGCTATAGCGGACACCTTAGACTGGGCTAATTGCTCTCGTTGCCTTTCTTGCGGAAAGTTCGTTCGCTCGTCAGTGCGTAGACAGCAGAGGGGGAAGGCCAGTGCATCAGTCGAATGTCACCTTCTTTCCCTTGGATTCAACAATTGCACCAGTTAATTTCTGAACCGTGTCAGTGCCGTATCGCGATTCGCTCTCGTGCTTCTGTGACCGCCTTTCATTGCTTCTATGGCCCGCGTCACCACGTTTCCACGTTTTTTCTTTTCGCTTCTGGAACGTATCCGTGGACCGGGGCGGCAGGCCTTTGTTACCCTGGTTGTCTTCTTGTTCGTCATCCTTGGGTGTCTTCCCGAAGCGCTTATTGTACCGGGTGGTCGCATCCTCAGCGAACTCCATTCTGAGCTTTGAATCTCCCAGGCGACCTAGGTAGATGGTCTTCTTGCCGGTTGGTGCTCTCGGAGCATCGATTGTGACCTGTCCGCGCATAGCTGTCTCAGCAGAGGAAATGTCTTCAAACTCCACCCAAGCATAGCCTTTACATTTGCCAGAATCCTCAAATGTCGCAACCTGAGTCTTGGCAATTGTTCCACAGTGTCCAAAGTGTTTCTCGAGGCTTTCCCGCGTCACGTCGAAGGGCAGGTTGCCGACGAATATCCTTCGATTTGGCGGCTTGGCCTGCGCTTCTTGGAAAGCTTTCGTCTTGGAAGTTTCGGGCCGCCCTTGAAAGTTGTGGGCATCTTTGATGAGCAATGGACGCCCAGTCAACAGAGTTTCGCTGAGTTGTACTGCAGTGGCAACCCATTGCTCGTCTTTAAAATCGACATATGCGAATCCTTTGTTCTGAGCTCTGGAATCGCGACCAGAGGGCAGGTGTAGTCTCGTGATCTGGTCGCCTGGAATAGGATGTTTGGCGTTCTCGGTCAAGAACTTGTACACATCTCGCTTGCCAACCGTGAATGCGAGATTACCGATCCAGACGCCATACTTGGACCGTTCGCCTTCGAGTCCACTGAGACGCTTGAGATCGACGTCTTCTGCATTGACTTGCTGTTGTGCTGGCTCTGGTTCCTCTCCAGGATCTGTGGTCTTCTGCTTCTTGGCCTTTCTCAATGCCTTCTTAGATGGAGGCTCGGGCGCATTCACATCAATCTCAAGCTCAGCCTCATCCGGCGTCCGCTTTCTGCCACGCTTTCTGCTCTCTTCGTCGACCGACATGTTTTTGAGTTCCTCGTCTAAGGCGATGGTGAGGCTGGACAAATTATTCTTGCAACAGAGGAGGTGAAGAAAATCCGGCGCCAAGTGGGTCCAGCAGGAGATGTTATCCGAAGCGCGTCTCGGGCGGCCGCTCCCTGCAAAGAATGGGCGACCTGAGGGACCCTTGCTCGCGCTCATCATCACTCCCCACCCAGTCTCGCTCTGAAAGTAGTCTAACGACACGTATCTCCCGTGACAGTTGTACCGGTATCCCGCCATTCCTATCGAGGTGGATTGACACTATACGACAGTAGCGACGAGATCAATCGCTCGCCCACCATGTCTATGACAGGAACGCCAGATCCTCCAGCTGAGCCAGCTGTCACAGTTGGCGATGCGCCTGCTGTCACCATGACAGAAACCTCGGCGGCGAGAAAATCCTACAGACGCAAGTATCGCAAGATCATGGTCAATTTCGAACGCAAGATGCAGGAGAGCAATAGTTTATTCAGGGACGAACAGAAGATACTTGATATCTCACAACGGCTCGCCGAACAAACAGAGTATGTTAACCCAAATTACTGAATGCTAGATATACTAACAGTCTAGCCAAACGCTACAACTCCTCGTCGACCTCAATTCCATGCCACAGGTGCCTTCCCGGTTTCGTTACGATCTCGAGTCAAGGTATTCGTCAGGCAAAAGGTCAACGCTGGGGAAGAGGACATATGATGAAGAGAGTGGCCACAAAGCCTTGCGTAAAGCTCGATATCAACTACAGATAGGCGAGATCTCACCTCACGACTACGAGATGCTCAAAAGCGACGTCATCGAAAGCCCTGCCTTTGCGCCGGCCAAGTCGTATGCGGCGCTCACAGACTACGCTCCAAAGACTTCTTTCCCCTTGGACGAAGATCCAGACTCGAAGACCGGTTTCCTGAATGTGAAACAGGAGGAGCAGTACCTTCAGAGCCTCGATGCTTATATACGAGGAGAGGCTCCAACTCCCCGGGGCCACGCCAACAACACGTTGAGCTTGCGAAGCGGCGAGCGCAACATAGAGAAAGAAAAGGAAATCCAGCTGCGCAACCCGGTCTCGGTATATAATTGGCTCCGAAAGAACCAACCGCAGGTGTTCCTCCAGGACGAGGACAGTAAGCCGGCCAGAAACACGAGTACCCGAAATTCAAAGCGGAACTCAACACGAGATGCGATCGTCAAACAGGAGCAAGAAATGTACGATGAAGACGGCATCGCTGCGGACGCGCATTCAGGCAAAGGAAAGCGGAAACGTGACGAGGATGGTGGCTATCGACCGAAAGGCGGCAACAGTCGCGCCGGTAAGCGCAAAAGGGAATCCAGAGCATCATTGGGATAGAGGCGAGCATGGTAGTTCTATGCTTGGACGGCTGGTTGACCTATATGTGACGACGATATCGGGTACTCCTTGTGATACCAGAAGAGCAACAGTTAGGCTCGTGGGCGGCCACTGGTGTAACACTATTGATGCGTGATGAATCGGATAGGCGGCGACGAGCGGAGCTGGCAAGACGTGTCGGCGGCACTCGGAAATGCGAACACCGTGCTCACATGCCAGCCTAAATTGCCCAGCATATGCGCGACATTCTAGCAGACAATCGTGGACTTGTTTCCAGAATATTCATAGCTTGACGTCTAATTTTTCTTGGTTACTTGTCAGCGACTTACGTCTTGTGATCTCTCGGCCGATGCAATGCCCTTGTTGCATAGCTGAAGCCCGCGACACGAAATCAGCCCTGAGCCTCACGCTTTGGGGGCGGCAGCTTACGGCTCTTCGCTACTCTCTCTTTGATATTCCTTCCCTCATTCCTCCAGGCTATAATGGCTACCGTTGCGTATAATCACTAGTGGTGCTGCGGCATACCGTGCAACAAGTCGGAGCATGAATCTGGCCTGTCTTCCCACCCTAGCTCAGTCAAGATGTCGGGTATGGAGGTGATAGAGATCCACAGCAAAGTAAGTTCACGTCTCGCTCAGGCGGACCGTGTCTGACTGATACAGAGCTATCTTGTGCGCTGGATCAATGCGAAACCCGATCATACCATCTCCTACACCGTGCAACCGCACAAGAAGTCTATCAACTTCGGGATCTTCAAACACCCCGGCCATGCACCCTCGATTGCATCCCAGGCCTCAAATTTCGCCGTCTTCCCTCCGCCGTCGCCGAGTCTGGCCGCGTCTGAAGATGAGACTCGCTCCGAGAATGCACCATCCGTGGTCATCGACAAGCTGAAGAGCATTGGGCTGAAGCAGGTCGCATGGATCGGGAAATGCGAGGCAGACAAGTTTACCCAGGGCAAATATGATGTACCCATGGGAGAGTCAGGAAACTATGCCTTGGTTTTTGACAATACCTTCTCTAAGAGTATTTCGAAACAAGCCACTGTGTTTCTGCTTACATATCCGACAACGTTAGCATCGCAGATCCAGTATGGCGCTCAGATGCATCATTCACAGGCCATGGCTGGGGCTGTGGCTATAGCCAATGCTCAGTCCGGTGGCCGCAGCCCCAAGCTGCGTCCCTTTGCGAAAGGTTCGGTGGAGACGCTGAGGAGAGCGTCACAACCCACGCTTGCCCCTCCATCGGAAAGCGGCATGAGTATTGAGGAGCCGGCGTCTATACATACAGGACTTTTGCAGAAGCGTCGAAGGAAGAAGCACCAAGGATTTGCTAGGCGATTCTTCTGCCTCGACTATACTTCGTCTACCCTCTCGTATTACCATGACCGCAACTCGTCTGCTCTCAGAGGCGCCATTCCTCTCTCGCTGGCGGCTATCGGCGCAAATCACAAAACACGCGAGATCTCCATTGACTCGGGAGCGGAAATTTGGCATCTTAAAGCTAACAACGAGGCTGATTTTCAAGCATGGAAGTCGGCTTTAGAGCGAGCATCTAGAAACTTGATCGAAGCTACCACGCCCGCAGACGGTCTAAGGTTGAGCGTGGACTTTGCGTCAGGTCAAGCCAGTGCATTAGAGGCACAAGAATGGGTCCAATTGGAAACACTTCTCGGCCGGATATCTGGAACACGAGATGCAGTGCGCAGACTGTGTCAAGATGTGTCAGGCTCACAACATTCCTCATCGTCACCCTCGATCACGCCAACTGACGGCCAAGCTGCAGACTATTTCACCACAGGTGAAGAGAGGCGGCCCTTCTGGAAGCGCAAGGTAAGCTCAAACAACGAGCGTGCCAACATCTTCAAGCGCAGCGTGTCCGCCCAGCTCGCAGTACCAATGCCAGGAGCCGAGCCAGTTCTGCGCAACTCTTCGCCGGGTGCGTCTTCTCGGGGGCATCGGCACGAAGAAGGCATGTACGATCATTGCAGGGCGTTACTGAAGGATCTCGATTCCGTGGTCAAAGAATTCTCGACGGTTATGAATGAGAGCAAACTTCGACGGACTGGCCCACCCAAGTCCGCAGTCTCGCGATTGAGCATGCAATCTGTGGAGTCGCAAGAGTACTTTGATGCTGAAAGCGCTCCTCAGCTGCTCGACTTGCACAGCGACAGCGAGCAAGAAGCATCCACAAGTGCAGATGGCATTGATGGAGATTCAGAGGCCAGCAGTGATTTCGGCGACGAAGCCTCTTTTCTGCCGGCTAATAGAGGTGCAAGATCGGGAAGCCTGTCATCGTTTCTGCCGCCAAAATCCAAGAGTCTGCAGCCACTTCCTATGGGGCGGATCTCGCGTCGCTCAAACGTCCCCGCCCCTACCATTATGCCACCCAGCCTCATTGGCTTCCTCCGCAAGAACGTGGGCAAGGACCTGTCGACCATAGCAATGCCGGTCTCGGCAAACGAGCCTACATCGCTCCTGCAGCGAGCCGCTGAACAGCTCGAGTACTCGGAATTGCTGGATCAAGCGGCTAAAGCGGAGAAGTCATCGGAGCAGCTAATGTATGTCGCGGCATTCGCGCTCTCCTCGTTGTCCAATTCGCGTGTCAAAGAACGGTCTATACGCAAGCCGTTCAACCCAATGCTGGGAGAGACCTACGAGCTTGTTCGAGAAGACAAGGGGTTTCGATTTGTTGCAGAAAAGGTATCCCATCGGCCGGTGCAGTTGGCATTCCATGCAGAGTCGCCGGAATGGACCCTGACTCAGTCACCGAAGCCGCTCCAGAAGTTTTGGGGTAAGTCATCCGAAATCAACCAGGAGGGCAAGGCTCGCCTGTATTTCTATGGTTCGGGCAGTAGCTACAGCTGGACGGCAGCGACGTGCTTCCTGCGTAACATCATCGCTGGAGAGAAATATGTGGAGCCTGTGGGGACCATGTCAGTTGTCAATGAAACGAATGGACAGAAAGCGGTTGCAACGTTCAAGGCCAAGGGCATGTTCTCGGGGCGCAGCGATGAAGTCGAAGTGGAGCTTGTTGATGAGCATGGATCGGCTATGTCGGTGAGCGTTGAGGGGACTTGGACTGAAGCGTTGAAGCGCAAAGACAATAAGCAGGTGATATGGAAAGCCGGCCAGCTGGTTGACCATGCGCCCAAGCATTACGGTCTGACTGCATTTGCAGCGACCTTGAACGAGGTTACGGAACTTGAACGCGGGAAGATACCCATCACAGACAGCCGGCTGCGGCCAGATCAGCAAGAGCTGGAACGAGGCAATCATGATGCAGCGGAGAAGCTGAAGAACGATCTAGAGGAGGCCCAACGAGCCCGACGCCGAGACATGGATTCAGCTGGAGAAGAATGGAAGCCACGATGGTTCACCCGGGTCGAGCACGGCGACGAAGTAGTGTGGAAATTGAAGTCTGGCAAAGACGGATATTGGGAGGAGCGCGCCAAGGGCCAGTGGACAAGCGTTGTCGACGTCTTGAAACTCTAGACCGCGGGCGTGGCTCGTGCTATTGACTTACTATCGCGCGCAAGAGGTGCGGCGTAGAGCGTTTGTTGGCGGGCCGGTATACGACCGCGAGATCGTGCTGCTGCTGCTTATCTGAAGATGCTACGGAGCGGGCTGAAATAGAAATTAGGCATGACCTCGCCCATCCTACCGGGATAGACTCCAGAAGTGTAGCCCAGCCACGGCTTTGGCTATCCATGCTGTTCTCGGCAAGCCGGTCAGGGATCTCGATAGGCGCTGCTCCACTCATTAACAGGCGAAATGGAACCCTGCTAATCTTGGTGCTGCATCTTGGTGCTGCAAGGTATGGAGTAGTCAAGTGGTTTGGCAGTTGTTGAGCGCTGTTGCTACTCTTTCGGGCAAAACACAACAATACGTTGGTCCGCGCACCCTCCAATGCGACATCAATCGCGCCGCGCCGCAAAGGTACCAAGGGTGTGGAAATGGAGGGGTGGGAGGGGCTGCGTCTAAGGCTGGGTCCAGCGCTGTCCAGGGCTGGGTTTACGGCTGGGTCTAGCGCTAGCCTCACCGGTTTAGGTCGCCTCATGCACGGCTGCGTCCCCTAGACTCAATTCGTCCCGGGCGGCAAAGATAGCGAACCGATCTCCCACGTGGGGACGACAGTTGCTATGCATCACTCTTGCATCAGGTGCAACGGTCTCCGATGCACGGTGATGTTACTGATGCCGCAGCGATGCCTTATGGCACGACTACCGCTGCTGGTGCAGAAGCGAAAACGAAAATGTGAATGAGAGGGGGGATTGGCGAGCGTTTTGCGCGGCCGGGCGCTGTGTCAGTTGACCCCATCTCGATTATGATTAATACTCCCTTATCGAACCGTTTTAGGCTTTGCATTCTGGACAAGCGCGGACGAAGGCCTAGAAGCTTTCAAATCTGCTAGCGCGTCGTTTGTCGGTGGCCTATCACGCGCCCACAGGGCCGCCTGAGCCCGCTCGCGCCCTCGCGCTAGTCGGCGTCCTTAATCCTCCTAGAGGGCCCTATCTACTGGCCAAAGGCTGTCGACGCCACCATTGGCGTGCTTTAGGCCCCTTTAGTTAGACACAGTCTCAGTCCCAGTAACTGCCTCAATCAGTCCTTGAGATCCTGCTTAAGTAGGGGTCGAATAGTATCTACTCTCCCCTGATTATTTACCTCTCTTATATATCTATAGAGCTATAATTAGCCTTATAATTAACACTAGTAAAAATAAGATATACAGCTTAGTCTAAATTATGTAACTATTACTATTATAGTGGTTACATCTAATTAGTATTATTAGTTAAGATAGTTAAATAAATAACTAAAGGTTACTTAGCTATTCTAGATTATGTTTAGACTTAATTATATAACTATTAATGTTGTTATAGAGACTAGTTAGATAAGCAGCTAAAGTAAACCTAGCTATTCTAGGTTATATTTTAATCTTATAGATCTAATTATATAACTATAATAAATATTATAGTAATTATATCTAATTACTCCTTTAAAGGTAGATACTTAGTAAGATTATAAACTTTATAAACTAACTATAGTAGTGTGAGATATATAACTATTATAAGTAATATAGTATTACTTTATATATTATAAAAGACTACTTCTAGATATACTATAATACCTACTAACTATTTATAATATTATTAGTGGTATAGAGTACCTAGGGGTAGCGTTTTAGACTAGTAGTGACTTTTATAGTGGTGATAGCAACCTTACAAAACACTAAGAATCTTAAAAATCTGTCTATATAAGGCTTTATCACTGTAATGATAACGTGTGTAAGCTAGAAATTATATAACCGTCATGTTGTATAATTAATATGGTATATACATATAAATCTTTATGTAAGTGTAGGTCCCTAATTTTGTCCAAAAACGTAAGCGAGGGGGATACAGTCAAGATATGGTATGAAATTGAATCTACTTTAGGAGACATGGATTGTGCGTCCTGCTGATCCTTCTAAAAATGCGCCGCCCTCGCGACCCGTTTGGGTGGCGGGCCTGCCGCTTTACGATCGCGCGACAACCTCGGCGCTACGAGCCAGGGCGACTGCCGATTGGGGGCCCCTATTGGCACCGCTGGTATTGGGCCACAGGCGAAGCGAGATATATACTGTTAAGAACCCGGTCAGATTCGTGGTGCATATGTTGGTCACTACTGGCTTAGGCACTTCAACTTCAGGCAAGCAGTGTGGTCGTCACCTGGTCGCAGACAGTGCAACACAGGTGCGGAAGGCCGATCTTTCAGCTATCCTTTTGGTCTGGAGAGCAACACTGCCATCATGTCCCAAAGTGCCCGGGCATGCAGACACTGCAACCGCTGGCAATCACCAATCAAGGCCCTCTTAAAGGCTAAAGAGCCTATCTATTCAAGGACACAGAGTATAGTGTGGGGCCGCAGCTGCCTCGCAGAAGTTTAGGCAAGGCCGGTCTAGTACAAGGCTAAGTTCAGACGCTGTACAGCACTTGCTGCCATCTACAAAGAAGCGGTCTCATACAACGGAGGGCGCAACTGGAGGTGGGCAACTCTTGAAATGCTTGAGAGTGACGATCCCATCGTCGTAAACACACAGAACCAACCCTGTGTATGCATCCTGCCCATGGGAGACTTGATTACTTGCCAGATCGATCGCCAGGCATCTGACGAAGATGCAATGGCAGCTAGTATATCCCGCCATGTTGATGTCTGTCTGAATTTGTGAAGCAAATACTAGCGCTGGGCTGGGCTTAAGCATGGGAAGGTATATAAATACCTTTGGCACTGCGACTACCTGCACATGTCAAGAATCCATCGACTGTCAGTATGACCGAAGCCTGCACTACAACCACTTTAAACTGGATCAGACAGACTCGGAATTTGTGACACGCTACCATCAGGGTCTTGACCCGGCGCTCTTGACCGCATTGCTGGTACATCCATTGAGAAACTTTTGGCTCCCGATCCGAAAGGGGAGTCAGTCCCAGAAGTTCCTCGCAGAAGTTCCTCAAACCTTCCATCCGTCCCCAGCCTTCGAGCATGATAAATGACCGGGTCTCGGATACCAAGCTGCCACAGCTTCGGTCGAGCTCAGAAGTGTTGTTCGCCATATGTTGGATTTCAAGCTCACTAAGGCCTCCTCTATCAGGTAAGAAGAGACCCCGTTCCTATTGATTATAAGATGACTGGCTGTATCTACCTCTACTTGTGCATTCAACTCAATATTATCTGCCAATTCTAAAGACGTTTCTAGCAATCATATTATTGATGTAGGCTTAAAGCTTCCACCATCCTCAAGGGAGAAGATACTCTCGCCTACAGATTTAATTAGGTTGCACAAGGTAGTGGCGCAGTGCAGTATCCCAGTGCGCATATAATCCCTTCTGGTGATGTTAACGAGGCCTTGAATACGACGTCTATAGTCCTACAAGATCGACAGATGGTAGTTCTGCTGGCGAGAAAGCGCTGCCAGCGGTTTCTGGCTACTTTTTCTCCCTTGCGAGATGAGAGCCATCGAATGTCGGTGTCTTTGTTCCCTTTCGTCATGATGAGGATGATGATGAAGGAGACCTGGTGAGAATGCTTGCTAGGTACGTGCCTGGTCTGTGAGTTGTTGATTCCACGAAGTGGCTTAGAAAACAGGAGGAGCCATGCCTCTGGTAGGCCCCATGAACTTCGACATCTTGTAACGATGTCTAGTCTCGGCCGCGTCAATTCCGCCGGAGCCTCGCTGTTGCTCTTTCGTGAGGGACTGCTGACCCGGCTAGTGTTGCTCCTTGCAACATCGCCTACCCTTGTGACGCTGGAAAGGCTATGGAATGTCAGATGGCTTAGGGTTTTCAGATTCCGATCGTCTCCTGATACGATATGGCATCCCCTGCTGGCTTGTACTTTTGAATCCTGTCAAAGCCTGAATCTGTGCCGGTCACGGGCTCAGACTTCTTTCAGTCAAGAAGATGGTGATATCCCCGCTAACGCTGGCACTTGTGCATCGACCGTTTTCATGGACATGCATTGAACCTGGGCGGGCTTCCTCCGGGTGTAAGAAGTTCGGACGAAGTTGGAGTTCTGTACAACAGCCTGCATCATGTCTAAGATTTCACTCGCTGGTGGCAATGGAGGTCTAATCGCATGATTGTGGATGCACTCGTCGCCGCAGGAAAGGATCTTGGAGTTCTTAGCAGAAAGGTAGGTATCAACGCCGGATATTGCTTGACGGACGTTATTATTTGACATATGGTCGAAAGACTGACTCTCACTGCCGTACTTGTCGGGATCGATTAGTCCGACGTCCAAGCCACCACGAAGTTACTAGAGGAGCAAGATGTTGGTACTATCATTTTAACACCCCATTGCTCCAGTGACGACCATTAAATGAACCTGATCAAAGCTGCCGAGGCCTCTAACACCACTAACTAGTTCATTCAAGGTCCATGAGCCGTCCGTTACGGCGAGGGCAAGACCTAGCCCCAGCCAATCGCTAACACCATGTGCGATAACTACGCGGCTGTAGAATAGAGATGCGAAGCAATGCCTACCCACACAACTCAAGTTGGAATCTATCCCCAATTTAAGCAAGAGATCACTGAAAAATAGTCGTGTCCACTGCGGATACTTCCTTGACTACTGGCGCATGCCAGAAATGGAGAACTACCTCACGCCAGCAACGCTGGTGACCGATCTTTGAGCACTCGTTGCGAATGTGGCCCCACTTCAGTGGCCTGCAAACACACAAAGGATGTCGCCACGAACACAATATGGTGGCTGTCGTACGACAACTTGAAGTTGCGGGATCGGGGCTGCAAAAGGTGACGGCTACGTAAAAGTGACGGTCGTGTGGCGATTTATGTCAGCTTAGCTAGCAGAGCGTCTGGGAGATAATAGTCCTTAAGCCTCCTGTCCACCTCCTCCGCCACGAGCAGCGGGAAGCTGATCCTCCATCACCACCGCTAGCGCCGCCACCATAAACATATCCACCCCTTCTGCAACCTCCATCCGATACTCATGTCCGAACTTGCCCTTACTTCTCATGATGACGGCCACGGGCACCCCATCGGACATAATCGTCCCTCCAAAGCCGAGATGCCCTTGGTCTTTAAACTCCAGCATTGCCCACTGTCCGCGATTCTGGGCATTCTTGAACTGCATGTCTGTCTCGTTGCTGTGGAGTATGCGCTTGACGGTGTTAGTCTCAAAGATGCGCGGTGAGTCGGGGTCCGGCGAGAGTTGGGCGTAGTACGGGTTATCATCGCCGTCTGGGTTGGAATGCAGGACGCAGAGGAGGGCATTAGAGGTGACTTCAGTAAGGACATAGTAGTCGGAATGGCGTGTGGCGTGGATAAAAGGACGGCCGTCTTCGAAGAGGATGGAGAGATCCTTGCTGAGCCATTTGCTGCGGAGGCTGAGGGTGGTGGGCTTGTCGGCAACGTATTGAGGGAAGATGGCGAGGCCTGGAGTACGGACAAGCTCCAAAGTCGATGGTGGTGAGCAGTTTGTTTTGTCAACAAGACCTGGTTGGGCCTTCTCGTTGCTGTGGGTGAACATGCTGTATGCGCTAGGATGGATAGGAACGGCCTAGATAGACGGACGACTTACGGTCTTATCAATTCCTTAGAAAGGGTTTTCAGAATGTAAAGACACATCCAAGTTACAAAAGTAGAGACGGACTCCTCCTTATAACATGGGATTCCCTGTTCAGTAAACTACAACCATAGACGTAACGTACTGAAGCCAGAAATACTGTAACGAAAGTATCACTTGAATTGGGCAAATTGCCCCTCGCTTTTAGAAAAGCATACGAAAGTTCAGCTCTGATGTTCTGTTATGAAAGTTCTGTTCTGTTCTGCCGTGTCCTCAAACCTTACTGGCCCTACGGATATTTAAGCGGAAACTTTGACCTGCTGTATACACGACATATCGTGTCTTAACTTTGTCCTGCAGGGCTTGGCCGCAGGATTCTATACGGCCGGGATATTTAGAGCCCTTGTTTAGCACCCTCTGGCAATGGCTCGTATCTCCGCATTTTCTCGTAAACCTACTCCCAACAAGACATCCGAACTATCCGGAGAGACTGGTCTGGATCTATTCGCACTTGGCGTGATCAAGCAGCTGCTACCGCTTGACTCTTATATGATACTTGAACGAGTCAACCCCTCCGGATTGATCAACGAAATCCTGCTCAACCTAGTCTAACTATTACATTCATCCGATTATTCAGAGATGGGTGAAGCCTCCAAGATTGTGTCCGTCTTCCTGCGGGTGTGGGAGATTATCTGCGCTGCTGTGGTTACTGGGATTGTTGGATATTATGTTCACTACCTCCACCATGCTCATGTCGGCACGCCCTCCCGGATTTCTTATGCGATCGCTATTGGTTCTATCAGCATCTTCTTCGGGCTTGTTCTTTTGGCTCCATTGAGATATTCCTTCTGGGCATTTCCTCTCGACTTTGCTATCTTTGTTATGTGGATGGTTGCTTTCGGCCTCCTCGTTGACGCAAGTGGCACTACCCTATGTAAACTTCAGAAGCTGACAGATTCGGCAGCTCACCGGAACCGATGCTTGCAACTCAACCTGGTACTGGAATAATTGGGGTTGGTATTGGGGTGGTTTCTACCGCTTCAATCCTGTGCCAACTCGCGCTATTGTCGGGACTACGGCGTGTTCACAGTGGCGTGCTACACTTGCCTTCGCCTTCATGGGAGGGTGGACTTGGTGCATCAGCGCGGGTCTGGTAAGACGGTCGTTCAGCGATACTGAACAAAGCTAAGGACAGTACAGGGTATATATGTCACCCTGAAACGCCGCACAAAGCTTGATACTTACGGCAACTCCCCTGGCCCCATCATCAACAGGCACGAACCAAAGTTAGTGTTCTCCATCCTACATCTCTGAAGTTCAGAACAGCTTACTTCCCCTGTAGCGCTATGGCAGAGGAAAAGAACTTACGACACGAGGCAAACCCAACAGTTGTTACGCCCGACCAGTCTGTCTGACAATACAGATTGGGCAGGAAATGGCTATTCGCGCCACTCGTGTTAAGAATATTGCTCATCGTGGACAAATGAAAGTGTTGAACTTAGTAGTCATTGTAACATCTGAGCCTCGTTCTTTCAGTAGACAAATTCGGCTCATGGCTATCTCTAAATAGTAGAATTCCTCTTGATGGAGCGATGTCGCTGCAAGATATTCTAGTCTACTGTGGAACTCTACAGGATGTATTGTTCCAGATACACCTGTATGTAGGCCAAAGTCTTCAAGCTTGCTAATGAATTTCTGACTCCGAGGTCGGGTCGGATTCACTTTCCGCGTCACTGTGCTCACAAGAAACGCCAGATAGCCTCCACACATCTCTAAGGAGCTTCATACCGGCGATAAGCCCTTCCGACGCTTACCCTGTGATGTTGGAAAAGGGCAGGTCTACTTCTGCACGACTTTGGTGACGACGTGTGAGTCATGTTGTAATGTTTTAGTGTGTATTGCCCGTCTTGATCCCGAAACATCACATAACAGAATCTCATCCCTAGCTCATCGTATAGGGTAAGACTGTCGTAGTACTACAGAGCCTACTGTCGACTTCAGATGGCCGAAGATCTTCTGACGCACACGAGTATAACGTCCGAGGCCAAGCGGCGTCTGTGCACACGATCGCATCCAACTGTGTCCCTTGTGATAGTCGAGATTTTACCAAGATCGTCTTCGCAAGGTCGGCTTCGGCTGTGAGTTCTGATGACAACCCCGTCGATGCTTGGGCTTCTTCTGACTGCTCTGTCCTTGCCTGGGCTCCGAACTCTGATGACGACCCTATCCTTGCCGATGCTTTCGACATCTCACAGAAAGTCTGTTAGTAATCCGACTTCGGCTTCTCACAACGACCTTGGCGTCCAAATTCGGATCATAACTGCTATAGTTGGAGACGGTGCCGAGTGCTGCCGGCATTCCGGCGGTCGTTCCGGCCATTCGGGTCTCACACACGCATATGCGTGTGAGTGACTATGAAGAATGGTTAAGTGCCGTAGTCCAGGGAGCATGGTGTGACAAAACGGAGAGCGATTTGGAGGAAGGAAGCGCTCGTGTTGTGGAGACGAGATAGTTTGCAAGGAGGTGTGGCCCTTGGTGGTCTACGCAAGTCTGGATGTTTGAATAGCCCAGGCTGGCGAGGCCGCTGGGAAGCCTGCTAACCTACAACCAGATGACAAGGAGCCAAAGGTCCTGAATGATCACTCTGAAGGCCAGCCGCATGGAGTCCTGACGCATGGAGTCCGGCAGCCAAACCCTGGATGACGGAAAACGAGATGTCATGCATACAGCTTGTTAGGGGCTCCGCCAAAAGATCCGAATTTGAGGGCACGGCAGAACAGAGCTGAGCTTGGAAGGCTTTCCAGAAATGAGGGGCAGTCCGCCAACCAATGCTGCAGCGCGCCTGCTCCACTCGCATTTTCTGCCAGACGACGCCTTGTGACGGTCGCTCAGGTCGTACCTTGAGCGAACTGCAACTTTCACATGTGTGGGGCCTTTTCAATCCTGGCTTCCCCCCTCCACCCTGTCGTCTGCGCACAAAGGTGTTCAGCGCAGGGGTACCAAAAGTTTACATTTCTGTATTATGTATCGAGGATCCATGAAAACTTGTATGTATTGAGCATTTTTGCCGGTAATTTTGCAACTGGTGATATGCGGAGGCAATAGTCTGGGTGCGAGACAGGGGGCTAGGAGAAGTTAGGCTAAACCCTTGACATTTCTAACCAAATTTTGAGGATTTTAGGGCCTTTTCAGCACTTCTCAAATTAGTCAGCCACTTACGCCAAGGTATGTATTGTTGTAGTGACAGTATCATCAACAAGGCCATTACGACGTATTCAGAATTCTTTACTTATTTTCAAGACCTCTGGTTCAGCGGCCGCTGTATGGTGTAAAGACAAGCGAGCTGAGCTTGACCAAGAGCGGAAGATCCGAGCAAGCAATCCGACAATGGATTTTTGGCGACTCTCAGTTTTCCTGATAGCAACGAAATGTCCAAGATTGCACCGACCGACGCAAATGAGTAAAGCAAAGTCAGACAGACAGCATGTTTCTCACGCCTCCAAGCAGTGACTTCAACTACTCGCCATTATGGGACCGGAGTCCTAGTGAAGGCAACTTACACATGCACTCAAGCAGAGCATGTGCAAGCCGAACTACCACAGAAGGCGCTCTTGCAGCTCGTGATGGCACCAGTTCTGGATCGCTCTGAATACGGAGAACTTATTGCGTTAGAGCCAATTCAACCAATTGGCTCACTACCAACATCCGGCAGAGCCGTATATCTCGACTCTCCACAGCCGAAGGTTGTGGTCAAACCAGGAGATGTGAAGCACTCTCTGTCATGACTGTACCATACCTTAGGATCATCGCACCACCCGCTTTCGCCCGAAACTGCTGTACAATCTCAATCCCGTCTGCAGCAGAAAACGCCCTGATCCAAACCGCTCATGGCTCTTTGAGAGACACCCTGGCATTTGGCGCTTAGAAAGAAAAATAGCACTGCACAAGTCCTGACTTGACATTTTACGGTGAGCTCATTCAATATATACGGACTGATTTCTTACAAACAGGAGCGGACACTATTGCCACATATTTCTCACATACTATGTAACGACTAAGCATGCTCTCTACCGCATTGATGGCATTCGCTTGGTTCGTTGTAGCTGTTTTGTGTCTAGGTAAATTGTTGCATAGGCTCTCCAGCCACGAGGTTTTATGCCTACCACTCACAGTCATCTTAGCCTCCAATTTCTCCCCCGGCAACGCTTCACCGAAGGGTGAAGTCGCCAATACCGCGGCTCGAAGGGCTTTACCCAATGCACCCAATGGATATGCGCCAGAGGAAGGTAGATGTCCTTCAAACAGGCCAGTTATTCGAAGTGCGAGCGAGCTATCGCCCAGCGAGATTTCGTGGCTGAGGAAGCGGCGGAACCAGACGATAGGAACCATGGGTAACCTACTCGGCAGGCTCAACATCAGCGGCTTTGATGCGCAAGCATATTTGAACGAAAACGCCGACAATACATCGAATTTGCCAAATATAGCTATTGCAGCTTCCGGAGGTGGCTACAGGGCAATGCTCAACGGCGCTGGTGCAGTGGCTGCTTTTGACTCTCGAACAGAGAACTCGACTGGGCCGGGTCAACTTGGTGGCCTCTTGCAATCTGCTACTTACTTCTCCGGACTGAGCGGGGGTTCTTGGCTCGTGGGATCTATCTATATCAATAATTTCACCAGCATTGACGCGATACTAGGTGATAACACAAGCGGTTTGTGGGATTTGGAGCACTCGATCCTTCAGGGGCCGGCAACAGTCTCGGACTACTACAGGCAACTCATGGACGCTGTCGGCGGTAAAACCGATGCTGGATTCAACGATTCGATTACCGACTACTGGTTGGTCTCAACCGGCGTTCCGCTTCAACTGCAATGCTGACTTTTTTAGGGGTCGAGCATTATCATATCAGCTCGTTAATGCAACAGATGGAGGGCCAGCCTATACTTGGTCCTCAATAGCCCTGCAGCCGGAATTTGTGGACGGGAAAATGCCGATGCCAATTATCATCGCAGATGAACGTGCACCAGGCCAGCTTGCAATAGGTAATAATCAGCTTTTGTTGCCAGGGTGAAAATCGCTCACATTTTGAGAAGCTCCGAATACCACAGTCTTCGAGTTCAATCCTTGGGAGCTTGGAACCTTCGATCCAACTACTTACGGCTTTGCTCCCTTGGAATACCTTGGGTCGAGCTTCTCTGCTGGCACGCTTCCTCAGAACGAGGAATGCGTTCGGGGATTCGACAACGCCGGGTTCATAATGGGGACATCATCTTCATTGTTCAACCAAGGCTTTCTGCTAATCAATGGTACGAACGACACCAACGTCTTAACAAATGCTGTAACGGCCATTCTTGAGCAAATTGGGGACGATAACAACGACATCTCACTTTATGGGCCCAACCCGTTCTACTATTACCACAACGAAACCAACGCTAATGCACAATCACCGACACTCTATTTAGTTGATGGGGGCGAAGATCTCCAGAACATCCCCCTGCACCCTCTTATCCAACCCCCACGGTCTGTTGACATAATATTCGCCATCGACAGCTCAGCAGATACCCAAACTTCCTGGCCAAATGGGACAAGTATGGTTGCGACTTACCGGCGCAGTCTCGATCCAACCGGTATTGCTAATGGTACTGTCTTTCCCTCAGTTCCGGATCAGAGCTCATTCGTCAACCTCGGGCTAAATACGCGACCAACCTTCTTCGGCTGTGACTCGAGCAATATGACGGGACCTAGTCCTCTGATCGTTTACATTCCGAACTTTCCGTACTCCTATCTATCTAATGTCTCAACGTTTGATCTGCAGTACAACACCACAGAGCGCAACAGCATTATCCAAAATGGCTACAACGTGGTGACTATGGCAAATGGTACAACTGATATGGAGTGGCCGGCCTGTGTAGGCTGTGCTATCCTTAGCAGAAGTCTCGAGAAGACAGGTACGGACATTCCAAGGGTATGCCAGCAGTGCTTCACTAGGTATTGCTGGAACGGTACCATCAACAGCACGCAACCTCTGCCGTACAGCCCCGAGGTTGCTCTGACAGCCGATGCAGAGAGCGAGACAGCAAAGCTGACTACGAGTCTGACTACGCTAATTGTCATATGTGCATTCGTGATGAGACTTCACGCCGTCTTCTAGATAGCGTCTGAACACTTTAGTAAATCTCTACTTATAGCTGTTGCTGTCCCAGCAAACAAAAAGTTACCTTTTATGTCAGTTGCTGCAAAAAAGAACGGCCTTACGCTTGTTCACAAGCTTAGCGAGGATTAATCTGAATCGTCTGCTCTGACTGCTTTAACTTCTGCGATTGATCAACTTCAATCTCCCGCAGAGCACGAGAGCTGGCGTTAAATTAGGTCAAAGAATAGTTGTGCCTCGTGACGTGTAGGGCCAGACGGTGCCATGAGTGGAAGAATTAAGACATTTTGTTGGTTAAAGAGTATCCTCTGACTGGCATTACTTGAAAGAGTCTCGGAGGAGACTGCCATTCTGGCATCGTTATAGGAATGACCCGCGCGCACCTCTAGTGCTAGGCTGCCCCTGCGGCCCTCTCCTTGCAATTCTATATATATGGCCTACGTCTTGTCGGTTCGTGGGGTCACGCGACGGGTCGAGGTGGTAGCGCGACGTATGCGATCAAAACAGCTGGAAGCTGAGTGACGTCGGGCGAGTATCGGGCGAGGCTGTTGCCGCTTTTACAAGGCTTGAGCCGCCAAGTTTTCTGACCAAGCCTTATTCGTACTGGGCGTAAACTAATATCCACAGGCGTCATGCGAGGTGAGATCCAGGAAAGTTACCCGGGATTCAAGAGCTTCCACAATGTACTAACAAATATTCTCCCTTGCTACATTAGCTGCAACTAGAGCCTTTTTCAACCCTCTTAAGCTGAATATTATTAGGCTAGAGGATAGGCTTAGAATAAAGTCTAAAATAAAGGTAAGTGACCTATTACTTTATATCCTAGTATATCTTAGAACTTTACTATTCTAAAGAGTAGTATTCTAATAACTATTATTAATAGAGTTCAATGTAAAGAGTAGGAATTTTATCTTCTTATTGTCAAATAATAGTATTTATTCTATATATAAGCTTTTTTATCTTGTTATTAGAGTATATAGTAAAGATAAATAATCTATGGCTTTACAATATAGTATTCTAGAATTAGAAGATAAAGTAGATAAATAAGACTGTAGTAGATAGGCTTTAGATAATGAAACAATTAATATATAAGGATATCTATAGTAGCTTCAAGCTAATATAAAAGAAGGAGTCTAAGCTAAGAGAGTCTCTTACTAAAGTACTAAAGATAAGAATTAATTCTTTAATTATAGTAACTAATTAGATTAAAATACTAGATACTAGTATAATAAAAGATATAATACAGAATAATATTTAGAATATATTAAGAACTAGTGAAGATTAGGATATAACTTATAATAAGCAATAAAGACTATATATAATTTAAACTAAAAGGCTAATTTAGAGTAAGTATAGTTTTAGACTAATTTAGAATAAGTATAACTTAGGTTAAGTTTAAGTAGATAAACTAGGATAAAGATATTATATTAAAGAAATAAAGTTTATTATTAGAGGCTATATAAAGTTACCTAAAGTTATCTAGCTAATAAAGATAATACTATAGATCTATGTAAATCTAGGGTAACTTAAAATCCACTAGGATAAAAGATATAACCTAATATACCCAGGTTATTCTAGGGTGCTATTATTAAGGGATAACTATAGAAGAGGTGTAAGTAGTAATGTAACTATGATATTATATTAGTAAACATTTTAAGGGCACTAAGATCCCTGCATAGACCCCTACTTGAGCGGGATCTCAAGGACTGATTAAGGCAGTTATCGGGGCTGAGACTGCGTCCAACCAAAGGGGCCTAATGCACGCCAATGGTGGTCGTCGCCACGACTTATCGAATCTATCGAACCTATCGTTAGTTCACGGCCGGCCTGATGTCACCAGCAAGCGCGAGCGACGCCGTGGCTGCCTATCGATGATCCAAATGTGGTGGCACTCGCCAGACGTCGCATTTGCCCATGGCTCCCAAAATATTTCTTCGACTGCCCTCCCTGGATTCTGACACAGCCCAAAAATGCTGTCACCATCTCCTTGACCTCCCTACATTCCTCTTGCACGCCTCCGTTTCGCTGTATACTTATTGCTCGTTGCGCTCCTTCGTGCTCTTGAGGTCTGGCCCAGTTTGCTTGGTCTCGACACGTTTCTCGAGGCTGCGCAAAGCCGACCCCATTTCGTACCATACTCGGCCAAACTAGAACGCAGAACCTTGGATCAAGAACACACAGACACTAACCTCAGCCCTTGATCAACACAGGCAGATGTTCAGCTGCAAATCTCAACCAGGCCGTGCTTGAATTCTTCTGCGTACCAGTACTGGCCGTCTAGGCATCACCGCACCATGGCGTGCGCTTCGCCCTACCCGAGACATTTCATCATGATCAGAGAAAGGAGCACAGCGCTTTAGGACTCTCATTTCAGATTTAACGTTGCCCTCACTCACTGGTCGACGACAGCATTAACACTCTTCGCACTATATCCAACGATGTTGACCATACGACGGCCCTCGCTGCTCAGCCGAGCTGTCTCCACGCCGCCTCAGACACCGACCTCTCCTCACCACGAGCCCATGCTCACCAAGGGAGACGCAGATATCAACATCTTGACACCCCCTCTGTCGCCACGTCAATCGAGGTCTTCTTCAGACATTCCCAATCTTGTTGAGACTATGGCCTCACCAATGGATCAGCTGGTTCCGGATGGATTCCGATCCCCCCCGGATTCCGCGAAACACCAAGACGAGGTCAATCTCGACAAGTCTGCAATTGGCGTCCTCATCTGTCCATTCGACACCGAACTTGTCTCTGATGACCGAGGCCACAACCAAATGTTCGGCAGTGGAGCTTGGAGTAATGTATTCAAGGCAGCAGCAGTCGAATCAGCAGCTCGAGCCAATCCAATGGGAGTGCTTACACCACCAGCCTCACCCGTCTTCTCGATACCGGTCCTCGTTGCAGTAAAGAAGCCCGCCCGAGCCGACGCCAAGCCTATACTGCGCAATGAGGCCGCCATCCTTTCACATCTCAACCACCTGGAAAGCAGTAGAGGCCATGTTGTTCCATTCTACGGGATCATCGAGTCAGATTCGTCCCTCGTTCTAGGAGCAATACCTCTATCCCTCGAGGATCATATCCGCCGATCAGCCCTTGTTGCGACCCAGACGCTCACCACGACCAATATGTCTCGGCCGGTTATTGGATCAACAAACACTTGGCTGGACTTGACATGCCGCTTGACATCCGCCCTCAACTGGCTGCATGAGCGAGCCGATGTTGTACACGGAGATATCAAACCGAGTAACTTCCTTCTTGAGCCATGCGGCACCCTCGGTGACGATGAGTTTCCTTTCCGGCCATTATTCATCGACTTCTCGTCCTCTCACCGCGCCACTTCTTCAGATGACGAAATCCCGCCTGGTACTCTCTCTGCTGTCACCAGGGAGTACACTGCACCGGAACTCCTCAAGTCTTCCGTTCTTCGGGACCCGAAATTAACAGCTACAAAAGCGTCCGACGTGTTCTCGATGGCGATAACGCTCCTAGTAGCAGCCACAGGCAATACCATGGTCTACGATGGCCCAGTATTTCGACGACAAGCCATGGCTACACAAGGATGGCAAGTCATTGGCTTTGTGAGAAGTGGCGCAAGTGGCTCCCGCGTTCCCAGGCAGGGAGTCGTGGAGCGAGCCCTCGACAGAGCGGTACTGAAGCACGATATGGGGAGGATTACAGCGCCAGACTGGTTACGGCAGATTGAAGAGATGCAAAAGGGCGAACCGACGAAATCTTTTTGAGGAGAGGAAGTTCGGTTTCTCCACCCCAGCAGCGAAGCCCTGACGGGCTTTTAACGTTACGATGTGTATGATTACCAAAAAAAACCCATGCATCAAGCAATGGCGTTTGGATTCGGGTTCGGATTCGGAATTGGAAAATTGCCGCTTCACACCAGGAATAGAAGATGTGCATGCACTTCGAAGCCTCCAAGCATGATGATAGAAAGTGCCAATTTCGGCATCGATGTAGGACTGTACGGATAGGGTGGCTTAGCCAACCAAAAAGTATCCCAAACATGGAATTGATTACCCCGAGAGCACTTCCTACAGAGTCAATCACACGGTGCTGTTTGTTGCCCATATCTCCTTCCTCTACGTAATAGTCCCAAATCCTCGGGCACCGGTTCCATCCCTCATTGTCCATGTTCCCCTTTCGCAAACCTGCCAGGACAATGCTTGGCGTATGCGGGGTCTGGACGCCTTGTGGTCGCCTTGCAAATGCTGACTGGCCGGGGTTGCGAGATGTAGTTGAATGGAAAAGGCTCAGTCGCGAGGCGCAAGTTAAGACGGGGCAAGACACGTGGTGCTCAAGGTAAGTTGATCCGCTAAAGCTTTTGAGATTACCAAAGTGATATATGTACGTAAACCCGACATGAAACACATTCCTCCACTAAAAGTGAAAACAAGTCGGATGACAAAGCCTTCGCGGGTGGCTCTGACTTCACCTTTGCCCCGCTTGCTTGCAAGTGCTCACTCTGATACTCAAACATCGAAACCCAGACCAGCAGGGCTCTCTTCAATAACCTCAACCATGACTTTCAGGCACTTCCATAAGTCCTCGTCCCATGATCCTCGTAGTGCTACCAAAAGCTTCTGTCCGATGACACCGATCGATGGCCGGATAACGCGTAGTCGGCGTATCAAACCAGCCTCGTGTGCCTTCAACAGCCCCTCATTGAGTACCGCTGTGTCGCTGATTCCGAGCAGGGAACGTGCCTTATTTGGGATTTGTCTCATGGGGGAAGTAGCATCCCACGCATAGGCGAGGTACGCCTGCACTTCTGGTGAAGGCGCGACTTGTGCAAGGCTGGGAGGCAATGGCGAGGATATCTTGTAAGCTGCTGGCCAAATGTCCACGGCTGGTTGTGACTGCAAGACATCTTCAGTAGTGAGCTCCGCATCTCTTCCACAGGAGGGAGAGGTAATGATAGCATTTTCGGACCAGATGTCAATGATGAGCCACGCAGCGAGAGCGGAGAGGAGAAGTATCGGGGCGTGTGGAAAGATCTTGACAAGTGGATCGATGAGTGTTTTATCCGGAATGTGAGGCGCTCGAATAGCTCGTATCGAGGGTGAGTCGAGGCGAACGATACCGCCCGGAAATGCATTAATGGCATTTGTAGTCATGGTTATCATTTGATTCAGCCTTCGTATTCTTGTCTCCAAGCATGCGATGGAATCTGGCGTTGTTTGTCGGAACGGTGGAGTAGGACGTCGCTGCAGGGTGCTCTTAGGAGGCACAGGCCACGCTCCGGTGGCAATGGTCCAGTCAGAGGTGTTGACGTCCGACTTAATAGGCTGGTTCCGGCGTGGAGAAACATCGCAAGGATCAGATAGCTCTGCGAACCTTTCAGCAGTACTGCTGAAGATCGTACTTGATGATCGGCTGGAATGTGAAGTCCTGAGAGCCAGGGGCGCAGGTACAAGACTAGCGGTGGAGATCCTGTATTCTCCAGCGGTACGCTTGGGCGACGTGTTACGCGGTGCGCAAGGCGAGACATCTAGCGGTAGAAAGCGATCAGGGGAATCCGGAGTATCGTATGGGCTGAACTTTGACACCTCCAGCGGTGCGTGAACGGGTGTCTGAGGTCTTGTGATGTTCGGCGAGTGGGTATGGAATCTGCTGGTAGCCAGCGAAGATGAACGTGAGATATGCACAAGCTTTGGCTTCCTCGAGCCAGCAACCTCAGCCAGCATCTGGAAACAGTTAGTGGAGCACATGCAGTATTACTTGGGACAACCTACAATCTTGCTTCCACAAGGGCCTGCGCATCTTGCCTTGAACCTCGATTCCCTTTCCCTCCATGAGAGATCATTGGATAACCAGCCTGCTTCGTCAGGTGATTCATCGGAATAGAGTTCACTTGTTCTGTAGATCTGCTCAGGTGGCGTAGCTGGTGCTTCATCGTACCATGTGCTCCCAGCGTCATCGCCTTCAGCAACCGGCGAGTCTTCCCAAATGCCATCATCGAGGTCATCGAGGTCTTTTGTTCGATCTTGGGTTTCGCTAGGCTGATTTTCATCACAATAGGCGGACAAGATATGTAGATCTTCGTAGGACTTGTACTCGGTTATACCTGCTCGTCGTGGGTTTCGAAAAGTGAAGTAAGAATCGCTCTGGACGTTGTCTTTGACGATCGGACTCGGAAGCAGCGGAGTTCTGTCACCTCTTGATAACACCTCCTTCTGTTGGGTGGCCAAAGTCCTCAGATCATGATAAGTGGGGGACCGCCGACGTAGTCGAGGCGTCCAAGTTGGGCAGTCGCACGAGTCAGAGCTGACATCGCTGGCACTAGGAGATGCCGGGAGGTATAGAGGAAAAGGAGCCTTCATCTCGGACACGAAAGGACGTGATGGGCTTGATCGTCGAGTTGGCAAAGGAACGCTTTCATGGTCGGTCTTGGACCGTCGAAGTAGCCTCGAGAGCTGCAGCTTTGGACGATGACCGAGCATCGGCTTCTGAAAGTCATTTGGAGAGTCTGGCGGGGTTAGTTGACCATCCGCGGCACAGTAGACTGCTCGAAAATTCGAAGGCATCTCAAATGTGTTAGCAGAACGGAGGGAAGCCGGAAGGTTGGCCATTGTTTCGCGAGGTCACAGACGGTAGTCAACAAGTAAAGTAGCAGATGGGTGAAACATATAGCAAGGAGGTGGACGAGACCTCGAGATTGAAGCCCGGATGTGAATTGGCGATTGAGCTGGTCGTGGCTGCGGGTCATGCCTTCCCGAGACGCAAGCAGCCGTAAGGGACAGCGATGGACAGCAGGGTAGATTGAAGCCCTTGCAGGTTCGTGCTCCCGTTTGACAATTCATCGACCTGTGCGACCAGCCATCGACGGTAATGGGATAGCATCAAAACCGGCTGTAACAAGTTCGGAGGAGGGTGGGAGATGACGGGCCACCATGGTCATCCCTTGCCTCGAGCCAAGAATAAATCCTCCATTGAGGCTTTTGTGTTCGAAAACTGGACGTTTTACGTGTAAGGGTCTTGCGAATTGTGAGATTGAGCATCCTGGGAAGATGCAGGATCAGTTTTCAAATCAGCCAGATGGGGTGACAGAATGTAGGGAAGATCAGATTGAAAGTGCTGTCGTTGTGCCACCACGTTCCGCCAAGCCAACCCCTTTTTACGCCTGGGCATGGAGCGTTGACATTCCAACGTGATTGTCCAGACACTGTCATTAATGCACATCAGAGTACTGCCATATGGATCAACAGCAGCTTACGCAAGAAGCATTTGAAATATGACTAAACACCAAGCTACCCAATGTGTACTACATATGCTCAATAGGCTCCTCCGGCAACAGAGATTCGCGCTCCTCGTGAGCATTGCCATTCCTTTGTTCGCGGGGAATCAGAGCCTTGATCGGTGGGCGAACCAGTTCGTTGAACAAGAAGGTGCCATAGACAAGTAGAGCGAAGCCCACAACTTGGAGCCATTTGAAACTCTCCCATCCAAGTCCTAGCGATACTAGCCAGATGAAGAGTGTCCGGCAAGTATCAATGATTGATCGCGAAGTCGCCGAGATGCTCCTCGTGACCGACAGTCCGAAGAAATTGAATCCACCAATGGACACCATGATGAACAAGCTCGAAATGCCGATGGCTCTGTTGGTAAAAATCTCGCGATAGCCTTCTTCGGCATCAAAGTACCCATACTTGCCACTCTTGCTCACGCCCACAGTGAAATGCAGCAGAATCTGACCAATGATAGTGATTGTGAAACCAAAGATGCCTTCCCAAGCCACCACTTTTAGAGGCTCGAGTGCGTAGTTCTCGAGGATCCACTCCTCAAGGCAAAATTGACTGGCTGTAAATATCTGAGCTCCTGCGATTAAGAAAATGCCAATGATTGTTTGGATGACAACAGGGTCTGCAGCTTGCGCGACGGCGTCTCGTGCGAAGAGCACAACTGTCTTAAGCTCTGGCGCGTGCTCTTGGGCATCAGAGGAGCCTTTACCACTCCAGATGGCACCCGCTAGGCCAACAAGAGCAACGCCGACAACCACAATCACCAATGAGAACCAGTGGAAGAGGTGAAGCTTCTTTTTGAGGAAGATGACACTGAATAAGCCAACAAATAGTACCAAAGCACCTCTCGTCATCTGATAGATAGAGGCTGCAACGAAGAGCAGTCCGACGTTCATGAGTGTTGTGCCTGTGATATCGCAGCATGCAGGAATGGCGAGGAGAAGTGTCTTCCAGCCCTTGAGTGGACGACGGTCGTCCGCATTAGGTACAAGCGGTTTTAATGCAGGGCTGGCGGCATCTTGAGATGAGTATGGTCTTAGGGTATTGTCATCCTCTTCATTCTCAGTATTGACAGGTTGGTAGAGTAGTGGGGATGTTCTGGTTTTGTTCTGGATCAGACGAGCGATATAGAAGCCAAAAACAACCAGCCAGCAGCCTGTTTCACCGATGAACATCTGCACAGTCTGGATGACAGGCTGCTCGAACAGATGAGGCTTTCCCTTATCTCCCGCTTCGCAGTTCCGCACACATTGCTGATCTTGATACTTGGTGAGAATGGTATTGGCACAGCCCGTCAAGAGCATCATGCCCACCAAGAAAGGGATGACAGCCTTTACAGCCATGGCGAGGCTTGGTATCGCTGTAGAGATGGTCAACTCGATGGTGTTCGCAGGTCGGCACGTAGGAGGGAGGTTGAGCGTGGGGGCAATGGCTGAGCTGCTCAGGAAGTGCGGATAGATAGTCGATACGGATTATTTCTGCATCATCGCGAGAGTCTAGATGCCAGCGACTGAGAGGTTCTGAAGATCAAGGCAAATGAGGTAACGGGAATGATATGAGGCCGGGTTGCGAAGTGAGAGTGAAGCACGCGATAGCCGCCTAGATCACGGAGGGCGACATCAGCCGCACCCGCGCCAAGGTCGGCCATCTGCTGCCTGACCCAGATCTGTCGCAAATACCTTACCTACGGTACTAATCTTCTAATAGACCTTATAATGCTTCCACTGCCTATTTGAAGACCTTGCCCATGGAAGATGACAACGCTAATGGATTGATCGCTTCTCGCCGATGCATACTAGACAATGCGCTGACCCGATAATGCCAGCGGACGCAATGGCAATTACTCCATTCCGCCGGATCACTTTGCCATGGTAGACGAATATTGCTGAACAACGCCACAACCACCGGTTCAGGATCGATCTCATACTGACATCATAAGAAAGCCGCGGCAGCCAACAGAGCAGCGCCAGCCAGCGCAGCCGGGGGATCATCCCGCTTTACACCTGCATTTGAGTTATCAGATGCAGCACTCGCCTGGCCACCAACTTGGCTTGACACGCTGCTGATGACTGACGAGAGTGAGGCACTGTCCGTCGTGGTAGCAGTCGCCAGTTCAGAGGAGATGCTGTTCAGAGCCGAAGTAAGCTGTCCTTGGTTGCTGGTTGCGGTCGGGGACGTGGTGCTAGCTGTACCGCTGCTGATGGTCGTTGCAGCCGTCATTTGGGGAACTATATATTGACTCGACGGGTTATATGTGATGGACGAGAATCCACAGCCTCTTCGGAGTTCGCCAGCATCTATGTCTTGAATTCAGCAAGTGAGTATTGCGTATGATCGTGCAACCCACCATTGTCTTCATCATCGTCACTGTCACTATCATCATCATCATCGCTGTCATAGAACTCGATGCAGGCGGCGCATAGAGGGACCACTTCCCTGGCATTTTCAGCCTGACACATACAGTCCCGTTCGTCGCGGTCGCGACGGAAGGCCCGGTCACATTCCTCTGACACAACCGCGATATTGGAGCAAACAATTTGGCATTGGCTGGGGATGTCATCCCGATCAACGTCCTGGGCAAGGATGGGAGCAATAGCGCTGAGGCCGACGAGGGCGGCAGCTGTTGTCTTCATATCGGCTAATGCTCTGTGGCATACAACGGAATTCGAAGATTGAGATCAGAGGTCAAGTGTTCGTCATGGCAAGTGTCGTGAACCTTGAGAGGAGATGGTAGACGTTTATAACACCAACGTTGGGTATATTCCGTACCCCAAGAAGTGCCGCGACGGAAGGCTAGTTAGCCTCGATGGATATCATCCTCTCCAGATTCCTGGCTAGAACCAAGTTTCTTACTCACAGACTGTAACGACAAGCACTACATCCTGGTGCTGCCACGCTGGCACGGGGAGCAACAAGAGCTGGAGCGGCGTAAGTGCTGAGGTGCTGTGCGAATCAGCCTGGAGAGGATGACGAAGCACAAGATCTTGGAAGCTACGGTCAAGCCTGATCGTGTAACGGCCAAGCCAGACATAGCCACAGTAGTTCCCCCCCAGTGAGGAACCAAGCACCTCCTCAACACTACTTCCGACGCAGATGTAACTACTTGGTGTTGTGGGCTGGAATGGCAGTAGTCCCGACCGGTCGACGTATATCGGGGATCGTCGTACCATCTTGGAGATCCGAAGGTATAGAGTCAGGGGCCGCGTAACTTGTTTGCGCATGCTCAAGTGTCCAGCTTGCAGAATTAGAACCACATGTCATTCGACAATAAATAAATGCAGCGCCGAGCAACTCGAGGTCGCGCAGAGCCACAGCCTGGCCGTAGGCAACAGGACTGAAATAGCAAACTCCTGTGCACTCAGTGATGATCTTCGTGGGAGGCGCTGCACACCGTGACGCGGCAGAAGTGGTCTTACGGTATACTGCTTCGACAAGGGAATTATAGGTATGTACGGCGGTCTCCAGTGGCAGCGTATGGGTGTGAAGTCGCTCCTTCACAGTCTGATTCGGACACGAAAGCAGCATCCCTGAGTTTCTCGACTTGTCATGCGACATTCGTCCCTTTTCGATTCCAGCAATGGCCCACGTACAGCTGAAAATACTGTCGGCGATTTCAACATCGACGAAGTTGCGGTAAACAGCACCCAGCGCCCGGCTCCCAGCTTTTACTTATGCTCCTGCTCGGGCCTTTGCCGAGATTCGGAGTAGACAAAAGCCTTGGCTTCGAGTATCTTGTCCTGTGAGGAATACCTGTTCACAGCGATTCGTGCAAACGAGATTAATCTTATTGGTCTCGGTCTCCAGATGGAGGGTACTTCCCAAACGATCAGGCCAGCGTCCGAGGCAACGGGGAGTCGTGTTTACGCAGCACGAATGCGGCAAGATGCCCTAGCCCGTGGGCCCCACCACGCCGCTTCTGACGTCAAATTGATTGGGATTGGGGGGGCCCCCGGAAGGTGCTTCCTCAGGCGCACCTGGTAGGCGGAAGCCGCATCCAGCGGCCACCACAGCTGAAGCTGACACGGGAGCATTGGCGCATGTGCTTGCTGTCTGGACTCTGGCCCCTCGTCGAAACACCACACTACTGCTGCACTCTCGCTGCGACCAGGCGCAACCGGCGCCTTTCTCGCTTCGCTGCCGCTCTTCGCTGTTCGCTGCCATTTGGTGTCGCACAACATTGCTGTTCATGCTTATGGCTCACGATCGCTCTCCCGAACCCACTGTACCGTTTCTTCTACGGCGACTACACATATTGCCATTGCGCGCCGCAGGCGCCCACGAAACCCAGACACTTCGCATACCAGCCTTCCACCCTATATAGACAGCGATTCCTGAGCGAACTACTCGGCGGCGACGATAGCGCCGTTCTATACTACGACTTGCGCTCGCCATAGCGCACAACTAGCTGTGACCCGCGGATCTTCCAACGCTGCCGCCATGGTGAGGATCTCCGTTGCTTCGTCAACACCACATCATCTCGACTAACCCTCAATCTAGCCGGCCATAACTCCCACGATCAACGAACCCTCGCTCCCTCAACTCCTCCCGCGACAAGCTACCACCACTATTGCGGCCGGCGGCACTGTTGCGCAAGGCTGCCCAGGCCAGTATTCCGGCGGCGTGCTCGCGGGCGCAATCGTAGGAACTTTCTTAGGCACTCTCCTCCTAATGTTCCTGTGGAACAGCTTAACGGATTCGCGGTGGCGCGGCGCACGAGATGTGGTGGTGGAACGCAAGACTGTGAGACGGGGCGGGGGCAGGGGACATCGAAGTAGGAGTGGCAGCGGGAGTTATAGCCACAGCAGTGTCAGGAGACCGAGTCGAGTTTACAGTGTCAGGGATTAAATGTGATCGGAAGGGACGGGAAAGTCCCTAAAAGAGGCATTGCCAGCCGGGTCCGCAAATGATGCTATTGAAGGAATGACTGTATAATCAACATCCACAGGGAAAGAGCGAGCGAGCGAGCGACCCTTGCCAGACTTGCCAGACTTGACATTTTCAACGGCATGCATGCACGCCGATAGTGCGATTTATATACTTTGACGAGCAGATGAACAAAGAGATTCCACAATGAATGCCTGGCCAGACACACATCATTGTGGTACTGCTGACTTGAGATATATATCAGGCATTGAAGCCCTGGCAGGATTAGTCGGCCAGTTGTGTTCCACTGCATTTCCCCTCAAAAACTGATGTTTTCTCGTTCACTTTGTTTCCAGTGCGCGTCAACGGTAGATACGGGGCACACAGCTCTTCGATGAGATGTTGGTGTGGTTCTGCGCAGCGTTCGACCCCCGTTGATAGTAAAAAGTCTTTCATATTGCTCCTGCTGCCGTATCTTTGAACTCGGACTCCATTTTGAGCTCGGTCTTCGTGACCACGACCACCACTTATTCCTACCTCACCTTCTATATGCGTTGCTCACGGCAACTTCCTTTCGACATCGCGTACCTTTATGCTTCGAATATCACTTGCAATTTTCAGGTTCCAGTTTTGGGCAGTAGTCGGCGTGGCAAGCCTTGCCCCAGCTTTGCAGGTCCGACAATGACATGTAACTTTAGCCGTCACATTTCGAGTGATCGGTCGGGGGGTCGGAACCAGGTATAGATACCTTCCTTTTTGCAAAGCACTTCACCTATGACGCCTGATGGTACAGGGTCGAGGACATTCCTGCAAGTTCTGGCAGAGGAACCGGATTCAGTGCTTCTGCGCCGGGCAAAGATTCAGCTGCCTGAGCAACACAACTCCAGCTGCCGATCTTGATACGATGACCGAGCAATTTGTCCATCAATGCTTGTTCGCACGACTCGGGGTCTTAGAAAGCTTCAAACGCTTGCGTGCCTGCGAGCCCATTCTGCAAAGAGGCTGCTCCACCGCCGTGGTGTGGATGTACTAGAAACTGTCGTGATTAGGGTAGAAACGCTGTGCTGTCAATGAGGATTTTCCACATCCTGTTCTGGAGCGCCTGAACGAGAATGGCCTTGACGGCCTGTCAGACTTATGCCAACTTTTGAATGCATGGAATGTGTCGCCATATCTACCTGTGCAAGGGCCTGTCATGCATCAATGGGACCGCTTCGTGGCCGTAGACAGCTCGAGAACTGCTGCTGTGCGATAACGAAAGACTCGCTGCAGCCTTCCTGTACATTACTGATCAGTCAGTGGCCTTTGTCCAGCCGTTCACCTTGGAGCCAAGCTGAGTAACGTCGAAGCTGCCACTGGCCCCTGAAATCCATACCACGCGAGGCTCAGTTGGCCCCCTTGCCAGCCTCACCCTATTCGAGACTAGCTCCAATCTATTCCCAGTGAGACAAGACAGACGGCCACGAACTCCCCTCACTGTTAGGCGAGCATCTCCTTCATCAACGTCTTCGAACCCTCATTGCCATCTTCCATCTGGTTCCGCCACTTCTTCTGTTGCTTCTGCTGTTCATTAGCTATCCTGCTGTCGTATCGTGGCCTGCTCGGAGCAGACGCGTCGCCGTCGCGGTCCGCCTTGGCATCAGTGGACCCCTTTTCTACGTCTCTGAAATCCCTCCAAACCACAACTTTGATTGTTTTAGAGGTGTCCAGTCACACATACGAGAGATGAACTGGGCGACGAGATGTCTGTTGGCATCGACGACACTTTTGTCGGCGGTGGCTTCCGCTTATAGGCCAGTCCAATTCGTGAAGCACACAGGCGAGGTACGTTTGTGAGTACCCATAAGTAGGATCTCAGCTTACAGTCCTCAGGCTGGACGAGCCGACCAAGCCTTCTCTTTAACTCAGCATTACAACGAAAGCACGGGAGAAAATGACCTGTGGGTTCGTATGGAGGCCTTCCGCTACAGCGGCGATGCGAAAGGCTGGGCTGCTCTCGGTCTTGGCCCTTGGATGACAGGTGCCCTCATGTTCATCCTGTACGGCGACCCAACTGCCCCTGGCGCACCGCTCACCGTCAGCGTCCGCACCGCCGACGGCCATCATCCACCCTTACCGCTCACAGACGTCAAACCCCCCTTCATGCCCGATGTCGATGTCACCTACGCCCAATTTGATGAGTACTCTGGGGGTTTCAACCACGCCGATATGGGCAAGCCATCCCACGTTGCTGTAGCGGACTTTGTCGTCCGTGGCTACGATGGCTGGCACGCCGTCGACGTCTCCAATACCAGCACCCGTCAACCATTCATTTGGAGCAGCAATTTCAAGCAGGACTTCGAGGGTGATTACTCTGTCGATCGCCATATTGATATGCACATGTTCGGCCTGGGATTCGGTTTCCTCTTTGTTGACCTCCAGAACGCCGCTGTTCCTGAACCCATGTACGGCGAGATTCGCGACACCGAGTCACACTACGGCATCAGCGAGATTGGCGACCCAGACTCACCCACCGACGAGGAACTCGCGTCTGGCAAAGCCTATATCGACAGAATGACACAATCCAGCAGCGGCGGCTCAGCGCCCCCTCGGCCTGAGGCCACCTCTTCAGCCGAAGCGCCGCCCCTGGAGCCCGAGCACAAGGACGAGCCCGCCGGCTCCGGCGCTGGCACGCTCAACCCGAACCCAGAAGTCGAGCAGCCCGTGCACTCGCCAAAGCAATGGAACCTGCGCTCCTTCATGTGGCACCTCCACGGCGCGCTCATGGTCTTCGCCTTCCTCATCATGTACCCGTTGGGTACCTACCTCCTGCGCTCCGGCCGCCCCACGGCCTTCAACTTCCACTGGACGATCCAAGCCCTGGGCTCCGCCGCCGTAGGCATCAGCGCCATCATCGGCTACTTCAACAGCCACAGCATCAGCATCACGCACCAGTACGCCGGCCTCGTCATCGTGCTGGCCCTCGCCTCCCAGATCCTGCTGGGCTGGCGGCACCACGTCTTCTTCGTGCAGACCAAAGGCAAGAACTGGCTGAGCCCCGCGCACATCTGGCTCGGGCGCGTCGTGCTTCCTTTGGGGTTCGTCAACATCATCACCGGCCTCAAGCTGCGCCAGTACGGCTGGTTCACGATCCTGCTCGTCGTCGTCGTCATGCTCGTCGAGCTCGTCGGCCTCTTCTGGTACGTGCGTGGCGCGCGCGCCAGGAATGCGCGCATCGACGCCGGCGCCGGTAACAAGGGCATGCCCATCGGCCAGACCGGCGCGGAGGCAGAGGAGGAGTATTTCCAGCTCGCGGGTGATGATGACGAGTTCAGCGACAGTGATGGCGAGGAGGCCAGTGCTGGCGGCCGTGCCAATGGCGCGCAAAGCAGGGCCGAGGAAAAGCGTGAGCAGTCCAAGAGGCTGGCCCAGTTGGATAAGGTGTAGGTATGGCTTGACGTCGTATTGTCGAAATACGTGACCAAAAATGGGGGGGAAGCATAGCATGGGAACATAAAGGGAGGCCCAAGGGACGTGGTCAGCTCGGACGGCCGCGAGAAGGGACGGTCCCCCAAGGGGAGTGAGGAGTTGTGATTCTGCATTGCTGTTGGGAGAGGCAAGGAAATCCGCAATATTTCTTCGGCATTTCTACTCCTGTCGTTTCATAGCTGAAACAGCTGTTTATTTTGATTCTAATACCAATCCATCTAATCAATCCATCTCTCAGCGTCGGCGGGATGGACACTTCAAGTAAGAAGGGCCTTGGTGGAGGTGAGGTACATATGCTACCCCCGGTAGACGTAAAGCAGCTGGGAGAAAAGATTGGCGCGAAAGTGCAGCATGATCTGAACTGATTAATGCATGGATGGAACAGACTCTCTTATTGCCTCGCTTGTCACTTATCAAAGGCCAGATTCTATAGCTTTTCTACCCATGATACTAGGGTCAAACGCAGCCCCCCGTTACTCGAACCCGCCTACCACAGTCCTCCACCCAGGCACTGCCTCTGGGAGAAAGTAGACGCCCCATATCGCCGCAGCCGCGAGCACAAGTCCGCTCAGCTTCTCCAACCAAGTATGGAACCAGATCGCTGTCATCATGATCATCCACACGTCGAGGGCCACAACGCCCCATAGGAAGTAGCGAGCATACATCCGTACTCTTGCTGCCGTCTCAGACTCCCAGCCTCCCACAGCTTTCCGCTCCTCGTCTGTTAAGTCGTGCGCAAGCTTCGCTGCCGCAGCTGGTGACACGTGTGGATGCGCTGAGTGGCTGTCGGCGATGTACAATTCGTACACCAAGCAGGCGGAAGAAAGCACCAGCATGAAGATATGCCCAGAGATGTCATGGCCTCCGCGCCATCGGCCGCCTTTGGCCTTGCAGTAGGTCGCGGAGGCGATGGTGGGAAATGTGATGGATTCTTTGAAGTCAGACAGCTCGCTGAGAGGTGGTGATTCGCAGTGTCCACCTGTTATTGTGAATGAGCGGTCGATCAGAGCTGGGCCAAAGAACCACTGGGTGGTTAGATACCAGACCATAGTGACTATGGCAAAGCGCGTGAACGCTTGGGAGTAGTGCCTTGATTTTGAGCTCGAGGGCGAGCGATTCGTACTCTGAAGGAACCCGAAGGCAACTGTTGTCCAAAACCAGCCGAGTTTGACGAAGTAGAGGTTTATGAAGTTGCGCTTGCCCGCAAAGTAATTGTGACGGTGATCGGACGCATCTTGTGAAGACGCCACTGGGGAGAGGACAGAGAAGAGGGAGCCAGTAGCGAGTACGACCGGGTAGAGTACAAGTAGCCAGGCTGAAGGCGGGTAGCGAGTCGACTCCGAGCGTGGTGAGTCTGTCATTGGGGAGGGTTCTTCGTCGACGTGCGGGACTTTGCGCCCATTGCGAAGCACGGTGGGCATTTTAAAGGGCGGAGCCAACGATCAGTGTCAACTGTGTCTTCTGCTATCATGCATTTCCTAGGCAGCAAGCTGTCGTAGTCGTCGGTCTGTGTGATGTAATGCCTGGCGGAGGCAAGGAATTTGCGTGTCGAACTGGCCTCGAAGGTGCGAGACGCGAACGGAAGATCAGCAGGAAAATGAATTGACGTCATTGAACAATTGAACAACTGAACAGTTGCAGCTTAGAATCGCCAGCTTTGTCGCCGAACAGACAGCCTTGCAGCTTTCAGACACGATAGACACGAAGCGAACAGCGACATGATTCACATTCTTGAAGAATCACTGGTGTCTTCAGATATCCTATGTCCTTGATGAAATGCAATCATCCTTGGATGAGTGCCCCTACTGCCGTTCCCACGCTCTCAAGCTGGCACGATCCTTGATCCCTCGTTCGAGTTCCTCTGTCTTCCTGATGCATCGCTTTATCACGTCTTGCTCGAACCGGATCTCTGCCAGTTGTGTTCGAGCCCATTGGCGATGTCTTGGACATTTGTTCTTGACACATATTCCCCCTTTCCTCAAAGGCCGCCCACCTTCACCTTCGCCATCACTATTGTCATCCACTCCATTGATTAGCCTCTGGCCGTCGTCACCTGTGAACATGTCATCATCAGGTGGACCTATTTTCGGGTTAGCAGAATTCAAGATCTCCCTCCCACCCTTAGTGTGGTACCAGTTGTTGAAGACATCTTCGTTCCAGGCCAGGCGCGGGTCGTAGCCGCAGAGGTCTTTGGACTTTGGAAGTGATTTCTTAACTTCGTCGGTGATGCCGCCGCTTCTCGCCTTTACAGCGTCCAGAAACTTTTCTCTCGCGTCGAGGATGGCGAGTTGGTTGGTGTTTTCGACTTTCTGCTGTTGAATCTCGGCAAGCTTGGTTTTCTCGAAGTCATCCAGTAATACTTCCGCTTTGTTGTCCTCTGACTCCGGGGGAGGAGTGTCTGGCTTACGTCCGAGGTCGATCCACTGGTCCAGGGTTTTGCACTGCTCCGTAATTGCTTTAACTTCGCCGGCGCGAAGAGGACCGCCTCGATTCGGCAGCTCGTCCTCATCAGCGCTTGAGTCGGTCTCGTATTCGCTCCTCTCCTCCTCACTGTAGGCGGGAGTGGCCATCCGGCTGTCAGAGTTCTCGATAGCATCGCCAGCGGTCTCCGGCAGCGCCTTTCGCGGACTGTCCTTGAGATTGATGTTGGCTGCCTTACGCTTCTTTCGCATTTTCTTGGGCCGATTGGCGTCGATGATAAACTGGTCGTTCTTTAGAGTCTCGATGTATGGATCGCCGCGGCGAACAAGTTCAACGAAGAACATCCTTCCACACTCTTTGCTGCAGTACTTGCTGGGCGGGTCCTGGAAGACTCTGGCTGGCTTGCGACAATCTTGTCGACGGCACATGCGTTTCCATGTGGTTTGTAAATCGTCCCGTGTACACCGTGGGCAAATGTACTTGTCGATGAGGTCACCGTCTCTTTCCCTGATGTTGACACACTTGCCGTGATACCACTCCTCACAGACGCCGTCGCAGGCAATCATCCAGGTATGGTTATCGCCTCTACGGCAGATGCAAAAGACCTCACCGTCGTCATTCGAACTACCCGGGGTGTCGGCAACAGAGGGTGAAGGCGAAGCACGCTCAACAGAAGCTGCTCGCGAAGAGGCTGGCGATGAGGCAGCACTGAGCTGTTTCTTGAGCTTGGACGACTGAGGTCGGGCTGACAGCGGAGTCGCGCTTGGCGATCGAAATGGTGTACCGCGATCCGAGACAGAGTCGCTCTCGGTGAGTCGTGGCTTCTTCGGCCTCGGCTTGGCTGTTCCCTTCTTGGTAAGAGCTGAGGGCAAGGGCTTTAGGCTTTCTGCGGCAGGTCGTTTCTTGCCAATGACGGGCGCAGGTTGAGTAGGTTGAGTCGATGTACTCCTCGCAGCTTCGGTAGTGTCAACTTTCGGCGTGCTTTTGCGATCCGATGCGAGCACCTTTGGACGCTTCTCTTCTGCAATGGAGCGCTCAGGAGTTTCATCCTTGGGCGACTCGCTGGGAAATTCGCCAAGGTCGAATTCAGCCCCAGGTTTAGGATCTGTGTCCGGAGCCACAGCGCTGGCACTAGGCTGTTCATCGGCGGCTTCTGGGCTCCCTGCCTTTGACTCCTTCTCTTTCTTGGGTTTGGCAGCTGGTCTCTCTGGCGCAGACGGTGGGCCTCTGGCAACCACATCATCGATCGACTCGACTGGCTCTCCTGTATCCGGATCTACAGTCACCTCTAAGCTCTTCAGAGGCTCCCAAGACTTGCTGCCATGAATCTTTGCGATATGATCGCGGACGGAGCGCCGGCGGGTGAAGAGCTTGTGACAGACGTAGCAGAGGTATCGCTTGTCAGTATGCTGGCCCTCATTCTTGGAGGAATGGATCGAGGAACGTGGTTCAGCATCAGGGTCATGACGCTTTCGGGGTTTCGTAGACTTCTTGTCTTCTGATTTCTGCTCGGATAGCTGCTCGGAGGGCGGATGTGACAGTGGACCTGGGTCAATATTCATATCGCCATGCGCATTGTTTTCTAAACCCTCGAGTGGATATTGTGATTGCATTGGACCTGGTTCCCCTGTGGTTTCGTGCTTGAGTTCTTGGATCGCAGTCGGAAACACGGGGTCAGTGATTTCAAAAGACTGGCCGTTGCTCATATGGGATACAACGGCATCGGAAGAAGTGTCCATTGCATTGTGATCGATGGGATTTGTGGTGAATAGCTCAGGTGCTATAGCAAGCGCGGATGTCCTGTAAGGCAGAGGTCAGCCAGACTCGGTCAGCGTATGCGAGCGACTTACTCTTCGTCATCCATATTGACGTCTTGCAGACTTCCAGCGCCTGAATTTGGTTCGGGGTTGAGCAAGTCAGACAGATTGAATGCCATAACCGCAAATGCCGAAGCGGGTTTCGCAAAGCTTGCTGAATTGTCGGTTTTCGATGACTTCAACGGGCGACGTTCAGAAAGGTGAGCGCATTTTCGATGAGGGCTTGGTGGACTCCTCTTCCCGGTGAGTTCATGCGCAACTAATGTAGATATCTGTTGATGAAGTATGGCTATCAAACCAAAGCCCTCGGAGTTAGTCAGGCTGCCTGCATGACCAACATTGAGGTGAAGATCCTGGAGGTGGCATCACTGCCACTTGCAGCGCGTCGCGCACCCGCGAATGTAGCCCGCAAGGCTGTAAGGCTGAGTTAATCACGTGATTCACGTTTACCGGGTAAGATCGGTGGACCTTGGTGCAACCCTTCACCCTTGCACACCTGTCTCTGCTCAATTGCCTGCTACTTCGAAGTTCTCGCGACTCATGAGACGACACATGCGCTGTCTATGTTGCGTGCTGTTCATCATGACTAGCGGTCTCGTGTCAACCATAGGCTGGTCATCCCTCATCTGCACTTTTTGATGTATAGATCTGCTCCGATATGCTCCGTGCGGGAATCGAGCAGTCTTTGGCACAGCTCTGTTTTGCGGCCAGGCTGTGCGTAGCGTTACAGCTACAACATGTCAGTATCCTGGGCATCTGGTATGTAACCAATACTTCAATTCCTCATCAGGCAGCAGTGCTACCTTGGAATTTGATGTTGACCAGTTTCGTTTTGCGGCGTTGCTGGTGTCATGCGTGCCAAGCCAGCCTCAAGCCACAGCTGAATGGCGTCTGCTTGTCGATGGCGGGTCAGGCTGCGACGGTAGCGAAGTGTTTACGAGAACTTGCACCGTGACGTTTGGGAGTCATGTGCATACCATTCTCATGTCAGTCTAAGGGAAGGTATTTTCAGGACGTAACGATAGCACTTTTCACTGGGCGTCATAGACCAGCCACATCAAATGCTATATAAATGCAACTGATTGTCCCGCCAGCGTGTAGGGACTGACCCCTAATAGCTCCCATACTTCAAGCACCACTGCAGCATCTATAAAACGATATGTGGGACTACTTCAAGAGTTGGTGGACGCTTCGTTGGACCCAGCAACCACAATTTCATCCCTTACCACCAAACATTACACGATCCTTCGTGAAAACACCGGCCGGTGATATCGAGCTTCTGACATCGGAACCTACGCAGAGAGATCCGAGTGCTGCACCTATATTCTTCATGCATGGTGGCAACGGTCATGCCTCAGTTTGGCTGGAATGGATGACACATCTTTCCCAGACACATGGTGCACGAACTTACGCTTTTTCGCTCCGAAATCATGGGGCGAGTTTTCCGGTGCCATACTTCCGTATGGTCTGGCTCACCAGGTTCGACGACCTCGCCTCGGACCTGATCAGCTCCATGGAGGAAATTGTATCGCGAGAGGGCCAGGAGCCGTTGGTGGTGGCTCATTCTTCTGGTGGCGGACTTGCTCAATACGCCCTCAGTCGGGGCAGTATCAAATGCAGGGCACTTGCCCTGGTTGGTGCCGTTCCACATTTTGGAAACGTCGGTTCCACGAAAAATATTCTCTAGCATATCTAGAGCTGACACGGCGCAGGTGCACGTTTACCACAACTGGTTCACCAGGATTGACCGATGGTTCATCATCCGCAATTTTGCACATGGATGCCACCCTAACAGCGGGCTCAACAACGACAAACTCGTCCTTAATGCTTTCTTCGGACAAGAGTATCCGATGGAGAAGGTCAAGGAGTTTCGGAAGTGGATGGCGAATTATGAATGTATGTGGTGGCCATATTCCATGGGAGGCAGGGGTTGGGGAGTGAAGGATAGGGTGTGGCTGTCGCCAGTAGACATTGTGGAGAGTGTCGTTCACTGGAATGGTACGGAAGACAAGATTATGGTCATGATTGGGAAAGAAGACCTTATGATGGTATGTCCCAACCCCCAAGGCAGACTTGCTGAGGCTGATGTGAAAAGGGCGGCACCGAACGCCGTATGGTTACAGATTTTCAGCAAGCCATCAAGACGCTGCAGGAAGGGAAGAAGATCGACGTGCCAGTTGAGCTCGAGAAGAAAATCGTGGAGAAGACGGACAGATATATTACAGAGGAGAGGCAAGGTGGTGTCAGGCTGGTCGAAGTCGCCAATGCTGGCCACCACACGCAGAACGATGTCCAGTGGCGGGAGGCTTGTGAGGCATTGAGGCGGTTTGCCGCTCAGGTCTAGCAAAAGCGACAATGGCCAATAGCAATGAGCGCCACAGCTCCTGTCATCCGGTACCCACACTACACACATGTAGCAATAGATACGCTGCGATACGACGTGTACAGAACAATCTGGGCCACAGGAAGTCTAGTGGTCCAATTATAGCGCATAGGTATGCTTAGCCAGCCAAGGCGAGGCCCCCAAATGCAGAGACTGCAGCCGAAGCGTTTCTCGGCATGCTTACCGATCCGCGGGACTTCAAACAACACCGACTTCATCCCAACCTCCGACCTCTTTGTGGACTCACAGGTACACGACAAGCCGCTTGGTTCTCACGGCCGCGTAACGGACGCGATGGGGAAGAAACATAGTCGGTCGATCCTTTGCTTTGCACTGCCCCTAAGTTTAGACTTTTTGCCATTGTTATCCCATCACCCGCCCTAGAAATGCTGCTGCCTACTACATGCTTGTCCATGACCGGTTATCGCTTGGGCTAATGCCAATTCTATGATGCGGGTCAACAATGGTCGTCGGCACTAGATCCACCGGTGTCAGTCGAGTCCGTGGAAAGCGGCCCCTGCAATTAGCTCAAAGATGTGAAGATCAGCATTCGTAGTCTCGTAATGACCAGCGCCTCTACTCGCAGCAGAAGTGTTAGGCTGCTCTTCAACTCCTTCCTCGACCTTTGAAGTTCTTGCAAATCCTACTCACCGAAAGAGAAGGCACCATGAAAGGGAGCGCGCCGCCTACGATCCACACTCCGTCTCCAGATGGCGACGAGGCGCCTCCCGCCTACGACATGGGCAACGCACAGAGCCTGATAGTGGAGAGAACTACAGAAGCGACCGGTATGTTGTTCTGCAGCTGCTCTGCCATGATGTCTAACCCGGGTCGTAGATGATGGACGGATTACGGTCAATCTAGACTCAAAGTTGGCCCAAGTCTTTGCAAGGCTCGTGGACGTCCCCGAGGTGCCTGAGCTCGACGATGCTCCTCCACGCTATACCGAACCGAGGTCTTGGTCGGTGTGCCTGAATATCGTGATCATGGTTGTCGGCAGTAGAGGTGATGTCCAGCCTTTCATCGCTATGGGCAACGAGCTTCAGAAGTTTGGTCATCGTGTCAGAATTGGGACGCACGCGGTTTTCAAGGACTTCGTCCAGAGTGCGGGCTTAGAGTTCTACCCCATTGGTGGTGATCCAGCTCAACTCATGGCGTACATGGTGAAGAATCCAGGCCTTATCCCAAACATGAAAAGCCTACGTGCTGGCGAGATAGGCGAGAAGCGCAGGATGGTCGATGAGATGCTTCAGGGATGCTGGGCCGCATGTGTTGAGCCAGATCCATACACTGACATTCCTTTCGTCGCCAATGCTATCATCAGCAACCCGCCTACGTTTGCCCATGTCCATTGTGCGCAGGCATTGTCTGTTCCCTTGCATATCGTCTTCACGATGCCCTGGTCGCCAACACGAGCCTTCCCTCATCCTCTGGCGAATGTGCGGAGCACGAATACCGACGAGAAGCTAGCCAATTACCTTTCCTTTGGACTGGTGAATGCGCTGACATGGCAAGGGCTGGGCGACGTGATCAATGGCTTTCGACGACGGACCCTGGGGCTGGAAGAAGTACCGGTGACCGAGGGTCCTTTCCTCATGGAAACACTGAAGATCCCACATACATACTGCTGGTCTCCAGGACTCGTGCCGAAACCCCGAGATTGGGAAAACCACCTCGATGTCACGGGCTTCATTTTTCGTACACCGCCGCAGTACAGCCCTCCTGCAGATCTCGATGCGTTTCTAAAAGCCGGTCCTCCTCCTCTCTACATCGGCTTCGGGAGTATCGTCGTGGATCAACCTGATGAGCTTCTTGCAACAATTCTCAAAGCATTGGCAACGGCTGATGTGCGGTGCATCATCAGCAAAGGCTGGAGTTCCCTTTCCAGTGATGATGTCCCAGACAACGTCTTTTTCGTCGGCGATTGTCCCCATGAGTGGCTATTTCAGCAAACATTTGCTGTTGTACACCACGGTGGGGCGGGCACAACAGCAGCTGGCCTACTAGCCGGTAAGCCAACCATAATCGTGCCCTTCTTTGGCGATCAGCCTTTCTGGGGCGACCGAGTTGCTGCCACTGGTGCCGGACCTGCGCCCATCCCACACCAAGAACTAAGTGCAGAAAAGCTGGCCAGGGCTATAGACTACTGCAGGACGGCTGAGGCCCTTGCAGCAGCGAAAGCTGTTGCAAACAAGATGCAAGCAGAAAACGGAGTTGCAGCTGCAGTGGACTCTTTCCATCGACATCTGCAGCCTGATAAACTACGCTGCGATCTCATTCCCACTCTCCCAGCCGTGTTCGAATATACTTTGAGCAGAAAGATTGACCTTAAGCGCGCAGCGTATGAAGCTAAAATTGTCAAGCTATCTGGACTAGCCGCCGAGACACTGGCGCAGGCTGATCGGGTGAAAGCGAAAGAACTTCGAATATACCAGTCAAATCCCGTCATCATCGAGAACCGGCGATGGGATCCAATCACATCAGCAACTTCGGCAGGCGTGGGACTCGCTTATGAGCTAGTCAGTACGACGAACGACATCTGGTACTCCCCATATAAGATGCATAGCAGAAGAAACAAGTCGACCAACTCAGCAGCCTCATTCGTATCGGCCGAAGAAGACACCTCGGATGCCGGTGGGCCTTCGACACGAGAGCATAGCTCAATCCGAGAGCAAATTGATAACAACGCAATGTTGACGGCCAAGTACGCGGGAGCTTCGGCGCTCAATATCCCAAAATTCTTTGGAGTCGGAGTGAAAGGTCTTGCAGTCGACATTCCACGAGCCCTGGCTGAAGGCCTGAGAGCAACACCCAAGCTTTATGGCGAAAAGGTCAAGGACCACGACCCGATCACAGACTGGAAGAGCGGGTTCAAGGTCGCCGGCAAGGACTTTGCCAAAGGGGTGGGCACTGGGGTCGTGGACTTCTTCGTGCAGCCTTATAAGGGTGCGAGAGATGACGGTGCTAAGGGCTTTGTCACCGGCATGGGGAAAGGATTTTTCGGCACTTTTACAAAGACTGGCTCCGGGCTAACAGGACTGTATGCATATCCAGCCCAGGGTATCTGGCGTAGCATCTACTCTGCGAGCCACTCGGATACAAAGAGGGGGATCATGAGTGCACGTCGGATTCATGACATCTACATCTCCCGACACGAGGCACGCCAGTTCGACGAAGAGGTCATCATCAAAGCCTTTGACGATCTATGAAAGCTACACAAAATGACAGCCAGCACAGCTGTCGTGTGGGAAGGAATGTGTCCAGCATATATCGTCACAGGACATGGAGCTCAAACATCAGCAGGAACGCCGAATAAGCTACTCGGGCGAAGACGTAGACAATGGTGATCCTCTGGTTGTCCAGGTGTCAATATGTCTGACGCCGGAGTGGAAACTCACGATGTGACGAGCGCATGACAATGCGAGATGGCAAAGTCTGTCGAGGCAATTGAGTTATATCATGGCGGGGAAGCCGAAGCATCAACCATCAACCATCGAGACGATCGTGGTGCACAGCATCATGCAGCAGGGGATCCAGGGACAGCACACTGACTCGTAGGCGGACGAAACGGCTTACCGAGGTGCGTGGCATGTGATGAACAAGATGCAGACTAGAGTGGCAGGCGTAAGGACAGATACCCCAGGCTTCGATTATGTATCTTCAGGTGCCTCAAACTACTCGGTCTTAATCTCGATGTGTCTTGCGAACCGCAACGTGCTAAGATATAGCTAGAGGTGAGGTCAAGTTGGGGCAATGAGCCCCTCGAATGTTTAGCCAGGTAAGGCGGAACGAACCCCCACAAGCCGGTGGCTCTAGGCGTGATCCGCTGGACGCCTTGTTGCTTGTCTATCATCAGCCTACCTGCAAAAGGGCTTGGGAATATTCTGATGACAACCCCTCAGAACAAGAAGATGCTGGTGCCGATTCATTACCGATTACAACGCTTACTGTGTAAGTTGGATGCTTACACCAACGCCCTGGTGTGACGAGTCGTGGGACCAGCCAGCTCGCACGCGAGCCGAGGCTGGTCTGTTGGTGGACACCCGTGGCCCGTATTTCGTGTTTATTCGAGCCTACCAAACGAGCTGTGCTTTGTGACTTTCGTAGATAACATCTCGCGACAGGCTCTCAACTGATTGTCTCTCTCTATCTACCTTGCACTACCTGGCAGTAGTGACGCGTACTCGGCCTCCTGTTGATCACGAGCCGAACCAGCGCGGCGCCATGGCGCAAGTTAAGCTCCCCGAGTTCGTGGATACCCCCGTTGACGACATCCCCAAAATCGTCGGGAGAACGAATGCTGCCTTCCTCTCACACAAGACACGCACTGTGGAATTCAGAGTCAGACAGCTACGCAAATTGTACTGGGGCCTCGATAGTCATGAAGCTGAGCTGCGCGAAGCTGTCAAACGAGATCTCAACAAAGGCTTTTTCGATGCCATGATCTCCGAGATTGACTGGGTCAAGAACGACATCATCTTCATGACATCCAACCTCGAGAAATGGATGAAGGACGAAAAAGTACCCGACATCAGCTTCGCAAATCGCCTGGTCAATCCAAGAATCAGAAAGGACCCTCTTGGCATCGTCCTCGTGGTTGGGTAAGCACTGCACTCTTTTCGGGTCTCACTGGTCTGACTAGTGCCACAGCGCCTTCAATTTCCCCTTCCAGCTGTCTCTCGGGCCCGTGATTGGTGCCATTGCCGGGGGTAACACGGTCGTGCTGAAACCGTCCGAGCAAGCACCTTACTGTGCTGCAATTATGCAGAAGATCATGGAAGAGACACTTGACCCAGACTGCTTCACCTGTGTGCAAGGAGCCATCCCCCAGATGCAAGCCTTGCTGGCTGAGAAGTGGGACAAGATCTTCTTCACTGGTTCTGTCAATACTGCCAAAATTGTAGCCAAGGCAGCAGCGGTGCACCTCACTCCTACCGTTTTCGAACTCGGCGGTAAGAATCCAGCGATCGTGACCAAGAAAGCTGATCCTTACCTGACCGCACGACGGCTCCTCTGGGGCAAGACTATGAATGCAGGCCAAGTTTGTATCAGCCAAAACTACACTTTGGTGGACCGAGAAGTTCTGCCCATCCTGGTGGAAGAGCTTAAACGAGCCTTCAAGGAATTCTTCCCCAATGGAGCCAAGCAGAGTGAAGACTACGCCAAAATTGTCACCCTGAGGTCTTTTGAGCGACTCAAGGGCATGTTGGACCAGAGCTCGGGCAAGATTGTGGTGGGCGGCGAGATGGATGCCGAGAAGCTGTTCATCGAGCCCACCGTCGTCGTGGTATCGGATGTGAATGACTCACTGCTCAAAGAGGAGTCATTTGGCCCCTTGATGCCGTTACTACCTATCGACAGCCTCGACGAAGCCATCTCGATTGCCAACTCGATTCATGCCACTCCACTCGGCACGTATATCTTTGGTGACAAGAAGGAAGCTGCCAAAGTCCTCTCCGAGACACGTTCGGGTGGCGCGACGGTCAACGATGCCCTTTTCCATGCTGTCATTCCGACTCTCGAGTTCGGGGGTGTCGGCGATTCGGGTATGGGTGCGTATCGTGGCAAGTCCTCATTTGACACCTTCGTGCACCGCCGGGCCATTGCTCAGACTCCTAAATGGATGGAGAGGTTTCTTGCTGTGCGTTATCCACCCTACGCTGGGACCAACAAGTATCTTGAGTTCAGCAAGATGGGCAAGCTCAAGCCCAATTTTGACAGAGAGGGGAACGAAAAACGGACTGTCCTTTGGTATATGCTTACGCTGGGCGGTAAAAGCCTGACGCGAGGAGTGATTAGGGCGCTGGTACTCGCAGGCATTGCCCTTGGACTCAAAAGCATTTTGGAGAGGAGGGGCTATGTGTGAGCCACATACCGCTGGGGATGAAGTTCCGATTCTCGGATTTACTGTATAAGGACCGGCGTCAAAGAGCCATGTTGAGGCCTCATTTCAGTTCCTTTTACTGCTTGCCAATGAATGGCTTCGGGATTCAGGCCGCCCAGTGCATTGGCTGTTTGCAGTAGTCTGGATTGACCCGCCTATCTGACCGCATTAGATCCGTGATTGCGGCAGCCTCATCATACCTAACGATCGGATTAATGTATCCTGTTTTCGACCCATCTCCGGTAAGCGAAATGGGCCCCCAGGGCCCCCAAGACAGTAGTCAGTGTGCCGAATTGCAGTTCTCAATTCCAAACAAACCATTCGCGTGATTCGGATGCCGAAAGGCATGTCGGAGCAGGCCGTCCAGAATATGCAACCGCCCCAGAACAGCAGGAGGTAATAATCCCGCGACAGGCCACGCTGGAAGGCTGGAAGCGGGCGCCGCTCTCCCTTTCCCGAGGACGGGGAGTTTCACGTCTTGCTCAGGGCGAACCGTAGCCTGTCGTTCTCCGTCGCCCGTAGCTTACCACACCCCCTGCAGAAAACCTAAGTGTTCCCCCCCACGAGGCTGCTGATCCGGCTGATTACGCTGGATGACTGTGGGTGTAGGACTCCAATTGTTGTCCAGAGAGACCCTACTTGCAGAGTTTAACTAAGCCGAAGATGCGATAGGCGACCGATGCATCGACTCAGGAACGGCTGAGACGCCTATACTTTCCACCTTTTAGTTGACGCTGAGAAAATCGAGTCAAGAAAGGACGACGCCGACGTATCCAGCCTTCGCCCCCCGATCAGCAGTCCACTGTTCCTGACTGGATCAATGATGGATCTTCCAGAAGAATTGACAGGCCCACTAAAACGATGGGGCGATGATGTTCGAAGGTTTTCGGCCCTCTGACATGAAACGAGCAACAAACTCGCAGAGTGGCGTCGCACACCTGCTGAGCTGGAGAGGGCACCCGGCAAGGTGCCCGTCCGATTGGACCTAGGGGCAGATGCTTATGCCGAGTGCCAGCGCCCAGGCGGGAAGCGGACAGTGCTACAAGCATCGTCGTCTGCCCTATGCAACAACCTGCTCCTCTCGTCGTAATCCAATCCCCATTCATCTCGTCTCGTCCATTTCCACTACCACTGCTGCTCCGCTCTAACGAGTACCACTTGGATACTCAGACGAGAAATTGACGTTGTACTCTGCGCGTCGGCCTGCCCGACCAGGTCCGCCGCACCGTTCTGTCGACCACCAGGTCTTGCACCCGACTGGCCCTGCCTGTAACGCCCGTTGCGGTTTGCAATATCTCCTCAACTTTGCCCTCTAAGCGATCGGGTTTTGCCAACGCCTCGCCTGCAGCATCGCCTTCTCCCTGTTCTGCAAGCCACGACTATTAGGTCGTTCGCGCCAATCGCAAGCCCCATTGACCGCAGCATTCCATCGGTCGGCTGCTCGCGTTCTGCGGCTCGCATAGCTGCGTTCCCAACTCCCGGCCGAATTTAGCATCCTGGTCCGGGCATTTGTTCCATCAATCACTGATCTGATTAGCGCTGGAGAACGTTGACAACGGGCTCTTCTGCTGATTTCACAAGCTCGTGCCCGCTGACAATTACTCTCAATGTCGGTTTAAACCTTCAGCACGACGATATGCGACTTGGTGGTGGAAGTATCATTTCTTGGGATGAAACGAAAGCAGCACATCCAGCCGGCCCCTCAGGCTGCTAAACCACTGACATGCCCTTGCGGTGTCGAGTTGCAGGTTCAGCACACTTGTCAATGGCGACCACGGCCTGCTCAGACATCGCAATCGCTGGTCCCGCGAACCGACATTCAGCGTGGCGTGTTACCTAGGCCTGAGACAACTACTACAGCTGGAAATGGGCACGGTGGCACAAGACTCGTCATTGCGGGCGGTCTGTCCTCTGCGAGGAGGAAGCCGCGGCGCTTTGTTGCGCCTAACAGTGCCCTTAGTCCATCGCAGCGACAGGTCCGACTAAAGGGCATGCCGGCCGACGTTTTTCATCCTGAACCGTTCAACGCGTATCCCATACCAACCATTGGCTGTGTGCATCGCATGATCGAGCATTGTGAGTTCCAAGGAACCCTATCGACGACCGAATGGTACTGACCTGCCCAAGTTCTGCAGGTTTGGGCTCCTCGGCAAGGCAAGCCCTTTGGCTTCGAAGGGCATCCCAATCCCTACCTTTCGCTGCTATGGCCCTTCGCTCTGCAGCATGCGTCCGTCTTCGAAGGTTTGGTAGCTATGTGCAGGGCCTCGTGGTTACTGGAGAATGGACAGGCCACAATTCATGACCGAGCGTTTGCATATCATCACAACAACACCAAATACGCTTTACAGAAGCGTTTAGAGAACGCGGATCAATACTTTGACGATGCGACTATGCTGACTGTTCTGGCATTGACGACAATCGATGTAAGCTTCCCGATCAAGCCCGAGCCTGTCAGAACAGAGCCTGATTCAAGCAGTACACTCTAGGAGAGCACGCCCTAGCGGAGCAATACCTTCATAGTATGCGTCGAATGGTCGAGCTACGAGGTGGCATTAGAAGCGACACACCCTGGGAGCAGTTTATGACCTCAGTGGTCACTGCGTAGGTTCATTTCCAGTGGCCTACGAAGTACGATACTAACACTCTTCTCCTCAGCTTCGATCTTCTCTGGACCTTCGTCCTCTCATCCGACCCGCAAACCTCCCCAGTCGTCGCTGCTTCCGCCGCACCTTCTCTGCCCCTCCGAAACGAAATCCCCGTATACGCCAACCATCCATTCCCTCCTGACTACGCAGCCTCGCTGTCACGCATTCCCGATGGCTTCAGCAATCTTGCTGTGGCCTCTTTACTATCGGTACAGTGCGTACGTATCATCGAGCGAATCCCGCACGAGCCTATCATCCCCAGTACCACAGGAAACACCCTTTCATCGCAACGTGGTCGGTCTACGGCGCGCAGTACGGAGCTTCACTCTATCCTTACCGACCTCCTCAAATTGACGTCTCTTTCCATCACGAAGATGGAGCATCTGCTCTGCCACGGCCTCGTCGCCTACTGTCTCCCGTTGCAGTATGGCACTCCACTACCCATCAGCACGACGCGCACACTCCAGAGCTGTGTCGAAACCTACATGGCGCTCAACCTCTCTGAAAATGAAGAGAAGCTGGATGGCAAGTGTTTGCTATGGATCGCCGTGGTGATCGCATCATGCTTGGACATGTGCAGCGACAGTAGCCTGCGGAACGCGCCAGTGCTGGAGCGCATATTGAACAAGTTCCCGCAAGCAAGAGAATGGACCAAGGTCGATACCATTTTGAGAACATTTCTGTGGCACGAGGATCTGAGCGAGCAATGGTATCGGACCTGGCAAGGAGTGCTGGCGAGGCGGAAAAGCCCACCCAGTGGTTTTCGCAGCAGTCCTCAAGCCTTCAGTCCTATCACTGTAGTCGGAGGCGCCAGTCCAGGCTACACGATGGGCTCCGAGCGGCCGGGTTGCGGTGGTTCAGGCTCAAGTGAGAGCCCAAGGGCAGCTGTGCCAGAGCCAGCAGAACCTCGACAGGCTGATGCCCGAAGCATGAAAGTTGCGAGTCTGCTCCACAATGACTGAGTCGACAGCCGAGAGCACAAAGGCCGGCAGGAGATCAACATTGAGAGGCTGTGCACCAGTCCCATACACCTTGCTCGTCCAAGCAATAAGCCGCTTCCCAGTCATGTCGCCCTTCGCGGTCGGTCGATGCAGAAGTCTTCGCTCACGTAGAGGACTGAGGATCATGCTATATTCTTGTACGCCGCCCTGGGCGTTTCCGAGAAGTAGCAAATCTCCAGCCGTCACCGTCGCCAATACTTCCTCTCGCCGGATCAGCTGTCTTGACACCACGACATGAGTTGGCCTACTGTTTGATCCTAGCAACTCCTGTCTGCAGCAAATCGTCACAATACCGATACAACAGCCTTAGTCGTCTTGCTGGAATATGCAGCATACTTTCTATCACGCTATCCCACGGGGCGGTCAGCTTTACGTCCTGCACCTATTCATCTTCCCTGCTGCGCTCATCCAGCTGCCCCGACGCCCCGAATGTGGCACAATGGACCACTCTGACATTGATTGTGGACGATCACTGGGGCTTCAGAATAATGATATTAGGTGGAGAGAGGTGCAGCCCTGGTGGCGAGAAAGAGGTACCGCCCAAGCATCGAAGAGCATGCGAGAGACGACCAACAAAGCGAAGTGCACCAGTCTGGTGTCGGCCGGCAGGAGTAATGACACTGGGAACGAACGTCCTCGCTCCTGCGAATGACGGCCTTCCTGGTGCTACACTCTAAACACATCTCGGGCCCTGGTGCAACAGCGTGTGGTGGATTGACCCAGGCGCAGTTAAGTCGCGATGCTTGCGACCAGCATACAGAGGATAGCGGGGCCGGCACAGCGAAGGCAGTCGCAGATGAGATTCCCGGGACCTCACCTCAGTAGGAGACATAGTCCCAGATCCGATGAGGAGTCGACTGCAACGGCGTCAGCCCCATCAGAACCCAGCAGATAGCAAACAGTGTCTGTCTGCACGTGGCTTCCAGAGACCACAAGATTCGAATGTGTCTACCTAGAAAAAGAGGTAAAAAAAATAGTACAGACTCGAGCCCAGGCTCAAGCTAATGTCCACTCTCCCATGCCCATCCTCCACGAATCTACCACTCACTCACTCACCCACCCGCTCTAATCACTGCGCATCGCGTCTTCTATCAGCCGCCGCATCCCTACCCACCACCAGCAGCAGCCTCCCGGCCCTACGTCTCCGTCTCTCCTTCCGCTGTAGCAGTCGCGGTATCACCAGCACCAGTAGCAGTGGTCTCATCATCCCTACCCCGAGCGGCAGGCTTCGCTTCCCCCTGGCCCCGCCCCTGCCCCTGCCCCTGCCCCTGCCCCTGCTCCTCAAGCTCGGCCTCGGTAAACTCGATGATCTGCTCGCCCAGTTTTGCAGCGTTAGTGTGTTTGCTGCTGCTCCGCTCCTCCGCGGCTGGCTGGCTGGATGAGGCCCGCGGGAAAGGGGACAGGGTGAGGTTGTGGGGGTTGGAATGGTCTTACGTTGTTGCCTGACGGTAAGCTGCGTTAGTATTGTTTGGGGAGGGAGGCAAATGTGAAAGAAAAGTGCCAAGGCCCAATCCAGCAAGCAGCGCGGGGCGGAGAGATGTTGGCGACGACTGTGATGGCCCGTCCGCTTCTGGGCTGGAGGAAAAAATACGTACAGCTCGCACAGTGGCCGTAGAGGCCGTCTTTGGTGAGGTCGACGCCGGCGCTGTAGGTGGGAAAGGGGGGGCGAGGTCAGTTTCGGGTTGTGGTCTGATGCTGGAGGGGGGGTTGGTAGTAGTGACTTACCCGCAGCGCTTGCATTTTACTCGGACCATGGCGAGGTCGTAAACTCTCCGACTTGGTAGTTCTGCTGGCTAGGGCGCGGTAGGTAGTACGAATGTTAGTGACGCCGGTGCTGCGAGGGTGAATATCTACCGTGGTACTCTTGGAAGTGTGTTTATATTCGTGTTGATGACGTTGGTAGCTTGCCCCACACAGAAATAGACAGCGATTTCCACTCTTGACAACAATCGTAAAAGACGACGCATTGTGTAGCCCTATATTCAGAATACTAAGACAAGCATCAAGTCTGGTGATGTACATCCATGTCCCTAACGCCATCGCTTCCCAATAACACCTCGCATGCCTACCCCTGATCCCGCGTTGCCGTTCTGATACGCTGGGATGCCTCCAGCGTCCCTCTTTCCCAGCTCTTCTTGTGCTTCATTCAATATCTTCCACATCTCTGCCAGCCCGACCCTCTGCCTCGGTAGCACCGAGTACTGCAACCCGTACATTTCCTCACGGCCCAGCGGTGGGACGAATCTACCAGTCAGCAGCCGGAAAATGACCTTGGCGGATAGGTAATGCTTTCGGATGCGACCACCAAGCTGGAAATACTGTTCGAAGATCTGCCGGAGCGAAAGGGGCGTCGACGAAAGAGCGATGTAAGAAATGTTGGGCCGGAGAGTCGATGGCTCTGTATTGGTGGGAGACTGATCGTCCACATCTGGTTCTGCTTCTTTACGTGCAGGTTCATGCCCTGGGCCAATCCATAATGGTGGTGGAGCCGACAATCGGAAGTGGATGCCGCCAGGCAAACGTTGGCTATCCTTAATACGTAGCATGAGGGCGAATAAGGGAAAGTGGTTGAGACAGGCGAGGCATGTATCTAGTGAAGCCTTGATAGTGATGATGCTCATGCGCGCAAAGGCGAATGTGAGGTAGAAGACCACCACTGTCGGAAGAAGGAAGAAGAGCAGCGTAAACAATATGGTACCAAGCAGTAGCTGATCCAAGTCGTAATCGCAGTTGTCGATTCGATTTCTCAAGACATTTCGCTTCTTGCCGCGGAACAAGTGGAACAGACTCATAATGATTGTGAGCTGCCAATTGAAAATGCGAGCGCTGGCAATGTAGAAGCTATAGATGTGGATGGTGAGCAAGCTGATAATATCTGAAAAGATGGCGATGGGCATGGAGGCTCCGGCGAATGAGGAGAACCCGATGAAGTAGATCACGGTTGGTAAATGTGGCACGGTGTAGTGGATGACTGTGCCTGACCAATACTCGATAACCCAGAGGAATAGATCTCCAAGGAAAGCCGCTAGCTCGGTATTGAGCTTCAGACCTCCCGGATAAGACATCAGCCATCGGATCATACGCTTCAAGCCCTCGATTGTGTACTCGTTGAGCACGGTGGAGAAGACTTCCGAGGTTTCCTTCGCGTTATCATTGATGAAACTGCCGAGCGCGATGCCGATGATGACATCGTTTGCAACGAGCCACAAGGAGTTGTAGAACCGGATGTAGTCACCATTGTTGACCGAGATGGAAGACCAGGTGTTGTTCCTCTTGCGCAGCACTGAATACTGGGCAGGATAGTACGAAAATTGCTCAAGCCGCAGATGGACCTGTTGGCAGCAGGCTGATATGTCTTTGAGCGCGAGAGGTCCATTTCCGTGCACAGGCCCATCTGGCAGATGTATGGATTGAATGGGTAGATGCCACTCGAGGACCTGCAATAACGCCTCGGCCACCATTCGATGTGCGACTATGGCGACCTTGAAGAACGAAAGTAGGGCTGGGTAGACCGAGGTCATGAACAAAGTCCATAGAGACCACGCCGCAAAGGTGTACAGCGATTGTGCTGATTCCACCACCCTCTCACTGACCGACATACTTCGCTTGCGCCGTGGGCCAACCAGAGGTGAGTTTTTCTGGATCAACTCTGCCACTTCTTGAACACAGTTGATTTGACGAAGAATAACGGGAAGAGCGACCTCCAGGCGAGTGGGCTGTCGTCGAACAACGGTGTGAAACTTGAGCTTTGACACGAGATGAGCCTTGCGCCGTCGCTCTTGCTCCTCCTCCTCTTCTATCTCATCGCGTTGGCCGGGTGTGTTCGTGAACCTCGTCCGCGCGCTGTCGTCCAGGGAAAGCGATATTGCTTCTTGTGACATGTACTGCATTTTGAGGGGATTTGGAGGGTCGAACATCACGATCTGAATGGCGTAATCGGCGTTTGTTGGGCAATATATCTGAGGCTTGGACGACTTGAGTGATGTAAAGACTGCGATTCTCGTGCTGTCCCACGTGGTAGGAAGCTCTGGGAAGTTCACAGTACCCAATACATGCATGTTCGATCGATCGCATACCTGGAAGATACGTGCGACTGGATGGGGACTGCTTCGGAAAAGTGTGCCAGCTCGCAGAGCATTCTCAACGCTGCGTGTCTCGACATCTTCTAGCACCGTAATGACAAACAGATCGGATTCAGAATTGCGCCATCCGACAATCACACCGGGTGCGCTTGAGCGAGCCAAGTTGTTCGGCCAGAAGATGCGCAAAAGGTCATGGTTGCTCTTGGGCATATTTCCATAGTGTCAAGCTTTCAGAAAGAACCTCGTCGGCGTAATTGCTCACGGGCAGAAATGCGGTACGCATGAGAACGAGGATGCAGTGAGGCTTCGTGGGCCGCCAAGCGCTCAAGGGGAATGACGATGGCGAGGAAGATCAAGGATAGTATGGCGAACGCCTTCGCAGCTCGGGTCTGTCTACCGTTAGCAGCATCGACCATCGAGACAGAAGCGCGTACCACTACTCCGTGGTCCCAGGCGAAAACGGTGAGTTCGTAGAGGCGTGTTACAAGATCCCAGCGGGCGGTAATGTAACCGGCAACGAAGATACCGAGAGTCAGTGACGAAAATGGGTGCATTCGCTCGGATGGGACTGCAGTCGGTGCAGACGACTGCTCTTCGGGCAGCGCAAGAACACGTAGAGGGCAGAAGTTTATCATGTTGGTGGTACCTGGACACTCGCATGAGGACTCGGCTAGCTTTCCCGATCAACGACATACCAGACACCACCGAGCGATCACCTCCCCCACCAACATTCGTCTTAGTCTGGCCGTTTGTCCGCAGGAATTGGGCCGCGTTTCTCATGGCTTGCATCTGTTCCGCAACGAAGCAGTCTTACATCTCACTCTCTACTTTTCACTCTACATCGTATTCCACATCGACTTGGACCTCCACCTCTTCATCCACCTCGACGCTCTGGTAGATTATGTCGCCTGCCTCCACCACCGTTCCATCCTCATTCACTACAGCCTCATAGGTATATTCCTTGAGGTTGGCCGTGCTATCTGTAGTGGTCGTATACATCATCATCGTGTCCTGGTAGATGCCGCCAGCATAGATGTCGGTGCTCTGGTCCTGCAGCATTAAGGCGCTTATGTTGTTGACCTGCTGCTGAGCCGGAGCTGAGACGAACATCTGCGGCTGTTGCTGCACAGTAGTTAACTCCACGCTTGTGATGACCGAGTCATCGATGTAAATATCTTGGTTTCCGACCGTCGGTTGCTGCTGTTGCGTCGCCTGTAGCTGTAGCTGCTGCATTTGCTGTTGCAACACTAAAGTGCTTGCTGCCTGCATGTATGCGTCTTGGTACGACGTCGCCTGAGAGGTCTGGGGCTGTACGAGAATCTGATTCTGTTCGTTGTATGTATTTTGTGCGCTTGAGTTGCTGTGGGTCAGATAGGTCTGCGCAGGCGGGGGGGCCAAGTATTGCTGTGGCAGAAACTCTGCCAGGATGTACTGTTGTTGCACCGGCAGAGGTTGTGTTTCACCCATAGTGTCAGACAAGGCTTGCGTTGGGTTAGATTGGGCCGAGTAGACGGAGGTATTCGTTGAGGAAGCGGGAAAAGAAGGACTTGAAACCATGGGCTTGGGAGGGCGGTGGTCGAGTGGTGGTTGAGTGACTAGCGATTGCGGCGGTCCCTCAGATTCATGGGTGTATGGAGGAGGTGGGTTGGAAGAAGTCTGGTCTGCTAGGATGGCATCAGCCTGAATCGAGAAAGAGGTGGTCGAATGATGATGGTCAGACATCGCAGCTGGCTTGGGCGGTATAACGAACTGGGCGTGCGGTGCTGTTTCTGCGGTGCTCGGAGGAGCAGCAAGAGGTTGGCTCGATTCGGCGACATCAACCGCCATTGACCCACTAGCTGTAGGTACGATTGAGGTGCTTGAATTCACGGCAAAATGAGGTGGCTTCTCTGTCGGTGAGGTTGGCTGGAGCTGCGCTTCTGTGGCTAGCGCAAGATTATCCTGCTCCGAGGTCTCTGCGGTCTCAACCGTGACAGTCACGGTCGCCGTGGAGTGGCTGACATCGTGATATGCTGGGACTTGAGCGGATGCCAGGCTTACTGCTTGGCTGTGCTGTGGGAGTGGACGGCGAACTGGTTTACGCATAGGTACTCCGGTACTGGGCTTCACAGCCACCATGGGTTGCTGTGGAGTCGGAATTTGAGAACCTGAAGCCGCGGCCTGCTCATGTTCGTAAGAATGATTGACTGGCTCCGGTGTCGGCGGCAACGGATCCTGTGGTATGAATGTCCTGGTCTTGGGCTTGTACTTGCCCTTACCATCGGCGGCATCTACCATCTCATGCATCAGCGTTCGGGAGGCCCTTCCAATCTTCACTCCAAGAGCTCCGGTGTGCACGATGGCGTTTTTCGAGGCTTTCTGCATCTTCGTTCGACTGATCATTGTTTGACCCACAGCTTTTGCTTGACGGGTAGCCAGACTGGCAGCTGTAATGGTGGTATCCTTCAACGCGACCGAGACATGCGCAACGTCCTGCCCGAGTTTCTTTCCTAAGACCTCGGTGTTGTTTCGTTGCGCGAGCTGATGAATTGCAAAAGCCTCGTCAAAGTCAGGGATGTTTTTCCTGGCGATTGCAGTGTTGACGGTCATAGTCATCAATGGGTCATCCTGAGTAGGCTTGACAGGTGCTGTAGAACTACGCACGAGTCGGACGCGAGGCGGGGCTGGCTGTGCCGGTTCTGTTATGTGCCTTGTCATTTGTGGTTTCTCGGCCGCAGCCAACACTTGTGCTGGTGCGGCTTGTTCGACAGGCCACTGGAAGGAGCAGCTCCGGGTCTCAACATGCACAAAGATGGTCCTGCCATCCGGGGTATGGGACTTTATCCATCCAGCTGGTAGTTGGCGAACATTTGGCCTTTCCCACGATGCCGCGCCAGTGGAAGGGTTGAAGTACATCGTTCGGCCGGATGGATCCTTCATCTCAAGCCATCCTACAGGCATTGGCATGGGCTGGCCTTCGAGAATCGGCGCTGTAGATGATGTCGCCTGTTTTACGTCCGATGGCATTGTTGTAGGAGGCAAGCCGATCGCCATATTTGGCTGATGTTCTGCCATCTCGGCACAGTAACAGCACTCCGCGTCAAAATGTATAATGCTGAGATTTGAGAGAGCACTCTGGCACTAAACACGGAGGAGAAGATGTCCCGTCGCTCAGTTGATGACCTTTGCCAGCCTTATGATCCTTGCGTCCACAAGAACCGTACAGGCCTTATACGAGGGGGTACTAGTCGGCGGGTCCGCATCGAGCCATACCTCGTGAGCGTCTGCATTGGCGCCATCTAGACTCGATCGGTATCAGCACGCCTATGAACCAGCGGCGGTGTGAAGCAGTGCAGCTGCGGGTTCCTCATTCCACAGGTTACGAGGACTTTACGAGGGTCTAGGCGTGGCTGGTTTACGCCTCGTGTAGTATTGGCCTCGCTAATGGCGGCGCGCTCGTAAGGTATCCTTGGCGACAGCACACCTGAAACGATACCTAAGTAGGTGCAGCTTCACAGCTCGAGGTGCAGCAGAGGATTTTTCCTTCTACTTCGTATGCAGGAGGATGGTGAAGAAAGGCAGATATATGCAATGCGCTCAAAAGCAATGTCCTGGTTGAGAAGCCCATGCTCGCCAATGTAGCCTGCCTGGCGCTTGCTCGCAAATTGGTGCCCACTTTTCGAGTAGACGCAAAAGGTAACTTTAGCTACAGAAAGGGACGAGCCAAAAAGATGGCACACAAAGATATTGATGCAAAGCTCTACTGCTCAGGCTTATACCTGCAAACGCTGTGATCTGAACTGCCACACGCACCCACTTGTAGAGCCGAAGGCAGGTGGATACTGCCCAGACGCTAGTGATAAAGCTTCTGGAGCTTGTTGACCTCTTCTCAACTCCCTTCATCTCCTCCTCTCTCCCATGGTCTCTCTTGTCACACCACAACATAATGATTTGTGAAGCGGCAGAGCATCCAGTGCCATCTGAAGTGTGACTGGAAACCATCGTCCCCCCAGATCCCCTTCATACACAAAGGTGAGGTATGCAACCTGCCGAGAATGATTTCTAGCTCGCCAATCCGGACTCAGTCAAACGTCGATTGCAGACGCGACCGACCACGGTAGGTTCAACTTACACCGGACCAGCACAACAACAGACCCTCGCCGACTGCCTCATCCTGCACATGGCCTGCGTGGTGAACCTGATCATCGACCCTCGCGCGTTGCTAAATCAGTGGGTAGGACACCGCCTAGATCAAGTTTGCATCCAAGCGATCGATTTTCTGCACGATCAATCCGATTTCGCCGGATCAAACGCAGCCTGCCGAAGACATTGTCACCTCCAGATCAACCTGCAGTCTGATTCTGCACCGCAACCAGCCTTGGCGAGTTTGCCAAGAAGTTTGCTCTTACCCTCGCACCCCCGGCAGCCTATTTAATTGCGACTTCCTTCTTGCCAACTTACCTCCTGCCTCCTCCCCATCCCGCATTCTCTAAGATCCGCATCTCCGATCCTCAACTGCTATCACACTCTTTTGGGATCAAACAGACGGTCTTGGATACCAATCCATTTTCCATTTGCATCGATTCCCATACTTAATCCTCTTGCATCGATTGAACTCTTCAAGATGAAGTTCTTCAGCATCTTCCTCGCCTGCGCTGTGGCCATTATTGGCCTTGCCAGTGGTAAGCTACACTTCGTGCCAATTGCGCATTCAGTCTACTAACTCAAGACAGCTTCCCCAGTTACCGGCGATTCTAAGGACATCGGTCGTATCATCAAGAAGTTGGAAGGTGGGTAACTATCGGCCTTCCTTGCACACCAACCTAATCATTGCGCAGATCGTGGTGTTCCAGAGGACATCATTGACTCGGTCTTTGACCTGATGGTCAAGCGCGACGGTGAGTTCCCCAACCCATTGCATAACGGCAGCCTGCTGACTTTCTTGTAGTGGCTACTGATCCTATCTGTACTACCTCTGGCACCTACGTTACTGGCGTTACTCCGACCCCTCCTCCTGGCATTCCCGCCGTTCCTAGCGGTCCAGCCTCCAGCGACAATACTGGCGTCTCGTGCTCAACTGATACTGCGACCCTTCCTCCTGGCGCTTCTCCTTCGGTCCCCTCTGATGCGCCTGGTACGAGTACTTTTACTTCGGCTGTCACTGTATCTACCACCAGCGAGACTCCTGCGCCTCCCCCTGCCGAGTCGACGCCTCAAGTTCCGCCTACCTCTGAGCACCCTCCTACTTCTAGTACCGAGATCCCTGCCACTTCTGCGAGCACTGCCGCCACTGAGACGACCGCTACTACCAGCACTTCGACTCACACCAGCACGCACTCTACCTCGGCCTCTTCATCCTCGCCCCCTGTTGAGTCCACTCCCATCAGTGGCGCTGGTGTCTCCAAAGTCAACGCTGCCGTTCTCGGTCTCGCTGCGGTTGTCGCCCTCTACTGATGCAATGCATCCATACCATTGCAGCTTGTGATCATGTATCCTCATGTCGACTCATAGCATCGCAATAGGTCACAACATCTTTCGAAATTGCAGACAGCGCAGGAGTTTGGCACAATTCTTACACAGCACGTCTACTACACATGAAGATAGGTCAAGATCGTTTGGTACTGGACAGTTGTTTCCATGTGGTACTGGTGGCGGCCTGCAAGGTTGAATCAATCCAAAGAGCGTTGGAGCATTGCATGCCGACCATAATGGCACTAATGAAGCGAAATGGTGTTGGTTAAGATAGTCCTGTGGGTGAGCTTGTCGAAGTCATCACATTGTTGATGGTGGAGAGCAGCCCAGGCAAATAGAAAACCTTCTGAAAATTCCTCGTGTCTTTCCACGTAGCACTGCTCATCTGTCGTCTGTTTCATGCAATGGTGTTGATGACAATACCGCTGTGCTATGCCGCAACAAGCGCCTTGTGCTTCCCCGGCCTTTGCCTCTTCAGATCTCGTCCGCTATGCCATGTGTAACCTCACGCGCGTCTTCCACACAGTTCTGGATCTGGGATCCCTGCCGTGTTGAACCTGGAGCCGGGTTTCACCTGCCATGACATTTGAGTCGAGCTCACCAAACAAACTCACCGTGACGCTGGGGATGTTTTTGACTCGGCTGAACACTGTAAAATGTACCTGGTAGAAGCTGCTTTCGGGCTGCCGTGGGCTGCCGGACCGCGTTCATCGTTTCCCGTCGTTGTTAGTAAAATTTGGTCTGCCGGAGCTTGGGATTCGCAAATACAAGAGTAGCCACGCGGGAGTCGCTCGCGAGCGCAGACTGACATGTCTTGAAAAGGCCGTTGTTATTGCTTCGTTAAAATGTCTTTCTTGTTCAACGTTGGAAGTCGAACGAAAGTCTACCGTATCAGTCTCTTTAAATCAAACTTGCTAGCAGGGCGGCCCGCTCATCGACGCCTGCAATTTTCCTGTCCTTTTTCCTTCCCTCTCAGCCCAGCTGCTGAAAGATATCGCTCACAAGTCCCCCCGCAGCTCACATCATAGCAACAGCACCCAGAAAACCAGCGCCCAGGACGGACCAGCCGGCGGCAACAAGCATGCCCGCACCCGACGACTCGGTGGCGCTGGCCTCGGCCGCCGTGCTGGATGCGGTGCCCGACGCCGAAGAGCTCGACTCCGCGCCCTCGGAGCCGTGGTCGCCGTGGCTGGCGGAGGCGTTGGCCATCACGTAGTCGTCGCCTGTCAGGAACTCGGCGGTGATGCCCGTGCCGTTCGTGCAGCTCTCTGGGGATTCGGCCTCGGCGGAGAAGGTGATGTCTGCGCACTGTTTTGTCGGGTTCGTTGGTCAGCGGGGGGGAAAAGAACTTGTGGTTCGTCGATGTTCGAGCCTGGAACGAAGAGGAAACACGGGGAAAGGGGAATGTAGGAAAGGAAAGAAGAAAAGGGCGAAGACTCACGTTGTACAACCCACCCCCATCATGAGCGTTGGTGATGACCTGCACAGTGGCGTTCGTGCCTTCCTCCAGAGTCAGGTTGGCCGGCAGAGGAACAGCCTGCCAGCAAAAGTCGCCGGGACCCATTTCCTCGATGGTGGGCAACAGCTCGACGTTGAAGGCCTCGCCGGGCTCGTTGCCAACGGCTAGGAATACGCTGATGAGATTCTCGGTGTGGCCGAGCTCCATGGACAGCGGGATTCCGGCGGAAAGGGAGACGGGGGTGCGCACGCCGACGGTGTCACTGTCTTCTGATTAGAATTGTGTCTGGACAAGTGGGGAATTTAGGCAGGGAGGACTTGGATAACAGAGGAGCTTTGAGGAGGATGATTTGGGACAGAAGTCCCAGATGTCACAGAGAGCTCCCCCAATCATTCCGGTTCGAGTTTGGTCAGAGACTTACTATCCGCCGCAAGGGAAAGTGGCCTGGTTAGTATCGTCGTCGCCACGGGCGGCGGGGAAATGGAGATGGAAGTGGGCGCTAGCGAGGGGGAGGAGGGTGAGGAGGAGGGCGGTGGGCGTTGTGTGCATTGTGGCGGCAATCAGATGGAGATGATGGATGGTTTTGACGGCAGACTAAGTTGGTCCTGAGGGCGGGTGTCACGAGTAGGTCAGGTAGCTGTGGCACTGTGGAAGTAGAGGTATGGGTATGGAGAATTATCAGAGGAATGAAGAGACAAAGGGTTGTGGGTGTAAGCCACATTTATTCCAGAGCAAGTTGACGGGGCAAGTACCTGACTAAACCTACCTGGTCCGTGATTTCACCGCATCTAGGTTTCTCGAGTAACCCTCCTTCCACCCCACCCCTTTCCCCCGTGTCTGAATGGCTGTATTCGAGCATCACTCCTGCCCAATTCCAGTATCGGGCACCTTGGCAAACCAGTGCGTGACATGCCGACCAAGCGAGGTTTTATCCTGCTCACTGTGCGGTGCCAGGGGAGATGCAACCTGCTCTTCTTGCCGCTTCGCTTGATGGGCGAGAGCGGACAGTTCCTCGATACATGCGGAAGAGAAAACGTGCTCATGTTCTTGGCAGTGACCCCGGGGGCTCGCTAGCGGCGGAGTCTCTGGCCAAGGCGAGCCAGTGGCAGAGCTGGGGCGCGCAGTAGCCGAGCTTGGCAGCGAGGCCGGGGCATTGGTGGGGTCTAGAGCTTCCGACGTCGAGAATGTGCTCAGCTTGGAGATGGTCTTAAATACGATGAGGGGAGTGCGTGATTGAGTCGTTAGTCCATCCAGTGATGCTGCATGCGGTCGTTGCTGCGTTTGAGATCGAGTGAAGGCCGAGAGAAGCACGGAGCGAGCGCTCTGATCGCAGGCCAGCAGCGATCTTGCCAGAATGATTCCTTCCTTCTTGTAGGTGTCTCAAGCTGAGAGTTGGCTCCTTGCTTGACCACTGCATCATCGTATGACGGAGGATTGGGATGGGCATTCATGTCCTTAGCTGTGTAGAGGCGCAAAGGCTCAGCAAACAAAGCCGTGTCAACGTCGACTGGATCAGCAAAGCCGAAGTACGGTGGGACTTCTGTGTCTTGCACTCGGCAAGCCTCACAACTTCTTATTCCTTCGGCGAGGAAGAATGATTCGGCGCTGGTACATTTCTGAAGGGCATGTGCGTCACATCTGATGACTGATTGATCAAGATACCGCTTGTCACAGACGGCGCAACGCAACTGTCGAAGAATTGCGCGGCACATCGCGTTGTGTTGGTCGGATCGAGTTGTGTGGTCTGGCAGATAATCGTTGCGCCAGAACCGTTGAGCCATGACGAAGAACTCTTGATGCATAACACCAAACATCTAGAACAAGGTAAGCAATCCCATTGTTCTTGTGCACTATCAATACGTCGAAAGGAAAATGAAGGGACGATCGGCAGCCTATGAGCCTCTTATCAGCCACAGCAGTCACCGCCGCAGCCATTGTCTTCATAATCTCTGATGACAATACAGCTTAACGTTCTTTGTCCCGTGACTTTGCCCTTCTTGTTTGGTCATTGCTCTGTTGGATGGCCGGATCAGTGTCGTGACTGTCGCCTGGGGTTTGCTGTGTCTGCTTTACTGGACTGTGAGGCAGCACAATCGATGGACGTTCGATACTCAAGTACTGGCGGCAGTACGAAAGAGAGGGATATGACTTCATTCTGGACACCATTCTTGAAGTCTGCAAGAAAAACAAAAGAACTCCAACGAGTGCGACGAACATTGATCAGTCCACACATTCGCTCCCTCAGTGATGCACCGCCTCTTCCAAGCAAAAACAGGCCGTGCCCCTGCCAAGCCCAGCCTCGATCCCCTCCAAGCCCAAAGTTTTCTCTGCCTCCCAAACCCCCGCCTCCTCCTTCTCCCTTCCAGGACCACCAGTCCCGCCTCATCATCCGCTCATCTCCTCTGAACCAAAGGTCTCCGCTCTTCCGCCTGCCTCCGCCTCCTCTCCTCGCCCTCCGATCTGCCCATCGCCCACTCCTCCCTAATCCTCACCGCAAACACGCACCAATTAAACCTCGTCTTCGCCCTCTGCCCCAAAGCCAGTGCTCGCTTCACTTTTGCAAGCAGTCTGGCCGGCATCGGACGCGAGCATGGGCGGCACAGCTCGAGCTCGTTGGCTGGTGCGTCGCAGCGGCGGCACGTGAGGTCCTCGGGGGGGATGGGCTGGTGTGTGGTGTCCGAATTGGGGCTGGGGCTGGTGTGTGGGACTTTGTGGTATCTTGCTGGGCGGGAGATGAATGTGGGGCGATGCATTGCTTGACGGGGGTTGAAGGTGTTGGTGGAGATGTTAGTGGCGGTTTCTGAGAGTGGGAATGCTGGTGATGTGGTAATGTGTGTTGCAGCGCGGTGCGGTAAGACCTCAAAGGCACGAAAGCTTAGTTGCTTCAACATTATAAGGCGGTAGTCGGTGCCACAGGAGTTTGGCTCATCTGGTCAATGTCTCTGTTGCTGTTCTAGAAGCTCTAATTTCGTCCTTTGTCTGTCAAACAGGACAAGCAACTAGCTATTGGTGTATTTGTGTCCCGCGAGCCTTTGTTTTGGAGGGAGGCTCTGTCGATATTTGTGCGCCCCCAGGAGTAGGATGTTGAACACTGTGACATTCGATACTGAAGCAATCCAAGACATACTGTATCTGTAACCGCAGCGGGAATTCATTGCCAGTATTGTTTATGAATGCCGTTAGATAAGCTACGGTATCTATTCCTTCCAGACTAGCTCAATGACACCCACAACACCGCTACCCATGAGGCGCCGGCTACGTCTCACACCTCCACTTCCACGGACTCTGGCACCCATGCCACTGTCCGTCTCTTCAGAAGCCATTACCTTCGCCCTTGCAGCCTCCTGACATCTTGTTATGAACGCAGGAAACTGTGTGTCAGCTCTGGTGCCAAATTTATGGCGTTTCTCATCTTCCATCGTGTCGTAGCCCATGGGCTTGCTCTCCTCTTCCAGCCGGAACAGCACTTGCTGAGGACGTGTTGTAATTTTTCGCAGCAGTTGTACGTCCTTCCACAAAGCATCCATATTTTTTGTCCCTGCAAGGTTGAGAAGCACCGGCCTTTTCAGCTTCGAGCCACACACCTGCAGACGGATGTCGGAGTCGTACATCTTGGGGTTGCGGAGGAAAGATAACCTTTCTGACGTGGCTTGGGTTGATGCCTGTAGCAACTTGACGTCTTTTGGCTTGTGGATTTTATCGAAAGGTTGGATTTGGTCGGTGTTTGTGAAGTGAACGTTCCGCTTCGATCGGTCGCCAGCACTCTTTCTTGCACTTGAGAAGCTGTCAAGCATGTTGACATTTTGCGGACTTTCGTGATAGATTTGAGGTTTGTTTTTGGTACTGGCAGCTGTGATGTCCAAAAGGTTGGAGATGTCGGTCATGTCAACATCTTCGCAAGACTGTTGTTTGACCTCGACTACGATCGCGGGCAATACTGCTTGCGCTTCTCGGCGAGGCCGGGCCTGTTGACGGAATTTTGCTGTGGTATACCTTGATCGACCCATTTTAGCTGATCGTCCGTTCGCTTCTTCGAAGCCTTCGTGTGGGCCGGCCTTTTCTAGAAGGACAGCTGTAGCGTTCGAATTCGATGAGAAACGTTGAATCTCAATTTCTTTGTGGCTCTGGAGTCCTCTGACTTTCAACGGGACGATAGCTGTTGGCTTGACAATTCGCTGAGGTCTAGGACCTAAGGAGATCCGTTGAGTCACACCTGTTTTTATCTTCTTGACTGGTGTGAACAGTCTTGCTGTGGTTTTCTTTTTGCGATTCGGAGGTGTTGCTGATTTCTGTCCAGATAGTGTTGTTTGCTCACACCCAAAGGCCATGCTCAAGAGCCTGGAAGTGATACAAAGCAGAGAAATTTGGCAACTTCAATCGGCTTCTGCCTGTTCCCGACGCCGGACTTAGACTTCCTGAGCGTGGAGTGAATACTAGAAGCTGAAAGAAACCGAAGCCAAAGTGAAGAACAATTTCTTCAGATTTCGGAGGCCTGCGATCGCTCCTTGCCGCAAGTAAAGTACCGGAGAGGTCTCTAGCACGTTGAGTCGTTGACAGACCTAGAGAACAAAGGCGTGAAACCAAGCGGCATTCTTTGTTTAAAATTAGGAGACCACTCTCCTGACTCAACAAAGATGCATTGTCGCAAGATGTCGAACTCCGAGATAGTGGGCGCCTACCCTCAAAGACATCATACAGCTTATTAGTGATGAATCAGGTTGAAAATCGTCTTGTATGAGCAAGAACATAGTGAGAGGCAGCAGGTGTGATAGTGACTGCTGGTATACTTAAGCAGCTCCGCTCAACTTTGTCTGATGCCGAAGACATCGCTTTCCGTAATAGACAAGGACTAAGTCGTACCGCTCACATTAGTCGCTTGTGATTATGTTCGCCATGTATGAATCGGGGTCTGCCAGCGTGGAAGATCTAGAGTGCCTCCACGGGCGTTGCGATAACTCCGTTGATCCTCTGTCGGTGACGAATGTTGACAGTCTAGAAAAGCGCTTGCCGTCACTGACACTAGAATCCCAAGCCGTCGGTTCTGGCCGTTCATCGCCGGAGCCCTCCGCTAGTGTGGATACTTGGATGTATGGCTGCGCTATCCTCAGCGGAGGGCTGAGAGAGCACGCACATTCACCTGGTGGAACGTGAGACTTTTGATGAACCCGTGAGGAGTATCGACTCTGTCCAGCCGTTTGTTCGTTCCCGCTCCCAGATTCGGGCTCACTGTTGTGGGTTCCGCTGAACCAGTGGCCGTTGTGACTGCTTCACGTCAAGGTCCAGGCATCATCGCCTGCATTCTTGTGCCAGTTGCCGAGGCGTTGGGTGGCTGTGTTCCGTATTTCAACACAGGCTGAACGAGCTGGGTCGTTCTTGGCGTTCTTGTAGCTGAGAGTGCCATCATTCAGAGCGTCTACTTGCAGCAGTCGAATGATAATGGAACCTTGCAGCCACATCTGTTTTCGGCAGACCATGCTCTCCTTACCTCGGTGATGCTCAAACTGTTTGAAGCCCTGCTTGACACCGTTGAGGAGCACCTCGATGGAATGACCAGCGATTTCGTTATACCCGCGAATCCAAAGCGCAGACACGTTGCTCGCTTTTGCGGGCTCCAGGTCATTACGACGTTTCTCAAACTGGAACCGAACTGCGTTGTGGGGCAGACTGATGACATTGAAAAACAGCACGTTGTCAGAGTCGATGCTCTGCATCCTGCCTGTCGGCCCAAATGCTCTATGGTACCCAGTCTCGTTGTATTGACTAGAGGGAATGATGAGTGCGGATAGAAATGTGTTCGGGGTTCGTTGCACCAACAAGTCCACAGGGAAGCTGAGGATACTGGTTGCCTGCTTGATGGCAAGCTTATCGGAACACGATTTCGACATGGACGCCTGTGCATCTGCCCGGGCTGGCTTTCGCCGCACTGCGCCGAGTATCGAAAAGTGTCCTCTGCCGGGCAGCGAACTGTCTGAACTGGGTAGTTCCCATGGAATTGCATCTTCGGGAGTTTTGGAACCGATCAGCAACTCCATGGAAGCATCGCCGCAAGGCGCTTCGGTCGCGAAGAAATAGAGCGAGACATCGTCTGCGAGACGGAAAGGTTTGGAGTGTCGATCGCCTTCTCGTGGTATCTGCCGGATAAGGTAAGGCGATGTGTAGTTCAAGTTAACGAGCTGGTAGTGAATTTCTTGCAGGAGCCAACGGTTGAAGCCACGAAGAGCCAATACTTCAGCGTGCGAATCGTGCAAGACGGCGCCGTGACAATTGGGTACAGCGACGGCCGGAAGACACTTCGTCCCTGTCCCAAGGGAGAGACACTCAACGATGGCATCGTCATGCCCGCGACTAATCACCACCGCAGCCAGGGGCGTCCACTCCTTCCGCCCACCGGCAGCAGTGCGGGGCTTACATTTCTGTGGGAGGGCAGAGAAGCAGTCAAGTGCAGCTTGAGCTACCTTTTCTGCAAGACTGGTCATCAAGTATATGAACAGCACATGGTCGATGAATAAGTGAAGAAACAAAAAGGGATGTCAGTGTTGTAAGAGAGTTTGCTTGGACTCGAATCGCAGGCCCCAATGTACCCACTTTTCCGATGTTATTTGTACATGAGTCCACAAAACCTCAACATAACTATTATAGCGATGGGCATAAAAACAAAGGTTCCGCAAGAGTTCACGTCAATGACATCGCATCGTCGTGTATGCATAACTCTCTACTTGTTAGACCCCGGCTTAGTAAACGTATGGGATGATCTTCCACTTCACAATCTGGCAGTATCGTTCCCAGTCTTTCCCGTATTTGCGGCGGCATTTGGCCTCGTCCCGAAGCTCGCGGTGAACAAGCAAAACGCCGAAATAGATAATGTAGAAGTACGTGAAGATCATGCCCCAGCCCTTGGCGTCGCCCTGCTCGACGTCGAGGGTGACCGTTCCAGTCAAAGCACTGACCGAGCGGTGGACAACATAGCCAGCAAATCCTGTTGGCAAGCAGAAAGACCATGACATGATCCAGTCGCCGAGGTAGTTGATGTGGCGGGCAGTTCCCCACCAGCCTGAAGTGAGCAGTTTGGTACCTGCCGAGGTGGTCAGGCTCTCCAAATGAGCAACCTTGGGGTCGTTGGGGTTGGTGCGGAAGCGGTTCTTCTCATTGTTGGAGGAGCGGAAGATGTAGTAGCCAACGCTGGTTACAGCAAGCACCCCAGCAACGCCGGACACCCCGAGCTGAACGGGATGGACTGCAAGGTAGCGGGTTTGTATCGAATAGATGAATGGCAACCACGCGACATCACCAAAAGACAGCATGAAGCCGAAACCGTCCATGATGCAGTCAATCGTGGTCAGAATGGCAGGTTCCATGTACATCGCATCCAGAACATACAGAGCCTGGAATGCTGTGATAAAGACGATGGAGTCTGTGACATAGCCGTACAGCTTGTACTGGTGAGCAATATATGCGCAATCCAGAATGATCCAACCCATGAGACCTGGCCGCATCTCCATAAAGAGCTTGATGTCGAGCGGCTGACCTCCAACAAGTGGCAGCCACGCCGGAATGTCCCAGCGAGGATTCAACTCACGGCCGATCATGAAGTCGTACAACATGTTGCCGCTGTGGCCACCTTTGGCAAGTTCGCGATTCGATGGATTGGCCTGATCTGGGTGCGGCACAGTAAAGGAGCCAATGTAGCAGTAGAGTGCCAGGCCGTAGGCGATGAGCAGATTGGCGATGTAGATTTGTACCAGCTTGTCCCAAATGAAGGTCCACACAATCCAGTCGGCGCCATACAGAACAGTGCCGGTCGACAATCCAGCAATAAAGACTAGAGTTGTGCGCCACGAGTTGAACTTGTAGCGGAGCCTGGCACCGTTTGACAGCTTTGTTCCTTCGACTTCGTGTCCTGGGAGGATGAGCTGCAAGGCGACCAGCAAACCATAGTATGCCAGAGTCCAGCCAATGGCATGGATATCGAATAGACCAATCACTCCGGTTTCAGGCCATGGCGTCTGAGCCTTCAGCTTCTCGAGCGTCAAGGTACGGAGGTTGAGCAGCCCGGGCGCAGGACAACCGGAAACTTCGTTGCAGAACAGTAGTGAGGATAATACAAGAAGAGGCAGGATGAATGTGATGGCAAAAGCGCCAGGCCTGTGCGTGTCAATATTGGATGCTGGGGTATCATCGAATGTACTCACGGTCCAAAGAACTCATAGCCATGCTTCTCCTCAAGCAGCGCGGCGGCGGGTGATGGGTCGGATTTCTTGTGCTTGTGCGCCATGTTGTCTTGAACGCCAAAAGGAAGACTCTGATCAGTAGTGCGGTAGTATAGACTAGCTCAACGATAAATATGTACTTGGGACGTAAACACCTGCGCCTCACAGCTCTCGCAGCCGCGCCGGGGAGCAAGACGCCGGGTGAGGTCACCATTAATTTTTTGCTCGGGACGCGCCCGCTCCGGGGCAAGCTCAGGGATTCACCATCCCGCTTAACGCTAAGCGCGTTTCTCGGTTTCTCGGCTCCTCGATCGTGCATGTTAGCCCCCAAATGCCAGCCTTGGGACGCCCAAGACAAGGCTGGATTATTCAACCCTGGAACTTATCTGCCGGGCCACGGCGTGCCGTGCAAATGCAAATGCCGATAGTGAGACTCCCTTAGACCCCTGCGCCTTACTGTGTCTACATCCAACAGGCCACTAGTATATTCCACGAGTCTTCCTGCGTGAGCTCCGACCTCACGGCAGTTGTGTTCTTTCCGTTCTATCCTCTCGTTTACCGGACCCCCACGCACTTCGTCCGGCAGCTGTGCGTCCGATCAAAAGGAGCCGACGCCCCCAGCTGTCCTCAGCAAAATGCTCTTCACTCCTGGCCTGGCATTAATACTATGTCTCGTCCATGCGACGACCGCGGTTAGCGACGATAAACCTCCTCCGAAGCCATGTACCATACATTCGCCTTCGACCGGTTCCTTCATAGACCTTCGCTCCTTGACCCTGTCCACTGATGGCAACAACATCCAGGCTGCCACCAACGAGTCCTACCATGCCAAAGGCTACGACTATCCGTACAACTTTACGTTGAATTTCTGCGATTCGGTTGTGGAGAGACTGGAAGATGTTGTAGGCATCCGAGAGAGCCGGTGGACCAATGTGTCTGCCTACTACACAGACCGGTACGACAATGTGATCAGCATTGGCCAACAGAACAACGAGCTGCTGTTCCGCGGGAAGAAGCTCCTGTTGAACTATACTATGGGCTCGCCATGTCCAGACCTGGACGAAGATGGCTATCCTATACAGACACATCACGCCACTCCTCGGGAAATCGTGGATGGTGGCGACGATGATGATCGCAAAAAGAGCAAGGCGGCAACAAGGCGTAAGACCACCATGATGTCCTTCACGTGTGATACGTCGCCGCTACTCTCAACTCGGCCTGCTATCTCTTTTCTCGGAACCCCCGACCACTGCACGTACATCTTCGAGGTGAGGAGTCGACATGCCTGTGGAGGAACGACCGCTTCTCACGAATCTGGAACCCTCGGCCCCGGCGGGGTCTTTCTCGTCATCTCAGGTATCGCTTTGTTGGTCTACTTGATCGGTGGCGTTGTTTACCAGCGGAATGTCATGCATCAACGTGGCTGGCGTCAACTACCCAACTATGCCCTATGGGCTGGGCTCTTTGGTTTCATTTCGGTATGAGCGAGCGCTGCTCCGTCACTACATTCTACTAACAACGTGGACAGGACATGTTTATCATCCTCTTTTCTTCATGCATCCAAAGCATGCCTTCCGTACAACGACTTTTTGGTGGCCGCGGACGAGGTGGCTACCACCGCGTTGGCGCTGACGATTACCGCAACGGCAACGGCAATGCTCGAGGCCGTGGCCGCGACGCCGAAGCCGAGAACCGCTTAATAGATTCCTACGATGAGGAGTGGGACAATTGAAGTCTCAACGGCTTCTTCAACACAAGAAAAGTGGATTTTTGACCAGATTCCCCATATGCTTCACGGCCAGCTCGATTCCCCCCTTGTCACGGATTCAAGTGTATTCATATGAACAAAATGTCAGGCAGTCTTGCTCCTGGAGCGCTATCGTCGGCGTCATGCATCATCCGGGACCTCCTGGCCCACCCTGTGTGGAGAAACTGCCTCTGTGCTCGCCTGCGGCCCCGGGGTCACTCCCCATACCAACGTCCGGGCTGAAATTGAAGTCCATCCCATCAAGCGCTCCGCCGCCGAGCTCGTCTCCCATCGCGCCATAGTTCGGCGGTTCCATGTTGAATGGCATGAACCATGCCGTTCCGCCCACGTTGCCTTGGAAGCCGCCCGGCATGCCATCGAAGCCGCCGAAGCCGCCGTTGACATCCATACCAGCCTGATCCCACTGACCAGGATATGTGGAGCCGGGAGACGTAGTCGTCCCTCCACTTGCATTTGCTGCACTAGTGATGGCGCTCGGGTCCATGCCAGCATACGCACCGAACACCATCTGCCGATCCAAGTTCGGCACCGCGTGGTTGAAATTGTAAGGAAACTGCTGACCGCCATGTCCGGGATGGGCGCTTCCTGGAGATGGGAATGTTGCGCTGAAGGGGTCGGCCGCTGATTGCGACTGTGACGGTACCTGTGGCGTGCGATACATGGTCGGAGATGTCAAATCGAATGGGTCGGTGGCATGAGGGAAGTTTGTTGACAGCGTCAGATCCGATGGCTGCCGCAGCAATCCCGGTCGCTGAGCCCCGGGTGGTATCGACACACTTGCACGTTGCTGACCTGCCTGCCCTTGCATCTGCGGTGCAGCTTGCGACCCTCGCTTTCCGGTGGCGTCTCCGGCGCTCTCAGCAACACTTTTACCTCTGCGCCTGGCTACCTTTTTGTTTCTGCCGGCCCCCTGCGCGGTTCCACCCATGGCTTCGTCTGCCTTACTGGGCGGGCTCAGGCTGGCAAAGAACTCCTCAACGCTCTGAAGCTCACTCCGCTGGCTCATCACCGCCTCGCTTCCACCCGCCCCATCCTTCCGGAACTCCAGGTGGCTGCTTTCCCATTCCGCCTCGCTCACACCGTGCGGATACTTGTCGAACCAATCGCCGTACTGGAACATCTGCTTTCCCGTCGCAGCCCCCGTACTGCTCGCACTATGGCTCGGCGTATGCCCTGGCGTGCCCTGTCTCGAAACAGCTTCCAAGCCGGGACTCACGCTCCCCATGGTGCCGCTTTCGGCGCTTCGGGTTCTCAATAATGTCGCCGCCCCCGCCGCAGTCGCGTTTCCGGCATACCGACTCGCTGCATCAGCGAATCCCCGGTACGCCTCCTTTACGCTCTCCGCCATATAGTGGAACATGCCCCAATATCGCTTCATGCGCGTCAAGTACCGATAGTTGACCCTCAGGTTCTCCTTGGAGCTGGCTTCCAGACTCGGTAACCGGCTGAAAATGCCCCACACGTGTACCGTCGCCGATGCATACGCGCAGTAGCCCGCAAACGGTACGGTCAACGTGTGGCCCGCACTTTCCGCCAAGAGGGCAGAGATGGCGGCTGCAGCGTCGATGACGGTCTGCGCGGCCGAGGTCAGGAACGGCTTGGGCATCCCTGATGCCAGCAGCGGCGTATGGTGCGCGCGTGACGAGGGGTATGTGGGAATGGCGAAGCGGTGCAGGAACAAGCTACTCTGTGCGAGCATGATGTGCAAGAGGAGGAGTTGGTTCGCCAACTGCGTGGAGGCGTGCGCCGCCAGATTCTCTGGCGTGTAGCGCAGGTCTTCGGGCAGGGACGCCTTGAGAGCGCTGATCTGGCGAGCCAGCGACGCGTGCTCGGACAGCGGATCCCAGATCGGATGCGGGTCGCGCGCCTTGCCGCCCAGGTTCAGGTACTTGACGATGCGCTTCCACAGCACGACGGCGCGCACCACGTACGCCGCGACGCCCATGTTGGATTTGGCTTCGGCGGCCAGGGCGGCGGCTTCGGCAGACGCGGCGAGAGGGTCCGACTTGGTCTTGGACGTCCGCGGCATGTGCACGTTGCCGTCCAGGTCCTCGGTCGGGCCGGGAATTTCCATTTGAAAATGTGACTCTTTGATCGGGAGCTGGATGCTGAAGTAGTCTTCGGAGAGGAACGAGGGACGCTCCGTACCGCTGCTGTTGAATGTGTCCAGAAGGTAGCAGGCCCACATGGTGCGACGGCGGATTTCGCGGTCGGTGAAGGAGAGTTCGGGGGTGGTCGGTTTCGAAGGCGTGGCCGAGGTGGTGGTGGTAGTAGTAGTAGTGGTGGTGGTATTAGTGTTAGATGATGTATTAGTATTCGTGTTCGTGGCTGCGTTGCTCGTTGTCGTCGTGTTGGCCCCTGCTCCACCCTGCGGCCCCGATCCATTCCCCTGCACATGGCCCTGTTGCAGTTGCCGTCCGGCTCCCTGCCCTTGTCCTTGCCCCTGGGCCCCACTTGTTGTAGGCCGCATGTTCGGCTCCCGCTCTAGCTCCCGATGCAGCTGCAGCGCATATCCCATGCGCATCGCCATGCCCCCGAAACCCCAGCTAAGCCCACCCTCGCACGTACCGAAATAGTGCAGTCCCAGCAGCACCATGCTGATGAGCACGGTGATGTTCGGCTCGTAGTGGCGGCGCTCGCAGATGCGGCGCGCTGGAGTCGCCCACTGTTCGCCGCGCAGGAATGCCGGCTCCGTCGCCACGGCGGGGTGCGTGCTGAAGCGGGCGCTGATGGCGCATACGGCTAGTATTAGTACGGGCGGCACGGTCCCTGCGCGTAGCTTGCGCAGGAACGAGGGCTTGTGCAGCAGCAGGTAGGATTGGCCGTACAAGGAGGTAAAGTAGACTTCGGCGAGGTGCTCTTGTAGGGACTGAGGGGGTAGGGCGTCGGCGCCTTCGAGGAAGAGCTTATTTTCGAGGCCGCTCGCGGTCAGTGCTGTGGAGGGCGGAGGTACGGTGTGGGATCGCCGGTTCGGTCCCGTCCAGGTTGCGAGCTCGGTGTTGAAGGCCTCAGTCGCGGAGCGCTTCTTTGTCGCGCTCCCGGGATCTTTCTGCTTCGCGCCTGCGGACGTGGGTGTGCCGGTGTTGGGGGCGTTGGCGGAACCTGGCAGTGGTGGTTTCACGCTGGCGCGGCCTGTGGCGGACAGGTCGGGGAGTTCTTCTTTTGGGATGACTTTGATGACGCGATCCTCCATGCGCTTGAGTCGCTTGTCGAGCATGGCCATGTAGTCGGTGCGCGGCGCAGCTTTGCGGGTGGTGACCTTGTAGACGCAGGGCACGCGCGCCCGTAGGCAGTGCTTGCAAGCCGGCTTCTCGCCGGAGCAGCGGATTTTCTTGCGTCGACACGCGATGCAGGCTAGAGGCAAGCGCTTGCGTTCTTTCCCGGCTTTGGTTTTGAGTTCGGACCAGGCGGGCTTGTTGTCGTCCTGGTCGAGGCCGAGGCTGGCGCCGCCTCCGGAAGGGGACTGCTCATTGGGTTTCTGTGCGGAAGGGTCATTATTTTCTTCTTCTACATCTTTGGGTGAGTCGTCAGGATTGCTAACTATCTGATGAGGGTGACCGGGGTGAGCGGCATTCCAGCTTCTCAAGGCACCGGAAGTGAGCAGGTCATGGTCGAAAGCGGAATCGATGCTAGCCAGGCTGTGACGATGCTGTTGAGACATGTTGGGCACCGGCCCTCGCGAAGCATCCGAGATGGAGCCACGGTTGGAGTACTGGCCGTGACCTTGCATGCGGAGTTCGGGAGGCGCATCGATACCGCCACTACTGCTGTCGTTGGGGCTGCCACCAAAGGGGAAGTTGAAGTCGAGAGACACTGGAGACGAGGTGTCAAAGGCTGAAGGACTCGCAGATGGCTGATGAGCCTGAGCGTTGATGAGTGTGTCAATGCGGTGATTGCGGGGATCCAAAGAAGCAAAAGTTGGGCCTGAAAAGGAATTCTGGCGAGCGTCTCCCGGCATCCTCCCTCCTGACTGACTCGGAGGCGAGTTGGTCATGATGGGAGATGGGGTATCACGGTATCAGAGGATGATGCGGAAGTAAAGTCGACATATTTCCCACAATTGGTGAGTGGGTAACGCCGCGAGATGATTGGCAGGTGGCTGGCGAGAACTTGGGTCGTTTCCAAGTATTCCGCAAACCAGCGAGGAATTACGGCTCGTGTTGGTCGTCAATGTGCTGATTGTGCGTGTAGCAGATCGTGGCACCGTTGGTCTGAGAGAGCAGTCGCCACCAGTCAGGATTGAAGTGTGGTGCAGATGCTGGCAGGTTTCGTCGATGGAGCTAAGGTTCGGATAGGCTAATCGAGAGTGGTGGATGATTCCAAGGTGGAAGATTGCATCTAAGTCGGGACGAGGCTCCTGGCGATCAGAGCGGGCAAGCTGTCGGGCTGTCGGGCTATCGGGAGAAAGCTGCCTTGATGTGGGCGGTCTAGGACGGTTCTGTACGAGAGCAGAGATGCAGAGACGCGAGACGAGCGGCGAACAAGGTACTGGGGAGGAGCCAGATGGCTAGCGTGGATGGAGATGGTTGGTAGGCATCCACCGGGCCGAGAAAGCTGTGACAGCTCGAATAGTCTCGAGTTGACCCCAATTACAAAGAATATAATAAGCTGAAGACGGAGGCGCGTGCCGGCTAATATTGGGGTCCAGCACGAGGAAGGTCAGGTCGAAGGCGAGAGAGAAACCGGAATGGCTTGGAGACCCAGGCCAGATGGTGGAGCTGGAATTGGAGTGATGATGCCCCAGCGGGAAAACCCAGCGGTGACGGCGAGGAGGGGTGGTCGGGGGGAGGGTTGCGCCCGGAGAGTGTGAGGGTCTCGATCCTGAAGTGCATACAGTCTCGAGTGAGATCTGGAGGCGGTTCCCGTACACACATCGACCAGGCCTCTACAGCTAGAAGTTTATGGGATTGCTAGTTCCGGACGCCGCAATTCGGCGTAGAGACGACAGATGGATAGCTCCCTCGTTGGCCGCGCCGCCTCGGCTTCTCCGCTTCTTGAGATTTCTACGAGGAGAAGAGATGAGCTGGGGGCATCAACCAACCAGACCTCGCGTAGAATATTCTCCTAGTGTCCACTGAGCCACTCGTCAGCTCGAGGCTTGACGCGACGACCGACAACAAGCATGGAGGCGGCGAACCCTGGCCTGTACGGAGTACCTCTGACGGGCTTGATGCCTGGTCCACTCCTTCTGGCGCCGTTCTCGACGACCTTCTCGAATTTCCGTGTCGACCCACCCTTCACGTCGCTTAGCGAGACAAACACCCTAGTGCTGCCAACACTGCCTCAGAGCATGGGGGAGACATATGGAACAACAACGGAGAAGATGTACATGGCCAAAGGGGCAACTCGAGCAGCTTCCGGTACTGTTCCGACCGCAAATGCGGGCTGGCCGGAGAATGCCATGCCGTGAGCAGAAGCCGTTGCAACAGGCGCGTACAGAAGTTCGAACGGGGGCAGCTATTTTGGTGGTCATGGTCCCTGATCGACGGGTGGCTGCGGGCGTGGATTTCTCCTCGGCCAGTCTCGCACACCTCGGATGGAGCCGCGAGAGACGCCCCCCCCTCAAGCCTCCAGGCACCTACGGAGTACTCAGACTAGAGTTTGCACCAATGTCTGGAACTGTCCCAGTTTACTGTCCACCGGCAAGATATGCATGTCATTACTGATTCTTGACCCTCATCATCCTGCTCACTCAATTTGATCATCTGAGTATCATTCATTAGTGGCGCGACAATATTCTCCCCTGGCTCACCCTGCTGCTTCCGCTGAGCCGACTGGCGATCGTCAGGCTGCTCTGCGCCTCTGCCTCATCTCGCTTGTTCACAACTGGCGTCATTGCATCAAAAAGTCCACCAACATGAGCCCGCGCCGCCATCCCCTTTGCGATTCGGCCCCACACAAACGCATCTAGGCGTCTATCACGTGTGTCATGTGGTCCCGATGGCCAGTGGGGCTTTTATGGCCATCCTGTGGATGCGTCGCTTCCGAGAGCTGGCAGTACGGAGCCACAAGCACCAGCACCAGTTTTCGAACTCAGCTGTTTGAAGAGCCGAGTGCAAGATTTGGAATAATGATGAAATACAATGGCGACGTTGGCGAGAGTCCGGATTTCTGCAGGAACCGGGCGCCAACGAGACAAAAGACCGGGGTGCCGATGATTATGCTCGTAACCCAGACACCAGGATCTCGGGAGCCCGGATCCGCTCAACAGCCGCACTCGCCTATTGTGCGCGACAGCGTTTGACTAAACGTCTGCCTGCAAGGCGACAGGGAGACTTGTCACCCTGTCACTCGAAAGCAATTGCGTTCTTGGGTATCTCGCATATCGAGACGACCAGTCTTTGTCCTTCAGGGAACAAGGGATTCCGTAAATTGCATTGCGGGACGCGCAGACAATGTACTCCTTACGCGCCACTCAAGGACGCCGCGTGGCATGAGCGTTTCAATAGTCTGGTCAGCGTCGTGTTCATGTCTATGTCACCTCCAGCACGTCTTCGGCTACCAAGCAATGAAAGCTCACCAGAAAGAGGAAGTACAGTCCTGGGCAGAAGAAGGCAGATTGATGTTATTTCGGCGCAATGTCCCCGAAACAGCTCTGCCAAATTGCGCTGCCTAGGCCGATCCTGGTTTGGGGGTCTACGCAGGTTTCCAGAACACCCTTTGGCATGCTTTGGCTACGAGACCTATCGTTGGCTTCGTAAAAAGGGAGAAGCAAGAAGTCATGCAGCGAGAAGAAGCCCTCGAAGGCGCCTTGACGGCTGGGCCAGATGCCGGTACCACATCCGAGCAACGCCGTTCACGAACCCTGTCCGACGATCCTCCTGAAGATTGTCTTAGGATGCGGGCGGAATTCCCCACGGCCTGTGATCAGCTCTCACACCGCTTGACCCTCGTATCATTCAAACCTGGCCCATCATGCATCCTGCACCATGTCGATCTTCACCGAAGTTCTGGCGACTTTCCCCGGATTATTGACACATGCGTCCGTCACCTGCCACGTCCACGCCTCATCCTGTAAGTTTGTCAACTGGTCGGCAGAGAGCAGATTCATTACGCCGTGGTCGACAATGTCCAGAATATAGGCATGTATCGATATGGCTCCTAGAGGATCGCAGGGCAGGAAATGTTGCTTAGCTGCCGGCGATACGACAGTAGGGAGTGCAAGCACTGCTTCTGTGCGCGGGCATGCAGGCAGTCAACTGACAGTGTTGTGTACGGGAAAGGGTCCCTCCGGCTTCAGAGTCAACAATGCTAGGGTGCTTTGCGCAAGCCCTGGCGGCGGGGGCGATTGTGAAGAGCGATAACCACGCGACAAGGCCACGTTCTTATATACATGATACCCCTTGTCTACGTAGTGACGCGTACGGATAACTCGGGGCGATACTTGCGCAATGTGAACAGCTCATCAGCAGCATTACTGTATTGCTGACACAGGTTCTTTTTGTGGGATGAATTGTTTTGTGTAGAGAGCTTTCGAACGACCCAACCCATTCCTCCGAGATCCGAACCGCATACTTTAGACAGCCTCTGATTGTCCATTCCTCCGCTAGTTTCCTTTACTCGAATTTCCATCAAACACCTTGCAGTTTTCCTGCCCAGAAACTGGCCCCCCCGGGGATCAACACCTGCGCCAATCTAGTGTCCATGAAACCTCCCGTCCCCCAGGCCACAGTACACAAGGGCTGCATGCATGTTCTCACTCGCTAGGCTTGCCAACCCAGTCCAAAACGGCCGTCACGACCGCGACACCAAAGACCCACACGCCAGCATAACCGGCCGCACCGGGCAGGTCGACGCCATCCAGCGCGCCCGTACACTGCACCATCGTCTCCGCGGCCATGAGCGCGGCCAGAACGGTGGCACGCCCAATCAGCTCCTTCTGCCGACTCGAGTACCACCCCCAGACATTCCACTGGACATGAGCCAGCAGGCCGGCGGTCCGTGTATCCAGCTCGACCATCTCTCCGGTCGGCGCAGAAGTGCTTGGCGCGAACAGGAATGACCTGCAAGCCACGCCGGCGGGCAGCAGGGTAATGAGCAGGATGGGCAGCTGCGCGGAGCCGTGGTGCGCGGGCTCCAGCGTGCGGATGTGCTCGAAGTTGCTGATGAGGAAGGTGGGCAGGAAGGTCTCGAAGCCGAGCTCGAGCAGGACGGCTAAGATGGTGGCGGCCAGGAGGGACGTGAAAGCCGTCGTGTAGGGGTCGGTCAGGATGGGGCGGTTGCGCACGGCGTGCTTGGTCGATTTGTCGCTGGGGTGGTGGGCCGGAGCAACGGCGCGGAGGAGGGCGAAGGGCGCGGCGGACGAGATGAGGCCGCTAAGTGTGTCGATTGCGAGGACGGAAGGGGTGATTTTGTAGAAGAATACTTCGAGGAGGGCGACGGGCATGGCGGTGAGAATGGAGAGGGACGCGACGTCGTAGGCTGGGAGATGTGTTAGTTCGGTGTTGTGCACGCAGCGCGAATGGGAACATACCGTCGTAGCCGCGGAACCAGTACACTGCAAGGACAACGATGCGCCAGACCAGTAGCCCGCCCACGTAGTACGGGTCTTGTGAGTGTGCGGGGCTTGAGATGGCCGCAAGCTCGGCTCTTCCAAAGGTTGTATACGTCGAGGCGGCATAGCGTAGGCCAGTGGACAACGCCAGACTGATCGCAGTAGCTGCGATGAAATTCAAGATCGAAGGCTGTTCTGCGCTGGTTTTCGGGCGCGTAGTCAACGCATTCGCCAGCTGTCTCGGGGAATTAGGAGGGCTCGTGGCCGACTTGGTGCGCTTGTGGCGCGTTGCGACGGGTGATGGCGACTTGGAGGCGGGGACAGCTGGTGGTGGCATACCGTTCGCATCGGCGGTGGCGCTTGACACGCTTTGCGACTTGGAGCCGCGCCGGCGGCGAGGTGGCATGTTTGAAGCTGAGGCTGAGGTTGAGGATGACGCGCCGCTGCTACGCGATGCGACGGGATGCGATATGTCAGGCGAATGCTCTGGGTTGATGGCCGTAGTTGCAAGCTCAACGATATCGTCAAACATGACACAGACAGGTGAGGATACACTGAAGCAGAAGTGCGGTGTGTGATTGGTCTAAGGTCATTAATGGCCTGATAGATGTTTTGATGCGTGATGGCTCGCGAGCTCGCGCTAAACACCTCCTTCGGGCATACGTCATGGCGGAAATCTGCAAATCTTTTTGTCGCGTCATCTTCCACGAACAGACTTTGCAGTAACAGCAACTTGGAACTACTTGAGGAACCTGAAGGGTGAGGAGATGTTGTTGTTGTTGTTGTTGTACATATTCATTGGGGAGTTGAGTACATCGCAGCTCTAGTCTGCTGCAGATTGCGGTCTGACGCATGTATGCAAACAGCGCCGACCAGCTTGTAGCCTTGCACAACCGCGGAGCGGCGTCGATGCATGCTGAAGATGCCTTTCGTAGATACATTAGATATACACGGATCGGCTCGAGGACTTTCTTCGATGTTGGTCTTCAGAGTTTCCACGCCCAATCCTGATGCTTCATAGATCCGTCAGAGCTTACGCTGCAGCTGTCGCCGTTTTGCGTCCCCGGGCCTTGGGGTTAACAGATTTTTGCTTGGACTTGCCTCGGGGAGCTGCACTGTCTCCTTCGATAAACTTCAAAAGCTCATCGATGCTGCGGGAGTCCAGATTGACGCTGCCTGTTGGGGACCTAACATGGCCTCCGTTAGCCGTTGTGCCGGCGCTCGGAGTCGCAGTGCTGGCACTCTGTGGCTGCAATCTGGTGCCCGCTCTCATTCCAGGTAGATGCCGGATGCCACGCAGCCTGCGAGCCTGGATGTCCTTCGCTTGCTTAGCGATGGCCACGGCATTCTGCGTAAGCTGTTCCAACCAGTTCTCAGCTTCTTTGGTGTTGCGATCTTCTGGGCCAAGTTCTGCCAAAAAGATGTTGTAGGCGTCGCGCATTTTGCTGACTGCCGCTTTCGGGTCGCCGTCCAATGCCAAAGCTTGAGCAAGTTGGAAGAGAATGGTAGCAGCATTTGCCGACTGCCGACCGAAGAGCTCCTCGCAGACTGTGTAGCACTGCTCGAACCACTTTCGTGACTCAGGATACTCTTTCATCGATTGAAGCATGACTGCAGCATTATTGATCGTGGTTATCGAATCTGGATGGTGGGCACCAAACACGATCTTCCACACATCCAACGCATGTCGGACATATCTCAGTGCTTGCTTGGTGTTACCCACATGGTGCTCGAATAGTGACAGATTGAGATACGCCAAAATGGCATCGTGCGAGTCAACGCCTAGTGTCCGCTCTGTCACGATCACGGCTTTGCGAGCGAGCTCAACTGCAGCTTCCTTCTCGTCCGTCTGATAATAGATGGTCGACAGTGAGTGGTACATCTTGGCCACTTCTGGGTGCAGGATGCCGTATATTTGTTCGTGCAAAGACAGCGATTCGAGGACTAGCTCCTGACCAAGTTGCTTCTGGCCTTGAGCAAGTGAAATCTTGCCGGCCTCAAGCGCCTCTTCTGCGAGAGCGCTGCGGGGAGACGCATCTTTGACCGTTGGCGCAATGTTCAGAACATCATCAGGGACGAAGGTAGTCGCGGAATTCTGTGCACCACCATTCGACTGTGTCTGTTCGCCAGCCTTCTTTTTCTTCTTCTTGATCGTGGTATCGTCGTGATGTGCTCCATTAACGCCATTGGCCGCTGCAGAGTCGCTGTGGTTTATAGCATGGGCATTGTTCAAGGCCGGCCGCTCGCCTCGTCCAAAGTCGTATTCCTTTGCAATAAGTTGTAGACCCAAGCGCAAACAGGCCTCTCGGAGAGCTTGCAAGGGCTTGATGGCAGAAGTCCAGTCTGACGGGAGTTCATATCGATATCTTGTCTTAACTTGCTCAAGAACCTGCTGCCGCAACTTTGAAGGAGTCATATCTAGGAATGAGTAGTCGCCATCTGGGTAGAATGCTCGCATTTCCACATCAATCTCCGGTTGGGGATTTGAGTTGAGGTCCGCACCGACAAAACAGTTCAACAGATGTGCAATGCAAGAGGGCGCAAATAGAGCAGGCAAGTGGTTCAGGAGCCCGTTGACGATATGCTTGAAGGCCCTGACAACCATCTCCTGCATGGCAACAACGTAAAATGCTTCTAGGCGTCTTCCCTTCTCCTGGGCCAGCGTAGCAAGCTGGCCGAGATAGCGGATATTGATGCCACGTTTGTGCACAAGCTGGCACAAAGATTGTCCATCCATAGGAAATCCGACATCGCTGTCATGAAGCTCGGTGATGAGTCCTGGAATAACATTCTGCTTGAGGTGGGTGCAAAGTGCCCGCACCTCCTTTTCGTCTTCCGCATATTCTTTCTTCTCTTCTTCCGTCTGTGGTACTTGCCCACTGCAAACATCCGGATTCAGAGCGAAGCTGAAATTTGAAATGTCGATGCGGTCCTGTTCGGGTGATGCACTCTCCCTGGCCGCCTCCTTCTCGTCGCCCTCCTCGGCGCTAGACTCTTTGTTTTCGGTCTTCGTCTCTGTGGTAGAGTCCGCTTGGGAATTCTGCGCACGCTTTTTATCGACCTCGCTCTTGACATACTCTTGCATTTTCATGCGCCAGTAGGCTTCCACGAGCTCCAGTCTTAGCACTGACATCCGATGTGGGTACATGCCGAACTTTGAACTTGTTTCTTCGACTGCTTCCGACCAGGCCACATCAAGGGGAGTTATCCTGTACAAGTCAAGGACATATTTGCGTCCATCCGTGCCAAGAAGGCCCTTGGTCTCAACACTGCCCTCCAGATCGTGACGCTTCCCATCTTTGTCCCAGACTGCGTGCTTCTTGACGCGCAGTGCCTTCGATAGCTTCTCAAAAACGGGGACGAATGCCTCATTTTCGGTGACGGTGTCGCGACCCTCGACTCCTCCATAGTCGATCTGGTGTTCTCCGGGCTCGCGCTGCTTAAATATGCCGGGTACAATACTTTGAGCAACAATTCGCTTACCAAGGTAATCAACCACCACCGTGCCGGGCGTGAAGAGACCGTTGATGTCCAGCTGGTTCACGGCCTTCACACCCGCAACATCCTTGCCCACAGCTATCCTGGCAGCTTCATCACCACCCTCGCTTGCGAAGGTCTGCACTCCATCGCAGCCGTACGAGAAGAAGATGTTGTTGTAGATGAAAATCTGTGCATCTTTGCCTTCCGTTGGATTCAGTGGGGCGACTTCTCCGCGTGCCACCGCTACAGCACCTTTTGCTGCGGCGTCATTGTAGTCGGCGAAGAGTTTTGAAGTCAGGCGCTCGCGGAAGACGCGATCTTGTAGGGTCTCTCGAGGCAATTCTCTTGTGGTTTGAAACTCTTCATTCCAGTCTCTGAGATTTTCGGCTCCGTCCACGCCACCCAGTAGGTAAGCCTCTTGCGATCGAGTGAGGTCAGACTGATGTTGAGAATTTTGCGCGTGCGATGTAGGGACAAGCCAAGGGTTAGCAGGAATAGCATTCTGGAACGGGAAAGTGGTCAATAGATCCTTTTGCCCGTTGGCCTTCTGCAGGTCAACGAAGGTGCTATCGAAGGACGGTGACAAGATTGAAATCAGAGTTAGGAGGGAATGAGCCGAGTGATTCTTGGGCGCGGGACGTGGAAAAGGGTCGAATTTGTTGCTTGAAGACTTGCTGACGAAGAAGCCCGAGGTGGAGGCTGTGATGTGGTGTTGATCGCCCTCGTTGGTGGTAAGCTGCAGATACAGAAGATGGCCACGCTGTCGCAAATGATGCGGTGGAGGATTCCACTGAGATACTGACAAGGACTTGATGGTCTTGGGTAGCGAGTCCTGTGTTCTGGGTAGGATGGCATCCAGGGGTGCTCGACCGTCTAGGTCATAGCCGGTAAGAGCGCTCTCTTCTTTGGCGTTGGTCTGCGACTGACCGAATCGCTCATCGTGGAGAGAAAGACCGGCACAGATGCCCTGCAGCTGATCCGCACGGTCTCCCGATGCTCCGATTAATTCTCTGATCCTCACCACATGCATGCGTGCTTCTTTCTCGCTGTATGGATCCTGGACCAGCGTCAACTCGGAATCGGCCTTGAGCTCTTTCACCTCGGAAAGCTCGACGAAATCGTTGATTCGTTCGCCATCGTGCTCGAGGTGGAAACAGGTGTATTGGAAGGTATCGGGCGTCTCGACAATCGACTGACGAAGGTCCTGCACCTGCTCTTGCGACGACACCATAACCTTCATATCGTTGCCGTCCGGCAGCTTGACGCTAACCTGGAACAGAGCGTTGTCCTCATGATTGTGCTCATGCTCGTGGTCGTGGTCGTGTGCGTCTCCATTGGCACCATTGGCACCATTGGGTAGCGTGGGAACGGTTGTCTGGTCATTTTCAGAGCTCTGTGCAGCTGATTTATAGTCAGTTTAAGCTGCGACGCGACACTCGGGTTCACTTGCCATCGTCCGAAGCCATTGGATTCCCAGGTCTGGTCAAGTAATGTACACTCACACTCACGGTCGTGCGGAGAAGAGCAAGATGCAATCAATGCACTGCCAGTTAGGAGCCAGCAGGCGTAAATGAATGACGAAGGAAGGGAAGAAGGGGTAATCAACAGTATGCTAGAAGGACGATAGAGGATACTGTACAGGGAAGACTGCAGTAGTAAAAGCGTGCAGCAGAATGGACAACAACTGAATCAAATAAATTTTGAGACGACCTCGAATCCCGAGGGTTATTCCCGCTGATTGGGTACATGGCCTCCCTAACCCTTCCGAGGCGTCATTTTTCTCCACAGCCCAGGAGCGCGAGGTTGTTTGGCACGACCGCGGGCATGCCTTTGCTCGGAAATGACTCGGGTCGTAGTTAGGAGGGGCGTCACTATATGTAGAGCACCGAGATCTGGGGTATTCAAGACCTGTCGCAGACCGGAAGTTGTGATTCTGATACGGGAGTGGCCGATGAAGGAGGGAGGTACTTGGAGTCTTGAAGACCTGGAAAGGCGTCTCCGCCCTGCCAAGGCGCATCGGCCTGATCAGCTTGGAGTCCTCGCCGACCTCGCCCAAAACGCACCAAAGTGGTAATCAGCATCCTCTTGTTGCGGACATCAAGTCAACATGTCTCATTGACCGCATTCATTCGTTTTCATCTCGCCATTTCTCATACTTGACCGGGCGTCTGGTTCATTATCTACGGCATTGCGATCGTGCTGGGGGCACTTTGATTTCTGTACCCCTTATTGGGTGAACTGCTCACGATGAAGGCGTTTCAGCGTACTCTTGCATATTCAAGGCTCTCCCAGAGACGGCCATTGGCTCACAAAGTACTTGTGTTTGCCCCAAGACGATGCGCATCGACGCAATTTGGCCAGACAAGCATAGATCCCAATGTCGACCCCGGCCCCAACCAGCCAGAAGACGAGAAGGGGGGCAGGCGAAATCAACGGGACAAGCCTCGTATCAGTCCATCCGTCTGGAAAGTGTTTGAGACGGCGGCTACTACCTTTGCCTCGATCGCAATCCTGGGCTTAGCAGGTTACTCGTACCATCTTTACTACAAGTCCATGGTTTTGCGCAAGATTGAGAGAGCCTTTATGCCTGGTGATCCCATGCTGGACCTTGCCACATCGCCCCCATTAAACACGGCCAAATTACTGGGCGAGGACGCGGAGACTTCAGATTTGGAAAACGATACTTGGATACTACGAGCCGAACAATCCAAGGTAGACGACATAATTTTGGGTGCTCGTACTGGGCGTTACTATCTAATTGTGGGGGAAAAGGGCACCGGAAAATCCACCATGATTCTGGATGCAATGAGGAAAACCCAAGGTGAAGGCGTGTCCATGTTCGAAGCCCATGCCGATCTTGAGATCTTCCGTCTGCGCCTCGGCAAAGCCCTCAATTACGATTTCCATGAGGACTATATCGGCTCCTTGTTCTCTATCCGTGGCCCAAGAGACACAACTGCACTACTCGACATCGAGCGAGCATTTAACAAGGTCGAGAAAATTGCCCTCAAGAGAAGAGACGAAGCTGCAAAGGCCCCTTCGCGCACCAGAGCTGGCCCCCTGGTCATCGTTGTCAATTGCATGCACTTGATCCGGGATGACGAGGATGGTCAAGATCTCATCGAACTCATGCAGCAACGGGCGGAGCAGTGGGCTGCTTCTAACCTGATCACAGTGGTGTTCAACTCAGACGACTACTGGGTATACGAACGATTGAAGAGATACGCCACACGTATGGAGGTCTTACCAATTCTCGATCTCCCTAAGCCCAGAGCTATCACAGCTCTATCTCGCTTCCGAGCAAGGTATTTTCCCGAGGAAGAGATTGACAGCGATATCATCCGTCAGGTTTATGACCAGGTAGGGGGCCGAACAAATTTCCTCAGTCGTGTGGCCAAATCCAGGGACATGTTGGGCATGTGCAAGACTATCGTGGAAGCGGAAAAGACTTGGTTCCTCAACCAGTGCGGCATTCTCGGCGCGGAAATGGACGACGATGTCATGGACCAACAGAAGTTTGCGAGCGCTGCTATGGTCCTTGCCAGAGCTCTTGTCGAAAAACAGAAAGAACTCGATACCACATACGATGAGAAACAGGGCCACATCTTGCCTCAGATCCCGCTGTACATAGCGCGCCAGATCATGACCCGGGCGGATTTCATCAAGCAGTACGACCACGAGAACATCTTCACTATCGACAGCAAAGCTATGGTTCGCGCCGACTCTGTACCCATGATGAATGCCTTCCAACAAATCTGCAGCGAAGAGGGTTTCGATGAGTACCTGGAGGCAACCCTCGACCGCATTGCTGCCATTGAAAGCCTCAACAGGACCAAGGAATTGACGATGAAGGACCTCTGGATTGAGCAGAAAGGCGAACAGCGTGGAAAGTATTCGTTCATTACTCGGGACCACAAAGGCCGCGAAACCGGCAGCATGGACTTTGTGGTCCGGCCGAACGAGAGTCCTGAGGACAAGAAAGAGGATTGAAGATGTTCAAACCTACTTTCAACAATTGTATAAACAGTCCATATCAAAATCGCATACACGGCGTACCAATGTCGGATCAAGTCTCCCCAGCTGGCTGATTGAGGTATCTTGGTGGCCCATTCCGGGTTTAATTTCGCCGAGCACCAATATACAAGTATGTTCTTATGTTGTACTTGGCTGGACCTGATGACAAACAGGATGGTCAAGTACAGTCGTAAATGGAGGAAGCGGAGGTGCGGGGTCGACTGGATAGCGTGTGCGCTAGCAGCACACACGCCTAGGCGGGTGACTCGCAAGTGCTCGGCAGATGCAGTTACCACTCGCAACCCCGGATCGAGTCAATTCCAGCCTCAGACGTTCTCGTGTTCGATTTCGTGTACACCATGGGCAGCCTATCCGAATCCACCACTGTCCGGCGGTGTCTCTGGGCTCATGGAATCATCACGCCAGGCCGTGGCAACCCCTCAGAAGCGATCATGGGGCTCGCTTGCCCTTTGCAGAGAGCGCGATTTTGCTCTACCAGTGGTCCAAACGGGCGCTGAGATTGACGGTGGCTTGCCGACCCCACGTTTGTGGGTGCTTTGATGTCTTTCAAAGCACGAAAGTGAGCCACGCGGTGGGAGCACCTAGGGCTATAAAGACGCCGGGGCCCCGCCACGTGCAGCACCAGCGTCCGACACTCCTTCCGTCTCTTCTCTAGTACTGCTTGAGCTATTCTTGCCTCCATATTGCCAACCATGGCTACAACAAACGGTGCTATGGGACACCATGCGTCCTCGAACGATGCGATTGCACACACTGACTCGAAGAACGAGCTTCACCGCACGGTGACCCAACTTACAATCACACCCGAGATGTTCGAGAAGGTAGGAGTGCTGCCCTCACCTGTGTTAACTGGCTGATCAGTCATCAGTTGTATCTCACGCCGAAAACCCCAAGATCTGGAGACAACGTGAAGCGTTTCGCGAATCCCACACCGATGGGCTTTGTAGGGTATCGTTCTTGCCCTCTATCCTCGGCTATTGTTGCAAGCTGACGTCTAACAGCTTTGTCATCTCAACAATGTCTTTCTCGATGGTCCTCATGGGGTGGGGCGGCGCTAATGGTGCCAGCGCTCTAGCGTAAGCGCGACGCAGCGTGCTTCCTAAGCCTAACAGACTACTAACCCGTCGTGTTAGGGGAATGTTTATGTTCGTTGGTCCCGTGCTACTCATACTCACCACAATATTTGAATGGATCATGGGCAACGTGAGTCTATTTCAACTCATAGGCGTGGACACTGTCTGATGTACAACAGTTCTTCCCCATGATGGTTTGTTCCTTGTTCGCAGTTTTCTGGCTCTCATTCGGGTTCCTGCTACTCCCAACACTCGAGCTTTCAGCTGCTTACTCTACAACGGGCTCTGCTGCCGAAGGGTCGGTGAGTCAAGCGTACAATGCCGCATTGGGCCTCTATCTCATCGTCTGGGGGTTTGCATTGTTTACATTCTGGATCTTCACTCTCAAAACCAACATCATCTTTGCCGGTATATTCTTCTTCGTCACCGTGGGCGCTTGGATACTTAGTGCTGCATACTGGAAAGTCAGCCAGGGGAATTTCGATCAGGCCATGAAGTTGCAAAAGGTGAGCAAGCTTCTATTTATTGACTTGCTTAGTATGGCTAATGACGGCGGCAGGCGGGTGGCGCTATGTTGTTCATCGTTGGACTGCTGGGCTGGTATATGACCTTCGTTATCATGGCAGCAGAGATGAGACTCGCGGTGAATCTACCTGTCGGAGATCTGTCTCATTACTGGCATAAGACGGACGTTGAGATGGCCGTGGCTGAGAAAGAGAATTGAGAGCCCGCCAGAATTGGAAGCCGCGCCGTAGTCATATCAGCAAAGTTCCCCTCAAGACGCCGCATCAGAGGTTTTGAGTGCAATGGAATGCCCAAAATGGCGAGCCGCATCTGCAACTGATCCAAACGGGCCGGTCGTACTTGGCCAGTGCCTGAATACAAAGGGGACTCAGCCTTGCACAGCCTTGCAGTACTTGGGTAGCCAGGTGTAAGCCGGAACTTGAGGCCGCCAAGTCGCGAGGCAGCCACGGCCCGCTGCCTGGCGTGTCTCCACTTGGGAACCTTGGAAGCTGGTGCCTCAGCCTACTGTAGACTACCTCTTTCCTCGAGTGAGCCTCACTTGACTCACACACGACTAATGTGCCTTGGACGCTGACGTTGCTACTTCTCGCCTCGTCGCATCTTTTGTAATTTGCTCCTATTCCATCTCGCTCTCCTCACACCACACGGGCGTTCACCCCATCTTTCTCACCGACCAACGTTGTACAACATACCTAGCCAGCCGGGCGCTAAGAACGATGCCTCACTTGCTCGATCTACCCGACGAGATCATCCTGCACATTTTGTCTGCGTGTGCCGAGGAAAGAGATGCCCGCCATCGAATGAGCTTCTCATCCTCTGGCCGTCAGACCATTCTTAATTTCGCCAAGTCATCCCACCGTGCTTTCAGCCTCGCTGAACCCTTCCTGTACAACACTATCACGCTGAGGAAAGGCATCGAATTCAGTCCTGCCTTCAAATCTTTCAAGCAACGCCTCTTAGACCAGCCCGGTCGCAACGAACATGTCAGCGATGTAGCCCTGGTCCCTGCCGAGGGGCCTACCGATCCCGATTTCTGGACTTGGGCGAGCTTCGTTGCTATGCTGCCCAAACTTGAACATCTATTTGTAGAAGTGCCATTCACACAGGCGGACGCGATTGATGACGAAGAAACTGGGGAATACGTGTCCCCTTTCTGGACCGCGTTCAAGAATACCTTCAGTTCTAAGCAGTCGGGCACGGTACCACACACAAAAGTACCTGCATGGGCGAGCCACCTCACTACATGTCATCTGAATTTTAATGCCCCGAATGGATTCTGTGTACCACTCGGCGACATCGCAAACGTCCTTGCCGCCCCATCAATACGCAAACTTACGCTGGTCGCCGCCGATCTCAGGGAGTTCGAGCTCGATCGCAAGACCATCCGACTCAGGTCTTCCCCACTCCAGCATCTGCGTCTAGAGAGCTGTATCGTCTCCGAATCATCCCTCCGACACATGTTGTCAATACCACAAGCCTTGACCACTTTCTTCGAGTCAAGCGGGACCAACAATCAGGACAACCACCTCTCCTTAGACCGACTATACGGCCTCTCCCAAGCTCTTGCCATGCACCGGTCTACGTTGAAAACTCTTTACGTGAACCCTCGAGATCTTAGGTCCCTTTCAGAGTTCGAAAGCAGCGGTTCTAGGACAATCACTTTCGCCCATCTCACCTCACTTGTCAACCTCACCATCGATTTCCGAGACTGGCGCTTCGAACCAGGACCGACATATTTTCTCGAGCGATTTCCCACTTCGCTCCGGCATTTACATCTCAAAGTAGACTTGTCTTACTACTCGAACCCAATACCTGCTTATTTCGCTTTTTGGACAAATCGCATACGTAGACGAATGTACCGCTCTCGCCATTCCAGACCGACTTTTCCACGCCTGGAGACGTTCGCCGTGGAGATGATGCATATCACGCCGAGCACTGTCAACAGCTCCCAGCGTGATGACTTGGAAACAGCCGTATGGCGACTCAAGCACGATTTCAACGTCCGTGTGCGTATCTATCGATGCACCAAGCAGCGGAACGCCGTGCCGCCATATCTATGGGACGAGTATGAACCAGAGCTAGTTTGTATGCTTGACAGCAATGTCATGGAAGCCAGGAATCTGTGGAATACCCAGACCCTGTCGGAGATCAAAGAGCTGGAACGCCTGGAGAGGGAATGGCGGACTAGCCGAATGATCGAATTGGATCAACAACGATTAGAGGGAAAGAGGCAGAGAATGTTGGCTCAGGTTGAGAGATGGGAAATGGACGAGATGCCGTGCGAGGCAGACCTAAATGAGGCCTCGAGAGTAATGTTGATGGAGAGAGATCGCAAGGCACGAGCCGCACTGGATTTGTGGGAAGGACTGCCACTCGTGCCACCCGAGGGAGAGGATGGCTGGTCCTTCGTACCGGCTTCGAGCCTGGTCTTGACCCACGCCAAACAAGATTGTGGAAAGGCGGACGAGAACGAAAACGACGGTGTTGCAGGCCCCTCAAACCAATCCAAAGACACTGTGGTCAACGAAGAAAGCATGGAAGCAGCTGGCCCTTCTCTGCCGTCTGAGTGTTTATCCTCAGAGAAATCAGCACCTGTGGATCAAGTCGGGACACCAAAGGGCCAAGAGCAAAACCACCCAAGCACTGGTGTCAGCGTTGACGATACGAGCGCGGATGACCATCCTTGCCCAAGCGTGGTAGAAATCTCGGATCAGCCTGCAACAAACCTGACGCCATCGGCCAATCCTTCAAGTAGCCCCTTCACGCTTAGTGCAGAGGCCGCCTGCCCAAAAGAACAAGGCCAAGGTATAAACGAGGCCGGTTTAGCACCTCCAGAAAATAAGCAAAGTCCATCGCCAGAATTTACACCAACATACGAAGACTCGTTCAGCGTGGCGGCGGACTCTTCTCCATCGAAAGAAAAAGAGACGCCACCTACAACCGCCAAAGGCAAAGACGTCGCTGAAACGGATTGCAAGCGCGAGAAACAGGAAGGGAAACTGCCTGTCAAAGACAATAAGGACAAGGATGTAACGCCTTCACAGGAAGTCGACCTTGCTGTGGCTGTGGCTGTGGCTCTGGACCCGGGGCCAAGCTTGAAACAGGCGCCGCCGTCTGTGTCACCCGCGCCGGCCGTAGCTGGAGCAGATGCTGGAGCGGTCATTGTTAGTTGAGTCTAATAAGTCTAGAGTATGCTGCTGGGTTTGCGGCCTTAAGGCATGTATATTTGACCGTTGGAAAACACTGGTTCGGTCCTTTTGAGGAGCAGCGACAGGCGAACTTCGCAGAACTTCGCACAGCACATCATAGCGTTCGCAGCGTAAGTCATGGCCCCATATCAAAATTGAAGCATTCTCTCTCATTCTGCATGATGCAAACTATTCCAAAACGAATTTCAAGAGCCTGGAAAAACCACATTCAAAGTGCAACACTATCTGTTCCCACCTGCTCCGACGTGTGCTACCCCCCCTCCTCCCACACGTTCCCCCAGCAGCTCACCTCACTGGAACACCATCCACCACCCTCTCCCACCCCTACTCCCACTCTTGGGCAAACTCAGCGGCACGACCCCCGCACTCGGCACCGTACTCATCGTATCCGTCCTCGTCACCACTGCCGTCGTCAGCGGACCCCAGCCCGAACCCGAGCCCGAGCTCGCGCCCGCAGAAGTCTTGACCGTCGCCGTCACCGTCGAACCGGGCCTATTCGAGCTGGGTTCCGTGGCGGTCGCGGCGGCGGATGGGGGCAGCAAGGCTTCGAAAGCGCGCGCCGGCCGCGCCGCGACGGCGAGCAGGACCTGTGCGGACGAGGTACCCGTGGCGCGGGCGAGCTCCCACCGCCGGCGCAGCCAGGCGTGCACGTCTTCGATGCCGAGGTGGCGCAGCCATCGCAGTTGCCGCAGGAGCCAGCTGGGGAGGTCGTAGCCGTAGTGGCTGCACAGGGCGGCCAAGAGGATGGTGCCGGCGGTGGAGGAGACGGCCCAGTCAATGTGTGTGGCTTTGCTGGTCAGGGCGGCCCAGGAGCGCATGGAGCGGTCGTGTAGCGCGAACTTGACGCGCAACTTGATGTCCGAGGCGGCCTTGAAATCGCGGGCTTGCTGGATGGCTTGTTTCAATGTGAGGCGCTGGTCTTTGGGGATGGGGTTGCCGTGACGCCAGCCCGTCCGCGAGTTGCTTTGCTTCAGGAAGGGCCCACGGAGGTAGGCGATGTGGGATTCGTAGGCTGCCCGGGCGGTGGCGTCGGAGTGCCCCGGCTCCCAGCTCAGGACTGAGGAGGCGCTGCTTGTGTCGGAGCTGGAGCTGTTTTCATCATCGGAGCTGAGGGAGGAATCGGATGAGGTCGACCCATCGTCGCTGGGGCGACGACGTCCATTGTGTGCTCTTCGCTGGCCTCCCATGGAGCTGCGTTGGCAGTGCTCATCGAAGTGTTTGCGGATAAAGACCTCCTCGGTGGGTTCAAGGTACTCATGCTCCAAATAAACGTCGTTGCTGCTGAGATGGGGATAGTAGTTCATGTATGAGAGGCGTAGTTCGCCAGCGTCCGCTGGCCATTTCCCTTTGCGCTCTTCAAAGACCCATTGCACGACTTTGGGTGCGATGGGAAAAGTGTTCTTCGTGTCATGCAGATCTTCGTCACTCACAGATTTGCGCCTCTCTGGAACTACATCCCAGTCCATTGCATCTGGCTGGCCGTCCCGGCTGGCGTCGGAGGCAAGTGACGAAGATCTGGAGCTGGAGGTGCTGTCGCCTGGCTCCCCGGAGCTGTCAGCCTCCGCCCGGGATCTGACCTCTAAAGCGTTCCTACGTTCGATCTCGGCTAGTTGCTCCATGTCGGGACCCCTGGGTACAATCATCTCCACGCGTGGGAAGCAGCACATCTTGATACGTGGACGCTGTGGAGAATCCTCATCGTCCGGGCCATCTGCTACGCCAGCATGATAGTCCAATGCATTCGCTCTCTTAATGGCCTGCTCACTGAGCCACCCATGAAATTGCGTCTTCTTCATCATTTGTTCGTTGACGCAGTTTTGAGGCGCGCCTTGATCGCCGTACCATTTCTCGCCTCTAAGAGAATTGTTACTGAATTGGATGATAGAGCCGTTGATCCCTGTCAGACGGAGAGAGTAGTGAAGTCCGACAGCCCAAGTGAGCCGATCGGTGAGGCATTTCAGGATATAGCCATGTTGTTCGTTCGCTTTCTTGGACTTGCTGAGGCTGAAGTCGTGCGAGTCCTCGTTGTGAGCGAAGACATCAGGCGGAAGCAGTGGGGTCAGGACGACCATCAACTCCTCGGCAAGCTGCCGAATGGCTCGATTGCTCGACATCTGCCATTCACTGCCCATAAGAATCTCATTCATGACCTGCGCACGGCGCCTGGCTCGTACATGTGAATCGAAATGCATCCAAGTGGAATCGACATCATCAACACGTTTCGCGTCTTGCTCTGATAGACCAAAGGATGGGATTGAGAAAATATGACGCCGGATGTACTCAGCGATAACGCCATATATGACAGAGGCACGTGAGTCTGGAGTGGTGAAGAAATGGCGCCAACCGTACTGACTTCCATCGGCAATGTACTGAGTGGTACGCATCAACGAGTAGTAGTTGTCGGCCATCTCATGCAATGGCCAGTCTGCCTGAGCTTCGGCGGTGAGTTCGAAATGGAAGTTGTCGAAGGCGAACTGTCGGAGCTCCTCCCTCAAGACCTGGAAGAGTGCCCCAATCTGCTCGGGCTGTAGAGGGCAGGGAACGTGTCGAAGGTTCAACTTCAGCTCTTCAGTAGCGTTGTACTGGAACTGCAATCGCTTTCGTGGACGCTGGTAGAAGGACGTCGAGTCAGCCCTCTTGCGCTTGCGAGTTGCAGCCACAGCAGGCGAGAGCTCAGTAAGTAGAGAGCTTCGAGGTCCGCTGTATGGCTGCTGTACTTCAGACAATGCTGCAGGAGTGAATCTGCTCTGCCGTTGTCCAGAAGATTGTGGTCTGGTGCGTGCAGCCGCATCCGAAGCATGAGGGCTAGTATGAGGACAGTCGCGCAAGGTGCGAAAGCTACGTTGGCTGCCGAAGCGTGGATTGATCGGGCGAGGTAGTTCGTTGGCAGGTGTTGCTGGAGATGGCGATTTTGGCAAGTCAACCATTGTGCGGATATTGGACTTCTGCCCCGATCTCACTGAGCCAGGCTTGTTCATTGCCCTCTGATTTGACGATGAAGCAACATTGGACCTAGCAGCAGAGGGGACGTGCTGCTGAGATATAGCATGGTTACCGCTATCGACTGGAAGCTCTTTGACTTGTACATTCTCGGAGAACTGGACTTTCTGCTTTCGTTCACGACGGTGTTGTTCTATCATGCGGCGCTGCTCTGGTCTGCCATGTCTCTGAAGTGCTGAGGCATGGGTCGCAGCCCTAGCAGCCGCCTGCGCTTGAGTTCTCGTGCGAGCCATTGCTGAGGACTTAGAAGGGACAGCACTAGGTAGCTGAGAGGTAGGTAGAGTTGAGTTGGGAATGCGGGTGTTACTTGGACAAATTTGAAGACAAAAGATAAAGGATGGGAAATAAAGAGTTGTACAAGCCTTGCTTCAGTATGCTGTCGAAGTGCTGGTTGCGGGTTTCCGGACAATGCATCCGCATCCGGAGGCAAACACCCTTCGCTGTTTGCATCCATATTTGAGCAGTTCGCGGTGGCCATTATTCTGGTGGTGCTCATGCCAGTGTGGCTCCTCTGGCCATTGTCCAGTGGGAACGCCTTACTGTCACTCGTAGTGAACAAGAGATTCATGGTTTCTTACTGTCTCGGCGTGTCTGACCATTCTTCGCCGCAAGGGGTTATCTTCGTGGTCCAAGTCTGCACGGGTCAATCCTAGAGAATGTCAGCCACCTCGGCAGGAGCATGAGCACGGATATTTCGAATGGTCCAGGGTGGCGTAATCGTCGGGATCGAGTCGCGTGAAGTATAAGAGCTTCCACAGCGGCAGTAATCTGAGCCGAAGTTTCATAAGAGGAGCTGATCCGAGTTGAACCTCATCGAAGGCTCTGTGAGAGCAAAATCTGATTATCCAGAGGCGGTGGCGATGAGTGTACAAGGCACCACGAGAGACGACCATGCTGCAGTATTTGACGGGGTTAGAGGAGATTAGGTGGTTTCGACAATGGGTTGGACTCGAATGAGCTCTCTCCAGAGTGCCACTCCTTCATTCTGCTCATAAGCATGATACGTGATAATCATATCCTTCCTTGATCATATGAACTCGTCGGTCTCCGGATCCCAGATCCTCCCGACGGCCCTGCCCTGCTGCAGATTGGCTTGCTTCAGCCCCTCGAGCTACTCGTTGAGACGGTCCAAACGATCTTTCTTCTCCTCGGTGTCTTTGTAGATGAAGCCAGTCTTTTCATAACGTGGCATTGTCATCAAATGATGGCGCCCCCACGACATCTCCTCACGTTCTTCAGCCATGAGGTTGGTGAGCTCTTCCCGCCACTCGTGCTCGGTGGAATCCTTGTAGCGCTCAGGCCTGCGCATCATTTCCGATTCCCCATGTGTCGGACGGCGAACGTGAATGCGTCTTTCGACCGGTGTTCCAATTTCGATGATTCGTCGCGGTCGTCGTTTTCGTCGCCGCCGGCGGGGGGGGCGGAGAGGATGGAGGGGAATCCTCTGGTGAGCTCTCGGAGTCGTAACCACTGCTGTCTGAGCTTTCGTAGGAATGCTCGTGACAATCGTGGCGGTGACGTTGGCGATGACGATGACGGTGTCAGTGTCGGCATTGATAGTGGGGAAGATTTCGGTCTCGTCCAGTATACACGCAGCAACCATGATTAAATGCAGCGAGGCAACTGGTGTAATGCCACGTGTTGCATTCGATACATATCTGAATCGAAACTTCACAGCCGCTATCATCGACGACCACTCGGACACGTGTTGGGGTTGACGGCGCCCGCCAACTCGGCACAAGTAATTGGCCTGGTTCAATGACTCTTTGAACTGACACAAGTCGACGCCCACTATCGTCACCTCCTAGCCAGCCGAGAAGTCCCTTCTTCTTTTTCTTCTCCTTAATGAGAAAAACATCGTCGTCGAGCGAGTATTCTTGGGGCAACCAGACTGGGCCACGTTGGGATAGCGAGCGCGGGATACTTGCCGATCGCCTATGTTGCGGTATACACATAGTTCCATGATGGTTGGCGATTTGCGATTTGGTGTCCATGGCTTGATATAGGCATGGCTTCGAGACCACGCGAGAACATCGAGAAACAGATAACGGTGGACGTCGTTTCGGCTGCAACGCATCGAAACGAACTCGGCGAGCGAGCAGTGGGCTCCGTTGTCGTATGTGCTTTGTTTGCGTCGTACAGTACATCGTGGAACCACTGACGGTTCACGTGCAGAACACCGCTTATGTCTGAAGAGGGATGCAAAAAGCGGCCTCGGGTCAGCCGACTCAAGTGGGCGGAGCCGGCTTCTTTTCATCGTCCTCTTCCACCGGTGCGAACTTCGACATCTTTCGCAACTGGAGCCCGTAGCGCATGAAGAGAAAAGGGACAGGGAGCAGAGCAACGGCAATGCCGCCCAATACCGAACAAGCGGGTCCAACTCCAAGGTTCTTGAACATGGGCCTCGCAGCCAAGGGCAAACCTGCAGCGAACAGACTTCGTAAGAAGGTGTTGGCGGCCGTTGCTGAGGCAGCATAGATACCGTACGTGTCAACCAGGAAGTTCAAGCATTGCTGGAACGTCGTGTTGAAGCCAGCGCCAATGAACCCAGTTGCAACGACGGGGAGGATCCAGTGGTATCTTGGATCGGCCGTCCACCCCAGAAGGAAGAGTCCGATGACCATGAGAGTGCCTCCTATGGCCATGGGTGGGCAGCGGGCTTCGGGCACTGCCTTGCCACCTGCTTCACGTGAGATGCGCTTATACCTTGGCTGATTGCCAACATTGATCACCAGCGCAAGAACAATACCCGTGAAGCTGCCAAGGAAGGGTAAGGACGCATTGAATACCGACCACTGGCGTATGTCCCGGAATATGATTGTAAAAACCTCCAAGGTAAGATAGAGTATCGCAAACACGAATGAGGCGTAGAAGCAGATGCACGTAACCATTGGTTCGGTCGTCAACATCTTGATTGGTCGCGAAAGCTGCTTTGTGATTATCGATCCGACGTCGACCTTAATTCGTTCATGTGGGTGCCACAGCCTCTGGTCGCCCGTCTCGTTGCGTAACCGTTGCGCCTTCTTTCCGAGAAGATATGGACCGTAAACCTCTGGGAGACAGAAGTAACACACAAATGTTGAGGCAGCCACCCAGATCGCGCCAATGTATTGCGTCCATCGCCAATTGAGTGAGACAGTGAGCGCTGCTCCGATCACCGGGCCGAGAGTTGGGCCTCCTACCACCGCCACGGCATATAGACTGACAGGTAGGCCTCGTGATTCACGGCTAAAGCAATCACCGAGAGCAGCATTCACATTACTGACTGGCGCGGAACCGAACACTCCTGAGAAGAAGCGCGTAATGAAGACGGAAGCTGCGTTTCTGCTGAAACCAGTACCAACAGAGAACAACGCAAGAGCGACCATGGGAGGTATCAGCGAGACTCTCCTGCCGAAGACCTCACTCAGAGGGCCCCATAGCCTACCACCGTCAGCCACTTCGATGTTGAGGCGGGGTTGGTTCGGGAGTAATAACTGCAGAAGGGGTCGATTGGCAGTCATGGGATGGGTTATGAAGCACGCCCCTATCGGAGGGTGCCTTAGCCGTAGAATGGGACTCACAAAGGACCAACACAAAAGCCGACCCTGGAAGATGTCAGTCACTGAATGTACTTGAAAGATGAATTGGTCACACGTACACGAACAGGGACACGTTCAGAACCGCCACCGTATCACTAACACCAATATACTCGGCAATGATATGGTTCGCCGGCGCAATCATCGACGAAGTCACACTCGCCGCCAAGGCAAGCTGAGACAACTGGAAGGTGATCCATGATTTATAAATTGGTTTCCAGTTCTGTGGGTTTGCGTCTTCGCTGGGGTCCCAGCGCACCATGTATGCTGGGTCATCTCCGTCTACGGGCACTGCGCCGCTGCAGTGGTTGGGCAGGTCGGCGACGGCATCATCCTTTTCCTCGTCGAGCATCGTGCTCGGACAGTAAAGAGAGCAAAAGGCCTGCGGAAAAGATCAGAGAAACTATTTCCCCTTGACGATCTACCTAACATAAGTAGATCTAGCAGTTGGAGATCTCCGTAGCCGATGCAGCCCCGACCCTGGCCTAGGGTCTGCTTTAGCCGGGAGTTCGGCAACGGCTGTTAGGGAAATGCCCGCAACGCCGGCCATTTTCCGTCGCTGCAGTGGAGAACAACCAACACAAAAAATAAACAGGGGCGCCTCCAGGTCCAGCAACGAGATGAGTTCGTTCTGGGAAGGGCAACAGGAAGCCTCTGAAATGCTTGAGACTGTCAAGTCGCAGTAAGTCCCGTATACACAACGGGAAACTCGCCTGCGGCATTCCTTAGGTCGGTTGCTTGCGCAGATAGGAAGGATCAGCATCAAGAGAACGGAGAATATCAAATTAAGGCCATCCGCGAGGCAAACTGGTCGGAACGAGGCAACCAGGCAGCGTGCTTGTCTTTCGCCGTGCGCGTTCACCGTGTCCAACCTCTCACCACCACGCAGAAGATTTGTCAACTTCTCTTCGTCGACACAGTTTACGTGCTCTTGAAGAAGACCCTTCTCACCCCAGTCATTCTCAGCCTTTTACCATAATGACTGAGGCACCGAATGCCAGGGCGGGAACGAAAAAGCCGCAAGTGAACTCGACACGATGACCTTAGCGACCATTGTTGTAACGATTGATGAGTACAGCAGCTGCCACCGTTCTCTGACAGGCGATTTTGATGATGAAGCGCATTGAGAAGCGCTGTTGTAGTTGGATGGATATCCATGAGTCGTGCGGTTGACTTCGATAGTCTTTTCGCACCTCATTCGCATTTGATGTGAATAGCGACGTTGCCTGTGGTGGAAGGTGACCTGTGATGCAACCCGTAGTCGGTGACTGGGCGTTAAATACCCGAAAGTTGTGCATCCCGGTTGCGAAATAACGTACAGCAGACAATTGTCGAGAAGGACAGTCGTCTTCAGCGAGCTAGGCACGCCCAGAACGCCCGATGGAAGCCAATGCGATGGCCGCTGTCAATCTGCGTTCGCGTTCAGGCTCAGGGGTCACTTCTTGCACCTTTGCCGAAATGCTAGGTTGCTGGCCTGTGAATATGTGCTGTGTTTTCAGTTCAGTTCCCGGTCGCTGGCGCTCTTCAGCCGAAGCCGCCTCCGCTCTGACGTTGTCAGCATCGCGAGAAGCAGGCATCTAATCTCTATCATCGTCATCATCGTCATCACCATCTTTACCAGTGCGTTGCGCCCCATTTCCTTTCCTTGCGTCCGCTCTTTGCTTCTTGGCTTCGTACTCCGCCATGGCCGGGGTCTGGTAGTTGGCGCCTCCGAAGTCGTCCTCTGTAACCATGGCACGCCATGAATCTTCAACTGGAATGCCCTTTCGATCCATTTCCTCGATCATCTCACGTATTTCCTTCAATTTGTCCTCCAAATGTTCGGCCGTTCTCGTTAACATGTGCTGTTCAGACTTGGCCTGACCTTGAGTTCCAGGAACAATGTTTGAAAGCGCGTCGAACTGGGCACGTATGCCATCTCTACGCTTGTTCTCTGCATCACGGTGGTTGGTGTTCTTCTGAGCTGATGTGAGTCGGGCTTTACTAGGTTTCGTCGTCCGCTTCTTGCTCTGCGCGGGCGTAGAGGAGGGCGATGAATCCTCGACCTCCGATCCAGGTTCAGTAGCTGGGGAGTCATCGCCGGACATGGTCAATGCTGGTGGGTGATCTTCTTCACGACGGAGGAAACTAATGCGTCCCTGCTTGGCTTCGAGTCTTTGGTGCCGCAACTTGAGCAGGGAGTCAAAGGCCAACTCTTGTCAAAGTCTGCGTTTGTCCGACACTGTGTAGAGCATCAGAAGTAGAAAGGATAGAAGATGTTGAGTTGAAATACAGAGTTGTGCGAGAGAAAGACTACCAAGTTCAGATATACGTGGGTGATCGGGGTGAATCGAGCTATCCCCTCTCTCCCCTAGCGTGCCCAGGTTGTAGTTCGTGCAACGGCACCATATTTTTCCGACCGGTGGGATGTTGCTCACTCCTCCCGGGCTACTTCAATCATTCCCCATGCTATTCTCCAATAATAGTGTCAATTGATCCCCATCTCTCTCAGCCAAAGCCAGGAAGTTGTTTCATACCCAACCTGTCTTCATCACCGAAACACCATAAGATGAGCAGACAGCGGCCTCTGCGGGGAACTTGTAGCTGTGGGCGGAATGTCTATTCGGTGGTTGTTCCGACCACCGCCACCGAACACGCACAAGTGTTCTTTGACGACAGCTCTCCCTCCCGTATGCTCACAATTTCCGATGTGAATGAAGCTAACTATGATCAGGACGAGCACAGGCTACACCTCTGACAGCATGGCTCAGAGTGCCGATCGATTGGGTCTTCTCCACAACAGTAGCACAATTCCCCAACGAAACACATTCCTCGATCCGACGCATTTTCACACCCGCCGACGAACCACATTGCAAACGAGTATTCTGCGGGTTCTGCGGAACACATCTATCGTATTGGACTGAGCAGCCTGCCGAAGAAGCTGAGTACTTGAGCATAACCCTAGGGAGTCTCCTCGGAGAAGACATTCGTGCTCTACAAGATCTTGATCTACTACCGGACGACGTCGAAGCTTCACTCAGTAACCCAGATGATCCCCTCGAAGACTCAACAGTAGCCACAACAGCTCAACCCGATCGGGCCCTCCAACGAAGAAGCATCCACGGCGGCCGCCTAGGAGACTTAGATTGGTTTGGGGAAATGATTGATGGAAGCCGCCTTGGTCGAACTCGAAAAATGAGACGAGGAATGGGTTTCACTCCAGACGGAACGACACAACTCTCATGGGAAGTGTCAGAATACGTTGAAGGAGAGGACGAGGAAGAAGAAACATCGTCAAACACAAATGCGGCCGGCTCGAAACGGAAGATTGGAGATGTCGGCAGTGGCGACGACGTTACCATGAAGCAGTGACGCCTTAGCACCAGCATTTGCGGACAGCACAGGTGACAACCCACCAATGAATTTTATGGTTGATCACGACATGCACAAAAGCATCCTCCCACGATTTACGAGAGACGCGAAAGACCTTCAAAGAGACGAGCATTCTAAATGAATGATAATTGACTTTTGTACCAACAAGAAGGGAAGAGCAGGCTGAAAAGGAACCGTACGGCCCCAATGTATTCTAAGCAGTCGTGCACACTGTCTTCTTAGTATTGCTCATTGCTGACCATTTTCTATCAGTAAATCTAGCTGATCCGAGGATGCCAATCTTAATCTCAGCATATCCTTTCTACTGCACGTGCCAGATCGGCGCTTGCGACCTACATTTCCCTCTGCCTCATACCTTCCGGTAACCGCTGCACATGCTTCTGGAACAGCTCCTCCGCCTGCTGCCACACCCTAGCCTCCTTCCTCTCCTTCAACTGCAGCATGCTCGGGAGCAACGCGCTGCTGAAAGCCTCGCTGGCCTCCCGCGGTAGCAAGCTTGGTAGGTGATCGATGCTGATGACGCTCAGTGGTGGCTCCTTGTAGCCTTCCACAGGAAGAATGGGATTCGTAAATGTGCTGTTCTCGGTGTAGATGGGGATAGGGTTGTGGGGATTCGTCGTGTCGCAGCTGACATCGCATACCACGGACAGCTTGCGGTTGGGACTGCTTAACGATTCCGCGTTGAGAAACGGCGGGATCGGATCGCTGAGGTATATGCAGTTGACGAAAATGTCGGACTCCACAATCTCCGTGAAAGGACCGCCCTTGGCTGTCTCTGCCATATCCCACTTCAGAATGTTCTCTTCTGGGATGCCCGCTTGCTTGCACAGGTCCACGGCGCCCCGGCCGCAGCGTCCAAGCGCGCCGATGACTAGTACACGCGGCTTGCGGCCCGCAATCTTCTCACCCTCCGCCAGCCGCCCACGGATGTCGTCGAGAAGCAGATCCTGGTTCGCATACGGCTTCACACTAGGCATGCTCTTCGTGGGGTCAGCAAGTTGATGCGACCACGCTGCGACAGCGAGTGCCGCGCCTGCGTATCCCGCATGGTAGCCGAAGGCCGCGACGCGCCGGCCGGTCTTATCTGTCAGGAATTCAAGGTCTAGCAGTGTGCCACCGCCGCGGGGAAACCGCGAAAGAACATCTTGCCAGCCGCCTTGATTCTTGTAGCAGTGCGCGAACTGCACGTGCGTGTGTGGGAGAGGGAAAGACTCTTCGGGGAGCTCTTTGAGACCAATGATTATGTGGTCCTTCGGCACGGTGGGGTATGAGTACTCGTCCACCAGAGTGCAGCCAGCGTCGGCAAACTCGGCGTCGTCAAAGATACGGATTGGCGATCGCTCGACATTGACTGTGTAGCCTGCGTCGATGAGAGCTTTGGCAGTAGTCGGGGTCACTTCAAGTTGTTAGTACAGGCAGAGTTCGACGAATGAGGGGAGTCATACGAGCAGAGCGGTGCTCCAGAGGCTTCTGCTCCGAGCGGAGGTGCAGTACTGTCATGGCTGATTGTTGTTGAATATAGAAAGATCGTACTGGATTTGAAAGACGTATGGACTTTCGCAAGTAATGAGTCATATACTACTTGACCTGAGGTAGCGAGGTACTTCTAGGTGTCCAGGGCAGATCAATGCATGTCGGAGGGCGGTATCCACTTTTTCGAAATTCTGGAGTTCTGCCAGAGTCCAACTTGAAGGCGGTGTGAGCCATACTACTGCCTGAACTTCCGACGCTGAGACCATTGGCACGGCGCTTCTATTCACACCTCACAACAGCAACCACCATGTCGCAACCCAATTATCTGGACGATCCGCCCTCCTACGACGCCTCTTCCACCAACGCAAAGCCTCGAGACCCTTCCCAGACTCCTAGCAACAGTACCATCGGACCCACTAACCGCCTGCCCCGACCTCCTCCACTGCAACTTCCGGCGCTTCAACTCCTTCGCAACAAGCGTGTCCTTCTTGGTAGCCTGTCTCCTAGACGACGGCAGCTGCTTGCTCAGATTGGCCTAACCAATATAGAAGTGGTCGGCTCGAACTTTGCGGAGAACATTGAAGACCGGTCATCGCCATTCGAGTATGTGCTGGCAACCGCGACCGCTAAAGCGATGGCCGTATACAAGCAGGAGGCGGACAACGACGAGAGGGGCGAGCCAGGACTGATTATCGCGGCCGACACGATCGTGGTGCACGCCAACGGCGACATCCTGGAGAAGCCGCGAAGCGAGGTCGAGCACATCACGATGCTAAAGAGCCTGCGCGATTGCGGCTTCCATAGAGTCTACACGGCGGTTGCGATGATGATGCCGCTGGCAAGTGCGCGAGATCCGGGATACGCGCTGGAGACCGCAACGGAGGAGACGCTGGTGAAGTTTGATCCGGATGTGACGGACGAGCTGCTTCTGGCGTATGTTCGGACCAGAGAGGGGGCTGATAAAGCGGGAGGCTACGGTATTCAGGGGACAGGTGCGATCCTGGTGGAGAGAATTGAGGGCAGCTTCGACAATGTCGTGGGGCTGCCATTACGGGCAACATTGAAGCTGATCGAGCAGGTGGTGGAGAAGGCAGATGATGAGGACATGCTAGATGGAGAGGGAGATCTAGATGAGGCCGAATAGCACCTACCGAGTTACGAAATGCTGCTAGTTGACCATAAGCCTTTGTACATATAGTTAGAGTGGCGATGGTGGGCTGGATATACGGCGCCCGTGAGGGCAATAGCAACACATGAGCTACGTCTTCATGATGTTGGCATCCTGGAGCGCAATGCCGCTGCATTCAAATACCTGACTCTCTTATGTCAACGATGATCGAGCCTGTGCAGCCGACATGATCTACAAGCCTCACAGTCAATATGAATCATCAGCGGCGAGGCCCAAATGCCAGCCAGAGCATAACTTGCATCGGACGAGTCTTGTCGCCAAATATCTTTCAGATATGGAATGCCGCTGTCACCTTCGAGGCGGTCGCGTATATGTACAATAATACGCCTAGCCCGGCTGTTCTTTGCTCCACTAATCCTTCAAGTGTTTCAACTTTCCATCATGGCCCAGGCCGCTGGCCTCAGCTTTCCCGATAGTGGCATCATTGGCACCCGCACGCCAGACACGTTTGATCATCTCCGCCAGACCCACGTCATTCGTCTCGAACTCGTAGAACCCCCACATAACCAATAGTGTTGCGATGTTCAGTGTCCAGTCGCAGAACTTGCGGAGACCGGGATGCTTCCTCACCGAGAAATAGTCTGTAATACAAGATCTGTCGTACTGTTAGCTGATGCACACGTATTTGAAGCAAGGTTCTTACTGAAATCCCATATGAGAGTGAATAATCAGGAGGAACACAAGAGAAGCGTCAACTGCGGGACTAATGGCTCCGGCAGTGAAAGGCGCCAGAGTCAAAGGGATGAGGCCGATCGAGACCAGTCGCTCGAAGGTCCAATGGTAGCTGCCGTGAATGGGGCTCGGCTTTGGTACCGGCGCAGGATCGTTCACTCCGCCCTCAATCACCTGCGGTCCCGGAGGCATAATCTTCTTCTGAGCTGATGTCGAAAACGGCGCGAATCGTGGGACTGTCGCAAGAACCGAGGGTACGGCTTGCCGTGAGAGGATCGAGGTTGTTCGCGTAGCTTGCGAGAGTCTGCCGGTAGCGGGCACGGTCTTGGATGCCAGCATGAGCTGGGAATGCCTGAGAAGGCCGGTCCGCGCGAGTGAGGCCATCTTCGCTGCGGATATGAGAGGAGAGAGCCGAGTCCTGCTGGCGGCGAATGGTGTGCACAGAGTAAGAGAGATGCAGTTGAATCGAGCCGACATGATGCAGCGTCGCCCAGCTCCAAGGATAAATGCCGAGGCACCAATCAGCGTTCACCGAATTACTACTTGAACATCTACATCTCTACTTCGCCCTATATCACCGGAACACGTGCAGAAGACAGAACTGCCATACAATCATTCGATCCATATAATGAAAAAACATAAATATACAGAAAAACGAGATTGAGCACTGTGAGCAGTAGACTGGGAATCGCCTCACACCCCCCAATGATTCGGGGAAAGACCGAGCCGGGCGAGTCTTGGCGATTGACCACGGAGTAGGAGAAACGTAGGTCCGCCAACACTTCTTGCGCCCGCAGTGCACGATGAAATTCGCGACGGCCCTACTAGACGACAACCCCGCGGTATTGCAGTTCTAACAACACTTACACGGTTTCACTGAAGCGGGATCTCACTAAGCAATCAAGGTGTCGCAAATATGCCTCAGGCTTTCGACAAATGCAAGGAGCGCCCGGCGCACATCGAGGAGATTTTGAACGGACTGAATCGCTACAACCCTGAGACCACCACAATATTCCAAGAATACGTCAGCCAGCAATGCGAAGAGAAGTTTATTGACATTTACGCATCTTTGGCGCTCCTCAAGCTGTAGGTACTCCCGAATCTCCGGCCGAAGTGTTTTTCAAGATGAACAAATCTCTTTCCACGTTTCCTATTACCTGACCTTTCCCATTGGAAAGTATGGAGAGCCTTCATTATGCTGTCTGAACACACTAACCTCAGTCTTTCTCTTCAATATGTACCGCCCGACCTCGACTAATCAGGTCACAGGTACCAATTCAACCCACACCTGCTACACCCAGAGACAGTCACCAACGTCCTTGTGAAGGCCCTCACAGTCTTCCCGTCCGCTGCATATTCCCTATGCCTCGCTCTCCTTCCGGCCTCGTCTATTCCTTTTGGATCAGATGTTGCCTCGATACCCACCACCGATCTCACCGAGTCCATCCAAAAACTGACAAAACTAAACACACTACTGGAGTCTGCGCAGTATGAAGCATTCTGGTCAACACTTGAATCCGACGACTTGTATGCGGATCTGTACGCCGATGTTGCTGGTTTTGAGGATCTTATAAGGATCAGAATCGCGGGGGAAGTGGGCAAGACATTCCGAGAGATCGACCTCGGCGTACTCAGCGGTTGGCTAAATCTACGGTCAGATGCTCTGGCTAAGTTCTGCCAGACTGCATGCGGATGGCAGGTGAACGACCAGAAAGTCTTGATTCCGGCGAATGCTGAGAACGAGGCCAAGAGCGAGGTCAAGGGTGAACGGGTCGATGTGGATATGTTCGGTCGGGTGTTTCGGAGAGGTTATGAGGCCCCTGCTTGATCCCTGTTCAGAGCCTTCTCAAGCTACCATCTCCAGCAGTGTAGAACAATGGATACGGAGCTCCACAAGTGAAGATCAGGTTTGGAGCTAGAAGTCTAAGTGTGGATTGCAAGCCGACAACCTTGCACATGCATCGGAGGCCGCCCTGAGAGGCCCACGGCACCGAATTCGCACGACATAGCGCACGGCTTGAAGAGGCAAGCGGCTGGAATGACGGGAATGAAACAACCAGAGATGCGACAGGCGCGGGACTAGAAGAAGATGTGGCGGTCACTTAGTGGCGGCGATCAGCATGAATTCTCAACAAAGAGTTATGCTTTTACGAATCAGATGAAACATGCTGCCAAAATGTACGCAAATCATCGTTGTGAACCGCCTCTTAATACCACAGCAATCAGTACTCCATACCCCATGTTCTCGATGATACTTCTCGGTGGCGTGTCTTGGCGTTTCCGCTTCGCGGCGGAGGCCCGCACGATCAACGGCCTTTGTCTAAAGTTACTTGCCATCTCCCCGCCTCCGCTTCCTTCATAGAGGCTGGCCGGAACTTCATCATCACAGCAACTTTCTTTGAATACTCCTCGATCTCAGCATGGTCCATCGCTACGCACCAGTCCCACCGATAGATTGCGAAGAAGGTGTCACGGACGACGTCATGGCGGTCAATCACCTGCTAGATATTCCGCCAGAGCTCTTGAGCCATGTGTTTGCGCATCTCGATCACCCGGGTCTCTGTTCGACTATCAGAGTGTGCCGCGAGTTTCACCTACTTGCTGAGCCGTTCCTCTACCGAGATGTTAGGATCTTGAATTCGAGCCAGGGCACGGGCTTGGTATTCGCATTCTCAAAAGACCCCAGACGCGTCGCGTGGGTTCGCTCGCTGCTCGTCTCAACCAAATTTGGCGATGAGGGCGGCCTTTCAGCTTTACCGCCATGGATCGTTGAGGTATACTAATTCTTATCTGGCACGCTGTACATGTATCAAGAGCGAACTGACAGATTCAGATGGACAACCTTAGGGACCTACGGCTCGAAACACCAGATTGTAATATGAGAGACCCCGACGAGAGAATTGCCTGGATTCAGTTGCAAGACCGATACGAACGCATCTTTGAGCAGGCGTCAATTCTGTTACCCCCTGCTCAGCGACGGTTGCAGAAACTTCGAACTTGTGAGTAGTCAAAGATCTGGGCCACTCAATCCATGCTGACCGAATACAGGCACCGTCCATCTTGTTGATGAACAGCGCGAGATGATCACACTTCGCCGACATTCTGCTCTGTTTCTACATCCGAACCTTCGATCCCTCACCATCTCATGTGCCAGCACAGATTTCGTCCACGCTCTACCGGCCCCACTGGTGCGTGACCTCTCACTGACAAGAACCACGAAGCTAGAACATCTTCACTTGGAAGAATGCGATCTAAATACATCGACATTGATGAAACTCCTTCGTCTCTCAAGCGAATTGAAGTCCCTGAAGATCAGTGAGGGTATCCGTTACGATAACACCATCTTCTCTCGCCAGAGCCGTAGACATGGCAATGTCACTCCGGATTCCCTGGTCGAGGCAATTGCCAAATATTGCTCCAAGTCTTTGACCCAGCTTTCACTCGCTCTGGGACATTTTCGCCGCAGCCATGAGTCAATAACGTCGAGGGGCCATCATCTCAATTTGACATTATTCGACAACCTCAGACGCCTGGATCTCAACATGCGCACCTGCAACTTGATACGGCTTGCGCCCTACTGCGATCACTTGACATACCGAAGACTTCCCGCCAGTTTGGAGACACTTCGAATCTTCTCCATACCTTTAGCCCCTCGGACGAGACCTTTTCGAGCAATGGACGGAGTGTACCTTCCCATCAAAGAATGCTTTGTTCAAGAGAAACAGAAACACGGTATCCCGATCTTGGATACCGTGATCTTCTCATACGAGTACTACGACGCTGACGAAAGAGCTAGCCTCGCAACTTCAGAGGAGGGCGAGGTCATAGAACACACACCACAGGTGCCCTTGGCACAGGCTCGGATCAAACGTGCGTGCAACAAGCTGCGAAATACCTACCGCGAAGCAAACGTGAGGCTCCTCATCGAAATGGTCACTCTTCCGGCAGGATTTATTCCACCATATCTGTATCCAGAAGAGTCGCCAAGCAGTGACATTCTGTGGGATTCCGCCGCCGCCATCGAGTCTGACTCCGGAATTTATTGGGCAAAGTGACAAATTTGCATCGCCGAAACTGGCTCGTTCGGTAGATAGCTGATTGTGTCCGATGCACCATCGGGCGGATCTTCGCACTTGCCTTTTTCGGTAAAGTCTCGTCCACCCGAGTTTTGGAAGGCAACCACTGCACGCCTGATGGTGCCTGATGACGAGATGATTAATTGACAGATGATGGAGATCCGGCTACATCCTTACAGCTGCTTGATATGTCAGCCGGTATCATATACGACACCGCATCCACTTCGTCACCGACCGGCGACTGGCAGACATCCCTGACGCAGACTTCGGCAAACCATCGTTCCTGATAGGCCGTAATGCCAGCCTTGCACCATTGACTCTCAGAACAGAGGGACCATGGCGCGCGATCTTCTCCTTCTCGCAACTGGACCAATCTGGATACTTTTAAGTAAATACGTTGTCGTCTTACGGACATAGATCGGCTATCATGGACCTAACATGCACATCGAACATACATGGGTCAACAAGGTGCTTCTAGGTTTCCATGAAGCGGTCGGTGATAATGTACCATTTCATCCCGAGAACTTAGGGCTCTGCTTACTCTTTCCAAGATCTTACTACGTATGCGTACTCGTTCTGACAGGCACAAAACGTCGATTCGGTCAAATGCTCCTAAAGCTTTCCGGGGGTCCACCGTAACGTGGGAGGCCGAACGAACTGAGCTTTGCATTCGAGCGTGCTAGTTACCTCGGGCATATATCAATGAGAGTTTCCCCCTCTGGTTTTGACAGCTCTCCTTTCTACCTTCAAGCTTGCGGTGATCCCATTCTTGCAGCATCATGCCGTCCATGGTTCAAGATAGCGTCTTCGGACAACTCGTCAGATACGCAACGAAGGGCAGGGTTTTTGGCCAACCTGAAAACCAGGCAGACTTTGAGCCGCCCTGGAAGACTGAGAATGCCGACGAGTCAGACAAGGAGAAGGAGCTCGAAGCTGATGGCGGACTTCGATCTGATACGCCAACCACTCCGGCTGAAGAGCTCGCCTCGACCCAAGCAGATGCCACCGATGTTGAACAACAGGCTCCTATCGAACAGCAACAAAGTCGTGTTTTGCAGCCTCAAAGAACACCGGACGGAGTCACATTGATCGACTGGTATCGAACTGACGATGAAGTCAACCCACAGAATTGGAGTTCGAAGCGGAAAGCATTCGCTGCCACCATCCTCAATCTTTATACCTTCGGTGTCTACTCCAGCAGCGCCATCATTACTCCAGCTCACAACGAGATCATGGACCGCTTCAATGTCTCCTACGCGGTGGCGTCGTTGACCCTGTCGATGTACGTTATCGGATATGGTATAGGGCCTCTGGTAAGTTGGCTGCCCTCCAGCATATCGCCTCTAATTAACCATGCGTGCAGCTCTTTTCGCCACTCTCGGAAGTTCCGATGCTCGGACGCAACATTCCGTACATTATTACTTACGGCTTATACGTTATTCTGGCGGTACCGACTGCGCTTGTGGATAATTTTGCTGGTCTCATAGTTCTGCGATTCCTCACCGGGTTCCTGGGCTCGCCTTGCCTCGCTACAGGAGCAGCGTCTCAAGGCGACATGTACTCCTTCATACACCTACCATATGCCCTGGTCGGCTGGACAGCTTCTGCATTTGCGGGTCCGGCACTGGGTATGTTAGCTTCTTCGTTGATGCATCTACACTATTAATGAAATTGTTCAGGACCCGTCATAAGTGGCTTCGCGGTGCAGAACAAGAATTGGCGATGGGGACTGTGGCCTATCTTGTGGCTCAACGGCCCAATCTTCCTTCTCATGTTTTTCTTCCTCCCCGAGACCTTCGGTCCCAACATCCTTTATCGCCGTGCGCATCGACTCCGGAAAACAACCGGCAATACCAATATGAAATCGCAATCCGAGATTGACCAGGCAAATATGTCTGTGGGGAAAGTCATCAACCAGCAGCTCCTCAAGCCGTTCGAAATCACATTCAAGGATCCTTCCATTTTTTTCGTCAACATGTATACCGCCTTGCTCTACGGCATCTACTACAGGCAAGTGCTTTTCCCTGCTGCTGATTTACGGCCTTGTCACTAACGCGTTTGCCACAGCTTCTTCGAGGCCTTCCCCGTGTCCTACGTGGGAACCTATGGCTTCAACATCGGTGAAACCAGCTTGACCTTCCTCTCCATCGCAGTTGGCTGCGTTTTAGGATGCGTTGTCTTCGTAAGCGGACCCAAAGTCCCCCCAGTTCCAAGTTCATTGATTCATGCTAATCCTCGGTGAACAGTGGGCCTACCAAAGGTACTACTTGATACCCGACCTCATGGCTCGGGGTCCACGCGCGAACGAGCACCGTCTTGTGCCTGCCTTGTTTATGAGCCTGCTGCTCCCAGCCTCAATGTTCTGGTGGGGCTGGACTTCCGGCAACCCAGACATCCACTGGATTGTGGGCCTCATTGCCGTCGGGATCTTCTCCTTTTCGGCTTTCGTCCTGATGCAGTGCATCTTCATTTACCTACCCATGTCGTACCCCATGTACGCAGCCAGTCTATTTGCAGCCAACGACTTTTTCAGGTCGGCCATGGCTGGGGGCGCGATTGAGTTTGGGCACCCGCTCTACAATAACCTGGGAGTGGGCCGGGGTATCAGTATCATGGCTGGCCTGTGCTCCGGCTGTGTGCTGGGGGTGTGGGCGTTGTGGTACTGGGGCGCGAAGCTTCGAGCCAAGAGCAAGTTTGCTGTTGGCTGAAGCGATGCGCGGTACTCGCACCGCAAGCCAAGAGTCGATAGCTACATCTACTAGACAGTGCGTGCGGACGGGTCTGTTCAGCCAGGGCATAGAGCGATCGTGGATTTTTGGTCATGTGTGGGAGGCTGGATCGTGCTCGTTTACTAAGGCGCGCTGCTCAGAGCTTATCGGGGAAGCCTGTTCGGAAGAGAGTTTGTGGGTTACGGCGGATACATGGATCTGACATGAGTTTGGCAAGCGAAAGCCGCACCAGGCCGTGATCCAGCTTTGTGGCCGTGGTAAATCGACGTTCAATAATGGTTGCTTGTCCACCTGTGAGTCACGGCCGTGCAGGGGTGGAAAGCTGTCACAAATGAGGGGACTACTACGATAATCAGCAATTTCTGCTCACTCGAGCACCCAGCGGGCTCAACTACCCATGTTCGTGCTCGTTCTAAAGGCATTCTCCCTGCTCGATTAAACACGAATGCCGATTTCTGTGATTAAGTCCGCGAACGATGGTGCAGATTCCGTAAGCAGAGGCGGGTTGCCCTCAGACTCGGGTCCATATGACACCCGACGCCGGGCTTATCGACGAAAAGCCGCGATTGTAAAATTGCTGGCTGCGGTCAGTGCCTCGCACCTTAGCGCGTCGGATGAAGGTCAGCACTCCACGTACCGGAAAAACTGGATGGAACTTGCACGTTCATTCGGATGCCCGCTGTGATTGACTCATTAAGGGAAAATAGTCTGTCAGCGGCTGGGAGACAGTTTACGAGACGTAACGTAAGATGTGGTCCGGATAGGTGCGGCATGGCGTAAGGCATCAGCAGTGGAGATCAGGGTCCCAAGGCTCTGCCAAGCATCAGTAAGGCGGCCACTGCCCGTACGGAGGAAAGAGCATGATTGGATTCTGGTCGACGGCAAGGCCGTAATCAAAGTTACTGTTTCTAGATCGACGTCCGAGGTTCGTGAAAGTTGGTCTGCTGGGGAGCGAGCGGTATGGCCTACCGCTGTGGCGGTTCCCGCTCGGCTTAGCGCGGAGAGAACCGTAGTATGCCAATAGATTGAAGCCTGAAGTGCGGACATCAGTGCTGAGATGAGATGGGTGTCAGGGACATGTCGGGGACCTGTTGTCCTTCTTCTAGCAGACAAATGGTCGATAGATGGTAGATCGTGTCACACCTGAGCGTGGAGCTATGCGCGGCCTGTTACCATCGCCACGTCGATAGCATACGCTCCGTGGGCATTTTCAACTACCGAGACCGGTGCCAGATTCAGGTAGTGAGATAGGAAGACCGTCGACTCGGCAAGACCAAAAGGGTCGGTTTCTTTTAGCTGTACGGAGATGTGACTTGCAGGAGTCCAATCCAACTGCCACAGGACTTCATGCTGAATATTCTTGTAAACTCAGTTACTTGAATCCACGGAACGATAGTCCTAGACATTAGTTGCAATTTTCTGTTAGATAGTCACCCTCGTGAGCATCTGACGCCGCTTGGATTGTCCGGTGTTCAAGTCTAGCTCTTCGTACGTCAGAAGATGGATATCGATTCCGTATCAGATGGCGCTTGATGCGGGCGTCGATTATATTCGGAAACGGGGCGCAAGCCACAGCAGAATCATTGTCGATCTAGCGGCGCAACGGACTCCCGGGGCAACGAGCCTTCACGACGGAATATTGAGTCTGCTAAGTGGCCAACCTGGACGTGTCATACTAATAGAAGGTCTCGCCCAGGCTATACTGGCGTTGCTTCTTTCGCTTCTGGCCAGCCGTAGTCGACGTTGCTGATCGCACCGCCTGAGGACGAGCACGACGGCATGCTTTATTGCACTCGATCGCTCAAGTGCGTGAGATAGACATCATTGCCAACATCGACGGTCCGATTATCCTAAGAACGGCAAGATAGAAAGCATCAATAGCTGTGATAGAGTGTTGGATACCTTGGCGAGGCACAAGTCCGCCACTTCGCCGACGAACCGTCGGGCTTTCGGTGCACGAGAGCCGCATACATCCAGAAGAATCCAGACGGTATCTGAACCTCAAAAACCATCCCCGAAAATACCGAGAATTGTCCACAATGCGCGGATGCCTTGAGCTTCAGATGCCAGCATAACCATAGCCGGATCCAATCAATAGAGGTAGCAACGAGGGGGTGAGCGGGGCAGTGGGGTGATGCCCCGCGAAAGATTCTTCGCAGACTCGCCAAAGCGCTTTCGCTTGCTCTCGCAACCATGCGGTCATATGCCGGATCATTGCTTGGATGCCGCGGGCGCTTGAGTCTTCTCCTTTAGGCATGCGTCAGACGTGCCTCCCGTCCTTGTCGCGGAGAGCCTAGAAGTGCTCAAAAACGGTTTGTAACAGCTTCGGTCGTCTTCCCAAGGTGAATCAGATCCAAAGATGCACAACTACAGCGACTTGACAGGCCTTGATCACATCACCCTTGATCAAGCCATCCCCCAAAAGCGACCTGCGGTCCACTATGGAGATGAAGAGGCCAATAAGACTTCCAAGCGCACGCGTGGGAGGTCGGGGTGTTTAAACTGCCGCAGACGCAGGAAGAAATGTAGTCGAATCGGGCAAAAACATCCACTCGTGAAGTTATGCTGACTAGCCACAGGTGATGAAGCTAAGCCTGACTGCACGAAATGTAGGACCAGAGGAGAGACCTGTGAATGGGACACGGGCATCACGTTCCGCCTGACTGGTTTGGACGCTGATCACCCGTCGATGCTACAGGCAAAAGCTCCGAAGCAAAGCTCTCAGACTAGTCTTAAGGTCCCTACCGCCCCATGCACAGCTCCACCGACGAACCCCCGGGACTGACTTTACCAGATTGTGGATGTGAAGTTTCACAAGGACACCGACACTGCGTCTTCAACCCTCCGACAAACACCAGCCAAGACCAGTGGTTTGCCTGACCAGCAGAGGTCCAATGAGTCAAGTGAGGCCAAGTGTGCAACGCCAGCGACAGTGCGCCAGGACGACACCAACCCATTCTTGAACGATCCCTTCTTTGAGGTCGAGGATGATGCATGTCTTGCCACCATCTTTGAGGATCAGCCCGCGCCATGCAGCGTACAGGCGGACACCTGCGAAAACCCGAGCGGGCCCAAATGTCAGTCGTTCCCATACGAAAACGCGAATCCAGCGGACGTCTTCGTGCAAGACAGGTACGTCTCCGATGTGAGCGAGCCTCTTTTCGATCACGATGAGCCAATGGGCGACTACGCTAGGTCTGCCTCGGACGCCTCATGCGAGACCGGCGGTGGCTCAGCGCTATGGTCGGTAGAACTGTCGGGCTCGAGCGCGACCTCGACTTCATCCCAGTCACATAAACCCGACTATCATCGACGGGAGATTCAGGTGTTTGAGGATGGACTCACACATCTGGACTCGCTGGACTATTTGATGTCGAATTCTGCCGCTGGCTCTCTTGATGTGGCAAGTAACGACAAGACTAGTCCGACAGCAGATGATGCACGTGGGAGGCTCTGTGAGCAAATCAAGACTCTCGTACGGCAGGTCGAAGTCAGCCAGCAAGCCTCCAAAGGGGGTGCGCTGGGGAGCGCTAGTGCATTGAAGGGCCTGGAACTCAACGATGGCTACCGCTCCAAAGGCATCAGACTATTGCATCAACCGCTCGCAGCCCGTCCGTTGGGTTGCACGAAGCTTTTGAAACGACGACAACTCGAGCTCTGGCGCAATTACTCGCAGAGTATAGCACCTTGGCTTGATGTGTGCGGATCCAAGCGACATTTCCAGCACAGCATACCACTGCTCGCCAAGGGTGCCGACTACTTACATTATGCAGTCCTTGCAGCATCGTCTCGGCATTTGGAGCTGCAGGATACCGGAGAACAAGGCAGTGAGAGCGCGGGACTCTATGCAGATGCTGTCCAGCTTCTGCTACCCGAGATGCATACTTTGGACACTCCAGCCATTGCAGCCTGCATCCTGCTTTGTGTGACGGAGCTGATGAACAACCCGCCACAATCATGCCAGCCCAGCCTTGAGGCATGTGCCGCGATAATGGAAGCATCAGATGTCAACGTCCGCAGCAGCGGTATCCAGCAGAGTCTGTTCTGGGCGTTTGCGAATCTGACAATTGCGAATGGCTCGATGGAAGCACGTGCTCCCGTGGTGTCGATGCGGCAGTTCTATCCGACTGAGTCTTTATCAACGGCCACCAGCTATGTCCGTGCACAAACCTGGGGCGAAGGTTATGCCAAATACGCAGTCTTCCTGACATCAGGCATCGCTAGCGTGGTCGCGAACGGCAGCAGCAACGCCAAAGGCCACCAAGGGAGCACGGAGTTGTTGCGGTGGAAGGTGCTGTTCGACCTGTTGGAGGATTGGCACCACTGTCGTCCAGAGGTGATGCAAGCTCTCATGTCGTACCCATCGATTCTGGACGATTATCGCCATCCTTTCCCCATGGTCTTGTACGATTGCGCGGCGGCAGTGGTTGGCAACTTGCTATACCATGCAGCGGCGATATCTCTGTTGCAACAAAAGCCTCATACGGTGGAGCTACCCAAAAACCAGAAGAGCTTGCTCTGGCACGCAAGACAGATTTGCGGCATCGTGGCAGAGAACCATGAAAGAGGAGTCTGGCCGTACGTACTTCAACCACTGTGGACAGCAGGCAAGGTCATCAGCAATGGCGTGGAGCGGGAAAAGATAGTTGAGATGCTGGGCACGTCGCAACGCGAGTGCGCGTGGTCTACAGAGTGGTACATAACGGACTTGAAGCGGCACTGGGGTACAAATTGAGCGGCACTCTGTTACTCGGGTCTGGACCAGGGGTCAAAAGTTTCGAGCAGGGGGGCGCGGGGTATAACCAGGTCGAGGTGTCATGGGGTGGCAAAAAGCGGCCAAACGTGTGGCATTGTGCTTCGTCTTAAGTTGTTCGGCTTTGGGTCAGTCAGATTAGCCAGCAGAAGAGCGAATGAATGTACGATACGAGCTTGCAACCACAAGTTGGTCATGGATCTCACTTGTCGTCGATTGTGACGAGCTGTGATTCACTGCCTGGAATGCTTCTACGGCCGCCCGGTGAAGCCCTTGACGAATGTAGCGCCCGGAGCGAAGCCCTGCCGCGTGCTGAGACGCTGAGAGTTCCAAGACACATCGACACGAGTCTCTGACATGCTCGACAACCCTTCCAAGAAACATCGCGCAGCCGCCCAGAGCCGATCTCTTCTTGTCCTCCCATTGTCTCGGTCAGCGCAGCTTCTCACCTCCTTCTGGCAAGTCTCTCTGCCGGCCAGCACAACCTTGTTGTGATCCTGCACGGTCCCGCCCGCTTCCATACCTCGCTTTTGTCCATTGTAAACCCACGGCCAACCTCAAGTCTCACCATATAATGCAATTGTCCGCCTCACTCGTGTCACAAATAATATACATTTTACCACTATTATAAAGCGATGTGTATGTCTTCCGCTACCGTCCCCGCGCTTGCGCCGCTCTGAGCCAATGTTCTCACGCTGACCCTCGACAGCCGCGCAAGCCGCGCAGGTCATATCCGTGGTGATTCCTGACCCCGAATTCGATCCCACGCCCCGACCGAGCATTGTGAATGTACGTCTTGTCTATCGGTCGTTCGGCGACGTATCTGACACTCGACGCAGGAGAGCCAGGGCTTCCGATATCAAGCTAGCGATGCCATCCGCACCCTATCAGCAAACAATCCCAATGTAAGAGCCACCGAGGTCGAACAAGTTCCGATAGCTGATCTCTACAGGACTGGGATATAATACAAGGCCTCCTCTACGTCCCCGAAGTTCCCGAGTCAGCCTGTAGCAACGATTCACTTCGTGTCATTCCCAACAATGTCACGCGAATAGACGACCTTCCCACAACAACACGACTTTCACCTCTTGCTATTGCACCATGGACCGAGCCGGAATGTGTCCAAGCTTTCCTCGCCGCAATGCGTGCCAACGCTGTGGCCGGTGCAATATTCTTTCAGCCAGACAGTAGCGGAGGGCGACCGCCCTCGGTCAATGATCCCATCTGGTCGCTGAATGACGGTGGTCGTTGGCAGGGCGAGAACCAGTTTCCCATCTACGCCTTACCAGGTCCCACCGGTGCCTTCCTACTCCAGCAATCAGCGCTTTACTCCGGCAACATGACCTCCGCTCCGTTTGGCGAGGAGCTCGCACAACAATTCAACGATCAAGATCTTATCCGTCTCGTCGTCAGAGTCGACGTTTCCGGCTCGCCCGGGATCCCTTCGTTATGGGTCTTCCTCATTATCGTGCTCGCCGTCCTGCTCGCCATCGTCCTCACAACTTCGGTAGTCATGCATCTTGTCCAGCGGCGTCAACGTCGTCGTCTGACCGAGCGCGTTGCCCGTGGCGAAGTGGACCTTGAAGCCCTGGGTATCAAGCGTCTCAATGTCCCGCAATCGGTCCTTGACACCATGCCTACCTTCACCTACACCTCGAAAGAGACCACCTCCGTCTCCGACCCAAATGCCGCCACCGATGCCACCACACCTGCCTCTCCCACGGCGCCGATCCGCGAGATCCCCTATTCACAAAATACCTGTCCCATCTGTCTCGACGACTTCGTTCACGGCACAACCATCGTCCGTGAGCTCCCTTGCGCACACATCTTCCACCCAGAGTGCATCGACCCCTTTCTGCGCGATAATTCATCATTGTGTCCCATGTGTAAAAAGTCCTCGCTGCCCGCCGGCTATTGTCCGGTCAATGTCACCAACATCATGGTCCGTAGGGAGCGGTTGGTCCGACGCATGCGCGCCCGTGCCTCCGGCGAGGAAGGCCTGGTGCGGCAGATTGACGCCGAAAGCGGCCACGGCTTGCTCAACTATAACTTGGGCAGACTCCGAGATCGCGTGGCCGGCCGGAGAGCCGCATCGGCGGGCCTGCATTCCAGTCGCGTCAACAACAGCCATGGCGCGAGCAACGCGGGTGCCGCGGAGATGGCGAACATAAACGTCGTGCAGCCGCCCGCGCGGGCGCAGACCGCCCCACCGGCGGATGGGGAGCCGGTGCGAGAACGGCAGAGTGCCAACGCGGAGCCGGAAGAGGTGCCAGAGGAGATCAGGGCGCAGGGCACGACTGCCAGGCGCGCGTGGTTAAGAGAACGGTTTGCGCGCCGCGAGCAGCGCCAGTATGAGGAGGGGGCGGCGCAGGCGAGGGCGGCGGATGAGGGGAGGTCCGCCTGTAAGTGTTTCTGTTTTTCTTCGCTTTTCGTTTTCGTGTCGATCACTGACTTGTTGGCCCAGGGCGTCGAGCGCTAGGGAAGATTTTCCCGACTCTATGAGGATATGGAAAACGCCCCATCAATACTAGACTCGTGGCAAGGTGGAACCGTGAAGGCTAGAAGCTAGCCGGCATTATTTGGTTTATTGGCTTATGGGAAAATCACCCACGACGAGTTGCACGATGGCATGATTATCATTATTGGCTGTCTCTGGGAAATGTGCGGAGGGCAGACAGACCTGCACATATAGCATGGCGTTTTCTCGGTGGTGGGGCTTTATACTTGGGCCATGTTCGCAAAAGCGTGGCAGAGGGTGATGATATGGCGGCCTCTCTTATCTGCCTGCGTTTTATTAGAAGGCTTTGGCGTGGTGTGGCATTGCGGGATCTCGGCGCGCTGGTAGGTCAGTTGACCCTAGGTAGTGTAGGGAGGCTATGTGTGTATGTGTGTATGTGGGACTCACGCCGTCGCGTTACCAGCTGCTTTGTTCGGATTCTTAAGATCTCTCTTTTCTTCAAAAGGTACGCTCTTTTGTGTGTTCCTGGCTTCCTTCCTTTGCCGACATGACCGCGCGGCTTATTAGGCACGAAGATGAACATGAACATGAACATGAAGGGGGGGGAACGCCGGTCGCAATTCATAGCCTAACGGCCTGCTCGGTGTATCATTCGTGACCTCGTGCAGCGAGGGCGGGGGGTTAGGTGTGGAGGTAGAAGGGGGGGTTGGAGACGAGGCGACGAGGCAGACTTCACAATGTCGTGACTTGGGTGTCTTTTGAGTCGGCTTTCGGTGCGTCGTTATCTTGACGTTGCTGCTACGTGTGGTGGGCTTCAATGAGACGTGAGATTGCTATTGTCTCTGCGCCACTTCCCGAATGGATTGGCCTGACGAGCAAATCAGAGATGTTTGTGTGGGGGGGAGGAGGAAGAAAGCAGAGAGAGCGATCGTCGGATTTTCTTGGTTCGTCTGCTATTCTATGCTATGCCATGCTATTTATGCTATGCCATGCTATGCCATGCTATGTCATGCCATTCCATGCTCATGCTTTCTCCTTCTCTGCAGCAGCAGCAGCCAACTCCGCAACACGAGCCTCGTACATGGCCTTATACCTGGCCTGAATGAAGGGATCGGACTCGATCAAAACCCACTTATAGGTCTGCTTGCCCGCGACAGCCCCACGACCACCACCAAGAAGAACGATTTTGACATCGTCGTCGAATTCTTGGCGAACGGCTTCCACCTTTGGGATGGAAAGCCTGCCCTGGCCGTCGCGGCAGCCGGAGCGGCGGGCCCAGGTCGTGGTGACCTCGGCGCTGGCGGGAGCCAGGGCGGTGAGATTCATGGCCAATCTGAGGAGACGACGGGCGGGACCTTCGACGTGGCGACCACCCTTGAGGTGAAGGCCGGCAGTGACAACGACGTGCTCGAAGGTACCATTGCCTCGGGCCGCAAGGTCTTTGATTGGCTGAAGCCAATCAGCTTCACTGCCGTCCTCAGTCAAGTCACCAGCATCGATGTGAAGCTCTTGGAATGTGAATTTGGGAAGGCCACACAAGCGCACGAGCAGGTCAGGGGACTGCACTTTCACTCCCTTGAGCTTGTTGCGAGAAAGGAGGACATCGAGGGCCTCTAGGCGGACGAGGCGATTGACCCACAAAATTGGGAAGTCAACATGCTGCAAGTGAAGAGGTTGAGTCAGACATCTGACACACCTGGCACGAGGACTGGCTCTCATGCAATCGTGGAAGAACAGAGTCTTGATGGAGGGATCGAGTCTATGGCCAAGAGGCTGGTCGGTGGTGAGGGTGACGTGGAGGACAGAGTCTTTGGGCAGAACTAAGTCGTACTGCATCGTACGTAGCTCGAGAGCTTGCTTGAGGAAGGCAGGAAGGTCAAGGACCATGGTGAAAGCGTTCTGAGCCATGCTGACGATTTGTGGAGGATTGATGAATCGGATAGGCGGTAGAATGGGTTATGGGTAGAGGTTTTTGGTATCGATCGATCGAAGAGTGACAGAATCGTCTAGGACTGATGGTCTTTGCTCTTGTGGGATAGAACAATGAACGGTGTGATGAGAAGTGATAAGGTTGGCGCAACAAGTTGTAAGCTGTTGGAAGAGAACGTGCGAGGCAGAAGTTTTGTAGTTTGCTGGCGTAAGGTACAAACTTGCCAAGCTTATGTATGATGGCGGGGAGGGTCAACGGCAGGCTGGGTGGCAAGAGCTGTGAATAGAAGCAGGTGGCTGGGGTCCTGTTGTGTGATAACAAGAATGCACCAGATGAAGATGAAAAACCTGAAGAAGTTAGAAAAGTGCACAAGACAAAAGAGGGACAAAATAATCACCTGGAGCTGCGGTGAGGTAGAGCCACCATAAGACGTCATAGCTGTGTAGGAGGGCAACTCCTCGTGTTGCACAGCAACGTTGAAGGCTGAAGGCGTAGGTAGGAAGCTTAGCCGAAGTGGCTTCAAGCAAACTTGTCGTGCTTGCCCTTGACTCGAACATCGAGAATCTCTTCATGGTACGTGCCATTCTTTCGTGCGCGCTTCAGGCGTTTGATTTCGTCGTCTTCGAGTCGGCGGCCGACCGCGTGCTCCAATTCCTTCCGCGAGACCTTTTCGTTGGCCTTCGTTTCCTTGTCGCGTTGAAGGTTAGGTTTGAAGCGAGCCTGCATCTTAACAACCATCTCTGCGGTGGAAGCGCCGGCCTCCGCGTCCCCACGCAAGGAGATGGACACCTTCTTCTTTTCATCTTCCTCCTTGCGCGGGACGTCTGTGGCCGCAGACAAATAGCGTTTGCCGGCTTCGCCTTGGTCGGTTTTCGTGGCTGCTGTCTGAAAGATCCATCTTAGCCTACCTTCATCAGACTGGATGAGGTCAACCGTGAAACCCTCTTCAACACCGCGGGCCTCCCGGCGTGCGCCGAGTATCCCCATCGAGTCGCAGCTCAGGTAGCCGCCGTGGCTACCTTTGAAGCTGATCTGGCCGGTCCCAGGAATCTGGTTTGCTACCCAGACTTGGCGCACGTCGTGAGGCTCGGCTGTCTCTGCATGAGCCTCAACGATATTCTCGAGTTGGGAAGCGAAAACGTTGCCATTCGCATCAGATGCCAGACATGTTGGTGGACTGGTCGGCAATACGATAATGGTTGGACCACTCAGATCAGAAATGGCATCAGGCGTGGTCCAGGAATCCTCATCGAGAGGGGCCCCTTCACCGTCCACGCCGGACGGTTTCGAAGGTGCGTCGCCATCATGATCGCGATGCTTACGCTTCTTGGTCTTCTTGTCACCTTTGAAGCTCAAAGGTTTGACTGGCATGATTGTCCAAGAGCTTGTAAGTGATATGGAGGAGGATGGAAGTCTGGGTGTGGTGAAAATTAGCCCTACCGACAGCCGCTTGAATTTCCGGAAAAACAACGGGCCGCTGACAACAAGACTAACACGAGCCGTCGAGCCCGCTAAGTTCTACTATGGGCCACCCACCTCGGTGCCGGAGTCTTATCAACGACCAACAGATCAAATGCTGCCGCCGTAAAGCTCACTGGCAATAATGAGGACGGCAATCTTTGTGCGTTGTTGCGAGGGTCGGTGTATTTGAGGACCAGCTCACTTACAGCCAGCAGACTTGGCTATTGGGATGCAGCGGTAGCTGCCACAGCGTTATGACCTTCTCTGGCGGCTGTCTGAGAGCTGGCAAAGGTTCTCAGTAAGTGCGCAAGGTGATGCTGCAGGGGTCGTTGTGGTTGGGGGGTAGTGGTAGGGAGAGACGGAACACCTGGGGTGTCAGCTGGAGTTAGACATTTCTAAAGACAAGGTCTGTTCCGAATAAATTACGGACCGGGGTCCGCGAACGTCATCGATCTCAGATTCCGGCTTGAGTGAACAATGGGGCTTCACTTACTACAATGTTTGTGACTAGATCAATTCAAATACAGTGACAGGCGATTGAGCGGATGAAATCGAGCGCCAACATGTAGTGAACGCCCTCAGGTTAGACAGGCAGTGAACTGTCAAGAAACAATATCATTACAAATACCAAACTTCTGTCAGTGAAACCTAAGTCACAAGCCGCCGCCACCAGAGCGGCACAAATACCGTTATATGCCAAGCATTCACTGCCTGTATCGAAGCTCGTGCCTACTACCATCCCCCGAGTACTGGTTAATAAAGGCAGAGTCATGGACTCTCGAGAGCTCTAGAAGATATACGATTCACCATGTGATATGGAGGGCACCCCCCCCTCTATAAGAATGATGCACGTTCCGTATGCTGCGGTCCTGAGGCTCCTTGCGAACCATCAGCGGCTACAAGGTTACTCGGTCTCATCCAGCATATGCAGTAGAGCCTCGGACTCCAGATCGCCCTCCAGTGCAAGCTCGCCATTTGCCTTGAATAGCAAGGGTCCGGCATCGTTGTTTAAGCAGCCATGCTGCTCCTCGTTCCCCACATGCAGCTGTTCGTGGTGATCGTTCCCCACAGGCGTCACCTCGAACACCACATTGTCGACACAGAAACCAAAGTCTTCCACATCCCAAGCCCCCCTGCTCTCGTTGAATCTCAACAAGCTTGCCTGGATTTCTAATATATCGGACCCCACCCCAAACCCTGTGACCTCTCTGCCAAACAGCCCAGGCCAGAGCCGGAAAGGCTTCTGGCGGGCAGTCTGGAACCCAACTCCCAGTTGCGCGCCATGTCGTAATGTAGGCGCTGGCTGTCCGCCCAACAGACCTGGGAATCTATCTGCAGCGTCATTCCCATTGTCCGGAACATCATCTGGTGGTGATTTGAGCATGCTGACGTATATTCCTACAACAACCTGTCCGGGCACTCCTGTAAACTCGCCAGCGGGCTTCAAGTACATTTCTGTCAACTTGAAGGTACGGTCGGAGGGTTTGTGAGGATCAAAAGGGACCGAAGTGTCACGGGTGCTGAAGCGAGGCCAAGGTAGTCCGGAATGGCGGTCAATGGCCGCGAAGAGCGCGTTCGGAGCAGACACAGCGCATTGGACATCAGTCGCATTGATCTGAGCGCGACTGGTGTTGATGACAGAGAAGCCCTGCAGGTAGAGGGAGCTGTAGTGCAGGGCAGGCTGGGTCTTGGAGGTGGGATGCCAGCCGATGCCACTATCGTCGGTCGCTAGATCGTCAAACTAAGGCTACATAAGTCATCTGACAAGATGGGATCGGGTGGAACATACCTTCAGAGATACATTGTATGGCTTAGAGAGGCTGCTGATCGGAACCTGATCTTCTGCAACAGTGAGTTGGGTAGAAGTAAGTAGAAGCACGGCGAGCAGGCCGGCTACTCTGGCTGCGATCTCTTCCATCCACATTGTGCTGAGACACGAGCGAAACCAACTTCCTGGCCCTTGATCAAAGGTAATAACACACCATGATGAGTGTCAGGACTTCTAGGGTTGAATACCCCTGTTGCTGCTGCCTGTCCATGGCCCCCATACACGACCCCGCACTTTCCTTGCTGCTAGACGCAGGCATATCTTATGATAGTCCACCATGACGCTTGGCCAATTGTGCGACTGGCACGTCATGAGAATCGACCCGCAGGTTACACGTCACAGATGGACACTTTCAAAGCCTGTCTATGTAAGCCAGCGTATCGAACCATCAAGTGCCTGGCGCACCTGGTCCATCTAGAAGCGGACGAATTATCGCACGGTCTGACTTCATATGCAATGCCAGTACTGGGTGGTATGTGCCACAGTGGAGTTATCGGGAATTCGACCAGCAGATCATCGCAAGCTCGGTATCGTACTGGCTTAATCTTTTTCATTTCCTGTACCAGAACACTGTAGCTAAGGGGTAGGACCTTTCTCAGGCTTCGCATCGTACTTCAACAAGCAAGATTGATCTTGCAAATCCAGCTGAGGTCTGTCAGCAGGGTTTAGGTGTTGTTTCGGAGTCACTTACCTTGGTTGCCGCCATCAACAATGTACTGTCAGTAATCCGGCCAATGAGACCCAAAATCATCTTTATCCATTCGCGTTGGTCACCAGGCACGAACAAAGCCCCCGAAGCGAGTAGTAGAGGGCATGCCAAGGGGTATATTCGTGTCGCTGTATCTTCGTCCAGCTCGTAGCTCGGGATGGTTGCTTTGGTGGCGCCGAAGTGATATGGAACACTGGCACAAATGTCGTCTACCAAGCCCAGGATCGTCTCCTTGTTGTCAATATAGCCGGGCAGTGAGATTGAGCCTAATGTTTGATCAGGGTGCGCAATGGTTATAGCGCAAACGATAGCTCTATGCAGAAGTCCGTTGACCACGAGTCGAGCACCACGGTATCGATTCCAAGAAATCGCGCACATTCGGTCGTTGTACGCATGGGATGTAGTTGAGTAAAAGATGTTCTCGCGCTTGGGTTTGTAGGGCGGGATATCGATCTTGATGGTTTGATAGTCGTATTCTGGAGGCGCTGTTGTCGACCATGCCTGAAGAGCTATATCGCAGTCGCGACAATCCCGGATGCTTCGAAACAAAGCAGAAGTTACCCTATGGCTATCAGATGCGCTCATGCTCTTGATGTGTTTGAACAGCGACAGCACATCGTGTCTGATGTTTATGGTCTGTATAAGATGGCGATCTAGCTCCAACTCGTGGCCTACCTCGCCGAAAAGGCTACCGTCCTCGAGCCATTCGGGTAAGGGTAACGCTCGGTACAGATTTGATCGAAGCTGTGTCAGGTCAGTTGCTGTCCATTGCAGTTTGATGACGTTTCCCTCACCAGCTGCCTTCTGATATACTTATCGATCAAAAGGCTGCGATCGTTCTTGACTGGACTAAGAGTGCGCATTCTAAGCAGAGCCATAGCACCTTCCTGATGGCGAGATCCTTCTGAGAAGGTCTTGTATGTATCAATATTAGAATCAAAGTTGCATACTTGATCCTGAGGATGGTCAATGTCGATGAACCAAGCATTCACGATCCGGCTCACCTCATATGCTGATAATAGCAAACAGGTCATCAATAGCTCATCCGTTGGCTCAACCACAGGGCTGCAGAGTTCTGCTCTTGTCTCCATTAAGGCATCTGCATACTTTCTCCGGCCTTGTTCCATGACGTCGGGCCGATTCTCCCTAATACCGTAGGCAGCAAGGCTCACTGCCATGGCAGCAAGATTAAAGCAAGTGCCAGGCTGATATGGACCCCATACGAATCCCTGTTTACCTAGAAAGCTCCAAATTCCATTGTCTGGGCAAGATGGACTATCCAAGTAGTCTCGTCGGGAGATCAAGAAAGCATGATCGGTCAGGGCACAGCCCAGATCAGTTGGCACAGGAGTAAGTGGCAGTACAGTCATGGCTTCATCTTCGAAAACATCCTCTGGCTTTGGCATCTGCTCGGATTGACGAAGAGCTTTGTCGGGGGCTGTTGTTACTGGACTGAGCATGTTTCTGCGTGGTTGTCTAGCTCCACCTCGTGGTCTCTTGGATAACTTGTTGCTGGCGTACTCGTTCTCGCTCCGGAACACCAGTCCGCCGGGCTCGCTGTCAAAGCCAAGGCACTCTCGACTGGACCTTCGACATTGACTACATGTCGGTCTCATCTCATCACACTGTGCATCGGTCAGAAGGTATGAATAGCGAAAGCGTATGTTCGGCTGGACAGTTACCTTGATGTGTCGCGCACGACAAGTCTCGCACCCTTGACTTGGGAAAGGCATAGCGGATTGGAGTGGCCAAAAGAAACGAATTGCTTTGCCATCTTGCCCGACGACTGTGGGTAGATGTCTTCCATCTGCGCGGCGCTAAGCGTCGAGTTGAACCTGGCGACGATGCATTCTGACAACGTCTAGAACACTGCTGATCTTCTAGAATCGTGCCGAGGCGTAGGAAGAAAGTCTCAAAAGGGCAAATCTCAGCCCCATAAGGGTTCTGTCCGGCGAATTGCACAGAACGGGTGGGGGTGCGTGTACCAACACTGACCAGAGTTCGCCAACCGGTGAATGCTCTAACTGTCCGTTGACAACACCACACGGACCACGATACCCGCGAAGTCAAAGTATGTAGATCGTGCATTAGTAATTTTCGGGTCGATTTCGCACACATCGGTCTTGAAGAAGTCTCCGAATGTGTTGATCGACTCTAGAATCAAGTGAGAAGCAAAGTCTCTCTGGATACCGACTACCAGGGTTGGTATACCCAGTCCTACGTACCCCGCCTTCCGTGCGGATCTGTATTCAAGTCACAAGTGTAAGTCGGGGTCGGGAACGACATCCTATGGCTGGAGAGGCTTCGTCTCAGCGCCATCGTGTGATATCTGCGGAACATTGCCAGTACAACCTTCCCATTTTGTCATCTCGTTGTTTGTGTCTCTTGCGAATCACGTTGCTGACTCACTTAGAATCTGTGCGCGCAATGCTTGGGTTTGGGGGACTCGGAGCATGCACGGTGGTAACATGCACTTGCACTTGTAACTTCACCCCGTCGATCCGCCCTTTAACGGTTTGGACGAACTTGCCTCACTTGGGTAGTCGCTCTAAGCTTTTGGCTTTCGGCCTTGAGCACGGCCCTGTAGAAGTCCCTGGGCTTCCTCCAAGACTCTAGACGGCCTGAAGTCATTCTGTAAAGTATCGCCGCACCTTCAACTCGATGCTTGACTTGTGACTTAGCACTTATGACTTTGTGCTCCGTTCTGCTTATGCAGAGTTGCTTATGCACAGGTGTTAAGCGATCCGGAGAATCTTGGCACATCGGCACTTACTTCAAGCCTCGGTCACTGTCAGCGTGCGATGCAAAGTCATTCACCGTGACACGCACACTTGGGGCGACGCGGACAGCGTTCCAGTTCGATAGTGCGGACGCCTTGGGCATTTAGATTTCCACCATGTCGGAGCCCTCGAGCAATGCAGAGCACGCATCAGCGGCGAAGTCAGATGCACCACCCCCACCTGCAACTGTCAGCACCGACCGGCCCAGTGGCTGGAGAAGACGTCTGCTTGAAATACTAGGATTCTTCGTTGTTGTTGCCGTTCTTGCTTGGAATCGCTTACCTGACAGGTTCTTCAAGACTGAGCCGCTGCTGGTGGAAGGCTACACCTACTGCCGTTCCGCCCACTTCTCTGCACAATCCCTGCGCAAATTACCTGGCATACAGCTCTTGGGTCTCCATGTAGCTCCAGTCTACAACTATACCGCACCACCAACGCCTGAGAGGATCATTGGTTCGTCACCGTACTTCAAGCCCAAAATTGACGACCTCTCCTTCTGCAACGTGACATATGTCTATACACATCCAGGGTACAACAATCGTGTCAGCGTACAAGTCTTCCTCCCAAGCCTAGCAGCCTGGAATGGTCGCTTTCAAGGTGCTGGTGGTGGAGGCTATTTCGCCGGTCTGGGTGGGTGGCTATCCCCTCCAGCTGTTGCTGCCGGTTACGCTGTAGCCAGCACAGATGGCGGTCTTCTTAGCCCAGACTATCCACCTGGGAATCCATCCGGATGGGCCACAACCGCCGACGGGCTCACCAATTGGAACTACATGCACGTCTTTGGGCCGTTGGCAATCGCCGACATGACTCGTATCGGGCAGGCCATCACACGGCGCTACTACGAATTGGACCGCCCGAACCATGCACTCAAGTCTTACTTCAATGGATGCTCGACTGGTGGCCGACAGGGCCTGATGATCGCGCAACATAACCCAGAGCTCTATGATGGCATTCTTGCCACAGCCCCTGCCGTGGACTATGCTACCCTTCTCCCCGCCGACTACCACGCGCAGCATTTCATGACCGTGCACGACACCTACCCGCAGCCCTGCGAGCTCGAATTCATCACCGCCGCCGCGATCGAAGAATGCGACCCTCTCGACGGCGTTACAGACGGTCTCATCTCGCGTCCCGACCTCTGCAACTTCTCCCCCCTCGCCCGACAAAATACCATTATCCCTTGCCCCGCCGCACCGAACAAGACCACCACCCTCTCCCCTTTCGCCGCCCGCCTCGCCCATGAGATCTGGGCCGGCCCACACTCCCTCTCTGGCCACAGATTACATCCAGGCCTCATGCACGAGACTCCCCTGACGCCCCTCGCCGGCACCTCTTGCAACTACACCACCACACCCCCAACCTGCCACCAAGTCCCTTGGAGCCTCCCCCCACTCTTCATCCAAAACTTCCTGCTCAAAAAGCCCCTCACCGTCGACCCGGCCATCACCCCCGTCACCTTTCCCCAGCTCAGCTACACCGACTTCCTCAACCTCTTCAAGCAAGCCATTCTCGAGTACCGCGGTGTCATCAGCGCCACCTCGCCCGACCTCAGCGGCTTCAGCCGTGCGCCCCAGCGCCCCAAGATGATCACCTGGCACGGCCTGGCGGACCAGCTCATTGCCGCGAACCACAGTCTGGACTACTACAAGTCCGTGCTGGCGCACTTTGCCGATAACCGCGCTGACTATGCGGAGGCGGAAGGGGAGGAGGGAGAGGAAGGTGGTGGAGGCCCGCGGGAAGTGAGTGATTTCTACAGGTATTACAGCGTGCCCGGGGTGTACCACTGCTCGATGGGGCCGGGGCCGTACCCAGGGTCGTGCTGGGACAGTAGAGGGGCGTTGGATCAGTTGGTGAAGTGGGTGGAGGATGGAGTGGTGCCGGAAACGTTGGACGCCGTGAGTGACATCAGGGATGATGTGCTGAGTAAGGGAGGAGATGGGAGAATCAGGAGACCTATTTGCACCTGGCCAAAGGTGGCATCATGGAAGGGTGGTAAGGAAGGGAACTGGTGGGATGTGGAAGGCTGGGAGTGTGTCGACTAATGGCCAGAGAGGATATGGGCCTTACTGAGTGACTATGATAAGTTTGTTCCCAAGGACAATCCGAAGTAGTGGACTGGCTTACGGCATAGCGGCCACAAGCTCGTCAAAGATCGGGGTCCCTAGGCCGGTGACGGCGTCCCATCCTTCGGCAGCAACCCACCCTGCATCAGAAACAACCCCCCGAGACTCATTTCCCCCGATGGAGGTACCGAAACAGCCTGCAGATCCGCCATCAACGATATCTGTAAGACCTTGCTCCAGACTGTACAGCCATGGATTCAAGAATCCTAGAGATGCCTTTCCTTGCGAAGAACGGATGCTGTTGAGATTTCCAACGATGGCAGCCCAGATAGGAGCTGCGGCGCTAAATGGATGTTAGCATAAGTAAGACTTAGACGAGATAGTAATTGACGCGTGCCAAACGAGCAGCGCAAGGCTCTACGGTCAGCAGCCATGGGATGTTCCCCGTACATAGGACCTACGAGCATAAGGAAATGTAGACGTACCTGGTGCCACTGAGCATGTTATCGTTGCCCTTGCTGGTCACCCAGAAGGACCATGACTGAGCTGCGACATCGGGGTAAGCACGGCCTTTTGGCTGATAGAGTTTGTGAAAGCGGCTGCCTGTTGCGTTCAAGTACTGCTCAACGGCGCTCTTCTGGTAGTCAAGACCGTAGAAGACTTCAGAAAATCCACCCCCTGAGAAATACGCGGAGATCTCTGGTTCGACTTGGTAAGTACCACCAACGGCGGTAACCCAGGGACAGGAGGCGGGGAACATGGGCAGAAATTTGATCGTATTCCTCCCATCGTTCGCCAAGCAAGAGTCGCCAGGCCCACCGTCTCCGCTTGCAGCTATGATGGATACACCCCGGGACCCAAGCTGGGCAAAGAGCCGACACACCTGAATGGCGTAGTCCCGAGGTACTGATTGTTCGTTCTCACCATAGGAGTAGCTGATGACTCGAGGTAGTTCGTTGTCTGCGAGGCTCGCCATGTAGTGAAGATGGTCGAGAAATGGCTCATTCGAGTTGAGCTCTGTGTCCGGCTGATCATGGTCGGGAATCAATGGGCCGAGTCCAGGGGTCGAATAGAAGACCGTCCGCACGCCAGGAGCCAAAGACATCGTGTATTGAATGTCTAGGCTAGCCTCCTGGTTATCGTTCTCATCGTCGTCTTGTGGATTCGCGCCAACGGCACTGAAATTTGTGCCCCGTGCCCACGGAGCATAGACACGCGCGAAAGACTGCCAGTCCTCATAACGGGCATACTGATTGAGGAAGCCTGCGATACCAAGGGTGTATATTGAATCCTCCGGTATTGTCGAGTTCTCGAGGCGATAGAGTCCGCGCAGGCAGCCGGGCGTAATTGTGGTGTTGCACAGGATTGGGTCAAAAGTCAGGGCAGGATCAGGTCGGCTCGGTTTAACATCGGCTCCTCGAAAGGAGCTCTTGTGTGGTAGAATGAGGCTAGCGAGGGGCCGCGTCCGAGGAAACCTGGTTGTTGGCTGGATCATTTCTATGTGGCCATCAAGGGGTTTGGGCACGGAGTAATGAGTCGTACGTATGACATCCTGGCCAGTGCTATCGACATAGTGATTGAATGTAGTGTTGAGTAGAGACGTTGCTTGCCGAACTGCAGCCGTGAAAACCAGGGTATTGCTTCTTCTGGTCACCTGACCTTCATCAATGCCGACAGATCGTAGCCACTGAAACACTTCTAGGAGTACAGCTTTGTTTGGATGAAGAAGATGATCGAGAGATTTATGCGTGAGGTATTGTCCGTAGCTGGGATTGCCAGGGGTAGCAATATCGAGAGCTGCCTGCTCAAATTCCGCAACATTAGGAGACGCCAGAGCTAGGTGAAAGCGCAGTCGTTCCTCCGGGGAGGCAGAGACAGTCTGTCGGACATGTCAGCATGTTTCTGTGGCTGACGAAGCTTAGAGAGAGTTAGAGGACTCACCAATGACCAACCCTGAGGATGCTCCACCTCTCTGGCAACAGCGACGACAGCCACAAGGAGGCCAAAGAAGGGCACCAGCATGTTGGTGGCAGTACGTTAGAGATGATTGAGAGAGCAAGATTGGTACATACCAGTAGACAAACATGCTTACCTAGAAGACCCACAGTGAGTGAGGTGACCTACACCTCACATATCATTGCCTCATCACTTCGTTTTGGGGACTGACAATTCGGGCAGCTGCAGCTGATTTTGATTGCATTTCGAAGGCTCATGTCACCTACTGCGGTCGCCCTCTACATTTTCTCCCCACAGGCGGCTACATCTACATCCGCTCACCTCATCTCTATGATCGCTCAGAAACGTGCTCATACGATCTCTTATTGGCGTTGTGGACATCAAGTCTGCGTCAGGAGTCAATATCTCAAGGCGTGCACTCGAGAACGTCGCAGAAACATGACCTGCCCATGGCTTGCGACCCACAACGCAGGTAACAGTGCCGTTTTAAGGGCATCAGAAGGCAGAGCATGTCTCTCTCACCAGTGGAGAGGCAGAAAATGTATGAGAGTGTCCATTTCAAGATAGGGGATGTCGTTAAGATGAATTGGAGCACTGAAGCTCTTCGGCTTAGATGCACTTTTGCAGCCTCTCGGGCCGCCGTAGAAACCGTCAATGCTGCCAAGCCCATCTCGCCCTCATTTGAGCAGCAACCGTGCATCTTGCTTCCACCTTTTCTACCCAGGTAGGGATCGTCTTGAGTAATGTTGCGCTGCGTCCGACTGCGAACTCGAAGCTTTCGCTAGCAGAGGCTACAATACCCCCAATAAACACAGGAGCGGGACGATCCTCCAGCCTACAACGACCATGCCCGGGGACACTTGCACACAGGGGCTCAGCCTTGGGTTATAGGAGCTCTGCAGTGACTGCGCACTCGCAATCTGAGCATCATTCGATCAAAACCCGACATCTCCCGTGAACCCTGTGCAGCATGTCTATCAAGGCTATCTTCTACAGCAAATTCGACCCTCAGCAAGGTAAGCCATGCCGTCTTGGCCTGTGCCAGCCGGCTCAATTCTCACCATGAGCAGGGCCCAAGGTCATCCATCAGGTCCCAGACGATGCCATACTCACGTCGACCGACTTATCACTCTCCACGTCCTCCATTCTACCTCAACCGACTCAGGGGCCAAGCTCGTCCGCACTGCTCTCATTTCCGGCTGTTTCCCGCTTTGTGATACCGCGGCAGTCCTTGTGCTCAAACCTCATCACCCTCATTCCACCCCCTCTGCATCCAGGCCAGCCACCTCTCTTCCTGCTTTCGTACCCGCTTTGCATCCGCTCGGCCAGCTACACTCGCAATGAGTTCATATTCAACTTCTCCATCCTCCTTTCGGACCCGGCCGAAGTCGACGTCCCTTCCTACAAATCCATACTGCTGAAGCTGTCTCATCTGCTGCTTTCACTAGAAGAGCAATCCTTCTACCTCTCTTCCGACCCCTCGGCCCCAAACACCGGCCCCATCTACGCCATCATCGAAACCCTTATGTCCGACCTCAACAACTACTACGAATGCATGATTCCCATCGATGGCTCGAACACGTTACATCTGAAACTGTTCCCGACACTCCCCTCCCCGCCTCCGGTCAAAGCCTGGCACGTTCCCCTTTTCACCGTCCGCATCAGCACCCTCCTGGACGAGAATTGGGATCTCACCATGCAACGCATTATCCCCTATATCAACGGCGTGAACTCCCTCGCCCGGATCGCCGCCCTGGCCGATGCCGATCTGAAGCTCACCAAAAAATGCATCAAGCACCTGCTATACTACGGCTGCGTCCTACTGCTCGACATCTTCAGCTTCAGCAACATCTACGCCCCCACCGCAGACTTCACCTCCTTGATCGTCACCAACCAAGACATGCAAAAGGAGTGCGCCCGCTACGTCAACATCCGCGGCGGCAAAGCCGCCGAGGAAGCCATCGTCGACGGCTCCTTCAGCCGCTCCAAAGCCGGCGACGCCGACAACGACGAAGACATTTGGCCCCTGACCGGCCGCGGGGACGTCGTAGACGGCGTGGCCATCGTGCAGCTGTTCGCCGCCATGCGCCAGGGTCTGACGGTGCGCGAGTGGTACCGGCAGAACGCAGACATGCTCGCGAGCGTAGACCTGCGACGCTTCGTCACTTTTGGCGTCATCAAGGGCCTGCTGTACCGCGTCCACCGCTACGCATTCCGCGAAGGCAAGACGTCACGCTATGGCAACGGTGGGGGGGGGAGCGGTGGCGGCGGCGACCAGACCTTCAACAGCACAGAGTACAGCAACGGCCTCGGGGGGCGCGACCACGGCACGGCCAAGTATGATGAGGAAGAGGCATCGGCGGAGCTCAACAAGCGCCTCCTGCCGTTCCTGGATGGAACGCACTGCTTCGATGAGATGTGCACCGAGCTGGAGATCAGCGAGCGCGAGCTGACCGAGAGGTTGAAGAGCGGTGAGGTCGGCGAAGTAGCGATAATATCTAAATAAGATGGAGTTGGAAGGTGTGATAACCATCGTGACATATGCACGTGTGTCCTTCTGCCTTCAGACTCCCGCGTTGGTATCTCTATCTACTGTCGATCTTCGCCGGCGCCGATTCGCCCAATGAAGCTTCTCCCCAATCGGCCCCTAAGAGACGCCCGTCATGCCCCTCGCGCTAACCCTAGATCCCGATCTTTCCAGGCCCACATTGAATGCGCTATATATACACTACATCCCAAGATTTGGCCCAAAATGGTGCCCTTTTCGCGCACACATTTCCCATCCTTCCTTTCAATTCAATCCAATTCCATCGCGACCTATCTATCGACCTATCTACAGGGAGTTTGGCCGAGTGGTTCAAGGCGGTGGATTTAAGTAACCCTGATTTCTGTCTGGAAACGGGTGAAAACCTCCACTGGACGCAAGTCCGCGTGAGTTCGAACCTCACAGCTCTCAGCAATGATGCGAAAAAGTGTTGCGATGACTTACTTTTTCTATTTTGGGGGGTCTGCCGAGTTGGATTTTTGGCAAGTTGATCTTCTGGGATCGGCGGGCAGAGATGCGTCATTGATCGGTGGGCATTGAGTGAGGGGCTCGGTCTCGGGCTCGACTGCCAAGGCGACAACAGGCAGTGGTTTCTGCGTGTGCATTTTGAGAGCATGAACTGGAGTAGCAAATACAAACACGTTGCATCACTATCGTGTCGAGACTGGCTTCGCATCGAATACATGATTCTACGCAGGCATAGCACATCCATCGCCCCTCATGTCGCTACCAGCCGACCATACTCTCAATCCAGTCTCCTCGTCAATATGTCGTCTAATGATCTGACCTCTGCCGAACATGCTTCTGTCCCAGCCATACAACATTTCCACCTGGTGACCCATCTTTTTTAATCCCTGGAAGACCTCATCTGGTATGCCTTCTTCCACGTACACGGTCTGCCCACCAGTCTTGCCATCACCTTGGTCCGGCATGCCCGCCCCAACGCATATGCGTGGCGCGTCCAGAGCCTGCTGTGGATTCATGCCGAACACTTCCATGTTGAGCAAGGTCTGCATGTGCCCTTGAGGCTGCATATAGCCACCCATGACTCCAAAAACTGAATGGAGCTCTCGCTCGTCACTCGACTCGGAACCATGCGTCAACATGCCTGGAATGATGGTATGGTATGGGCGCTTGCCGCCTTTGTAGAGATTGGGGTGATTTTCTGGGCCGAGATCAAACGTCGATCCACGGTTCTGCAGTGTGAAACCGCAACCTTCTGGAACAATGCACGACCCGAATCCGGAGTAGACTGAGTTGATGAAGGACATTCCATTGCCCTCTTTATCCGCCACGGCGAAGTACACCGTATCACTGTTGGTTTGTGCTGGCGATGGACTTGGCTTGCCGTATGAGTGGTTGCCAGACTTCTCCTTGTCGAACAATTTTGCCCTCTCCGCCAGATATGTCGGGTCGATCAGCTCGAGGGGTTTGACATGAGAGTGTTCTGGGTCAGGATCGGTGACCCACCACGCCGCATCAGCGAAGGCGATACGCAGCGCCTCGATGACAGCGTGCAGATATGTCACACTGTTGTGATCTTCTTGGGCGAAAGGGAGGATCTGCTTTGTGCGCTCCAACTCCTGAAAGATACCGAGTGCCATCAGGGCTACGATACCTTGACCGTTGGGCGGGTGCTCCCAAAGCTCGATGTAGCGATTTTTCAGTCCTACCGCTGCAGGATGGCCGGGAGCTCCAGTCTTTTGTCCCGTGAAACGTATCGAGATTGGCTCAGGCTCTTCAGACCCTTTGTCAAGATGGTGCTGAAGATCAGACAGCTCCATATGAGCTCCACGCTGCTTGAGAACGTCAACAATGCTTTGGCCGATTCGACCGCTGTAAAACCCTTTCTTTCCCTCGGCTGCCAGCGTACGGAACGTTTTGCCCAGGTTGGGGTTGCGGAAGATCTCTCCGGCGCGAGGAGCGCGAACGAAGTTCTCCGCATCCTTGTCCCGTTTCAATATCTCCCGGAAGTTTGGTGAGGCATCGCGGATAGCCTGTTCACCCTGAGCCCACTACTCGGTGTTAGCGGTATCGTATTGTCATCGGCTGAACTCACGAATTTGGCACTGAACTCGCTGACCGGGAATCCGTTCTCGGCAAGCTCGATAGCTGGCGTCAGGACTTGCTCCAGGGTCACCTTGCCGCTGCCGAACTTCTCAAAAGTGTCCACCCATCCAGCTGCAGCACCCGGAACGGTGACGGAAAGAGCTGAAGAAGCCGGTATCTTGCCATGATTTATTTCGAGCTCCTTTCGGACCTGCTCCGCCGTCGTATTCTGCGGAGCTCGTCCGGAGCCATTGAGAGCGCGTATTGACTTGGTTTTGTGGTCGAAGTAGAGACAAAACATATCTCCACCAATACCCGTCATAGCCGGCTCCGTCACATTCAAGGCCGCAGCTTGTAAACATCAGTATGAACACACTCGCAAACTGGCCGGAGCTCGACCTACCCACAGCAACAGCTGCGTCCTAGTCATGTTAGCGGATGGACGACGGCAAGCCAGGAAAAACGTACCGCAGCATTTCCACCCAGCTTGAGAATCCTCTGTCCAGCTTCCGAGGCCAACGGCTGCGTACACGCCACCATCCCACCCGTGCTGTGCACCACACTCCGCCTGCTCGGGAACGGACTGAAGACCGAGTCGGGATTAGGGTGAACCGCTTGCGCGGAGAGTTGCTTCACGGGTGCCATGATCAATCAACAGGATGAATGACACGACGACGCTTGTCGCCAACAAAAACTGCAAATACTAGAGATCTGGACTGCGACGGAGAAGGAGGATGAAAGACGGAAATGTAGAATGGTTCGCGTGACACGCGAGATATGATAAAAGCAGTATAAAAAATTATCTAATCTCTAGAGGGGAGACCACATAAGTCTTGACAATGAAAAGTATCGCGTAACTGCCGACAAGGTCACAGATGGCCCGACCCATAACGAAACGCGCCTTCCGGATGGCATAGCGTGGACGGGCAACTCCTCTCTCCAAGAAGGCAGGTGCTAATGACGTGGACGGAGATGCAGTTTGTTCTCCTGCCTGAACGAACAGGTGGATGGCGGAGGTGGGGAGAAGTCCTGGGAGGAGATGTGCGGTGCTTGATTGTTTAGCCGCTGGTGTGCCCCGCCGCTTGAGGCCGTTTCCTGGAAGCACGCTCCCTCGGACCAGGGATTTTGGTGCAGGTGGCTGAACGAGGCTCAACGCTGTGGCGGGATCATAAGAGTCAAATTGGTCTGTCAGATATTATATGCAACATACTCCTGCCAAACACCTCGCCCGGTTTCCCATATCCCAACGCCAACGCTGAACGCTATATTCTGGATCCGCTCGACGCAATTATGTTCCTTCACTCACTCTTTCGCGAATCTGCTCTTCATCCTCAATGTCTCGCCATACTTCCACAACATGAATGGGGCTGGGATGCCAAACGCAATGGCCACAAAACCCAGTAGACTGTTCCCCCACCCTAGTCCCAGACTCTCATACATCTGTCGAGCAAACAATGGAAAGCCAAAACCAGCCAGTGACCGTAACACAGTGACCGAAGCCACCGCAGATGCCGCGTACGTCGAGTAAGTGTCGACCAGGTATGTCTGGGTACACTGAAAGCTCGCGATTGTCCCCGCAGCAAACAGCGCCGCGCCGATGTTGGGAACGATCCAATGGGTGTGGTACTCGGCACTCCAGCCGTAGATGAATATGCCAGATGGAACGAGTATTGCACCTGGCAGGATCATCGGTGCCCGAAACTCGGGCTTGCCAACTCCATTGTTCTTCGCTTTGAGACGACGATAGAGGATATCGTTAATTCGAGCCACGGTCTGCGCTCCTGCGAAAAAGCCTATTCCAAGCGAGGCATAGTTGAGGCCGCCTATTCCAACGCTCTGACCATAGACTGTCTCCCAGACGGTAGGATATGTGGTGAGCACAAGGTACATAAGACCGTAGATGAACGCCATGTACAATGCCAGAACCTGAATGATTGGTTGCGTCCCCAGGAGTCGAAAGGGACGTCCAAGGCTGACCTTCAATACCTGGCCAATCGTTCGGTCAGGAGTCTCCCATTCGGTGTGATATCGGTTATTGCCCGTCTCCTCGCGGATCTTCTTGGCTCGCCACGCGAGGATGACAGGCGCAAAAGTTTCACGCAGAAAGATGACGCCAAAAACTTGAATGATGACGGTGAGGATGCTCGTACTCCAAAAACACCAGCGCCAGGTTGTTTTCTCGGCGATCCAGCCTCCGGCTATAGGGCCGACAGCCGGGCCAAGTAACGGCATAAGTGAGTAAAGTCCAACAGCTTGTCCTCTTTGCTCGGCTGACCAGCAGTCACTCAGGATACCACCACCGATTGCTAGAGGAGCGCTGCCACCCAGACCCGAGAGGAAGCGAAAGGCTATAAGCTGGCCGGTGGATGTCGCGAATCCACAACCTATGTTCTGCGAGCTACTCAGAGCTGCACGGAGAGTAAAAGAGGGGCATTATCTTACAAATGCGAGAAAGAACAAGTTTGACAACTGCAAAACAATGCGACGGCCGTAGATCTCCGAAAGCGGCCCCAAGAAAAGCGGCCCGATGGCATAGGCGAGGACGAAGATGGATATCAGTAAGGACAGGATGGTCGAGTCGGAAACTCCTAGGTCCCGACCAATCTGTGGGAGAGCCGGGGCAGACATAGAACTTGACGTAGGAGAAATGAACGTGAAGACAGACACAATGAGTGTAGCACCCCATTTCTTCTTGAACGTCCAATTCTTAGGATTGTCGGGGTCTATATCGTTGTCCCAGGTGACCTGTGAGCAGTCAGTAGGCTAGTCGCGAGTCTGATGGCCTCAATGCTTACCAGATAGATGTCTTTCTCTCGGTCGGATCTCCTCGACCTCGTGCTCTTCTCCCTTGTCAACTTGGATCGACCCCTCTCCAGGTCGAGGTCGCTCTGGCTGCGGATTCCATCCCGGTCCTCATCAACCGAGGCTAAATCGGCCTTCTCCTCGTCCGTGGTGCTTCGAGAGACGGGCTCATTTTCGAATTCAGAATGAGCATCTGGATTGTAGTGATGGGCGCCATAGTCGTCGATGAAATGTGCCGTGATCACTTCACGAAGCTCATCCTCAGGAGCGGATTGTGATCGCTTGAAAGACCTTCGCTGAGACGAGCTGGCTATAGGTATAGGGTCAGGATTGGTCTTGGCTCTTGATAGAGATGGGTTCATGTTTGGTCCGAACAAGCTTATGTGAAGATCGCGCTAGCGTATGGGCCGGCGAGATGGAATCATTATATACGATTCTAGGTGTGGCTTATCGAAGAGCAGGGTTCATACGAACCAGTAGGAACAAGTAGCGGATATAAAGCAATTTCCGTGCGGTGACACTTACACAGGGAAAGCCATTGGCCGGAAGAATCAGTTGGGAAGGCGATGCGAGTGAGAATTGCGACGTCGCCACTGATCATGCGCGAACTCGGCAATGGCGGCACGCGACACACGCAGTAGCGTTTTCGGTGGAGGCATGGCCGCTCCTCAAAGCCCTTCGACGGTGGCAGTCGATGGTCATGCAGCGTGCCGTACTCTGAGGGCTTCGATGGGTGTGCAGGGTCGAACTGATGTCAGATCAAGCGACCTGGGACGGTTCGTGAACCGGGCACACTGTGAGTGCAGCGTGGTGGGATTTATGCCAAGCAGCAAAAGTACAAGACGGTCCTGATACCCCTCCTCCGATACCCGGGGGTTCGGGGTGCGGCTTCGGATGCATGGTGCGTTTGCACTGCCTGATGTTTTGGAGCAGGCCTCGGCCGAGCAGACACAATTTCATGAGAAAAACTACTATTAGATTATGCACTCCAACACTCGGCCACGATTGTGGGTGTCTGTTAAATTGACGTCGTTTCTCATCGTGCCAGTCACACTCAGCTATTGAGATGCTGCCTGAAGTGTATCTAATCACCGTCCTCTTCGAGGCTTTCCAGTTCGCCTCGCTCGTACGGCTTCATAGCTTCGCTGTCAAACACCGTGGTGTCTTTATCGGGTACACCCCGCTTCATGTCTTTGAACACCGGACCGATGCAATTCTCCCAGCGCTTGCGGCGATCCATGAGCATCCTCGCACTGTCACCGATATCTCTGGCTCTGTTGACAGCGAGACCAGCCGCCGCCGACGCGACATGTCCGGGCCGAGGCTTCGCGCCGGGCCCGCCCTTCTTCGCTTTACCCAGCGTTCTTGTGCGCTTCAGGTATGCCTGTTGCACTTGGTTGTCAAGGTCCTCATGAATGGTGCTGTACTCTTGATAAGCTAAACGTTCTTTTGCCATGTCAAGCAGACGGGCTTTTCGTGCTCCATTGACAACCATGACCCGTCGTAGATCGTTCTGGAGGAGCCGCAGTCTCTCGCTGATGTCGTCGTCGTGATGTGCATCGTAATCGATGTTCTCCTCTTGTCCCAGAAGGCCGAGGTGGCGAAGCTCTGCCTTGATCCGCTCCTCGCTCTGCGTGTAGTCCAGTCGCTGCGAAGATTTGGAGCCTGCTTGCTCTGCTACTGCCGCCGCGGGGGGGAGTGGTTTCTCAGACCCATCATTGCCGTTGGCAAGACCGTCTAGATCCATCGTGTCGTTGCCATCGCCCATGAAGTCCAAGCCATTGCTCAGGCCGTGTTCATTTGGGTCCGAGCGATGCTCGAATTTAAGCAGTGACAGCAGTCGTGATGCCAGTGGACCAGTCGATATCTGGTCAGTTGCTGCCGTCTCATCATTGAGTTGCTCAAGGCTGCCACGACCTTGGTTCAGACTAGGTCTCTCGGACGAATCCACTATCATTCCATCCTCCTCTGCCCAGATGTCCTGATAGGACCTCTTTCCTCGAGGCACGGCCAAGAACGGTGTGGTCCGATCACCTCGTTCGCGCAAAAATGCGATATCTTCTTCAGTAAGAGGCCGAAGAAAAGGTTCGGCGTAAGTTAGAAAAGTTGTCGCTGCGACTTGATTGGTTGGTTTAGCATTGCTGAAATCCTTGTCGGGGGGTTGCCCTGCAATCTGATCGCTCAAATCCTTGGTCGGGTACGCTGTGACACTGTATATCCGCTTCTTGTCAGCATCTGGCATGGTCGGTGTGACCTCTTCAATGTGGTAGACGGTAGGATCCTCCGCCAGCGGATCCGGGAAGTAACCTTGTTGCGGGACAGCGGGGGTCTTGTGAATGACTCTATTGTCCTCGCCTTCTGACATGGAAACATCGGATGGCGCAGGAGATTTCTTGGAGACGGGACTCTTGCTTCCGGCCGGCGAGTCGGCAACTTCTGAGAGAGACGAGGTGCCGGGGCTTAATTTCGTCTTCTTTGAGGGTGAGGGACTGTCAGTCGGCCCAGGCGTGCCAGTGGCACGGGGGCCCTTGATTTTCGCCGGCTCCTCTGCGGCAGTTGGATCAGCGGAATACTCATGCGATCAGGGGAAAGAAATGCGGGTGAAGTGCAAAAAGCAACTGAGCACCAAAAATGGAGATTTCACTTACCCTCTTTCTTGATCTCGACGCCATCCGAGCTTGATGGCCGGTCCTTGCGCTTCTTTGCCTTTACGTTCTTCGAGGATTCCTCTTTCTTGGTCTTACTTCTCCGGTTCTGTTCCGCCAGGCGGTCGCGTTCCTTCTGCTCGAACTCGACATCGCGCATCTGCTCGTGTATAAGGCGGACTGCGCGCTCACAGGATTCCACGCGCTTTTCGGCAGATTCGCTCAGTACTTTCAACTGCTCAATAATATCTTGCAGGCGCTTCGGCTCGAGGTTAGAGGGTTTCGTCTCGAGCTGTTCTAGTATCTCGGTGTATTGTGGATGATGCGCCACGAGCAATTTAGAGGTTTCGAGTTCGAGGAGGGGCGTTTGAGTGGGGTTGGATGGTGCGGTGCCGCTGATGACAGAAGATGGCGTGGTGTTCCGACTCCTCGACCTCCGTGCATCACGACTTTTGTGTTTGCCTTTCGTCGCCCCGGGCAATGGAGGCATTGTCAAATGGTCGGAATAGGTTTCGTGTGTCAGACGTGGTCACTGCAAGCCGTCATTAAGCGCTAGTGGCACTGTGGTGTTGTGATTTCGATCTTGATAGTCGAGTGAATGTGGTGTTTCTTGGGCGTCATCCAGTCTTCGACGTGGCACACCGGCACCTTTAGGAGGGAGTAGGCGGGGATAGACAAACGATGAATGATCACCGTCGAGATACGCGTGAAACGCAGTCGCAGTTCCGCCGGAGATCGCCACCATGGGCTAGCGCCTTGGCACACGTGACGAGCAGATTGTGGGGAAGTCTGGGGCCGTGAGACCCCCTCCTGTATGATCTCGTGCTTCGATCATTTGATCTTATCGTGTACAGTGCGCGAGGCTGTCTGCTCAAACCTCGAATTATCTAATATTTCAACGATCTTTCGCCCAGCAATTGACTTGAGGAGTTCGCTGCCTCTGTGCCACCTATTTGGTCGCCTGATTGCCTTATCAGTGACTCACTCTTACCAAGAGCGACGTCTGGTGAAACCATGACGCGCGACGGGACATGAGGTCTCAGCGGATTTCACGATCTCGTCAAGGATGTTGGACTTGTCGCGGACGCCGGGTGAAGTGTGACGGTATGAGTAGCCCCAGGCCCAGGGTAGTGCAAAGCGCTGACCAGTCGTCAGAGGAACGACCTGTATGCCACAAGTGTACCAAATCTGGGTCGCAATGTCTGTATGACTTGCGCTTAGTATGGAAGGAAGACAGCCTAGCTCGCGGTCTATGCCATGGCCGGGAGGGTGTCTGGTCAAAGAAAGGCAGGCGATTGCGCGATAGCGCGGCGCTGGACGATTCTCTGACCAGTCACCCATTCCCAAAGCTCGACGCCCTTCATTTCTTGAATACTACAAATAACGACATAAGCCTCCACTACCAACTTGATACTTCGCAGTCTTCCGTGGATGATGTCGGCAACACAGACGATGACCTTATGATGCCTGTTGCAGAAGGTATCGAGGCTACCGCGGCCCCCAATGCATTTTTTCAGCAAATCCCTGGTTCACTATCAATCATGCCTGTGAGCACTCTTCGGGCAAGCGATTACAGCCTCTTGGCTTATTATGAGTCCATTATCTGTCCGTCAAGTGTCTTTCTGGAGGGTATCAGTAATCCATACCGGCAAGTCCTATTGCCAATGGCGCTGCAATCTCGAGGCATGTTTCATGCAACGCTGGCGATATCTGCAAATACTTTGCGTCTTTCTTCGGCAGAATATGCCGTACTTGCGCTAGAACATCAACGCCAAGCCCTGAGACACTTGATGCATCTGATCAAACGGGAAGATATGGACGCGACGAGTATGGACGAGGTTCTGGGCCTGGTTTTAATGCTTTGCTGGTTTGACATATCTGATGGCTGCCGCCCTTCCTGGACCAAGCATCTCAAAGGCTTCCGTGGGCTACTTTTGCATCACCAACGACTAACTCGCAACAGTCATTCCCAAAGTCATAGCCTGGAACGTTTCTTCACTCAATACTTCGTCTTCCACCTAGTGCTTGCCAAGACTACCTTTCACACTGACGACATCGGACTTGGTGGCGATAGCAACGCTTGCAAAGGGAACAGCCAACAACTTGCCAGCGAGCCTCTGCCAAAGACCGACGGTGAGCTGGATCGGGACTTTTCCTCACCTTCGGCAGCGTTCATCTCGGCCTATCTATCGTCTTCTAAGGAGATCAACTTGTACATGGGTTTCTCGGACGCGCTGCTTCTCTTGATCAATGAGATAGCCGAGCTCAGTGTTCAGACCCCGAGAGTTATCATAGCTCGCCAGATAAAACGACGTCTGGACAAACTAGTGCAGGAGATTCCCCTATTGAACGGCAGCATTGTCGTTGGACGTGAGCGCATCGCAATCCTGGCTACAGCAGAGACCTATCGGATTGGGGCTTTGCTGTTCTTCCACGAAGTGCTACGAAACTCGCAACTCGGTAGCGATGTCGTGAATGAGGTCTTCAAGCCTTCCGAACGAGCAGCTTACATCACATCTATCCTGAATTTAGTGGACTCAAATCCCGACGTGCATCATATGGCTTGTCTACCCTTATGGCCACTGTTTATCGCCGGCTGCTGCGCAGACGATGACTTGGAGAGAGTCAAGACGCTCATGATCTTCGAGTTGATGGAGAAACAGCAAAGGTTCGGTAATATCGCACCTGCTCGCCAGGTCTTAGAGATGACTTGGCGTCAGCGAGACTTGCGCCACGAGGAGACTTCAGCGCCCTCGAGCAAGCTTGCAAAGGCAGATCGTGGGCAGCCTACACGCAGAGTATCACCAAACCAGGTAGCATTACCAAAGTTGGCACTCGGCAGTTCCATGCCAAATACCTACGAGTGGGAACGCATACTCAACATGTTGGGTGGATGGAGGATCAGTCTCACATGATGGGTATAGGACTCTAATTCATCATCTACAGCCTCGCCTGCCTGATAGTGAGTCTCTCCTTCTTGGAACCCCGCCATCCCACCAGATCCCGGAGCTCAAGTTCATCGTCCATATGCGCAAGATCCCTTTTCTCAACAACCTGTCCAGGGCGCCAGTCCCAGCTTTTCCTGATGCCATCCTCCAGCTTGCCCTCTAGCAGGTCGGCAATGTACTTGCCAAGCACAGGCAGGAATTTGAAGCCGTGTGCAGATCCGCCGGTTGCAAGAAACAAGCCCTTGTGCTCCGGATGCGGTGCGACCAAAAAGTGCCGGTCCGCGGTGTCAACGTCCCAACACAGGCGTGTGAAGCAAAACGGCCGGTCCGCCAGCTCTGGCAATATCTTCCGCAAATTCGCTCGCATCGCTCTCTGAAGTACAGGCGGCAGATCATCCTCGGGATGTTCCACGAATGTATGTGGCAACGACGTCATTACCGCCGTCTTCGGGCTTGCCATGGTATTGACCACGAATTGCCCATGAGCCATCTTGAATTTCCGGTCCTTGTTCGGCGGAAAGACATAACCCAACTCCAGGTTATCCATAATCGGCAACTTCTCGTAGCGCTTGGCCTCCTCTTCTCCCATCTGGATGTGAATCACACTGTGGCCTTTGGCCGTCAACTGACCCTTGCAATCCAGCAAGCCCGGCGTCCAGGCCCCAGCCGCCATCACAACCACATCCGCCACGTACGCCGTCCCATCGGCCGTCCTCGCGCCCTTACAGGTTCCGTCTTCCCCGTAGACCAGCTCCACCACCCTGCCCTTCTCGCCACTCACAAAGCGACACCCGCTCCTCTGCGCCGCCACTCCCACCCTCCTCAACGCCTCCCCGGCCTCCGCCCACCCGGCCATCGGATTCCACACGTTCGCATTCCACCCCTCCAAATCCCCCGTCACCAACGGCCACCGCCTCCTCACCTCATTCTTCTCCAGCCTCTCCACCTGGACACCCATCCTCTGCGCCGTGCGCACGCTGCCCTCCACAAACGGCACGCTCTTCTCCCGGGCGCTCAAGATCCATCCCGGAACATGGTACAGATCCTGAAAGAGGGGGTCGGAGCGCCACTGCGCGATGGCTTCCAGCCCGAGACGCGCGTACAGCGGCTCGTTGTAGTCGGAGCGGATGACCTTGGAGATGTCGGTGGCGGCGGCGTCGACGGAGGGCAGCGCGTGCGGGTCGAGGACTGTGATGTCGGTATAGGAGCGTTGCGCGAGAGCCAGGGCGGTGGAGGTGCCAAAGGCGCCGGCGCCGATGATGAGGATACGCGTGTCGGACTTCATTCTGCTGATTGGGGACTGTGGCTGATGGGAGGAGTGCCGACGGCGGTGCGCGCGATAGGCTGGAAAGGAAGGGATTGAATCTATTTTGTATGTAAATCCTGAGCCAGACAAGTTCTGAGATGCGTTTGTGTTATGGGTGCCGATGTAGTTTCTCACCATACCACTCAAGAGTCACAATCACGACATATTGTTTCCCTGGGAGGTCTCTCCTCGACTTTGCGGAAGGTCGACCCCGTTTTTCGCCCTTCTACATTCACATCGTGCCGTACATGGGTCCGTGTAGTGGAGTAACTGCTGCAACCCTTTGGAGGCTCCCTTAATTGAAAGCACGAGACGGAGATGTGAGTCGCCGTGGCCGCTTCCGACAGTGATACCCTGGACCTTTCTGTCTGCCATTCGTGTCCCCGACGTCGGCGCCAAGTATGCTAGTATGCTAGTATTGCCATGCACCGTCCGAGTGTGGGTCTGACCCCCAAAATACGGAGCACCGGTATTCAATGCAGGGTCAATTGAAAGTCAAAACGCAGAAGTGGAGTACAAAACCTCGCTCCGACCTTCACTACTTGGTACGTACCGACTGCTCTAGAACCAGTCCCACCCCCCCAATTCCCGCTGCCCGCTAAGGCGGTTCCGGGCTCTTTTCTCTAAGGGGTGTTCTCGCTATGACCTTCACTTGCTGTATAGCCAATGCTCTGACACCAAAAGACAGATACCCAGTGCATTGCTTGACATGTTCGCGCGCTCTTATCTGTGGGGTGTCTCGCTATGACCTTCACCTACTGTGAGCCGATGACCCACTAGAAGCCGGTTGTCTGCCAAAGGCCGAGATGTGCGGCAATCCAAGCTCCCGGTGCCAGCTCGTATCTGTATCTCTGGTACTAATCTTACGGGTACCGCAAATGGTGGGTCCGAAGGGTGAGGCGAAGACACATGGAGATCCGGGGACACGTGCGGGACTGACCCAGCAGGGTGTTGAGAGTAAAGACTCGACAGCAGTCTTCAGGGAATGCTAGTGCTGTGGACTGGGATAGCCTGAGATCAACACAACAGTATGGCACAGTATGCGTGGTAGAAGGTCTACCAGGCTGACCATTGACTCTCCTTGTCACAAAGACTACTACTGCTGCAAAAGGCCTATCTAGTAGCTATAACGGAAATCCGGTTTCTCCTTGTCCGTCAAATCCGTGAAAGCGGCATCGGTGCTGATCTCAGCGCCCTGGACAGCACCCTGCTGCGCGTCACGAATCTTGTTGTCCCGCCAGCACAAGTACCCGTAAGCGGAGATGGATGCAATGGCGATCACGATGCAGCACAGCAGCCCGATGTATCCATTCGTGTAGTCGGGAGCGTCGTCCGCGCGGAAGACCTGGGGGCCGAGGATGTTTCCGAGGCAGTAGGCCAGGAAGAAGATGGCGTTCATGGTCACCTTCTTGCTGTGGCCGGAGGTGTTGGCCATGGGGAGACTCGTGCTTAGGACATAGGGCGCCCAGTAGGCTGTAACGTTGGGAAATGGGAGTCAGTAAAGATGTTCAACCCGAGAAGTATGAGGGGCACGATTTCGCTGGAGATTGGCTGGACTGGTAAACTTACTGTAGAACACGTAATATGCTGCCAGGAGACCCTGCTGGTTGCTGCGGGGAAGCTGCCACATGAGCACCGCGCAGATCATAGGCACCAAGTTGGCGAGTGCAATGATGATGCAGCGTGAGTTCTTGATCTTGGACGATGGATAGGCAAGCATCAACTGCCATACAGTGGCCAAGACTCCCGTCGGTATACCGAGCAGGACGGTATTCAGTCTGCTGTATCCCAAGCCGGAGACGATGATGGCCGCGAAGGTGATGAGTCCACCGTTGGGAATGTTCTGGGCGCAGGAGAAGATAGCCAATAGCCACGTCTTGGGATCAAGGAGACACTCTCGGATTTGATACCACTTGATCGTGCGGTCCTCCACGCCCGTGTTGTTGGCCTTGACGCGGACCAGACAGATGTACTTCTCGCGCTCCGACATCCAGCGGCACGTCGTAGGCGAGTCTGGTAGCCAAATCCAGACAATTGCGGCCCAGACGATGGAGTAAGCCCCGAGCACGATGAAAAGGAGGCGCCAGGGTGCTAGGGAGACGTTTGTTTGCCCGATCCCATAGGACACGATGCCAGAGAAGATAGACGATCCCTGATTGAACCAGAACGCTACTCTGATAGGTTGCTCAGATCGTCGCCACCACATGACTGTCATGATGCTGGAGACTGGGAATACCATGGCTTCTGTCATTCCCATGATGAAGCGGCAGGTTGCGAGACCAGCGAAATTCTGGGTCGCGGCGATACACAGCATCATTACGGCCCAGCCGAAGCAAGCGGCAGAAAGCAGCTTCGCAACTGGAAAGCGTTGGATGAGGACTGCGCAAGGATATTCAAAGACCAGGTAACCACTGTAGAATGTCGAGGGATCGGGTCAGTACAGCCGTCTCAAATGCCAAGACTGGTGCCCAGAAGGGCACCTGTTATTGAGACCAAGTGACTTACAAGTAAAAGATGCTTCCTACCCAACTGAACTGATCAGGGCCGAGTTTCGTGTCCTCACGCATGCCATAGATAGCGGCGTTGGATATTATGACCTTGTCGACAGCCGCGAGGATGATGGTGGCGGCTATCATAGGTAGGATGATGAAGTCAATCCTGCGCAGGACCTTCTTGAACTCGGCGTCTGTAATGGGTGCCTCCGCAATGGCAGGATCCAGGCTTGACAGAAACTTGGCCGCGACATCTGCATCGGCGCGGCCTCGCGGAACCTCGACGCTGACCTCGCCGACATTGAGCTTCTCATTGCCCGTGGAGTGAGCGCTCTCCTCGTTAGACACTTTGTCTGGCTCCATATTCGATTGACCGTAAGTGAGGGGTGTTGGAGAGCTATGAATTTCGGCTTGGTTCGACAGGCTGACTGGCACGGGGCAGGCTACCACATCTTTATACGATGGAACGGTTGGTAAACATTAGCAACCAAGCGTTTCGCGTAGCTTATCACCACCAGAAGGAGATGGCCAGCTTGGTGTGAGATAGCATGCAAGGATATGGCCCGCCACACGGGGCGGATATCTAACGGTTCAAAGATCACAAAGCCCACGCGCAGCCAGGCCCATCTGGGCAGCTGTGCACGAAGATCATGAGGAAGGTCGGTGCGAAGTGGAGCCTTGATAGTGTCGTTCCCGCCGCCGGGGAAGACGAAGGTTGATAGTAGCCAAAGCGTGGGCACTGTTGGAGCTTGGAGATGTCCGGAGTCGAGAGCTTTCGTCATGACACAACTTACCCTCACCATTTGCGTCCAGTTGTGCTTAATTTGGCCGTCTGACGATGGCAGTAATCTTGGCGTTGCCCGCGCCGGTGATTTCACGGGTGCAACGCCCGGCCACTGGACTCCAATCTTTTCGTCCACGGGTAGTTGTCCAGAAAGCGACCGATCTGCTTATCAGCGTCAGTAAGTTATGACTTATGAAGAAATATGGGACGCTTGTCATGGCGGTTAGTATTGAGTACCAGTATCTCACTCGCTTTCTCCACTCTACAACCCGGCACTCGAGCCGGACTTGGCCCACCGTTCTCGCAGTCATCTATGCATCCAATATAAGCCGGCTGTCGTTCCTCGCCAGGTCTGTGATAGAGGCTCAGCCACTGCACTAGGAACATGGCACCTCATCGCGTGGATGTCGAGGCTGATGGTCTCAAAGTGAAGATTGCGATTGATAGAGGTGGTACCTTCACCGACTGCCTCGGAATTGTCGAAGGCCGGGAAGACGTCGTGGTCAAGCTGCTGTCTCAAGACCCGGCCAACTATGCCGACGCTCCGATCGAGGGGATCCGGCGGATCCTGGAACAAGTCACAGGGAAATCGCTCCCAAGAAATGAACCGCTCAATATCCACGACTTCTCCGAGTTCAATGTTCGTATGGGTACAACCGTCGCCACCAACGCCTTACTGGAACGCAAGGGTGAGAAGATCGCCCTGCTGATCACCAAGGGCTTCAAAGACGGCCTCATTATCGGCGATCAGACGAGGCCGAAGTTGTTCGATCTCAACATCCAGAGGCCGGGAGTCCTTTTTGAGGAGGTGGTCGAGGTAGACGAGCGCGTTACCAACGAGGACTACAAGCAGAACCCCTTTCCAGAGCCAGAAAAGCTGGCAGCGGCGTTGGAGTCGGATCCCAAGTTGGTCCGAGGCATCAGTGGAGATGTCATGCGTATCCTTGACAAGCTGGACGAGAGCAAGACGCGCTACGACTTGCAAAGGCTATACGACTCCGGATACCGCTCAATCGCTGTCGTGCTTGCCCATTCCTACACCTTTCAGGAGCATGAATTGGCAATCGAGCGCATCGCCAAAGAGATTGGTTTCACTCAGATCTCTTTGAGTAGCCAGCTGCTACCTATGATCAAGCTCACATCACGCGGGGCTTCTGCCACCGTCGACGCATATTTGACTCCCATCATCAAACAGTATATTGAGAGTTTCCGTTCGGGCTTCAAAGGTCGTTTGACTTCTGATGACACCCGTTGCGAATTCATGCAAAGCGATGGTGGTCTCGTGAACTTTGAGAAGTTCACTGGACTCAGAGCCATTCTGTCTGGCCCCGCCGGCGGTGTCGTGGGCTTTGCTAGGACCTCCTTTGACGATCAAGAGAAGACTCCTGTTATCGGCTTTGACATGGGAGGTACTAGCACAGATGTTTCACGCTACGATGGTGCATTCCAGCACACCTTTGAGAACACCACTGCTGGCATCACAGTTATGGCACCTCAGCTCGACATCAACACCGTTGCAGCTGGTGGAGGTAGCATTCTCTTCTGGCGTCATGGCTTGTTCGTTGTCGGACCAGACTCCGCAGGAGCACACCCAGGCCCAGCCTGCTACCGGAAAGGGGGACCGCTAACCGTGACCGACGCCAATCTCTTCCTTGGGAGATTATTGCCGGAATACTTCCCCAAAATCTTCGGCCCATCGGAGAATGAGCCACTTGATGTCGAGATCACTCGTCAAAAGTTCTTGGCACTCACTGAGCAAATCAATCAAGAAACTGGACAGTCAAAGACTGCCGAGGAAGTTGCACTTGGCTTCTTGGACGTCGCGAACGAAAGTATGGCGAAGCCCATCCGCCAGATCACTCAAGCTCGGGGTTTCGAGACTTCTGCGCACAATCTTGCGTGCTTTGGTGGTGCTGGTGGACAGCATGCGTGCGCCATTGCATCATCGCTTTATATTCAGACAGTCGTCATCCACAGATACTCTTCCATCCTCTCGGCCTACGGCATGGCGCTTGCTGATGTTGTGCACGAAACGCAGCAACCAGCATCAAGTGTTCTAGACGATGCCTCAATGGCAGAGCTACGAAGTCGTACGGAAACACTGAAAGACAAGGTTCGGAAGGAGCTGGTAGACGATGGCATTGCCGAGGCCTCCATAGCCTACGAAGTCTACTTGAACTTGCGCTATGAGGGCACAGACAATTACCTCATGATACTAGAGCCGGAGAATGGCGACTTCAAGAAGGCATTCATCGAGGATCATCATCGAGAGTTCACATTCACCTTCTCCGAGCGAAAGATCCTGGTCGAAGACATCCGTGTTCGGGGAGTAGGCAAATCCCTGGCAATGCCACCCGAGACACCGCACGATGCTTTGAGGTCACTCAAATTCTTCCCCGTGAATGCAGATCAGCAGGACAACTCCACCTCCATCTATTTTGGGTCTACGGGCAGGGTCACAGCACCGGTGTTCTTCCTGAAGAAGCTGCAGCCGGGCGCCACGATCGCAGGTCCTTGTGTGATACTTGACAACACGCAAACCATTGTGGTCGAGCCAGAATCTACAGCCAAAATCCTTCCGCGTCACGTCGTTCTCGATGTGCCTACCTCAAGAACTGTCTCAGCCAGCTCAACGGAGGTTGTGGACCCAATTAGGCTGAGCATCTTCGGTCACAGGTTCATGAGCGTTGCTGAACAGATGGGACGAATGTTCCAGAAAACATCTGTGTCAACAAACATCAAGGAACGCCTGGACTTCTCGTGTGCACTCTTCTCGCCCGACGGACGTCTAGTTGCTAACGCACCGCATGTGCCGGTGCATCTAGGCAGCATGGAGTACGCCGTACGGTATCAACATCAGCGTTACGCAGGAGATCTCAAGCCTGGTGATCATATCTTGACCAACCACCCCTTGGCTGGCGGCACACACTTGCCCGACATCACAATCATCACCCCGGTCTGGAGCGAGGATGGTGCACAGATCATCTTCTATGTTGCGTCTAGAGGGCATCATGCCGAGATTGGTGGCACAAGACCGGGCTCTATGCCTTCTGACAGCAAGATGCTGTACGAGGAGGGTGCAATGACTATGGGCTTTAAGATCGTCTCGGAAGGCAATTTCAACGAGGGACTCGTCCGAAACTTCCTCTGCACCGAGCCTGCTCAATATCCGGCGTGTTCAGCTACGCGTGAGTTCATTATAGCCCATGCCTGACCCAGATCGCCCCATCCCATCCCAACCCCTTCTCTCTTCGCCAACCCCCCACCATCCGAGACAAGTGCTGTTACCTTTGCTAACCACTCGTAGGCACGTACAATGATAACGTCAGCGATCTTCAGGCAGCAATCGCGGCGAATCAAAAAGGTGCCCAACTAATCAAGACGCTCATCGATGAGTACACACTCCCGGTGGTTCACTTCTACATGGCAGCCATCAAAACGAATGCTGAGGTATCAGTCCGCGACTTCCTCAAGAAGACAGCTGTCGCCACCGAGAACAAGCCTCTACGTTTCTCCGACTTCATGGACGACGGCACCGAGATTCGCTTGGAGATCCGCATTGATGGAGCTTCCGGCAACGCTGAATTCGACTTCACCGGCACAGGAAGAGAGACTTTCAATTGCTTGAATGCACCGAAAGCCATCGCCCACTCCGCCATCATCTACTGCTTACGGGCTCTCATCAACGTCGATATTCCTCTCAACCAAGGGTGCCTAGAGCCGATTAATGTCATCATCCCGGAAGGAACAGTGCTCAACCCGTCAGGACATGCTGCTGTCTGCGCCGGTAATCCTATCACATCGCAGCGTATCACGGATGTCATCCTCGGTGCCTTTGGTGCCTGTGCTGCAAGTCAGGGAGACTGCAATATTATCTCCTTTGGCATGGGCGGGAAGGACTCCCAAGGCAACGAAGCCAAAGGCTGGGGCGTCGGTGAGACTATAAGTGTATTTTGGGTCTATTCTGATTGTTCTGATGGCAGCTAACTTGTGTCTACAGGGCGGAAGTGGTGCAGGGCCCCACTGGCATGGCACATCCGGTACACATGTCCATATGACAAATACCAGGATCACCGACTGCGAGGTATACGAGATACGCTACCCCATCATTCTACGGCAGTTCAGCATCCGCAAAGGTTCGGGTGGCAAGGGCAAGTTCAGAGGCGGCGATGGTACGATACGAGAGATCGAGTTCCGCATGCCCCTGTCGGCCAGCATGCTCAGTGAACGCAGAGTCTACCGGCCATACGGTATGCAAGGCGGAGAGCCCGGCGATGCTGGACTGAACTTGTACATCAAGAAGGAGAGGGATGGCACAGAAAGGACAATCAACATTGGCGGCAAGATGGAATTGGCTATGCAAGCCGGCGAGAGAATCGTTATCCACAGCCCAGGTGGAGGTGGTTGGGGCAGTTATGAAGGAGAGGCTGATGAGAGCATTGGCAGAGACAACAAGCCCATGACACCGGCCGCGTTCCAGCCCAGAGGGAGTGTCTTCGACTGGACGGCCACTGCGCAGGCGGCGCAGTGAGGTGGTCTACAAGCCCGAGGGGCTGGGTCTTCAGTTCTTACAAGTGTTGAAGCCATTACTACGCTTTACTAGACAAGGTCCGCCTCATATTTCCAGCGGCGGACGTATGTAATTCCGAGCCACGTTTCGACGAGGTCAGCCAGCACCATGTCTGCCTCTTGGGTCACGGCCGACTCCAACTGGCCCAGCCTGGGGGCGGCGTGAGTAAAATTGGGGTCGGGGAAGCAGAGGGGCAACGAACGGCAAGAACTGATTGATTGGGGCCAATATTTTGACAGTTGCGTCAATTATCCCCACGGAGAGTGGTCTCTGCATCTTGAAATTTGGCTTGATAGATCATGGCATACCGTTGCTGGTGAGATGGCCCTGCGCAAGTGCTGTGAGGTATCCTGCTACTGTCCGTTTTCTCGCGTCCAGTGGTCCGCTGTATGAGGCAGTGTCCTCGTCGGAATATACGGTGGTCAACCACAATCAGCCTCTTGAATACCCGCCTGCACTTTCTTGGCATCGCTGAGCACCAGACAGACGAGCCCTTTGCTAGGTGTCGCTCGCCTCTCGAAGGTCGGTCCAAAGCTCAGAGCTAGGGTACCCGATTTCATACTTGAGCAAGAGACCATGTTGGCTAAAGCAAGTCGCCGAGGTTAGAAGCATCGCTACCAGGCTGGAGTTTTTGGCGTTGTGATTGTGGCGTTGGGCTGCATGGAATGAGGTTCAAGCCCCAGCCTACAGCCGGACTAATCTGCTTGTGGGTTGTTCTTTGCGGGTGGTCACCATACTTAGACACGAGTGGGCTTGCGACTACTCGGTGAAGGTTGCAAATTACGCTCCTGTGATCGACTTTCAATTGGGTAAGAGACATCAGACCAATCTGAAAACAAGCAAGGCTTTGCAGCAAGCAGCCTTCAGTCTGCGAGGAGGCGTCTCGGTAAGGGCGCCGCTTTGCTGGTAGAACCTGTCTGGAAGGGCCGAAATGTCCGTATTTCGGTCTCTTGCAGCCTGACCGTGCGACTGATCGAGCAAGCACCTACAAAGATCTGTCTCAGCCGCAGCGATGGGTTGCGCAACTTCTCCTCTGAGGCACTCATAGCAGCAGAGCTCAACGCGATGGCGACCAAATCTCCCAGCCAGACGCGGTCAAGCCAGCAGAAACACCATCTGCGCAAGACCCTGAGGCCGTCCAATGAGGCTGAGAATGTCAAAGAAGTCTACATCCTGGTTATGGGCCTCACAGGAGCTGGCAAGAGCACATTCATCTCCATTGTGACGGGCGACGACAGCATCCCGATCGGAAAGGACGATGAGCTTGACTGTGGTGGGTTCATTTCTGAGAAGAGGTTCTGTCGAGACACAAGCTGACGTACTCTCAAGTCACCCAAGAGGTCAGAGACTATTCCTTTGAGACCAGCTACCATGGCGAGTTCTACGAGGTCCATCTCATCGACTCTCCAGGCTTCGACGATGGTGTGGCCAACGATGCCGAGATCCTGTCGCGAATCGCCACCTACATCAATGTACTCTACAAAATGAAGAATACTATAGCGGGGGTCTTGTATCTCCATGATATTACCAAGGCCCGCATGGGCGGCGTTGGTCTCCGAAATCTTCGTATGCTCGAGAACATGATCGGTATGGACAAGTGGGACAATTGCACCCTCGTAACTACCAAATGGGGCTGCACCAACAACGCCGAAGCCGAAGAGGGCCGCGAGAATCAACTCCGCACCAGGCCACAGTTCTTTCAAGCCATGATTGAGAGCTCGTACAGCGCCAAAATGGTCCGCTTCCACCGAAGCAAGGCATCTGGCCTGGAGATCATTCGACCCCACCTCCGTCGCGCTTTCACGCCCAAGATAAGCGAACAGATGGTCGACCCCGACGGCCCAAAGTACAGCCTCGGCGAAACCGACGCTGGCAAAGTCGTCGCCGACAACCTCGAGAAGCTCGCACAGATGAACCAACAGGCCGAGGAACTCGCGGCCGCCAAGAAAACCCTGGAGCAAAAGTTCGATGAGAAGCTGTTTCAGGAGTACAAGCGCAAGCGCGACGAGATTCTCTCAAAGCACCGCACGCAGCGCGCAAGCCGCTGGGCGGTACGCGCGGCCATCCTGGGCGGTGGCATCGCCGCCGGAGTCGTCACCATGGGCCCGGGCGCGTCTGTACTGGCCGCCGAGCCCGTGTTCGAACGGTACGCGCGCAAGCAGAAGCGTCGCGAGACGGCGGAGAAGATCGCGTTGCGCGAGAGTTACAAGAAGGAGAGCGCGGCCGCCGGCACCATGGCCAAGTACAACACCGACTGGCTCATGGACCGGAAGGTGCAGCACCGTCACGACCTTGATTGCGATGAGTACAGTATGGTTAATCAGAGCGAGTCTTCAGTAGGATTGGCGCCGGCGGCTCCAGTCAGGAAGTCTCGCGACTCGCTATCTGACGATAGTGACGGCAGTGACTTTGCAGACTTGCGCTCCGACGTTCCATGGAACAAAGCCTTCGCCAAGTAGCAATCGAGTAGCTGCTTTGTGCTTCGAAGTACAGAGGGTGAGGGGTGATCGATCGTCAGCTGGGAGGGCCACTTGTATACAGGACTAAAGAGATATTGAGCATGTTCCCTCATATTGGTAATAACCGGCAATGAACAACTCGTCAAGAGAAGCAAACGGACATCAAATGTCAAGAGAGTTGCTGGCCATATCAAGGCTAAGACGAGACCAAACTACTCTTGAATAGGTAATATATGTCAGCCAATATTAGCCCTCCCCCCGCAAAGCTCTGATTAACGTTGCTAGGTGGGTAGCAAGCGTGGACTCTGAACCTACAGGAGAGAACGGATGTGAAGCTATTGAGCAGAAACTCCTATCCGCAAAGAAGCACCTTACCGGTTCAAACCAAGACTCCAGTACATCCTGGGGACATGGTCTAGTCTCACAGAACTCTTGGCGAGTTTTGTATATAACAGCAGCTCATCTCAGGTTCGTGAAACGGGCTTGGTGGGTGCAACGGATTTATAGGCAGGGCTCAGGTCAAAGGGGGGGTCCTGACTCGTTTTTCTCGGGCGGATCCCTACCACTCATCGGCGGCCTGACTCGGGATCCGATATAGGAGACTTCTGTGCGGTGTCTAGACCGCTTTGTCCACAATCCTCCCGTCCTTACTTCACAATATAAGCGTCATTCATCTCATCGTATCTCTATTCTTCTTTCATCATCTCGCATCGCAGAGAAGGCTTACCCTCTGCTATACTCGACGCAGCCAGTCGGCACCCAACAATCACAAACCGTCAAGATGGAGTCTATACGAAAGCAAGCGTCAAACCCTCACTATCTCTGACCACACGCCACACCGACGAAATTTGGCATATGTTGAGTCTGAACATCAGACGCGGAAAATCCTTCTGAAGCACCCACGTCCGGCAACAAAACGTATATACGGTGGGTAGCAGGATTCTGTGTTTGCATAAGTGTACAACGAGTCTGTAATTGGTATGTTCTGACCCTCCTTCTACCCATCGATAGCTGTCACTGATGGCTGATCGATGCAGTGGACAGAAATGGAGAGCGAGCTGTCACAGCAGCTAGGCCGATTGAACACTGACCGCGCACGCCTGTTTGTCCCAGATGAACAGTCTGCGTCCACCACTCCGTGCTCGACCAGCTTTACGGGTTCTATCCCTAGCACCTCCCTCACCGCGGCATCATCGACGCCTTCATCTGATGACGAGAGCACTACTCCGTGCTGCGAGATACAATCCACGCCCGACCGTGGCCAAGCACTATTCTCGGCTCGCCGCATCCGTCCAGGCACTCTGATTTTTGCCGAGGAACCTCTTATCGCTTTGTCCAAGGAGCTCGAGGAGTCATATGAGGCTATCGAGGCCGCATTCTCCGCGCTCAGCAAGCGAGAAAAGAAGGCGTACGGTGCCTTGTTCGATGCCAAGAAAAGCCGCATGAGTACAACGGTCTCGATCTATTACAGCAACTGCTACAGCACTGAAAGTTTTGTTGGTGCACAAGTATCGGATAACACACTTGAAGGCGGCTCGTGCATTGGCAAACTATCCTCTCGGATCAACCATAGCTGCGTACCAAACGTCTGCTTCTCGTTCTTACCACCTTCCCTTGCTCATCGTCGAGGCCAGATGCGGTTCTATGCCATCAAGGCGATCTCAAAGGGAAAGGAACTCTTGTCGAACTATGACAAGAGCATTTTCGAGACGTCGAGGAGGCGACAGCAGAAATACCTGCTGCATTATGGTTTCAGGTGCACGTGTGAGGCGTGTCTGCCACAGACAGATTTCTGGACGAGGAGCGATGAACGACGAAGAGCAATGAGAGACGCCGTCTCGTCCGTCAAGGGTCTGGAGAAGAAATGGCAAAAGGCTTTCGAAGAGGATGACGCGACCATCCAAGTCGAGGTTTGCCGCGGAGCGGTCGTTGAGCTTTTGGAGCTGCAGGGCTTGTTGGTGAAAGAGGGCCTGACCGCTGTACCGCTGGCCAACGCTTACCGAAGCTTGGTCAAGTGGTCTGAAAGAGGCGGACTAGACGTTCATCAGTGGCGAGAGAAGGAGCTCGAAGTATCTATACTAATGTCTGGAAAGAAGAGTTTGAGAAGTGTGGCACTGAAGCAGGTCCTTGATGACAACATCAGTGGCTAGAGAGTCACAAGGCTATTGACGATTCGGGTGGCTTGCCAGGTAGCTCAAATATATCAACACAACTTTTCCATACCCCCGGTTCGTGTCATTCTATGCGATTCTTCCCAACCCACTGGTCCTTAAGCCGATCATAGGGCCCGGGCGGGCGCCGTTAAACGCCGAGCTCCTTACTTGTTGGACTGCACCGTCATAATCATGGCTAATTCAAATGCCACCCCTCACACTTTCGGTCTTGATCTTAAGTTCTGGTCAATTTTGTTTTCAAAGAGAAACGATCAGAGACGAGTGGTGTAAGGGAAGAAGCATTCTTCTTGACATGCGTCGAGATATGATGTCATTTGAATGGTGACGAAGCTGCAGCTCCGAATAATTTATACCCGCATCAGTATACCCTCCTATTCAAAACCAGTGCGTCCATGGCTATCTAGACTCCGTATCATATCAGGCCACCATCAGCAAGATGCTCCGCTCACTGACACGCGTCTCCCTCCGGCAAACTACCGCCTCGACCCCCCTCTCCCTCCGCCTGCGCGCCCTCTCCACCCTCCCCTCTAACTCCCATGTCTATGTCTTTCCCGACCCAAATAATCCAGCACAACATCTCCTCACCTTTCTACCCACGTCCCCACCTAATGCCTCCCTCGCCATCGGCACTACGACCGCCAGCCCACCCAACCCCTCCTCAGTCCAAGAAAACCCCCGATTCCTCGACCTCCTCCACTCCACCATTGCCGAGCACGGCCACCAAGATCCGCAACTGCGGGGCGAAGCTACCGCGCTAGCCACCTCGACCGGCGGGATCCCTCTGGCGCAGACGCAGCGGCGACAACAGACCGGCTCCGCCGGCGCCAGCGATCAGGGTGGTCACGGCGGCGGTGGGCGCGGCGGCTGGATCCACGTATACGACCTGAGGCATCCGCCTGATTTTGGCAGGATCCCGGATCCAGAAGATATCTTTGGGAGTCTGGAAGTGGATGCCGACGGCACTTTTACCGATGGCACGGGCGACTATCAGCAGAGTGGGACGTATCGGGTATGCACCCGGGATGGGGTGGTGCAGCTCAGTGACTTTCTAAGAGGGAAGTTGATTCAGAGGTTGAAGGCGGAGGAGGCGAGGCTCGGGAAGTCGTGATGAGCTCGTGGGTGGAAACGGTGAGGAGACCAAGTCAAGACCACAAGCAGCACAGACCGGCGCGGCATGTCCGGAGCACTGAAAGCGGCCAACATTCGCTTTCCACCGGGAAACGGTCTGGAAGGCCGCCGGTAAAATTGTGCATGCAGAGGGTTTGAGCTATGTGCTAGAAAATGAAGGACGGCACAAAGCGATTGATATCGATACAACGGCGTCAGGTTAACCACACAAATGGTGATGGAGTAGGAACTTGAGCATCGCTTCGACACGACGGGGCGTTTGAGCGGAGAAGCGACTACGTATTCGGTGGCGTTATGCACAGCGTTCAGGCCTGTCACTCGGGGATTTGGTGGGTGACCAGTAGACTCTACCATTTTGATTATAGCACTCGTCGCCAGCGCATGAACCTAATATGGCAACAATATGTCTGCATCCCATATCCGAGCCCGTCTCAAAATCATCCCCATGCCATCCTTCCCATATCTACACCACGAGCCCCTCAACACCCGCAGCCCGATTTCTTCACCTCCTCGCCCACAGGCTTCTCCCTCGCAGCCCTGATTCCCTCAATCCTCGGCTTCGGCATGCCCACGCGCTCGATCTCCTTTCCATCCACCCAAGTCCTTACCTTGTCTGGATAGAAGCAGTACAAGCCCTTGATACCCGCCGACTCCTGCGTCGGATTCTCATAGTACCACACCACATCTTTGACCTCCTTCCCATCCACGACCGCATCATAGTAGCTCGCCTGGCCCTTGTACGGACAGCCGGTCTTGGTGTCGCTCTTGCGCAGGTACTGCCACCGAATCTAAACAAACACACACACACAAGACCATCAGCAAAAATCTTAAAACCTCACAACGGAAAGGAAAGCCCTGGTGAGCTCTGATGATGCCGGGGCATTGCAAAAACTCACCGCCGTCCCGGGCAAATACCACCTGCCCGGAAAATTCGTCTCCCACAAACTCACCACGCCCCCTTCACCCGCGGTATCCGCGACCACGGCGCCCTCGACCTCGACCTTCACCTGCCTCCCACTCGGCAAGAGATCCACGCGATGAAACGGATCTTTCGGGTGGAACAACACCTCCGCCAACTCCTCGTACCACGCATCAATGCTCTTGAACTCCACCTTCACCAACCCCTTCAACTCATGGTCAAACGATTCCGGCACCACAAGCGCCGGCACGCTCTTCTTCTCCTGCCCCTCCTTGGTCGTCAGGCTATAAGTCGACGACTCAATGCCGCTGACGGGCTGGTCCTTGTCGAAGACGGCCGCGGCCGTGAAGTCGGCGCGCGGGATCCAGTACTGGGGGAAGAATTTGTGTTCCCACACCAGGAGGGCGGCGGTGGTGTCGAAGAGTAGGTGTTGGTTGAGGAAGCCGCGGACGCGTTTGTCTGTCGGGAGGGTCTTGACGGGCGAGAAGCCGTTGGCGGTGAAGAGGCGGGAGGCGAGTTGGGTGATTTGGGACATGGTGTGGGTGGTGATCCGTCGGGGCGATTGAGGGGCAGTGATGTTGAACGAGGGAAGGCGTTGGAGGAGCAGGCAGGCAGGCAGGCAGGCAGGCAGTGAATCCTTGGCGCTATAAGGGCGTTGTGAGGGGTGAGGGGCGCGTTTCGAGAGCGTCAGACAGACTCCAACGAAGTCTGATTTTATGGGTGTGTACCTTGGTTTCGAGCGTATATTCTTGCCTGTGTCAAGCGCAACGTAGGACCTCGTAATCCCGGGCAGTGCGTGCTTGAACCCTGCGCTGTTTTCAGAGTTGGCCGGAACGACTATATCAATGCTCTGACCCCGCGCTGCGACATACACTCTAGCGCCGCTTTTACGATTCCACAATCAGGCTGACAACCACTGCCAGGCAGCAAAAGACCAGGAAAGGAAGTCGTTTTCTTGCCTGTTCGAGGCAATGGTGAAGATGGCCGCGAGGGCAGAATGCAGTAGGTCAATATAAGCACAACGATTACTGCGGGACGACTCGGATTTGTCATGCCGGGCTCCGCGGACGCGGCGGCCTCCAGGCTACTCTAGCGGCGAACTGGGCGCGAGATCGACGATGCTATTGGGGCGTGCGGGAACGCGCGGGGGTGCGGATGTGCAAACGGCGAAGGTGGATGTGCTGCGTGCTGTGTGCGGAGTGTATATGTGTGGCTTAGCATTGATGTGCTGCTTATGTATCCTATCTTAATCCCGCAGTCGCATCTCTTGGTTTTGATCAGCTAATCCGTCTCGGGACGACTATCTATCCTGAGCCCGACGCAGCAGGGTTGCAAACGCCCGTGGGAGGCTAGCAGATGCTTGAAGACTCGAAGCTGTTGCTGTTCGCGGCCTCTATCTGCAGCGAAGGGGACCTCAGGACCAGACGCATGGTCGCCGACCCTGTCTTCGGGCAATGAGCAGCGGGCCGTACCCATGGCTGAGGTCCGCCATAGATCATTCAATGCTGGATCTGACATGCTCAAGAAGACTCCGGGAAGAGCTGTGCAGCGCTCAAAGTCGCTAGCAACATCTTAGGCCGGACTACCGTCTCCAGAGCTATTAACGAAGTCCTTCGTCCCCTTCTCTTGGTCACCATCATAGCCCCTGTTCGCTCGCCAACTTCCACCTTCACCGTCGGTGCGTGTCATGGACGTAGCTGTGCTGCGCTGGCTCATCTGGTCATGTGCAATGAGCAGCTCACCGTTCTTGCCATAGTGGTGAGGCTCGTTCTTCGCCGTCTTGACAAGTGAAAAGATGCTCTTTGTCTTCCGGAAGATACTGTCCATCTCTTCGAGACTGCGGTAGGCCGTCTCCGGGAAGAAGAAGTAAACGCAGGGAACGATGGCTGCGTTGATGACGGCAAAGATGATGTAGGTCTGATAGCCGATGCTGCTGAACGCTACCGGCGTGATCATTACCACCATGAAGTTGAACGCCCAATTGGCGCTTGTCGCTAGAGCATTGGCTGGGGCTCGTATGCGCAAGGGTACAACCTCTGTAGGGTACAGCCATGTCATGCCAAGCCAACCAATGGCGAAAAATGAGTTAAAGACGAAGAGAAAAACTGCCGCCACGATACCGGGGCCGCTGCCACCAAGATAACTCATCCCTGCGAGAATGGCCATGGAGCCAGACATGCCAGCGGCTCCGATAAGCATAAGTTTGCGGCGCCCGACCTTCTCGATGATGAAGATGGCGAGAAGTGAGGCGATAAAATACTCGGTTCCATTGCAGGCGGCGAGAATGCGGGACAGGAAACCGGACAGTCCTATCTCTTGTTCATAGATGAAAGGTGCGTAATACGTGATTAGATTGATTCCACTGATCTGCTGGAACATCTGGTTCACGTAGGCGAGGACCACGCGGTGAAAGTTGCGGTTCTCATCCATGGTGAATAGGTCTTTAAAGGAAGACTTTTCCATCTCAAGCACCGTATCTTTAATGGTGGCAAACTCAGACTGGATGAACTTGTCTTCCTCCGGCAGATCTGACAAAGCCGCAAGAACTTCAGTGGCCTCTCGCTCACGGCCTCGCAGAACCAGCCACCTAGGACTTTCTGGAAGCTCCATGATGAAACCAAGAATCACCAAGGCGAAGAAGCACTGGAATGCAATTGGAAACCTCCATGCCACGGAGGTGGAAAGGAAGCTGAAGCCAAAGTCGATCCAGTAGGAGATGCAAATACCGCCGGCAATGAGAGCACCCTCGATCATGACGAGCTGCCCGCGTCGGTGAGATTTGGAGCACTCTGACTGCCATGTGGGCACCGTGGACGTGTTCAAGCCATTCCCAATGCCGGTAATAACTCTACCAACGATCAAGTGAGCGAGACCGAAGGCAGATGCTTGGAGGGCGGCGCCAACAACCATAATGGCCGAGCCGAGGAAGATGGTCTTGCGACGACCGAGCCAGTTGCCGATGAATATACAGAGGATAGCGCCCGCGAAGCATCCCACGTTGTATGAGGCAACCGAGATACCTTGGATTGTTGACTTGTGGTCGATCTGACTCTGGGAGAGGCCGTCCGTTTTGGTGGTATCAATCTCGGGGAAAGTGGCAGTGAACGACGGTAAGGTCAAGAGACCGCCCGTCACGCCTTGATCGTAGCCAAACAGCAGGAAATCAAGGCCAGCCGTGACACTGATCGCCAAGTTCAACTTGGTACCTCGGAGACCGAAGAACTTGCCCTTGAGGAGGCCCATCTTGGCAATTCGTGATGTAGTTCCTTGATCAAAGCACGCGGAAATGAGCAGAGGAAAGCCTTGTCAGAAGAACGATCTCCTTCCAATTTATAAATGCAACACCATAACGGCTCTTGCGGAGGAAGCCCGACAGACAAGGCGAACGTGGGACCACGAGGCTCAGACTTTTGGCAAGGTTCCGGAAATGATAGCATATCCGATTCGTTGGTGCTGTACATATTGTGCTGTAGACTTTGCGGGTTGTGCTCCATGGTGGAGAGATGGGAAGCACGATCAACGTCATGCTGTGGACATTGATATAGCCGGCATGCCGCATAGGGCAAAGCCGTTGACTCCGCTGAAGGCCTTGTGGGACAAAGAGGCGTGAGGTTCTGCGGGCCAGGCGATTTAGGTTGCATAACAAGCCACCGCCGAGACGAGATCTTCACGGAGCTTGTGTACCTGGTCGGTCAAGGTCCTTCCACCCACGTGCAGATTTTTTGGGAACAGCAGAGATGAAACGGAGAAATTTTGCACGATGACGCCATGGGGCGTTTGTGCACATGGACACCGCTCTGTTGGGCTCGAGGAATGCCGAGCACCGAAGAATTCGAAGAATTCTCGGGTGAAGATGAGAGTGTACGGAGGTGCAGCTACATTGTTGGCGGACGGCCACCTCGCTCAACTGCCCGAAGCTCCACTTAAAACTTCTGCAGGAGGGCTTGGCATCAAGACAGCAAGGCCTGCTCGGGTTGCTTCGCTGGCACACCGAATCTGCCAGTGATTGGATACTCCTGCAGAGATACTTATACTAAGAGCCAATGACCGCCACCAGTGTTCGTGAACAGGTGTAGGTGCAAGGCTCGTGCTGACGCTATTTGTCGGCCGCCGTGTATCCGTGAATGTGTTACATTGGGTGAATAGCCTATGACGATGTCGTAGCTTTGTCCAGCAACCAGTGCAGGACCATCCCAATGTCTACAGTCGCAGTAAGCATCTTGCTCAACTTAGTCCGGAGGCCTGGCAGGTCGCCATTGTCGAACCCATCCAAGTTCGTGACTTCGACGACGCCACCAGCCTTGACTAAGATCGATACGTGCAACATCAATTCCCTGATCTTATGGCCACCGCTTCTCTTGAGAGGAGCAAAAAGCTCCAAGCGAACCTTAGACGGGTCTGAGAGCACATCCAACATGATATCAATGTTGAGGCTCGTAGAGTCGGAACCTCCATTCGCGTTTCCACCAGCTGGTACCTTATTGCTGCGTTTGAACACTCGTTTACCGTCTTCCACTTTTGGGCGCTCAGGTACCTTTGTTGTGGCGGCTGGTTGGGTTACCAACTTCTCGAGCATTGACCAGACAACCACATGCTGTCGGAGAAGAGGGAGTATCTCGGCGATCTGTCGAGGATGATTGAATCTGAGCTTCGAGATCGGGTAGCACCACAATTCGCTGTCGGGAGCGGCCGAGTACAGCTTGTAGGAATGTCCCTGATAGGACAATTGTCCTTGACTGTCGATACAAGCAAGGTTTCGGCTCCATCTTGTGTCAACTTCGGCCTCTTCTGATCGGCCCAATTTCCTGCTCCTCGCCCTCTGCAATACTCGATGGTACGTTGAGGCTTTCTGAGGATCAATGTCGACCATGCTGATCTCGCTGTTCAGTCTGCTCATCACTGCCAAAGGTAACAGGACTTCTGGTCGTAGGTTGAAGGTGAAGTGCACATTTAGTGATTGTGGCATTGCGTCCTGAGGCTTCTCAGTCTCCATGTCTGTGTCTTCCTTCTCGCCCGACTTGATTGCCAGCCCGTTTGTAAATTCTGTCCAATCCGGCCGGTAGCTGGTGTCACTCGCATCAAGAACATTCTGGCCTGCCTGTCCCTCTGTCAAGATCTTTGACCCTATCCAATCTTTAGAGAGGTACAGACTGGGTAACCCAGCTTCGCAGCTAATCTTGCCCTTCCACAACCCTTCCTCTGATCCAAGACTTGGTGGACTATCGCTGGTCTCATCTTCGCCAGCATCACTCGCAGCTCCAGGTTCATGCCAGAAGCCTAGCGTGAGGCCCAGCTCCGGTGCATGGTCCATGTTTGAAATACCTAAAGCGCCCTTGCGCAGGTGCTGTAGGCGACTTCGCCAGTGCATGCGCCTCTTCTCTTCCTTCCAGATATCCTGAAATGACTGATATAGATTGCTGACCAGTTGAAATGGATTCGGCTTGACGTCAATAGGATCCAGCTGTGCGAGGTACTGTATGTTGTCGGCAAAATCACTCAGATCTTTTGCCTGCCCAATGTCCTCTGCAGTCCGAACTCCAGACTGCGCCTTCAAGATGGCTGTGCCTTCTTTCTGCACATGCTGCTCCTCGTTGTAGTTGAATTTCAAGGACAGATCTTTCACATTATCTCTCAGGACGGAATCGAAAGTGATCTCAATTTCCACTACATTTCCAGCGATGACGAGGTTATCTTCATCCCAGAGTGCTTCAAACCCATGCAGACGTGCAACTCTTTCGATACCGTCTCTAGTAATACCGCGGCCAACGACTTTCGACCTGAGACTATCGATCGCCTGTTGGAGGCGCTGAATTCGTTCTTCTGCGGGCGCTCGAGTCGATTGTCCATCTCTTCCGGTACCGACTCCTCCTTGCGCTGAAATGCCCAGTCCTTCTGCCCCATTTCCTAGTGGCGTCAACCCGTTTTGCGCAATAGCATTAATAAGCGCAGCTGCGGGCGAGTTGAGGTTTAGGAGCTCGTCATGAATCGCGGCAGCAGCTAGCGGAGTTGAGGACGGTTGCGACGCAACACCGAGGCCATGAATATGACTGTGTGTAGAGGCGGGGGTCTTTGTTGCGGTCGCAGGCGATTTGTGGGCGAGTGTCTTTCCTGCAGCGGTGCCTGGGCGCGGAGATGCCATCATCCGACTTGGAGTGTTTGGCAGATGCGGTTTCGGTGTCGATATCGATCGAGAGGGAGTCGGCGTTGCCATCTTTATTCAATCCAAGGCAACCGCCGTAGCTGTTTTACGCCTAAGCTCGACCGGGAAGTTTCGTACAAGTCATGCCTTGATCGCGATGGACTTGACGTCTCATTCGATCCACCATACCTCCGACCAAACGCGAACGAAGTTTGAGATATGGCTGAGTATTGAGTGTGGAGCGGAAGAGGTAAGGGCGTAATTCAAAAGCGCGAGCCGCAGGACGCAGGCTGTATCTTGGCACATGCGGGCTGAACTCATTGCCGAGCTTTCCACATCACCTCATATTGGTTTCTCCTAGCAAGATTAGAGGCAAGTTCACTACATCTACGGCATATGAAGGACAAGTCTCGTTTGTCGAAGATACTATTAATGCGAACATAGCGACGACTGTAATCGGACACGTTTTTCATCGCTTCACATCGCTTCGTGTGCGTTTGTCATTGTATTTAATAGCTATGATACACATCCACCACTAAACGCCAGTCGCAGGTGTCGTTGCATCAGTGAGCAGCTATTCCAGCATGACTGTTCGTGATGGGAGCGCCGTTCGGGTTTTCTGGGTTGTAACCACTGGTCCTAGCCTTCAAACCTGTCGCAAGAGCACCACCCTTCTTCATGCCGTTATGGGTGCCGTTGAACTGAATGTCGGCAATACCGGCATATCCTTTAATTCCAGTAGCTTTCTCGATACGAGAGGCAAGATCATCACTGACTTCGCGGAAGATTGTAATCTGGCGCTTGAGGATCTCCTTGTCCGGGCAAACTTCCATCTTTCCGGCCTGATTGACATTAGCAGATATTCTGAACAAGGGGGGATTTCACGTACCACATTGTTTACAAATCGTTCACGAGCAGGCTCATCAAAAACCTTCTCCCACAAAGCACGGGGTGCATTGAAGTCTTCTGGACGGATTTCCGTCAAGAATGAGATGGCATTGCCAACGAAGTGTCCATGGGTTGAGTCGAGGTCAACCTTGCGCTCGCGAAACTGGATTGGATCCAGCGAGCTGATGTAGTTCGGGCGAGCACCTTGGTTGTAGAATGCCATAGGGCCGTCACGTTGGAAGTTGCCGAACTTATAGGCAGTGCGAGGAGCGTTGACGGGCAGCTGCTGATAGTTGGCACCCAGACGATGACGGTGGGTGTCGGGATAGGAGTACAGCCGAGACTGGAGGACAGGATCGGCGGAAGGCTCAATACCTGGCACAAGATGTGACGGTGAGAATGCGAGCTGCTCAATTTCGGCGAAGTAGTTGATCGCGTTCTCGTTGAGTGTGAACTCGCCGATTTTACGGAGAGGGAATTGCTTCTGGGGCCAGACGTGTGTCAGGTCGAACACGTTAATCTTCTGCTTTTCCCACATCTCCTCTGCTTGTTTCGGCGTTACGGTTTGCACCTCCACACTCCACTTGGGAAATTCGCCGCGCTGAATAGCCTCGAAAAGATCTTTCTGCGAATAGTCGGGAGATTTTGTGGCGGAGTCCTCTTGCGTGATGAACTTCGTACCTTGTTGAGACTTCATATGGATCTGAGCATAAACCCACTCGCCACTCTTGTTTACGAGCTTCATCGTGTGACCTGAATAGCCGTGCATGAATCGGTAACCGTCGGGAATGCCACGATCACCCATGAGGATCATGACCTGATGAATCGACTCGGGATTGTTGGATAGATAGTCCCAGAACAAAGTAGAATCATCGGCATGGGTAAGGTGAGTTTGCGGATCTCTCTTTTGAGTGTGGATGAAGTGAGGAAACTTTGCTGGATCGCGCAGGAAGAAGACGGGGGTATTGTTGGCAACGTGGTCCCAGTTGCCCTCTTCAGTCCTGAACTTGACGGAGAAGCCTCTAGGATCACGAGCGCAATCATGAGAACCACTCTCGCCACCGACCGTGGAGAATCGTACTGACACTGGACATTTCTTGCCCTTGGTGCTGAACACATCGGCCATAGTAATGTCATCGGCGGGGTTGGTGCATTCGAAAAATCCATGAGCACCGCTGCCCTTGGCGTGAACAACACGTTCGGGGATACGCTCACGGTCGAAGTGGGAGAGGAGGTCGATCAGGTGGAAGTCTTGCAGCAGGAGGGGGCCATTCTCGCCAACTCGTTGAGATTCGTAGGCATGAGCTTGGGGAGCGCCGTTGGCCGAGGCGTACACAGTCTGCGTCGAATCCATCTGCCGGTCTTTCTCATAGCTTGTAAACTGGTTTGCCACATGGGCGGAGAATGATGTTTCGTTCGTGGGCGCCATCGTGGTGACTGATTGTAGAGTCTCAAGTGGTGCTTTCACAATTTTCTGGACTGCTTCCATAAGATGGACGGATACAGGCAGGTTGAAAGAAGAGTGAACGATAGGATTAATATGAAATTCCAGTTACCCTTCAAACCTTTTCGCGTGTTCACGCTCGAGCCCTACACTAAGCCTGGTAAGTGACAGCGAACTACGGAGTACAAAAGGTCATGACGCACTTCACTTACGGCAATTTTTAGTCCTCAATTACTTAAGCCGATTAAGGCTCGAGTGGCGATGCAGCTCATGGTAATTCGCAAACGACCATAGGTCAGGAGGATCGAGATCACTAGTGTAAATTAGAGATCTCGCCATCAGGAACACAGGGAGATCGAATAGCAGCAAATTCTCCTTGCGGGATATGATGTAGGTGTGCCGGAAGACTGTACCAGCTGATAGATCGACCCCGCGCCGATGTCAGAGCTGGCCCACTACGACTTCTGCAGCAGGTGTGATTGGGTGGAATGGCAATAAGTGCCGAGTCCTACCTCGAGCAGTCTAGCGTGATTCGGGAGCCCGACTGTCGTGACAGACACTCATTTCATGTCCTATCATTGGCCAGACTAAGGCATTCACTCAACACGTTCATTGCTCAGCGCGTATGGGCTTTAAACACCGTTTTTCAATCTTACAGTCTGCTTGCTGAGCGTTCCGGTCGTGAATCTGAGCCATCTGTGTATCACAGTCGCTTCCTGCCGGCGTCGTCGCCATTTTGATGAAGCCATATTCCTCTCCCGCACGTCGGTCGCCATGCCATTGGCTAGGCAATATGGATGGTAAAATATCCGGCGGGTTGATAAGTCATGTGGGGCGTGGAGGCGATGAGTCTCGAATATGATTGTTGCTCTTTGGAGTCGAGATAGACACTACTCGCGTATTCGGTAAAGCCCCGGCCACTCTTGGGACTGACCACAGTGCTATATAACAGACCACGCTCGCACGGGATCCTCTCCTATGCGAACTGGCCGACTTATAGCTAGCTATTGGGAACAGTGTTAAAGGATTTCTTCCAGAGCAGATCCATCATGTCTTACAGAGGTCCCCTCCTCGAGGCTTACAATGCCACAAAGGTCGAGTACAGAAAGCTAGGCAGCAGTGGCCTGCGAGTTTCGGTCCCCATTCTCGGAGCCATGAGCATTGGCGACCCGAGTTGGCATAGCTGGGTCATCGATGAGGCAAAGGCTCTTCCGCTCCTCAAAGCTGCTTACGATCGAGGACTCAATACGTGGGACACGGCTGACATTTATTCCAACGGCAGGTCGGAAGAAATCATTGGAAAGTTTATGCGGGAATACTCTATTCCTCGGCACAAGCTTGTGATTTTGACCAAATGCTTCGCATATATTGGAGAGGATTACGCCTACCAGAACGACGACGAGATGCCCAGGACCAAAGATTACGTCAACCATGGAGGCTTATCCCGTCAGGCTATCTTCCGAGCTGTCAATGCTAGCTTGCAACGACTCGGGACCGACTACATAGATGTTTTCCAGATCCATCGTTTCGATCCTACAGTACCCATCGAGGAAACCATGCAAGCTTTGCAGGACCTGGTTCGAGACGGAAAGGTCAGGTATATCGGTGCGTCCTCCATGTGGGCGACAGAGTTCGCGCGGATGCAGGCCGTTGCCGAAGTGAAAGGCTTTACCAAGTTTGTCTCAATGCAGAATCATTACAGCCTCCTATACCGCGAGGAGGAACGCGAGATGATCAGATATTGCAACGCGACAGGTGTTGGACTCATCCCTTGGGCGCCGCTTTGTCGTGGACGTCTCGCACGTCCCCTCGACTCGGCTGAAACCGTACGTGGGAAAAGCGACCAGAAAGTCAAAAATGATGTGAAGCAGCTGGGTTACACTGATATCGACAAGAGCATCATTGGCAGAGTCCAGGAGATCGCTGGAAAGAGGAATTGGAGCATGACAGAAGTGGCTTTGGCATGGATCAACAGGAGAGTTGCCTCTCCCATCATTGGTTTCTCCTCTGTGGATAGGATTGACGAGGCACTTGCAGCGAAAGGCAAGCAATTGACAGCTGATGAGGAACGATATCTGGAGGAGTTGTATCAAGCAAGGGCAATTAATGGGCACGAATAACCTTGCGAAAGACCGAGTACTTTTGTCTATCCGCTGTTGGAATATTGGACGCATGATTGCCAAGACTGTCCATGGCGACAATGAAACCACTGCCTCCCACAACCCACAACTGCAGAGATCGCAAGGCAACCAAAAAAAACCAAAAAGAACAGAGGAATGTGCTCCCATAATAGGAGGTCTCGTGGACCCAACTAGTTTTCTAGTACTCCTACTGAGAGATCTTGACCTTGGCTTGCTATGGCATCTTTCTTATTTGTTTTAGCACTCCTCCCCGAAAACTACCTGTTTGCCACTGCTCGACAGATCCTGAGATCAGTCTAACAATTGCTTGTAGGCGTGAGTTTTCAGTGGCAACGACTCCGACCCCAGGACTGAATGGTTTTCTCCTGCCTGGTTTTGTGGTTTGTAGGTCTGTTCGATTGTTGGGAAGGTTTTCTGATTTTCTAATATATATCGTTGCTAGGCAGAAAGGCTGGGGGCAGGGGCCTGAAGTGACAGAGTGGGGTGACTGCACAGTGAATATTAGGCGGCGAGGCAACGAGGCTCGTCGTGATCGGACCCACCCGGTGCGGACAACTTCTCCGAGGCCCAGCCTCTCCTGCGCACATCTTGTTCTCTCGACTCCTATCCCGCTTTAATATGGTGAGTACTCTACACTTCCCAGGCCGATATTTGTCGACCCCTGGTGGGTGCCAGGGGAAGGAGGCTCTGCTGAAGGATAAGCACGAACTGTTGGTGCTGCGAAGGTTTTCCACCTCTCTAACACCACCAGCCTTTTCCATGGTGCGTCCGTTTTCCTGGCTTTGGTCTGGGACCGTTGACCACGAGATGATGGATTGACAGTGCGTGTGGAGGTTGGCACAAGCCCTCCGACAGCATTTTTCCTCCCTTACACCTTACTTGCCGACCGTCCTAGCAGGAATAATGTACCAGCCCCGTATCATAGTCGCTCTCAGCGTCCGCCGGCGCCATTACATAAAGGCTGCTGTCATCAGCAGCATGGGTATCGCGATGCTATCGGCTGAGCAATATGGAGCTTGGAACCTGTCATGGCCGGCGAGTAACGTGGGGCATGGAAAGCGACGAGACTAGACTTGCGACTATCGCTCTTTGCGAAAGGTATACTAGAAGCGTATCCGGAAAAGCATCGATTATGTTTCATTGACCACAGCGCTATATGCAAGACCATTACGACGCGAGATCCTCTCGTCCCACGGACTGACCGTTCCATAGCGAGCATCTCAAGCTAGGTCGTGACCAATAATCATCAATAGTCTGACGATTGGTGAATCAAGAGCTTCGGATCTCATGCTGAGCGTAGGGAGTCTTTCTACCTCACCAGTCAGAAAGGGAGCCTCTCGGAGAGCGTCTGCGACGTCTGTCAGTCCGTGAACCGTGAGTGCCTATTGTTCGACGCTCCCGAGACCGGGCATCGAGACCATCTTGGAACCACGATAGTCCTTAGGACAGTCACGCAGCTTGCAGTCAGGGCTCAGAAGGGCGGCCCGTCCTATACCCATATCGCATTTCCTCAGACACAAGACATCATTGAGAGATACAGCCACGGTGATAGGGGTTCCAAAGCTGACACCATAAGCGAGTCCCTGCACGTCCTGCTGAGAGCGAACTACGTTGCGTCATGAAGAGGCGGGCTTCAACACCAGGGCTATGGCTCTGACGCCATGTACATCTGCAGGGAGTTTCCAAGCCCGGTACTGCGGGCTACAGGCCAGATCATGGAATCAGACGAGCAGCACGTCAAAAGTTATGGGCATGGGCTGCGACTTTGCCTCCTCGATCATTCCCTTTCTCGCACATGAGCCCTCAAGACCTTCTCAGATATCCTCAAAATGTCAACAATGGGTTTGACAGTGTCTTGCGGAGAATGATGTAGGCACATATTAGTGCACAACTGTCTCGCGGGCGAAAAGTATACGCGCAATGATGCATTCAAGCTCATCGATGTCAAGAGTCCACGCAGGCGGCTCCTACGAGCACATAGAGGTTCCTCATGTTTCCATGTATGGTGTCGTGCAAACACCGAAGATTATCACCCACACAAAATGGCGTCTTCTCGCATACGATACGAATGCCAAGACTTCCGCCTAGAAAATGCCCCCGCATCATCGAACCTCTTACCACCACCACATCATCACACGCACGTCAGTTCAAGGAACAGAACAACCCATCTGCGGATCAAAACACACCAGAAAATCCTTAAGCATGCCTCGAGCTATCAAAGGGGCGCTCCTTCAGTGCGATCCGCCTCAAATGGCGATGGTGCGCAAGATCGACAAGGAGAACAACAACGCCTACATCATTGAGGAAATCGACGATGAGACGTGCCTGGTCAAGGAGAACAAAGTTGAAGAGATCAAGGCCAGAGTCAAGTTTTTGATGGACGATGCGATGAAACCGACCGGGGCGATGGAGATGGACTCGGACAAAGACAGCGACATGGATTGAGGGTATTCTTTGTCCTGCTTTCCGCGGAGTACTGACGCTCCCGACGGTCCAGACTTCGTAGAACGTCCTGTCGCTCGATTAGAGTGCTCCGCCTCGAAACGATCTGCAAGGTACCAAGTCGCCGATGTTTGAAATCGCTAGAAAGTACCATACGATAACCCTACTACACCAGGGGGTTGGAGGGTGGCACAAGGCGGTAAGGGACCGGCGCCGAGATAATCGGGGTCGCGGCACCATGGCCAGAGAAGGCAACCAAAGTAAAAAGTGGACGACCAGGTTTCTCCAAGGGCTGAAACCCAAAAGAACTTTCGTCAGCAGCATGAAAGGCATGATCTGCACGCAGCGAAGTGACAACGAAATCAAGCTTGCAGTGCCGCTTCGGGCACGACCGCCGGTCTCCAAGGGCAGTGCAGATATTAGAGAGATGATCGCCGCTCCCACAGCCGGTCACGTGCCGGATGCATACTGTGTAGAAAGAGCACTCCCGCTTGGCTCCCCCTCGAGACACGCAAATTATAGACAGTTTTACCGAATGCAGTAGGAGACGACAACATTATCACATGCGCGGAGTGTTTCACATCTTGGGCATGAATCGTGCAACTGAAGTATGAATAGTCTTTGTCAATGCAGATGCAGCGGGCAGTGCCCTCGATTCTCCGGCAAGCGATCTGAGCGAGTCGGGGTAGGATTTTGGAGGTGCAGTAGCACGTCCGTCGGGGAATGCACTCCCGCTTCCTTCGCCATACAAGCCCTAAACCTTGGCCGAACTGCCGCCTGCAGTCCTGACAAGAGAAACAGCTCCTTGTGGCTGTCAAGTTAAACAACGACAGTCAAATGGCTGTCTATGAAGCCCTTTTGACCCAGGCCACACGCCATAGTCCATTCATTGGTTCAAAACGGCCGGTTGTGGGAAGCCTGGTGGCGTTTCATCTCGTGCTGAGGTTGATGTCGGCTATCAAGGAGAATCTCGCGTCCCACCGCTAGTAGGTATCGGGGCTAGCAAACTGTGTACGTGATGAGACGATATGCCGGCGGTCTTGTTCGGCCAGGGTTCAAGTAGGAAAGAAGCCTACTGTACGGGTCCTACCACGTGTCGGCCCTCATCGCTAACTGCTTGTGGCAGCAGGTGACCATCCCTAGTGTTCTGGCTTCCGCCCTTCTCTTCTCTAGCGGCCAACTGCTGGTGCGGTAGTAGTGCTGGACCCGGCACGCACGCGTGTCGTACTTCGTGCACACCACCATCAGATCGAAAAGTAATTTAAAGGTTGTTCCGTGGTCTTGCCCACCTACCTAAAGTCTTGACTCTGATGCTGATCGACGCTGTAAAAGTCACCCTGAAGCGGCAAGAATTTTTGATCACAGGCGACATCCGCAGGCACGGGGACGTATAGGCGGCGCTTAACGGGCGACCTAGGCTGTCACAGTAACTCCGTAGATTTTTCGGCTGTTAGGCACTGCTGCCCCACCGGTGAGCCCCTACTTGCCAACGCATCAAAGTGCCGCACTGCAAAGAGTCATAGCCAGTCTCTCATCTCACTAGTCCTGAGGCTTGTCAACGGCCATGACTTGCTTTTGATCCCTGATCATGCGGCACTCATGCAGTGTGCTGTCTGCCACTCATTCAGTCAGAAGGGCTGCAGTCTCTTCGCCTATTCCAGCCTACCCGACGCCTCCCTCTCTGTCCCTCCCCACTACCGTCTGACACGACAGGTACGAACATAACAACCTCCATCTGTCGATCCTCCAACTCCCACCCTCCGTCAATTTATCTGGCCACCTCTGGGCTCGGACCCTGCTCCGTATCTCTCCAACCATCGGCTTCCCATCATCGACTTGTCGTCCTGCAGATGCGCCGTCATCCTCTTCCCCACGCAAGCACCAGTCAAAAGTGGGGCACCCTCTGCTACACCGCTACTAACTGATACACGCAACCACTACGTTCACCCCAGCCTACGGTGTGATTGTTGGGTCGCGCGACACAGCCCGTCCATCAAACACCAGTTCCGCCAATATATTCATCCTAATTCGCATCTTCTTTTCCACCAAATATCCTGTCGCCCACTCAGCACGCGAGGTATCGTATTCCACCAGAGACTGGGCAATGCGGCCTCTTGTTTCATCTCATATGCCACACCACTGCCCGTCGGATCAATAACGACGCATCTCGGGCATCGCGAGCTTGAGAGAGCTGCTGTCACACCCCACGATGCGTCGATATTCGTAGTCCGCAAGTCTCGACCGACATGCTGTTTCCCTCAGGTTCTATCCCCGCCGGTCCCGCCATAGAACCTCAAAAGGCACTCCTCCTCATCGACTTCCAGGAGGAATTTGTGGATCAAGACAACGGAAAGCTTCCAGTTCCCAACGTTGGCGACTTTGTTGGCAAACTGCCTAGCCTCATCGCGAAATTTCGGTCGAAGGGATCAGTTGTCTTTGTTCGTACTGAGTTTCGGGAACCGCGCTCAGCCCTTTACCCTGAATTGGCTTGTCACAACATCCTCTTGCAGGACACCCTGATCCGTGGCATTCGCTCGGAGGATGGGGAAGTCAGGAGACATCAACGTGGTCGGTCATCCGGCACTTTAAAACCAACCGACCCAGAAGCCTTCCTCCAAGCAGGACCCGAAGACCGGCGTGCGTGCCGTGCAAACACACCTGGCGTCGAGTTCTGTGAGGTAATCGCTCCTGCTTTCGACCCCGAGCGCGATCTGAGCGTTGTGAAGTCACACTATTCAGCCTTCACAGAAACTTCTCTCCTCTTGCAATTACGCACCCGCATGATCCAACACGTTTACGTTGCGGGAAGCCTGTCCAACATTTCAGTCTACGCAACAGTGCTCGATGCCGTGCGCCATGGTATTGAGGTCACATTAATTGAGGACTGTCTTGGATACCGAAATGCTCTCTGCCATGAAGAGGCGGTCCGGCAGATGGCTGATGTGATGGGTGCGGTAGGAACAGACCACCAAGAGCTGATGGACGACCTTGCTGGCTTGCTAGGAGATGTGATCCACGAAGAAGACTTTTCGACCCGTTTCCACGTCAGTATCGGCCCGCCTGCAGTCAAACGAAACTCTCCAGCGCCGCCGCGAGAGCCGGTCTCTCCAGAGCAGAGAAAGCAAAGAGTCGAAGACTGGATCTCAGACAATGGCCCTGGTGACGGTGTGACTGTGGAGAAGCCCCTGGAAGCCTATGGAGGCTCTTCGAAGCTTGAGGTCGATCCTCTGGTGGAAAGTGACTCACGGTCACATCCGCGATCACCTGTGATAAATTCAAGGCTGGGTACACCAGAATTTTCGCCACCACGAAAGAGGTCAACTCAGGAACTCGACGACATTGACGACGAAACACGGCAATCAAAGTATGTCCACAAACCGTCACTCCGCCGCACACCATCAGACACTCGCTCGGATTCCCGCTACAAAGTTAATCGCACGCGTATCCGCGGGTCGCGACCTTCACGTGAATCGTCTAACCGACCTGTCACACCATCGTCGCTCAAAGCGCTTGGTATACCCGGAACACCTGGCGAGCCCCGGGGGTCGCCACCTCTCAGTTCGGACGCTGACACAGGGAGCCGAAGTCTTACGTCGCCTTCCGCGCCCAAAACGATGGATGACGCAATACCTTCTACTCTTGATAAAACGGCGCCTCATAAAGCTCTTCGGAGTGAGGCGCCCAAATTGAGCGGAAACCCCCCCGCACGCAAGAGGAAAGCCAAGAATTCGATGTCGCTGGTCGGCCCAGCCGAGATCATTGGTGAGGGTGATTGCCTCCTCAGCGCACCTGTCATCTCTCATGTTGCAGCTGATGCAGCCTTCTATACCCTGAAGCGTACAGTGCAATGGCAAAAGATGTACCACCGAACCGGTGAGGTCCCACGACTCGTCGCCGTGCAGGGGGAAAATCAGGACGATGGCGAAAGTGAGCCGATTTACCGCCATCCAGCCGACGAATCACCAGAAATGCTTCCCTTTGATGATACGGTAAATATGCTTCGTTTTGCCTGCGAGAAGCGCGTAGGTCATCCGCTGAACCATGCTCTTATTCAGTACTACCGCAATGGCGAGGATAACATTTCGGAACACAGCGACAAGACGTTGGACATAGTTCGCGGCTCTAGCATTGTCAACGTTAGCCTAGGTGCTCAACGAATCTTGACCATCCGGACCAAGAAAGACACTGCGTTGCGTGCCGATACCGATGGCGAAGAACAACCGCGCATAACTCAACGCATTCCGCTCATGCATAACTCAATATTCATATTGGGTCAATCCACAAACCAGTATTGGCTGCATAGTGTGCGTGCCGACAAGAGACCGGAATCCCAGAAAGCACTGGAAGAGCTAGCCTACGGTGGCGAGAGAATCAGCCTGACATTCCGGCAGATAGGGACATTTGTCAACAAGAGAGCCAAAACAATTTGGGGCCAGGGCGCCACGAGCAAGTCACAGGCACAAGCCAACCCGTTGCTGGTAGGAGAAGCTGCTGAAAGAGAAGGGGAAAACATGATTCGTGCCTTCGGGCAAGAGAACCATCAGAGCACCGGCTGGGACTGGGACAAGTGGTATCGGCAAGGCTTCGATGTCATCAATTTCGAGACCAAAGCCACTTGAAGCGCAGGAAGTACCTACATGGCGCGGGCTTAGTTTGCCGCACCCATTATCGTTTTGTCAACGTTGCGGCGGATATGTCAACAGCCCTGCAACGAAGTCATCCGCGTCCGGCACAGAGTGCCCATAAGACGCAATTGGCAAAGCGCAACGTTTTCTCGAGCTCAGCATACCAAAATCACTCAGCACTGCGTTTGTGTATTTGTACAGCGTACGCGGTCGGCATTCAGAGAACCACAAGTGTTACTCTTCGACCTCCCAACCCAATTCGGCATGCTTCTGACCAGAAAGGTGGACCGCCTGAAACACGACCTCACGACCTCACGATCTACTTTGCAGGATACCACACCTTTCTTCAAAAGGAGCACAACCTCACGGCAGGCAATTGGGACTTGTTATATTGAATCATAGTCGGGCGCACGGAATTACATTGGACAGTCACTACAAGAAAGCCGCTATAGCGGTGTAATACAGTCAGGATATAGGCACAGGACAGCATGGTGCCAACCCATGCGATAGCATAGTATGGATGGATAATTGAGGCATTTAGATTCTTGAGGCGCAGAGGATGGATGGCCAGCTGTCAGGGATGTCTTATGGTGATGGCCAGGAACCAACGGCCCGACTATTCGTATACATACGAACACATAGCATAGCGTGGACAGGGAATATGTTTACCTACAAACCAATCGATGGAGGAGGTATCAGCTGCTCCTGAATGCTGCCAATATCATCCATGATCATACGAAGCCTTGCTTTCGTGCTTTTATTACAGAGAGTGTTATTCATGCCATTCGTGTCCTACCTGAGGTCGCTCATTGACGCAAAGTCTCCTACTCATCGTCATCACTATCCACGATGAAGCCGCCTCTCCTTCTGGATGCGCGCACGATGCCTTGCTCTTCCTCCTCCTCGTCGTCTCCGGCATCATCATCATCCCTCATCACCGACTCCTCACCAACGATTTTGGATGCCGCCGGCATCGCGACTCTAGGCTGCCGCGCTTCCTTCAACGGCCGCCGCGGCACCGAATCCTCGCTCTGCGACGACAGCGGCGTCTCATCGTTCCCATCACCACCACCCGCAGCGCTGTCTGCGTCCGTCTCATCGTCCCGTGCAGGCTGCGAGCTCTCTGCCGTGTCGTCCTCCTGGTCATCATCATCCACACCATCCAGATCCATCAGATCTCCATCCTCGCCCATGAGCTCCGCCTCACTGAATGGTTTCACCTTCGCCCTCTTCTTCTGATTCTTCTGCTTCTTTCCTTTCGCGTCCTTATCATCCGCCACGTCCGCCTGCGCGACCCCCAACGCCATGGCCCTGCGGATATTCTCCTCCTGCTTCCTCCGCACCTCCTCCTCACGGGCGAAAAACGCGCGGTCCGCCTCAGCATCCGACTCCTCGTCGCTGTCATGCACGTACAAGTCGGACTTGATCTTGCGGCGGCGCTCGTCGTTGGCGTCCTTGCGCGCCTTGCGCCTCGCGGCCGCGAGCTCGTCGTCGACCTCTGCATCCTCCTCGTCGTTTTCTCCCTCATCACCATCGTCTCCCCTCTTGCGCTTCCGGCGCCGTTTCTTGAGCTCGTCTAGTGCTTTGGCTCGCTTGTTGGGCTTGGCGCGGATGTTGTCCGGGAACTCAAAGTCCTCTTCGCCCTCGGAGTCGTCGATGAAGGCATCGCGGCGGGGGGAGCCGGCGCCGGCGCCTGCGCCGCCGGAGGCGTACGAGGCGTCGCCGCCGGCGGTGGATTCCTTCGGGACGCGGCGGAGCATGTCTTGTGGGTCGACCTCCGGGTCCTCGCCTTGCCAGGGCGTGGTTTCGAAGTCCTCGACTGCGGATCTGGAGTCGCGTAGCTGCGCGGCGGTGAGGGAGCCGGGCATAATCCACGGCGCGCCGAGGACGTCTTCGTCGCCGAGGATTTCGAGACCGCAGAGCGTCATCAGCAGCTTGAGGCGGGCGTTTTTGAACATGGCGGTGCGGATCTCGTCAGTCGTAGGTCGTGCGGCGATATAAGATGGTGTGCCGGTCTCGATCTCCTTGGGAGCCTCGCCCGTCTTCGCTGCGTCAGCGATGGCTGCGTCCTGTCTCGCTTCTGCTTCCAGAGCCCAAGCCGATCTCTCTTCGATGCCTTTCAGGAGCACACCCTTCAGCCACTGCACAAAGTGGGCTTTCTCGTCCTTGAGCAGGATTGTCACCACGATGCCGATCTGCTCGCGCACGTCTCGACCGAGTGAAGGCCGCACCTCAAGCTCGGCTGGTGCTCTTGCCGCGGCGGAGGTCTGCTTTTCGTGGCCGTACTCTAAGTAGAAGAGTGTCGACGGGATCTTGCTGAAGAGCATCTCCACCAACAACTCCGGTCGCTGATCCAGCTTCTTCGTCATCTTCTTGAACAGCTGTTTGCTGAATTCGGCGAAGTCTTTTCCTGTGGCGCTGCTGGTGTCGAGCGCTTCGGGTCCCTGAACGACACGGTAGAAAAGCGCGATGATGTCTACTCGGTACAGGAGTACCGCCTGATCTTGCTTGAAGGCGCACCGGTAGAAGAAGCGGTGCGCCCGTTTGAGCTGTTCCGTGTTGAGCTCCCGGTAGTAGCTCAGCAGCGCCGTGAAGGTATTGACCGATGCCTGATTGACGAACTTTGATGCGAAGCGCTTGAAGTCGAACTTTCGTTCCCGTGAGACCTGCGCTACGTCCTGGATGTCCTCACGTTCCGAGTCCACATCTTCGTCCTGTGCTTCGCCGTCACCGTCGCCTTGCTGCGCTTTCGTCTCTGCCTTCTTCTTCTGCCGCGCCTTTCGTCGCGAGCGGATCTGTAAGTCGGCGTTCTCTTTCGAGTAGCGCTCCAGCATCCGCAAAAAGCTGTGCGCCAGCTCTGTGCACGCGTCCAGGTAGCCGAAGCCTTGATCCTTGTAGCCTCTCAGGATGCCGACAATGCGGTCGTGCGTCGTCTCTTCGAAGAAGATACGGTTCTGGATATTCTCTGCGATCTCTTGGTCGTCCTCGAGTGGACTGGCGGCCATTTCTTGCACCGTGTGCAGAATCTGTGTGAAGCATCGCATTGCTGCGTTGAGATCCTGCCATTCCTTGTTGTCCAGGGAAGTCTGCATGTAGCGGTTCAACAGGATGAATGTTTCTTGGTTGAGCACGGCTGCCACTAGGCCATAGCTCTCAACTTCGAACCCGGCTGTAGTCACGTTCGCAGGCTTCACTTCGTTCTTATTCATGGTTCGGCGAGTTCGCTCTGCTTCGAGGAACCATGAAACACAGTAGAAGAACTGGCGGTAGTTGACCTCGAGAAGGCGGTCCGCTTCTCGCTCAATAGCCTTGCGAAGGTGGGTGAACAGTGGATTGAAGCCGGAGTCAAGGAATTCTTCCACGAAGTTGCGCAGCTTTTCGGTCGCCGAATCGGTGACTTCCTCGAAACGATTGAAGTCGTGCATGGTATGCTGCATATCCTTCTGTTTGGTCCGAGGCTTGCTCCATTTCTTCGACTGGTCCATGTTGAACAATGCTTTGTTTTCTTGCAAGTTGTCCTGTCCTGACAAAGCAGAAGTCTTATGGTCTTCTCGCTTGACCCAGATCATCGTTCCAAAGCGATTGTGCCGTGACGGCGCGTGCTTCTTTGCCGCTCGTTCCATGGCTGTTTCGGTGGCTAAAGACGCCCGAAGGTCCGATATGTTGGCCGTTGCACGCTGTGCGTTGGTCATCCACAGCTTGTGCACGTTGACACCTTTGATCAAGTTGAATAGAATCTCAAGAAGAATAACGTCTTGCAGGTTGAAATCTTCGCCCATATTTGAGCACATAGTGAGCAATAATGCAAATACGTCTTGCTCCACGAAGGCTTCGATCGTAGCAGAGCGAGAAACTTCCATTTCGAGGCCCTGACTTGGGAGATTCGGAACTTGTCGAATTGCTGCAACGTTTCGGAGCAGATAGAGCACCAGCTTAATGATGCCATCATCTCGACTCGTGCGCTCGTCTCGCGACAAGGCAATTGATGGGAGACCTATGCGTACAACTTGGCGTAGAATGCTGCTTGTGTCCCAGCTCAATATTCCGGCCTTGTACAGCACTTGCGCTTGCTGCAGGTATGGAGTGTGTCGGGTGTGATTCTTGGTCAACTCGCCAGTTGTTTCCAATGGCCATGTCAAGGGGACCAGCAATTCCAAACACGCCAAAGCAACTCTTGACTTGACTCTGTCGGTCTTCCCGTCGTCGGCCCAGGAGGCGAGGATCGGGAGGAGGTCACCTCCTACGAGTTTTGCTTCGGCCAGACATCGCGCGACGTCTAATCTGTTCAATTTCTCGTCGTATAGCTTCAGCCATCTCTTCAAATCGCGCAAGCAGGCTAGGGCATCGTCACCGAGGACATAGCGACCGTCTTCGTCGGCGCTGCTTCCACCAAGCTACCATATATGTCAGCAGTGTATGACCAGGTCAGTGCAGGTTCGACTTACGGCATTGACGAGACTGTACACGTAGGCTCTGACTTCCGGATCGATAACCTGAGCCTTCGTGAAGGGCGTGTCCTCCTCCATCATGCGAGCTGTGTCGTTAGCAGAGCATTTGTAGAATGTGGTGCAATTAATTCGGAATTGCAGTTGATCAATCGCCAAAAGGACGCGTCGAAACGCGGTCGCGTGGACCCACCTTTTCTACTGCCTGCCAAGCCCAAGCGCTGCTCTTTCCCTTGCTGCGCTTGAGCTTTTCGGGAGTATAGCCATGCTTTCACCACTGCTTGAAGGCTTCGCGAGCATCACTCTTCAAGTCTACGGCGAAGTGACGGGGAACACGGCGCCATCGTGATCCTGATTGCGGGCTATATATAAGCCATTGAAGGCTGCTAGATGCTGTCAACATGACTGCCGACTTTACCATTCAATTCCATTAGCACGACCGCGTACATGCAGTGAGTTCAAGCAATAGATCTACACAGTACGAACCAGATGTACAAATAATGAAGTGTGAATACTGGGTAGACCAACAACGACCCACTGCAAGATATTGTACTTATCGATAGGATTGCGCCAAGACTGCGAGCCGAGGCCTGCCGCAGCTAGGTGCGTCATTCGTAACTGAGCTACGATATGCTCCGATCTCCAACACAAAACTTCAAGCCATTGCGACAAGTACTTCACTGCAGTTGACTGCATAGCGTGCTTCACCTCAGCAATATTCATGGCCTCGCTCGCACGGCTATCGAGCCGCCTCATGTCGACGCCCAAACCAACAGTCTCGTCCGCAACGCAGCGGCTGGCATCAATCAACCGCCAGTTCTCAACCTCCCCTTCAATGGCGTTCGAGGTGAAGAAGCTGGGCGTCGTGGGCGCGGGACAGATGGTAAGGCACCGTTCAACTCCACGCAGATGAATGGTCACTGACGCAAAACCACACAGGGTCTCGGCATCGCTCTTGTTGCGGCCCAAAAAGCCTCCGTTCCTGTAACCCTCGTCGACTCCTCGCAAGCGGCGCTGGACAAGGGCCTCGCTTTCGCCGACAAGCTCCTAGCCAAAGATGTCTCGAAGCAGAAAATCACGGAGGAGATCGCCAAAGAGACACGCGGACGCCTGACACCCACACTTAAAATGGAGGATCTGTCCGACGTCGACATGGTGATCGAGGCCGTGCCAGAGATTCCCGCGCTCAAGGAAAAGATCTTCGCGCAGCTCGCCGAGGTGTGCCCCAAGCATGCCATCTTGGCCACCAATACATCATCCATCAGCATCACCAAGATCGCGGCCGCAACCACAAAAGATCCCAAGGATATGAGTGCCAGCTCGCGGGTAGTAAGCACCCACTTCATGAACCCGGTCCCCGTGCAGAAAGGTGTGGAGATCATCTCTGGGATTCAAACATCACAAGAAACCGTCGATCGCGCCGTCGCGTTCTGCGAGCGCATGGGCAAGGTGGCCTCCGTCTCGGCTGACTCGCCTGGCTTCCTGGCAAACCGCATCCTGATGCCCTACATCAACGAAGCGATCATCTGTCTGGAAACCGGCGTTGGAAAGAAAGAGGACATTGACAATATCATGAAGAACGGTACGAACGTGCCCATGGGTCCCCTGCAACTGGCGGATTTCATCGGTCTGGACACGTGCTTGGCCATCATGGAGACGCTGCATCAAGGACTGGGCGACAGCAAGTACCGGCCAAGTGTACTATTACGGCAGTATGTGGATGCCGGCTGGTTAGGAAAGAAGAGTGGGAAAGGCTTCTATGACTACTGATTTAGCAACTTCACTTTACGGATGACAATCTAGATAAGGAAAAAAGCTATTTGACACAAGACGCATTCCCTTCGCCTTCCCCACCTCTCCATATTGTCCAATACACAGCAATGGAAGCATTCGCGCTAGAGAGCATCACCGATCTTCAAATTGCGCAGCCGGTCCTTGATCTCTTCATCCGTGAGCTTCTTGCTCCGGAACGGCCAGCGGCTGGCTTTCCTCGCCTTGGCTTCCGGCCCGGAGGCCAAGGAGAGGCTACTACTGCCGTCAGAGGAGATCGAAGGTGTCACATTCCATGCCTGTGAGGGTGGTATTGGTGTCTCGATCTTCTTCGCCTTGTCCTTGGTCTTGCCTTTGTCCTGAGTCTTGCTCTTGCTCGGCGGTAAGGGGTTGTAGTATGACCAGGCATGCGGCTCTGGGGCTGCGGAACGTGTTGGTTTGGTGGTTGGAGCATACGGTTGTGCGGCTGCCAATGGTGGCGGGAGGGTGCGAGGGTTGGTGGTATACGGTGAAGCCTCAGGAAGAGGCCAGCGAGACGGCATTAGGGGTGATCGTTGATATGGCGTATCTGGCGGCGTAGGCGGCCTCGCCACATCAGGTATGTGGGTGAATTTGACGGGCTTGCTTGATTCTCCTGGCTTCGTGGCGACGAAGGCCGGACCGTTGCGTGGGAAGGATGGACTCGGAGGGGTGGGGTTGCGTGGCATGGGCCGCCGGATGATGGGTATTGAGACTGCTGGTGTCGCAGGCGTGGTGGTGTTGTCGGCCTTACACTCCTCGACGGACACGAAACTGTAGTTGCTGGTTGTGGTGTAAGAGCTCCCGGAGCTTGGAGGTCCACGATTGTCAGAGGAGAATGACGAAGGCGCTTCAAGCTCGACGGGTGTATGCTGTAGGGAGCTGTAGGACTCGAGCTCCGTAGGCAGAACCTGCAGCGAGGGCAGTGGCTGGATGGCACTCGCCATATCTTCACTCAAGCCCACCGGCTCGACGCCTTTTTTCAGTTCTTCATAAACAATTCTGGTATGCTCAGTGGCCATCAGCACCCTTCTTTCTGAAACAACGAAGAACCATTTGCGCTCCGCTGCGACTTTGGCAACAAGTCGAGCCATGTCGTGATGGAATTGCGTTCTTGCTCTTTCGAGCTTGATGATCATTGCACGCCTCAGAAGCTCTGTCTCTTGGTCGGCTGAATCTCGCGCTTCCTTGACATCGCGGTCCAGGGCCTCTTCCAGGCTGGCCTCTTCCGTTCTGTGCTGTCTGAGAAGTTCTTCCTGCATCCGCTGCTCGCGGGCCTCCTTGTTTGGCTTCCCACGCAAGTGGACCTGAATTTGCATGAACAGGTCATCTTCCTGTGCCTCGTGCTCCATAGCGAGCTTCTGGAGCGCCGCATCATGTGTGGCATTGATGATAGCTAGCTTCTTCTCCAGAGCTGTTGCTATGTTGGCCGCAAGCTTGGTTTCTCTGCTCGCATGCTCCGTCTTGAAATCTTTATAAGATGACACCAGTGTCTGCTCCTGCTGGCCTTGATGATCGTCTAGACTGACGTGTTGGTGATGAATCGTGTCAGTCAGGGCCTGCACAAGATTTTCATTCTCCAATCGAATGCTCAATTCCAAGGTTTCTCTTAACTCCCGTTCCAACGCTTCGGCTTCTTGACGTCGACGTCTTTCGTCTTGTTGGCGTTCCTGCTCCAGCAGGGCCAGCTGCTCCTCTTCCTCTCGCCGAGCAGCTTCCTGCTCTTGCTCGCGTCTCTGACGTTCTTCAGCTTCGCGTGCTTCTATAGCACGAATGACCGCCAAAGCTCTCTCCATCTCTTCGTCTTCGTTTTGGTCTCTAGCCGCGTATGCTGCTCTTTGACGTTCCAATCTAGCCTGACGTGCTGCTTCATCCACTTCGGTGCACTGGCACGTCCTCCATCGGGCACCACACACATAACAAAACTGCCCCCCGCAGCTGCAGGTGATATGTCTGCAGCCCATCGTGCGTTCGACCATCGTGCGACATTTATAGCAGCGCCTCCATCCATGCGCCTCTGCAACGTTGATAGTAGCCTCGAGGCCTTGGTCCTGTGGACATTCTGCGTTCCGGGCGTGAGATTTGCCCCGACACTGCATACAAACCTTGGTACTACAGTGTGGACACTTGTGGCTGTTGGAGCGAAGCTTGGAAGGCGGGATCCATTTTGCGCAGGAAGCCTCGGGGCAATACCAACGCTTGTCGGTCGGAATTGAATATTCAGCCGCCTTGCTCTTGTACGTGTCCCTTTGCTTCTGATCCAGGGGAATGATGATTGTGGCCGAGGGAATCTCAGTCAGGCAGCATTTTGGTGGGTATGCACTCTCGTTGTGGATCGCAGTCATCACGAGAGTCGCTAGACACGGCTTGCAATAGTAGTGAGTGCATTTGAGGCGAATGAGGCTTGATTCTGGCAGGTCGTCAAAACAGCTGGTGCATTCCAAAGTCGGTTCAGCTGCGATTTTCTTTGCGAGCTTCGTGGTGCCAGACTGCTGTTTATGATGGCGAAGAGCAGCAATCTTGCAAAGGGTAATTGTAATCAGGTCATTCTTGGACCCAGTCGACGGCAGATTTTCTGCAATAGGTGATTGCGTATCCTCTTGTGCGGGACTCGCCGGTCGGCGCTTAGGCAGATCCTGGCATCTAGGAGGATAACGTGATAGTGACCACTGAAGGATCTGAGCCAACTTCTCCGGCGGATTTGTAAGTTCGGGGACCTGTGTCAACTCTAGCGGCGGAGATCGTTCTGCCCACAGAGGTGACAGAGTATCGGCGCTGTTGTCAGCACAAATGACGCTTGTCCAGGCATTCGGGATTCGTAGAGACTCCATGTTGCTGACCTTTGTTCCTGGTGAACTTTTCCGATATCTCATCGGCCACGACAGACAGGTGTAACACTAGAAGTATGGAGAATAAGAAGAAGAGGAAGAAGGGGACAGAAGCCACGGTATAGACGACTTGAGCCTCCATGGCTGTGAGTATGGGCGGCTTCTAGCTGGTGGGTACCAAGCATCAAAGTACCGTGGTTGGGTACTTGGTGGGCCAGCAAGGCAGTATCAGCTATTTCAAGCAAGAAACAAAATATTGGCCATACTTTATTTACCAGAAGCGTAGTGATTTGGGCTTTACAGCCCATCAGGGGCTGTGTACTGTGAATGGACCTACCACGACAGCGGCAGCAATAGCTCCGATAGAGCTGTACGCGCTACCGCTGACATACCTCGTCCAGTGCAAGAGACAGACCGGGAGGAGAATCGTCGTTAGTCGTCGTCAACGCTGCATCATTGGGACTCGCTCGCGGATCCGGCATTGCGATCAAGCTGAGATGAAGTGAGCTGTGAGCCCTGGTGCGCCTTGTCGAGGGCAGTACAGGAAAAAGTTCGCTTAGGCAAAAGCTAGCCCCCACGGCAGGTACAACTAGCCCCGAATGCGTTGTGTGGGGTTAGGGTTAGGCGTCATGACCTGGCATCCACTCGTACACAATGACTTCGCTCGCCACGGTCGAGCTGTGTGCCGTCTACCCACCTCTTGCGACCGGGCTACTTGATTGCCATGAGATCGCTTCTTACGGACCAAGCTGTTGTGCTGGAGTGAGATTCGCTCAACATGGAGAGCCATCTCATGTCTCACCAGAACAGCGCTCATGCTGCCTAGCAGGATCCGCAGAGGTTCTGACGGTGATGACCAGGTGGAAGAAGTCCTGAGTTCCATTCTTGCACATCCTACGATGCCTTGACACCAAGTGATCGCTCTGACTCGTGGGCCAGACGCATTTTCGTCTCAAGTAAGTACTATCGCCGGCAAATGAATACATTCCACTCCTTGCGGCCATGTTATCATTCCACGCGCTTGCGGTGGTCGATGCTCCACGCGCTGGGCTCGATGCCCTTACGCCTGCTCGGCGATTGTCGGCAATGGCGACAGCAACATTTAGGTTTGAACTCTAACGGTAAGCTGATCGACGCCATGGGGAGGCCTTTGTTCATCGGCGTTTGGGCGCTAGCGAGTCTTTCCAAGGCTGTCTTCGGATACGGTACCACGGTCTTTGAGTATCCAGAATACTGTTCAATAGCGCCCACCACCGTCATCAATTCAAGCCCGACAACATCGGGCCCAGTCGTGTGAGTAACATTGAAGACTTGCCGGCCGCACCCTGACATCCTATGCAGGCCAACCAGCGAGCCTTTCCTCGTTTTCGTCGAACAGAGCAGCGGCGGTACCAAGCGCGATGTCGAATTCCTCGACAACGACGGAACATTGACGAACGAACCCGAGGAGGCAGCGCAGTATGTGATTGTTGCTGGTCAGCTGCGAAGTATTGCTGGTCATGTATCAACATCTGGATTGGTGCCCTTCCAGGTCTTTGCCGCATCGCCGTTCTCGTTGCCTGTTTCTCGCACGTTCTCCATGCTGAATGGCTCTCTGGAGTGGATCAATGATGGGTTCTACGCAGGAAAGGCCCGGTTTTGTCTTTTGAATACAACCGTCAATGTCGATTTCTCGGGACAACCACCTACTGCCTGTAGGCTCATCGAACTTGGTACGGTACCCGCACAAGATGCCCTTCGTCCACCAGAGACAACATCTACGACCGAGACGCTGCATACGACTGTTAGCTCGGACACAACGGTTGGTGTATCGGGAGCAAGTACCACAATCCCGTACGAACCTCAAAGCTCTTCAGATCAAAGTACCACGCGAGAATCCACGGCTGCTGCAACGGCGTCTGTTCGTCCCCCACTGCCGGCCCAAAGTACTGTCACCGGCCAGCTAGCCACAGCTCAATTCTTCGGCTGTCTTCGATCCGGTCCGGAAGACCTCGTCATCCCAGGACGCGGACATCCGGTAGCTACACTAGAGGAATGCGTTGATTACTGCGCTGGATCAGATATCTCAAACCTCTACGCGGGCGTGCAGTTCAGTATGTATACGATCAAATCAGATGATTCGCCGGTTAACAGCCACAGGTAATCAATGCTTCTGTGGCAAAGAAACTTCACTCCCGTTGATTGAAGGGGTTTGTGACCGCCCATGTCCGGATAACAGCAACCAGACTTGTGGAGGCATTCAAGCCATGTCCGTTTACACGATCGAGCTGCGCTTCCCAGAGTCGTCTATCTCCATTGATACAGCCACACCGACGAGCACTTCCACTTCATCGTTGTTGGGCTACCCGGCACCGACTTCTTCTGGCGTCCCCACTTGCGCTCCGGAATCTGAATTCGACGGTACAGTCAACAACAACTACCTCATCCTTTGCGACACTAGTTTGCCTGGGAATGACCTGGCCGTGGTAGAGGCGCCGGATCTTGCAAGTTGCATCTCAGAATGCAGCTCCTATGCTCCGGAAAGCGGCATCCCGTGCATCGCAGTTGAATACGTCGCAGTGAGTATAGATGACCTTCCAGACACCTCCAGCTCACACCTCCAGAATGAATCTCCAGCGAATTGCAGATTGAAGTACAGTGTTAGCCCCATTCGGCGTGGCGACGGTCCTTCAGTTCAAGCAGCTGTTCTAGTCAACGTCCCGTTAGCCCCCTCGATTACTTTCATTCCTCCGTCTTCTCCAACCTCGACAGAATTTGCAACGTCCAGAGCTCTCGCTACTAGCCATTCTCTGCAGACAACTTCTGCGCTTACCCCAAAGGTCTCCGCGTCTACTCCGACGACAATAAGCGGCATCCCGACGCCAGACAGCACCAGAATGACAAGCAGCGCCTTAAGTATAGTCCAGATTTCGCCAAGCGGAGGCGATTCTACTACAACTGGCGGTGATGCAGCAGTGAGCAGTTCCACAACAATCATTCTATCGTCAAGCGTTGGCCTCTCTTCAGTATCCGCTAGTGCTACATTGTCGAACAGCTTCATAGCAGTGAGCAGCTCTACAGTGCTTAGCGTCGCCACAACGACTAGTGCTTCGACGAGGATCGCCTCCGCTGAGCGTAGTAGCATTCTTTCTACATCGGTATCAGGCTCATTTCAAGCTACTACCCCGTCCAGCAGCATTGTTCGCTCGCCACCCGTCAGTTCACAATCCAGCTCAGCATCTTTTTCATCAAGCCCTTCGTCAGGTCCACAAACTGCCACTTCGGCTGCGCCTACTCCGACTAACACTGCTTTGTGCCCGACCTACGACAAAGATGTGCTCAATATCAATTCCGACGGCTACAACTATGAGATTCAATGCAGTAACGACATCCAGGGCGAACTACTGCTCGGCAACGCCACATTCGCCAACACGTTCCAGAACTGCATTAGCCAGTGCACACTCTACAATGTGGCGATTCCTTTCCAATGTATTGGAGTCAAGTTCCTGTTGCAGCCCAGTGGTTCGAATAACTGCCTGCTTCTGCGTTCGTATACCGGCAGCAGCTGTCAGACGTTCGCAAATGCTGCACGCTTGATCTATGGCGGTTATCCTTCTCCGAATGGCGTCGCGTGCGGCCCAAGAAGCACGAGCTCGGCAAGATCCGTTGTCTCAAGCTCAGCTGTGGCAATTACCAGCACTCTGTCCACAGCTGCGAGCACCTTGGCTGTATCACCGACACCTCCGGCGTCGAGTATTTCATCCTCATCCCCAGGACCTCCCAGCCCTCCAGTACGATCTTCCACCTCAACCGCCACTGTCTCACTGGAGTTAACACGTAGTACTTCAAGCGCAACCAGACGATCTCCATCTGCTTCCCTTCCCTCCGCTGGCTCCTCAAATGCGGCATCTTCGGCGGCAACATCAACAGGCGCTCTCACAGTCGCAACCAGCTCCAGAATAGCTTCATTGTCAATAACCACATCCACAACGTCAACAACTGTAGTAGCTTCCACCTCACCGGCCTCATCCTCCACGTCCCGCGCCACCACCACAACCACCGCATCCCCGCTCCCCGCCTTCACACCTCCAACCTTCTGCGGCGCCCCACCTAACGACACGGACGGCTATCCGGACGAATGCGCAACCAACACCAACGCCCCCATCTGCTACCGCTACAACTTCGACTACGACGGCGCCACGGGAGTCACACCCGGCGGCAACGTCTCGTACGAGATCGAGTGCGCCACCCAATTCAGCGGCGCCACCGCGGGCTCCACTGTCGCCAGCAGCCTGCGCGACTGCATCTTCTGGTGCGAGTACGACAACCAACTGCAGCCCGGAGTGCGGCCGTGCGTCGGCGTCACGTTCCTGAATGGTGAACCCGGGCAGGGCCCCAACAACTGTGTCAAGTATTCGACGCTGACGTGCGCGACGAGGGGGAATGCCACGTATAGTTCCGCGAGGCTGCTGTGGGCGGGTTATCCGGCTATGACGGACTATGACCAGAGCTTCAATTGCTAACTACAGTACTGCGGTAATTGCTGAAGCATTGGGGTGCCCATGGGCATTAGGAGAAAAAGGGGGGCGCAGAGCCTTGTGGGAAACGGTTTCCGGCGCGCAGCGAGGCACCCGGCCCACGACACTCCGCTGCGGGTGGTGCCACTATCGGCTATTGAGATGTTTGTTCGGGGCCCGGCGGGGGCTGGATGTCTTTTGCTTTGCCGGCAGTCCCCCCGTTTTACTTACATTCGAGTTTTATTTTCATTTGCTGAGGCTTCAAACACCCCCAGAAAAAAGACTCCTTACTCCCAAAATTCCTACAGTAGGAACAAGAGAAGAAGAACACACACACACACACACACACACACACACACACACACACACACACACACACACACACAGAGAGAGAGATAATCAGTTACTACTGCCTTTTTGGGGGAGGGAAATCAATCCATTGTCTCCTTGTGATGAACTTGACAAACCACGAAATTTCTGGTCGTCGGCCGGCCCACGCAGATTCTCTGCTGTAACACGCATCTCTTGTTCGGCACCGCCGCCGCTTCACCATCTACTCAACCTCAAACACAAACTGCACTGACTCCCTCATCTCGTCTCATTTCGTCTCATCTCGTCTGCACTGTCTGTTAGGGGGACCTGTTGTATCGCGGGCAATCATTTGTCTCATCCAGCTGATTGCAGGTCTGCAAGGTGGAGGAAAAGAAACCCCAACAAAAGCCCCCCCTCTCGCCTCCTCCTTAAGCATTTCCCTGCGTACACGCGCGCGCGCACGCGCGGAGTAGCGTTGCGCGCTGCTCGCATTCTTCCTCCTCTCCTGCATAGCATGCATGCATGCATGCATGCATGCACTCTCTTGTGCTCATATGACCACATCCTTTATTGTTATTTGCCTCTCTCCCCCTCTCTGTGTATTTGTGTGCGTGTGTGTGTATTATTCTCTCCTTACGCATTCCATTTCTTTGCCTGGCCCCGCCTCGGCCCTAATCTTAGGGATTGTTTATTTGCTTGCTTTCCCCCATCCCTCTCTTCTGGCATTGTTCCCTCCTCGCATATTCTGCATGATCTCCCCGGGTGGGGGGGCGGTGAAGCGGTGAGGAGAGAAAATACCTAAAGGCAGATCTCGCGCGTGGCAATAAAGGGTTGCGCATTTCCCGCCTGCTGCGTGTACCTTTGTTCGCAATTGAGTAGTTGTTAGTATTGAGGTACGAGGGAAAGGATATATCCTTTGCGCCTTACGAACGTCAGTCAGCACGACCTTGTGAATCTATCGAACAAGACTCCAGTCAATACAATATGTGCTCACCCATCTCCGACGCAGGCCTGGAGCCGAGACTCATCCGGCTAGGGTCGCCATTCCAATTCCAATACCACTCGCGCCTGTCGCCGCAGACGATCTACAGCTTCTCGACGCGGTCACGGGACAGCGGCAAGCTGGGCGAGCCCGGGTATTGCTCGACGACGGCTTGTCCGGGGCTCAGAAGTGAGCAGACGGTTGGCAGCAAGTGCCGATACTGCTGTTGGATGATTCAATAGACCTTACAACGGGTAACGACAAATAGCCTGCAAACTATAGCATGCGACAACTCCGCGCGCGGAGCCTGGCAACATCGCCACGCGGTCAAGCTGGACATGCGGTTCTGATGGAGCATTATCGCGACGAGGTCCAGTCACCTATCGAGCCCCCGACTTCGATCTCAAAACGGTAGCGATGGCACGAGCGGGCAACGTCCAGCCATTTCTGACACTCAGCTATGGCACATCAGCACTACAAGCACATCATCCTTGATCAACGCGGAGCACCGATCTGTGACGGTCTGGTGTCGCTCATCGGACAGGCTGAAGGCGAGGGGCGGCACACGAGCCTTTCAGGAGCCTTCATCTCGCTCCTTCAACCATATTGACGACCAGCCATGCTCCATGTCCTTCTTCAGTTGCGCCATCACCTCAGCGACCTCCTTCGTCTGTTCCCTTGGGTCCAGCTTTCCGCCGGGCGCGTCATGAAAGAATACCAAACCTCCAGGCACCTCGAACAAAGGATTGCCCTGCCCTTCGCCGCTCCTGCCGACTGGTCCTGTCTCGAATCCACACTTCTGGTAGAAACCCTCTTTACCATCGGCACTAATCACACTCGCGCTGATGCCTTCTTTCTCCGCCATCGATATGCCTCGTTGCACCAAGAGCTTTCCGATGCCTCTCCCCTGCCATTGAGGATCTACAGCCATGCTTTCAAGATACAGGCTCGGACACCTGCTCTTAACAGGGTCCCAAACATGATCGATATAGCCATAGCTACGCTCTACAATCCCTTCCCGTTCAGGGTCTGCAGCTCTGTTTGTCCAGAAGAGGTTGGCGAGCCGAATGAGTTGGGAGACGAGAGGTTTCAGCACCTGCCTTGGGTCCCACCACCTCAACCCCCAACCGGTTCTTCGATTCTCATCGTCGTTGAGGCCTATGCGGCTCCAGTGAGCCTGACCCACGATTTTCTCTCGGCCTTGCTCATCTCTCAAGCAGGCGAGAAGGAAGACATGGGCGTAGTCAAAATGGGAGACGAGATTCCGTGAAAGCCAGTATTGATTGGAGTCATTGGGGTATTGGTAGCGCTGGGGGTGGATAGTCTTCCCGAAGAGGATGTCCTCGAAGAACGCGCGAGTGTTGAGGCGGGCAATGGCCCAGTGGTCAATCAGACGAGCTGATCGGATAGTCAGATGGAGAGGTGGTGTGGACGGTGTCTGGCTTTGGTACGAGGACATCCTAGCAAGCCACGAATAACGTGGAGTGAAGGCCCGATGTCCCCACGTTTCCTGTGAATTGGTTCCTGAGTCCGTTACTGCACAAGTCCCTAGCAATAATCTGGTTCTGAGCAAAACAAGGCGACCGCGCCACAACTTGCTTCTCGTAGCGACACGCCTCGTCTCGCGCGTGGTGAACGTCGATCTCAATCTGCAAATGCCGTAAAAGCCGATTCCTGCGGGAGAATGAATCCTTGCATATGTACGAACGAATAAGCACTACTCAGCGAGGAGGGTGCCGTGTCGTGTCGGTGCTGTCGTCGCTGCCAGAGTTTCTTTCGAATATGGAAACGCCCACGCCCTCGTATCCGGCCGGACTTGTTCCTGACGATCTTGGCCCAATCCTCAGCGCTCGGAAGCCACCAGACTTCTTGGACTTCGGAACTAGTAGCAAGCCAACAAACTCGTGGGGGCTTTGCCAGGAATCCCTCAACCTCGGAAGGAGCAGAAGCAACGCATTTGACGCGTGTGGCCGGAAACTGATAGGTGGCCAAGCTCGTGCACCGTTATCGCTCGACACGCCACGCAAGGATATGGTGGCTTTTGGTACTTTCTGGCATGTACTCTGTACGACCAAGCAGGTCCGTTTCATGTAGCAACAAGTTCTGACACCTGCTGTATCAGCATTTCGGACCTTCTCTGCGCATTTTGTTGCCCCTTCCGAGGAGCACGGGTGTCAAGCGCCCTGTTGGACGAAAAGGCCACTAGAAAGTGAACAATCACAGCGGGCCTGGCTAGACTCATGGTGCGCAGGCATGTGTAAGTGGGCAATGGATGGAAATCTGCCCCCGCCTCCCCGACTCGCTTGTACCCCTGCCATCCCTGCTCTTGAAATGCCCGGGGTCCACCTCCTTCGCCGCAACTTGCAAGTGACACATCTCCCAACGCCTTTGTGAACTGTGGACCCCTGCATCTTGCTCGCGAGCTCGCGAGCTTCTAGCTTCTAGCTTCTCGCACGTGGTATCCGTATAGTGGCACACCGTAAGATCAGGTCTTCTATGGTCAACTCCGCTTGAAGTCTCCGGACAAGGTCCCTAGCATCCTTGTCTCGACCTCTGGTTCATTGGTAATCTGTAGTACGGTTAGCGCTGGACCCGCTTCGCCATCTCTTGGGGCTATGGCTTGATCTCGAACTCAGTGCTGCGTCGTCCCGAGCGCCCGGGGTTCCGGCGCTAGGGCGGAAGGTTGTTGTTGTAAGCGAAAGCCTGTCCAAAGGAATTGCTCGTGCAGTGGTTTTAGATTAAGCCTTGCAAGGCGTGCAGCAGAGTTTCCGGCGGTTTCGAAGAGGTGCATAATCGTTGTGATTGTGGTTGGGCGGATAAGGAGATGCTGGGACGGCGGAATTCGAAAGCCGAGGGTTTCGGGGGTGTAGAGGGTTGAGAGCTGAAGCAAGGTGTTTCGCCGGCGAAATAGAGGGTATGGGGCAAGTACTCGGAGAGGTCTTGATGTGCCCAGGGAACACCTTCCCTGATAGCCCGATTTCGCTTGGAGGTATTTGCAGGAACTTATAGCAGTAGCCATCTATCAGAATGTAGAGATATCGAAGTACGGATACATAGCAGCAGAAACCCATCATCGCCAACTACTCATACAACCAGTACCAGTCATGAAATCGTCCTTGGGCCTACCAGCTCTTCCGTATAAACCTGTGTTTCTTTTCCTCGTGCCGAATTAGGCACCCAACACCTTGTAAGTCGCCAGATTCGTAACACAATCGCAATCAACCTCTGCATGTCTCTAGATGGCCCTCGGCTCATACCCAACATGCCATTGTATGTCTTTCCTGATGATACGCTTGTCGCTGCCCACACTCTCAATACTTACCTCGTCACCGAAATCGCCTACCTTGTCACCTTGTCGACTGCGTGGCGTCGTATGGTTATGCATTACCGCTTCACCCGTTCTCACTTTGCGGATAGGGGCGACAATATCTGATTCGTCCTCAATCCTGGACCGATTCATACTCCCACCAGCACCACTTCCCGTAACCGTTGCATGGCGTGAATTCATTGCCCCTCTTTGGCTACCTTGATTGTTCACACTCCTCATTTCGTAGCTTCTCTGCCTCGCCGAGTTCTTACTGCCATAAGCGGCAGTATACGTCTCCATATCAATGCCGATACCAAAACCTGAGCCAAAACTGCGGACGAATGCCTTCAGGTTTGGGATTGTTGCGGAAATGATGGTCCACGCCATGTAGACCTGCTGCAGTACCTGTATGGGCGTCTGCGCGAGGCCGGCGTTTCCGGATTTGGCGTACTGGTCCACGTAGTACAAGCGTAGTGCAGCGAGTGCCACCAGGGGCAACCGCAGTAGAAAAGCCAGAACGACTTGGCACTTGAGATGAAATGCTAGGTGAACGGGGGTCACAATCACAATTGTCATGAGTATGAGGATGGCTTCTGTTGCAATGTCCAATCCGGTGATGATGCGCCAACGCAGTGGCTGGCTGGAACATTTTGCATCGGCGGGCGGTTGAATATAGGTTGTGGGCTGGCAATTGGCAGAGACCGTGGCTATAGAGGCAATGCCTCCAAGAGCCATGATACCGAGAATGGCCAAACAAACATTGAGGTAGAGGCGTGGAGAACCGTGATGGTTTGTTTGCGACTTCCGACCGGACAAATTGAAGAGACGCATCATCAGGTAAAGAGTCGAGCATTTGGCGAATGTGGCACACAGAAGGAAAAGAATCAGGGCGGCAAAGGAGTCGATCGATGCAGTATGTGCCGAGGAGGGTACGAGGAAAGTGAGCGTCTGGCCTAGGCCGGAATTGAGGGCGAGTATGGTGCTGATGGCACTTCCCAAGTGGAAGAGCTGATTTAGCTGTTAGTTTTGCTTATGGCTGATGAGAAGGAGAACGTACAAAAGCGAAGAGTATGAGCAGGTCATCAGCGCCATAGATCTTCAGCCGGAGCCAGCCACGAGTCAGAACTGTGATAAGAGAATAGACGAGGCATAAGAGCGTTGCAATCCATATTGACCCCGACTGGTTGTCCGCCGTTATGGGCGCGAAACGATTGTCGTTGTTGAACGTGTCTGACATCGCGATATGCAGTCTGGAAAGACGTGTTAAAGAGGAGATGTATCGGGGTGGGCGGCTGGATCTTCACATTAGCAGTTCGGTAGTTGAGGTCGATCATATGCAGTACAACACAAGACTTGGAAAACAATAATCCCAGCCGTGACTTGCTGGTGAAACATTCAAATAGTGATGCGCGATATCGATTGGGTTTGTGAGTTTCTGCTGACTTCAGAGGATATTCGTGGCTTGGTGAGGGTTTCGGGCTTGACGTGAGCGCAAGAAGCAGCCACTGGACGCGGTCAGTGAGCCTGATTCGACTTTGTGGTCGTGGGATGGCGGCATCTGCAACGTTAGCGTCAGGAGAAGCTCAGGGAATCATCCTGGACCAGAACAAGGCGTTTTTTAAGATAGCGGCAGTCTGGTCAGTAGCCCAGAAAACGGCAATGATCAACGGTCGGACGAACCGAAGACAGTTGTCCAATAGATGCCATGGCCTTGAAAGGTGCACAAGCGCGATGGTGGCACAACATACCATCATCCTCGTATCGCCAGCCGCAAAGCACCGTGCAAAGATGTAGAAGCATGGTGGCAACCCCTTGCAGACATGTCGGCCGGATGAGGTGGTGGAAGAGAGGGACCTGTAGAAGCCCTTCAGGCATTGGGATAACTCGCCCTCGAGCATTCGAGGCAGCGCAAGGATCTCTTAGCATCTCGAACAAGGGTGTGCGGGTGCCAGGGCGCCGGGGAACTCTGCTTCTGCTCGGCTCATTCGACCAAGTAGACAGGAAGACGTGGAAGACATGGAGTCTGGCGCACGGATCATTGTCCTACAGTAGCGCTGGAGCTTGGCACCGACACTGGGACCCACAGCCTGTTCGTGAGCCACGGAGCCCTTGCTTCAACGCTTCACCATCACGCTATCCAAGCTGTCTAATCTGCCATCACTGCCATCACTGCCATCACGACAGATTCAGTATCAGCCTATCTTGTCATCACCTCGCTTACCAGATCTACATCCGAGCTTGAAGCCTTCCCACCCTGCTCCGCAGGGACCACAGCTGGCCAGCTGGCGGTACAGCCAAAGCTTATACCTAATTCATCTCAAAGTCAGCGATAGGTTCTGACCAGGGAAAAGCAAATCTTATCTGCTCGTATGAGGTTGCGTGCTTGCTCAACAACACCACGGGTGGCTGCTGCGTGCCCGCCCGAGAGGATTTGACTGCGCCGCGATCTGCAGCTCTCGCTCTCGCCCTGCTCCCATTGGATTCTGAAGTATGTGGCGTGCAGTGGCTCGAACGCCTTCCCAGGGGGCCCAAGCGATCCGCAAGTCCCTTCACGAGTCCCCGGCATAACGACACTAACCTTTCCGACCCCATGTCCACTCGCTTGTCGAGGTGCTTGTTGAAGCTCTTTCTCCCTGATTCCGCCAAAAGCCTGCGACAAGCGCGTTCCAGCCAGAGTTCTGAGCGGATTGACTGGAGCGTGGCCGTTAGTACGGTGATACCGCATGGCTGGCGAACAATGATCCTATACCCTCTTTCGTCCAGCCGAAACCTCATTTCTGCTGCATATTCCCCTCCTACACTTCTTCTCCCCTGCGCAGGTTGTTGTTGCACGACTCATCCACCCACACAGCTTCACCATGGCGGGCCTCAAGGAAGAGATCTCCGTTACGGAGCAGTACCCTATTGATCCCGAGAATGTCAACTTACCACCAGAGAAGGCCGGCACCAAGTCCGACCAGCAGGACATGTGGCGCATGGGCAAGGCGCAAGAGATGAGGAGGAACTTCCGTTTCGTCTCCATATTCGGCTTCACCATGCTGGTAAGGGTCGCTGCCGATCGTCTCACGATACCAGAAGACTGATGAACCACAGGTCATGTGCTCATGGGAGACAATGTTGGGCACCTCTATCATCGGTCTTATCAATGGCGGTACAGCCGGCTTGATCGTAAGTCCACTCTACGCTGGACACGGCAATGTACTGACGCCCCAAGTGGCTTTTCCTGGTCTCGTGGGTTGGTTTCCTGGCGGTCAATACTTCCATGGCGGAGATGGCCTCTATGGCACCAACCTCTGGCGGACAATACCATTGGGTTTCGGAATTCTCGCCAAGGAAGTACCAGAAGTTCATGAGCTTTGTCACCGGCTGGCTCTGTGTGCTAGGGTGGCAGACCGGAGCTGCCAACACAGCTTTCCTCGCCGGAACTCAGATTCAAGGCCTCGTGACGCTCAACAACCCAGACTATGTCCCGGAGAAGTGGCACGGCACCCTTCTCACCTTCGCTGTTGCGTCCTTCTCGGTCTTCTTCAACACATTCCTCGTCAAGAAGCTGCCACTTGTCGAAGGTATTGTTCTCATCATCCACATCTTCGGCTTCTTCGCTGTCCTGATCACTCTCTGGGTTCTTGGACCACGCGGCGACGCTTCTCAAGTCTTCACGACTTTCAACAACTACGGTGGTTGGCCAACTGACGGCCTTTCAGCCATGGTTGGCATCTTGGCAGTTATGATTCCTCTGCTAGGGGCTGACGGCGCAGTCCATATGTCAGAAGAGCTCCGAGATGCCGCCCGGACTCTGCCAAAATCTATGATCTTGACCACGATCTGCAATGGAGCCATGGGCTGGATCATCCTTATTACCTTCTGCATGGTGCTGGGAAACCTTGACGATGTCATTTCCTCACCCACCGGTCAGCCATACATTGCAGTCTTCTACAACGTCACCGAGAGTAAGTCCACCGTCATTCGCATTTCTGGAGGTGATTACTAACGACGTTGTAGGCTATGCGGGAGCTTCAGTCCTTTCTGCCCTGGTCATTGTGATGGCTATGTTCTGCAATCTCTCCATCACCGCAACTGCATCTCGCCAACTCTTCGCCTTCGCCCGTGACCAGGGTGTACCTTTCGCCCAATTCTTTGCCGAGGTTCGGCCAGGCTGGGATGTACCCATGAATTCGATCATTGTGTCGTTCGTGGTATCCTGCCTGCTATCCATCATCAACATCGGGTCGACGATCGCTCTCAACAACATTACCAGTCTGTCACTCTGCGCCATTTTGTCCTCATATATCATTTCGATCGGCTTGGTCTTCTGGCGACGCATCACCAACCGGCCACTGCTACCCGCCCCATTCACTCTGAGTAAGCCTGTGGGTCTTTTCCTGAATGCACTATCATTGGCGTTCTTGTTGATTGCATTTGTATTCTCGTTCTTTCCTGGTACCAACCACCCCAATGCTGAGCAGATGAACTGGGCGATTTTGATCTATGGAGCAGTCATGGTCTTTGCACTGCTCCATTATGTGATCAAGGCGAGACATGTCTACGACGGACCCGTGGAGTATGTGAGGAAGCTGTGACTCTTGCGGCATGTTCGATTGCATTGGAACAGAGCGGCTACGCTTCCGTGTGCCAGGTTTGCAGTCTGGTCTCGAAGCACGGCTACATGTCAAGGGGCGAAAGGCTGTTTTTCCGTAGTGTAGAGATACAACCACGATATTCTGAAAAGCATTCAACTAATTCAGTATGATTGAACGTCGAGTTCTGAACAGGGGAAAGTCAAGCCGGGTGACTCTCAGCCTGAACCGCGGGCTTGGCGAGGGGGTGCGGTCGGTGACTCGGCTATCACTTCGAACACCGCAATAGCCTGGCACGATGCATTCACATTCTCCTCTTCAGGCGCAAGCCTAGCCTTCATGTCTTCGGTGTTCTGGAGCAGACTGACAAGCCGTAATGCGCCAACCCCCCAGGCCGTTGACCCCCAAGCCCCCACATGCCGCGATCGACCCATGAGATGGGGGCCTCCCGGAGCTGATCACGTTGGCACTGGTACTACCATGTTTTCACTTGGGCCCAAGTCGTATCACTTTCTGGTGCTCAAATAGTCGCCAGCATTACTCTGTCTGGAAGAGACAGACGGGATTAGTTTTTTGCACTATTCTCACTACGAGGGACAATCTCTAGCTGAAGTTGGCCGATAGTCGAATAGACGAGGCTCACTTATAGAAGCTCTTTTCAAAGGATGTCGCCGAGAATTGAGAAACTGGGTCGGGCTCCGATGGACACCGATCGGGTTGTCCGTATATGGCCCGACCGGTCCTCCCCCAAGGTTGAGTGTCACCCCAGATTTCGGTTAATGAGCAAGATGGCGGCGGCGGCGCACGAAAGAAAACGATGAACCCGGAGCTTTCCCCACAAGCTTCTCCAGCCAAGCAACCCCCGGGGGCTTTCCGGGGGCGCCCAGGCCTGTGACACGCCCAGCGATTCGGTGCGTGGGTCAATGATGTCGGTGATGCTGGCACCCCAGACTAAACCCTCTCTCAACCCGCACGGCATCGAACGGCGATGGCAAAGAAGGTTTCCATACACGTGCCGACCACTGACACTGATCATTGCCGTCCTCAATCATATAAGCGACTGTCCCCCTCCCGCTTGTCGTCATGTCTGGTTCATCTTCCAGACTTTCAATCGACTCGCCATCGGAGCAGACTCCTCTCATTATGGCCAAGGATCACGAAGAAACGCACGCAGAGGAGGTCAACTCCTTTCAGAAGGATCCTGAGGATTTTAGCCGGAGGTCTTCTCACGCGGACAGAGCCGCAGCCATCGTTGGTGATGAGCGCATCGACCTCACTGAAGAGGAGGTTTGTCTTTCTGGACCTTCGCTTTGACTGAGCACCAGCTGATCCATGCTATTAGAGCAAACGTATATGCAGGAAGATCGATCGTGTCATCTTGCCAATTCTGGTCTGGGTCTACTTCCTCCAAATTCTCGACAAGAGTGTGCTTGGATATGGCGCAGTCCTCGGCCTTCGAGACGATACAGGCCTCACCGGAGATCAGTACAGTCTTGTGAGCAGTGTTTCGGCCATGGCGCAGCTCGGTTGGCAACCTTTTTCCTCCTGGCTCATCGTCAAGGTACCTCATCGCCACCTCATGCCTGCCCTCGTCCTAGGATGGGGCTTGGCTCAGACCTTCATGGCCGTTTGCCACAACTTCGGTTCGTATCTGCTGAACTCGTGACCGTTGCAACGGTTCTGACGATCTCATAGGTGGTCTGATCGTTACGCGCCTTTTCTTGGGACTCTTTGAGGCCGGCTGCCTCCCTCTCTTCTCGGTCATTACTGCCCACTGGTACCGACGATCAGAACAACCCTTCCGAGTGGCGCTCTGGTACGGTACGAATGGCTTGGCTACGATGTTTGCCGCGGCAGTCTCCTACGGGTTCGGTTCCATTGCTAATCCGTCAATCGCTGCATGTATGTTCTTCACCCCCACGCCCCCTCATCGCAAGACCTGAGAAAGATAAACAGGGAAGATTTTGTTCCTTACGGTAGGAATTGTCACGGTCATTACTGCTCCTATCGTCTGGTGGTATCTCGACTCGGACATCCCGAGTGCACGCTTCCTTACCGGCGAAGAGAAGCGCCAAGCCATCGAGCGCGTCCGTGCAAACCAGACCGGCACCGGCTCTCGCGAGTTCAAGTGGGATCATGTCCTCGAGGCCTTCCTGGAGTTAAAGTCATGGCTCTTTGTCGGAATGGTCTTGTGTCTTAATACGGGCGCTGCTGTGACCAACACCTTTGGTCCGCTGATCATTCAGGGGCTAGGGTTCGACAAGGAAATCACTTCGCTCCTGAATATCCCCTTTGGGGCTGTACAGCTGGCCGTGATTCTACCCTCATCCTACCTGGCCCATCGCTATCGAATGAAGTCCCCCTTCCTCGCTCTCATTATGATTCCAGTCCTAGTAGGCAATGTCATGCTCTACGCACTTCCACGAACAGAGCACGGGGCTTTACTGGCCGGCTACTACCTATTCGCATTTCTCTTCGGTGGCAACCCTCTGATCGTCAGCTGGATGATCTCCAACATCGCCGGCAGTACGAAGAAGAGTGTCATCATGAGCCTGTACAACGCTGGATCGAGCGCCGGCAACATCATTGGGCCTCTCCTTTTCTCTGCAAAGGATGCACCGGGCTACTTCCCTGGGTTGCGAAAGACTCTCGGCATCGTTGCAGCCATGATTGCGGCTATCGGTATCCAATTCGTCAATCTGTGGTTCCTGAACAAAATGCAGAGGAAGAAGCGTGTCAAGAACGGCAAGCCGGCGGATATTCAAGATCATAGTATGGAGCGCCACTACACGGCCGCGACAGCCGGTAATGAGGGCCTGATGCAGAATGCTCTACTGGATTTGACGGATCGGAAGAATGACGAGTTTGTGTATGTCTACTAGCATAGAACCTCCCTAGACCAGGCGAAATCATCGGACGTATTGATTAGGGCATTATTAAACGACTCTTGATGCTATACTCTTTTTGCTGTCTCTGATCGACCGACTCTGATGTCTTCCGCCCTGCAACCATTCGCACTGTGAAAGGCTTTGACAGCGTGCTGATGGTACCTGCCGTAGCAACAGGGACAGCTGTCGAATCTGACAACACCTCCCACATCTACCGATACTCCTTCATCACCCGATAGCTCGCCCACTAGTCCTGCAGACCTGCTGTTCAAATACCACATTGAGTAAGCTTCTGGAAACTCCCCGCTGGTCGATCTCTCTAGATGCTACCCTATCGAATTCGCCCCACCCCCGGGCTAGCTAGCCCGCACCTCAACGCTTGAAAGGGCATACCGATGGCTAAGGCAAATTCCACGCCTAAACTGTCAACAGCAACGCTAGAATGAAGAGGACAGGCGCTAGAAAACAAAGAACCTGGAGAGCATCAGCCAAGCCGGGCATCGGCCTCGTTCCTGAAAACGTCAACCAGTAGATATTGATATTCCCTTTCCCAAGACAGCAGTGGATCGCCAATAGCCCAGCTTCATGTGCCAAAGCTTCCCCAGAGTCGTAGGTCTGATATGGAGATGTTCGGTCTTAAGCCATGACTCGAACAAAGCTCGTCTCTTTCCTGCCGGTTTGTTTTCTGGACCTGCACCACAGAAGTCGCCGATGACAACACCTTGATGGGTGAATGATGCAAGTATAAGAAGACAGGACCTCGATCGGAACCCTCTTGAGACTCGGCCATCTCGCTCTTGCATCAATTCTCCTTTGCAGCGTACGCTGTTGTGTGCCGAATACCAGCTCTTCTCCTCGCCAAGTCACAAATCTACGCAAATACAGCCGTCGTCATGTACCGTTCTCTTGCAACCCTTCTTCCTATCCTCACCCTCACCACCGCCATCCCCCATGCCTCACCTCCAACACCCCCCTCCAGCTCAGGCTGCGGCAAAGACTCCCCCATCGCCCCTGGCAGCCGGTCCACCAACCTCACTATCACCTCTGACGACCGCGAGCGTAGCTTCCTACTGCACATCCCCTCCAGCTACGACGCCCACAAGCCCACGCCCCTAATCCTCAGCTTCCACGGCCGGTCCCGCAACAGCTCCTACCAAGAAAGTCTCTCCCAATTCAGCGACCCAGCCTACAACACTGCCTGGCTCGCCGTCTACCCCCAGGGCCTCAACGACAGCTGGCAAGGCCCCGACTACGCCGTGGAAGGTGTTAGCGACACGCTGTTCGTCTCCGAGCTCCTCGACTACCTCGAGGCCGCACTATGCATTGACACTTCCCGTGTCTATGCGACAGGCAAGTCCAACGGTGGTGGCTTCACCGGCACGCTTGCCTGCGATGATACCGGTGCTGGAGCGCGCATCGCGGCTTTCGCGCCCGTGTCAGGCGCGTTCTACGACTTTGGCGAGGGGGGAAGCGGGTGTCGACCCAGCAGGAAGGGCTTGCCGATCCTAGAGTTTCATGGCGATGAAGACGAGACGATTCCTTATGAAGGCGGGGACGGCGCGGGTGGGAGTCTGCCGGATATTGGGGAGTGGGTGAGCTGGTGGGCGGAGTGGAATGAGTGCCCTGCGGATGGAAAACGTGTAGACGAGGAGTACGACGGGGGCGTCACGGTCACGAGCTGGGCCTGTGGCAAGGGCGAAGACAGGTTGGTCGAGGGCTACAAGGTGCATGGATTAGGTCATGATTGGCCCAGCCTGCACCCTAATCTTGATAACCCTGACGGGACAGTCGTAGAGGCCACGACCGTGATCATGGAGTGGTTCGCACGGTGGTCTTTGGGGCAAGAGAATTAGCGGCAAGTGCATCCATATCAGCGAGTACATCTTCAGCCTTCGTAACACCAACCGTCGACGAACTTCTCGGTCAACTGAAAGCCCCTTCCCCCGCAGTAGCAAGCCTCAGTGAGCTCGAAGGCTGACCTCAATAGCCAAGAAGTCCGCCAGCTCAATATTGACTCATATACTCACGTTTAGAATCGTCAACTGGATGGTTCAAAACCTGTCGCGCGAGACTCCAGCAGCAGCATATCTCCCCTTCCTCAAAATTCAGAAAACCACAACCGAAACAAACCAAAAGGACCAAGACAAAGCACCGGATGAAACCGCGATAGAATCGCGAACCCATCCAGCGCCGCAGCACGGATCCTCTCCTTTACCTACCCGGCCTGCACGCCTAGGCCGGTAGTCTGTTCCTGGTCCTACATGGCTGACTGGCTGGCTGACTGGCTGTGTAGCGCCGGCAAGTGAAGAACGCAGAGCTATCGAATGCCAGTCTCTCTGCACATGATGTGAGTCTGTGCAGGGGATTTTGCGTAGGATTTGACAGATGACCAGAACCCTCAGGCAGGGCTGGGTCGACGAGCAGATGGTGAAGGGCGCCCTGGCGAGCACGGTTTCAGGTGGCGATGTGTAGGGGTGTGGTGGTACAGACAGACGAGGTTTGGGCCGGGTGCAGCTGGGCCTTGCTTTGGGAGGGGGAAAGGGGAGCGCATACAAAATGCGAGGGCTTCAGAAGGGTGTATCTAATGATCGAGCTGCTCAACTGTGTTTTGGGGCAACAGCCTGCTTCCATCATAGCGCTTGCAGACGCAACGTGGATGGACGCCACGGACCGCTGCGGTTCTCAATCTGCATCCGACTCCGCCCTTGCATGTATGTATACACATACTTCTTCTAATTTGTGTGCTTGCATCATCCCAGGACGGAGCATGCTTCCGTTTCTGCATGCTGTCAGAGTATGAGAGGCTGCATGAAGAGTTGGAAAGTCATGAGCACTTTTGAAACGTGGCTTGCATTCGATGTCACTAGGTGAATCTGGGTGCGGTGTTCTGAGTACGTACGCACGTCTGGGCCACATTACCCTCTCAAGGATTCCCTGACTCGGTAATATCTAGAAGATCCTTTGTATGTCATCCCCTTCACTGACCATCCCATACTTTTCACCCTCACCAAAAAGCAGATACAGACTGCGCTAGTACACCACAGTGGGGGTGCAAAGCCGCCATTGCAAGGCATTTACATGCCTGCGTAGAGTGTAGCATTACCTCCTTCCCTTTCTTCGACTCGGGTCAAAATTCAATAAGTTACAAACCCCTCCCTGCTCGTTTTTTTCGTTCTCTGGCTTGGCCTGCCCCCTTCGGGCAAAGAGTTATGATCGGTGGAAAAGGAGTGTCGTTGGTCGCGTAGATCGTTAATGCTGTACATAAGGAGATCGCGCAAAAGTCTTCATTGTGCCGAAGTAGCTTGTTGAATTTCCAGTGGCGTGCTTTTGATAGTAGTGACATGGGCAAACGTGGGAAGGCGGTGGAGGAACCATAAAAAAAGCCGATCTGTCTTGGCCTGATTCGAGTTGTCTGCGACTGAACCGCGAGGTATCCTTGGTATCTCGTTCCAAGATTACACCGTGGTAGGTACAGTCCAAGAGCGTTTGGAAACATGTCTGTACATGAAAAAGGAAAAAAATGGGTGACAGGCAGATTAAGCCTTGCCAAACATATCTGAGAGAAAACGAAGTAGTGATCGCTTCCGAGGTGATAAAGGGTATTGACTCGGCGACATCTCTGCTGACCTGGGTGGAGCGACCTCCATGGGGCCGACTATGTCGCTGTCGCCAAGCTCTGGAAATTTGCCGCACTTGTCGTCGATTTCTGGCATCACAATTCGAGATAAAGGCTTCTCAAGCGGCCATTTGGGAGGCTGGCTGTCGAGGGGAGCCTCGTCGCTCGCGCGCTTGAGCTCCTGGAGCTGGGGGCCGACAATCTTCTCCTGTGCATCATGGTAGGCCTTCCAGCACCGTTCTATCGAGGTCCACTTTTCCACGGTAAGTTTGAAAACCTTCGAGGTTGAACCATAATGTTCGCTCGTTCGAACGAGGTGCTTGGCGTAGTTGCTGCGAGCCACATCCCAGTTCGATCTGAACTCAGTATATGACTCGAGATCAAAGACTTGTGGCAAGTAAGGCTCAGGGCGAATGTTGAAGTTGGCATGACCCAACGCGTGCGACCACGGGTCTTCATGACCAAGCTGCAAGGGAGGGATTTCCGGCAGAGCAGCAGTCGTGGTATTGGCCCGTGACCTTTGATGAATTGACACCATTGACGGCTTGGTCGAGAGCGGTGGAGATGGTAAGCCGGCGATATGTGCTACCGGGGAACTGTCGAGTGAGGTTCGGGAGCTTAACACAGCTGGGGTGGGAGCGATGGAGGGTGATTGGAGTGGTGAGTTCACAGTATCATCGGGGCCAAAATGCTCGGACAGAACAGGAGGGAGTAAAGGAGTGGCAGCCTGCGGCAGCTCTTCTGGAGTCCTGTCTTCCATTTCTTCATCGATGTGTGAATACGAGCTGCGTCTAGAGTGTTCCATGTTGTCGTAGGCCGGCGATGGTGGGAGATAGCTCTCATGCTGTGAGATGGCGCTCATAGCAGGACTGATGATCTGTGCCGATGTGGTAGAACCCGCGCGCGAGGGAGGGGCACTCACATGTGTCATGACAGACAACTGGGGGCCAGTACCAGACCGATTCTTGAGACGGCGAGACATGGAGCCGATACGACGGGAAAGTCGTCGATGCAGACTGGGGCCGACATTCTCACTCGATCTTGGTCGTTTGGAATGATACTGTTCTAGTGAGGCGTTGCTATATGCGCCGCGGTCTTCAAAGGTGTGGCCAGGTTGGTAAGTGGATGTGATGGGTAAGTCCTGAGCTTCGGACGCGAAGTAGAGACTGTAGTCGTTGGCTAAGGATTGTTAGTCGAGGATAGGATGAAACACTGCGTTGAGACATACATATGCTAGGGCTGCGCGCAATGTCATGGGCTGGCGCAATGTCTTCCCGTTCTTGTTCCTCCGCGACCTTGCCGAGCTTGGGGCCGTACAAATCGAAAGACTCGCGTGGGTTTGGAGACGAAGCAACTGACAAGCTTGATGCCGAGGATTTGGACATATGGCCCTTTGAGAAGATTGACGTAACAGGCGATGACAGGGCGACAGCAGCGGATGTGGTGTCGTCGGCGGAATGGTGAGATGTAGTTGAGGGCTCCATCTTGTGGTATAGGTCTTGTATGAGATAATATGGAGAGCACAGAGCAAGAATAAGGAATAGAAGAGCAACCAAATGGCTAGGTGAGGATCCGTGAAGCTAGCATAAGGTCATGGTGAATATTCTCGGTCGTGGTGAAGGTCGGTTGCAGGCAGAGCTGGGAGGGGCGCAGTGTGCACGACGCGGTGACTGGAGGGACGACCGACGCGGTCGTGGATGCAAATGGTGTGAGTGCGACACGTAGCGAGGGCCCAGTGGTGACTGGTGTCAGGGTTTGTTGGTGTTAGGTGTTGGCGCAGCCTCGGTTGGAGCTCATCAGGCAGTAAAAAATGTCTGCCACGCCTCATGAATGGTCAGCAGATGTTGTTGGCATGAGCGCAAAGTCAGAGACAGAGAGAGATGTCGATAAGCGAGTGGTCGAAAGGAAAGATTTTGGGAGAGTTAACAGAGACATCCCAAGACGGTCGCCGGGCGCGCCATTGTTGTGGTGTTGGGTCGGCATGGGTATCCCAGACGATTTTTCGTCTTTTGCGCACAAATCAGCGAAGCGCAAGCGAGAGAGACGAAAAGTGGCGCTCGGAGTATGTGCGCCACACTGCACGCGAGCTGGGCAGTTATGGGGCCTTGATGGGGTCACGAGGGTGGTCGTACCTTGAAACTCTTCTACCCGCCTTCTCTGCTCACCAGTGCATTGCTCCTATCACCTCGATGTCGCAATCCGGGGATGTGGGCGTGTAAAGGGGGGTAGTTGTTGTTGGTGGTGGTGGCACAAGAGCGCCTTTGCAGTCCTAGGCGAGAGCGCCAGCATGGAACAGGCGAAAAGTTAGCTGCATAGTCGGCCGCTTCTTCTTTCGCTATTATCCTGGTCACGGACAGGAATCTTCCCACATCCCAGACATACACAAGTAGGCAATCATCGAGGACAAAGCAGCAATCACTGTGCTGGCCAGCATCTGCACCTGTTGGCATCATCGTTGCAACGGGCTCGGCAGCCACAACGTGCGCTGTGCATACGGCTCTGGCCCACATCCGCGGTGCCCCACTCCGTCCCTCATAGCAGGGACTGCCGAGCTCGATAACGATCGTCTCTCAACAATCCCTAGTTGGTGGGCGGCATCCGGTAACAGTCCGAGCGTGGAAGTATATGTCCTGAACCTACACAGCTCTGGGCGCTGCTTCCGAGACCTCTACCTACAAATCAGAAGAAGCACAGATGTTTGCTTTACGCCAGTGATGCAAGGATCTCTTTGACAGGTTCGCTACTCGCACAAAAGCAGAGAGCGAATTCCTGTCATGTTCTTTTCTGCTTCTGTCCGGTCCGCTGCAGCTCCTGCATCAGCTGTGATGCCGCGGGCTTGGGCTCGATTGACAACCATCGAATCGATATGCATGACGATGGCCCTCGTCTAAGCGGTCGCTTTTTCCGCCTCGCTTACGCCACCCATGCAGGTACAGGTCTGAGAAATACTCCTGCAAGGATGATCGATACCGACATGTCATGATTCCCATCAACCTTTCGCGGGTTGCGTTTAGCTGCCGCTGCCGAGTGAGAAACACTCGGCCGGTATCACTAACCAATTTGAGAGTCCTCGTGTTCCCATGCTTTAGTGTTGCGTGCTCTTCCCCAATCCTAGAGCACGTCGAACATGGCCAGCAGCTTTCACTGTCCCCCGGCCGGGGTCGAAACCCGAGAGGCTAAGGCCAGCGCTGTGTTCTAGTCAACCCGCCACGTCGTCTGGCATTTGCTCAAATATAGAACCGAGTGAGGATCTGTCAATGTCGAGGACGTCTGCAGGAATTCACGGTCGACTGCTGCAACGACTATCGACTATTGGTCCGTAGGACGGTCGTATGCCATGTGTCAACCCTCGCTGGACAGATGCTCCCCTGGACTAGCATGGATCTGACGTCCAGTGCTTGCTTCGCCCTACTCCCCGGACTGCTGTACAACTGATCCGCTACGGCTGCCAAGCGACCTATGGCATCTGTGCTCAGTCTGAACTCGGATCGCTCTAGATTCAGTGTATCAATTTCTGGCCTTGTATTCTAGACTGTCGCAAGCCACCTCTCATGTGTGAAACGCTTGCTGTATGGACTGATCCATCTGTGGATGCGCCTTGAGTGACTCATCGAGCTGGCGACTGGTCTGGCAGCTCTCTGCAGGAGCCTGAAACGCCTGAGTAGTCTAGGTAGAGAACTTGGACACCCAATGCTTTGACCAGACGGCCTGTTGCTCAGATGTTCCTTGCCAAGAAAAGTCAACCGTTGTGATATCGTCGAATCCTTCATCCAACTTCGGCTCTTGAAACCGCTGTTGAAAGCTTTTGAAGGCAATGCCTGGCAGCATGTCTCTCTTCTCCGGATTCATGAGCTCCACGTTCATAGCCCTGACATTGTCGTTGTGCTCAGCTAGCCTTGGAGGGGTCGTGAACCAGACACACCGTATCGGTATCTTGAACTCTTTCGCCAGATCGACCCAGTACTTGCGAGCCGTCGCGTCCGCATTGGTATTGTCTACCGCAACCGATTGTTGGTCATCAAGACACTGGCGGGCCACTTTAAGACACTTATCCCTTGATTTAAGCGTGTCCTGATTGATGCGAGCATAAGCGAGAGGCTGCAATACCCGCCAGTAAAATGTGCTCTTGCCGGCCCCAGGCGAGCCACAGAATATGACCAGCTCTTGCTTGTATTTCTTGTCAAACCGTGCTAACGCCTTCTTCAGCGCCGTTTCGCTGAGATACGTAGTAGGGTCGAAAGCAGCCTTATAAGGCTCAACGTCCTGGCCCAGAAAGAATTCCTCTGGTGTTTGGAAGCGAATACCAATATTCGCTGCCAGATCCCGGTCTGAGCTGGCCCAATCCGCCTTCTTTCGTTTGTCCGTCCGCTCCCGGCCAGCGGCGTCTCCGATATAGAAGGAACTGTCCATGTCGACTGCACCGTCCCCGCGCAGGTCGTAGTCTTCAAGCAGCTCCTCCCACATCCCTATTCTCGGTTTGCGATACCGATCTTGTGCCGATGCTCCATAGAGGCTGATGGGCAAGTCCAACGCCTTGAATATGTTTATAACCTGGGCCTTCAACTTAGCCAGGCTTAGAGGCTCCTTCTGCAACGACTTTGGGTTCTTCTCTTTGACACTGACCCCGCCTTGATTCGTGAATATGGTGACCAGATATCCCTCGTTGTGCAGTTCCCTGAGTCGGCCAGGAACGCAAGGGTCCCACCATTTCCACCCCTCTGCGCCACGAGCAAATTTGGCCCCCGTTGGAGTGATAAGAGTGTCATCTAAGTCGAATGCTGCGATCTTGACTGGATGCTTCCGAGCTTGCGATGGCATGAGGTCCGGGTTGTACCTGCCAATGATCAGGCTGTCATCGACCAGCCGCCACGAGACCTCCTCGGCAGGCTTTTGCGAAGCTGGCTTGAAAAACGACGACACCGCGCTGTTTGTCGTTGCGGATGCTATTTTTCGCTTGACTGGAGGAGGTGAGACATCCCGTTGCTCTGCAGGGGCCGACCGTTTTAGACTCATAGCGCGCACCGGATGCTGCAAATATCCCAAGAAGATTCCAGCCTGCACCGTAGCCGCTTTTCGCAACGGGTAACACGTACACCGGAGCAATAACGACGCCAGGATGAAAGCAATGCTAAAGGATGCTTCGCTGATGCACAGGACGGAGTACGAGGAGAAAGTACGAGGGGAACAAACTCATTTTACGCGTGTCAAGAGTCGCGTTTAGGCGACGTCATAAGGCTACAAAGTTAGGCGTCTGGATACGCCGGACCAGGCGTCAGCCTTCGGCCCCAGGCCAATTCGCCAATACATTGCCATTCTTGAATGGTTCATCTTCTGGCCGGACCTCTCGTATCTAGTGCTAGACGATCTCCAGGCGTCAAAGCTACCGCCTGCTTCAGGGTGTCTCTCATTGCGAGCAGTTGGGCGCTGGCACGATCCTTCAATTCGGCCTTACTTCCATCCACCGCCTCAATTGAAACATGCAGGATATAGGCGCCACTTATGTCGAAAAGACTCACCGCATCGTCTTTCTTCGCAAATGACCAGTCCTCGGCTTCGTTTCCCTTAGCCTCTGGTATACGATAGAGCTGGTGTAAAGACAGTGTGGTGTCCTGGTCATAGAATCTGTCCCCTTTGACCAGATAGCGGTTGACATAGCTAGACAGTTCAGTATACGGTCAACCAGACTTTTGGGGAACTCACTCGTAACCGAAGGACTTCATGAATTTGACGATGTTGCCATCCTCGATAGGTATCCTGGACAAGAGTCTGCCACTGACAGCCTGCTTGCCAGGATCAGGGGTATCCTTGAATTCGAAGTACCATGAGATATCCTTCTGCGAGTCTCGGAAATCGTCGTTGTTTGCCATATCTGCATCATCTAACGTCGTGCCGGAAGGCTTCTCTATCTCTCCTATGACCTGGACAAAGTACAAATTTGCCGTCAGCATTTTGGCAATCCGCTGGACATCTTGCTTGGTTGAGGCTTCCCCAGAGGAAGGAATATTGGGGATGCCGGATGGGACTTGAGATCGGAACACAAGGTGTAGCTCCTGGAATGCCTGGGGCTTCATTCGAGTCACCCCCACAAGCTGCTGGAGAAGGCGAGGCTGTTCATTTTGAGGGATTTGCCCATACAGCGAAAATTCATGCATGATGATGATGATCACGGCGCTGAGCTGTTTCAAAATGTACCGCGTCTCTTCAGCATTGTGAGATCTCGTGTAGGGCGAAGACACGTGTTTCGAGATTCACAACGACCGATCAAGTTTGCTGTCACCTCGCACCGGTCAACCCTTCACCGATTTCGTATCTCTGAAAAGGCTGAGAGAACAAGCAGGCACACGTGAAGCTGGAATGTTCGAAGCCGCAATCCGAGTTTAGACCTGTGGGGAGCCTTAATGAGGCAATCCGTGCTAGCAACTCAGACGCGCGCCCTGGCTGCCCGAAAGCTCTCACGCAGGGGCCACATGCCGCCTAAACGTTCCCCTTCCTACAAGCTCCGAAGCTTTTTCCCGTCGCGCGGAGCCGCCCTACGACCGAGAGCTTCCGCCGACGACGACTTCTTACCTCCGACATTCGCATCCCGTACGAAGCTATCACAGCTCTCAAATCACTTCCGCAGATCAGACCGCACTATTGAATTGCTCACCATTCTGCACAAGCCCCGATTCCTTCAAAGATCTACGAGCTATCCTCCCCCACGTTTCCTCACCACCCCATCATTCCACGGCCTCCGCCCTAAGTTTCCGCGCCGACCCAACATTATTGGAGCTCGCAACCCCCAGGCCCAAGTCGCTCTGCAATAGCACACAACCCCGAGACCGTACGCGACGGACCACAACACTGAGAGCTGTTACTTTTGGCGGAGCTGCTGGGCCCCTCGAACAGAGCTCCAGGCTCCAACTTCGCAGCTCGACCTGCGAACTTCCTCTCTCCTTCCACTCAAGTACACAAAAGAGCAAACATGTTCAGACCTACCATCCGCCTCGCGGCGGCGCACCAGCGTCAGCCCCTGATCAAGTTTCTCGGCAAGCGCTCTCCGCCTCCCACCGTTGACCACACCCCCCATGTCCACCCCGCCTCCGAAAAGCCCTCGCTGCCCGATTCCTTCGAAGAGTCTTTTGCCGAGTATCGATCGCGAGCGCAGCAGCATGGGCCGCTCAAGACACAATCATCATCTTCGTCGTCGGCCGGAGCGCAGCAAACACGCATGTCTGCCGGCATAGGCGGTGTTGCCGGCAGCCAGACTTACGGGGCGATTGGTGGGGTGAGTGGAGCAAGCATGGGAAGCGTCAAGCCGCAGAAGGGAGAGTACTTTGATCGCAGCGAGCTGCCGCAGCGGTTCAGGCGAACGAGCTGGACTGATATTGAGATTGAGGCGGTAGACAGCGCTGGGGCTAGCTTGTGGAATTGATGGGGTAGGTCCAGCCTCAGCACGGCGTGGGATAGTTCTTCGACCCAACTGCCTGGAAATACTGCCTCTGATGTCGAAAAGGGCCGGTGAAGGCACACTGTATAGAGCTAGCTACGAGCCTGAGTTGCTGCACTGGCCAGCCACTTTGGCAAAGTGCGTTTAAGCGAGGCACGAATATGATTATACCATTCTTCTAAACTCCAGGATCGGCACTGACTCATGAATTTGTGTGTGTCCCCCTCGATTCATCCCATAGTTCCTCTTGTGCTGTCCTATATGTGCCATAAGAACCTGGCAGAGGATGGCTCCTCGGTCTGCCAATCAGGTTAATTCAGCTCTGCCAAGACTAAACTTGTACCCTGCGGCATTGTCACTACTATATCGCAACCCTTCTACTCTCACCCTTCCCATGTGTTCTACCCCGCCTGGCCGTCACGACCCTCGAGCGGCCAACAAACAACTCCATCGTACTCGCCAGGGGTAAAAGCCATCGAGAGACTGTCTTGCACAGATAAGATCCGGCTCGTCGGCAGCAAGCCATTCTCCGAGGGTCCAGGTGGCAACGAGCAAGGGCAGACAACCCTGAGAGCAAAGAAAAGAATCTGAGACAGACAGTCGAGTCAATTGAATTCGACACGCTCAGGACCTGTGCGGACCGCTTGTATACAGCTCCCAATTCCACGTTTACGCCAAGACTCCAGCAAGACGACCTACGCCCTCCCACCATTGTCATGTCCCGCATAACCATTGACGAGACGTCCCCGTCGGGAGAGGTCCTGAATACGTATGTCATGACCCAATCAGGAGGCATAGAGACAACGGGCTCCTCGCGAAATTCGCCTTCCTCCACTGGCCGAATCGATGTTGTTCCTCCTGATCCGTTGAAGCCTGCCGCCAGCTCCTTTCCCCCACCGACCACAGTCTTTCGCAGACTGCTCGAACCGTTCCTGCCAGTAGGGTACCCTGATAGTGTTTCTCCTGACTATACGCCTTACCAGAGTAAGTCAAGCTTGCGCGAATCACCCAAGTCGGTCATATGAAGTGGCCCGGTGTGGGCCCTGGTCTCCCGCCCAGTCCATCGTTCATCAATCCAAGAGCAGGCCCCTTGAACAAAGCCAGTTACTTCTCCGGGCATAGACTTACCTGCAGCACAGTCTACGACTCCCTACAAGCGCTCTTCTCCACAACGGCCTCGCTCCTCGCCTCACGCGCCGTCCTCACCACACTCGGTGTGGGCTCCAGCGACGCCACCACCTCGTTCGCCATGTATCTGTCCATCGCCCAATCGACGCTCTCCAACGTCACGTCCATCCTCTTCGCGCACCGCTTCTCCACCGCCATCGCCGGGCACGTCAAGTTCTTCCGCTTCTTCGCCGACATTGTCAACGACAGTGCCTTCGTGCTAGACGTGCTGTCGCCGTCGCTGCCGCCGTGGGGCCGCGTCCCAGCGCTCTGTGCGGCCAGTTGCTGTCGCGCGGTCTGCGGTGTGGCGGGTGGGGCGAGCAAAGCGATTCTGAGCGGCCACTTCGCAAAGGGGGGAAATGTGGGGGAACTGGCGGCGAAGGATGGAAGTCAAGAGGTTCTAGTCAATTTGGTGGGGATGTGGATTGGTGGGTTTGTAGTGGGCAGGATCGAAGGGCCTTTGGTCACGTGGGGAGTGCTGTTGGTGCTATTAGCTGGACACCTGTGGGCGAATTGGGCGGCTGTAAGTAGTGTGAGGTTGAGAACATTGGAGGGCGGGAGGATGGCAATGGTCGGAGCGAGGCTGATGGAGGGGAGTGGAGTCAGCGTCGAGGAGGTTGGGAGGGAGGAGAGCATCTTGCTTGACGTTGCCCAGACTGGAAGAAAGAACATGCCGCTGCGATTACGCGGAAAAGTGGTAGGGACGTGCTGCTTCGGAGGCGTCAGAGGCCTACTGGCATGTGCTGGATGGAGCAGCCAGGCAGGTGATAGGGCGTATGTCGGAGATGCGCCATCTTTACGATCACTGATCGAGATTTTCCAGGAAGAAAATTACCTGCTCTGGTGGGATTGGAAGGCTCGCCGCTGTGTCGTTTTGTTGAAGGGCGGCGGCGACGTGGCCGCCCAACTCAAGGCCATGTGTCATGCATTCAGAATTTGTGGGACTGTGGGTCACGACACCGAGCGCAAGACAGCGCTGGATATCATTAGGGAAACCCTTGTCATAAATCGCGCGGAATGGTCGCGGCTATCAACCGCCGTTCGCGTGGGAGGCTGGAAGTTCGAGACCTCTGACTCAATGGCGGGCTCAGGAACGCGATTCGAAGTCAGACCGTCCAAATAGTGGGAGCCTCGGTCGCTCTAAGAAGTAGCAGATCACTTCTGGCCGGTCATTATAGGACGACAACCATCGCTGATCAGCGTTGAAAGGATCCGTGTTTCAGTAATTGCGCGCTCGGAGGACTCTGTCGTTAGAAACACAGGCTGTCGTTAAGAGCGAATTAGGGCACCAGAAGCAGGTTCCTTAATCTGGCGGCCTCTTAACGGCAACTCTTTGACCGCACCTGGATGGGAACGTAGAAGCCAAGCAATATTCATCGTGGGCTACGGCAGCTATGAGCCGGCTCGGACCCGCCACGTGCTCAATTTGGCCTCTTGCCAAAGGGCAACGAGATTCGCATCGGAAGTGCTACCTGGCACGTTAACGAGCGTCCCACTGCATGCTGGAAAAAATGGTGAGGAGTATTAGTCGGCGAATCCACCAGGATTGCAACGCAAGACGGCGGGGAGCGTGATTCCCGAGTCCACTTCTGACACTGTGAATTATCAGGTACCCAGTACCACTACATCGAGATGGCCCGAGGTTGAGAGGAATTGGAGGAGTGAAGGCCGTCGTAGAAGTCCGCCGGTGGCTGCCCGGAGGAAGTGCGCAGGCGACACATGATCCAGCCCAAAATTCTCGCAGAAGCAGGCTCGTGCGCCCCATCTGCCGCTTAACGGCCATTGGCCAGGGCGTTGCAAAGGGCGTACGCTCCTCTAGGCATCATTGGACAGGGTGGCCAGTCCGAAAGCGTGTTGGGAACATCAGGCGCACGGTAGAGTCAGCTCTGAAAGTACCTTACCTTACTGCTGCTCTTGGGGCGAAGGCGGTCCGGGTACGAGGACTCAGGCTCAGGGCCATTTCCAGAAGACCGGAATGTTAGTCACAAATTTGGCTTTTTCTTGATCAGCGGTGGTACATGGGCCTTTGCTGCTTATTGAATGCAACTCGTAGTCATCCCTGGCTGGTGTGGAGGGAGGCGAATGCAGTGGCTGAAGCAAGCGGTGGCGATTCGGGGTATGGTCGCAGGTTTCTGGGAGCAGCAATAGTAACTGCGGTTAAGGAGGTTCATTCCGTGAGCTGGTGTGTCTGTCAGACTTGGGGAGTCAGTCGCAGGCAGATCTCATATCGGAGTCGTTGCAGGAGATGGGACACGGCGCGAGAGGGAATGATTGTCGGTGCGCAGATGATACACTCGCATTGGGGCTGTGATAGGGTGGAGGCGCAGCTCACAGACAAAGACCAACGCCCCCAGGGCCGACGATCAGACGATTATCCTGTCTTCCGCTGCGCTTCCGTGCTTCGACGACTTTTCTCGAAGGCTTCTAGCGTGTACTAGGCCCGCTCTTTTCGCAGCCCCGGCGTCACTTGCTGCTCTTCAGGTACTACCGGTGCTACGCTGGAGTGGCTCGCTTGCCTTTCGCCCTCTTCTCCCTTCTTGCCATTACAATTATTCGCCTTTGAGCTTGTGTGTGTGTGAGTGTGTGCGCGCCTCTTCCTAGCTGCTGCGGCAACCGTGTTGCTGTCAATCATTCACAACATCAAGGCCTGCAAACAGCCCGTCATTCCAGCCGCCGATTAGCACAAAGTCAAATCACCGTCTCCTCGTCCTCATTCCCTGGCTTGTGTGGTTTATCCCCACTTCTCAGTCATCGCAAGACGGCCGCCGAAACTGTACTCAGAACACCCCTCTCGACAGGCACTCGACCATCGTTCTGACCCATTTGAGGCCGCCCTACACGCATTACAACTCCAGTTTGGCTGTCCAACGCGACTCCTTCTCTTTTAATTCCTCATCTCACTTACAATATCGGCAACAGGCTGGCCTCCACAACCCTGATCTGTGAAATCGCCGACCCGCGACTGCATCTTCAGCTCTCCATCCACCATCGTCATTGAATTCTATCCCGCGCGCGCTTGCTTGCAATTTTGGCCGACGGGCCTCACCTTGCTGTTGTGCATCTCAACCGTACAACCCATACTTCAATATACGCTTTCAATACTGTCAGAAAGAGACTGGTCGGAAAAGCAGGGATACTGTTGGCACCGCTTCGCCCTCAGAGCCGATCGCTGCCCAACCCTCAGCCCTCACCGCTCGAGCACCATAAACGATTCTCTCACTTCACAATCACATATACACATACATCCGCTATTGACGACACACGATAACACCGAGTTACACAGCAGCCTTCCGTAACACCAGTCGAAGCTTGGTCTTGAGTAACATCGCGTGCACGAAGCCGTCGAATATTCTTTCCATCCGCCTGGAACCACGAACAACGACGGCCAATCATACAACGATCTCGTCTGAAATACGGCAGTCCTCTGTAAACCGCCGCCTGCGCGTTCTGCAAGACTGTACCCGTACACAGTCTTCATATGGGCAGTATATCGCTTTAAACTTCAGGCAGCGAATTTCAATCTGGCCTGCCTATAGAGAAGTCTCCGTCGGTCGCCCGTGGTGCAAACAGCTTGGTGAGCAAACTCAGGCACTTCCAATCTAGCGCGATGAGCAAGAGAAAATCCCAGCGCCAAAAAGCACCAAAAGCCTGGCCCTATACTCCCGAACCCTCTCCCCGTCTTGGTCCTTCGCCGCTACCATACGACGATCTGAAGGATAACTTCATTATGGACGAGCCTGCTCACACCAGACCGATCAGCGTCGCTCGCAAAGAAGGCATATTATCACCCAATCGGCCTACATTGGAAGAAGTTTTGGCCAACAATGCCCCTGCGCCTTACACACTCGCCGCCTACACTGCCTTTCTTTCTCAACAACATTGTCTCGAAACTCTTGAGTTCGTCACCGAGGCAAGAAAGTACGGAGAACAGTACGACGAAGCAGCCTTGGAACTGAGCGGCATGCCTTTAACAACTGATACCGACCAAGGATTTGAACTGTCCATGATCTGGTCTCGAATTCTCGACATCTATGTGAAGCCTGGTGCTCCCAGGGAGATCAACCTGCCAGCCGAGGAGCGAGATGATCTTGTCGAATATCCTTACGACCTTCGTCCCGCTCCTCCGGCAGCTCTCGAGCCAGCGGTCAAGCGCATGTATGATCTCATGTCCGACTCGATATTCATCCCTTTCTGCAACAGCCTCAAAGTACCATCCCATGCCCAGACCTACAGCGCTTTGTCAGATTGGTCGAGAGCAGGCGATCTCGAACCGGCAAGGTTGACATACGATGAGAGGACCGGAATATCGCGAAGAGCTCCTACGCGGCGGAAAGAGTCACCACCCAACACATCTGCCTCTCAGTTTTCTCCCTCACGATCTCCGCCGTCGCAACACCGGCCTACTCGATCCTCCACGTTATCTTCCGCGATCACCCGCGCCTCAGCCAACAACCGTTTGTCGACGCACGTCTCGCACTCTTCCGCCGTCTCGGAAAGTGCGCTGACCGACAGCAGTGATAATGGCGCAGAAACTGGTCTTACAGAGGCTGAGTCAGTCATGACTCCACCAACCACGCCCCCAACCAGTGAGCTAGGAGGTCCCCATCACGCCCACCCGGCACCGACCACCCACCCTACGACTCATCCTACCAAATCTCAACGGAGTGAGAGTGGAGCCTGGAAGAAGACGATGAAGTTCTTTGGTGGCGGATCGAACAAGAAAAAGGGCACCGATTGACTATCATCAGTTTCATGGGCACGAAAGCGGCATATCCCGGGCATCAGGCATTTCAGTGGGAACAGGTATAGCATTGCCGGAGTCGGACATCGAGCAGACAATGCGTGCAACGAATAAGGATCATGAGCGACGAAAATGCGAATCTTGGCGTTAGATTATATGAGTAGGCTCATTGGAGCTACATGCTGGAAACACGGATGTATCGAAGTGAATGTTGGGCAAAACATGCATTTGGTGCTGTGGGACATGAGACGTGGACGGACGAACCCAGTGTCGAGCACGGCTGTGGTTGGGGGAGGTGTTGTTGACACGAATTCTAGGAGCAAGCGGGCGTATCACCAATCGCTACCTGTTCAATCAGTCGCCTTCATACTAGCGATTTTGATGTTTGAGATGACATATAATGGATGCAAACTATTCTTCTCTTTTCACCTCCGAGTCACCCCGCTCCTTTCTACCATTCTTCTGGAGATATCCTCCCTCTGTGTCTCGGACCATCTACTAGCCAAGTGTTCTTTGCTTGCCCTGCCCTGGCCCCCAAAACCGCCGATCGTCAAGCTATTTTGCCACGCCCTCCCGCAGGGTAATGGGCGCAGTATGCAGCCGGAACTGAGGCGAGGACCCTGAACTTGGAGAGAGAAACAAGCCTCAAAGGAGCGTTCCCCGATCGAGGCGGGCTGACTACGACGAACGACAGATCATGGTGCATACGCCAGCCACGGTTGCGCGGTGTGAGGGCTTCTACTTTGACTCGTGCCTATCGTAATTGTGACGTTTACGTAGACCAGTATTGTAGTCTTGCCTTCTCCACGAGCTTACAGAGCCGAGAAGACCAAGCGTAGGGAGTCTAGTCTGGCTCAGAGTGTCGCGCGGATGGGCGGGCACGTGCTCTCGGGATGGAAAGACGCTGGCTGCTAGGCTACGAGGACCGAGGTAATCGGGTTCGTTTCGATGGAGAACAATCAATGCGTTGTGACGATGGAGTCGGGAGTCTCGAGTCCAGTTTGCCGCGTTTGCAGCCTGCTGGCAGACTATTGCATTGCGAAAGCGGATTCCTCCAAGGCACTCACTCCTTGACTATCCAATACTCCGAGAGTCTGTCCTGGCAATGCAGCCTTACAGTAGTCCTGCCGCCATGCTCACACTGAGTCAGGTAGATGAGATATTAGCTATCAGCGGACGTGCAGTAGCGTCCAGCTGCAGCAACACTACTACTACGCGACCTTCCCGCTACGGGCAGATCGTCCGATGATATCTTCGAGAACGCATCTACGTTGCGGAGGATTTGTTCTCCACGCTGCAGTAGCGTGCGTGCTGGTTGTCGATCGCAACAGACCGTGGTAACCTACTGCTGCTACTGACCTCATCAGTCCTGTAGCGTGGCCTGGAGAAGGGGTGGTGATGTTTTGGTGCTACGCCGACCAGGAACACAGCACATGCTCTCTGGAACGTGACGCCGTTTCAGCATCTCATAGCCGCATGCAAGAGCCGCATGCAGCTCCACGTATTGAGCTTCCCTAATTTGCAAGAACTTACCTGTGAAGTCTGCTTACTACTGTCTCGCGGTTCCATAATAGGCGGAAGCCCACTTCGAGAAGAGCCCGTGCGTCGATCTCCGGGTCAATGGGGCCCCACAACACATTGAACACTTCCCGAAGCGCACCGCGTAGCGTATGAACCGAAGTGCGCAAGTAAGCAAGTGGTTGAAATTCCCAGCCAGAGCGACGTAGTCCAAGAGCCTCGGAGCAATGGAAATGGTGGAGCTCTCTAACCAAGAGCGAAAAATGAGGATCGACCGGCAGTGACGGATGATCGTCACTGGTGGCGCTGGCTCGGAGTTCGACTTCCACGGTAAGGAGGAGGCGTGCTCTATCTGCTGTAGCCGGTGAGCATATCACGGTGCCGTGGCGTGACTATCGATGAGTGAAAAGGGAGTGTGAGCAAGACTGCACTTACTGGCCGGAGGTACGCCGAGGGACCGCATGCCACCTGACATCAGTGAGTTGTACGCCACAAGCTCGCATCACTTTCGGCTGGAAGGCTGCAATTCGTGCTCAGATGCCTGTTGCCTGGGTGCCTGTTGGTGCCTGAAGCAAGTCGGCTCAACGGCCGGTGATCGAAGGTCTTGTGGTAGACGAAGCTCCAGGAGCCACGTGCGCCGATTCCCGTTGGTCAGTCGCACCTGGTGAGGCAGGTGGGATACCAAGTCGACGAGGATTGAAGTCCCGATTCATGGAGGGCGTATAGCTATGCCAGTCACTGGTAGCAAGAGCAGGAGGTAGATGCAGTTGTGTGGTCTTATTCTTTGAACGTCGTCCTCTGCAAGGGCAGGCGTTTTTCGGGTATGGACGACTCGACAGGATGTACTGTCATCAAGACCGACACTGGTTAATTGGAATCCTGGTAACTCAACTTTATGAGATCGCTGACCGTGTCTCGTGAGGCTAACTGATCTTGTTCACGTGCTGGGCGGCCGAGATGACAGAAATCTTAGCGCCGATGGCCTCAAGCATCTGCCTCGATTCCTATACCTTACCTGGCCGTATTGCGGCATGCAATGTACTCAGGCAGCAGCTGTAGCTGTGAGATCTGAACGAGACAAATGGAAGCTTCTTAGAAGGGTCAATCAACCAGACGTCGTGGTTCGTTGAATTGCTGTTGATGCCTCGAAGCTGCGGCCGTGCGCTAATCTGCGCGCCCCAACAAACGCGACGTCACTCGTCATCTTTCCTCATTCATCACCCACGAACTCATCCTCACACAAAGAACGACAAGTACATTGTTGGACTACGTCAGCGATAGCGAGCTTTATGTCATCTTCGTCCAGCTAACGTCGTTTTCTCTCACGCCATAGTCCATCGCAACACCGCGCGTGTGCCATTCCAGCAACGATGCTCGACCCCCTGCCACCACCACCGGCGTGGCTGCAAACCGCCATCACCCCTCTTGCGGAAGCTGTTCAACTCCCTACCTTACCCTATCACATCCACGAGGTGCTCTTCGCATACCTCCTCTACCAAACCATCGAAAGTGTCGTTTCGCCCTATTTCTCCACGCTGTTCTTTCCCAACATTTATAGAAAACTGCCGCGGCGCACGCGGATCAATTGGGATGTCCATGTCGTCTCCCTCGTACAGTCATGCCTCATCAATACTATGGCGCTCTGGGTCATGTTCAATGACGAGGAGCGCCGTGACATGCGCCACAGCCCAGTCGAGCGGGTGTATGGATATACCAGCGCGAGCGGACTGATACAGGCATTCGCAACGGGGTATTTCCTGTGGGACCTGATCGTCAGTACCCGACACTTCAGCATCTTTGGAATTGGGATATGGTTTCACGCTGTCAGCGCGTTAAGCGTCTTTGCTTTTGGATTCGTAAGCTTACTCACTCCCCAGAAAGTGAAGCACTACTAACCTGATAGCAGAGGCCGTTCGTCAACTACTATGGCCCTGTCTTCATCCTCTACGAGCTTTCCACACCATTTCTTAATGTGCACTGGTTCTGTGACAAGCTCAACATGACTGGCGGACAACTTCAATGGTACAATGGTATTACGCTCCTTGTGACGTTCTTCGGGTCTCGGCTTTGCTGGGGCACATATCAGTCAGTCCGTGTCTTTCAGGATGTGTGGCAGATTCTATACCACTACCCTCATGTACAACATGCAGGAGCGTCTCTGCGAGACGTGCACGACAGCCCTTCGTCTTCGATTTTTGTGCCACGCGATGGCCAGCTTTGCATGGGCCGACAAAGCTGTATTGCTGCTCAGAGTGAAGTCATGAAGTTTGCACACGCAGGAACACCAGCAATACCACTCTGGCTGGGTTTGGTCTATCTGACAAGCAACATCATCCTACATACGCTCAATTTTTTCTGGTTTGGGAGGATGATCGAGACCGTGCGGAAACGATTCGATGATAAACCGTCGGCGCAATCCGAAAAGATCAAGAGGAGACAGAGCATTATTGAAGAGATGGCGGATGAGCTGGATCAGGGCGAGATTTCAGGCTATGGTGTGCCAACGCCGCATGTTGAGAAGTCGCAGAAGGACTCGCTGACCACGGCTCTGCCTGATGCTGGGACAGAGATCAGCAAGAGGAGAAGAGATCTGTGATCATTTGAGCAGAGAGAAAGAGGTATAGTTCTGTACATGTTGAATATACACCGTTGACCTGGAAATGTGGTCGGATTGTTCTTGACTTCCCACAGGGTGAGTGAGAAGACGATTGACTACATAGTACCGTGGCTCGGAGTCATACTGTCACGACAGTCCTGCTGGCAAGCAGTGAATGTTCCATCAATGATATCTGTCCCAATCGTTTCATTATGCCCGATGCAGTGTGAAACGCGCCAGTGCTAACGGGGTTAGGAGTTAAGCTGTTGCCGGTGCGACGACTCCAAAGTTTGGATCTCAGGAACGAATCTACTCGCAACGGACCGCAGTCGCATGCGTGGTGAGCACGCTGGTCCACCTTCCGACAACTGCATTGTTTGCTCCGGGCTTCTTCGTACATTTTGCCAGGCATCGAATCGCACTGTCAACCGAGCGGGCCACGAATAGCGTCAAGGATCGTTAAGTCGCAACCCCAACAATGGCCTTTCTCTTCGGCGGCAGAGGCCGCCAGAAGGCGCCTGCCGAGATCGTGAAGTCGCTGAAGGATTTACTGTCAAAGTTACAAGAGCCGGTCACTAGTCCAAAAGTATGCAGGTCGCCATTCTGTGGGAGAAGCTGCTAACAGATGCTTGCAGGTGGAAGAAGAGGCAGCGAAGCATATGGCGCAGATGAAGTTGATCGTACAGGGAACGCCAGGTCAAGAACACGCCCTGAGTATTTGAGGGGTCTACTGACCACCCTCGCAGAAATGGACAGCAGCCCTGAACAAGTCCACCAGCTCGTCAACTGCATCATACAAGAAGATATCCTGTTCGAACTTGCACGAAGCATACGATTACTGCCTTTCGAGGCACGCAAGGACGCACAGATCATATTCTCTCACATTCTACGCTTCAAGCCTCCACCGAACACGCCCAACGAGACCACGGCGATCAACTACCTTGTCATGACCAGACCTGAGATTATTGTCGAGTTATGTCGAGGTTACGATGATGCAAAGAGCGCAATGCCATGCGGCACGATCTTACGACAGGCGTTACAGCACGACACAGTTGCAGCGGTTATCTTGTATGATGATAGCTGCCCCGGGGAGAAGGCAGTCCAGCTGAACACGGTGGACGTCTCTCGAAAACAATCCGGCAAGGGTGTCTTTTGGAGGTTCTTCGAATGGATCAATAAGAGCAGTTTCGAAGTCAGCGCCGACGCCTTCACTACGTTCCGAGATCTTCTTACGAAGCACAAGCCCCTCACCTCGCAGTATTTGACAACGAATTACGATCTCTTCTTCGGCACGTACTTCAACCCGACCCTCCTCCTTTCCACTTCCTACGTTACGAAGCGACAGTCGATCAAACTGTTAGGTGAACTCCTTCTGGATCGTGCCAACTACGTCGTCATGACTACATATGTTGCTAGCGGCGACAATCTGAAACTCACCATGAATCTCCTCAAGGACGACCGCAAGATGGTGCAATATGAAGCATTCCATGTCTTCAAAGTCTTCGTTGCGAACCCCAACAAGAGTGATGAGGTCAAGCGCATTCTCATCAAGAACAAAGGCCGGCTGCTGAGATTCCTTCCCACCTTCCTGGAAGGCAGAACCGATGATGACCAGTTCCTAGACGAGAAGAGCTTCTTGTTAAGGCAGATTGAGCTACTGCCGGACGAAGCTGAGATGGCAGCTGGTGGATCGCAGAGCGTGCAAGTCGGTGCTTAAGGCATCCGCCACTTTTGTGCATTTTTCGATGTTGATATGATTGATTGCCTTATGATGAATTACGGCGTGTTGGCATAGCGTGGCGCGGCATTGAACATTCTGTTGTATGTCAGGGATGGTCAAAGGAGCCAACTGATGCTTCTGGATTCGCATCTTATACTTAGGATACCGTGGTGTGTTTCCTTGGATTGTACACAATCCACAAGTCGCAATCATGAGGGCTTGGCTTGCCGCCTAGGTTGCCTGATATCCCCACTTGCACACGACACGTCTCCTCTCGTACTCTGTCCTGTTGCCCCTCAATCGTCCACGGACCAGTGGATCGATGCCGTTCACTACGCTGCTCACGGCCATTGCAGGCTTCTCAATATGCCCGTCGGCTCCACAACAACGATTGCAGCCTAAATGAAATCTGTCACTTGCTACCTTCCTACATGGGCCGATGGGCTCGATTCGAGCAAGGTGGCTTCAGAGACACCTGCTTGGCCTTATTGACGCATCCCGTCCGGACGTACGAAGCCTCGAGCTCCCGTGAGTCTTGATTGTCTCGTAGCATCTACTTCAGGGATAGCATCCTGCCTCCGCAAGCATTGCTGCCTCGCCATCGAGTTGACCAGTCCTCGAACAGTATCTATTTACGTTGTGCCCAATATGAGGCGACCATGGGGGTTTTGTTGTCTAATGGCCATGGTTGTGGTGTTTTGGCCAGTCCTGGTGTTCTCCTGCACGCCTTCTGCCTCTGGCGGAGAACAACTATCGTACATGTTGTCTAACTCAACCACGCTGGAGGTGTCCACGCAGCCTCAGCCACGAACTTTGAGTCCCTTCCCGAATCTGCCGGCGCCCTCAAGTCCACCAGTGCTCCCAATGCTAGCCAAACATCTTAATCTGGACTATGCCAGTCCCGAGTCTGCTGAGCTGACATCCGACACTTTGCGGAACATATGCGCAGCAGCTGACCCTATGAGAGCTCAGGTGCAGGAGGTCTCAGTGTCCGGGTATGGCAGTCTCGCCAATTGGACTGAAGTTACAGAAGCGCTCCCGTGCCTTGACAATCTACGAGAGCTACACTGGAATAGGATCGAACTCATGCCCAACATGAAAGTCTATCTCGAGGAGAACCTTCCACACTGCAAGCTACACCTCGACACAACGCCTCTGTGGGATTATCGCTCTCACCGGTCGTTCTCTGAGAAGGATGCCCTTCCAATTCTAGGCTCACCAAACCTCGCATCACTCAAGGCGTATATAGAGTACGATAGCGAACCCGCTCCCGAGCGGATATCATATATCCACGCCATCATGGCTTCGTGCCCCAACATCCGCAATTTCGATCTTGCCTTCGACCACAGTGGCTGCATAGTCAGCGGCGGGCAGCCACGAGGCTTCGACTTCACAAACCGCCGGTACTCAAATGCGAGTCTACCTCCCCTGGAGGTACTCCGGCTCCGCGGGTATGTCTTTCAATGGCCTCCCAGTGGTCAGAGACAGTGGGCCATGTTCGAAGGCTATTTCATACCAGAACATCTGCCTTGGCCGTTCTGTCGGATGGACTCTGGACAGGTGGAGCGTTATATGCCCCCTCCGATCTACGTAAGTACCATGGAGCCTATCATTAATCGACCGACGGAGAATCCGCGATGGTCTTGGTCGGGGGCCATGATGGCTTTGCTCGCTTTTGAACCTTCTCTCCATTCCTTCAGCCACCCACCGTCTCCATGAGAAGACCAGGGACTGCACGGGTTGATATACGGCACCACGACTTAGTAGTCTCGAACCTCTACTGTGGCAGGACCCAACATTTGCCAGCAACAGCTGTCCAATTTTATGATCACCCAAGATCAAGCATCACATATAATTCCTCACATGTTCAGTGGATATGCTGACCTGGATCTCCAGTCTAGCCTAGTGGATTTCAAAGACTGGCTCTTCGCGCCTGACAGGTCGCCCTGGATAGCCGACACTTATGAGCGTCTCACCGGAGACCATGATTATTCGAGCAACCCCGAAAATGAGCCATGCTACTTCCCTTGTTGCGAACCCGCACCAACGGATCATGTCAACCTTGACGCCTGGATAAAGCAAATGTCGTTCTCGGCAATCCATACTCTCGAGCTCGACTGGATTGACAGCACCGTCTCATCTCGTCTCTTCTACCGGCTGCTGTCCCTGACGAACCTATCCATCCACGGCGCCGATCGATGCTCGACGCAATCCCTGCAGTCTTACCTCGAACAGCCCTTACAGCCCCTGATCACCCTCCATCTCAGCAACATTCAACTCCCGAACAACACCTTCGGGCCCCTCATCACCACGCTCGGCAGCACGCACAGAAACCTCAGCGACCTCACTCTTCGAGCCGAGAACACCATTGTATCCCCTGCGGAACTCAACCGTCTCGCCTCCCTTCTCCCGAACCTAACATCCCTAACTCTCTCGCACAACCGCTCACTTCCCCTGCTCCCCTCCTCCTCACGCTATTCTCCTGAAGAAGAAGCAGCAGCAGCAGCAGCAGCAGCAACCTTCTCCTCCCTCCAACAACTCAAACTCCACGTCCCCTCCCCCGGAGACTTCTACAAGACACAGCAAGACACAGTCTTCAACGCCAGCACGCTCGCAACGCAATTCCGCGACCTCACCTCCCACCACCCCGCCAACAGCACCGCCTCCACGACTTCGACCGCAGCAGTACGCAACATCCCCGCGCCCAAACTGCAAGAACTCGAGGTCCTCATCGGGCCCTGGAGTCGGCGCAACGAGAACAGCATGCTAGGTCCGCCGACGGACGTTATGGGCCGCTATGTCTGTACCCGCCAGGCTACAGGCGATGACGAAAAAGGAGGAGGAGGAGGAGCCGTGGTGGTGGAGTGCAGCGGCGGCGTACTCTCGCCCTGGAGCCGCGGTGGGGGGGCTCTGGTCGAGGAGGGACCGTGCGCGAGGGAAGTGCTGGCGGATGACGAAGACATGGACATGTACGGCGGAATCGATGACTTTGAGATTGGGGATGGAACCTTGGAGGGAGAGTCGTGGTGAAAGTCGGAGAGTGCCTAGGCTGAAGAGTTGACTGTGGGGATGGGTGTGGCAGTCAATGACCAACACAGGTATTTCATCTTGTCTTGGCTGAAGCAGACGGACGAAAGGACATCACGAGGATCTACAAACTGACTCAAAGTGTAGTACACTGGCATGCCCGTTCAGGATACTGATGTGATGAACATTGTACATTTGAAACTAAGCGTTACTCCTCGCTGATCAAGCCGGCTCGAATATACTGCAGGCCGTAAATACTGTCACCGCCTTCCCAGCTTCCTCCTCGGCTCGTTCCCACCTCCAAACTCTGCTGGATCTACCGTACGGTACCCGGATTTCCTCCTCGCCGGCCGCTCCGGACTGTGCTCCTCAATGACCTCGACGACGTCGTCTTCCTCCTCCTCCACCATGACACTTTCCTCCACGGGTGCCGGTCTGCTCACCGACCTTTCGATGCGTATCTCTTCTCGCTCCCTCCTACGTTCCGTCATGGCGCTCCTGCCCCGGCTGCTTCGAGACCGCGAACGGCGACTTCCGCGATGGTGGTGATGTGTTTCGCGTATCTCTGTCTCGACAATGTTGCGGCCTGTGTACTGCCGCAGGATCAGGAGAATCAGGTATAATAGCAGGATAGCGCCGAACACGGCTCCGAGTGTGATGCCCGCGACTGCGCCTGGCTCAGGTGATGAGTTGATGGTGTCGTAGGTGGTGGGAATGGCGAGGATGTATTGCTGCCGCTTATCGAGGAGGTCTGGGCTGAGGAGGGAGCGGCTGCCTAGGCCGTACGAGGAGGACGAGGACGAGCTACTCTGGGCTGCGGAGCCAACGAGGGCGAAGACGGAGGCGAGGGGGATGCTGTTGCCTGGTGTAGTTGCCGCGCGGGTCATGAGGCGGGAGAGAAGGGTGTGCGCGGCTGAGTGGACGAGATGTGTAGGTGCCATAGCTGACAGGAAGGCTGTAGACGAAGCAGCAGCGGTGAGGGAGCTGGACTGTGAGTGTTTGGCGGCGGCGACTTTATCGCTAATGATGATAAAGGCCACACCCTACGCCTGCCTCAGCCGTGCTTTCAGCAAGCAGCGGCCGGCGCGTTGAAGTGAAGCAGCTGCTTAGAAGCGAGTGTTCGGTCTCAGTTGAGGGACAGCTCATCAACCGGGGTCCGCAGCTTGCGTTATCGATATCGGGAGCGGGTGATCGGCCCTAGCTGTCGGGCAGCAAACTCGATTTCTGAACTTGAGGCGGTGGTAGAGCGAGTGACTGTGAAATTGTTTGTAAATGTTCTGCAGAGAGTGTGGTGCAACTCAAGGGCAGTAACAAGCGCAGGCAGAAGAGAGAAGAGCCAAAAGTGCTGGAGGTTTTGGCTGGGGAGGCAGGAAGCAAGATGAGGCAAGCGACCGCCAAGGAATTCGAGGCCCAGCCACCCTCGGCAGTAGCCGAGATCTGGCTCAGCCAATCGCAGCCTTTCCAAGATTCCACTGTCGTAGGGATCAGGCAGTGGAATTCCCGAGGCTGGTGAAAGAAATACCCTGTTCAATTTCCAGACCGTCATTATTAAAACACCGTCATCATGGTCTCGCTAAACAGTCATTTCAAATCCAAGAACCACCAACGGAAACACCTATCTCGCTCTTGTCTTGGTGGGACTACGAGATAAGATGTCGAGCTTGCCATCAACATATTTCTCGCCACGAAGTCGCTCCTCCTCCCAAGCAGCCCGCCAACGCTCCTTCTCCTGGGCGATGTGCTCTTCCATCTCCGTCCAACACTCCTCGCGAATCTGTGCCTCCTGATCCATGGCTCGTTCTTCCACGAGTTGAAGTTTCAGTTCAGCCTCCGTGCGCTTGATTTCTTCCTGAGCCAAGCGCACAGCAAGGGTATCACATTCTTCCGATAGCCGCATGACTTCATTGGTTGCTTGTTCCAGCTCTTGCGCGTAGTAATACTGGTCTTGTGGGGAACTGCGACCATTGTTCAGATTTGGATACTTGACGCCCATCTGACTCGTGACACTCGGCACTCGGGGCACTGTCACCTCGCGTGCAAGTGCTGAGTACCGGAGTATCTGACTCGTTGCGTTGAAATCGCCCTGAGGGTCAGCAGTCACAATCATGACTGCCTTCTGAGCTGCCCTCGTGGTCGCTGATGGGTTGCTTGAGGAAGGAAACGAGTTGGAAAAGAGCAACTCGGTCAGCTTGCACTGGCGGAATGGGACAATAGGCTTGCTTCCATCATGTTGGCAATCGCTTTGCACTTGCAGGCACTGTCCCAGATACATCAGACTCTCGTTGATCTTACCAGCTTCAGCCAAAGTCGAGCCAGTCGTCTTGGCACTTCGAGCTCGTTCAGAACCAGCCAGATCGACGATTGATATGGTGCTGCCTTTCCAGTTCTCGGGGCCGTACCGACCATTGTTACGGCCATGTGTGTTGCGCTTGACTTCGATGCAGAAGAAGCCGTGACTTCTAGAGCTCACACTGTTGGATCCAGTGCCTGCTACCCTTCGTTCGGTGAGCCCGGTTTCCAGCACCATCATTGCCTCCTCATAGCTGCCGCAGACGATTTTGCGGAGCCCCGCCACCACTTTTCGATCGGGCGATAGCTCAGTATTCTTGAAGAGAAGTGGTCTGCGCGTCAACCCTTTCTGTAGAGCTGCCGCTTGTCTTGTGGTCGTTGCATTCGCGCCTGCGGCTGGACTTGAAAGAAGATCGAAGATCCGATCGTTGTACACCTCGTACATGGAGACCATCACCACGTAGTCAGTGTCAGGATTAGGATCCACGGCAAAAGAAGAAACGTTGGGTATCTGAGGGAGTCCACTTGGCCGTGGTAAGGGCATTTTGCGAGAGTGGTTAGAAGGAGTTTCCTGCACAACGAGTTTAGCGGTTTGCTTTTTAGGGGTCAAGCGGCGCCAGAATGGAAGTTTCGCTGGAGGTCTCCAAAGTTCCTTCTTCTTGGGCTCATTGAAGCGGGCAGAGTGGTGGAGGACGCCGTAATCTCGTACGATTACGTTGTCATCCGCGTTGGGACCTGTGCAACTATAGAGGGGGGAGGAAGGGAAAGAGGCGGGAAGCTCTCCGGAATCAGTGCGTACCATCATGGGAGTTTGTGCTCTAGACATGGGCGTCTGCGCACGTGATTGTCTGGCTCGGTCGCCATCGCTGTAAATCGAGTCGAGGAAAGCAGTTGCTGACTGGATGTGCGCCTCCGATGGGTCCGACATCTGCAAAGACGACAAGAGGCCAGCATCGGTCATTCGATTTGGGTGAGTCGGACATCTGAGATTGTGACCGATTGATTGAAATAGCAGATCAAGCGACATCTGCGTCAAGCCTCGCTGTGACTTTGAACCTAGGATTGTATGACTCTGTGTCCGTCAGACCTGCTTCGGAGCGATTTTCTGCAATATTCCTACCTTTCCGCTGCCAGTAACTCCAAGTGTCGCAATTAGACCGTCTCTACCGGTCTGAAGGACGTTTTTCACATTCTCTACGACCTGAATCTCTTCGAATACCTCGAGTTGCCCGGCGTCTTCTCTGAAGATCTTTGTGAATCCAAACCGCTCTATGGCTCGCTTCCGTGACTCGTTTGGAGGCTGCAAAGTGATGTGTGTGGGATGTCGCATCGTCTCGGAGTTCGCAACTTCTTCGCCAGTTTCAGCGCTCGCGGGTGGCTCGACAATCAACCACGGGTCGGTGCGGTCTTTCGAGGAAGCCTGGATCGGCGGGCGTAGACGCAGGTAGACTTGAAAGAGCGACGTTGACGCCGACATTGTGTAGACTAGGAAAACGCGATATGGTAGACGGCAAGATGTGACTGTTTATGTTGGTCGAGGTTGTGGTCGCATGCAATGCAGGCTGTAGATTGGAACGTCTTGCTGGAGATCGCAACGCGGAAAGCCGAGCTCAATACACGTTACTGCTTTCGGTCTAGTACAAGTCGCGCGGGGCAACCTAGAGCACAAGGCAACCACATCTATCTTGACCAAATGCCTTGGTGCATTGTTTCTTATAGACGTTGTCGCTTGCTCGTTGTCTACACTATAGCTTTCGGCGTAATTTGACAGAGTTAAACTACGATGTCTACCTTTCCCACCATCACCAGCGCAGATAGGCCGCTTGCCGTCCGACTCCTCTTTCTTCACTCGACCTAGTGCGGTTGTCCTAGCTGAATGTGACTAGAGGAACACTCTTATTTTCGTACTCTGGCCGCTTATATGCTTCTCTCCAAGTATAGCCATGTGTATTGACGCACCAAGTGATGGAAGGGCTTCTGTAGGCAGTCCCTTCACCAGTCACCTCGTCTAACCGATCATGTCACTAGTGACAGAGCGTGATAGCATGGATCACCTTCTAGATACATGCATACTTTCTAAGCTTCTGGTCTGTTTCACAGAACCCAAGCACTACTACAGTGAACGTTTGACTGCACAAGGAAAAGAAGTTCGTCTTTACACAAGCAATGGCAATTTCACAAATCGTTTTTAGGCTGGCCCTGCTTCTGCCACTGGTGTTTCTGTATTCTTCGCCAGTCGACCGCAGCTATACTAGTGAAGTTTGATAATGTCAACCGCAATGCTACGATCGACACACTATTTGAAGGATTCAAAGGGGCCAAAGTCAACATACGGCGAGTCGACCCTCTCCTGCCATCGACATTACTGCCCTTCGGGCCCACATTCAAGCACTTCCCAGATGAGAACCGCTTGAATCATGCCAAATCATCTTTCGTCAATGCTCTACAGATGGCCTTATCTGCACATCGTGAGATGTCAAAGGGTTGCGTGGCCGATCCCACTGAGACATACTTGCGATACTTTCCACCCAATACACAGCGGGTAGTAGAGCAGGCTCTCATGAGCATCATCGGGGCTGGTGGACAAGGCACTGGGTGGATGGCGGATCCTGAGTACCCGCTAGTCATTTCTTATGAACGACCGAGGCCAGACGATGCCAAAACAATCCCTGTCACCCCAGGTTGCGAGAACCCCGACATTGGTGCATTCATGACCACCAACTATGGCGAGGACATCAACGGACAACACAAGGTTACGTGGATGACAATCTGCGAGTCGGCATTTGTCCGTTATCCACGATCTCTGCAAAGCTACACATGCGAAGAGCTCCCCGAGGCCGCGGACTTGTCTATGGCTGCCCTGAGTCTCACCAGCCTTCACGAGATGATGCACTGGTATGCCAATACGGAACGATATGTAGGTATATCTATCATCGACTTCAATGTAGATTATCCAGGTCATATCGTTGACCCTTCTCTTTACTTAAAAGACGGGTACGGACCGGTGGTCGCACAGGAGCTCAATAACGAGTGGCATCAGCAATCCTTTTTGGAGGAGCCTGATACGCGTTTCCTACCGATCTAAAACGCCGACAGCTATGCTTGGTTCAGCATGGAAGCCTACTGGACGCAACAATGCCCAGGCAAGACATTCAAGGATGCAACTCAGGAGTTCGCCTCCTCCGATGACGACGACTATACAAGCGCTGACAACGTTGCGCTCGACGGCAATGGCAATGTGATAGGCCTCCGGCGAACACGGCCACGGGCCGAGCCCGGCAACACAATCTTAGCTATGAGGCTGGGAGCGCGAAAGAGTGGATCGGTAGGGCTCTTGGGGATCTACGGCACAATGAGTGGACTTGCGAGCTCGCCTACTTGCGCGGCCACAGATCGGGATGGACGCGCTGGCATGCTGCATTGAAAGATACAGACCTCGTTAATATATCGTATCGCTCTCAGACATCTGGCTGATGGCATGTGCCAAACTCAGGCCACTGAAGCACTGTTTGCGAAAACAGTGAATACTGCAAAGCTTCGAAATGGTTGATGGAATGCATATATCGAGCGGACGTCTGAGGCAGCATCCGGCGCCAAGTTCGGCGCGAAATATCCACGCTAATTACGTACCTGATGATGACGGCGATGTAGCTCTGCAGAAGGAATGATAATAGCTGAGACCTCGCGATGCAGAGAAACATTGAATGCTGCTCCAAGAATAACACCTGCTGCAGACAAGCGAACGACTGCCAAGAAGTGAGCCGACGCCTTCAGGGTTCAAGCTTATGCCGTGGTAATCAATTTGCCTTGTTGATGGATGACTGACTCTCCGCAAATCGCGACTCTGATTACAGTGATACATGCCCATGCCACCGGTGGCTACTGGCGACATGGAAGAGAATTCCATCTCGACATCTTCAACGAGCCATCTGAAGTGTGACATCGTGCTGTTTCATTGTTGACCAGCAGAGAAATGGCTACGACCTTCACCTGATCCCAATCGTAACCAACCGCGATGATATTCGAAAATGGAGTCGATGACGGCTGAGAGTTCGAACCTGATGCTGTCAGCGAGGTGCACAGAGGGTAATCAGAAAATAAGGCAAATAATTCAGCTAAGTATGGGATTACAGAATGTTATATAACACCATAGTCTTCCATGCCGTCGATCTGTTGCAGCAGAAACTCTGGAGTAGTAGTGATACACTCGTGATCGGGAACAGCAAACAGCACGATACCTACCATGGATAAAGAATCGGCGGTAGGGACGGAGCCTGCCGAGGGTAGCAACTCAATCAAAATTCTGCCCACCGCTAGGGGCAAATGGGACATCGAGAAGCTCTGGTCTATGAACAGTGTAGAGGTATGTCATGAGTAGCAATGCTGCTGTTCTGCTGTGGCATGGTTCCATGAAGATTGACAGGTTCAGATTATGGATACTCTGGAGAAGTTGAAAACACGACCCAAGGCCCATGGTGTTAGCAGTGGCAATAAGAATGACGATGCTATCAACGATCCCGCAGGCCAAACAATGTCGTTGGACTTCGTGATCGACTATATCCGACACTGTGCTGGATATCCGTCGGAGACTTCAGCGGCTAATAGCGAGATGGTTCCAGTTTCCGGATATGTTGCAGCTACAACAGAGCTACCTCAAAATGGTGAGGAGGAGGAGATTTGGACTCCTCAGAAGCAAGTTACGGATCCCTGGTTTTTTGATGATGAGGGTACTCGTGACTACGACGTCCGCTACGGCAACAAGGAACTCCCTGTACGCACAGTGTTCGACGCTTTAGGCTGGATTTTGTCGATCACGACGGGCGCCGATCCAGAACGCAAACGTACACAGAGCAACTTCTATCTCCCACTCATAGGATTATATGCAAAGTGGTGCGACACTCTGATGAACGGCGAGTACCAGCCCACCATGTATCACATTTCATGGTGGAAGGATGGATCTAACAATGGCAAGACCAACGTCTTGCTCGGAGCTACTCCCGGTGGCGACCATTCAATCATGGACCCCAAACTCAATGGGGCCCTGGTTGGGAATGAGGAACAAAGGCAGAGTGAAGAAAATCGTCGCATACCAGATGCGAAGTACCGCGCGAAGAACAAAGAGAAGAAGCAGAAGATTAATGACGAACTAGAGGCTATCAGTGATGGGACAGCGAAGAAGGCGAAGAGAAAGGAACTGGAAGCCCAGGCGGTGGCTGAAAAGAAGGAGGCCGAGGAGAGAGAAACACGGTACGAAGGTTTCCGAGGGCTCGATGTGATCGTACAACGCCAACATCGGCTCCTGAAGGCCAAAATCACACCCCCTCGGAAAGAAGAATTGATCATCACTCGCCTGGAGAACAAGCTGGAGGAGCTTGGTGATATAAGCGAGGCAGAGAAGCAAGCGGTCCTGTATGAACTCAACAACAAGTTGTATCAGGAAGGCAATACTGGGTACGGCAGGTGCGCAGAGAGCTTTGTATATATAGTTCTGGGCGAGGAACTGTAAGTATTGCCTATTCTACAGGCTCCCTGTCTGGAGGAGGTATCGACAGCTAATTTGAATTCAGCCAAGCCAAAAAGGCCATTCCAGAAGTGTTTGGTTTTGCCATCAACTCGACTCAACTGTACAACCGCTGTTACTACGAAAAGACAGCTATCAATTTCCAAGATTTAGTGGGATCTTTTGCGGCGCCCTGCCGCGAAACATGCGCCTTAATCATCAAAACTGATTTCGACGGAAAAATAAAAATGCTTTTTGGGGCAAAAGATTTTGCTAAAGCGAACGAGCACACGCCAGAGCCTGCTGAAGGGAAGGGTGGGAAGAGAGCGAATAGGAAGACTGAACAGGAGGAAGCCGATGTCACCGAGACGAGCAAGAGTCAGGGAAGTGATACCAGAGCAAAGAAGAAGAAGGACAAGAAGGTTACGGATCCTTCTGCAGCCGTTGAGACATCCACGAATGCGACAGGCGTGGCAAAGCAAAAGAAGAAGAAGAAGAGTGAGTAGGAGCCACTGATAGTGGATAATGCTGGCATGAACACAAGTGTAGGGACTAAGGGGAAGAAGAAGACTAGTGGAGAGGCGGAATAATGATAGATCCCTTATCTGGACAGCTGGCGAATGTTTGAATCTGTTTCTTCAACTTGATTGTCGCTCTCTATACTACTCGTGAGTTCCCCAAAAGGGGCAATAATGCCAAGCAATGTATAAGGAGTTTTATGCACTCCGCCGAAACTGTGAAGCTTTTCGCTTTTCGCTTTTCATCAGAACGTGCACATATTTGCGGATCGCTCAAAGTTGCACAATGCTAGATTTCGCGCCGAGCCAGCTACCGCGGTACATCTACTGCACTCATCGAACGGCGTGGTGGCAGATGGCCAGCGTGGCCAAAACCAGGCAACTAGGCAACCGCCAATCTCCACCACGCATAAAGCCACTTGACGATTAGAACCACGCGATCTCCAATTCTTCAAGCGCAGCCCGATAGTGTCGCGTAGATATGGTATACCTACTGGATCTTCCCACCGAGCTGCTGTCGCAGGTCGTAGGCCACCTCGACTACCCCGACTCACTCTCGCTCAAGCTCACCTGCCGATACTTCAACCACACAACTGAACACACCGTTCGCGAACGAGTCGGATGGCTCATCGCCAGAATAGAGGTCGGCTTGCCCATTCCTCAGTCGCAGCAGTGCAACATGAAGACCGATGTCGGTTTCACGGCGAGCGCCGAGGTTCGCCGCATATTGCGCGATCGCCGGACGCATCTCGAATGCAGGCGCTATGGAAACGGATGCTGCTTCCTGGGCGGCCGCGAGTTCTGTGCGTCCAACAGCTTCAACTATGCAGACTCGAGGATTTGCAGACTATCATCGATTATGCGTGTGCAACCAGGGATTGAGTTGATCATGGTGTTCTTACAGGCTAATGCGCATGTACTGTTAATACACCTTCTATTCTACCTACTATACACACGATCATGAACGGACGGGTTAGGCTCCTTCTAACCGGACGCATGACATGCCAGCCGGACAATCTGAAACGGCAGAGGAGCTTCCGAGCAAGCCCAGAGACCCTCACAGCCCTTCTAAGATACCGATATATGCTGCACAGCCGAGAGTCTTGCTTCGGAGGGCCATCCGAGACTAGTCCGGTAACGATCTCAACAACGACTGCCCACGGTATTCCTCCCTCCATCAGACTTGTTCCGCCAACCTATTCCCCGCCTTCCAGAGCACGTACAACGGGATCGCCAGACTCCACGCATACGCTCCGGTGCGCAGGTAACTAGCCGCCTCGCTCTTCACCGTCATATACAACCCGGTATAGACCACCCGCGCGGCCAGGTAATCCGCGGCCAGGAAGTTCATCTCCTTCACGTCGAGCCTGGCATAGTTGCCAGCAATCTATGCATCAAGTCAGCGGAACAGGTCACGTCGAGGTTGAAGGAAAGCGTGGGAAATCTTACCATGGCGGCTGCGAACAGCGGGAAGCCTTCGAGGGCATTGAGGTGCGCACCTCGGGCGCGAGCTAGTTTCTGCCAGGTGCGGGTGTCGAGCTTGGTCTTGAGGCTCTCGAGGTTGGTGCGCGGTACGATGTTGGTGGCTGTGTAGTTGGATGCCGCCATGCCTTTGGCGAACTGGTAGAGGTAGGGTGGGAAGGCGAGCATGTATGCTGCCGGGATGGCGTGGATGGACCAGTTGTACGGGGTGTTGGTGGTAGACATGGAGACTGCGACGTTTATATCTCGTATACTAGAAATGAGCAACACTGCTTCTGTGCACTGGATTTTTGCTTCTTGAGTAGTTTGATTTCAGACGTGTAGAAGATGTAGAAGACGGCGAGGCTGGTGGAAGCAGTGTTTCTACATATATATGCAACCGGATGCCTCACGATAGGTGTAGCATGTAAACGTTATGGTCTTGCTGCTATAAGACTATGGTTCAAGGTCTGCATGCGGATCTCATATAGCTAACTACCTATGGTCTAGCTCGGCCGACTAAAAGCAGCAGCATGACAATGAGTGTCGGTAGTGGAGCAATAGAAAACAGTGCTGGCCCCATATGACTATGGTAGCTGCACAACTGCTTCATTTTCCTCGTTATTAAGTCATTGAGAACTGAGGTGAGTATACACTCACCCGGAGCAGCATTCAGCTGTCGCCAAAAGCCTCTTGTAAGAACAGTAGCGCCAGCATTTCAATGCCAGTACTTGACATTAACGTCCTTCGTGCGCTGCCACCCCTGGTCCAGCACCCGCAGGACCTCCTCGGGCAACGGCCCCTTCTCCATCAAGGTCAGATTGCCCTCCAACTGCGCGACGCTACTCGCGCCAACGACGACGGCGTCCCCGAACTTCGCCTCCAACAGACCGTGGTGCATCATCCACCTCAGGGCACACTCCGCCTCGCCGAGCCCAAACTTCTTCGCCACGGGCCGCAATAGCTCCAGCGCATCGAACATGGCATCGTTCCAGTAACGCGCAATGTAGCCTTTACCCTGAAACGTGCTGGGATCGAACCGGCTCCCCCTCTCCAACCCCTCCAGCTTCGTGTCGCGCTGGTACCGGTCGGTCAAATACCCACCAGCCAAGGGATTGTAAGCGTAGAAGGCGATGCCGTGCTCGCGCAACAGTGGCAGCAGCTCGAGCTCCACGGCGCGGTGCAGCGCGTTGTACATGCCCTGGTACACGGTCGGCTTGAGCAGGTTGTGCTGCTCGCACAGAGCCAGCATCTCGCGCATGTCGGCGGCCGTATAATTGGAGACGCCGAAGCGGGCGAACCTGCCCTCCTGGTGCAACTCGGTGATGGCGCGGAGGGAGTCGAGGAAGGGCGTGTTGCGGTCCGGGGCGTGGAGGTAGTACAGGTCGACCGAGGGGGTTTGCAGGGAGGAAAGCGATTCTGCGAGGGTGGCGCGGATGCATTCTCGGGTGTGGGAGTATTGTGGGACCGGGGCGCCTGGGAAAGCGGAAGCAGTGGGATAGATCTTGGTTGCTACGACGAGGCCGCGCGAGGGGAGGTCGAGGCTGCCCAGGTGCTTCTCGCAGGACCCGCTGGAGTACATGATGGCGGTGTCGAGCATGGTGTGGCCGTGGGATGCGAAGGCGTCGAGGAAGGCCTTCTCTTCTTCTTCGCTCTTGATGCGGGACTGACTATGGGCCGCGTCGCCGATGGTCATGCAGCCGAGCACGACGGCCAGAGCCGTGGTAGGTTGAGGTGCCATTGTGGTGTGTGATATCTGAGGCTGAATCCTAGGTGAGGGCAGACTTGCTTGCTAATCTTTCCCATCCTTAATTCTCCAAAGACCATATTTATATCGTTGTCGGTTCTGAATTGGCCCGCCACCCCGCGACAACCTCTCTGTCGAGCGGCTCGAAGTCTCCTACAAGTCATCCGAATCTCCTGCGTAACTTCTCGGATTCAGGACTTAGGATTCACGAGGCTGGGTGGGGATTGGTTAAGTCCTAGTAATCCCTCTCTATTGGTCGTATGTATCCCCTAAACCCGAATGGGTATACTGATTGGCTCGGAGATTGAGGAAGGTCTTGTTTTGGGTATCTCCTCGATATCTGACGAGAGCGCGGTCATCGCCAGGCGCCAGTTGACTTGCCCCCTGGACAGATCTCGTGATGGTTGAACCTTTGATTGACTAGTGGGAGTCGACAATTGGTGGTGAGCGAAAGTAAAGAAGGCCACCAGGGGGCTTCTTTCAAAGTATTGTCATTTTTTCGTCGACTCTATAGGACTATGAGCAGTATACAAGCGGATCCAACCCGCGGCATGAAGTTTTGATGGAGGGCAGTAGCAGTAGCTGCACCTCATCGTGAATTTCGGTATAATCCGGTTCGACCTGCGTGATAGTCACAGATCGTGTACCTCACCTTCAAGTACCGAAACCAGTCTAATTCTCCTTTGGCTCTTTGCCCTTCTTGTTCTTTTCTCGCTTCTCACGCATATAGCGAAGACTTCGGCCAACACCGCTCGTTACGATACCTTTCAGACTCTGCGTAGTCGCCGGCCACTGAATAGTCTTGGTAATAACCTGTTGAACCTCTTCTCTCAGGCCCCCACCTTCCACATCTTTTGCTATCCGCTGTTCAAAGGGGCCACCTTCACGTTTCCGAATACGGTCAGGGTCATCTTCCTTGGTCTCAGCCATAAGCTTCTTGAAATCACGCCTGGTAATCTCAAATTTCGATTGGTATTCGAAGTAAAGCTTTTCGCGGAAGGCAGATGGTAGACGCCTCACCATGTGCCCCCGTGTCTCCGGATCCATATTCTGCGCAAGTCTAGCATTGACAGATGGGTCATCCATCCAGTCTCGGTCGGCCGTGGCGGAATCATTGAAAGTAATATTGGGCAGATTATCGATGAGAGGGGCATACAACCGGCGGAAGTTTGGTAGTTGATTCGAAACAATATTGTCAACTTTTCGTGGGTCGTCACCACCAACGGACATTCGAGGATCGCCCATGTATGAGATGCCTGCAATGGTCGAGTATAGCTCGCGCTCCGTGAAATCGTCGCCTAGCAGTAGCAGAGCGGTTCGTACAGCAGAGATGAGATTGACTTGGTTTGCAAGTCGGACGGATGGATTGTCTCGTAGAATCTTGACAGGTTTCTGTAAACGGCCAGCAATATACAAGGTGTTCCACTCAGACAGGTCTTTGCATAGCGTATCGAGGTTGACGACACCATATTTGACAAGGACACCATTGACCGTTATGTATGGGTTGAAATACACGCCGGCGCCGAAAGAATCCTGCACCTTGGAAACGGCATACGATCCAAGAGAGCCAAGAGCAGAATAATGATCTCGGTGTTGTTGGAGGTTGAGAGAATGCCAGTGCTGAGTATATGAGACCCCGAAAATAAAGTCAATCATTTTCTGGTTTCCCTGCTGCACCTTCGTGATCGCTTCGGGAGGACTGGGGTGGAGCGTAGAAGAGCCGCCCGTAGTTGCCGTGCTTTGTGGGAAGACTCCTGATCCATATGCGAAGGCGTACCGTATGGGTGCCTTGAATTGCCAGAGGATCTGACGCAAGGCCTCCTTGAACTCTTCGTTAATGATCATATGCTGGTTGACGCCGAAATTTTTACTGGGAAGCTCGGAGAACTTTGATATACTCAGATCCGGATTCTCTTCCCAATCGAACTTGGTTTGAGATGAACTACTCGAGCCAGCCGATGGTGTCTGCTGGCCGGAGGTGGAGTGACCTGAGCTCGAAGCGGAACCATCCTCAGAAGCTCTGCTTGACGGGGTAGACTGCGGATTTGAGTTCGATCGGGGTTCCTGGCTTTTATTTGGTTCTCCTTGGACACTGGCGTATGCGCGCGATAGTGGTACTGAACGATATGGAGGCTGGAAAATTGGGAGGGGCCGTGGCCAGCGGAGACCATACAGCTCTTGTACACTGCGCTTGCCCAGCACGGTGGGCACCATACGGACCGTCATCTTAACAGAATCAAGCTCGAGCTTCGTGAATCCATTGATAAAATTACTGCCTAGACATGCTTCGACTTCCGGGAGGCACGGAGTTGAGGAACGTTGAGCTTGAGCGCATGTGGTTCAAGGCGGTCCGGATGCTGCGATGACGCAGCAAATGCCAAGCCCATTGTTTATGTTTCCCCGAGTTCGACCTCTCTAGCACCTACCTCACGCTCGTACACGATCGCGCGCCGCCCCCTCCACCAACATTAAACGGCTCTTGAACCGCTCTAAAGATGGAGTTTGCTACACTGCAAGCGCGTTTGAAGACTTTTGAGCCGCCGACGAAGCGGTCAAAAGCTGGATGGCCTCACAAATCCCCCTCTGCCGAAGCAGTCGCGAACGCGGGTTTCTACTACCAACCACAGAAGACTGGCGACGACAATGTTGTGTGCTATCTCTGCGACCGATGGCTAGATGGATGGGAGAAGGATGATGACCCTGTAGCAGAGCACTTGCTACATTCTCCCGACTGCGGGTACGCGATCCTCATCAGTCTCGCCCAACAAGAGCATTTCGATGCTGGAAATATGGAAGACCCTACGAGTGCAAAGATAGAAGAGGCAAGGAGAGCGACATTCGCGAATTGGCCGCACGAATCAAAAAGAGGATGGACATGTAAGACGGAGAACATGGTTCAAGCCGGCTGGCATTGTACGCCTACCATTGGAGGCGAAGACTACGCGAGCTGCGCGTATTGCAAGCTGAGCCTGGACGGATGGGAGCCCAAGGATAACCCATTGTAAGATGAGTATTCTATGGTGAGTGAAAGCTGCTGACTCGATACAGTGAAGAACACTACCGACGAGCGCCTGAATGTCCATTCTTCATTTTTGCTGGGAGTACTGCACCCTTGAAGAGAGCGAAAGCGAAGAAGGGCCGAGCTTCGCGATCCTCAAAAGCATCAAGGACGTCCAAAGCTTCGATGAGATCATCCACACAGTCTCGGATGTCGATACAGTCTGACATACCGGATCTAGATGACTCTATTGACACCAGCACAACGTCTGTGATGTCCAAGGCCTCGACTGCAAGCAAAGCAAAGAGGAAAGCTGCAGGAGGTGCGAAGGCGACAAGGAGCAAGAAGGCGAAGGCGGAGCCGGAGCCGGAGCCGGAGCCCGAGTTTGAGCCTGAACCCGAATTTGTTGCTGAGGACCTAGCAGTACCCGAGATGGATGACACGCTGAACCATAGCATGACTTCAGTCGTGTCGACAGCCTCCACTGCCACTGCAAAGGGAAGGAAAAAGGGCGGTCCACGTACGAAGAAGCCTACGGTGAAAAAGACCAAGTCGACGCGAACGAGGGCAAAGCAGGCAGAGCCTGAGCCTACCACGGAACCTGAAATAGAGGAAGTGGGTACCCAGGTTCAGCAAGGGCTGCGACAATCTCTCGTTGAGGTTGAAGGAGAAGACGCCATGCAAGCCAATCCACCTCAGACAGAACATGTTGTGCCGGTTGAGGTTGAGGAGCCCGATGACGAGTCTGGCCCTACCAATAAGGCGACCTCTACCCAATCATCAAACTTCACAGGAGAAGCACGTCGACAAGAGGATGCTGGGATTCAGTATCCCACGCTGATGCGAGCTGCTGCTGGATCACCTTTGCAGCACAAATCTTCACCGTATCCGCACAAGTCGTCGCCGCATCCGCAAGTCCACAGCCACACCTCACCACTGGCTGCTCCCCCAACACCTCCTCCACAATCTCGCTCCACCCACTCGCCATCAAATTCGGATATCGAAAATGCACCTCCATCATCCCTTCCACCTTCGGCCCGGCCACCGATACCTGGCGCGCTCCCGTCTTCGCCCTCACCGCCTGCTTCCGACTGGCTACCGATCGATACCGAGCTGGTTTTCCAGAAGACGCCTGGTGGGGAGGCGTCACCCAATCGATTCGATCTGGCTCAGACGGAGAAGCTCGGCGAAGATGAGCAAGGAATGACGGTTCAGGAGTGGATCGAGCACATGGCCGAGATGGCCGAGCGAAACTTACGACAGGAGGGCGAGCGGGTAGTGAGCGTATTTGAGAGAGAAGGTGCGAGAGCCATGGGTGTTTTAGAGGCTGTTGAGTGCATTTGAATGAGCTGATACGGCTTAATGAAGGACAGACGGCGGCAGGTTGGTGAATTGCATTGAGAGAAATTGGGACAATCAGAGCACAGCACGGCGCTAGGGCGTTGAGACTTGCAATCGGTACAGGAAAGGCTGAACATTACGTTTCATTTTGCTCTGCATGAGCAGTAAACGCGCTGGCGACGCGCATCAAAGTTCGTTAGACCCGAAACCACTACATTTCGGTCTACATTCATGCCCCTTCGAACCGCACAACCCATTTCTTCATTGTCTTGCTAGACGGCCCACACGGCAACGCTCAAATCGCAATATCAGCCCCCACGGCCTCCTTGACCTCGACACTGCCCTTCTCCCCCCTCACACCCCCATTGGCCACCGCGGCATCCAAGCTGCGAAAACTCTCCAGCTCGCGCTGCTTCTGCTTGTCGACGGGACTCGTCGCGAAAATGGCCTTCTCCCGCTCGCCCAGACTCGGGTAGATCCCCTCCTGTATGAGCACCTCGGCCAGCGTGCGACCTTCCAATTGCGGGCTCGCCGAGTCGCCGTCGGGGGTAGTTTCGCTCTGCTGCTGCGCTTTGAGCACAGCTCGGGCCTCGAGCAGCATGTCGTGGTAGTAGCTGCTGTGGTTGATGTTGCAGACGCCTTCCTGCGAGGGCGCTTGGTGGATCAGGCAGAAGTAGCGGCTGCACAGTAGGCAGGCTGAGAGGTGTTTGGTCGTCGGGCTGAAGTCGCCCGGGTTCTGCTCGTCGCAGAGGTAGCACGAGGCGGAGTCGGCTGGGGTGGTGGTTAGGCTGTTGGTGCGGTTCAGCACCGGTTTGGAGGTTGGTAGGGGAGCGCCGGTGGTGCGGCCGGCGGAGGTGGTGGTTTCTGAGGTGTCGATGGTGGGGGGATTGGGTTTGGCGGAGGGGGCCGAGTGGCCGTTGACTCGGGGTGTGGGTTCGTCGGCGGGAAGGTGGGCGGTGGCAGGATCGTTGATTACGATTTGGGGAGGGGCTGGGGCGGCCATGGCTGTGGATGTGGATGGAAGTGAGAGCTGCGTGATGCTTGTAGGCAGTGTCTGCTAGCCGGTCTTCAGACAGCGTTCGACAAATGCAGTACTTGCGGTAGGCTGTGAGGACTCTCTCCCTGTTTGGTATATTTTCGTCGATAATAGTGGGAGGGAATGCACAGCCGTATGTCGATCCAAACCAGACCCTTATATATGTGTAGCAATACGACCAGGCCACCTCGATTCTTGATGCCAGCTTGTGTTTCGCAGCATCGGCTGGGTGTGATATCACTGGCCAAGGAGACCGGGTGGCTTGCCAAGGGGGCCGCAGAATGGAGGCTAACGGCTGGAAGTCAGGCGAAGCTTTGTCACTTGGGCGCCCGAACAGCGTGCCCTATCCTGAGCCTGTTTGTCATTTCGAACACCGAACCGCTTAGGTGCAGGGTAATAATTGCTGCAGCTGGTCGGTGACACACCTGGTCGCTTGTCAAATATGGGCTACTCCTTCCTACATAGATTTGAAGACGTCGCAATCATGTCGCGGCCTGCAGAGGAATTCGCGGTGTCCGTTGAATTGGTGCTCAGGGCCCCGATATGGGTGGAGCACGGCGCTTGCAGATCCCGATCGGTCCCTGAAAATGACGTTGGAGGTGCCTGGGCTAGCAGATGGACAGGGGGCTTTCCAGCTCAGGGTTCACGTCTGGCCTCGTCAAGGCGTCGTTTAGAAGCTCCGCGAACGGTGGGAAACGGTAGAAGACGCTATGGGGCTTGGGCGCGTGCCCCTGATACGGCATCGGTGCCACAACTAAACGACATCAACAAGAAACATCCGCCTCAGCTCATCGTTCGTAGCTTCTCGCTGCCAATTGACGACTGCTCATCCGCGGTACCGTCAAGATGACAGCCCGTCTCCTTCTGCCATTCTCGATCCGCCCTTTTATACCAGAGCCACCAGCCAGCGAGTACAATCGCCGTCAGAGGAATGGTCACCAACCAGTACACCCAAAGCAGCGGTGATACCGTTCCCTCATCGTCGTCGTGCAGCCAGTCGAACATACTCATGCTGAATAGCGACGCGATGTATGTCCCGGGCAGAAAAGAAGCGGTGATAAAGGTAAAGATCGTCATGGCGACTGAATCCTTCTTGGTCGATGTGGCGATGCGGGTGTTAAGCTGCACATCCCTCTGCGCAAGCTCATTCTGCTCCTGAGCCATCCTGCTGTACTGCAGCGCAATGGCATTTTCCTTCTGGCTAGCTGCAGAGTAAAGCGTGTTGAGTTGTGCCTGGATTCGCTCTCTCTTGGTCTTCATTGTAAGTGATATTCCCTCCATGGCGCTCGACTCGTACTCCAAGACTTCCTTGAGCTCCGTGCATGTAAGCCACAGGTCAGAGTGGTGCAAGCCAACTTCATTGGCCATCTTGATGAGAAAATTGATGGAGTCCAGCGCCCATATACACGTCTGGCTTAGATACAGGATGGATGCTCCCGTCGAATTGAGGCCAATAGTTACCGCTTTGATATCTAGATTCTCTGGCCAGTTGTCCATGGATCGTTTGGCCTTGGACCGGCCCGCGAAAGTCACACCCATCTCGTTCTCAAGGTCCACGAGCTTGTCGGCCACCTTTATTCGATTGACCTGAATCTTCTCGCAGAACAACCTGATCATCAAGGTTGGTATGAGCAGCGGGTTACGCCACAAGTGAGGATACTGCTCCAAGTTCTCAACAAATTTGGCCGCTTGCGTTGTATGCGTTGCGTTGTGGTCGTCCGGGATGGGAGTCAGCATGCCCTCACTGCATATTACAGCATCTGTACGGCCAGTTGTATAGTCGTGGCATACACTGGCCAACCAGTTGCCGACACCCACTTTCTGTTTGGACTTCACCACCAACCGCAGGCATGTTGGCGTCCTGGAAGTAGGGTCGTACTCAGTAAACTTAGCGAACACGCCTGAAGAGTTGAAAAGCGAACAGACAGACCCCTTTGACAAGTGGAAGGCGTCTTCAACTTTCAAGAATGTCTCTTTGGTGATGCTGAGCTGAGCTGAGTGGTGCCTTTTGGGCTTTGAGATGCACAAGATCCGGAGGGTGCCCCCGTGCTTATTGGTTGTTGTTGTTGAAGACGGTGTTGTCTCTCTCAACCAGTTGTCAATATCGCATTCTTCGATCAAGCCATGTCGAATCTTGGGGATAGTGGTAGTCGCCTCACTCTCAGGGGTAAACCCTGGAGTTTCGACGAAGTAGAGACCACCGTCTTCAGGCTCCCAGTGAAGATCCTCCAAGCACTGTCTGCGCTCGATCTCGAACATGTCTTTCGGTTTCTCATCAAGTCTAAGTCGATAACGCGGTTGGCACGAACATAAGAAGGAGGCTTGTGCCACTATTTAAAGGCGCTGCGTTGCCGCACGTATTCGGAGTCGAGGTCTGGTACCGGGCATCAGTTAAGCCTAATTGAGTCCTATCAAAGCCACTCGACGCCACAGTACTGGGAACGCATCCGCCGCGCGACCACTTTGAGCACCCCTGGGAACTGCATGGCTTCTGTGACTGAGCTGGGGTCGTTGTCCTTTGATTCTGCTGTTCGCTAACTTGTTAGATCATGGCAATGTTTTTGTCAATCCTTGTTGGCAACTTCTTGATCTCAAGTGCAGCCTATCGCCTAATGGGCGGTGTTGCCCACGTTCGGACCGGGGAAGTTCCCACCTCCGCAAGCTTGCCGAGTCACAATCACTGGGGACCTGAACTCGCTAAACGTAGCCCTGGCTGAAGACGTTCTTGTACACCACAAAGCTGAAGCTGTACTTGGACACCAACGATGACCGTCTTTCACTGATGTAGGTAACCTGGATGTCAGTCCCAGACTTTCATAATTATCCCAGTATGAATTGCGATGAGCTGCAAGAATCCGCCCGGCCTCAGCGCTACCTAGTCAAGCGTCCGAAGGCGCTCCAATGGTTCCATAACGGCGAGCTGCACAAAGCGGGTGAAGAAGAGCGTGCAGCGGGCCGGTTCGAGCTCTTCCTGGATCTACTCTACGTGGCCATCGTTGCCAACTTCTCAGACGAGCTCTCTGAGCACCCTGATGGCCAACATCTGGCAAAGTACGTACTGATCTTTGCACCGGCATGGCACATCTGGGCGGACCTCAGGGAGATCATGAACTCTTATTATACCGATGACATTGTCCAGAGACTGATCATTCTGTGGGTCATGGCTTTGCTTGTTCTGTATGGCAACAACGCTCCTCACGTCGAAGAGCTCAACGCGCTTCAAACCACGGTCGGTGCCTACATGTGTGCTCGATTCACAACAGCCTCAGTATTCCTCATCTCGTCGTTCGCAAGCTACCAGCACCGAGCCCAGGCGCGTATCATGTGGGGGTTCATGCTTGTTGGTTTACTTTTGTGCATACCACTCTTCGTGGAGACCGTCTCTCTCCTCGCAAAAGCCGCCATCGTGGCCGTCATCATCATCTATCAGGAGATCACTTGGGCAATCACCCTGTCGCCTTGGTTGAAGAAGAAACTCGGCCTACAGTACAGCACTGCAGTCGATATCAGCCACGAAATCGACCGCCTCGCGGCTTTCTTCGTGATTGTCCTCGGCGAGTTTATGTACAGCGTTATCGTCGGCAACCCAGCTGGCACTGGACTGACCGATGGCTTTGGCAAGGCAGTCTGCACTCTCATCATCGCATTCAGCTTGAATTGGCTTTATGTCTCGGGCGATGGTTCCCTGCAAGCCACACATCCTATTCGGAGATCCGCTTGGACAGCCTTCGGATTCTTCCTCCTGCACTTGCCGCTCTCAGCCAGTTTCTTAATCGGCGGCCATATCTGCGCTATGAGTGTTGGCATCCAGGAGTTCGAGGACGGTCAACGCTGGCTGCTAGGCGGCGGGCTTGGTGTTGGAATGCTGTGCCTCTGGATTTACGGCATGCTGTACAGGACCGAGGACGAAGGCAATATGCTGTTGCCAAAGGTGCTGAGGATTGGAATGCGTCTGGTCATTGCTATCGTACTTGTCATACTCCCGAAGACGCACGATCATCTTACGACCGTTCAGTTGATGGCAGTTGTCGCAGTTCTCTTCGCTTTCGCCCTGTTCTGGGAAACAGTCGGTGGCTTGACGCGAGACTTCCATATTTTCGAGTCCTGGGAAGGCAGACACCCACCAAAAGACCCTGTAAACGAGGAGGAAGCTACGAATCGGGGCTGATTGAGGCATGAGCGACCACCTTCGCGAGTATAGGAAGGGACCATAACCCAACAGGCACCGTAACCCAGCAATTCAATCCGTTCACTCACCCGCTTCACATATCCCTTACCGGATATCACGAAGTCATTCATTTTCCTCCATCGCGGCCGGCAAGTTTTATCAACTACCAAACACACGATGCCTGGCCTACGACGACAGCGTCACCATCCAATAGCCCAATCCACACCCACCACAGCGCCAGCTCCTCGACGCATGACCTCTCTCCGAAGAAGCCGCTCCTTCTCACAGCTCTCGAGCCAGATGCCTTACCCCACTTCCGGCAGCCCTTCGATATACCACTCCGCAGGCCAGAGTCCACCCCTCCGCCCGACACATCTTCTCGACTCCCTCATCGCCGACGAGCTAGTGCGGACATCGACCGCCGATGACGGGCGGCAGCAGACGCCATTCCATGACCGTGTCAGCGGCCGCTTCTACACCACCACCACCACCACCCACCACCGTGCGATAAGCAGTGCATCGACGGTGAAAGCCACGGACGGCGACGACGTCCAAGATGCTGAGCCATGGGACCCCGACCTGGAAAGTGGCTCGGCTGGGCCGAGCTCTGAATCGAGCCCCAACAAGGTCGAGGTTGCGGCACGGGTGCTGAGAATGTCGTTGTGGACGACCGTCAAGGCGAAGGCGCGGCAGGACCCGATGGCGACGGCGGGGATCATGGCCGGCGTCATCGTGCTGCCGTTTGTGATACGTGGGGCTACGAAATGAGACGGGGCTGTCGGTGAGGGATGCGGTTGTGATAGGGCTTGGGGGGCGTTGTGTAGGGAAGGGGCAAGCGGGAAGTCGGTGCAGGGAAAACAATCAAGACATCTATCTCTTCTGAGTGACTGCTTTCTGAATTCCTGCTCGTCCATGTGGATGTATTCTCCCGCCCGAGGAGTCCGCGCAGCTATACTGCACCGGTCGAGCCAGACTTGCCTGGTAGCTAATCCCCGTCGCTACCGCGTTCCTACCCGTGAAGGCCGGGCTGAGACCCATCAACACTAGCCTGGTCCTGGAACCGGGGTCATGGACCCAGGCTGCACTCAGGCCAGCCCTCGAGCCTGCATTTTGCTTCCAGCGAAGACATGGACCCAACAAGCGGCCCAATGGGGTGTGGCAGCCAGTTTTATACATCAGTATCACCGTCAATCCAAGGCACCGTGTCTCAGAGGCAGCCGAGATACTGGTGATCTCAGGAGCCCGGCACAAGATCTCTGAGGTGTTCAGGGCGAATCTGCCGCTAGGATGCGGTGTGGGTAGCCTTTGACGGCTAGAATTCCCTCGTTTGGATCCGCTCCGCCTCTCTCGTAAAGCCTGGACATTGCAGCTGATAGGCACGGCAAGCATATGATCTTGACACGAGCAACTCGATGGGAAGCACTTGGAAGCATTTTTCCATCGACCAGGCTCAGCATCAGCGTAGCTTCGAAAAGCCTGGTAATCAGGTAGAGTATTGTAGGGTTCATTCTTTGAGCCAGATGCTGCCAATCTGATTCAGCTCACACCAGCTTAGGGGCGAAATACCATAGTGCCGCCAGGCCAGAGAGCACTGTCGCGCCTCCGACCTGACGAACCCATTTGTTGCTCTCGGTGACACTCATGCGGTTGATGGTTGTTTGCTGCGGCTTCTTGGTCGTCGTCTTAACACCACGTTGGGCCAGGGTCTGAGCCATTTCGGTCTTGTTACTTTCTTGGGCGGCGGCTTGCTGTTGATATTCCTGAACTAGCTTCATCAAACCCGCCAAATCTGATTGCAAAGCTGCGGATTTGGTTTGATTGCCTTGGAGCTCGACACTCTGGACGTTACCAAAGAAGTCCACAACCCTGCGATTGCGACCGGCGGCCTCTGCACCCGGAAAAAGGTCCCATCTGACACCGGGGTTGGAGTGAATCTTCTTGACATCGTAGCTGTCGAAGAGGTCACCCAAGGTTTTGTCAGAGGTTGGGCTTGTGACGTGTGTCTCGAGGAACTCCAGCACATAGTAGGTCCAGCGGTCGATAACAGCAACACCCACATCATTGTCGGCGTGATGTGAGTAAGAGCTCTCGTCCTCCTCCGAAGAGCCCGTGGCAACAACACCGGGCGAATAGAAGTGGCGGAACATGGTGTTGGCCTGACACGTGTCGATCATGAACAGCATCTCGTTGTAACGCTTTTTCTGTTGCATCTGGGCAAAAGCATCTGCCAAGTCCCAACTCGAGATCTCCTCGCTGTCTTGAAACTTGAGGAATTCACTACCTCCGTGACCCGTCATGTATATCAGGATGTTGCTGCCCTCGTCTGTCTGCAGTCTTTTGCTGGCGGGAACACCGTGTTCCCAGCGATCGGTCAATAGACGAATGAAATTCTCCACGGTGACTTCGTAGCCACGGTAGTCGACCTCGACGTTCTCTCCGTATAGGTCCATTCTTCGGTCGGAGTTGGAGTAGACAGTGCCAGAGAAGGCGTTGCGAGGGTTGCAGGCCATGTCATCGGGTAGCATCAGAATAATCTGTGAGTCTGGGATGCCCAGTCGCTTGACCGTGCGGTACAGAGAGAGTGTATTTGCCAGGTGTCTGTAGTTGAACCAGAAGCGCGATGTTGAGACCAGAACGGCCCAATTCGAGGTGTGTGCGGCATGCGTGAGGGAGAAGATGGCCAGCGGAGCCAGCCAACCGAGGAGTCTCATGGTGCGATGTACGATAGGGAGGAATCCGCTAATAACGTCAAGAAGAAATGATTGAACTTGTGGTCATGGCTGTCGTCGACCATGGGTTTGTGTACAACCATCCTGCTCGAAACGCGCATTGCATTGGTCAGCGCAGGGGGAAGGGCTAAGGCCTGAGACTAACTCCTAACTCCGCTGATCTTCCCGGCCTCCGCGGGCAGTGAGTCTCGAGGGGGACTCGTTCAACCTCAAGCATCAGAAGCCGACAACCTAGCATGGGAGTAGGTATATTAGCACAAGTGTTCCAGACTTAGAGCATGCATTTTGCGCATTTGCAAAACTCTTCTATCATGTCCACAATAGTGGTCGGAAATCCATGATCCTTCTCGCCATCGACCCCAATCCGACTCGAGCCCATATTACGGAGTGGCATCCGCTCAATGGAGTCCATCCTTGCACGAGCAGCTCGAACATCTTGGTGTATAGATTTGGGCCTCACAATTGCTCTTGTGGTTGGACATTGGCACCAATCGCTCTGGACTAGTGCCTTGTCTTCGGAGATGGGATACTTGGTACCCCCGATATTATAACAGGTGACGATAACAGCAAGACGAGCTCTCACAAGCCTCCCGGGATCGAGCAACGCCTTCAACGAGGTCCTCTCGCTTAGTGGCGATAGCTGCGTCCAGCCCCTGCTGCAACCTGGGCGTGCTTCAAATTGATACCGTTTCACCTCTACTGTTCCCTGCCACCTCAAGTGCGCTGAGATGACTACAGATAGGCATTGAGGGTGTCGAAGTCATCGGTTCTAGTCATACCAAGAAAGTCTCAACAATGTCACACTGTTAAGAATGTCCCAAAAGAAACCTAGAGGCTGCAAGCCATCTGTCCGGATAGCTTCTTGACTGACAGTTTGCGGTATGCGCAGCAGCGTAGGCTGCAACTATTGGTCGCAACAGCTGTCGGAGCACTGAGACACAACCACTGATCGCCCAATTCGGGTACTCGTCCTCCCCCCTCGCCTCGCCCACATGGCTCCAGTATGCCGCCCACCAATGCGCATGGCACAGTCCGGCGCCCTAGGTTTGGGCTTGTTTCTCCGTAGCGGCGTCGTCATGCTTGTCGCGCTTTTAGACTCCAGAGCGCTCATAACTTATCGCCCTTGATCAGCGGCATCCGCTCTTCTGCAAACAGCTGCAACCCACGAATCCTCTTTACTCGGTATATGTTATGATCTTGTCTAGGATTGACTCAAACGGTAAACCGTTTTCAGGCCGTCCCCAGGATCTCGCGTGCCCTGAAGATCGCTTGCTGCCGAAAAACCCAGTTTTAGCACCACGGCCGGATATCCATCAGCCTCGGGTTTGCCCTTCTGAGGTGTCCACCATCACCCCAGCCTGTCTGTTCTGCCACTCGACAATACCAAAGCAGGTTGTACCACAAATCTACGCCCCCATTCGAGACAAGACCGTCCGCGCCGCGTCGGCAGAGACCTGCCCTGGGTCGCGGCCCTCAACATCCCTGCCCAACTTTCGCTTGTATGACCAGCATTAAGCCCGTAGGGCCCGCTCTGTCAACATGCCACCCAACGCGCCCAGCCGAAAAGCAGGTCAGTTCACGACTTCCAGCTGCATTGATGACGCCTCTTTTCTTCTTTCGTCCTCCATTGCCTTGTTATTCGCCCTAAATTCTTTATCACTGCCCGATGTGGGCGTGACGAGCCTGTCCCAGGCGATCGTCCATCACCAACTGGACCGATTCTATTGCCGATCAATGCATGGCTGACCTGAGATAACAGAAGGTTTCGACATGGCCAAGCTACAGAAATCCCATAAGCAACAGCAGCGTCGCTCGCTCGACCCTAAGCCCCAGGTCGCCAAACTTAGTCCCGCTGAAATACGATTGTTGAATCAGAGAATAGACGCCTCAGTTGAGCCGCCCAGGGGAACTTCCTCCAAATCATCCTCGCGGCGCCTCTCCGGTGGGAGTCCGCCGATCGCGCCACACACCACTCAACACCAGGCTCTGCCCCGTTCGTCAACTGCCCCTTTGCCCACCCCGCCAAGATCGCCCGTCAAGCACGAGCGGCGCGGGACTCAACACGCGCACGACGAGCGCCAACGTGGGGCTAGAGGCCGTCAAACAAATACAATCAACAATGCATCGCGACAGTCGAGCATCTCTTCTTATCGCAGCACCCATTCCCGGCAGATGTACCGCGGACATGAGGTGACTCAAACCGGGAACAGAGTCATCGTTCAGGTACCCAAGCAGGAAATAGTCAGCAACCCATTGTCTATGTTTTCGAGGCCACGGCAGAGCCAGCTGCAAGCTTCGACATCGCCGGACAAATTCAAACGGAACTTTGAAGAGCTCGATCCGTACCAGGCCAGCGCTATGCTCGAAACGCGCTCTCAACCTCCCAGCATATCGAGCCGAGGTCCATCGCCGGCAAGAATGACGGATTCGCCTGTTTCGGTTGAGGACGCCGAGCTGGATACGCCCACGAGCATTCAGCCTGCGACGGATGTCAAGAACGACAGCAAGGAAGTAACGCGGCCAAACTCGTCAGAGAAAGAGAGGACTACCTCAGAAGAGACAGTGAAGCTTTCAAACTCCCACTCTATCATCGACCAGACTAATCCAAACCCTGTACCCCCGAAAAGTAACAATGACGTTGCCCATCGACAACCCAATGATGAATTGGACCTTTCCAACAAGGCTTCTGCAGCAAATGCGGCTGTTGCTCTACCCAAGGCAGACAGCACGGTATCTCAGCGCAATGACGTTACTGAATCGATCAAGCCGCAAACCGATCCTGATCAGGCGCCCAAGAATGCTAAGAAGCGCTTCACCTTCCACCAAGTTTTCGATAAGAAGGAGAAAGACAATCAGAAGGCTACAAACAAAAGGGAGAGAAGGAGAACACTCACTTTTACGAAGAGCCCTGAAGCTTCGCCACAGGTCCCCCAGGAACCACCCGAGAAATCGAATGCTGTCAGCTCAGCGTCCGCGCAGCAGCCTGGGTCTCAAAAAGAGGACCCGGACTCCGATGCCATTCCCTCACATCCTGCTGTGCGTCCTCCAAGCATCAGATCGAGCTCGTCTTCTGCCGAATTAGGCCGAAAGCCCAAGCTCAATACTCTTCCGGTCTTAAACACAACAGGTCCATCCTACTCGCGCTGCGCCTGCTGTGGCAAAATCAGGAGGCCACACGCTTTTGGCACGGAACTGTCACCTGTTCTCGAGAACGAGCATTTGCGTGCGAATTTCAGCTTGGAGGCGGAACGCACCTCGCACGAGTCTCGGCGCTATACACCCATCATCCCAATCGAGGTTGCCGACAAAGATGACGTGCGCAGCATCCGTACCGTGCAAGGCTCAATAGAACCCAGATATTCTCACTCCAGCGCTGCCAGCGTCAGAAGCTCACAGTTCGAAGCCGAGACTTTCCCTCGCGACTCGAGCAGCATTAGCGTTGCCACCGCCCAGACGACCATCGCGTCGTCCGTGAGCGATACAGATAGCCAGACGACAGCGAAGAAGCGTACTGGCACCCTGGATGAGGTCAAGCTGGTGCGCTTCTCCAGCTTGCATGCGCGACGCGGAAGCGACACTGATGTGGTGCTGGCTAACGATGAAGAAAAGCAGGAGATCGCGCAGAGCGTTCCCTTCGTGCCCCCGCAACTCCACAAACCTGTTCAGCAGCAAGCAGCAGAACACAGGCCTGCATTGCTTCCATCGCAGCACAAGCTTCTCCAACAACGGCAGTCACAACAGCACCCACCTGCAGTGATGAGTGGCGCAGCCCCACGAGCGCCTCACCCTCTCCGCCAGATCTCGCCGATCGACCAGGTGATCGAGAACCCGCGTGATCAGCACACCGCGAGTGCGGATGGAGGGAGCATCGTAGAAACCGAGCGGCAGGAGATCAAGCGGATGCCTAAACAGGATATCATCACCGTCGTTCCCCTGAAGAACCGCTCCACTGATTCCGATGCCTCGCCCACAAACATCGAGACCTCGCCCCCCACCAAGGCACAGCCGAGTACATCAGAGCCTGCCTCCGTTCTTCCCGCCGCTCCTCACAAAACTAACAAGCTGAGGAAAAATCCTTCTCCCAGCGGGTCCTCCATCTCCACGTCCCGATCTCGCCGTCTCTCCCTACCGAGTCCCCACAAATTCCGACTTTCTCCCAAACGAGGCGAAACGATTCCACTCCCTTACACATCCGCCCGACCGGGCCCACCGCCCGAGACCGATCCCGCTCAGCGGCCCCCGCTGCCCTCGCAAGCCACAAGCAACCGAACCAGCATGTCTTCGGTCGCCGAGGCCCGCGACCGCGCCGCCGCCGCCTCGAAGGCCAGCAGCCGGCGCACGAGCACCGACGTCGCGCACAGCAACGGCACCGACGCGCCAATGCCAGCTGGCACCGCTGGGAACGTAGATGCAACTCAGACGGTGCGCCCGAGTCCGAGCTTCGCCAGGTTCATCGCCAACTTGCCGGCCACGCACGCAAGCAACGTGCCGGATGCGAAGAAGTTCAGCTGGGGTCGAGGCGGCCTGAGGCGGGGAAGTGTCGGCACTGCTCAGCAGGGGCAGCAGCATGGCCCGCCGGCGACGATTGCGGAATGGGATGGCGAGGGTGGCTCAGTAGGGACGCGCACGCCGGTTGCGGTGGGAAGGAGAAGTCGGGCCACGAGCGTGAATGGCGTGTCAGAGGCTGGAGCGGACAAATTGCCAATGAGTCCGAGCGAGATGCGGCTACCGCAGTTGCAGCTGGGTGGGGGGCTTGTGAGTCGGAGTTCGACCATGGGCAGGCTGTTGGGTGATGGTGGCAAGGATGACGGCGGCTTCATGGTGGTTAGTCCCGTGGAGACGAATGGAAGGAGCGGAGGCGGGTTTGTGGGCGGGATCAAGCTGGAGAAGATGATGAGGGAGGGGGTTGGTGCTTGAATTGTGTAAACGAATGGGATCTGCTACGACCTGATATGAAACGAGGCGATGATTATGTAGACATAGGCTTGGTTCCCTACCTGTAGACCACGTGCTCCTCAAGTTGTGCGGTCAGCAATCAGACGCTATATAATGTGGATGCGACTGGTGACGAGGCTCTTTACCATGGACGACTTGTTTATGCTTTCCACTGTTCGATTGTAGTGCTCACCTTGGCTGGTCATGATGTGGAAAGACACGTTGTTGAGGCTCAGGATTGGCGTACTTCGATGCTGGCCGCAATATACGACAACTTATGAGCTGGATCTAGCCCACGACCAAGGAGGAGGTGAGAGGCTTGGCTCTCTTACAAATAATGCCGGCCGAGGATCTCCCAGGCTCAAACTCGGGGGCGAGAAACCCACGTTTTCGACCCCATACCCCAGGATTGGGCGTTGGTACGGATGACAGGAGACGTTGACGGAGTGACGTGGTCGAGCGTGATGGGCGAGGCATATGATCTGCTCGAGAGCGAGGTGCGCGGTGCTGCTGCAGCCTCTTCAGCTTTCGAATGTGGCCATCGGGATGCATTGCCGGCATCCGTTTGTAACATGTACCTGCCTTGAAACTCTCAACCTGCATAATTAATGTGGACAACGCTGCCAGGACTAGCCTCGAGACAAGATCAATCTGGGGAATCTGCAACTATGTTACCGAGCTGGCTCGTGTACGTACAGAGACAAGCAGGAGGTGTCGCGAGTTGTGGGCCTATGAACGGACACACCGTGGCCGCATGGTCAGCAGGAACTTGCATGACCCCGGAAATCAGGCCATGTGATATGCAGGGAGTTAAAAGCAGGCACATCCAAGGTCGAGTTTTACGGAGTTTTGCTCATGGGCAAAGGCGAGAATCGTTGGACGGCCCGAGTCGTCGAGTCTGACCATGGCCCACGAGCCGCTGAGGCCAGGCTAGACCAGGCATCGAGTCTTGGCCGTCGAGTCTGAATGCCTTGTCCACATTCAAAGAACTGCTTCAGCTTCAAGCACTTGAAGGCATCACCCGCTCCACACAAGTACCCTGAGTACCCTTAATGGATTTGTGGTGAGATTGAAATTGCCACTGGTCCCAGACCAATCGCCAGATTTCGCATAGTCCCGGTGCAGGGGCGGCGTGAAATTTTGGCCGGTGGACGGTGAATGCAGTGAACGGGGCAGCCCCATGTTCGTCCCTCTCCTCCATTTTCTAGGTCCGGCTCCAGGGTGGCTATGATCAGCCATTGAGCACGGCCGGTGCAAGAGCCGAAGCCCCACAGGACTGGCTTCCCCTCCCCATGGCACCGCATCGCGCCCCCGAATTTGCTTAAGCAGCCCTCCCTAAGCACGAGAGGGCAGGCTCCTGGCGCTAAGTCCTCTTCCACAAGTCTTCCCTCGATCGGCCCTCCATACCCAACTCCGTCTAGGCTGAGAGTCTCATGAGTGGACATTCTGGCATCCTGGCTGCAGGGTTCGGCCTGTAGTTTGCGAGAGGGCACCCAAAATCAAAGCCATGTGAGCGGCGAAAAAAGACTAGACTCCAGTCGTGAATGTCGTCTCCAGCGTTACTCCAGACTTTCTTCGTTCGCAGCTGCTACTATCATCCCACCCCACAACCGCCAAACCATTGTCGCCGTCGCTACCACCGATTCTTTCAGCTCGCTGAAGCTGCCCACTACTATGGTTCATTGGCCTCTGGCTCAATTTGTCGATCGCCTCAACCTCGGTAGTCATGCTGTCACGAATCTCCTCACATCCGCACGACTCGTACTCCAATTATCCTGACTACCACCATCAGCGAGACATGCTCTCCCAGCAACGGCCAACCACTCTTGTGCAAAATAGCCACAACTCCAACCCTCAGCCGTACGATGATATGAACCTCCAAGCTGGCCGGAAACGAGCTGGCTCTGAACTAGACCCTTCGGACACTGGTGACGCCCAGGGCGTCCGCCGCCGCATTTCCCGAGCCTGCGATCAATGTAACCAATTGAGAACAAAATGCGACGGAAAACATCCATGTGCTCATTGCACAGACAACGGTCTGCCTTGCGAGTACGCTCGAGCTCACAAAAAGCGAGGTCGTGCGCCCAAGAAGGATAACGAGCAGAATGACGATATCAGTGGCAACCAGATGCAGAACAACCAGATACCTTCTTCGGCACCGCGTCCATCTAATTCTCGAAAATACTCCACTACATCCTATGTCGGTGCGGTAGACAACACTCTGCCGTCGAACAATACCCCAACAAGCGCCACTTTCGAATCTGCACCACAGAATGGCTTCTACGGTGGTTTCGATCATGTCGCCAATATGTCGATGAATACAAATGGCCAAATGCCTAATGGTCCAATCTCTAATGGACAGATGCCCAACATGGACCAGACAATGATCCCACAGATGGCCCAACCAAACTTCCAAGTACCAGACAATCATAGCTTCGCTGCTCAGATGGACAATATGCATGGTCAGCCAGTAAGCGGATTTGGCTTCCCGTTGGGTGATGACTATTCGGTCGCCTTCATGGGCAAGGCCCCGATGGTCGAATCTCCAGACTGGCTTGCTCTGACCTCGCCCATGTACCTCACAGAACCGCCTCTCAATCAACCTCGGCCCCCTGACCAGCTGAAATACTCTGTCTTAAGGCCACTTCTGCCTCACATCGAATCCATCATGCCTCAAGCTATTGCATGCGAGTTGCTCGAGCAATATTTTAGCAGTTCAACCTCAGCCTACCTACGACCCTCAAATCCCTACATCCTCGGCTATATCTTCCGCAAAAAGTCCATCTTGCATCCTACCGAGCCTAGGCCATGTACTCCGGCCTTACTTGCCAGCATGCTGTGGATAGCGGCTCAAACTAGCGATTCGGCTTTCTTAACCAGCCAACTAGATGCTCGCGGGCGAATATGTCAGAAGTTGCTCGAGTTGACCATCAGCATGCTCAAACCCCTGATCCACAGCAATGCGAACAGTGTCAATCCTACACCAAGCTACCATCACATGTCCAGCTCAGACGCAAGCCTCGCTGGCCTTGTCGTACCCACCGACAGAGTGGGCCACCATGGAGTAGATCGCGTCCAGATTGACAACCTGGCAACCTACATTCATCTCGCAACAGTCGTTTCGGCGAGCGAACGCAAGGCAACTTCGCTTCGCTGGTGGAATGCTGCATGGTCTTTGGCACGGGAGATTCGGCTCGGACGCGAACTGCCACCTAACATATCGCCCGAAAAGGAAGGCGAGGAACAGAAACCGATCATCGCAGACGGCGATATTCGCAAGTCTTCGATCGATGAGCCGCGCGTGGTGTCATATGTGAGTGAGGAGGACCGCGAAGAGCGACGCCGAACCTGGTGGCTCCTCTACATGCAGGATCGTCATCTGGCGCTCTGCTACAATCGGCCTATGTTCTTCCTCAACAGAGAATGCGAGAATCTACTGCTGCCTCTGGACGACGACATATTTCAGTCGGGCCGATTCGAGCACGCTTCTGATCATGGACAGAGACGCCGTGGACTCAGCATCGAATGCACCTCACATTCAATCTTCGGCTACTTCTTGCCGCTCATGGTGCTTCTAGGTGAGATCCTGGATCTGAATCACGCTCGAAATCGACCGAGATTTGGTCCCCGTTCAAAGCGGCCTAAGAACTGGGATGATTCTGTCGAAGAAATTTCGCAGGCTCTGGAAGCCTTCGGGCAATCACTTCGCGATTTCGAAGCTGCGGGAGGCCGTCTGCACAACTCGGATCATAATCCAGACGCTGTGACTCCATCTGTGGTTAGCACAGGCACGAACGACTCGGTGCCTTTCTCCAACTCGGAGTTAACCCTGCAGACAAAGACTACGGTCGCATACAGCACGCATATCATGCATGTGCTCTATATCTTGCTTACAGGAAAGCTTGACCCGATTGGTAAGATCCCAACTGCTATAAGTCGCGGTGAAGCGAGCACCACTACAGCGATTTTACCACCTTTGTCTCTGAGTTAAGTCCACTGACATTTCACAGGCCTTCTTGAAAACGCAGACCTCTGGATCTCATCTCAGAGCTTTATCACAGCAACTGGTCATGCTGTCAACGCAGCAGATGCAGTGGGGGACATTATCGACCAAGATCCCGATCTGAGTTTCATGCCTTTCTTCTTCGGTATCTATCTATTGCAAGGAAGCTTTTTACTTCTTCTGTTCGCGGATAAGCTGCAAGGAGCAGAAGTCAGCGCAGAGGTGGTTCGCGCGTGCGAGACGGTCGTTCGTGCGCACGAGGCGTATGTTTCTCTTGATTGGCCTTTCAGGAGCTAGGCTAATACTGTCGCAGGTGCGTTGCAACGCTCGACACGCAATACCAACGAAACTTCAGGAAAGTTATGCGGTCTGCTCTCCAACAGGTGAAGGGCCGGATATCGGACGATTTAGCGGAGCAGCAACAGTGGAGGCGAGAGGTTTTGGCCTTGTATCGCTGGACGGGCGATGGAACCGGGCTTGCGTTGTGATTCTGGTGGCTTAAACGAATAAATGATTGAAACGAGTGAAATGGAAAAGGTCCCAGGGCAAAGATACCCACACGTACCCGGAGGAAAATCAGGTGTATATTGACATTCTAGCGACGTGGGTTCAGTCGTCACATTCGACGTACGTATCTGACTACTTAGGAATGGGAAGCGGGTTTCTCTGGGCAGGATGGAAGCCGCACAGCCAGTAGTGAAATGGACATAAGGACAACAGGCCTCCTATGACGCTGCTGTCCTATCTTGCTCGAATTGGCTTATGGACTGTGACTCTATCGAACAAGACAACACATCAGGTACCTCGGGGGGGGATGCCGCCAAGACTGCGCTGATCTTCACGAGCAGCACCATGCCTTCACAGCTTTCCTAGTCCATGGGAGGCTACCATCACTCACGCCACTAAAGTAATTCCATCGACCAAGATATGTCCGAGGCCACGCGCAACAACTGCTCGGATGTCCGCCAGTCTCTCGTACTCGCGCGTCTTATTGGCTAGATGCCTGGCTGGATAAATTCACCATCAATTTAGCCGGGATATACCTCACCCGTGGAACCAAAGGTGGCTTGGCCAACACCAGGCGCCTTCTGTCAGGGTTGATGAGGTGTCCTCTGACGGCGGAGACTCGTTTGACAGAGGCGTTATTGATCTTTGACAGGTCGTTCGAGAATCGTTCATCGCCCACACAACCAGGGTCGACGCTACTGAACTGAGAGCAAGGGCTTCGGTTTCGTCAGGCACCAACTGCAAGCACACCCCATTCAATCCTTACAAGTCTAGTCAACAACCTGGTCAAGATGACGACCGGAATTCTGAAGACGTCGGGCGACAAGATCGTGGACAACAATGGCCAGCAGGTTGTACTGCGAGGCACAGCAATTGGAGGATGGATGAAGTATGTCCCTGAATTACTTAGATCTGACACTCCCCCTGCATACAACCTCGCTTCGGCCGGCCTAGCGGCCATTGAGTTCCAAGGTAGTGACTGACCAGAAATGTAGCATGGAGAACTTCATCACCGGCTATCCCGGCCACGAGAGCCAGCACCGGAAAGCTATGCTCGCCGTGCTGGGTCAGGAGAAGTACGAGTACTTCTTCGACCGGTGGCTCGAGCATCACTTTACCGAGGCGGACGCGAAGTTCTTCGCAAGCCTGAAACTCAACTGTATCAGGCTGCCGTTCAACTATCGGCATTTCGAGGACGATATGAATCCTCGCGTGCTAAAGGAGAGTGGCTTCAAGTAGGTCCTCCATAAAATCAATCGGAGCAGAGACGATCCCGTGTTTCATCCGAGCCACCTCAAGGCCGAAGCACGCTTACTGACGCCTCTTTCCTAACAGGCATCTAGACCGCGTCGTCGATCTCGTGAGTCTCGCTCCCCTCTGGAACCCTGCACCCCAGACTTACTTGATGAATCTAGTGCGCCAAGCAGCAAATCTACACCATTCTGGATATGCATACTGTTCCTGGCGGCCAGAACCCGGACTGGCATAGTGACAACCCCACTGCCTACGCCGCGTTCTGGGACTACAAGGACCACCAAGGTAGATTCTCTCGCCACCATATAGCCCCCCTTCCTGACATCCGCTCTAGACCGCACGATATGGCTCTGGGAGCAGATCGCAGCCCGCTACAGGGGCAATCCCTGGGTCGCTGGATACAACCCCATAAACGAACCCTGTGATCCAGAACATGTGCGACTGCCGGCATTTTACAAGCGCATCGAGAAGGCGATCAGAGCCGTGGACCCAGATCACATCCTGTGGCTGGACGGCAACACTTTCGCCATGGAGTGGAAAGGGTTTGACGAGATCTTGCCCAACTGTGTGTACGCGCTGCATGACTACTCGATGATGGGCTTCCCAACCGGCGAACGCTACGAAGGGACCGCCGCCCAGAACGAGATCCTGGAGAAGTCGTTCCTGCGCAAATGCGAGTTCATGCTGCAGCACAAGGTTCCCATCTGGAACGGAGAGTTTGGCCCGGTGTATGAACCTGCGTCCACCCCTGATGCCGATGCCATCAATCAGGCGCGCTACAACCTGTTGGGCCAGCAACTGAAGATCTACGACAAGTACTCGATCAGCTGGTCCATCTGGCTGTACAAGGACGTCGGTGTGCAGGGTATGCTGCACACGAGCCCCGCCTCCAAGTGGATGAAGACAATCCAGCCTTTCCTGGAGAAGAAGAAGAAGCTTCGCCTGGACGCGTGGGGCGTGCACTACAGCGAGGAGAGCGAGAAGGCCGTCAATCCCTTGGTGGAGTGGATCGACAGTGTCTGTCCGGATGCCAAGGAGGTGTACCCGGGACCGTGGAAGACGGAGCGCCACGTGCTGAGAGCGGTGGTGCAGACGTACCTGTCTGACGCGTTCCAGAAGGAGTTTGCCGAGCAATTTAGGGGCTTCAGCACGGACGATCTTGAACAGTGTGCGAGGAGTTTCCACTTTGACGAGTGCGTGCAGAGGGAGGGACTCAACAAGATCCTGAGTGATTATGCTAAGGTGCAGAAATGAACTGATGGCAAGAAGGGAGATTGTGGTGCGGGCAGCATTGGTCGGGCCAGTGGACGTTGTAGATGACGGAAATGTGGGATCATGCGATCCTGTATTGAGATCAAGTACATGAGATAGCTGTCTAGTGCTGGATCGAAAAGGTTCAACAAAAATGCTCAAATATCCAGACAACATCCCGCGACGGGGTACGTGATAGTGAACGCCAAGACTTTACTGCCTGCGAGTGCGGTCCCAACTGCGCAGTGTACCTTGGTGTTCATCTGTTGTAGCTAGGCCTTGGCCTGTCTTGCAAGACTGGACTTATTATCTAGACCAGGTCTGGAGACTTGAATAAGGGCATAAGTCATATCTGACAAGCTTCATGGCACGTCCGATAGGATGTCCTGCGGCACGAGACGCGGTACGGTCTTTCGTATATCGATGAGTCAAGGTCACAATGGCTGCACATACCCCACAGCTCCGAGGATACCGAAGGAATTGTCTGGGACACACGCCACCATCCATTGCCTTGGGAATCGCGTCGAAATCCCCTCTCGCCTTCTCCCGGCCTGCAGCTTGATGCTGTCAACGCCAAGGCGAATTTAGGCAATTAGGCAGTTTGCGCTCCGGCAGCGAAACGTCATACTTTCCGCAACTTCACCTCAAGCAGCCACCGCTGCATTATAGACCGTACTACTTGGCCGGCAACTTTCCGTCCCCCAGTCTTGCAGCTTCGAAGAATGCCCCCAGCTCTTTGGAGAAGAAGGCTACCTTGCTTCCCCGCAAAACGCCTATCCGGGCAGAGATGCGGTGGTACTAGCTTGCGTCCTAGCTGTACGCTACGCAATTCTCACAATGCACCGATTCAGCCGATCGAGCATAGAGGAGTCATGCAGAGTGTGAGAGAGGTGAGTTATTGCACCGACGGCTGTTCCTGCATGCCATGCCGTCCCTCGCGGGTACAAGAGCCGTTGGCTTCCAACATGAGTCCACTTTCCAGCAGGATTTTCTTTTTGCGCAGCCTTTAGTATCTCGCCATGACTAGAAAGCTGTTGCCGGTGCTGGCACTACTCGTGCCTACCATGGCTGCTGCCAACAACAACAACACTCGTCTTTGGTACACCGCACCAGCTGAGCAATGGACCGAGGCGCTCCCCATCGGCAACGGCCGCCTGGGAGGCATGGTCTTCGGAGACACCGAATCAGAGCGAATCCAAGTCAATGAGGAGTCGGTCTGGTCCGGCGGCCCTCGGTCGAGGCTGAACCAGAACGCGGCGCAGACTGTCACGGATGTGCGAGCGTTGCTTGCTGACGAGCAGATCAGTGAGGCACAGACGCTGGCGGACCTGGGCATGGTGAGCTCGCCGCAGGCGATGCGGCACTACGAGACTCTGGGAGATATTTCGATATCGTTCGATGGGACTTCCAACTATAACAACGGGAGCTATCAGCGATGGCTCGACCTGGAGACTGCGATTGCTGGAGTCAAATTCTCGGTCAACGAGACGGACTTTGAGCGAGAGCTGTTTTCATCCGCGCCTGATGATGTGATGGTACATCGTCTGACAGCCAACGGGACAGAGAAGCTTTCGTTTCAACTTCGTGTCTGGCGCCCATTTGACAACATTAATGTCGCCTACGATCAGGGATACAACGAAGGAGGTGATTCGACTTTCATGGTAGGCGCGGCGGGCAGTACGGATCCTATAACTTTTGCGGCCGGGCTTAAAGTCCAGACCGATGGCAAGCTACGCACACTTGGGGAGTTCCTGATCGTCGAGAATGCCACCGAAGCTGTTGTGTACTTCGCGGCAGCAACCACTTACCGGACACCTGATCCAATTGCGGCAATCAAGCAGACATTCATGAGCGCTCAGCGGTACTCGTACGACGAGCTGAAGCAGCGTCACATCGAGGACTATCAGGCTCTGTACAACACGTGCACGCTCGAACTGAGCAGCGCCGACAGCAACGGCTCGGCGTTGACCACAAATGAAAGAATTAACGCAACACAAGCTGGGGAGACGGACCTTGGCCTGATTGCGCTTCAGTTCCAGTATGGAAGATACCTTTTGATCTCCTCCTCCAGGCCTGGGACTCTGCCGGCCAATCTCCAGGGCATCTGGAACGAAGACTTCATGTCTGCCTGGGGCTCCAAGTATACGGTCAACATCAACGCAGAAATGAACTACTGGCCGGCAGAAGTCACCAATCTACCATCCCTTCACCAAGCTCTGTTCGACCACATCGAGACCATTCGTCAATCGGGTGTCCAGACGGCGCAAAAGATGTACAATGCCTCTGGCTGGATGGTCCATCACAACACTGATATATGGGGTGACACAGCTCCGCAGGATCAATATCCGCCCGCTTCGTACTGGACTCTGTCCTCGGCCTGGCTCAGCACCCATATTCTCGAGCACTTCTTCCACACGGGCGACACCAGTTTCCTCCTCTCCAAGATCGACACACTAACCGGAGCGATCCAGTTCTACCTCGACACCCTCCAGGAATACGAGCTCAATGGCACCACCTATCTAGTGACCAACCCCTCCACCTCGCCCGAAAACTCCTTCTACACCTCCACCAACGACACCGGCAGCATGACCGTGGGCCCCACGTGCGACGGCCAGATCCTGCATCACCTCTTCACAGGCTTCACCAGCGCCGTCGCTTCCCTCCCGTCCGCACCAGTAGATCCCGCATTTATCGCCCGGATCAACACCACTCTCGCCCGCCTGCCACCAACGCAACTCAGCGCGCGCTATGACGGCGTCATTCAGGAATGGATTCACGACTACGAGGAGGCCGAACCGGGTCACAGACACATCTCCCACCTCTACGCCCTATATCCGGGCACGCAGATCCCGCCGCCTGATGCGCCGGGCCACAACGCCACGATTTGGGAAGCCGCGATCAAGACGCTAGAGAAGCGGTTGCATGATGGCGGCGCTGGAACTGGTATGTCTCTCGCCGCACGCTCTATTTTTGTTTGACGGAAAGGAGTCCTTGGAGAATTCCCCCTGTCTTGTATCCACCAACACTGGTCTAACAAGAGGGTGTGTACAGGATGGTCCCGAGCCTGGGCGATCAACGTGGCTGCGCGTCTGCTCAACTCGTCCTCTCTGGCGGACAACGTGTACGAGTTCTTCAACCAGAGCACGTACCCGAATCTGTTTGATGCGCACCCGCCTTTTCAGGTAAGTCGTCCACCGCCGTTGCGCGCCCCCCTCACCTCGCAGCGCGATTTCTAGTCAATCCAACCGAGCAAATCCGCCTTCTCTCGCGCCTCTACCTCCCACCCATTCTTATATCTCCCCACCCCTTCTCGACCTCTCCCCAAAAGCCCCATCTTTTGTTCAGATTAGCTGACAGCCTCCTCCTCTTCTCAACCACAGATCGACGGCAATTTCGGCTTCACCTCCGGCATAGCCGAGTCCCTGCTACAATCACACTTCCAGCTTCCCCCCAGCAACGACAGCGCCGCCGCGACGCGCGAGCTCTGGCTCCTCCCCGCCCTCCCCCCGACGTGGGAGGACGGCGCCGTCAGGGGTCTGGTGGGCCGCGGCGGCTTCGTGACGGATGTGACGTGGCGAGACAATCGGGTCAGGAGCGTGGGTATCACCAGTCGGGTGGGTGGGGAGGTTGTTGTCAAGTATCGGCATGATGATTCGGGGGCAGGAGAGAGGGGAAATGCGAGCGTGAGTGCGGTGGTGGTGCCGAAGGGGAGTTATGCGGGTTTTGAGGCGGTGGAGGGAGTGCGATTTAGAGTTGCGACGGTGGCGGGTGGGAGGTATGAGTTTGAGGTGAACTGGGATTAGATGGGTTGGGTTCAGAGGTATGCCAGGAACGGCCGGTGGCTATATGGGGGGTTATCATGTACCCCTGCGTTGTGTTCGTTAGGAGAACGATAGGACACGTATGATGTACAATAAAATTATCCAGCTGAAGCTGTCTAGGCATGCATTTGGGCCTAGATGAAGCTGCTATATCAGATGCAATATTAATGCCATTGGTTGGGTCTTTCCAATCACTGCCTTGAGAAGACAATGTCACTGTTCCCACTGAACTCCCTGGTGGGCATGCCCCTGATCCAGTGACTGAAGGTCCTGCTCTGCGGATGTTCTAACAGTATATTCACATCTGCGCTGTCTGGAGGTAATTTGACGCCGTTTCCAGGCTTCGGATACAGCGCGGCATGCTCGTCGAAATATGAATCATAGCCCTCATCCTCAGCTTCGGCGGAAGCGACAATCTGGAAAGGAAGAAGCGAGGTGACCGGTGTGGTGTAGTTGGACTTGAATTGAGCTTGTGGCAGCTGCGGTGCTGGGATTTGAAACATGGGTAATGCCGGCGCCAGGTCACTGCCGGATAAGATGAGAGAGATGAGTTGTTCCTTGGTTCGACTTTCGAGAAACGCGATCTTCTGAGCTTGTGACAAGGCAGCCCCGCCGACGAGAGGCCCGACGAATTGTGGTGGTTGTGATTGTGTAGTAACGCTCGTTGGCATGGCCACCTTGGACTTTTTGCCTTTCTTGCCATGCAAAATCTTTTCGCAGTGTGCGCAAAACCATTCCGCCTTGCTGTCGGCGATGACAGATTGCGGTACTTGGGGCTCGTGGCAGCGCTGGTGCCAGCACTTGTTGCAAGCGTCGCAGAAAACAATAACATTGCCGACGGGACCATGCCCGCGTTGGCAGTGCTCGCATAGAGCTAATTGTTCCCGGCCTCGGTACAGACGCCTCTTGATCTTGGGATGTGTCTTCAATGCTGGCGAGGTAACAGGAGCGGTGTTCCGACTCTCAAGTTTTGGTCTCTTGGAGGCGGGACTTGCGGACTCAGTAGCTTGAGGCTGGACACTGGGAGGCTTTTGGATCTTGCGACCTGATCGCGTTTCATCTGTAGGATTGTATTCAGGAGGGGACTCTGGTGAATCGGGAAATAAGGAGTCTGGCGTCATTGACTCCCATCGCCCAACATCTGACGTAGATCTGCCCCTCTTTTTAGATCCTGAGGGTGCAGATTTGGGTGTGACAGAAGCAGAGTCTGGTGCAGTACCCGGGGTTGATAGTTCGCCGGACTTAGGCTGGCGCGGACCACGTTTGATGCCAGGTCTCCCACGGCCAAGACCTTTACCTGAGACAACAGCGCCACTCGGTAGTGTGTACTGCTTGACTCTGCGGGATGATGTTTTCGGCTCTCGAGAGCCATTGGGCTCTGAACTAGGCATCGTCATTTTGAGGGTGTTGTAATATCCTTGCGGCGCATGAGAAGTCGCTGTGAAGGTCTGTGGAGGAGGTCGATTTGGGGCGGGTAGTGGTATAGAATGTCTGAAATCAGGATCGCTGTCGGTTTGCAATGTTGCCTCATCGAGTCCGAGGGCTTGTTTGCCCGTGACTGCACCTGGGCCTGTGTGACTTTCGCCTTGTACACTCAGTGCCGGACTGGCAGAAAAATGCCTGGACATCGGAGAGGCTTCTAACGCGTTGTGGGCCGGATTGTCGCTCTGCATGGATACCCAGTCAGTAGCCCAAGGCGACGCCCGAGAGCCTTCTGACGCTTCTTTGACAAAGACTCCACTAGGAGGGCCGGAACCGGTCGATCTAGTCTCTATTGAACCGTCTACGTTCGAAATCGCTGGCTCTGAAGTGTGAGGATGTGCATGAGCTTGCACCTCAATAGTATCGGAGTGAAGCTCCCCATCATCTGCTGAAGCGTAGGCAGCCGGTCTTTGCTGGGTAGCTGGTACAGGAGACAGATTCACTCCGTTTGTATCAAGTGGCATGGTGATGGTGGGCTCAGCTCAAAAGCTGAAAATGATTGGACAGCCGGACTCTGGCATTACCGATGGGCTGGACGGGCGTGGATGGGGATGGTCCGGCTAGCGATACTATGCTCGTGATGAGTTGATCATACAATGTTCGATGCCTGGCTCGATTATGGAAGACGACGGCGATAAAGACGTCTCGTCGCCCCTGCTCGGCGCGGAATTGGCAACGTCGGCGATGGAGACAGTCACGTGCAAATCACGTGGGAAGAGCTCTCCCTCGGACCCACCTTGGCCTTGGCTCCGTACAACTCCAAACAACGCGGAAAAGACTCAAGGAGGCCATCGTTATTCGTACCTTGCAACCCTCTTTTCATCATGTCCCCTGCAGCACGGGCGAGCAAACAGATAAACGCACAAACGGCGCACCTCTATCGAATCACATTCATGTTTCGAAACCCCTGATCTTTCTAGTGGATTCCTCGAGTCACCGTCATACCCTCAAGTGCCTTCCATTTCTTTTGTGACAAATATGAGCCCATCTGCCCTTCCCAGCTATTCGGAGCATCGTGCTGCCCATGACCATATCGTGTACCGTTACCTCTGACCTAGCAGCCATGCGTACCGCAGTACTCCTTGTCAGCAACATACATTGCCCTTCCTGCGTTTGCTTGATCCAGGATGTCTTCTCTCGAAAGGCCGGCATTCTTTCCAATGCTGATGTCTCATTAATTGCGGAGACTGTTCGCATTTCCTACGACGAAAATGTCACCAGTTTTCACGCTCTCGTCGATGCTTTAGTCGATGCTGCCTTCGAGGTCCGCCATGTTACCGTCGCCGACGATCGAGGAGCTCAGGTCGAAGATCAGGATCTCATTCCTGACTCAATTCCCACATCTTCTCGCTGGGACCGAATGTGGCGTCGCGCACGCCAAGATCATATCGACAACTGTGATGCCTGCCAAAGCGAGCAACGGCAGATGTCAACAGAAAAGTCAAGGGCAAGAACTTGGGCAACGATTGTTAGGTCGCGTAAGAACGGCTCGTCTATCTCGGGTCGGTCCAGTGCCCTTAGTAGTGCTGGTACTGCTGTGGACAATCCTGCCGTCATCAATGTCGACGGCCCTCCGTCCAGGGACGACACCGCCATCTATAAGGCCGCGGTCGCCCTCGAGGGCATGACTTGTGGTTCCTGCGTCGGAGCCATCACTCGAGGGGTTCAGCATCTGCCATATGTCTCGTCAGTCAATGTGGACTTGTTGACAAACAGCGGAACATTCGAAGTCAAAGGCAGGGCTAATGTTGACCAATTACTGGAGAGTATTGAAGATCTCGGATATGGTGCAAGCCTCGTCACCTTGATCGAGCCCGAGACAGCTCCTTTGAACCCTCAAGAGAGAATCATTGAGCTCCAAATTGATGGCATGCACTGCCAGAACTGTCCGGATCGAGTCAAAGAAGCCCTTGAAGGGCTGGCAGACGCCACGGTGGCGGAGACATTTTTCAAGATACTGAAGACGCCGTCTCTAAAGGACCCTAAAATCCAGATAGCTTATAAGCCCCGCCCAGCGAAGGGCCAGACCGCCCGACGATTCGTACAGGCTATCGAGGCCGTCGACACCGCATTCACGGTCTACGTCTACCACGCACCCACGCTTGAGGAACGGTCCCGGCATCTGCAACACGCTGAACGAATGTCAATTCTGTGGCGGCTGATTTTCACTGGCATGCTCGCTATACCGACACTGATCATAGGTGTTGTATTCATGGCACTCGTTCCGAAGCACAACAAGACACGTCAGTGGTTTGAACAGCCTCTATGGGCGGGCAATACGAGTCGTCTCGAGTGGTCTCTATTTATTATCACGACACCAGTCATGTTTTATGGTGCAGACATATTCCATCGAAGAGCATTCAACGAAATTTGGCAGATGTGGAGGCCCGGCAGCAGCTTCCCCCTCTCCAAGCGCATTCTCAGATTTGGAAGCATGAATCTCTTAATCAGTGCGGCAACAATGGTCGCATACATTTCATCCTTAGCCGTGCTCATCATGAGTGCAACCAGCACTATTGATCAGCAACACCACACCATGTCGAGCTCTACTTACTTCGACGCCGTCACTTTTCTAACCTTCTTCATTCTTATCGGCCGTTTTCTGGAAGCGTACAGCAAGGCGAAAACAGGAGATGCCGTCACTCTGCTCGGCAAGCTTAGGCCGAGTGAAGCATTTTTAATTGAGCAGGGCATTCGGAAGATACCTGTCGATCAGTTGGAAGTCGACGATCTCGTACAGATACCTCGTGGGCACTCTCCTCCCGCCGATGGAGTAGTCGAACAAGACGGATCATCTTCGTTCGACGAGAGTTCGTTAACCGGAGAGTCAAAGCCTGTCAGTAAAATCAAGGGCGACACCGTCTACTCCGGCACTGTCAACGTTGCTGATCCAGTCGAGGTCAGAGTAACGGGACTCGGAGGCTCTTCAATGTTGGACCAGATCATTGACGTTGTTCGCGGTGGACAGGCTAAACGTGCTCCTATTGAGAGGTTCGCTGACGTCTTGACTGGCTATTTCGTGCCTGTCATTACCCTGCTTGCCGTTACCACATGGCTCATCTGGCTAGGCCTGGGTACATCGAGCTCACTTCCCAGGGCTTGGCTGGGTGACAAGCAAGGTGGCTGGGCTTTCTGGTCGTTGGAGTTCGCAATCGCTGTATTCGTCATTGCATGTCCGTGTGGTATTGGCTTAGCTGCTCCCACGGCACTGTTTGTGGGTGGTGGCCTCGCAGCGAAGCAGGGAATCCTGGTCCAGGGCGGCGGTCAAGCATTCCAGGAAGCCTCGAGACTTGACAGCATTGTCTTCGACAAGACCGGCACACTCACGCAGGGTGAGATGAAGGTCACCGATTTCGAGCAGCTGTCCGACGTGCTCCACAAAGATGTACTTTTAGCAATTTCTCGATCATTGGAGAACATCTCGAGCCACCCCATCGCGCAAGCTATTGCCACGTATTGCTCTTCGAGCACGGCCGAACTCGCTCTAGCTGACGTCAAAGAAGTTCCTGGACAAGGCATGATTGGCACAGTCACACTCAAACACGGCACAGTCGAAGAAAGCTTCCACGCTGCCATTGGCAACGAGAGTTTACTGTCCACGGTTGAGACCGCATCAATCACATCCTTAGGAGAGGCTACCACGCCACAGCCCTCTACTGCTGGTTCGGCCAATTTCTTCTGCCATCAATCCCTCCGTCGACATCAAATACAGGGACACAGCGTTGCGATTCTTGCTGTCCGCCCAGCCTCGTCGCCCCACACTCACTACCAGCCCGCCGCTCTCTTCGCTCTTTCTGACCCACTACGCCCCGAAGTCGCCTCAGTGCTCGCATCTCTTCGCTCACAAGGCTTGTCGGTGCACATGTGCACCGGCGACAACGCCACCACGGCTTCTGCCATTGCGGCCAGCCTGTCGATCCCCGCCTCACATGTCCGCGCTGGCGTCCTCCCGCAAGGCAAGGCTGCCTACATCCATGAGCTTCAACACGAACATCAGCCTACCACGGGATCCTCCAGGCGCCGAGTCGTAGCCTTTGTCGGCGACGGCCTAAACGACACCCCGGCCCTCACCGCCGCGGACGTCTCCATCTCCCTCTCCTCCGGCAGCGACATCGCCATCACCGCCTCGTCCTTCATCCTCCTCAACCCAAGCCTCCGCACCATCACGAGCCTGCTCTCGCTCTCTCGCCGCGTGTTCCTGCGCGTCAAGCTCAACTTCTTCTGGGCATTGCTCTACAACTGCGTTCTTATCCCCGTGGCGGCGGGTGTTTTCTATCCCGTAGGCGCCACTGCTGAGCACGGCGGCTGGAGGCTCGGTCCCGTGTGGGCTGCCGTGGCTATGGCGTGCAGCAGCGTGAGCGTCGTGGCCAGTAGTCTGGCGCTGCGGTTGCCGGAGGTCAAGTTTGAAACGTTGTTCGGTCGCCGGAGGACATGAAGAGGAACGCTGGGAGGGGGGAATAGCGGCATTCAAATGTTGCTGTACGTAACTACTCGGGTTCGTGACCCTGCTTGGTCAGCTGCGCAAGTCTTCGGGTACAGGGTCGTGGAGCTTGGAGGAAACTCGTTCGTACCGGAGTTCCTTGGTGGTGATGCATCAGACGCCGTTAGGGTTAGATTCTAGGAAAGCGAGCGTAGCTAATCAGAGGCATTGCTACTGCTAGTACTAAGTGGATGTGCACGTATGTCTCGTGTGTCCAGAGTCAACATCGTACTAGCCCTCTGCGGCCGCCTATTGCACCAAACTTTTAATTCTTCTTGCCTTGCCTCGTTTTCTGATGCCTCTACACAAGTCCACTTCCTGTGCAGAGCATAGTCCTATTTCGCGTTCTCCTTGTCGGCCATTAGTCTCTTCATGCTCTCCAGGAAGCGCTCTTCAGGCGTCTTCTGAGCCCTTGGAAGTGACCGTCCGCCCGCCTCGTCATTTTCGCTCTTGAATGACCATCCCTGACCAACCATAGCTTGGAGAAACGCGTCTTCATCTGTCCCACCGGGCTTAGAGGATTTGCCTTGACCGTTAGAGACGGTGGCCTTAGCAGGCGTCGCTTGGTTGTCGTCGAGGACCTCAGTGGTCGCATCGCTACAGGCGTCTGCGCTATCCTCAGTCACAAGGGCGGCAGCCGCATTGGACGATGTCACCGGGGCAGATGCTGTCCCATTGGCATGCACTTCTGCTACCCGGGCAACATTGGTACTCGTGAAATTTCCGCCCTCTGAAAGCATGGGCGATGTCTGCGGGGCCGAGTGCAGGCTCATGGTTTCTATTGCGGCAAGGAAGTCGTTCTCGAACAAGAACTTGCCACTGTGGCGAAAGACTTCCTCGTCAAGCTCGACCTTCTTGCCACAGTCAGGGCAGCCGTTCTTTCCGAAAACATCCTCGAAGTACGGATGATTTTCTGCACAGACAGTAATTCTTTTGGCGCCGACATACTCACGAAAGCGGCGTTCGACCTTGCGAGCACTTGTGATATCAATGCCCGGCACCGTCCCTACGCTTTGGCCCTCGATGATGTTCCCTAGAAGGTGCTTGAAGTTTGTGGTGGCACTACTAAAGGAGCTGCAGGTTTGAGGATAGCGTTTGCTCGAGTCGAGTACAGCATCGAGGATATCCAGCATGTCCGGAATATCCTCGAGCTTGTGGTCGATTGGGGCGTTTATGTTTTCGGCGAGCAGTGTCTCGCTTGGCATCGCTTCGAGTCCACAGTCCACCAAGAGCCAGAGTTGGATCTGTCGCAACTGCAGCTCGCAGGCTAATGCTGGAACTTTTTTCAAAGCTTCATCTTCCAGGAGCTTAATGCATTGCTTCCGGCTGGCCTCTGCACCGTTGACGGTGGCTTGCAGGAGCACTTCACTCATCCGCTGGGTCATCAGAGCCGGATCCGGCAGCGTTGATAGGTACTGCGCCATGGCAATATTGTCGCCAACCATGACGCTGGATAGCCGCAGGATGATAACACCAAGACGAAGGTGAGCGGTTGGAAGGTATGGGAAGACCGAAGGCATGGCATATCGAAGCTGGGTGATGGCCTTCTCGACGGGTACAACGAACTTATCTGCAGGTACGGGTTAGACTTGAGTCACTAACGAGCGGAGAACTTACCGTTGTACTCAGCAATCTTTCCCTTCAGCTCCAGAAGCTCGTCCGCTCTCTCCTGAATCTTCCTCGAATTCATTGCACTTGCAATTGCCTCCGGTCGTACTCCAGACTTCCAAGCCTCGAGGCTCTTGCGCAAATCATTTTCGACGCGGGAAACCTGCGCAGCGAATGAGCAGACCTTGCCTCCAATGATGGTTTCGAACAATCTCTTCATAACAGCATCAATGCCCACCAGTTTGTGGATAACACTGTAGCGGTGTACGCTAGGACAAAGTCTGCCACAGGTACATGTCGGTTCATGCAAGTTGGTGAAAGGCCCAATTCCATATCCAGCTATTGTGCCCGATTCATCCACCTTGTAGACGCCTTGAAGATTCAGGTTGTCAAGTTCTTTGACCTCAACCACATGATTGCACTCTCTCACATACAAGACTGCGGATCGATATTGAGTGTTTGTACAGATTGGGCATTGCGATGCTGGAATGCACGCCTCGCACTTGAGTGATGAACAAGGGTGACCGCAAGCCAAGACCTTGCTGCAGAGCTCCGAACAAGGTAAAGCAGCTTGCGGAATGCAGCAAGGTGTCTTCGGGTCCATGAAGTGCTCGCAAGTACTGGTAGCTGGCTCAAGACAGAGCTTCAACGGAGCGTAGCAAGCTCGGGTCTTTGTACCGTGTTCGCATATGGTTCGAACGGGCTGTATACAAGGTGGACAAAGGTCTTCATGCCCACACCGAGCAAGACAGCTATGACCGCAACTCAGAGGCTTAGCGCATGCAGCTGAACAGCTGTGATGGCCACTCAAGCGGCAGACAGAGCAAACTTTCGAACAGATGTGACCGCACCCCAGCAGCTTCTCGCACGGCTTGTTGCAGGAATGCTCTTTGACGGGGTCAGTTCCGCAGAGCTGATCGAGCTCGTGGCCGCAATCAAGAACGACCTTCCCAAGCACGAAATTGCACCGAGGCACTTCGCCAGAGCAGAGGATCTCTCCTGTATGACCGCATGGTAATCTTCTCTCAAGAACAGAACTCAAGCAGGTACCGCAATCAACACCACATGCTCGAGTACAACGGTGACCGCACGACAAGGCTTTTTCGCATTGTTGATCACATGGAATGGTCTTATCGTCATGCAGACCCATAGGGTGACACTGTTGGTTACAAACATGACCACAAGGAAGCACCCTGCCACAGGTGGCTGGACAGGAGTTTCTAAAGTCGAAATCATCTGGGTTGGTGACAGAGAATCGATACTCGGGGTGGTTGTTGCAGTAGGTCATGAGACTGGTGCCGCGCCGACTGCCAAAGACATCTAACACTCCACGCCACATCGGGACGGAGCTGAGAGTCAGGGAATTCCCAATGATGTAGAAGCCGTTACGCGCACGGCTGCACGCGACGTTGATGCGATTCTCACTCTTCAAGAAGCCCGGACGTGTGCCACTTCGGACGGTACTGAGAATGACGACCGCCGCCTCTTCACCCTGGAAATTGTCGACCGTAGTGATCCGCAGCAAGTCTGACATTTTCACTTCGTCCTTCTTGCGCAGCTCGGTTGGTTCGATGTCAAGTTGTTCTTCTTTAAGTAGCAGCTTGCGGTCTTCTTCATTCAGCCAGACCTTACAAGTCTTGTTCAGAGCTTTGTAGAACTCTGCAAGCTGACCCGAGTATGGTGTTAAGACGGCGATGTCGCCTGGGCGGTAGCCACTGCCTTTCAGGAGATACTGAACGAGACCAGCAACCATATTGACTTCATGCTCGTTGATGTGAGACTTGGTGTTACTGGTCTCGCTGAGCTCAGGGACCCGATGGTCCCACCAAAAGATTCGAGGTTCGACACCGATGGTAGCTTCGCGCGAGCGAGTGGACTCATGATCACGGAGGCTTGGGTAGATGAGCCTTGCGATGTCAGCGATGGCGGGATGCATCCGGCGCTGGATGGTCAATTGAGCAAATGACAGACCCGATGCGGAAGGATCGAGTGGTGTTATCATTCGCTCGAAGAGGGACTCGTTCAGACGATAGTCGTGGGATCGTTCCAGAGTCAGTCGCTGTTCAGATACCTCAGGTCTGAGCTGAAGCGGATCGCCAATGAAAATGGCGTGCTGAAGGCTGGGTAGAAGTGCGCACAGAGCGTGTGGTTCCATAACTTCTCCAGCTTCTTCGCAGATGACGACTTCGATTCCGAGGGCCTTTAGGATTTCCCAACGACTGGCACAACCAGTAGTTGTGATTCCGATGACTGACGCTTGGCTCAAGACGCGGACGTCTAGGCTGTCTCTGACCGCCTCAAGACCTGCTTTGGTGGCCTGGTAATCAGCGAAGTCATTCGCAAGACACATAGCTAGCTGCTCGGGGTCAATATCGGTGTGCCACTTGTCCAGAGTAGCACGTCTCTCGTCAGGAGTCATTTGCCATACACTCTTAGCGCCGGTTTGCGGGACGAGCACTTCAGCGGCCTTGCAGACACTCTCAAGTACCTCGTCTGGTCCGGGACCAGGACTGGACTTGGAATGATCACCGCCCTGATGACTTGATATAAGTCTATCGCGGAGCTGGCGAAGCGCCTTGAGATCACCGCCCTCGACCCAGTGATCAAAAAGGAACTTCTGCGAGGCACGATTATCCGTAAGCTTGAGTTGCCGATGAAGCACTGGCTCGGTGGCTGCCAGGAGTTTATCAACCGCATACCATCCTGCTCTACCGGTCAGTGATTGAGATGAGGCACTGCGGCACCAGTCATGAATGTTTGCGAAAAGAGTGTTGCGGCGCTCTCGAAGTCGACGTTTGACTTGCTGCTCATTGGGAGTCAGGCGAGCCTTTCTAGTCTTCTCTCTGAGATTGAAGGCTTGTGTCCAGTCTTCCTTGCTTCCGTTGCCGATTCGAAGAAGATTTTTGATACCTTCATCTCTGAGTCCAGCAAGAAAGCTGTCCAGGGCATGATTTGTGAGACAAACGACAAGAATAGGTTTACCAGGACGAGAGTCCAGCAAGACTCGTGTAAGCTGAATACCAAGATAAGTCTTCCCAGTGCCGGGAGGGCCTTGGGTGAAAGCAAATTCATTTCGCAGGCTGTGTGTGAGAGCATGAATTTGGCCTTCATCGAGAGTACTGGAAGTCAGGAGGTTGTCGATGGTAGATTGGTACGAAAGCTCGTCAACAGTGAAAGTGGTCTTCGCGTTGTTATCAACATTGAGTAGAATAGAGGACAGATCGTATTCGAAATCTCGTGCGCTGCTATACTCCGGTCGCTGACATACCAAGTGAGACACAGCATGGCCAGAGAGCTTGAGCTGTCTTGTCACCTTTATGCTCTCAAGATCTCTCTTAGGTGCCAGATATTGGTCGAAGGCGAATCCGCTCATCTCTTGTAGCCTCCTAAGAGGGCTGCAGAAGCCGGTTGGAAGCATTTTCGGGAACTCTACCATAACCATCTCGATATCCGGCTCAAGATGTTGGGCAAGTCTGGCAAACTCAATTGCGTCTTCCTTGGTAGCTCCTGGCAGGAACGCAGCTTGCACTGCGGCTCGGCGTCCTTTGCCAGATCTTGGTTCCATTGACATCGTGCTCTGTGCCATGTGGATAGAGAGGAAGTGAGTTGAAAGCTCGTTCTTGGTGCGATCGTGACAAAGAAGGCTAAGTAGCATGCCTTGCTCGAGGCGGCCCGTGTCAGCAAATATTCTGCCTCTCATGAAAGTCGGACAATCGTAGGACAGGCGAACAAGGACGCCATGACGCTCATGCGCTTCCAACTCCTCGACTCGAGTATTTTGATAGAGAAAGTAGGGATTTCCAGAGGGCGTGTCCTTTCTGATCATAACATGTGGATTACAGGGCTGTTGAGGCGCGGAGATCAGGCTGTTCTGTGCATGTGTATCGGCATAGTGGTCGTTGGCGATTCGATTTGGGTTAAGGAAGGCGCTCTGAGCAGCGGAATAGCAGATGTCTTTGATGCTCTCTGTGCTTTCGAAGCGAAGGTGACGGAATTGCAGGTCCAAGAAGCGCTCTGGTCCAGGGCTGATGGGATTCGGTGACCCATCGTCTTTCTTTGGCATAAATATGGGACGTCCGACCGCTAGGATCTCATCAGTGGTCGGTAAGATTTCGATATCTCTGAAGTGGGCATGATCATTGTCGTGCTGCGCCACAGGGTTGGCGACGCTGTCGTAAAAGGTTGGCTGCGGCCTCGCTGTCGAACGCAAGGAGTTGCCAAAGTCGGTGCCTTGCATGGGCGAAGACCTCGACGGTCTGGCTTTGATGGCTGGAGCCATGATCGTATGAGCACAACACCCTGGAACTACCAGAGTGTGAAGACGATGATGAACATGGAAGTTGCAATTCAGAGTCCCAAAGAGAGAAACAGAGGGGGCGAGGCGAAGTTGTGTGCGGGTTGACTAGCAACAGCAGGCACAGAAACTTGGCATTGGGCAACGGGACATCGCTCCAGGAGGTGACGCTTGCATTGACTCACCACTGGGTCTCACTGATGAATGGTGCACAAAGCCCAGTACATTAAAGCTTTGGATTGAAATTGTCGTCTTTGTACAGGCCTGTCACAGGCATTTATCCGGTAACAGTAGTAAGACATCACAGGAAATGGGCCAGTCTTCTCACCTGACTGGAGTGATCCGATCGATCCCTCCCATGTAACTTCTCAAGACCTCGGGTATCATGACACACTTCTCCTGCTCTCGCCAGCCATGCTCGAGTACAGCGGCGAGTACGCGTGGCACCGCGATTGCCGTACCATTGAGGGTATAGGCGAACTTCTTGCGAGAGCCTCCCTTGTCTAATATCCTGGTGTTCAGCCGGCGGCTCTGGTAGTCTGTGCAGATTGATGTGGAAGTAACCTCTCCCCAGCCGCCATCTCTGCTGAGCCTGGATGGGAACAGCGCCTCGATGTCGATCTTCCGGTACGCACTAGCTCCTAGGTCAGAGACTGGCATCTCCAGTACCCGGCATGGTAATCCCAGGGAAGTCAGTATCTCTGTCTGGATGGTCACCATCTCGTCGAAGACGACACTAGCATCTTTGGTCGACTCTTGCATACTTCCTTCAACCCCTGCGCCCGAGTTATTCGTCCAAGCAAACATCTCCACCTTGGTAAACTCATGCACCCTGTACAAGCCCTTAGTGTCCACGCCTCTCGCACCAGCCTCCGCTCTATAACACCGACTACTCCCCACCATCTTCACTGGCAGCTGCCCTTCATTGATGTCTTTGCCCGCATACAGTCCAGCCAACGGAATCTCCGCCGTCGCTGCCAAACTTCGCTTCGGCTTGCCCGCTTCTCGCTCACTCTGCGCAACCTGCCAAATCTGCTGCTCCCCATGCTGATCTCGCGGCTGAAAACCACAGCTCTCCGCCACGTGCGCATACACCAGACTTGGAGGGCTGACGATGCCCCATCCATGGCGTCTCGCGACCCTCAGCGCGTACTGCACCAGCGCCTGCTCTAACATCGCGCCCTCATTCATGAGATAATAAAATCCCCAGCCACTCGTGGCCCCAGCACCCGCAAAATCAATCAGGCTCAACTCCTCTCCTATTCTCGAGTGGTCGGCACCTTTCTCAAACGTTGGCGGCTTGGCCTCATCATAGTTAATGTATCGCAGCAGCCGGCCCTCCCCCTCCAGCGGCGTGTCAGAGCTCGTCAGGTTCGGCAAGCCGAGCGCCATTTCCTGCACCTGGCTTTGCAGCGCATCCTGTTCTTTCTCCAAATGATCGATCGCCGGCTTGAGCTTGCGGATCTCCTCGAGAATCTTATTCCGGTCGGCGCTCTTGGACTGCATCCGCGCCTGCAAGGCTTTGACCTGCGTGCGCGGCTGTTTCAGCTTCGCCTCTATGTCGGCTATCTTCTGAGTCGCGGCTACGATTTGTGCCGGAGCCTCGATGTGGGACGTGTAGTTGCGGAGCCGAGCGTTCTCCGCGTAGAGGTCTGCATTCTGACGGATGTGGGCAAGGTTCGGGGTTTGCTTCGGCGCCGTGGGTGGCCTGCCTTCTGAGATTGTCGATGGGGAGCTGGAGATGGTTCTGCGGCTCTGCAATGGCAGTCGAACGGAACGTGATATACGATGTCTGGACATTGAGTGAGAGACGGCGGGATGGTGTGATGGCCAGATGCATTTGAGTTGGAGAAAAAGATGCGTGCCCGGGATTCAATTCCGGGCAGGAACTGGGGTAGGCCGGCCGGGGCTTGGCAGGGACAGTGAGACTTCAGGGCGTTAGAAGACTCAATTACGACATCTTTCATGTATCTGTCGGCGGCGCTGCGAGCAATGCCTCTCGCGGTATGGACATCACTCCCAGGCCTCGCCTATTGCCGCTCTACTTTGTATAAACGAAGAACGGATTCTCCCTGTCCGTCTTGTCCTCCCACGCAAGCCTCTCGCGCTCTGTCGCCATTCCGTCCTCGCCCAGCTCATTTCTCATGCGGTCACGCTCTTCAGCATTTGCCTTATTGAGCCTGGTGTTCCGCCAACGCATGACTAACGCCACGAAAACCTGCAGGATCAGCGTCGCCATGATTGCGGCTTTGCCAGAGGTGTAAGCAGGAGCCTCCGTGGCGATAAAGGCCTCGGTGCCAGCGACGTTGCCCGCACAGTAGAGCGTCAACGTAAGCGCATTGACTGTGACTTTCTTCGTGTGCCCGGCGAGGTTCGAAGCATTGTACGTTAGCAGCAGCATGAAAGACTGCAACGGCGATGGTCAGCACTGTCAGATCATGCTGAGATTGTTGAGAGACTTACTGCAGTGAATGTGTTGCTCATGTAGAGCGCGAACAGCAAAGCCCCTTTTGATTTCGGTATCCCGTTAGGGTCCAGGCCTATCATCATGGCGAAGGCCACGATGGTGGGAACTATGGCAAAGATCATCGGCAGCGTTCGGTCACCCCACCTATCCGATAGCCAGCCCATGGTCAAGATGGCGACAGCACCTACAACGCCAGCTGGGATGTTCAAAATCAACGCCTCGCGCGGTGTGTACCTGAGCTCATCAGTCGATATCAACCGCAACGTGAGATGCGCTTACCCGAAAGTTGCTAACAATATGCTTGAGAAGTTGGCAATTGCCGTCGGCACGCTCAGGCATACAATAGAAATCGCAATGAGGTAGACGCCCGGATCCTTGAGAACAGTCTTCAACTGTTCCTTCTTGATCTTGGCGTTCTGCGTGCCGGACTGATTGTCTTTGATGCGAAGCAGCGTCGCCACCTTCTCCGCATCCGTGAAGCGCTTCGCTTTCACTGGGCTGTCGGGAAGGTACATGAATACCACGACTCCAGCGATAATTGTCACAAGGCCAATGGTTAGGAAGAAGACGCGCCATGGTGCAAAGTCTCGGTGAGTGGAGAAGGAGATCGCCCAGGACACCAGACCGGCGAAGATGGAGGTCAGGCTGTTGCAGACGTAGACATAGGAGATCCGCCGTCCTTTCTCCTCATTCTTATACCACATTGAAACGACCAACACCAAGGTCGGCGTAACACAGCTCTCGAATATGCCCAGGATTGCGCGACAAATCATCAACCCGGCATAGTTCTGGCATGAAGCGTGTGCGGCAAGGGCGATTCCCCAGAGGACGATATTAACGCCGAGATACTTGCCGAGGCGTGAGATGCGCTGGCTGAGGTATTGCGTTGGGAATTCGGCGGCCAAGTACGCAATATAGAAGATCATTGCTAACTTTGAGTCAGAACATGCTAGCCTCGGGGAAAGCGAAGCGCTCGTCGACAACGGTAAAGCTTCCCCCCCGTCGGAACCTCGACCAGATGATACTCGGAGAATGTACGTACCGGCATGATTATACTCCTGCCCCTCAAGCCTCAGATCCTCTCTCAACCCCATCACAGCCGTATAGCCAATCGTGGTCTTGTCAAGAAATTGCAGAAAGTAAGTCAGAATCATGCACGGGAGGATGGCCCAATCAATCTTCTTCAACAACGCCTTGCGGCCTTCTTCGGTGCTGAGGATCGCGATGGCCTCCTGCGTAACGCCATCCGCATTAGGGTGATCCTTGAGGAACGCGAACGCTTCATCAACATCTTTAATGCTGGTCTTGGGACCGGAGAGGGCATTTTCGAGGTGGATCGTCGTTTGCACAACGTCCTTCTCGCTTCGAGAAGCAGCCATGTTGCCACTTTGTTGTGGACGTTTGTTGCTGATGATTGTTGTTGGTGTTGCAAGTTACGTCAAAATCAGAACCAGTCCCCGGTTCCGTTGCTGGCCAAGCCGACTTATGGCGGTCGTGGAATCCCTACCCATACGATGCGATGCTCCCTAAGTATATACCATTATAGAAAGCAAAAAAATCAATCCCCCCGTGGGGCTACTACCCCAGTCGGAGAGCCGATGGCAAGTGTCTCTCTCTCAACTGCCGACGGCAAAGACACCTGCAGTCCAACGTGTACAGACAGCGTCCTAGCGATGCAAGTCTCCTCACAGAAAGTTGGAAGATAGGCGAGGCTAGCAAAGCAAGGACCCATCTTGGGGTTTGTGGGGTAAGCATGGGGGTGGTCGATCATGGCTTGTTCAAGACCTAGTCGAAGCATTTGTTGGAGAAGCTTGAGCCGGTTGTGCCTTGGCTGGATGGGACATGTTCGGTGGGTTGATGAATTTGGAATATGCCCGTGCGGATGTATCGAAGCGAGCGGGCGCCCGTTTCCGAGCTTGAGCTTGGGTGGACTGTGGTCAAGAAAGCAATCGAGCTCTGCCAGAGCGGCCAGAGAAAGATAGATCTCTGTTGTATTGTTGTATCACATAGCATGTAGTTTATGGACACAAGGTCCCTGTCCGTTGCCTGACGCCAGTTGTATCATGAACGACTTACACGGTCCAACTAAGAAATTTTCAATGCGGTGATTCATACACCTAGTCCAACCCGGCCTGCAAGCTCTCCTCGAAGAGCTGGGCGACCATATTCTTCCTCTGCTCACTTCGAATCTTCAGATCGAATAGGAAGGGCTTTGGACCGCCAATGACGTTACTGGTCCAGTAATCTGGGTCAGGCCACAGGGGCTGCCCACTCTTGTCCAGGTTGGGCTTCATTTCAAAAGCCCACAACAGGCTGCCGCAGGCCGTCAGCAGCTCAGCTTCCGTGATCTCGATGCCCGGGCACAATCTGCGCCCTCTGCCGAAGCCATGGTGGCCGAGCAGACGAGGGTGCACTGATAGAGGCTCTTGATAAGTCGGGAACTCAGGTTCCAGCCACCTCCCGGGGTTGTATGTTTCTGGATCTGGGTACAATTTAGGGTCTCGTGCAATGGCTAGGTCGATGGCGTGCACCACAGCACCCTTGGGAATGAAATAGCCGTTGTATTCGTCGTCCGCTTCCACAAGTCGTGGCACACCTGTTGTGCGTTAGTGCTGGTCATCATTGTTTCAGGCAGGATTCTTACCAAGTGGGACTGGTGGGCGCCATCTCATGACCTCCTTTATGCAGGCGCGGAGTATGGGGAGGTTGGGAGAATCTGACAATGCGACCACACGCCCATCGCCAAGAACGGAGTCCACCTCAGCGCGTGCCTTTCCTTGCCATTCTGGGTGCAGGACCATCGCCAGGAAAAAGCAGTACAAGGGACCTCCGATGGTGAATATGGCGACCGTACAGAGCATACCGACGGCGCAGGCAGCCTCCGCTTCATCGAACCCGAATGACCGACCATCACCGCTGGCCTCGGCCTGCGCTCTTTCAAAATATGTGCGAGCGTAGGAGATACGGGCTTTACCGCTGGCCATGTCCTCCTTGACTTCTCGCATCAAGCCTTTCCACAATCGCTCTTCACGCTCACGTCGCTGCCTGCAAGGCGTTTTGGCCGAGTTCAAGCATTCTGGAAGCCGCCCGAGGAAGGGGAAGATGTTGGTGATGGGTCCGCTGGCGGAAGGGGAGATTTGAGGGATGAATTCAGCAGCGTTTTTGCAGTGCGCAGCAGCCGAATTAGGCGTGCCGTAGCACATTCTTGCTGAAATGCGGCCGCAATAACGATCTGTCTGGCTGTAGTGGTCCTTCGGATCTTGAACGAGGTTGAACAGAAAGCGCTTGACTTCATGAGAGATATAGCCGTGGTATTGTTGCGACATGGCGCTGGTGAGGACAGTATGGGCAAACTTTCTTTGCCGACGCCAATGATCTCCGTACTCGAGGAGCGGTAGGTATTGACCTTGTGAGTTGCTTCCAGGAACAGCTGCAACCTCGGGTCGAGACGAGTAGATGGCAGCACGCTTGCAGTATAGCTCTTGAGCAATGTTGGCGTCTCCCAGCCAAATGTGCATCTCGCCACACGTCGTGAGTCTGAAGAAGCCGCCATACTGATCGGACCAATTCTTCATGGACTTCCAAGGGGCGTTTGCGTCAATGTCGTGTAGTCTGCCAAACCACGGCAGAGTGCTCCGCGGGCCGGGCACCAGCTTGAGGCCCCGTGGGGGTTTGTCATGGAACAAGAGGTATTTGGAGAGCGGGATAATGATCGATCCGGCGAGCAGTGAGAAGAGGACTGTCCATTTATGAGACTGTAATTGAGCGGCAGGAGCTTCAAAGAGACTCAGATCGAAGTCGTTGCCATATCCCGACAGCGACGCATTCACGCTGGTCACCGGTGAGTGAATCAAGGATAGTATACTAGACATTGTCCTGAGGTAGCAGGAGAGACTTTGGAGGCAGCAGCCGTAGCCACCATGGTGAGGACTAACCGTTCATATACTTTACATCATTGACCTGCCAGTGCAGCATGATACCAACCTGGGGATGAAGGAAATTGCAAGTCATCCCAATTTTAGCAGTACACGCCATTCACCAAATTTCGGAGGTCCGAATAGCTTGTAGTAGCAACCAGTCTCTGGCCGAGCGTACTGGAGTGTGGTGTATAAGGAGGTTTGATGAGCACGAACATTCTGCAACACTCCGCGGGACCGAGCAAGTTGGCAATGTTGAGGCTAAACCCTTCAGGTAGGCTTGCTGCTGGAAAGGGTTTAGGCGGTCCAGCCTGGCTTGGCTAGGTACCTCATCTTGAGGGGCGGTGCTTCCCTTCCGGCTTGCTACCATCACATCATCAACCAGTATGGCACTCTGGAGATTCTTCCACGCCTTTCAGTCCTCTCGGAGTCCGTTATCGCAATCTGGGGTATCCGACGTTAGCTAAATCTCAGACCACTGCATGCATGACATGCGTGGTCTGACCCTTCCAAGATGGGTAAGGGACCCACCTCCAACATCCTCAATCAACAGTGGGTCTTCGTCAATAAAGACTCTAAGTCCAAGTCATTGACCAGGAGCTCCGGCGCGGAGAAGACTTTGATCTATGGCCATGTTCGCCAGCATATGGTACGCGACAACTTGGTGATTGAGCAAGAGTTCGACAATGTCTTCCGCGATGGCGGGGCAAAGCCGGCCAAGGTGCCCAAGCGCAGACCGAGGCGCGCGTCTCATCCGGTTGGCACTGGCCTGACTGTTTTCGATGGCAACGAGCGTCCAAGTCGTATCGATGAGGAGAAGGTTAGCAAAAGTGATGGAAACACTCTTTTGCCACAGACCGATTTGGAAATTGTTGGCACCGTTCCCCAATTTTCAATTCCTGGTGCCTTGGACGCCGTCCCGTATTCGCGATCATACGAGTATTTCCGCCAGATGACTATCAGCGAGGCAACCGGATTCGCAGACCGAATGTTCTGGGATGCCGCCATGCAACTGAGTGCCTCCAATGAAGCCGTCTTTCACGCGCTGACGAGTCTGGGCGCCTTGCATGAGAGCCTCATGACCCCCAATGAGACGAGCAGGGCTGAGTACCACCAAGCATCTCTGATGCACTGCAACCGTGCCATCGGAGCAGTCGTGGCTGGCGACGGTCAGATGTCTTTGCCACTTGTGCTGGTCACTTGTGTCATCTTTGGGACTATTCAGATTTTCGACGATGCCCCTATGGCGCAAAGAACTCTCGAAAGCGGTATCAGACTTGTCACCCTGGCTCAAAAACAGCTTTCCACCTTCTCGGACAGCGAACAAGCCGTGCTTGATCTGGCCGCCAGAATGATCGAACGATACCAAAGTCGCCTGACGCTAGTGCTCCTCCCTACGACCGTGGTGAAAGAGCACATCGACAACGGTGACCTAGTTGATGATATGCCGAAAGTACCGCTCAGCTTCGAATCACTTCTACAGGCCAGGGAGATTCTGCAAGCAATCTGCGACTGGTCCTTTCATGTCCTCAAGTCACCCGCCTCATTAGTCCTGACAGACAACCTGCAGAAACAGTGGATCAGAGCCATCATCAAACTCTCTGAGACCTCCGGACTCCACCCGCTCTCGATGAGATCACTGAACCTGCTCAAGATCGCACGTTTGGCATCCGCATGTCTGATAGCCGCACAGCATATGACCAGAGAGGTCGAGTTCGATGAAAGTTTTCCGGCCTTCAAACACGTGCTCAATATGTACGGAGCCGCTTTCAGGCTGTGCAAATCAAATGCTATATTTACGACGGTCTTTCATATCGATGCGGGAATAGTGGATCTCCTGAATGAGGTTGTTTGCAACAGCCCTACTAGCGAGTTCGGGCTTCAAGCGCACGACGCTCTAGCTGCAAGCGGCATCTTCGAGGATACAATGGACTTGGATTCATACAATGAGACCGGTCGAGCCAGACAGGAAGATGGCCAGCAAGACGCAGAGACCGGACGTCTTAGGATCAAGAGCCTCGACTTTTTCGCACAATCTGGCTTGGCCAGGTTGCGCCTCAAGAGGGCAACATGGTCGGGATTCAACCCTGCGACCACCGAAGTCAGATGGTTCTCAATCCTCGATTCGTCTCCTAAACCACACTTTCTCAACGAGAGCGAGCTCAAGGCGGATTCTATGCACGAAGAGAACCGCCATGCTCATTGGACAACATATATGCCCAGGCATAATGGCGGCTGAGCTTACGCTGACTTCCGATCCCCCAAGACATACCTCAGCGGATGCATTCGATGCTTCGCGTCATGCTCGCAGCCTCGGACCTGTGAGAACCACCTCAACGCCCGACCAAGTGAGCGCAAGGTTTGAATTCGTGGTAGAGGACACTTGCTGAAGAATGTGCTCGGTTGTTGTCCTTCAGCCCTTACATTTGCCCCAAAACAAAGCAAGTGGCGTGATACCGAGCGACTTCGCCGTGTTGACCTTACTCGTGATTCACTTTCAATGAAGGTGGGGTAGTCAGTGGATCCAGATAGGAAAATGGGCGAACTAACCAGCCAATCAGAGCTTTGGCTCGCTGATGTACGAATGCGTCTTTTGTTCAGCCGCGAGTGCCGAGTGAGTGACGTCGGCTACTCCCATCTGCGCTGCGCATACCGGTCGCCATCTCCGGTGACCGGATTGGGGGAGATATATATATTTTCTTCAGCCTTTTCCACTATTACTAACCCTCCGATCGATGTCAACGATCGCCACGATCACAAGAGTCTTGGTCGCTATAGTACCATGACGGACATTGAACAGCAGGACAACGGCAGACTTGCAAGTGACCGAGGGCTCGAGCGAACGACAACAGATCCAAATTTTGGAGATGCAGAACTGAATGACTCCAGCGATAATGAAATCACCCATAAGGAATCCCGGGCGTCGGGATCAGGAAGCTCATTGGCGCTTTCGACAACCCGCGCGTCTCGACGACAAACTGCCCAGTCCGTCCTCTCCAGAGTCCGTTCTAGGCCACCAGTCGGAAAGTTCAGCCACCCTCTTTCCCACTTCAAGACGACCGTTGAAGACCTTGTCGAGTTTGATGGCGACGCAGATCCGTATCGGCCCGTCAATTGGTCGATGAAGAAAAAGGTCATCACCACGGCGCTTTATGGACTCACTACCATGACGGCGACCTGGGCTAGCGCCACCATCAGTCCCGGAACGGCGCAGATTGCCCACGAATTTCGCATCGGCAGCCAGACTGCTACTCTTTCGACGACGCTGTTCCTGTTCGGGTTCGGTCTTGGGCCATTGTTGTGGGCCCCACTGTCAGAAGTATACGGGCGCAAGACAGCTGTGCTACCACCAATGTTTGTTGCTGCTTGCCTAACATTTGGCTCGGCTGTTGCGAAGGACGTGCAGACGCTGATGATCTGCCGCTTCTTTGCTGCCTTCTTCGCCTCAGCACCCGTAACCAATACTGGGGGTGTGCTGGCAGATCTCTTCCCAGCCGCTCAGCGAGGTATTGCGATTGCTTCGTACGCAATGGCTGTGGTCATAGGGCCGGTGCTAGGTCCGATCGTGGGTGCAGCATTTGTTGTGACGCCTTCATTGGGATGGCGGTGGACCGAATACTTTTCCGCCATATTGATGCTGGCTATACTGGCATTGGACGTTGTCTTTCTGGACGAATCATACCCGCCCAAGCTGCTAGTCTACAAGGCCCGTCGACTAAGGATCCAGAGCGGCAATTGGGCTCTGCATGCCAAATTCGAGGAATGGGACGTTTCAATCTCGGAGCTGGCCCACAAGTTTTTGATACGGCCGTTTCAGATTCTTTTCACGCCCATCGCCGCCTCAATGTGCCTCTACGCATCGTTCTGTTACGGAATTCTATACATGAACCTGGGCGCAATACCCATCATCTTCGGAGAGCAACGACATTGGAGGCTCTTGCCAGCCACTCTTCCTTTCGTATGCCTTGGGATTGGCGCTTGTCTTGGCGCTGTGATCAATATTGTCAATCAGCTGCGATACAACCGCATAGCGCGTGGGAAAACCATTCCGGAACTTCGACTTGTCCCGATGATGGGTGGTTCTGTGGCATTTGCAGCTGGATTGTTCATTACTGGGTGGTGTGGTGAGTGTTCCCGACATAGAGTCTAATCGCAACATACTGATGAATGACAGGACCCCCCGGCAATGCGCCATGGATTGCCCCGTGCATCGGCCTGACCCTCGCCGGCCTTGGGTTTTTCACCATCTTTCAAGCGGCGATCAATTACCTTGTGGATACTTTTCAACGATATGCAGCATCGGCCGTGGCAGCGAACACGTTCCTGCGGTCGTGCTTCGCGGGCGCATTCCCATTGGTGGTCAGCCCTTTGTACCACAATGTTGGCGTTCCTTGGGGCACGAGTATTTTCGGCTTCGTTTCCATTGCTCTCATTCCGGTCCCGTTCCTGCTGTACAGATATGGTGAGCGGTTGCGGGCCAAGAGCAAGTGGTCGAGGGAGTTTGTAAAAGTATGAAGCGTTCTATCGCAGGCCCGTTGGGGCATAGGGCTATATAATGAATTGACTTGGATAGCACAAGGGATGTAAGACGGAGCCAAGTTTCTCCGCCTTGCCCCCAGTTCCGGACGCTGCCGCCCCACTCCGCGAGTCCGCGCCTCCCCTTCCAGTTTGGCCCCTTTGCACACCACAACGCATCTCTCAGCTTGGCCCCTGTATCACTTCAATTGCATGACTTGGTAGCATCAAGGGGGTCTTCTCCGCGCCGCTCTCTTCCTGGATTTTGCTTGCCGTCCGTCTACGCCATCATACTTTCCCATCCAGCATCTGCGCGTACTCGAATTCCGCTATTGGAGGGCATGGCAGTTGCCTACTTGCCCCCACAAGCTTAGGCCCCCACGGCCCTGCAGGAACTCAGCCTTCCTTAGGCAGCACCATTCTCACCACAGCTGTCTGCCCCTTAACGCCCTCTTTTCATATGAGGAGGGACGGCATCATCTTTGGTGCTGTTCATCCACGACCATTTGGAAAACGGAATCTACGCTATGAGTGCATCCGTCATTCCAGAAGTGGCTGTCCTTGAAGAGACAGCATCCACGTACGAAATGACCACTTCCGCTTCCGACAGTAGCGACATCGAGAGTGTGCGGTCCGAGCAAGACACCTTGCTCGCGGGTGACGATGAAACGCATGCCGATAGCGAGGAGTCCTGCAAAGAAAGCATCTACCGGTCAACCCTGATCAAAGTCTACGTTGCCGTCTTCGTAGCCAACGCCGCCTTCCACATCCTCGCACCTGCCCAAACAGCCATCATGGAGCAAGCCATCTGCCTCCGCTGGTACGACGAGCACAACCCGAACCAGATTCCCGACTCGCGCGTCATCCCCGAGAGTCAGTGCAAGACGCGACCGATTCAGAGCGAGCTCGCGAGCTTGCGGGGATGGTACGAGACCTTCGATGCCGCGCCCGCCCTCCTGACGTGCATTCCCCTGGGCATCCTGATGGACATCGTCGGGAGGCGGCCGTTGCTGCTGGCCGGTCTGTGTACCATCACTGCACAGCAGTTCTGGATCGCACTCGTTTGTTTGTCCACAGACAAGGTCCCCATCCAATTGATATGGCTTGCGCCGGTGCTCAACTTCATTTCGGGGGGCATGAAGGTCATGCAAATGGTGTTCATCTGCCTCATAACGGACATTACGTCGCGCGGACGGCTTGCACCTGCGCTGTTCCGCCTTGCCGCCATCGCTCAGTTGACTAGGGTCCTCGGCCCCGTTGTGGCTGGTGGCTTGATGCAGATGAATGCTTGGTGGGCCATCATTGCCGGCCTGGCCGGACTATTGGCCATGGTCGGTATCGCCTGGACCGTGCCAGAGACAATGGACTTGAGCGCCATGGAGCAAGTGGAGGCAATGGGCACGTCACCGGCCACGACCTGGCAGCGCGCATGGCCACGCATCAAGTCCGGCTTCCGCGAGCTCAAGATCGTCTGGACCGACACAAGACTGATCGGCCTGGTCTGCTTGTATCCATTTCTTATGGTCGGCGTGACTTCTTCAGAGGTTCTCCAGCAATACATCTCCAACCGCTACAACTGGACACTGGCGAATGCAGCCTTCATCTTCTCCTTACAAGGTGTCGCCGCTACAGTCTCTCTATTCGCCCTGCTGCCCCTGTTCTCCGATTTCATCGAGAGCCACTTCACTCTTGGCCCCATCAGTCTGAACGTCATCATGGGCCGCATCTCCACGTTCCTCGCCGCCATGTCGTACGTTGTCGTGGGTTTAGCGCCCAATGTGGGCGTTCTGATAGTGGGTTTGTTCTTGGAGACACTGGGTCTGGGAGGAGGCTCTGCTCTGAAGGCGCTCGCGGCATCGCTGGTCGAACAGAAGGACACGGGCAGGGTGTTCTCCGTGGTGGCGATATTCGAAGTCCTTTCTGTGATGATGGCATATCCGACCACCGCCGCGCTGTTCAATGTCGGTCTCGACAAAGGTGGCGGCATGTGGCTGGGGTTGCCGTACTTCTTGGCTGCTGTTACAATGGCGGTCGCGGGTTTCATACTGCTCTTGCTCAGATTCGAGAGAGCGCCGAAGTTGTCATAGATCAGCGTCGCCGATGAGGTTGACGTCCAGAAAATGTTTGTACCATATATCCGCAAATGTGATAGTCCCCTCGCCACTGAGCCCTTGCGCCGTATTCGAGACACACACACACCTACGCCTCGACTGTGAGATGATGCAGCCATCCAACTTTAGGCTTTATGTCTTCGCCGATAACTCTGGCGCTCCGGCGAACCCGCCTTTCCGTTGAACAAAGTTCTGGAGAAGGTACCACAGGAAGCCGCCAACTCCCAACAAGCGCGGCCCGCCGTTCAAGTTCACCATTTTGACGGCTCCGAGGACGTGATTTCGAGACGTCTGCACATCACCTAGCGCCAGCTTTGTGCTTGCCGTCAGAAACTTTTTTGAAAACGAAAGAGAAAAAGAAAACCATGATTCAGCGGCGCGCACACACATACCTCGTCTTGCGCCAGCACGATCGCCTTGGCGATGGTCGCATCACTAACAGCCGACGGGGCCACAGCGATACTCTGGCTGAGAGAGCGCAGGCAGTCCAGCTTGTAGGTGGTGGCCAGGTCCTGATACGGATGGTGCCGTCGGTGGAAGCGACACATGTAGCGGCACGAGATGAGGAGGAGGCCGGCGAGGAAGCCCCGATCCGCGTGGGAGAGACGGATGAAGTCTAGGAGCAGCGAGTGCTGGTTTGGAGGGGCGTGGTCGTAGTTGAGGCAGCGGCTTAGCATCTCGGGAACCACGAATGACATGTCTTGGGAGAATTGTTAGCCGCTCTGTGTCATGCATTCAGAGGCTCGGGGAGGGGCCAGAATGGGAGGGGGATCTGCTCACAATAGTGGAGAAGGTAGCGCTCTGTCCTTGTGAGTGTTGTACACACGGTGACAAGCGAGCTCAGCCACAATGAGGTCTGATGTTCTTGCTGCACAACAGCATCGGCCTTGGCCCGTCTGGCGACTGTGCCCGTGTCGGAGTCACTCGGCCGGACCACGCTCACGTCCACATCGTTGCGGTCTCTCAAAGCAGCTCGACGGAAACTCGACTGAGCGTGTGCCTCACGGGCCGAGTGCGCCCGTGCTTCACGGCGCGCGCTTCGGGTGACTCCTTTGCCGGGCGTATATGCGACGATGTGTATCTCTCGCAGGTGTTTCGAAGACATCGCTCCCCAGCCGGACTCGAGGCAGTGCGCCAGATTTTCCCTCTGCAAAGGGAGCTATAGAATCTGTCCGTTGACCACAACCGAGACTGTGAAATTCCTATGTTGCTAGTGCTGGCGATTTGTCATCACGGCTGCCGCAGCCCAGGAATTCGGGTCCATTTTGATCCTTCCTAAAACGGCACAGTACTTCAGATCCATCCAATCAGGTGACGTCTTGACCCATCTACTTCACATCTCGGGAGCCAATTCTTACTACTATTACCACATCTCAGCTAAACAACTTGCGAAAGCCGCTCGCACTTGGACCTGTCGAGTGGCTTGCTGATAGGTGGAATGTAGATTCGTCGGCCAGTTTCAGATGCGAGTAAGACTTGTCGCACTGCTCCTCCACTGGTAGTCCGGGCCAAGGTCGAGGTAAACATAAGCGTGGTTGATGCAACTACGTCCGTGGATTTTCGGACTTTCCTTCGTCGTAAAGGTGGTTTCCGAACGGATGGCATTGACATCGGCCCAGCTCGGCCGTGTTGTAATTCACAAGGCCGCTTCGATCTAATGGTCAGAGATATAAAAGAGGGCAACCCCGACAGCTCTACGTGTCTTCTATTACCAACCCTCGCCAACCTTCCTCCATCTCACTAGCACCAGTCACATCCACTCAATCCATCATGGCAACCTACCTCGTCACCGGCGCCACCGGCCACCAGGGCGGCGCCGTCGTCACCTCCCTCCTCGCCTCCGGCGCCAAAGTCCACGCCGTAGTCCGTGATCCCACCTCCCCCGCCTCCCTCGCCCTGCAACAAAAAGGCGTCACACTATTCCAAGGAAACTTCGAATCCCCCGACCCAAGCTTCAAGCTCGCCGCCGCCAGCTGCACCGGCATATTCCTGAACCCCTCCTTCTTCGACCCCTCCGTCGCGCAAGGCCAAGCAAGCGCCATCCTCGCCGCGTGCCGCGCCGGTGCAGGTCCAGGCTTGATGACCACAGTGGTGCTCTCATCGACGACACGCGTTCAACAGTGGTCTGACTCGAACTTCCGCGACACGGTCACTGGCATCGATCCGATGCTGGGGTACTACTACGGCGCGAAGGCGGGCGTGGAAGCAGCGGTCCGCGAAGCTGAGGGATTCAAGCACTACACGATCTTGAGGCCGGGGGTGTTGCATTACGATTACATGATGCCTGTGTCGGCATTTGCGGTGCCGGATCTCCCGCGCAGAGCAGAGATTTGGCATAGTTTGGAGGACGGCGCCGTGATGCCACACACGGATGAGAATGATGTCGGCAAGTATGCGGCGGCGGCCCTGCTGGAGGCAGACCGCTTCAGTGGCGAGGAGTTTGCGCTTGCCAGTGAGAATCTCAGCGCCGAGGATGTGGCGAGCATCATGGGGCGGGTCAGTGGGGTGGAGGTCAAGGTGCACAAGAGAACAAAGGAGGAGGTGCAGCAGACGATGAAGAGTGGGACGCCGACGCAGAAGTTTGAGTTGTTGCAGGGCAAGCTGCCCGCCCGGGTGGACACGGAGGCGGTGCAGAAGAAGTACGGTATCAAGTTGGCGACGCTGGAGGAGTATTTGACGAGGAACAAGGAGGCCTTGTTGGAGAGTCTGCCGCCGAAGACCGAGGGGAAGTTCTGAGGCTAGAATTACGATGTCGTGCAGCATCGGTCGCAATGTCTCGATAGTGTGTCTGTCTGTGCCCGCTCTAGGCATAGTCTTACCATGCTCCTATGGCCACATTGGTACTACCTGCGCTTGTAACGTATGGTCCTGCTGCGTGAGGACGTCTGTCTATCCTACCTCCTGCGTATAGCCGTCGCCCTCATCCACTGAAGCTCAAAAACCACAGCCCATCACTCACAGCTAGCCGCGGTACATGGCAGCCTCCCTTCTTTTGGGCCCATCGGCAGGGCATGACAATCCAATCCATGCCATGCGTGTGGTCGAATTGTGTGCGGCGGATCTCCTGGCATGTGAGTTGGCAGAATAACATCGTGCTGCTGGCGTGAAGGGCTAACCTCTCTCTACCTGTGTAAGTCAAGCAGTATACTGCCCCCTTAGCTGTACATGAATAGTCGTAGCAGCCTTCCATGCCCTCGAAAGCTTGACAAACGTCTTGTAATAGCGGTTCTCTCATCACGTAATAAATGCAAAAGAGTGCAATGCTGTCTGAGGATATTTCTCGTTTCATCAAGTGCTTCGGCTGCAGAAGTCTCTAAGTCTCTCTAAGGTCTCGATCGCACTTGCAGCTCTGCCCATACGTCGTGTAATCATCTGCGTCCTTCTTCATAATCATCATGCTCGCTGTAGTGGCAAATTTGTGTAAGTTTCTGTGTGTGTGTGTCGGTCTTGAAATCGTAACTCATGCCCCCAGCAGACGAATGTCTTCGGTCGTGTATCGCATGTCGTGTCGGGGAAAAAGTAGATCGGGGGTGCCGTAAAAGCAAAAATTAAAAATCATTCCGCAAAACGCAAAGTCGTGTCTCGACGCAGAACCGGGAATGAGCATCCGGCTTTCTCCTCACTCTTTCTCTCAGGGGCTGGTGTCCTCGCCCACCTCCTCGCTCACCTCCACCTTGGTCTCAACGCTGACCCCCATCTGGCGAAACCATTGTCGTTTGACGCGCGTATTAGCGGATCCAGCATTGAAGTCGTCGCTGTGATTAACGTTGAGGGCCACGTATCCGGCAAGCGCAGCCTCTGCCTCGTTCTCGAATGCATCCCACGGCTTGATCTCAGCCGGGCCCTTCTCCTTCTTGACCAGCGGGCTTGTGCTTGCCTTCTTCTTCCTTCCTGCCTCTTTCTTGGGAGACACTTTACGCACGATACGAGTCAATAAGTGCTCAAGAGGGCAGATCTCGGCTAACACGACCTCCACTTTCTTTCCCAAAACCATCTCTTCCTCGTCTCGATCTTCTTGCACCTCTTTTTTGGCTAATGGAAAGCCTAGCTGCAGCTGGCCTGGCTCGCGGGGCTTCTGAGCAGACCCCTTCTTGGACTCCTTGGGCGCATTCTTGGTCGGTGTTGCAGTTGAGTTCTCCTCGGCTTCGTCCGTTGTGGATTTCTCTGCATCAAATTTCTTCTTGCAAGGTTTGCACAGCTGGGGGTGGTGCCAGAATGCTTGGTGAAGGAGATGCTTGAGGTGGTTGGGGATGCGGCCTTCGAGGTGCTTGAAAGCTTGAAGCTCGTTGCTATCTTGAGGTACCCAGCCCAGCCACTTGGTCATCTTGTGCACATGGACGTCAACCGCGCAGATTGGGAAGCCGTAGTTGAACTCCAGAATGCAAGATGCCGTCTTGTGGCCAATACCAGGAATCCCAACGAGGAAATTGAATACCTCAACCATGTCCAGACCGTTGATGAAGTTCATGGACAGCAAACCAGGAACGAACTCAGGGCTATTGGGTTCCTGTCCGAGACAGGTGCCATCAGGGAGCGTACCGCCATTCGCAGCCTTCAGCTGTTTAACATTCTCGTCATAGACGGCGTTCAGGCAGCTCTGAATAGTCTTGGCCTTGCGTTGGAATAGACCACCCCGTTTAATAGCCTTCTCGAGGTCTTCAAGGGAGGCTGTTCGCATGGTATGGAAGTTGGGCAGTTCCCCTGCAATTCTTTCGCCATTGACCATGTAGGGGAAGTATTGCGTCAGCTGAGTCTGCACCTGGAGGGCAAGATCGTTTAGAGTGGCCTGTGACATTATGGTGCGTACGAGACAGTCGACTGTGACCCCGGTGCTGCCGTGCATGGGGCCTTCGGTGCCTGAGCTCGTGCCAACCGGCTCGACGATGATCGGCGTATCCCTGCTACGCAGCCATTTGTCAAGAATGCTCCAGACGTCACGACACTGCTGAGGAGTCGGCTCGGGGCGGCTGAGAAAGGGCGAGAAACAGAACTTGATCGCAAGCTCTTGGTTGTCCCAAAACGCAGAACTCTTTCGAATTCGCAGAGCACCAGCATTAATGTTGATGTTTCTCTCGTTGATTGGGATGGCATGGAGGTAGTCCAAAGGCAGGCGCTTGATGGGGTATCTGAATCGCAGGCTCTTGAACTTTTGGCCTTTAGAGTCAGGGTGAGGGAGCCGTTCGACGACGTGGGCAAGGATGCTGGACTTCTTTGGCTTGACTTTGGTCGAAACCTCAGAAGCGGGGCCATCTGTCGTCGGCTCAGCCTTGACAGTTGGGTCGACAGGGGCGGCATCTTTCTCTGGGGTAGAGACAGTGCTAGTCTGTCCTTCAGCCAGAATCTGAATCCATTAGCTATAAGTCTCTATAAAGAACAGTCTACAAACCAATCCCAAACGCTTCGTTTTGGAACGAGTCCCGAGTGAGGGATTGCTCTCATGGCTGAAGCTGATGGTCCGCTTCTTCAACGGAGTACTTGTCTGGCTGTACTCATCCTCTGGCCCGTCGATCTTGCGCTTCTTCGAGAGGACTGGCTGAGAAATAGCGACCGGAGTCTCTTCCTGGAGGATGACCGTGGTTTGGGTGGTAACAACTGTAGTAGTCACCGAAGCAGTGGTGATGCTTGCTCGAGCTCGGAGACGCTGGCTGGTCCGTCTTGGATCAGCAGTCTGGGGGCTATCCTGAGGGGATGCTCGAGTCTTTCTCAAACTCGTCGCAGCTTTCTTGCTGCGTGGCGCCATGATGTAGTAGGCTGGTGATGTTGAGGCTTCCGAGCAACTATATCTAGTCGTTAGCAATGCTTCAAGGTTGTCAGAGGGACTGACTATGCTATATATATGTGTTGTTAGGCCTGCTATGAAAGGCTCGGGGGAGGATAGCAAAGAGAGGGTGCTGGGCGAGGACTGGGAAGCATGATCAGTTGTAGATCGGCTCGGGAGATCGAGTTTTAAGTAGTCGGCGAGGACTCCCCAGCTTCACCGGAGGTTCTCGCATGATCCATCCTGTGGGCCTTGAACAGCCGGTATTCACAGTAAAGAGTAACGTTGGTAATTGATGGTGACCTCAGTTGAAACCTCACTTCAGCGTTGTGGAACAATCCGAACGAACGTTGAAGTGAGAGCAAGTCAAGAATCTGACCACAACGTCACTTTCAAGGCCCATTATATCACTCCATTCATGGTCTTGCTCAATGAGATTGGACAGTCTCAGGCACCGCATAACAACAAATTCACAATAATCATGAAGATCCACCATGAAAGCCCATCTCACCGATAAGCAAGTGAGCAGCGGGTAGTTGTAGCCAATACTGGCAATGAGATAGGAAGGTGCTGGGTGAGAACTGCGTGTGAAAAGACTCGATAATCCGACTTGATCTCTCACTTCGGCGTCAGCTATCACAATGCCCATTTAGAGGCTGTGCCAGTGAAAGTTTTAGCTCTCAGCGAACGTTGAGCCCGCCTGACTTGTATCTGACTTAGTGACGGGGACAGTGCTGTGACATGGTCTGGAACGCCCCCTGACCACGATGTAGACATGGATATCAACACCGCAGTTGGTATTCTGGAGGACATTGCGCAGAGTATTTATGCCCCAGCCATGGGACCTCGGTTTGGTGTCGAGCAAACTCGTTGCGATCTTATGAGGCAAGCAAAATGAAACAGGACGTCTGGGCAGCAAACACTCCAGCATGGGGAAGCAAACGCCAAACAGTCGGCCACAGCTCACCTTCTGCTGAGTCAATTAGTGTGAGTTTGCATCCGTAGATCTGTATACAGCATATTAGCCGACCATTTATCATGGCTGGTGTAGATGGAGGAGCATCGGTGACCTTGACCTGCGGTGGCAGCCCTGAATGGTGTCTCAAAGCTAACCTGCTTGAAGAAGGCATTGGGCGAGGCGTTGACTAGGCTCGGCTTCGTGGAGGCTTACCAGGGAGTATTTCGCCTATTGGACGCAGGCCACTTCGAAGACGAATGCCAGATCGGTGTAACAACCGCAGGGAGAAGGCGGAGACAGAGAGAATGATGAAATTGATGATGGGAGAGTGTGAGAAGCTGGCGAAGCTGAAACAAGGACAAAATGTGGGCGAAGTGAATGGATGCTAGAGCAAGTGGATCTCGAGCGGATCTGCCAGTGGGAACCCTATTGGACTGGGGTGGGATAAGGATAGGCTCGACCCTAACTCCTCCTTGGCAGTCGAAATCCATTATATTCGGTGGTAAGATGCTGAGAAGGGCCGGTAGCAGGATCGTGGTTCCCGTAGTAGAGACTTCGTCGGAAGAAACTGGCGGGTTCCCAGGTTTCATGGAGATAGGGACACGGCCAAACGGTGGAAGGAAACGGCGAGGATTCAGAGCATTCTGCAGGTCCTCCTCTTCAACGTTGTAGATCGTACTCATCAATTCCGTGGTGCCAAGTACTTCCATGATCAAATCATAGTGCACAAGACCTCCTCTTCTTCATGTCGCTTGATCAAGTGATCGACAGGATGGATAGTCTTGCTTGGCTGAAGGCTGCCGATACGGTCTGTGGGGATCTCTCAACTCCAGAAGAGCTTTCATCGGTACGCGTTGCAAAGACTCTTGTCTTTGATGTCGGAAAGGTGAAACTGGTTTTCATGAATCGCAAAACGATCGCTCGTCAAAGAGTGCCCTGAGTGTGTCTGCCAGAATGACCATGTTGATTGACTTGGAGCAATTGCCGAGGGTCAGACAGATGCCACTCCATGTGGGAGTCGAGTAGCATGATACCAGTGCGTTAACAAGTCGACTGGATCGCTCACAAGGAAAGAGCACTTGTTAACACACTCACCCTCACAACAGCTGCGTCGCTCTGGTAGCAGGAGAAAACGTTCTCCTTATCACGTGACTGCTTCTGCCTGCGCTGCCCTTGTAGATCTTGTTCGCAGCCTCTGCAAGACGTTCAGCACCACACTTCCGCCTGTCCGAACATTTGCAACAGCCAATACTAGGCTTGTTGACTTAGGACAATGGCCATTGCACGCTAAGGAATAAAGCGGGCGGATGACCGCAAGAGCCTCCAGATGACCGGGCAGGACTAAGCCTCTGCTGACCTGCCATCCAGCGCGCCTACCGAAGCGACCTATTCTCGGAAAGCTGAACTAGGTGCTCGGGCAAGGTAATGTCTTTGTTGGCTGACAAATTCGCAGTCACCCACAAGCAACTAACTTCGCGATGCATGCTAACGATGGGTCCAAAGCTTTGCGGACCACCGAAACACCTTCCCCGGTACCTTTGGACATCGAAGTTCCACGAGTGGACGCATCCAGTCAACAGTATCGGCCTGCGCGTGCTCAGGATCAGACATGATTCATACTTTGTCAACAATAGCTGGCTTGAAGCTACTTTGGATTATGCACACCACAGGAGGCAGACTGGAGACACCTGCTCCTTATGAGACAGAGACGTCAACAATAGAAGACCTAACTGACAAGGCCCGGCGTTCAGGGGCGTCACGTGACCGACGGCATCCTCCGAGGGATGAGGTGATAGTTGGAGAAGCGAACCTTTCCGCCCGATGTATTGTTGCGAGGAGACATTGAACACCAAAGAAGGTCGACCACCTGGAAAAATATGGCAGCTTCAAGTACCGAGAAGCTAGCTGCTTGGATAGCTCAGCTGAAGCCACAGGACCTGAGACCGCAGGTCAGAGCTGCAGCCGTCAAGTCTTTCATTAACTATGTGGGATGTGCCATTGGAGGGCATGGCCACGAAGCCACGCAAAAGGTCTTGAACGCTTACCATGCGATACCACAAGCTGCAGGTACCTGCACCGTGCTGGGAAACAAGATAAAAGTCGATCCTCTGCAAGCCGCGCTGGTAAATGCTGTCGCAAGTCACATCCATGACTACGACGATACCCATTTGAGCACGGTCATCCACCCAACAACAGCTGTTGCCTCAGCGCTTTTGGCGTACTCAGACGCGACTGACACACCGATTTCCGGGTCGGACTTCATTACTGCATTGGTGGCTGGCATTGAAGTTCAGTGTCTGCTTGGAATTGCCGTGTACCCTTCGCACTACCGGCGTGGATGGCATATTACGGCTAGTGTGGGCTCAATTGGTACAGCAATAGCGGTGGCGAAAGCCATGGGTCTGACACAGGAGCAGCTGGTAAACACAATTGGAATTGCATCTACACAAGTGAGTGGCATGCGAATCCACTTTGGATCGCATGCAAAGCCGCTTGGTGTGGGGTTTGCTGCGCAATCTGGTTTGCAGAGTGCGTACCTAGCCAAAGGAGGCATGACGGCCGCACCAAACAGCCTTGAAGGTCCACGAGGGTGGATCGAATGTGTCTGTCCGGATACTGAGTCTGCTTGGGACAAGTTGCCCAAGTATACCGAATCGCTGGTGAGTGCCCTTCGGCCCAGTCGAGCAAGAGCTGACGGCTTCAGATTGATGGTCGTGGTATAGATGGAGACGGTGTGACAGAGACGGAAAAGAACACTTTCAAACCGTACCCGTGTGGCATCGTCATCCATCCAGCAATCGACGGCTGCTCTCAGCTAAAAGCTGATGGTATCGGCGCTGACGAAATCGAGAGCATAGAACTCTCTGTGCATGCTCTTGTCCTGGAACTGACTGGTAGGAAGTTTCCTAAGGACGGCCTGCAGGCCAAATTCAGTGTGTACCATGGCGCTGCTTGTGGCCTTCTCTTTGGCAAAGCAACTCCAACCGAGTATACAGATGATGCCGTAAGTCAGACTGCTGATCTGAGAGACAAGACCATTGCAACCGTGGATGGTAAGATCCGGCCAGATGAATGCCATATCGTGGTGAAGACGAAATCGGGCACTCATGAAAAGCACGTTGACCATGCTATGGGCAGTTTGAACAACCCAATGTCGAATGAGCAATTCCAGCAGAAGTTCGATGACCAGGTCACCCCGGTGATAGGCCAGGACGGCTGCACGAAGCTGTTTTCCTCCATTGGAAACATCATGGGTGCCGCAGATGTGCGTAAGGTTATACAGGTCGGATAGATGTCGCATTCAAGCAGCAGCTTGATGCTTCGCTCTCCATTTCTTGACCCGTCTCCCAATGTCGCCCTGAGTCTGTTGCATAGGGTTCAGCTTCTTGTCGCGAACCATAGCCGAGATGTCATCTCCATGCTTCTCGACCAATTTGGCAATCCACTCCTCCTCTCTCGAACTCTGCTGTCTCGGCCGTCTCTTTGCCTCTAATTGTTCGGCTTCCTTCGCAGCCTGGCGCTCCAGCTCCTCCACGATGCCCACCTTGGCTTCACTACGCGTCCTCGCAGGCTGGACCGCTTCAATCTCGTTCAGCGGATCGTTCAACGGATTGAAGACGCCTTCCTCCTCGCTCTCGGGTCTAACAACCTTTACAATATTGCCTTCCGCATCTCGCTCGACCCGCACCTCCTGCGGTTTGAGCCTGCCCGTATCTCTCGCAGAAGGGATGGCTAGCGTGTCTGTGTCTGCGAAGCTCTTTGCTTTCCGTTGGCTGTGCCTTTCGACGCCACCGGATGGTGCTACGAGCCGCGAGGACAGGCCAAGGCGAGCGTAGTTCTGTGAGAGGGTTTCTTTGCGGTCCCTGCGAAAAGGTTAGTGAAGAACATAGATGCTGGATAGCGTCCTGGTTCAAGGGATAATTGAGTGAAGGTAGATTATGGGCGAGGCAGACGGAAGGGGTTTCAGTACCAGTTCTTGGACAACAGCTCATTGTTGCCGAAGTTGACCTTGACGCGGCCGGTCTTGGTGCGCTTGGAGTTCTTCGGACGAGACTTCGAAATGGATGAGCGGGCTTTCTTTTTCTGCTGTTCACGGCCCATATCTGCGGTTCGAGTAGGGGTGTACGGAAGTGCTGGTCCGTGTGATCAGTTAGAGAGTCGGTGCGTAGGAGGGACTCTGGTCCAACCTGGAGATTTTTTGAAATCTTATCGATAAGAATACAACGCCAAGATGACAAGATATCACGCAGCTTTCGGAGGCCTCTCAGATTTCTCCCACTACCTATACACTACCACGAGTAGCTAAATGGAATGTGTTGACCAAAGCTCGATGATCGATCTTGAATGCCGAATCATCTTTGTGTAGCTCAGCAAAGTCGTCAGCAATGTTGCCGCCTGAACACCACACCTAGTGACACCCCCCACACCGGTGCCGGTGAGACTTTTCCACAAACCCTGTGCAACACAGTACATAGCGATAAACTGCTGCGATGACCTGCCAATTCCCTTGACGAATCTCTCATGTGTCCTCGTAGACAATCCAAGCTAAACCCCTTTACAGCTTTGCGAGGCCACCGTTGTTACTATCGGGTCAGGCAGTAAACTCAGCCATCCAATTGGTCAATCGAGATTCTGCCTATCTGCCTGCAATACCGGACGAGGCCTCATACGTCGCGAGCCCAGAGTTGCTGTGCGGCTCCGCGTGACGCAGCGCCTCGCAAGATGTTGACAAACTCATGTTTGAAACTTCGCAACTTTGGTTGCCGCTTTCCCATCTGGTTGACGGCGAAACCATGCATTGTTACACACCACTGTCGTCCGATACACTCCCCGGCCCTGCAGCTCCGTCGAGTCGTCACTCGAAGACAGATGATCCACCGCCCACAATTAGGACATCACCAATGCTCGCGCTGCCGTCAACTATGCTGAGACGTTGGGCCGGACATTGATCCAGGTCGGAGCTCCCGGCCCGGTGACTCGGGACTCACCCTCGCGGGGGTTTTCAGATTGGTCTCGCGCGACGCGTCCGATAGCTTCCCTCTTTCAGCTTCTACAGCTTCATCGATTGCACCACGCTTTCCTTAAGCCATCATTGGCTCGCTAAAACAACGAGCTCGTCGTGCAGGATGCGGCTTCTGTCCTATCCCTTTCTCTTCACTGGCTGGGTAGGGAAGAGCTCGTGCCAATCAAGGGCAGCGGAAGTAGTTTTACTACCAGGGTACGCAATCGCCGTTGGGCACTAACTCCCGGCTACTTCTTCCCCGCAGCTGCACGTCCTTTGCCGAGAAATTGGGTTTTGTTCCATAAAGTCGCTGACCGTATCCTAACCTTTCGTACGATAGGTGGCCCCATTTGACCTACAATATTGCTAATCATACCAACCTCTCGTACGAAGCCCGGTATGCTAGGGTGACTTCGAGAAATGTACGGTCGATTATCGTCGAGGACAAACGCAATACTCCCTCCATGAGAGTATTCTTCTCTGAAAATGCTGAAGCGGAGTCAGTACTAGAGTTGTCAACAAGAATGCACAACATGGGCTTCTTGCGTTGACAATAGAACAACAGTCTTTGCAACTGTCCTGGTTCAAACATGCGGCCGATACTGTTACACGGTTCAGGGTACTTGCGAACCTGACAAACTGCGTTATTAGTCCACCATCTGCTTGTACGATCACTTGAACATTGCCACATACGCAACAGCGCCCTTAGCGTCCGGTCTATCCCTACCTCTTTGATCTTGAAATTGTGCGGCATCAGCTCAGCACGGCTCCTAGACAGCCTCGAATCGGCAACGTCTTCGATCCACTCCATTTTCTGGAACAAGGATAGCCTCACAGGGATGCTGAGATGTGTTTATGCGCTGTAAACAAACAGGCACAAGCTTCGATGTGCGAACTCGTGCGAGGTACTGCTATGCATGTGATTCGCGCTGATGGACCATGATACGACGCAGGGTCAAGGTGAAACACAGAAGCTGCACATGCTCTTTCAGATCTAATCCGTCTAAGCTCATGGGAACGACCTTGTCTCGATTATATAAAGGCCTCTGAGGGTCGGTTCAGCTCAATCATCGTCTTTCATCCTTTCGAACTCTGCTTGCCACTTCAACATTATGACTGTCTCAAACAATGCTCGCTTTGACTTCATTGTCATGGGTGGTGGAACAGCTGGCAACACTGTCGCTGGTCGTCTCGCCGAGAACCCCAACGTTCGCGTCCTTGTCCTAGAGGCAGGGATTGCGGATGCCATAGACAACGAGGAGATTCGGACTCCTGCAGACGCCATGGAACTCAGAAACAGCAAGTATGATTGGGCTTTCAAAACAACTATGGTGAAGCGTGATGACTACGAGCGCGTCGAGAAACCGAATACCCGTGGTAAGGCCCTTGGAGGTAGCTCGTCGTTGAACTATTTCACCTGGGCTCCGGGATCCAAAGGGACTTTTGATATGTGGGAGGAATTCGGTGGGAAGGAATGGACTTGGGACCCTCTTGTTCATTACCTTCGGAAGTCTGTCACCTACCACGATGATGAAAAGGCCTATTCCCCGGAAATGAAGAAGATTGGTGGGGGAGGTCCTATCCCAATTGCACACTCCGAGCTCATCCCGGAGATGCAGCCTTTCCGCGACCTTCTTACCAAGGCCTGGAGATCTACTGGACACCCGATCACAGAGAACATTTTCGATGGCGAGATGCGTGGGTTGACACATAGTGTGAACACCATCTACAAAGGTCGCCGGTCTGGTAGTTTCCTAGCTGTCGCTGGCAAACCAAACATCACTGTTCTCGGAGAGGTCCATTCCAAAGAGCTTATCATCGACAAGACGACTCGCACCTGCAAGGGAGTCACCGTCATCGCACCCTCTGGAGAAGAATTAAGCTTTTTCGCTACTCGCGAAGTCATTGTCTCAGAGGGTGTCTTCGAAACACCAAAGTTGTTGATGCTAAGCGGTATCGGTCCCAAGGCGGAGTTGGACAAGCACGGCATTCCAGTCGTTGTTGACTCTTCGTGGGTCGGTAAAAACCTGTTGGATCACCCTGGTGTGCCTTTCGTCCTCCGTGTAAAGGATGAGTACGGTATGGACGACTGTGTCCTCCGAAAGGGAACTTCGAAGCACGACAAGGCTTTGAAGGCTTACAGCTCTGGCCACAAAGGTCCCATGGGTTCAGGATTTCTTGAGATGGTTGGATTTCCACGCATTGATGAGTACCTGGAGAAGTCTCCCGAGTATCGCGCAGCAAAGGCTTCCAATGACGGCCGCGACCCATTCTGTCCTTACGGACAGCCTCACTTCGAACTCGACTTTGTCTGTTTGTTTGGAAGCGCCTTTCAGTGGCACTATCCCACTCCGCCCAAGGGCAGTTACGTAACTGTGATGGTGGACCTTGTTCGCCCAGTGTCTGAGCCTGGCGAAGTTACCTTGAACGGCACTGATCCTCTTAAACAAGCGAACATCAACTTGAACTACTTCAACAATGATCTCGACATTATCGCTATCAGAGAGGGTATTAGGTACGCATACGACATCTTGAAGTACGGCGAGGGATTCAAGGATATTGTCATCGACGAGTATCCTTGGGAGATGCCACTGCACGATGACGAGCTAATGAAACGAACGGTGCTTGACCGGTCTCAGACATCATTCCACCCCTGCGGAACTGCGCGGCTCTCCAAGAGCATTGATCAAGGTGTGATCGATCCATCTCTCAAGGTGCATGGCATCAAGAACCTCAGAGTCATCGATGCCTCTTGTATCCCTGTCATCCCAGACTGCCGCATCCAGAACTCTGTCTATATGGTGGCCGAGAAGGGTGCCGATCTGATCAAGCATGATCACAAGGACATCTACGTTTAGTCCAGGTTTCTAGCATTTACATATATATTTCAACCCAGAGACTATAAGGGTGGACATTCAACAAATTCCACCTGAGGAACTTCATTCTCAATTTGCTTACACTAGATTCGCGATATTACTTTTCTCTTCCGCACAGCGGGACATCGTCAACAAGATCAGAGTCAGCACTCGTTTCAGTCATCGCAGCCTGACAATATATAGTACTTATTGTCTTTTTACCTTAACAATGCTAGCGCTAGCGAGACTTTATAGACGGGAGAATTGGGGAGACCGCGCTAGACCTGACCGGGCGGGCCTTGGCCGGAGCCGCTCTAGGCGCCCCCTACCTCCGTACACCGGACCGCCATTATCGATAAGCGACGTGCAGCCCCCCTGGAAAGAACTTTTGAGTCGCGTGCTGGACACATATTCAATTCCAAGCTCTACCGCACTCTCTTCCACCCAACAGCACTATGGCCTGGACAAGCAAGTTTCCTCGGCCGAGGCTGTCGCTTGTGCTCCTTCTGGGAATCGCTACAGCAGTATATGCCGAGTCACGTCTGAAGTCCAACCTCAACCTCAGCCTCTCCGATCTGTCTCCGGAACAGATCGAGAATGGCATACAGGATTGCCACTTCGTGCAGGCACTCAACGAGGTCAAGACCAAGTCCGCCCCTGAGTCGGCATCTCTGACCACACGCATGTTCGCTGTGCTCTTTCCCTCTTCTTCACCCGCCATCAATGCTCTTCTTGCTACTGCATACATTTCCGGGCCCCCGAACTTCCTCCTCGCGCTATGTCCACCGAATATCGATCCCTCATCCCTCACCATCATGGTGGCTTTCGCTGTGGGAGGCCTGCTAGGTGATACACTTTTCCACCTACTGCCCGAGATCTTCTTGGGCGAAGATAAGCCAGACAAGGTCTCGTTCGTCATGCTCGAGCCCAACCGCAATCTACTACTCGGAGTGGCTATTTTGGTCGGAATCGTCACCTTCATGGCGATGGACAAGATCTTGCGGATCGCGACAGGAGGTGCCGGACACTCTCACGATCATGACACCAAGGACCATAGCAATGGGTCCGCCGTCTCCACTGCGACACCGTCCAAGAAACAGAAAGAGAAGGATCTCCGCAAAAGAAAGAACTCTCCGGCCCCTTCTTCGCAACCGCCCACCATCACACCGTCTCAGAATCCCTCAGTCAAGCTTGCCGGGCTGCTGAATCTTATCGCAGATTTCACTCACAACATCACCGATGGTCTCGCACTATCCTCTAGCTTCTACGCCTCTCCCGCTCTCGGTGCGACCACCACCATGGCAGTTTTCTTCCACGAAATCCCACACGAGGTGGGCGACTTTGCTCTGCTGATCCAGTCTGGCTTCTCCAAGCGCAAAGCGATGGGAGCGCAGTTCATCACTGCGATTGGTGCTTTCCTCGGCACTTGCATTGGCATTTTCGTGCAGGAGTTCGGGCGAAGGCCTGGTCAGGGTGAAGATATGCCCATCGGACGAAATGGCATCTGGGGCACGAGCTTGCAGTGGGGCGACATGCTCTTACCGTTTACTGCTGGTACGTTCCTCTACGTGGGCACCGTTGCCGTGATTCCAGAGCTCTTGGAAACGGGTAGCAACAAGAGCGAGGAGATTCGCAAAACTCTGCTGCAATTCGGAGCCATGTTCATCGGCGCGGCCATCATGTTGGGCATCAGCTGGTCGTGATGATTAGATTCCGGCAAGCATAGAATTATTCGTCTACGAGCTGATTGTCCACGCCCATGTCCCAACGTGGAATGGATTCTCCGTTTAGGGCCTATACAATCAATATAGCAGAAACCCCATTTGAATACTGTTCGAGCATTGCCTGTCTCGCCACATCTGCCTGTATTGACACTTTGAAAAGGATCCAAACACGGCAGTGTCTACACTCGATACCGGAACATAGCATGTCTGGTAGTAGTCATTTGACTCACGACCAATTGCAATATAGGGAGACAGTGCTGTTAGCTCCAGCTCTCGGGCGGCTCTCCAGTGACGAAATGCATTCCATGCTCTCGGGACCCATCTGAATCCGAACCGTGCGATAGATGAATGATGTGGCACGTCGGTGGAAACAACGACTCCCCACAACGAGGTACGAACAAGATTCATGGATCGTCTTGGCGATGGAGGGGTATTCTGGGGGCGGCCCCGTTGGGGAATAACCGTAAGGTAGAGAAGGAGAATGCGCCGCTCTAATGCGGGATGACAAACGAGAAACCCGCTGGGGCGGAGTGCAGTACGATGCTGTGACTACGTGACGTGCCCCAAGCGCCCGCGTGGGATTACGTTTGGTCATCTTTGTCAACTGAAATGGTACAGGAACGTCGAGCCGTTGAACACTCTTGGAAGTGTATTTCTAATTCATACTCATATTTTGCCTCGTTTTCCTGTGCGAGAAGATACACTGACAGGAGGGCTGCTGCGCGGTTTGTCTGTGCATTATTGAGAGTTGTTGTTAATACACCCTTCTCCTTTGGGGACGCAAGAGGGTCTCCAGTGTCTTGTATCACCAAAGACTCTAGATCCGCTTGCAAAGATGGCTCCGGTCAAAGTTGGGATCGTAGGCCTTTCCGCGAAACCTGGGACGTGGGGCATGCTGGCGCACTTACCTCGTAGGTCTCCTTCCTCTGACAGCCTCGTTTTCTGGCTGGGTCAAGGCTTTTGTGAGAGGGGGACGACTACAGCTCTGCAAAGCCACGGACGTTGCCCCTTTCTTAGCAGTCCGGACTAACACAAACGCTAGGTCTCCAGTCCTCGCCTAACTTCGAGATCGTGGCGCTCTGCAACTCAACGATAGAGAACGCCAAGGCCGCCATCAAAGCGTACAACTTGCCGGAGACCACGAAGACGTACGACACCTACGATGACTTGGCCGCCGATCCCGCCGTAGATCTCTACATCGTCACCACCCGTGCTGACACGCATTACGAAGTTGCGCTACCAGCACTGCGAGCCGGCAAGAACGTCTACTGCGAATGGCCGTTAGCTGCCGACACGGCGCAGGCCCGCGAGATGGTCGATCTCGCGCATCAGCACAATTGCAAGACCATTGTTGGCTTGCAGGGGCGGGTTTCGCCAACGATCCGGAAGGTGAAGGACCTGGTGGACGCGGGGCATCTGGGCGCTATCCACAGCGTCAACTTCCACGGCGCGATCAATGTCTGGCAGAACAACGCCGTGGGGCAGAAGTATCATTACTTCATGGACCGCAAGGTCGGCGGTAACTTGCTGACTATCTACGGAGGCCATATCCTGGACTCGCTGCTGTTCGCGGTGGGTGAGCTCAAGCCTGGGAGCTACAGGCCGCTGATGGGAAATTTGAGGCCACGCATGCATAAGACGTTGGAGGATGGTGGTTTGAGCGAAGAGACCTACGAGAAGGACACGCCGGACCAGATGCTGCTGCAGGGGCGTCTAGCAAGGAGCCCGGAGGCGGTGTTTAGCTTTCACCTGAGGGCGGGGGATCGTTTCATCGGGGCGCCGGGAAGTGTCTGGAGGATATATGGCACCAAGGGAGAGCTTGTGGTGGAATTTGCCAGTGCTGGACCTCAGATAGGAGGTGCTACGAGCTTTCGCTTCTCGAATGCGGAGACAGGGAAGGTGGAGGAGATTGAAGTTGCCGAGGGAGGTGATGAGTGGACGGGCTTACCCACGCAGGGACAGAACATAGGGAGGCTGTTCGAGGCGTTTGCCGCTGGGAGAGAGTACGGCGACTGGGACTTGGCATTGAAAAGGCATCAGCTGATCGATGAGTTCTGGGCTGGTGGCTTCTAGTCGGCGTCGCCAGAGGATCGTGGCATAGAGTATGCTCGCATCAGCATCATACATAGATCAACTTGAGCCAATCTGACGTCCGCTGCGGCAGATCTCCAGATGCGGCAAACAGTAATGACGGACAGGCGGCGCTTTTGGCGAGAGGTGTGGCTCAGCCAGGTGTGGCCGGCCGTAGCCGATGGGATTGGACCCGGGCGATATGCGGAAGACGTCACTACTCGGTTCGAGTCTCCAAGCTTGGGTTCCTCTCCTCACTCTCGAGCTGGTGCCCCAAGCTGGGCTCTTCTGAGGAGATCTCATGGTCAGTCGGCCGTCTACCATACCTCAAGGGCAACAGCACAGGTACCGCTGTAGGCAACGGTGGCTTTAACGACGGACACGCGAAATAGCGCATTGCAGCAATGCTCCATAGGCAGTTCTCGGAAGATCACGGAGGCAAGCAAGCTGATTTCGAGGCGGCGCTGATTGGCCTGGGCCGTCGCTGTCCAGCCGTCGATGACCCACCTGGCCATGGTTTTTTCAAAGACAAGACGTAGTTTACGTTGCTCTCCTGCTCTTGATCCTTCTTTCTACACACCCTGTCAACCTCTACACATCCACAAGCACTCGCTACTTGATCCTTCATCGATTTCTCGTCTCCTCCTACACTTCATCCACAATGGGCAAGAACGATTCTTTCAGCGAAGGTAATACCATCCTCTCTAGCAGATCCACCTCTTCGCAGCTGCGCAACAGCTTCGACTCTCGTATATCGCAAAGCCGAGGCGGCAGAAAGAGTTGGACGCACAACAGCTGACTCCATGTCGCTGTCTACCTGCACTTTTCGATGGCTTGCCGCTACCGTCGGGTTCGTCGGACGAAGCTGTAGCTGGTCACGATCTGTGGGTGGCAATACCTTGTGGCGCATGCCCGGCCGTCCGTAGACCCACGAGTCTTTCGGAGGTCCAATGGTGCTGCTGTCTTTCAACTCGGGGGGCTCAGGACTGCCGGTGGCGATTGCAGTGACCGCACACCCGGTAAAAGAGGTCACTGGCGCTGTGGTGCCACCAGAATGGCAGGAGGTCGCAAGAACTGTGCCGTGTCGAGATGGCCGTGCGGACTGGCGCGCTCAATATATATTGATTTTGTGAACATGTGCTAACTAGTTATGCTCTTCACAGGTGATGCTAAGAAGGGTGCCAACCTCTTCAAGGTGAGCCACATCGACCTATCTCTCCATGATCTCGCACTAACTGTATACAGACGCGATGCGCTCAGTGCCACACTGTCGTTGAGTCCGAGGGCAACAAGATTGGCCCGAACCTGCACGGCCTTTTCGGCCGCAAGACCGGCTCTGTTGAGGGATTCTCTTATACGGATGCCAACAAGCAGAAGGGGATTACCTGGGATGAGAACACTCTGGTGCGCATCGCCACGCCTCTCTGAACTTTCCATTCTGACCATGTCTAGTTCGAGTACCTCGAGAACCCCAAGAAGTACATCCCCGGCACCAAGATGGCTTTCGGTGGCTTGAAGAAGGGCAAGGGTATGTTGAGCCTTGCGGGTTTAAATGCGCATGACTAACAGTTACAGACCGGAACGATCTGATCACCTGGCTCCAACAGGAGACCAAATAAACTCGTCCAGTCTCGCTCGCACTCTAGTTTGAACACCCTGCGCCGCAGCGGTATCCGGCACCCTCGGCTGCTGTATCATCATCATTACCATCTTCACCCTCATCACCACGCACTCTTGCGACATCCTTGAACATGTTTGCGATCATGGATATGGGAAACGACAACACCGGAGAAGCCGGTGCTCAAGAATCGGGCGTTTGTACATAATGTGCTCGGGGCTGGAGCGCAAACCCTGGATTTGGGGAAACCGAAGGTTGGGCTTCTCACTTTTTCTCTGCTCTCAAAATACATCCAAGTGATTTCAGCCGACCCTTGTACATCTGCAACCTCATCCTCATGTCGTAGATCTCAACTTTCCCTTGCAGTACCCGGCTTTGCCTGTCTGGAAGCCATCGAGCCGAAGCGGAAGCCCCCTTGCAGCAGCGAGAGCTGGACTTGGCGCTCCTTTGGCATGTGATTCGTGCACGCATGGCCTCTAGGCATCACTCCGCCAACTCACATCCTCTCCTTCCCCAGCCCTCTTCTTTTACAGCACACCAAATCCCTACCGACACGCGTTGAGACCGCGACATTGCTGCAGCCCACTCCGTGCTAGGTTCCCGGTCTCCTGCAGCCCCTCCACACGGGTGGCTGGTCATGGAGGGGGGACCTGCATATCCAAGAAATACCATGAGCTCCCCCCAGGACCTATAACTCATCCCCGGCATCAGACTCTGGCTTGTAACTACCGATATACTGGTAACGGTTCAATTTGGGTACCAACTCGTTTGTCCGGTGAGAAACAGACCGCAATTGTGACCGGCGAAAGGTCCCTCCACAGCAACCCAAACGGGGCGACCTTTTCTCGACCGCCCTCCCCCCACCTGCCTTCTTCTGCTTGTTCTACCTTGATCCTTCGTTTCATGCGTCCCCTGCCACCTGCAACCTCTGCATGGCTGCCATGATGGCCGCTGCGCATGATCTGGACAACGCTTTCGACGACCATCCGTCGGTCGCCGCCTCTCTAGAAGACTTCGAAGAGCAAGAGCGACGCTCACCTCTGTTCGATCTTCCCTCACAGCACTCGGGCTTCAGGTCGGACAACGAAGGCTCCGAAATGGATGATCATTCCAGCGCAGGAGGTCCTTGGTCACCGCCTGGCTTCAAGAACCGCAATGCGAACGCAAGCGGATGGTTCCGACAAGACCCGTATGGAAGGTATAGACTACAGCCATCTACTAGCCCTTCGAGGTCCCGACAACCGAGCCCAGAGTATGAAGATGCGCAAGAAGGCGACCCCGACATCACCATCGCTGCCAATATCCCGCTGCCTAGAGGCACCGATTCTCCATACAAGGAACGCTCCCCGGAGCCAGAAACCAATGCACAAGGGCGGGAGGCCTTTGCAACTCCCGAACCAACAGAGAACCCCAATAATTGTATATACTCTTAGTCTCCCAGTCCGATCTACCACTGACAGCAGCAGACATTCGCTTCGCCGTACGCGCCGAAGTCCAGCATCGCGAACCCTTCGTGCCAATCATGAACTTCCTCTCCGAACAGTTCAATCGCTTTACTGCCACCAAGGTTACAACCTTCTACAGCCTCTCGGTCCTTCTTCTTTCCGCCACGTTCCTCCGTCTACTCTTCGCCCCACCGCAGCCCACAGCTGTCCCCGACCTGATCAAGCTCTCGACGCTTGCCAAATCCTTCGAGCCTCTTATCTTCTACTCGGAGAACGGCCACAGCCAAATCACGACCCTGCAAGAAACCTCAGTTGCAGTATGGGACCTGGGCGAATCCGTTCGGCAGGCCAACATGACTTCCGCGCCCTTGATTGTTTCCTCCCTGGATACTCTTTCAGACTCACTCAAAACCCTCTCTCTTGAGCTAACTCGCTTCTTCGCCTCGGTCGACTCTGATATCGATGCGATCCTCATCGTCATGGATTGGGCACGGCGCGAACTGCTCACTCTGTCTCACCACCACGCGCATCCTACGATTAGCACCCGCACATTTGACCGAATACACGCCCTCCTCGATCGCGTCCCATACTTGCTCACCTCCACATCATCCAGCCAGCCTACACCCCTTGGAAATCTTTTAAACTCCGCCTTTGGCGCGCCCTCACCCGCGCGTACGACCGCCACCCTCACCCGCACCTTCACCGAGCTCCTCTCCGTCCTCGAAGACGCCATCGCCTCGGAGCTCACCCACTCAACGGCGCTGTTCGCGCTCTTCGAAGCCATCGACCATCAATTCCTCAATCTACAGCGCACAGTCGTGCGCGAGACAGACACACAAGAACGGCTGGAGTCGGAGATCCTAGGCTCGCTGTGGACGCGCGTGGTGGGCGGCAACGCGGCGACGCTGCGCAAGTTCGAGAAGAACAAGCAGCTCCTGGCCACGGTGCGCGCCCGCACCGTCAGCAACAAGGTCCTGCTCGTCGAGCACCACGGCCGCCTGCAGACGCTCAAGGTCAACCTGGAGACCCTACGGCGCAAACTCGTGAGTCCGCTCATCAAAAGGAACGATAGTTTGGGGCTCTGGGATGGCGGTGTCGGGAATGGGAGTGAAGAGATGTTGCTGGAGGGGCAGATCAAGGGGCTGGAGGGCACGTACGAGCATCTGCGAGTCGTGCGGGAGCAGCAGAAGGGGAAATTGATGGAGATGATCTATGGTGCGGGGGTCAAGAAGGAGCGCTTGCTCGTCGTCGGGGAGGATGGGCGTGGGCCTGGCGGTGGCGTGGGCGTAGGTATTGATGCGCGGTAGTAAAAGGTCAATGAGATTCAGGGGAGGAGAGTCATCTGCTATACATTGTGAGTGGTGAGTGCGCATTGATTATTGGTTGTTGGTTATGGGCACGGATCTGACCGGTGCATGGTGGCGTTGGGGGATGGCCATTGACATTTGTATATTCTGTCCTCCTGCAAAACTCATCGTTCTACATGGGGCGGGAAGGAGACGTTGGACTTTCATGTTGGGAATGGTCACGCGGCTGCGAGAATGTCTTGAAAGATAGTACAAATTGGGTATTTTTATTTGTTGGTACACACAGCAGGTAGAATGTGGCTGGCTACGACCAGCAATACTAGTAGCTTCGAAGGCCCGCTCTCGTGACGGCCCAGATTGTGATCTTACATGCGATCCCGTGCATAGCCGCATCCTGATCTTGCTGCTGGTGGTGGTGGAGCTGCCGGAAGTCGAGACGGATTGCGATGCCTATTTTGAACGAAGATGCTGAGCAGAGCAAAAGCGGCACACGGTGTAGACTACTCCCTCAGTCCAGCCTTAGCGCAGCGTGACGCCCAGTCTCTCCTCCAGCCCGCGTTGAACCTGTGCATGGAGATCGTTGGTTTCCTCGTTGGTCAGCGTCCGTTCCAGACTGCGGTAGTTGATGCGGTAGCACAGGCTCTTCCGGCCGGATTTCGGATGCACGAACTCGTCCACGAGCCTCACGTCCTCGACCAATGTGCCGCCCACGTCGCGGACAAGCTCCATGACATCGTTCTCGTGGAAGGCGGCGGGTTGGGTCTCGCTTGGCGATGCCTTGGTCGAGTCGCCTCCGGCTGCGGCGGCGACACCCGCATCCGATTGGGCTTGCATGGGTGAAGCGCCGGCGGGGGCCGAGGGGATCCAGAAGGCGACGTCCTTGTAGCAAGCGGGGTACTTGCTGAAGGGCACGAAGCGCGTGACCTTGCCTTCTTGGAACTGGCTGAGGAAACGCTCGTCGGTCGACCAGAAGAGGCGGATGTCTGGGATGCCGAAGAGGACCATGGCCAGGCGCTCGATGCCGAGGCCCCAGGCCCAGCCAACTTGGTCTGTCAGGCCGTTGTGGTTGAGGATGGGCTGCTGTACGATGCCACTGCCCAGCAACTCAAGCCATTGACCCTGCCAGTAGACCTCCAGCTCGAAGCTCGGGCTCGTAAAGGGGAAGTAGGCCTCCACCCAACGTACTTGCAGCGGTTTGTCTTTTAGCTCGTCGCCGCCCACGCCGGCCTGCTTCGCTGCAGTGAAAACGCGGTCGACAAGGACTTCGAGACTTTTCTTCAGATGGTCGACCATGAGCGTGACCTCTTCCTCATCGTGCTCAGGCTGCGGCGGATTTCGCTCCAGATCAAAGGCCGGAGCATTTTCAACGACATCCAGGTCATGTTTCGGCAGCTTTTCGATGTCTCGCCTAATCTTGTTCCGGCGCATGACCAACGCTTCGTACCGTGCGATAACGTGGCGCATCCTGGTCCAACACCGGGCGCCTTCCATCTGGTGGAAGACAGGGAAATGGCTCTGGTCTATGCTGTCTCGACGGTAGACGTCTGCGCATATGGTGTAGCCGTAGTGGTTCTTGCTCTCCTTCAATTTTTCGAATGCTTGATTCTGATGCGCCGAGGTATGGGTGCGCAGGACGTGACTTGAGTCGACATAGTATGTGTCTGTTCTCGAACGGCCAGGGTGGTCAGCTGGAAAACCTAGGTCGTCAAAATTGTCTTTTGTTGTTACAACAGGGTCGGGTACAGTGTGGTTGATGTAGTCCGGAGACGAGAAGACGGACTCGATGAGCTTTCTAGTAATACACAGAGGATGGTTTGAAATGTCGTATAGCTTCCGGTCGATGAGTTGCAGGATCGATGGGGATAGGTTGGTCGTCGAGTCGAATATGAAGGCATTTCCTGCCACATTGGCACCTGTAAGGTCTCCATCACGCAGGACAGTATTTCGCGGTCCTCGCCCTAATTTCGAACGGAAGTCGTTCCTCTCTCCAGCGCCGACATCCTCTCGAGTACGAGCGGTCTTTGATGGGTCTGTTTCCCACCGTGGTTGTTGCACCGACTGGTGTGGGAATGCGTTGGTGGACTGATATGCAGCTTGGGTACGCTGGTACCGTACACCGCAGCTTGCGACTGCTGAAGGGAACGTAGATTGTGTGAGTCGATGGGATGTCGCAAGTCGTGCTGACCTGGCAGCCCGGACCGAGGCACCAGTCGCGAAGAGCCGCATTTTGGTATACCGCAGTCAAATCATATGTAAGATACGGAACGGATTGGAGCAGCAAGAATTATGTTACCCGGTGTCGCCGCGATCTTGCCCGGTCGCACCGGTCTCGAAATTGAATGTATATGTGGAGCACAGCTCTCGGACCGCCGACCGGCGACTGGTCTCGGAGTTACAAAGATGACTCGGTCCTAGAAAAAGAGACGCGGAAATTCATTCTCCAAGATCGAGCTCATTGAACGCTTCCTCCTCCCTACAATCAACGTCACTCCTTGGAAAGCTCCCCACTCCCTTCCTCCCTTTCCCGCGCAGTGCTTCTGCCTCATGGACCGATGTCGACAAGCCAAAAGAAGGTAGAGCAGCTGAAAGGCAAAGCACAGAAAGCCGACGAGCATCTTGACAATGCCGTCAACGAGCTTCATAAGACCAAACCCAAGGGTGGGAGTGTACAATATCCGTTTTTCTTCGGTGGATCTGCGGCATCGCTCGCTGCCGTGTGTACACACCCTCTTGACCTGAGTATGTATGGTATACTGCCTTCATTGACTAGACTAACACCCGAGGCAGTAAAAGTGCGCTTGCAAACTCGGCGCGGCGATGCGCCGAAGACTACGATCTCTGCCTTCAGTCATATCCTCAAGACTGAAGGTGTTCTTGGCCTCTATGCCGGACTGTCGGCCGCCCTGCTCCGCCAGCTCACATATTCCACTGTGCGGTTCGGCGTGTATGAAGACCTGAAGGTGCGATACGCCCCGAAACCAGACCCGGCCGACCCCAAGAAACCCACTCAGCCCTCCATGCTGAGTCTCATCCTCATGTCCTCCACGTCGGGCGCGTTGGGCGGCGTCGCAGGCAACCCAGGCGATATCCTCAACGTGCGGATGCAGAGCGACAGGTCTCTCCCGCCGGAAAAGCAACGGAACTACAAGAACGCGCTGGACGGCCTGATACGCATGACGCGCGAAGAAGGGTTGGGCAGCCTGTTCCGCGGCGTGGGCCCGAACTCTGCGCGCGCGCTGCTCATGACCTCCTCTCAACTCGCCTCCTACGACGGCTTCAAGCAGCTCTTCGTGTCGAGATTCGGCATGGGCGACAACATGGGCACGCACTTCCTGTCCAGTTTCCTGGCCGGCTTCGTAGCGACGAGCATATGCAACCCCGTGGACGTGATCAAAACACGCATCATGAACGCGGGCGCGAAGCAGAGTCTGATGCAGATCCTGCACAACGCGCAGCGGAAGGAGGGCCTGTTCTGGATGTATCGTGGGTGGACGCCCAGCTTCATGCGCTTGGGCCCGCAGACCATCTTCACCATGATTTTCTTCGAGCAGCACAAGAAGTGGTATCGGAAGCTAAAAGGTTACGACGACTGAGGCAATACCGCGCAGCAATTGCGCCGTGTGTGAATCTGGTGTTTTTTTTGCATAGCGTTGGCGTCAGCGGACGAGGAAGCATGTTTGATTCTCGACATATCTGCATTTGGTATCAGGGACACAAATATATAGACTTCCTCCGAGAGCACGAGCTACATATACATGTACAGAGTATGAGCAACAATGGACCGCATCAAACTTGTGAAGCATGGATGCACCGCCCCCCTGTCTCTCACGCAGGTCTCTTCATTTCAATCCCCTTCTCACCACTCATAACACTCCGCACCCAATTCCGATCCACCTCCGTCTTCGGCCTGCCAAGATACCACCTATGATAACATCAGCACCCACGTCTTCCCAAGTGGGGCAGCAGCAGCAGCAAGTCAAGGCAAGGGCAATCATTCCAACCCGAAGAAAGCCGATGCAGGCGGGGAGCAGAAGGGACTCACGTAATGTCACTCCCATCGCGCTCACAGACGTGGAAGCCGTTACCCAGGTACGCCCACATATCCTCCTGGTCGTACTCGATGTCGTAGTCCTCCCAGCGCGGGTGCTCGATCAGGCGCAGAAAGTGCAGGCGGCTGCCGGGGTAGATGGCGGGCGGGGCGTCGACTTTGCCGCCTTTGAACCAGGAGGAGCAGGGGCCCGTCCAGGCTGTGCGTTTGAGGAACGTGTCCTGTTGAGGGGGTGATGGGGGACGCTTGTCAGCGGTGGTGGAGATGAAATGAGCGTGCGTATCTTGGGGGTTTGGGAGGAGCGTGGGGATTGTGATGAATGACAGTCAAAGCCGGGGACAAAACAGGCAATCGAGTTCTGAAGAAACGCGAGCAAAACGCAGACTCCAATCGATTGACAGAGACGAGGGGTTACAACGTACAGCGTGCTTGACAAAGGCATCCGTTGTCTTTTTCTTGGGCGTGACCTTCCTAATGCACTCGGTCTGCATCTTCTCGATCACTTGGCAAAAGTAGCTGGTCCACCCCTCAATCAAGGGGAAGAAGGAACCGTGCGCACTCGGACAGTACGCGCCCGCAAAGCAGAAGTAGTTGGGTACCTCGCCAAAGGCTAGACTCAGATAGGAGGGCACGTGATGGTGGTCTTTCCACTTCTCGCGCATGTCTTCGCCGTTGACGAGGAAGGGCTGTCGTGGCTTGTAAGAGGTGTCGAAGCCTGTGGCGCAGATGATGACGTCTACGGGGATTTCGTCGCCGGAAGGGTCGATGAAGCCCGTGGGCGTGATGCGGCCGAGTTGGGTGTCGTAGACGGTCATTTTGGATCCTTGGAGGGATTCGAGGTAGCCGTTGCCGGGGGTCGGTCGTCGGCAGCCGACGAAGAAGTCGGTTGGCCTGGGCGGGTTAGAGCGCCAGAGGCGGATGATTTGGGTCGAGTCGAACAGCCATACAAGGGTAACAGAGGGAGACGGCACTTACATGATATTCTTGACCAGATCTGGGCGGTCTTTGAGAAGGGTCTTCATCTCATTCTCCGAGTATGCTCTGGCATCTTTCTGCGCCTGGGAGCCATTCACAATGAAGCTGAAACGCTGGTTCAGTTCGCCCTCAATCATCTTACAGTAGGTGAGATATGCATCTGGGTGATTTCGGAACAAGTCCAGTTGCTCCTCGTTGTATTTGAAGTTAGAGCCGTTGGGTCCGGCGAAAGCTTGCGCGAAGCCCGCAGTGATCCATATCTTGTTCCGAACCCAATGGTAGATCTTGGCTGCTGATGGATAGATGTTAGGCAGGATTTGAACGGCTGATGAGCCGGCGCCGATCAATGCAACGCGTTTGCCTTCGAGGGACACGTTCTGATTCCATTGCGCAGAATGTAGGAGGTCGCCCTTGAAGTCATGAAGACCAGGAATATTGGGCCATTTCCACTTGTTCAAGACGCCACAGCCATCTAGGACGAGGTCTGCATGATCATGGAATTCGCGCTAAAGAATGTAAGCAGAGGCCGGTGGCAGTGTTCCTAGCGAAAGACCCACCCCCGTTCGCAGGTCCTTGAGAGAAATTGTCCATTGGGCAGATTCGTCTGACCAAGATACCACGGTGGTTTTGTGTTCGAGCTTGATGTACTTCTCAATGAACTTATTCTCCTGCTCCACTTCCTTGATGTACGCCCAAATCTCGGGCGAGGTAGAATAGTAGGTTGACCAAGGCTTAGGCCGCCATGGAAACTGATACACAACGCTAGGGATATCACAAGCGCAGCCTCATGTCAGGATTAGCAGACATTCGTCCTCGCCAAGAGGTTGACGGACCAGGGTACCGATTCTCATACCTACAAGGAGGTAGAGTGTTAGTGGATATACTTCAATCCTGGACTCAACATACCAAGTGCCTCCAACGTCGGCGTTCTTCTCGTAGCAGACCAGCTCAACGTTTTTGAGCCTCTCCTCCGCCCGCTTTAGGAAATTCAAACCCGAAAGTCCGGCGCCGAGGATGGCTATGCGCATCTTGCGGCGGGTACCCATTAATTGCTCAAGAATAGGCAGATCATCTGGACTCGGGTTATTGATGTATGCCTGTGTATTCTCATTATTCTGCTGATGTACATCAGTGTTTGGATCATTGGGCAGGACAGCCCCATAACCGCCTTGCACAAGGCCTTGAGCACTAGGAGGCATCGTTGCAGGATGCAATCTAGCTTACTGGTAGTCTTTGAATCTACCACAAGCTGCTCAGGACAGATCAGTAGGCCTGCAGATAGTTTATAGCAAGCATGCCATCGTTCAGCATCAGTCCGGTGAAGTAGCTAGCTATCTTGTATGCAGGCGGAGGGGACACATGATTGGAGTTGGGGAGGTGGGTTGGAGAGACAGACCGAGGTCTCATGCTCGAGTCTATTTGGCAGGTCAGGTGTACGAGTACTCCACTGTACGGCAGCAGTCTGGGAGCAGCCCTTTGCTACCGGCACAACATATGGGAGAGTCTCGTGAATTAAGCCAGGTATTCTGTGCTGGCCGAATTAGGTATACGTTAGATAGATCTGCCTACCTGACTCAGGCTGTTCTTTGCGCTGACTCTCAGAACGATTCGCGGCATGAGGCGCAGAGGTACTCGTAGGGTTTCCGCGCCAACATCCGTCGCCGGCGTCGTACCTGTGGAATAATGGATAGCATGATTCTGTCAACAATAGGCGTGAGGCATTCTGTGAGGCGCAGCGCGGCAATTTAAGTTTGTCTTCCCACGTACAGATCACCTCACCAATGCCGCCGGCGGCGAGAACATGGCTGTACGACGGCGTTCTAAAGCCCGGGGACTGAGGCTCTGTAATCGTGGCGGGTCGCGAGTACAGCCCCGTGGAGGTCTTGGGATGAGCATGCACGCGCGGAGCGAGAGAAGACGAAGCGGCGAGGAACCCCTAAGCCACTCAAGGCCACTGCATTAGGCCGATAAAGCGGGGCCGCGGATCTTGGCGCAGGTCAGCGGCTCTCGCGTCTCGAGTGGCGGGGAAGGATACCACTGCCCGCTGCATTCGGATTCTGGAACAGCTCCGAAGCACCTGCACTGCCTCAATCACCTTCAACCTCGCTGGCGAACCTACAAGAAGACTTTGTATTTGCCACCTTTTCACATTCATATATCTCGTTCACCCTGCATAGACAGCATCGCGCCGTAGAACTCCGGCTCTTCGTCCCAACAGACCAGACCGCCATCATGGCCCGAGCCGAACAACCCTCTCCGTCGCCAATCGACACCCACATGACAAACATCCTGTCACAGTCAAACTCCTCACCCCCTTCCTCATTATCCAAGAAGCGCTCCCGCTCGCCCCTCTCGCTCGATCTCGGGTCCCTACCGCCACTCGCAACCCCGGCGCCCCCATCCAACACTCTCCTTATCACCCGCCTCACCGAGTCCAAGATCTTCCACCCGGCCTCTCTCGCCACTATCCGACAGCATCTCAATGACATCGCCCCTCTCAACTCCTTTTCTCCTCTAAAGTCGCTACAACGTATCATCGTCTCCTTTTATGACGAAGATTCCGCCATCCGCGTGCGGCAAGCCATCGACGGTACCGCATTCGCCTCCGACTCGGTTGCAAAATGCTACTTCGGCGAACCTACACCTGTTGGTGACGCCGAGAAGAAATATCTTGAACGCCCGGACGCAGGCCGCTTATTCTTCATCTCCCCGCCACCGTCCCCGCCTGTGGGCTGGGAAATGAAGGCCGAAGACCCGCCTAATAAGCAAGTTCACGCTGAAGACCTGGCCTCAAAACTGTCCAAATTAACTGGTCGCTTGAACGATGATTATCCCTCGCCAACCGAGGACAAACCCACCCTCACGGCCGCGGACCTTGTTGCTATGAAGACGCATCACCGCGCCGCATTGTCAGAAGACATGGGCACACCAAAGTCACCCGTCTCCGGGTCACCAAAGAAAATGCGAAGCCGCAGTTCTACACTGATCTACGATCCCAAAGCGCACGGCGATAGTCCAGCACTTCCGGCGGTGATGCTGGAGACCGAAGACGATAGCGATGTCGAACTCGATGAGGGACCGCCTCGGAAGATTGTGGCTCATACGTCACGCCCACCAGTCGAACTTATGGAGCATTGAGCGCGGTATTGCTTGTTAGAATAGAAGGAGTGTACAGGCATTTTCAAGATCGGCGTTTGGGTATAGGGGCAGGGAAACCGGAAAGAAGCATGTGCTCCCCTGTGCCACATGCATGAAATGGATCAGTCTATAAAGGGGGCTATGAATCACAAGCGAGAAACAATGACGAATTACTTCACAAAAACAATTGTGTCTTAGGTTCCCATGTCATTCAATAGACCCCTCAAACTAACTTGTCCCGTTCCAAGAAACGCAGCGTCCCCAGTCATCGACAACTTTTGTCATGCATCAATTCGTAAAACATTACACAAAGCAGAAACCCCTCGTCTCATGTAGGAAAAGTCCCCAACCAACAGCACATCACACCACCAACCTCTACTAAATCCGTTCACTCCCCTCGAGCGCCCCATACTGCCCACCCACGTCCCTCTCACCCTGACGATCCCGATCCGTCCCCCCACCGGGCACGTTAGCATTGATGCCCTCGAAGCGCTGCTCCGCCAGCCGGCCCGGATCCTTGGGTCCGCCTACATCGCCCGTGAACGTCTTCTTGCCCGCGGGGATGTCGCCGCCTTCCACCAGGTTGTCGCCCTTGGGCTGCCGTTCGTTGTCGTTGTCGATCGCCCCACTGACGCGCGCGGCGTAGTTGGGCGCGGCGTCGACGTGGGGGCGGATGCCGGTTGTGCCTGATGTGCTGGCGGACTGGGCTTGGTTCGTAGAAGTGGAGCCTGATGTGGTGTTTGTGTTGTTGTTGCTGCTGCTGACGGCGGCGGATCCGGAGCGGATTTGGCTGCTGTCGACGTCGGAGGTCGAGGTTGTGGTGGCACCGAAGTCGGATGCACCGGCGGGCTGGGTCGTGTAGCCGCCACCCTGGCGGTCGGCAGCAGGGCTGCCGTGGTATCCGCCCTCGCCTGTATGCGCGCCTGAGAATCCGGGCTGGCCTGTGGCATCGGGATATTTGAGGCCGGTGACTCCCCTCTCGTCAGAGCCCGCACTCTGAGCCTGTTGCTTCTCGCGGGCAGTCCCTGATGCTGCTGCAGAGAGAGGGACCGCGCCAGAAGTGTCGGTTGTGTTCAAAGTTGATTTGCTACCGGAGACGCCCAAAGGCACTGCATTGGGGTCCTGGTTGGCAAAATCGCCACCTTGCTTGATGGAGTCGGCAGCGAGCGAGTCGGAGGCAATGGCGCCGATAGATTCCTGAGGAACATTGGGGTCGGCACTCGCAGGGTGGTTGCCGGAGGCGCGAGGATTCGCTGCGTACGACATGGTGATGGTTGTTGGTCTTGCTGATGAGGTCGAAGGGTAGTTTGCGTGGCTGTTAAGTATGATGCTAGTTTGAATCAGCGTTCGATGAGGGAGAAAAACGACACTGCTTTGTGTGAGCACGCGAGAAATATATCAATGAAGCGCTGCACATGGGTGATGTCACAGGCGATCCATTAAATTCCACAGTGAAGTCATGTAGAAGATACTTCGGACCTCAAGCCTTCCGCCAATCAGGTTGTAAGGCATCCTCGTAATCGTGGAAGTTGTTTCCGGTCTTCTGAGGATCTCTATTCTGAGTCTCGGTGTGCTCTAGAAGCTATGAACGTGGTATCATGAATCTGTTGTATTGCTGAAGGGCAAAGGATTTGCTCGGAACGCCGCCAAAATTTCGCCGTTGCCTTCTCCAGACGCAAAATGCCTACTTGAGTGCCTTGCGAGCAAAGGTGGGCAGGATGAATGCAGCTCTGTGGATCTCCTTGTTGTAATATTTGCACAGCTTTTCCTCTTCTTCGGGAGACCAGCTGCGCAGAGGCTCGCGCAAATTGGCGTTGGGATCCTTGGAGCAAACCATGAAGCCGATCTGACCAGATGGATAAGTCGGAATGGTAGTGTACGCATATTCAACGGTCGGGAAAACTTCCTTGCAATCTTTCTTGAGCTTGGTGATCAGAGGGAGATGCAGCCACTGGTTTTCAGCTATAATCAAAGTCAGCCAATGCCGCGCAACCCATCTATCGGGGTTAGGAAGGGTGCGCACAACCTTGGGTAGTAATAACACCACCCTCCTTCAGTGCTCCATTGAGCAGCTCAAAGTAAGGCTTCTGGAACAGAGTCTCGGCGGGGCCTTCTGGGTCGCTGCTGTCGGTAATGATGACATCGAATTGGCCTTTCTGGTCCTCGAGGTACTTGAAGCCATCCTGAACGAGCGTGGTGACTGCCGGATGCTGGAAACCGATGGACATGCCGGGAAGATATTTCTTGCTCAGTCTGATAACGGCCTCGTCGATGTCCACCAAGACCGCCTTCTCAACGGTCTCGTGCTTGACGACCTCTCGGAGGACGCCGCCATCACCGCCGCCAATAACTAGAACGTTCTTGGGATTGGGGTGTGAGTTCATGGCCAAGTGTGTGATCATCTCTTGATAGGAAAACTCATCCCGCTCGGTGCACTGAATAACATTGTCGAGGACGAGAACGGTGCCGTGGTCGCTGCTCTCGAAAATGAGAACATCCTGGTATTTGGACTTCTCGTGGTGCAGAACATTGTTCACCTTGAGCGTCATGGCTTGGCCCGGCCACTATATGTCCGTCAGTCGTAGGGCAGTGAGGTACGCGGGGTACTCGGACCATGTCAGAAATCTCTCGGAACCAGCCATCTGAGGAGTCGTTAGTGTCAGACATCGGATGCACTGAAAGTCCGGCTCACCTTTGATGGTGGGGTGGGTGATCTCAGACATTCTTCTGGTGACAACGAGAGGATGGGTTGCTGAACGAAGGCGGGAGTGAGGTGCGCGACTTGGAGTAAGGAAAGAAGGAAGGCGCAACTTCAAGATGCGAAGACCATTAATTTTGCGGATTGGGACGAAAAGAAGGAAAACAGTTTGCTCACAGCCTCACGAGTCGTTTTTGCTGGTAGCGGTCTTCCGACGGTGTGACGGCCGCAATGCGCGTTCAAGTTCAAGTTTGCTCGAAATTTTTGGCCGCGTGTGCGGGGCTTTCCGGGCCAGCGAATTTGAGCTGAGCAGCGGCCCCTCATTTAATCCTCCTGTTCGTTGTTCAGGGCCCTCCAATCTGCTGTCGTCTTTCAGTCTCCATTGCCGTCTTCCGCCTCTTTGCGTGTCGTGCCTTGGGCAGAAACTGCAAGGACCAACACCAATGCAGGAACATCGGCCACTAAGAGTCTAACAAGTCACCACAGGCACAAGCCACCCGGCTCTCCTCCCACCACCCAAGCTGTCACGAGATGCATTCTATATTTTGCCCCTGTTGGTCGCCGACGAGCACGGGAAATCTGGTATGTGTTGATCCTTCGGCGTGTCCCGCGCTTGCATCCGAGTGAGGTCAGCTCGGCCGGGGATATGGGATCAATTCATATTCATCCGAATCCAAACCCATGCCTGGTAGTCGCCACCGCCTTCATTGCATTCGATACCACCTAGTCAAATTGCCTCCTCAAATATCTGGCAGTCGGTTGCCGGACGATTCGTGGGCTGTGCAGGCTATGCCTTCCTGTGCTGTTCATTCCGAACAATGTGTTTGCCCAACCATGTCCACTTGCCCGTACGGGTACCAAACATCGATGTCTTGTCCTCTGGGCGGCCTCGTTGCAATGGTCTGCGACGACACGCTGGCCGACCTTGAATCCCCTGGACACAACTTTCTTTGTTTAGCTGCCTTGAGTGCAATCTGAATCCTCGTCCCGAAATATGGTGGGCATTATATTGGTGCACTTCTTGCCAATCCCCCTCCAGGCTTCTCTCACAATGTCAATCAAGACACGACATCCTTCATGGACTCTTCAGCAGTGACTTATCGGATACCCACTGCAGGGACCGCATTCGCATACTCCTAGTAATGCTAATAGAGCTAGGCGCCAAGCCTTTCACTGCCTCTGACCTGACATGTTAAAGTACAAGCCATAACTAGCTGTGAAGCGTAAATCTGGTTAGACGCCCTTTAGCTAGCATCAAGTTCATGTGTGGCTAATCACTGTCGAATTACGATGGCTTCAGCTACCCAAGTTTCTGGGTTCGAACCCCTTGCCCTAGTGGTGGTGAAGATCATGTCGTCTGCTTTGTCGGGTGACGCTGGCAAAGGAAGCCGCAGGGGATGCGCACCCAAGCAGATGACGCCCTTGGCCGCGAGGAATTAGGTCACCGCTCCCAATAAAGCCGGCTGAGTGCCGCTGCCGAGTCCGCAACCACGTCGCTTGCAGCTGTCTTACGAGGGCAGTTGCAGCTGAAGTCGCCCTCGATGTTTCCAGCAGCCATATCTTTCCTCGTGGATGACTTAATCCACCGCACCGTCCTCACGAGGTTATGAGGCTGACTCTTGGCCTCACGTCCACAGTGGATGTGGCGGCCTGTAACCACTAATAAACCGGCGCTGACGGTGCACTGCCCTCGAAGTGCTGTTTTCTGACACCGGTAATCGAACATCACATGGCGCATAAGATGGCGAATCAGATATAGTTTATGAGCTTGACAAGAGGTCCTGCCAGAAGAGGCAAGACGATAGCTATAGGGTGGCAGCAACTGCGGCGCAAGGCGTCCTCTGGGAATACAATGCCCCCGCGACGGCATCACAAGGCGCCCGATCCCGCCTCGTATGCGGAATTCTTGGCAGCTGATGCTCACTCTATGTCGGTGAAGTTCTGCGAGGCGGCTTGTGTCAGTCCTCGTGTAAGGTCAGCCAGCAGCCGTCGAGGGGATGCAATTTTTCCTATTCGCTGTTGATCAGCATTTATCGAAAAAGGTCCGCGGGGAAGGTTAAGATGACAGTTCACAGCTACGAGACGAGAGGTGATGTGAGCCAGTCAGGATGGTGCATGCATGCTGCGAGGTGGTGGTTCGTGAAATCAGTGAGGTGGCATCTCACTCGCGTTTCTTGACGTCCTTGGGCCGAATGGCGCGGTGTGTTCCAACCCGCTGATTACTAGGTGTGGTAGAATTTTCAGGGAATGAATAGCCGTCGAGATACAGCGGAGTGGTATAACAGTCTCTCCGCCCCGTGCTGTCAGAGCAAGGTCGACATCCTGTAGCAAATGAGTTTTTGATCCAACGCGACATTAAGATGTTGTTGCTTCAAGCTCTCCTCGCTTTACAGCCTCTCCTAGCGACAGCCATCCCCGTCGAGCCTCTTGACGACGTGCTTCGCCGCGGTGGCTCCGACTTCCTTGCGCCAGTCCCGGAGGACTCTCTAGCTATTACGCTCTTCGCGCAGTCGGCTCCGATATGTGATCGCCACCAAGCCTCTTACCACACATACACGTACAACAGCAGCACGCTTGGTGGTTGCAAGAGCCCGGATATCGAAATCGACTCTCCGTACAAGTACTTTGAGGTCGACCAGCTGCCCGAGGTCTTCCAGGCCCAAGATATCGTCGTCAAGTTCTACACCGATTCGCACTGCCAAGTCTCGGAAGAGTCGCACCTCCTCAAAGATCTTGAGGTGGACAAGTGCGAGAAGATGCTGAAAGCGAAGTCGCTTAGAGTTTTCAAGGACTTCAAGGGCACCGGTAAGTACAAGTTGACACTTCATGAGTGTGGGCCCGGACGACCAGGGAAGCTGATGGCATGAGTGTTAGGGACAACCCCGACTGCAGCGGTACATCCGGACCCCTTGAATGAACCTGACGCGACGGGAAAGATTGAAGCTTCGGGCGTGAACAGGCCAGCGCCCGTGGTGGACGACACAGTACGTGCAGTGCAGGCGGCGACGACTACTGAGGTCAGCATTTGTCGGGCGACAAGCACTGATTGCTATCCTTAGCTCTGCATTGCTTGAAGGTCCCGAGTAGCGGCTTCCGCGGGACAGTATGGACTTTGATCGTAGTTGTGGAAATAGAGAGTCTGTCTCAAACTCTCGCCTGGTTCCTGCAGGCAGTGCTTGGACCGTTCCGTACGCAGTTTCTAATAAGGTCGTTATACTATCGCACATCTGTGAACTGTCGTGTGTTGCACTCAGGACAGCCCGTTGACGTACTCGAAAGTCTGATGATAGCTGTAATTTCTCAGTAGCAGAATGATCGTCTGCTTCGAAATAGGCCAACTAGTATCGACTGTGTAGTCAACTCGTCCACAATCGGATCATATTCAAGCTTGCCCTTGATAGCATTGTGTGGGCAGCGTCAGTGAGCTGGGTGATGGTCTCATCACCAAGCTATAGAGAGTCCTAGGCCCAGGCTCGGTATAGAGGAAACAGAACGGAGAGAACGGAACAGATGTCAGAGTGTGTGTTTCTGATAGAAGCAGTGACTACCTACGAACCTGGCCAATCAAGCGCCGCTGAGAGGGGGATTGCGGAATTGGTGTTTTTCGTGCACCGTTTCGGCTAAATCTGAGCTCATTCGTGCAGTTCTTGGTGACATCGACTCGGCGAACAACAGTTCGTCCTTTCATCACTCGATGTGTGGCCTGAAACGGCCGATAGAGACCTCGTTGTCTTTCAAAAGTGTCGCGAACTCTAGCAACCAACGAGACGCGTCGCCATGAGCACAATCCACCAAACGACCTTTACCCGAGTCAGACTGAGTCCCAGTCCGACGCATTGGCCAGAAGGATGCCGTCGGACATCCAGGTCTTCGTGCGCTTGCAAGACCAATGCGTCTTTGCGGGCGAGGAGCTGAAATGTTCGATCACTTTCAAGAATGTTGCCAGTTTCTCAGAACCCCAGACACCAGGCCCCAATGTCCGCAGGAATAGCAGGACTCCCAGTATTGGGAAGCTGCCACCCGGCTCCACGCAACCTGGTGATGGTCCCCTACATTCGCCCAAGGCCAGCAGATTCAATTACCCTCCTTCGGCCATGAAGAATCCTATTCCATCTGTGGTCAGTCCTCCTGCTGCCCCTCCTCAACGACCTGGCCACAAGCACCAGAGGTCTGTATCCATCATCTCCATCGGCTCGCCAACCACATCGCAACCCTCAGAGGATCCTTCCGGTGGCCAGGCCTATCGGCCCGCCGGTGGTCATCGGCGGTCTTCGACCATTCAAGTCTATACAGGCCACAGTCGCCGTCCGAGCCAGTATCGGGAGCCATCTACCGGGTTACACATACCACCACAGGCTGGGCGACGGAGTCCTTTGTCTTCGACGTCTACCTCAACACCTGTATATGAAAGCAGACGATCGACGCCCGACTTTCAGTTTCCCCCATCAACGCAACCAGAGGCATTGACGCAGCCCACTGTTCCCAGGGAGACATCAAGGGCACCTTCTCCCCGGAACAACGGGCGTAGTGCAGTTCCGACTCGGCTCAGAAGGGAGCCATCTAATGCCAGTCGTGTGACCAGCGAGCGGAGCAGTGGCGAATTCTACTCTTTGAGCAATCATTCTCAAGATACCCTTCAGTCAGAGCAGCCCTCTATCTTATCTGAACGCCCACAGGTCAATGCTCCCAGTGCTATGATGCGCCGTCATTATCGCATGGACTCCCTACCACCGGCAACGCGCAGGCCTCAGCCTCAGCCTGCAAGCCTACTGATGGGATATGCCCATCTAGTAGCCACTTTCACCGTGGACGGATCCTTGGTCGACCAATCTCCATTCGAGGAAGTCAAGCGGAAGGGCTTTCTAGGTGGTCAGGCTGGAGGTGGTGTGGTTGGTGTAACGCAGAAGAAGCAACGGCCCACTTCGGGCTTCCTTAGTGGCTTTAGTTTCAACAGCTTGGGGGACTCTCTGAACTCGCTAGTGGGCGCCGACAACATGTCGTCTGTCCGCGAAATGAATGCTGTCACCAACTCTCGCGCCATTCCGCTCCTTAGCACACCACAGTCACTTCTGTTCGTCAACCTCCATTTGGAGCCTGGTGAAGAGAAGTCTTTCTCGTTCAGCTGTGGCCTTCCACGTGGCTTGCCTTCTTCATATCGTGGCAAAGCCATCAAGATCGCCTACAATATTCAAATCGGCGTCCAGACTGCTCCAACAGGGACGCGTGATCGGGATCACAAGGTCCGGCAAATCAGCGTCCCGATACGCATCTTCTCCGGCGTCGACTTGGAAGGCGAGATTCTGGGTCATGATCTGATGCAGCCGCACGTCTTGCTGCGTGATCCCGCCCGAACAGCATCCATTGATGACGCTTTTGCATTCAGCAACGGCACGCCGCAGGTCCCCAGCTCTCACCGCTCTAAGATTGGCAGCTCCGAGGCATTTCTCACGTACATTGATACATTACTTGACCGTTCACGCCGGCGGCACTCCTCTGCCGGTTCTGTTCTGGATGCAGGTATGACTGCCACGGAGGACTCTACCCATCCTACTTTAGCCGCTATCAACCGCGCAATCCTCTTGTCAAACCGAGCGGGCATGAATCCAGACTCCAGCTCCAGCAACCGCTTCAACATCACTCGTGCAGGCCATCCCGTCGCGGTCATCACTTTATCGCGTGCACTCTTCCGCTTGGGCGAAACCATCACAGCGTCCGTTGCGTTCGCCTCGCCCGACTCGACGTCCATCAGAGTTGCAACCCTTCACGGAACCCTGGAGACGACGGAGAAGGTGGCGCAAAGCCTGGCCATCCGCTCGGCGACTTCTATTGCGAGAGTGACTAGACGGACTTACAGCACCTGGACAAGTAACGTGCTGTTCTCGAAAAGGGCAGTGTACAGTCCCACAGTCCCAGTCGGAGGCACTCCAACTTTTATCACGAGTGGAGTCGAGCTGGCTTGGGGCATAAGATTCGAATTTGGTGTCATCAGAAACAACACTGCTCCCACACCAGACGAAGAGATACCAGAAGGACAAGGTGGTGATACTGGAGAAGAAGTGAAGCTGTACGACAGCGAGCAGACGGGAAAGACCTCCTCCACCTCCACCGAGACGTCGCTTTTCGAAGAGGTGGTCAAGGATGAGAGGGGGGTGGTAAGCATTGCAGTCGAGAGGCTGGAGTGTGAGGCCTTTGAGGTCGTTATTCCCATCACGGTCTACGGCGACATAGTGGCAGCGACTGGCGATGATGAAGATGTTCGGGGTATCCCCATATGAGAGGTATCTCGAGAAGGCTTTTGGAGATATATATGGTGGTCCTACGCTGCAGGTCCTGCAACGAGCACCCCAGATCTCATGTCTTGGAAATTGGGCGGGAACGGGGCTTATGCGCCTCAATAACATTGATTATATATGCACCATCTCGAAATGTTCGTCAGTGATAGCAGGGCGGACGGAGACCACGCGTCAGCGCCGACAAAGGCTCAGGGTATCGGATAACCTCATTGGATCGAGTTTACCAGATAGATGCATGGCGGCGCGGAAAAGCACCTAAGTCAAAGTGCACAAAAGAGGCGGATTGCCTCACACACACGAGTCTGTTCTTTTCCAACTCCTTCTGATTCGAAGTGCTGCCCTTTCATCATTCCTATGGAAACCCCTTGTTTCCCCACTACCTGGGGATCGACGTGCATGTACACCGACCATGCAGGGTGATCCCAACGTCTTATGCGCATGCATATACAGCGTGCAACAAATCCACCCGAGTCAAGATGGATTTGAACGATCTGCCTCCCTCGCTGCCGAAAGAAAGGACACGCAAAAGACTTTTCTCTGCTCTGCTTCCCTTTCCCGTGATCTATCCCTGCCTTCCCTTTTGTCTTCCGCCCTCAATCAAACCCATGGCTCTTGTCGTCGTGGAATCGCTTCGGAGCAGCAGTATCACCAGCCGGTAGTCGCTTGCAGTAGTGGCTTTTCGCCAGCTTCCCCTTTACCAGCTCCCAACGCCCGATTTCCTCCCGCCCACATCGTGCAGGTTAGTAGTGGTGGTACATATGAGAATTAAGTATTACTTAATGGTAACAGAGAACGCGGCGCCTTTAGCTCCGCTCCGATGCGTGCTTGCGCTGCTAATCTGTCCGTCGAAATGAAATTCGTGCAAAGTATCGATGGTCGATGTTTGAGGGGGTATCATTTGAGTTTGTCTTCTGTGGCGTGTACCGTTGGCTTAGTCATGTCTAGTTCTTTTTTTGATGATTGTTTTTGAGCTTTCTGAGATGTTGTGGCAAAGGAGTAGATAACGTCAATCATTCGTCAGCTAGAGCGTCCTCGGTCGATGTAGACTCCTCGTGCGAGAGTTTGGTTCGCTTGTTAGGGTGAGCCGACTCGTTTGCATCCTGCAACTGCTTTTCCAGCTCCTCGACCTTGCGCTTCAGCTCGTCTCGCTCACGTACGGCGTGGTCGCGCTCGGACCGCAAGCTATTCTCGTTGTCCGAATAGACCATGTTGATGACCTCGAGCTCGGACACACGGGTGCGCAAGTTGGTGTTGGCGGCCATGAGAGCTTCATAGCTGCCACTGCTGTCGATGTTGGTAGGCGATGGCTGATTGAGGTTCAGTGGAGGTAGAGATGGGGAGCCGCCGAAGTGCTGGTCACCGAGATGGACGCTGTCAAACATATGCTGAGGCGCGATGTTGGGGTCGTGCATTCCTGGGGTGCCTGTCCTGGAGATAGGGGAGTGTGAGCGCTCCGAAGTTACAGAGGCGGCCATGTGGGAGACTCGGCGGTTTTGCGGAGTGATCATGTCGGCGGTTTGGGTTGCCGGAAGGCCATTTTCGAGCTGCGATGAATTATGAGCATGTATTCTCGTCACAGCGGGACGTCGACAAACCTTCTTCTTAGGCGGCTGGTTGGCCTTGACACGGTTCCGACTCTTGATAACATCGGTCTTGAGAGAGATTGGGCGCGGTCTACCGTGCAGCTTCAGGAACAAGCCGCAGGCATTGCAAAGCACGGAACCCTGCTCGTCGCGTCGCCATAGTGGCGTCGTCGAGGTCTGGCAATTCTGGCAAACGGGCTGTTGAAAGGGAAGAGAGTCAGTTGTGCTCGCAGGTAAAGAGGCAGCCATGATGAGCGCGGTCAACAAGGGTAGTGGAAATGGTACGATGCGGTGGTAATCGATAAGAGCGATAAAAGATAGCAGTTGGACGTCGGAGCAAAGTTGCCCGTTAAAGCCTTGGCACCAAGGGCACGGCTGTGAAGCCGAAACTCGCTATGTTGACGATGGCAGACAAACGAAAATTCACACTTACTGGTGCACTTCCCGCAATTCCTGGAGTTGGTATCGGTGACAGGTGCGTGTGATAGCCCATCGGTGCATGGCTCGCCGAGAAGGATCTGTGTGCCACAATGTAAGTTCCTGCCTCCTGACTATGCACGCTTGTCACATACCTGTTCTGCGGCTGTGTGGCTGCCAATGCTGCTATCTGAGAGAGTCCCGGTAAAGTGGTCTTGTTATGGTCCGGGACGCTGAGGCTCGCGGCTCGATCGATGGGATGCGGTGGGGCGAACAGACTGTTTGACGTCTGCGAGGAGGTGGAGGAGGCACGTGAGAGTTCTGGTCGAAAAGCCGAGGGCGGTAGAGGTGATGGCAATCGATGGTCTGGCTTCATGCCGTGGTACCCCTGGAATCCTTCATCCTGATGTAATGGGGGAGAAGGTCGGTGGGACTGGTCAATGGGCGGGGCCCGGAAGAAGGATGCTACTGCGGACGCCGTGATTGCGGTTGAGACCTAGCTGGTCTCCTGGCTTGCTCAAACGAGTGGACGCCTCCAAGCAGAGGCAAAGGGAACAAATGTCGTGGTGTTGGTGGTGGTAGTAGTGAGGGTTCTTTTGAACGAGTGACTGGTGTGGAAAGGAGAGCGATGGAAAGAGCAGACGTTTGCTATCGATAGATACAGGCCAGCCTTGAGTAAGGCGGAGAATCAAGCCAATCGAGTTCCCTGTCAGGGGGTCGACTAATGACCCGCCCGTCAATGTGGTATGGGCGTTTACTGGTCCAGATGATTGGAGGCTTTCTGAATCCGACTGATGTTGTTAAAGGTTACTTGAGCCTCGCAAACTGTGCGAACAAGACCCCTCAAGCTCGTCCAGCCCAACAAAGGATCTCGTCCAATCTATCTACGCATCCTGGCACACGCAGAGTCCAAAGAACCATTGTCTTCGATTCGTGTGTGTGCGATTTATGAGTGGGTAGATGGGAAAGAAACCTGGGGAAAGCCAGGAAATTACCAATTTCACTCGGAGTGGACCGCCGGATACCGAATGCCCCTTTTTTCTTCCCTGTCCTGTGTTCGCTCTAGCATCGACTTGGTTAAGGTATCATCGTATCGACATGTCGCACAGGCGCTAGCTCTTTGTACCGGACGCCTGTCTGGACGGGACGCACGACACGCGATGCCTTCTCCTTTTGTCGATAGAGGCCGTTGCACAGATTCGATGCTTGCCAAGACTCAGGAGAAGTCGATCATGCTGCATGTCTCTCATCGCCTGAGGCTTGAGAATGCACTCCAAAAAGGCAGGAGAGCGGGTGGATTAGGATCATGGCAGAGATTGCAGCTGCTCAAAGTCTAGAATGCTCTTCAAAACATATGTGCTCGGCGGTTGATCAAGAACGAGGTACACTAAGTCGATTAAGCTATGTGCATTCTGCTGGTGATTGGCTGTGGGGTCGCTGCCGGATACTCCGAAAGGCGGCCACTGCAAGTTTCCGAGTCGCCTGCGCTGCGGCTCTAAGGTGGCTGCAACCGTTGCCGTCAAAGAAGCAACGTCTTGGATTCTCCCATAGCATATGCTGATCCTGCATCTGCTTCATCATAACCTCCGACATACTTGACGCAACACTGAACATACCATGGCCCGGTAGGATTAGCCTCTTCCGGCCAGATATGTCCTCATCTCCTCATGCCTCGCCAACGACCTGCCACCTCGGGCTATGCACGCCTTGCCCAAGCCGATGAGGACGACCGAGGCCACTCCGATGACTCTGGAGATGAGTCATATAGCAACCATCCTCTATCCACACGATATGCCGCCATTCAGCCTGGGCCCCGGGAGCCTATGCGCTCGACCGGCGGCCGCTCACCGAAACGACCCCTGCGAAGAGTGCGTACCAACTCGGGTGTCGACATTAAAGCCATCAACGCCAGACTAGAAAGATGGGCCGAAGAAATCGTCCACAAGTTCAAAAGCACTGGGAAATCCGGCCGAGAGGATACTGATCAAAAGCTGGAAATTCACCACTCCGTCTTCCAGGCACCCGAAGGTGTTCGGCCACTCACCCCCGAAGAGCTGAGAGCATACCACGATGATGATCGCATGAGCAAGCAGCAATTTGATGACACGGTCGAAAGTGTGCGAGTGGCCATTGAACTGGGCATGCATCCGAAAATGATTTCGAAGGGTAGCTCTGGCAGCTACTTTGCGAGGAACAGCGATGGAAAAGTGGTTGGCGTTTTCAAGCCCAAAGATGAAGAGCCGTATGCTACTAGGAATCCGAAATGGACCAAATGGGTTCACCGAAATCTGTTCCCCTGGTTCTTTGGTCGAGCCTGCCTTATTCCCAACTTGTCCTACGTCTCCGAAGCTGCAGCCTACGTTCTCGATACCCAACTCCGAATAAATCTCGTACCCTACACCGACGTTGTCTACCTCTCCTCAAAGTCTTTCTATTACGATTTCTGGGAGCGCAGAAGCTCATGGAGTGGGAAAAAGAGCCTGCCGGCAAAGCCGGGCAGTTTTCAAGTCTTCTTGAAAGGGTTCAAGGATGCCAACATGTTCCTCCGCGAGAATCCCTGGCCCGATCAGAATACTGCCGACTTCCGACCTGACATGGAACACAAGAGAAAACGGAGGCCTTTCGCAAGCTGTGTCCCTGGAGGCCAGGTCTCAGATGATGAGGACGATGGTGCGGGACTTACCAGCCCGTCGCCTCAAGAGCCGCACAGATTCAGCTGGACCCCCAAATTGAAGCAGAGCTTCCGCGAAGAGCTGGAGAAGCTGGTTATTCTAGACTACATCATGCGCAACACCGACCGAGGTCTTGACAACTGGATGATCAGGATCGATCAAAAGGCAGAAGAGGTCACTATGGTTGCAGAACCTCCTGGTGCCAATGGCACACTATCTGCTGGCCAATCCACGCCTCGTGCCATTTCGCCTGGGCAGCGCACCGAGTCAAATACATCTCGCCCTTACCGGCGTTATGAGGCCATGGAATCCATCTCCCGCACCGGCACTCCTGTAACAGGCGACGCGTCTACCACAACCGTCAAGCTCGGTGCCATTGACAACTCTTTGTCGTGGCCATGGAAACATCCCGATGCCTGGCGGTCATATCCGTTTGGCTGGCTCTTCCTGCCCGTCTCCCTCATCGGTCAACCGTTCACTCAAAAGACCCGGGACCATTTCTTGCCTCTGCTCACTTCTACCGCATGGTGGTCAGACACACAGCTGGCCCTGAGAAGGGTCTTTGCCATGGACCCTGACTTCAAAGAGCGCATGTTTGGTCGCCAGATTGCTGTCATGAAAGGCCAAGCCTGGAACGTGGTTGAAACTCTCAAGCAAGCGGACCATGGTCCACTTGAGCTGACCCGCCGCACGCGTGTTTGCGTGTGGGACGACCTTGTTGATGTTCCTGTTGCCATTCCTATGCGTGCCTCGAGTCCTGAGGCGGCCAAACGCACGCAGAAGAAGGTTCGCATAGAGCAGGACGAGATGGATATTGGCGCCTTCTCAACGACTGCACCTTCTCGCTCGGCACCAGTTGCCGACCTCCTCGGGTCGCCTTCCTTGAATGACCTCCCCAATCCCAACCGCTTCGAGCTCTCGCGTGACGATGCTCAAGGCGATCTAGCTGATATTGGTGAGGAGCCAGGCCCTAGCTCTGCGGCACCAATGTCTCCAATGTCGCTGAACGAGAGCTCTATGAGTGGCTTCGCTGATATGCATGCACGAGAAGCAAGAGATAATCTCTCGAACACCACTACATTACCAGGGAGGCCCAAACCTCGCATGGCCCCGAATCGCTTCAGCTTCGATTTTAGCCGCAGCTTGCCCAAGACAGGTAACAGGGGGCGGAGCAACAGCACCAGAAGTGGCATGAGGCAAGCGAGCATGAACTACGGGGCCGTAGGTGATGACGACCTCGAGGGAGACCTCGGTTACGCGGCTGCAAGTGATATGGAGGGCCACAAGAGAAAGGTCATTGTGGAGCGGCTAGAGACCGTAAAGGGCGGCACACCATTTTTTACTTGGTGCTAGACATATTGTGATGGGAGACATAGAGCATTCGGGTCATGAGCCACGCATTAAGAAATTCTGAGAGGGGCCGGACGAAAACAGGTTGTCTGCAGGATTTCGATCGTTTCGTGGGCGTTCAAGCGATGTTGGATATACGGACTACAAGTCCCCTCACCGTAGACTCTCCGTAAGTGTAGTCGATCAAGTCAATCTCTCGTTGCACCAGATACGAATCTGGATGTACAGTAGTACTTCTGCTCGCGCGGGGCCAGCCCGCCAACCAACTGGCTTGGCGCTCCGCTCTGAACGGAGCGGTCCAAGCATGACGCAGCCTGGAGACTCCGACTCCAAGCCACGTTGACTCTCCCAGAACAACAGAAATCTGCCTATCTAGTCAGTGCCTCAGCCTCTATAGCCAGTTGCGACATTCCACGTGTTGACTCTTTGTCCATAAACCCCACCTTATCCCCCCGTCACCGTTCCGACCGCTTCCTCGTCACCATTTCACCATGGCGCAAGATCCCCGACTACTCCTTCAAAAGGCCGAGAAAGCGGCGTCAGGGGCCACTGGCGGCTTCAGCTTTTTCGGTGGCCGCACCGAGAAGTGGGAGAACGCAGCAGACTTGTACACACAAGCGGCTAACGCCTTCCGAGTACAGAAACAAAGTAAGATATGCCCCGCCCCGCGTCCTCAACCCCATACACCGATCCCCCGTTTTGACGACACTGTCACACGATACAACAGCTGACCCCATCCCTCAGATCATGAAGCAGGCCAGGCTTTTGAACGCGCCGCCGCAATCCAGACCAACAATCTCTCCGAGCCCGACGACGCCGCCAACACACTAAGCGAGGCTTTTAAGGTCTACCGCAAAGAATCGCCGAGCGATGCCGCCCGCGTCCTCTCTCAAGCCATCACCCACTACACATCCAAGGGCAACTTCCGACGCGCTGCCACGCATCAACAGAACCTAGCCGAAGTTTACGAGAATGAGATTGGCGACCAGAAGAAAGCCCTCGAGGCATACGAGACAGCAGCGGGGTGGTTTGAGAGCGATAACGCCGAGGCCCTGGCGAGTAAGCTGTATTTGAAGGTCGGTGATCTGGCGGCACTGGAGGGCGACTACTCGCGCGCCTGCGACAAGTTCGAGTCGGTTGCGCGGGCGTCACTCCAGAATAATCTGATGAGATGGTCGGTCAAAGAGTACCTGCTCAAAGCGGGCATTTGCCACCTGGCAGCCGGTGATCTGGTGGCTACGAAACGGGCGCTGGAGCAGTACAAGGAGTGGGACAACAGTTTCGTGCAGCAGCGCGAGTGTATGCTCCTGGAGGATCTAACGCATGCCGTCGAGGAGGGTGACCAGGATGGGTTCAGCGAGAAGCTGTTTCAGTACGACCAGATGAGTAAGCTAGACAAGTGGAAGACGGGTTTGCTGTTGCGAGTCAAGGGCAGTATCGAAAAGGAGGAGGAGGACTTCTCGTGATCAGTGGCTGAGATTGGGCTGGTCCGCGCGCGGGACGATACGGTGGTCAACAATTGCGAGTGAGGATGTCGCCCCATGCGTTGTGGCTACACACTGCACGTGAGCGCTGGCATGCAGATCTACGGGGTTATAGATGAATACCAACGACAGAGGAGCGCCGAGCCTTGGACGACGGCGGAGCTGGCAGGCGTTCCAGGTCTTCAACATGTTTATTTCCACAACCTCTCCTCAAGGCTGCTGCATTTTCTCCTTGATCAGTGTATCCATGAACTGCCCTCACTGCTCTCCCCACCCCTTTCCTGAGCCAGCAACCTCTCCACATCGGCCTTGACCCCCTCCAATTCCGCCTCCACGGCCGCATATCTCCTCCCCAACCTCAACATCACCTCGCCCCCAACCACTTCATACTCCTTCAACGCCCCGTCCACCTCCCGCCACCTCCCCTCCAACTCCCTCCCCTCCCTTTCCAACTCCCCCACCCTCCCCAACAACCTCTCCTGCACCGCCTTCCCACCCAACCCATCCCGCCGCCACTCCAGCTCCTCCACCCGACACTTCCTCTCCAACCCCACCGCCACGCCTGCCAAAAACGCCGCCCTCGCTTGCACATGCCGGCTTTCGGCCCCATGCTTCCTCTGCTCCAGGTCCCGGACCGCTCGCTGCACCTCCTCGCTCTGCGCCCGCAGTAGCACTAACAGCGCGTCCGTCGCCGCCCGCAGCGCCGCAGGCACCTCCCTCTGGCGCAGCGTTTGCAATCGTGCCGTCTGCGCCGCCAGCAGTGTCGCTAGATCGCGTTCCTCTCCTTGACCGCCACCGGCCCGTCCACCCGAGCCAGCCGCAACCGCAGCCGCCGCAGCGACGAGGCGCCGATGCTGCCGCGCCAGGACCGCCGCGGTCGCGCGCGCGATGCGCGGCAGGTCCCGTCGGAAGGCGTGCAGGTCGGGCGCCAAAAGGTCGTCTTCGGGACCGTCACCGCCACCGCCACCGCTGCGGCTTTGGCTGAGAGGGATGTACTCGACCATCAAGGCGAGGAGGTCGCGCAGCGGCTGCGGTAGCGTATCATCGTCGCTATCGTAATCATTGTGAACATCGTCGATATCTGTCTCGTCGGCGGCGAGGCATGCCAGCGTGCCAAGCAAGATGCGGTCGCGCGCGACTCGGACGCGGTGCTGATTCAGCTGCGCGGCGACGGGTGCGTGTGTGCTGTTTGTGGTGCGGGTCGAGGCGTCCAAGTCAAGGACCTTGGTCGTGAGCGTTTTGTGCAAGTTGGCGAACTGCGGATTGGCAGAGAGGAGGGACTGGGTGGCTGGCGGTATCATGTTCGGATGAACGCGGAGCGTAGCTGAGAGAATCTAGTTTGCTGATCACGACGAATGCAATTCGCAGAGATGCAGGAAGAGGAAAAGAAGGGGCAAAGAATGGAGGTTTGGTTTAGGGGTCTTTCAAGTCATCTTCATTGAGACTGTGTCGCGTCTTGGCATCAATGTTGTGTTGATCCTCGACGGGCAGTAGTCCTTCATCGTCGCGGCGTCTTCTGGGTATGCTATCTAATCATCCATGCAAACAGCAAGGAGGGCTCTGTTTACTGCTATTGCCTGCCCGCATAGCCCTCCTGCATTCCCCCGTTTCGCCATCAAGGCATCCATACGCCGTGGTCGACTGGACCCGGCGCTAAACACCTGCGCAAGCCATGAAGCAACTCATACTTCGAGAACCAGACCGGGCTTGGAAGAAACTTTCGCACACGTTCTAAGATCTCTCCTCGCCGAGTCCTTAGTCTTGATTACAAAACATTCTCGCCCTCAAGCTACTTTGACGCGGAGTTTTGTTGTGCTCCAGCCAGATATCGCGCCGAGCAACAAGGATAGGTGAGGGGCTCTTGATAAGGTCCATGACAACTGGTCCGTGCTGGGCAGTACTCCAGCGCGATTCCAAAATGTTTCTTCAGGGCTGTGAGGGATGCAGCTGTCCGTAAATCAAGGGAAGGAATACGATGGAGACTTGCTCAGTCCTCCTCACTCTCTTCCGAGTCATCGTTATCGCTGCTCTCATCGTTCTCGATGGATTGCATAGCACCGGGACTAGCAGGACCGCCGGCATAGGCACTGAGCTTGCCTTTCAGCTCGTCGATTTGAGCCTCTTGCTGAGCCTTGCTCATGGGCTTATTTTTCTTAGATTTGGTTGCAGCAGCAGGGGCGGGAGCAGGAACGTAGCCCTCATCACCTTTGGTCTCCTCAGGAGGTGGTCCAGCATACTTCTTAACAAAGTTGAGGAGCTTGACGAGAGCGAAGTTCGGAACTTCCTCGATGTCGAGCTCAATCTCAGACTCATTGCTGTTAGCGAGAGCTGGAACACTCTGTTGAATAATCCGCAGCGCCTCAGACATTTGCTTCTCAGGAAGCATCGCGATTCCGTTGGAAATGTACTGCTTTTCCTGGAACGTGACGAACTTCTCTCTCTCGGGTTTGGCCTTGGGGACTGACTTCTTCTTTTCGGTCTTCTGGAGCCCAGGGAATGTCGTCTTGGGCTTCTCTTTCTTCGATTTGTTCTTGGCTTTCTTGGATGAAGTAGGTGCATTTGGAGACTTCGACTTCTTCTTCTTGGAGCCCTTGCTCTGAGTCAGCTCACCCATCTGCTTCGACATCTCGGCGATTTGCTTCTGTAGCATAGCAATCTTGTCGTTGCGTTCCACTTCACTGTCCTCGGCATCGTCCTCGCTCTCGTCATCTGAGTCGTCGTCCTCGGCTTCAGATTGGGGATCGGACTGTGGTTCGCGGGACGCGATCCAGTCTTCCTTGCCAGCCCACCTCGAGTTAAAGAGAGATTCGAGTTGCTTTCCCGAGTTGTGAACCCAATCACCGTCAGGGTTGAATTTGTAGCAGTTCTTGAAGATAAGCCGAACATCCTCCTCAAAGTCTTTCGCCTTTTCATAGACATTGTTGTCAAGCTTGGTCTGAATGGTACTTAGATCCATTGGCTTCTTGATGATTTGGAAGTAAGTAGGTATGTTGAGAGCCACTGGGTCAACAGGGTGAGTGAAGTACTGGTTCATAGCCCAATTCTTGGGCGCCGTCAACTCCTTCAGTACTTCTTGGCAGAATCGCAGCTGAAGTTCATACTTCTTCTTCTTTGGTCGACCACCAGCATACTCTTGATTGCGCTTGGGTGGCACAATTTGTCGCTTGGGTCTTCCGTCAGCCATGTTACTATCACGGCGAATGAGGGGGACACCATCTGGACCAGGCGCGAAAGCGGGGGTGCTTGCGCTGACAGACGTTCTAGGAGACCGAGCAGTGCCCTGACTAGCGGGCGGAGTAGCAGCCGTGACGGAAGGCCGACGAGGAGGCGCTGTGCGGGTCGGCTCTTGTTTTGCACGAGCAGCCTTCTTCTCCTCCTTACTCGGCTCAGCGTATTGAACCTTGGGAAGCTGCTGCATTTGGTTGTTGAATGAAGTCTGCATGGTAAATGCCTGTTGCGTCACCCCGTGTTCAGAACCATTGAAGGCGACGCAATTGCTAACGATCAGCTCGAAATCGCTTCGAAATTCTGAAACGTTCGAGTAGCTGTTCGTCTTCAGTTTCTGATCGATCTTGCCAAGATCCATTGGGTTCTTGACGATATCGACATAAGTGGGGATATTGAGCGCAACAGGATCAACGGGCTGTCTGAATGCCGCAGACGCTTTGCTTTTCTTCAAGTTCGATATGATCTTCTTCATGTGGGTTAGGCGCGCTGTGGTAATGGTGCCATCGCCGTCATTGTTTGCGTTCGAGGTGGGAGCAGGTGTACCGGTAGCAGGACTGGGGGACGCAGCTGCTGGTACATTGGGCACTTTGAAGCTGGACTCGGGTTCATCAGTCTTGAGGCGCTTGGCAGCACGCTCGGACTCCGATTGGTCCTCTTCTCGCTCGCGAGCGACCTTGGCAGGTGGTGCATCAGTCATGACATCGTCCTCCGGCTTTTCTAAGGTGGGGGTAGGCTCAGCTGGAGTCGAGATGGGCTCGGCAGGAGTAGGCGTAGGCTCAGCCGGATTCTCTGGAGGTACGACTGCTGACAAGGAGTCTGGCACGTTGGCCGACGCGACTTGAGGCACGAGTGGTGGGGTATGGATTGGAGGAGTAGCTAGACCAGTATCGCCGACTTTAGCAACTTGAGGTACTACGCTCGGAGAGGATGCTGCAAGAACCGATGGTGCCTCAAGTGCTGGCGTAGAGTCCACAGCGGGTGCGATCTCGGACTGTGAAGGGACTTCAGCAACAGCCGCATTGTCTTCCGCGTGTTTCTGCGCCTCGATCTCTGCTACTTGCGCGGGTGCAAGTTCGTCCGCATGAGGTGGCGACCGCAGGTCCGACATGGGCGGCTGAGGAACAGAATCTGGAATGGTATCGGTCGTCGCTTGAGTAATCTCAGTGGCTTCAATGGACGACTGCGCTTCAGCGGGCAATGAAGATGGAATGACCGAGTCAGCGAAAGAGGTGGCATTGGAAGAGGTTACCGGAGGCTGTTGTGGAGGCAGGCCTGACTCAGTTGGCATCGTGGGCACTGAGACAGGCGCGCTAGGCAGCTCGGGTTCTGCGACTTTGGAGTCTTCAACCCCGTTGACGCGCGGCTCGGAATGGTCGCCATTTATTGTGGCGTGTGAAGTCTCAGGTTGAGGAATGGCTGACTCGCTCGAGTTAGGTGTCGCTTTGACCTCGATTGAGGGCGCGGACGGTATTTCGGCGTTCGATACGGACGCTTCTACGTTTGAGGCAATGCGCTCGGGCTCAGGCTGCTGTGAGGTTGTACCGAATTGCTTTGGGAGTCTGGAAGAATAAGTCAGGATGTGTGAGATCGACGGTATGAGTGGCGCAACGTACCCTTGAGACTCCATTGTCATCTCGACATCCATGGCGTGTTCGGTGCTTGAGGGCGGCTGATATTAGAAGATAATGGTGATTTAATGTACAATGGCGTTCGATCCGGTGGAGCCAAGGTGGCGGCACGGAAGAAAGGTAAAGCCGAACACGAAGTGCGCGAGGCGCGGATTAAATAGGTTGATTGAAAGTGAAATGTGGAATGAATGATGGCAGCCTGCTGACACAATTAAGTGGCAACTCGGACGACGGAGGTGTGCGGGATGGGTGAGAACAAAGTCAAGATCGCAAGGATGAATTTATTTCTCGAGAAGCTGGACCGGTCATGTGACTGACGACGGGTAGCGCCAAGGCCTATCACCAGCAAAGGGCAGGCGCGACCACGCGGACCTTGGCGTGACAAGGCAGCGGCAATGGCGACCACGGCTACTTGCGCACAGCTGCGACAAGTCAAAGTCAGTAATGGCAGTGACAGCGATTGCAGACACTGAAGAATGATGGACGAAGGGAGAAACGTCGCAGTAATGATGTTGTGATGTTGTTGTGACGCGACGAATCGTAGCTCGGCTTGGCGGAGGGGGAGACGGGAGACGCGACGTGAAGAGGCCGAAAAAAACGGAATTTCTGAGGCGACCGCGCAACCCTTTTAAAGACGCCGGCAAGAAGGCAGTCCGATGAAAATCAGCACCAGGCGCAAATCAATGCTGGCCACACCCTGCCGAGTGGAGTCTGGTGGCACCCAATGTGCGCAGTTCGATTGGCTGATGCCGGGCTGTAGGCTCCCATGCTAGCCCCCTTCCTTTCCTAGTCTCTGACGAGATGGTCCGTGCGTATTTCCGCACTCTCCTTTTTACGCGTCAATCTCCTCCCTCTGGTGCCCCCTACCACTGACAGCCCGCCTCACCCCGGTCCTCCCGCCCCTCAACCACTGGTCACGAGACTTCCTCTCCGAGAGTTGCCTCCGGACTTACCAAAGGCTGCACCATAGTTATGAGGTTTTTGAAGGGCAAAGCTCAGGCAGGCAACACGGAGGCAAACATCTCTATGATGTCACGTGCTCTGCACCGATGACTCATGGCGTCCATCGCAGCCTGGAGTTCTGAATCCCGTCCGTAATAGCGAGAATTGGAGGCATTACGAACCTCAATGCTCGTTCGCGAGGCCGCTTGCGTTCCTGACCGATGCCGATATGATTCCTGGCGCTGTGTCGATGCTAGGTGTTCCCTCGGGGAATCGGACAAGAACATTCAGGTGGTGCTGACAGACATGCCGAAGCCTCCGATCAAAATGCGTGTAGCATGCCCTTCCGGAGCCCGGTACGTTTCAAGATGTCGTCAGCCTCGGACTGGTTCCTATGTCTTGCGGGCGGTCTCGTAGGAACCTGAAAATTCAGACCACGTAGCGGCTAACTCACCTGAGATTTCTGCTTATCGACCAAATAGGTGCAGCAGTCGTTTCAGGGAGAGGAATCGTGGAGATGCTGCTGGTTAGTTGTGGATGGGCTGGTGCAAGGTCTCGAAGGCGCATCGACCTCGCCCGCGATGGGGCGAGATCAGTATGGACCATTGGGTCAGAGAGCATTTGGACTTTGTTGCGCATGTACCAAGTGTTACAATTTTTGCATGGACTCTTCTGTGCGACCGGTGGTGAATGCCTGTGTGAGGTTAAAGAATCGACAACGCGGACAAGTTGTTCAAGGCAGGCGAACGGCAGAGGTAAACCTACGAGGAGCAGGCTCTTGTCGACGCTAACTCAGGTTAGTTAGCGTCAAAATTATCGGTGACATCCAGTGGCTCCCGCAAAAAAAGTTGCGCTTCGCAAACTGCTGTATTGCAGCCTCTAAGTAAACCTAGGACTCGACGTTCTCTCACACTTATGCTTGCTTGCATAATGTGAACGTGCTGGTGTCTAGTCTCACTTTCAACCATTATCTTTCTTGTGTGAACTCCGTATTGCCGTCAACATGGGCAAGAAGCAAGTCACGGCCGCCACCTCCAAGCCTGCCTCGGCCAGAGCAGGTGCCTCGAAATCTTCTATCCTGAAATCCTCCTTCGCACCGTCAACTTTCCAACTACGGCTGTTTGCCTCGGTCATACAAAGCTTTGAGTCTCAGCAGTTGCGCGTTCATGACACCTCCACTGGCCGTTTGCGGTGCCAGCATGCTGCAAAGCCCGGTCAGAGGTTTACTTGCCTAGATTGGGGACACTCGACCTCACATCCCAATGGCACTCCCAGTAAAAAGAGCAAGAAGCAAGACAGCGTCATACTGGCTTATGGCACAAGTACATCTGAAGTCTGCCTGTTCTCACCTTCGGAAGGTCGGTTAGTTGGTGAACTTGCTGGCCAGCACGAAACAGGCATTGCCGACTTCAAATTTTCGCAGACCGACTTCAGGCACGGCTGGAGCTTAGGAGGTGATGGGAAGTTGACACAATGGGACGTCAACAGTAGGAAGGCTTTGCGCACTATCTCCTTGCCCGACTCTACCATCCATACGCTCGCGCCCATCCACCTGCCTACATCAATACTCTGCGCCTCCTCAACACCCTACATGATATTCACCGACTCTCAAGATGACATTCAGCCCCAATCGTTCGACGCAATGAAGAACTCAATACTGGCTTTGTACCGCTCCACCCCCGACAAAGCATCTTCAGCCGAATTCTTCCTTGCTGCGGACGGCGATCGTTATATCAATCTATACGATACTGGGAAGCATCGCTTAGCAAGAACTTTGATTGCAAGCAGTGAGGTCAAATCTCTCGATCTCGGTGCCGGAGATGTCGATTTGGCTAGTGAGCGAGATCAACAAGTCCTTGCTGTTGTCAATAAAGATGGCACAGTCGAGCTCTTCCCAAAACCATTTGTTCCGCCGCAAAGTCGCAATGGCGACCTCAAGTCTAGTCGCAAGGACCTGACTCAAAAGTCAGCTGCGCAGATCAAGCTTGTTGACTCCTCCAACCGATCAGCCGCTATCTTCGCCGCCTCAATACAAGGACCAGAGGTCGTTCTAGCCTCGGTAGATGGCGGTGTCGACCTGAGTTTTCAGAAGATTCGTTGGCAAGACGAAGGCTCAGGCGAGCTACTCTTCACTGGCGTCAAGGAGTTGATGAAGGCCAGGTCTGTCGCGTCCCTCTCGGCTAGTATCAATGGTGCGAAAGACATGGGCAAGCCGCATGTCGATGAATCAAGTACTGTCGTCACCAACGGCATCGCCCCTGCAGGGTCCCAGGAGGTTGCCATAGAAATTGACAGCACTGACGTTGATGATGACGAAGAAGCCGAAACGGATTCAGATGCCGGGGATTTCCAAGCCGAAGCCGATGGTGCTTCCGAAGCATCTGAAGGCGACGACGAAGAGATGCAGGACGCGCCTGCCGTCCCAACCACCTCCGAGACACTCACCACAATGACCTCCGATCCCGCCGCAACTGCTGCTACAGACGGAGAGCCGACGTTCGGTGATCGCCTCGCCAACCTGCACCCGAATCCCAAGACCATTGCTATCCCCATCGAGCCTTCACCCACGTCTCTCCTGACGGCGGGTGGCCACCTTTCCCTTCCTACCGGTCTTTCCCTGTCCACAGTCCTCACACAAGCCCTGCGCACCTCTGATTCGCCGCTTCTTGAAGCTTGCCTACACACTCCAGACCCAACCGTTGTACGAAACACACTTACACGTCTTGATCCGAGCCTTACTGGTATTCTGATCCAGAAGCTGGCTGAGCGTATGGTCTCCCGTCCCGGCCGCTACGGTGGCCTGCAAGTATGGGTCCAGCACTTGTGCGTCGCGCATGGTGCAAGCATCAGTCAAAATGTTGCTGCACGGGAGAGTTTGAAAAGTCTGTATCGTGCATTGGAACAGCGGGCAAGTGGGCTACCGAATCTACTGCTGTTGAAGGGGAAGCTACAAATGGTGGAGGGTCAATTGCGCTTTCGAAGAGAGATCGCCGCTCAACGTGCCGAAGCTGGATTTGGAGGCGCTGCAAAACCTGTCAACGTCATGGTCGAGGGCGAGGGCGATAATTGGGAGAGCGAAGAGGAGTACGACGAGGCTGCCGGCGTTGAGACCAAACGTGGCAAGAGCGCCCGGAAGGCATTGAATGAACTCGTCGCTCACGACTCCGAGAATGGAGATGACCAGGATGAAGAAATGCCACTTGCTCTTACGAACGGCGTCTCCGACTCCTCTGACAACGAAGAGCACTCTTCTGACGAGGACGTGGTACAGCGGCCAGGCGGACTCGTTGTCGATGAGGCAGAGGAGGAGCTTGAGTCCGGCTCTGACGACGAAGACGAAGGGAGCGACCAGGGCAGCGAGGATGATGAGGATGATGAGGATGATGAGGATGATGAGGACGATGACGAGGACAGCGAGATGGACGGCTTCATCAATGACGAAGAAGTCTCCGTAGGTGAAGATGATCCCATACTCGACGATGGCGACGAAGAAGCGGAAGAGAAACTCAAGACCAAGAGGCGTAAGACTTGAAGGCGATGCATGCATATGGAGTTGGAGTCGGAGTCGAGCCACCACATGTCCCGAGTCCGGGCCCCATCAAGCTCTGTTTGCCCTCACGACGTCTCGATCGACTAAGCAAGTCCAATCGTTGATCGCGAACCGGATGCGGAATTTCTAAAGAGGCGGGGCGAGGAACAGCAATCCTGGTCAACCACAGCATTGCACCAAACGTGGAATTATCACCGCAGTCCAAACATTGCATCGATGTGCACAAAACAAACCCACACCCATACCACACCATACCACGCTACGCCACGATATCCCCAAAAAGTTTTGCATATAACGTCATGAGGATACGAGTGATGTTTTTGCATCTGATTATGCGCTTTTTTTGTCCCATCATGGATAGATGGAAAGGATGGAAAGGTGGCGGTCTTGTGTCAGAGCGCAGCACAGCACAGCATAGCATAGCATATTGTTATTGTAGCATAGCACCGGCGCTCCGAGTGGTTCGTCGTGAATGAAATGGCTGGCTGGTACTGCACGTTAACAGAATCTTGAGGCTCAGGGTAATGATGAGTTGTGCTGCCTCATGTTCGGGTCTCGAACACAGCTCGCTCTATGGTAATGATACCCAGAATCCGTCTGAGGACTCCCTCCGCCTAATGATGCGGAGGGCCCAAGTGGCATTTATATGCAACCAAATCGCCCTAACGAATACTCTCAATCTCCTCGCTCCATCTCGCATTCCTCCCGCCGAGCTCTCCAATACCTTCGCACCAACCCTCAAGCACCCTGCTTCCACCCAGCACACCTGGCCTCGTGCCCAAGCCTCTGCCACCAGCAGTGCCCTTACTCTTACCTGCCCATACCTCGAAAAACTTGACCGTCTGATCGCAGCAAGCGATGATAAGACTGCCTTCTTCTTCGGTACGAGATGCCCATGTTTCGCCCTCGCCACGGATGCTAGAACGGGCCCTTGACATGGCACGCTGACGCGTTCTCTCACGGCGTCGACGAGTAGCAGATAAAGAGCCGCTCCGTGGGCCGTTCAAGCCGTCACGACGACTGAAAGATCTGCCGCGCTGTTCGAGTATTTCCGCAGCATCATCGTCAATCTCTCCTCCCAAGGCATCGGCGAGCTGTTCACGAGGTTCCCTCGTTTCAGCCCTCCTTCGTCGGGCTTCGAGCCTTCTGACAGTCTCCCAGGATGTGAATCCTTCCCTTGCATGACGCCTGGAAGGTACTGCGTCATTAGGTCCGCCTGGGTATGGAATCGCCCACAAAGCACGGCCGATCTCGCCGTTGGCTTTTCTTTCCCAAGGTATGCTCACCACACATCTGCAGTCTGGCCAACTGAATACTGCAATTCGCACTTCGTGGTCAGGCTGTGCATACCCAAAGGTGACTGCGAGTTCTCGACGAGTGGTGCTCTACACCAGGCTTGTGACTTGGGCAAAAACGTTGATGACTGCGAGAGCAGCGCCCGAACCTGTATGGTGAAAGTGGATCTGTCGGTCATTACTTCCTCCACCTGTGGCTAGTAAACTGGCCTGCCAAGGGGCGAATGCCATGGCTTTGACTGCAGCGGCGTGATATAATGTGAAAGTTTGCATATTCGGAAAGCCCGGTATGGCTGGGTTCACGAGGCTGTTTTGCAGTGCAGGAAGTGCATCCATGCGCTCCTGCTGCTTACCACGAGCTTGGGGTATTTGCGCCATTCCTTCTGCAGACTGAGGACGGCTTGGAGGCATGCCGCGTTCATAAGTTGTATCGATAGGCTGCTCGAATATACTGAGGTTCGGGTGAGTCCCTTGAATGTAGCTGCGCTCAGGCGAGGTCGGGGGTGTCATCGGTCCAGTTTCCACGGCACTTATCGAGATCCTACTGCCACGAGGCTCGATAGTAGATGTTTGTTCTTCCATTCCCTCCTGCTGTGCCGCTCGCATGAGAATGCTTTCGGTTGTGAACAAGAGAGCAACATTGTCGTTGCCACCGCTGGCAAATGCCTCACCATCTGGAGCCCATGCCAATCCACAAATATTTTGAGCGTGAGCATCGAGCTTGAGCAGTAATGTCATGGATCCCGGCTCGAATTCCGGCCACTCAATTGAGTAGTAGTAGATGCGACCAGAGTCGTCTCCGATGATCAGGTCTTCACACGGCACGATGTTTGCGGACTTGCTAGACTGGCGCAGGGTGACTGCTGGTCTGAAGGCCACGCAAGACGCAGGACACGGATGCGGAGCCTCAAAGCGAGGGCGTGTTTCCAGCAGACTCCAGAGGATCACATCACCGCTATGACGAGCCACAGCAAGGATGGACTTGGAGCCTTCGTCAGAGGAGAAGGCCAAAGATGTCACGAAATTGGACAAACGAGATGGTGGAAGCGGTGGACAGCGTACCCCATACTCTTCGGTCCAAAGGTAGACTTTGTGCGTCAATGCTACAGCCAATGTGTGCGAGGTGTAACAATATGCAAGAATCGAGCAGTAGTAGTCGTCTTTGAGGTGTGGGGCATCGAGCACACGAAATGGGACTGTTGGGATGACCTTCTCAGTCCTGCGGGTTTCCATACTTTTCGGAAGCGGTGCTGCCACAGGTTAGCATAATTCCTATCATGGCTGATAACAGTATACCTTTGTGGGCGTGATGTCGGCCCCAGGCGCAGTCGCGCCACCTCACTGCCTGATCATGAGCTGCTGGAGTGCCCGATGTGTGGGATGTTCCACGTGACGGACTTAGTATTCTTGCAGCCTGGTCGATTTCCAAGGCGAGGGCTAGTCGATTCTCATGGGCTGATCGCAGATCAGCGTGGGTAGGTGCGTCTAGAAAAGCAGGTGTATGCATTGGCGCATTGGTACCGCTCGCAATTCTCTGTCCAGAACCGGTTGGTACACCGCGCAGTTGGCCAAACTGTGCAGCACTTGCACCGCCCACGGTCCAGAACCCTCCCCAGCTTGTGTGCCGGAGAGCATCCGGTCCACGACGGGGATCGATATTGACCGGACCAGCATCAACGCCATGAACGAAGGAGGGCATATAACGAGGGGGATGCAGGCCGTAAGCGGTGCTGGGAGTTCGACGATTTGCAGTCTCCTGCGACCTGCTCTCAGTCTGCGAACGGAACGGGTCTGCAGCTGGGTCTCTCGCTCTACCATATAGTTCTCTTCGATGGAGACTAGAAGGGGGTTTGCTGGTCAGGAAAGGAGTGGCCTTGTCATGGTTCGGTCGTGAAGGAATGAAGCGATCGGGTGAGGTCCATCGAGTACGCGCAAGTACAATCGGACTCGCGCTAACACACCTCCTCTTCCGCGGTGGACTTCCCATGCTTTGAGCCGGATGCTGCTCGTTGCGTGTTTGAGTTGTCGAAACGTGTGCCATAAGCTCGCTGATTTGAGGCCGCCTCGGAACGCTGCTCGTCGAGGTCACATTGGACGTTTGATGGACGTCTGTATTTGCGTCTCCAGTGCCAGAACCAAAATCCGACGGCGAGGACGATGACGACAGCTGCGAAGGCAATGATTCCGATGTTTGACCTATCAAGGGTTGGTTGCTCCTCTTCTTGAGCATTTGATCGGAGTCTGCTACCGAATCGCTCATCGGTGTACACGGCAGGCCAACAAATGTTGGTGTGATAGATGGTATACTACTCCCATCCAGCCAATGATGGCCGACCGAAACTTGGTGGTGGCATGACCGACGGCTTAGGATGCTGTAGTGTGTCAACACTGGGAGGCTTCCAAACATGGCGATCTGGGCATGATGAGTGTAGAAGCAAACGATATGCCGTCAAAAGGTGAACGTCTACCAGTCGAAGGTAGACTAAAAGCTATACTTTGGGAATTAAGTCTTAACGCTGCGAGTGGGTTGTGGGATGTCGTTGTCCATTGGCAGAGACTGATTGGAGATCCGATGTGGACTCAGATTCGAGGTTGCCTAAATCAGGCGATGGCGCCTTCTGCAGATCTCTTATCCTTCTTTCCAATCCATGAGTCACGAGTAGCGGGACTACACATGTGCCAGCCAGCAAGAGTGACCAGGATCAAGTGAGTCAAGCTCTGTTTCGAAGAGATGGCAAGCGTAAGCATCAGAACCATGATGCGCACGGAGAGCTAACAGCGGGGCAGCATGGTATTCCTCGCGCAGAGGGTCGTGGTGAACAAAGTGCAGAAGCGCGAGCGAAGGAACTAAAGGAGATCAACCAGTACAAAAGATTGGTGGACGAGATTGACATAAAGGTAAGTCTTTGCTCCGTTGTTGCAGTTGTTTGACGGGGATATAATTGCGGACAGGTTGATGCGGGGGAATTCACCCCCGAACTCCTCCAGAAGACCGCGGAGCTGTTGAAGAAGAATCCTGAATATTACACGATTTGGAATCATCGCCGACGAATCTACGCAAACGAGTTCAGGGATCTGGCTTCACAGGTGAAGGATGGCAAGCTGTCGGAGGAAGAGCGGCAAAGCCAGGTGTTGGACATTGTCAAGCTCGACCTGCAATTTCTGTTCCCATTACTACTGAAGTTTCCCAAATGCTACTGGATTTGGAACCACCGTCTGTGGCTGCTGGACCAATCTACACTGTTGCTGCCACGAGAGACGTCTCACAAGCTATGGACCGAGGAGCTCGCTTTGGTGGGCAAGATGCTCTCTCGCGACAGCCGCAATTTCCATGGCTGGGGCTATCGGCGGACGGTGATCACAAATCTGGAGAACCTCGATGAGACCAGTATGGCGCAGAAAGAGCTTGACTACACCACGAAAATGATCTCTGCCAATCTATCCAACTTCTCGGCGTGGCACAATCGGTCTAAACTCATCATTCGCACGCTCGCCGAACAACAAGCAGAGGACGACGAGCGGAAGAGGATGCTTGACGAAGGTATGGACGTCCCACTTCACCAGTGCTCGCTAACACAGTCAGAATTGAAGCTGATCCACAAGGCTCTGTTCGACCCCTACGACCAGTCACTTTGGTTCTATCACCAGAATTTGATGTGTTGTCTCGACCCAGCGACAGCGCCGCGAACAATGGCGCCCAACCTGAGCACCGACGAGAGGTTAGCGTATGTCTCTGAGGAACAAGACTTTATCGAAGAGCTTCTGGAAGACACAGACGACTGCAAGTGGATATATCAATCATTGATCGAGCTGGCCTTTTTGCAGGCGAAGCTGAGGGGTTTGGACATCGAGGCAGAACGAAGGGGGAGTCTAAAGGAGTGGCTCCAGAAACTCAAGTCCTTGGACTCTCTGAGAATGGGTCGGTGGACTGATCTTGAGTCGTTGCTGCTTGCATGATGTCGGATATCTGCTCCGATGGTGTTGTGTAGATCAGAAGATGCTGTTCTCAGCAATGCTGCATCAAGTAATGAACAACCTCGTGCAATGCCGACCAGATTTCAGCAGGGTGAAACAGGGCCCATCCAAGCCTAAACTTTGGTGCGTTAGCTGGTTCCAACTAAGCCTCGGCGAAGAATGCCGCTAAACGGCCCGCCCTGTTGCGCGTGATTGGCCTTGTCGCGCCCCCGTTTACTTGCAGTCATGTCCTCATTAGGCGATCGCAAAAAGTCACGGTTCATGCTTGCCTGGCCTCGACTTTCCCCGAGTCGGCCAGTACACACGACCTGCGTGCAGTACCCTGTATCATTGACTTTCACCCTTTGCATACATTCGTTCACTCAGTCAACACCAGCACTCATATTTTCTGCTCATTGCCATTCTCAACGTATTACTCCCAGCAATTTCCGCCTCGGCTGTGCTTTTGACAAACGGCTTCTATACCCGGCTACTGCTCCCGTTGGTACCACCTAATCTCGACTGCCCCCTTTGCATCCGCCCTCCCTCACGAGCCGCTCAGAAGTTGCGAATATACATCCCGATGTGTTGAGAGCCTCACATCGATTCTTGAGGCCTGCTGGCAGCATAACGTTACTGCGCAGCTATCACTATGGACACCGTCGAATCGAGCGCAGACAATACGGACAGGGAAGAGGTACATATCCCGTTCATCGCAGGAGCATCCAGTGGCTAACCGGTGCAGAACTTCGAAGATGCGAACAGCTCTCGACTCGATTCGAAGCCCGAGTCAGCCGAGCCATCAGAAAAGAGCCCCGATTCCGGTCAAATCTCACAGCGGCAGAGCCAGGCTTCAACGGTGGAACCAAAGTCCAATGGAGACGTGGACGTTAGGCAAACGTCTTCGATGCCCGATACTGACCCTGTCAAACGAACCTCCTCAGCTGTTGAATCGTTGCCACCAGAGGGAGATACCCCAACTCCAGCCACAATACCCGATGACCCTCCTAAGCCATCTGTTCAGAGCATAGCCACATCCTTGGAAGGCAAGGAGGACAATACCCCTATGCCTCCACCAAAACCACAGTCTCGGCCTTCTAGATTTGGAAACTTCTCGGCCTCTCTGCCCGCTGTACCTTGGGGCAGTGCTTCTACGGATAGGCGTAAGTCGGATGCTCGCGCACCATCCCCACAACCTCCTACGCAGTCCGGAAAGCAGAAGTCTACACCCTTCGGATGGTTCTCAAGAGCTTCGACCGCCACAACTCCAAAAGATAGCCGCTCGCCACCACCTCCCGACATGCGCAGGAACACTGCAGCGTCCATATCGACCATTGGCAGTAATCCCGAGCTGAGCATGAAAGCCTTCGAAGATGGAGATGGGCGACCGCCAGCACGCCAATCGCTGAAAGAGAAATTCAAGATGCTTCGATTACAGGAAGAGGTCGGCATTAGAAATTTGGATGAGCCCAACGAGGCCAAAGACGAGAACAATGGCACTGTTGGACTGGGAATCGAGACACCTACCGACGGTGATCAGACAGCAAAGCCACCAGCAACCCCCATGTCTCCCACGACCCCCTCTACCAACGTCAACCCTGGTCTTGCTCCTGGTACAGTGTCTGGGTTCTCGACCTCTGCTACCGATGCGTCTGCACCTATTGATTGGGACTTCTGGCAGACGGTGGTCAACGAGGGCCCTCAGGCTGTCTCGAGGACGAGCCCCGAGGAGCTGGCTGCAGCCATCGCCAGTGGCGTCCCACAGACCATCCGTGGAGTCATCTGGCAGGTGTTGGCGGGCAGCAAGAACGACGATCTAGAGTCGGTCTACTTCTCACTGAAGGCCAAAGGTACAGACAGGGATTCCAAAGAACTTCCCGTGTCTCTTAACGGCGTCAATGGCAACGCAAAAGAGCGATCTGTGTCGTCTTCGCGCTCATCAACCAGGTCGGAGCGGTCCACTCCAGCAACGAGCGCAAATGGGCCAGTTGGCTCCCCTTCACCCTCAACGGAGATGTCTGACCCAATCAAGGACCAGAAACTGCAGGTCCAACTTGCGGCAGAAAAGGCCAAAAAGGCGAAAGACGACGCGGCAGCGCTTGCTAAGCTTGAAAAGATGATCAAACGAGATATGGGCTCCCGGACCAGCTACTCGAAGTACACGACAGCGGCGGGGCTGCAAGACGCGCTTTTCAATGTCTGTAAAGCGTATGCATTGTTCGACAGCGAGGTGGGATATCCACAGGGTATGAACTTCATTATCATGCCCCTACTTTTCACCATGTCCGAGGAGGAGGCTTTCTGTCTGCTTGTCCGACTCATGAACAAGTATCAGATTCGTGATCTTTTCGTCGCAGACATGCCTGGCCTGCATCTTCACCTGTACCAGTTCGAGCGGCTGCTCGAGGACGCGGAACCGGCATTGTATTGTCATTTGAACCGGCGTGGAGTTTCGCCCAAGCTGTATGCCACGCAGTGGTTTCTCACGCTTTTCGCGTATCGATTCCCTCTGCAGCTTGTAATGCGTGTCTACGACTTACTACTATGTGAGGGTCTGGAAGGGGCGATTCTGAAGTTCGGCATGGCGGTCATGCAGCGGAACGTGCAGACGTTGCTGAGTATGAACGATATGCAGGCTCTGACAACTTTCCTAAAGGAAAAAGTCTTCGATGTATACATTGACAGGGACCCTTCATCCAGGTCGATGCTTGACGCTGGCTTCTTCGGTAACTCTGCAGGCTCCGATAATGAGGTGTATCGGGCAGACCTAATTGTGCGTGACGCCTCGGCCATCAAACTCACTCCACAGATGCTCAACCGCTACCGTGAAGAGTGGGAGGAGCGCACAACCTCCGAGAAGGCTCGAGAGACAGAGCTCGAAAATTTGCGGACCGACACCGTCACCAAGGCCTCTCAGATTCGGTCGCTAGAACAACGAGCTGAGAAGTCTGATGCTGAGCACATCGAGATCGCAAATGAGCTTGTGAAGCTGAAGGTCGAAAACACCGAGCTGAGCGACCGAAACGAGTCGTTGAATGGACAAGTTGAAGAGCTTAGAAAAGTTGCAGAGAGCGAAGCCAAGAACGTTGAAGAGCGGCTCAGAGAAGGCATGGAGCAAGTTATGCAGCGGAATGTCGAAGTCCAGAATGAGAATCGTCATATGGAGGAGCAAATGGCTGAGATGGAACGGGAGCTGGTGGAGATGAAGATGAAGTTCGCTGAGGTAAGTGCCGCATGTCAGACTATCGACATCCAGATTTACTGACCTTGAAACAGCTCAACGCAGACCACGAAGGGCTGAAGCAAAAGTGGAATGACCTACGCAAAGCCCTGGACTAGCTGTCTAACCGCAAGGCGTACGGGAGCTCGCTGACTTCTGGCTCCCTTTCATCAATCACTTCCGGTCAGGTGCGATGAGGCTGGATCCTCCGCAGCTGACGCCGTTGACGAAGCGATCTGACTTCTCATGACCTTCACGAGCACGACAAAACCTTTGATTGGAATCAATCTTTGAATGATGAACATGTGTTAAAACTGCATAGACTAGGTGTGCGGAGAGAACGACGACGCGCTGGCGGTGGGCAGACAAGCTCACGTGTGGGATGTTGGATTATACGCTGCTTGTGGGCACACGCATCGGAGGCAGTGGCAAGCCTGAGCCAGCCAGCCCCCCTCATCGCCCTCGAGAAGATGGAGGAGCTAGGCCAAGCCCGCTGAGAACTGAACTTGTGCTGCTGCGTGCAGACTCAATAGCAGCGGTATTTGCAGTATCGCAGGCGAATGGAGATGTATAAACGTACGCCGCAGTTGTATACCAACGACTCTGATTGCCGTTGCATCCTTACTCCCTTTTTTTAGTACAAGCACCAGCATCAGATGGTGCTGACGCGCACAGGCAGCGTTCTCTTGCGTATTTCGCCCATGAAAGCTATGGATGCCTAAAGGAGTAGGTTACCTGCGGTTTACGGCTAGCGGCACCACTCAGCGCGTCATTTGGCGTCATTCCGTGGTGCTACCAAGAGAAGCAGCGTATCTGCCGAATCTGGTAACTAGACTTACATAGGCTTTCCAACGTTTTTGGACAACAAGTCACCGCCACTCCCGTATGGAAATTGCGGTGAGAAATGAGAGTCTGGACGACTTTCGTGTGCTGCAACGCGCCGTTACGTGGAGAGATTGAGATGGCATATCCTGTGTCCGTACAGCACGGGGATTTCGAGGCGTCGTTTGGGCGTTGCTGTTCTCCGAGATCAGGCAGTATCAGCCAACCCCAGCGCGGTAGATGTCTTATTGGGATTGATCTCTTGTCGGGACACGGCTAGAGGGTGCGTGTAGGCTATAGACGACAGCTTGGGATACAATACTCTTCTCGATGGTTGTGTCGGGGCCTGGCCAGGCATCGGTGCTTTATCAAGATCATGATCGGGCATCTGATATGCGTGTAGGCAGTGAATTCTTGGCAGATGGGTTGAGGACATGTAGTGTACGTTCAATTGTGCCTTTGACCTGTTTGAGTCACAAAGTACTGGGAAAGAACCATCAGACGAAACCATTCTCCTAAACGGGATGATGCCCGCCCTCTCTATACACACACCTCTTCTGACTCGATATCACGCACCTCAGGTCAGCAACTGCTCCGGCTTCAACACCCCCTTCTTCAGCAACGCCGTAACAATCGGCCCACTGTCACTCACGATCTCGGTCTTGCGCAACTTGAACGAATCCCCTGACTTCCGATAATAGAACTTGAACCCCCCCGGCGCCGCGATCTCCCACTTCCGGCCCTTCTGGTCCACCACCTGCTCCGAGGACGGGGCGCCAGGGAGGTTGGCGTAGACTTTGGCCAGGCCAATCATCTCGTAGTCGCCGCTGGTGCCGACCGCGTAGCTGTTGAGATAGTAGGGCTCGTGGTGGTAGGCGGTCAGGGGCCCGTAGGTCTCGCGCAGGGCGGTGAAGGCTTCGTTGATGCCGTGTACAGTCTTGCCGGTGGAGGTTATGTACCTGTTGGAGGCGGGGAGGTGGGCGTCAGTGGATGAAGCGATGCTTCACCTCAAATTGGGCAGCATAGGGGAGAGAGCGGTGCAGGGGCAGTGTTTGTTGGAGGAGAACCTGCGGCTAGATGTCCGAGGGGAGGTTCGTCAGGGAAGGAGGACTTACGTGAAGTCGGAGTCGTGCCATTTGTCGAGCTCGGCGGCCATAACTTCGAGACCCTCATCGTACTTGTTGGTGTAGGCCTCCATCCACGCCATCGCGGGGTGCTTGCGTGAGGTGTCGTTCCAGTCGGCGTAGTGGACAAAGGCGGGTACGGTGTCGAAGGACATGTCGTTTGTTTGCGTGACGAACTGAATGGATGGCTGTACTATGGGGAAAAGATGGCTGTTAGGCTACGAGAGTCCTCGGCTGTGAGTTGTGCGGTGGACGGTTGCTGTTGGTACACGATGCTGAGTAGTGAGACTTCTTCGCTGCATCCAGTATCCAGCAGCCAGGCTCCTCCCTCATATACTCCATTCTCCTTCAGCTCAGCCTCGTGATGCTCCAGCCATTGCAGATGCGGACTGCGTGTTTGTACAGTCTGGATCGCAGCCACACTGCCAATGATTGGGGGCTTCGAGGCTGAGAACCGGGTCGGAGAATAGACCTCTACACGTGTACGAAAAGCGATGCGGGGGGGCTACTGTAAGCATCACGAATTCGACTTTTCAGCCCGCTTTCGATTGATCAGGCTCGCAAACCTTAAGAACGAAGCTGAAAAAGCTCATTGTTCTTTTGACGATTGAACTTGGACCGTCAAGTGGAAGAGCTGGCTGCCCGTACACCTGCAGTGTGGGTGCATTCTATCCGGATCAAGGCATTGACTGCGTATCAAAAAAGAGTTCAGCCCATGATACGAAGTAAAAGAAGCTCATTCTCGGCTCTATTTAGCGGTGGTGATGGCATCGAATAAAAGACTTGTGGCGCCTCGCGAGACTGGTCCGGTGCCGCAGTGTGTTTCGTTTGGCGAGGTCTTACCCGATGGAACCTGTACTACTAGATGCAGAAGCTACCTCAAACATTCTCGAGCCCTTGGTTGCAAGCCACGTTAGCCAGTCTCGAATTGCTACCTTTATGGCTTGACCGTGGAGAACCAGGTGAATTGCAATTCTCAATGTCTTTGGAGTTGGAAGTCGAGGTGGTACTGTTATGAAATGCCCGCTGTCCCCAATCTACACCAGGCTAGCTTCGCTGTCTCGAGTCTAAAGCCGCACCCTTCCGCCCTTCACTTCCTGCCACTCCTTCTCACCAAACGGCACGTATGCCCGTTCCCCAGGCGGCAGCCAGAACAATTTGTCTGGTGCCTCACCTTTCGCTTCTGCAGCCTTTCGAATGGCATCCGGATCAACACCCTCCCCTCTCAGTCTACCCTTCTGCAGTTTCATGGTTCCTGTGTATTCCAGGCTCTGCGAAACCCTGATCCAGATCGGAACTGCGTATCGTGGCATTCTAGAGAGACACCACTCCGCTAGGCCCTTCCAGTCCATCTTCTCCACAGTCGTGTCTTCGGTGAGCACGACGGCAGCACAGCCAGCCCGACCGTCACTGTGAGGGACTAGCACGCCGTAGACATTGCTCTCGGCGATAGAAGGGTGGAGGCCGACCACGTCGGCAACTTCGGAGGTGGAGACATTCTCGCTGTGCCACCGGAAAGTGTCGCCGAGACGGTCCGAGAAATACAGTACTCCGTTCGACTGAACGAAATTGTTAGTAGGAGTAGAAGGGTGGCAAAGGAGGTCAACATACGTCAAGCCGCATCATGTCGCCACTCCGGAACCACATGTCGCCTTTTTGGAACACGTCCCGAATGATTCGCTTGTCGCCGGCAGCTTTGTTCTTGTAGTAGCCGCTGAATGGGGATATCGCCGCATTGGGGTCCATCTTGTGCAATACCTCCCCTGCATCACCGGTCTTGCACTCCGTCGCAAATCCCTGCTCATTCTTGAGAATCTCTTGACTGTCAGGATCGATATAGACTCGTTTCTCGTTCTGGCCGTTGCGGTAATGCCATAACCAGCCTCTGACTCCAATGGCGTTCCTGGAGAAGGGGCCACGGTTGGCATTGAAGCTGCTGCCCAGTCCGTCGGTCGCGGCATAAAGCTCATTGATGGTTTGGATGCCAAAGCGCTCTCGAAAGACCTCCCACACGTCTGGTCTCATGCCGTTACCCCACGCCATCTCCACACAATGATCACGGTCCAGCGGAGAAGGCGGCGCGTTGATCAAATATCGGCACAGCTCACCGACATACTGGAGGATGTTGGCTTTTGACGCCCGCACCTCAGGCCAGAAAGTCTTGTGGCTGAACTTGCGGGAGAGGATTACTGTGCCACCACCACCAATTATTGGGCAAACGCAAAGGCCATGAGCTGCACCGTGGTACAGAGGAAGGCAGGTGTACATCCGGCTACCAGGCCGAAGCCCTAGGTAATCAACCATCGCCCTCGTGAGATTGATCTCTTTGGCGCGGTTGAGGATGGTGCCCTTGGGCATGCCGGTAGTTCCGGAGGTGTAGATAAGGCAAGAAAGCGCTTGAGGGTCGATGTTCTTCCGCCGGGATTCTGGGAGTGGTGTGGTGTCCGTGAGGGTTTTGAAGAAGTCGGTGTCGTAGTACAGCGTTTCTATGCCGTCAGTGGCTAGGGCGTTCTCACACGGCTGTGTCAGAGGACGTTGTGTAGTCTCGGTTATGAGGTATCTGCTGTCACAAAGCTTGACGCTGTGAATCAAAGGAGCGGCGGTCAGGTTGCAATTGATAAATGCTGGAGCAGCGCCGATAGCCTCGAGCGCGAGCCATAGCATGAGATACTCGGGCGAGTTGCCGCCGTCTAGAGCCACAATCTCGCCTGCTTGGATACCGAGGTCGTTGAGCAGCCAGTTGCCGATTGGGGTGACCGCATGGTAGAAGTCGCGGTAGGTCCACTTCCGGTCCTCGAATTCGAGGAACATATTGTCACCTTCGGGTGTCTTGGACCGGTCCTCGAATATGTGGTAGACAAGCCTAGTTCGTCAGTCATCGTCCATGACTCTCCCCATGTAGGATGTGCGGTGCTGGCCATCAAGCATGCACTTATAACGCCGTGAGAGACAAACGTGGGCTTCTGGTAGACTGTAGATGGGAGACTTACATCTTGTCCTGGGCCATCTTCTCGGCCACGAAATCCATAGCTTTAGCCGTGGCTGTCGAAACACTCCCATTGCGTATATCATGGCGAAGATGGAGCTTTGCGTCTAGGTACGCAGCCACTGCAGTACCGCCCGCCAAGGCTGCCGCTATAGGGACTGCTTCGGTCAGCGGGTATACTCGTGTCAGAGTAAGGAGACGTACGAGCCATGGTGGTATCCTCCTAGGAGCGAGTGTCTGTACAGTCGTCAAGAAAAGAAACCAGAAAATAAAACCATTGTCATCACTCATGGCGCGAGGTTCCCGCAAACCGGGCCAAGTGTAAGTACTGACTCTACTGGCTTGCGAGAAGCCGAGGTAGCGCACGACGCAAATGACCTGGATGGCTGGGGAAGGGTCTAGGTGGGGAGGATTGCCCTAGACGAGGCCACTCTCTCGAGTCCCTCGGACCTTAGCTGCATGGGAGGGCCGTTCCCCGCATTGGGGGTTTGCCTTGTCCCGAGCTCGCCGTGCTCGGGTATTGGAGAATGCACGACAAGCCGAATAGGCGCGAAGAAGTCGTAATTTACTTACAACAATGAAAAGGAAAGCGGGAGTTAGAGATTGATGAGCATCACGATAGAGACAACGACAACAGAAGACGGATTCGAAGCGAGACGTGTAGGATGTGCTCATGTTGGTGATTCAAACCCGACTCTCTTTTGGGCTTAGCGTCTTTAGATTCGGTAGAAGACTTGTGTTCAGATCTCATTCTTCATTCTTCATTCTTCATTTCACCACCAACACGCTCGAAAGCATCGAACCAGTGAGCCTTCTCAGCGACTTGGACGGAGTGTTGCTGCATCATGTAGCTAAGCCCAAACCCGGGTTATCTCTCCCAATTGTCTCCAGTTCCACCTCTGAATCTTTGGTCGTCTTAGTCCTGAAACCAGCCAAGATCACTATGGTACTTCCAGACCATCCCACCTGGGGCCATCCAAATATCCTCGCCGTGTTCCCCGTTAGCCATGAACATCCAGCCATTCCAATCACCTGTCGCGTTCAAATCACCAGCCGTCGATGGAGCAGCACTCTGCTGGCCTTGCCACTGCCCAGCCGAAGCTAGATTAGGCATATTTGCAACGATGTTCTGGACTTCAATCTGGCTAGTGTATCCCATGTGAAGGCCTGCTTGCTGCAGCATGTTGATGCCCTCGATAGCCTTACGTGACTCCATCTCTGCATGGCGCTGCGCACTCTGCCATGGTGGCACGAATGGAGGCTGATAATGACCAATCTCATCCATGAGGTCGCTGCCGAGGTACTGGAGCGCATTGGCCTCAAAGGTGGGATCGTTGTTCATTATCTCGTTCTCTCGCTCAACCTCGGCAGGAAATGGGTCCATGATCTCCCCAAGAGCGTTGCGGTAGATTGGACCAGTTTGGTCCATTGGGAATTGCGGAATCACGGCACGCTCTTTGAAAGAGATGTAAGGCTCATTGGGATCATGTGGGACGCGTGGAGCAGGGAGGAAGCGACCTGCTCGAGTTTGCACCTGATGATTCTCACGCTGGTCGCCATCTTCGAGCATCTCGGCCTGAGTTGGCCAGTCAGCCTTGTATCGGGCAGACCGCATGTGTTCATCTGAGAAGACAGTTGGCTGCATCAGGCATGGACCGAGGCCGTTGTTGAAGACCTTTCCATTGGCCCCACCAAACACCGACTTGGGTACACGCTTCTCTCGAGGGATACCGTCTTTCTCCATGTTCTGTGTCGCAGTAACGCGATCGGACAGCTTCTGTGTATCGATCTGGAGCTCTTTCAATCTATCAGCTACCGAATCGGCTCTGAAGCTCTGCCACTCGCTGACGGTGCGGGGAAAGATGTCGGCTCTTGCGTTGGATGGTCTGGCCTTTTCCACAAACTGCTCAGGCGCAACTGTGCGAACGTTACGTCGGACTCGAGTGTAGTCGTCCTTGGCCTTGGTGTTCTTGGACTTCCACGTCAAGGCGTGGCCGTACACCGGATGTATCTCTTCCTTGCTTTCTGCAGACACACGACGAGGTTCAGCTCCTTGGTACGCCACGGTTGGTTTGGGGCCGCTGACGGCGTTGTTGTCGGCCTTGGTTTGTGTGTTGTCGAAGAAGGTTCTGTTCGCCAGAGACTGCTTGTAGTCACTTCCGGAGAAATTGAGATTCTGCCCTCTGCGGTTACGTTTGCGACGGTGCTTCTTCGAAGCGTCAGAGATGAGGTTGTCGGATTGCGTCTCAGACGAACCAACACCAGCGTTAGCCCCACTAGGCTTGTGGTCACCCTCTGGCGCATAGCCAACAAACTCTTGCTTGGCCGGCGCACTGCTAGGCACGAAGTTGAGAGCCTGCGGGTTGAGCTTTTGAAGGTGAGCGGCACCTTGCCCAGGAGTACTGCTCATTATGAATTAGAATCGTTGTGTATCGTGACTCTGAGATAGGACTTGCTTGCTGCTGATAATGAATGGCAGACACAGGAATCAGGGGCGGGTGCTAACTTGTGTCGGATGGGAGAGGTAAGTCCAACAATATCCTCTACAGCTGGTCAATATTCTATGTTTTGAATTTGTGGTGAACTTACATATCACATATCACGCACGGCCAGCTCGTGAAAAGCGCAGGCTGCCGGACCAGTATGGTGACTTGAATGGCGGCTAGCACTGGCATTCGCCTTAAGCTTCTGTCATTCGATGGCAGAGAGTGATGTAATCCTGCCTTCGCTCCTCGGAAGTGCCTGAAGAAGGTATGAACTCTCCTGAATAATGCAGGAGAAACAATGATCGGCCTAAAGAATTGCAGAATGGTGAGTTGGTGACGGAGCAGGTTACGCTGGCCTGTTTGCGATCTAAAGATGTGCAAAGTTGATAAACCCACAGCCTTGTCAGTCATGCAAGGCAAGTATTTCAGCGGCAGACTATAAGGTCACTGCAAGCCTTGCAGATTGTGACAACAATGTCTAGCAAATGCCCAAACGCTAAGGCGGCTCCTCACTTTGTTTCTGGCACGGCTTGTCAGTATTGGCTTTGTCTGGGCTTCAGTGACTATGGCTAAGACTCGGCCTCTGCCTACTTGTTTGGAGCTGAGTATGACACGCAGGCGCCGAGAAGAATCTTCAGAGGTTAGCAGAGTTCTCTGGACTCAGCTATCCGAGACGCGAGTCTAGTGCTTCCTCCACGAAGCTCATTAGATAAGATGCACGGAAAGTGCGGCCTATGTAAGTAGTGCAAGCTTGGTTTAAGGCCAGCAAGTGGTCATGCAGACCTAGCGTACTCGAGGCGTAGGGATAGCTTGAGATGCATCACTTCATAGTTGGGCGAGGATGGACGAGGCAACTCGAACCACATGCCTAGGGGTCCAGCTTCGGCTGGTGCCTTGTTGGTTGCGAGGGACTTTGACTCAGGTTTACAAGGAGTCGACGTGTTCGCCGAGTGCTCGGGACGTTCATCTGACTACGAGACTTATTGTACACTTGCGTACTGATCATATTCAAGTCAATCAGCTATGAATCTGCATCAACTACAGTGAATTCGGGCCTCACTTGGTGTGATCGGACGCCTGTCAGTATAGAAAATCTCAAAGCGAATACAATAATCGTCTTATCATCAACCTATGCTGCCCTTCATACATGCATTACCATGTGATGTTGACACAAGGCACGACGAGGCAACCAGGCGACCCCGCCTTGGCCAAAATTGTGGATCCGATCGAGGCCTTCTCGACTGCCAGTGCGTCTTCCGCTTCATATTCACGCAACTCCAAGACTACCAGTAACGACGTTACAAGCGCTTAGTCGATAGTAATGCGCATCTGGGATAGCCTTCATTATGCCAGCCGTCACTCTCCACCTTGAACCATCTCACCAAGCACATTACGCCGTTGCCAAGTCTCTCCCCACACTGCTCTCTACACCATCTGGTGTCGCGATCGTCGAGATACAAGGGACCATCCATGCTCCCTTTCCCAGTCCTGAAGATGACCCAAGCTCCGCATTGCCGACGCAAACAGCGATTGGCCACCTCGACTTCCCGGACTACGACCCTATGACGCCAGATGATACCAAATGGATGAAGAAAGCCTACCTCTACGTTGGTCGAAATCAGAGGTTGGTGGGCGAGGTCAAGAAACTGGCGAAGCCTATCGCGGTGCTTAGAAAGCGAGGGGTGGGCGAGTCTGAGGGGGAAATGGACAGGCGGCAGCAGAAAGGCGAGAAGCTCGACCAAGAGGCTTTGGAGATTTTGGAGGTGGTGAAATTCAGGATCTTGTTCCAGGGCCGACCGGAGCCGGTGTGAAGCCTTGAACCAACCCAATTTTTACGAGCTTCGAGGATCTACGTGACCTGCACTGCGCCCTTACGACTGCCTCAGTCGTATGGAACATGCATAATGGCCAACCGTCTAGCTTCGCGATGGGATGCTATCGCACAGCCATCTGCGGACTCATTCGAACGACGCTATACAAGTCACATCCCACGGAGCAGTCCTGAAAATGGCTCTCACTTCCAGTACCGGTGACGGGTCAATTTTCTCCGGGTTCCTTCGGTTCTAGCGGGCGGCATAGAAACCAGTTGTAAGGTTGCGACGTAATGGTCCGCAGCGGGTCTAGATATGGCTCCAAAGTACCAGGATATTGACGGAGCGGCTTCCTGTCTCTGCTTATCGAGGTACCGCAACGAATTTCTAGGCAGTAGCGATGTTGTATAGCTCTATCAGATGCTCCGGTAAAACGATGTGGCAGAATCGTGTAGGGTTAAGGTGGGAGTGCCAAGCCCAAGGCGAGGCTGTGCCACGAGCTACTCCGATTGGGCAGGAGCTACTCTCGAGCTTGACGATAGAGATCCATGCCGCAGCTGGCACTGTGCTGTGCCTTGACCTCACAATCGACCTTTCTCCGCTTTGGTACAGCTGCTCGGGACCGTTGAAACTGATAATTGACGTCCTACATGCTGAGCTAGTGGCGGCAGCCCCCCTCTAAATCTTTTAGGAGCCCGGACCAATCCCCATCCCACCGCTCACCTGCCGCAATGGCTCCCTCCACGAACATCGATGATCCGCGGATGAGCTCTATCAAACCAAGATTGAAGTACAACACCATCGGTGGTGTCAATGGACCTTTGGTCATCCTAGACAATGTAAGATAGCGCTTGGACAAGCAAGAAGAGGAGAACAACCATTGATGACGCCTAATCTAGGTCAAATTCCCAAGATTCAACGAGATCGTCAGCTTGACACTGCCTGATGGCACCGAGCGATCAGGTCAAGTCCTGGAGGCCAGAGGTATGCCACAAGGCCAGAAGGCGAAGGTTCAAGACTGATCAGGTTCCCCGTAGGCAACAGGGCCGTTGTGCAGGTGTTTGAAGGCACCACTGGTATCGACGTGAAGAAGGTAGGATTGCACACATATCATGCTACATGGGACTAACAGCATGTCAGACCAAAGTCGAGTTTACTGGCCACAGTCTCAAAATTGGCGTCTCCGAAGACATGTTAGGACGAGTGTTCGACGGATCAGGAAGAGCCATTGACAAGGGTCCGAAGGTGTTGGCAGAGGACTATCTTGACATCAACGGCAGTCCCATTAATCCATACGCCAGAGTACGTGTGATGGACCGTGTACAAGACACTGGCTGATCAAGAACAGGTCTATCCCGAAGAGATGATTTCCACAGGTATCTCGGCCATTGATTGCATGAACTCGGTCGCTCGTGGCCAGAAGATTCCCATCTTCTCCGCCTCTGGTCTTCCACACAACGAAATTGCAGCTCAGATCTGTCGGCAAGCCGGTCTCGTCAAACAAGCAGACAAGGGTGTCCATGATGACCACGAAGACAACTTCTCGATTGTATTCGGTGCTATGGGTGTCAACATGGAAACTGCCCGCTTCTTCCAGCGCGATTTCGAAGAGAACGGCTCGATGGAACGTGTCACACTATTCATGAATCTGGCCAACGATCCCACCATTGAGCGCATTATCACACCTCGTCTTGCTCTCACCACCGCCGAATACTACGCCTACCAGCTCGAGAAGCACGTTTTGGTCATTCTTACCGATCTGTCTTCCTATTGCGACGCCTTGCGAGAAGTCTCGGCCGCCCGCGAAGAAGTCCCTGGTCGTCGTGGTTATCCCGGTTACATGTACACTGATTTGTCCACCATTTACGAGCGCGCCGGCCGTGTCGAAGGCCGCAACGGATCCATTACTCAGATTCCGATTCTGACCATGCCTAACGACGATATCACCCACCCTATCCCCGATCTGACAGGGTACATTACGGAGGGTCAGATTTTCGTTGACCGTGGTCTCTACAACAAGGGCATCTATCCTCCTATCAATGTCCTGCCTTCGCTATCGCGACTCATGAAGTCTGCCATCGGCGAGGGACTTACACGTAAAGACCATGGTGATGTGTCCAACCAACTCTACGCCAAGTATGCCATCGGTCGAGATGCCGCCTCCATGAAGGCCGTTGTTGGCGAGGAAGCTCTGTCATCCGAAGACAAGCTAGCTCTCGAGTTCCTTGAGAAATTTGAACGGCAATTTATCCAGCAATCTGCGTATGACAAGCGGACAATCTTCGACTCTCTCGAGATTGGCTGGTCTTTACTGCGTATCTTCCCCAAGGAATTGCTCAACAGAATCAACCCCAAGTTACTTGAAGAATTCTACAGCAGAAAGGGCGGAAAGAAGGAGCAACAGAAGAAGGGCAACAAGGACACTAGAGACAACGAGCAGAAGAACGATGCGCAGACGAACGGTGAGACGGAGAATCTCATTGATGCTTAAAGCTGGGCCTGCCCGAGACTAATCTCAACCGGCGTCTCAGAACTTGCACTGATGCTGACGCGATCTTGAGAGGGTGTCTTGTCCGGCACACTTGCGTTGAACCGATGCAAGACAAGGAGCACATGGATACAGAAACTAGTACTTCTCAGATGTATCGCGTATCTTAAGCCACTGCAATAGAGCGAATGGGTGCATGCACTATCTAATTTGTCACCTTTGCTAAGCTGCGTTTGGCCTTGGTGATTGAGGTAAATGGTGTTCTCACTACTCGAAGTCAGTCTCTGCACTGGACCAAATTGACCTATACATATACAGTCGCTCTCAGCACCACAGCTTGATATCCTGGAGCCCCCCGAGGTCGACCTAGCATACGGTTTCAACGTCATCCTTTACACCGAAAGTGCGGAATGACCCCCGCGTACCCCCGATTTCGATCACCTCGGATGAGTCCATGTACCTTGGAGCTCTATACATACGACCCCTAGATGCAAGGCAATTTGCAGCAACCCAAGGATAATCGGGTCAGCGTAACATCGCATCAGGATACTAACACCGTCTGAAGCTATCTCTACAAAGACCAGTGCTCCTATTGGTCCTGCGCAACATCCAGTCGCCTGAGCCACACGACCTACAACGAACGCCAGGGGTCTGCTGCATGTCAACTCGCATATCTCTTGAATTTCAACCGTACGGCAGCACCAAACCGCATCTTTAGAATCTCGATTGCACGATTTGGCAGCACACATTGTTAGTTGAAAGTCAAGCATGCCGCCTCCCCGCTCCCCATACGCGCATCTCCCCGTGTCACCCATAAACTGCCCCGACCAGTTCAACTTTGCGCGGGATATCGTCGACGCGCACGCGAAGAGACTCCCTGATGCCACCGCTTTGCATTGGGTATCACAAGACCTCTCGACGTGTCACCAGCTGAGTTACAGCCACTTCTCGCGGCGCTCTAACCTCATCGCCAAAGTCCTGTCCGATCTTGGCCTGCAGGCGGGAGACCTCCTGATCCTGATCCTCCCACGGCTACCGGAGTGGTGGGAACTGGCAACGGCGTGCCTGCGTATGGGCGTCATTCTCTGCCCGTGTACGACGCTGCTGGTGGACAAGGATATCGAGTACCGGCTTAACGTCAGTGGGGCTGCTGCCTTTGTCGGTGATGAGGTTGCGGTTGGCAAGATGCTTAAGATCCGGGACCGCTGCAAGAGCCTCAAGCATGTGATCCAGATAAACAGCGTCTATACTTCCAACCCCCGCGCATCGGTACCCGCCAACGTCATCGACTTTCACGCCTCGATCGACAAGGTCCCGTCAGTCACCACATACGATGTTCCCTCGTCGCTGAAGCCAACCTCACCGGCCCTCTCATTCTTCACTTCTGGCACCACGGGACCACCCAAGCTCGTGCTGCACAGTCAAGTCTCCTACCCGCTCGCCCACGCTCTCACCGGCACGCACTGGCTGCGTCTCCGGCCGCCGCCCCAACAATCCCTGTACTGGAACCTCTCGGAGCAGGGTTGGGCCAAAGCGGCGTGGTCCTTCTTCTCGACGTGGAACTGCGGCGCCAGCCTTTTTGTGCACGACGACCGCCAACCCTTCTCGGCTAAGCGCACACTCCAAGTCCTGGCCAAGTTCCCCATTACCACCCTGTGCGCTCCGCCCACAGTCTGGCGGCAGCTCGTCCTCGACGAGAACCGCAAGCTGATCGAAAGCGGCGGACTGCGGCCTCGATCCCTCAAGCACGCGACCGGGGCGGGCGAGCCGTTGAACGAGAGCGTCATTCGCCGCTGGAAGGAGATCATGGGTATGGAGATCTGCGATGGTTACGGGCAGACGGAAAGTATCCTGGTGTGCGCGAACCAGGAAGGCAAGGAGGTCCGCTACGGCAGCATGGGCAAGCCTCTGCCCGGCGTGCCACTGACGATCCTCGATGAAAACGGCCAGGAGCAGCGGGTCGACCAGGAAGGCGACATCGCAATCGAAGTGCTGGACCGGGGAAGGCAGACATTCATGGGTCTCTTCGACGGCTACATTGACATGAAGACGGGCAAGCTGGACCGCAAGCTTCGTGAGTTCGGCCATGGCGACCATGCTCGTCAATTCTACCTTACAGGCGACCGGGCCTGGCGCGACAAGGACGGCTACTTTTGGTTCGTTGGCCGCAGCGACGACGTTATCAACAGCAGCGGCTACCGCATCGGTCCCTTCGAAGTCGAGTCCACACTGAAGCTACATCCCGCAGTCGTCGAATCAGCCGTCGTGGCCAGCCCGGACCCGCAGCGCGACGAGGTCGTCAAAGCCTTCGTCGTTCTGACTGACGGTGCGGCCCAGGCTCTGAAAACTAAAGGCGACACGGGCCAAGAGGAACTGACAAGGGAATTGCAGGATTTCTGCAAAGAGAACGCCGCGCCGTACAAGTATCCAAGGAAGGTGCAGTTCGTAGACGCGAGCTTCTTGCCCAAGACCATCAGCGGCAAGATCCGGAGGGCCGAGTTGAAGAAGATGGAGAAGGACCTGTATCAGAAGGAGAAGGTAAAGGCAAAGCTATGAAGGCTTGAAGCTAGGACGGGGCACTTGATCAGCATTTGTATGTCACTTGAATGTACTGAGTCAACGCGAAGAGCTTGCTCCTCTTCTTTGGATCATATAGGCTGCCAAAGTCTTTTACCAGCTTCTAGCAGAGCCTTCCACTATCTATAAGCTCCACGTGGCAGCGGCTCTATAGGTATTAGGGGGTTGGAAATCAGGGTTCGCACCCACTACAGCCACACCGGCAAAGCAACGCAGATCTCGTCAGGTGCCTTAAAGATGCGCGCACCAATCAAACCCGCAGACTCGCCAAACCCTCAGGTCAGACGGCGGCTACGACCTCAAGCTTCCGATCTGCTCAACGCCCCTAATTGTCCAGACAACCTGTGTTATCGGCTTCGTATGTACATCATCCAACTTCACATCACCCGCATCGGTGTTCAGTCATGGTACGAACAGTCAGTGCATTGAAAAGGCGACGAATGAAGACTCGCCCTCACACAGCGGCCGAATGGGACTTGATACGACCGCGTTTTGTTGAGCTGTACCGCATTCAAGATCTTACTCTGCATGCAACGGCAACAGCGCTGGAACGTGAGTACAAGTTCCGGGCAACGTGGGTTCCGAGCTTCGACTTGACTCTTCACCACAGACTGAATCTTGATAGCAAGAAAATGTACAAGACCAAAATCACAGCCTGGTCTCTGGACAAGAACATCAAGCGCTCAGAGGCGCAAACGCTGATGAGGCTCAAGCGCAAACACGAATCACACGGAGTGTCGTGCATGTTCCTGCTGCGAGGATTTCTCGTCGATATGGATGCTGTTGAACGCAAGTACAAGAGAAGGAAGCATGAACCCGGCGCCAGCTCCCGACACGCCCAGTCGGACGACGACGGCCTCTGCCAAGTTTCACAGGTGCATTGCCTTCGCTACAGCTGTCGCTTCGATCGCGTCGAAGATCCTACGGTCTTCAAGCTGGTCCAGCGTGTGCTGTACCATGCAGCATGCGGCCTTGAGCGCTTCATCACACCGCCGTCACTAGATAACGACGACCTGTACCTCCAAAGCGACAATGCCGGTCTATACACAGTCTCTCTTGCAGTCGCGCGATTTCAGGCCGGCGATAACGTCAAAGGAGGCATGTATCTGAGACGCAGTTTCAGACTGCTCACGAACATGTTCGCCAAGTGGGCTGGCTACTATTCGCTCGACCTGCGCGGCCTGTTCGACACGGTCTCGAGGTTGGTCCGGGACGGGTACAGCGACCTTGCGCGAGTGCTTTCGAAATACGTCTCTCGGCTGGCCGATGTATACCTTCCGTCCACAAGCCCGTATCGCCTTGTCATGCAGAATTTGGCGCCTCTGGTTGATGTGTGTGACAGTGTGCCACTGAACGACCTGTGGCGCAGCGCGGCCCGGCGGACTCTGAGTAACCAGCTTGACGAAGTACAAACGGATCGTTGGTGGATCGAGTACTGCAACCTCGCATGTTCGCCCACTTTCGATGGACAGGCCTGGATCTCCGGTATCGAGCGAACTCCAGGAATCAAGGCTTGTCAAGTGCAATCTGCCCTTTACTGGGCTCTCGAGGAGGGCTTCCGTCGTCGACAGTGGACACTGGTCCGAGACCTGGGGTGGCGCTTTGTCAAGCTGGACCAGGTCAGAGCATTGGCGCGCAACGTCTTCCTACAAGCTTATGTGAGTATGCTGCTTGCGTATGCCGAGGCGCAGCTAGGGCAGCATTACGCCGCTCTCAGCGCCATTGAGATGGCCTACATGCTCGCCGATGGCCGCAAATTCCTAGAGGTGTTGGCCTTGTGCTCTAACCAGTGCCCCGAAGTCCTGCCTTGGCTGGAATCTCTTAGCCCCAGTTGCAACGACGAGGTTCAGTGGGTGCAAACTCAGCTTAGGCTCTATGAAAAAGAACTGGAAACAAGTGATCGGGAGCAGATCCAGGAGAGCACGACGGAGTTAGGTCTATGCTGAGCACTCACGCCGGCAGATGGAATCTGCCGTATGCCATATACCGCCAAGACTTTTACTGCCTGAAGCACCCGAGGCATTGAAGCTGACGCCGCCAACATGCCATGACTTGCCCCACACTACCCACGTGCAAAACCTTCACAGCTGCCCCAGAGCTTCCGACGACGTTATTGGAGCTAGGGCGAGAGTGGAAGACGCAATTAAATGGAAGACTCGGCTCGAGAAGACTTTTCATCGCTGTCGCCGGACGACGGGAGACAGTACTTGGCAGGAGACCAGGAGCCTGTTTCCTCGGTCTTCCAAGCTCCTGCGACACATGCGATTTGCTAATGTTGCCGTTGTCCAAGATGCCGCTCACTGCTAGAATTGAGAGTCGATCGGAAGTACCGTAGCACTAGCACTCCTCTTTCCTCTACGATACTCTTTTGCATCACGTCCCCATTCTCAGGCCTGGTGAAAGATCTCAGAGCTCGTCTAGTCAAGGTCCAGCAACCATGTCCAAGCCGAGGTACCCACTATCCGCGAACCAGCTGGAGAGCCTTGTCGAATACGTCCCTTCCACGGGCGAACCCTTCTCGATCATCTCCAAGGTCTCCTCACCCGCAGGCTCCGTGCTAACGCCCATCACCTCGGCCACCAAAACCGACATCAAAGCGTACTCGTCAGTCCAGGTGTCGAGAACCCAGCATGTCGAGCTGAACTCAGCACTGCTCTACATGAACCACTCCTGCGCGCCCTCGGTCGAAGTCGACACATCCAAGATGGAAGTGCGCGTCTCCCGACACCGCGACTTACGAGCCGGCGATCACGTCACGTTCTTCTACCCCAGCTCCGAGTGGGACATGGCGCGGCCCTTCGACTGCGAGTGCAAGAGCGAAGGCTGCTTGAAGCTGATCAGCGGCGCTTCTAATATGGATATGCACATGTTGAGGGAGCGAGGGTATTTTCTGAACAAGCACATACTTGAATTGGTAGAAGAGCGAGGTGAGCTCAGGAACTAGAGTAGGGGTCCGTGCATGGGAGGGTGCGGGGTGCCAAGTTTGCGGGACCGCGGAGGGTGGCGGCGAAAGACATGTGCTGCTATGATAGATACAGCTGCCCGCCGATGTGCTCGAGCGAGCTGATAGATATTAGGACTCTGTTTCAACACGGGAGGTTCGTCTCGCCTTTGTTATACAATGTCAAAGCCCTTCACGGGGGGTATTCAATCTACCTCGATACCTGCTCATGCATAGAGTAAATTAGCAGGGAGTCAAGATCACCACCTCGTGAAAAGCTGCCGCAAATGGCAGATAAGAACAGATCTAATAAACATCACTACCTCAACTTGGAGATCTCTCTTATAGCTCCACCGCAAACCTCTCCCGCAGCCACCCTCCATACCGGTAGAACAGAAGCGGCACCGGCAAAAACGCCACGCCCACAAACCCCAGGACACTATTCCCCCACCCCAGTCCCAAGTCAGCATACAACGACGGCCCCGCCAACGGAATGAACGCCGCAAACAGAAGCCGCAGGATCACGTTGGCCGCCAACGCCGAGGCGGCGGCTTCCGGCCCAAAAGCGTCCACCAGGTAGAGCTGCGTCGGCATGACGACCCAGAGGACGCCGAAGCCGAAGCACGCGGTGCCGAGGATGGGCACGATCCAGTGCGTCTGCTGATCGGCCGCCCAGCCGTACCAGAAGATGCCGATGGGCACGGCGGGCATGACGTACGTCATGGGTTTGAGGCGTTCTTCGGGCTGCTGCTGGTGCTGGTGCTGGTGCTGGGACGCATCCTCTCCCTGTGACGGTGGTGGTGGTGTCTTCGGTCGCTGTAGCTTGTCGGCGACGCTGGCGTACACCGCGAGGGAGACGGCCATGCCGACGCCGACGCCCAGGTAGGACAGGCCGGAGACCCCGGCGGAGAAGTGGTATTGTTCCTCAAAGACGGTGGGGAAGGTGGTGAAGAGCAGGAAGAGGAGGCCGAAGACGAAGGCGCACAGCAGGGAGAGGAGGAGCACGATGGGCGAGAGGAGGAGGAGCTTGGTCGGGCGGACGATGGCGCGGAGGAAGAGCTGGCGCGGCGTGAGGCCGCGGTCCATCTTTGAGATGAGGGCGCGGTTGCCGGTGGTCTTGCGGAGGCGAGCGGCTTTCCATTTTAGGAGCACGGCCGCGTTGGTCTCGCGGAGGAGGAAGATGGAGATGGTGAATGATACTCCTGCCTAGGAAGGGGGTTTCCGACGCGTCAGAGAGTCGAGGATAAGGCGAGTTTGTGGGGTATGATACTCACGAGGATGATGATGATCCAGAAAGTCCATCGCCAGCCGATTGATTCCGACACAAAGCCACCGACAATCGGGCCCAAGACCTTTGAAGGGAAGCGTCAGTTCTCATGCCGGTTTGTGTGTGGGGGGGTTTAGTGCCACCTACAGGTCCCAGAAGCGGTCCCACGAAGAACATCGACATGACCCTCCCCCGCTGCGCGGGAGGCACGACGTCCGCGACCGTGCCTCCGCCCACGGTCAAGGGTCCCGAAGCAGCACATCCGGCCAGGAACCGAAAGACGAGAAACATGCCCGTGTTCTTGCCCAGCGCACAGCCGATGATGAAGCCGATGTAGGTGACGTTGCAGGTGTGATAGATGACGAGGCGGCCGTACAGTTCGGACAGCGGTGCGATGAACATGGGCCCCACGGCGAAGCCGGCGAGGTAGATGGACACGGTGAGGCTGACGGTGGTGGGACTCGTGATCTGGAACTCCTTGGCGAGCGAGGCGGCGCCAGGGGCGAACATCGTCGCGGCGAGGTTGCTGTGTCATGTGTGTGTTAGTCAGTAGGGTAATTGCCTCGCCGAAGAAGCGCAGGATTTGTTTGGCTCTTACGCAGTGAGTAGGAAAGCGCTGGCGAGGACGACTTGGGTCATGCGCTTCCATGCTGGCCAGTTTCGTGGGTTTTGGGGATCGTCCGGCCCACCCCAGTCGACGAGATTGTCTTTTGTCTCTTGTCCGATTGCTATTTGGTTAGGCTCCCTAGATTGTGGCTCCCTAGATTGTGGCTCCCTAGATTGTGGCTCCCTAGATTGCTGGCGATGCTGGCTCTCTTCCACTATCGCCTGCTTCTCATGGGCAGATTCCAAGTCGGCCGCCATGATGCGCGGTAGAGGGTGGTGTCACTCTGGGATACTGGCGTGTATCTGTTCCCCACTGGTGCCAGGCTTTGCTTGCTGTATATCGGAAGGCCGTGTAGGCGCTCTATGAGTTCCGGATGAGAAATGCTGTACGGGAGTTATAGCTATTGTACATTGGGGGAGGGGCCGAATGCGACGGTTACTAAATCCGCAAAATGGTGCGTGAATGCGGGGGCCAAGCTGGAGATCTGCTTAATAGAAGGGGACGTTGGAGACGGCATGGAGGTAGAAGCAGGTCACGCAACAGGTATACTAGTATTGTTGTATAGTGGTGATCCGGTGGTAGGACTTAGTCATCCGCAACCCCGATATCTCCGTTGTCCCAACGAGGTTGGTCGGCTAGCACCAGGGGTCGACAACCTTGACGGGAGGGCTCCCCGGACATACAGTAAAGGCTTGTGCGACAGACGAGGCGCATCGCTCAAGGCAGAATATCTGACCCTGAAGGATGCTTTCCGGGAGAAGGCCGTTCAATGTCTCATTCTGGCCAGGTATACAACGGGAGGACCATATAGGAATGCTGGCAAGATCAGGCCGAGCGTGCGCAAGCGCGAGTTTCCGTGCTGATAAAGTCTTCGCACATCCCTTCGAGTCGATTCGAAAGTATCAAGGTCGAGGTGAGAAGACGCGAGGTTTGGGTGGACTTTTACTTGCCTTGTTGCCAAGACTTCCAAGCAATGGAAAAAGTGGAGCAATCTGGTACCTCCTCTTAGAGTCTTTATGCCTTCGCCTCTTGTTCAGCCCTTATGCCATTAATGTTTAGTGATCTAACAGCAGTAAGAGTCAAGCAGATCAAGTCCGATGACAATGTTGGCACAGTATATTGCGAGTCTCTCAAGACACCCTATAGACCACACTCAAGCTCCCACCACCCGCAGGCCCCTGACCCTCGGCTCCTCCTGACACATAAAGCTGAGGATCACCCACAAGGCCGGCTAACAGTCCTCCGACGGCAGCCCTAGCGTGCCGTGTACTGTGGATATCCGAGTCCGTGTTCATCGTGTGCCTGTTTCCGCGCACCTGCCCGGTCGGGTCTGCCTCAGCTTTGGCAAAGACTTGCACCACCCGCCCGCCATCCTGTCGGACCTTTTGCAGCAGATCCAGCACAGTCGCGGCATCAATTGCGTCCTGCATTACGCCAGACACAGCTCTGAGTCCATTGGAAGGCTCTGCGGGATTGGAAGCCAGGATGAAGATGTGGTTATCTTCTAACTCTGCGCCGCTGCTACAGCTGGCCCTTCCGCTGTAAGCGGCCCCGGAGTGGAGAGAGTTCTCAACCTGTCCATCGCTAATCTCACCAAGAGCAGAAGCAATTCCCATCGCACTCGCATACCGTGATTTGGCCATGGACTCATAGGTGTCCGTGGTCAGTGGTGTCTTCCCAGCCGCCTTGATAGCCGCCACTTTCGCGGATGTCAGCAACGGACACTTGATGAGAACGAGTTGTACATTTCCAGAAGTGACACCGAGCTCGGAGATCATGGATGCGACCTTGGCTGCCACGGCTTGCGTGTGTGCCAGACTGCCCACTTCGTGCGGTTCCAGGTCTCTGGTGTGGCCGACCGCCGCCAGCAGGCCAGAAGGCTTGGAGTCAGGTTGACGCACCACAAAGGTCACATGTGGGCAGAGCATCCCTTCAGTACCTCCAGAGAAGATGGTCACGGCGTCCTTGGGGATGAGTGGCTCCCAGACGGCGGATGCCAAGGTTCTGGAGAAGTCATTGACACAGCCATTTCCTAGACAGGACGTCATTATATGGCACGAACAGGGCTGAACTCGACAACATACCTTCAGTCTTTCCGATGACTGCTAAAATGTCAGAAGCATTATACCCTGCTGCTGATAACCTCGTCAAAGGGGAGGTGTCCGCCGGTGACGATGTTGGAAACTTGAGAATATCAACCGCAACCATTATGTTGTGGTGAGCCAGAGGGATACGTCGTCAAGGTCCCAGGTTTTGCCTTCCATATGCTGCTCATAGAGCTTGGTGTGTTACGAATTCACTGCTGTCAAGAGCTGGTGGAAAGTCTTGGCACCCCAGCGTACGAGCGCCGAACTCCTATCTATGCGTCGTGCCGGTTAGAAGTTGCCCGGAATCGATCATTCGGCCCTGGAGACTGCATTTACAGCAATCGCCTAGGTCAGTGCCGTCCTTGTACCATTTGTCGCTACACCATAAGAGTACGCGACAATCCCGACTCCGTGGTCGACCTCAAAGCTGGTCCTCTTCCTTGCTGCGTGTCCTAGAACGACATATCAGTCTTCTCGGCTGTTGTGAAGATGGACTCTGAATCGTCTCATCGCGGGCAGGTTCCGAACAGCCTTGCTATTGAGAAGATCAGAGGACTATATGAGCAGCGCACGGTGTCCCCGATTGACGTCGTCCGTTCTGTGTACTCAAGGATCTCAACTTATCACGACAAAGCCGTCTGGATCACTCTAGTTCCGGAAGATGAAGCACGCTCAAGGGCAGAAGAACTGTCGCAAAAGTATCCGGACCCGCTGAAGAGACCGCCGCTCTTCGGCATTCCCTTCTCCGTCAAAGATTCCATCGACATTGCAGGCATGCTAACGACACTGGCCTGCCCCTCGTACGCATACACCGCCACCGCCACCGCGCCTGTCGTTCAGAGAATTCTCGACGCAGGAGGCATCCTCATCGGCAAGACCAACCTCGACCAGTTCGCCACGGGTCTCAACGGCACTCGTTCGCCGTACGGAATCCCGCGTTGTGTTCATGACCCCGACTACATCTCCGGAGGCAGCTCCTCAGGCTCCGTCGTCAGCGTTGCCGCGAACTTGGTATCTTTCACTGTCGCCACCGACACAGCAGGCAGCACCCGTGTACCCGCGGCGCTGAACGGAATGGTGGGCCTGAAGCCTACCTTAGGCACCATATCAACAGTCGGTCTGGTTCCGGCGTGCAAGACGGCCGACTGCATCACCATTATCGCCCCGACTGTCGATTCCACAATGGCGGCCCTGAACGTCATGCAAGCCTACGACGAAGACGACGTCTACGCGCGAGACCCTCAACAGCTAGCCCTCCTCGCCTCGCAGCCCGCATGGCAATGGCCAGCCGCAGCCTCACCCCTGCGCTACGGCCTCCCTCCCCAAGACCTGCTCGACAGCTGCCTCTCGCCCTCGTACGCCCACCTCTTCACCCGCTTCCTCGCCGCTCTCCCCTCCCTCAACGCCACCCCCGCGTCCCACAGCCCCTTCACATACGCGCCCTTTGCGGCCGCAAACGCCATGCTCTACGGCAGCTCCATCGTCTCGCAACGCATCGTCGCCTTCAAAGACTACCTCGCCACCCTCGGCCTCTCCCAACTCCACCCCGTGATCAAAACCATCTTCGAAGCCAGCTCCGGCTTCGACGCCGTGCAGGCCTACGAAGACATCTTCGCCCTCGCTGGACACCGGCGCCTCGCGAGAAAGCAATTCCGCGGCCTTACCTCTTCCGACGATGGCGGCGGAATAGACGTCCTAATCCTCCCCTCAACAGCCCTCCATCCAACCGTAGCAGAACTACAAGCGGATCCCATCGAGCTCAACAAGCGGCTCGGCAGCTTCACGCACTTTGTGAACCTGCTGGATCTGTGTGCCGTGTCGGTGCCGGTCGGGGGCGCGAGCTGGGAGAGCGTGAATGGAAGGGACATGCCGTTTGGGGTGACGCTGGTGGCGCTGCCGGGGAGGGAGAGGGAAATGTTGGAGGTGGGGAGGGGGATTATGGCGTTGAGGGTTTGAGTGGGGAGGGGGGTTTGGTCTGGCTTGGGAATGGGTGGGTTCATGACGCTGGTGTGTCTGTCACTAACGTGCTTCCGGCAGAGGCATGCCAGGTCGGTCGGTGCTCGGAGAGAATACCCAGGACGTCTCCAGCCACTCATCCGAACCGGTCATTGTGTAGTTCAGGCGCGTCTAGAACAGGCCTGTGGCAGCTACGTCCACGAGTAAAAGCAAGCGGTCTACCGACATTCGCTGCGGCCGCAACCAAGAATCATGCTCAAGAAGGAATGCAACCATCCTGCGAGCCTGATATCAAGGACGGCCCACCGCCCCATACCAACACAAGCCCAGCACCGCACCACCCACAATCGCCGCAGCCGGCGGCACCGAGAACCACGCCACCTCACAATACGTCAAGGCCGCCACCACCACCCACCAAGGCTCCATAGCGAGGCTCTGCCCCTGACTCTCCTCGGGCGTCAAATACCCAATCTCCCACAAGCGGTACACAGCCGTAAACACCAACCCCACAGCCGTAGCGTTGACGCCACGCAACACACTCACCACGACGGCCTTGGTGCGCAGATACGCCCACAACCCCTGCACGCCCAACGTGAGCAGCAAACCCGGCGCGAAGATGGCGACGAAGCTCAGAAACGCGCCCAACACGGAGTGGTAGCCTGTGTGGGCCATGGCGAGCGCGCCCAGGTAGACGGAGAAGTTGAAGTTGGGGCCCGGCATGGCTTGGATGATGGCGAGGCCGAGCAGGAAGTCGCGCGACGAGACCCAGCCGGGCTGCACGACGTATTCGCGCAGGAGGGGGATGACGACGGGCCCGCCGCCGAAGATCAGGATGCCGGCTTGGTACATGTTGGCGAGGAGGGCGAGAGGGCGGGGTGGCGAGGTGAGGAGGGAGCGCGAGACGACTAGGGCGATGAAAATTGCTGGGGGGTGGGAGAGTTAGTGGTTGATAGGGGGAGCAGTTGAGGGGGGAAAGTGACCTCACCGAATGTCAGCGCGATGAGCCCGATGCCCGTAGCGATGGGGATGCTGTAGTACTGTGGTATCGTCGGCATGTCGTCTGGATAATCCCGTGGTCGAGACTGTTCTTCAGTAACATTACGACTTGACCCTCCCGCTTGTGTCGCTACTTCAGCTTCGCCCTTTTGTTCGCCAGGCTTGGCTCGACGCCGTCTTTGGGCGCCCTCTTGTTGGATCTGTTCCAGTTGCTGTTGCTGCCCTCGTACCGACATCTCAACACTTTCACCCTCCTCCCCAGCAATCGCCTCCTCGACCTGCCCACCCCGCTCCTTCCTTCTCTGCCACCTGACCCTCAACCTCTCAACCTTCCTACTGAGCCACAGATCCCAAACTCCACAAACTATCGCGCCCACCACAATCAAGACCGGGAAGTACCACAGCGCCGAGTAGCACAACCCCGCACACGCGCCCCAAATGACCAAAACCCTCGTCACGCGATCCGTAATGGCCTTCTGCGCCAGCTGCACCGCCGCCAGCGCCACCACACCCACCGTGCTGGCATTGAGTCCGCTGAGCAGAGGGTAGACGGGCGGCGGCAGTGTCTCGCCGACGCTACCGATACCCAGCGCCAAGCCGTACATGACGACGGCGACCGGCAAGCTCCACGACAGGAAGGCGGCGAACGCGGCGACCCACCCGGCATGTAGCAGTGCTATGTTGAATAGCATCTTCGTCGAGGCCGGGCCGGGGAGGGATTGCGAGACCGCGAAGATCTCTTGGTAGGTCTGTTCGTCGAGCCAGCGCGTCGGGGGCTTGCCATAGGGGCTGCCGTGGCCGCTGCCGCCGTTGACGAAGCGCTGGTGGAGGATCTGGAAATGGACTGGTGGGCCGCCGAAGGCGGTGAAGCCTAGGTCCCATGTTTGGGCTAGAACGGCGAGGATGCGGGGGAGGAGCGGGTCGTTGTTGGGAAGGGGAGGCGGCGGCGGCGGTGCTGAGGTGGGATCGAGCGTGGCGTGTGCGGCCGACATGATGGGTCTGAGGTGTGGAACAGTCGTTGAACGGCCCCCTAGACGGTAGGGGACTGGAAGAACTTACATTAGAGAGCAAGGCTTGAAAGCAAGGCAGATCTGAAAGAGAAAGACTTGGCTCTGACGTGCTTATAATGGGTGGAGAGGGCCAAGCTTGCCCAGGGCGGGACTGACCTCAAGTGGGAGGAAGCGAGGTAGTGGTGGGAAGTCTTCGCTGAACATTTGCTCTGGAGGTCTTTGCATCTCTCATTTGAGATTTGAGCAACAGTATGGCTGCTGCTGTAGCAAGCAACGCAGCTCCTGTTCCGTTGACGTGGAAGTTATTGCGATGCTGCGCCGAGGACGGCGGCTTGGCTCATCTATTCTACCTGCTATTAGATTTCTGCCGACGTCTCACCAATGGACTACCGACATGTGCGCGAAAATTAGAGAGGATGGAGACATAATGTTGTAATACCTTCGATTTTGGGGTCCGTAGCAGACGCTGGCTAGTTGTCGTACTGTATACGTTCTCGGCTCATGAAAAAGCAGCTCACGGACAAGCATGTCCAGGAAATTCGCTTACACATTCTCAACCTGCTTCTCGTTGACAACTCCTCCTTCCTTCCCATCCCCCATAGACTGCCTCCGGAATTCCCTGTCCTCTGCTTGGGTCTCGGCCAGAACCGCCTTGTGTGCCCTGCGAGCGGGCAGACCGGGCTCAAAGAGCCTGTCCATCTTCTCGAGAGGAATACCCTTGGTTTCAGGGACCAGGAAGAAGACGAAGACTGCGGCGCAGATCATGAGACTCGCGAAGAAGAAATATACACCGTAGTACATTGTGTCAAACATTTGAGGTGTGAAGCGTGCAATGATGAAATTCCAAAACCAGTTATTGGCGGCGGCGAATGCCTGGGCAAGGGTCCTAACGTTTTGGTCGAACATCTCCGAGTTCAAAACCCATGGTGTTCCATTCCATGACGGTGTGTAGCAACATGTCCACAGGTAGAAGGCGACCATGGCTGAGATGCCACCGCTGGAGAGGGAGGCATTTTCAGCGGATTTTGAACGTGGATCGGATACTGCGATATAGCCTCCGATATACCACATGCAGAGGCCACCAGCAACGGCACCGTACATGAGCAGCGCACGGCGGCCTAAGCGATCGATCAAATAGAAGAGCCAGACCAAGGTGATGAGCGTTTTGACGACACCAAAGACGCCCGTGGTGAGCAGAGAGGTGTTGGTGCCCGTGATTCCAATCGACTTGAACACGGTTGGTGAGTAGTAGTTGATGGCATTGATGCCCGTGCCATTCTGCCACATGAAGAGCGAGCCACCGAGCAGGAGACGATAGAGGACGCGACGGTTGTGGAAGACAGACTTGAAGGGCTGGAAGAAGCCAAGACCAATGGTAGACGCCTGCTGCTCGATGGCGTAGTCAATGGCAGCAATCTCTTCTTGCATGTAGATGTGATCCTCGGGGAGATTGCGGAGCCAGCACAGGTTCTTGATGGCTTGCTCGCGCTTGCCCCGCATGAAAAGCCATCTCGGGGATTCTTTGATCAGGAAGCATCCGATCATGAGCATGCCGGCAGGAATGAGCTGGACAGCAAAGGGGATGATCCACTGTTCATGAGATGGGGCCATCGTTTCAGCAACTCCGTAGTTGATCCAGAAACCAACAAGACCGCCAATTTGCCAGGCCAGTTCGTAGAGGCCGACAAGGCGACCACGGATTGCAGGAGGTGAGATCTCTGAGCAGAAGATTGGGGAGAGATTGCTCGCAGCGCCAATACCCATTCCGGCCAGAACACGACCTCCATAGATCAACCCGAGTCCTCTGTCACCGTTTGCACCGAGCATTAGACCAGCTCCAAGGATGAAAAGACCAGCGAAGATGAACAGGCCCCAGCGACGTCCATAGAAGTGCCCAAAGGGGTAGGCGAAAAAGGCACCAAAGAAGGCGCCGGCCTGATAACATGAGACAATGTTCGCTGTTAGAAAGCTGACTTCTGACTTCTCCATGTCATCGAAGCCAAACTCTTCACGAAATGCTGGCAGGGCTAAGGTGCCGCCAATAAAAGCAGAATCATAGCCGATCATGATAGCGGCAGACGCTGCTACCGATGCCGTCAGGTAGACGCGCCAGTTGTAAACGCATTTCGGCGTCGGCCTGTCCTCGATGAGGGCGAGGATGGTCATGGTGAATCGTTGATAGTTGTCGACGGGGGAGCTTTCATACAAAGCCGAGATCGGCGTGCGATATTCAAGCTGTGTGTCGAGTGATGATGAATGTTTAGCGACCCCGTGGATGGAGAGCTCAGAATCTGAAGTGGGACGAAGGAAGTAATATAGCTATTTACCTTCGGTTAAGGGACCAGTCCATGCTCGCTGATGATAATCGTCCGGGACATCACTGTGCAGTATTCGTGGCTGTTCTCCGCAACCTAAGATTTTAGGTCTGGAGGGGTTGATCCCGGGGTCGGGTGGCGTTGGCCCGGGGAAGGCGGGCAGCAATGGCATCAGATCGGTATCCAGCGACCGTCAGACCAAAAATGAGAGACTGCAATAGGCGGGACAGAAGGGTGTCTGACAGGGGCAGAATTCTGATCGTCGACGGCAATGAGACTCGCTGCCGATGGGAAAAGACTTTTCCGCCGTCGGCTTTCTGGGCAAAAACGCCGTTACTCCTCATTTTAGAGGGTCCTCCAGATGGACTTACTGGGGAACACTCTCCGGACACATTTTGCCGGTAGTTGAGCCGATCGAGGACCACGGCCCGAGTCTGGAGACCGATTGACACCACATAGGTATGCGTGTAGGTGAATCTGGGGGACAAGCGACCGAACGACTTTGGGAGTAAGCCACTTATACAGGTCGGAGATGAGCTGAAAGGTGTGAAGGGCGTTCATTGTCTGAGACTGTCCGTAGAACATCAACGACGGATACGGAACCAAAATATAATCATCTGCTACACGCAAAAACGAGGCCAAGCCGAGACAATATTTGCTCACGCAAGATCATCTCGACGAAAGCCCTAACTAAGATATATCTTAGAGCTTCACCACCGTCGACAGCATGGCCGTTGACCCACAAGCACAGCCAGCACCAGCTGCCAGCGATGCAGCATCCTTCACGCCTCCATCAGTTTCGCACCTCCAGAATGTGGCATATCTCATCGGTCACCCAATCGCACACTCCTCTTCACCAGCACTACACGACTCAATATCAGCCACTTCGCAGTTTCCCTATGCCCAGGTCTTAGTCGAAACGAGGGACCTTCTCTCATCCTTGAGACACCTCCGCGATCACCCAAACAAACCCAGACTCCTGGGTACAGGAGTCACCATGCCGCACAAGGTCGCCGTCATCCCCCATCTGGACCAATTGACCCCTGAAGCTCAGGCGGTCGGTGCCGTCAATACCATCTTCTTCAAGCCCGACCCAGCCCAGCCTGAGGGCGGCGTCCAGTTCTGGGGCCACAACACCGACACCATCGGCATCCGCGACGCCTTCCTCTCCAACATACCCTCAGACTCCATCGCCCGCTGCAGAGGCAGACCTGGTCTCATCGTCGGCGGCGGCGGTACCTGCCGCGCCGCCATCTACGCTCTACAGCAATTTCTAGGCTGCAGCAAGCTTTACATCGTGAATCGGGACGAATCCGAAGTCGAGGCCGTGCTGGCAGAGTGTCGCAAACGGCAAGCAGCCAACGACCTCATCCACGTCTCGTCTGTGGAACAGGCAGAGCAGCTGGAGGCCCCAAGCCTGATTGTGAGTGCCGTGCCGGATTTCACGCCCCAGCGCCCAAGCGAGAAGATGGTCCGAGAGGTCCTGAGCCACTTCCTGGACAAGCAGAAGCAACAAGACCGAGGGGCGTTGCTGGAAATGTGCTATCATCCGTCGCCCAACACGCAGATCAGTCAGCTGGCTGGCGATTCGGGGTGGCAGGTCATTGGTGGGCTGGAGGCCATGATCGGGCAAGGCTTAGAACAGGCGAAGCTGTGGACAGGTGTCACCGTCGACGACAAGTTACGAGAGGCCGCGAGGCAGGCTGTCAGGCCGAAGCATTAGTACAGGACCTGATATGTCATGCTTGCCTTGCAGCGTAAAGTGTACGGATATAAAAGTTGAATATAGACTGTACTTCTTCCCAATACCTCCCCCCAATAGAACCCATGGGCCCCCCTCCTCCATGGCACACCACCGGTATTACCACCTCAACACCACCACCCTCACCAGACCAGAAGCGACGCCATCCCCACATCAGCACCGAACAACCCCAAAAGCGTTGCAGGAAACCAGCCAATCCGCAGACTGCGCCTCAATTCCGCGTCGGCGTAGACCGCCGTCCAGGACTGAGTCTTCACGTGGAGAAAGACTTACCCGCCGCCGGCGCCCACCTCCTCTTCCTCGCATCCGTCCAGGGCAAAGTCCTTTTCCAATATGCAGACTCACGGGCATTGCATCAGTTGCCTGAGCATGAAGTCAATATCCATGGCCTCACAGGGGCAGCCCAATATCCGGCTGTACCCAGTGCCATCCCAACGAGGTCCGGACAATGGCAAGATATGGACGGATCGACCGAGAAGATCATTCCCGCTCTGGTGTAGATCCGGGTTTTTTATATTTCGATATCAATAACATGAGCTTGACGGCATCTCGAGACAGAAGTTGCTAGTTGGATCTGTCTCAGTCTCCTACCTCCCGCTGACTCTCGCTGCCTCTCCTCCACGCACTCAACCAACACCTTGGCTCCTGATAGAAGTGGTCTTCCTACAATTTATTCCCGCATCTACTGGCAGACTACATCAGAGCCCGTCCACGACAGCCACCGAGCAGCAAAGCCCCCATCGCACCTGAAGCGACCTCCCCTGGGAGTGAACCCTTGCAACAACCAACACTTCCTTCAAGCCATGGCCCCACGCTTCCTGCCCGCGATAGCAACACAATCCCTCGGCCGCGCGCCCCACCACCCCATCGCCACGAAACTCGCCCTCATCGCCTCCGCCGGCTTCCACGCGGTCGAGCTCTTCATGGAAGACCTGGAGCACCTCGCCCACCAGCTGCGCAGTACCAGCACCAGACCGCATCTAACGCACGACGCCGCCCTCCTCGCCGCCGCAACCCACATCTCCGACCTCTGCGCCCACCACAGCCTCCACATCCTCTGCCTCCAGCCCTTCGCCAACTACGAAGGCCTCCTCTCCCCCTCCGCCCACGCCTCCCGTCTGCGCGACCTGCGCCTGTGGTTCCGCCTCGCGCGCGCCCTGCGCACCGACCTGATCCAGATCCCCAGCTCGTATCTACCGGCGGACCAATGCACGGGCGAGCGCAGCCGGGTGGTCGCCGACCTGCGCGAGGCGGCGGATCTGGGGTTGCAGTGCGAGCCGCCCGTGAGGTTCGCGTACGAGGCGTTGGCGTGGGGGACGCATGCGGATCGGTGGGAGCAGGTGTGGGAGGTGGTGGAGGAGGTGGATCGGGTGAATTTCGGGTGTTGTTTGGATACGTTTAATTTGCTGGGGAGGGAGTGGGCGGATCCGGCCAGGGGGGACGGGCTGGTGCCAGGGGCGGAGGGGAGGTTGGAGGTCGTGCTGCAGAGGCTGCGGACGAGGCTGGATCCGAGGAAAGTTTTCTATATTGAGGCCGTTGATGGGGAGAGGTTGGATGAGCCCTTGGTCGAGGGGCATCCGTTCTATCACGAGGATCAGCCGGCGAGGATGTCGTGGTCGAGGAACGCGAGGCTGTTTCCGTGCGAGGAGAAGGGGTATTTGCCCGTGGTGCAGACGCTGCAGGCTATTGTCGATGCGGGTTACGAGGGATACGTCAGTTTCGAGTTCTTCTCCAGAACCGCGCACGAGCAGGGGGACCATGTGCCGAGAGAGCATGCGGAGAGGGCGCGGAGGAGTTGGCACCGCATGTGCGAAGAGATGGGGTGGGAGGATTGCATGAAAGCGAGAAACATCGATGCGCCCGTGCCTTCTCTTGCCCAAGACATCGGCGTGCTGTCACCACCGCCCCCTCCGTCGGCGCCGGCGTTGGCACACCAGCATTCCATGTCGGCGGCGCTGCAGGCACACTGATGCTGAGCAGGAGGGTTGTCATTTCTAGCATAGCGAGGCATTTGCTTAGGTGTCGAGCACAAACCATCTTCTAGGCACAGGTTTCATGATCATGAACACAGCTTCATCTCTTGTCCAGCGCCCAGAGTGATTAGACCAAGCAACACCCCGTGTCAGATCAGAGACTGTTCTGCTTGGCTACGGCGCCCTTCTCAACGCAGTCACGCTCGAGTCGAAGCCGAACGACTCCGGAAGGATAGCATCCCAAGAGAAACTCGGCTAGATTGTGAGGGTCGCACTCCGGACCAGATCAAAGAGCGGAAGAGTCATTATCCGAAGCCAAGTCAGCTCCTGGGGGCTTATTGTAGATCTGTGGACACAGTTCGTAAGCGAAGATTAGCTTACACAATGCCACATGGTCCAATGCAACGGTAATAGTCAGGTTTCGGATCAGCTCAATGACTGTCGATGAGCGGGTCGCCCGTGACAATCGCCTTGAACGTGGGGCATCTCCCCGCATCAGCGAGGGATTGCAGAAAAGATTCCCAGAAGTCGCGTGGCAGAATCAGTCACTGACCATGTGAACCAGGAGCAATGGGGTCAACCACGCTTGCCATCGCAGTGATCGGTGGAGGTGGCTTAATAGGCAAGAGACACTGCCAGCATGTGGTTGAAAATCCTCCCGCTCATCTGGCGGCCATTGTCGACCCTGGTCCAGAAGCCATCGATACCGCTCGCCGCTTCGACGCTCCCCTATATGCGACGCTCGATGAGCTCCTCGATAGTCCACACAAGCCGGACGCCGCTGTTGTATGCACACCCAATCACACTCATGTGCCCGTTGGCGTTGAACTTGCGCGTGCAGGAGTGCACATCTTGTGCGAGAAGCCCATCTCAATCGACTGTACGAGTGCACATGCTCTCGTCGAGGAAGCCAAGAAGAATGGCGTCCAGCTGCTCATCGGGCACCACAGACGCTTCAATCCGTACATGCTAGCGTTGAAGAAGGTTGTAGCCGGTGGCCAACTCGGCCGAGTCATTGCAGTCAACGGTCTCTGGACCACAACCAAGCCTCTGGACTACTTCTATGGAGCGAATGCGTGGAGGAGCAACAAGGGCTCCGGAGGACCAGTGCTGATCAACCTTATTCATGATGTCGATCTGATGCACTACCTCTTCGGACCGATCACCACTGTCCATGCTGAAAAGACCCTGTCGCAGAGGTCTGCAGATACCGACGCAGTGGAAGAAGGCGTTGCACTTATCTTTAAGTTTGCGAACGGGATAGTGGGGACTTTCGTGGTGAGCGACAACGTCGCTTCTCCTCACAGCTTTGAACAAGGCACGGGTGAGAATCCCAATCTGCCCATGACCGGGGCCGACGTATACCGAGTCTTTGGCTCCCTTGGAACTGTCAGCTTCCCCGACATGACACTTTCGAGCTATCGGGGTGTGGACCCCTCATGGAACAATACCATGGCAAGTGTTAGGATGGCAGTAGAGGGAAAAGACTCAGCACCGCTAGCGTTGCAACTTGCGCACTTTGTCAAGGTATGTCGCGGGCAGGAAGCTCCCACGTGTCCAGGTCAGGAAGGGCTGCGTGCTCTTGCCGTTTGCAATGCTGTGCGAAAAGCGCTGGACGAAGGAGGGATGGCGAACGTAGACATGTCGATATAATGCCAAGTCTTGGAGCGGTGCGTAAGTACGTCAGCTCGTATTGGTGTCTGAACCCCGTTGCGACTCATGAACCTTGGTTGATCAGCTTGTCTGCATAGAATATTCCAACTGTCTATCCTTCTGCTGCAGAACTGCGAGCCAACGCAGTTAAATTTCGATAGCCGACGGCCGGGCATTCAGGAAAACCTAACGCCCTTTTCAAGCAAATATGGCGGACTTGGCCTATCCAGGGGATGAAATAATCCCGAACCCCGAAATGCACTACAATCACACCAAACGCATCGGAGCTTCTCCGGCAGAGATTTTTCCTTGGGTGCTCCAGATTGGTAAAGGCCGTGGAGGGTGGTATTTACCATTGTCATGGGAGAGGTGGCTTCCCAAATGTTGGCATGCAAGCCGCACTATCAACCCTGCATGGCAACAGCTGCAGGTGGGGGACCGCGTTGCAGACTATGGCTTCGACAAGGACGATTACTTTGACGTCGCGTATGTCGATCGGCAGAGGACGATCTTGGTGTTCAAGAGCGAACGACTAGGCACAGTCTTCACCTGGTCTTTGATTGTGGCGGAGCTCGAGGCAGGCATGAGCGAGCTGCGACTACGTTTTAGGGGTCGCATTCATCGTACGGGGCTGGGTCGAAGGTTGCTTGTCCTCGGTGGAAGCTTTATGGACTGGGCGACTACAGCGCCAATGCTAGCAGGACTGAAAGAACGAGCGGAGAAAGCGCACGCCAGATAGGTGGCGGACTCATCGCATGACCAAGCCCCCATCCACCTGAATATCTTGGCCAGTCACGGCACGACTCCAAGGACTGGCGAAGAACAAGACAACGTCTGCAACTTCCTCAGGTGTGATCACTCTCTTCAGTGGCGTGACTCCCTCGATGAGCTTGAAGACATCATCTGGCGTAGACTCACTGGCCTCGGTGACACGTAGGAGGCCTCCGGAGACCATGTTGACAGTGACGTTCTTCTCGCCAAGCTCTGCAGCACTCGTGCGAGTGAATGCCAGCAACGAACCTTTGGCAGCCACATAATCGTGGTATGGAACAACAGGATTGGACAGCAGATTGGTGCCAATGTTGACGATGCGGCCGAAGCCAGTCCCTTCAAAGCCCGGGAGAGCTGCCTTGGTAGTGTTGAGTGTACCTCTCAAGAATCCTTGCAGTTGGGTATCGATCTGCTCCCATTCTAGCTCGTGAATTTTCGGTCTTGCGTCGCCATTGAATTTGAATTTGCCGGCCATGGCGTTGTTCACGACCGTGGTTATGGGCGATCCAAAGTGCTGCTCGGCGGCGGAGAAGATCGCTCTGCATTGGGCGGGATCCGTGATGTCCCCTTGACACGGAAAAATTCTAGACCGAGTGTCTTCGTCGTCACGATACTCACTGGAGATCGTATTGTGAAGCTGATCTGCAGGTGTTGACCTGTAATTGAGCACGACGCGTGCTCCGTTGCCAATGAAAGCTTTCAGGATGGCCCACCCTAATCCTCGGCTGGCGCCAGTGACCAGCACAATCTGATCTGCGAGAGGTGATGACTTTGCCATTGACCTCGAAGTCGGAAAGAGTGCGATTACGCGAGGTAGACCATGTAGGGCAAACTTGATAGCCCGTTATTCGGTTGATTCAAGAGCTCAGTCTGCAGCCTTGCCGAGACATATGACAGCCTCGTTGGAGAAGACGCGTCTTAGGACCCCACCGCGTTTTGGGGTTCAAGTCCGAAGTCGGCCTCAAGTGGTCTTCAAAGCAGCGGCGTTCACAGTATCTCTGCTATTTACGCTATTTACGACAGCAACTACGGCCAGTCCACCGATTGTTGCCGAGTCATCGAGTGGTTATAAGACGAACCAAGTTCCCAGAGTGAGAATCGACCTCCCCAACAACAAGCACTCCATTCACTGCCTGCTCGGCCTTGGCACAACCTCTCCCCCTCACCAACGTTCTCTCAACTGGCCATTCGGTCGAAAGCGTGCAGCCCATCGAACATGGCAGTCAACGGCGTCAAGAACCCCAAGGTCCTCGTCCTAGCCGGCGATCATGTCGGCCCGGAGGTCATGACCGAAGCGCTCCGCATTCTCGCCGTCGTCTCCCAAGCCCGCGGCATTACCTTCGATCTGGACCACGATCTCTGCGGCGGCATCAGCATCGACACACACGGCACGCCCGTAACGGACGCCGTGCTGGCCAAAGCCAAGGCTGCCGATGCCGTGCTGTTTGGCTCTGTCGGCGGACCCGAATGGGGCACCACATGGCCCAATCCGGAGTCGGGACTGCTGCGGCTCCGCCAGCACATTGACGCTTTCGCCAACATCCGCCCTTGCACGTTCTACAGTCAGAGCTTGCTGGATCGGTCACCGCTGAAACCGGAGATCGCACGTGGTACGAACTTTGTGCTGCTGAGGGAGAACTGTGGGGGTGCATATGTAAGTTGTTTGAATCTCTGCTTCGTTAGCATTTAGGTGCTCTGGGAGATTCATTTCGTTGCGGGCCCTTTACTTTCCAGTATGTCCACTGACACAAAGCTTCTATCTCCATACAGTTTGGGCCCAAGGAAGAAGAGGCAGATCGGGCAAGCGATTCGTGGGTCTACACACGGCCGGAGATTGAGCGGTGCTGTCGCGTCGCAGCGGCGTTGGCGACAACGCTAGGCAAAGATGGTAAAGGCGGCGGTGGTGCCGCTACCGTATGGTCCAGTGACAAGGCGAACGTGTTGGCAAGTGGCAGGCTGTGGAGAAGAGTCACAACCGAGACGTTTACAAAAGAGTTTCCTGACATTGAGCTTAAACACCAGCTCGCGGACAGCTTGAGTTTGATGATGGTGAAGCAACCGACGCTCTTCAACGGCGTCATTCACACCGACAACACCTTTGGAGACATGCTTTCGGACCAGGCTGGCGGCGTCGTGGGCACACTGGGAGTGCTGCCGAGTGCAAGCTTATCTGGAGTTCCTGGCCCCGGTCAGCGGTGCAACGGCATCTACGAGCCGGTGCATGGGTCGGCACCCGATATCTCTGGCAAGGGCATGGTCAATCCGACCGCTCAGATTCTTAGTGTCGCCATGATGCTGCGGTACTCTTTTGCGATGCACGAGGAGGCGCTGGCGGTCGAGGCGGCAGTGGAGAAGGTCCTGGATGGCAAGGATATTGGTGGCTTGGAGATTCGCACCGGAGATCTGGGAGGAAAGGCCACGACCAAAGAAGTGGGGGATGCAGTGTGCAAGGTGCTTGAACAACTGCTACAACGCCAGTCAGCGTAATCAAGTCTATGGTGTGCCAGTCGCCACGGGCAGCTAGATGCAGGGCGACAATGCCAATGGTAGCCGTACGAGCGTGTGTAAGGCTAATCCAGGGGTTGATTTGACTCTGCCGGGTGACGGCGTCTGCTGCTGCAGTTGGTGAGAACGTGCCAAACTCTCTTCGCTGCACGGCTTCGGGTCTGATCAAAGCTTGCAGTCCTTCCAAAACCCAGATGGAGGCGAACACGACTGCCACAGCCCGCACGAAGCTCTGTGACAGACTCATCTTGATCGCTTTGATGACGGCGTAGAAGTTGAACCTTAGGCTCGTACTTACACATGCCAGGTAACTCGATTCCCTCAGGCCACCAGCCGGCCTTGTCGAGGCAGTCACATTCACAGTCGAGATAAAGTGTGTGCCAAAGACAGCCTAGCTGAAACCCGAAGAATTGAGATTCGGATTGATAATTAAGATGCACGAGCATGGTGCTGATGCCGGCGATGGGAAATGCATGAGCTCAGACGAGGAGGAGGGAGGTCTCGGCCTTGTACTGCAGGCGGAATCATGACTCCGCCTTCCGTCTCCTGTCAAACATGCAGCATGCAGACCGCGCTGCTGGGTCAGTGGAGTTTTACTGTACAAGTGTCGACGAAGCGGCCACACTGCCCGCTCAGAAGGGCAGGCTCGGGCGGGGACGGGGCGACGGCGACAACAAGGCCATCACAACAATGCCATTGTCTCCATCCACCGGCAGTTCTAGTAGAGTATGGATACTAACACCGTGCGTGTCACAGAGTGTCGGACGCAGCTTCCGGCAATCTGTCTTGAGTTTATTCCCCTCGTAGCTTTGAGATGTCGCAAAGCCACGACCCGAAGTTCATGCATGGGTTGCAGATGACCCGCCGTTACACGAGAGCCGGCATACTCTTGCAGCGACCGGTCTGAAGTCACCACACGATGATGAGCTCCAGCCCCATGATTTTCGGGCACCATTTTCTTTGATCGAATTTTCTATAGCACCCCACCTCGGCCCCAGCCTCAATCCCGCCGCCGATGGCCTGTCGGGTGATATCTCACCGCTCGATGTCGGCATCAAAAGTTCCTCTCATCGTCGGCACGATTTGGAAAGATTGCGTACAGCAAAGATATAGACTTTGCAGGGTCAGCAGAGTCGTGGTCTGCCCCGAGCGCCACCTGACGCCTACCGAGGCTGCCCACTCTTGACTTCCCAACAGTTGTGGTGCAATCCTCCATTTGTGACTGTCATCACTGAGACCCATGCTCGACACTTCGAACGTGCCCGACCAACTCACATGATCGACTCAGGGTCCTGACATCCGCTCTGAACCCGGTAGCCAACTACAATAAATCTGCAGGGGTCCGCCCTGCGATTCCACCACCATGAGCGACGATCACCAGAGTCGAGACTGTACACTAAGTGGCGGCCCGCCTTGATCCCTCTGCTTGGCCTGCCTCTGTACCTTCTGCACAAAGCCTCATCCTCGACGACTGACGGTCCATGGACGTTTGAAGTGCTTCATTGCACGTCCATTGACGACCACCGTACGCCATGCGGCGCCCCAAGCGTGGCATCGAGCCCTCCAAGCCGCCACGCGCAGCTAACACTTCGGCAAGGCGATCACGCTCTGATCCTGCTGGGCCATTTCACGCAGCTCTTACCACCACGTTAGGGGTTCCTAAGCAGTCCACCCGTCCCGTCAGGGTGCTTGACATGTCAGCGGCTCAACCTATCGAGCCTGCTTGGCCACAGTATTCGTCGTCTCAAGATGTTGTGGAACCCCAGACACACGCTCAGGCTAGCTACAATCATCACACCACCCTCGCTAGTCCTGTCCGGAAGACTTATCAGAGACCGTCCGACGCTGCCTACTTTCCCTACACCCCATCTCGGCCTGCGGACACGGGTCATGGTGGACATTTGCCTGCTGGTCCGCCATCCAGACGCTCTCGATCCAACTCGCCCAGTGATCAATTTGTCAACACCAATAGCTTGCTTCATACAGCCCTTGGGGCAGGCCGATTGGATCCTTTCCAGGTGTACTGCAAACAGGACCTCCCACTCTACGTACATGAGGTCCTCGATCATTTCCTGCACCATGTTTGCTGCACTTTCACGCTGGCGTCCGAGGGTGTGGCTCGCGACGCGGTCAAGAACTACGTAATGGGCCATGCGATGGTTGATCCACTGACCTGGTATGCCATCATTCTCGCAGGAGTCACCCACTACATGTACGTCAACGGCGAGCGTGGCATTCCAAACGAGCTCACGATGCTGCGTCTGTCGTACAAAACCCAAGCCATGGGGGAGATTCGCGCCGCCCTTGAACGCACCGCGGGCAACATCGACGAGGGAGCTCTGTTTGCTATCAACACTCTTGCTGCACACGGTGGCGCATACTTCTCGAAGGACTTCCGTCACGACCGGATACAGAGCTCAAAGGCCTTTGGCAGTGCGAACCAGATGAACTACTACTCCACCATTCCCGTCGAGTGGGAGCACTGGAACATGATGATCAGATTGGTGCGACAGCGTGGGGGACCCTCTACTCTGTCCAATCCTGCGGGTATCCCCGGATTCCCTCCGTCCCCGGGGCCAGGATGTCTGACTACTAATGACACCATTATAGCGTGGCGCCATCTCCGCTGTCCCGAATTCCCTCTCGTCGTCAACACCAACAAAGTCGTCGGATTGCAGCCTGTCGTGCGCGACGCCACCGCACAAGATCAGTCACGTACTCTCCTCAGCGGCTTCCCGAACATGCCCAAAAACAGCATGCATTTTCGACGTCTGCACGATATTTTGAAGAATGTCCGCACTCTCATTGTCGACTATGCCCAGTTCCAGCGTGGCCAAGCTCCGGCTCTCGATCTGAGGTTGTTGTATTGGACGCGTCTGATGCTGCTGCACGATCTCCTCCTCCTTCCGGACCTCGATATGAGCGACAACGCCTTGGATCTGCTGTATGAGTTGTGTCGAAAATGTTTGCTCGCTCTGATGCAGCTGGTGCTCTGCCCTGTGGTTGCCAGCAATTTACAGCCGCAAAAGATACTCAAGCTGCTGCTGCCGGTTATCCGGCGGTCAACGACGGCGATCCATGGGCGCACGCTGGATCGTGAGCACCCCAGCCTCTTTCTATGGGCGGTCACGCTGGCTGGCATGCTGGCGATGGAGCACTATTTAACGCACAGCGACTCGGCCATGCTGGATGAGGTGTCGGCACACTTTGACCGCGTCTCGCTTAAGGCAGAGAAGAATTCTTGGCCGCTGGCAACGAATGTGCTGCAGACGTTTCTGTGGCTCGAGTCTGAATGCGATGGCCCTGGGCAGCGGTATTGGAACTACGCATGCTTGTGGCTGGCGGAACGGCGGCACGGTGCTGCGCGTGAGGAGGGCTGAGGCAGTCCAAGGCAATACGAGGACTTATTGTGAACATACATTTCAGCTGTACGCATCAACACTCGAGCCCGCCGACGGGAGTGAGTCGTTGGAAGGGCTCGACAACTCGGCATCCTCGATCAGTTTCGCAAAGTCGAGTTCCGGCACGCCGCGCTGCCGCCTCCATCTATTGGTGCTTCGCTCAAAGCCTGTGGATCCTGCGAACAGCCAGTAGTACTTGCGCACAAATCTCTCGGTGACCTCCCAGCTGTCAATCTGCCAGGGTTCGCCCCAGACGTAGCAGCCGGCCTCGTCACTCGACTCGCTCCGAAGGCGAGACTGCGAGCCCACCATCTCGAGACACAGCTCGGTGTCATCGATGAGCTCCTGCGGATAGGTGATGATATTGTCGCGCACTTGAGGATCTGGAAAGATGTCCCACTGCGGATGATGCGCGACCGTCTTCTGCACGCGGGTCGGCATCATCTCGGGCGGCAAAGCTGCGATGGCGGAGGAGGCGCTGGGCGACATGGGCAGGAATGGGGAGGGGTAGTCGTCCCTGTTCATCAGATCGAGGTCGAGACCCAAGATGGCGATGTTCTGGATCAGAGCGCGATACACGTTGTAGTATATCAGCGTGAGGAGGTGGTCGGCAGGCATGGGATAGAGCTTCTTGGCAAGCGTGGCAGGCGAAGCGTGCGCCTGGATGGCAGTTATATAGGACAGAACGTGAGCCCTGCAGTTGGATGCTGCACGAATAGAAGCGAACGTTGACGGTGCCTCCTGCCGCTCCTTCTCATCGTGATCACTCCCATTGGCCGTAGCAGTAGTTACAGGTGGCATCCACTTTACCGCCACAGCAGCCCGCCGCACGAAACTCAGAGCGCCATCGACATCCGGCGGAGCCCTCCACTGACCCTCTGACAGCGCCACATGGCGATGCAATCCCCCCTCGTCTCCCAACAGCCGGCCACCACCTTCCGCAGCCGTCTTCTGGCCCCCGCCACCAGCACCAGCACCAGCACCACCAACAGTAGCAGCAGCATGGTGAGCCTTCCGCCGCCGCCGAGCCGCCCGCTGGTTACACCGATTCTGCAGCTTGCGGCGGAGGGTCGGGTCCGTGATGCCGCTCCAGTCGTCATGGGGCGAGTCTGCGCCTGGTCGGACGATGGCGTGCGCTTGGATCATAGTTTCTTTTTCGAATGTGGTGTAATGTCCGTCTTGAAGAAGACGACGAAGAGGAAGGGGGGAGGGGGTTTCATGCATGTGGCTGACGCCGCTGTCGTATATCACCTTTTGGATCTCTTGTGGTTCTTGATGAGACTGTTTCTTGGGGCAGGAGGGGGGAGGTGACGGGGCATATTGACGCATGGGCGAAGAAGTGTTGTTCGCCGCGAATGAGGCGTTGCGAATCGCTATGTCCGTTATGCAGGCTGCTGACAGCGCTAAATGCTAAATGCTAAATGTGGTCGAGTGTTCTAAGCCATTTCGGGACTGGTGCCGGAGATAACGGGGTAAAAGCTCTCCTGCTAAGAGACTGTTCCTTCCTTGGCGGTCGTCCTTTCTCAGCTTCATGTCTACCATGTGAGACCAAATATCGCACCCTCTCCTGATGATATGGTGCTTGGTTGCGCCTGCGATGCTGTCCACCTGTGAAAACCGACATACTTCAAGCCGAGAGACATGGACGGATCTTCAGCTGTAGGTCATGGCTCTCGACCTCCACCATATGTCGGATTCTTGACATCGGGGCGGGCTACGCATACACCAGCAGAGCTGTTATCAAACGCTGAAGTTTGGAAGAGCTTCCCAGTGTCACCATCATTCGAACCGCATGCTAACTTGACTACTCATCGCAACCATATCGGATTGATTCAGCCTGAGTTAGGCGTCCCTTCAGTTTCAGTCTGCCCAGACCATGACCCACATGGAGAAACTACTTCACATTACTACTATGAGTATGTCCGATCCCGGGATCTCTCCTGAGGCCACCCCTTCTCAGCTTCAACATTCACCTTTTCAACTATGCTTCGGGTAACCCGACACCTGTCGGAGTTGTAGGCCTAACGGGCCTTGGCGTGACTTTGATTTCTTGGTATCCAGTGGCCGCAGTCACATATGAAGGTCGATATTCCATCGTCGCGATGTATGTACTACTGTATTGCTAGCAGAGATCGACCAACATTTCGCCAATCATGGATTTCAGACAGCTGCTGCAGCCTGCCAGCCACAGCTGGTCCGCCAACACCGCGTTCCATTTTCCAGACGATGAGGCATTTCCAGCAATCACGGAGCGATGGACAATAGCCTTTCCGCCGAGCTTTGCAGCTTCCATCACCCCAGCCGTTGTTGAGGACGTTCAAATAGCTGTAAGCATCTTGTCAGGCGATTGAGTTCGGCTGGTTTCTTCCATTGACACAACAAAATTCATTGTCTACAGGTGGACATCGCAATACGGAACAGCATCCCCTTCATGGCGACTAGCGGCAAGCACGGCTATTGCAGCAAGCTCAACGAGATGCAGCAGGTCTTGCAAATTGATCTGAGCGCCCTAAATGAGATCCATGTGAATGCTGGTGCAGATACTGTGACAGTGGGGCCGGGTGTACAATTCAAGGATGTTTTCGATCCCCTCTTCAACACGGGAAAAGAGATGACTGTTGGCATCTGCTCTTCAGTGAGTGTCATCGGCGCTACTCTCGGCACAGGTGTTGGACGGTACCAGGCCCTCCACGGCTTGTTGATTGACAATCTGATCTCTGCTCGTGTGGTGACGGCGTCCGGCAGCCTGGTCACAGCCTCCAATTCGGAAAACGCGGATCTGTTCTGGGCACTTCGCGGCGCTGGCGTTTTCTTCGGCGTTGTGGTGGAGGCCACATACCGGATCCACGACCTCACGTCTGGAGGTCAATGCCAAAACGCTGACCTCGTCTTTCCGCTCGCCGCTGTGGAGCGTTTCATGAAAGCTATTAAGGTTTTAGATGACGAGGGCAAAGTACCGAGCAAGCTTCTGGTCACCGTTGTGTTTGCATAGGAACCCCAAATAAACATGGTAAGCCACCACCCTTGCGGCTGACCACTGGCACCTCTGCACATGATGACCTTGTTGAGAACCTGGATATAGTTCTCAACGTCGTGATCATTCCGAAGATCACGAATCTCTGATTGCTAACAAACCTAGCCTGTGATCCTCGCGAATTTCGTGTCCCTCAGCTCCGAGTCTGAATTTACGAGCCTCATCCAGCCATTTCTGGATCTCGAACCCGCGGCCAAGGCGGTCATGACACTCCCGTGGAACCGCCTACCGTTCGAGAGCAGCTTCGGCATCGACGCTCTCATGTCCAAGAAGGGCAACATGGGAAGTGTCTACGGGATGTGTACGAAACAGATCGAGATCGACACCTTTGTCAGAGTTGCCCAATCGTTAGGTGACCTGTTCGAGCAGAGCCCCGCGACAAGGCGCAGCATATTCGCACTCGAATGGTATGGCTCCGACATCGTCCGCCAACTACCCAGCGTCGCAACCGCCTACGCTTGGAGGGATTCAAAAGCCTACATGTAAGTCCCACTCCGCACCACACGCTCCCCAAGCATGACTAAGAAGGGCTGCCTCCTGCTAGGCTCATCAACCCGAGTTGGGTACCAGAGGACCCCACCTCCAAAGACGCCGCCACCTCCTGGGCCCGCCAAAGCAGAACCGCACTCGCCAGGACTTCGGGCTTTGACGCCGCCACTGACCACCAGGGCCAACACAAGGTGTTCCTCAGCTACGCGCACGGCGACGAGAGTCCCGAGCAGATCTTTGGCGCCAACTTGCCGAGGCTGAGGGAGGTGAAGACGCGGTGGGACCCAGGGAATGTGTTTCGGTGGGGACCCGCCGTGTTTGATTGAGACGGTTGAGAGCTGGCTGGCCTTGACATGTACACACAAAAACAAGGCTTCGAGAGGGAGTTCAACCGTGGATGACACCTGTGCGCTCGACTAAGGAAATGGGATGGGAACAGTTTACGACAAAAGGGAGACAAAACAGGCGGATTCGGGTTGGCGTTTCGTGCACGGCGTGGATTGTCTCGGTATCTCGCTATCTTTCTCTCTCTCACACACATATCCTCATCCTCTCTCTCTCTAGTAGTGAGAAGCGGAGGGCGCGATCCACGGCACTGAGATTGTCTCTCTCTCTCTCTCTTCCCCTTTCTCCCTCTCCCTCTCCCTCTCCCCGTTTTCCTCACGCCTTCTCTCTTGCCACCTCCTCTCACCCCTCTGTTCCTCCCCACCGCTCTTCAGCGCTTTTACTATTCTCTTTTTTTCTGGTCTTCTCACTCCCACTTCTTCCCTCCACCGTCTTCCGCCTTTCGCCTCTGTAAGCCATTGGCTTGGCTGCCGGGTAGCATGTGAAGCCTTAGCTGATGAAGCTGGCTCGTAGCTTGGTACTGGCGGAGGCCGTGGCGTGTATGGCACGCTGATACTGGCATGTGAGCCGCACATGCTAGCAAAGACTCCCATCGATTCCTCGGAACGGGTCAATGTCATTGCCAACATCAACGACGACAACGACGATGATCCGAAACGCGGCAGTCCAAGACCTCTTCAAGCGCGACACACCCAGCGAACAACAAAGAACCGTACGCTCTCTCACTGAACTCATCTCCTTGGCCTCCTCTCCACATACCTCGGCTCCGCCACACTAGCATGCCTCCCTGCACCCCCTCCCTCCGCCTTCCTCCTCGTCGCCGCGTCCCTCTCCCTCTCCTTAAGCGCCTGTCTCCTCTCCTCCTCGCTGTCACTACTCTCACTCGAGCACTCACTACTACTCCCCGAGTACCCGCACTTCTTCCCCCCACAGTCAAGCTTGACCCGCTGCCCACTCCGCGTGACCCCGTACCGCTCGCACCGGCAACTGCGATCACTCAAACTGCTCAAGCTGCTGGGACTGCTGCGCGAGAACGCGCCGCCGCTCGACGAGCTGTCCTCCGACAACTCCGACGGGCTGGACGAGTACTTGGTATCATGGCGGCCGCCGCCCGTGCCGTGGCGGTCCGAGATGCGCGTGGCCGCGAAGCGTTCCTCGATCTCGTCGACGGGCGATCGGTCGTAGTCGGCCTCGCGCAGGTGGCGCGATTCGTACGGCTTGCTGGGCTTGGGGTGCACGATCTTGCTGGGCGACAGGCCGCGCCCGTGGGGCACCTCGCGGCTGTGGCGATTGCCCGAGGGTAAATCATGCGTCTGGACGCTGGGCCGTGATGGTTTGTCACCGCCCGAGGAAGATTTGCCGCCGCCGGGCACGTCGAGGATGTTCAGCTTGCGGCCCGTGGTCTTCTCGGTCGTGTATTCTTTGGCCGGGTCGTGCGAGACGTGGTAGCCGTCGACGATGTAGTAGTACCAGTAGCGGGAGCCGAGTTTGAGTGCGTGCGAACCCTGGAAGCGGAAGGTCCCCTTCCAGGAGCCCGGTTTCGCCGAGGCGTCCTTGACGGCCGAGAGGGGCAGTTGCGATTTGTAGCCGTCCCAGGATCCCAGCAGGTGCACGGTGCGGACATTGGGAGAGGTGCGCAGCGTGAAGGTGAGTTGGACGGTTGGGTTGGACATTTTGATGCAGTTTGTAGTTGTGGTGGTGGTGGGCAGGGTGAAGCTTGACTGTGGTTCTTTGGAATAGGATTAGTAGACGTTGTAGTGGTTGTCAGGTTTCAGATGCTGATGCTGATGCTGATGCTAAGAAAAATGCCGTTGTCGTTGAGACTGTCGTGCGTTAAAAGGATGCAAATGCGTGTCGTTCAATATGATTAGAATGTCGTAGAATGATCGTAATAGCAATGAAAAATAAGTATTATGCAGGGTAAACACCAGATCCAAAGTTAGGATGCGGAGCAGCCCTGGTCGAATCGGTCGTTTGGTGCCACGTGAATGATACTCAGGCTTTTCTCGGTAATGCGGTCAACTGCACCAGGAGAAGGGTGCTGTTTGGGTGCTGTTTGGCAAGCCGGTGTATATGGCTTTGGTTGCGTTGGCTGGACGGAGAGAGGCAAGAAGATTAAGCACGACTGACCAGCAGTCGTAGTGGTGGGTAAGAGACAACGAGGCCTCAAAGATAGAACAAGTGAGAGAAAATGTCGGTGGAGGGCTGGTCCAGAATAGCTTCTGTCCGGGCAAAGGCGGGAGGATATCTTTAGGGGGCTCCTTGTTTGGTAGATGGCCTTTGCTGGTGCGAGGTGTGCTGCGGCACGATCTTTGCAATGGTGTAAAGGTGTGCCAATTGGCCAGCAGACGCGCGTCAGACGGGCGGAAGACGACGTGCGTTAGTAGCTTGCTGCACGCGGGTGCGGCACAGCTGCAGAGCGGCGAATAGATCCTAGACGAGTCTGGCAAGGCAGACTTCGGTTGTTGTAGTTGCTGGACAGTGCCCTCCAGGAGCAATGTTCTATCTCCCGAAAGATCGAAACGACCAGGGACTGAACGAAGAGAAAAAGTAATAATTATGAATAAAGAAATGGACAAAAACGGCCAAAGCGTGAAACGAGAACCACGAGGTTTGGCGTTGTTGATTAGGGCGGCTAAGCAAAGTCCGCGATGTAGAGCCAAAGAGCTACCGTTAGCAGAGATTGTCGACCGGCGACAATGAATGCTAGATGCGATTGAATGAACCGATCCCCGTTCGAGCCTGTCGAGCGGGTTGAGTATTGGTGGGAAGATTAAGCCGTTGGTGTTGCAAATAGCCGCAGCAGAGCGCCGCTCGCCGTGTATCGAGGTACTGGGCGAAGAGCGGTCGCTTGAAGGTCGCTGCAACTTCTGTTGCCGCTTGTTGCTATTATTATGATGGATGACGATTGACAACGGCCTTGATGACTTGAGAAAAGTTCCACAGTGCAAATGCTCCAGGCACTCGCAGCACGAATAGATTAGGGGACGGGCTCAAAGGAATAGCTCTTTAGCTGCACAAACGACACAATTGACAAGACTTGCTTGCTTGAGAGAGAGGGAAAAGGTAGGATGGTGAAGCCAGTCAGGCCGTATTTAGATGGGCGAGAGCAAGGCAACGAGTGGAACGATGCAAGGTGTGAGGTGTGGCGAGCCACTGACAGCGTACTCACAGGATGGGGTGGGCATACACACAGTGACCAGCGCTGCATTGCAGATAGCGGAGTCGCCTGTTGTGCTGGGCTGCAAGATGGGCTCGAGCCACTGACAGACGAGCACAAGAGGGCAGATGAGCTGTGAGAGGTGGATGGGCAGAGACAAGCCTGCACGGAAGTGGGCGACGGGCGCGTAGAGGACGACGAAGACAGGAACAGACCAGGAAAAGAAGAGCTCGAAGAGGTCGAGGCGGGGGGCCAGCAAGCGGGGTCTCTGCCTGGGCGCGTACGGGCTGCTTGATTGGTGTGATGGAAAGCGAGCTCCAGCCAACCACTGTCCAGCAGAAGATCCACCTTGACTTGTAACCGCCGGGCACATCCATCCTCTCCATTCTTCTCTCGATTCTATGCAAGACATTTCCCAATGCCATCCTCGCCCGCACACACACGCAGGTCGATCGGCTATCTTCATCCTTGACAAACATCACAACTTCTCTGGCTTTGAACCCGCACCAGCTCTGCGTGACAGACTGCCTGATGTGGAAGCACGGCTCCATCCGCGATCAGCCAAGAAGTGTCGGAATCGTGTCCACGGGCGCCTACAGCAAGGCCGAGTTCGTGTCTTGTGCACAGAAATGGTCGCTCGGATTTTCTATCCTAGTTGCACTGCATTGATGTGGTCCACGTGCCTTGCTTTCCATCCCACCCTCAGCGAGGTGTTTCCCTGTAGCTTTGACAACGCAATATGCACACTATCTTGGGAGCTGCCTCGAATAGGGTCGTGACTGCCACGACCCGGGTGGCATTCAAGCGCCACCGTCAACATTCGTCGACAATCCTGTAAACGCCCACAGGATACTCACCACCCTCCAGAATGGCAGCTCCTTCCCACCATCGCTACTACACACTTGCGAACCGCTCAGAACCACTCCTTGGCCAACCACCGGTTGAAGAACTCCAAGCTAGCCTCGGGCTGGTCTAGGGGCACCATGTGCCCACCAGCGTGAATGCGCATGAAGGTAAAGTTTCCATGCGACTTCACCTCTCCGATCTTGCGCTCCTTCTTGCTGCCGTCAATGTGTAGGTCCTTCATCTCGGCCTTGGCGAACTTCTCGTGCTCGGGGTACTCAAGCGCCTCAGCCCACGCCTTGTTGCCGAGCCAATTGCAGATGAAGTCCGCATCACCCGCGTAGACCAGGACAGGCATCTCCTTGATTAGACCTGGCACGAGGCGGTGGAATGGCTTCATCCAATCACCCTGGAAGAGGAAGTTGCGGTTGATGTCGAAGTTGCACGAGTCGTAGCTGCTGACTTCGACACCAAGTGCCTTCATGACCGATGGCTTGTTAAGCCACTTGCTTATGTATGCGAGCTCGGGATAGCAGAGGTTGCTGCTGTCCTTGCACTTGCCCCGCACATCGTACACATTCTGCCCAGTGCGCTGGTACGGGCCGAGCAGCGCGTTGTTACAGTAGATAGAGGCCGGCACACACGACCAAACGCTCTCGCTGTCGTAGCAGCCAGAGATCAGGTTTTGGCAGCGGGGAAGAGCATTGTCCATAGCCTGGCAAGATTGCTCGTCGAGAACAGCAGGCCAACCGCCCTTGCCACAAGCCATTGGACGGTAGTACTCGTACTGAGTCAGTCCGTCAGTCAGGCCATTGCCGATCAACACAGACTTAAGGTTGATGTTTCGGTTCTTGTGGGACATAATCTCTGTGGCAAAGACGGGGATGTAGTGGCCTGCGTAGGACTCGCCAGCAATATGGAAGTCCTGCTTCGCGTACTCGGGGAACTGCTTAAAGAAAAGGGTGAGGAGCGCATAAACATCCTTGCCAGCAGCCACTGTGTCAGACACACTGCTTGACGAGTATGAGTATCCGACATTGACCGGCTGGTCCAGGAAGATGACGCTGGCATTGTTGTTCCAGGAGTAAGGATTGAAGACGAGATCAATCTTCTCGTCGATACGGGCGGGGCCGAGCTCGAGGAAGAGACCGGTTAAGGAAGAGCATCCAGGGCCACCATTGAGCCTGCGGTCGTCAGTATACATACCCCACAAGACGACGGGGAATGGAAAGATGAAGAAGGGAAAGTGATCGGGACTCACCACAAGACAACCGGGTCGTTCTTGGGGTCGTTCCTCGATTCAAAGAACCAGTAGAACAAGTGCTTGTCGTTCTCGTTGTCATCCAGGTATCCCGAGTACTGCTTGACGCCCGGATCGACATCCAGAGCGCTGGGATCCACAGCCTTGACCCTCAAGTCATAGGTATCAAGCTTGCCATTGATCTCGCGCTCCTTCTCGCCATCGGCGTTCTCGACCCACACATCCTGGACGTCTCCGCCACGGACAATGTGGTCCCATTCGTGATCAGGTCGGCGGTTGTGCTTCTTGGGCGTGGAGAAGAAGCTGGCGGCACTCATATCCTCGGGATACAGCTCGGCGACCTCATCCCAGATGGCGGCGGCCTCGTGTGTGAGCCCGTGAAGGGCATCTTTCAGATGGTGCAGCTGGTTTGATAGCATGTCCTTCGCTTCGGCGGGGAATGACTTGGGAAGCTGTTGGAGGGGCTGCTGCATGGGCACAGCAGCCAGTGCTGCGCCAGCGAAAAGTGAAGTGGCGGCGAGAGATTTCATCTTGATGATGGATGTAAGGGAGGATGAAGGAGATGAGAAAGATGGATGAGTCGCAGGTCTCGTGGTAGATAATGCGCTGAAACCGTTCCTGACTAGCCTAGGCGACCCAGCCTCAATGACGTACGCTAACGCAGCCGCAGAAGATGTCTGTTCGGCAGATCGAACCACGTATGAGATAACTTGAACAAAGGAGTCGTGAGATTATAGAAGGGAGTTGCGTTCATAGTCACAAGCTCCAGAAGACCCTCCGAGAAGAACGCGGGAATGGTTTGGGGAGGATACCGAGTACCTGGGAAGCGCGGTTGTCAGTTGGCCCGCCGGCGACGATAACGATGGGTGCCTGGCCAACGCTCCACCTCCGCCACCAGCACGAGCATCTGTGATTGGCTGCACCAGCGACCTCAGCCGAGGACCGACCTTCACGTCGTTGTCATGGACGTCAGTATATGGGTCTCGTGCACAGGTTGTCCGTGTCTGGGCGCAATCAAAGCAAGTCTTTGTGAAGAGTGTATCATTAGATCTCTATCAGCGGTAGCTACGACGGCAATACCGACATCTTGCAACGGTGATGACCGGAACACCTACCCTAGCATACGCAAGTCCATTCGTCCGCTCTGAGTGTACTGCTATTATTGCTTCTTTTAAGCAATAGCAGCCGTCACTACCGCGAGGAAACTCGCGTCGGCCACTGATGCACAGTGACCTCTCGACAAGTCGCACTTGTAGTTCTCGATCTCTGGGAAGGTGATGTTGAGGCCGCCGAGCTTGGTGAGAACATTGTAGGGAGGATCTCCTACGCTATTCTAAAGTTAGCCAACGGTCTTTCTCACAGCTCAGGTGTGAGTTAATACGTACGTGTTGTCGAGGTAGGTATGAGACAAGTCAATGGAGAAGTTCTGGATGCCATAATAGGTAGTGTCGGGGATCTGGACGGTGAAGGTATTGTTGGCGCAGGTGGCCGTACCATTCTCGGAAGTGATGCCTACGGCCCATTCGACAATGCAGCGAGTTGGGTTGACGTGCAGGGTGTCTTGGTCGCTGAAGTCAACTGCGGCGAGTGTCAATGTCTGAATTCCAGGCTTGCGTCAATCGATTACTTATGCAGATACTTACACCAGACAAAGCTCGAGGCCGTTGAGTTGGGATATGCTTGGAAAGGCGCATCAACGACTAGGTTCGAGATGAGGAAGTCGCCCAAGAATTGCGACGCAGCTGCGGCAAGGCTGACCAGGCAGGCGCTGGTAGCGACAACGAGAGCGACAATAGCGACCTTCATGTTGGCTGAACTTTGACAGGATAGCGAGCGTAAGTTTGATGGTCACTAGTGGCAGACTTCGAGCCCGGACAGAAGAGGGCCTGTCAGGACTTGTCTACTGCGAGGATGCCAGAGAGACGTGTTTGTGGGATCGATGTGATTCGGTGCAGTCGCTCCTTCCTTGATTTTGTTAGTCTGGACGTCTTCTGCCTCTTACTCGCTTTGCCAGCCCGATTCACTACACGCATTTCCTGATGTTCCACAGACATCCTCTCTGCATCGTATGCTGCATCGTACCCGGCAGGACATGGCCACTAACTGGTACTGATTCCGTTACTTGTCAGCACCACACGCGCATACTGGGTGGCATTGTACAGTTCAGACACTTCATACAGCCATCTCACGATGATACAGTGCCAGCAGATTCCAGAAGTTTCAGTCTTTAAATCAAAGAATCTTGTTGTATCATTGGTCTCCTGTGTATTAGTGGAAGGTCACCACGATTTGAAAGTCTCGGTTGCAGTTTAGTAGCTTGAAGATCTTTTGGTATTTCTCATCCTCTGAAACCTCGACCGAATGATGGCTTCTTCACCACTGCTCGTCTCTCCTGCATCGACAATGTTGACTTCGTTTCGAGGGCCAGACGTCCATGTTTCCAGCCACGCCACCATGCAGCACGGTGTTTTGAAAATCGTGACTCCATCTTCGCCACCGCATCAACCACACATTGGAAAACCTGCAAAACCACTAGCCCTTCTTCTTGCTGACACCGACAGTCCGGCCTCTCCGACCAGTGGTCTTGGAGTGCTGGCCACGAACGCGGAGGCCCCAGTAGTGACGCAGACCACGGTGGGCACGGATCTTCTTCAGACGCTCCAAATCCTCACGCAGCTTGCTCTCCATGCCGTTGGCCAACACCTGCGAATCCTTGCCGTCGACGATATCGCGCTGTCTGTTCAGGAACCAGCCGGGGATCTTGTACTGGGTAGGGTTTTGAATAATGGTGACGATGCGCTCGAGTTCTTCAGAGGTGATCTCACCGGCACTGAAGACAACCCGTTAGCTTTCTGGACATCGTTCCAAGTTATTGGATCCAGACATACCGCTTGTTGAGGTCCACATCGGCCTTCTTGCACACCAGGTTGGAATATCTGCGGCCGACACCCTTGATGCGGGTCAGGGCATACATGATCTTCTGCTTGCCATCGACGTTGGTATTGAGGAGACGAAGAATGTACTGGACTGCGCGAAGGGTCAGTAAGACGGTCTGAGGCGTTCGACTCGGGGTGTTGGCTCACAGTTCGACTTCTCACCGCTGACGAGAGCTGCGCGAAAGTTAGCATGACGTTCTTTCATATTGACCGCAGCATGTCACGGCAATCTGTCTCTCTTGATGAGGCAGAAGACCAGGAACAATACTGTAGCATAGCGGGAGGTTCATCACATACACATGATGGGCGATCGTGTCTCTGGAGATGTGTGTCGAAGCGGCTCACTGATGAAGATGCGTTGCGGTTAGAGGTCTCGAAAATCGCTGTGGGCTGCGGCTTGGCAACAATTTGCGCCAAGTTTGACTCTTGGCACCTCTGTGACTAACTCCGCTATGCCCGGGCACAGCTCGATGGATTATTTTCAATCTGCGAGTGCTTGGTTTCTGACATCTGCAGTATTATTATGGCGGTCCTTTAGTCAGGTATACCTAATATGCTTCATTGTAACATTGACTGTATTTGTTGCTCTAGTTCGGCCGATAGTGTTCAGCTCACTCGCAAGCTGCAATAGCTTTCCCTCGACTTCCACCCCGTCTAGCATACACTGTGTGTCTTTCCGTGTTTGGCCTGCAGTCTCGTTAGTGGAATTTTTCGGCCCTTGTATGAGCCATAACTTACCTGGAGAGAATGAGCCTCATCCAGTTTAAAGGTCTGAGCGCGGGCTGCCCTACCCAACTGAGTGTGCTTCTGAACGTGACTGTCGTGAAGAATTAGCATGCTGCTTGACGACTTAAACCCCTTTGAATGCCTTACCTCTGGTATCGCTCCATGGTTTTCTTGTCCATTTCACCCAACACCTTCAGCGCCATCCGGATATCTATCACCAGGGCATCGCAGCGCTGCTTGCTGAAATCCTCTCGGACAACCACACGCATCATCTTGAGTTTCTCGGAATGAGGTGCCATTGTGTACGCTGGCACAACCCAGCCTCTCTCACGCAGTTGGTGGGCGAGCGCGAACTCGTCGAATAGGTTGTCATCGTCGTCATCGAGGCGGAACGCAACGAGCGGCAGGCCTCGCCCACCGCCGACAGACATGATAATGAATCCAAGCTCTTGAAGCTGTGCGGACAGGTAGTCGGCAGTGCGAGTCAAGTTGAGCATGATGCTCCTGTTTGAAGACGTCAGTGTACCGACCCACACGCAAGAAGACTACCGTAGGTAATAGGCCCGTATTGTGAATGAAGGAGCGCTTCAGACGCAACCAGAGGACCACCCCTACTTTGGTTCAGGCCCACGGAGCACTCACCGATAGCCACGCTTACCCAAGCGGATCATCTGATAATACTGAGCAATAACGTGTGAAGCGCCTTTGCTGAAGTTGAGCGTGAAGGATGCCTGATCGGCTCCCAGATAGTTGATGTTGAAGATGAGCTCTTGGGGAAGATACTCTGGTGAGCGCCACACGACCCATCCGACGCCAGGGTATACCAGACCATACTTGTGGCCAGAAACATTGATGCTGACCACCTTCTCGAGCCGGAAGTCCCACTTCAGGTTGGGGTTCACGAATGGAGCGACGAAACCGCCAGAAGCCGCGTCCACGTGGATGGGGCAGTCGATCTTGTTAGCGACGAGAAGATCGTTGATCTTCTGTGTATCCTCATACTCACCCGTGTACGTCAGGCCCAGAATCGTACAGATGCCAATTGTGTTCTCGTCGACCAAGCTGACCGCCTCTTCGGGATCAATGACATAGCGGTCTGTGGTGCAGTACACCCACTTCTCCTCAACGTCAAAGTATCTCGCCGCCTTCTCCCAGCAGACCTGGACTGCAGAGTTCATGACGATGTTCGGGCGAGAGAAGTCTTTGCCCTCGGCTTTGCGCTTGTTTGCCCACCTCTTCTTCATGGCGAGGACGGCAAGCATGATGGCTTCGCTGGAGCCGACGGTGGAGGTTCCCATGGCGTTCTGGCCCTGTGGGGCGTCAGGGGCGTTGTAGAGGCGGGCGATCATGTTGACGCAGCGGTTTTGCAGTTCGGCTGTCTGAGGGTATTCCTCATAGTCGATGAAGTTCTTGCTGAACGCATCGGTCATGAGCTTCTCTGCTTCATCTTCCTATTGAGGTCAGACTTGCTGCTCTGTCAGGGATTGCGGAGGGCGCCCACCATGAATGTCGTTACGAAGCTAGCCAGGCTGCACTTTCTATCAGTCTAGTCCAGTATCCTAGATGAGCAACTATACTTCAGCATGGGATTGCCGTCCAGGCTAAGTTCGTCCTTGATCATGCGGTAGGCAATCTCTTTAGGCATCTCCTTCTCAGGCATCTCATGTGAGGGGAGGTCTTCCGCGGCGAAACGAGACCCATAGACCGATGTCGAGAACTCATCTTCACCAGGAGCCTCCAGCGAGATATGCTCAAGGCCAGGCACGATCGAACTGCGGCGGTGCACTTGCTCGGTCGCTGTCTTCTTCCCGCCCTGCCGTGGGGCGACTCCAGATAAGTGCACCATGGTATTGGATCACTGGCGAGAACGCGATGATGTGGTTATTTAACTTTGGCACAAAGATGCTGTTCTGAACGTACTCTGGCTCGTCTATGTTTATGTGCAAACCAGAAGCACAGTACGAGGGATTTGAGGAAAAAAGGAAAAAAGAACTCACCACGATCTAAGACCCAAGAGCTTCACCACGGGGGAGCTGAAAGCTCATGGAAGCGTGCAAGCCAACCAACCCCGCCACGTACGCATGCAACCCAAACGCCGCAGCTCCTTCCATGATGCTGGGCTCTGGTGACATTACACGTGCACACGTAGTCCCGCATGCAGGAAGAAGCAAAGCTTGCCGGCAAACGGACGTGTCAGCTCATTACGCAGGATCCTGCTAGGACACCGCTCGTTGGTTGTGTGACTCAGGCCTCGCCGGAAAGCAGAAGCTGTTGGTTCTTACCAGAACAGCCGCGTTAGACTCGTGCATTCGCCTAAGGAACGTCATTCGCGCAAAGGGTCCCCAGTAAGGGCGCTAATACCTAGTCAACGCCCGGGGAGCCTGGGAGCTGATGAGCTTGTGCAAATGCTTAGCCAGCAAATGCAGGAGCTAGGCCCACGTTGACGGCATTTGGGGGCTTTGGAACGCCTAGCCCCCGGTTGCTTCGTTGGCTGGCCAGGCTTTGGAGGTGCAGGACCTCAGGATTTGCCGCAGTACCGTGCCTGAATTGACGGCTTATGGATCGGTGGCGTTGAGGAGCTACACTTGAAAATTAATGATGATCAAATTTCTGCCGCGTGTCTAGCTGTAATGGGCAGTGAGCTTGTGTGGCTCCTGCTGAAAGCATCACCTGCCTCAGTCAACGCTTTAAATGGGTAATTCCCTCACTAATTGCTGTATCCTGATGTGACCAGAAGCACGCGACCTATGCCTTTACTGCAGTGTTGTGGCAGTGCCTGACATAGTGGACTGATCAGTCAGGATATTTGCCCCGCGCTACCCCTCCGTTTCCTTCAACACAAGGGGGAGATATAGCCTCAAACAAGCCAATCACAGAAAGCCAGTGCGGGGAGATTGACGGTTTCATTTCCTCAATAAGAATTTCTCAGGCAGTGAATTTGGTCAACCACTAAATTCTTGCATCTACAAACACATATGACTTCCACGCCTGCAATTACTTTCGCATTCATTCTGCGTCTGGCATCTTGAGCACGTAGCGACCAGTGATCTTGCCAGCGTGCATCAGCTCGTACACCTTGTTCAAGTCCTTGAGGTCAACAGTCTTGAATGGAGCGTGGATGAGACCCTTGCGGAAAAATTCGAGCGCTTCTTGAGAGTCCTGTCGGTTACCGACGTACGAGGCCTGGATGCGGACCATCTTGAGCACGGACTCGAAAACAGGGGCGCGGATATGAGCACCCGCGGGTAGACCGATAACGATGACGGTGCCTCTGGGGCGGACGTACTCAGCCGCCTGTTGGAAGGGCTTCTCGTTCACAGCGACGAGGATGACGGCGTGCGGGCCGAGACCGTCAGCAGTGGCGGCGCGGACATCCTTGGTAATGTCGCTGGACTTTGCGAAATCAACAAAGGCCTGGAAAGTCAGTTAGTATGGTTAAGCCACATATGCCCCAGGCATGCGAGACTCACTGAGGCACCCATCTCCTTGCTCATCTTCTCCTTCTCCTCACCAGAGTCGATGGCAATGACGTTGAGGCCCATGGCCCGAGCGTATTGCTGGGCAAGAGAGCCCAGACCACCACCCGCACCAACAATGGCGACAGTCTGTCCTGGGCGAGCACCTGATTCCTTCAGGCCCTTGTAGACGGTGATACCGGCGCAAAGAACGGGGGCGACCTCATCAAGAGGGACTCCTTCCGGAATGTGTGCGACATGCTTCGCAGAAGCAATGCAGTATTGCTGGAAGGAGCCATCCACGGTGTAGCCAGATAGCTTGGGAGTCAAGCAAAGAGGCTCATCGGCCTGCATGCAGAATGTGCAACTTAGGCAGGAGTCGTTGAGCCACTTGACACCAACAGCCTCGCCAATCTTGGCATCTTCATCTGTCACGCCCTCACCGCGGGCAACGACGATACCGGCACCCTCGTGGCCACCGACAAGAGGTAGTTTGGTGGGAATGGGCCAGTCACCGTTGACGGCGTGTAGATCGGTATGGCACACACCAGAGTACTTGCTGGTAGGGAACGTTAGTAGATTTTCCGAGGTGAGTTGAGCGATAGGAAGTCATACATGTTGACGAGAACCTCTCCAGGGCCGGGCTTTGCTACTGGAATCTGTTTGTACTCAACAGGACCGCCAACCTTCTCAATGACCTGGGCCCACTGCTTCTCGGGGATCTTTTGAGACATGGTGTTGTATGGTGCTTGTTTTAGATGGGTGTGTGTGGGATTTGTGTGAGTGATAAGTGGTATGATGAATTGGTGAACTCCTGCATGAGCTGGATGTGGCCTTACCGTTATATAGAGCGAAGCTGAGCGGACCTGCCCCTCCGAGAAATCAAGGATGAGCGGGATACCCCTCAATCGGGTTGTCTGGGGAGTAGATGATGGCCCACACGCCGGGGTACAGCCACTGACCCGCGTCGCGTCGGGACCAATAATGGGAGCTCAGCCATTGCTCCAGGGTTGCATGGAGAGCTTGCGGGTAGATGGAGGGGGTAGACTGTCGAGTCAAAAAGATTAGATTTCGGATGATGGGCGGATGTCCATCAGCGGCGGCACGAATCATTGACTGGGTGGCTACCAACAAGGCGTCGGCCTTGGATCAAAGGGAGGGTGGACCATTGAGTGAGCGGGAAACAGGAGGGGTGCAAGGCCCAAAGCAGGAGATCTTGCTATTCCAGGGAGTCACAAAGTATACCGCGCCGGGCGGCATATCCAGGGTGTTCACCGAGCTGCAGCAAGAATGGACCAATGACTGAGCTACGGTCGTCTGGAATCTGGAATCACGGATGCACCGAGCTGCGTAGTGTTCAGTTGACCAGGCAGCGGATGGGAGGAGCATGTACATGTGGCGGCCCCCCTGATGCGGGGTTGACTTTGCGTCAATATGATGACTTTTTCGACCTGCTGAATTCATAGTTTGAGGGTGGTCTGACGGCCTGCACCAAGTTTTGTTCGCGTATGCAGGCCGCTTCGGCTGCTCGCGTGTCGAGATCTGGATTGTGTCCAAGAGCCATGGCGTGACTTAGTGCTGATCTTGCTGAAGAAGCGCTTGCTACGCGCCCTCGCGGGTGAACGCAGGGGAGGAAAGTCGGGAAAAAAAGTCCGAGCAGGCAAACATTCGCGCTCTTTACACGTTACATCCCACTCCCACTCCCCTTCCGGAGCACTGGCAGTGACTACGGGGGCTTCCGGGGGGGACGCCCCTCTTCTCCACCGTTGGTCGAATTCGTCTCATCATCACAACCCCCACCACTGGCACTCAGCTAGATAGAATCGAGCTCGATCAAGCGCGCTCGAACAAGTACTTCTGACAGCCGTCAGTCGCTTCTTGCAGATTTGCTGTTTCTTATTCAGCCTGTAAAAGTCGTAGCACTCTCTCTCGTGAACAGTGCTACACAAGGGACACCATGACAATGTCACGATGCGAATGCATATCCACGATGAACTCTGAGTTGGCCATCTGCTTGAAGGCTACTGACCCAGGCTGGAGCGTTCTGCATCAAAATATGGGGTGAAATGCTGAGGATTACGGACGACCGCGAGTCTCTAGCATACCGGCTCCCCCTCACGCGTACCCACACTTCGTCCCCAAGTACTGCACAAAATATTGGTGGGGTGGAACACCGTCTGCTACATAATAGCCTCTGCTGCTGCTGCTCTAACTCTTCAATTAACCTAGAACATCAGCTTGTCGGCCTGAGCCTGGGAGCACGTACGAAGTGTTGCACGCAACTGCGGCTCAACAAGCCCTAACAAGCGAAGCTCAAATTCACAGGTCGTGTACGGAAACCACTGTCTAGCCAAGGGGCCCAACCGTCTTCTCAGCGCCAGCAGACTCACGCTCGGCGTGCTTCGGTCCCTTGTCCCGGCCTATCTAGTCACAGCGAGCCGAGCTTCGTCCGCCCGAGCGTACCTGATATATGTCCAGTCTGGTAAACGCAGTCTAACTCTGATTCCACCTTGCTCCCGTACTTGCTGGCCAATTTGTATCATGTGTTGAGACTATGCGATTGGACCCCACCCAAGACTGGACACAGAAGAAAGCTCTATAATCAAGTCTGTGGCCATGTGGCGGTGCAGTCGCTGCGGTAAGCTGGTGTGTTTACAGTACTGCTCCGGTGCCATCGCTGCGAGCTGAGACTAGGCGTCCAGCACAAGCTGCGCAGCCTCGCAGTACTGACCTTGGTATGCCCTAGTCAATGCTGTAAAGAAACCCCTCATGTCTCTATTCTGGGCGTAAGCCAGGAAACTTGTGCTTTCTGGGGTGTTGCACAGGCGGCCCCACATCCGCTCCTGCATGGCTGACAGAGTGTTTTATAGACGGCTGCCCGTCTAGCGGGCTTATCGTTGTCGCCTGTAAGCCAGCTAGCCGGCTTATAGATGGCTTATAGGCGGCTTATAAGTGATGTAGAGAAACGGCTTTAAAGCCGGCTTACAAGACGCCTATGAAACACCCTGATGGCTGAGGGGTACATCGTCTTTCAACTCCGCCTCGCCCGCACTCTGCTACATGCGACAGGGGTAAAAGCCGCAGACTACTACCGTATGGAGTATCCGAACGTCTCTGGTCTTTGCCACCTGCCGTCGGAAGCGGACACATGCGTCACTAGAGTATACTTGACTGCCGGTCAGCAGCGTCGCGAATATCTGTTATTGATATAGCTGTATATATACTCCCGACATTGTTTTGTTCTTTATTCAGTGCCTCTCTGCCCCCAGACATTGCTCATCAGCTTCGATTTCTTACTCACGCACACACGATATCATGGCATCCAAGAGCAAGTTTGACGCATCTTCAACCATCCCACTGTGGCTCGATGGCAAGGAGATCACGACCTCGGTCACTTTCGACGTCATTTCGCCGCTCGACCAGCAGAAGCTCTACAAATGCTCATCTGCCTCGGAAGAGGACGCACAGGCAGCCGTTGCCTCGGCCCAGAAGGCTTTCCCTGAATGGTCTCGCACCAAACCAACTGTGCGACGGGACATCTTTTTGAAAGCCGCCGAGGAGTTTGCTAAGCGGCGGGATGAGTTCTGGCAGTACTCTCACTCTGAGACTGGTGCGGCTGAGTCCATGTTCGCGTTTGAGTTTGGCCTTGCGTCGAATGCTTGCAAAGACATTGCTGGCCTGATCGGTGCTGTACAGGGCACTGTTCCCACCGTGATCGACGAAGGGAAGAGTGCGATCCAGATCAGGTGCGTTGCTATCCTGCCTGTGAAGCGCCGGAGGCACCACATCAACATGTTCATGTGGCATGCCTGAAGCACCACCATTCCCTAGTCACAGATTTTGCAGGCTTCCATCTCACTGACACTTTCGAAGGGAACCTTATGGAGTATGTCTGGGCATTGCTCCATGGAATGCGCCAAATGTTCTTGGTAAGTGCCAGAACAGCTGCGGCCAGCTATGCCTCCGCAATCTAGGAGCAGTACATCCTAGACCAGATCGTCTGACGTTCAATAGGTCTTAGAGCGTGTCTGCAGCCCCTGGCAATGTGAGTCGGGTCCAATCTACTTTACAGCCCAACATTGCTTACTCCGCTTTAGGGGGAACACAGTCATCTTGAAGGGTTCAGAATCGTCCCCAGCCACATACTGGGCGATTGTGTCGGTTTTGAACTCAGCCGGCCTGCCTCCTGGAGCTTTGAACACCATAGTGCATCGTCCTGAGGACGCTTCCAAGATCACCACGGCACTCGTGACGCACCCTGCCGTCAAGAAGATAAATTTCACAGGCTCTACCAACGTCGGTTCGATCATTGCCTCTCTTGCAGGCAAGTATCTGAAGCCGACGGTTATGGAGCTGGGCGGCAAAGCACCTGCTATTGTTTGCGAGGACGCTGATATCCAGAATGCAGCCTTACAGTGTGCTCTGGGAGCGTTCCTCCACGCCGGTCAGATTTGCATGGCAACGGAGCGAATAATTGTTCACCAAAACATTGTCGACAAGTTCAAGCCGGCTCTCAAGGCTACGATGGACCATTTGTTTTCCGACCAGGGTATGGGAGTGCCGCAGCTAGTCGCTATGGTGGGAGTCGAGAAGAATCGGAAGCTGCTGTCTGACGCCGTCAGCAAAGGAGCCGGTGTCGTGTACGGCAATCCTGACGCACAAGAAGAATCGAAAACCACGATGAAACCCGTGATACTGGAGAGCATTAAAGAGAACATGGATATCTACCATACCGAGTCCTTCGGTCCAACGGTCGCACTGTATACCGTTGGCTCAGACGAAGAGGCGATCAAGTTGGCTAATGACACTGACTATGGCCTGGCGTCTGCCGTCTTCACCGAGGATCTACGCCGGGGCTTGAAGATTGCGAAACAAATTGAAACTGGGGCCGTCCATATCAACAGCATGTCGATCCATGACGAGTCGGCACTGTCGCATGGTGGAGCGAAGAAATCTGGATTCGGGAGATTCAATGGCACTCTCGGCCTGGAGGAGTGGGCAAGGACGAAAGTCATCACTTGGAAGGATTGAACAAGGAACTAGCTATTGTGCCAGTAGAGTCTTGGGCATAATACATCCAGGCTAGCAAACGAGCCAACTGCTGGACCAAGATATAGGTCAATGTTAATGCTGAGATTATGCCAAGAAACACAGGCAGTGAATGACAGTCACCCTGCTTAACGATGTTGCCGTAAGCAGCGCGCATGGTCCAGTGGCAGTCGATAGCCGGCAGGCTTATACAAATCAGACAAGCACCTACAGGTAGTAAGCTCGCTCGGAGATGTCTAGACGTTGGCAGCTCGGGTGCATAAGCACTGGTCCAGCAGGAGTGTTCTAAAGACGACGGCTATTATCGGCTATGGCCTATCGATAAGAAGCATTCTACACCCCTCCTCCCCACTCGACGCTACCACCTCGACGTTGCAGTTTTCTGTAAATCTTGAGTCTTGCTTTACCAGCAGCACAAGTTCGAGTGGTACCAATCTCTACTTCATCACCATGTCCCTCACCGACACGACGCTGAAAGAGAAATACCCCGCGAAAGCCCACTGCCAGCGAGTCGCGAAATATCTGACTGACCGCGGACTTCCCAGCGATGCCGTTATCTATCTCGAGGCGCAGAAGACGCGCATGGTAGAGGATGACGACCAAGCCGATCATTTCCGACAGCGTCGATACTTCTTCTATCTGTCTGGATGCAAAGTACCAGATGCCTACCTCGTCTATAATATTCCACAAAACATATTGACGCTATTCATCCCGCCAATTGATCCCGAATCCGTCATCTGGGCTGGTCTACCTGAGTCTAAAGAGGAGGCACTAGCAAAGTATGATGTGGATGATGTGCTCTACACGAATGAAGTCAACGCCGCCCTCGCGGCCTACGGGCCCAGGAAAACAACCTCTGTCTACGCGATCCCAGAGCAAGTCTCCGAGCATATTACTTTCCTCCCGTTCGTCGGAACCGAGCTGTCGTCTCTCAGAGAAGCCATTGACGAGTGTCGAGTGATTAAAGACACGTACGAGGTTGCTCTCATCCGAAAAGCCAACGAGATCTCGACCCTGGCCCACATCGAGGCACAGAAAGCGGCCAGCACGGCCACTAATGAAGAGCAGTTATATGGCGCGTTCATCGGCACTTGCATCTCAAACGGGGCTCATGAGCAGGCATATCATTCCATATGCGCCACTGGCCATTCATGTGCCACGCTACACTACATCCGCAACGATCAGCCCCTTCGCAATCGCCTGAATGTTCTCCTCGATGCAGGCGCCGAGTATGATTGCTACTGCGCCGACATCACCCGCACATTCCCACTCTCTGGTACCTTCACACCGGAATCGCAAACTATCTACGACCTTGTAAAGGAAATGCAAGAGTCATGCTTCGACATGTTGTATGCAGGCATGAACTGGGAAGATGTGCACGAGAACGCGCACAAAGTGGCCATCAAGGGCCTGCTCAAAGCCGGCATCTTGAAAGGAAGCGAGCAGGAGCTGCTTGAGAAGCGTATCTCGACCGCATTCTTCCCGCACGGTCTCGGCCACTACCTCGGCATGGACACCCACGACACTGGCGGACACGCCAACTACGAGGATCCAGATCCCATGTTCAAGTATTTGAGAGTCAGAGGCCAAGTACCGGCCGGGGCAGTCATCACGGTAGAGCCGGGCATCTATTTCTGCCGCTTCATCATCGAACCCGTGCTTGAAGATCCGGAGCGGGCCAAGTACATTGTCAAGGAAGCGCTGGACAAATACTGGGATGTTGGCGGCGTCCGAATCGAAGACGATGTATTGATCAAGGACGAGAAAGAGGGTGGCTGGGAAAACCTCACAGATACGCCCAAGCTATGATATCTAGTGACGCTTCAGTCTCCATCACAGCCTCGCTCTCCCTCCCTCCGCCACACCCTCCCCAAACACCACCTGTCCCCGATCAACGACCACCCTCCCCCCACCCCCTTCCTCCCTCACCACCATCCGAAACACCACCGCCGCCGCTCTATCCCCTCCGTCCCCTCCGACTCCTCTATCGACGCCCTCCCACATCTCCGTCCTAACCACATCCCCCGCAAACACCGGCCTCCTCAACCGACCCTGCACCTCCCTAACCGCCCTTCCCCGCCCCACCGTCTCCACCACGCCCCTCACCCCCACCCCAAAAGTGCACGTCCCCGTCAGCAACGGCCGCGGAAACCCCGCCCGCGCCGCCGTCGCCGGGTCGATGTGCAGCGGGTTCAAGTCGTTGCTGGCCGCGCGGTACAGCGCCGCTTGCGCCACGCTCGTGGCGTGCGTGTGCACCGCGTCGGGAGCCCTGTCTGGCGGGGGCGGGCTATGTGAAGAAGGAGGCGCTGCGGCGGCGCTTTCGCTGGACGACAACGACGACGACGACGGAGGAAGGCCCGTCGTGGGGACGTGAAGTACGATGCTGGTCCATTCCTGCTCGCACAATACTAGCTGCGAACCGTCGTCGGCGGCGGTGGTGGTGATGCGCACGCGGAGCTGCACGCCATTGTTGCGCGCCGGGCGGACGTCCAGCACGTGGGCGTCGTGGCGGAGCGTGCCGGTGTGTGGAAGGGGCCGGTGCAGGCGCAGAGCGTGGGCGGCGTGCAGGTGGTTGTGGGCTTGGAAGTTGGGGAGGAAGGTGGGCATGTCTGCGTGGACAAGCGACATGAGGGCGATGGCGAAGGTGCTGGCGAAGGTGGGGAGCGGGGCGAAGGAAGGGTGGCGCTCGTAGACGTGGGCCAGGTGCGTGGCGGGGGCGCCGAGAGAGAGGTTGTAGGCGATGATGGATTGGGGGTGGATCTGTGTGGTGGATGTCCAGCGGAGGGAGAGGATGTGAGGGAGGGAGAGGGTTGTTGGTGGTTGGGGTGGGTAGGTGGTGCTCATGGTGGAAGGGAGGGATGTGAGGCTGTAGCGAGAGCTAGGAGATCGGGTGTGCGATGTTTGCGTCGTGGACGAGGGGTAGGATGTACTAATTGCTGGCAGGCTACTGTTCGCAGGAGTATACGTGCATTGACAACGTACTTCGGGCGAGGCAAGTCTGCTACGAGTCGCTTGCCCTCATAACACAGTAGAAAGAAGCCTCTACCATCTCCTCTTGATATTTCTACCCAGAGCCTTTCGTTCGTCAGCCGGTACACGCTACGATCTTCCAGCCCACGAGTCAGTCACGCTCTACACTGTCTATGATTGGCGGTAGTCGATCCGACCAGGCGGGGAACCTTCTGGGGAGACTCCACCGTGCTCCACCTGCATAATGTCTGTACCGACGTTCACCTCGGCGCATGCCCCTACTACAAGTACCGGGTACAGGACGAGCTGTTGGCCCCCCCCCAGTGGCCACGCCGAAGTGTTCATGAACATAGCAAGTCCGACCACAGCCTGCACCGAACCGGTCACTGGCCAGATACTCGGCTCATCGAGGCGGACGCATACCAGTATAGTCTGTGGAAAGCGTTCATTGCCTGCTCCTAGCATAAAGCAACTGCAAGCAGCACTGTACGGGTTGGTACTACGCCGGCGAATCTACCAGTCCAATCCGTCTGCCAGTCCTCGACTGTCGCCCAACTCTCACAACCATGCCATGGCTGCACACCGAGACCTACCCTCTACCAGAAGAGGATGTTGTGACGTTCGCATTTGGTGACCCAAGCTATGATCTGGACAAGCCGGTGTACCATGATCTCGACGATGAGTCACGGACATTATCTTACAACCAAGGGCGAGTCCTGGTGCGGAAGTTGGTGGCTGGCTTCCGTGCCGCTGGGCTCAAGAAGGGCGATTGCTTTAGCATTACAGCGTTCAACGATGTGAGTTTTTGGACTTAGGGGGGTCCCCCTTGGTGTCTACGTCTTGCTGATCTGCATGCAGATAATGTATTGGTAGGTACTTGCGGAAGACATTTGCACGCCTGCACAAGGATGTGTTCAACCTATTTCTTGACTGGTCTTCGATACCCAGGAATACCAACAGTGTGCTGACCAGTCGCACAGTAAGCGGAATTCTCTCACAGGACGCCGACATTGGCCAAGCTACTGATCATGTCCTTTCCCAGCAATGCTTTTCCTCGGTGGTATCGGCGCCGGTGGCATCTTTAGCGGAACCAACCCCGCCTACCGCGTCCACGAACTCCGACACCACATCCGCACCGCCCAAGTCAAGCTCCTCTTCGTCGCGCCCGAGCTACTCGACACAGTCCTCCCTGCTACCGACGCAGAAAACATCCCCCGCTCCCAAATCTTCATCTTCGACCCTCGCAACCAGCAGCCCTGCCCTCCCGGCTTCCGGCCCTGGACCTGGCTCCTCCAACACGGCACCAGCGACTGGGACCGCATCACCGACCGCCACACACTGGAGCACACGGAGATCGCCCGCCTCACCACCTCCGGCACGACGGGCCTGCCCAAAACCGCCATGCAGAGCCACTTCAACGCCACTTCGTACCACACGCTCACCTCGACCATCGTACGCGACCGCATCCCCTGGTCCTCGCGCAACCTCTTCCCCTTACCCATGTTCCACGTCGCCACCGTCCCCGCCGTGCACATCTCGCCCTTCCGTACCGGCCACCCCTGCTGGATCATGCGGCGCTTCGAGCTCGAGCCCTTCCTGGCCGCCATCCAGCGCCACCAGATCACCGACCTGGGCATGGTGCCTCCGCTGGTCATCGCCATCATCATGAGCCCCCTGTCCAAGAAATACAGCATGCGCAGCGTGCGCCGCGTGGCTGCCGGCGCCGCACCACTGGATGCCGCGTCGCAGAGGCGGCTGCAGGCCCTGTGTCACCCGGACGCAACGTTCACGCAGGTCTGGGGCATGACGGAGACGACGAGCGCGGTGAGTCTGTTCTACTGGCCGGACAAGGACGAGACGGGGAGCGTGGGAAATCGCTTTTTGCCAGGGGTGGACGTGAAGTAAGTTTTCCCCCATGGCAGGGTCGAAGCCCGGGTAGCGCTGGAGGTTGCGAGAGTATTACAACCATGCTGACGGAAGTCTATCGCAGGCTGATTGACGACGAGGGCAACGACATCACAGCCGACAATGTGCGTGGCGAGTGTTGCGTGAGAGGGCCAACAATCATCAGAGGTGAGTAGACCATATAGCTGTGGCTGGTAGCATCGGCAGCAGCTTCGTCCCTGGATTCACATCCGCATCCGTCCGACTGTACAGGCTGATATCTGTGGGGTGATGTGCAGGATACTTCAACAACGAGCAAGCCAACCGCGACTCCTACGACCACGAAGGCTACTTCAAGACCGGCGACATCCTCTACCGCGACGGCGCGACCAAGCTATGGTACATCGTCGACCGCAAAAAGGTTTGCGTGCCATGATATCCCCCCTTACCCTTTCCACGCCTGTAGCCCCCTCCTCTAATTCGTCCTCCCAAGTCGTGATAGATAAAGTCTCAAACTGACGTGTTCCTGCACCCGAAATAGGAACTCATCAAAGTCCGCGGCTTCCAGGTCGCCCCCCCAGAACTCGAAGGCCTGCTGCTCGACCACCCAGACATCATCGACTGCGCCGTCATCGGCCTCAAGCCCGCAACTCCAAACTCGGACGCCGAACGGCCGCGGGCCTATATCGTGCGGCGACCGGGATCCAACGGCATCACGGAACGAGAGGTCAAGGACATTGTGCGGGAGAATCTGGCGGCGTACAAGCAGTTGACGGGCGGGGTGGTGTTTAGGGACGAGATTCCCAAGAGCGCGAGTGGGAAGATTCTGAAAAGGGTGCTGAGGGAGGAGGCGGAGAGGGAGGAGGGGAGGGAGGGGAGGGCAAGGCTGTGATGCGAACTGAGGGGGAGCTGTTGAATGCGATCGGGGAACAGGAAATCTCGAGTTTCGTCGGATCAAGCTGTGGCATGCACATGGGTGCTTGGGAAAGAGAAACGGCTGCGTAGAAGTCCTTCAGTGTGTTCACGAGCTGATTCCATTTGGCGACAGAGCCGGAACCTAGACTCCCTCTACCGTGCAGCCGGAAGAAATTATGCTCGTCTAGATACATCATTAGTGGTCGTACAGTCATGTCTCGGCACCATGAAGCCACTCAGACAGCCTCAGCCCGCTGGAAACTAAGTCTCTGCTGTCCTCGCTCGGGAGGAGCAACCCTGTTAGATCATTAGTAACAAGTTCCTCAACAGGTGAGGCAAACTTACTCAAAAGCATGAACGTCAGGCGCGGGCTTGATATCGCTTTTGGTACCCGGGCTGATCAGAACATACTGTCGTCCTCGGCTTTGTCTTGCAGCCTCGATGAGAAGGTTGACACTTAAGTTGCGGTTGACTGCGTCCATGAAGACGTCGAATTCGTCCAAGCACCGCACTGGTGAGCCCATGGCTTCCCAAAGCGCGAGCAGCAAGCAGATCTGCGAGAATGACTTTTCGCCGCCGGACAACGTACGCGCGCTTCTGCCAGTGCCATCCCGCCGAGTGATGTCAGGTTCGACGAGAAGGTCTAGCAAGTGCTGCGTATGATCGATGATGAGCTTGCCCCTGAAACCTCGTTCGGAGAGCAGATACATGAACGCCGAGCGTGCGCTTCGGCCAATCTGTTGGCGGAAGAATCTCCAGCGACGCATGCGTTCATGCACGGACGCCTTCAGAGTATCCTGCAGCGTAACCATGCCTTCAAGATCTTCTTTGCTTTGACGGAACTGCTGGAGAGCGTCGGCGGCCTGGCGTTCGATTTCCTCGGGGTCGCCACCCACTCTTTCATTCGCAGCAGTCACCTGCTCCAGCAGACGTTCCCACTTCTTGTCCAGGGTTTTGGCTGTTTCTCCCTCAGGAATGGGAACTCTCTCGCTACCACTGGCGCGGGCTTGCTCGGTATCCTTGCGAATATCTTCGTCGGCTGTTGCGAGTTGTTGAATATAAGTCTGCAACTCCCTTTCAGCATCCTCGATCTTGTTCAAACTCCAGTTCTTCTGAGCAAGCGCATCACTTTTTGATTGATCAGCCCTGCGCCACTCGCTTTTGGCTTTATCAGCGTTTGCTTGTGCCTCCTTCAGACGGTCTTCCATGGCCGTGAGCTCTTGCTGTGCTGCTTCGTTTGCCTTCCTGTCTCTATCCTCTGCGACAACGGCATCGCCGAAGAGTGCTGACTTCGTTGCGACAGCCTTTCTAGCCTCTTCGAGAGCCTGCCTCAGGGCATCAAGAGCTCCACCGGCGACGTTGTCCTGCTCAGTTTCCGATTGCTTGTCCTCGACTTTTTGATCGGCTTCTTGCTTGGCGACTCTGAGTCTCCCCACCTCTTCGTTGTATTCTTTCAGCGCTCTCACCGCAGCGTTATACTCATGTTTGCAGCTTTGTACCTCACTCTTGAGATGCGTCAAGCGGTGCTCCTCATCAGAAACATATTGCTGGTGTAAGCGAACCTGTTCATCGAGGTTGCTGTTCAGCCGTAGGGGTCCAACAAATTCGTCAACGGGATCTTGAGCTGGTCTGCCTTGACGATAGAACAAGCGGAAGCCTCTGCTGGGATTGTTGTGTGCTAGCGTAAAGCAATTCAGAACGTTACGAGGCCGCTGGTTTGGGTCCCTAATGTTCATGATGCGGCAAGCTTCGTCAAAATTTTCTTCCAGTACTGCGGTCTCAATGCTGTGCTGCATGATCAGGACGTTGCGTACCAGAAAATTATCGATTTCCAGGGCTCGCATAATGGTCAGGAACTCATCATCGGGTTCCTTGGCCCGCACATCTAGTTCGTATGAGGGTGGCATAAAGAGCGTGCCATCGACTCTATATTTGCGTTGGAGCTCGTGAAGGATGTCTTGGTCGTGCTTGTTGGTAACAATGAAACTGTTCGGAGTTTTTCCAAAGACCTTTTCAAGCACCCTGGCCCAGTTTTGATGCTTCAGCTTGATGTGTTTACCAATGGGTCCAATGGGACGATTGCGAAATCTGGTCTCCTTGCCGATGGCTCGAAGGAGTTCAGGCATGCGTTCGTGAAACTTGCGGCCTTGGTCGTTCTCACTGCTGCGTATGTTTTGTAGCTCAGCCTTGCGATCCGTGAGACGTTTCTGTTGGGTCTTGAATTCCTCCTCGGCGGCATGAACTTTCTCTTTTGCTGTATCGCAGGCTGCAGTGTATTGCTGTCTGCTAGCTGCACGAGTTTCGTAGGCGGTATTAGCTTGTTCAGCAGCCGTCCTCAAGTCGTCGAGCTCGCGCAGGCGTCTAGCCCGGCCACCACCGTCTACTTCAGTAAGACGAGCCTCCTCGTTGAGAATTTCCTCTTCCTTGCGCTGGACAGCTCTACGAGCACTGTTGAGCTCGTCTTTCACCAATCGTGATTCGGCACGCGCTGTTGCGTGAGTATCTTTGGTCTCTTTGACCTTTTCTGCCGCCCCGTTTCTATCAGATCGTGCTTCTTCGATCTTTGGTAGCTCTGCATCGTACTCTTGCTTCCTCTGCTGGACGAGTTCCTCGGCTTGATCATAAGCTTCACCAAGCCGTTCTGCATTCTGACGTTCAACGTCGATTTTGCCTCTGTTCTCGTCAAGCGCGTCGGAGACTCTTTGCCGATGGACTTCAAGGTCCACTACTTGCGCCCAGATGCATTGATGTCGGAGAACTGCCAGACGCTCTCGGGTGCCATCTAGTTTCCGTGACTCTTTCAGCTTGCGATCAGCTAGCTGCCATCGACGTTTCTTCTCGGCAAGGTCCTCCTGGCCTTGTGTTATTTTCGGAGTCATGTTGTCGATATTCTCCTCGATGATCTTGTAGTCCTGGTCCAGTTGTTCGAGTAAGACGCCCTTAAGAAAGAACTTGTACTTTGCAGAAGCGTTGGACGACGCTATGAATGATCGAGCCATGTCCTGCGAGAGAACATTCAGAGGATTCTCCATCTGAAGGCAGAAATGATCGAGAATCTCCTCTAGATCGCCCTTTTTAGTAGACATGACTCTCCCATCTACATTGCGGATTTTGAAACTTGAGCTGCCCGAGCTGGTGAAGTTCCTTTCAACTGCGATAGTATTGCCGTATTCGTCATTCCGGAAGGCATTCTGGCCTTGGTTCTTTAGATAACAGGTGACGCTGGCGCTGTTGGCACCATGACGAACAAAGTCTTTCAACGATGAGCCACGGCCGGTTCCAGAAGCCTTGCCACCCAGGCATATGACAATTGCAGTCAGGATAGCGCTCTTGCCGCTTCCATTCTTGCCACACATAAAGTTGATCAGTGGTGAGAGTTTCCACTTCTCGTTTTTGTGGCACATGAAGTTGACAACGTGCACAGCCTCGAGGATGCCGTATTCAGCGGGTTCATTGTCTTCCGGACGGATGCGATCAACCTGCTGAGTGGCTTCGGGGGTCCCGTTAGCATTATCCTCATCGGAATCGATATCGGACGGAGGAGTCGTAGCAGGCGACTGCCGGTCTCCATCAGTCGGAGGCGATGACGGAATGGCCGAGCCTGTGCTGCCGCGTCTGCGCTTGCGCTGTAGAGTAGTCAGCTCCCGCAGAGAACAGCGAAAACATCAGGCAGACATACCGCAGACGAGTGCGAACTAGAGTCATGGTCCTCGCTGTCACTGTCCGCGAAAGGGCCAGGACGCTTGGCGCGAGACATCGCGCCAGGTGGAGCGCCCAGCTGGTTAGCACGCGGAGTCCGAGGGTTGTGTGGATGTACAGTTGTGTATACTCAGGCAAGCAACTGAGCAAGAGCGATGTTACGAAGTTGCGAAACTTTCAGCCTTATAGGAACGCGGTGACGTGACGAGGCTCAAGCGCGTCCATGAGACCCACTTCTTTTTCCCCGGCTCCCCGAGCTTCGGTGCAAATATTCCGGAACTGCCTCCATCAAAGGTGCAGGCAATGCATGAACTGATACCACCAGCCCCCATATCAGAGACATAGTCATAGACGTGGCGAGCCGACCGACAGCACTAACATCCTTGATTGTCTCAGCAGTCTGCAGAATCCGCCATGGCGGCCAACACCGTTGCCGCCGACCAACAGGCGAAGTCCAAACCCAGCGCTACACGGTCTATCATAGCAGGCATGACTGCCGGCGCAATTGAGATCTCCATAACATACCCTTTCGAGTTCGCAAAGACACGTTCGCAGTTGAATCGCCGGCTACCTGACTCTAAGAAACTACCATGGCCTCGGTTTCCTTCCCGAGAATGGTACGCCGGATGCACAACGCTGATTATTGGCAACTCGATAAAAGCCGGTGTCCGTTTCGTCGCTTTCGACTTCTACAAGAGCCTCCTAGCAGATGCAGACGGCAAGATTTCCGGACCAAGAACAGTGGTGGCTGGATTTGGCGCCGGCATAACAGAGTCATTACTTGCTGTGACGCCATTCGAGAGTATAAAGACACAGCTCATCGATGATCGAAAGAGGGCGCAGCCAAGGATGCGAGGATTTCTTCATGGCAGTGGTGTGATAGCGCGGGAAAAAGGCATCAGGGGATTTTTTCAGGGTTTCGTTCCCACAACGGCGAGGCAAGCCGCGAATAGTGCTGTTCGCTTCAGCACCTATACGAGTATCAAGCAGTTTGCGGAAGGATATGTTGCTCCTGGAGAGAAACTCGGCTCCATAAGCACCTTCGCCATTGGAAGCATGGCTGGCCTGGTGACGGTCTATGCTACGATGCCACTGGACACTATCAAAACGAGGATGCAGAGTCTGGAGGCCAAGCGGCTCTACAAAAACAGCTTCGCGTGCGCCACCAACATTTTCAAGAACGAGGGTGTCTTGGTCTTTTGGTCAGGCGCGTTACCCAGACTGGGCCGACTTTCGCTAAGCGGCGGAATTGTCTTCACCATGTACGAGAAGACGATGGAGCTGTTTGACAAGGTTGATCCAGATCGGAAGATCATATGATCCAATATGTTTCGATTGCTAGCAACGCCGATCGTCGAGCCAAAGGCAATCCCACATTGCGGGCGATTCAAGGGTCGTGACGAAGAATGCACGAGCCACAATAAGACCAGATTCTGAAAGATCCAGCTACGATCAAAGAGGCCGCATATCACTCCGACGAAGACCAGCGGGCCCAGAAAGTCTTGCCCGTTTCCGATCCTGACTTGGATCCAAGCATAAGCCCCGTTTCAGGACAGGTGTACCATATGCAATATGCTGGACAAAATCAAAAGCAAGCCTAGGCTTGTAACCGAGGCCATTGATAGCAATAGACATATATTGATCAGAGAGAGCTTCAAGGCGCCATCCGGACACCTCTGCGAGCTCATTTATGTCTGTACCTTGATCTCCTTGACCAAGCCTTCCCCTATGATCTCCATCTCCTTCAGAATGCCCATCTTGTTGAACTCGCACATCTCCTTCCCATCATCATCATCCTCAGCAACTTTGTCGCTGATCGGCACGCTCGACCAACCCAATCTGACCCTCCATTCTCTCCGCCCCTGCACGCCCGGCCGCCAAACCCCGGCGAGAATTTTCCCACCGTCGCCGCTCGCGCCATAGAAGAACAGCGCCGTGTTCCCAAACGCCGCTTCGAGATCCGCCAAGAAGTCTTCCACAGGATCAAAACCGACTACATCGACGTCCGTCTCCGCCGCAACCTCCAGATTCCGATACTTCTCCTTCCCCTTGCGCCTTACCACAGCCGCACCCTTCACAGCTTCCTTGTCCAACATCACCAAAAAGTCGTACTCCTCGAATGGGCTCACAAACAGCGTCTTTCCCACTTCTAGCGACAGTCCCGCCGCAGTCTGCCCACCCACCACCTCCAAACAAGCTCCAGCCAGCGCCGCCACCCTCGCCGCCACAACTTTCTCGACTCTTCCCCCAGCCGTCCACGCCACACCCGTCTCATCCACATTACTGCCCACAAACCAGCTCACCTGGTTCATCTGCGGATCCAGCTTCCGCCACGCCGCGAAGCGGGCGCGCAGCTCCGCCGTCTGCTCCGCGCCCATTTCCTGGCCCACGCTCAGATCCACGATCAAGGGGCTGACCGCCCAGTCCCACGTGCTGAGGAACCACAGGCACCGCAGGAAGGCGGTGGTCGGCGAAGCGGGTGTCGCCCAGGGAGCCGGGTGCACGAAAATGTGCGCGGCGATGAGCTCGAGGATCTCTTCGGGGACGTGGCGGGATAGGAGGTGTGAGGAGGTCCATTTCTTTAGGAGGCGAATTGTGGGGGACAGGGCGGGGAAGCGAGTGAGGAGGGTGCGGAAGGCTGTCGTGTGCCTGGGGGACGCGAGGAAGTCGCGTTTGTGAGCCGCGAGTGCTGATGTTAGAGAGTCGCGGATCGCGCCGTGGAGGGAGTCGTCGGAGAGGGCGGTCTGTAGGAGATGGAGTTCGCGGTCGTGGTGAATGCGGAGGCGGAAGATGAGTGGTGCGAGCGTTGGAGCCGGGGATGGGTAGATGAGGTCGAGGTAGGCGGTGTTGAAATGGCCAGTGGTGGCAGTGGAGGTGTGTTCGAGGCCAACGCGTGTAGTGAGGGTTGTGTCTGCTGTTGAGAGTGCATCGCCAAGTTTGAGGAGGAAGGCAATCTTGGTGTGCTGAATCGCGGGGAGCGAGTCGGGCCAACGACCTGAAGAGTCGAATTGAATGAGGATGGAGATTGGCGTGGCGGTGGAGGGCGAAAGAGGCGGCGCCAAGGTAGTGGAGCGGAGCGCTGATGATGCTGCAGACACCGAACGGATTGGGAGGGGAAGATCGGATAGTGAATGGAGTGTCGATGTGAGGGCCTGAAATTTTTGGTTGATAAGCGTGAAAGCATCCTTTGCTGAGACCGCGGTGACCGGCAGAACATTCTCATCAAGTCTGCTACTTCCTGTTGCAACTAACTTCGGATCGGCAGAGAAATGCCTTTGCAGTAAATGTCGAATAATCTGGAGAGTCACTGGCTCGGATGAATCCCATACAAGGCTCTCGGTTATACTACCGTCCTTGAAGCGTCGCAGCTCAGACTTGGACCCCCAGAATTGCTGGAACTCTGTCGCCGCTGCCTGATCCTCTGCTGAGGGGCCGTGGTCCACAAGGCGAGACACTGTATCCGGATTCACCAAGAGCCTTACTTGAAAGGATGTAGCCCTCGCCTTTGGGGACGGGGTACTAATCTTCCAAGTAACTGGGAAAGGTCGCTGGATGTCCAGCAGTGTAACTCGATCACCCAAGCCGCGCTTCAGTACTCTGAAGAGCTTGTTCACAGCATCATTCTGGGTAGGAGCGTTGGAATGTGAGCCAATGTCCATGGTGTGGATTTCATCAAATTGAAGGCACGGGTCCGCATATCGACGGATGAACGTCGAGTCGAAGCTGTCCTCCTGTTTCGAATTGACGGTTGTCAATGACAGCTGAGCGCAATGCCGCAAATGCTGATAGGAAGCACCTGTCATCTTGAACAAGACATTCACGCCTGTCTTTCCGTCGTAAAGCATCGGGACCTCAGATTGCGCAATATCAAGGGTATCGCTTCGCAGCAGCCACGGCTCGGTGAGCTCGCGTGTGGCGAGTACCTGAACCATGGCTTTGAAGAGTTGCAGACTGCTGTACCTCTCAGAGAACAACGGCTGGCCACGAGGACCTCCTGTCTGTAGTAGCAAGGCGCACATGATCGACCACTCCCACCAACCGAATCCGCCTTGGGCCAAATTCGTGCCGAAGCCTCGTTGAGCAAGCCATAGCTGACCCAGTTTGCTCGCATCGGGTACTGCAGGACAACGACTGGTCGCCGCTGCTACTAAGTCGTCGTAGTAGTTTTGAGACGCTTGTCTTTGGAGACAGCTGTTGTAGAATGGTGTAGGAAGTGCATCGCCCGAAGCAGGTTGCTGTGTAGACCTCACACAGTTCTTGTTCGGGAGGGTTTTGACTGCCTGGAAGGCATCTTGAGGAAATTCAACGCTGATAAAATAGCGTGTGGTCCGAGACTTCGTCGCCTTGACATTCTGCGTGAGGATGACGGCAGGGACGAGATCCAATCCATCCAAGCACTCATACTGCAAGGTAAAGTCGGATCGCAGTGCTTCGCTGAGCCCTCCTGCAATTCGAGCAAGGTAAAAGGCTCGCTTATGGAAGGCCCTCAGATTCAGGTAGTCCTTCTCCTGCAACAGCGAAGCAGGCATCTGTACCCCTATAACGACCTCCTCGGAACCTTTGATACTCATGCGTTTCACAGTTCGACTTCGCGTGGTAATAGCAGCAGGAACAGCGTATTCGTACTTAACATTTGAATCCTTGCTCGGTCTTGGTGACGGAAACGGAATGGCGACCTTGCCATGCTCGAGAGCGTACTTCTCGGCTTCAACTAGATTGAACGGGCCTTGCTGAGGAAGGGCTTTGATTGCTCGAACGACCACCTCTGTGACTTTGGTGATCTTGGGATGCCGTAGATCGTAGTTTGGCGTGTTCTCTGCCAACAATTCACTGATTTGCGCAGTGAGCAGAGAGCCGGCCGCAGCGCCTCCAGCAGGAAGCGCAGCAGAGGGCCGCTGGGTGCGTCTTCGAGTATGTTGCTGCAACTTTGATGGTGCAGACGTTTCGGGAACCTCGTCTCCTGACTCATCCCCGCCTGAATGCTCACTTGAAGAGGTGTTCCCATTCAAAACAGCGAATCTGTCATGTTTGATTTCATCATCTGAACTGTGGCTTAATTTCCGCCGTTTGGGCGCAGACGAAGTATGACTTTTGCGCGACATTGTCGGATCAGAGTCGAACGAACCGCTCTCAGACTATCAATGTTGACACCGACATGAAGTTGATTGTGAAACCCACAAACATTTGGATGATCCTTGCACAGTATTCTCGAGCCTCCAGCAGCTTTGAGTTTGGTAAAGATCAAAAAATCATGTCGGCTCGGAGAAACTCGTCAGCCGGGTATCCACTGCGGTCGTGCGCGCCATTCCCGATCTCGGCGCGCTAGAAGGCTGAGGAAGGCGTAACATTAGGGGGAAAAGTATGACTCCTCCATGTCAGATATCAGGACAATAATAACGCGATACCACCATGTTAGCTGCAGTAGGTGCTCCAGTCCCTAACGATCCTCACGCGGTCAGCGTGTCATTGCCGTCATGGAAGGCCAATGTGGGCTACGAGGAGGGCGAGGAATGGGTTTTGTCGAAGATGAAGACTGGCTATCCACGATTCTTTATACATCTGACCATCCAGGAGCTCGCAAGGGAAATTGTCAATAAATATGGCAAAGGAGACGAGGCGGTCATGCTGTTCCCTTCGCCGGCCACGGCCAAGCGCTGTCAGAGATTCTTTTATGATCAAGCCAAGGATATCCCAATCACTGCTGTGCGACTACTGAATCTGGAGCCCAAGATGAGCAGCAACGAACATGATACAGTGCTATCAGGAGTCTACTGCGTTTTCTTTCCGAAAGAGCACTTTGGTGTCGCTAAGCAGGTCTGGCAGCACACCGGAGATGGTGTCTCCAGTCGACGTGGAGAATTCTGTCTCAAGGCTTTGAGAGATGGATTCCTGCAACCGGTCGCTGCGCCAGGAAGAATACGTTCCGACAGTCTTTACACGAAAGGACCCAGAAGGTATCAGCGTGGTGGTTCTCAAAACAACATTAACTTCCTAGTAAATCCGCCAGAGACGCCGTCCAACGGACCAATTCCTGAAGACAGGGACTACTCCACCTTCGTCGAGGAGCGGTTCGGCCGAAACCTGAACATGCAGCTTGCTGAAAAGGCCAAGATAGCCATCCGACGAAGGATTGCCGGATGTCTCACAGAAGATTCGGAACTAGAAGTGGCACTTGGAAAGCCTTCCCGAAGTTCGGACGGTAGACTCTCGGGTCTCACTGAGGATCACGTTTTCCTGTACCCGACAGGCATGTCAGCGATCTTCAACACTCACCGGATCCTCCTCGCACATGCACAGGCTAACGATCAGGAGCCGCGAAGAAGTGTTTGCTACGGCTTTCCGTACATCGATACTTTGAAGATTCTCCAGAAGTGGGGAGCTGGTTGTCAGTTCTACGGCTTTGGCTCCTCTGAAGATCTCGATGACCTCGAACAGCGTCTGCAGAACGGAGAACGGTTCATGGCTCTTTTCACCGAGTTCCCCTCCAATCCTCTTCTCAAATCGCCTGACCTCAAGCGTATCCGCCAGCTTGCAGACCAGTATGACTTCGCCGTCGTGGTTGACGAAACTGTTGGCAATCTCATCAATATCAACGTCCTTCCTTATGCCGATGTCGTGGTCAGCAGTCTAACCAAAGTCTTCAGTGGCGAGACCAACGTTATGGGTGGCAGTGGTATTCTCAATCCGCGGAGTAAGATGTACCAGACCCTTCGCAAGACCATCGACAAAGAGTACGAAGACAACTACTGGGCCGAGGATGCGGTTTTCATGGAACGCAACTCCCGAGACTTCGTGTCCCGGATCGAGCGTGTCAATGTTAACTCAGAAGCCGTTGCTTCCATTCTCAAGGACGACGTCAACGTCAAAGCGGTGTACTATCCCAAGTACAGCCCTACCAAGCCCAACTATGATGCTTGCCGCAATGCAAATGGGGGATACGGTGGCTTGCTGAGTGTCATCTTCCTCCGCCACGAACAAGCTGTGGCATTCTTTGACGCACTCGAGGTTCAGAAGGGGCCCAGTCTCGGAACCAATTTCACCCTCGCTTGTCCATATACAGTTCTGGCACACTATGGCGAGTTGGATTGGACGGCGAGTTGGGGTGTCGAAGCGGATTTGGTACGTATATCTATTGGTCTTGAGGAGACATCGGAATTGGTGGGCGAGGTTAAGAGCGCGCTTGCAGCTGCTGGTCGTGTATGAGCTTGTGTGAAGGGGAAGACTTGAGATGGATATCCTTAGCCATGGCGTTAGTGGTTGCTGACGATGAAAATTTGTATGGCCTAGTCAAGGGCATCGATAAGAGTTCGGTTGTTATCCACTTTCACTTTCGTGAACTTCCGCCGTGGCATTCTCCAGGTACCGCGAACCATGCATTTAACGCTATCCGGGCGGCGTTGGTGGCGGACTGGCAGCCCCGCGCTCCTTCCCCGCCTTGTCGGATATCGCATCCGATGACTTCAATCAACCGTAATGTTTCCAACACCTCGTGCAGCTTACCCTTGAAGAAATTGCATATCACGCATCCACTCACATCACGAGCAAACGCTGCCGTATAACTTATAAGACTAACTACTACTCCTGTCAGATTCCAACGTCGCACCGTTGTATGCACTTCCCCCGACGCACCCTCCCACGGACCATCCTGCTCGCAAGCACCCTCCTTCTCGGGACTCTCACGTACAACCACCTCTCTCCCCACATCAGCAGCACACCCAAGATGGCTGCCTGGCGGTGCTCCGGGCGCACCAACACCGAGCTGATCCAGAATCTATACAAGGGCCATCTCATCACATCGTCACGGGTGCGCGATGCCATGTCCAGCGTCGATCGCGCGCACTACGCCCCTCACTCTCCTTATGAAGACTCGCCACAGGGAATTGGCTTCTCGGCCACAATATCTGCGCCACATATGCATGCTTCTGCTGCGGAATCGTTACTAGGCTTTATGCCGGAAAACAAGGGTGCGAGAGTGCTCGACGTGGGGTGTGGCTCGGGTTACCTCACACATGTGCTGGCGAATGTGGTGTGCGGGGGCGATGGCACAGGAGATGGTAAGGTGGTAGGTATTGACCATATCAAGGGTCTCACAGATATGAGTCTGAAGAACATGCGTAAGAGTGAGGAGGGACGGCGGCTACTGGATTCTGGCAAGGTGGAATTCGTGACGGGAGACGGGAGAAAAGGGTATGCGGCTGCAGGGCCCTACGATGCTATTCATGTGGGTGCTGCGGCGCTTGAGTTGCATCAGGAGCTGGTAGATCAGCTCAAGAGTCCGGGGCGTATGTTCATTCCCGTGGAGGATAAGGGCGGCTGGGGGAGCCAGTGGATTTGGGTGGTGGACAAAGATGAGAACGGAAAGGTCAAGAAGGAGAAGACAATGGGTGTTCGGTATGTGCCATTGACAGATGCACCAAAGACCTGACAACAGACTATTTCTCCAGAGGGAGCCACAGAAAGGCGGAAGCGGACTTTAGGTTGGTCGACTTCACAGGCAGTGAGATTTTAGCTAGCCGGCGTGCGTACTTTCAATTCTTTGCCCATATTACAGTGACAGAAGCGATATTTGGGCTCCTGACGAACTTACACTACCAGCGATAGGTGGTCAGCAGAATCAGCTCGAGACAGGAGGTACACTCCTTAGAATCAGACCCTGCCAAAGTCCAGCCGCGACACAGATCGATCTGGCTTCACTATCGGTCAATTGCGGATGCACCTGCTCAGGGGAGCAGTGACATGAAGGAGTTACCAACAACAACAGGCAGTCATGATTGAAGTCTCTTTGCTCTTGCTTCATCTAGCTCCTTCGTTTTGCCATTACCTTCCTGCGCTTTGGCTCCTGATCGGCCAACAAATCGACGAGCGAAGTACCCAAGATGGCGTCGACGGCCTTAATCAGCAGCTTCGCCCTGGTCCTGCTCTTGCTTTGTGCGCTGTTCGAGGTATCTGTGGCCTTCCCAACCGAACCTTTGGGCAACCTTACGGATGTCCCCACCCACCCCCTGACGAAGCGAGGATGCAAGTTCAACACCGAGACTGCACAATGGGAATGCGACACTGACTTCCCCACGACCTCTCAGCTGATCTCCCAGATGCAAGACGAGCCTGGCGGCTTGGCCACGAAGGACAAATTTGTCGCGTTCTACAGCAACCTCAACGATCCAAGTCTCGCGCCCGGTAAAGATCCCAGTCTGTCATGGGTTGTCGGCTGGCTGGACGCCAATGGCTTTGCGGGAAAGTACTACTGGTGGGGAAAGTGCGTCAATCAGTACTGTGAGTCTCATCGCATCTTCGAGGAACACGGCATGTTTGGCGAGACTGCCTGATCTGACATTGTACGCAGGGCTCAACGCGCAGTCGGCATTCATTCGCGAGAACGCCCAAAAGTACAAGGACAAATGGGGAGCAGATGCGCTTTCCACATTCGAGAAGTGCTTCTTTCAGTCAATGGCCCTAGCATCCCAGCAGCCAGAGTCGATCGTGCTCACACCCAGCGACAAAGGATGGAAGGACGACTCGCTATGGGTGAGCGGTTCATCGGATTACTGGCAACGCGCTGACCATCTCATCAGGCAGCCATTGAATTTCCTACACTCACCAGAAATAACAACGTGTGAGCATTTCCGCACACCCACGTTTGATGTCAGCTGACATTGAACAGCAAGAGAATCTGGAGAGTGGACCCCCGACCACCGAAAGATAGAGGCGACGAGGAAGGCTGCGCGCCTGACAAACCTCAACTGATCTGGGACCGAGCAAGGGATAAGGTGAAGAAGCTGCCATGGGTCTGTCCTTTCGCCGACTAGAGCGGGATCTGAACTGGAGTCGGTCGCTTAGGGCGGCTTGAGAAGTGCAGCGTGATGGCTTGGACGTCTCATCAGGCAGATCCTTTCCAATGACTTGAAGCACCATGACAATGTTGGTACTTTAGATCTGTTCCTTCCCATTTGTTACCTGACCTGGACAAGTTCTCCAGTTGCGCATGACCTACAAGCAACGTCTGTCTGCCACGCTCCGTGTACGGGTACTCACGGCATCAGGACAACAACTATATCCACCAAAATCTACACACATTACCATTCCCGGTCATGATGCTCTCTCTCAACCGCTCTGCATCGGATACACTCCAATTTATTCACTGAACTTCCGAAGTAACCTAGATGCTCGTGCATTGGAAGAAGCGAGGCTTGTCATGATAGAGGTTGGCATTGGCGTTTGGCGTCGGACGTGCCGAGACATTCACTGCCTGAGAAGTCTTGGCATCAGGCGCAGTGTCCTTGGGTAATCTATGTAGAGAGCATAATGCATCATGCTGCTGGCCGCTGCTACCACTGATGCCACCGCTACTGCTGCGGGATTATCTTTGAGGAACGCAAGACAAGCATGATTTAATTTGAATAACCCCAACTGTGTGGACAGACAAATGTGCCAATTCAAAGGACTTTTTTGCCTTTCAATCGTCAATTGGTATCGTTTTTTTACATTTCATTTATCGAAATCGTGTTTCCACTCCGGCTCAAATCAGAATCTCAGTACCACAACCCCTGATTCGGCTCCACGCCCTTCTCGGCACAGTGCTCCTCGTACATGCGCCAGAACGAAAACCCGTCCATGATCTCGCGCAGCGTGTTGTCGTCGTTGTAGAACTCGATGGAGCCCATGACGTCGAAAATCACCTGGCTGCCGGCGCCCATGTACAGCGTGTGGATGGTGCCCGGGGTTTCGGTCACGTAGTCGCCGGCCTTGCCCGTCCAGTCGTATTCATGGTATCTGGCGGGAAAGATGCCAATGTCAGTTCAAAGGAGAGGGTGAAGGGGGGAAAGGTGGGGCTTCGTTGTTGAGGAGGGAGTGGGGGGGGGGGTGGGTCGTGTTTCGGAACCCAAGGCGAAAAGGAGAAAAAGAGTAGACTCACCCCCAGTTACCCTTGATGGTGTAGGCCTTGACCTGGCCGCGATGGCGGTGCTTGCCGAGCTCGGCGTGCGGCTCCGTCTTGAGCGCGATCACGTAAGTGCCAGAGCGGTTCTCGAAGCGGTAGGGCTTGACGTAGATGGAGCCGGTCCAATGGTACCAGTCGGTGTCCTTTTCGGCGTCGATGTACATGTCTTGAGCGCCGAGCTTGTTGGCGATCTTGTCTTCCTTCAGCTCGTTGGCCTTGACGCGGTCGACGGCCCCGTTGCCGTTGGCGGCCTTGCTGTAGGGTGCCTGGGGCTGTGTTTCGGTGTCGACGCCAGGAGCCATGTTGAGTTGGGTGGAATTGTGAGTCTGGAGGCGGTTTTAGATTGGCTATTGACCGGGCAGGTATTTGTGTGAATCTGAGGATTAAATGTTCAGCAGCAGGGCTTCCTAGCAGACCTTATAGATGAGCTGTCGGGTGGCGAACGCAGCGGTATTACCGGGATCGACCATTACACAGGGTCTGACTCGAAGGGCATCGCCCTGAAGTCCCGAGAATCGGTCATGGTGGTCTCGAACTTTGGATCGGAGCGATATCGCGATTCTCCTACTATGGCATCTCGAAACTCAAGGACACGACGCATGCAGGGATCGAAATGGCCGTGACGGGCGACTCTAGTTCATTGAGCAAACCCACGAGACTCATCGTCTGAGAGAAGAGGGATCCTCGGTTCTGGACCATTGGATTGGCTTGTTCATTGCGGGGAAGCTCCTCAACCTGGGGTGCCGATCCGCAGCTCCAGCAAAGTCTCGTCTATCGTCACCAATCAGCAATGGACACTTTGAATGCTTGCTTATGGCTGACCTATGGTTCGAGAGCTGGAGAGGAAGTCAGGGTTACGGTCGCAGCAAGAAACTTTGGCTGCGTAAGACTGTGGACGTAGTAGAGTCGGCTTTGAATTTGATCGGCAGTCGAGCCCACAACCTGCTCCAGATCGCGCACTGTGAGCTCACTTGGAGCGGAAACAGGATGCAGATCGGATTGTACGGCAATGAGGGCAGCTGATCGAGAGTCCATGCCTGCAACCGGCGTCCACAGTTTTCTGGCTTTGTCCCATCGGGACGGCTGATCGGAGTCCAAATGCAGCCGGGTATGCAGTTTGCAGGAAGCCAATGTGCTTGTCTGGATCGCATACGTAGCGTATTGCGGAGAGACACGAGGGATCGGTTTGGCAGGGGCATGAGAATAAGCCGTAGAATATATCCCGAGAACCCCAGGCAGCGCGACCTATACAATGCCTATATGGTAAGCAACCACTCGATCTGCGCTGAGAGCAGGTAGTTTCTGAGAGAGGAAAATATATAGCCAAAATACTCGACTATCATTGTCGATGGGTTCAGACACGATGATGAAAGCGGCGAGATTTCACGCCGCCAAGGACGTACGCATAGATGAGATCCCTATACCAAAGACCAAGCCGGGTTACGTTCGCATCAAGCCCGAATACTGTGGGATATGCGGCTCGGATCTGCACGAATATGAGGATGGCCCTCATATCATTCCTCAGCCTGGGACCAAACATCCGTTGACGGGCGAGGGCCCTCCAGTTGTGCTTGGCCACGAATTCAGCGGAGTGATTGATGAGATTGGGACGGGCGTGGCAGGCCTTAAGAAAGGGCAACGGGCAGCCATCCAGCCCATCATCTTTGATGAGGACTGCCTGAACTGCGGTCAAGGTCTACCCAATTGCTGTGCCCAATTCGGCTTCATCGGGCTGTCTGGAGGAGCGGGAGGCATGAGCGAGTATGCCTGCGTCCCAGCCAGTGCGGTCAAGCCGCTCCCGGACGACTTTCCGCTCGATATTGGTGCACTGGTCGAGCCACTTGCCGTTGGATGGCATGCTGTTGCTGTGTCACCCTATAAGGATGGAGATAGCGTACTGGTAGGTCTTTCGATCTCGTGACTGAAGCCTGGAATGACTCTTCCGCAGGTATTGGGAGGCGGACCAATTGGACTGGCCGTAGTATTTGCTCTGTGCGGCAAAGGTTGCCAGAACATCATCGTCTCCGAGGTAAACGGTCCTTGCAGTGGTTGTTTGGTGGCTGACTTTCTTGACAGGTATCGAGACAAAGACGAACATTCGCGAAAGAATTTGGCGCACATCATGTCATTGACCCTTCCTCGCAGGACGCTGTCAGTGAGGTCAAGAAGTTGACCAAGGGTTATGGTGCTGACGTTGGCTTCGATGCCGCCGGTGTCCAGGTTGCAGTTGACTATGCAATCAAAGCTGTCCGAGCTCGTGGGACCCTGGTCAATATCGCGTTGTGGGGCGCAAAGCGCGTGGCCCTGGACATGATGGATATGTTGTTCGGAGAGCGGAAGTATCAGGCGGGTAAACCTTCGAAGAAGCAATCCTTAGAATGGCTTGATGCTAAGCTGATTTAGTGGTCACTTACACGGCAGGTGATTTTGAGGCGGTCATTGACGCGATTGCGACAGGAAAACTTCAACCCAAAGGCATGATTACCAAAGTACTAGCTGTGGATCAGGTGGATGAAGGCTTCAAAGCTCTCGTCGAAGACAAAGACAATCAGGTCAAGATCTTGGTTCACGTTGGCAAATTGAGAGAAGCTGCTGCTAACGGGACAATGTGAGACAGGAGCGAGAGCGCCCACTGTCGTGATGAGAATGAGATCTTGCGAAGAGAATCCAGATCTACAAGGTCCGGCTGTGTGGTCCTCGCCAAAGTACTATCAATGTCTATTGGTGAACTTACCGAATTCAACCTGCAGAGCGAGCCACGAAACAATTCCTCTTCAGAAATGTAGTTGACGCAATGTTCCAGAGCACTTTATGCGGCGCGTTGTCGCCACGACACCCCAAGAGACTACTGTCTTCTTCGTGGCAATATGAGTTGGGCGTGTGTGCTTAAGTTCTCTCCCGGCCTGAAGACCTACTATTCCAGGCACAACAGCTCCCAGACAAACATTGGAATGCTGAAATGGGAATATGTTGCCCGTTAGCTGTTTCTCTATGGCATTGGGTGGTGGTATAAGACGGCAACGGACGCATTGTCGTCGCGTTCGATAGCCTGTTCGAGCGTGTGTGAATTACAACATCGAATAATGAACCCGTACCGAAATTTCCGCATGTAGGGTCGTATTGAGTCATCTACTCAGCCCCAAGAATGAAGCCTGTTCTGCATGACTCGTATCGAGAGAGCTGCATTTGATGACATGTCAATCGAGTAGGCCCCTTTCTCCTTCCTCTCGTCTCATTCATTGATCGCTCCGGCGACGAGCAGAGAGGCATGGACAGCCCGGTCAGTATTTGAGGTGGATGAACCAGAAGCCCAAGACCGGGCATATTGAGGACCTGACTGTTCATCTGTGCCTCCAACTCCCCCAGTCACCTCCGGCCCCCTTGTTCAAATTCTTGCTTCGCCTTTTCTATCAACAAGCTTCGTGGTATCTCGGAGGTCTCCTGCTTTCACAAGCGGCCTACTATGTCTGCCTACCAGTGACTCTAGCATCCGCTAGATCCCCAGGCGTTCGACACGATTGATAGGCATGCTCTCTGAGCTCGCATTAGATTACACCCAACGATCTCTGCTGCGAGCACCGGGAAGCCCGCCCGTCAATTGTGCCGAAACCTGACGGGTCAGCAGCAGCACAGCCTCGTCCAGATAGTAGTCATTACTCTACAGACCATTGCATCCTGCGAATGGTCTCAATCCGGTCCTTTCTGGGCCAATATACAAGACATTTCTTGGCTCGATGTGGAGGCTGGTGCCCCGCTCCGTCGCTTATTGTTTATACATCCATCTCTCGCTCAAATTGCCCTCGTGTCGGGGAGTAACAGATCGTCTCCCAATCACAGGAGCACATAACACAATGTCACATTCAGGGTTTTTTCGGCTTCGATGACTACTCCCTAAGACCGCATCTCGCCAAACCCCTTATTTATGGCTTCGGAGCCGCAGCCCTTGTTCGCGCCGGATGCTCAACCCCACTTCACGCACGACCCTCTCCCTGACACGGGGACGTATTTCCGCCTGCTCGCACTCCAGCCTGGTCATGGGAGCGAACCACTTCGTGCCAGTTTGGCACCTGTAGCCCTGAACTCCATCCCACGCTTCGAGGCGCTTTCGTACATGTGGGGCCCCAGCGAGCCCCAGCGAACCCTTCATGTCAACAACCAGGATTTCCTGCTCCGCCCCAACATCCATGCCTTCCTCCGGCGCCTCCGACACGCTTCTACGCCCCGAGTGCTGTGGCTCGACGCCGTCTGCATCGACCAAAACAACATCCGCGAGCGAGGAGACCAGGTCTCGCTCATGCGAGACATCTACACCTCGTGTCAGCAGTGCCTGGTCTGGCTCGGAGAGTCGCTGCCGCGCGGCGACGAGGTTCTCGAGGTCTTTGCTGGGAACCCTGTGGATGAGCAGGGCATGACGGACCTCAACAATCTCATTCGCTTGCTCTACCGCGATGACCTGGCTGAGCCTTTCCGGGTGCTTTTGAGCAATGACTATTGGTCTCGCGTCTGGATGATACAAGAGACGACACTTCCGGCAAAGGTCGTTGTCCATGTGGGCGGATCGTCTTGCTTGCTGGATCATGTTCCCACTCAGGTGCGTGGGCGTATGTTTGACTTGTTTCAGGAGAGCCGCGTGCAGTACCAGGAGTGGCTGAGGGTCTTCAGCCAGCCTCAGGGGTGGTGCGATGAGTTCCCCATGCCAGCAAGTATACTGAAGCGCTTGGAGGCCAGCACGGGCGATGAGGTCTTCCCAACGCTCGTTGGCCAGGACTCTCAAGCAGGCCAGCATGCGTTCCTCCTAGGCTTCCGCAAATCCAGAGGGCGATCCAGATGGGAACCCGTCGTGGCAGAGCTAGAAGCCAGCAGCCGCAACGACGACGAGCCACGCATCACTTTCTACAGCAACATCTCCTTGAGCGTCGTCTCTGGTCTATCCTTTCCTACAACCAACTTTGACCCGTCCGCCGCATTCAAAAGCATCGAATGTGCCTTCTGGTGCATCGGCAACACCCAATCCGAGCAGCTTCTCGATGAACGCCGCCGCTATAGCACGAGCAACAATCGCCAATTCTCCTCGAATGACTTCCGCAACTACCTGGAGAACGCTAGTCGCTGGCACTGCACCGACATACGCGATCGAGTCTTCGGCTCGTTGGGCGTCTTCGGAGTTTGGCCCCGCGCATGGCCTTTCAGAGCCGATTACAACCTCCCGCCTGGGGATCTGCTCTTGTCAGTCGTGGACTATTGCCGGCCAACTGATCCATTCAAACTGGGCATTAAGCTGCTGTCGGCTTTGCAGATATCGTCGTCTGTTTCGGAGTCTACACCTAGCAGGAAGACCAGAGACGTAACGTTAATGAGTCGCATAGCATGGCCTTTGACGCTCTTCAATGCAGTCCCACTATCGAATTCGGAGGGAGGCCGCTATAGCGCTGTCAGCATACGTAGGTCAGATGTGCCAGCCCCGGCGCAAGGCTTTGTCTACCTGATTCCTCACGACACTCAACCGCAGGCTTCCGATATCATTGCTTCATTGGGAGATGGAAGTGTCGTCATTGGCATCCGCGCTTCCCCGTCAGATGGTGCAGAGCGGTGGTCTTGTGTCGGCATTGGCTTCGATGTAGGCTCGACTTTCGAGCACGATGATCCGCCGGAGCAACAAGTCGATTTGCTAATCGGCATTGAAGAGGCCACACTGCGCGAACTATTGCTAGATTTACCTAGGTTTAGGATGAGCCAAGCCGGGTCGCAGGACAAGACTGACGATGGCGTACCTGCCCTGTGGTGGATCACTTGCCCTTCAAGATGGTTCTGGTACTTCTGCAGGCGTGAGGAACGCCTTAAAGAGGGAATTGCCGCGGCTGATGATGATCTCGGTGATGTTTCGGAGGCGGACGGAAGCATGTGTGCGGTTGACGGCGGGGGATTGTCCAGCTTTCAAGGGTCAGGACCCTGAGTTCCTGCCGAGACATGCATGTCTAGAACCTCATAGAGGATCCTCTGAATAATGTTGCGCTAATCATGTGGTGATCAACAGTCTAAGAAGACCGAGCTGAGTCCAGAACAGGGCCTGAAGAGAAATCACGATAGCCGCCGGCACAGATGCACTCTGCCAGTCAGCCCCATCGACGGCAAGAAGCCACCACAGCCAAAACCCGAACGGGCCGAGCAGAATCAGGCACTGGTAGACTGTGACCCGCAGCGCCGAGGGGACCTCACGGGCACTCAGACCCCAGGCTTCCTCCGGCTGGCAACCAAGCTCAATCTGCCACAGGGTTTTCTTCTTGGGAATTCGGTCAATGACTCGCTGGCCCATCCTTCTACGGACGCATTGATGGAAAAAGAAGAATCGGCAGCTGACCCTACAGGGGCTGAAGCCAGTATGAAACTCGTGCACAGTCAGTTTGGAGTCGAACTCGTAGTCGTCGTGGAATTGAGGTGATGGCAGACATGGGCCGTTCAGATCGCGGAAAACGTGGTAGGCTTCAGGCTTGGAGAACTGATGTACTTCAGCTTTTCCCTATATTCTATCGAGGAGTAGTAGACTCTTACCTTGATGATATCACAGTGACTGAGGTGCCAAATGGAGAACGTGCGCCGAAAGAGTCCCTTCAATCTACCATACGAACTTTTCAGTGCTCTGAACAGCTCATGGTCGTTGGTCACTCTGTTTGGCCGCGCATCAACGTGATCAACCTGGAAGCATTCGAAGTGACCACTGACGCCGAATAGTATCCAGGACTTGCTCTCCGGCGCATGTTGACGGGGTGGAACGTTGCTGCTTGGCCATTGCTAATTTGCGGATTGCCTGCGTCTAATTGACGATGGCCTTTTGCAGGATTATTCACTGGGGTTTGGGGGCCCGTGCCACGAGGCACTGAGCCTCGATCTTGCGGTAAGCCAGACTGTGAACCTGGTGTACTCGTCGGTGCACGACGAATCAGCCCGAGCTTTTGCAGGATCCTTCTAACGAACATGGTCGGAATTGATGTAAAGAGGAGAGCTGATACAAATAGTGCTGAGGGATCTAAAATGGCCCATAGACTTTTAATGATGTGAATACGTGTTGAGCCCATTCCTAGGATCACCGTAACGTTGATAAGTGCGGTTAGCGAATTGCACGAGAGTCTATCCTGGTTTCTCTCATGTGCTTCGAAGCAGGCATGATCTTTGTGATACGGATCCGGACCTCGTGCTCTGAGAAGATCTGCTATGAGCTCAGCGTCATCCGGAGGCACATCCTGAGATAGATGTGCATGGCAGTACTTGGGACAGTTAGTGGAGCTGAAGTGACAACTTTCTCTAGCATTTCTTTTGTCAGAGTGTATCATTCGAATTTGTGGTGGGTATTTGAGAGGTCGTCAATTTCCCCAACCCACTGTGTCTCCTGGAGCGGGGAGCGACGCTGTCTTATCCTTTGCTGACCGGTCGGATGCAACTCTGGCTTACAGTGCACCCAAGTCAACAATGCATGTGGTTGCGAAACTGAAGATGGCTATGTTGCTTGTTACTAGATAGCACTCAACTAGTGCGAGTAGTGACAGCTTTTCTGGACAGTTCTGGCGGGCTGACGAAGTGTCAAAAGTACTACGAACCGACAAGTATCTTAAGAAAGACGAAACCATGGATCTACGGGGCACCTGTCCTGGTGGGCAGGGAAGGGCCATCAAGAGACCGCTATGGACAAGAGATAGCATCAAGCAACGTTTTGACATGTCGTCCCGAGGCGGAGTATACGGATGCGCTGCTGAAAGTTGGTTTGGGCGAGGAGCCAGCATTCTGTCACTTACCGTATCACACTGTTCGAAACACATTCATATTCAGCACAGACGAAACTCTGTGCCAGCGTTTTGTACCAAGTATTTTGCTACTTTCGATACTCAGTAGCACCACACTACGGAACTCAGGCTCGAGAGAATAATTCTTCTGATTCACGTATGCACGACTTGCATATAAAGCCCAACTGCCAAGACGACTAGAACCAGATGCCGCGTCGTTTGATCTCGATTCAACCAATCGATACCCAGCCACGCATGCACTAAAGCAATCGCGGTCGGACTGTATTGATACCGTCCGGCATACTGTATCTTACCGAGATCTACACAACCGCCGATTACATTTGCTGATCTCCCAGCATTCATGCTGGCTATATATCTGTTCTCCCTCACCTTCTCACTGCACCTCCCAAAGAGCGATCTAACAACCCTCTCAACCAAAAAACCACAACCTCGCCTCTCTCTTCACCACCATTTGCCATGAGCACACCAAAACCCGGCGCAGACGCCCCCGCAACGAAGCCCCAAGCGCCATTACCACAGGCAGAGGACACATCTCACAACACCAACAGCAGTAACGACGACGACGACGATGCCAGAGCATCACCATCATCTCCCGAAAACTGTCCCCACGACTCCCTCGCCCGCGGCCTCAACCGCTATACCTGCCCAGAATGCCACGCGCGGCTCGAGGCCAACATCGACGATGTCCTCCGCCAGGTCATGATCCGCGAGGGCTGGACGGAAGAGGAGCTTGAGCAGGTTGGGAGCATGCAGCGGTTTGCGGGCACGCCTGTGAAGGAGATTAGGCCGACGGAGGGCGCGTCGGTGGAGGAGAGGAGGGCGCAGTTTGCGAGGGAGGTGATGCGGGAGCAGGATTCCAGGAGGGATCGGGCGAGGAGGTGGAGAGCTGAGCGGGCGGAAGGGGGTTGAGGATGGAGTGGGGATGGGATGGGGGTCGGGGTGTGGTTGACGGGTTGGATGTTATGGTTGGTGGTGGCGGTGGCTGGGATGGAGGATGTTTTTTGTGCAGGGGCATTTGGATGTTGGAAACCATACAGGAGGCGTATTTTCTCAGAATGTGATGTGGTTGATCAATAGCTTGAGTGAGTAGAATGCGAGAGACAATATCGCAAGAAACGTATATTCTCTAGTTGTGACCCTGCCCCTTCAGATAAATTGTAATCGTAATCCTGCTCACTTCTTCACATGATCAGACCGCGTCATCTTACAAATCGAAACGTGCTTCGTATGATCTCTTCCCACTCCTGATAATCCTTCATCGTGCCCTTCAACTTGCCTCCAACCTCACTCCAAGCATCCTCTCCCAGCAAAACCCCTAGCGAGACGTTCTTATCTTTAGCCACGCCCTCCCCACAGACCGGGTTAAGCACAATAGAGACAAAGTTCCTCGGATCGCCAAACTGTGTGCCGCTCGTGGCTGAAATGTTGGGCAATACCTGGTCGTAGAAAAGCGAGTACTCTGGGATCTTGGAGTGGGCTCCTCTGACATAAAGGTTTGATGTTGATAGAAGCTTGGTGTGAAAGCGACCTGGCTCCACGACGAGTGTCTTTAGTCCCAGCGGCATAGATGCACTCACTTTGTGCTTCGAACAATTCCTGCTTGACTTAGTGACACTTCCGATCGCCACATTCTCCATCGTCCACTCTCTAAGTCCAATTGCCGGACTCGGTACGGTGCTAATTATCTGCTTCGATCTGGTGCGCGGAAACTAAGAATCCTTGACACTCTCAGCTCTATCATTAGTCAACTCACTATATGAGCGATTTAGGTGTTAACTCGTCGAGGTTGGTTGCCGTCTGATACAGACGACTGTGGCCAATATCCCTTTGAGCGAATCTATCAGGCTGTTGAAAGGCCTTTGTTAGGATCACGTCACGAGAGACAGTGTAACAGAGGGGCGAGGGGTGAATAGAAGGTGAGTGAAAGGTGAGGAGCAGGTGAGGTGAGGGGGAGTCGAGTGTGTGGCGACCTTAAAAGCGGCGCGGGGGTGGTGAGCGCCTACGTGAGCTCGACACCGATTTTACCTCTACTCGGCGGCCAAGCTATCATACGAACTGGGTTATGGCAAGACCAGGGGTTAGCATGCATCGAACCTGCACGCTATGTGGTCCTTCCAGGGATCTGAAATCGAAGTGAATGCAGAGATAGATGTCCCCTGTTCGCCAGTGACTCGCAGCACCGTCCATAGTTGTTGTCACGAGTCTATCCGAGATAGAAACTCGTGTACTGCCTGGTTGACTTCTTCTTTTGATACGATATGGGGATAGTGCCCTTGACTTTCGACAGTCTTTGTCGTCAGCTGCGCTGTGGCATACGGCTTGATAGCGCCTTCCATGAAGCCAGGCAGGCTGGCCTTGTCCGGCGTTGATTCGATGGCTAGGACGGGGATTTCGATTTTGGTGGTCAGCTTGCCAGCGGCAAGGTCGGCCTTCTCGTGTTCCTCGTTGAGATTCTCGGCCATGACGCGGTATCTGAAATCTTTGAGTCAGTCTGCGCCGAATTGTGAAGAAGATGAGGGGGAAAGTACTGACCCATTGGTAGCGCCCCGGAAGCCGCTTTTACGGAATGCCTCCAGCCACCTCGTGCTCTCCTCCGGGCTCAAGAGGACCTGCTCGTCATTCCGATCCGCCTCAAGCCAAGCTTGTAACTTGCCAGGCGGGTAGAAGCTGTCCGCCTTGATGTCAACGTTTTTGTGGTATGCGACGTTCAGAAATGACGCCAGCTACGTATAGGTGTCAGCTCAGTTCGTCAAGTCATGCAGCTGGAGTCAACGAGGAAAAAGTAATGCTCACATGCTGCTCTATGAGCTCGGGCGACCGGTCGGACGAAAGGAAGTACATGTACGCGAACTTCTCGAAACCGATGAGCTTTTTTGTCAATTGATTCATAGCTTCCAGGTCATAGTGCGTTCCCGGGGCGCCGTATGGCACGGCGATGAATGTCATGCTCAAGAGTCTCGCGGGGTGATAGTTGTATAGTCTCGACAGTACATAGGTTCCAGCATCGTGACCAACACCATGAAAGCGACCGATCTTCTCATGATCCAGCACGGCGATGGTATCTTCGATCAAGATGTTGCTGCGGTATTCTGAAGCAGACTCTGGATTGGAAGTACCGCCGAACCCCAGCAGGTCAGGTGCGATGATGCGGTGTCCCAGGTCCGCAAAATACTTTATCTGGTGATGCCAGCCAGAAGCAATGGCGGGGAAGCCATGCAAGAACAGGATTGTACTTTTGGTTGCATTGGCCGCCTCGATGCGGATGTATTCGTACGTGTGGCCCGTCGAGGCAACGGTGTACGTCTTTCTGGGAAGGTCAAACATCTTATCGGTGAATCAGGTTCGGGGCCGTCTCTGTTATAGATCCTGGCCGTGTTTTCAAGTTATATCATTGTGACTCTGTAGGCAGTCACAGTCTAGGGGACTAGGACTAGGATGGTAAGCGTCGCAAAATGGAGACATAAGCTGCCGGCAGCATCCGGTTTGTTTTCTTCCTCTGGTGTCATATGCCGACTAACGAAGTGGAGTCTGTATCTGGGAACGATCTACTGTTAGGCCCCGACATACTTGTAAATAATAAAGCCGGCAAGCACATTCAGAGCAATAATCGTGCTTCGCTACAGGAAGTGTACAATGTTGGCCTTGGCTTCGGCAATTGACCAAAGTGATGTAGCGATCATCATTGTTTGCCTTTTGCCTTTTTCAGGCGAAGCGAGTCTAACTCCCCTTGGCAACACGATCTAGGTCATCTTTTCTTCGGCGACGTAGTGGAGGTATGCTCCAAGCAGCTTCGTCCCTTCAATGTAGTTTCTTCTGTCCAGCTTCTCGTTGATGCTGTGAGCGCCATCGGTGCTGCTGCCCATTGGCAGAAGAAGCACGTTCTTCCCGGTTGCTTCTTCAAAGGTAAGCGTGACTGGGATGCTGCCGCCCTCGCGGGTATAGTCCGGATCAGTGCCAAAGACCTGCTTGACAGCCTTGGCGGCAGCACTGAAATTCCAGTGCGAAGGCGATGCGACCCACCACTTACCATCGTGCTGCAGGTATACATTGAGCTTGTTCTTCGAGTTGAGTTTGGCGAACTCGTCCTTCACGTACTTATAGACGGCCTCGGTGACAGCTTCAGGTTTCATGTCGGGTACGGTGCGAATGGAGAACTTGCCAGTGACCTTGGCAGGAATGACGGTCTTTGCGCCCGGTGCGGAGAACGCGCCCTCGACACCGTGAAGAGACAGTGACGGATATCGCCAGCGAGCCATCAGAGTTTGCTCCTTGTTGTCGAAGATTCCAGTTTTGGAGCCGAGAGACTCATAGAGATTGTCCATCGTGTAGGCGATGGGTCCATAGAGCTTCTTCTCTTCCTCCGTGACTGGGGCCACCATTTCGTTGATGCCAGGGATCAGGATCTTACCCTGGTTGTCAACAAGCTTGGACATGACGTTGATGAGATCGGTCATGGGCTCCTGGGCAGTACCGCCAAAGACACCTGAATGCAAGTCCTGGCCAGGACCTGATACTTCGATACTGTAGTAATTGCAGCCACGGAGACCATATGTCAAACAGGGTTTCTCAGTACCTAGCCAATAGTTGTCACTTATGCAGACAGCATCGGCGTCTTTGAAGTACTTTTTGGCCTCGGCATTGATGAAATCGTCCAAACCTTCGGAGCCGTACTCTTCCATGCCCTCGAAGCAGCAGAGGAGATTGACTGGAAAGTCGATACCGGCCTTCTGGTGAGCTTCAATCGCATTTAGCCAGCCAAGGACAGGTCCTTTGTCGTCTGTCGAGCCTCGACCAAACATGCGGTCCTTATCGTCAATGGTCAACTCGAAAGGTTTGGTTGCCCATCCATCCTCGATCTGAGCGGGCTGAACGTCATAGTGGCCATAGACCAGGATTGTGCGCTTGTTCTTATCGTTGCCATAGCGAGCGACTACTACGGGTGGTAGATCGAGATGCTCCTTGTGTGGCTGCTTGCCCAGAGGACGTTGCTCAACTTCTGCTCCCAGTTTCTTCAGTTCATCCGCCAGGAATTGGCCCATCTATAGATTGTCAGTATTAGACCCTAGCCACTGGATAGACTCGCATACTCGAACGACCTCAGGGCGACGCTCATCTTCGGCTGATACTGAGGGTATAGCGACAGCCTTTCGAAGACCTGCTGGTGGTCAGTACCCCGCTACAGGGCAGAAGGAGGCAGCTTACGGTCAATGAAGGACTCGGACAATTCGTCCACCCTGCGCAGCGTTAGACCATTATCAGCACAGTCATCGTATCATTCTTACTTCTTGAAATAGGGATCCAATTGCGGAGCCATCTTATGGTCTGTTACGTGGCCGTAGTAGGTGCGGTAGTGGGGTGCACGTAGGAGGGACGTTGAATTGGCTGATGAACGAAATAAATTGAATGGTAGAGACTGTCTCGAGGACCGCACGAAGGAGAAAGGTGAAGCACGGAGGTAGAGGGGCAACATGAATCGGGGCGCAGGACGCAATAGCGGAGGAGCATGGGTGCTACGAAGATGGGTAGCATCGGATATCTGTGAAGTTTACAGAAAACACGCGAGAAGCTCCAAACCATTGCAACAAGGTCAAAAACAACTTACTAGGACTATCTCCACCTTGCGACGAGCATTGTCGGAGCGATGAGAAGTCTGAAATAGTTTGTATACAGTCTTGAAGGTATCTATCTATTGGAACATTGATGGCCAGAACGATCCTTCTACTCGTCCCTGTACCAGCGCTCCTTCCTGATGGCGCGATCTTCGCGCGCCGTTCTTCTCTTGACACCCCAGTTGGATCTGATGACCTCGTTCACGGCCTGTTGCTGCTTGGCCTTCTCCTTGGACATGCCCTTTATGACGAAGCCAACGAATGCATTAGAGCAGTCGAATTTCCTCGCCAGTGCCGACTGACTCCATTTCACCGGGTCTTCGTCTCGCAATTTTCTCATCTCCTCAACATCGTCTTTGGTCAGATGGTATCGCTTCTCGTATGGCTGCTTGACAGCAGGTATAAAGTCCGCTGAGAGTTGTGCTTGAGAGTACGGCTGAAGCGAGGCCTGAATAGCTCTTCTCTTGTCATCCTTGGGCAGGAAAATAGTAGGTGTATGGTAGACGTTGGGCATACTCGGCGGTGGATTGTAAATGATGTGATCGTGCTGCTCGGTTTTGGTTGGTAGGAAATTTGGGTCGGGTTTGATGTTCAATTTTGAGCGTGACCGACGATAGGTAGACTCATGTCGCATTTGCACAGGCTGCAGGACGCGCGCACACATCTTGAAGAAGCGCGCTGAGGCCGGCGGAGGCACCGGCACCGTAAGTGATTGCATCCTGCTGACGGATCACTGCTGGTGTATATCCTTCTGTTCGATTGGCGGCTCGAGATGAAGCAATCGAGAGGTGCACAGGGGCACGAGATTCGACCTCGATGACTATGCGGTAGACGGTGGCCCGCCAGCAGCGCACCGCTTTTAGATCAACGTAGTGTTACGATGGTTGCTAGCACATCCGGCCCGTTGTTGGGTTGAGGCTATGGTCAAGTCGCCGGCTGCATTGAGAAAGGAAGAGCACAGGAGCGGCCGAGCAACAGACCAATGGCGGCGTAGAAAAGCTAGGCTTGGCGTCGTATCTTGTGATGCTCGCTTTAGCAGGTCTTGCACCGCCAACTGACGTTGGTCGATCAGGGACTCCCCCGAGCCCCCCGGTCACAACTCGCAACACTGGCTTCCCTGCTTCCCACTTGACATCTGTCTTTGAGCCAGTCCTCCCCTCTGCTGTCTCCTTTTGCAAGACGTCGTTCTGCTATTACGTCCTCTCGTGTTCCGCACTATCTAGCCCTGCTGTCCTTGCGATTCTCAGCCCCGCGGTGTCTCACGGAACAAACACTGAAACGACCAAGCCACAGGTCGCTGGCCTCTACCATCTAGTGCAATACAGCTGTGTCTGCTCGTACGACCGGCATAATCTACCAAGTCCACCGATCGATCGTTCTGGCAAAAATGTACCTCCTCGACACCGACTAATCCAACATCGCAGCATTTGGCCCCGTAATCACTGTTTCACACGCTCCTCGACCCCTCTCGGCGCACTTCGACTTTCCTGCACCTTCACGGCATCAGCATGTCCACGTTGTCTGCAGTGAAAAGAGAAGAAGACGGCGGCGCCAGTGCTGAGTCTAAGAACTCGAGCGCCCCCTTGCTGGACAAATCTCAGAACGACGCCAACATGTCTGCGCCTACGGATTCCGATACCAGCGCGAAACCACGCAAGCGCGACTTTTGGAAGTTGGGCAAGAAGCCAGAAGATGACAAGTCCAAACAGAAGGATCCGATGACAACCACCAGTTCCAGATCATCCGCTCCCCAAATACCACCTATGGTTGGCTTGCGACCATCCTCTCCCTTCCGTATCAGCGATTCTCTCACGGGGTCTGTGTCTCCTCAGCGGACCTCTCATCCCTATATTACACCTGGCTCGCCTAGCCAACCCATAACTTCGGTGACTTCGGCTTCACCACGACCGCAGTCACCTGCTTCTTCCATGATCTTCGAGCGAAATGTGCAAGACGAAACCCACCCGACCGAGCTCTCCCCTCAAATCCCAGCCCACGTCGTAACAGAGAATCACATCCCGCCTGCGTTAGATGCATCTGCCGAGGCTATTACGAACACCAAGCTTGACCCTGATGAAGTTGAGATCATTACACATGCCACGCATCAACCGGCAGCCGTGACCATTACAGGTGCGGAGCATTCCATGGCCTCCTCAACTGTGGAAGACACACCCTCGATGCCCGCAATCGCACGTGCCTCCGAGCCGAGTCCGGACGATGTGTCCAACTACGGCTCCCTCGATTCTGCCGACGTGCGCCGTTTGTCCTTTATCTCGTTCGCCGATGTTGTGCACGCCGAGCAAGAAGGCATCGGCGGTGATCAAAGGCGCGATTCAGCTATTGGCGGTGCGCATCCAGCAGTGCTGGGTGCTCCGAGATCACCCTCACCTATGCGTTCACCTGTGTCTTCGCAGGCGTTCGGAACATCACCGCCTACCAGCATTGCAACCAGCGCCAAGGGATTTGAAGGAAGCCCAAATCGTGGAATGCGGACTGCAGGCAGCCCGCCACTGCTCGGTCAACCCAGCCCGATGACAGGTGGCGAGCTGAATATCGAGACTATGACACAGGCCCTGCGACGAACCGGCAGCGGTGATTTGAGCGGCGTGAGGTCAGCGCCGATGAGTGCCATTGGCGATGGCGAGAACTTTGGCGACAAAGCCTTCCGGTGACCGACATGACTCAGGAGTGTACCTCGCTGTGCCCAGTTCAGTGCAGCTGATGAATCGAATCGGAACACTGCCCCTACTCCTTCTATGCGACGTGGGGCTAGATTTCCTTCAGGATCATTTGTGGGCGGGGAGGTTATTTATGCGTGGTGCACGCAGTTGCTAATGGATATGCATCTTAGCTATCACGACATCGGGATCTTTTCGAGCGAGTAGGGATGCTATGCAGGGAATAGCCTACCACAATACTACGGGTATACATTCACATAGGCGGGCAAGCAGCCAAGGTAGCTAAACACGATCTTTTGACATTCTGCGTAACCATCGCCTTCCCCGGCTTTCCATACGTTGAAGCGCCTACGTCTAAGGATATAGATACACAGATACATACATGGAGTCATGCGTCCATCACGTGGTGTAGTTTGTTCGCATATACATAAAGATATGTGTGTAGATATACAAACATATAAAGTATTAATGGAGGTCGTTGTCCCATCTACGGTAGGTAGCTTATATACCCAGTTCCCCTTTTGGCGCATCTGCCAGAGGTGCGTAATCTCCTTTGCCACGGTTTTGCTTTTCTACGCCTGCATCTGTACAGTTTGCCTGAATAGGATGGGTCGGGGCTGTGGGCATGGAGAGCCGGTACCTCTCATCAACAGACCACCGTTTCCCACCATGCTTTAGGCCAAGACCCCCTTTTCCCCTCTTGAAGCCATCATGCGACCAAAGCGACAATGGTTTTGCCGTGCCCGTGCCTTGCCTAAATGCTAACGCGCGCGCGCACAGACCGGTGCGGCCCTTGACTTTTCGGACCTCATCTTAAATCTAACTTCATCTTCACACTTCGCTTTTCTCACGCCTGTTCCAGCTCTTTCCGCCGCCGCCTCTCGCCCTCGTCTGCACCGAGACACCAACGATCGCCCGTGGTCGGCCGCGGTTTCTCGACTCGGATGCACCACGCAAACCAGTCTTCTGCCGGTAGGAGCACATACCACACACGGTTGATACACAAGCTGATCGTGACCGTACACATGGCCACACAGGCATCCAAAAAGTAGTGGTTGGCCGTCGCAACAATCACGGTCAGTACCAGAAGCGGGTACGCCAGGCCGATGAGGAAGAACAGGATCCGCGTGCCAGGCCAGCGCCGCAACTTGCCCGAAACGGATTTGGGGTAGCTGAAGGGGTAGGGGAGCACCGACGAGTGGTAGATGAGGGTGCAGCCAGTGACGAACGCGTACGTGAAGTGGAGCGAGGGCATGGCGGCCAATTGATTGACGTATGCGGCGCCAACGAAGGCGGACTCGGCATTATCCTGTCGGACTGTGTCGTGGAAGCCGTAGGAAGGCGGCAGCAGACGTGGGGGCATGCATGGCCAGAGCGTGAAGATGAAGAAGGCGGCGAAGTTGCCAAGGGTCATGGTGCGCCGTGCAGCGGAGAAGTAGGAAAAATTTGGGGCGGCGAAGTAGTACCAGGAGAGGAAGCTATTGGGCGTTAGTAATTTGTCTGGGGAGATGAAATGGAAGGGAAGATAAAGGAATGATGAGGTACGGGGTAGGTAAGTGAGAGACGAGGATAAGTTGAGGGAGAGGCTTACCTGACGCTTCCTGGGATGTGCACCAGACTGTAAATGCGGTTGAGGAAGGTGAGCAGAGTGGTATGTCCGCTGAGGAACCAACCCTGGAACTCGTTCTCACGCACGGGGAACAGGAAGGAGAGAAAGGAATCATGCTCGACCCACAACACTTGCAAGCCGTGACTCTGAGCGAGATCCCACACACTGCCACCCCGTACAAGCAACTGTGCTGCGACAGCCTTGGTGAGCGCATAAGCCAAGAAATTGAGGATCCAGTAGAACATTTCGATGAGAAAGGGAAATTTGGCAAGGACACGGGAGTGGATGTTGTTGGCAAAGCGCGAGTTATCGGGCGTCTGGACGGTGGTGAGGCCGCAACATGATCGGGTCTTGGGACCTGAGGAGTAGTCGTCTGCCATAGGGTCTTCGGCGAGGAGGTGCTCCGAGTCTGGTGATGATGATGATCCTGGTGATCGTGATGGACTGTTGCTGGCAAGGAGAGATCGAGTTGGTGAGCGACCTCTGCGGTTCTCTATGATGCGATACCCCCGCCGTCGGTTTGCAACCAGCGAGGTGATCATGATGCTCAAGACGATGATGGGTTCGAGCCAAGCATGGCTGGCGAATTGGGGACTGCCCAGATCAGGCGTGGAGCCCGGGGCTGTGCTGTTGGCGCTGGGAACCATGTTGAGTGAGTTCACCTCGCGAGTGTTATAAAGTTGAAACTGGTATAACTATAGTGATGGGCGCGGCATCGACAAGCTCTGCGTTGAGAATGGGATTGTGATTAAAAGGGTGTGGTGAACAGAGTGTATGCAGGTCGCGTGCTCGAAATTGCGGCTGAACCGGGCAGACACGTGCCAGAAGTCGAAGAATGCCGCGTCCTGGAAAAAGAGCGTATAGTGGCGATATTAAAGGCGGTAAGTATATAGGGACGATACGTCGAATGTGTCGAGCAGAAACAAAATAGATGGATGAGAACGAAGGCCCTCAGATGGTCGGGAGTGAGCGTGGTAAGAATGAGAAGAGCCAGGAGATCAGCCAGAAATCCAGGAGAAGGCCTACAGCGCGCTATCCACACGGGCAGCCTCGAGAGATTAAGCACCATGGCAGCCTCCATAAATTAGGCGGGCAAGCTGCGGCAAGGTAGAGGCTTAGACACCGAACTTGCGCTGTTTGGGCATGGTCGGGCGATCACTAAGCCCTGGTCAGGTAAGACCTCGTGCATTGTGACGCCGCAGTGCATCGGCTTAATTGGCGGCCGTTGGACGAAAATACATGGGTTTCAGCAAGCCGCAAAAGACGCGATTCCTCATGCTCCGTACTGAACTACTGCTCAGTAACGTGAGGTGCCTGGTGCAAAAGATTGAAGTCAACAGGCCAACTGGCTCGGCCCCAATGCAGGTGGTCTGAACCTCCTGCACCACCGGTCTGGCCCCTAACACACAATCAGTCGGACGGGTAAAGCGCGGATGCTTTTTCCTCGGCTCCGAGCCCAGGGGAGCGGCCCACTAACAGGGCAGACTCGTTTTCAATACGGCGACGGCAAAGCCGGATACTTCGACCTCAAAACTGCATATTCTGCGAAGGTCTGGACCAATCTTACGCGATACTGAAATAGAGGCTGACACGAACCCAATAGAGGTCGAATATGCTAAATGTACTTCGCCGAGTAAGAGACAGATTTGATAGCACCACAGATCTGTTGCAGTCTTCATGTGCGGGCGCCTCACAATCAATAGAGTATTTAGGTAGCTAGATCTTCTGAGCTATCCCGATCCAGCAGTAACCCACGGCCTGCCAATTTAGCACTAGCTTGGGCAGTAAACATTTTGTAGATACGGTTTGGTCCGTGAATTGAAGATTCGTCGTCGCCATCAGAACTGCTGCCAACCGCTTGCTGCTTTCGGAGATGATGCGCCGGCGGATAGCGATCAAGGTGAATACATTGTTGCTGCGTTTTCGAATAACACTGACGGAGAATAGAAACAGAATCTCTGCTTCTTCTGCTCCTTCCGCTCGACCATCGATTCGCTCCATCTTGCGAGCTCTGATAGCCGCCATGTCCGTGCTTATAACTCGAGGTCGTCACCACTAAGGGGACCGGCAGGGGCAGCCGCAGCCGAACGGAGAGGCGATGAAGAGGAGGGGGACATCAGATACAGACAGGAAACCCGCTCTTACAGCTTCCGGCCACAACCTGCGCGCAATGGATTTCAGCGTGACAACTCAAATTGGTCATCATTTAACGGCTACCGCAACAACAAAAGGCCTCATGATACGACGCTGAACACTCTTTCCCAAGCCACAGAACAACAGGACACTCCTCGCCGAAGAGATGGATTTGGCACTGTCTTCGACGGCGCGCGTGGAAACGGGTCACAAACAAGAGCTTCTCCTCCTGTGAGGTCAGTAGCCTCGCGCTCGCGCACTGTGGTTTCAGGCTTCGATGCTTTCGCAGAGGCGGTCGGCAGCACACAGAGCAGCCAACAGCGTACGCCCAACCGCAGAGGAGGTCACCAGCGAGGGAGGTTCTCAGAGAACCAGACCTTTTCAAACCCTGCGACAAGGTCCAACTCGTGGAATCGACCATCTTCTGCCCCACGGGAAGCCACTCCAAGGTGGTCGCAGGCCGAGGAACCCGCGCTTGACGAATCTATAGAAGTGCCTTTGAGCGACCCGGTTCCCGAGGCGGTCAATACGCACCGACGCAAGCCTGGCATGCGCAGTAAACGGAGCGATCGCTATGCTGATGAAAACGAAGAGGAAGATCTTTCAGCAAAGACTCCGGTCCAGAAGGGCAAGCGCAGCAAAGAGAGGTCGATTGAAGACGAATTGGAGGCGATTGAGGAACAGTTCTATGGCCTCGACAATGGGCGCAAGAAGAAAAAGTCAAAAAAGCCTGCCCCGAAAATCGTCGAGCAGCCGCCTCAACACCGTCTCGAGATCCCGGAATTCATCAGTGTTCAGAACATGGCTCAAGCTCTGAATGTCCGGTTGGAGACTTTTATGCAAAAGCTGGAAGAGGAGGGCTTCGAGGGCGCTCGCTACGACCATCTTCTAGACTCCGGAACCGCTTCCATGTTTGCCGAGTTGTATGGATTTGACCCAGTCCTCGCAACTGCGGAAGCCCAAAGAGATTTGGTTGCTCGACCCCCCGCCGAGGATCCGTCGGTGCTTCCCCCTCGTCCGCCTATCGTCACCATCATGGGACATGTCGACCATGGAAAGACTACTATTCTCGATTATTTGCGAAAGGCCAACGTGGTAGCTTCCGAACATGGTGGCATTACGCAGCACATTGGTGCTTTTTCTGTGACCATGCCCGGGACACAACGTACAATTACATTCCTGGATACTCCCGGTCATGCTGCATTCCTGGACATGAGACGTCGAGGAGCGAACGTTACAGATATTGTTGTCCTCGTCGTTGCCGCAGACGACAGTGTGAAACCACAAACGGAGGAAGCTATCAAACACGCTCTCGACGCCAACGTTCAGGTCATAGTGGCCATTAACAAGGTCGATAAAGAGGACGCCAATGTCGATAGGGTCAAGCAAGACCTTAGTCGCTTTGATATTACTGTTGAAGATTACGGTGGGGACTACCAAGCTATTGCCCTCAGTGGTAAGACGGGTCAAGGTATGGCACAGCTTGAAGAGGCCATCATTACCCTTGCAGATGTCTCCGACTACCGCGCAGAGATCGATGGTCCTGCGGAAGGTTGGATCATTGAAAGCAAGGTCACCTCTGCGGGACGTGTTGCAACTGTCCTTGTGCGACGAGGGACTCTTCGTCCAGGTGATTTCATCGTCGCTGGCAATACGTGGGCCCGTGTCAGGACTCTCCGCAACGATCAAGGTGATGTTGTTTCAGAAGCTCCACCTGGTACTCCTGTGCAGATTGACGGCTGGCGTGGCGAGGACCCTACAGCCGGCTTGGAAGTGCTTCAAGCAAACGATGAGCAACATGCTAAGCAAGTGGTCGATCTTCGCTTGGAAAAATCCGAAGCTCTCCGCGATGCCACCGACATGGCAGCTATCAATGCTGCGAGATCCGAGGCAGCGGAAGCTCGCGCCAAGGTTCTGGCTTGGCAGTCAGAGCAAGGCTTTGCATCCAGAAAGCAAGCACGAGTTCGACTCCGGGATTCAAGAACAGGTTGGCTAGCTGCTGATGAATCTGGACCTGCCAAGGTCCACTTTGTTGTCAAAGCCGATGTTGCTGGTTCTGTCGAAGCTCTAGTAGCCGCTATCAGTTCCATTGGCAACAAGGAGATTCAGGCCAACATCATCCACAGCGGCACGGGCCAGATATCAGAATCCGACATCCGCATGCTGGCGGCCACGGGCGAAGTCGGCTATGCGGTCAGCTTCAATCAGCCTGTGGATGGTACGATGTACCGCCTTGCTGAGGCTGCCGGTCTCGAAGTACTTGACCACAATGTCATTTACAAGATGACGGACGTGGTCACGGAGAAGGTCGCCGCCGAGCTGCCACCCCTGGTCACAACGAAGGTGCTAGGTGAGGCCGAGATCGGACAGATATTCGATGTGACTATCAAGAAGGTCAAGCACAAGATTGCTGGCTGCAAAATCACGAATGGCACCATTAGCCGCTCGCATAAGGTGCGTGTGATCAGAGGGGGCGACGTCGTATATACTGGCTCGCTCAACTCACTAAAGAACGTCAAGAAGGACGTGACAGAAATGCGAAAGGGATCGGAATGTGGCATCGCATTCGACGAATGGGAAGAGATGCAAGAAGGAGACAAGGTGCAGTGCTTCGAAGAGATATCGGAAAAGCGCAAGCTGTACTGATGAACATATTCGCTGCTCCAATGTACAAACAGCCATGGCTTGGCACGGCAGCGCCAGCACCAGCGCCAGCGCCAACGCCACGCCACTCATCTTGTACATTATCCGACTACAGCATAGTCAGGCGACAATAATTCGCTACGAGACATAGAGATAGAACACAAGCCTAATGCCACTGCCTAACAGGTATCCGTACCATGAAACAGCATGCTGGGGAATATCAATGGAAGCGCTGTCTGCGAAACATTCCGAGCCAATCAATGCCTGTTCGCTGGGCCGCCTCGTTTCATAATGCCAAGGCTGAAACTTGTCGCCTACTTCAACCTCACCCAATCGCCTCCTCTCGTCTCTTCCGTTACGAGACTGCCTTCACGAAAGCCATTCAGCCCATGACCAAAAGCCCCTGTGTCGTTTCATAGAGACGTGCTTGGACTTGCCCCGGGGGTTCTAGAAATGGTTGCCACAGATGTATGGACAGCAGGCCGCAAGTCGGCTCGTGGCACACGGGGCAAAGCCTCTTCGGGTCGCTTTCGACACTTCATATGCCAGGCCGCGTCCGGCTCCTGAGATTAGACGATCTCCTCCTACTCAAAACTTCTTTACCTCTAGTGCTGTTGCGCATCACAGCTAGCCACGCGTAACGAGTTTCCTTGTCTGTTGTTGCTCATTCTTTTTGCTCGATTTTCTCTACACACTCTCTTTCGCGGAGGCGAGCTGGCTCCGTTCCTCCCGACTTTCTACTTACGAAAAGACTCAAAATAGGCTCACAGCCCCGCATACATTAAGAGCAGGCTCGAAACACTAGAACTCATAGATATCGCAAGATGCATATCACTGTGCCGGTGGCGGCTTCGCTTTTCCTTGCGACCCTAACGGCGGCAGGCCCGATCCAGCTATCGAACGTGAAGAAACCAGTTACTGTTGCCCAACGATTCGCAAGCCCTCAGCCGGTTCCTTCGATCATTCTGCCGCGGCAGCAAAGCGATGGAAGTGGCAACGTTCCTTTCGACAACAATCGTGGTGGCGAAGGAGACCGAGATCGGGACCGTGACGGGAATGATGGAGGTAACGGAGCTCGGAACCGCCCCAACGAGCTCAACGGGGACGACACAAATGGTGGTCTGGGCACGAACACCATCTTCACAGCGGCGCTGCCATCGCAAGCCGGTAGTCAGGATGGCGCGGTTCCAGCGGTCGGAGTAGGGGGTGGCGGGAACACTGGGCTGGTTTCCATCCTGACACAGACGACGCTACAGGTGGGCGACCAACGAGGCCAACCAACAGCTGCCGCGCAGGTTCAGCCTCAAGCGCAAGGACAGCAGCAAGGTGATGGCGATGGCCAGGGTGGTCGTCGGGGACAGGATAGGGGTGGCCAAGACGGCGGACAGGCGCGAGGAAGCCGACAGGGTCAAGGACAGCAAGCTCAGGACGCAGGCGCGGGCGCTATTGCTGACAATCCGAATCCCGATCCAAATCTTCCGACGGTAACTCAAGATGCTGGCGGGAACATCATTGTCATTGATGGTGGATCCACTCGCACGATTGCAGGCTTTGAAGGGGAGAAGACAGCAACTCGACCAGACGCCACAGAGCAAGTTGCTCAGCCAACTGCTGCTCCCACACAGGCTCCAGAGGCTCAATCTCCCGCAGCGCCTGCTGCTGGTCAAGCACAGGGCGGTCAGGGTCAGGGTCAAGGTCAAGGTCAAGATCAAGGACAGGGCGCTGGACAGCAAGAGCCAGCGTCGGCCCCCGTCCAGCCTGAACCGCAGCCGCAGCCGCAGCCAGAAGCGCCTCCTCAACAACCTCAACCGCAGCCACAGCCAGAAGCTCCTCAACAACCGGAAGCGCAGCCTCAGCCTGCACCACAGCCTGCACCCCAACCAGAGCCCGTGGCTCAGCCAGTGCCTACCACAGAAGCCGTCACGCAACCCCTCCCACCAGCAACTCAGCCCCCAGCTCCACCTGCACCTGACACATCCATCGTGTCCCCTTCCGCGAATGGCGTTCCTACAGCCTTCGTCGGATCCATCCCGCCAGAGATCTCCGCAGCGGCGGAAAGCATCAAGGCAACTGCCAATCAAGCAGCACCAGCGTCTACCAGTGCCGATGTTGCGGCCGAAGCCACAGCGCAAGTCACGACGCAAGCGGAAGTCACAAACGTCGTTCCCGCCTCAGGCGCGCCAGCAGGCGTTGGTGTGACGGTCGTGCCGATCCCACCCGAGCTGGCTTCCCAAGCGGGCCAAGTAGCTTCTTCCGTCGCCGCTGCGTCCGGTGATAGCGGTGCTGCAGCAGCAGCAGCGACAGCCACTGCCACCGCAGCAGCCGAAGCGGGAGCTGGAAGCGAAGGCCAAGGTCAGGGGCAAGCGACAGTCACAGTAACCGTCGCAGCCGTGACGGTCACAGAGTCCGGCGGTGCGGCTGCCGCCACGGACACGACTGGCGTGGCAGCGGAGAGCGCTGCAGCGGCGGCTAGTACCACGGCATCAGAAGATGCCTCAGCTGCAGATGTCAGCGCCATTCCTGCCGTTGCGGGCGTGCCAGGCGAGGTGACGACCATTGACATCGCAACGCTCTCGAGCGCCGTTGCGGCGGAGTCAAGCGCGGCCTCGACGGCGACAGCAGCTGCAGAAGTAACAGATGCAGCACAGCCCTCCACGCCCGTTACTGCCGCCGCGGCCGCCGCCGCAGCCCCAGCTTCTTCCTCAAGTAGTACCACATCTGACACCTCTTCAACAACAACAAGCACAGCAGCGGCAGAAGCCGCCTCCCCTCCTCCACCTCCGGCGGCGGCAGCAGCGCCGGCCGCAGCTCAGCCTGTAGCGGCCGCGCCACCCGTGCCGGAGAAGCAGAGCGAGAAAGAGGGCGGGCCGCCGCCGGGGAATGCGCTGACGCTGGGAGTTACGGGGGCGCTGCCGACGGCGACGGCGGAGGCGCCTGCGGGCGTGCAGAGTGGAGGATCTGAGAAGAGGGCTGGCGAGGCAGAGGAGGTGGAGGGGGGTGATGGTGGGGTGCAGGTCACGCCTTTGGGGAGGAGGGGGCGGTAAGGTGCTAGGTGAGATGATTGAGATGGGCTTGATTGATGTGGTTGGTTTGGGGGGTAAGATTTCTTTCTTTTTGGGTGTCTGTGTGGTGTCAGGGACGGGATGTATCAGCATTGCGCACAGCATAGCGTTTGGGAGGAGGAAGTATATGTATATAGGCATGGGCATGAGTATGAATACTACTCCGATTCTCTAAAAGTCGTCCTTGCGTCATTCGTGTAGAAGAGCATGGTCACGGCATGTGGAAACTGGTAGTCGTCGGGTCGGGTCCTGGCCCCTCTCTATGAAGCAATCAATATAGGTCAGTCGAAGGTTCTTCTGCGCGGGTATTCTTCATGCCACGCTCGAGGGTAAGCGGGCCGGAAGCTCGTCTCTTCCTCGCCCTGGCATCTGTGCTGCGGCGCATGCTTTCTTCCTTTTGCTTCAAAAATTCTTCGACTTTTCCAACCTCTATGACGGAAATACCGCCCCAAGACTGACAGTGTGGCAACACGGCTCGCGCATCGTCTATGGATGCCCCATGATCAAGGAAAAGACGTACAACCTCCAAATAAATGGTCTCGTCCAACTGAGATTGTTGGTTCACCAGCAGCTCTCTCCAAGGCGTCGTCGGTCCCGCCAGTCGTAGTCTATCAACCTATACCTTTCGAGAAATTCCTCATTGGGATCACAACCTGCGGATAGCAGATACTGAACCATCGCGACCGCCAGTACATCATGGTGCGCGAAACGAGACATCGCCGGACGTATTATTGCATCCGGCACTGTTGCGGCTGTGGAAAGCTTTCTGACATGGTCGGCATTTAACTCGCAATGGAATTGTGTCAAGTGGCCCAGCTTAGACACGAAGTTTGATAGCTGCTGCAGAAGCTCCTCGAATTTCTTCTTATCGTGAATAGCCCACCGCCAGCGGCGGCCTTGGCCCGGAGTCGAACTTACGGAGCATGCTGCCCTTTCATCAGCACCAGACGCTTCAAGATGTAGCTTTTCCACTGCTTTGATGATCTTCCCAAAGTGAGCATCGTCCTCAGAACACAAACGGGCCTCGAGAGGCGCTTCTTTGGAATTGCTCAATGACCGTTGACGTACACCGTAGCGTTTCTCAAGACCAGCGCTTTGGCTGAGGAGTGCAAGAATACATTGGAGGATGTTGTGGATGAGTACGGTCGTGTTCTTGCCAGCGAATGTCTCCAAGGATCCATCCAGAAGCCGCGTTCTATCGGCCCATTGCAGTAGAAGAGCCTTTTCAATGTCGAGTCTGATAATCAGACGAGAATCTGCCGAATCGGTTGGCCATCGCTGCTCGGGAATGGTGTGGCACGAAGGGCTGCGTACAGTCACGTTTGATGGTCTGCGTTGCGCAGAAGCAGTCGAAGAGGTCAATGCAGGCCTTGAAGCTCACAGCCAGGCTGGCAATGCCGATGCCCAGTCCCGCAGCTTCCGCCTTCGCAGGGCGATCGACTGTCCAAAGATTATAGATTCACGGGGTTCTTTTACGCTGCCTGGTGCCGGACATTGAATATGACAGAAACAAACAGCGACAAGTCTGTGATAAAAGAGGTCTCGATGCTTCCCACAGGCTGAGATAGACGGGGAAGGCGCTGCGCTAAGTCAAATTACCCCGCCACAGATTGGAAGCAGCCTGGCTTTGGGGATAGATTGAAGCCTCAACATAGGTCCTATATGCGTCGTGATTTGTGCAGACATGCCAATAGGCGACGGTCCTACAGTACAGCGAGTAAGAAATGCAGCTCTTTTTGCTCAGCATTGCGCCTGGGGTGCGCCCAATGCAATCCAGGGCCACTAGCAAGACCTGCATGGGCTGCGCCTCTGTATTAAGCATGGTGACGGTGCTGTGCAGTCTCGGCAAGCGAAGAGCCCTAGTTGAGTTGTCAGTTGGAGCATTCTATGCCTTGGACTTGTCTGTAGCTGGTGCCCAACGGAGGGTACTCATCGTCACGAAGCCGGCGTAGTCAAAGCAGTCTGTGCCCTAGCACTGGTGCATCTGAAGGCAAGTGCTAACCAACAGGCGGTGCGGATCAACATCATGTAGAGCAACAGCGGCCGTCGTGAAGAGGATTCGCCGCTGACAAGTAGACATAAGATGTTCCGTCAAGGTTCAGCTTCTGATTCGGTAAACAGCTATCCGGAGAGCCTAAGGCTCCACCTGATACCAAGCCTCAGGGCACTCACTTGTTGTTCTCATTCAGGGACGACTTCCTTCCTCCATACTCTGTATTATGCTCCTGCTGATCTGCTGATATACACAGACGTCGCTCCTCGGAACGAGTCTCCAAACAAATGGCCACCTGCACAGCGTAGCGGGCACACTGTATGCTGCTTTCGAGCGCTCGATTGCGGCAGCATGAGAATTGTAGTCCTGTGGCAAGCTCGATCGCTGTGGACCTTGGGCTTTCTTATCAGACGCTGAGTGCAAGAGTTGTGCCCCTGCTCCTCGACGCATTTTTGGACGATAGGCAGGGCCAACGCCTTCTGGATGAAGTGCAATCGGCAAAAGCTGTCAGGACAGGGTGAGTATCGAGGATGAACTCAAGATGACCTGAGGATGGCCTGAGGATGATCAGTTGCAAAGTCCTTTCCAGGTGATATCAATGCCAGCCATCTGTCAGCAACTCGGCCCACCTCACAGTTGTAAGTGAAGTTCACCAACATGAACTTCTTCCCCCAGCCCCTGTGCTTCTTATGTAACTTCTCCTTCCATCCTCCCTCTCTTTGTGCCTAAGTCTCCTGCCGCGCTCATATAGAGCACTCTTATACCATGCCTCTCACGTTGTCCAAGGAGTAGCCACCTGGCTGGGCGGAATATCCAACTGTCTCCGCGGTGATGGCGTGCACTGAGTCTTAAGCGCTTTACTCGTTGGTTTCCTTACTCTGTCTCTGCGGTGAGAACTCCAGTCTGGACTGCACGACCACAGTTACTTCCCCTGAACATTCTCCTCGACTCTTTGAGCCTTCAACCTCGAATTCCTCCAGACTTAAGGCCAACTCTACTCATCTCTGAAGCAAACCGACAGAATCTCTACCTCACCTCACCTCATCACTCACCACTCAAGTCTCACTCTCACCTCTCTTCCCCGGCAACCCACTCCTCGCCCCGATCTCACCATGGCACCTCGCAATCGCAACCTCGGCCTCGGCATCACCCGCGTCCCGGTCTGGGAGTACAACCCCAAGACCAACAAAGAGCACATCGTCGACTACGACCTTGAGCCACATTGGGCCACCGCCCGGGCTGCGCGCCCAACTACCCCTTCCCACCAACCACCGCCGCTTACCTCGCCCACCGCCCCCCTCGCTCAGCAATACCTGGCCAGCGGTGCCGCCACCGAAGCCACCGACCCGGACGAGCGCACCGACCCGGACAACGGCGCCTCGCTGCTCCGCCGTCACATGACTGGCCTGGCCGAGCATGAAGAGGCCGAGCGCGCAAAGTGCGCCGTTGTGGTCGGCGAGGACGAGGACGAGGTTGAGGATCGCCGTATGGATGGCATGCGTGTGCGCGTCGTGATGTGGGGCGAGGGCGTGAAGCGCGAGGCGGAAGTGAAGAAGCGGGAGCGAGGGGAGGAAGAGGAGAGCCAGGTGAAGCGCGCGAAGGGGTGGGAGACGGAGGAGGTGGTGAAGACGAAGGAGACGTGGATATGACTCGGAGACGTGAAAATGACGCTGGGATGAGTAAGGGCCAGACAAAACGGTCGACGATAAAATGCTGGAGGGCGCCAGCGATGCACCAAAGCGACCCATGAAATTTGAACAAACGAAGTCCAGAACTGGACGAATCCGAATAGGTCATTTGGATTGATTGATGGATTGACTGTACAAACGAAGCACCCTTTGCCTCACTCCACCTGCTTTTCGCTTCCGGCAGACAGATGAACGCTCCTCTACCAGTACGCGTCTACTACTAGTTCTACATCATCGCCTGACCGGTTGTTCTCGCGATCCGCTCGACGACCTTCCTCCCCTTCTCCAAACATCAGACTTAGGCACTGTTTCTGCTCATGTCGTTTCTGATCCGGTTATAGTCGAGAACACCCTCGATGCTGCCGACCGCCGACATGGCAATATCGCGATCCCACAGCTTCTTCTGCGCAAAGCGCATGACGTCCTGCTCCGTGATGCCACCGACCACACGCTCAATCTCCGCAGGATCCATGCGACGGCCAGTCGTGATGATTTGGCGACCGATGTCTTCGGCGACAGAAGTGGTGCCGTCGAGCGACAAAAGGATCGATGCCTTGAGTTGGGCCTTGGCACGTTCGACCTCCGCCTCCGAAACGTTGATGGATAGGCGCGACCACTCACGGAGCGTGAAATGGACGAGATCGTCGAGCTGGGTCTTGTTTTCTGAGACGAGATAGATACCCCAAAGACTGCTATGGTTAGCCTGATTCTAGGAAAATTGGCGAGATAGACTTACCCAGTATCACTATAACTTGTTGAGAAACTCATGAAGCTGTTGGCTAGGTTGTGGTGGTTTACGAAGCCGGCGAGCTTGCTGCCCATATAGGGAGTGTTGCCCATGGCACGGTCCCAGTTGCCGATGATGGCTTGAGTTACCAACGCCGTAAAGTAGTCATCATCCTTCCAGCTTACACCCTCAACAGCAATGGCAATGTGGGCGGTGGGAATTGTGTCATCACGGATGCGGACTTCGGAGCCGATGAACTGTGGCTTGCGCTTCTGCTCGGCGGCGATCTCGGCGGCGTACGAAGTAGGGGGGCGAGCCTGCAGACCACCAAAGTGCTTTTCGGCAAGTTTGACGAGCTCCTCGTGAGGAATGCCACCGGCGCCAACGAGGACCATACGATCAGCGGTATAGTTGGTCTTGATGTAATCCACAAGATCTTGACGGTTGATGGAGAGGATGTTTTCGCGAGGGCCGAGAATGGTGCGTCCAAGAGGCTGTCCCTGGAAAGCGGTTGAATGTAGGTGGTCGAACACAACCTCCTCGAGCTGCTTGTCGACTTCCTCTTGTTCCCGGAGAATCACATCGCGTTCGCGTTCGACGGCCTGGGGTTCGAGCTTCGAGTTTTGGAGAATATCGGAAAGAATGTCAACTGTCTTCGGGACATCATTGTTGAAGGATTTGGCGTAGTACACAGTGTTTTCTCGCTGTTCCACGTTAGCTTAGCGTCAGGACCGTACCCTTGGGAGGCGTACAGATGTGTAGGCGTTGAGGTGGCCGCCCATGTTCTCAATCTCAAGCTCTAGCTGTTGCTGTGTTCGATTGCCCGTGCCCTGAGCCAGTCAGTCTCCACCCAGTTCTTTGCTTGTCCTCGCATACCTTGAAAGCCAAGTGCTCTAGGAAGTGAGCAGTACCGTTCGTCTTGTCGGTCTCCGCCCTGCTTCCAGCATCGATCCACATGCCGACGGTAGAGGTCTGAGCCCATGGCGAGTGCTCGGTCGCGATCTATAGATCCGTCAGAAGCTGCTCAGTTTCATTTCAACCATCCAGTCATACCGTCAGGCCATTTGACAGCGTAGTAGACTCCGTCCGCGAAGACTCGACGGGGTTCGCATATCGTCTGATGGGGCTTCGGATGGCATTGAGAGCTGCTCGGCTGCGCAGGGATTGACGCAAGTTGAGCGCCAGCCTCTGGGTAGCCATGGCTAGCGAATCAATAGGATGAGAGAGCGCGAAAGGGTGGTCGGGGGCGGATGTCGAGCTTCAATGTGCTGTCTGGCTTTGGCAGGTTCGAAGCTCCTCAGAAAACGCAGCTTGACTCCAGTCTTGGCGACGTTCTCCACTGGCTCAACGTAGGCCAATCACCACCATGTATTTCTCAGCCTCGCCTCGTGGCTGGTTTCCTGGTCATTGTATATTACTCAAGTAATGAAGTAAGAGTTGTCTCATTTGCAAAATATGTTGACTGTGTCATGACTACGTATCGCTCAATTGAAGCTCCACATGCTGTTCCCAGCACCGTTCAACGTCGTGCCCTCGAAGTCGAAAAAAGGCATTCCGAGATTCATGGTAGGATCGCCGAAATCAAAAGCATTGGGGTCCAATGTTCCATAGTCCGGTATGTCACTGGAGCCATTCGTCACGTGGCTGTTCATCGTGTTGAGTGGTGGTCTTTGCGATCGACTAAGGTCCAAGCTCTTGCTGGTGCTCTTGCGACTTCGTCGGACGGGCCCACCTAAGCTTTCCGACATCTTCTCTAGGCCCTCAGCCATCCTGTGAATGAGGTGATCTTTCCCAACATCAACTGTCTTGAAATGTTGAGCTAGGGCTCCAATCAACCGCTGATATCGACTCTGATCCACGAACAGCTGCTCGCTATGCTTGGTTGCAATCCTGAGGAGGAACATGGCAGCGAATGCAACCATGCCATGGATGTGGTGGGGCACATATGCAATTGCTGTTTGCGCATCTTTGTCTTCTAGTAGAAGGTTAATGATGGCAATCGCTGCTTGAACTGCTGCTGATGCATTCTCCAGAAAATGCTCTGGAATAACGGCACCTTGCTCTGGCAGTCCCCTCAACACATACGACTGTAGGTATAACTTAGCCCAATGATAATGCATGATGGCGCCTTTGTTAGGCCAGTTGCCTATCAATTGGCTTGGATCTGTCGCCTGTTAGGTCTCTTCACTCGCACAGTCGCAAGTGGAAACTTACTGTGTCTAGAGAATCTCGCAATCCAGTCATCAAGATCTCTTTCGAACCCATTGATTTTGGGTAATGCAGATGCTGGTAAGACTGATGATGTGTCCTCTGGACCGAGGCTTTCTCGGATCTGATTCATCAAATACATTAGGCAGATTTGGCCAGCAACTCTCCGGTCTGAATCTGTCGATAGAGAGCAGGCTAGGTAGGCTTCCCAGCCTGTGATGTAGATCTCGTTGTCGCGCATCACAGACGACCTGCCGTACAAGATAGACAGGTGGTGATCACAGATGTACAGGAAATACAGAACCCGAATTCCGTCCATGGCTTCGTGCAACTTGGATGGGTCAGCCTTGTCCGGTGATCGAACAGACTCGGCGATCTGGAGGTAAAATTGTTTGAGGTGAAACTCGCTGGCGCGACGAATAGCATAGCCTGATAAGGTCCAGGAAATGTCGCTCAGCCAGTACGAGCCAATGACGAGCGCGCGTAGATACTCCATGTCGATTTTGCGCTCAAACATGGCGTTGGCGACGAGTCGCCGATACTCCTTCGCGCAGATCGAGTATAAATGGCAGTGCTCTGTGTCATGTAGTGCAGCTACAGTCAGAATTGCAGCAGTCAATGTGGGTGAACGGCTGCGGAAAGACTCTAGATCTTTATAGGCCGGACAGATGTGCCAAATATATGGATCAAGCTTGTTCAAGTAGTACGCTGCTAAGGGCTCAGCGTCCTCAAGCTTGATGACACCACGTGAGATGAAGTCTGTATCCCGCAATTGCTTGCAGATTCGAGATTGATCCTCAGTAATCCCTTCAGCAGCGCGTAGAGAACGCATACCGGTGATCTGATAGAGGGATTCAATGGGTACATGGGACAGATTGTCGGTAACTGGAGTGACCTTTGGTGAATTATCGAAAGAGTCGTCTTCGTCTTCGTCTTTAACAGGATCGTCTTGATCGAAGAAGATGGCTGGGTCTTGTGTTGACGTTTGAAGCTGTGGAAGAGGAGGAAGATTGAGCAACTGCAGGATTTGCTCAACTGAGCCATACAGAGAGGTAACATCCTTGGTGACAGAGGATTTCCATCTGCTATCCTCCGACATCAGCGTCTGTAAGCTCTTGTTCAGTCGACAAGAAAGTCCGCGCTCTTTACATCTCTGGCAAGGTGGGTCGCCCTGCATGATACACTTGATCTTTTGTTTCCGGCACGCTGCGCAAGCTTTCACTTTACGTGAGATGCCTGGTATCTTGCTGTTGTCGGCCTGCGCTTGCGGGCCATTGCTCTGGCTGGCGCTTCGCTGATTGGGAGGTAGCACCTTGATATCTTCACTTATACGGGCCTTTTTGGGCGAAGCTAATTGTGTAGGCGAATTGAACGAATGAGGCGATGTAGAAGATCCAGTGGCCACGTTGCCGTGAATGCTATGGGGAGAAGGGATTGGATTCGCATCTTGCCAGGACCGTTTAGTAGCCATAGTGGGGAAGCCCGAGTCGAGCTGATCGTCGGGACGAGAACGAGTCTCCGGTTCAGCCACGCCTCATGCTTGAAATGCCACACAAACAGTGTCTTGAATCTGCAGGCGATGTATAGCTTGCATAGGCACCGTGGGTGTAGCAGGATCAAAATGAGAGGAAGGAGAAGATGCGCATGAGCAATCGGGTTCCCCACAGCGGAGCTGGGGCGAGCATCGGAAGGCGTTGGCCAATCACTGCTCCGCGGCTTTCAGCGGTATCCGGGCAGCAAATCCAGACTGCATGCCGCAAGGCGGGCAGAATGAGTACTACAGCGAGGGTTGTCAGCGTCAATGAAAGTCTTGATAAGGTCAGATGGTCATTAGATTGTCCTGAAAATGGTATGTCCTGAGCCAGATAGCTGACCTCTGTCTCAGGTGAGCGGTACTACTGATCTGTCTGGCGAGCTAGTGGTAGGTTCCTGGCCTTTGTCTGAAGAGCTCTCAACGGCCTAGTCCATGAAGCCCTTGATCTGGTCGTTCAACCACGCAACATCTTTGGGGTTGGCTCCTCCTCCTGCGATGTGTCCCCACACGCTCGGGATGGGCTCACACTTGCCCTGAGCCAGATGCTTCACCTCCTCCTGAGAGTCTTCAGGTGGGAAGTACTGATCTGTCTGGCACGGTAGCAGTAGAACCTTTGCCTTGATACTTCGTAACGCATTGTGCAGCTTCTCATCGCTGACGACGCCGCCACCTAGCTGTGACATCTCGGTCTCTCCAGGTATCACCGTACTAATGTCACCGAGTTGCCACATGCGAGCCAGCACGAGCAGATCATCTGCATCCCAGCCCAGGTAGCCCACCTCGCGCGCTGACATCCACTCTTCGACGTTGTTGAAGCCCAAGCCGCCGTCGACCTTTCCCCATAAACGTTCACGAAACCAGTGCGTGCTTGTCAGCCAGCCGCCATAGGCACGAGCGAAAGCCCGCAAGCCTCGTTTGGGCTTCACTTCCCTTAGATTGGCCCCAATATCCTCTCCTCTTGCAATCTTCTGTTTCATCGCCTGTACTGCCACATAGTCAATGCTATTCATCAGAGCCTCGATGGGCCCCTCGAGGAACGCGTAGTTGTGAGGACTTGTCCGAGCCGAACTGCAGATCGGGATGACCCGCTTCATGAAGTCAGGATACATGACAGACCAGTGGTAGGCCTGCTGTCCACCCATACTGAAGCCAATGACAGCTTCGAGCTGACTGACACCCAAATGCTGGGTCAATAGAGCATGCTGAGCATTGACCAGATCCTGGTATCGCAGCTCACCCGGCTCAGGGAACATAGCCTTGTTTGAAGGCGAAGCAGATTCGCCATTGCCAAGCATGGCCACCACGACAACATGATACTTGGATAAAGCGTCGAATGGAGCTTCGGTCCAAGTCAGGGTTCCATTGATGATCCCGCCATAACAGGTCGGGATCAAGACCACTCCTTCACTTGAGGCGCGGTTGTAGGATCGATACGCAACCTTGACGTTATGCAGTGTTGTCCCATCGGCAAAGCTGAAGTCTGGAATCTCATAGATCTCAACTCCGGTCGCATCGTAGTCTGCTGCCTGCGCCATGCTGCGATCGTCTGCTGCAATAGGGTAGAGCTAAGCTAAGATCTGGTTGCCTCAGTTGCCTTCCAGGCGCGGGGGCTTGGCAGTAGTGGGTCCGGCCACCTGCGGCCACTGCAGCGCCATTGAGCCTGCACTTCACAATGTGCCGTCACCTTTCGATCCATTTCTGTTGTCACAATACTGACTTTCACCACGCCTTACAAAAAGTGCCCAACGCCAGTTCACTAGACCTGACCATTCTCAAGCTGCTCTTAACATCCGCCTCATTTGATCCGCAACTACTTCAACATTTCCAAGTTTCTGTTCCAGCCTCCTCCACATCGCCCACAGTCCTGGCCTTGCGCTTTCAGCACCACATTCCTAGTCGACTGGTCTCTCAGAGTCTCATATCTCCCTCGAAGCACGAAGTGTGGTCTTTTGGAACTTCGTAAATCTCAGCCTTCTTGCTGCCGACGAAAACACTATTCCCCTCCACTACTCCCTTTGCCGCTTTTTGCACACGCCCACACAAACCATGGCCGATCAATTGGCAGCACAGCTGGACAAAACCACAATAAAAGAGGGCCAAGATGACGCAAGTTGGAAGACAAGTCTCAAAGCTCCGGTGAAAGATGGGCGAGAACAGACTGAAGATGTCACCGCCACCAAGGGCTTGGACTTTGAAGAGTTCTACATCAAGCGAGAACTCATGATGGGTATCTTTGAGGCCGGTTTCGAGAAACCCTCACCAATTCAAGAAGAAACGATCCCGGTAGCTCTCACGGGTCGCGATGTTTTGGCCCGAGCAAAAAACGGTACAGGCAAGACCGCCGCCTTTGTTATCCCCACCCTCGAACGAATCAACCCCAAGAATCCCAAGACGCAAGCTCTCATTCTGGTGCCTACCCGTGAGCTGGCTTTGCAGACATCGCAGGTATGCAAGACCCTCGGCAAGCATCTAGGCATCAATGTCATGGTTACTACTGGTGGTACCGGCCTCAAAGACGACATTATCCGTCTCGGCGATGCGGTGCATATCATTGTCGGTACGCCTGGACGTATCTTGGACCTAAGCAGCAAAGGCGTGGCCGACCTATCGGAATGCTCCATCTTTGTCATGGACGAGGCTGACAAGCTTCTGTCCCCCGAGTTCACCGTCGTTATCGAACAGCTCCTCAACTTCCACCCCAAGGATCGGCAAGTCATGCTTTTCTCCGCAACATTCCCTATCATCGTCAAGGACTTCAAGGACAAACATATGCGTAATCCCTACGAAATTAATCTCATGGACGAACTGACTCTGCGTGGTATCACTCAATACTATGCTTTCGTGGAAGAAAAGCAAAAGGTCCACTGTCTGAACACTCTCTTCTCCAAGCTGCAAATCAATCAGTCTATTATCTTCTGCAATTCGACAAACCGTGTCGAGCTGCTGGCCAAGAAGATCACAGAACTTGGCTACTCTTGCTTCTATTCGCATGCACGCATGATGCAGCACCACCGCAACAAAGTCTTCCACGACTTCCGCGCTGGCGTCTCGCGCAACCTTGTCTGCTCCGATCTTCTGACTCGCGGTATCGACATTCAAGCGGTGAATGTAGTCATCAATTTCGACTTCCCCAAGAATGCCGAGACTTATCTTCATCGCATCGGTCGTTCTGGTCGGTTTGGTCACCTGGGCCTGGCTATTAACCTGATCACATGGGAAGACAGGCTCAATCTTTACAAGATCGAGCAAGAGCTGGGCACGGAGATCCAGCCCATTCCTCCGTCCATTGACAAGTCTCTCTATGTTTATGAGAACCCTGAGAACATTCCTCGTCCTATCCACGCCGCGCCTCCTCCTAGACCGTCGCAGCTCAACGGTCAGAACGGGACACAGCAAGGTCGGCGCAATTTCAACGGATACAATCAAGGCTATGGTCAGCGCGGCAACTATAACCAAGGACGAGGTGGTTACCGCGGGCGTGGCGCTCCCCGTGGAGGTCGAGGTGGACAGCAACAGATCCCACAGAATGCGGCACCAGTCTCATAGCACAAGACCGGAGTGGCGTCATTGAGTCGTGGTGTGCTTTCTGTTCTTCCCCTTCCGGCGTTCTGATTTTTTCGAGGTGATGACTGACCATGATATGCGATGAGCACGAGCTTGGAGTTCTATCATGGATATCATGACTTGCCTCCGGACGACTGTACAACACTTTGGTACAGATGGCTTTCGTTTCTGGGCGGCATTTGTTGTCGCATCCTGGGCGGCGCTTTTCAAGACTCTGGGGCATTCTCGGAACCAGGCAAAACTGGCGTGAAAGATATGGGTGTTACTGATGATAGCCCCCGGATCGCGGGTCATTCTGGGTGCTTCACGATTTCCCTGGTCTTGCAAGATACCATTGTCCCTGCTTTTCATTTTTGGCCCGGCCTTCCTGGTCAGTGGTCTATGACCTTCATCATATGCCCCCAGCGGGCCAGACTACGCTACAGAGGAAGCAATACTCAATACTGGTAATTTGCATCGCCCTCCATCGAATCTCTCCATCCATCGATACTTTCCCACCCCGGCCCAACGTGTCGGCCATTCATACCCATCTCGACATCCCCTCTCCACCAATCATACTAACCTCTATCCTTCACCTTTCCCGAATCTCGCGAATCTCGATAACACAAACACTCGCCGTTCAAGATAACTCAGCGTCTACCGGCCGCAACGAATCGGCCAGGATCTTTATTCGCTTCCCCAGAGATGACTGACAGGATGGCGCTTCCATCACGGCACTGATATTCGCTCAAGTGTCAAAATGGCCGCTCAGCGGCTAATGAATACCCACCCACAATCTCGAGATGTCCGACCTGTGTGGAAGTCTGATCCTGTGGCCAAACGCTGCAGTTCATCCGTCTACCACGTCAAAATACATCCTAACATCAAGAAAATAAGAAAACACCATAGGAGGGAGCCAATAGTCACATTTGTCTCACCCTAGCCGCAATTGCAAGAAGAGCGACCGCTTCGTTGGAGGTAGGCGAGATGGCTAGATGGACAGTGCTAGACTAGATAGATCAGATCAGCAGCCCAACGCAAACGATTTCTCCCTCCGGCTCCTCATCTTCCATCGACTATTCTTATCGGTCCTTCTATCGTGCGATCAAAGTTGCATAGCAGGCATGTGCGATGCGCAATCGTATTCAGTCATCACAGTGCCACGTTTGATTGGACCTACATGTATCTTCGCTCATCCTTGCCACGTGACAAGCACCATGTCGTTGACATAACGACTCCCGCAACAGCGGACATGACTTCGTAAGGCACTATCATCTCATCCCAGTCTCCGACTACCATCCACTGACCACACCCCTCTAGCAGTTCTTGCGGCCCTCTTTCCCTTCCCCCTTCCTCTCCCCTTTCTCACCCCGGCTCTACATCTCCTGCCCCTTTCCCACCAGGGCCCCCGTGCGAGCACTTCCCCTCCACAACAAACTACAAAGAATACTTAAACAACGGACTCCGATCCCCCATCTTCTCCAGCTGCGCCTCGGTATACTTCCGCCTGATCTCCTCTTCGGTGAACTGCTCATTCTTTTTATTGATGCGCCAGAATGCAAACTCGAGCGTCAGCGCACTGATGATGCCGGCGCTCGCAAAGGCGAAGGAGGTGCCGAAGCCGGTGGGGTATTTGGGGGATTCACGCTGCAGGTAGATGAAGGAGCCGACGATGCCGCCGGTGTTGCCGACGCAGATCATGAAGGCGATGCCCATGGCGCGCTTGGCGGGGCCGGCGAGGTTGTTGATCGTCCAGGCGTTGCAGCCGGGGAGCTGACGGGTGCGGTCAGCAGGCGAGCGAAATAGGGTGTGGTGAGTCAGGGTTGGGGACTTCCCAGGGGAGGGTTTTGGTGGAGGGTGGAGGATGGGAAAAGGGGGGGGGGGGAAGGGAACATACGATAGGGTAGATGCCCGTGCAAGCCACGAAGACCATGAAGTAGCATAGCGGGACGTTGTCGGCGATGTTCTCGGCTTTGGCGAAGAGGACGCTGAAGGCGATGACGAGCAGGCATTGTGCGCTCACGATGAAGGGCATGCGCCAGGTGAAGCGGTCGGCTAGTAGGGAGGAGACGAGGGCGGAGATGGCGCCGCAGAAGTAGGGCGGTGCGGTGAGGAGTTGGGCGCGCGTCGAGGTGTAGCTGTATCTGGGTGTTAGCGCCATAGGCCATTGACGATTTGGGGGAGGGAGGTGTGGTATACGAACCCCATGTTGCGGATGATTTGAGGCATGGTGAATTTGAGACCGTAGTTGGGGACAGCTATTGAGGTGAGTCAGCGACCGGAAGGAGGAAACGAAGGGGGAGTACGTCGGGCTCGAAAGAGTGTGGACCTGGGACATGAAATGATGCTGCCGATTGTCGTGGACTGCTTACTATAGCACAAGTCAGTATGACCATCCAGGCATTGCACACCGAGAAAAGGGTTGGGGACTCGCGTTGGTCGGCATCATGCAGTTGCAGGACTGCTGGAACTAGTCCTTGGTCCCCTCCGTACAACAATGCCGACTCATGCTTGTTCGAAACTTACCCATTGCTCATGAAAACCAGCGCCTGAAGGTACAGCTGCCAGTCAGTAAGTACCTGCCAGAGTGCGGCCCACTGGAACTTGGTCTTTCCGGTGGTCTCGTCGACGGCGGGCTTCTTCTGCATGCCGCGTGTGAAGATGTGGGTGAGTTGCAGGAACCGGGCTTCGTCTTCGGTCAGCCATCTCCCGGCCGCCAGGCCTGGAGAGTCTGGGAGGAAGAAGTAACAGATGACGGCCATCACAACTGTGGCGAGGCCTTCGATGATGAAGATCCAGCGCCAGCCTGAAAGACGTTAGGATACGTGGGTATCTAGTAGTGGTAAGGGGCCATGCCTTCATATCCACCGAGGCCATCCATGCGTGCGATGCCCGCGGCTAGGAGGCCAGAGAAGGCACCGGAGCAAGCAGATGCGCAATAGAAAAGCGACATGCGGAATTGTGTGCGGTTTGGAGGGTACCATTGGCCAACCAGGTAGATGGCACCTGGAAAGAAGCCGGCTCTGGGAGTGAGAGTCAGGAATTGCGCAGAAGCCGGTTGGAGGCGTCACATACTCAAAGAGACCCAAGAAGAACCGCGTGGCTACCAAGCCGCCGAAGTTCTGAACCACTCCAGAGAGCGTCATCACTGTGCCCCAGCAGAAGATCAGGATGCCGATGTAGACTGACGGCCGTTCGAATTTCGCCAGGAGCATATTTGATGGAACTTCGCACAAGACGTATGGGACGAAGAAAATGGCCAGTGCCACGTTGTAGTCGGTGCCCGTCATACCGAGGGAGGCTTCAAGGCCTTCGATCTTCGCATTGCCGATGTTCGCGCTAGAAGAGTCAGCTTACGGCCACACAAACAACGATGTGAGGGTTTGTACCGGTCGAGATGGCTGATCAAGTAGAGGACAGCCAGCATGGGACAGAGCCTCCAGTCGACTTTGTGGAAGACGTGGGCCTGTCTCTTGGGATCCTCATCCCACTCGTGCAGGAATTCAGCATCCTCACGGCTCAGCCCAGCACGCATGCGAGATTCGAGATGCTCGACTTCAGCCCAGGGGGCTTTCTCCTTTTCGAGGGTTACCTCATCCATGGACTTTCGATCTGCCATGTTGCTTGGAAGTAGGATATTCAGATGTCGGCTCCAAGACAATTCTCAGCGCGGACACCCAACAGGTGAGATCTGGGCCGGCCATCAAGCGCGTCTGGATTTATATGGCCGCGCCACGGTTGGAGCGCCCGAGGTGGTGGCCCTTGGTCGGGGCGGGTTTGATTGCCCACTTTTTCTCCATACCGGTGTTACACGGTAGTGCGTCCCTCGGGACGAGACCTCAGGGACCGAAACGTGGTCATCAAACGTGCCGTTGAAGGAAGCCCGGAGAAGCAGCGGCAGTGGTCCGCGCAAATGTTGGAGTCGAAGCGAGGGTTAGTCGATGGCGGAGAATGCGCGGAGATGCCAAGAGGAACCGGTCGGGGTAGCAAGACTTGATCGACACGAAGCATGCTTCGCCATCCTTCTTCCTTGGGACAAGTTGTCTTGGGAGTGCCTTGGCTGAGATCTTGGTATCCCAATCGGCGTGCAGAGGACAAGGGGTCCAGCGCGAGATGATGCGCAGTCAGAGTCCTTCCGGGCAAAGTGCGTGCACTCGTGGGTCGATTTCCCGCGCGATGCCATCCATCGGTCTTCGGCGCCGGCAGCCGTGAACCAGCAACATTCAACGTGCTCTGTGCATAAAGGGCATAAGCCGGGGAAGGAGAGATCACCTCCGCCGAAGGTGCCACAATCCTGCCGTGGAACAGTATCGCTAGTGGGGTGTTGTGGTCGTCGAGACCGATCCTTTTTCATGCTGAGCGAGGGGATGACCACCGCCACGGTAGCAGCATAGGTATGAACTGGTCGTGTGTGCTGCACCAAGCGTCATGCCACCACGACAGCATGCACTTCGGATGGGGATCTCTGATCTAGCTCCAGTAATACCGAGAACTTTTGTTCAGGTCATGTTCGGGTCTGGGACACAGTGGCTTTCCGAGTCCTAGTTGTACAACAGCTTCATGCGCATCTCAGCAGCGTGCCTAAGCTCAGAATGCCGAGTCTGATGACAATCATCGACGACGATTGCCGATTCAGCCAAGCTGGAAGCTTCATGTCGGGAACAAGACCGCCACAAAGCTTCTCAATACGAGGTCCCAAGCCTTCACCTGTCTACTGTTTACTGACTTGGGCAGACAGCAGGTAATTTGGGACTCCGCAAAGTCATTCAGAGACAGGTCTTGCCGGACTCACCCGCTGCCTTCTGCCACGGCTACCTGCCTCATTAGCACGACGGCGACACCAGGTCCGTTCGCGAGTGACTCGACAAATAGAAAGAGGTCAATTGAGCTATCTCAAGGGAGGCCAATCGAAGCCCTACAGGCATTCCACCATGTCCATCCGTAAAACTCCTTGCTAACGACAAAGGCCAGTGGTACAACGCTGAATGCCAAATCTGGGCAATGGTGCCACAGGCCGCTAATATTGCAACATTTTCTGTCCTTTTCCACTGTATGCTTGATTATCTCTGGCATACGCGCAATACCGGTCTTTGATCGCCACCACCTCGTACGTACCCTCGTCACTCGCGCGGACCCGTTTACTGAAGTCCGAGCTGCTGTCATGTCGCGTCTCGAGCACCCTTGGTCGCTGTCCTTTTTTGGTATTTTCCGAGCGTGTGTAGGTGAATTCGAAAGGTGGCGTTCCGGTAAATTCAAACTCGATTTCGACTTCGCCGCCCTCGTGAATATCGCTCACCAGTGTCCGTCCATGGGAAATTTTCACGCTTGGGTAGGGGTGGATGAACTTCGTGATGTCTTTTCTAGCCCGGCACTTGCCGCTCCCCATGGCGCTATCGCTGATACCAGTGACGGTGAATTCCCCAGGACTTTCAGCGATGCGTCGGAATTCACTGCCGGTGACCTTGGCCTTGCGCTCCCGATTTTGGAAGTTATAGAATACCTCAAAGGGTGCTTGACCAGAAAGGGAGAACGAAACGTGCTCCCCTACACAGTAATCGGCCGCCGACTCAAGTGGAATGATGGTAGGTGGTGACGACACCGCAATCTTAACAGCAGAGGTGTCCGACTCGTAGAAGTTCTGGCAACCGTTGGCATCCTTAATCGACCGAATTAACAGACTGTGCGTGCCGACTTCGAGACTAGAGCGCGAGACTGCCCAGTTGTAGGAGGTTGTTGGGATATCCCGGAGTCTCACAATCTCAGGTTTTGAAGCCACACCATAATGGCCAATTCCGAGCTCGACCGAGAATGGTGGAGTACCACTGAATGTGAGCGGGATGGTCTCCGACTCTGGACTGCCACTGAAACTTGGATCATCTTTACAGTAGCCATATGTTCTTCCAGGACTCGAGAATTTGGCCGTTGGGAGCGAGTGCACCTTCTGTTTGACCGCGATTTCGTGGAAATGGCGTTTGTCGTGTCCGTAGCGGTCGTCACTGAGCTCGTTGAAAACATAGGTGTACTCACCAGCTTTGCCCGTTTCCAGATTGATGGATGCAGAGTTGCCCGCGACCGACAGGGGCTTATTGCTGATAGCTGCAGCGCCTTTGACTGGATCAAACTTCTGTGAGTACTTCAAGCGATACGGAGGATTGCCTGCAAGACCCAGACCGAGACTCGAGTCGTCACCTTGACAGACAGCAGGCTTTCGGTAGGTATTGGATCGTTCGTCATGAGCCTCGTCATCCTGAATCTTCAGAACAGGTCGAGGAACGGCTGTGACTGTGAAGGTATTGGCTCTGGGGTTGACAAAGCCTGGGCACATGTCGCGAACAGACACAATCTCGTATGTTCCCGGACGGTCGACGGAGTAGACCCCGTTGGGTTGATTGAAAGTTTGCTCCACGGCGCGAGAACCATCTTCCAGATTCTTTATTTGAACCGACCATGGCGCAAAGCCCTTGAGCCGTAGTGGTATCTTGACAGCTTTACCATCCAAAGCACGGATAATTCGCTTGCCATCAATGTCGCCAAAAGCCGCCTGCGGCTGCTCAGGGCGAATACGCACGGTCCTCTCTTCCTGCAGAGAAGTCTTGCACTTCAGTCGATCCTGAACGCCTGTCAAGATTATGGTATAATCGCCTCCGTCAGATTGTTCGGCGAGCTCCACCAGGTTGAACTCTTCTCCTGAGTGCTTGTTGTGTTTTTTGCGTTTACCATTGTGCACAATTTCGTAGTCAAGATCCCAGGGACCTTCGCCAGCAAACCTGACTGGCAATTGTACCGACTGGCCAAAGCAAGCTTCCAGAAGCTTTTTGCCATCAGCAAAATTGGCTGTTGCTGGAGGCCGAATGTCCTGACGAAGAGTCATGTCTTTCTCCTTTAGAGAGACGTCGTTGTAGACCTCGTCAGAAATGCCGAGGAATCGGTAGACGTAAGACCCGGCAGACTTTTCTCTGAATTCAAGCTGTCCTCGCATGCTGTTGAATTCCTGGACTTTAGGGCTGGCCTTGCCGTTGTGCTCGACGCTGTAGCGGACTTTGAACGGTGGACTGCCCGTGAAGTCAAGGTTCACGGTCATGCCAATGGGGTTGCCAGCACATTTGTCGAAGATGTCCTCGGAGTCAATCGACATCATCGGTCGGGGAGGATTAAAGAGTGAACAGGACGATGGCTCCACAACTTCCCCTCGGCAGTATTGCGTCTCGATCGAATCAACCATGTACTTGCCTGCTTTGTTGATCCGTGGAAGGCTCGACTCCTTGGAATTCACCAAGGCGAACGACACGTCCTCGATTGTCGGGACTTGGCCTTCAGCATCAGCCATGAAGCTGTATTTGAGCTTCATAGGCCAGTCTGAAGGCGCAATCTGACCAACTGGGCGAATACGAACAGGTAAAGCAACGGTATCCTCCTTAGCGACTTTAAGGGGACGCTCGCTGCTGCAGCCGACCAAGTCGACGACTGGTCGATTATGAACAGTAAGACTACTTGACCGATGTGCTCGGCTCATCTCCTTGTCGTTGGTCAAGTCATAGTCGATTTTATTGCCCAGACCATCCTCGACATCTTCGACGATATAAGTCCAGCTACCATTCTTGTTCAAGGCTTCATTGATATCAAATGAAACGCTCGTCGACTGTGTCCAACCAAGCTGGGGACGGGAAGGGTCGAGAACGACATTACTGGTACCATCCGGGGCCAAATAATCATCCGCATTTGGCGCCTGTATACTCTGTACGATGGAGCTGAATTGCTGCTGATTGATTCTTTTGCTATACTTTACCTTGAAAGGTGGGACTCCATTGACACCAATGGAAGTCTTGCTGAGGTCTCCGGTGCAACCGTGTTCGGCGCTGGTGGTCACAAATGCGCTCGGACAGTCGACTACCGCCACATCGTAGCTCCGGCGGCGGACTTCCAGATTAGACTCGTCGATAACCTTCTCCAATCGGTATAGTCCTGTCTTGGAGACACGATGGCGTAGCATCCGTGGAGTGTTGGTCTCTGATTTCGGGTAGCCCTTGTCGGCGTGCTTCTTTAGAGCCCGAGCCTGTTTTGCTTTGATTTCTAACTTTTCTTCTTCCTCGCCACCGATGTCGTACCGGGTGAGCTCGATCAGAATCGGAGCAGTCTGATTGATTTGGATGGGAAGGTCAACAAATGGAGTCTCAGCATCAATGCAGAAGGATTGCTTCTGAGGGTTGAGGATCGCAGATCCCTCAGGCAGGATATGGATGATTTGTTTGCCGAGTATGATTGACGAGTTGTGTAGGATGTCAGCAGGTTTGACACCTTGTCCCGAGATTGAGAGTTCACGATCCCAAAACAGCTTCGCCAGGCCGCTAACCCACCAGAACAATGGTATGGGAATGTGATACATCAGGAATGCATTCGCGATGACATGAAGAACGAACAACACAACGGTTGTTGTGAAGGAAAACTCCAGCCACGGAATCTGCAGCCAGCTCAGCACAATTAGAAAGGCGGCATCCGTACCACACCACTGCATGAAGTACCATGTTGAGTCGAGATCTCCCGAGACGTAGTATGCATTGTAGAGGCGCCACGCTCCCAGCAAAACGTAGAATGCTACTACGTAGAAACGCTGAGTCGGCGCATCGAGAACATCGAAAGGTATCAGGCGATCATCCTTTTTCTTCTCGCTCTGTGCAAGTACTCTGATCGGCTTTGCGGCTGGTGAGGTTCGATCGAAAGGCGAAGAAGATTGCGTAGATCCATAGCTCGTTCGATTACTGCTCGTCGCAGTTCTAGAGCGAGCTCCAGTTCGGGGCGTGTTTGGAAAGGCCGACCGCAGTCGGGGTGTTTCGTTCATTGCGACATATGCCCGCCGGGTTGGGCGAACGCCGTGGTGTACTTGCGGCCACAAGTCTCTGAGCCCGGCGTCTCGGCTTTATCTGGTAGGTTGATGTTTGAACACGGGTCCGCGATCGCAAGCTTGTCGCTGAAGCGTGTGGTCGTACGGAAAAGACGTTGGGAAGGCGTTGTAGGGATTGTTGTCGCAGCTGCGAACTTTTCGTAGCGTGAACTTCGAGCGCGCCGGCTTCACGCGTTACCAGAGTCTTGGCGAAGAGCGGCGTCACGTCACTGCCAAGGTGTATATGCGAGGCTGGAACTTCGACTCAACGAACTCGACGAATCCCTCCATCTTAAGCATGTACAAGTGCCATTGAGTCTAGCAATAAGAATGCACTGCTGCACTTTGCTCAACTTTCTCTGGAGCATACTGAGCTCATGTGACCTGTCATTGTACTTCGCGCTCTCCCAAAGCCCAGCCACAGTAGCCTCCCCAAATAGTGAGCAGCATTCTAGAGTGGTACCTTGGTCTGTACACCATAGAATTGTTTGCTACAAGGCTGAGAAGCACTCATCAGCCTGTCAACTGGGTATCAGACTCAGCTTTGATTTGTGCTCCAACATCTTTGGGACAAACACAGAGATATTCACTTGTCACTTGTCACGTGGGCATCGTTTTCTTACCCTCCTGCGCTCCTGCGCTCCAATACGTTCTACACCTTTGCACACTTGACCTGGTTAATTAAATAAACGGTGCGCAATATGCCGCCGTGCTTAACGGCTTCTCAGCAATCTTCAAGCACGCCGCCTACAAGCTGGGCTGATGCAGCGGCCACAGCAGATGACCCGCTTCCAAGCGAGCCCATGAATGGCGAGACTTTTGAAAATTGGACAGGATGGGCTGAACTAGAGAACGACCCAGCCATCTTCTCCACCCTACTCAGAGAATGGGGGGTTCCGAGCGTGCGGATACAAGAGGTTTTCGAGCTGGACAGTTTATTTGATATGCCGCCAGACAACATCTTTGGCCTTGTTCTCCTCTCGCGATGGACGGCACCAGAAGAAGAAAACAAGCACCAGCTTACCACGGCACCTTCAGATCTGTGGTTTGCCAACCAGGTTCGTTCTGCCAGACTCGCCTTTGTGCTCCAACTAATGTTTCATGAAGATTTCGTCCTACTCATGTGCCTCTGTGGCAATCATGAACATCATCAACAATCATCCGAGCATCAATCTTGGGCCTGAACTCAATGCTTTCCGCAACCAAACAAAAAATATGTCTCCAAAAGATCGTGGACTGGCCCTCGATTCCTTCGAGCATGTGCGTGAGAAGCATAACTCGTTTGCAACGTAAGTATCATCCTAATCGCTACCGACCTTAATAACTGACCTGGAGGCAGAGCCATAGACAAGCTGACGGTTGACATGTCTCTCAAAGATGACGTGCTCAAGTACGAGCGCAAGAAGAGGGTGGAGGAAACAGCTACGACAAATGGGAAGCGCCGCAAGCGCAGAAAAATCACCATGGAGCACGACGACCAAGTGAACGGCTTTCACTTTATTGCTTACGCTCCAGTCCTCGCTTCAGCCTGGAAAATGGACGGGATGGAACCGCTGCCGCGCAAGATTGCAGGTACAACGGCTGAGGGGAGCTGGCTGTTCGCTGCTGCCAGTGATATCCAGAGTCAGATGGCCTCCGCGATCGCGGATGAGATGGAATTCTCGGTATTGTCTCTAGTTCGGCGAACAGATACAGAGGATCAGAGCGCCGAGGCGGCGGACATGCAACTGGCTCGAGAAGACTGGGGTCCGTTTATCTCGCATCTGGTGCAGCTGCATGCAGAGAAAGGCGACATCCAAGACCTGATGAGGTGATACTGTTGCAGTCAGAACATTGGTGTTAGAAACGACAGAATTCAGCCTTGCGTGCGGAAGCTTCAGCCTCGTCAATTCTATGACGTTCTCCATTCGCTGTGTTCGCCTCCGTCGATATCGGAGTAATCTGATCATCAGACTTCGTTTTCTCTCTTGTAACCTCGTAGAATGGATGTTGACCGAACATGGCAGCTTCGCTTGAGTCAAAGCTTCTCGGACTTCCCGATGAACTGCTCCGGGCTGTGTTGGACCATATTGGCCCACTGAGCCTCGCCTCGGTTCAGAGCACTTGCCGGCGATTAAATGCAGTTGGCGCGGATCCTGGATTGTGGGAGCATGCTTGCCTAACCTTTTTCACGTGGTGGGATAAGCACCATGATCTTGAGAACAAGCGGAAAGACCCTTCGTTCAAGGGCTGGAAGCAGCTCTTCGCGGATCGATGGGCTTCCTCCCAACGCACAGACAGAGCATTATCGGATCTGATCGCTCGGGAAACTAATCGTCTGGACCGCGTCGCCGACATTCTGAATGCTGGATACGATGCAAAAGATGTGCTTAGTAGTGCGTTCTACAATTCAGCCAACACCGGCATGCACTTGGCGCAGCGGTATTGGAGTCACGCTGCTCTGGGACATCTCCACCGATACATGGCTTGCGAGGAGTGGGCGTATCTGAAGCACCGGCCAGAAACACCGAACGCCACCGAACGTTCTTTCGCAGCTCTGGACATGTTTGTGCTCGGCGAGCGCCGAGAGGGCGACATCGATGATATCTTCGCCATGCTTGATTCGTATGCTGCCTCCATTCGCGATGCCAATCCGGCAATTGACAGCTTCACGCCTCGCCAAAAGGCCATCACGATTGCTGCTCATCTATTAGAACACAACTGGACTGGCATCTCCGACAGCCGCAATTACCACTCGCTCGACCACATGTTCCTGGGCGTCGCCCTGTTCAGCAGCAATCGCAACTCGGTTCCTCTCATCTCTGCCATCATCTATTGCTATGTGGTGCGGCAATTTAGCCTCGAAGCGCAACCTATCTCTTATCCCTTCCACGTACACGCCCTTGTCACTCTCCCCTCCGGCGCCACGACCGACTTTGATGGACAACCCCTTCCTTCCACCACCGAACCCTTCTCCGAGCACACCCATCTGTACATGGACCCATTCAATACCTCCGACCCGATCCCAGCCTCACACCTCACGAGCCAACTCCGCTTCATAGCCCCAACCTCGACCCCAAACCAAATAAACTCCTACCTCTCGCCCGCCTCGCCTCGCGACCTCACCATCCGCGCCGCACACAACATCCTCGCCGCGCCCTCCCACTACGCCGGCCCCCCTCTCTTCCCCATCGACATCAACGCCGCCGCCTTCGGCGCCCTCCTCGCCCTAATCCTGATCCCGCCCGCTCCACACCCCGCCCAGATCCAGCACCACCTCTCCGTCGTAGCGCAACACTTCGCCTTCCACTTCGACCACGACGTCCGGCTTTTCATGCACCACGTTCTGCCCGCCGCCTCCAGTATCCCCAACGCCCAAGCCTATGCCACGCTAGTCGAGCGCCTGCACGCCCGCGACGCCACACCCAAGACGCCCAAGCGGCGTGATGCCCCCGAGAACAGTCCCGTCAAGTACGCCGTCGGCCAGGTGTTTCGCCACCGCATACGCAGCTACCTCGCCGTCGTCTATGGCTGGGACGGCTGGTGCCGCATGGACGAGCAGTGGATCGTGCAGAACAGCGTGGATCGCCTGGCGAGGGGGAGGGCTCAGCCGTTCTACAATGTCCTGTAAGTGTTGTTGGGTAAACTCTGGATTCGTTGTTCCGTTCTGGTGCCTTTTCACAGGGACCTGTCTCGTGCTAACGCGTTTTAAATCAGGGCCGAAGACGAAAGTACGAGGTATGTGGCGGAGGAGAATGTCATGCTGCTGACCAAGGAGGAGCTGGCGGAGTTGGGCCTCGTGTATGACCGCTTTCCCATGGAGATTGGGCTATGGTTCCGGCGCTACGACGCCGAGGCGGGGAGGTTCGTGAGTAATGTTAGGGAGGAGTATCCGGATGATTGAAAAGGTCTGTTGTGCCAGCTCTTGAAGATACATATGCAGGTCCCGTCGGCAAAAAAAAAAAAGCAATCTAATCGAAGCATTGCTGGTGAATGCAAGCCGAGAGTCATGTTCGCAGGTCAACATCCGTCCCATCGAGCTTATTGGCGTCTTAGGCTTCAGCACTGCTCGAGGCTGCGTTTCCTTCTTTATCCCACCACAACCCCGGCGCTCCTCTTCAAGCCCACCTTCTCCAGAAATCTCTGAAACTGTTCGTCGTGCAGCCCTTCCAAACCGCCTTCTTCGATTTGCACGAGCACAGGCTTTCCGCTTATCTCGACTCCGTTGGAGCTCCACAAGGCCTCGAGGCACTCAACTATGCTAGCCTTGGTCTTTGCCCACGGATACTTCTGTCTCAGCCGCGGCAGGCGCGTTTGGTAGCTGGCTGCCAGCACGGAAGCACCATTGGGATCGTCTTTTCGTAAAGACCCGAGTGGCGGAAGCATGAATTCGGACAGGTATTCGTGGCGCCATCTGTCCCACTCCTCGGTTTGATCTTCGAACATCTCATTCAACGCGCGTTGTTCACTCTTGTTGGCCGCATCGAATGGCACAGAGACGTCGGGATTGGAGCTTGCAGGCTCAGAGAGTGGGCTGGTCCTGTACTGGATTGAATCTGCATCGAAAACATGGTCTGGAAGATGTCGGAATGCGAAGCAGTCCAGAACCCCGGGCTGTACTGGGCCGTGGGACTCTTCCCCGATAGTTTCGGTAGGCGCGACTTCAGAGGGCAGGCTTGAATTTTGGACTGCCTCTAGGGCAGCATGAACCATCAGCTCACAAGCCGGCCGCATCCAGTGTTCGCTGACGTGCTTCTCGTCCAGTGCGCGAACGAGCTGCGCAGATAAGATCATGAATCTGTTGAGCACGCTGAAGACAGGAAATGTCCTCGCGCGCAATGACAGCATTTGTGGTGCTTCGTCTCGGACCCAGCCATAGAACAGAAAGCCCTCAATCGTCTTCACAGACTGCCAGGTGTGCTCGTCACGGAATGTGCCGCCGCAGAGTACTTTGTAATCCTTCATGTCGTAGTTGGTGGTGAACATACGGTAACGCAAGTAGTCTTTGGCCTCCTCGAGAGCATTCAGCTTCAGCTTTTTGATAGACTCATCCTGACTTTTGACTGCTGCGTCGGGTAGCTCATGACCAATTGCTCTCAACAGAACAAGCGTTTCAAGGAGAATTATGTTGAACCGTGTTCCAGGCCCATGCTCGTAGCCCGAATGCATTGACTGTAGTTGCTGTAACGAACCTGGACACATCAATCATCACGTCAATCGCTCTGAGTAGAGACACGCGTCCAATGATGGGGAAAATTTACCTTGAAATATCTCAAGGAGACGCTGCGCCGTCTCCTCTGGCTCGATCAACGTGTCGTCACGTAGTATGGTCCCACTGGATCCATTCGTCCCTGACGGCTTCAGAGAACGAAACTGAGCTTTGGTCGCCTGATACAGCAGATATTCAAAGCTCATGACATCAACGTCCAGTTGCAGGTCTGGATCGGCGTATCGTGTGTCGGCCATGCTCGCAGGAGCGGTAAATGTGAATCTCGACCGAGCGCATTTGGTCACTGCGTAAGCCTGAGTAGATCTGTCTTCTAATGGCCGACCCTCCAGTCACTCAATACATGATCTGCCTGTGGTGAGACTTCGGCATCAGTATCAGCATGTTCGTCACTGGCCGTTCCCTTGCTATAGCATGCGTCAACCAGAGGAAAGAAGATGGATTTGAATCAATTTGAGATGTGTAAGGTGCAGTTTGTGTAGGAAGCTAAATGCATATCGGCGGTAAGTTTCCCCGCACACCACAAACAGGGCAACAAGGCAGCCAGCAACCGTTCATGCTTATTTGGAAGTGGTGAAACTGTTCTTCGCTTGTTCGCAACAAGATTCTATGCTTCTATATTTTACCTGGCCTAATCATGGTTCCGATGCCAACGCTATGCAATACGAGCAGCACATTCATAATCTCGTAAATCGTCCTGTCGTCTGGAGTCATGCCTATCGCTTCTTGCCTTTACCTCCCTTCGAGCCCTTCGCCTGTGGCAGTGGTGCTGCATGACCTGGATTGTCCTTCAAATGCTTGAACAGTTGATTCTTTGTAGGAAAATCGTTCCCGCATCTTTGGCAGCGGAATTCGGATGCTGCAGCTTGTGCGGAACCGGCGGCCTGTTGAGCCGCTTTCTTTGCCCGCTTCTGCTTCGCCTTTCCCATTTTGGGACCGGGTGTACCCTCTGTATCTGTCGTTGCGGGAGTGCCTTCAAGACTTGCATCGGCGAGCTTCGCAGTCAGACTCTCTGGCTCCCCTCCTGCTAGCCGCTCTGCTATTGTCTCTCGTGAAACATAATCGTCATCGTCATCTGATGAATCATCCTCTTCTGCTGTAGAAGGCGGAGGCGAGTTCCCATTACGTTCTGCCTTCACATGTTCTCTCCGGTCTGGTTCGACCGTTTGTGCTCCCTCGTTAAGACCAGACTTTGGGCTGCCGGAAACAACATCTTCGTGGTGATGATCGCTGTCCGCGCCATCAGGCGCCTCGCTCTCAAGTTGCTTGTCGGTCTGTAGCTCGAGATCTTGAATTTTCATATCCCTCCTTAATTCTTTTAGTAGCTTGGTGTGTTTCTTGCTTTTCTCGTGAGCCTGGAATTGAGCTTCGCTTTTAAAGATTTTGTCACAGACAACGCACTCGTATTCGTGTTCTTCAACTTCAGACTCGCTGGAGAAGCTGCCTTCATACTCGTCTTTATCTCGAGACTGTGCCCAGTCGGGAACAGCCGTGAAGTCACTCAATGCATGTCGTAGTTGCGCATCTCGTTGCGCTCTTGATCTCGCTGCTTGTGCTGCAGCGGCGTCTCGCAAGACTTTCTGCCGCTCGGCCTCCGATTTCTGGTTGTTCTGTACGCGAGGGTCTCTCTTGCGCACAAAGGCGACTAGTGATCGGACCGAGTCGTTGTACTCCTGAATCGCCTCATCGCGCAGCTTCTTATTCTCTTTCTCCATCAAGCGTCGTATCCGACGGTCAGGTGCCTCTGACAGCCGGTATTGGTCTTTCCATGCAAAGCTCTTCTTCGTCGCGAATCCAGTCCATGCAGAGTAAAATGGTCGCACGATACCCTCGTATTGATCATCCTTGTAGCCAAAATCGGGATAGTCCATGGGGTCTTCGTTCTCCCATTGACAAGCAATGTCTTCCTCTTTCGCCAACTGGTTGAAAAAGCTATGGAGACCGCCATAGAAGCCATTCAGGCCGTTGCTGAACTCCAAACGACCGTTGAATTTGAGCATCAATTGCTGGACCTCAACTGCGGTCGTCATACGAATGTTGTAGGAAAATTCTTCACCATCTGCGCCGGCTTGGTCGCCACGTAGTAATATATCTCTGTGCGAATCATACCAGGCTCGTTCTTGCGGGTCGGAGAGCACTTCGTAGGCGGTCTGGACTTCGGCGAACAGTCTTGTAGCCTCGTCGACATTGCCATAGTTTCGGTCGGGGTGTAGCTCGAGGGCTTTCCGTCTGTATGCCTTCTTCAGCTCGTCATCGGTCGCGGCTTTTTCGACCCCAAGAAGATCATAGTAGTCGGCTTTGGCAGGCGGATCCTCTGCTGTCGGCTTGTCCGTCGAGTACGAGTGGCCCATGTTGTTCCCTCCAGATAGTCGAGGCTATAACGCCGTAGACCTTTTGGCGCACAACGGTGGCGGTCCATGCATCCCCTGCACGCAGTCGCCAATGCGTTGCGATTACGAGCAAAGTCGGTCAAGCCACACACCTTTAGTCAAGGAAAAGCAAAAGAACTCATGCAAAAGATTTGCATCATCGGGTCGCGTGGCCAGACGCCCGTGACTCAATGGCGACACGGCAGATTAAGTTACAGGTTTTACCGTATCAGGCAAGCGTGAAATACAGTTTGAAAACCGGGCAAGAGGGCAGCCTCGAGGGCCAGTCAGCCGCCCACGTCAGCCTATGGGCACCTACGATTCGCGGTACAGTACGCCGCGAAACGATGTTCTAGAAGGCCGCTTTCAGTCTCCAAAAGACTTTTCATAAACCCCATGATTCCCGTGATGGCGTTTTAGCACGTCCTTTTGCCATCTTGCTCTCAAATGTCACACAATGCGGGCGGTTCCCACGTCGTGATGCTCGGTATTGAATTGACAAGCTAGCGACAAACTCGTGAACAACAGAGCGATCGGCACTATGAAGTTCGGTCAAGATTTCCAAGCAGCCTTGCGGCGAGAGGAGTTCCCTAGAGAGTGGATCGACTCCGCAATATCTTACAAGAAGCTCAAAAAATGCATTAAACGAGTGCAGAACGAGCTTTTGAGCCTTGGACTCGATCAGGAGACTCTCAATGCTCTGTGGCAACATGTCAATACCCAGGGCGAGCTCGCAGAAGGGGACACCAGTGCCCACCGAATGCTGCGATATACCATCAATGGCAGTGAGCAAGTCAAGTTTACGCCAAAACTGACCGTGGCTATCGACCCGCGGGATGGCTCACCAATGGACGCTTGGCTAAGTCCGGAGACACGCCGTCACCTCAGGCGTTTCTCGCGAAACTCGAGACCAAGTATCAGCGAAGAGTCGAGCCAAGAAGCACCTAAAAGGAGGCGCACAGTTTGCGAACGGCAGAAGGACCAAGACCTATCGAATGCTAGCCTGCCGCAAGCACAGGATGCCACAGCCGCTGACACCGAAACAGGGGACACCGCTGAAGCATCGGCAAATGAGCCCGATGCCGAGCCAGAAGATGTAGAGACGATTGAGATCCCTCTAACATCAGATTCTGAATTCTTTCAGATCCTCCGGCGAGAGTTGAAGACTCTTGAAGATCTACAGGCCAAGGAGCAACGAGATATCAGCGGACAGATTACGTTGCTGGCCACTGAACTGCAGAACCTGAAGCTTTCGAAGAAGAAACGGTCGAAGCAAGAGGTCGAGGCATGGCGCAAACTCTTTGAACTTTACACCGACTCTGAAATATTTCGCTCGTCCCACGAAATCGATGCTGGCGCACGAGATGTCTCTCTCGCTCAAGCTCAGCTGAAAAACTTCACCAAATCGGTGGTCGACCAGCGCGTAAAGCGGCTCTTGACAACAAAAGAGGGCAATGCAGCCATGGATCGCTTTCTGAAGATCAACGTGGACCTCTTGCGACTGATGAGATTCCAGGAAATGAACCGACTTGCACTCACCAAGATCATGAAGAAATTCGACAAGCGGACCGCTCTACATGCCCGTGCAGCTGTCCCTGACTCCCTAAAAAACGGTTCAGCCGTTTCACAGGACTTGGCGAAGGCGACGTGCTACACTATCGCCAATGAGCTGTTGAGCGTGATTCCCCAGATCAACGACTACCTGTGTCCGATCTGCTTCAGCATTACTTACAAACCGGTGCGGCTAGCATGCAACCATATCTTTTGCATACGCTGTTTGATCATCATGCAGCGGGAGGAACAAGGCCACTGTCCCTTGTGTCGGGAGGAATGCGTCATGCAAGCTAACAGCGGTAAGTCATCTTGTGATGTCCACGCAAGCACCCACTAATACGTACGTGTCAGACAACGTCGATGCGGAATTGATGAAGTTTCTCGAGAAGAACTTCAAGGCCGAGGTCAAGGAGAAGCAGAGAGCCAATGAGCTAGCGGCTGCGCTTGATCGATTCGGCGAGCCGTATCTCGAGTCGCCGAAGTGTGCCGTCATGTAGTTTGTGATGTGCCTATGGTAGATGGAGCATTCATAATACAGCTAGGGGGGACGCTGCCCAAAGAGCGGTATCTTGGCAAAGTGGATCCGCCACTTCTTTGGATCAACCTCATTTCAACCTTGTGCTGTCTTCAGACCACCTACACCACCTTTCCCATCATCTCATCTGTTCAATAAAACCACAGCTCAGCTGTGAACTAGAAGTAGTAACGTTCAACACGGCAACCTGCAGAGGTCGCACAGTCATCAGCCGAATAGGGAGTCAATCAAGTCCTCATCTTCTTTAGTGAGTAGCCCATAGTCTTGGTCTAGGTCGACCTCAATGATGAAGTCTCCCTGGTCATCTCGGCTACCCTGATCCTGCGCTGCACCCTCAGCCTTCTCGGCTCCGTTGATCTCCTGTACCGCCCTCTCCGGCAAGTCTGCCTTCTTCCTAGTCAGCTCGATCGGAACACACCGCTCTGGGAACCACTCCTCGGTCGAGGACACCGTTGGCAGCTCCATCTCTCCAACAAAATAATTCTTTTCAGCCTCAGCTTCCTTCCAGACGTGCCTGTTGGGCGCAACGACTCCCTTATTGCCCAGACGAATGTACGAGGCCTTGGTCCAGTTGCCGGTGCCCTTCAGCACCTCATCTTCTTCAGCTTGCAGCTCGAGCATGGCACCGGTGTTGGTGCGGAGGTGAATTTCGCCTTTGAGAACGCTCTGGTCGCCTTCAACCACGTTGCGCTGGTACCAGCCGTTGTAGCCGACGGTATCGAACCAGCGGACAGTCATGTACTTGGTCTTGCGAAGGCCGGGGACTTTGGCAGTAGTCTCTTGCAAGAAGGCGCGGGGAGCAGTCAGCTCTTCGCCGAGAATCGAATGTCGTCGGGCAGTGGGCAGTGCGGCCTTGATATTGTCGAAGAACTTTTCGAAGGTGGCAGCGGCGGGAACGGCAACGACATCGGTGGCCCAGTGGTTCTCAAAGATGATGCGTACCTCAATGTCGACAGTGCGGTCTGATTGCTTGCGCTTGCCGAGAACGGAGGAAGCAGTGGGCGCCATGCTTGCAGGTGCGGCCGGCAATCGTGGTGGTGCGGAGTGGTAGGAAGAATTGGTCGTTGGTCAGGTTGCGCGGATGCGAAGAGTAATGAATGCCTTGGCAAAGGAAGCAGGAGGGGCGTGGGTAAGTGAAAACTGTTGCGGAGCTAACGATTGTACAAGTATTAGGTTCCCGGAATCCTTTCAACAATCGACCACAAACTGCGGTTGCGGTTGGTGACTTAAGTTGCAGCGGGCCCAGGGCCAGAACGTCTCACCTTCGCGGAGGGGGCGACTGAGGACCAAAGCAGACCTACGGTCCATCTACAATTGACACGCAAGAACTATTAAACCTTCGTGAAGCGTTTGACTTGGGCTAGCGGCCGACTGTTTTTGCATGCCTTTTGGTGTTTGCAATTCGATTTTGGTGCCATTTATTGTGCGGCAGTGTTGTACTCACAGCACTGCCTGTCTATCTACCTTGACCCCCGAGGTCACTGACTATCGCCAATGGGAGAGGTCAATAGCTGAATTTTCCAGCTTGCCAACTTGATGCAGAGGCGGCCTTCCGGTACATCTGTCAACATTCATTTTGCATGACCCATCTCCTACTACGGAGCTCTCCTGGTTCCTTGGTAACGGTCTCCAGCTTATCAACTGGATAGACAGAGCGGCTTCGGCATCTTGTTATCACCCACTTCCGACATGGCCGATTTCATGCTACGGTGCCTCCTTAGCCTGAAGAGGAAGACCACACTGTGGCTGCCATCTACGTCATGCGGCCTTGCCATCTGCCTATTTTGAACTGCGGAGGCCTCGGGAATTCATTTTCCGAGTATGTGTTGATTGTACAAAGTCCTTGACATATCAAAGTTATGTTCTAAGTCTAGGCTACCTTGGATTCCGGTACTTCGGGCTGCAGTTCGCTGGTGATATTCTTCTCGTCCTTCCAGGCAAAAGAGACATATTTGGTATGACTGCCACGTGCGACAATCTCGTTATCCTTGTTGATGAACTTCACAGAGGTGAAAGCCAACGTCTTGCCAACTATCTACGTGTCAGTGAGACAACGACCGGGGAACAAAATAGCCTTACATTTATCACAAACAACCTCGCCCCTGATAAGATCGCCGAGTTTCCCGCCTGAATTGAGATATGTGACATTGATATCGGTTGAGACGCCAGTGGAATACAGTCCTCGCGATGCGAGTGCGAGAGATCCGCTTGTGTCGACCATCGCTGCTAACGTAGCCCCATGTAATATGCCAAGCCTATTGGTATGCTGCTTCTCAATAGGGAGCTCGAAGTTGACTTTGCCCGGCACTGCTGCCGTGATTCGCATCTGGGTTGATATCATCAGCCACCGTCGTCTTCAGCAGATCACAGTAGTGCACTTACACCGCTGATCAACCTGTGAACAAAGAGTGAGCTCGTGATACAGGATATCCAGTCAGAAACTTACCTCGGTTCCACTCCAGACGTTGCCAGGAATGAATCCCATACCTGCCATGGTCAGCACCTGAATGAGCTTGCTTCAGGCTTCCATACCGAGCGCACGAACTTCAACGCGGCCATCTCCTGGCCGGTACGTGCAGTAGCTTGGGTTCAGCGATCGGATCAGGCTTCGGAGCAAAACTCACGACGACCAACGACCGCGAGACAGGGAGAAGCTGTATTTCTCTGGCACGAGACGAGGTTCTTACAGCCCCTGTGAGTAGCAACGGGCAAGAGTAGGGTAATCAAGATGCTGCCAGATAGGAGAACAAGCAAGCCGGTTCCTGCTTGATGTGCAAGTCCGCCAAGGATTTAAAGGAACTAAACTCCGAGCTTGACCCACTGATCAACTTCACCTTGTATCTGCCTGTCCACTCTATCCCTGCTTCTTTGGTGCCATCATTCTCGATCCATCAATCCAGCACGTCAGACAGTCCGCTCGGGGTGCGCTTCCTCGACTAGAACTTGGAAATGGCGGAAGGTCTGCAGTCGTGGGAGTTTCTGGAGACTCTGCCAGGAACCCAATTCTACCGGCTGTATCGAAGCCCGGCAGCCGCCCTCGCCATTTTCAGGAAACGACTGTCTCACCTAGCGAAGTCCTTTGTTATGGCTATGCTTTATATGCCCTCGCCTCTCCCTCTCAAACACTTTGAGTTGATGGTTAAAGACGACAGCCGAAAGGAGTGTGAAAGTGCCATCGATCTACTCTCGAGATACCATATCTTCAAAGAAGTCAGGTCAAGCTCAGGTCGTGGTTACACGCTGACTCCGGACTTTGCTAAATCACTCCGAAGCGCTCTTACTGGAGTCGACAAAGGGTACTCTTTTGGCGACATCACCAATGTTCCCCGAAGCGAACGCGTGACCATTGACTTCCTCGATGATTATGCCCGCCGCCAGTGGGAAGGAATATTGGGATACATGGTTAGCTCCTCGGAGAACCCCATCGAAAGTTCTGAACCTTTGAATCGACCGTCGCCGCAGATCATCGAACTTTTGAGGTTCGGGGGATTGGTAGCAGGCTCAAAAGTCACTCCTGACATCACCAAGGAGGGCTTCTCCTTCGTTCTGCAGGACCTCAACACTCAAATATGGTCATTATTGTTCTTATACGCAGACACTGCCGAGCAGTTCCAGTTGGACACCATCGATGTGCTGTCGTTCCTGCTGCACGTCTCATCACTTGAGCTGGGAGAGGCTTATTCCACAACTACTTTGGACGAAACCCAGCAAAAATGCCTCGATGATCTTCAATCGTCCGGCATCGTCTATATGCCCAGGTACAGTGATGGAAACCGGGCAGCTTATTTCTATCCCACTCGTCTGGCCACGACCTTGACGTCTGATTCTTCCAACACAATCTCAGCGACCAATGCTACCTTAGGTTCTTCGTTATCGTCTTCGGCTCCCGGTCAAGGATTCATCATCATCGAGACGAATTACCGCGTCTATGCATACACTAATTCACCACTCCAAATCGCGCTCCTTGGTCAGTTCGTTCGGCTTCGATCGCGCCATGCCAACCTTGTCACGGGCAAGATGACGAAAGGTTCCATCCAGAGGGCTATCCATAGAGGCATCACAGCTGAACAAATTATCTCCTACCTGTCGTCTCACGCACATCCGCAGATGCGCAAGAGAGCACAGGCGGAACAAGCTATAATGAGAGCCCGCAACATGGATGGAGGCAGAACTGTGCCTGTCGTGCCGCCGACCATTTTGGACCAGATCCACCTGTGGGAGATTGAACGAGAGCGTATGACAGCCACAGTCGGATTCATGATGCGAGACTTTGACAAAGACGACGAGTATCGGGCAGCCGTGCGATATGCAGACGAGATCGGCGTTCTCGTCTGGAAATCTGACAAGAAGAGGATGTTCTTCGTGAGCCGTCTAGACCAAGTCCGAGCATTTCTTTCGGAGAGACGGAGATGATGAAGCTTGAGACAGTGTGGGACACGCAATACCGCGTATCTTATTAATCGACTCGCACTATGCACTGTTGTACGCCAATCGCTATGCTAGAAACCCACTGATGCAACGAGACAGCGATTGAAATCTGAACTACACGCTCGAAGGCAGTCTTTCGCGGGGCGAAGAAACTATCACCCGTTCATCGATGTGCACATTGTCGAGTCTCGAGCAGCACGCAGTCAACCGCGATGTCTATCTTTGGCTACTGCTTTCGCCATGTTACTGGTTGCCGGCTTCGTGGTGCTCAGAGAGCACTGCGGCTTCTCCGGGACACCTATCTGATGCCGCGAGTCAGCCACGTTTGTTGTGGATGGTTGTTGTCGCTGGTTGGACCCGCGAGACGTGTCGGGTGAAGCCTCGCGCTCATCTGGTCGTTGCTCGTTGATGCCGGCATGCCGCGATGGGGCACTTGTGGCCGCACTGGGCGATCGACGACGTCGTCTTCGGGGCTTCGTTTCCGATACAGTCGCGCCCTTGTTCCTCCTATCTTCCCAGGCGTCAGACTCGCTGTATGAATACGGCTCCCGACGATATTCGCGCGATTGTCGTTCCTTCTCCCAGGCGCGGGAGTCTTCAATAATGTCGCGGCATTCGGCGACACTGAGTGTTTTCCTCGCGCTAATGGTGTAGCCAGCCTTAGTCGCATCGGCTGGACTTTGCGACGGCTTAATGGTCGCAGTATTGTCCACATATTCTCTGAGATATGTGGCGAGCGCGGTCAAATCAATGTTGGCCGACGGAATCCAGCATTGGATGTGGACGAGATCGGACTCGTCGCTCTCGTAGTCTACGTCTTCGTCGGGATCCTGTCGTCTGTTTTGATAACGGTTCCGCTCGGGCATCCTTGCCACGCCCTGCTATCAGGAGAGCGCAGAGTATTGAAAAAGACTGGAACAGCGTGGCGGCTTTGCGGCGTCATAGGGCCTCGTAACGAGAAATGGAAGTCATCAACCGCAACGAGAATTGCATCATTAGGAATGATAAATCGGAATCCTCAAAGCCCACCATGTGATGCAGGAGAAAGTTCCGTTGCCGTTAGGGTCCCTCTGAGAGAACACCCACCTAAGGTGGCATGTGGCCCTCTGACGGGTCCTGCAGTAGTCGGCCAGCTGCGAGTCAACAGAGGAGGGGCATCTGGGCGGAAGAACTGAAATAGGCGAAAGTCCCGCTAGGCGAGCCAACCGCGGTTTCTTTCGCCACAGCCTAGGAGGTCGAGTCTGCGGGTACCTCTGTTAGACCTGGGCCGCCTTGACAAGGCGTCGAACCAATACCAACGAGTTTCTATCAAGGGGTTTGTCCTGTTGAATGACAAGAGTGCCTAGCCGTTCAGAGATCGGCAGGGCACACGACCAGGTTCTTGTACCGCCTGGTCTCGGAACACCACGTCCGTACATTTACTTTGAGGAACTATTTCGTCCTTTCTACAACCAACACCAGCACAGTACATCTCTATCCAGAGTTCGACCTGGCCACCAACAGTTTGGCCACCCATTACCACGTCTGCACTAGCTGCAGCGACACCTGTTATCGGGCACTCGACGTCATCCCTACTCAGCCAATCTACAGGATGACTGACAAAAGTCTTCTACGATATTGATGTACCGAAAAGATGACCTGCAATCGTGGCTGACCGCCCTTGCAAAACAGACGCTGCTGGCGGTGCGAAAGGGCGTCTCCGTTGCAGATCCGAGGTCGCTGTTCTCTCCATTACAACCCAACACCCAATCAGAGCCCCCAAAATCTCGCAAATGCGGCAAATAGTGGGTTCTAATTGGCGCTGATCGTCTTAGCGTTGAGCCTCCGTGCGGAGAGATGCATTTTTCTTCACGGATGGCATTCTACTCTGGACCCCAGCCAGAGATCTTCTCACGGATATATTCCTACGCGATCGTTGAATTCTTATCCAAGGGAGCGAAGCAGACTTACTACTTAGTTCAGCCCAGCTGCTGATTAGCGTGCCCCAACACTGTTTCCGCTCAATCCACTCACTACCACGCGGACATCAAATGGGCCAAACGGTTGTTGGAGAACATCAAGATCCACCAGGTTGACCCGCCATATCGCAGGCACCAGGGCCTCGCACCCATTTCAACGACTGAACACCATGGACTCATCATTAGCCAGATCTGTGACGGCTACAGACGTCGAGACTGCTCCTGCTCGGCAGCATGCGTATCCAGCTCAAGATCCTGAGAAGCAGGTAGTCAGAACTGCAACTCGTGGCTCAAACGCCAGCGTCGTGACAAGACGTGTGCTTTCTCGCTTCCGCACCGCCGACTCCATCCCTCTGACACCCCCGCCAGATGGAGGTGTCCAAGCGTGGTTGATGGCCTTCATGGCATGTCTCGTGAACTTCAACACTTGGGGCTATGCTAACACCTTTGGCGTCTTTCAAACCTACTATGTCAACGTCATGGATATCGGAGAGCCATCGGCAGTATCTTGGATAGGGTCGTTGCACGTCTTCCTGGTGTTCGCCATCGGCACCTTCTCTGGGAGGGCAACAGATGCGGGCTACTTTCATCTGACTTTCTGGACCGGGTCCGCCATCTACTGCATTGGCCTGCTTGCACTGAGCTTCTGCAACACGTACTGGCAGGTTCTGGTGTGCCACTCACTGGTCATCGGTCTTGGAGCAGGCCTCGCTTTCGTCCCGAGCTTGGCGATTGCGGCCTCGTACTTCTCACATGCGAAGCGCTCGATGGCCCTAGCTCTGGTCGTATGCGGCAGCAGTGCTGGCGGTCTGGTGTTCCCCGCTGTGGCCGAGCAGATGCTACCGAAGAACGGCTTTGGCTGGACAATACGCACCATCTTCTTCATTCAAACTGCCTTGGCTATCATCGCGGGCCTGCTGTTCAAGCCACGCATACCACCAAGGCAATCGGGTCCGCTGGTCGAATGGGTCGCCTTGAAAGAGGCGCCGTACACACTCTATCTCGCCGGCAGTTTCTTCGCGTTTGTCGGGCTCTATATTGGCTTCTACTACATCGGAAGCTTTGCCAGGGACGTCCTTGGGGCCGATCAGTCCACCAGTATTCAACTGCTCCTGACCATGAATGGAGTCGGTCTCGTTGCTCGTGTGCTACCAAACTTCATCGCTGAGAAGTTCAGTGGGCCGCTCAATCTGATCATACCCTACACGATTGCCACAGGAATCGTCATGTTTTCGTGGATAGCCGTACACGAGATTTCCAGCTTGTGGGCGTGGGCTGTGGTCCAAGGAGTGGCCAACGCCGGCATCCAGGCGCTGTTCCCGGTCGTGTTGACTAGCCTTACGGACGATCCGAAGAAGATGGGGGTGAGAAGTGGTATGGGCTTTACGGTCGTCGGCTTTGCGGTCCTCATCGGCCCCCCTATCGCAGGAGCACTCGTGGAAAGGATGGATGGTAGCTATCTCGGGCTACAAATATTTGGCGGTTTGACCATGGCCCTGGCAGTCTGCTGTCAAATCGCTGCTAGATGGGCAACGGTTGGGACAGATCTGAAAGCAAAATTGTAGACTGAAGCGTTCAAGCGTGCGTTGCTCGAATCATTCAATACTGAGCATTTATATCCTACTTCCCAAGTATTCATTCTCATTGCACACGACACAACCAAGTCTCAGGGTTCGAGCCGGTCGAGCACATCAAGGCAGTGCCCAGGAAGATATCCAGAGACCAGTATGAAGAAAGAAGGCGACTTGAGTTGCCCCCGAGAGTCCATTTGTATGGCGGGGCGGGGCGGGGCTCGGCGCGAATACAACACCCCTCCGAAGAATTAGTCTCAGAATTGATGTGTTGTCGAATGCACACTTCTTCCGTCTCATGCGCCCTGACCCCTACCCTCTCACCGCCTTCCGGACTCTCTTGCCTGAACAACAAGTGAGGCATCAGTATAGTAAGTCTTGCCCCGCCGACGTCACTTTTCCGGCCAGTCTTGTCAAAGGAAGCCATTGTCACGCCCCACGCTTGCGGCGGTACCGTGACCTACTTTTGCTGCCTGAAGGCGACTTTTGACTAACAATCTAAAATTGCAGTCTGATCCGATATTCTCTACTGTCTTCATCAGTCATTCCGGTGCCCTTCGCCACTCCCACGTAAACCACGCCGCGGTTTTCGGATCCTCGATCTTTGTCCACTTCCGCAAAAGACACAACCAACTTTCCACAAGATGTCTGGCAGAGGCCGAGGAGGAAAGTTCAATAAGGCGAAGCGGGGAGGTATGCTCTGATTCTCTGCAGTATATTGTCCTCGTCACTAACGGGACTGCAGGCGGCAAGAAATTTTCGCGCGACCTTCAACCACTCGACTCAGATGGCAACCCCATGGGCATGTGGCGCGACCCCGCCGACAGGATCGCCGAGTCCGAAGAAGAGTCGTCGTCCGAGGAAGAATCCAGCGAGGAGTCCTCGGGCGGTGAAGGTCCAGCGGCCAAGCCAGGCCAGGAAGAATTGACACGTGAGCAACGACGAGAGCAGGCTCGTCAGAGGAAGGCTGCTGCTATCGCGAGGAAGAACAAGAAGGTCGCCGAGCCTGGTGACTTGCCCACAGACTCTTCTGAGGAGGAGTCTGATGATGAGGACATGCCCGCCAATCCGAACCATACCGCTAAGGCCCGCAACCAAGCCCGTGCGCCTATGCCAGCGGCGACCGAAGAGCCTAAGAAGGCTAAGGCGGGCGAGAACCTGTCACGGCGTGAACGCGAAGCGTAAGTTGATTTTGCCATCACCCCGAGAATTACAGAGGCCTCGGCCATGAGTTGGAAACTGCAGCGCTGGCCCAAACCTATCACTCTGCTCAAGATCTGACTGACTCATTCTACAGCATAGCCGCACAAGCAGCACGTGAACGTTACCAAAAGCTCCATGCCGAGGGTAAAACGGACGAGGCCAGAGCAGATCTCGCCCGCTTGAGGCTCATCCGAGAGCAGCGCGAGGCGGCCGCCGAGCGAAAGAAGGCAGAGGCCGAAGAAAAGGAAGAGCAGCAGGCGGCCAACAAGGAGCGGCTTGACCGCGAGGCGAGGAAGCGAGAAGCCGCATTAGGGCCGAGTGCGGCCAAGAAGGGCAAAGGGAAGAAGTGATCACTCCCTTTTGCGAATGGCATGAGTTTCGGAGTCTTTGTTCGGCAAGACGATAGGGCTCATGATCCCCCTTTGCACATAACGCCCAACGAGATACGAAGCGATGCAGGAAGTCTCTCCGGAAGTCTCTCTGCGTGCATACATAGACCAAGACACATTGGGCATCACGCTTGGGTATCTCATTTCACTACGAACGGAGTTCGAGAGCGAGACAGCAAGATACCAAGACGACATTCGTGTCGCCCATTCTGTCGGCTCTGTCTTTCCTTTCTCCTTTGCTTTCTGCTTATCTATCTTTGAGGCTGTCTGTACTTTCCTCCTTAAAGAACTGACTGGACCATCTCCAGCCGCATCATCACCATCATCATCATCAGCAGCAGCAGCCTACCCGCACCACAAGTTGTAATGCCGTATGTATACATGAAGCGCCGCGTGTCGTGTCAGCCTTGGTGGTGGCGGTGGCGGCCCTTTCCACGCATTTCTGGCTCGCTACAATACATTCCAGTATTCCTGGAATAGTCTTGTCGGTTCGTCATTGTCCAGGTCCATAGGAGACGTATTTTGAGGGGGAGCTCGAGAAGCCTATTGTGAAACGCCGACGAGCAGCGAAAGAATAAAGTAGAGAGGGAATGGCAAGGACGACTTGAGGCCCCGAGTGGATAAGCATCCTGTATCTCTGGAGACTTCAGGCAGACGGACGCTCTACAGGTGGGCGATAGAATATGATTTGATAGAAGCCCGCTCAGGTTCTTTTGATAGACTCGGATAGAAACAGAGAGACGTCTTCTATCCGCGCCGTCTGTGTACGCAGGGTCTTCTCGTATTGACAATTTGATACCCATAGCACGACCCCATTCTAAACGACGCACTGGTCGACCCATAATCACCTTTTATTCCTGCTCCTCTCCTTGGCCACTTCCTTGAACATGTCGCGGCTGTTGTACATGCTGGCTTTGATCTTGAACTCATTGCCGCTGGTCAGCTCCAGATACGTGTACGCATCGCACTTGTAATACACGGTCTTTGCGATCTGTCCGTCTTGCACGAGACCCAGTCGCCTCATCTCGGCCAGCACCGACTTGACATCATTCATATCGGTAGAATCTTGCGTATAGATACACACAAGATGCTCATTCTGTCCACTGTTCGTTGGTGCCACTTTTGACCCCGTTCCGAGCCTGCCATTCCAGGTCGCTTCGGCTACAACTCCCCAGACACGGTCTACATCGTGGTCAGACGGGAAAAGCATCCACTTGCCGCTCGTCAGACGATGCTTCTGTGCCAGCTCAGCAATGTCTTTTTCCAGCTTCTGCTTGTCGGGTCCTAACATCCGGGTGATAGCTCCAGGAACCTTGTCCGGATTTTGCTCTTCGAGTTGCTGACGGCGCTCCATGAATTTTTCCAAGAGGTGGTGGCCAGCTTGCGTAAAGCCACCCGTATCAGCATCTGTGCCTGTCTCGGTGTCGTGCTTTGTGCGGTAGGGGTTTGCACACCAGATCCACGAGTCACCCATATCCGAGGAGGTGGTACGGGACGGCGGCAGGCGAGTCAGGAAGGAGGATATGGACTCTGCTGTCTTCTTCCCGCCTGGCCGAGCCTCCCAAGCGTTGTGGAAGGCATTGGTCGCGGATTGTGCCGCGGATGATGAAGATGTTGCAGACTTGGATCCAACATTATTGTCATTGTCTGCTTCCTTCTTCACTTTCTTCTTGTTAGGCTTCAGCGATACTTCTTCGTCCTCGGCGTCTTCGCGCTTGCGCGTCGTTGGGGGCACGGACGCTTCCGCCGCTTTGGCCTGGATAATGGAGCATTGATAGCTCGTCTCGTAGATGTCCCAGAAATCGCGCGGATTGAATGGCTTTAGCTCTTCCTCATATTGAGTCTTTGTGTCCTCGTCACCTGAGATATTGGTACAAATAAGGCAGACGGCAAGTGAAACCTACCGTAGAAGCTGGAGTCGTCGCTTAGGAGATCATCGGGAAAGGAGATGAGACCAGACCTGGGCATGGCGATTGTTTTCTCCTCACAACGATACCCGCTGCGGAGAGCTGCGCGAGTTCGACTTACATTATATAGACAGGTTGGATACCAGGTATTGTTCAGGCGAAATGAGGTGGTCGGGCGGCTCGCAAAACAAGGAAGGCGCGAGGCAGCACGCCAAGACTCCGGCGAACTTCCTGCTCTCCCACGAGGCAACCTCAAGGCTTCGTCCATACAAACTTTGTCAACATCGCTGATTATGGCAACCTCCTAGGCTCTTTGATCATGACAGGGACAATCTTCATGGTTCTATGTTCTGAGCAGGATCAGTTGTAACAAATAAATTTTTTGCTGTAGGGCCAGAGTGCATTCTGTCAGGACTGCAAACAAACAGATTCAGCAGGCTGAAGCCAACAGCAATTCTGTAAGTCTGAACACGTGACACAAAATATCCCCAGCCATACACGCAGTTCATATGATCTCTGCCTGCCTGACATGGTCACCACAATTGAGCTACCGCCACTCTCCTCCGACATGCCTCGATGGAACCCAAAGCAGATCAACGAATGGCATACCAGGTCCTCAGAGTATGACCCCGATGTCATCACAATATGCCCTGTCCATCCGGACCTGATGATTACAGGCACCTACCAGCTGGTAAAAGCTACTGAACGTCAAATCTTTCCAGGCCAATTCCGACAAGGCTCGATCTATGTAAACTTGGTCTCTCCCACATGGCGACCAGCTTTTCCAGGTCAGCAAACTCCCAAGCTGGCTAAGAGGAAACTACCAGCTGCAATTCTCGACATCCACTTTCATCCTCTTGACGGTACCTTGCTCGGCGTCGCTTTGAGCGACATGACAATACACTTCTTTCGCTTCGTCAAGCGTGCTGATATTCTGTCTCGTCGGATTCTCACCGAACTCCTCTCTCTGGGATCTATAGAGGTTGCATCAAGGGACGAAGATGGACTGTTGGTTCTGTGCACGCAATTTCGCTGGCTGGACATGTACGAAGAGTGCGGTAACCCCAAGAAATACACAAACACCATCACGACGCACATGGTCGTTTCTCTATCTACTGGTGAGATCATAACCGTCAAAGTGAAGCTTCCAGGGGTGCGCTCCACCTTTGATCCCCGTCTGGCACATAAGCCCGGTCCCATCTCTTTCTCCCGCGAGAGTGTGCACTGGCACACCGAAGAAGCCTGGACGGTTATCACTATCCCCATCTCCTCCACGGTTACCTCGCAGACCAGCCTTCTTCTATCCGGTGGTGACGACAGCAAGCTCATCGCCGCCATGGTCCAGTTTGACACAACAACGCATGCCGAAGAGCACAATCAAACTTCACCCCAGGCGCTCTGGACGGATAGCAAGACTCACACTGGCGGCGTTACTGCAATCCACCCACTACCACCACCACTTACAAATGATCCCGCACCACCTCCAATCCTCATCTTGACTGGCTCCTATGATGAGCATCTCCGCCTCTTCACCCTCAGCCCACACACCTTCCGGCGGCAGCCCCTCCAACCCATTGCTGAGGCTCACCTGTTGGGTGGTGTCTGGCGCATCAAGCTGATGGATAACTACATCATCCCATTGCAGCCGATCCCGCCTGAAATGGCCCTCAACCCTGATAACACCACTGAATCTGCACAGAAGATCAACAGCAATGGCAAAAAACGCCCCCTCCCACCCCACGAAACGCATTACATTCTCCTGGTCGCTACCATGCACGCCTCTGTACAAATCGTGCGCCTGGTCCACACACCCTTCCCAACAGAGGAGGGAGAGAACTGGAGCATGACCGTGCTAGCAAGGCTAAAGCCCGATGCGCACAACAGCGTCGTCTACGGCGCGGACGCCCGAAAAGAGTGGCCACAGAGCAAGTACAACTTGGAAGGCGTAGCGGCGCGTGATGAGGGTGACGGACACCTGCACGAGCACCTCGAAGAATTGAGACTAAAGCGCTTGGTCAGACAGGTGGGCGTGGATGTGGCGTGGGCGGATCAGTCAAAGGAAACACGGCCCAGCTGGAAGTCATGGAGTGAAGAGTTGAGAGGTGAGGTGAGAACGGCATGGGAGAAGGAGCAGTGGGAGCGGAGTGTGGGACGGTACACATGCTTGAGCATCAGCTTCTATGACCGCAAGATCTGTACCTGGGTTTGGAGAGACGAGAAGCGCAAGGAGGGCATCGAGTTGCAGGAGTTTCTGGAGAGGTATTGAATCGCCAACGATGTGAGATCTTGCCTACCAACAGGGCGGGTTTGGGACATCCAAAGGTCTCACGCGTTATCTTGGGGCATTCGGAGAGGTGCATAGAAGTTCGACCGATGCTGCGATATTTGCATAGGAGAGAAGAGGTCAAAGCAAATGGACAAACATACCCATTTGCTGTTCTGATCGAGGCGCTAACGGATGCTAATTGCAGACCTGACCTGCCGTGCTGACCATCTTGACCTTGTATGAGCGCCTGACACCTCCCACGAATGCTCTATGGGTCTCGTCGCATTTAAGTGGTAATCTTACACAATGCTCTCTAACTCCCTCGCGTAGCCGACAACATTGCTCATGATCTCTCGCTCCTTGTCTCCCTCCTCGGCCTTCTTCGCATCCTCCAGGCTGGGGAAGTATATCCTGCCCTCCTCCAGACTCCAGCCCTGCTCGTGCGCGAACTCGGCTACCGCGCCCTCCGAGTCCAGGAACAACAGGTTCTTCGCCGAGGCGATCGGTAACGAAGGGTACGAGCGGGCGGCACAAGACGCAATCTCGAGGCGAATGGTATTGATGAGAATCTGCAAAGAGGTCAGTAAGAGGTTACTGCGTGTAATGAAAATGGTGGACGTGCCTCAGAGAACAACGCAAACTCCTCGCTCGGTACGTCACGGCCGTTCGTCTTCCGCCACACTTGATCGTAGCTTCCCTCCATCAGACTCCTCTCCAGTTCGATGGGATAGCGAATGAACTGGTCGTCCTCGACGCTCTTCCCGCCATTGCCGCTTTCCGCCACGATCAATGTCTCGAGCAACGTGTGGAAGCCCGCGTAATCGCCCTGGCTCAGCAGCAGGAGGAGATAGAGGCCTGTGATCTGCGAGCGGTCTTTTGATGGGGGTCGTTGCAGCTCTGGGTAGTCGTAGAATGGCTGTAGCTGCGAGTAGTAGCGGACAAAAGATTGCGGGTCTTTCAAGCGGATCGAGAGCAGGGCACCGGTCTCGAGGATCGAGCGCGCGGTAGTGAGGGTTGCGGTGGATGTTTGCGGCGAGGGTATTAGGGCATTCTGCTGCAGGAGGGCGAGCTTGGCTTTGGAGAGCTGCGACTGAGTGGTGGAGGCGTCACTGGATCGGAGCGAGTGTTGAAGGGAGGATAGTATGGCGTCGAGGGAGGACGACTGAGAGATTGCGGAGGGCATGCTGGTGGATGGTGAGGCGTAGGCCTCTGAGTTGAGCGTCGCGTGAAAATGGCAGAGAGGGAAGCTGTGTCGAGATGCAAACGAGCGGAGTCGACTAGCGCAGTGCCCGGTAGCTATTTCTTGAATCGACAGGAAAGGCGACGGTATTGTGTCTCGTGGTTTGAAGTGAAGTTCAATGCGCTTGCGCATACAACGACCGCCTTCGCCAAGGTTGCCGCTCGGATTTTAAATCCGTAGGCGAGGCTGCCTTTCCGCGATCACAGTGATTCGCTGCTGCCTCTGAATGCGTTGCTAGCCAGCGCCGCGGCCATGGTCACCGTCCATCTACAACTGAGTTTACAACGGAATATGTCAGGGTATTCAAGAATGGTTGCGTTTACTTCCTCATATGCCTGATCAAGTTTTCGATCACACCCTCGAAAGCCTCTTTTTCTTTCCGAAGACCATCTCTGCGACGTAGCCAGTATTCTAGGAGCTCCGAGGTTTTTTCTGTCGTAGTTTCCAGCTGCTTGACATGGGCTTTGAGCTCGTCATCGGTTAGACCATCAATTTTCTCATCCGTGGTGGCACAAAGCCGCTTGACAGCTACCAGATCCAGATCCGGTGGAGGCGCAGGGCCTTTCGGTCGTCGACTGCGACTAGATTTGCCTTCTTTCCCAGACTGGTTGCTATCAAGCGAGGCTGTGGAGTCGTTTGTGGCCTGCTGCTTCAAGCGTGCAACAGACCCCAGGTTCTTGTCGGATTCCGATTTTCGCGAAGGTTCAAGATTGATATCAGGAAGCACGAGTTTTTTCTGCTTCGAAGGCGGTAGAATTTCATCTAGATCAACCGGAACACCGAGGCTAACGAGAAAAAGCCTCCTTATACGTGATTGTGTCCAATTTGGAGGCTGTAGGGGAGGTGGCGTTACAAGCTGTTTCCATAACGAACGAGATCTGTCTGATGGGAATATCGGAGATGTGTTGTCGATGGGAGAAGGTTTAGGTAAGGCATTGAGACTTTCTGCTGTTGTGTAGGGGAAGAGGGCGTCAAGATGTTGCTCAGTGGCAGCGAGGAGATCGGGGAGGTCTGATAGCGCATCGAAATCTATCAATGGATGGACATGGCGAGGTAAAGAAGGTGATGGCTCAGGTTGAGGAGCTTGTAAATGTGGTTGCTGAAAGTCGTCATCGAAATCGTCAAAATCATCATCAGCCCCTGCTTGGGCTCCTTCCTCAAATTCATCGAAGTCGTCTCCGAAGTCGTCAACGTCGTCATCATCACTGTCGTCGTCGGTATTCGACTGTGTGGTAGCACGGTGGGATTCTAATTGACTGTCACCCATAGACTCTGATCAGGTCAATAGTCCTTCTGAACAACCAAGAGATCTTCCATACCTGTATCATGCTTGATCTCCATGGTATCTGGAGCAGCGTCTTGCTGTCGTCGCTGTTTGGCTGCAGTGCCGTCGACCTCGCCGTAAGCTGGCTCGCTGTCGACTCGTGTAATGATCGTCTCAGGAATTCGTGTCGAGGAAGAACTGGAAGGTCGACCGGTATCTTCTTGACGGGAAATCCCAGATTCGGGTGCCTTCAACACCAAATCTGGAATAGAATCCATCTTACGGTGCTTGTAGCCGGTTGTACCAGGCTCATCACCGTAGCTAGAAGAGGATGGATCGATCTTTTCCACCACCGTTCGTGGGATGACTGACCCTCCCGGGGTTGTGGGTGCTTCAAGATACTGGCTCGAGCGTTTGCTTAGGCGGCCTTCAGGAACCACCTCCACCTCGTCTGGCACTGCGTCCTGAGTCCTCTTGTCATAAGCAGGGGTGCCCGGCACCTCTCCATACGCAGGGTCATCGTCGACACGCTCTACTCTTGTCTTTGGGATGGGAGAAGCTGGAGTTTGGGGCCTTGAGGCGCGGCGTCTGCCTTCGGAAGCGTCTGAGAAGTACTCTTCGTCGGATGATTCTGCATTTCGAGTCAGTGCTGTTTCCAATATGGCTGTACGTCCAGCGTACGGAGATGTGAAGCCCCGGGATCTTCAAGTTCTACGCTCTTTCGCGGAAGCTCAAGGCGAGGACTGGACCCACCGCGAGGTCGAGACATTGCTCTGTAATATTGGTGCTGTCCCGAGTTAAGTCGCCGGTCGTTGGACAGTATGCGGCAAAAGGAGAGAAGTGAGGTGGTTACGGGCAAGCAGCCTCGCAGCCAAATTGGGTATAGACTTGTATTTTTCAAGCGCGTTGGGTAACTTTGACCCAGCGCGCCTGCGATCGCTTGTCACTGTAACATCCTCTTTTACACCGGTACATCGCGCACCTTACACTGTCCACCGCGTCCTTGCATTCCTGTTTGCGCCTGCGCACTGTTGTGAACTCCTGCCATATGCAGCGACGCTGATAACTCCCTCTTGCCAACACCCGGCACAACACTCGATCAAACGCCATGTCGTTCAGCTTCGGCGGCACTCCCGCATCATCAGGCGCGAATACTGGCAATATCTTCGGATCTGCATCAGGCTCTGGTAATAGCGGAGGAAGCCTTTTTGGCAATGCCAATGCCGGAGGCAGTGGGTCGAACAATAATGCATCAGGCGGAGGCCTCTTCGGGGCGCAGAACCCATCAGGATCAAGTGGTTTCTCGTTTGGCGCTAAATCAGATGCAACGGCCTCGTCGACGCCCACATTCAGCTTCGGTGCACCTGGCACGCCTGCGAAACCTCCCAACTCTTCCGGTGCTGGATCTACCACCCCAGCTGCCAGTAACCCTTTTGGTGGCAACCTCTCGACTACCCCAGCTGGCCCTCCACCATCTTCTGCAGGATTGGGTGCCAGCACAGGCGGCAGCTTTCTAAGTGGTGGGAATGCAGCTGGCAATGCCTCCAAACCCAGTCTATTTAGCTTTGGCAATACCGGTCCAGCGTCGACTAGCTCATCGGGCACCACGACGCCTGCTCCCTCTGGCGGTGGCCTATTCAGCACCCAACCTGCTGCGTCTTCTGCTGCAGCGCCTGCGACTATCCCTTCGTTCAGCTTTGGTGCTGCTAAACCGGCACAGCCCTCCTCTAGTAATCCAACTGCTCCTGGGCAAAGCAATCTCTTCAGCCAGCCCACCCCCAGCAGTGGAGCACCTCCAGGAAACCTCCTTGGGTCAACGCCGTCGAGCGGTGCAAGCACGCCGAACCTCTTTGGCCAGAAGCCAGCAACAAGTCAGCCGCAGCAATCACAACCTGCACCCTCGCAGCCTTCTGGCGGCGGTCTCTTCGCAAAGCCAGCAGCAACGTCCAGCAGTGATGCTGCAGCTAAGCCGGCCTTCTCTTTCCAGGCACCAGGCGGCACCACGCCGCCTTCAGATTCAACCCCGAAGCCAGCCTTCTCATTCGGTCAGCCAGCGTCTGCGCAGTCCTCGGCACCTTCGACCAGTGCCGAAGCGCCAAAGGGAGGATTGTTTGGAGCAACTCCAGCTCCAGCTTCATCTTCAGCTGCCCCGACCCTTTCGCTCTTCGGCACCACGCCCGCCGCAACTACTTCAGCAGCTACGACAGCCACAACAACCTCTACTGCACCTGCGACATCGGCTCCAGCTTTTAGCTTTGGAGCATCCAAGACAGCAACGGCTCCCGCCTCAGGTCCTGCCAACACGCCTGCATCTGGATTCAACTTCGGCAACAATACAACGTCCACGACAGGCGCAGCTGGGACTACAGCACCCGCGGGTGCCGCAGCATCGACATCTGGACCTGCGCCTCCTTCGCAGTCCCGGCTGAAGAACAAGACTATGGACGAGATTCTTACGAGATGGGCAACCGACTTGACAAAATACACTAAAGAATTCAAGGCACATGCTGACACTTTGGCGCGGTGGGACCAAAAGATCGTGGACAATAGCTCGAAGATTGACAAACTCTACGTCAAGACCCGGACTTGTGAGAAGCAGACGATGAGCGTTGAGATGCAGCTCACTGCGGTGGAGAACCAGCAAGCTGAGTTGGAGGCCTGGCTGTCAAAGTACGAAACCGATGTTGATGAAATGCTGGCCAAGGAGGGCTCCAATCCGACCGAGCTTGGCGGACCTGACCAGGAACGCGAGAAAACTTACAAGCTTGCTGAGAAGCTCTCGGAGCGCCTGGACGACATGGGCTCTGATCTTGAGTCGATGGTGGAAGAGGTCAATGCCGCCAACGCCAGCCTGAGCAAAACTGGCAAGGCCGATGAACCTGTAAGCATTTTCAACTTCCTTTCTCACCGTATGGCACTGACACCCCAACAGATCACGCAGATCGTCAAGATTCTCAACAACCATCTCAATCAATTGCAAGCCATCGATCAAGGTGCATCAACCCTGCAAGCCAAGGTTGCTGAGGCACAGAAGGCGGCTCGCGGAATTGGATACTTGAACGGAAGTAATGGCAACGAGGGAGTAGGCGCTGTGGACGACTTCTACCGGAGCTATATGGGTCGCAGATAGAGCTCTACGGTACTTCGTGTATGATCATGATGCAGATCAGCATTGGCATGGGCTCAAGGGCAAATGAGGACCTAAAATAGCGAAGAATTGGACGCAACGGTGCTTCCAAGCTGGATGGCGAGGCTCCATGAGCTTCTAAGCGGAAAGCAGAGAAGTTGATTGAATAGTAGCTGTAACTCAGAGTAGCACTGTACAATCTGACAACCAGCAAGAGCAGCTACCCTATGCCTCCAGCGGAGTGTGTTGAGCGTCGAGAAATGCTTGTTGCAGAACAATATACTCTCGACCCGCCGACTATTCGCCTCCACTCTGCTTCTCCAACTCTTTGATGTGATTTTCGAGCTCATCTAGGTGGGTGCGTTGCATCTTCAACTTCTCCTTGAGCTTCTCGAGGCTGTTTCCTTGTGGTGAGTGCAAAGCTTGTTGTAAGAGAGAGCCCACTTACGCTTCCTTCTCTTTCTGCTTGATCCATCTGCCCTCCTCCGCGGCTTCACGTTTGCTGAAGGCGTCTCTACGTCAAAGATCAGTACGGGATAGCTCAGCAAGTAGGGTAATAGGGTGACATACCCTGATCGAGAGCCACCGGACCGCATGCCACCAGTATCGCCTTCGGCGGCACGAAGTGCGGAGGAAGCGAAGGAGCGGCGGACGGAGGGAGTAGCTCTGGCGAGCTTGACAACTTGGGTGCGCATCATCTTACTGGTGATAGAAGTATATTGGTCGGACGAAGTGTGGTTACGGTGCAGCAACAACAGCAGCTACGAAGGAACGAATGACGTCGGGGATAGGCGGGCTTCACTACGGCGGACTGGCCACGTGATTTGAAACGGAACGACTGCAGAATCCACCGTATTGCGTGGTCTTAGTGCGCTTACTCATGGCCAATCTAGAATCTTGCATGCCAGATGGAGCTTCCGGGCTCGAGCCTTGCATGTGCCCGCCTAACAGCCGCCGCAGTTCTAAGATGAGGCTCACCGGGAAGCAGATGCGAGAAGCAAGGGGAAGGGGGCTGCGTCGGCTGCAGCAGCCATACAGGTCATAATGTGAAACGATGAGGCTTCGCATCCCGGACCGCTGGCACATCCCCCCTGTGCTCCAGTCTGGCGGCTGGAATGAATGATTTCATGATCAAGATGGGCGGGTTGAAGGGGCCAGGTGTCCGGGTAGCAGCCACAGTATGGACGTACCCCGAGCGACTCCGCCTTTACGTCGCGCAGGTACTGGGCAGCCAGCTTTCGAAGGCGGTGGAAGTGAAACAGGTATAATTAAAAGCAGACGCCAGCTGGGTCATTTTGGGCCGCCAGTGAAGCGTGTCCAAGGGTGCCTTTAATTGGTTGTACGCGGCCAAAGGGACACGCCACAGGCAAATTAAATCATTGGATCTGCATCTGCGGGCTGAGGTCTTTCACCACACAATCCACTCCGACTCACTCCTCTTCCCTCTCTTGAGTCTTGCCCGAGCCCTCCTACCCGTTCAATCCTCTCAACAAACACCGCACACCACACCCTCCGCATTCTTTTCTTTCACTTCCCATACCTCTATCCTGAAGAGTCGAGCATTTTACAGCTTGTCTCTTACCTTTGGCAAACATTATCCCAGTTGGTAAGTCGCACTGTCTGCTGCTTGCTCGCCTGTTCCCTAGCAGGGGTCTTTCGCGCCTGCGCTCCTGCCCCACGCTTCCCCTAGGCCACGCCTTCACTGCGCACCAGCTCGACCACCATCATCCGGCAGGCTCTACTGCGCATCGCACCTAACAAGACACACTCAATGGACGTTTCGCAGTGGAGTTCCGTAGAATCACAACGACTTGTCGCCGACGCCGCCTGTGTCTGCGCTGACAGCCCCTGCCATTGACGTCAACCCCTCATTTGGCAACACAACACAAAACACCTCGCCTCTGTCAGTTACCCGCTATGTGCACGTCAGAGCTCGCCGACAAGGTCCAACAGATGGGCCTGAGCGTTCCTAAGACCACCTTCTACCTCAACGCCGACACCTCCGCTGCGCAACCCAAAGTCTCTGTTGTTTAATCTCTGTAGCCATCATAATCGTCGCTAACATTCATCTCTCACAGCAACTGTCTTTTCTTGAATCAACTCAACGCAAAATGGGCGTCGAAGAGTCTGTCTATCTGGCGAAGCTCGCTGAGCAGGCCGAGCGCTATGAAGGTAAGTAACAGCCGCCCACATTTGCTCACGAAAGCTAATCAATTTGTAGAGATGGTCGAGAACATGAAGGTCGTCGCCTCATCAGACCAAGAACTCTCTGTCGAGGAACGAAATCTTCTGTCTGTTGCCTACAAGAACGTCATCGGTGCCCGTCGTGCCTCTTGGAGAATCGTTACCTCAATTGAGCAAAAGGAGGAGTCTAAGGGCAATGAGGCTCAGGTTAAGCTTATCAAGGAGTATCGTCAAACCATCGAGACCGAGCTGCAAAAGATCTGCGAGGACATCCTTGAGGTCTTGGACCAGCACTTGATCCCATCGGCGCAGACCGGCGAGTCTAAGGTCTTCTACCACAAGATGTATGTTGCAGCACCGTCAGCTCTGAGCCGTGGCTAACAAGTCCCGCAGGAAGGGTGACTACCACCGGTACCTCGCTGAATTCGCCATCTCCGAGAAGCGTAAGGGCTCCGCCGATCTGTCCCTTGAGGCCTACAAGAACGCCACCGAGATCGCGCAGACCGACCTCGCGCCTACGCATCCGATCCGCCTGGGTCTTGCTCTCAACTTCTCCGTCTTCTACTATGAGATCCTCAACTCCCCTGATCAAGCTTGCCACCTCGCCAAGCAGGCTTTCGATGATGCCATTGCTGAGCTCGACACCCTGAGCGAGGAGAGCTACAAGGATTCTACTCTCATCATGCAATTGCTGAGAGATAATTTGGTATGTACCACTCATGTCTAACCGTTCATTGCTGACCATCGCAGACTCTCTGGACCTCGTCAGAGGCCGAGCCTCAGGAGGGCAGCGGAGCTGCCGCCGCCGATGCGCCCAAGGAAGATACTACTGCTGCCGAGAAGGATACCGCGGAGCCTGCGGGTGAGAAGGAGGCTTAAAGATCTGAAACCTGTCGCAAAATTGTAGCCTTGTCACCGAACGGTTATCATTCCGAACCAACTTTTGGAGGACTGAGAGCTTCAGCAGCTGTGATGAGATTAGGAAGATGCACCGACCTTTCCTTTCAGCAATGATCCGCCAACCAAAAATCCCCAACAACACGATTGATATCCCAACCCACCCCACGCAGATGATACAGCAGGTCGATCGCATGGTGCAAGACCATTTGACAAAGGCCTGCTCTTTAGTCTTAGACCGAGAAGAGCCATAAAAAACCATCGACTGTTCATTCAATTATTTTCATTTGCTCTGTAATGTGAGCTCGCTGCTCCGTTACTCTTCGCACATATCGCTAGCTTCGCGTACAAATCTCGGATAAGCAGTGCGCCCGGTTTCCACGCGCAGCGCACCCTCAGCTGTGGACATCTGGCAGGATAGGCAAGTAGCTGTAGAAATCAAGTCATCATCATAGTGCTATCTTTTCGACCCGTACCCTCTCCTTATAAGGAAGAAGAGGCTTACACATCCGCGGCGACCTTGACTCCTCTGCTCAATGGCAGAGATGAGAGAACCTCTGCCTGCCGCTGCCGCTGGTACCCAGCCATATCACATTTCGGCCGTCAATTGGTAACACGCGAGCAAATACTCACTATCGAGTTGGTTGTTCGTGATATTGTTTCCTGTTTTTTCCTCGTTCAAACCCGCATGAAACCCCTTTGCCCTTTGCCCTTTGCCTCTGCCTTTGCCATCCAGAATGAAACGATACAGAGTCGAAGAGTGAAAGAAAAAAAACGGGCGCAATCCATCGAATCCACCTGACGCCGTCATCCATTGATGAGCCCGAGGCCCGTTCCACCTTGCGTTGGGTTTTGTGTGTCGTTACGTCCGTTTTTGCGTACTGTGTGTAGAGGGTTTGCTTGGAGTGTGGGCCAGCCAGCCAGCCAGCAATCCACAATGCCATCAGCAGTCTGGTAGTGCCTTACCTTACATAGACAGCCCTCCTACCTTGTCGGCAGGCCCGTGGCGGTCGTTCCCGCAACCCCAGTCCTGATGCTCATGTCAAGCGCCCCAGAACGCCACCTTCTCCAGACACTTCGACCCCACCGCCCTGACCTTCTCCTTCACGGCACGGCCCAGTTTGGTCCTGTGCTCCTCATTATTACCCTCATCTTCTCGCCGCTGCTGTCTGCTCCTCTCCCTCTCGGCGCGCTTCTCCATTCTCGCAGCCTCGCGTACCTCGCGTCGCTCCTCCCGCTGCGCCCGCTTCTTCAGCGCCTTCACCTCACGCCAAGCGTCTGGGCCTGCGTCTGTGTGGATGCGGCGCCAGGCGCGCTCGGCGATCTCGGCGGGCGAGGCGGCGAGGGAGGTGTCGAAGATGGCGGTGCTGTTGATGCTGGGCTGAGATACCGCGGCATTTGTGCAGTCTGTGACTCGCTCTTGCTTGGGCGGTTGTATGGTGTTGGAGGAGGAGTCGGCTGAGGAGTGAACGTTGCTGGGTACGGTGAGTTGTTCGCCCAGTGCGTTGACGAAGGCGCCGTCGCAGCGCTTGTAGTAGAGTCCCTGCAGGCCGGGGCCCTGTATGATGTAGCTGGGCTGTGCGCCGTGGAGGCAGGTAAATTGGTGGCGGTAGCTGGCGCGGGGGTGTGCAGCGTGAGGGTCGACTTGGCGTAGTACGGAGAGGAAGGAGAGGTGTCTGAATGATACGGTTGGCTTTCTAGCAGGTGGAGAAGGTTTAATGGCGCTCACGGGGACGGAAATGGTCGAGCCGTCTGTTGACGAGGTGGAAGCGCTTTCGTCCGTGCTGCTCTCCGTGTCGGAGTCGGAGTTGGAGTTAGGGACCATGGTAGCGATCACCGCAGCGGCGGGACCGGTGGTCTGTAGTGTCACCACCGCAAGTGGTGGACCAAGTTCCAGGTCTTTCGACAGATAGTAGAACGTCATCCTTGTCTCTGGGTTCCAAATTACATCCTTGATGTCTCTCAGCCGACCCAACCTGCCGGGCCGTCGGTTGGCGAGTACAAAACGCGTCCGGCACGCAAATGGCAAGTCTGGGTGCGTGCGGTGGAAGTCGCAGGGCACAGCTCGCGTGATGCTGGTGCCATCGCAGCTACGAATGCTAAGTAGGCGGGCACAGTCGCTGCAGACGCTCAGACCATCAGTTCCCAAGATAACGTAGGGATGAGTGACCAGGTGTTGAAAGGGTGGCCCAATGCCACAAGGTGCATAGAGCACAGGTGTATGAGCTGCGAAGTGCGACGTCCAAAGTGAGTACTCGCGAATGTGGCCTCTCACGGTCAGACTGAGCGCCGTAGGACAGGTTGGCCCGAGATTGCAGACTTCCACGACAGTAGGCTCCTTGAGTGAAGAGAACTTGTAGTAGTGTGTGGAAGAGTATGGGGTCGTGACTGGGGGCAAATGGACGGTGCCGCCGTTGGTACCGTTAGAGACGGTTCCCATCGTGCAGGCCCGAAAATGCGGGTTTGTGAGTCTTGAAGGCTGGCGATTCTGTGACTACCATACAGCCTGGCTCTGAATGTGGGACTTCTTATTCTCAGCGAGCTGAGAGCCGTCGTGATTGTGTCAAGGATTATCGGTTGGACGGGTGCGCAACACCATACGGCTAAGCTCGCCGAGTTCGTGACAGCATCGAAGAGATCGATCGCTTAGCAGAGAATCATCCACACAAGTGTGGCCGAGTAGACATGCGATAAGTTTGGAGCTTCCGGTCCAGGTTGCTGCCCTGTACGGGCCAGATGTCAGAATAGTCGTCGTTCGCTGTTGATCTTCCGGCTTACAAAGAGAGCCGAAAAGTCGCCAGAAGTTATGACTGAGAGCGAACGATGAGAAGAAAGTACAAGATAGAATAAAGTCAGGTATGATACATCTGATATGAAGTACGGACTGTAGCCATGTTCGAGCAGATGATGATGGGGAAGGCTGGATGTCGATCACTGAGAGCTGCCTGAATATGCAAGGCGACCAGGCAACGCGTGACGTCACAATTCAATGTCGCGTGGCCCACCGGTCCCTTAAATCGTTCTGTATCACTAGCTATCACTGCTCGCTGGTGCAGTTCAGCAAAGGCTGACTGCGTGTCTCTGGCTACAGAACCCAGCAGTGCAGTAGTAAAAACGGAGGAGGCTTTCCGATAAAGTGGCATGCTTTCCGGCTTGAGTGCATTATTCTGGTCTGGGGGGTGGGCGGACTTCAAGGACTTATGGGTCCTGTAGTATCCTGAACTAAGTCTTTCCAACCTCAATCGACTCTCCGACATAACTTCGGCCGCTCAGTCAATCACAACCGCTTCCCCATTTACAATCTGTTGGGATAGAAGTGGAACCCCCACTTCCGATTTATCAAGGGGTGTATCAATCTTCTCAAAACTTCCTTGGGCTTTGATTCCGTCCGTGTGCCACTCCAGCGCCTCTTTTAGTTTCGAAACGATCTTGGGGTCAAATCCATCTAGTCTGCCGTGATGAGCGCAACTTTCTCGATGCTCCAAGATCGGTGCTGTGAATGGACGCTGATTCAGGGTGCCGTGTTCGAGGAACGCTCTCTCTAATCTCTTCCGTATTCGTCCGTATTCGTCAGTGCGCAGACTGACGTCGGGGCTTTTCCTAGCATCAGCTTCTGATACGCAATTCGACGGGTGATTGTTCACGTACTTGGCACGATGGAAAGAGCACGCCTGTTCAGCAAGGCAGCGTGAGCCGTCACAATAGAGGACGAGATGAGGTCGGAGGCAGTCGAGGCAATATGCCATCGTATCCCAGGCCGCCTTTCCGTCCTCTGCACCAGGCGCACTCAAGCACTTGAACTTCGTGGTTTGTATGTATCCAGTCTGCATGGACGGCGGGAGGAATGGTGGACGCGGTGCTTTTGGGGCGTCGCTAGGATATTGCTTTCTGCTTTTGCGAGGAACGCGTACTATGACTTCGATAGTATCGTCGACAGACGCGGCTGGGGTTGGGTAGGCTGGGGTGTGGGAAGATGAGGCCTTTGAAGAGACGACCACTTCTTCGTTGGTCGCAGTGTCGCCGCTGTGTTCTCTTGACAGGTCCGATTCCTGTGTCTTCTGCAAAACTGGTGACGAGGCTGGTTGAGAATCTAGAGAAGCACGTTGCGGGCTTGCGGGCTGTGGCGTTGGCTTAGGGCGACGGACACTCTTGATGCGAGCCATGACTATTCGAATGTTATCTGGTGTAGAAAGTACTGTGCATTTTCAATGGAGCGAAAGGAGCGCCGCTTCGAGGGATATCGAGGTGGTGATGCTGGTGTGCGAGGAGCGTGATTCCAAGCCAGAGACGAGGACGCAGATGTGACAAGAGGTACGCGCTTGCCAGGCGATGGCCTGGCAACGGGGGTCTCTGGCTCCAAATGGATTCGCGAGGGCCATGAACAAAAGTCACGATAGCAACACAGGCGATGATAATCGTGTGTGTCCATTGAAGGTCATGCCTTCTTATCCTTGTTGGCCTTCTGAGCCGTCACCTTTTGACTGTCACTTGATTGGGCCTGCCTTTGCCTTTCCGAAATCATGCTCGAAACAGCCGCTGCAACGACCAATGCACCTGCAATCAGGTCAAGGATGTGTACCGCCCACCAAATATACTGAGTGCCGAGCTTGCAAGTCTGTATGCTGTACCGCCATTCACCGGCCCCGAAATCGAACCAAGCGCTCAAGAGTCCTGCGTTGCCACCAAACTCACCCATCATGCTACGCAAAGTGACCTCCCTTACACCAGTATATGTTCTCTCGGCTTTCACCTCAGTCCACCTGGACACCTTCCAACGAGTCTTCCTCTCCTGTATAGGCTCTGCACTCGAATTCCAAGTCCCGTCCACTGGTATGTAGTGAAACGTATCGCACCCTTCGTGATCGTGGCCGTTTAGGATCAACCCACTGCGACCCTTGCCCAGGCCCGCCGCCGCAACGTCGCCCTTCATGCCGTATATGGACTCGAGAAGGCCTGGCTCGCTCGCATGCCGGCTCAAGTGGTTCTGCTCCCTGAGGCCGTGAGGGTGGAAAACTCCACCGCTGTCAACGTTCGGCCAGAAGTCAAAGTGAGGAGGATCAACACAAACGCCAGCCTTTTTGAAGAGTGGAAGATGTGTGAGTGTCAACGAAAAAGATGTCTTGTCCTCAACAGGCCGCGAGCGATGTGTTATGACTGAGTTCAGATATGCGTAGGTCGCGGACTGAATATCAGTCGAAAGAGCAGGTGTATCCAACATCATGCTGTTCAGCACCACCATGTGCAAGGATGGTGGTTTGGCGTCCTCAGTTTCGTTGGAGCTTGTCGGATACTCAAAGCGTATGTCCCAGTTTACCTTGCCAAACATCCGCTCAAATCTCTCGATTTTAGCTTCTGAGATATCGCCAGCATAACCAATATCATGATTTCCAGCAATGTTGATGATCCTCTTCTTCCAATCTTCGTCGTCTATCGCAAAGATCGTCTCTTTCTGCTCCTCCTCGGGTGTTATTATACTTTCATCAACTTTCTCCGCGCCAGCGAACACTCGATTCCAGTACCTCCAACCTCTCCATTCAAACTCGTCATCGCTAACCCATTGACTCCCGATGAGGTCTCCAAGAACTGTCACGTGTGACGGTCTCGACCACCAGTTCAGGGTACGGTAGATGTGCTGAAGGTAGAAGTCGTTGCCGAACAGGTCGATCCGCTTCCGGATCGATTCCAGAAATTGCGGCACATCATGAGATATGATCGTCCACAGGGCCGCAAGTGCGACTGTAGTTCTATCCTCCTTTTCTGCGAGCACGACGGAGTCCCAACGCGCTCGCAAGCGCGGCACTAGGGTATCCTCTGGCTTTGGGAGACTGCTGTCCCCCTCGATTTGCGGATCTGCCAGAACAAGCAGTCGAAAAGGTGCGAGGGAAGAGCCCGGACTCGTCGTGTCGTGGTGCTCGGAGGAGAAGTGCTGAGCGACTGTGTCGCGGAAGGAGGCGACTAAAGAGCCATCGGTGCTAGGAAAGGCGCAGCCGTGAACGACAGGGTACAAATACAGATAAACGGTGGAAAGGAACGCAAGTGGCAGTACTACGCGGAGCGCCGGGCTAATGAGGGACTGAATGTACATTGAACATAGCACAGAGCAAGCAAGACGTTAGTGATGGACTGTAGGATGAAATGATAGCAAGGGCTACATTTGCTGCTGCTGACAGCGCGAACGCGATCCGACCCCTGTAGCGCTTGGCATTGCTCCCATGCAACCGTGGTCAATGGTACTACATATCGATGGCTGCGCCAATCCGGAGCCCGATTCAAGCTCGAGTGAGATAGAGGATAGTCTGACACGCGCTGAGCTTCCACTAGCAGCTTGACTGGGTGCACAAGAACTTTGATAGTGGGTATTACTAATCTGTACTTTGGTGTTACAACTCGTTGACGCCCGAGCAATCGCATCCCTAGTCCATCTAGCTCGTTAATGCTTCTGCTTTCGTCGTTGTATACACCGGAACCACCTCAACTAACAGCCGTAGACGGCTGCCCGGGCTGTGTCGCTGCCTGGTCATCTGACAGCGCTTCTTTCTCCTCTTCGATTGTCTCGGTCAGAGCAGAACTCTGCATCTCAAGCCCGGAAATATTGAGGCCGCTGTCGGGATTCTCCTTGTCCTTGTTTTCCTTGTTGTCCTCCTCGTCATCCTCTTGCAGGGTCATCTCGTCGACGTCCTTCAAGCCTGGCGGCCTCTCCTTACGCGCCTTAGCCTTGGCTAAAGTTATGGTTTTCTGCTTGTTTGTTGTCTCATATGTCGTGAGATCGTGCATGATAGTAGCCTTCATGATCTCTCCCATCCACTTGCGCCCTTCCGCAGTACTATCAACTTGGAAGTAGTGGATCGTAGGCTTGGTGAATTGTACAGCTCGCGACATGCCCGCTTTTGGTGGCACGAGCTTAAAAAAGAACGCCTGATTCGGCGTTTTTGGCGTAGTCGGACTTGTGTCTCCAGAGTTAGGGCTTGGAAATGGCGAGCCTTTGGCGCCGGTGATGGTCGCATGGAGCGTAGTTATCGGATCGGAGTTGGCAACCAAGACCTTGTGGCCAGAAATGTCGATGATCCCACGCTCTTCAGTGTCATTCTCTGAATAGTAGTATGACAAGCGGCGCCCGCGTAAGATAAAGAGTCGAGGCTTCCATGTTGTCATTAAGGTAGATGACTTCTTCTTCATCCACCCATGGTGGTCACAGTGCTTACGCGCCTCCTCGGGAGTTATCTTCAGAAGACCTTTGGTGTAGGCGGATGTTTGCTGCTTCGTCTTCGGCCTCGCCCGCTGCGATGCCCTGGTCGAGAGGCCCACACTTGGCGCTTGATCTGCAGCTTTAGAGGAAGCGTCCGTGTTCTCAAAATCGAAGCTGTGTGACGTCGCTGAAGGAGTTTGCGAGCCGTCAGCGGGCGATGCAACGGGGCTGTCCTCTAGGGACTCGGGTAAAATGTTTTGCGAAGAGCTTGCGCTGGCTTTTTCCGTGTCCGTGACAGCCTCCGAGGCGGCTCGCAGACCCATGAGTTTACGGGCTTTGGCCGGAATGTTCATTTTCGAGGCAAGCGAGGCCTCTGCGCTTGGAAGAGCGGTAATTTGCTCGTTTTCCAGGTTTGTGACGGTTGGCGAGTGCCCGGAGCTTACTTGCTTCAGCATGGGACCACGTGCACTTGCGGAGCGAAAGCGGCCCTTGAAGCTACTACTGTGATATGCCTTGGATGCGGGAGATGCAAAGGACATGGCAGGGTCGCGACTTGAGTCTACACTGCTCAGACGGGAATGTCGCTTTGTCCCAGTGGTGGCTCGTCGAGGTTCGTCAAGCATAGAAGACTGCCGCGAATGAGCCGGACTTCCAGTGCTCTCTCTTTTCTTGAGTACATTCCGGGATTTGCGATTGTCCACTTCGTTGCCACTGAAGTAACCCCTGTCTAGGTCCAGATTGGGAGGACCAGTGAGCAGCGGAGACTCCAAGGACATATCTAAGCTTTCTTGCTTTTTAAGCGTATGAGTATGAATAGAGGGACTAGTGATGTTGGTGCTCGCTGGGGTGTGGGGTGCGCCAGACCAGTGCCTGTCGAACGACGGTTGCTTCTTATGTGGGGATGTGGTACTAGCAAAGGAAGCCGAAGATAGCTCGAGGTCAGGTGGTTTGCCAAAGTCGATAGAGGAATGGCGCCGTGAGTGGCTGGTGTCTCGTAACTGCGCAGCCGAAGGACGACTTGGACTGTCTGGCCCCGTTGACGCTCTCCACGATGACGGCGGAGTGCCTGTTGCCTGACTCGTCCGAGCTCCGTTTTGAGATTGCTGAGTCTGAGTTGGGGACGGTAACTGTCCCGCACTTTGCTGAGACTGACGGACTTGCAATCCCTGCCTTTCCGAGAGACTCGGAATACGGGGCAGGATAGCACCCCCCGACAACACACGGCTTCCAGTACGGCCGGCAGTGTCCGGGGGAGGTTGAGGTGTGTTACTGTTCTGCCGCGAGGACTGAGAGCCTGATACCTCGAGTTGGAAGTCCCTGATCTTGTGCCAGGTTTTTAACCTGCGACCCATGACGCCGAAGTCGAATTCCTTCATCTGGATGAACGATTGATCCATTTCCAATAGAACGTCGCCGGAGATCTCCTGCTCTTCGAAGATGTCACAGTGCCGCGAATCGACGCCCAACGATCGAAGATGTGCGGCAACCTGCTTGTGGTCCCATTGTGAGACTTCCTCCTTGGTCAAGCCAGCATTGTCCTCCTCGTCCGTCTCAGGACCAGCCAAGAACGACATGCGGTCCAAATGGCTGCTGTATTCGCTCTCCGAATCTTCAGTGATGCGTTGGGGCGGACCCAGGCTTTGTCTTGGAGTGCTGAGATCGGTTATGTGTTCATCAATCACACTTAGCGTTTCATTCATGACTGGGCTGTCTTGCCCATTGTGAGTTCCACCGAGAGTCTCACCGATGCTCCGCTGCACCATCGGATTGTAACTTGAGGAGTTCTGAGGTAGAGAATTGCGGGTAAAGGGTGCTGGAGCAGTCTGCCCATAAGTTGAGTCGGACAGAGGTCTTGTTTCTTGTTGTTTGCCCTCAGCGAAGCCATGGTTGGACGAGCTCGGATCGGAGACTATGGGGGGTACTGCGTTGGGCGAATGCACGTAGGATTGGGCGGTAGGTGAATGCATGGCTGCTATATTGGCCGGCAATTTTGCGGTATAGACTGGCGCTTTGTTAGGTAAGTTGACATTTTTCGGCGTTGAAGACATACCGGCGGGAAACAAGCCCGTCGCACCTCGTGTGAGGTGACGTCCGAGATACCAGCCATCTCCGAAACCATCATCCAATTCAACTAGTTCGACTCTTTCGGCTTTGCGTAATGTCAGCTCGTCAGGGCCGCGGGCATCAAAGTCGTCTAGGTAGAATGAGATCAGCAAAGGCACACCACTTCAAGTGGCGCGTTGCCAGAACTTACGAACAACGACCAGAATGTTGCCGGGTTGCAGCGAGTCTGGGCTGCGTTGCTGCTGCGGTTGCTGCGGTTGCTGGGCCATGTTTCCTAGGGCCAACGGATAGAGAACGCAGATGTAGCAGTCTTTCACATGGAGTTACAGTGCCGTTGTCATCCTCCGAGGCCCGACATCTAAGATGCGTCGTCCAGTGATCATAGCAAACAAATACTCGCTGTGATGCGGACACTTGATCGGTTTAGGAGACGTCGACCAGGGATAGCCTGTGCGACCAGGTCGTTCGGCGAGGAATTGGGAATTTGGCGAAGCGACTGCGAGTTTCCGCAAAGCTGGCGTCGGACGTATCAGAAGCGAGAAACCTGGTGTCGCGTATTATTGGCGGCGTCTGTGGGACGGAGCGGAGGCTATGGGCGGATGCCGAGGCGTACAACCCGCTGAGCGCAATGGATAAAGGATTTGAGCAAGGTCAGTGGTTTCTAGATGATAGCCAACGACTATGGACCGGCAGATGATCGAGTGATGACTTGGATGGGGCGAATGACTGGCGATTCCCCCGATGTTAGCTTGAATTGGCTGCTTGTGGCTTAAGAATGCGGGCAGGGGAGTGAAAATTCTCCACTTATCGGTCCACTCTTGCAGGGACATTGTTAGACCTTGTTCACACCTCCAACAGTCCTCCAGCATCACCGAAATGGCTGTGGCCAGCACATAGTGAATGGCAGAGCAGTGTGGTTGACCCCGCGACAGACTGAGCAGAGTGGCAGTGACGGTGACTGTCCTGCCTGCTTCTTCCTGCCAGGCTGTGAGGGATGAACATCTGCTGCAGCTATCGGCGTGCCTCTGTTTATTCTGCTGTTACTTTGCTCCGACACAAAGAGACGCTTGAAGTATCTCTTGGGGTCATTCTAGATTGAACTGTCTTCACGCACTCTGATCATGTTATTAGAGGTGCCTAGAAAGTCTGTCGCGAAGGCGGCTAAAAATCAACACCTACCCGAGACGTGAGAGAACAAAGACATTGGCGATATGCCTGAACCCCGGCGCATGCCCCGTCGAACATGGACAGACGATAGTGGCGATATCAATAGCGCGAATTCTACAAGTACTCTCTTCTTAGGCCACGGCAAACGAACAAAATCATGGATGTCGGCTCGCTCTGGGGACAGCCCGTCCTGCCCACAGCAACCTTCCAAGTTTAAGAAGCCAGCTTCGTTGCGCAAGCTTGATGTCCACAGTACGAGAACCAGCATTTCCGGTGGGCGCGTCAACATCACTCGTGGGGACTGGAGTTCTTCTACCGACGACGAAGTCAATGTCAGCATTAGTAAATTAGGTACGGAAGGTTCCTCACCTGCTCGACACATGGTGAATGGTACTCTACAAACCGCAAATTCTATCGAAGAAGTTGGGCCTGTGGTCTATCGCGACATGGACCCCAGCCATGCAGATTCTGCTCCTGTGCCAAATTTCCCGTCAAACACTCCACAACGGTCTGCTTCGATGTTGGTGACTTCAGCTGCATCCATCCACGATCATGATTTGGATGGCACGGCCGCATCTCCGCAACCTCCGCTTTCTCGACCGCAAGACCCTCTCAAATCTCCTATCGCCACCGGGTCCATGATAATGGCGGAGCGGGGGCATGACGACCACCCTTCGGAAAGTACCACACAAGTCTCGTCTAGTACGCTCATGACCGTATCCCAGTCGACCGAGCAACCACAACAAATGGATTCCACTGACACCATTCATCTCTTAGGCTCAGCAGCCCCGCAAACCGAACCTCTAGAATCGAATGTGGCAGCTGCAGACGAGTCTGCCCAACAGCACAACGCAGCACCGCAATCCTCTCCTTGCATCTTGATGACTTTGATGGAACCCAAAACCGGTCATGGTCTGCGATTGAAGCAGATAGTCGATGATCTAGGCTTGCGTGATGTGCAGACGCAGCTGGATGTGGGAAGAGTCAACTTCTTGATGGAGGCGGCTGAGATGCAAGACATGGACGTGTTTCTCTTGCATCAGCTCTACATGATATGGACGCTTCGCCCAAGGGAAATTTCTGAGGCACTTCATTTTGGTCCAAGCAGTCTGCAAGGCATGTCTACCCTGACCTACATCTTGGGAGCGAACGAGTCTTTGACACCGCGACTTGCAAACGCCCTTCTAGACTTTCCCGAACCCTGGCAGGTTGTTCTAAAGCCCGAATTCTTCAGTCACGTCACCCGTATGCAGAACACGGTAACATTGCTCCATCAGAATTGGCAAGCAGTGCTGCAGATGTGCCTCAAGAGAGGCTTCCCACCGTCACCGATCGAGGTTTGTCTGCACTTCGATCTGCCTTCACCACGGATGCAGTTGGCTTGTTTCACTGCTCTCTGTCACCATTTGCGCTTCTTTTCAGACAATCATCATCAAAGTGCAGTTGTTTCCTGCTTTACTACTTTCCAACAAAAGCGACCGGCCAGTTCAGTTCCAAGAGACATCGATTTTGCCGAGTGGGTACAAGCGCTTCCTTTACCATCTTCAGCTTCGACGAACACGATGCGACGCAATTCCGCGATTCCAGACATGGATCCGAATGCTCAAATCCATCCCCAACAAGTAAGAGGGGCGCTACAGCCTCCCAGGCCAGCCAGCATTCATCCGAACCCTCGCCACTCTCAGGTTCCTACATTCAACAACCGCACACCCCACTTTCCACCACCACAGCTTGGCAATGCAAATCCTTCTGAGCGACCCTCGCCAGTTCTCATGCATCAGCATCGCAATGGTGGCTTCGTTGGCTCCCATCAAGTACCCAGACCTGGACAACGCCCTCAGGCCATACCGCCTCAATTCCAGCAATACCAGAACAATGCACAACCTCTAGCATATTGCGTCCCCAGGCAGCGACAGCAATTTGTGCAGCAGCCACAAAGCCAGGTCGGAACTAACCTGGACCATCTTTCGATACACCCACTAGGGTGGGCCCCCACGCCGAAACATGTACAAGGACTCCCTGGCTTACCACAGGCTTTGATTGCCCCACATATGCAAACACAATATCAGCCATCTGCCCCAGCTACCACTTTGTTGCCGCCACCTAACTGGCAGATGCCACAGGCTGTTCATCCGCGGTCAGATCGAGTTGCCCTGCATCAGGCCCATCTCCGCAGTCCCGTTGCACGCATTGTGGATGCAAACAATAAAGCGGCCACGGACTTGATTCTTTATGAATCCGTGAAGAGATTAATTCTCCCTCCTCAGCCGCTTGGACACAATAACAGATTCGCATTCTGGTCAATTGACATTTCGAACGAAGAGATGGATCGCAAGCTGGTCTATGCGCCCCCATCTCATTCTACTCTCATGACGGGTTCACACCTTTTCAAGCAAGGTTCTCTACGCTGGCGCCTGAAATGTGTTGCGCGTGAGGCTACCGAGACCTCGACACCTGACGAAGCAGAATTCTGCTCTAGGCCCGTCAGTTGGCCAGAGCACCTCTTCGTCAGTTTCAACCAGCTGGACGATGTTCTTTTGCGGCGTAAGCAACATTATGGCCGGGATCTCCCAGCAGACCTGACCTCATATGTTCAAGTTGGCGCCAATATCTTAACACTCTCATTTGATGAGACGTCCAAGGAGGAGAGTGAAAAAAAAGTGCACTGGATTGCCATCGAAGAGATAGAGCTTGTCGAGGATGACCAACTACGAAGATCGATCGACAAGATTCCACCCGACATCTCTCTGAGCCGCACACTCGCTTGCATGAAAGGTAACGAAGGCGACGATGACGATGTTGCCATTACCAATCCCACCCTCTCCATTGAAGTCGCCGATCCTTTCACTGCTGTAATTTGGAAGACTCCTGTACGAGGCAAGACTTGCAAGCACAGAGAATGCTTTGATCTTGACACGTTCCTCTCCTCACGACCTAAATCGCAGCTCGCTGGGCCAGCGGGTGCTGATGACTGGAGATGTCCACACTGCCAAAAGGACGCCCGACCCCAGTCTCTTATCATTGACGGGTTTCTCGAAAATGTCCGTGAGACCCTGGAACAGCAAGGCTTACTGGATGTCAAGGCAATCGTCATCAAAGAAAATGGCCAGTGGGAGGCGAAGCAACAACATCAGGATGGAAGGGCCAAGTCTGCTATGCCTTCAGCCCCGGCCAATGGCGAAGGAGCTTTGCGGCCAGAGTCGACTGTTGAGCGTGGTCATACAGTCTCTGTGCCACCGAACATCGCATCGCCTGTAGACGTGGGAATGGTCGATGATGAGTAGATGTTCTCAAGCAACGATTTTCTTTATCTGCATTCACGGGGAGTTCGTCGGCATTACAGCACAGGAGACAGGGGTTTCGCCAGGAATAAGGAGCCCTGCAGGATTTTCAGTAAGTGGTTATTCAGTTTATGATACCCATTGAGAAGCGTTGTCTTTTTGCAAGTCTCGGGCTACTTTTGGGATGACGGGGTGTACTATGGGCTGTGCGGCTGAGGCTCCAGATAACGACACATTCCTCGACATAGCATTTGCGCCACTGGCAGCAGGTGGACGGCTCGTCAACAATATGGATGGGAACTACTAGTCGCGTCTGTTGGCCGATATAGAACCCAAATTTCACAGGAGATCAAGCTTCTTTAAGCCTTTCTTTTCTTGAAGGTCTATCAGTGAATATGCATTAGGTACTTTACAGTCTGTGGTCTATTCGCCAGGTCCGCTGGCTGGCTCCGCACCTCCTAGCCCAACATCCCCCCATGCTTACCTCTCAATTGCGAGGGGAGGGCTGCGAGGCAGGCCGGTCGTGTCAAGCGAGATGTTGGTGTTGGCGAGTGCGTGGCTCTGAGCTCGCATTTGATGGTTGTGGGAGTAGGGTAGCCGTTTGGGCGGCGCGGCCTGGTGTTGTTGAGAACTGGGGATTTTGGGTACAAGGAGTCGTGCTGGGGTGGCGGTGCAATTCTCGTCGGTGGTGATCCTGCATGATGGTAGTGGGAGTGGTCAGGCAGATGAGATGTCGACGATCGTGGACCTTTTGGTGGGTTGGTCACCGTGATCCACGCTCGGAGGCTTCGAGATGGGCGACAATGGCTCCGCTCCACGAACGATAGATTCGTCGTCTCTCTTCCTCTTCTTGACCCCAGCGCTGCCGGTCCCGTTCCAATTCACCTCCGACCACATCCCCGGATCCCTCTCCTCGACGTGCTCGATCCACCACTCCATGTTCTCGGCAAGTCCTTCGTCGTCGTCAATAAGGTACTCGAACAACTCGTCGTGCGGGTCCAGTTCTCCGCTCCGACGGAGGCAGCGCTCGCAGCGCACGCCTCGCTCGCCGCGGCGCCAGGTGCAGCCGGAGTGGATGTCAACCGTTCTGAAGGTGTTGTTGGGGCAGGACCAGCCGATGGTGATGGGGTTGGAGGGGTCGATCGCGGCGGCGCAAGGGGTGGCGCAGAAGGGTTCCCTGCTGGCTCTTCTGGGGCAGAGGGTGTAGCGGTAGTAAATCCATTTGCACATTGTGTTGGGCTTGTGTTGTGTGATTGTGCGGGTTGCTGGTGCGCTCGCTTTCTTTGGTTTGAGAGCGTTATTGATGGAGAACAGGGTCGAATATGCGCCGTCCAGGACCGGTATTTGCATCCTGCGAGGGGAGGAAGTCGACAAAGGAGCGTGTGAAAGCCATTGTGGTAGATCTCACAGTCTTTCTGACCTCTTTCTTTCACGTTGTTCTCAGATGCTTTGTTGGTCTCAAACCGCTATTGTTGAAGATTTGTAGCAGCGAAGTAGTGAGAGAAACAATGGGCCGGATTCTTGCCTTGTGGTCATCTCGGAGTCGGCCGGGAGGTTTCACTGCTGGTTGTACCTAAGGTACCTCAAAGGCTGCAATGTGAAGGCAGGAGGGCTGTCCAATTCGTGGTGGCGGAGCGCAGTCATCATGGTCCTCCACTTAGTGCTTAGTCTGGGACTGCCGATGTGCTGAGAGATTGCGGATGATGTCTTAGTCCGGATGTCATGCTTGTGATAGCGTGACGAGCCTTCGCTAGAAGGTGCTGCGAAAATTTCATTTAGCCAGCTGCTATGGGTATTTGAAAAAAGTTGAGTAAATCTGCGTACCTTGCGCTCATGATCTGCTTCAAGGTTCCAGCCCGGATCTACTGGTTTCGACAAAGGAGAAAGAGGTTCTGCTTCTTTACCTTCGATGTCTGGTGCAGCATTGTCCCCGTCTGCTGGGCTGTTGTTGCCTGTCGAGATGTTATCACATCCCCATTGCACTTCCCTGAACAGGTTTGGCTCCTTGACATCCACGCCACGGATGTACCAGATCATTTCTTTCGTCTTCGGCACATTTTCGATGTGTTCCTGATCGATTAGCTGCTCGAAGCGCTTGTCTTGTGGGTCTAATTGGCCGAGACGGGCGCAATGCTTGCATCCAAGGACGCCACGTCGCCATGTGCAGCCCGAATGGATACTAATAGTCGTCGTAGTCTGATTGAGACAGGTATTGTACTTGATCCTGTTGTGGATGAGGTCCCCGTGGTCATCATTTACGCTAGGGCATGGTTCGATGCAGATCGGCCAGCGAAAGACGTTTCTTTCGCAGCAGTCGTACTGGTATTGTAGGAACCTGCACATGCACAATGATCTGGAGGTTTGGCAAAATTGCTATTGATTCTTGAAAGATTTCGATTTCGCCAATCTGCTGCGTAGGTTGCTGCTTTCGGTTCGAAGTGACCAGAGCGTATCAGATGCGGAGATCCCCCTGCGGTGTATTTGCGCGGTGTAGCAACAAGCAGTGTGGCGGTAGCTTTTATAGGGCTCACCGTGAGACATTTGTCAGTCACGGCACTTTCGTGTTGTCCGGTCCAGGCACGGCGGGCCTTGAGTAGCATTCGCGTGCCCGACAAATAGTCACCCCATGTATCATGTGACCAGGTGTTTCACCTTGGATATGGACCAACAATACTCAATGACACCAAGATCAATCAACCACTGTTGCTCCATGCACCCTTCGACGTTAGCATACTCCGTTTCAAAGGATTCAGGTCCCTGGTGGGCTGGGCGGGGATCTCACCTCCTATCTGGGCCTCCTGCACCGTTGCATGCAAATATGAAGGCTTCCAAGCAAAATGTGGCGTGTAGGTCTTTGAAGTGTATCACGTTGACGGCACACAATGTCGAAGGCGAAGTTAAACAAGGCATCAGTCAGTCTGAGCTGGAAAATCCGGTAGAGCGATCACGAGTAGTAATGGAATAATATGGAATATTTCTGTTTGCTTGTCTCGAGGCTCCAGGTACATTTTTAATCTATGGTCTTAAGCGTATTTTCGTCCCAAGAGGCGAATGTCTTGGGATGTGGCTTCAACGGTCGGTCGTGGTGCTATCTTCAGTGTCTGACACTTCGGATGTTCGGATGAGCTTGGATTTAGGTGATAATGGCTCAGCACCACGTAAATGAAGATCGGACTCGTACCGCTCGAGTTCGGTTGTAGGGTTTGTGCTGTGTTCGTTATCTCGGCTCTCCTGGGGTTCGGACCAACTTACCTCTCGGAAAAGCGTAGGGTCCAAAATAGTGCAGTTGGGGATGTACCACTTCCAAGCGCCTGGCCCCAGCCGCCAGTCGATCGTTTGCGTTTGGTTGTTAGCATCGACGTGGTTGATATGCAATCTGCGACCTCCTACCATATAGAGGTGAGCCCCTTCGTTGTTGGCACGTAACGCTGGCCTAGGGCTCATATGGCGTCGGTTCGGACATACTTGCCAACCATTTGCACCCCATGGGTGATACGGACAGATATCAATAACGCGAAGTGAATAATTGGGGCATGTTGGAACAAGTCCTTTCTTCGATTCTGTGAGGGCGACCTTGTTGCCGTCGACTTCGTCCGTTGAGTGAGCCTGCTCCAAGGCTGTGGAGCAGGGAGCGACGCAGGCTGGACGACCTGTCGAAGACCTTGGGCCATCCAGAGGCCCGCAGGCCTTGCGATAATACTGGACCCATCGACACATTTCGCTCCAAGTCGGGGACTTTGTTTGGAGGAAGGCCGTGTCCTGCACATGGCTGCACGCTGCAATGTATATATGGGGCACGTGAGACAAAGACGGGCAATGGCCGTTTTCACTGTAACACTTCCGCATGCCTTGGGGTGATCATGCAAGGCTAAGCAGGCATATAGCCCAGATAGAGGAATCTCTGTCTCGGTCAATGAACACGGCCTTAGCCTAGCCACGCACAAGTGTTCAGAGTCTCAGCCTGATGGTCACTTGCTCGGCGTATCAGAGGATCACTCATGCGTTCATTAGGCTTGTCAAACAATTGCCAACCACAAGTTTTGGATTGAGAGCATCAGTAGAGTACAAAAACGCACCCGATGCGCAAAGCGGCCGACCTTATGTCGCGACATGATTGGATGCTTGCTTCAAGGTTGACAAATGCCTGACATGATAAGCGAGGCGGCAAAGAGCAGCTGGGACCGGAAACCAAGCAGTTCATGAAGACGCGTGGTCTCACGGCTCAAGATCATTGTGGTGCTGTCAATGAATGCCAATCAAATCTTGCATAAGATTCGTGAAAATCTTACTGTTCATGCATCTCGAATCCAGGCTCAAGAGGGCTGGACTTGTTAGCTGAGAGGTAACAAACAAACTTCATAGCTGCTGGCCGAAAGTAAACCCAGATTCTGCTCACCATGCCGCCAGTAGTGAGGCGTATATTAGAACGTCAAAAATAGCACAGCTACGGATGCAACGATCATTGTGGACGCATTTTAGGTACCCAAGATGTGCATTCCTGGTATTCGGTACAGATTGGGGGATGCCTGGCCGGCGCAGAGCAAAGTCACTTTTGTGTTGTCATTTATGACGCTATCATGAGAGGAATGGCCAGCTGGAGCTGAGACCAAATCTCGCTAGATCTGGGCCCCATGGCGCGATTGTACGTGTATCCCTGCAGCATTGCTATAAGGAGATGGCTCGTTAGGTAAACTCCTCGAGGTCGCAAGGACAGAAGCAACAACAACATGTCAATGAATGAGAATGCGCCGCACCAGCTGAACATGTGCAAATTAGTCGGTAGCATGTGTGAAGCAGAGACAAAAGGAGAGAATGATATCGTCGGCAGTTAGACGAGGTTTCCACTCGGGGTCCCGGGTCCCGCCGGCAGCTACGGAATATCCCCTGATCCCGGCCGCCTTGTGGACCTCGGCAGTCACGTGTCAACGTATCGGGGTTTCCCTTTGCGGGCAAGTGTCAACACCGTGATGATTCGGAAGGTGCGCTCGACGCTGCACGTTGCACAACTTCTACCGCGACGACTCCGACCCTTCCCCTCCCTGCTACCCATTCTGGAGACATGCACATATAGACACCACTCAGCTGTCCACTTGTTCCTCTTCGTTACAGTCATTACCTTTGCATTCACAATGTACCAACGTTAAGAGTGTATAGCAAGATCACCCAGCACACCAGCTCGAGGAATGCAATTTGACATCTCTGCAAGACTATTCGTCCAACGAATGCTACACGCACCCGCCACACTGGCAGCTCGCCACTGACACCGTCAATCGCCAATGACGTTCCCAACGCACTGAACCTCGGGGTCAGACTTTGATGGCTGCTGCATGACAACAACATACTTTGCTCACCATGGCGGGCGACCCCTCTTCCATATCACCGACACCTCAGCGAGCCTCTGACAGTGTACTATCGTCTAATGGTCAAAACACCCGTCAGCAACGATTGCTGCGTCTGCGAAATGATCGCTTTCCTGCCAAACCAGCCCATACCGCATGCCTCAATCCCCGACGATCAAATCTAAATCGAACCACCGACGACCATAGCGGAGGCTCCTCACCCCCGACTCGGAGCCAAGAGAACATTGCGCTTCCAAAACCGAGACGGCACGGGAAAGGCCTTCACCCCACGTCCTCTATAAGCATTCTCGAAGAGATCTCCAATTCTATTAGAAGCAAGTCTTTGGGTTCGCATTCCGACAACGATACGAGAAAGCCAATACCGATCTTCCAGGACACCCCCGAGAGACCCCTACTCGGCCCCTCTCCATATACTTCTTCGCCGTTGGAAGGCCCATACTCTAGTCCGGTAGAGTCACCGTTTCACTTTGACGGCATCCACGACTCGTTCCGTAAAATGGGCCTTAGAGAGGTCTCTGGTAATGTCCGCAAGGCGCCATCCACGGAAGTTTCTCCATGGTCCAGTGGACTGAAGCCCGCCCGTCGCCGACCGGCATCAGCAGCTGCACCTGCTCGCTATAATTCAGAAGAGTACATCCAGCGGATTGAGCAAGAACTCGACCTTGCTCAAGGCTCCGTCTATTCTCCCAATACCAACCGCCTGTGGAAGGACAAGTTAAAGGTCGTTCAAGCAGAGAATGATGTTCTCCGTCAGGAGCTTGCCGACGTCAAGGCGACCTTTGAAGCCGAAGTCCAGAAAGCTATTCAGCATAAGGCCGCAAGCGAGGCTACACTTAGGAGGAGGATTCGTTCGTTGGAGGAGGAAGCTGAACAGAAGGATTGTGTCATCCGCGATCTAGAGACGATGCACGACAAAAAGCGGCTCGACCAGGGCACTCTGGAAACGCTCAAAGCTACAATCGAACGCTTAGAGTTCGACAAGTACGGTCTTGAACAAGCAAACCACAACATGTCCAAGCGAAACGAAGTTTTGACGCACTTGCTGGCCTTCTCCCCTACCAAGTCGCAGCAGACGTTCGAGCTGGCGACACCTTCCCGAGCATCAAAGCATAATCGTCCTCGCTCGCTTCTCCTGCCCAGAATCTCGTCTTCGCCTACGCATACACATCCTCATCGGCCACGCTCTCTCGCCGAGTCCCCCGCCTCGGGTAAGAGCTTTGATCACTCACGACATGGCTCGTCACCCCTCTCTCCAGCTGTATCAGAAACATACAGCCGCCTTCCGCTCCGTCCAGAGATTCCCAGATCGCAATCTATGCTGCCATATCCTGCTTCTCATTCGCGAAGCTCTACTTTGGCTAGTTGTGTGTCTATGAGCCCGACAGGAGATCACCGACCTTCAAGTTCGTCCTCTAGCACTCGACACTCTAGACAGGCATCGAATCGTGGGCCTCGCAGATACGTTCCGGGCTCCACACAGTTGAAGCCTCTGCTGCTACCAACCTTGACCCGCGACTTTGGCGCCTTGAGCTCCACTTCGCCGCTAGTCTCGCCCAGCCGAAGTATACGGCGCGACTTTACCGATGAGTCTATTGACCCAACCACAATGTTCCTGTCTAAATCGCCGACCGGGTACGAATCCGATGCGGAGCACTCCACAGCAGACTCGTACGTGGACTATAGACAGCGCGAGAGTGCTCGACACCTGACATATCAGAGTCTGGAGGGCGTGCTCGATGCAGAAGATTCTAAGCAAGTCGTAACCGATGACCTCACTGTCACCGAGCTTTTGGATGCCGGAAAAGGCCATCGTGTTTGTCACATCATTGGACTAGGCATCAAGAGTCCGGCTTCCGTAGAAGACGCAGACCGAACCATTCTCCCACCAGAAAACATAGGTGCCAGAGGCTTAGCTGGTGGCCTTGACGAGGACATCAGCCAGCATCTGGATATGAGTTCCCCTGGGTCTATGGCTGCTGATGTCGAGCTGCCCAAGCCTCTGCGTTTGTCTGCATCTACACGGGCAGGAGCTGTAGGCTGTGCACCCGCTGATGCCATCAACCATTTTTCCGATTCTCCTAACCCCGATCTATTGGGTGGCCACCCAAGGAAGCGAAAGCGAATGAGTAACCCGCCAGACATTCAGGACCCCTTCACGTTACCCCGGACTATAGACAAAGGTACAGATGCTCGGCCGCTAAACGGAACGGAAACACCTCCTACCAAGTCAAGGCCTCCGTCCTTGTCTCTTCTTTCCCCACATCGAGCTAGAGCGCCCTTGAAGATACTGGAGCGCAAGAACTTCGGAGTCAAACCGATCGCCGTCGTCACTATTAAGACCATCTACGGGACGCTTTCCAAGTGCACGGCTTTAATCAGGCATTTCAAAAGTGACCCTTGGGCTTTGGCTCGTAGAGTCATCGCTAACGCTTGGCACTGCAACTGGGCAATCTTGGGTAAGCTTAGTTGGTGGGTGCTGGGCTTGTTCCTGGGTCCTTCGACAAAGCAGCAACAGCCAAAGACGTGGGAATGGGAAGATTATGACGGCGAAGCGATTGCAGATCGTCACTGCCGCCGAAAATCCAAGCCTATGCCGCCGGAGCAACAGTCCCTGCTTCGCGATGAAGCTCGAGCTTCTACAGCTCGCCGTGTGGATATCCATCCACCCAAAGAGGCAGCCTATACAGAGAGGTCAAACGGAACAACAACACCTCGAGAGAAGCAAGGCTGGGGCAAATCCATGTTCCTTTGGGCCAAGTTCAGTACTGCCATCGTCCTAGCCGTCGGAGGTGCTGTAGTAAAAGGACCTGGGGAAATGATGCGAGACACAGACGTGCGCCGAGCTTCTAGAAAAAGCAAGGAATATCGGCGCGTCAGCACTTCGAGTGAAGACTCTGATGTCGTTGATACTTCTGCAGTCGATTTCGAAATGCAAGACATGCGACCCAGACCACAAGGCAATGAATTGCGCAGACGTCGGTCGCGGAAACAAGACGTTGGCTCTCCACCACCCGCAGCCCGCGCCTCACTTGCTAGAGAGCTTCAGTCTGACAACATGTCTTCATCGCCCCCTGTCAGCTCATCACCTGCGATTGGTTCCTTTCGCTTCGGCCGCAAGCAGACTTACGACTTCAACATATCGGACGGTACAGAAGTTGACGCGAAGACGCTAAAACCATCGAAGACTGGTCGAATCAATATTGAAGACATCTTTGATTATTCGAATGCCGGAACACCTACGAAAGCTGTCGGAGGTCACGAAGAATAGGATCCTACTAGTGCAGGCCTGGGCTACTTCCAGTCAATGCCTTCTAATCCTGACAGCTTGAAGTAGCAAGCATAGGAGACATCCTTGTCGGTATCGGTTGACTTGTCTTCTTCTTTGTCATGTTTTACCGATAGACCCACTGGGGTCGAACTACTGCTTCACAAAGCTCTTTTCCCCTTATTGTTTATGATTGTACGATAATGAAGTGGATGAGGTCACGAAAAGCACCATTCTTTGGATAGAATGAATTCTGGGGAGCCGGCAATGTCAGCAATGTTGCGGATGACGGTGACCTCTGGTGGCAAAGTCGGTGAACCCTTGAGGCGGCGAGCTGGCGCCTTGAGAGGCGGTGCTCATGTTCAGCCACGGCGGTACTATTGCTTTGAGCCGGCTAGACCGCAGCTGCTGCAAAGCTGCCTTCAGTAATTCAATGTTGCAGTCCTGGTACTGCGTCACAAACGCTTCAAGTATCCGCTTCAGTGATACTGTATCTCCATGCCTTCGTATCAGTAGACGAGGACGGTTCAAGGTGTCTGTGAAGACTGGCAAATACCATGAGCCGAAGGCCGGATGCGGCTGCAACAGCACATGAACAACTTCTCTCGTTCCTTTACCTGGGAACGAGTCCACTGCACTGTCCATACCTAGGCACACACGGCGCAATGACTCGACATCCGTGCACTACGGTGCGGTTGTCGACGGCCTTCCTGCGTGACCGCCTTAGTGTGGCGTAGCATGGGGAGACGACAACAACAGGTCGCTGCGCTTGACTGCACTGTACTGCACTTGCACTGCACAGGGCACTGCATTTCGGGCTGTGAAGGCCCCGTCCCAGTAGTGGTGATGTAGATGCGCAAACGGGCTGTATGATTCATTGGTTCTGCCAGTCCTGGTACAGTCTATGGGGTGCTATTTATCGTACATGGGAGACTATGTATAGGGCATTGAGCAACGTTCGGTAGAGACAGGATTCTGAAGAGGCATACCTACGTAAATCTGGTTCCGAGCACATTCTAGCAGAACCTGCCAGGCATCGACGATGTGCCACATAACGCTCCAGCACTATATCCGTACGTCCCTTGCCCTGGAAGCCCCCCCCCCCCCCCCGGCTCACACTGCCTCTCCCTTGGCTCCCACAAGTTACAAGACCCCCGTACTAACCAACCTTCCTCCACAACACCAGACTGCCGCCATACCAACCTCCACTTCCACCACTGCCACGTCGACCACCTACGCTGGAACCCCGACCGCGCCCCCAAAGTCTCGCACCCCAACTACGCGCCCACCGCCGCCGACCTATCCCTGGCCCCGGCCGGCGAAGATCCCGCGGCCTGGCGCTCTCACGACTTGCCGCGCAGTATAGCGCACTCGTACCGTCGGAAGTGTCCGGGGTGCGTGGAGGGGGATATTGAGGCGTTGGTGGCGGGCACGCCTACGGCAACGGCAACGGCAACGGCAACGGCAACGGCAACGGCAACGGCAACGGCAACGGCAACGGCAACGGCAACGGATGCGGCGGCGTATGGCGTGGGCGTGGGAGCGCGGAGCTGGAGGGCGTTTGCGGAGCGCAGTGGGAGTGGGGCTCGTGGTGTCGACAGTGGTACCGACATTCACGGCGGCGGTCTTGACAGTCGTGCTCGGCGGAGCACCACTCAACGCCAGAGCCATGTCCGGAATGCCACCACCACCACCACCAGCAGCATCAACAGCTTCGAGCCGGCACTCATGCTGCAGGACGAGGCGCGGGCTGGTGCGGAAAGACGTGCGGTTGGAGCGTGGCGCGCATACGCCGATATGAATCGAGCGGAGGACAGGGACCGCGTGCGGGCCGCGCTGCACGGCGGCGACGAGGGTATGGCGGCGCGGCGGGTCACTTTCATGCCGTACTTGGGCGATGGCCGGAGTCGGCCGCAGTGGTTGCACGTCACGCATGCCATGGCGGAGGAGTTACGGAGGGGTAATGACATTGTCGACGGGCAGGGAGGGACAGTCAGGTCTGTTGATGGCCGTGCGGAGGCTCAAGGTGATGGTGGTACTAATGATGATGGGATTTCGCCGTGGGTGACCCTCACCATGCCGCCCAATGGGGCTGGCGAGCCACGCTGGCAGCCTCTCACACCCCCAGCTGCCTCCCAAGCAGTCCGACTAGTCGAGCACCACGCCATGAGCGCCGCCACTTACGCCGGCATCAGCGTACAGACATGGCGCAGAAGAATCAGCAGCCCGACACATGACTCTCACGATTCCCAGGTTGAATCATCCTCACATCCGCCTCCATCTATCATACCAACGATCGAGCCTCGTCGCCCAACACCCCGGATTCCTCAGCGACGACGACACCCTGACCTGATGGAGCAAGCCCGCCTGCACGAGCAGCTGATCTGGACGCAGCGCGCGCAGGATGGCGGCCTGACGCAGCAACAGCGGGAGCTGTACTTTGGCGCGCAACCACTGTTGGCTAGCGTGCCCGAGGAGAGGAGGCAAGAGGCTGAGCGGGAGTATGCGGCGCGTATTGCGAGGGCGCGTGAGGATGAGGGCGGTGCGCGAAGCGAGTTCGAGGAGACATCGCATGTGCCAAGAAGGCGTCTGTACCTGACGGGAAGCGCAGGCGCGTTGGTAGGAGGAACCTATGGTGCGGCTAACTCGGGATTGAGGTTCGGGCTGGGGCAGATTGATGGGGTGGACGAGAGGCCAGAGGCAATCGTGAGATTTGCTGAGGCGGGAGAGGATTGGGTGCCAAGGAGCCTGCGTGTGTTGACGAGAGGAGATGTAGACACTGCTCTCGATGAGGCTCAGGTTCTCCCGGCGTCCAGGTACGACGGCGGAGGGGCAGACCGAGCAGCACCGTTGGGCGAAGACCGATCTTTGCACGATACTGCAACCGTTGCTCAGGAAAGTCTGCTCGATGAAGAGGACGAAAGCTCATCAGAAGTGACCGTCCGACCCACATCTCCAAACAGGGGGCCCAGTACTGTCGAGGATATGCCACTTGTCCCTGTCAACCGATCGCGCGGCGAAAACCGTGAAGCATGGGAGCTCGTCAGCCCACACCGAACAACATCGTCGTCGCTGGAAACACTTCGGGAGCCATCGCCGCACATCAACGGCGATGCCGCGCATGCTGGAAACGATGGTCCCATTGCAGCACTGGTCAACTGCCCCTGCCACGAGGAGCACCAGTGGACTAGGGTCAGCAGCGTTCCAACGCACAGAACCATACAAATGCACGACAAAGAGACGCTGGCACAACAGCGTGACTCGCGGCTACACCGGGCAACACCACAAGTTGACGGTGACCAGCGCGAGGACCTGAGCGAGGACACCTTGGAGATCCTCGTGACGTTTGAGAGTTGTGCACACAGCTTGGCCGTCTTCGTTGAGCGGCTAGACTACCAGGACGCGAATCAGATCACTGCCAGATGCGGCTGCCATGGCTTCGATCGCTGCTTGGTGGCTGCCAGGCGGGCTATGAGCACTCAGGAGTGTCTGGTTTGCAGAATCCACAGGAAGCGAGGGGAGTGGGCTAAGATGACTGGGCACGAGGAGTCTGAGAGGTTTCCGTGGTTTGAGCGGTATGTGAGATGTATTGATGGACGGAGAGAGTGGCAGTTGTGGCCATTTGGGGCTAAATCCAGTAGACCTGAGACGGGGTCGATTCGACACTAGACACCGCCTGCATGGTCGAAGCTCCCTAGATCATTGAGCGAGCTCTTGAGGTAGTGGTGCGTATGCAGGGTGATGCCATGAGTATGACTGGTAGTATTCCAGTTTGCTCACCGGTTTCCCCCCTGATGCTAGAGTTTTGTTCACCATGGACTTGAAGTCGCTCTCGAATTTCCTGGTCTGGATGCGGATGACTTCAACCTCCGGTGGACACAGCTCATAAGGGGAGTTGCCGTTGTGTTTGTGCTTTTTGCCCCTTCCGAAGAATCCAACCTTGCGCTGCTTGTCGGTTGGCCGTGGCATCGTCGCAGCGACCTCTAGCAGCTCACAGCTCCAACAGAGGCATTTGTCGTATGGAAACCCAGTGACACGCTGATATTCTTTGCACGTCCACCGGAAAGCATCAGTAAGAGCTCCATCCCCAATCTTGTCATCGTGGTCAATGAAGACGTTATCACAGTGGCGTAGAGAATACTCGTAGTAGTTTGCGGGTGTCAGCTGATGCGTATGCCACACCAAATCAACATCAAAGGTAGGAACTGCCACATTGTCAGGAAACATTGCCATGACTTCGAAGAACCCAGTATAGCGTTTGACAGCGTCTTGTACTGTGTGCTGCAGCGCCGGAGAGTGTATCCAATCGAAGTCTCGCATCTTGTTGACGAAAGTGCCCTGCCGGATGACTGCTCCAACGAGATCAAGACTGAATGGTGACGGGTTCTGATAGTACCTGCCTACCATCCGCTTCAGAGATACTGCCATGACTGCCCGACTGGACTCATCTTCAAGGTCAATAGCCTTGCGGACTTTGGTTTGAAGTGCGTCTAAACCCATTCCAGGAGACTTCAGAAGGTCGTTGAGTATTGCTTCGCCGTGCTCGGATTGCAGCCATGCATTGAAGACCCTTGGCAACGGCCTGCCAAGAGAGATGTTTTCGGCGTATGAGGTCGGAATCAAACCATTGCCAGTCAGCAAGGTTCCTGGCATTACATCGCTGAGCTTCCGTAAGTCCAGGAGATCTTCTCTGAATCGAGCCATCACAAGCTCCTGCTGCGTGATAGACTGCCGACAGCATGCGCAGCTCATATTGAACGACAGATGCATGTTTCCCTTTTCCCTACGAGCAGACCCTCCAGCGTACAGGTCTGTCCAGGGTATTTCGATGGACATGGCGCAGTTTGGACAGATGACGGTAGCCGGAGAACCTTCTTCGACGTTGTCCCACTTTGCAGAAAAGCACTCTTGATATCTGTCGAGACAGGCTTGTGGCGGCTTATACTTGAACGTATCTGGGTCCACATTGAATCCGATGTAATCCCAGGGAAAGCCAGCTTTCCACAAGGACAGCAGGCGATATCGGAGGCAGTCCTGTAAGAAGTCTCGAGGATTCAGCATATGCGAATGCAGGACCATGAGGACATCGAGAGGTGGAAGAGTCTGCTGAGACCATGATATCCGAGGAGTTTCTGCAATGATCTGATCCAAATTTCGGCCATCTGTGAGCTCGTGCAGCGACATTTTGCATCGTATATTGTCTCCTAGATCCAGCGAATCGTCCGTCGGGGCCAGCGAATCGAGCCATCTCTCGTAACGCTGCACGGCTTTCGCCACGAAGATGGTCCAGCGTACATCGGCTTTCGATCTCTCATCATTGTCGGTGCAGCCGAACAGGCAATCTGTTTCCTCAATTGTCTCACGTAGTTGGGCAAGGGCGGCCAGCAGTTGTAGATGTAATATGCAAGACTCTGGAGGCGGTAGAGCCTTGTCGATTCTACCGTGGAAGTCGGTGATGTCGCTTCTGGAGTCGTAAAACTGAGCTCCCGGCGGCTGGGGTTTATCGTTGGGGCCGGGCAGGTATTGTCTCGGCTTATCGACTGGCTGCATTGTAACAGAGATTGATGACTGATGTGCTTGCTCGCGGCTCGTGACGTTGGGGACAACGTGGCTCTTTCAAGGCCATCGTTCGAGTACTTTCATTTGGGTGTGGGACAAGGTGGGGGCGGCGGTGCACGTCCAAAAGTACCTCTAGTTGCTGCGGTGCAATGGCTTGAATACGCCTCACAGGTAGCAGCCAGATCAGCCGCAGATCATGGGTTTTCTTGAAAATCGTTTCTAAAACTACATACTGGGAAAGGCCGTAAACCGCAGTCGTACTATGACGGCACGCGTTCGTATCGCCCGCCACGGCCGCCAACGCGCCACGCCCTCAGAGGTAGCTCTTGGAGAGCCAAAGCCTTCCGCTCAATATATGTCCAGAAAAGAGCAGCACCAATCAACACGAAGGCAATGTTCGTGATATAGTAGCCGTCACGTTCCATATGGCACACGCCTCCGCCCTTGATGCATCTGTTCTTCTCCGCTTCAAGAGCGCAGGAGAACGATTCGCTGATCGGTGTAATGTCTGGGTTAGCCTTGACAAAAGCATCCAACGCTGACCCAGCAGTCAGTGGTAGACAGGTTGCACTGGTGAACAAGTCCACCGACTTGAGGAGGAAGAACTTTGGAAATGTACCGCCCAGGTTCGACACACTATCAACGTTAGTACAGTCCTAACAAGAGACAGGATTACTTACGTTGCTAACAGGGTCATGTACGTGCCACCAATATCGGGATCGGCTATTCTGGCATGAAAAGCTGACGAGGCAACAAACATGATGGTAGAGGTAAAGGTCGAATAGACATGCGACACAATGACAGTCAGCAGGTACCAGAATGGCACCGCCTCATCATGTGCACTTGGATACATTACCACTGTGAGTTGAGCTACGACTGCAGCCACCAGTCGTGCCGTGTAGGCCCAACACCACAGTCGTAGTGGTGAATACTCGGTCGACCATTTGCCGGCGTAGTAACCGAGTGCGAGCTCAAATGGAAAATCGATGAGCACGACCAGAGCCAAATTGGCCTGCCCAAAACCCTTGTCTAAGAGTTTCAGATTGGTAACAGCTTCGTTGGTGACGAAGCCCAATTTGGAGACCAAGTGGATCGCCACAATGGTCAGGATGTTGGGTAGTTTCATGACCTGCCACATAGATTTGTAGACTTCCATGATGCCCTCGCGGTCTCGAGTCTTCTCTTCACGCTTCAGGACGGCGAGCCCGATCGTGACGATCAGGTAGCCCCAGCCCCAGAACTCCATGTAGCCGCCCAATGTCAGAAGGCCGACGTCTTTGGGCACGGCTCGAAACCAGTGATTCGCAAAGTCCGGAGCCTGAAGAGCTAAGAAAACCGTATGCGACAGAAAAGAGCCAGCCGTGAGTCCAACGGTTTGCGCCGTAGACGCATAGGAAATGTTGGCCATGGACAAGAGGCTGATGGCCCAGCCATCAACGGCAATATCCTGTGTCGCGCAGAGGAAGACGAGGAGGAACCACCATCCAGTGAATCCCCAAACGCCAGAGCCGCCATTGGCTCCTGCCTTCTCCATCATTGCATCGATCTGACCACCGAGGTAGATCATTGAGAAACCTGACACAGTCTGAATTGGGAGAATCCAAGACTTCCGCCTACCCAGCCGCCGTGACCACACCGCATCGACAATTGGTGACCACAACAGTTTCAAGCTGTACGGGTATATTGCCAATGAGAAGACACCAATCTGACCGTATGAGAGGTAATTCTTTAGCAGGAAGGGCACCGAGCCAGAGGCCAGACCCATGGGAATCCCTTGTAGGAAGTATAACAGACATAATAGGAGGAAATTTCGCTTGTCGGACGGCGGCAAGGCGGAGAAGGAGGTGGTGACCATGCCAGGGGTCTGAGGGGTCTGCGGAGGAGGCTCATTGTCGAGGGAGAACTGCTGGTGGCTCATTAATTGAGCACGGTGCGTGTCTTCATTGGAGACATGCTTGCGCCGTAGTTCCATGCCGGAATTCACGTCGCCGTTGGCGTTGGCGTGGCCGTTGCCGTTCAAGTGGCCATTGCCATTGCCATTGTTGATTTCAACCTTAAGATCTGGGCGAGACTTGGTCTTGTTGCGTCGCGAAGCGCGTTTCATCTGCCCAGGAACTAAAGCGTCGTTCTCGGATTGACCACTATCTGAGTCGGACTCGGAGGATGAAGCTAGCAGCTGGGATTCTGTGCTTTGCCGGTGCGAAGGTAGTTGTTGCAGAGGGATGTCTCGCGATTCTGGTCGGCCTTGGTTGCGGCTGCTGGACTGCGACTCTGTCTGCGGAAGGTGCTGATGGTCAAAAGAATGACGAGGAATAAAAAGAGGGTGTGCAATGGGTTCGCCAATCGAGTCAGGCATGCGGCGAAAAGTGAGACGCGAACGAACAGAAATGCTAGAAGTGTCCTCAAAAAGTCTAGATCTGAGCGCGAGAAAATGAAGTCATCGAGGTGGAACAGGTCAACTGCATGCAGCGACAGATCATTCGACCTCGCTGCAGGCGATATGTCAGCAAACGTGCGTGTTCGTAAAATGAGCGACTTGAGAAGGCAACAGTGGGCGAATCTGCTGATGGCGTAGGAATTGGGACTGAGGACACCTTTATCACTGAATTCGCCTGCAACAGCGCATTCCAGCCTTCCAGGCCTGTCTTCGCCTGCTCCGAGGGCCGGTGGTTTACTTGGCTTAGCTAAACCCTTGCCCCTGATCGACGCCGCAGCCGGTCCCTCAAAACACGTGAAGATAAGCAACCCCAGGCTCGCCAGGTGCTGCCGATAACAACCCCAGGCTCGCCAGGTGCTGCCGATAACAACCCCGGCGCCAAGGTGTGCAGGGCAGGCGCGACGCGGTCGCGTCGAGGGGAAATGCGGGTGCATTTCTAGCCGCAACCGCGGTGGTGGTCACGCTCACTCTCCTTAGCACCCTCACCGGCCTGCCACAAGTATCGATCGAGATGTCCCTCGCCGCATCTCCTGTCCCAACGCAGGAGTTAACAGAAGCACAGCAGGCCCGAGTCGAGCAGCTTGATGAGGATATTGCCAAAGCTAGGGCAGAAATTGCTTCACTGACCAGCCACAACTCCATGCTTACGGGAGCATTGCTTAGCTCGGCCAATGTTCAATCTCAACTTCGTCAGCATCTGAAGTCAGAAAATGATGCTGAATTAGCCAAACTGCTCGACAATCGTGACCAGTATGGCGACACAAATGTTCATCGCATGGCGTACGGCGTCACAACCTTTCCGTTCACGGACCCCGCCCCCGAGTCACCGAGTCGGTCATTACTGGGGATCCGCTTCGATATACACAAACGTGGCGGCACCTTTGAGTCGCCTTACTATATTCTATGCAGGAGCACCGGAGAAGAAGCACGAGACCTGGCCGTTCACAGGCATACACTTCCGGGCTTCATACCCCTGCTTGAGTACCAAGAAAAGTTTCTTGGGGTGCAAGACGAAGGCTACGGATCGGCCGACACCAGTGCTGATTCCTCTGAGGCTGGCCCACAAGATCTTGAAGGGCTCGTGAAGAGAGTGCGCGCCGATCTGGTTGCATGGCGCTTACGCCAGGATGCGGTCCAGAATATTCAAGAAAAGCTCGCTATCCAATCCAATGATGTTGACTTGGGCGAACCTGCTTCAGCCCTTGGAGTGTTGACCGAAGCTGGGGACTGTGGTATATCGTCTTTCCACGCTCTCGGAGAGGATGCACATTACGCCAGAATTGTATGGTCCAACGGACGCGTGGGCAGAATCAAGATTGGCAATGCACTTTCCATCGACCGCGCTGTCGTCTTCGGTAATATTGATGGTGACAACCAGCGGTGCAGCGACTATGAGCAGGCCCTAGTCGGAGATCTGGATGGGCTGATAAGCCGGCTGCGAGCCCTCAGCGACCGCGAATTGCAGCAAACAGGACATTGGTGATGCTTGCAGTTCTGATGGGTTACGGCTCCCAACCTTGCGCTACGTGTTCTCATGTACACGAACACTAATGGCCGATGTTGTGTCTTGACATCAATCCAGAGTTGTCTTGGTCCGAGCATGGGGCCATACGGCGGATCGTTCTTGAACGACGCCTTTGTTCTCCTATCTTCCGCGAACAGCACCCGACGAACAAAGATTCTAGCATACACTGGCTATTACCTAACGTTCCAGTGCTTCATCTGCTGTGTCCAAGACGAAAAGGACACTGCTACGCAGATTGCTACGGCGAGATGCTGGCAAAACGACTGACTTCGATGCTCAGACGCCTTGCGCCGGGTATCAACAGCAAAGGACAGCCAACAATAGCAGTCGGTGGCCAAGAAGTTGTAATCGACGCATACTTTCGCATACTAGCTCTTGCAGACAGCGGCAAAAGTCGGAACGAGATTGTATCTCACATTATTCATGTGACAGAGTCGAATGCCTTGGACGCGGGGGCCACTTTCGGAAGTTTGGTGGACAACATCCTGGAAAACGAACGGCTTGTCCAAGCATCATTGACAGCCCCAGTGGCGAAGCATGACCGTGCAAGTATTGTCAGGGAACATCAACAACCACGGAAATCAGTCCTTTCAAAACCTCGTCGGGTGACTACGCATGTCACCTTTTCGGAGCCGACTCTTCGGTCGCCAACATCCCCTGACAAAGAAGAAGAGAAACTTGTGATCGAAGCTCTGAGGCTAATGGCCGAGCGAGATGCCGTAACGAAAGCCATTCCCGATACCCAGGCACGACGAAGAGCTACAGCCGCCCTTGATGAGCAAATCAGGTCATCGTTGCGCAAACACCAAGCAGTGGATGATCTCGATGATGCTCGCATAAGGCTGGAGCTTGCCAGACAGAACCTCAAATAATTGCAACAACGGGCTATCTTTTGTTCGAACAATGCAGAGCTAACAGATTCCTGGTTTGTATGCTGCTAGCGTCCGGCAATCCTTTATGTTTACCATCCAACTTGGGCCAACTCGCGGTGTTCGCAATGTCTTACAAAGAAGTTCACAATCCTCTGTCTGTATATTGTCGAAAAGCGGCCAAACACAGGGCAGACGTGAGGCAAACATCCTGAAGTACCAACTATCTTATAATCACGAAAACTATGGTCAACCTTTCTGCAATGCATGAGACTTCTAATCTCAAGATCGACAACTCTAACGAAGTTGTGTCAGTACAGCAAGTCCGGTGGCTGGTACACAAAGCTGCACAAGGCTGTATACCTGAATGTCTTGCTTGCCACTTCAGTGGGTTGTACTAACGTGACCTTCTCCCCGAAGAGATTGAATCTGTCTTGGAAGGTGTGTACGTACCCACAACGCTCCCTAGTCATGGCGTCCAAGTGATCGACTATGATGCTTGTGACGATCAATTTTCATCCTGGTCTCGGATGGGATATACTACAAGGTCGTGGATATGCTACAGAGCCGTCGTTTGTTTTACGAGGTTCGCGTTATTGTCAAAGATAAGTGGAATGTGAACTACACTGTTGAGCATCTTCAAGAGATACAAAACCACTGCATGGGCAATCTTCCCTGTGATCAGGACGGTTTACCAGAAGTTCCAAGAACCTTAGATCCTGCGCCGCATCCTGGTCGGCGTCTGCCGAGTCTCCCGACCGTGCCATTCACGCCTCGAAATGGTGGACATTCGAGATCTAGCCTCTCTCGTCCCCCTCCGACTTACTCCCCACGCCCGAGTTATAGAGGAGTGAATTTGAGGCACCCTCGAGAAAGTCGTGCCAGAAAACGGCCACAAGGCCGGTTACTCCCCGGGCGATCGCATGCCAGAGCCTCCAGCTTATGCTGGTGAAGGCCACTTCCCACCGTCATATGCTTCCGTTGGCAGATCATTTAGACGGTCATCTCGAAGATCTGTACCTACAAGTGGGGTTGAGAGTGATGTACCTATCACGCCATTGGACCTGGGCTCGCTTCTTGGTGAAGCTTACAGCAATCCGGGACGAGCAAGGCTACGCCCCGTCACTACTGAAGTTCACGAGGACTCGGTGACTCCAGTCACCTTCTCGCCACGAGAAGTAACAGACGTGGTCGACTGGGCCGACAGGCTGTCTGGTGGAACAAACGGCCAACACTCAGATGTTGCGGCCATTTCAGCCAGCCCAACGGTGTCTAGTGCTACTGTTGACCGCTTTCTACAGACGTTTCTGGACACGTCGCCTGGCTCATCCGACGATGGTTCAGCCGACGATGATCGCTCTAATCCAGCAGACTTCCACGTTAATTGATGAGAGACGTCTCGGTCGCCCTTCCATCGGTGTCCAGCAAGATTCTGCCGATTCTTCTGAAGAGTCCAGAGAAGTAGAGCTGCCGCTCTACTCCCGTCATCGACTTCAAGCTCCCTTCACTACGATTGTGCCCGCGTATCTCCGTGACGAACTCGTGGAATTCCGGGCAACGGATAGCCATGAGGCAGAAGAGGAGGAGGAGGAGGAGGAGTTTGCGGATCAGATGTGAGTTTGTTGTGCTGCGGGAGACGTGAAGTGTGGGAGAGAGAGGTAAGGAACAGTCCTACTACTAGCAAAGGTCTGTCTGGTAGATGCGACGGTGAGTCAGTCGGCTTTTCCTTGCGATGTCCACTTACTGCCTTTGCGTGCTGGCCGTTGCGTGCTCTATGATTAACATCGATAAGCATCTCTCTATCTCGAAATGCTGTTGGTGATTCAAGTAAGTCAAACGTGATCTGGAATAACAACGGGTTTTCCTGCTGGTCGTCGGCGCCGGGTCAAGACACGCATGGCCTGCTGCTCTACGCGAACATGTCATGTGTAGTGAGAGGAGAACTGCTTACGATCAATACAAACCAGCACTGCTTACGGGTGTTATGAGTTGAAGGCCAGAGACCACAGGGAAAAGAGAGTTCTACGTGAAACCAACATTGGAGCAGAGTGTTGGGTCGAATGTTGTACAATTGTCTTCTCTGATCAACTGCAAGAAGCTCGAATGTGTGTTGAAAAGAACCGGGAAAGCCGCCATGGAACGACGACACTCCGAGAGACTCGGGAGTTTGTCTCAAAATGCGAATCGCTTTTATTCGGTCCACTCCCTTTTCTGTCTTGATGACCCTAATTGCTCACTTCCCTGACCAACCAAGCTCCCCTGGAGGCGTCGGTACCCAGCTCAGAAAATCGTCATCTCGGGCACTCCAGTGGTCGTCGTCGCGGTTGACGAAGGAGGTTCGATCGGTTCCGGCAGAGCGACCGGGCAGTCACCCTGGAAGTCGCCGCAGACCGAGGTGTTGGGGCATTGCCAAATGCACTGGCGGGTCTTGATGTCAGCAAAACCACGAACAGCAGGGGTTGTGGCCGGGAGGTATGGCTCTGGTAGGTTGGGAATAGCTGCAAGCAGGAGAACGTACCATGGCATCGGTGCTGTCGAGCTCACAGGAGCCGTGACACATGAGAATGCTGGCACCGTCGTCCTGGCGGGGGGTCAGGTTGACAGCGGCGGAATGGGCGAGGCCAATGAGAAGGGCGGTGGTAAGTTTGTACATCTTTGAGTGCTATGATGTGCTTGGATGTGTGGGTGAATGGGAGTCCGGAATGGCGAAGGAGGAGAGTACTTGTATTCTCGAGAGATGGGAGACCGTGCCCTTGGCTTACAATCGTTCTGCTTGATGCTCAGAAAGCTGAACCATCTCTTCCAACGAATTTCGCTTGAATGGTCCCATGGGGGCGGTGACATACGTACTCGGAGCGGCGGGTCTTACCTCATTCTTTCCAAGAGCCGTCATTCTCTTGGCCAGGAGGTGCACAAGCCGGAAGGTGGTTGTTTTCTTGAGTGGATGTTGCAAACTGAAACAGCAACGGTGGTGCGGACAAGGATTCCGAGTGGGCCACCCCGGATTGTGAGCCGACTCCTTTTGAGCATTTCTGGCCAGTGAGGGTTTGTACTGACTGACAGGGATGCATCCAGTACGAGGTGATCTGCAAAAGGATGATTGCTGCCAATGCTCGGTGACCATAAAAATAGTGACGATTCAACGTGGACCATTCAGCCGCCTGTTTTCGGCATATTTTGCAGCTTCACAAGCAGAAAGCCGCGACGATCAATCTTGGCTCGTATGAGACTGGACAGCACTCGGCGTGTCCAGCGTGAAAAGATCTGGCTTAAACGAGCAGTAATTCGGAAGTTGTCTCGCAGTCCCAGTGGTGCATGTGGGTGAAGGGATTCTCGGCGTTTGGGCGGAATGTTATGGAATGGTCGCATAGGCACGCCATGAATAGCAGTAGGGCCAACACTCGGTACAGTGACCAGTGCGGAGCAGGCTCCGGCAAATAGAGATCATGAAGGACTTCAACCTGGATCCCTCGCAAAAAGCCTGCTTGAAATGGAATCGCCTGAATCAGGACGTCCTACGGATCTGGGACGTCACCAGAAGCCTTCAATGCACGGAACATGTCTGAAGAGCCCGCCGGTCATTTTTGTCGACCCTTGAGGGATGTCTCGGTCGTCCCAATGAATCGTTTTGGTATCTAGTCAACCGTTCTGTCCGTCCCTCAGTAGAGTCACGATGTATCTTCTCGCGCGTGGAGGGCACGTCTTTCCGCATCAATCAAGAAGGAAGGAATATGGCCACGGCGCTGGAAGCTAACGATCATCGTGTCAACCGCCGAATCAAAGCCGTCGAAGCCATCCGTATCAGAAGTCACTATTCTCTTTCACAAGCTTATAATGTCTTAGGACCACTGGGCATTGAGCAGGCTATTGCATGTACAAGCAGAACCACAAGTTCGTCGGTGAAAGCCTGCAGCAATGTGGCTTGCAGATGTGGCTTGCGGGATGGGCAGGTGCGAGCCGCAGTTGGACCCCTGGTTGGCGATACGAGAAGACCACCCGCACTGGATCTATCAAGCAGACGAGCGCATGACCGCTATTGAATCTCGAACGACGGCAGAAGCAAATTCTGCAGCTGTCAACAAGGTCACGACGACAAGAACCTCGGAAAGCCAGCGACCAAAGAACGACGGCCATGAACGTGACAGGCGTTCTCGACCGCCCGGAAGGCTACGCTAGTTAAAGCTTGCACCTATCGAAAGGCGCCCTGGGACGATCTTAAAATCTCGAACCCTGCGGCCACGAGAAAAAAAAACTGCACGCACTCCACCCCACGCCAACTGACTTGGGACGGCGAGCACCGAGCTGGAGGAGCTGACAGCGGCTCGCCGCTCAACATAAAGAAAACCCTGTCCGCCACCATGTGTCCTACCTTCTGGTCTTCTCTTCATCCATCCATCCTACCACCGCCTTTGAGGCTACATCTCACAGCGAGCGACTTCTTGGAGTTTTGCGCCCGCTAATCTTTATAAAGCTCCAGTTTACCGTCTCCACCCAAGCATAGAATTTGTGTAGCATCAAATCTATCGCTTGTCGGTACGAAACGCTGTCGCAACCATGAGCGCCAACAAGGATTTCGAAGCAACCACGGCCATCCGTGCTAATAGCTCCGACTATGCCTCCAACGGCCATGGATCTACTGAGCACGGCCAGCCCGAACTCACTGACAACGAGGCCGGCACGGCAGCAGGCAAGAAGACGTGGTCTGAACGCCTCGCCTTCTTCAGGACCAAGGAGTTCTGGTTCATCCTGTTCCTCGGCCAATTCCTCGCCGTCTGCATCACCGGCACCAACACCATGTCTAGCTTGCTAGCCGAAGAGGGCACGTCCATCCCGGCCTTCCAATCCTTCTTCAATTACGTCCTGCTCAATCTGGTCTACACCTCCTGGACTATCCACCGTTACGGCTTCAAGGGCTGGAGCAAGATGGTGTGGAAGGACGGCTGGAAGTACATCATCCTAGCCTTTTTCGACGTCGAGGGCAACTACTTCACTGTACTAGCCTATCGCTACACCACCATTATGAGCGCCCAACTCATCAACTTCTGGGCTATCGTCGTTGTGGTCATTCTCTCCTTCTTCTTCCTCAAGGTCCGCTACCACTGGGCGCAGATCATCGGGATCATCGTCTGCATTGGCGGCGTTGGCGTCCTGATCGGCTCCGACCACATCAAGGGCTCTACGATTGGCGGCATATCCGTTGGCAACCAGGTTAAGGGGGATCTCTTCGCCCTTTTGGGCGCCTCCTGCTACGGCCTCACCAATGTCTACGAGGAGTGGTTTGTCTCCGGCCGTCCCCTCTACGAGGTCATTGGCCAGCTGGGCTTCTGGGCCATGATCATCTCCGGTGTGCAGGCCGCCATCTTCGACCGCGGCTCGTTCCAGTCTGCGACATGGAACGGCGACGTCGCCGGCTATCTCGTCGGCTTCACTCTCATCCTGTTCATCTTCTACACTCTGGTCCCGGTTCTCTACCGCTTCGCCAGCGCCGCCTTCATGAACATCTCCCTTCTAACCGGCAACTTCTGGGGCGCCATCATCGGCATCCGCGTCTTCGGCTTGTCCGTGCACTGGATGTACCCCATCGCCTTTGTGCTGATCATGGTGGGCCAGTTCGTGTATTACTTGGGGAAAGGCATCTTGGGCGAGGCCAAGAAAGCCTGGTTGGGAGAAGACCAGGCAAAGGGCATTGATGGCTTCGGGAGCGCCAAGCGCAAAATGCGCAAGATGCAGGGCGTCCAGCGTGGCGACGAGGGCGTCGAGGGCGCCGGCGTTGTCTGAGTCTCCGTATACGGATTTTCGAAACGAGCGGGCGAGCGAGCCAATGAAGCGAGAAAAGAGAGACGGGTGGCGGAGGGGATTGTGACTGATCATGATATGATATGAATGACCACATAACCACCTAGATACACCCATCCGCTTGAGACAAAGCAGTCTCCTGAGAAGAGGACAGTATTAGAGTCCAAACGCTCACTAATGTTAATTGCCAACCAAAAGGCGCAACTTGGATTTTTCTCGCCGTCTTCTCTGCATACACCGTGTGTGCTCAACAAGCGGAGAAGTATTCTGGGCCTTGGTAAAATAATCAGCAGACGTCTCTACTTTCAACAGGGGAGCAGACAGTCGATAACAGACAGCTACGTAAGTAAGCATGCGGCAGCAAGGAGATAGGAATTTTGCCATATTCTCGCTTTGTCTTTGTCACGGAAAGAGATGGACAACCCCAGGTGTCGGGATATGTGGCGCAACGTTGCGCGCGGAGGGAGGGACGGACAAAAGGGGAAAGGGAAAAGATGAAAGCAGAGGGAAATTCAGAGGATATCAGAAGAAACAACTCCTTTTTCCATGCGATTTTGGTGTCCTCTGGGGGATATTTGTCGCCAGCACTTGGCAATAATTCCGTGAGGTGCACGTTGCAGGATAGAGATGGATTGGTTTGACTTTGGGTCAAGGGAATCTGGTTTCGATTGGGGAGTTTTCCGTTTTGCGGGGAGGCGTGCCTGACTTGGACAATATCGCTTCGTCCACGGTTTCCTCAGCGTTGTGGTATTTTCGATCGGTTTGCTGTCATTGCCCACCCGCCGTCCTCGCATCGCCCACCATATTCGCCAGGGTAGAAGGAGGTGGAGGTGGCGTAAGAACCGTAACACATGTGAGTTGTCAAGTCTCGCGACAAGTGCCCCGTTTCCATGAACGTTCTTCACCATTCTCGCTCCTCGCTTCTCTTAATGACCAGCCTCCACCTCGTCCCGAACCCACGCAACGAGTCCACGACTCTACTGCTCGCTTTGGAAGTAGTTCAACAGGACGCTGCGCTCCTGGCTCTCCTCACCCCAGTCCTTGACGACGACGCACGAGCAGTTGACGACCTTGCGCGCATTACCCTCGCGGTCCAGCACGCACAGACCAGCCCACTCGCCGAGCTGCTTGCCATCAGGCACCTTGATGAGCGGGATCTTGTGCTCCGAGCACAGCGCGATCACGAGCTTCTTGTACGCTTCCTCCTCGCACGCCTCGTTGAGCACGCACATGTGCGCTTGGCGTCGGTCCAGCGCCTTGGAGGCTTCGCGCAGGCCGCGGGCCAGGCCGTCGTGGATGAGGGCGATTTTGAGGACGCCTATGATGAAAGGGTCAGTATACATGTTTGGCGGCGGTCGTTGGTGGTCGTAGATAGTTACAGAAGGAGGGGAATAGGACCATGTGGGAGAGACAGCACCTTTCAAAGCATCGAGCACGCTCATCGAGCCGCCGGTGGCAGCAGAATCTCCTGCGATCTCGACCTCATCGGCGGCAGCGACAGGGGAGGTGGGCTCTTCTCCGTCCGACTACATCATCCTCAAGTCAGCCTTTATTGTGTCCAAGACATCCAACTCGAACGCTCGGGAAGTTTGTTCGGCGTGCGCTGCGCGCTCGTGACCAAACCGCAAGATCCAGAGACGTACCATTTTGGCGTTTGCTCGCTACTCAACGATGCGCAGTTATGTACTTGTTGTTGGGTAGGGATGACAAGAATGTCGGAAGATCCTCAAAGAGTTCACGTAGATGGGAAAGGAGCGAACGATTTCGGTATTGTATGTGGAGGGAACATTTGAAGGCTCAGGGTCGCTTTACGGGTTGATTTCGACCCTTGGCAGAGTGCGGCCTTGGCATACGCAGTACTAGTCCCGAACAGGCATGGGCGCAGTACTAAGTCGGAGATGCGGTCAGAGCAAAACACTCATCTGTAAGGAGAATGAGTATTCATAGACACATGCATTATCTACAATTGTCGTTATTGCCATCGCACCATGCGCGCAGGAAGATACCTTGGTGCTCCGTTCTGCTTCCCGTCGTACGCTCAATGAGAATGCCCGCTGCCCCATAAACAGAATTTCGACATAAAGAGAGCAAGTGGTTGTTCATCAATTCCTTCGAACGTTAGCGAGGGCCACCATTGGCGTGTATATGGATGCCGTTCGGAATTTGTGGTGTTGGGGGAGAGCCGTATATGCCGTTAGTGCGTGGGGATCCATGAGGAGTGATTTGGTCAGGTATTCTAATCGTGATCTTCTGCTCCCTGAGATACAACCCTGAGAGATGGTCGTGGCGATAAATTTGGTCGTTGAAGTCGGACAGCTGATCATGTTAGCAAGAGCGTACCCGCCATAATCGCATACTACATACCTTGACCCAGAAGACTTCAGTCATGGACAAAAATTTGGGTCGCTGCTCCGCCTCGACCTGCTTGGCCTTCTTGATGCTGGTATTGTAACTGTTGGTCGGATATTCGTACGACAGCATATGCCTGCCAACTTTCCACAGTCTCTCCTGTTCCTCTGCCGAGACAGGCCTCTTTTCGAGAGCTGTGTAGTTCCGAAGATTGAGATCCTTTGTAGCTAGTAGAACAGCTGCCTGAAAATTCGGGATCCATTTCTCGTCGGCCATGGCGGGATGTGCAACGGGATCGAGCTGAGCCGTGCGCACAGTATATAGTGGTAGGAAGTGAGACAGCCATGCGTGAGACTTGGCCTCTTCGAAATTACCTGTGTCGAGCAAAAGAGACGCTCTGCTCAGTGCTGCTGGTAGCGCTTCCCGGCGACGGCGCTCAATTTCCAGGTGCTGCTGCCGAATTTGTTCTTCCTGCCGTCGCTGTCGGTCTTCCAGCTCCCGTTCGCGTCGCTGTCGCTCCTGTCGTTCCTCCTCTTCCTTCTTGCGAGCTGCAGCCTCTTCCTCGGCCTTTCTTTTTGCCTCCTCTTCTTCAGCCAACCTTCTTGCTTCGGCCTCTTCGGCTTTGCGTCGTGCTTCCGCCGCCTCGGCTGCCCGTCGTTCTGCTTCCGCCTGCTCGGCTGCAGCTCTTTGTGCCGCGAGCCGCTCAGCTTCCGCTTTTTCTTCGGCAGCCTTTTCGGCAGCGGCACGCTCTGCCGCCACTTTCTCCTCTTCAGCTCTGCGCTGGTCTTCGGCTGCCTTCTCTTCAGCTTCCTTCTGTACAGCAACTCTCAACTCTTCTTGCTTCTTCTGCTCCGCTTCTTCTGCGGCCTTTCGCACAGTCTCGTCGTCTGCTTGTTCGGATGGCGGGACCAGCTCTGTGTCGGGTTCCCCAGGCGCATCCTGCGTCGAGATCTCTGGGGATAAGCTCTTATTGGCCTGTGCAAGTAGGACATTAATTTCTCCGGCGAGCTCCTCGGTCTTGCCATCCTTCATCTGAGCGTCTTGCGGTTCGGCCATATGTGCTTGCTTGACCTTCAGTGCCGGACGAGACTCTTCTGGGCTGCTTTCGAGGACTGTGCGTCGTTTCTTGACGACCACCCTGTGCGCATCGCCGTCCTTTGGTTCGGGTGATACACTGGCACGGTTACGTTTCAGGCCGGGGGTTTGTCGCTCGCGCTTAACCTCAATCTCAGAGGCGCTGCCATCAGAACGCGGGCCACCTGCGCCACTCTGGCTTCTGCGATGCTCCTTCCCGGTTACTAGTCTTCGCCTACGCTGGAGGCTTTCCGCCTCCGAGGTCGGCGGTAGAGGGAGATCGCTCTGGCTTCGGCGATGCTTATGGCCACGTTTCTCGTGGACTGACTGTTCTTGATCAGAGACAACCGCGACTGCATTGTCATCCTTCAAAGCGTCAACTTTCCGCCGCTCGCGTTCCGGTGGCGAGGACAATTCTTTCTTGCTGTCTTTGCGCAAAGAGCGAGGGCTCTTGTCAGGAAGACTCTTGTGGGTCATAGTTGGACTGCTGGATGTGCGGAGGTTGCTGGAAGGTGGAGATTCGGAGCGCCTTGCACGTCTTTCTTTGGTTCGCTCAGGAGGCTCACGAAGCTTTTTGGGTGACTTTGTTTTTGCTTTGCCCGACATGTGCTTCTCGTAGGCTTCCTTTAAAATGTTGACTTCCTTTGCCCAGCTCTCACCACGACGTTCTTGGGCAATCTCGTAGTACGTCTTGCCTCGCCATTTTCTCGATGGGTTGAATCCAGTTTGTTCGACGAGAAGCTTAATGACATCAAGGTTTCCACGACCAATCGCAGCTAACATGGGCGTGTTATAACCAGGCTTGTGGTCAGAGAGTGGATCTGGATCTGGATCCGCCTCACCCATAGCCAGCAGATACTGAAGAACTTCTTCATGACCAGCCTTTGCGGCTGCGATAACAGCCGCAGGCTCTGCCTTTTGAAGCACATTCAATATTGTCGCAACTCCCTGGACGTTTCCTTTCGATGCTAGAAGCCTCAGGTTCTCTTGGGTGTGAGATTGCCACAACAGGTCGTTGCGGGTAGATTCGCTTCTTCCAGTTCTGCGCCGCGATGTAAGAGTGGGAGGACTTCGAGGACCAAGAATCGGTGGAGAGTCTCGGGCGCTTGCGGCTGAAGCAGCCCTGGAAGAGCCTTCGCGATGTGCCTCGGCGTTGTCGCTCGACTTCCTACGCTTAGTAAAGTCTTGCTCTTTCGCGTCGGCAATGAGTTTCCTGATCGTGTCATAGTTCTCATCGTCGAGAGGCACAAGCTCGTACGGTTCGTCGCCCTTGGTGTTCCCCGATCGAGGATTTGCGCCAAACTCCAGCAGTAGTCTTACCACCTCCAGATGACCATTTTCCACAGCGTCTATCAGCGGCGTTTCTTTGTCAATGTTCCGTGTGTCGACCTCGGCGCCGTTCTCTAGCAAGAATTGCACAATTTCGGCAGATCCTTGTAGAGCGGCAATCTGAAGAGGGGTGTTGCCAGCATTGTCAGAAAGGTTCAAATCTTCCGGTCGCTCTTTATAGCACTGTTTCGCCCTCTCCAGATCGTCGTTATTGCACGCCCTGGACAAAAAGGTACGGCCATTTTTGTCGCGATATTTACGGGGACCTGATGCTTTGGCTGGTGACATGTGGTCACGCGAATCGAACTTTTCCAGAGAAGGGCGCGGGTCGGGTGGGCTGGAATCGCCATCTGAGGAACTTGAACGGTGTCGCTCTGTAGATATGGTTCGCTTGGTGCTGATATTGGGAGGCCGGCCACGCTTCTTGCGTTCAAATTCGCCTGAAACAAGCTGTGTCGAAACACCTCGACGATGGCCGCGAGATATCGGTCTTGGAGAAGGCGATCGATCTTCCGATGACTGGCGTGGATACGTGGCGGACCGAGTTTCTCGACGTTCAGACGTACCGTCTGCGGTTGACGTGGAGCCTTTACTCCGGTGTTTGGCAGATGGTGCAAGAATATCGCTCGGCCGCCGTCTGCGCACTTTGGAAGGACGCGCACCATCTAGAACATCAGATTCAGCCTTGGAAACCGTACGCTTGGACCGCTGATTACGAGCTGACCGCGGGGTGTCGGAAATGTCTGAATCACTATCACGAGTGTGCGCTTGCGGATTTGGGGATGATAGAGGCGAGCTACTGGAAGTGCGCGAGGGTTCCATCTCGAGGTTGGGGATATCGCGTTTGCGCTTCCTGGGTTTCTTAGTGCCATCATCCGGTGTGTCGCCATTCTCTCGATGCCTCTTGATGGTATTCGAACCGGTCGGCTGTAGCACCGGAGCACCCTCTACCGCGTTCTTCTTCTTTTCTGGGGATTGAATCAGGGTCTCAGCCTCGGAATCGCCGTCGGCATCAGGTTCATCAGCGGCTTTGGTAGGATTGTCGCTGGTGCCATTAGAGACACTTTTGGGGACTTCGGGAGCATCCTCGGTCTTGACATTGGTCATGGAGAGTGTTGTTTGGTTATCGGTGAGGTCGTTGGGCTGTTTGTCTGTGGCGGTGACATCGTTAGCAACCTCTGAAGTTGACGCTTCTGTCATTTCATTGGGCGTCTCATTGTTGACGATGTCGTTGTACTTGTCGTCGGCCGTGATTGCTAGGCCTCCAGGTTGAAGGTTGGTCACGATTGTTGATAAGGCCGAAGCAGCACTGCGCCAGGCAAACACGGTGCGATGAGGGTGGCAGAGGTGGCGCAGTCGATGGCTATGGGCAGTTTGAGGTCGTCGCTGGACGATCACGATTGAATTGAGATGCAAGGTATCGCTGCGTGGAGAGAGCGCACAGACGAAGAGGCGGATTGTGAGGAGGAAGACCGCTTCTTTGACACGGGCACCCCCAATAAGTCCCACTGGCATTTGCCCAGCTTTGAGCAGCCCAATAGTGATTGGACACTATCATTAGCGTCAATCCCCCGCCAGATTAATACCACCTGCCGGGAAGAGGGATTCATCAACTTCTCCATCTCGACCAGTCGACATTTGTTTTCGACTCCCAACTTGTTACATGCCTTCGCGATTTACTATTGTGATTTACTCTCCAAATTGAAGCTTGAATGCCTCGTCTGTAGCATGATGGCAGGTACCTTCACCCCTGACATCACCACCCTCGTACGGACTTTCTACCTCGCCTCAGCCGCAACCACCATAGCTTTTCACGCCATACCACCACTACGAGACCGCTTTCTGGCCTATGGTGCCAGGAATGTATCAGCAACAACTGAGGCAGGTTCGAAGAGCGCCTCGATCTCTGGATATGAACCGACCGTGAACCTGTTAAACCTTCTCGACTCTCTTGCTGGGCTTCGGGTATCCCATTCCTACTTCATCTCTTTCTATGTTCTTTCGGCAGCGTTGTCAGTTTTCTGGCTGTATGATCTACTTCACGGTGGCCGCGCTCTGTCTCGACTCGCGGCTGAACACTCAATCCAGGGTCCATACGACTCTGCCTCGCTGTGGAAACCCTTGTTGAGCTTGTTTCTTCTGGTCCTGCACTCGCTGCGACGCGTCTATGAGAACGCATACGTGTCAGTTCCGAATCCAAAATCTACCATGTGGGTTGGCCATTTCGCCATCGGCCTGGCTTTCTTTCTCTTCCTCCAAATTGCGATCGTGGCGGATTACTCCGCGAGGACAACAAATGTGCCAGCAGGGCCATCAACTGTGGTTGGAACAGCCATTGTCCTTCTTGCCGTCTCGATATTCATATTCGCTTCCGTGTGGCAGTATCTGTACCATTGCTACCTGGCCAGTCTACGCAAGTACACCTTGCCGGTTGAATATGGCGCAAACTACATCGTTGCTCCGCACTACACAGCGGACTGCCTCATCTATCTGTGCCTTGCAATCGTCGATGCACCTCACGGGCTCATCAATTGGTCTGTCATCTGCGTTCTTGCTTTCACCGTTGTGAATCTGGGTGTTACGGCAGATGGCACCAAGAAGTGGCAGCTGAGCAAATTCCGAGATCAGCAGCAAAGCATACAGCAGCGTTGGAGGATGTTGCCTGGTCTATGGTGAGTCGAAATAGACCTCGTCAACTATTTACCATGAAAGGTAATCTGATCGGGCTGTGGGATACATCTTCTTCGGTTGAGGTAAGTCATTGGCTGTTTGGAGCATTTTAGCTCAGCTACCAGCTTCAGCTCCCAGCTCCAGCTCGGACTTTAGTACTTGGTACATAGACATTGACCTTGCACCACACTTCTTGTACACCCCTCGGACATCCTACTCCGAAACCTACCAAAAGTCAGCTCCGGAAGAGGTGCTCCGTGTAAGGACATCAAAATTTGGCTCATGAAGTAGCTCCAGCTCAAATATTTCCTTTCCTCCCTCCTTTCTAAACGCTCAGCGACGTTTCTCTGCGGTCCGCCGCGCCATGAAAGCCGTAGCACACGTGCAATTAGTACCACAGTGCTCATGTGGGGCGCATTAAAGTCTTCATTCGTCATTGTTTTATCGTGCGCTGTATGTTCGTCAAGCATTCGAGGCGCCATTGTCTAGAAACCCCGATTTTCTATGCATCCCCATCGAGGATAACTATCGAGGATCCTCGATTTCGCTCTACGCACCCTCGCCACTCTTCGATGCATCAACAGCTTCCGAGCCTACTGCCAAACCTGCTGCCTGAACCTTCGCACTGCCTTTCACGTCTTCGCTCATGTTCTCCATACGACCTTCATCCTCCTCATCACCCCGATCTGCCTTGCCCTCTGCTGGCTTGTCCTCCTTCTGACCATCCTTCTCCGCGCGCATAACCTCCCGCAGCGTCTCCTTCCAGCCTTCGTCCTCGCGGCGCTTCCGCTCCCTCCGCACCTCCCTCTCCACCTCCTTCTCCTCGTCTTTCCGCGCCATCTCCTCCCTGGCCCTGCCCATCCACTCTCGCAACCCTTCAATCGCCCTTTTCGGGCTCTTCTTATGTACAAGCAGATAGTCCTGTAGGTCCGCAGGGCTGAATTCCTTCTCCGGCAACGTCTCTGCGAATTGTGCCGCAAGAGCGTCGATCTCAGCATCTGATTCCGTCACAGAGTACGAAGCCGTAATCGATGTCTTCTTGGCGGCTGCCGCGATAGACGTGATAGAAGTTGGCGCCTCATCGGACGGGTCCCGATACATGCGTCGGAAGATTTCTCTTGCCTGCTCACGGCTAGCGTTCTCGAATTTGACCCTCACTGAAATCCTGCCGGCACGCACCAGAGCATCGTCAAGCTCATGTGGCTTGTTGGTCGTCATGATGAGAATGTGTCCTTCCGGAGCTGCCACACCATCGATGGCATTCAGGAGGCCGGACAAGCTGACTTTGCTGGAGAGTGCGCCGCCCTCTTCGTCATCGCTATCGGCCGTCTCGGAGGCTTTTTGCTTTTGCTCGGCGCGTTGGTTGCCCCGACGCCCGGGAGCGAGGCTGCCCATGCCACCGCGGGGACCGCCACGAGTCCCGCGGGAGGCTGGCCCAGTGTTGGCGCTGACGGTAGATTTCGGCTTGCGGGAGCTGAGGCCGGCGGTGTCGATATCTTCGAGAAGAAGAAGGCTGCGACCTGGAAGCTGGTTCAACAGGGAGATCAAGTCGGAGTCGCTGAGGTTCTGGTCTAGAAGTGTAAGAACGTAGACGTCTAGATTGAATTTGTTGGCGAGTGCGAGAGCAAATGAGGTTTTGCCCACGCCCGGAGGTCCGTGGAAGAGGTAGCCCCGGCGATAGGGAATCCCATGGCGCCCGTAGAAAGAGGAAGTCGAATCATCCATGTATTCTTCGATGTCGTGAATGACCATTTCCTTTTGCATCGTATCCAGGATAACAGTGTCGAGAGCTCGGCGAGGCTTCGCCGTAATGCGAGACCACGCCAAACGAGAGCTGTACCCACTGCTGTATGGACGTCGGATAATAGTAAGGGTGCGCTCTTTATCTTTGTTCAGTCTATAAATGTGCTCAAGGAACTGCTTGATGGGCGTAGTAGATCGGCCGAGACAGGAAATCGAGAGATTCTCGGCAATTTTGTAGCGGCTTCCTGTGAAGGTGTGGCCTTCGCCCGGTTTTCGAACTGCCCAGAATAGACGACGTCTGTGAATGAAAAGTTGAGTGCCTTGAGTTTGCTCATACTTGAGTTTTGGAGGCTCGTTGTTAGCGGTAGCCCGCCTATTGGACTCTTCTGGAGGCTCGCGCATTCCTCGCCTGGGCGTTTCCCTCGGAGCATTCGACAGCGCGTTAAGAGATTGGTCGGCACGAATGGTGTTGGCCTCTGACAGGTGAGTGACCAGGTAGTCGAACAGGTCCTCATCAGATGCAACGTTAACTGAGGAGACGAGCAGTGACGAGAAGCGAGTCCAAAGCGATTGTATGCGAGAGAGGGGCCCGAAATACCAAAGGGCCAGAACAACGCCAATCATTCGGAAAGCTAGAGGGTATTTCGCAAGAAGTGGTTGTAGGGATGGCATGAAAGTGCTGACAATGTATTCGGGTAGTTCGATCGCTGTTGAAGAGAAGCTCGACACAGCGGCCACTGGTCCGGCAGCGGGACGGCGGCGTGAGGGATCCATTCTTGGTTCGAAATGGCAAGAACAACTCTACATCTGGACTTTGGTGGTGCCGTGTGTAAGTAGGCCAAGCTAGACGCTCTCACTTGGGTGTATGGTTGCGAGTCATCGGACGAACCGATACCGAGAGCATACAAGAAGAGAGCAGACTTCGTGCTCAACGACGGTCGTCTTATGATGATTGAGATGGCGCCTTGATAGCACAGCTCACCATCTACTCGGAAGTTGCAAACGCGAAGGTGTTTATGAAGGGTTTGAGACCTGGTGGGATATGTTGCCCACAGGAAAATCAGCCTAGTCTGACATGGGTGTAGACAGCTCCAGTCCTATGGTAGGGCGAGCATGGTCATCGACTGGGCAACATGCTATGGCAGAGGCGGAGTGCTCGCCTGCAATCTAGTGGAGAAGGCAGCTCCGAGTGACGCACCACGGCTGCCTTCTGGTAGCTGCCTGATCATACATGTTTGCCACCCCCACTACTAGGCAAGGAAGCTGCTTTCAAGTTATATGTTGAATACAGGTGTTGGGAGGGAGTAATTGCCTAGACGAACAGACTGTTAGTGTGGGCGCAATACCAAGATCGTAGCATTTATATGTTGATTAGCCAGGTCTGTTCAACGCAAGAGCCAGACAGTTTAACCTCGTCATTAAACATTCTGGCAGTCGTACGGTACAGGTAGACGCCAACCAACATCGCTAATCAGAGCACAGCAAAGTGCCTGGCACAAGGAGTCAGTGGAATAGCGACATAGTCGGCCGAGGAGTACAGCGAGCCACAGTTCTACAACTTGTGGGAATGTGTCTCTGCACTCCGCCGGAGACAAGCTCCGAGATAGGTCTTGGCGTTTGCGCAGTGATGTCGGATCTGAGTCTCGGCTTCGAGAGAGTATCACTGACATCTTCAATATTACCATCTATTACCTTCCTTTAAATCCATCAATACAGCCTTCGATCCTGTCTACTATACCATCAGGACAAGGAATGATGAGCCAATAATCACGTGTAGACACAGGCGCTCTTCTTGAGCTTGTGCTCGTGCATCCTGTCTCGGACGACGAGGATGGTGTCGTCCACATCTGCTGTGCATACATCCTTCTAGCCCGATCGGCTATCCGGCTACTTGCTTCTTGCGCTGCATTATCTGCCCAAGCCTTGAGAACGATGGCCCCAGGCGCAAGAAGAGGACTCGCTCCTCGCCGCAGACGACCTGATGAGGAAGATGAGAGCTCTGTCGTTGGTGACGTCGAGGAGGACTCGATGAGTGACGGTTCAGCACTTAGCCTTGCGGACGAAGAGGCTGGGCCAGAAGCTAGCGATGTCAGCGAAGAGAATGATGTCCCAGTTGCGACCGCCCCGAAGTCCGGCGCCTCGAAATCCGCCTCGACCAAAAAAGAATACCAGATGCTACCAGGCAGCCAAACACATGCAGATACACATCCGCAGTCGGAAGATACTGTGTCGATGATGAATGGCCTCAAGATCTCCGATACTTCAAATGCTGAGCCTGAAATACACCTTGACGAGCCTGCGCCGGAAGACGGAGTCGAATCAGCCGATGCAAGTCAACCCCGTTCAGAAGCGCCCAGAGCACCGAGAAGAGAAACCGCTGGCCAAAGAGCAAGAAGAGAGCACCAGGAGTATCTCAAGCAACGGGATTCTGACCCGGCCTTTGTGCCTAATAGAGGTGGCTTCTTCCTACATGACGACAGGGCTTCCAATGCACAGGCGTTTTGGAACAAGCCATACGGTCGCGGTAGAGGTCGAGGGTATAATGGCACGGTGCCTCCTCCGTGAGTAGACCCTGATAGTCTTGATGAAAGAAGCTAATATCCTGCTAGGCGCACAGGACCATTCAACGAACCGATTGACAAGCCATGGTCGCATGATCTGCACGACACGCACGAGAGCAGCAAGTCTCTTTCTGGCAATCAGATCAGCGGCCAAATGGCATATAACCTCAAGTCGACTGCTCCTCCTCCCACCGTCGCGCCGAATCGAGAGTTCTCGTTCCTGACCGTTCTGGGCAATGTCACTGTCAACGTGTCGCTTCCGGATATGCATGAGCGAAAGGCGGTGGCAGGCCTTGTCAAGAAGCAACACACTTTGCTACCCACTCATCGTCCGCCGTTGCGGCGAGATAAGCCTGTTCGAATCTCCATTCCAGATGTTGAGCCTAGCTACAGGTTTCCCAGCACGGAGCGGTCCTTCATCTTCATCCCTCGAGCCCTGAGACCAAATCAACAGCCATACATGCGTGGGCGAGGGCGAGGCAGCTTCCAAGGTAGCAGGCGCCCGAGTGTGATGGGTAGCGTTTACACGCCGAGTGTAGCCATGAGCCGCAAGTCTTCTTTTGGTGGCGTAGCTAGAGACAATGTCCGCTCGCCTGCTGGCTCCAACTACGGCAGACCTATGGGTATGGAGGTCTCACGTCCAATCGTACGCCTTCCAGCCACCGGAATGATGCCAATGCACATGGGTCCTATGGCTGCAGGTGACGCCCAGCCTTTTCACCTACCATATGCGAATGGATCTGTTGCCCACGGTGTGCATTCAACAGCGATACCGATGTATCAGCCCAGACCGCAGAAAGCAGTTTCTGTGACCAATATCGAATCGCCTGTGTCACTTTCAGTCAAAGCCCCACAGCCGCAACAAGAACAACCGTTCCATCAGCAGGTACCGCCACATATGGCGCAGACCGATGACGCGCGTGAACAACAGATTGACCAGTCAAGCGCGCCAGGCGGAACCCCTCTGTCCCACATTCCAGAAGGTGCAGTCTACGCCCAGCCTTTCCAGCCATATCCAATGATGCAGGCTCCGATGTACTATCCTGCACCATATCATGCGCAGAATATGTTCTACCCAGGCATGACAGAATCAGCCCAGGGCTATGGGAACGGCTGGACTGATGGGACGTACCAAATTATGAACTTTGCGCAAAACGGGCCTCAGCCTGTTCAGCCGCCAGGCGCACCAACAGCCCCTGTCATGCATATGCAAAATGGCATGGTCTACTATACCGACTCTTCCATGGGCCAAGAGAATCAAGCCATGAATGGACAGCATGGCATGATGCCAATGGGTGGAACATACGGGTTCTACCCCGTGCCAACCCCCATGTTCTATCAGCCTCAGCCGTGATTGAATACCTCTTCACCGATACCCTATCGACACTTTGCATTAGGGGGTGTTTGCATTTGACTTTGATATTAATGGGATCTGCTGCATATTGAGCGAGTGACTTTCTGATTCTGGGCCGAAAAGCTCCGGCCAGGCATTGGCGTTGGATGGTTTCACCAGGTATCGGAGGTCCTAAAATGTCTTTTAGCCGCGTGTGTCCGACGAATTCTGGACTCGCCGCCTGGTGTTGTAGCGGCAGATGTTTGCCTCTGGCCTGTCTGAATACCAAATAGCATTTATTAATAACCAACCATTGGTGCTTACGAACCCGCTCCTGTTCCGAAATGCAATCTAGGACTGAGGATCCTGATTGCTTCACAGAAATGAAGGCAGGTGGAATCAGTGTCGAGCTGAGAGCTGGATACCAGACGAGATCGGGTCTCCAGCCCTGATTATCCCTTTGCTTTGCTATCATGAGGGTAGCGAAGGCATTCCAATTTCCTTCTGCTACATCGCACCCATCGGTGAGCACTCGGTAAACCAAATCTTTCTCACCAGGGTGTGAAGTTCACGTGATATGAGATGCTCCGAAGGCGTTAGCGCGTTGTTAGCGTCCTTCGATATTACTAGGCAGCCATACTTGCGACGGGGGCGTGAGCCCGTGACTACTCCAAACCCCGCCTCGCAGGTTAGACAGCGGTCACCTCATCCACCGCCTACCTGTGTTCTCTCTTACCCTTATCCCAACACCCCGAAGCTCACATTCCCTTTACACTACGCTCGCTCGACTAATACCCGATAGTGCGTCTATCGAGTGTTGTCTGGCTGTGAGATCGTAGTTCGGTCACCGCCTCTGTGCTGTGCTTATCGTCATGGCCACGGCAATGCCTCCCTCAACTCCAGGCAGCCCAGTCAACGCGGACACGCTTGTGGTCGTCAAGGTGCTCTATGGCAACCAGAATCGTCGCTTCAAGCTCCCTTTGCGTGACCTTGGTGCTCAGGTTCTGCCTCAGAAGGTTAGTGTTACATTGAATGCTTCAGCCTGATAAGGCCGAGCTTGCTGTCTAGACGGCGGATGCTAATTGCTTTATCAGCTGCGAGTCCTTCTCACCGTCGCCGATGGCACAGAACTCCTCCTAGAGCGATACTCTGACTCGGCTGGCACCTATGTCACCCTTGATAGCACCAATCCTTCAGTGTACAAACAACTTTACCGTGCCGCGAAAGCTAAGCTGAAGCTGAGACTCAAGGCTACAATCATGCCTCCCAATAAGCCACAGGCTGTGGCTGTCGACCTTCTCGATGATAAAGCCCTCGAACGTGAGAAGATTAAACCCGTTGACATTAAGCCTGAGCCGAGGTCGACTTATCTCGAGACCGTCCTGTCACAGCCCGTTCCCGCCAACAAGGCGCAGGGCCCTTTTAAGACCTCAACGGGCAATACACGCATGCCTGGCGCTTTCTGCTCCGGCGACTCCTATATGGACCCCCCTCCACGTCCCGCTCCTCGGTCCAAGGATTTCAGTCAGCCAACCCTTCCTTGCTTCCGAGACTTTACTGGCACCTTCAGCATCGACTGCAACAGTTGCGGTACATCAGTGCCGAATGAACACTATCACTGCAGTATCTGCGAGAAAGGTGACTTTGACTTGTGCCAGAAGTGCGTTCAGAATGGCGTCACCTGCGAGGGTGAAGATCACTGGCTGATCAAGCGCTCCATCCGCAACGGCATCATTGTTCCCAGTGTCACCGAGACATGCGCTCCTCGAAAGCCTAAAGAAGAGGAACCGCCAATGCAGATCCCGGGCGTCCCTGATTATGACGAGCGCACCTGCAACAGCTGCATCAACCGTAAGTCCTACCTGAAAGCCCTGCCAAGCCTTAGAAGAACTGTATCTGACATTCGAGTAGAGCTCCCCGCCTCGGCTTTTGTGACCTGCATGGATTGTGCCGACTTCGATCTCTGCCAGAGCTGCTTCCTTGCCAATGAGCATGGTCACGCGCTAGCCCATACCTTCGAGCCAGTTAACCCAATTCTGCACCAGACGGTCAACTTCCAGATCAAGTCTCTTTGTCGGCAGGCTCGAGGCCTTGTTCACCAGGCTACGTGCGACGGCTGCAACAAGGTAAGACCGCTACTCGTTCTTGAAAAGACATTCTGAACTAACTCGTATTAGCAAATCATTGGCGTCCGCAACAAGTGTCTCACTTGCCCCGACTGGGATTATTGCTCGTCCTGCTATCCGGCGGCGCCTGATACGCACCCGGGCCATCGGTTCGCGTCTCTCTACGAACCGCTCGAATACGTTCCTAGCAACAAGGAGCACCACCGCGGCATCTTCTGTGATGGTCCCCTCTGCGCTGGTGGCCGTACCCGTGGCTACATTCGTGGCGATCGCTACAAGTGTACTGTGTGCCACGACACGGACTTCTGTTCCAACTGCGAGGCTTTGCCCACCAATCCACACAACAAGTCTCACCCTGTCATCAAGATCAAGACGCCTATCCGCCATGTTTCTATTTCTACCATTCATGAATCGGAGAACGGACAGGAACTTGGTCAGCTTGGCGATCGTCGTCTTGCGAAGCACGCTTCTACCGAGACTAACCGCACTACCTCAACCAACGCTGCGACGCAGGTGCAGACTGTGGCCGAGGTCCTGCCGGCGGAAGAAGAGCCTGTTGCACCATCTACGTGGAGAGCTACCGAGCCCAAGACTGCCACACCTGCTGATCTTCAAGCTTGGTATGAGTCCGACTCCACGCCGGACGGCAGCAACTTTGGTCCCAAGAGATTTGTCTCTCAGTCCTGGACTCTGCGCAACCCTGGGCCTGAGACTTGGCCTGCTGGGTGTGCTGTTCACTACATTGGTGGCGATGACATGCGCAACCTCGATGCCCATCACCCATCCAGTGTGAGCTCCATGGATCTTGCTAACCGTTCCAACGTGCTGGAGGAGAGCCTTGAGCCAGGCAAGACGGCTGTCTTCAGGGTGCTGCTTAAATCGCCTGCCCGGGAGGGTAGATACATCTCATATTGGCGCCTAAAGACCCCCGACGGCATGCCCTTCGGTCACAAACTCTGGGTTGACATCAATGTCAAGGACACCAGCATTGAGCTACCCATCCGCACCGCAGTGTCCATCGAACCTCAACAGGGAACTGTTAAGGATGAGGGTGCAGAGGAGACCAATGGGCCTCAGGATCAGCAGAGCTCGACTATGATCTTCCCCAAGCTTGACAAAGAGTCTCCTGTGTCGAGCATTCATGACGTTTCCGAGACTGCGCCCGAATCTGCGACTGCCAAGCCGGAGGAACATGACCTTCTCGATGATGTTGAAAGCCTGGAACTTGAGGATGAGAGCGATGATGGGTTCCTGACCGACGAGGAATACGATGTCCTCGATGCGAGTGACGAAGACTTTCTCGATGCTCAGGCTGCCATGGGGCCCAAGTAGTCGGAGCGATTACATGAGCACACCTCGTTCTGCTGCTCTTACGACATGCATGCAGAACATGCCACGGATTAAATAGGGGACTAGGAAATGGTTTTCTGGGAGGAGTTGAAGGCAATGGTCCGAGTCTGCCAGTTTGGGTGCAAGCTTACAATGCACTCCCTTTCTCTCCTTAGCCGCAAAATGCTACACAATTGACAATGAATGTTGCTCGTACGCCTTTGAGTCCTACCATAAGACCGCGCTCAGATGAAAGTCATGTCCTACCAGCTCCCGAGGCAGCCGTATTATTCCGGTGCCATCCGCGGGGTAGTTTGCGCGGCCTGATTTTGTGGGGGAAGCCTGCCAAGTGCCGGGTGCGTTGGCCAGAGTTGAGTCACTGGCATGTGCCTGCAGGTGCGACCGAGTTCGCCACCAGTCAGATGGCAACCAAATAATAAACCTGGTCGAACGCGCTTCTGACCGCCTTCTTCCTCTTCTGCCTCTTCAGTCACGCAGCAACTGCGCCTTTCCCTACTTCGCCACTGTTCAGTCCGCCGACGACTCGAAATCTTCCATATGGAATTTGTGCGACTCAGGACCTGCAATATCCATCCCGCAGCTCTTCCTAAAGGCTGACACTTGATTGCCTCTTCACCGAGGTCCATTCCTAACGACAACAAAATTTACAGTTTTAGCCCTTGTGCTACCTGAACCACGCGTTCAATCTCGACAAAATGCACGATAATCTCCGTCGTCGCGCCCTCGAGAGCGGCAAGACCGTCTCGAACAAGGCAAAGTCCAAGGGCTCTTCCAAAGCAAGCTCTCGTGCCAATTCCACCACCAATTCTCGCGCAAATTCGCGCCTGCAGAGCCGAGATGCGTCTGACGACGAGGATATGGGTGGTAACCTCAGCGATGATACTAACATGAGTATCAACTCGATCGACGAACTGCTCGAGAGCGACGACTTCAACGAGCAGACCACCGATGTCATGAAGCAAGAGCTTTCTAAGAGCATCGATGATCTGCTCGAGAGGAAGGGCAGCAGTGTGAATAGCAGAGAAGAGAGCTTATCGTCATTCGACCGCTGCTTGACCGCGCACTACCTGGCAGATACCCTTTACGGGCGCGTGTCAGATATCCTAGGAGCATTGTCCAAGAGTGTCAAAGCCGAGACGACTGAGAAAGAGACCACTCTGGCGATCCGCGCCATTGCTCTCACCGCCATCACTATTCAAGATGACGCAATCTACGAGACAGTGGCTCCACTGCTCAAGCGTGCCATCTCCGACTCGCAGTACCCTCACGCCAAAGCCGTCGCTATTGACGCTCTTGCAACGTGCATTTCTTTTGGGGGCGCCGGCGAAGAAGAAATCGAAGAAACTCTGACCTTCCTACTTGAGATCGTCTCCTCGGACGGGAGCTTCATCGGTGCCGACGACGATCCCGAAGTCGTTACCGTTGCGCTGCTCGCTTATGGCTTCCTCGCCACCCAAGTCGAAGACCTTGAGGCTGATTCCGAGGATGCCATCTCTTCCTTCCTCGACCAGCTCGATGCCGACGATGCCAAGGTGCAAATTGCAGCTGGCGAGAACATTGCGCTCTTGTACGAGAAGAGCTTCACGGAGCGCGAGGAAGACGAAGAATCCGAGGACGAAGAGGACGAGGTCTCGTCCGACGACGACAATGTCGGCTTCCAAGGCGACAAGAATCTAGTCAAGCGCTACAATGCATACCACAATACACACCAGGTTTTAGAAAAGGTCAACTCGCTGGCGTCACTCAGCACAAAGTCAATGAACCGCAAGGACAAGCGCAATATCCATCAATCTTTCGCCACCATCGCGCTCACGGTCGAGAATCCGCGTGTGGGTCTGCGCACGAATAACGCTTCGAAAATGACCATTCGAATCCACCGAGAAGGCGAGATGAAGGTCGACAAGTGGTGGAAACTGATGCGCCTCAGTGCAATTCGACGGCTGTTGGGCGGCGGGTTCGTGAACCACTATTTTGAGGGGAACAAGCAGGTGCTTGATGCATTGCCCATGATCATCCGCGAGACAGGCGCCGGTCTGGGCAGCCCTCGGAAGGTCATGGCTAAGCAGAGCAAGGGGAGATATCGCGAGCAAAGGCGCTTTGTCAGTGTGGGTGTCAATGAGACCTGAACAGAGTGGCATGCCCGATGGGTTGCTCATGATGAAACGAAGCGTGAAGCTTGCAACAGCAGAGCGGATTTGGCGCACGCCAACGATCTTATGATGCATGGGTTACGATCTTGAGAGGAAGCAATTTTTCCTTTCATCACAGGTAGCGATGGTATTGCATGGTTTTGGTATTTTCGATTCCCTGGCGGCGTTTTGAGCTGGACTTTCCCCCATCCTTTCTTCGGGTTTGATATCCATTCGTCAAAGCGATTACTGAGAGATTTGCCAGAGGTTATTTGGCGTTCTAGTCGGCAGCAGTTTGTGGACACACACACACACATACAGTCACCCATACAGATCAAGATACGAGAACCTCAGAAGACATTTTCAATTCTATATGCGTGATCGTTGAGCTCGATGTAGGAGTTCAAGGCTCCGTTCCTGTGTGAGTCATTCATTGGCCGTGCTGTGACTCACCTGCTGCCCTGGCTCGCTGGCTGGCTCGTTCGTTCGCTCGAATGCGTTCGGACACACACGCCGAGTAGTCTCTCCCTCCCCCCCTCCCTCCCTCGGGATCATACTCTGTAGCGAGTTATGCACGGCCAAGAGAGTGCTAGGCCAAGGCCTCGCAATGGATGCCGAGCTGATCAGGCCTGCTACATCGCATAAGCTGCATTGCTTGGTCCAGTGATGGACTGTCGGTTACTGGTAGAAAGCGCTTGTCTGCACGGGGTTAACGATGCGGTCAAGTTTCTCCGTCGCTTACCTTGGGTGGGCGCTTCAATGGAAGAGATGTTGCGACCAGGCTTATATGGAAGCGTCGCCAGCGCTGCAGCCGAACCTGGTGTTCCGTTCGCTTGCCTAGTAGAGCGTGGAATCTGACTTCACGTAGAGACCAGCCCAAGCTACCTACCTGGTACTGCAGCGCTCTTGATCACTGTCCTCATTCCACGGCCATCTTGCTGCCCTATGCCATGTCTGTTCCTGACGATTGTAAAGATTGCCTCCGCGGCTATGTCTGGGAAGGTACTCCAGCCGGCATCGAGACCAAGCTAGGCGCGAATGTAACCTACAAAGTCGGCAGTGACCCCGAAGTAGCAGTCTTGGTCATCCACGATCTCGGTGGCTGGACCTTCCCAAATCTGCGCCTTCTGGCCGACTACTATGCAAAGGAGGTGGGAGCTACCGCGTTTGTGCCAGACTTGTGAGTTTTTCTGACGTTACACTGGCTTGGGCCCGGCACCGATTGACAGCAATATCCTGCACGGGTGGTGGAGAGCGTGCACAAGACCAGTCGCTGACGGTGTGTTTCTCTTAGTTTTGGTGGGGAGGTGCTTCCTCTGGACGCCTTGATGGAAGGTCCAGCATCTGAGGCGTGGGCCAAACTCGACATCTCCGCCTTCTCGGCGAAGAATTCCAAGAAGATTCGCGAGCCGGAAATATTTGGATGCGTAGCGGCCTTGAGATCTCAATTGGGTTTCAAGAAGGTTGTGACAGTAGGCTACTGGTGAGTATTCCGGAGAATAGAGCGTAACCGAGCAGACTGATTGACGTTCGATGCCAGCTTCGGTGGGTGGGCGGTGTTTCGTCTAGGCTCACAAGTATATCTTCCTGACGGAACCACGGAGGAGTCAGACCATGGGAAACATAAGGAGGGAGCGATACCCTTGGTTGATGCTATCAGCACTGCGCATCCGTCGTGGCTGACCAAGCAGGAAATCGCAGGTACGAGGGTTCCCAGCCAGATTATTGCGCCTGAGCACGATATGCAGCTCACTCCAGAGCTCAAGAAGTACGCGAATGAGACACTGCCTACGCTGGGAGTTGAGTATGATTATCGGTATTTTCCGGGGTTGATTCACGCTTTTGCCACGAAAGGTGATGACCGGATTCCAGGGGAAAAGCAGGGGGCTGCAAGGGCCAAGAGAGCCGTGGCTTCATGGTTCTTGCAGATGCTGCGGGATTGAATCGGCATCCGTCTCGCCTTAGCAATCCACGTCCAGTAATCAGCTGACGAACGAGTGCCGTGTTGTGCCGTCTTGCATGACCTTGAATCACAAATATGACATGTACCAAGCGTCGGTTGTGGTCGCTGCATTCAAGTATTTGGAAGAGCGCCAGTGGTCCGCTGCCGTCACTTGACTCGGATATCCTTTTTGTACCTACATTGCTTCGCGGCCCTCAAGATTGTTCGGTGTGTGTGGAGATACGGAATCTTCAGATCGTCCTTGAGAAGCTGTGAAGTTGAATTCTCCGCATAGATCCCTGATCCCATCGCGGACGTCTGACCTTGTGCCACAAGATGGTCAAATGCATAGGGTGGGAGGCTGCAGCGGAGAAAGGGGTGGAAACCTTACCCCTGATAGCCAAGCCTCCGTACCTGTAAGCAAGAGACGTCAGCTCTACGATCTTGGTTCCTCTGCTTGACAGTCTTTCAGCGATTCAAACACAGCAGCACAATGTTTTCGATGCCAGAGCTGGACATGCGCTTGTCGTGTTTGCTGCTGTTCTCAAATCGACACATCCATCCGCGCGACTGCTGCCGGTCGAGGTAGAAAGGAACGCTCGTTGCATGTAGGTTGAGCTCGCGGTAGCACAAGAACGAGTCTATTGTGGGCGCTGAGTTATGAACCCGCTGGCAGTTGGAGCACGTCACAGTCGTAGCATGGCGGCCGAGGCCAATCTTGTTTGAACAGCCGCAAGGACATGCTCGTTCCCACTTCTGCAACGAGGCAGGGAGCGCCGGCTGCGGTTGATGTTGATAAGGCGACTGCTACTTCCGGTAGCAACGCGTCACGCGATTAATTGGTGAAACCAGAATAAGGCAAAGGTGAGGCATGAATGACCTGAGTGAATCGTGGTTGCCTGGCTGTTCGCCCTCTGAAGGCCCAGTCGAATTTCTACCAACCGCTCCTGAAGCTCATAACCTCCACGTTCTCATCAAGTCTTCAACGACATCAGCCTCCATCTTCTGAAGACTTGCTGCACGAACGGTTGCCTGCCATTTCCGTTTCTTACATGATCTCAAAAGATGACGTTGCTTGATATGATCTGGACGGCTATCGCTGCGTTGTTGCTGTCTTGCTTCGTGTCTGCAGCGCCGCAAGATTTCGCGAACAAACCCGACCCGACCCTTACCTACAGTCCTCCTTTCGATGCTTGTGCTACGGTCGGCTCGATGGTCAGAGAAGCTGAAGCTGCAAGCCCCACCGTCCTCACCGATTACGTCTACATCCCTGCGCAGAACGCTATCGACTGCCTCCTAACGGTACCCTGTAACCACACTGCGGCTATCGAGTGGCTTGAATCCCTGAAGCCCTACCTAGGATGGCAGTCCACCACTGCATATCTCAAAAATCCACCTTCAGGCTACTGGTTTCCAGAGTACGATATTTTCGCTCGCCTGCAGGGGATGATTGATAACATCCAGCAATACAAGAACGAATACCACTTTGAACTCGAATTGTTCAAGACTTTCGGGTATGCCAACGATGGACATCTTCGCTATTTTCCCAAGCTAGTCACAGGTCTTTTTGGCTTCGGGCGTCCACTGAGCTTGGTATCTATCTCTGCTGACGGCAAGAGCAAACCCCGTCCTTATGTATACGACGATATCGTCTTGTGGACCAACGACAGCTCGCGAAGCATCTCCCCTGTTGTTCAAATCGACGGAGTAGACGCTGAAGCCAAGCTCCTAGCCCTCGCTGACTGGAGCATTTGTGCTGACTTCGATGCGGGCTACAACTCCTTGTTCGCCAACCTTGCACAAGCGTCCTTGGGCTACATGGGCAACGGAGGTGGCATATTCGCTGGCGGTGGTCGAGGACAGGTCCCGTATCCTGGCGCACGGACAAATTTGACATTTGAGAACGGCACTGTTGTGTCTTGGGAGAATTTTGCTCGCGTCTACCAGAGTTTTCGTAACATCAAGACTGGCCAGGACGTTTACGACCGATTCCTGAACGTCTCCTCTACCATCCCACTGCCCGGCGGCGGCATCGGACAAGCAGACACAGACGACCGTCCTGGTCACATCGGTCCCCCACTTCCAAACCCACAGGATCCCATCGTTGGACCACCTGGCTATCCTACACCAGTCAGGTTCGTCGCGGGAGGCTACATGGGTGGGTACTACCTTGACGGTCAAGGCTACGAAGATGCTGCCGTTTTGAGTCTTCCTGGCTTTGGAACACAACTTCTTCAGACAGCTATGCAGGCGACTGTCACCGAATTCATCAAGCAAGCGAAAGTGTATGGCAAGATGAGACTGATCATCGACCTCAGCGCCAACGGAGGCGGCCAGATTCCTCTAGCGTGATGCCCCTTGTCCGGAAGTTCTTGTCATTCATTAACAAGTAGCCGCAGGTATTCCATTTTCAAGACTCTCTTCCCTGACATCGACCCTTACGGAGCGAGCCGTTTCCGCGCCACTGAAGACTTCGATCTTCTTGGTCAAGCCGTCAGCCAAGTCGTCGGAGACGATTATCCATGGGATCCAAATTATCCTCCGGGTCCTAGTCTGCTGCTGAACAACTATCGAGCCACACCTTTCATTACACAGGCTGACATGACCGCCAACGGTCACACATTTTTGACCTGGGCGGACAAGTTTGGCCCACACGAGTTCCATGGAGACAACTTTACAACACTCATGCGATGGAATTTCTCAGATCCCGGTACGAATGAAGAGTCTGGTTTCATTCCCAACGGCTACGGCAACCGCACCAATGTTACTACTGAGCGTCCTTTCTTTGCTGGAGACATCATCATCCTTACTGACGGCTGGTGCGCGTCCACATGTAAGTCTACCATCTTCACCTGGATTCGGACGCTAACATCAGCCCTGCAGGCTCGATATTTGTCGAGTTGATGACTTCACAGGCTAAGGTCAAGACAGTGGCTGTCGGTGGGATTTCTGGCAGACCTGCTGACGCAGTCGGACCCATGCAGGCGGTGGGCGGTGTTCGCGGCGCCAATGTCTATCAATTTTCCACTCTGGCTCAGTTTGCTCAAGGGGCACCTCTGCTCAGCGAAGGGAACGCTACGCAGCAAGCCATCCTAAACTCCACCTTGGCTCAGAGGTACTCTCAATTGCCGATGCTCAAAGCCGCCGATGGGGATGGCAGAGTCAATGTGAGGGACCAGATTCGAATCGGGGACGAGACACAGACGCCGCTGCAATTCGTCTACCAGAAAGCGGATTGTCGCATATTCTACGAGCTGGCGCATACGGTGAGCATGATGGCAATGTGGAAGACGGTCTACGACGTGACCTGGAACGGTGCAAGTTGCCGTGAAGGAAGTGCATACTCGGCGCCTCAGCACAATATCACTCGGCGGGGACGAGGCAAGAGGGACCCGATGCGAGCGGTGGTTGTGGAGGACATTGAGAAGCTGCGCCACGTCTGGAAGATTGGGACGGATGTAACCAAAATCGAGCCTATGAGCGGCTTTCAGGTACCTTGAGGCGACCTCAACGGCTGTCAGAAGCGTCGACGTGGCCAGCGACGGACACTGGCAGTATTGACAAGTTGAAGGGCGCCCCAACTATCAAGTAGGGTCTGTTGCAAGTATGCTTTGCATGAGCATATAGAGTCACATTGCCAATAACAATGATAACTTCGTGGGAATATCATGTGCTGACGACTGATCTGATACAATCGGAGAAATGATTCTGGTGGATACACGGGACCAATATAGCCAGACTGCATGCAGCATGCATACGCAAGGCGATTGCAACCTGTTGGTGACAAGATGAGGGCGGACAGGGTAGGATTTGATAGGCATTGGTACGATTGGTTTGCCGAGGCTGCCGGCCCCTGAAAGCCGCTCGCTAGGCGGCCAAGGGCTGGCCGCCTGGCGGCGTTTCTGTTTGGTCCAGGGCGTCGAGATGGTAATTCCCCAAGTGTTTGCTATTCGACACAGCAACCATCCCCTGGCTCTGATCACACACGCAGAAACACGAGGATACGACCATGAGTCGCGGGAATATGGTTAGGCTTTCGCTTGCGCCATCAATCATTCACCATGTGTTGCTTTTCCCAGTTCTTAGGGCTGCTGGCTCTCTGGGTGTTGCCCGTGCTCTTTTCACTCGTTTTAGCCCCTGAAGACTAGGTTAGTTTACTGGAGGGCAATAGTGTCAAGCCCCCCGGCCAGGCGAGAAGGAACTACAGATGCATCTGGGAATAAGAAGGGACTGACTGGTTCCAGCACACCAAACGTGCAGCGGCGGAGCAACAGGCAGGAGCGGGTCAGCAACTGTACGGGACGTTTGCTCACGACAAGTCTTCTTCGAATAGCGTGGATTGATTGCTTTTCGGACCCTCGTTACAAGTGCACTAAGCCTTCAACACACACGTGGCGCCGGTAATTGTGTGCTCCTTTTTTATACAAGTCGCCCGTCGGCCCAGTTCCATCCTACGACGCTTCGGCCACGTTCGATCGCTCGCTCGCTCGCTTCGCCCTGTGGGAACACCACCATATTCACCGTGACAAATCCAGCCGCTTGTCTTCTGATGACGGGGACCTGAGGTTCAATCGCTCGGAACAGCGCAGCTCTTCGTCGAGGGCGAGGGCGTTCACCACAATTACCACCACTGTCGCTATCCCCTGCCCGCTACTACAGCACTATATCCGCCACACCTAACCTCTCTCACCCACCGGCTTCGGCAGCCTTTGTCACCCTTTTCGCCCTTTGCCGTGAACACCCGTGTGTTTGCTTGCTTCCTGGGGATACATTGCATTGCACTTGCTTCTTTGCAATTCTCCTTCACTTTCAGTTCGGTGGCTCGCTTTTGCATCACTTGCTTTGCGCCTCTGCCAGCAGCCTCGAGATCCGCGGCCAAGCAATTGCGTCTTTGGAGTACGATAGACGACACAAGACGTTACTATCAACGATGTGGTCCCGAACCGTTGTCGCCACCGTAGCCCTCTGCCTGACCAGCTTCACCCAACACGCTTCGGCCTCTCCCAAGCCTCAGCCCCAAGCTGCCGGCGGAGTGCAGCTCTACGGTGGCATGCCGTCTTCTACGGCCAGCCCGGCTTCGATCCCGTCTGTCGCGTCCTCGGTTGTTAACGGCACCTCTCATCTGTACAGCCTGACCCGCCTCTTCTTCTCGACCATGATGGTACCCAACAACTTGCCTCAACTCAAGACACTGCAGTCACCTCTCTTCGCCGAGAACATCACTGGCCGTGTCTCTGATTCTCGGAAATTCCTTGGTCGTGAGCTCAACACTGAGTACGTGTTCGGCGCCTTCACTGGCCCCGTCATGAACTCGTCGCGCGTCACGCTGCTGGGAATGCCCATTCAGCATGAGACGATGCGCTTCGCCGCAAACGAAGCGGATAGGTCTGCCTTCATCACGGAGATAGTACACTTTAACATCAGTATGCTTTCCACCGTGGTGCCCGTGCAGGTGGAGCTGTGGATGCGTTGGAACGACCAGGACGAGCTAACCGCCTACGACGCGCGCTTTGTGTATTTCGACTGGCTGATGGCCACGGCGACGGCGAATCTGCAGAAGGCATACGGCCTCGGCAGTGCGCAAGACACGCTGAATCAGATCAAGAATCTGCTGGTTGGACAGGTCTGCGAGACGACACAGCAGCACTGTACAGGGGAGCTTCAACAGTATGACAGCCTTGATGACTGTCATTCATTCCTGATGCAGGAGATTCGTCTGGGACAGCCATTTGAGTTTGGCGTCGACACTGTCATGTGCAGGAGTTTGCATGAGGGCATGCTGACGCTGAAGCCCGAAGCACACTGTCCGCATGTTGGCAAGACCGGAGGGAATATGTGTGTGGATGACTTGGACTACCTGACCTATGTTGCTGATCGGGACTTCTTTGGCGTGCCTGGTGCCGGATGGTGATGATCCGCTCAGATCTACTTAATATGGAAGACGATGCACTCCGCGAGGGATGCTTTATGACGAGATACACGAGCATGGCGTTTTGGACAGCATTGGTGATCCATGATATGCATAGCAGAGCCTACAGTACCTAATCAGTGAGAGAATTCGACGCGAGACTTACATTCTCGCGTGAAGCCGGTAGCGTTATATCGTCTCCTGGCCCATTTGTATCTTCTTGCTTCGCATCACCAACTGCTGTAGCTGTCCATAATCGCGAGATCTGACCCGACGGTCATCACATGCACGAACGGTACTTAGTGAGGCAGTCCAGCATCTGAGGTTCTTAAGGGGAGAAGGCGACTTCGGGGCCGGCTCGCACACAACCTTGCCCGGCCCCGGAGAAACGCTAAGCCGCGCTGGCGAAAGGCGTGTAGCACAGCTTCTCTTTTCTCCACTCTCGGGATCTGACGTGCTTTTTTGTATATACTTCCCCTTCCGTTTCCGCTGGGCAGGCTTTCTCAAATTCAATCTTCTAAAAAAAAGACACATCTGTTTGTTCGTTCGGTGTGAAGGAGAAACCTGAAAAGTTGTTGGCTGAAGCATGAGAAGGTGAAGAAGAAAAGGGGAAGACAGAAGACTTGTCTTGCGTGTTGCTGTATAGAAACACCTACGGAACTGCTCAGGTTCCCAGATTCCCGCTATGGCGGACACAAGCATCGAGGCTGTGGAGGCGGAGAATGCGTCTTGGGTCAGGACGGTGAAGGATCTGGCTAGTGGAGCGGCCGGAGGAGTTGCGCAGGTGTTATTAGGTGAGTTTTGTGTTTGCCGTCTTGACGATCCTCTGGTGTGGGTGGATGGAGGCGAGCTGGGGTCTGCTGCTTGGTGGTATGCGTGTGGTTGTTCTTCCTGAAAGCCTGAAAGAGGCAGATGGGCACACGGCAGGCGGAAGCGCTCCTCGGAGTGAAAGTGCTGGTTTGAGTTGAATCATGCTAACATACCTCCAGGTCAACCATTCGGTACGCCACAACATATCTCATCCCCGATTCCCCTCTCTAACCACCAGCACAAACAGACATCGTCAAAGTCCGCCTCCAAACCACCACCACACACCCCACGGCCCTCTCCTGCGCGACCTCGATCCTCCGCAACGAAGGCCCCACCGCCTTCTACAAAGGCACGCTCACGCCCCTCATCGGCATCGGCGCCTGCGTCTCGGTCCAATTCGGCGCCTTCCACTACGCGCGCCGCGCCTTCGAGGAACGCAACCTCTCGGCCGGCCACCCGTCCCCCACCCTCAGCTACGGCCAGTACTACGCCTCGGGCGCCTTCGCGGGCCTCACCAACAGCGTCCTCTCCGGACCCATCGAGCACGTCCGCATCCGGCTGCAGACCCAGCCGCACGGCGCGGGGCGTCTGTACTCGGGCCCGCTGGACTGTATCCGCAAGCTCTCGTCCCGGGACGCCGGTGGCGTGCTGCGCGGCCTCTACCGCGGCCAGGCCGTCACGTACTATCGTGAAGCGCAGGCCTATGGCGTCTGGTTCCTGACGTTTGAGTATCTGATGGCCTGGGAGCAGCGGCGCACCAACTGCAAGCGCGAGGACGTCAGTTCGCCGAAAGTCGCCTTCTACGGTGGCCTGGCGGGCGAGGCGCTCTGGATCAGTAGCTACCCCTTTGACGTGGTCAAGAGCAAGATGCAGAGTGATGGGTTTGGTGAGAAGCAGCGGTTCAAGAGCATGCGCGACTGTTTTGCGCAGACGTGGGCGAGGGAGGGGATGGGTGGGTTTTGGAAGGGGATTGGGCCCACGTTGTTGAGGGCCATGCCCGTTAGTGCGGGGACGTTTGCTGTGTAAGTGAAGACATGATTCTGTGTGAGAGTCGTTGCTAATGTTGCTGTGTTAGGGTCGAGCTCACGATGAGAGCATTAGGTTGAGGTCGAAGCTGCGCAAGAGTACCATGGCGGATCGTAAAATGCAAGATATGGACGAACACACTGGACATAGATGGCGCTCAAACTGCCTTCCGTGGGCAGGATTTTTGGGAGTACAAAAGAGCTGTCTGCAAAGATCCTATGCTTCGCTTTGCCTGTGTCAACACTCTGTCTGCTTCATCTGAATGTCGTCGGTATTTACAGCCTCGCATCCCCTCACCCCTACTTTCTCTGGTCATGCATCAAATTTTATCTGTATGGCGCGTCGGCCCTCGCCACCGCAGCGATTTCGGGTTCCCACTTGTCGCCGTTCGCCAGTAGCTTCTCTTTGTTGTAGAGCAGTTCCTCTCTCGTCTCGGTGGCATACTCTGCGTTAGGTGTCTCGACGATAGCATCAACTGGGCAACTCTCTTGGCAGAGGCCGCAATAGATGCACTTTGTCATGTCAATATCATAGCGAGTTGTCCTCCGAGACCCATCTTCTCGTTCTTCGGCTTCAATTGTGATGGCTGATGCCGGGCAGACAGCTTCGCAAAGCTTGCAAGCAATGCATCGTTCCTCGCCTGAGGGGTACCGGCGCAGAGCGTGCTCGCCGCGGAATCTGGGAGAGATGGGGCCTTTCTCGAAAGGATAGTAGATTGTGTAGCTTTGATACATGTTAGACTTGATGACGAAGACGGATTCTCGCCCACAACAGGCACCAAAGATACATACGGTGGTCTGAAGAACTGCTCCATTACGACGTACATGCCGCGGAACATCTCGGTCAGGAGAAAGTAGTTGCTGGCCTTGTCCGCAGCGCTCTCGCCCTCGTCAAATCTCTTTGGCTTAGGCAGTCTGAATCCCTTTGGCGGTGGGCCCGCCGGGGTGGCACATCGAGGACTTGAGGTATGGAATTGAGCTGTGGCGCGAAGGAGCGGCGACGACTGAGCTTGTCGGAGGGCAACCATAGACGACGCCAGTGGTCTCGCGACCAGGCGAGATGCTGGACGAAGGGAGGACGCCATCGTCGGCAACAGTCGAAGGGAAGATGCAAGAGTCGTGGTGGCGCAAAGAAGCAGTCGACGTTTCTGTGGAGGTGATTCAATGATGTTGGAAAGAGCGACTAAGCAGATTGTCTGCACCCTCATTGGTGGGAAGATAGTGGAGCTTGAACTGCGTCTTTGGAAGCTGCATTTTGGCGTGAACATCCTCACCAGCTTGAACATTGTCTTGAGACCGAGTCGCCATCTCATCCATCCCTCCGTCTAATCAGCCGCTCCTGTCAGTCTATCTCCAGGACCTTAAAGAGCCGACATGTACCGGACCGCAGCCGTGCGCGCTCTCCGCGCAGCCACTAGAGCTCCCGTCCTCCGCCAAACCCCCATTATCCGACAGACTCCTTTCCTGCAGACATCCAAGGTCGCTCCTTCATTCGCTGTTCAGAGCATAAGATGCTACTCGGCGCCGGCGGGTCTGTCAAAAGATGAGGTACAGGGACGCATCATGGATCTTCTGAAGAACTTTGACAAGGTTGGTGTTTCCACTCAACGGTACAAGATCATAAGTTAACAGTAATACCAGGTCACGGACGAGTCTAAGGTCAGCAACCACTGCTATGTATAACTTTGTACGCCTTGAAACTGACTTTAATAGATTACCGGTACTTCGCACTTCCACAACGACCTCGGTCTAGACAGCTTAGACACCGTCGAGGTCGTCATGGCTATTGAGGAGGAATTCAGCATTGAGATTCCCGACAAAGAAGCCGACGCGATCCACAGTGGTATGGATGTTCTTCGAATGCAAAGGAATCTGTCTTCTAACAATGAACAGTTGACCAAGCCATTACTTACATCTGCGCCCAGCCCGATGCTCACTAAACAATGTCTGTTATACGGAACAGAGATGGAGCAGAACAATTCCAAAGGGCTGTACATGAATTGCGGACGGAAGTGAGCGTCTTGATGCTCGGCGCTCTGCAGTTGTTGTACTATTAGGAGCGGTACCTAGACAAAATTCGTCTCCCTCAAAACCTTCCATCAAGTTTCAAATTCGTGCTTTGGAGGCAAACGTCTACTGACGGTCCAGGTAATGTCGTCGCTTATGTCTATGCGGTCTTCCGGCCATCTAGATCTATACAACGCCTTCGTGTCTGAGCTGTTTCGTTCCGGCTTCATCATAACCCATTTCTGCAAGAACCTCGTCTGTGTGCTCACCCAGCAGTGGCGGTTTTCGACGGACCTGCATTTTTGTTCCTTCGAACTTCACCGCTGGACCAATAGTTCGCAGGATCCCGTCTTTGGCCGCCTCGAAGTCTCCGATATCGACGACCATTTCCCTAGCAAGGCTTTGTTTGTCTTCCAACGCCTCAACGACATCATTCTGTTTCTCCATTAGCATCTGCTCGACTGGGTGTCAAGCGTGACTCACTATAGGCCCATACGGCAGACCGGACCCGTCAAATACCTCGAGCCACTCTGTCAGCGTTTTCTGGCTGAAGCGCTGTTGCAACAGCCCATTAATCTCATCCCGGTTTTCCACCCTCCCATCATTGCTCCCAAATTTGTCCACCTCCGACAACTCCCTCACCCCCATCACCTCACACAGCATCTTCCACTGCCTGTTATTGTTCGCCGCCACAAACAACATGCGTCCATCTCCCGTCTCAAACCCTCCATACGGCACCAACGCCGCATGCCCTAGTCCATACCTCCCCCCTCTCCTCCTCTTCCCTCCCTCCCGATCCAGATTCAAACTCGCCAACCCAACATTAATCAACAAACTCAGGCCCGTCTCAAACAAGCTCCCATCTAACCTCACCCCCTCGCCCGTCGCATCCCTCTGCCTCAACCCCGCAAGTATGGCCCCATGACAATACAAGCCCGTACACAGATCCGCAATCGCCACGCCCGGCTTCGTCGGCCCCCCATCCCTCTCCCCCGTGATATGCAACAACCCACTCTCCGCCAGAGCAATCGCATCATACCCCGCCCGCCGACTACTCGGCCCCGTCGCCCCATACCCACTCACACTCGCATACACCAGCCTCGGATTCACCTCCCTCAGACTCTCCCACCCCAGCCCCATGCCCTCGGCCTTTCCCGGCAAGAAATTATGCACCACCACATCACTGCGGCTCGCCAACGCCTTCACCATCTCCACCGCCCGCTTGTCTTTCAAATTCAGCGTCATCGACCGCTTGTTGCGGTTGATGCTCGCGAAATACAGCGACATCAGCGGGTGCGACGCCTTCCACATCTGCGCCGTCTCCCCCTGGGTGCGCCACAGCCGCGTCTCGTCCCCCGTGCCGGGCTGCTCGACTTTCAACACGCTGGCGCCGTAGTCGGCCAGGATCTGCGTGCAAAAGGGCCCCGCGAGGACGCGGGAGAGGTCCAGGACTTTGAGGCCGTGCAGGGGGAGGTGCTGCGTGTTGGGGTCCGTGGGAAAGGGGTTGGCGGCGCTGGTGGTGGTGGTGGTGGTGGCGGTGCTATTGTTGCGACGGAGGGATAGGAAGGCGATGTTGCTAAGTATTTGTCTCGGGGCAAGGCTTGGGAATGGCGAGCGGTAGAAGGGGCCTCGCGGCGTGATAAGGCGGCGAGGCAACGCCATCCTTGGCGCGTCTGTGCTGCCTGGCGGACTCCCACTTCAGCTGGTCGGTCCTGTCCTGAGCGTTGGAAGCTTTTACGTTGTCTTTTGAGACAAAACTAGACGGATGTACACAAAGTAGATTTACTATACTACTGGCAGTCGCACCTGACGTGTATATGCGAGGTTGCTCTGCCGTCGTCTTCGCGGTGAACAGGGCCTCGTGCGGGGAACCACCGAGGATGTATGGTGGATACCTCCCGGAGTCTTACCTCATGGTATATGGGCTTTTCACACGGCCTAGAACCGACGGCGTCTGTAGTAGTCACTGATGCAGAAGAAGCCAGCCGGAGGAAGCCTTTACTTGATACTTAAACCTTGCTTCCAAGTCGATTTATATGTACAGAGTCTACAACCTATTAGTTATGCTCGAATCCTCTCAACCAGAAGCCTATCGAGCTTCATGAATTAATTGCTTGTTCAAAGTGATACCTTGATGACGGCTTCAGCAGGTTCGAATACAGGAATGTCTTCAATATCCTCTCGATAGCATCCCGATCCTTCGTATCCAACAGTTTCGCCTGCGCCACTGCTGCCACGTGAAAGTAGCCCGACCTATCCTGCTGAGCATCATGGGAGAAGTGGCCGTCTGCTTTCTCTGCCATGATTCCAACACCCAGTATCCAGAGCCACAACCGTGGCTGTTTTTGCAACCCACCAGACCGCTTGCAGTACTCGTGGGCCTCCTTTAGGTGAGCGAGCACTGGTTTCTGCGTACCAAAAACTTTGTAGAACTGCGACTGTGGAGTAGGCTCGACGTTGACCGCTTCATGAGATGTGACGACCCTGTACCAATATCTTGCGGCCAACGCCGTGGCCGTCTCCAGATAGGCTGACGTCAAGTCATCGTCTGGCCCGCTACTGCGTATGGTGTCGTACACATCGTTGTAGATCTCCAGCAGCTTGCTCGACGTCAACGTTGCACGGAAGGTGAAGGCGTCCATGACTTCCTCATTGAGCAGCTTGGGCGCCTTCTGCAAGGCAGATCCGACATCAGAGAGAAAGCGAAACTCGCGCACACGCTGGAGGAGATGCGACCCGATGCCCGCTTCTTGAAACCCATCTGTGGTCCTACTCGGCATGAATCCCTGTGCCATAAGCTGCCTCTTGGTTGCAACTAGTGTAGCGATGAAGGCCGTGTGGTCGACCAGCTTCTCAATGTCGAACACGGGGCGGCAGAGCGTGAAGCTGCCGCGTAAGCATTCGTGCCACAGTATCGAACACAAGAGCCTTCTGTTCATTCTCGCAGCATCGAACCTGCCTTGTTGCTGACCTTGAAGCAATTGTTGTAGAGTGCCTGCGTGAAGGGCAGCATTTTCGTGCTGTTGACCCGAAATCTCGATCGATAACAGGGAGAAGATCTGGGTGAGCATATGCTCGTTCAGGCCTGTGTGCCGTTCATTGATGCTCTCTCGTAGGATTTCGTAGGCTCGGGCCTTGTATTTCATGGCAGTGATATGCAGATCGGGATTCGAGGTTATGGTGGCCGCCGAGGATGCCAGTCTGGCCAAGTTGGCGTACCCAACGCACTTGTCCTCGAGGGCCTCGAGCGAGGTCTTTGCGAACTTGTTGGTAAAGGCACCATGCTTGTTGTCACCTTTCTCGATGCCTGAGGCCCAGGGGAAGAACATCTCCCGATCGAATGCGAGCAACTTGCGGACTTCGGGTGTGATGACAACGAGAGTCGAGTTGAACGGGTCATGACTACCGTTGTCAAGTGCAGACACCAACAAGGGAGCCTGGTGTTCAGCTTCTACCTCTGAGGAAGCTGCGATATCGTCATTCATATCTGGCTTGACATGCTGCAACGAAAGACTGCGTTGTAAGGGTGAGATTGGAGAGACTCGTTGGGCAGTCTGCTTGGGAGGCACACTCAATGAAGTACGACCTCGTGGCGGTGATGACTTTTGCTTTGGTGACAGGTTGCCATCTCTGGTGCTGGCTGGCCTTGTAGGAGATGGCGAGGGTGATTTGACTGACTTTGCTGTCTTCGCATGCTTTCGTCGCTCGGCTGCGAGTCGACTCAAGTGAGTGTTGATGAAGCGCCTGTCGTCCGGGCCACCTCCCGGGCGTTGCGGAACAAAGGAGAATGTCCCTGGGGTCTTCGCGGTCATGTCCGGTCCATGTTGATGATTCAATGCTGCTCTACAGCGCGAAGAAGCTGGTTTATACCATAGCGCGATAGTCTATGAAGAGATAGGATCGATGAATAGTACCAGAACTCCGGAGACTTTCAGTGTTCCACGGGCAGAGATCTCGGTTGAGAGGGGCTGATTCCGCCCCGAGCAATCGCTTGCCACCATCGATACGAGGCTGAGGGCGTAAAAACACAGCCTGTAGCTACCCCCTTGCAAAAGATGAGAGCATGGCCTCGGGGCAAGGAAGGACAACTCGCTGACTCGTCATGGATGCAAGGCTCATGCCAGCTTGCCTGCCCACTGACCGTCACTGTCTAGCAGAAGAGTTGCATTCATCTTTCTGGCAGCCGGAGGATGGTGTCTGTAGCTACGAGGGCCAAAAGGTTGTTAGGCGACTCCAAGCCAGTGCGGGGTGAAGACCTGAGATCTACACCATGGCCGAGGCAACGAGGCGCTTACTCTAATCCCTAACCCCCAAGAGCAAGGGTACTAAAGTACGATCTCCTTCTTGCATATCTAAAGCCTTGGGGAAGATCTCGCTGATGGTTGTGCTTCGATCTGACAGCGCCTGGATGACCAAGCGCTGAAAATACACCCGTCAGCAAAGTGTGCAGGGGATCCCGTCTCAAGCAGCAAGCCATGAACCCACTCACGTCCCCAATCCGGTCACGATTGTGCTCATTCCGCGGTCTCCCCCAACGAATCACATTCTTGTCTGGCACCGAACTACATTATTCGAAACGATCATCGTGCACCCAACAACGCCGAAACATTCACGCTCGAGGTACCGAGTACTTGCAAAACCACGATCCCGACTTGACCGAATCTCAGCGTACCGTCCGTGAGGCCATCGGCAAGGTCTGTGCTCAGTTCGACGACACCTACTGGGCCAACGCTGAACGAGACCACAAATTCCCCGTCGAATTTCAGCAAGCAATTGCACGCGATGGCTGGCTCGGGATCTGCATGCCCGCTGAATATGGAGGCTCCGATCTGGGCATCCTGGAAGCCGCGACCATGATGCAGACCATTTCCGAGAGCGGAGGAGCATATGCGGCCTGCTCATCGGTCCACATGAACATCTTCGGCCTGGAGCCCGTCCGCAAGTTCGGCACCGAGGAGCAGAAGAGACGCATGCTGGCACCACTCATCGCTGGCGAGGAGCGAGCGTGCTTTGGAGTGACGGAGCCTAACACCGGACTCGACACGCTGAAGCTCCAGTCCCGCGCCACCAAGTCGTCGGACGGGAGCCACTACACGCTCTCCGGCTCCAAGATCTGGACCTCGACCGCCCAAGTGGCCGAAAAGATCCTCATCCTGGTGCGCACCACGCCGCTTGAGGCGGTCAAGAAGCGCTCTCAAGGCCTGTCCCTGTTCTACACCGACCTAGACCGCTCTGCCGTGCAAGTGACGGAAATCCCCAAGATGGGCCGCGCCGCGGTCGACTCCAACATCCTGTTCTTCGAGGACTGGCGCGTGCCCGCCGAAGACCTGATTGGCGCCGAAGGCGACGGCTTCAAGCAGATCATGGTGGGGATGAATGCCGAAAGAGTCCTCATCGCCGCCGAGGCGCTCGGCCTGGGGTTCGCAGCCTTGCGGAAAGCGGCGCTCTACGCCGGCGAACGACAGGTGTTTGGACGGCCCATCGGCATGAACCAGGCGATACAGCATCCGCTGGCCGACAGCTGGATGCAACTCGAGGCCGCGCGATTGATGATCAACCAAGCGGCCAGACTCTATGACGAGGGCTATGAGGCGGGCGAGTACGCGAACGCCGCCAAGTACCTGGCTGCCGAGGCCGCTTACACGGCCTGTGAGAGGGCGGTAATGTCGCACGGTGGGATGGGCTATGCGAAGGAGTATCACGTCGAGCGCTACTTCCGGGAGAGCATGATCCCCCGACTGGCGCCGGTGAGTCGCGAAATGATCTTCAGCTACATCGCCGAGAGGGTGCTGGGGTGTCCAAGAAGTTACTGAAGGGCCCCAAAAGGAGGCTGGCTCGGACCTGAAGAGCTCTGATTCGCCTGAAAGAGAGGCAGTGAATAGGCATGTGACGTTCAATGCATTTGCTGGCAAGAGGCATACAAGAGTCTGGAACAGGTGTTTTGGTAGGACAAGTCCAATTCTGATTGTGGCTATGTAAAGTGGATGAGTCAAATAGCAGCAAGTAACTCCCGTCGATATAAAGTTGCGCCCCCAAGTTCGCATGGCCATGAGTTTGGAAAGATCAAAATGCGCGATGAACTCTGTGTCGCCCATCGCTTCATCCTCTTCATCAACATCCGGTCGTAACAATGAAACTGGGTCTTCAGTAACCCCGACGACGCAGCAATCGATCTCTTGCATGCATTTCCTAAAACCCCCAGAACCTCGTTGGTTGTCCTTCACAAAGTCACTTTGTCACTTGTCGATGAAATCTTGGCCTACCGTCGAGTCGCGACCCCTTCCGGAGAGGAAAAAGGGGGTTGACCCGGAACCGGCAGCGTGGTGAAAGTCGAAAGGGAACCAAGGCTGCTCGCTCATGGCCGCTTCGCATCCAGCGCCTGCGTCAATTGCCACTCACTTCTTCTGGTTGAGGAAGGATGACATCGACCCGCCGCCCAGGGACTGGGCCCAGTTGTTGCTGTTGTTACCACCGCCGTTGCTCGGCTTGTGCTTGTGCTCCTGACGCTTCTTCTTGGCGAAATCTTCGGTGAGGTGTCCGGCGATTGCTCCACCCTAAGATGTGAGTCAGTGACTGTCCCGGAATCCGAGAGATGTGAGAAACTTACGATTGCGCCTAGAATACCATGGCCCATCTTGTGGCCTCCATAACCTCCAGCTGCGGCGCCTCCGACAGCGCCGAGAAGACCGCGTTCGCCCTCGGCGCCAGGGGCGCCCTGCTGGTATTGGTTCTGATCATATTGGCCGTTGTAGCCTTGTTGCTGGTATTGTTGGTTGTGGTAACCTTGCTGCTGGTCGTAGCCCTGGTTGTAACCTTGCTGTTGCTGGTCGTAGCCCTGGGAGTAGCCTTGCTGTTGACCGTAGCCTTGCTGCTGGTTGTATTGGCCCTGGTAATGGGCGTTGTATTGGTCGTAACCACCTTGTTGACCGTTGTAACTCATGTTTGACTAAGGCTGAGTGCTTGCTGGATCCTAAGATTGGATTGTAGTCTTGGAAGAATGCAGTTGAGACTGTGAATGGTTGGGAGAATGATGAAGGAGAGAAAACAGAGGGGGTGAGTCACAGCAAATATATGCTAAAGAGCACTTACGGGCTATAGCGAGGCTGACGGCATCTGATTTGTCGTCTACAAGGGGCTGAGCTTACCAAGACCATACACAGTCGACGCTTTTCTGATTTCCGGTTACCGCTCACAGCCACTAGTGGTGGAATACGTGAGCAAAAGTCCCACAAAGCGAAGACTATTCCACTTGCGGCCAGGCGAAAGACGCGGCGCAGGGCATCTGCGGGGATAGACACGCTGAAACAACATGGCGCTGCGTATTGCGAGAACAAGGCTTGGAGGATATGTGATTGGGGGAACCGTGGCTGAGTCGAGGCGCATTTACGATGCAGGTGGCTATGCCATCGCGCTAAACCTTTTTAGGTCTTATGAGGCGACGAGGCTGAGTACGAGAACCAAAGTTCCTTTCTCGGAGGTGATAGCCGCCATCTTCATCATTGGTGCCTGACCATACTATAAACACTCGCATGATGACGACTACCACCAAGCTTTTGAGCCTCAAAGATCTGCCCCGCGCCGCGATCTTGCCTAAGCGCAATCCGCAGCAGTCTCTGCTTGAGGCCGGTGATGATCCAATGGTCCGCCAATACAGCACAATGGCTCTGAGTCGGTGAGAGGCGATGTCATAGTCAGTGTCAGGGGCTTGCGACATCGCGATGAATACGTCTACGCTCTGGACATTGCTAAAGATGGTCCGTCCCTGATAAACCAGACGGATGTCTTTTCCGACAAGCTCGGCACCAGGTTGCTCCCGGACCCGAATGCTCGTAAGGGCCCAAGTGCGACCTACTGTTCCTAGCAGTAACCTCTCGTTCGACTTCGGATCAGAACGTCATGACTCCTGCAGGTTCGCTTGCATCGTTCGAATGGGTGACTTCAGCAAATATCCAGTAGGTACGCGTTGACTTGGGTTGTGGGCAAGTTGAACTCAAGGCTGGCGGGCTTTATTAGTACCATACCTCTGTCCTAGCGAAAGATCTCCGTGAGAGCCGGCCTCCGCCCCAACAAGCAAGAGAGTACCTCACGTGGACAGTTCCAGAGATGCCGAAGCTTGAAGTGCTTGTTGTGGGTGCCTCGGTCGCGGGTCCCATGACAGCATACTGGCTAGCTAGGGCTGGTGCGAGGGTAACGATTATTGAACGATTCCCCGTGTTACGCACCAACGGACAGGCCATCGACATTCGTACCTCTGGTGTGACGGTGATGCGCAAAATCCCAGGAATGGAGGCAGCCGTGAGGGCCAAGACGACGCAGCTCGAAGGTCTCAGCTACGTCCGCGAAGACGGCCGTCCTTACGGAGTCATCAGAGCCACGGGGAATCCAGATCAGCAATCGCTCATATCAGAGTACGAGATCTTCCGAGGAGACCTATCGCAGATTCTGTTCGATCTCACAAAGAACAATGAGAACATCAGGTACATTTTCAATGAACAAGTCGTATCGATCCAGCAGCGTGAGAACCAGAACGGATCAGTGACAGTCGAGTTTGCAAACGGCACAGCGACCTCAAGTTTCGACCTCATCGTTGCTTGTGACGGCGCAGCTTCGCGCATTCGAGCCCTCGGGTTCAACTGTGCTGTACGCGATCATGTCGAGACAACAGGTTGCTGGGCGACTTACTTCTCCGTAAAGGAGGACTTTCTTCAAGGATCAAAAACCGGCCAGGCACACTCAGCTACCGGAGGACGTTTCGTGTCCATTGAGCCGGATCCTTCCGGCATCAACCAAGTCACATTGATGAAACTGAGTGCCCGCGACACCCCGGAGGCAACGCTGGGTTTTCGCCAGGCGTTGAAACAAGGCGACGACGCGCTCAAACAATTTGTGGCGCAGCAATACCAGGACGTCGGTTGGAGAACCGCCGACCTCCTCAAAGGCATGATGGAGACCGACGACTTCTACGGTAGCGAATTGGTCCAAGTCCACATCCCCGCCTTGTTCAGCGGCCGCGTCGTCCTCGTTGGCGACGCCGGGTTTGCTCCCGGTTTCAGCGGCATGGGCACTTCACTCGCCATGACTGGCGCCTACGTCTTGGCCGGGGAGATTCAGCATCATAAAGGCGATGTCGGAGCAGGACTTGAAGGCTACGAGAAGCGCATGAGGCCGATGATCAACGAGATGTCCAAAGTGCCACCTTTCGTCACGACGTTAATGTCGCCGCAAACCCGGTGGGGGATATGGTTGCGGAATGCTGTGTTTGCGGTCATCTCGTGGACGAATGTTGTGGAGTACCTGCAAAGGTTCTCCGACTTGTTCGGGGCCGCTTTTGCCAGTAACGACGAGTGCAAACTTCCAGACTATGAGTGGGAGAAATGACGTCGGGCATCCCAGCGGAGTCAATCGCACTTTACGCGGTGGGAGAATGCTTCGGAATGGCGCAGCAGATTATGGGCCTGGAGATTTAGGAGGGTGTCCGGAGCTACAGGCATGATACGAAGCACTAACACCCAGTCCACACAACCGGGTCTTTCACGACTTGGGAAGGACCAGCACTATACCCCTCATCAGACCTGAGGCATATAACCTCATTCTTGATGCTCAAGAAGCTGCGGTGCCCGCATACCCATGGAACTCCTTCCCCTCCTCCCGCAGAAGCTCCGGCAGCTCATCCTCGCGATAGCTCTCCCAGACGCCCTTCTCACGCGGCTCCCAGCCAAGCTTCCGCAGCCGCACCGCCCTGCTCCGCGAGTTCAAGCCGATGACCGCACTGCTGAACGGTCCAAAGAGATCTTCATATTTATCTTCCGGCACGGTCTTCGGCGTCGGATCCTGAATCTTGCCCGCGGCATACAGGCCCTTGCCGACCTCGGTCGCCACCTCCAACCACGACTTCTCGACGCCGTTCTCGCAGAAGAAGTATGGGTTGTCGAGCAATTCCTGCGGGTCGGCCTGCTCGATCCAGTGCAAGAGCACGATATACGCGCGGGCGAGGTCGAGGACGTGGATCTGGGACTCGACTGAGAGGCCCTTGCCGAGGTGCGGAGCATAGCCGTGCTTCAACGCGAAACGAGTGATGGTGGGGATCTGGATCGTCAGGCGCTTGTGCTTGGGGTTGAAGCCGTATATCAGCGGTGGGACCATGATGGCTATCTTGGCTTTCGTGCCCAGGGCCTGCTGCGCTCGAACGATGGATAGGTCGATGGGCCTGTGGGGAGCATCGTCCGGCACCGAGTCAATCTCCTCGCGCTTGTCGTCGTGGTAGATCTTGTCGCCCTGGAACTGTCCCTGGGCACCGTCGTCGAGGACGCTAGTGCCGCTTGTGTGGATGTAGATGGTCTCCTTGCCTTGCTTGGCTCGTTCGGCGACGCCGGCGACGATGGCTTCTGCCGAGGGCTTGTGATCTGCTGTGGCGGTATGGATTACGATGTCGTATTGGAGAGTCAAGTCGGTGATTTTCTGGGTGTCATCGAGGTCTCCGAGCACTGTTGATGCCCCCGAAGCCTCGAGTTGTTTGGCATGTTCTTGTCGTCTCGCGTAGCCGGTTACTGAGTAACCTTCTGTCAGGAGGAGGTCCAGCACATTCCAGCCAATGAAGCCTGGACCGACGATGAGGACATTCTTTCCACCCGCCATGATGATTGATGTTGAGTTGTCTTGTAAAGTACGGCCTCGGAGAGTAAGCTACTTTATACACAAGCTGGCGTCACTCTTCCTCATTACCAACACGGAAGCATTTCGCCGTGGGGTAGGTAAACGTCAGTGCACAACCTATCGGGAAATATTCCCGCGCCGGTTATGTAATTCTGCCAAGACCGAAGGGCATCGGCATTAAGACCGTGCGGAGCTCCTACACGCAGTAGGCGGGCTGGCCAGGACAGCAGTCTGAACAAAGACCCTGCGTTTTGACGGGATAGGGCCTTGTCTTCATCCAAGTTTCGTGCTAACTTTGAGCTGATTGGTGACTCTCTGAGGCCGAAGAACGCGTATGCGCGCTCTGGCGGATGGGTGGCCTCAGTTGCCTGAGCTTGGCGTCAGCAGTACGGTGCGAGATGGCTATGTACCGCTCGGTCAGGGTAAGCTTGTGAAGCATGGCAACATCATATATAATCTGTGCTCGTGCTGCGAGATCATGCACTGCCCTTCTTCACTTACCACGCCTGAGACAGTCGACCACGATGGAGTTCCCGAAGCCTTATCCAAAAATGGCCCAGCAGCCGCGGGAAAGGGGACGACCGATGCAGGTCATCTTTGTTGGCCTGTCGAGGAGCGGAACCATGTCGCTCTGGGCTGCTTTGAGGGAACTTGGGTATACACCATATCATTGTTTGGAATGTGGTTTGGACAACGCCAACGGTGCGTATCCGAAGTGGTGGGAAGCTGTACAGGCGAAATACGAAGGAAAGGGCACACCATATAAGGGGAAGGATTTTGAGAAGATGCTCTGGCGATATGACGTAGGCAAGGCCTTTTTCTGAATCGGGTCCAGCTGACGTCTCAGGCCATTACTGACATACCATGCGTCCTCTTCGTCGACGAACTTCTGGAAGCATACCCGGATGCCAAGGTAGTCCTTCAATCTCGGGATCCAGATGCTTGGGCTAGCTCAGTGCGAGATAATTTCCTGTACTTTCTGAGTGGATGGCGATGGTATTATCTCAGGCTTTTCGACAAGGTGGGTTTCAGGTAAACCTCGCTCCTTGATGCGCAGCGCTGACACATCCACAAAGAGTACCGCCGATCCATGGTACCGTATCGTAGAAAGGTCCATCAAAGAATGGAGCGGCGGAGACGTGACAAACCTGGAAGCTTACAAGCGAGGTCTAGCAGCGCACAAAGATCATGTTCGGGCGCGCGTGCCAAAAGACAAGCTTCTAGAGTACAACGTTGCGCAAGGCTGGAAGCCACTTTGCGACTTCCTGGGCAGAAACGAACCAGACATGCCATTCCCGAAAATCAACGAAGGAGCGATGGTCCGCCAAATTACCGATCATTTTTTACGACGAATAGCACTCTTCGTAGTGCTGCCAAAGGCGCTGTTGTCTTTCGGGCTGCCAATGGCTGTGGCGGCTGGAGCATGGTGGTACAGTTCGCAACAGCCGTAACATCGAGCTTGATTACGCGTTGCTCGGGATCTTGAACAAGTCGAATGCTAGTAGTTGGACTACGTCAAAGAATGAGGGGATGGAGCGGTGCCGTCTTAGCGACATGTACAGTAAGAATTGATAGACGAAGCTCGTGGTTGCCCTGTACAACCCATGCCAAGACACTAGTCCGTTTGTAGGAAAGCCTGCACTGCTTGGTGACTTCCTCGCCTACCACCCGCTCACTTTCCAGATCAAAAGTGCTTCAGATTCGGCGAGGTCCTGTTCAAAATGGCTCCGATACTGTCGAAGATGGGCTCCGGTGCAAAGGGCGAGGAGTTTAGTCAGCCTGCGGCACTCCGGCGGTCTCCTCGGAAGAGATGCACCGATACACAGGCTAATGTGCTGGCCAAAGGCGATACTGTCTCCTCCAGAGACGCATCTTGCAACGCGTCAAGAGGCAAATTAGTAACAACAACAGCCGTCGACGAGCTGACTCGGCCCAAGAAGTCCATCAATGCCTCTATATTACGGGAAATTGAACTTCCCTCGACAGAGGATGAGACCGAATTTGAAGCTGCCATCACCAGTGCTCAACGCGCCAGACCATCGAAAAGCGCAGCCGATGTCAACTCTCTGGCAATCTCAATTGCCCAGACAACTATATCACGAACCGCACCGGAAGGGGACCACTCAGACAGAGTCTTGAACATGCCAACCTCGCGGGCAAAGCCCAAGTCCCCGACTCACTATACAAGCCGATATGTACTCAAAGAAGCTAATTGCATTGACGATTACTCGGACGCCGCGGAAGACGAGGACGAAGATACGGATCTCAGCGGATTTATTGTTGACGATGGTGCGGAAATCAGCTACCATGAGTCTCCCAGTGAAGACTCGGAAGATGACTATCGACCCAGCAAACAGAAGAGCCGGCAGCCTCGCCGTCGTCTGCAACGCGGCCACCGAAAAGTGGTCGACTCTGACTCGGACAAAGAGAACGAGTCCGACGCCGGCATAGCGGCTGCCTTGGACGGTCTGGAAATTGGAAATGCGGAGGCTGGGCGATCGCGGAAGGCAACCACCGAAGTCATTGACTTGACCACGTCTCCAGACGCGCCTGCACGCGTCACGTCCAACGCGCGCGTCCAGGCTGCAGAGGACCCTTTCGCAAACACTACTTATGAACTTGACAAGTCTCTGAAAGGTCTATCTCTGTTTGATTCTATGCTGAGACTGTCGCCTCCACGAAAACGAGAAGCAACGTCTCCCACCCGTGCCAGTACTCCCGAGCCACCAACAGACCCTGCACCCGAACACACCCCATCACACCAGGCCCGACCTCAGACACCGACTCGCTCCCCTTCGCCACCGCAGTTGAAGTCTCCCTCCAAGCACAGCAATTTCCAGCGCTCACCGCATCGCCAGTCCACCGATGCCTTCTGGGATCACCACACAGTTAATGACTGGCACGACAGCTACTCGCCCAAGAAAGCACCTCTCACCTCTCCATCCAAGAACCCTCTTGCTCGCTTCGCCATATGGTCTGACGACGACGACGAGGGATCGGATAACGACTCGAGACACGACTCTTCCAGCGCAAGTGATAGCTTGCCAAGTCCTTGCGCCTCCCCTACCAAGCCACGCTCAAGTTCCCCAATGAAGTCTCCCGAGAAAGCTGCGCGCGCAGCCTATCTTGCCGAGAAGCGGGCATCTGCTGCACGCAAAACGACCTTCGATGCGGTGAAAGAAGAACTTGGCACAAATTTACTCGCATATCTCGACGACCATGTCACCGCTGGACAATTACAGCGTTTGTCCGCATCCACGGGTGGCGTGCAGATCAAATGGTCCAAGACTTTACGCAGCACCGCCGGAAGAGCGAACTGGCGACGTAGCGTTACCAAGCCAAGCGGAAGTCCTATCAAAGGCAGCCCAGTCAAGGGAATGGTCGGTGACCAAAAGGTCAAAGTGGAACACTTTGCAAACATCGAACTGGCGGAAAAGGTTATCGATTGTGAGGAACGTCTGGTCAACACCCTGGCGCACGAATTCTGCCATCTGGCCAACTTCATGGTCAGTGGGATCCGCGATCAGCCTCATGGCATAAGCTTCAAGAACTGGGCGGCGAAAGCCACAGCCTGCCTTGCGAAGGCCGAAGTTGGAGGCGAGGATGAGCGAGTCCGAGCGACCTGGTCAGCGTGCAAGGTGACCACGAAGCACAGCTATGAGATTGAGTGGAAGTACTTGTGGGCCTGCGTTGGTCGGGACCAGAACAGCGCAATGAACTTCCTCAACGTACAGGCAACCAAAGGCTGCGGCGCAGAGTATGGCCGGCACAGCAAGAGTATCGATACAGAGAGAATGCGCTGCGGCCGGTGCAAAGGAAAACTCGTGCAGGTGCGCCCTGTTCCCCGAGTAGCGAAGAAGGACACAAGCGTTGCAAAGACCATGACAGTGAAGAAGAGATCTGCCGAGCGCAAAGCGAGTGAGAGTGGCAGCGACGTTTCCGGATCCTCCAGTGGTGTCCGTGTCAACGAGAATTTGCAGGAGATGGAGATCATCGAGTTGAGCGATTGATTGTATCACCACCAAAACACACACACACATACATCCAATGAGAGACACAGGCTTTGAACCACACTGATTCGCGGTGTTGGGAACTTGGAACTTGTCAGGCATGACGAAAAAGGCGCTGGACAGTGTGGCGTTGCAAAAATGGCGTTGAAGTCAGGCCTACTACTTGGTCGCTTTTCCAGGGTATTGATTCATGTACTTGTATGAAAAAGTACTGCCTCTCACTCTCAGGGGCTGCTGTTCATATTCAAAAGCCATCTGATTTTTTGGGTTCTTTGGTGCTATATCTCGGTGAAACAGTCGTTGTCTCCCTGAGAAGCCTCGCTTCGATGCTCGCAGCTAGGTTCACTCGAGCATCTCGTGCCAATTTCCTACGAAAGTCATGATATAAGCCGATCACTCTACACCTCCGATCTTGACCCGCCTAACGACTCTGCTGACGATTGACTTCAACTCCTTCTCCTCAACTTCGGGACCATCTTTGTTGACAAGTCTGTAGCACCAGCATGCCCTCACGAAACCGAGACGCAGGTCGTGAATGGTGACCGGGAATTCAACGCTGCCCTTCGCAATACCTAGAGTGGCACCCACGAACCACTCCAACAAATGTCCAAGTCCGGAGTCCTCCGTGATATAGACCCAGTTGTCTGCGTTGAAACATGGACAGCTGTAGCCAACATCGATCACGGCGTGCATGTTGCAACGGTCTCCGCAGTCCTTCGACACGTAGACTCCAGAACCAACGACAAAGTAGTATGTCGGAGACTCGCTGGCAGGGATGGACGGGGCAACAACGAGGTTACCAACATCGTATGCTGGATCGACCGTCTTGTCTTCGTAACCGAGAGCTTCCAGCGCCGTACGACACTTTTCCTTGAGCCTGTCGCTAGTCAATAGATATCCTCAGTACTCAAAGACTAGCAACATACTTCTCTGGGCTGGGAATTGTCAGAGCCATGGTTTACGTTGCCATGTCAGGTACCGTAGTCCGAAGGAGAGCTTGCGCTGTCGATCTTGTGCTGTTGATGAAGACTGAAATCGTAGCCGCTCGGCCAAATGAATAATTTTCAGAGAACCTCATCAGTCACTGGGGGATGCGATGACTGGAAAGTGGAGACTTTGCGACCGGCTCTCAGAGAGCGATGAGCTCGAGGTGAGGATTAGGCCAAGCAATCGCATCGGCATGGCGTTGTTTGTCGGAGACGGCAAGTATGCTGCCCGGCCATGCTGTTAGGTCGGCGGTGTTGCTGGTCGTGATTCGAAGAAAGGGTGTAATTCAGGATTGTGCTATCTAAAGTGTCGAAAGCGGCGCATGGGTGCCGTCGTCTGGGACGCTATGTTCACGATGTTGGACTGCCGCCTCAATCGCTGGCGAAGAGGCCGAATTCCTTTATGTCGAGGGTCGCAACGATCTTTTCCATGATTCCCTTCGCCACTGCCTCCTCTGCATCGGCCTCCTCTTTCCCGGAAAGTTCCTTCAGAGGCACATTCACTCTGACGCAAAAGTCAGTGCTATACTTGTCCATCCTCACAACCAACTGGTAGCACTTGGTCAGCTGGTTCGTGGTCAGCGGTGTTTGCTGCCATTCGATGGGCAGGCTGGTCGACGCCTTCTTGTCCACTTCAGGTGAGATGATGCCGCCTTGAACGAGATAAGCTGGGAAATCCTTCAGGCTGTCTTCGGCGAGCGACAACTTGGTGGGCGCGCCAAGCTCTTCCGCAAGATGATCGGGCGGGGCGATGACATCGGTGAAGTGGAAGTAGAGAGCAGCTGGGTCGGGCTGCTTAACGAATTGGTTGATTTCGAAGATGATTGAGGTGAGAGTCTTGTTCGAGAGGAAGACTTCCTGGTGATCCGGGATCTGACGGATGTCGCTGGCGTCGATCAGTGTGGTAGGGAGCTCGACGGTGATGGCACCTCCGTAGAGCTCGCGAGTACCAAAATCGGCCATACCCTCGATCGAGGAGATATGCTATAGAGGCTTTGGGGGAGCACTGAGCTGAAGAGAAGCAGCCCGGAGTGTGGAAGGCTTGGGCTAATTTGTATCTGCTCACGGCACCGTTGCTGAAGCGTGGCGATGGCTGCCTACTTCCGTACTGAAACCAAAGTAGGCCCAGCTTCAAATCCACTATCCTGCTAGAAATAATCGTGGAATCTTCATTGGATGCTGGAGAATCACCTCTGTCTGCCTGCTGCAAGGAAAGGTCGGATTGGAAGTGTCTAAGCTCGAAGTCTGCACAGAAAGTCTTGGCGCCCTGCTGCCTGCCTGGGGCGAGAGGAGGCAGGAACGTCCTCCATCTCAACTACTGACCACTAGCCAGGCTAACACATCAAAGCTGGTAGATAGAAGAGAGTTGGGGCCTTGAAGATTGATCAATTATGAGTATTGTAACAACTATGATACCCTCTCAAACACACGCACACCGTCCATATCACAAGAAGTTTCAAGTCTTCACCACGGTGTGGTTTGAAGGAAGAGTTCCCTTGATCAGATACTCGTCCATCATCTTGCTCAATTCGCCAAAGAGGAAGTACGATGTGTGACCATCGCCATCACGCAGAGCAAATGCCACTGACTCGATGCTCTTCCGCACATTCTCGGCCCAAACATATGATGTCGACGGATCGTACTTAGACTGAGCAAGAAAGATCGGTGGCTGCCCTTCGTTCTTGACCGTCATATCTTGTTGTGGGTTGGTAGGCTTCTTGGGAAACCCCAAACACTGAGCTTGGATCTGGTAGCTCTGGGACACACCACGCGTGACTGGAGCCACGGTCCGTCCCAGCTCCATCTTCCACTTCAGGTCCCAGAAAGAATTTCCTTCGGAGATCCAATCAAGGCAGGAGATGGCCGGTCCAGCAAATGCTGGGTCGTCTTCACTCTGCGCCAGGAGACTGGTGCTGGACAGGAGGGTGGCATTTCCCTGGGAGGCTTGAGCGAGCGCGCCTGCCAACCCGACCCAGCCGGCTGAGAGTGGTTCGATGACCGGCACAAAGTGTAAGCCATTCTGAGTGACCTGCAAAATCTCGTACCCATTCATGTTTGAGCGGCAGACCTTGTCGTCGCATCCGGGTGCCGGTATTGGGTTGTCATTTGCTTCATCAACGAGCCGCACCAGGATCTCCTGAACATCCTCCCCATGCAGAGCGCAGTCTTCGTTCTCATCACACCATTCTGCAAAGCGCTCGAAACTGCGCTCATACGTACTCACTTCGGTGACGAAGGTGTCAGTTGCAGACTGGGCATGATCCGTAATACCATCCAGGGCAAGAGCTCGGTAGTTCTTTGGGAACAGCTGAGCGTAGGTTTGGCCGATCTGAGAACCGTAGGAAGCGCCCATGAAGTTGAGCTTCTCATCGCCAAGAGCCTTGCGCACAGCTTCCAGGTCTTTTGCAACGGCGATGGTGTCGGCATGATATAGCAGTGGACCGGTCAATCTTTCGCAGCTCTCCCACAGGTCTTTGTTCGCTTGAACCATAGCGTCATACTCTGTCTCATCCTTCGGGAACCACGCATTCCGCTTGTTGTAGAGGTCTGGGTCGCACTTGATACGCGGGCTAAGGCCGACGCCCCGAGGATCCATTCCTACAATATCAAAGTTGCTGACAAGATCTTCGCTGAACGCCTGAACCCCAGACGCCTGAGCTATAACAACATCCGAAGCAGCACCGCCGGGGCCGCCGGGGTTGTAGATGAGGCTGCCCAGCTTTTCTCGATTAGAAGATGGGATTCGCACGAGACCGATCGCGATGTGCTCGCTTTTGACGTTGTTCCAATCGAGAGGGACCTGTACCTGGCCGCATTCGAGAGCAGGGGGCATTTCTGGGTCAATGCTTGAACAGTTGACCCATTGCATTGAGCTAGGTGTAAGAGGCGCGGCTGCGTTTAGGCATGCTAAGGCGAGAAAAGGTATCGATCGAATACTGTTAATAGTCTGAACAGAAGGCGCCATTGTGAGTTGCGGACGAGCCAAAAAGAAAAAGAGAGCTGATTAGTGGTAGATGATCCGTGGTAGTAATTCGGAACGCTGGGTTACTATGCAAGATATATACCTAGCAACTCACCTTCGTACATGACTTCCCTTTTAGACGGCACCGGACTGGGGCTTAGAGCTTCGACTATCGCCTTGAGCAACGAGAGTGCCCAAAATATAACGACATTAAGATGAAGGGGACGTGTTATTGTTGCAAGAGACCCCGGTCATTGAAGCTCGTACAGACCTACCTGAAAACGGTAAAGCGTAGCAGATGGCACCCATGAGCCAGTTCCAGGTACGGGAATAGCAACAGCCCCCACCTCTCGCAGGATTGAAGATCCCAGAAGACTGCATCTTCCATACCGTTTTTGAGCCGAGCTTGTGATGCCGCCACGAGTTCTCTCGAGCTTGTCTCTGTCACGCACGATTCTGAGTATGCACTCACAGCGCGGCAGCAAGATTGAGAGCTAAGAACGGGAGCTTAGATGTGGATGTCTCTGGGTGAGGCACTTCCCTAAGATTCATGTCGTGATGACCGCCCGCTACACCGATCCAACCACCCCCAGCGTCGCCACAGGTTGCGTCTGCGTCCGCGTCTGCTTCTTGGCCTCCATCTGAGCCGCGGTCTCCCGCGCCTTGTTGTTGACGGCCTCAATCTCAAAGCCCGCAATCGCCTTGTATTTCGCACCTACGCCCTCTAGCTCTTCCTTCGGAATGACGTCGTAAACGTGTTTGAACCCATCCGGCGCACGTTCGTGAGCGAGCTGCAGCACCTGATCAGGCCCGTTGCCACGGTTGGCATGCACGATGGCGGCCGTAGGCGGCAGACGCAGAGACTGGTATTCTTGCAGCGCGGCCGGTATATCGTTGGGATGTGTTTGGAGGCAATGTGCCAGAGCCTCGGCGTCCAAAATCGCCTGAGAAGCGCCATTCGAGCCGATTGGGTACATGGCGTGGGCGGCGTCGCCGAGCAACGTCAGGCGGCCAAACGACCATTGAGATACCGGGTCACGGTCGCACATGGGGAATTCGTAGACTTTGGGCGTCGCGTCAATGAGGTCGGCCATGCGGAGTCCGCCGCAGGTCCAGGTGCGGAAGGGGCCCTCAAAGCGGGACTTAGGAACACTGCGTGTCCAGTCGACGGGTGGTGGGGTGAGGTCCGGGTCGTTCTCGTCGCGGACGCGTAGTTCGGCGATCCAGTTTACAACGGATTGGTTGCGTTGTCGGGCTGCTTGGGCGCTGATGGGGTAGGCGATGAATTTTTGGTTTGCGTGGCCGGCCCAGATCATCGAGGCGCCGGTGAGGTAAGGGTCGCGTTCGATGCAGCCGCGCCAGAGGATGCGACCGGAGAAGCGTGGGGGACCTTCGGTTGGGTAGAGCAGGCGGCGAGCGTGGCTGTTGATGCCGTCGGCCGCAAGAAGAACGCTGCCGGTCATGCTGGGGATTGAGGAGGGTTGGCCATCGGAGCGCTGAGTGAAGTGGGCGGTGATGCTGGTGTCGTCTTGCGCGTAGGAAGTGAAGGCGTGGTTGAGGTGGACTCTCTCGTGGCCTAGACGGTCTTTCACGGCGCGCAGGAGGAGCATTTGGAATTCGCCCCTGTGGATGGAGATTTGTGGGATGTCGTAGCCGGCATCGAGGCCACGAGGCTCGGAGAGGATGCTGTCGCCATGACAGTTGTAGAAGTTAAGCTCTTTGGTTGTAATGCCGGTTTCTAGTAATGTTGGCAGCAGGCCGAGGTTGCGGAGTATTAGTACTGCTGACGGCTGTACGTTGATGCCGACCCCTAGTGTTGTGAGTTGAGAACTGGCTTCGAATATGTGGATATCTGTGTAGCCCTGGCAAGTTGACATATATGAGCCATGTAGAAGAGTTAAAGAAACGGGGCCCGCTCTTGGTAGGGTAATCTGGGGACGGACGTACCGTGGCGTGAAGGCAAAGAGCAGCACTCAGCCCTCCGATGCCAGCTCCGGCAATTATTATTTTGGGCTGAGCTATACCCATGTTCGGGTTGCGATCAATCTATAACACTGTAGGTCCTGAGATGACGGTCGCACGTTATAGTGGCTGGCCTGTAGTAGAGTAAGAAAATATAGTGGAATGCGGGGAAGATGGAGCGATGTCGGAGATGGGGCAGAGCGGAGTGAAGCTGCTGTTAACATTAAATGCTTTCCGTTATTTTGTTAATAACATATAGAAGGGAAAGTCTTTGCAACACTGGATCGAGATCGCATCAAATCTGACTGGTCAAGATGCCCGAGAAGCTCCCATACGCAATAGAAATCGAGAGCAGCACAACATGAATGTCCCGGGGCTGAGAGGAAGAAGCCCAAACGCAGGCCCGTTGCCGGCCTTTGCCAGAGTTGTAGACCCATTATGAAACATGTCGCGCTCGATATTGCTTCACGTCATGTCAGCGGCTGGGACGCGCCACCAGAGGTCTTGTCGGATGCGCAAAGGTGAGTATGGTGTTTGAAAGTGAAGAGAAATCAAAAGGGGCCGGCCATGGGAGCTCGACACAGAAATTACCGAGTTCCTTCTGTATCTATGCCAAGGAATTTCACAGACCAACACCTTGAGCTGCAGCGACACCGATCTCTCATGCCACTGATAACTACGGCGCGAATCCTTTTCTGGCTGGTATTCAGAATTCCGCTGTTTACCTGTGCCTCTTTGGACTCCTTGCTCAACAGAATCATGCCTACCAAGAAGGCTGGTTGACTTCCAGCGACGGCTGCGCGTGTGCGCGGTCATGCAGGAACGGTGTGCAATGCAACACCATCTCACTGGTGCCACGAAATCATGCCGACAGCGACGTATCCGTGCGTCAGCAACCAGTCGTGGGCCATCTGTAAGTTGATCACAAGTCAGTGGCATGGCCAATGCCCTCATCTCGTATCCCAACCACCTCACTATTAGCGGTGGCTGGGAAACATCAAAACGTTCCCACGGAGCCAACACCTGCGCCATCTGCCCTCTCCTGCACTCACAACTTAGCTCAACATCGTCGACAGTCACAAGAAACATCTATATAACCTCTCGAAGCAGTACACTGAACTAGATAGCCTGATCGCCGACACCACCGAACCTCTGAACCTCCGACAAAGATGCCATTGATGATCTCCGCCGACGGCAAGGGCTGGGTGAAAGCCCCGCCCAAGAAACGCGTGGTTCGTGTCTCCCGTGCCGACCAAGCCGCTGCTCTCAAAAACCCGTTGGCCTACTTTGCCTGCACACCCGTCGGGCCTTCCAAGCCCAAAATCCCCGACTGTCCTGTCTATACCCTCGACCCTAACCAACACACTCCACCCACCTCCGAAGAAGGCAACCCAAAGAAAAGCAGAAAAGGGCGCAGCCAGGGGCGCAGCACGAGCTCGCCCACTCACCACCACCATCATCAACACCGGCATCCATACGACGACGAATACCCGCCCTCCGAGGAGGACGAATACCACACCACAGCTGGCGGAGGAGCAGTCCGGCCACCAGGAGCACGCAGCACCATCTCATACGACAGAGTGAGACCGCGAGCTGCACCCGCGGCGCTGCCGGCACCTCGCCTTGCTCCAAGCGCAGGATCCCCAAAACCAAGGGCAGTGACGGCCGCACCCGCAACAGGACATACTTACTGGACTGGGCCGAGCAACAAGCCCCGCGTACCACCGCGATCGGCCGCTTGGGGTACCGGTCATAGCAGCGCGAACTCCAGCTCGGGCGCAAGCGCTCGCTGGGCGAATGCTACAGCGCCGTTGGCGTTGTAGACCACATTTCGGCTTCTGATGGTTGGGACGGCGTTCGTGCTGAATAGGTATTGCAATCTTTAGCGAGGAATGGAACGTGAGATCGCTAGATGGACACGGAAATCAGGGAGGCAGCAGCATGGTCTGCCTATTTATGTACAAATATATATATTCAATGGTTTCTCCCCGGTTCAAACATACGACAAACCTACCTGTATGGTGGTATTCACACATTGGTGTCAACTCTAGTCTATGGTGATATCCAAATGCAAAACATCTATTCCCGTCCATCTATTCCCGACCCGCCGACGCCGACGCTCGTCAACGCGACTAGCACACTAATATCCTCAACTCGTTTCATAAACTCCTGAAAGCGCTCTCTACACCGCGGCCCCCACCCCCCGACCCTCGTCTCTCCTCAGCTCCTCACCACCAACGGCGTCATCAGCCTTCCCCTTCTCCCTCTCCCTCTCCTTCTCCGCCGCCTCGCGCGCCCTCGTCTTCTTACTCCTCGAATACCTCTCCATCGCAGGAAACAGCCAGCCGGGCCTCGCGACCGTCAACACCAGCACCGCCGCCGCAATCATGGCGCCATCCAGTATCAAAAACGTCGTCTCGTTCTGCTGCAGCTCCGAGCCCCAGCCGCTCGCAAACTCCGGCAGGCGGTAGATGCAGCGCGCCAGCACGGCCAGGTACGCGGCGACGAGCGCGTAGCAGAAGGCGCGGAAGTGGCCTTGTGCGGTGGCCGGGCGGGCGTGGCGGTCGGCGGCATAATCCGTGTCTTCGTTCTCGGGCGCGGGCGCGGGAGTAGTCGTTGCTGTTGTTGTTGCCTTTTGGGCACGTTTGTAGCGCCACACGAACCACAGCATGAGGAGGCCACAGGCGACCATGTTGGCGACCTGAAACGCCACGCCGGCGAGCAGCAGGCTGTCGCCAATGTCGAGCAGCGAGGTGTCGCCGCCGTCGTCGGAGCTGCCGGCGCTGGCGATGCCGCCGCCGAGGCCTTGCACGGCGATGGAGGCGAAGTCGGTGCCGACAAAGATCCACGGGTAGAGACGCGGTTTGAGGAGCGAGTGCCGCGCGCCCGTGTAGATGACGAGGTGCTTGAAGGTGACGGACATGGCGGCGGCGATGAAGGCCGGGCCGACGATGAGGCTGCACATCTGCATGGCGAAGGCCGCGAAGTTCCACGGGTCTTGGTGGAGGAGGAGGCGGCCTGTGTAGCCGAGGAGTTCGAGGAGGGTTCCGATTAGGAGACAGATGCTGGGGGTGGGAAGAGTGGGTTAGTTCGTGTCTATCATGAGATGGCATATTGGGCGGCCACTGGATGGGGTAACGCTTTTACAAGGGCTTCTGTGTCGCATCGTGAGGTTTACCTGTAAGAATAAGTGCGCGTGCGCGTATGGATCGCGGTGCCGATTTGGAACAGAGTGCAGATGCTGAAGACGGCAACGAGAACGGCATTGCCGGGAATCGAAAGATAGGAGCCATATATTGTCGCTTCGACGGGGCAGAGGTCGGTCACACCGTCCTGGCAGTTGCTGAAGGAGGGTCGGAAGCCCGCTGGGGGGGATGCTTCTGCCATGGTGAGAGAACGAGTCTGCGAATTTGAGATCGGCGGAGAAACACTCCTATATATACACCATATGCAGAGGAAGAAAAGGACATGAAAAGAAGTCTCCGGCCTCAAGGAACCAGACGGCGTTCACACAGCCACACAGGGAATGCATTGTCGCTTGGCGGGTGACGTTAGTTCGGTCAGAGAATGCTTCAAGTGCCGGATCTCGTACACTGTTTGACCGAGCAACATGGGAACCCTCGGGTACATCCAAAAGGCTTGACCTGGCATCGCTGAAGATGTCAATCGCTGCTGAGAAGCTTGGAGTGGATAAGCCAAGGGTTGGCAGCAGGGACACTGGAGCCACAGCCACTTTCAGTCTGCCTGTGATTGTGTGCTTTATCAGTACAGTACCACCTGGACATGCTGACTGCCATAGTAGTCGCCGATATAGGCCAGATGACGGCCAAGAGGCGTATTGTCGAGGTCATGAACGTGGCGGGAGGCGTTTCGGTTCGTGATGAAGCGCCGAGTAGAATCTGATATTGGCTACTCCCAAAGGGGCATAGTTCACGAACTTCATCTCTTCGCACGCGGCAAAAGTGCGAATTCGGCGTCTTAATCCAACCGAGAGTCCGTAACAGTTGGTCGGCAAGCTTACATCTGGGCTATGATGCAGCATCTACTTGTTGTTCACTGTTACGAAGGCATCAGTTCTGTGTTCCAGGCCTGGGGGGTGTCGATGAGAGTTAGCGATGCAGTTTGACAATGTCGATCGTGTGAATATAACTGTCAGATCACGAAGTGCTGGCGAGAAGACACCGTGTGTGGGCGAAAAGATGATTCAACAATAGTAGATGCACGATTTGCGGAGGAAACATTTTGAAAAAGCCTGAATTCATCCTCGAAAGCCTGCCTGCCTGTCTGTCTGTACACTACTAGGTCAACATTCTCCCGTGCTGCTCATAGCAGCACCTCAGATTACATCGACTGGATATCCCATGCCGCGCAACGCAATGCAAAGAGAGAAATGGTTCTCCATCCAAAACTCCTGGCTCAGCCATGGACCGCCGTCTATAGAAGAATCATGCCCATGCCAGAGGTGAATGCAATGGTCAGATACAGCGCAATTTGCATGAAGCCAACGTTGCTGTAGTGAGACACTGCGCCAGGGGCTCCATTGGAAGAGCCGGAGCTGCTGGAGCTACCACCGCTGCCGCCATTGCCGTTACCACTGACGGAGGTGGGCGCAGAGGTGACAGTGCCCTGACCATTTTGGCCTGCTTGGCTGATAAGATTTTCACACTGGCCAGTTGGTTTGGTGGGCTTTTGAGTAGTTGCTGAGCCAGAGAAGTCACAGGCCGAAGCCCCATTGCCCTGGGCGCCTTGCTGGTTGTAGTAGACGTTCAAGGCCCAACCAAGCTGTTGCTGGGGGTTACACATGCCGTACGCTCCGTACTTCCCATCAGTACTGGTTGTGTTGATGCCGGCGCAGACCGTGTCGCCCAGACCGCAAACAATACCAAAGAGGTCGCCGATCTCATCGTCCGAAACCTTGTTGGGAACACAAGTCAAGGCGTTGTACATGCACTCACACAATTCTTGGTTCGGGGTCGGCGGGAGCCCCGATGGAGCGTGCCAGTCATCGCCAACAGAAGGACAGGCAGCCGCAGCGGTGTTGGTTGGGTTATAATCCGCGGAGTTGGGACCGGTGGGATCAATGCTCGCAATTTGGGTGGCGAGGTTGTTGAAGTCATCCAAAGTAGATACGGAATCGCCGTCCACGGAAACGAGGCCATAGTTGTTGGCCTCCTGGAAGTACATGTAGACAATACCACCAGACCAGACATCGTTCATCTGGCTACCGTAGAGAGCGCCAACTTCGGTGAACTCACGAGGCTGGACTTCGTTGCAGCCGTACTCGGCGAAAAAGACGGGGATGTTCCAGTTCTCAAACTCCTTGGTGCGGACATCGTAGCCAGACTCCTGGAAGCTGGAGTCGCCGCACCAGGAGTAAATATTGTAGCCCCAGAAATCGACCGCATCAGCGCGATCGCCACAGTCGAAGTAGTCGGCCAGATCTTCCCGGATATCAGCATCGTCATTGGTGGCATAGCCCACACCGATGGTGCGGTAGTTCTTCTGCTTGATATAGGCCTTCATGTCGCGCGCCGCAGCCTTGACGAAAGCGCTGGCATCGGTGTTGGTCTTGTTGTTGGACACCTCGTTTCCAGCGAAGAAGCCGAGAGTGTTGGTGTACTTGGCCATGGTATCGACGACGGCGGTGTAGCGGGCGTAGAGATCATCGTTCCACTTCGGGTCGTCTCGAATGATCGAGTCGCCAGGCGCAGAGAGGTCGGCAATGACGTAAATACCAGCATCGGCCAAAGCATTCATGCATTCATCGTGGTCCTCTGTAGGGTTAATGGCGTAGACGCGGATGGTGTTGGTGCCCAGTTGTGTCAGGTAGGGAATGTCTCGCTGGCAGCTGGAAGGGTTGCTGAGAGGGTCGACGTAGTCTGTATTGGTATCATTGCTAGCGGCATTGGTCTGATTGGCACTGTATTCCTCTTGAACAGGTTAGGTAGGATTCGACGAGAGTATAGGACAGCACGTACGTTGATAGGCAACGCCTTTGATGAAGCTTGGCTGTGTTAGACTTCTGCTAGAGACGAGAATTGGTTGCGTACTCACAATTGTGTGCCGTTGTTCTCGTAAAAGAATTTGGAACCCTAAGAGATTAAGCCTGCGTACATGAGCTGCTCGAGTATTGGCATACCTTGATCACAATCGAGGGAACATCAGCGGAGACAGCGGACTTGGCAAAGAGCGCAGCTGCAGCGAGTGCTGTCGAAATAATACCGGTTGTCTTCATGATGAGTATGCGCAGAGTGTTGTGGTACGGTGGTACAATCTAAAGGGTTGAAGTCCAACGAAGGAGGGAGCTGGCGAATAAAGACTGCGCTTCGTCGCGCCTTCTTGATGAAACAATCAAATGCTGCAACAAGTGCAGACGAACGAAAGATCAATGGTGACGGCAGTGCGCCGAACGAGTGTCGTGAAAGTGGGATTGTTCAGAGATAGAAAGGGATGAGTCGTAGGGGAGGCAAGTGGAATGTAACAACTCGAAGTGCCTCAGGGTCGAAGAGCAGGAATTAGGCCTCTTCGGGTGGTTGAGGCGTCAATTGAGGCTTTCACGGTTAGAAGCAAACGAATTGCAGCCAATTGAATTCCTCACTAGACAGGAAACGCAACGGATGCTGGGTGGCTAGGCCGAGTCGGACAGCCCGGGCGAGGAACGCGTTTTTGGCTCCTGATTTTCTTTTGTATGGCTTGAATCCTCTTCAACGTTCAAGGTGTCTTAGGACTGATGCCGATAGACACGCGTACTTTTGCACAGACAGTACGCGTCTACAACTTTACTGCTGGACACGCAAGTCTCGAATATACTATTTTGTGTTCATGGAGGGGATGTTTGCCCCTCATGACATTTGCCATGCTGCGATTCCGAGCTTGTCAATGCTTGGAACGGTCTTGGTGCCACTTGAACATTGCATCCCAGAGCTTGGTATCGAGTCGATAACGATAGGATAGGAACTGATCGCTGGCCACAGGAAACGGATGTCCGACCTTGGCCAACGTAGGCCGAGGGACTGTGTACAGCATGCCTGCTACGAGAGAAGCTATCTGATGAGAATAACCTATTGGACGAAGCACAGCTATGACTCTGAATGTACGCAGTATGAGGCTCACATACTGTGCGTGCCGGATTCCAGCCAGAAGAGGCTGAAATACAGCGGATTTACTGCGTGGAATGCTGCTCCATGTGGCCACTATGTACATCCGGGCCTGCGTTTGTACGGAGTACCAAGTGCGCCTCTCTCGAACTTTGAGCGAACACGAGATTGTAGAGCGCTCGTACTGCTGTGCGCCGGAAGCTGAGGATGTGCTCCTCCTCCGGTCTCTGACAAGGTGGGAAACAAGCGCAGAGATTGTGCTGCATGTCTTGAATATGGAGCTTAAGGGACGATCAACGCCGATAAGACGAGTTTTTAATTGGCCGGACCTCGGAAATTGGCTGGCGGGCAAAGAGCCACCCGCCAAGCTGCAGCCGGTGGGCCTGCCCCTTTTCCTCATGCCAACCTTAATTAGCACTCGCCACACCCACTAATCGCCGATACCGATGTACTAGGTTTCACTTGTGGTTCCTCGTCTAAACGCCTTTGAGCTGTCTAGCTTTTACCAGGTGGGTGAAAATCCTTTATCTAAAGAAAGATACACCACACTCGGAGCAGTCTCGCCGCAAAGATCAACAAGAAGCCGGCACCCAGTGCTGAAGATCGGTGTGGTGTCTTATGCAGTACGTATAAGTAGCAGGATCAAGAGCATAATGGACTGTTCCAATTCGGTCGCTTAAGCCCGTTCGGCTCCATCGAGTCAAATCACCGGTCGTTGCGAATCAAGGACAAGGCCTGCGCCTCAATCCAAGACGCGTTTCTGCGCGCCCGGGGCTGCTCTGCTCTGCCCATCCGTGCATCGCTTCAGAAACGTGGTGATCCAGCGTAGCCGTAGCTTGCAACGGTCCGTAGCCAACTGCCTCTAGACTCTAGAGGATGAGACACAGATCTGCTTATGATCCGGAGTAGTATGGCAGTGGCAAACATATCCACAACATACGGTATTTGTAGAGTGGTGATGAAATGCATTACGGCACTCGCGTACCGGGTATCGCCCCCCACAGCTTGCCTTTTGCATATTGGCGTGACGGCAGTCCTTGATTTTTGCATGCTGGCAAACCTGGAACTGCCCAAGATCGCTCGGGGCACTTCTCAGATGGTGTAGCAGGCATGCACCCCACTCACTCTGATCTACCGGCCACTTTCCAGCCCAGTATCTGGCTACGGACAAGATACTGCAACATGCATAATATACTAAGTCTAGATACCCTAGATACGTGAACAATGATACGAGAGGTCGGGCGTCGGAATGCAGCATGCATGGAAGGGAACGGCAGCTCCAACCGCTGATATGGTAGAAATGATGGGCGACTCCACCGTCTAGCAGTAACAGCCGGCGAGAAGCTTGTCCAGGTCCATGGCGTAGATTCAGGGTCGCTGACTGGTCAACGGCCGACGGCGGGCTGCATCAAGACGCGCAGGCATGGCCCCTGGTCGCGGTCCACCCTCCCAATCTCTGCGTCGACCAGTGCAGCCAGTCCCGCCCGCCGCATCCGCAGTCAACATCCCCCCTGGAACCGTTCGGTGCTCCCTCTTCCAGGCGTCCATCCTGCCCCTAAACTCTTTCCAGCGTTCCTGCCTCTCCTTATCCCAGCTTTTTTGCATCTCAATCACTGCCAGCTCCCATCCTCCTCTTTTTGCCGTTTCCTACCCTCTTGACAGTCGTTCGCTCTTTGTTCTTGTACACTCTTCTACATTCGTTTGAAGGGTTGAACAAAGAAGGTGAACCGCGTACTCCGCATTCTGGGGTGGTCTGGCTCCCCTGCCGCGCACCGCGTCCTGCCTCCTGCGCCTTCCGCATTGGCTGAGCAACCAACACTCACCCCTTCGGACATTCGTTTCACCACAACACAACCTGCGACCGATTCTCCCTCACCCGACCGCTACCTTCCTCTGCTGAATTACCTCTGAGAGGTCTATCTCAGTCTTTCACAACATCCTCTCAAGCTCGGGTTCAATTATCGGATCTGCATCACGGCTCTACGCTCCTTGTATCCTAATCCAAACAATACCAACGCCTAATCCTTGCTGCGACCCATCTGCGTCCAGCACTCATCATCCATTGATTCATTGTTCAAAAGACTCTGCACATATCATAATCAACATTGATCAAGCTTCGATGAGCAGTATCTGAGGTATTTTCACCCCTTTCAGCCTTGTTCTCCCTTGGATTGTTTACTGACTTGGATCGCAGCATATTTTCCTACCCATCATGTCTGGCCATCCCCAAGGTGGCCATTACGATGATGGCTACGGCCGGGACGACTACGGTCGCGATGGCTATGGTCAACAAGGCGGCTATGCCGGCCAAGCCCAAGGTGGTCATGGCGGAAATGACGCCTATTATCAAGATGGCTACGATGATCGTTACAATGATCAATACTACGATCCCCGTCAGCAGCAACAACAACAACACCAAGGCGGCCGTGACGGTTACTACGACGAATCAGGCTACTACAACGCTGATTCTTCCAATCCATATCATCAAGACGGTGGATACTACGAGGGCCACAACGGCTACCAGGATGACTACTATGACAACCAATACTATGATCAGAATGGAGGCCACCAAAATCAGCCCCGTGGTCGTCGTCGAGGCCATGACTCCGAAGAGGATTCGGAGACTTTCAGCGATTTCACAATGAGGTCAGACATGGCTCGCGCCGCTGAGATGGACTACTATGGTCGTGGCGATGAGCGATACAACAGTGGCTACGATCAAGGTCGTGGCTACCGTCCGCCGTCCTCGCAGATCTCTTACGGCAACCGCTCTTCTGGTGCCTCGACCCCTGTCTATGGTCTGGATTACAACAATGCCCTTCCTGCTGGTCAGCGATCTCGGGAGCCGTATCCGGCCTGGACATCTGATGCCCAGATTCCTCTGTCCAAGGAGGAGATTGAGGACATCTTCCTTGACTTGACGGCAAAGTTTGGCTTCCAGCGCGACAGCATGCGAAACATGTACGATCACATGATGACGCTTCTAGACTCTCGTGCGTCTCGCATGACACCCAACCAGGCTCTACTTTCTCTGCATGCTGATTACATTGGTGGTGATAACGCCAACTACCGACGTTGGTACTTTGCTGCTCACCTCGATCTCGATGATGCTGTCGGGTTTGCCAACATGAAGCTTGGAAAGGCCAGCCGTCGCACCCGCAAAGCGAGGAAGGCTGCGGCGAAGAAGGCCAAGGAAAACCCACAGAACGAGGAGCAGACTTTGGAAGCCTTCGAGGGTGACAATTCGCTTGAAGCTGCTCAGTACCGCTGGAAGACCCGCATGAACAAGATGTCACAGCACGAGCGGGCTCGCCAGATCTCCCTCTACCTCCTCTGCTGGGGGGAGGCCAATCAGGTCCGCTTCATGCCCGAGTGCTTGTGCTTCATCTTCAAGTGTGCCGATGACTACCTGAACTCTCCTGCTTGCCAAAACCGTGTTGAGCCGGTCGAAGAGTGCACCTATCTTAACAACATCATCACTCCTATCTACTCCTACTGTCGCGACCAATGCTACGAGATCGCGGACGGCAAGTACGTTCGTCGTGAACGCGATCACAACCAGGTCATCGGCTACGACGATATCAACCAGCTTTTTTGGTATCCTGAAGGCATTGAGCGCATCGTCATGCAGGACAAGTCTCGTCTCTGCGATCTGCCACCAGCAGAGCGCTACCTCAAGCTGGCCGAGGTTAACTGGAAGAAGGCATTCTTCAAGACCTACAAGGAGACTCGCTCGTGGTTCCACTTGCTCACCAACTTCAACCGTATCTGGGTCATCCACGTTACTACTTTCTGGTTCTACACTGCCTTCAACTCTCCGACGCTGTATACCGCCAACTATCAGCAGCAGATCAACAACAAGCCAAATCCGGCTGCGCAGTGGTCCGCGGTTGCCTTGGGTGGTACTGTCGCTTGTCTTATCCAGATCTTCGCTACCCTGGTCGAATGGCTCTATGTGCCGCGTGCGTGGTCTGGTGCTCAGCATCTTACCAAGCGCCTCTTGTTCCTGATCGGCATGTTGGTCCTCAATGTTGGGCCTAGCGTCTACATCTTTATCATCAACCAGGAAGGAAGAATTGCGCTCATTTTGGGTGTCGTTCAGTTCTTGATCGCTCTGGGTACGTTCCTGTTCTTCTCGATCATGCCTTTGGGTGGACTTTTTGGAAGCTACCTCAAACGCAACTCGAGACAGTACGTCGCATCGCAGACTTTCACTGCCTCGTATCCTCGCCTGTCTGGAAACGACATGTGGATGTCCTATGGTCTGTGGGTTATGGTATTCGCGGCAAAGATGGCTGAGTCTTACTTCTTCCTGACGCTGTCTTTCCGCGATCCTATCCGCATTCTTTCTTACACCGAGATCCAACGGTGCGCGGGCGATGCGATTCTCCAAGACTACCTTTGCAAGTACCAGCCTCAGATCCTGTTGGGAATAATGTTCTTCACGGACCTGATTCTGTTCTTCTTGGATACCTATCTATGGTACATCATTTGGAACTGCGTCTTCAGCGTCTTCCGATCCTTCTATCTTGGTGTGTCGATCTGGACGCCTTGGAGAAACATCTTCAGCCGCCTGCCAAAGCGCATTTACTCCAAAATCCTTGCTACGACCGACATGGAGATCAAGTACAAACCCAAGGTACTCATCTCTCAAGTCTGGAACGCCATTGTTATTTCGATGTATCGCGAGCATCTGCTGGCCATTGACCATGTTCAGAAGCTGCTTTATCACCAAGTTCCATCCGAGCAAGAGGGCAAAAGGACTCTGCGAGCTCCCACTTTCTTCGTGTCGCAGGAGGACCACTCTTTCAAAACCGAGTTCTTCCCATCGCAGAGCGAGGCCGAGCGCCGTATTTCATTCTTCGCCCAGTCATTATCAACTCCCATCCCGGAGCCTCTCCCGGTCGACAACATGCCTACCTTCACGGTCCTGATTCCCCACTATAGCGAGAAGATCTTGTTGTCTCTGCGTGAGATTATTCGCGAGGATGAGCCATATTCTCGTGTCACGCTTCTGGAGTACCTCAAGCAACTTCACCCGCACGAATGGGACTGCTTCGTCAAGGATACCAAGATTCTGGCTGATGAGACCTCCCAGTTCAATGGCGACAACGAGAAGTCAGAGAAGGATACGGCCAAGAGCAAGATTGATGATTTGCCATTCTACTGCATCGGTTTCAAGTCGGCTGCTCCCGAGTACACCCTGCGGACACGTATCTGGGCTTCGCTGCGCTCGCAGACTCTCTACCGTACCATTTCCGGTTTCATGAACTACAGCCGTGCTATCAAGCTGTTGTACCGTGTTGAGAATCCCGAGGTTGTCCAGATGTTTGGCGGCAACTCTGACAAGCTTGAGCGCGAACTTGAGCGCATGGCGCGACGCAAGTTCAAGATCGTCGTGTCTATGCAACGCTATGCCAAGTTCAAGAAGGAGGAACGTGAGAACACCGAGTTCTTGCTCCGTGCTTATCCTGACTTGCAGATTGCTTATCTCGATGAAGAGCCTCCTGCAAACGAAGGGGAAGAGCCCCGATTGTACTCTGCACTTATCGATGGCCACTCTGAAATTCTCGACAACGGCATGCGCAGACCTAAATTCCGTGTTCAACTCTCTGGCAACCCTATCCTTGGTGACGGAAAGTCTGACAACCAGAACCATGCCATTATCTTTTACCGCGGCGAGTATATCCAGCTCATCGATGCCAACCAGGACAACTACCTCGAAGAATGCCTGAAGATCCGAAGTGTTCTTGCTGAATTCGAAGAGATGACCACAGATAATGTCTCCCCTTACACGCCTGGTCTGCCCCCAACGAAGAACACTCCTGTGGCTATTCTCGGCGCTCGCGAGTATATCTTCTCGGAGAACATTGGTGTCCTTGGTGACGTCGCAGCTGGCAAGGAACAGACTTTTGGTACCCTCTTTGCACGTACTCTGGCTCAGATTGGTGGCAAGTTGCACTATGGTCATCCGGATTTCCTCAACGGCATTTTCATGACTACTCGTGGTGGTGTTTCCAAAGCCCAGAAGGGTCTGCACCTGAACGAAGATATTTACGCCGGTATGAATGCCCTTCTCCGTGGTGGCCGTATCAAGCACTGCGAGTACTACCAATGTGGCAAGGGTCGTGATCTTGGATTTGGCTCTATTCTCAACTTCACGACCAAGATTGGCACGGGTATGGGCGAGCAGATGCTTTCTCGCGAGTACTACTACCTCGGAACTCAGCTGCCACTCGACCGGTTCTTGTCTTTCTACTACGCCCATCCTGGTTTCCACATCAACAACATGTTCATTATGCTGTCGGTGCAAATGTTCATGATTGTGCTAATCAACCTGGGTGCCTTGAAGCATGAGACGATCACTTGCGACTACAACCGCAATGTTCCCATTACGGATCCCTTGAGGCCCACTGGTTGTGCTAACCTCATTCCCATCATGGAATGGGTTGAGCGTTGCGTTCTATCGATCTTCATTGTCTTCTTCATCTCCTTCGTGCCACTTGTGGTTCAGGAACTGATGGAACGTGGCTTCTGGCGAGCTGCTACTCGTCTTGCCAAGCACTTTGCGTCTGCTTCTCCAGTCTTTGAGGTGTTTGTCTGCCAGATCTACGCCAGCTCTATCCAGCAGGATCTGTCCTTTGGTGGTGCGCGGTATATCGGCACTGGTCGTGGCTTTGCTACGGCTCGCATCCCCTTCGGTGTCCTCTACTCTCGTTTCGCGGGTCCATCCATCTACCTGGGTGCTAGAGCGCTTATGATGTTGCTCTTCGCCACCATCACCGTGTGGTTCCCGTGGCTCATCTGGTTCTGGGTGTCCCTGATCGGTCTGGTCATCTCGCCGTTCATTTTCAACCCGCACCAGTTTGCATGGAACGACTTCTTCATCGACTACCGCGACTATCTCCGCTGGCTGTCTCGTGGCAACTCCAGATCTCATGCCTCTTCTTGGATCGCTTTCTGCCGTTTGTCCCGTACTCGTCTGACTGGATTCAAGCGCAAGGTTCTTGGAAGCCCCTCGGAGAAGCTATCTGGCGACGTCCCTCGTGCAAGACTTACTAGTGTCTTCTTCGCCGAGATCGTTGGACCTCTTGTTCTCGTCGCGGCTACCCTGGTTCCGTATCTCTTCATCAACGCTCAGACCGGTGTGCGCGATCCCGCGCCAGCGACCCAATCTCTCATACGCGTTGCCATTGTGGCCTTTGCCCCCATCGCTGTCAATGCCGGTGTTTTGGCTGGTCTATTTGCCATGGCTTGCTGTATGGGCCCAGTCCTCAGCATGTGCTGCAAGAAGTTCGGCTCAGTCCTTGCCGCCATTGCTCATGGTGTTGCTGTCTTCATGCTCCTCGCTTTCTGGGAAGTGATGTTCTTCCTTGAGGGCTGGATCTTTGCCAAGGCTCTTCTGGGCATGGTTGCCGTGGTCGCTATGCAGCGGTGGTTCTTCAAGCTCGTCATCGCCCTGGCTCTCACTCGTGAGTTTAAGTCAGACACCTCCAACATCGCTTGGTGGACCGGCAAATGGTATGCTATGGGCTGGCACTCGATGTCCCAGCCGGCTCGTGAGTATCTCTGCAAGATCACCGAACTCGGCTTTTTCGCTGCCGACTTCATTCTCGGTCACATCATCCTCTTCATCATGTTGCCGGCATTGTGCGTGCCGTACATCGACAAGTTCCACTCCGTCATGCTTTTCTGGCTCCGTCCCAGGTACGTCTTGCTGGTTTTGTACGTTTTGAGGCTCTACTAACAAATTCGCAGTCGTCAAATTCGGCCTCCTATCTATTCGATCAAGCAGTCCCGCCTCCGACGGAGACGAGTCATCCGTTATGCGATCCTCTACTTCGTACTGCTGATCCTCTTCGTTGTCCTCTTCGTCGGGCCTGTCATTGTACGGCGCTTCGTCACCGGTCTGCCTTCAGTTCCGATGGACCTCATGCAGCCCACTGGGCAAGACAACAACGATACCATGGCATCCGTCACTGGATCCGTTCTCATCCCTGGATTGGGCAGTCAACCTACTGGTGGCGGTGGCGGTGGCGGCGGCGGTGACGATACCGCTGCAACATCGGCCGCTGGTGGTGATGATGGTGGTGATGCATTCCCATCTGATGCTTTCGGTTTGGGCGGTGGCAACCGCTTCGTGCGGTGGTAGAGAGAAAGGGAATCATGGTACTAATGATTGTGCAAATGGTTACGGTTTTCTACCGGACATTTCAATGATTGGAACGGCATAGAATTTCGATGCTGTCGATCTGTAAACTGCAGGACTCGTTAAGGAGCTGCGATCTTCAGCCTACTTTTTTGCGAAAAACAAACATGGCACCGTTGGACGGCGTTTGGGAAGGGGAGATATTATTTGAAACAGTAGACATACGCACTTGTACAGCACAACACATCCAACAATAATTAGGGATCGCATCGCTTCTCTGCGTGTCTCGGTGTCTATAATGCTCGTATAAAAAAGGGGTAAATCGCTTGTACAGAACACGTGACCTTTGTTCTCCGACGCGCCCGCTGCTCTGCGGCGAACTTCACTTTGTCACTGCGCTCATCCTCAGCTGGCATTGCATCTACCGCCTACGGCACTCTCCTCACCAGCCACACGTCCAATGGAGAGTACCAACGTGACAACGTCCATGATGAACACTACCGAGATCTCCGATCACGTTGTTACCCTCGTTAACGCTGCGGGCGAACAATTCCACAAGATCCCCGGCTCCGCGATATTCCTGCGCTACGTGAAGTCTAGCTACCAAAATGATCCCGTTCGATCGGCGGTGGAATTGTTCTTGGTGCTCTTCGCGATCAGGTATTTACTGGCTCCCACATACAGCACGAAGCCCAATTATGTCAAGCTGAGCGAAGAGGTGAGTTCGCCCGGAGAACCTGGGAAAGCGGCTTTTGCGCAGAATGCTGGGTCTTCGCGCACCCAGAAGCATAAATTTTCACCGAGCACATGCTGACGGAGTCGATCAAAGGAGATTGACGATCTGGTGGACGAATGGCAACCGGAGCCCCTGGTTGGCAAAACCACTCCTTTCGAAGAAGCAGAACTGGAGAAAAGACCGGTGATCATTGGGTGAGAAAAACGAGAACACGACTCCAGGAATACCTTGATGCTGATCGCAGGATACAGGCCAACTGGACCACGGGTCAAGTTGTCAAACGGACGGACCGTCACGAACCTAGCCTCCCTGAACTTCTACAATTTTAATGCGAACGAAAATCTAAAAGAGCGTGCTATCCAAACGTTGCGTACATATGGTGTCGGACCTTGTGGCCCGCCTGGATTTTATGGCACACAAGATGTCCACATGAAAGTCGAAGCCGACCTCGCCGCTTTCCTAGGTACACAGGCGTGCATCATATATGCACAAGCATTTTCGACAATATCGTCAGTCATTCCAGCGTTCAGCAAGAGAGGGGATATCATTGTGGCGGATAAGGGGGTGAATTATTCCATCAGGAAAGGCATACAGATCTCGCGAAGTAACGTGAGGTGGTTCGAGCACAATGATATGGAAGATCTGCAAAGAGTACTGGCAAAGGTCACCAAAGAGCAAACAAAGAAGCCCTTGACACGGAAATTCATCATTACTGAGGGGATATTTGAGAACTCGGGCGAGATGATCGACTTGCCGAAGATTGTAAGTTGCGAGGACGAAAGCGATACGAAAGCTACAATACTAACGCAAGTAGATCGACTTGAAGGCCAAGTACAAGTTCCGACTCATCCTGGATGAGACATGCTCATTCGGTGTTCTGGGACGGACTGGACGAGGCATTACCGAGCACCAGCACGTCGATTCGGCCGAGGTGGACATCATTGTCGGATCCATGTCCGGGGCACTAGCCGGTGCGGGTGGCTTTTGCGCTGGCTCAGATGATGTTGTTGAGCATCAGCGGATTACTGCAGCGGCATACACTTATTCGGCTGCTCTACCAGCCATGGCTGCCGTGACGGTAAGCGAGACGGTCATGATGCTGCAGACACAGCCCGACCTACGAATTCAGTTGCGGGAGAACCTCAAAGCGATGTGGGGTCAGCTTGATCCCCGGAGCGATTGGATGTATTGTACCAGCGTGCCTGAGAACCCCATTATGCTACTTGTGCTCAAGCCCGAGGTTATTTCCTCAAAACGGCTAGGGATGGAAGACCAGCAGCAGCTCCTACAGGACATTGTAGATGAGGTTTGTTTACTTGAGTCATTCTCCTTCCACGGTTGCTAACGTGTTCCGGTAGTCTCTTGCGCAAGGCGTCATGATCACAAGGGTCAAGGCACTATCACCGGATCCAAGCGGCGCTAGGACTCAAATCCATGTCCAACAGCCAGCGCTCAAGGTGTGCTTGACGATTGGGTTAACCAAGAAGGAGATCGAGAAAGCGGGCACGATCATCAGACATGCCATCACCAAGATCGTTTCCCGAAAACGGTAGAATGCTTCTACCCGTGTGGGATACAATGCGGGGGCTTGTACAATAATGAGCGAGGATCTCTTACCCGGTTTTGATGGGGGGCGAACCTGTACAGAAGAGCTAGAACTACCTAATTAATGCTGTTTCTGTTCCTCAGCATTCATTCACTGCCTGGTGTTGAGCCGCTGGTTGCCTTGTCAACGCCCAATGACGTCGATGGTTGCCAAGGCACAAGTGGGGCGGTTACGCGCACGCGGCAAGCGCGGGTCCTGCGGTCTGGGCTGCCTTGCCAGCACCGCATGTGTTTGAGAGTTGCTCTCGACTTCTCACTTCTCAGGGCGCAAGCCTTGCAGATCGAGTACACGACGACAATCGACTGATCAGTGACGACCAACATGGCTTCCTTTCTGCGTGGGAAGCAGGCTGGCATTCAGCACGACCTCTCTCAGGGCATTGTCCCCGATGCCATTCAACTCGACGATGTAAGCCGCCAGAAAGCTTTCTTCCCGGCTCTGACGCCCCTCTAGTTCGCCCGATATGGCATCAACTCCCAGATATCGACCCTGGCGTACGATCCGGTGCAGTCTCTGCTCGCCGTCGGCACCAATGACTCCCGCTTTGGCCCAGGCCAGGTCTACGTCTTTGGCCAGCGTCGAGTATGCGCCGTTTTGAACCTCCAACGTCGAGCCTCGATCCGCGAGATCCAATTCTGCGCCGACAAGCTTGTCGTACTCGACAACAAGAATGACATTAATATATTCAGTCTCGCGACCAAACGTCTCCTGGCCAACTATGCACCACCCGGCCATGTGGTTTGCATGCTCACCGACCCGAGTCTCGATTACTGCTTTACCGGATTACAGAGTGGGGAGATTGTGGCATATGATTTGGACAGGGAAAATATGACACCACTAAAGATTCCGAATCTGTGGAGAGAAATGAATCCTCGAGCCCGTCTCCTACCGATCGTTGCCATGCAATTTCACCCTAAGGATATTGGAAAATTGCTCATTGGCTACTCAGAAGGAGCAGTCACATACTCTTTCAAGCAAAACAAGGCACAGAAATTCTTCCATTACGAGGTCCCCAGGGGTGCGCCTGGCGGAGATGCGCATCCCACCGCAAGCATGACGGTGAGACATCCCCGCCTGACACACGTGGCTTGGCATCCCACTGGCACATTTATCCTTACTGCACACGATGACTCGAGCTTGGTGTTTTGGGAACCTACGAGTGGGAGGCTACTCGCAGCGAGGACAGTGCAGGAGATCGACGTGAACATCCCGGGGAGTGGTGGTGCGAAAGGCGCTCCCGGTTCACCACTATCCCCGACCGCGTCTGGGTTGTCTGTCCGGGAGCCATATACCCGCATATCGTGGTGTTCGAAAGAGAATCCGGACGACACTGGCTTGTTGCTTTCCGGCGGATCCCCCACCACGAACCCAACCAAAGGTCTTTCCTTTATTGAGCTGGGCCCTACCCCTGTGTATCAAACGTCCTCTTGGGACGCGCTCGCCAACCATTTTCGCAACCCGAGGCGCGTTCACGTCCTCCCTACCCCTCCGAGCGCAGACGTAGCAGAATTTCTGATCATCCCTCGAAGCTCACCGTATTACAATGGCTCGCATGATCCGATAGCCGTCTTGGTCATTATGACCTCTGGTGAGGTCCTCACAATGAGCTTCCCATCTGGTCATGCTATATCACCAACCAATCAGCTTGGTGTACACCTCACTTTCATTCATCCGTTTGTTACAAAGATCGCATTGTCGTCCGTTGACCGGACTCGATGGCTTGGGCTCAAAGAGCTCCGAAACCATGGTCCGCTTTTCGTCCAAGGCGGCGTTGAAGGAACCAGACCGCTAAAGCGCTTCGAGAACCGTAATATCGTTCAGACTGCGCATGCTGATGGTACCATTAGACTGTGGGATGCTGGACACGGCGATGCTATCGAGAATGGAATGGTCATTCAAGCTGACCTAGCAAGAGCGCTTGGCCGTTGGGACAACGTCGACGTTGCGAAACTTTCCATGTCTGGTGCATCTGGCGAGCTATCAGTTGGCCTTCGAAGTGGAGAAGTTGTTATTTTCCGACTCAACCGCAATAAGAACGCTGGACGACCAGATGTGGATGAAGAAAGCCGCGACCCACCACCAGGCCAAATGCAGGACATCTCAAGGCGGGCGGATCCTGGTCTGCGAGAAGGCTTACTTCCGCTCACGATGTGTAATGATCAGCAAGGGCCTGTCACAGCGCTGAAGCAATCAGATGTTGGCTTTGTTGCTGCAGGTTACGCGAGTGGCGGTATCACAATCATCGACCTGCGAGGTCCCGCCATTATCCACACACAGCTACTCTCCGACCTCAAAGCTGAGCGCAATAAGCGCGTGAGTGTTCGTCGAAGTAACAGCGACACGCAGTCATCAGAGTATGCCACGGTCCTCGACTTTGGCGTAATGACGCTAGAAGGTGATGATTACTCCTCTATTGCCCTTTTCGTTGGCACGTCCCGGGGTCGTGTGGTTACTTTCAAGATCCTACCTTCAAGCAGTGGACGCTACTCGGCGGCTTTCGCCGGCGTAACGCAGATCTCTGACGATCGCGTTGTGTCACTGGATCCCATCGACGCCGTCAGTGGCAGTCCTGCCTCAGCAACTGGTACGGCTGTCGGAGGTCTCCAGCAAGGGCGTAAAGTAGATGGAAGCATCGTCGCATGTACAATGGGGTCAGCCCATATCTTCCGGCCGGCACACAGCAAAGGTGCTTCCAAGACGTTTGAAGGCGGCTTCTGCGATTCGGCTGCAATCGCGCGACACGGCGACCGTGGCTACGGCCTAGTAGCACTTTTCGGCGATGGTACCATGCGCGTCTTCTCCCTACCGGGCCTCAAGGAGATCGGCGGACAGCGAATAAACCACATCCTGGACACGAAAAGATTCAGCGAAGCCGTCATTACTGGGACAGGCGATATCCTAGGCTTCACGGGCCCAAGCGAAGTCGCGCTTGTAAACGTTTTCGGCACGGGCCTCTCACTGCCTGGCAGCACCGATACACTACTCGATCCCAACAAGATCATCCCTCCTCGTCCCACGATCAGCAACCTGCAGTGGATCGCAGGCACGCAGTATATCACCCCAACGGACCTGGACCTCCTGATTGGTGGACCCGACCGGCCCATGAGCAAGCGTATGCGCGCGCAACTACAAGCGGATCAGGATTCAGAGTATCAGCGACAGCGGGACGCGGCAAGGACAGGCAATAAAGCGCAGGACGTCAGAAACCGTCAGCAGGAGGGCTGGGGCGATTACATGTCACGGCAGCTGGCGGAGCGAACCGAGCAGTTGGGTTTGACGGGAGACAGTATGGATCGTGCAGCGGATAGTAGTGAGGGGTTCAGCGATAGCGTGAGCAAGTACATCCAGAAGCAGAAGAGGCAGGCCGCTATGGGGTATTTGGGTGGGAAACTTGGATTCTGATAGATGGCAGTCAGGAGGTTGCTGAGGCTCGAGTAGTCCCAATCTGATCTGGTTACGATGCTCGAGAGTTCGCATTGAAGTGCGGACAGCACGAAAGAGAGATGATTATCGATGGTCACCCCGCCTCGATGGGCCCGGCAAAGCTTCCAAAACATACGTGTGTATGCATGCCTACCAGTCGCCGATGGAACAAAGGCTGTACTCACCAGGTCTGAAGGTGAGGGTTCTCCCTACTAGCGAGTGCTACTGCCAGCTAAGGCCGGGGGCAAGTCATACTACTCTTCACGGGTGCAGTCTAGGTACCCAAGGAACACACCATGCCAAAAGGTGTCTAGCGAACTAAAAGTGCTCATCTGACGGTGGTGGTGTATCGGAGCAAGTGTCTCACTCTCACGGACAAATCAACGCTGGAAAAACACACGTTTTACTTGAATGAACGTACGTTCAGATTACTCAAAACTCATCCATCTCCACCTCCACCCCATTGACCAACACACGTGGCAAGATCAAGAACCGCACCATTTTCTTCTCCTTATTCTTTTGCCTCTGCCCCTGCCTCCGCTGCCGCCCGCTCACCTCCTCCTCCTCCTCCTCCTCCTCCTCCTCCTCCTCCCGCCATCCCCTCGCAACCCCCTCAGCGATCATGCCCTCCAGCTCCCCCATCATCTCCCTCACGCCCCGCACCTGCGACTCGACAACCTGCTCCCGAAACGCCTGGGCGTCGGCCCGCGCGCGCGCCTTGTGGGCCGCGCCCTCCTCGAACGCCATGGCGCGCGCGTACCCCCTGGAGTCGCAGCGCGCGCAGCGGCTGCGCGTGTTGTTGGTGAATGTCACGGCGGAAGAGGCGTTACTCTTGGTGGTGATGGAGGAGGAGGAGGAGGAGGAGGAGAAAGCGAAGGCGGGTTTGTGGGGGCCGCCACGGTGGGTCTTGATGGGGTTGGAGTAGGTGAGGGAGGAGCAGGGGCTGCCGTTGGGGTCGGCGCGGCAGGCGGTAAAGAGTTGGGGGCAGGGGCGGACGTTGCGGTAGGTGTGGCCTAGGTGGCCGCAGCGGGAGATGGAGAGCGTGTAGAGACACATTGGCGCTCGGGTTGAATATGCTGGTCCTGAGAAGAGAGGGACCGGGGGGGGGGGGGGGGAAGACGTATGGGACTTACCTGGACGGTGGCCCGGATGGATTGGTGGTGGTGGTGGCTCGGGTGGTATGGATCTGGGGCCGTTGTGTTGTCGATGTATGGTGGCCGTTGGCTGTCTGTGAATCATATAGGCAGTATGTGCGGTGGGGACGGGATATAGAGCTTTGTTGTACACATAAAGCGAGATTGTCAGGGCGTGAACAAGGCCAATGTGCTGGGCATTGTCGTCTTGTTGCATTGCCCGCTGGCTTTGTTGTTCCGACCATGCCATTGTGCAAGTCATACCTAGCAGCCCTCAGCCCTTCATGACAGCTGTATAATATTATGCTGACCCAGCCCTCCCACTACGCTTCCACCTACCTTTGTTGAGCAGCACCTGCACACCACGAAGCACCTAGCCATCATCCCGCAACACGCCCGACGTCGCGACCATGCCCGGTCGCGACATCAATCGCCATTGCTTCGTGATGCAGGGCCGGTCTGCATCAACTACTGACCAAGCTGAGGCCGGCCTCAGTGCCAAGAAAGGACACCCCGAAGATACAGAAACGAGCGATAAGGTAAGTGATTCTATTCAGGCTTTCTTTCGCGCCAGCGAAACCCGCACTGACACCCGCGCCGTGCTAGAAGGCACCGCTCCGCAAACCAACGACCGTGACCTCCCATCTAACATCATCCGCGCACAGGCGAGACTCGAAGAAGAGGCGTTGGCGCAGCGCAAGCGGAAGCATCGGCAGGCACGCGTGCTGGGCAGCCATCCCGAGAGTCTAGTGGCCGGCGAGTGGACCTTGGTGCCAGAGGCGAAGGCTGTCGACTTGTCCAAGCAGGAATACGATCAGGCCGTGGCTCAGGGACCACTTGCGAGGGTAGGCCGTGGTAGCACGACCGGCCAGGTGGGTATGCCGCCAACGGAGAGGGAGGAGGCGAGGGACCTTTTGAGTCAGGGCAGTGACAGGAGGCAGAAGATTAGGAACTTGTTCCGGCAATCTTTGCGATGATGTGGTCGCTGAGCCTTTGGCTGTTCTCGGGTACGGTGAACAGAATCTCTTTCAGATCAGACTGAAATAGTTGCGGGGAGGCAGATAGGGGCAGAAAGCCTTGCCAAGAGACCTCGGACGGAGGGCCTCGAGAATGAACCTGGAATATTTCGTTGCATATCTCATCTCGTGTAAGCAATCTCAATAAGCCCGAAACCTAGTCTCAGCGTCTATGAACAGTGTCAGTAACCAATGACCATGCAAAGCGTTCATCGTCCGTAGGAGTACCTCTTGCCAAGTCCAGCATGATACGAGGGACCAGAGCGGACATCATGGCCGCGAGTGGCTTACCATCTCTGGCAGGTTCGGTGCGGCGGTCCTGAGTGACGTTGTCTCTGTACTTATCCTGGGGTCCGATGTATTTGCTCCGTTCGGCAAGCTGGACCATCGGCGTAGACACCTCATCGATTCAGATCTGGGAATAAGATGTTGGGAGTGACGCGAAACGCAGGTAAAGACTTATCTTCGAGGCCATCGTAAAGGCGTTTGGGCATGCTGCAGGCAGCTGGTAATCAGTGACCGAACACGACTGCGCAATAAGAACTCCGCCTCGTTTGAAACGTAGACGGGAAGGTGTATGCAAAGTAGCTGAGCCTATTCGGTTACAGCGATTGCCTTGGCAACCACATAAATGAGCACCTGGAAGCACTGAAGTAGCTCGCTCCCATAAGTCAATAGAATGGCCGTAAACTAGATCGAGTCTTCAATCTTGCACTTAAGGTACGTGCAGCTGCCGTTCAGCTCCGACCCTACTCGATAATCATACAGACTCTGCCCAGCCCCTTGCGCTTCTTCAGCGGCCGATCAGCATCAAGGATTTCCTGTAGACCCGTCCGGAAATCCACCTCCATGGGATCCCAAGCCCACTTGTCGCGCCAGTAGACGATACGGTGGCCGAAATACATGAGGAAGAAGATCGGGATGCCGATGTAAGCGGTCAGGAAGGAACTCGCCGACCAGTTCTCAGGGAAGAACACCGTGAATCCATTGATCAAACAGAGGAGCGTGAACATGAACATGGCAATGTATGCACCGTAGGGTTGTATCCAGCTTCGGTAAGGGACTTCGATGCCTTGTGCCGTGGCAGCTTTGCGGAACCTGAGGTAGATGATACAGCAACAGACCCAGGATGTCATGCCCCCTAATATCACCATTAGCGACCTATTCAGACAGAAGAGGGAACAACTTACATGTGTTTGTCAGATTGACGAACCAGTTGAAGACTGTAGCTCCGCTGGAAGCAACGTTGAGATACGCCAAGCCGCAGAATAGCGAACTGCAGCCGACCGCCATATAAGGCACACCCCATCTGTTACAGCTCTTGAAAATCCGAGGTGCAGAACCCTGCACGGCAAGAGAGTAGAGTGCACGGCTCGAGATGTAGAGGAAAGAGTTGCCCGAAGACCAAGCGGACAGCAGGATAACAGCGTTGACAATGCTGGGTAGCGTGCTGATACCAGCATTGGCGATGGCAACGACGAATGGAGAGGCAGCCGCGCCATGTCCGCCGTTGGTCAATCGAGCGTCATCCGAGGGGCAAGTCACGCCAATGGCGAGCACGGACAGGACGTAGAAAATGACCAAGCGGTAGAAGTACCGCCTGCCGGCGATTGGCAAGTTGCGTCGTGGAGATTCCATCTCGCCACCAGTGACCACAAGAAGTTCGACCGCGAACGTGAATGGGAACACGGAGAGGACCAGTGTCTGCCAAAAGGAAATGAAGCGTCCGACGTTGCCTGGCCTGATAGCAGCATGCGCCGCGCCCGGTTCATTCCAGTACCTGAACCCGAGCCGATCATGGGATGGGCCACCGCCCCAGAAAAGGATGAAGCTGAGGATGATCAAGCCAATCATCATGATGACCTGGTGCGTGTGTCAGCTCAACTCGCGTGCACGAGGTTTGGAGGAATTACCTTGGTTCCTGCGAACCAGAACTCTGTTCTAGTTTCATGGTTAGCTCAAGTCAATACAAGGTGGAGAGTTCGACAGTGTCCGGCAATAAGATACTTCCGAGCTGGCACTTGTTCCGAGAAGATGTTGTTGGGTCTATAGCAAGGGGCTGAGGCCGTTCGAGGAGAATGATGGAGAAAGAACTTGAGACTTACTCGCCGTAGTACCTGACTGGCATGAAGTTCAGAGCGACAATGACGACGATCATGACCTGAGTTCATCAACAAGAGATTCCTGTGGAGGGTTCGGAAGGAGCTCACCGTGATCCAAACAGCGATGTTGACCTCGTTAGGCCAGTAGTTGATAACCAAGCCAGCAGCAGTAATCTCATATGGAACAAGAATTCCTAGGGCGTACCAGTATAGATATCCCAATGAGAATCCCATGGACCTTGAGACGTAGCGGTAGCCATAGTACGACATGGTGCCTCCATGGACGGGTAGATATGTCGCCACCTCAATCACTGCGGTCACTACGCAGAACATGAGGCATGTCATGATGATATATGCTGCGAGGATGAAAGCCGGGCCACCGAGAGCAAGGGTCTGGCCTGACCCAACGAATAGACTAGTAAGACACTTCGATCAGCATTTCTGTGGTGCAACGGAGTCTATCCGACCTCCAAGAAAGGATTCGTTTGCGATCGAATCGAAGACAAGACTCACCCTGTACCGATCGTACCACCGAGGGCGATCATTTGAGCATGTCTGCTCTTGAGGCCACGCTGGGTGATTGCATATCTGTCGTCCAGTAGATCTGCCGCAATGATGGACTCGGCAACGGAGCTCTTGCGGCCAGTGAGACTGAGCTTGCGATCGGCCGGCCGGATGGCGCCTTGCTCTACATCGTGCTGAGAGCTGGAGTTGTCGCCAGTGATCGGCCCTTTCTCATTAAGTGCGTAATCCTTTGCACTGGGCGAAGACATGGCTCGAGACGATGTCGAGTGACCACAAAGAGGTGTTGGAGAAGGTCGAACCTGTGGAGTGAGACTGAGCGGCCCGTAAGTATATCAATCATGCGCTCACCTGGATCTAGACTCTGGTCGTCGAAGATAGGGAGATCCATGGGGGCCGTGAATCAGCTGCTCCACGTGGCGGAGCAAGTCGCTCACCATGGAGACCAACATCTCTATGGCCGACTAATCACCGGCAACCTGATCTCACATATCTAAGGGAATATCCCAGGGCCAAGGTTGGGTGTAAGTGGTGAACCGGAGGCGCTTGATAAGAATCTTGGCAGAAGCTTCGCGGAACAGCCTAGCGTTGTGACTTGTTGCTTGACAGCTTACCTCCGCGATAAGCCATGCCTCGCCCATCACCAGGGCGTCTGAACACGGCACAGAGCGCGCTCTTGTCCGTAGTGCTAGTGAAATTGTGCTCGGGGGAGCTTGGAATGGCTCGGTGACTGGTAGCGAGATGCCCGTCGAGAGCCATGTCTGCGGACAGCTCCGTGAGCGAGGTGCTTTCGGTACTGATGCAAGGGAAGACTGTGATGTTGGGGCAGGTTCCAGCTGCTGTCCGAGCAGTGGATTCGTGCTGCTCGTCAAGCAGATAGATTGGTTGTCTGCATGTTTGATCTGCTCTCGGAAACGATACACGATGATCGTTCGTTGAGGTACATAGGTGTGGCCTCGGAGGGAAGAAACACCGTTCCGGGGCGCCATCGGATTTCGAGGGTACCAAGTACTTCGCACTCACAGCAATTGCGCCGGAACAGCCAGTGAACTGACTTCCGCCTGGCATGGCGGGATATGCTCAGTATTCTCGCGACATTGAATGGCACGGCTTGCGGGAGTACAAGCTCACCGCTCTAGACAGAGGGGCTGTGCCCTGTGTACATCTAGTTGGTGTTGATGTCTACGACGCCTTGCTAACGCTCATTCTTTTCAGCCTCTCCCCTACCTCTCCGGTGGCGTCTTTGTCTACAGCCATTTCCTGCTTCACATTGACAGTGCCCCCACCCAAACTCATCTTCTTTGAATGGCCACTCTTCTCCTTCTCCAGTACCGCGTCCTGAGTTTTTCCATCGGCCACCGGAGCTCCTGGAGCTGCCCTGAACTTCAGTGGTCGCTTTTCCATGAAAACCTCCTTGACCTCCTCCGTGACTGTTTTTCTGCGTTCCTGGAATGCTGCCACATACTCCTGCAGATGCTTGATACAGATCGCTTTCATCTCGCCCGTCAGGATTTCACCTTTTTCATAGCCCTGCCGAAGCCGCTCCAGTTCCTCATCGTCTTCCATGAAGAACGTAAGGTATTGAAATGGCACGTCGTCAAGAGCACGACCACCCAGTTCTCGGTGCTTCTCCACAGTTTCCTGCCCTCCGGAGAAAGCATACTTGTTGATCTTCTTTTTGATTTGAGCGGGCGTGTCAGTCAAGAAGATGGCCGAGGTATCAATCGAGGCCGACATTTTGGAACCTGGTCCTTGTAGTGCGGGCAAGAAGATTGAATGAATCAGGGACGGCTTCTTGAAATTCAACTTCGCGGCGTTGTCTCGTGTCTGGCGGAAATATGGATCCTGATCGATAGCACAAGGGATCAAGCAGGGGATCGACTTCACGTTCTTGTCATTGCCAAAAATATGGGGGAAAGATGTGGCAAAAGAAGGAGCGGATTGTATGGCGCAGAAAAAGTATTCGCCAATGTTGTTACTCCGGTTGAAGCCGAAGGTGCCTTCGATCTGGGCCACGGTGATGTGTTCAGCCATCCTGATAACATTGTCGTAGAAAGCTAGCGTGGAGCTAATGTACCGACGGTCATTGAAGATGAACGTTTTCGACTGGTCGAATCCGAGACCAATAATGTCTTTGGCATTCTCCCGCGTGTAGCGATCACAGTCCTCGAGAGTGATCTTCCTGTTGTGCATGAACTTCTCATCGTCCGTGAGCTGTATGACAAGCGGGCAGTCGAAGACCTCTTGGAGATATTTGGTGAACTCGAAGGGAACAGCATGTCCAACGTGCATCGAGTCCGAGGATGGTCCACGGCCCGTGTACAGGTAGAATGGTTCCCCTTTTTCGTACCGAGTAAGGATCACATCGAGCTCGCGATGAGACAGTACTATGCCGCGACGCATGAATCGATGAGGCTTCCGACCGGTGACACGTTCAAAGCGCGCGAGTAGTTCTGGGGTTATCGGTGAAGCACCGAAATCGCGAGTGAGTTTCGCATAATCGACCGGCAATAATTTTCCAAAGGCGTCAACACCGCCAGAGACCTCGAATGGTGTGATTCTTTGCTCGACCGCCCCCGTAGAAGCAGGCGCTTGAGCGGCCAGCGATGCTGTGGTCAGATTTGGTGGTTGACCAGGCTCGTCAGCCACCGCCGTCTTGTTGGCAGGATCATTCTGTGCTTGTGGCTGATTTGCGGAAGCCATATCGGTGCTGAACGCTCGATCACACGATTCAGACACCCGTGAGGAGATCAGATATTAGGAGTCAGCGTCGTTGAACGCTCTTTATTGTATCGAAGAAGGAGGACCGAGGGGTGAGGTCGAGCCGGAGCCCTTCTGAGTCACAGGCCGCGAAATTTGCTAATTGAGACTGAAGGGCAGGTGTCTGAGTGCAAATAGACCGCGACTACGAGATTGCGCCTGCTGGTCACTTTAGGCTGGCTTGAAAACTGCGCTCCGCATCGTTTTTACGAACAGACCTGTTCCTAAACATTTTGGCCGTTGCGAGCAGATCGAGGGCGCAGTGTGATAGGCCAATCAGGGAGTCGGAAACGACATCCGGCGGGGCACGGTTATGCCGGCGAACTAAACTCGATATTGTCATAGCGCAGCATTGGACACCAGCTTACGAGCTCGAATCTTCATATGCACACCACTTCTCCTCACCTCCTCGCGACTTCCGCCATCCCTAATTCATCACAATTGTAATTCCATCTAATTGCGCCATGCCAGGATGAAGGTCTACGAGAGCTCATTCAACTACGACTATCCCTTTCCCACCGTCACTCTCGCCTATTTTTTGCGCTATCCGAATCCCTATTCACGGCACGTGCTCAGCACTGATGTCATCGATCGCTATGTCGACCCCGAAACGAAGCGACTACACACCTTGAGACTACACCTCAAGAAGTCCAAGATACCTAGAGGCATCCTCAGCCTCCTCCCGCGTGGTCTGGCGGGCCCTGGTGGCAAAAGCGAGAGCTTCATTCTCGAGAAAAGTGTGGTCGACTTGAAGGAGGGCTGGATGAAGACCGAGTCCAAGAACATGGAATGGACCGGCATTCTGAGTGTGGTCGAATGCCAACACTTCAAAAGAAGAGCCTCGTTGGCCGAAGCGGTTGAAGAGGCTCAGGTTGCCGATGGCACGAACTGTAAAACAACTGTTACCTTTGTTTCCCGCCTTGGCCAGGGCAAGACAGCGAAAAGAGCCTCTGTGAGCGACGAGGAGGAGACTCCCAAGCAGAGCTTCTTCGCGTCTTGGTCCACTGCCGGCATTCAGCGCACTGTGGAGCTCGTCGGAGTCAAGCGGACCAAAAGTGCTTTGCTCAATGGAAAGGAGGGTATGAACGTTGTCCTCGAGCGACTAAGGCAAGGCGGCATAATGGGTGTCCTCGAGGGCATGCGAAACGACGCGTATGAGATGGGCGGGGACGGGCCGTGGAAACAGATGTGGAGGAAGCCCCCTTCCGACGGCGCTGAATAAATGCCGGTTGTCGCACATTCAAGCCGTGTGGGCGATAGTTGCGACGAGGCGCAAGTCGGCTGTCGCTATCTGATTTGTCTTTTGCGAGCGAGGCGTTGGTTGGAGAAAAACGAAGGTCGCCTGGCCAGGCCATGACAGTAGTATTTGTACACTATTTTCCAGCGATCACAAAATGGAATCCCCTATCACACTACTACCCACCTCCCGAAACAATGTGACTCTACTGGTGCAACTGCGGGCAAAAAGTAAGGTAAGTCGTGTCCCTCGAACAGTCATTCCAAATGAGCATCCACTGACTTGTGGAAGAGAGGGCGGAAAAAGTTCATATATTATACCACAGCACACAAGTTCACTTCAGCAAACGCTCAGATTAACCTCTTGCCACCCTCAAACACCACGTCTGCCTAGTTGCCACGCTTTATGAACTAGAACTGTGTCTTCTAAGGGTGCCTACAGAGTCTACTCCTCTCGTGCAGACGTTCATCCAACTTCGTCCGCTCCTTCTATCGTTCGATCCACACACTCCTTCAATACACAAGACACTCGTTACCTTCTTATCAATATTCGTGCTGTCGTTATCACCGCTCCAGCCACTCCTTTCAGAGCTGGCACGATGCCTTCATTCCGACCCTTCACAGTCGTTCTCCTCCTCCTCTCGTTTCTTGTCCTCCAAGCCCAAGGCCTCCGCGAGTACGACCGCCGCAGCGAGCTCAAAGACGTACCACCCGTGTCTGAACTTGGCTGGACGGTGCCCTTAGCTGGCGGTAGCTGTGCTGGTGATAACTGTAAGGTATCGTCTCGGACGCCATAGAACAACACTTATTGTTGCAGGTTTCAGTACTCTGAGCCGACCTGCTGCAAACAAGACGCTCCAGGTTTTGGCTATCGGTAGCGGGCTGTTCAACTACAGCTGCGAGGGCCTCCTGCCAGCCAATCCTCCTACCTTCATTGCTCAATACACCGAGCTCTACAACGCTGCCGTTCTTGCCGCCAACCTCCCTAACGAGCAGTTGTTCCACGACCTCATTCCGCAGCTTTATGGTTATGGTCTGGGTGCAGACGATAATTCGACGCTGGATTGCATGGGATCAGTGGGAACTCTTGATAATACGGCCGTTATCACACTCTACGACATCGCCACCTTCCGAGCTCGCCCGTTAGAGTCAGTCTCCTCCCCAAACGACACCGCAGTGAATGGTCTGTGGTCTCATAGTGTGAGTTCAGATCTGGCTTGGGAAATCTATCGAGTCGAGATGGCAGGAGGTGCTGTGCCTGGAACCTGTCTGGGGCAGCCAGATGAATTCAACATTGAGTATGTCGCCGAATACTGGTTTTACCAGTAGGTGAAGCGCGTGCGAGTTCACTCGTGGCTTCACCTCAGAAGAGCTTGGAAATGATCTTATTACTTTCTCTAAATTGTCCACCGTCGAGTGCATAAGATGTAATGGGTGAAACGGGAGCAGAAATGGTGGACATCTTCAAGGTTAAGCATTCTCGACGCAAGAGATAGGTCCCGAATGAGCTGTGCTATTCTGTTGAAGAAGACTCACAAATGATACATCCATCAAACCTTTGCACGCTATCATGATATCTCGTGCACATTTTTCCCCAGGCTTCTAAGGTGGGTAATAGGCGGGCGAGTGGGCTAAGCGGGGCAGTCTGAGGGGCCACGAGGGGCTACACACACGCTCGAGCCAGCTGGATGCTGTCATTGCGCCCAATCCAGCAGGCTCCCCGCCGCACGCCACCCGCCGCCCGCTCATCACTTTGTGCTGGCTCTTAGCTCGTCCGTGACACTTCACATGCGTTGCGACTTACAGCACACGACCTTTTTTCTTCCTCAGTATCTAATACGTTTCAAGTCTCGCCAAACGTCTCAACGCGCGCAGTACCGGACCAGCAAGACGTCAAACGCTGCGACCCGTTCACTCTCCTTGCTCTGCCATCAGGCGCTTCCATCCAATTGCGATGACCAATAAGTTGAGCGACTATTGTTGACATAGGTCGTCTCTTGCCTGTCGATCAGGCTCAATTGCGACCGCCCTCATCGCACGAAATCATAAGCAGACAACAATATGTCGTCCGCAATTCACGACGATGAATTGTCTATATCGCTGCCGGCTTCCGGCGTCAACAAACCTCGTCCATCGCTACCTCCCGTCGTCTCTCCACCTGTGCGCAATGCGATCCACACCCCGCAGTCTCAATCAGAGTCACCGGGTACGATGAGAGCATTGAACCGGCTCAACCAATACAACTTTGTCAAGACCATCGGAGAGGGTTCATTCGGCAAAGTCAAGCTTGCGAAGCACAAAGTCACAGGTCAAGAGGTCGCCATGAAACAGATCAACCGCCGAAAACTCATAAGCAGAGACATGGCTGGACGGGTTGAGCGAGAGATTTCTTATCTACAACTTCTGCGACACCCACATATCATCAAGTTATATTCCGTCATCAACACAAAGACCGACATCTTCATGGTCCTCGAATACGTCCCCATGGAACTGTTCGATTACATTGTCAAACATGGTAGGCTAGGCGAAGCCAAGGCGAGGAAGCTCTTCCAACAGATCATTTGCGCCGTCGAATACTGCCACAGACATAAGATCGTCCACCGAGATCTGAAACCCGAAAACCTCTTACTGGACAAAAACATGAACGTCAAGATTGCCGATTTCGGTCTAAGCAACATCATGACAGACGGCAACTTTCTTAAGACAAGTTGTGGTAGCCCTAATTATGCCGCGCCCGAAGTGATTGGGGGCAAGTTGTATGCTGGTCCAGAAGTGGATGTCTGGAGCTGCGGCGTCATCCTATACGTCTTTCTCGTGGGCAGGCTGCCCTTTGACGATGAGTTCATCCCGGCACTCTTCAAAAAAATCCAGGCTGGCAATTTCCACATCCCATCACAGACACCTGCAGGCGCAGTCAACCTCATCAAGAGGTGCTTACAGGTCCACCCCGTTCATCGTATCACAATACCAGAGATCAGACAGGATGAGTGGTTTCTGAAGGGTCTTCCTGCATACCTGACTGAGCCTGTCGAAGAGTTCCTCAATACTGGTGTTGACGCATCTAAGCCGATTGATCCGAGCCAGCTCGCGCCCGGAAAGCCAAAGGAGGAAGCCGAGCAGCTTCACGAGCAGGTAGTTTCCCGACTTGGACGCACGATGGGCTATGCAAAAGACGATGTCAAGGATGCCCTGAAGAAAGAAGAGCCCAGCGCAATTAAGGATGCATACTTGATCGTGCGGGAGAACCAACTCATGCTGAGCGCTCGTAAGTCCCCTGTGCCGCCCGAGGTCGATAACTTGCTTACCAAATCAGCTCAATATACCGCCGATAATCCTCAACTGGAATTGTTCCTCGCGTCTTCGCCTCCCATTGGAGATAATTATGCCATGTCACCTATGGCGCAGCGCTTGCAGCAAGACGAAGTTCGACCATTGACCCCATCCAAAGGCGGCCGAGACCCACCGCGCGCGAGCCGAACTCTGTCGGACACGCCTTCTGTCCCACGTGAGGAAGAGCGGCCGAGAATATCCAACGTGCGAGTGCTCAATACCTCATTGCATCATGTCCATCATGAGCTCATGCAAATACGAGATAAAGCCAAGGCTCGTGGTGATGATCCGGACTTGGCTTTGTACCCTGCACAGAACGAAGAGTCGACAGTCCCAATCCCAGAAGAGGTCAAGGATAATGAAGGCAATCCGATCTTCCGATCAAAAGAGGAACAAGAAGCTACTTCGAAGGCTTTGAAGCCTCATTCGCGATCGGTCACCAATATGAATGAGTTGAGAGATGTGCTAAAGCCCGCAACCATGACTCCTGTGCCAGTGGACGACAAAAAGGCTGCAAAGAAGGCCCGCCGATGGCAGTTCGGCATACGATCTCGCAACCAGCCTTATGAAGCAATGCGGTGTCTATATGGTGCACTTAAAGACGTTGGCGCTGAGTGGGAGATACTTCCTGCCAGCGCAGCCGATGTCACACCGGAGGGCGAAGAGATTGATGCCAACCCTCTACCACCTGACCTGGAATCCGGTGAGCAGTACACGGTGCTTCAGTCAAAGTATTCCACCCTGCCTCCTGACTATTACATTCCACGTGACGCGTGGAGTATTCGAGCTCGCATTCTCAAAAAGGGAATGCTAATGCCGGGAGAAGCACCTTCAAATTCGGCAAATAGTTCAGCTGTGAGCCTACCAAACGAGGCGAAACACCAGATGAGAAGACACATTGAGGAGCTTGGCGGCTTCGCATCGGAAGACGTTGCCAGAGCGCTCGGCAGTTATCAAGGCATGGCCCCGAAAACCAAATCAGCTGTCAATAGCGAATCTTCAACACGTCCAAACAGCAGCTTCGGTGAGCACGGACATGACGCGTTCACGGGTCCAGCGCAACCGTCCAGCAAATCCGGCAGTGTTTCCAGCATGCCCAAGAAGCTGCCAAGTGAACACATTGGCGTATGGATCTTCATCGATATTCAGCTCTACACCTTGGAAACGAATGTGTATGTTGTCGACTTCAAGTGCGACGGGTACCAGAATGTTGTCTGGCATGATCCCAAGAAGGATAAAGAGCGAACTAAAAGCCCCCAGAGCCACAGCGCTGTTACTAGCCCTGTCTCTAGCAGGCCGACGAGTGGCTTTGAGCATGCTAGCAGCCAGTCTGGTACCGAGGATTCCCAGGATTCCGGTGGATATTGGACACCAATGAGCACGAGGTATCGCCAGGAGAAGGAAATATCTAGTCCTTACCCTTTCCTGGATGTGGCAAGTGATTTGGTTGCACAGCTCGCAAGTCAGCCTCAATAGAGCGGAGGATACGATCGTGCTACGAAGGCTCCCTAATGACGATAGGTAGCGTGTGTGGAACAATACCAGAGATGATACCATAGTAGCCGCTGCTTTCGCAGGTTCGACAGTGCCGACTTTGACGAAAGTCCGAAAAGGAGCATGGAAGCGGCGACCACCAACGGTAGAAAACAGCTAGAGAATATCAAAACAGCGGCAAAGGTGCAGCACAAGCTATTTTAACCCTGTCGTTTTCCTCTGCGTCTGCGTCTGCCTAGGCCGATGCCATGCCGTGTACGCGGCGGTAGGCGACGAGCTGCCTTGTCGTACAACCTCGCTTCGTACCGGCGCCTGAACGCCAAGCCGTCGCGTCAGTGCGGCCTTTGATTCTGCAGACCCCTTCAACACCTTTGATCCTCATTAAAGTCGACTGTGAGCTGTTGTGGGCCCTACAATCATACTTTTTGCCCCCTTGTCAAGTTCTAGTTCAGGTTGTGATAAGAACGCGCGAATCTTCTGTCCAAAGCTGGGTTCCAGACACCAAAGCCGTTGCCCCTCGATTCGCAAGATTCAAGCGTCAAGAGCCGACGAAAGCACTACGCTCTCAGCTTGAAATATCAAATATAGTACTGTCTTAGGGTCATGGCTCTCTTGAAGAGCTTGGAGCTGTCGCAAGTGACCGGGCGCTTGGTATATCTGCTGTTTACTGCAGCACTTGGTCCGTTTCTGTTCGGCTACCACCTCGTGAGCTCCCTCCCGCCCAGCGCTTGAAGAGCTTCGGCTAACAATCCAGGCTGAACTCAATGCTCCCCAAGATGTCATCACATGCAAGCGAGAACGCATAAAGGGCGATGCGACGTCTTCGACGCTGCCGCAGTGCATTCCAATGAGTCCGCTTGAGATCGGCCTCGTTTCATCCATATACACCCTCGGCGGCCTGCTTGGCGCGCTTTCGTCAGGCACGTTTTCGGCGCGCTACGGTCGATTGCTGTCAATGCGGATCGCGTCTGTTGTCGCACTTGTAGGCGGCTTGCTCACCGCCGTCGCACCAAGCATTGCCGTCATGTCTGTCGGACGCTTCGTTTCAGGCCTGGCGGCCGGCTCGGCGACTGTCGTTGTGCCGCTCTTCATCTCTGAAGTCGCTCCTCCTGGGAAGAAAGGTATGTTCGGGGCGCTCACACAAATCTCGACTTGCTCCGGCATTGTCGTCACGCAGCTCCTCGGCTACTTTCTGAGCCATGGACAGATGTGGCGTATCATTCTGGCCGCCGCGGGTGGTGTTGGCGGCGTGCAATTCATCGGACTGCTCTTTGCAGGGGAGAGCCCTACTTGGTTGGCAGAGCACGGTCAGGCACGGCAGGCGCGAGTTAGCCTTCAGCGTATCCGTGGCGAAGGCGTAGATATCTCCGAGGAAACCTCATCGTGGGATGCTGAAGATGGATACGCTGCACCTGAAGAACAGGGTCTCCTGTCTCCGGCTTCCGGACCGGCCCACGGCAAGAGCGAACACCGCAACATGGGCATCTTCGAGGTGTTCAGCAACCGCAAAACACTCCCTGCCGTCTTTGCTGTCATCATGGTGATGACGGCCCAGCAGCTGTGCGGCATCAACTCGATCGTCATGTACGGCGTCTCGCTGCTCGCGACACTCCTCACCTCATCGAGCGCGCTTCTGAACATCCTGGTCTCGGTCCTGAACCTCTTTGTCACCGTCTCCTGCTCGCCGCTCCCAGACAAGTTCGGCCGCAAGGCCTGCATCCTCGGCTCCGTCGCCGGCATGGGTACGTCGTCGATCCTGCTCGGAATCGGCATCCGCGCCTCAATCCCGGTCCTCTCCGCCGTCGCCACCCTTTGCTTTGTCGCATCCTTCTCCACAGGTCTCGGCCCCGTGCCTTTCATCCTCGCGAGCGAGCTGGTGGGCCCTGAAGCGGTTAGCCCAGTGCAGTCCTGGGCGCTGGCGAGCAACTGGATCGCGACGTTTGTGGTGGCGCAGTTCTTCCCCGTGGTCAATGAGATGCTGGGCAAAGGGATCACGTACTTTATCTTTGCGGGCTTCGCAGCCTTCTTCTTTGTGTTCATCTCCTGGTGGGTGCCGGAGACGAGGGGGAAGAAGAATGCGGATGAGGCATGGGGGTGGGAGCCTCGGCGCGAGGAATAGGCTCGCCCTGGGTTCTGTGTTGGATTGATGGGATGGGAATCGAGCTTTATTGGCAGCGGCGCACATGATGTCTCGGAGACACTTGCTAAACAGTCCAGTTGGAACATGAATGAAGAATATGAAAACGGACCTTGCCTTTCATCACCACAAGATTTACTGTCATGCATTTGCCCCGAGCACCCAACCCCCCATATCTCCCTGCTATCCTCTTTCGAAGTCCCTTCCCCAGCCTATGTCCAAAACAGCCCAGTCCAGCCCAGTCTCCTCGCGTGCGCACACTCCCACTACCAACCTGTCCACATCCTCTCCCTTTCCCATCATCAAGCCAACGCCCCAACAACCCTCTCCAACTCCCGCACATCGGGCCTCCTCCCCCCTCGCCAGCCCATCATGACCTGCATCGCCGCCTTCTGCGCCGCTTTCCCCTCGGCTCCTTGCATGCACCGCACCAACAACCTTGGCACGACCTGCCAACTCACGCCCCAGCGGTCCTTGCACCAGCAGCAGTCACTGGGCTGTCCGCCTTTGGCGGTCAGCGCGTCCCAGAGCTGGTCGATTTCGGCTTGCGTGTCGACGGTGAGGGTGAAGGAGAAAGATTCGTTGGGCGTCCAGGGTGGGGGTGTGTTGGGGTCGGAGGGAGGGACGTTGATGATGAGGAAGGGGTGGGTGAGGAGGGTGAGGTGGATGGTTGTTGGGGCTGGGGTCGTGGGTGAGGCGTCGGGGCTGGGGAGGGTGGTGGGGGAGGTGATGGTGGAGGAGGGGAGGAGGGTTGTGTAGAATTGGGCGGCGGTGAGGCCGTCGCCGTGGAAGAATAGTGTAGGCGTCAGGGTGATGTTGGCGGAGGAGAGCGGGTGGGCTTCGGGGCTGAGAACGGTGTTGGTCATCGTAGTTGCTGTGTTGATGTTTGGACGGAGAGGTACTAGTGATTAGGCGTGCTGTGCTTCATCACGATGTGAGCAAGAGCTTTATATGTTTGTCGGAGACACCCATGAACGACATTTCCAACACTACACGGTATGCCGATGCTCTACGGTCTTGACCAGGTTGGTCAGTAGATGGTGAGGGAGCGGGCCAATAGGGGGTCTTCGTGGCGTTTTAGGTCTTCGTATTCCACGTTCGTGCCTGGGGAAGCCTGAAGTCTGTGGGGAAAATTGCGCCGACTGTCACGACGAAGGCGTTTACGGACGTAATGGATATTCCTGTCGGTTATTACTGTCGACGGTCTGTACAGTGACATTTGTAGCGGCCTCGATACACCGTCATGCACATCGACATTTCACGTTGCTGATCGGACTACGTCGCAGATGACTTCCGGTCACCAGTTAGCCTAGTGAACTCGGCTGAGGCCGTGAGAGCCTGCAGGGATTGGGATTTACCAGACTTTACAGCCCGAAGCTTATTGGTGCTTGTCATAACATCGCATACCCTTCTCTTGCGTTTAAGGTGATTGACCAAACTAGTGGCATACACGTCGTCTTGAAGTCCTTCTTATCGCAACAGCTGGCAGCCCACCCTGGTCAGCGATTGGTATGATCCTGCCATTGACACCGGCATCGACTGTACTGCCCCCGAGCTGTAAAAGCCGTCTCAAAGATTCGCCGGCCTTCGAGTAAGCTGCCACATGCCAGTCTACATTGAATAGTGCTAAGGCGGCAATACGCCACACTGAACAGTGGAATTCCCTCAGGTGGAAAAATAGACATTGTATAGCTCGAAATCTTGCGTACAGAACTTCGACCACGATAAACTCCAAGCATCGCAGTCTGCTATGCTCCACGCTCTACCAGAGTTGTGCATGGCTGTGCAATGTGTAGGGGGTGGAGCCGAGTGCTCTTATTGGCCAGAGAATCCAAAAGTGGAATAGCGCATCTACCTGAAGCGGATATGCTTCGTTTTTCGTCCATTGTACCATCTGGCGTGTTTGTTCTGCGACGAAATGGCAATCGTGCCGCGGCGGAGAGTCACAAGTTCAGTGCTCTTTTAAATACTTTGAAATAAAGCTGAGAGGGTGAGTTCCCATGCTTGAGGCTGTTCGATTCCGCTGCTAGACGGCGCTTTTCCCCTCGACATTCACCCGCTGTGGGCCTGTTGTGATATTGCAAAAAGCCCGTAACCTTTAGGTGGCAGCCAAAAGACGTATACACAGTGAATGATACCTAACAATGTCCGTCAACCTCAGTCAGCCCCGTCAGCTTTGAAGAGCCATCTCGAGTACAAGTGCGGAATCTTCCACCCAAAATTAAAAAAAGACCATACAAGCCAATACAGCAGCTTCGCTTTACCAGAAGAATTGAACAAGAATCCACAAGAGGTTGAGGGCTTCTACCAACCATCGACTGAACACTGAATACTGAGCAAATGAGCAACGAACAATCGAGATCTTCAGCCGACCAACTCTGTTAGCTGCCGCATGACCCGCGGGCAAGTGACACCACAAAAAAACAAAACCGAGCTGTAGTCAGATCACTCCTGTCTACTCTCATCAACCATGAAAACCAGAAAACCAAAAGAAACCACAAAAAAGCCAATGAGGGACGCGTCGAACAGACGACCCAAAGACAAACTAAACACCCTGAATACGCACACATTTGCTTTAGTTAGCGATGAAAGCCACCTTTTAGTTGGGTGGTCGTGAATACCCCGCTGTATTGATAGGCAGGCGCAGCACAGGGCTCTCTGTACATAGTCTGAATTGCCAATGCAAGCCATTGTCAGCCTCACTTCCTCGTCCGCTTCCAGCATCTATATAGCGTCGTCTCCGTAGCAGTCCCTAGATCCAAATCGTAGCGTAGCACCGGGGAACAGCCAAACGAGCTAAGCACTCCCTCTTCCGTCCTGCCGTTCTTGTAGGACGTCCGGTGAACCCCTTCACGGGACAACGCGTACTTACAAGTTATTGCCGCAGGTCCAAATCATGGCCAAGAATCATGGTCTCTGCGATCATTGATGAGAAAAGCGTTTCGAGGGCCCCTCCGCGAGTGCTAGCTTTCCGCCGCTACCAGAATCATCGCGATCTTTTCTCAAAGTTATCAAACCACTGCTCTGTATCGGTACGTATCTGTATATAGGCAACTCCAACACTCGGCACGCATCTTGGCAACCCCCACCCATCCACAACTGCCGCACGTGCATAAAGGAACCGTCTCCCCTACTCCGTACTTTGCTTGTCACACAACAAGCGTTCGGTGGAGTTTCTTGGCAAATTGTCTTGGCGGCCGGCTGAGTGGCCTTAGCCCCATCGGCAAGCGGGATACCCGATAGCCGTCGCTAGGGTGTCACAGTCCCGCACTACATGCCAGACTGCAAGAGTTCTAGAATCCCTCGACAACGACGGAAGGCGGCTATCATTCGCGTGCTTAGCATTCGTCACTGCGTGACTCTTCTCGCCCTTGTACGTTCGATATCAAAGGTTTTGGTCAACGGTCTCTGCGCGATGATGTTGCGTGGCTTACCAGAAGAGCAGCACGAATGTCTCGCGTTTGTAGCTCAAGCACAATGGTTGACGAAGCAGTACAGTCACGTCGGGCGTTGTCGGCGGCTCGAAGGCAATAAACGGAAATCTATTACTCTCAGACCCACTGCACCTAGTCTCCCAAGTCAGAGGTCGCCCGAGGCTAGTAAGGCTCCGTGCCATCACATGCCCATGGGCACCGATGATGCGGTTTCCCCGATTCCTGAGCGACCAGCTTGGGACTGCTGACTTTGCCAATGACTCCGGCATCGGTCGATTGCCTTCGTACCAGGCTGGGTCCTGCTCATCAGCATAGCCGTCAAAGATAGGTGGGCAAGAGCAGGCCGAAACCGATGCTACTCCTCGTTGTTGAGTCATAACTGAAGGCAACAAGGGAGACAAATCCGCGAATTAACGTACGACCGAAGATTTCAACAGCTGATAAGACGATCTAGCAGCTAGTGGTCGCAAGCCAAGGGTTGCGGGAAGACGGAAGTCTCTGGCTTGGCAGGTGCTGCCAGATGCAACACTGCCTACCGCGAGATGGGAAAATCTCCCCAAACGCTGCCGCCGATCGTGTTCCACTACATTGAATCCTTTCCCTGTCGTTACTGGTTCCCGGACTGCCTGGGCATCCGTGCAACCGTGCCATGGGGTTGTCCTTTCACTGGTCCGGTCTAAACCGCGAGGCTGTCAAGGCTTTGGTGCTTCGGTAGGTGACGGTGGAATACTGCAAACGGCAGTATTGTTGATCATTAGCGCCACCCATCGATGGTGAAAGCAACGGCGTACGTACTACTGCGTACCTATGTGACCGCCTTTGCATGATCACTGGCGCCAAGCGCTTGCGACTGTCTTGGAATGCTCTGGGTATGCAGCATTATCCGCCAGACTTTGAATCGTATTTACGGTCTTGACCAGCGCTTTGGTAAGTCTCTGTTCTTTCCTCCACCTTGAAACCTCGACGCCATGGATAATCACGTCTCCGGGCAAAGCAACAAGCCCATGAGCAAGCCTGCTCATGCTCTGGACTGTGATACTTTGGTCCGAGAGCTCGGGGCCGACGCCCAGACTGGCTTCTCTAAATCACAGGCCAGTCAGAGGTTGAATGAATTTGGTCGCAACGAACTCGAGGATGGGCCTGGTGTTCAACCTATCAAGATTCTTATTCGCCAGGTCGCCAATGCCATGATGTTGGTTCTCATCATGGCCATGGTAGTCTCTTTCGCTATCAAGTCATGGATCGAGGGTGGTGTGGTTGCTGCCGTTATCGCATTGAACATTATCGTGGGGTTTTTGCAGGAATATCAGGCTGAAAAGACTATGGACTCTTTGCGCTCGCTTAGTTCACCCACCGCAAATGTCGTCCGCGACGGAAGCACCATCAACATCCCTACAGCCGAACTCGTGGTGGGAGATCTTGTCGAGCTTAAGGTTGGAGACACCGTTCCGGCCGATCTCAGGTATGTCTGGACTTATCATATTCACTTTCACTGTCACTAACGTTCTCCCTAGGATCGTTGAATCCATCAATCTTGAGACAGACGAGGCGCTCTTGACTGGTGAATCTCTTCCTGTGGCCAAGGAGGAGGAAGCGGTCTTTGATCCAGATACTGGACCAGGTGACCGACTGAACGTGGCCTATAGCTCGTCAACTGTAACTAAAGGTCGCGCCCGCGGTATCGTATACGCAACTGGTATGTATACGGAAATCGGATCGATCGCGCAGAGCTTGAGACAGAAGGACTCGAGACGTCGCCCGGTCAAACGTCGCGACGACGGCACTGCATCTCCCCTACACCTTGCGCAGGCCTGGACGTTGACGGTGGCCGACTTTATTGGAAATTTTCTCGGTCTCAACGTGGGCACACCTCTACAAAGAAAGCTTTCCCGCCTGGCAATACTTCTGTTCGGTATTGCTGTTGTCTGCGCAATCATCGTTCTGGCCGCCAACGAGTTCTCGAACCGAGCTGAGGTTATTATCTACGCAGTCGCGACAGGTCTCAGCATGATTCCTGCATCCTTGATTGTGGTCTTGACCATCACCATGGCGGTAGGAACTAAACACATGGTCCAGCGAAATGTCATTGTGCGGAATCTCAAATCACTCGAAGCGCTTGGAGCTGTCACAGACATTTGCTCGGACAAGACAGGCACCTTGACGCAAGGAAAAATGGTTGCCAAAAAAGTATGGATTCCGAACCGCGGCACCTACTCTGTGGGCATCTCGAATAACCCATTTGACCCGACAGCCTCCAGCCTGGCACATTCGGTTGAGGTTCCTACTAAAGGCCTCTCCGAGAGCGAGACGCTCACTGATGACGAATCTACCTCAGCCAGTAGTTTACTGGAGAACAATGAGGATCTTGAGGCGTTCCTTGCGGTTGCAGGGTTGTGCAACATTGCCAGGGTTCACAAGAACAACGATGGCGAATGGACTGCCCTGGGAGACCCTACGGAAATCGCGCTACAGGTTTTTGCCTCCCGCTTTGACCGTAACCGACACGGCCTCGTCGACGGCGAGGGGGCGAAATACAAGCAGGTCAGCGAGTACCCCTTCGATTCAGACGTCAAGAAAATGTCAGTCATCTTCGAAGATCGCCAAACACAGGCGCAAATGATCTATACCAAGGGCGCTGTGGAAAGAGTCCTCGAATCCTGCGACTCGGTTATCTGGGAGGATGGCCAGACTGTGGGTTTCTCTGATTCCCTAAAGGACAAGACACTCAAGGTCATGGAGGCGTTGGCTTTCCAAGGTCTTCGTGTTCTTGCCCTTGCCAGCCGCGACTACAATCCTCGTGACGGCCGACGTGCTTCACGAGATGGGCCTCCCACACGAGAGGACATCGAGTGTAATTTGACTTTCCGCGGCCTTATCGGCCTGTACGACCCGCCTCGTCCGGAGTCTGCTGACGCGGTCAAGCGGTGCCACCGTGCCGGTATCAAGGTGCATATGCTCACTGGCGACCACCCCGGTACTGCCAGCGCCATTGCCAAGCAAGTCCACATTCTGCCAGATATGAACAAGGTCTCGGCCACTATCGCACAGAGCATGGTGATGACTGCCAAAGAGTTCGACAAGCTGACTGATGAAGAGCTGGATCGGTTGCCAGTGCTGCCGCTTGTCATTGCTCGCTGTGCGCCAAACACCAAAGTCCGCATGATCGAGGCCCTCCGTCGCAGAGATGCCTTCATGGCCATGGTGCGTGAATCAACATCCAGTACGTTAGATGATGGACACGCTAACCTATTATACAGACCGGTGACGGTGTCAACGACTCCCCTTCCCTCAAGATTGCTGATGTCGGCATTGCCATGGGCATGGCTGGCTCAGACGTAGCTAAAGACGCCGCTGATATTGTATTGACCGATGATAACTTTGCCTCAATCCTTAACGCCATCGAAGAAGGCCGGCGCATGTTTGACAACATCCAGAAGTTTATCTTGCATCTTCTGGCCGAAAACATCGCACAAGCCTGTACGCTCCTGATCGGCCTGGCATTCAAAGACAGCACAGGCCTGTCGGTCTTCCCTCTGGCACCCGTTCAAATCATGTGGATTATTATGATCACCTCTGGGATGCCTGATATGGGCTTGGGCTTGGAGATTGCGGCACCTGATATCCTTGAGCGACCACCAATGCCTCTGAAAGTAGGGGTATTCACTAGGGAAGTTTGCTTTGACATGGTATGTCCATCTGAGAATCAAAAACACTAGAGCTAACACAAACAGCTTGCTTATGGCCTCTGGATGTCCGCACTATGCTTGTCCTCCTTCCTCCTCGTGCTTTATGGCTTCGGCGATGGCAACCTGGGGGAAGGCTGCAACACCTCATACTCTGAGCAATGCGACACCGTCTTCCGCGCTCGCGCTACCACGTTCGTGTCGCTTACATGGTTCGCCCTCTTTCTCGCCTGGGAAATGGTCAATACGCGCCGCAGCTTCTTCCGTATGCAACCCAAGAGCAAAAAATACTTGACCCAGTGGATGTACGACGTGTGGAGAAATCCCTTCCTGTTCTGGGCCATCATTGCCGGCTTCGTGACGATTTTTCCAACTCTATACATTCCCGTAAGTGCCCCTGTTTGGTCCGGCCCTATCAAAAGCCACGACCAATACTGACCAGTCGTTGTCAGGTCCTCAACCACGATGTCTTCAAACACACCGGCATCTCCTGGGAGTGGGGGATTGTGTTCGTGGAAGCTACGCTCTTCTTCGCCGGCATCGAAACCTGGAAGTGGGGCAAGCGCATTTTCTTCCGCCGCCGCGCCAGGAAGATGGGCCAGACTAGCGACGACCTCGAGAAGCGGGCGTATGGCGACTTCTTCGACGCCAGCGAGAGCGATCGCGACGTGGACGTGCCTACCAAAGACGAGAAGTACCCTTCCCGGGCATCGTGAGCCAAACGATCGGGGTATCGACAGACTGATGTAGAGGTCCCAGACCGGTCGCTTCTTGAGTCTTGAATCGCATTCAATAACAGATGTATGTTTGGGCCTGAGGAGCAATTTACCTCGTCAGAGGAAGCAGCCCAACTTCCAAGACAGCCCATCTTCGCGCGGTCTCAGCTTTCGTTCGATCGAGCATTGCTTGACTATACTAACCGGGGCTTATGAGAGGGAAGGAGCGAAGCAAGCGGGCGAGCAACGGCTGTTTTGTCTGGAGACGTTGTTACTGTAGCATCTTCTGGGTGCGGAGTGACGAGGGCCGATGTCGTACCTGGGTAATAGTGGGGGCAAATCGCTAGGCTTCACGAGCAGGCGGCATGGGTTGCCTTCTTCTAGACGCCAAGTTTACCTAATGCAGCCCAGACAGCCTGCCAGTGGGAGGCAGTACCTATCATCATTACTACGCATCAGCCACTTTCGTCGGCGCGTTTCGTGTCACATGGATCCTACTACGTCGTCGTCTGATATCTCCTCAGCCACATAACAATGACAGTCCAGCCAGCGATGTGCCTGATGCCTGTTCTGCAGCTGCTTGACCGTCGCCTCGCGGACATGAATGCGTAGCGACATCGCCCCCCGCAACGACTACGCGATCGTCGCTGCGGCTGTGCTACACGAACAAGCCCTGCAAGGCGGCCTTGACGCTGTGCTTAGTTGCGGAGAAGAAAACGACTGCAACTCTAATTTATCTAGAGGGGGCCGAAACCAACGGGCGAGTCGTTATTCGGGGGTGGCTCAGGGGGTGGTGGTACAACACAGATTTCGCCTGTTGAAACAGGGCAACAACAATGGAGATGGGTTTGTCCGCACTATGGCATCTCACAAGAAAAACGAGCATGATCCTGCGCGGTGTCGGTATATATGCTGAGATTTCCAATGCTCTTGGAAGATCAAGCTCTATTCGCATGACAGCTCCCCAGCCACTGAATCGTACTTCACTCAAGAAACCTTCTCACCTACCGCAGCAATGGCGAAGTGGCAGCTTCTCGGCGCCTGCATGGCGATGGCTCTCCAGTTAGTGGCCTCGAAGGCCGTTCCCGGAAACCTGGCAAGCTTCGTCAACCGCATTCAGGCAGCGGGAAACTGTCAGAATCCCATCAGTGATTCATTCTTCGACAAAGACTCCGGCGGCGGCCGATCAGGTACGTACGAGCCCTTCTGATACCGCCTCCAGAGCGAGCTGACACTACCCCAGGATTCGTTTACTGCAAAGACAACGCCAACCCAGGCATTGTATTTATCAAAGGCCCCGGCCGCGACCTCGCCGACATGGATGTAGACTGTGACGGCGCCCTTGGACCGGGATCTGATTGCAACTCCGGCGGTGACACCCAAGGGCAGACGTCGTTCAAGAACATCGTCTCCACGTACGGCATCTCGGACCTTGACGCTTCGCTCCACAGCTTCGTCGTCTTCGGCAACGACAATTCCGGCAATCTGCCTGGCTTCGGCACTTTCCGGCCGCAGGATCACGGCATCGAACCGCTGAGCATCATGGCGGTGGTCTGCAACGGGAAGCTGGTACGTTCCTACTTACTTCCATCTCGTCGAATGCGTGTCTCTCTCCGCTTTTTGATCTTTACTTTCCCACCCCCTCCTCCCTCTCCGCACATGATCGTACTAACACACACCGCGAACCACAGCTCTTCGGCGTATGGGGTGACGAGAACGGCAACGACGGGCAGCACTCGGTGATTGGCGAGGCGTCGCTCGGCCTCGGAAGACTGTGCTTCGGCGACGGCATGTCCAACGAGAGCGGCCACGACGAGGCGGATGTCATGTACATTGCCTTCAGCGGTGCGGATGCTGTGCCGGGCAGAGACGGTGCGGCGTGGAAGGCGCGCAGCAGGGATGAGTTCCAGAATGATCCCCGCTTCAACGCTTTGGGCGATGCGCTGGTTCAGGGAATTCAGGGGTAGGTCGTGGGGAATGGGGGAGGACGACGGCGTGGAGAGAGCGCAGTTTACTTTCATGGGGTTGTGTTACTTAGCTGTGTCATGCTGCTTGTACTGTGAGCAGGTGTGTGTTGGTAGGGCCACCGTCGGTCAATCCCGCATCACTTGGCCTTCTAGTCATTCACAGGTGGAAGGCAATGAATATCATAGCCTCTCTACGAAGCTGCAGACGTTACAATAGCTGTACTCCTTGAGACATTCGAGCATGCAACGACCCTCTTCCCATACTGAGGCCACAGTCAACCCCGGACGTTGGGTCCAAGCAACGAGCTCTCCACAAATGAAGTTGCAAAGGAAGTGTCGACACTACGTTCAACACCTGAAACGCGCCATCCCGTCTCCCCACGCATGATAGGCGCGCACTCCTTATTTCCGCCCGGCGCCACCTCCCCTCCCCCCCTCCACAGTCGACTGACCGAACCCTCGCAGGCCCTGAGCAAGTGTCACCAGCGTCGCTTGGAAATCGAAATCCGTCTTCACGCCCCCCCCCCCACCGTAAAACCCAACGAATCGGCGCTTGCAGATCAACCCATCAAAAACGCAATGTTCCGCATCTTGCATGCAGCATGCATGGGCCTTCTAGAACCTTTTTTGTGGGGAAACACCTCTGTTTCTGTGCCGTTGGACCTCGCTTCGAGAAGTCTTGGTGTCCCTATGGCTGCATGGCGGATGAGATGGAGAAGCAGAGTCTTGTGTGTGACGAGGCTCGAAAGGGAGTGGTGGAGCAAGTCGGGTCGTGCATGATGAGAAATGGGACTGGGGTGGAGTATCATAGAAAAGAGGTCGCTACGGCTCGGGTCGTGCATGCAGTGGAAAACCCTGTGCCTACCGAGTAAGTCAAAGGAAGAGTCTATGAGGCGTTTGGAACATTACAGCACCTACTCTAGAGCGCTCATGGCAGACGGACGGTTTCGCAGGGGGGTTTACGTCACCACCACGACCGACGCCTTGTTCCCCAGGGACCTGACATGGCATTGCCATCATCACGTTCTTTCACTTCCGGTACGTACCTCGGCATACATCACGCATGCTTCAGGCGATGAGCCCCTGATAGGCAAGACTGCCTACGCTTCAGATGAAGCGAAGGACTCGCGAAGGCGATGAGGACCACGCCCAACGGTTGTCTCAACTCGACAGCCACAGTTTGACCTGCACAAACGGCGATGCGCACCACCGTAGTCAATTAATGGTTCGACGTCTTTCGCAGGCTTGGTAAAACTCCCGACAAGCTCGTGCCGCTGTCTGCAGTTCATCGCTCGCAGGATGGACATATCACGGACCCTGACGGGCTACTCGTACATGGCCTCTCGCAACACTTGCGGCCGTAATCTGGGAGGCCTAACGCTGACGCATCAAGGTTTGGTTCACGATGCCATTGGTCACTTGGGGACCTGCTTCGCGGGCTCGCTTCCTTCGAGATGAACCCTTTCAGAGCACTGGCGGAGCAACACATCCACTCTTTTCCTTCATGATAGGAAGACAGACCGGCAACGATAGACACAGACCTTGCTGCCGCCGGTTCAGGGACGTTCAGAACCACCGTCTGCCACAATGAAACTGATGCTATCGACGATCGTGGGCGGCCTTCTCATCCTGTTCACAGTATGGCTATCAAGGTTCATCATCCAGTTCCGCAAGCAACGGGCCTTCTACAAGACAGTACCATGCCCTCCTCACGACTATTGGTGGGGTCACCTCAAGCTCGTCGGCGAGACCATGCGCGAACTGCCGCAGGACTTTCATTACCAGCAGCTCATGGCTTACATTGGACAGAAGTATAACATGCCTCCTGTCTTCTACCTGGACATGTGGCCGGCCTCATATCCCTTGATGATGATCTTTGATCCAGAGGTAGCCAGCCAGCTCACCCAAACGACACCCCAGCTTAAACATCCCGTCAACCGGGCTTTTGTCACACCCTTGGTCGGTTCACCGTCAATCGTGGCGGTCGATGGTCCAGAATGGAAGCTCATCCGTAGTATCGTCATCTCTGGCTTTGCTCCATCTTATATCGCCAGTTTGACGCCCATCCTAGCGAAGCACGTTACACGCTTCATGGAGAAGATGTCCAACTTCTCTGAAACGGGCGAGGTCTTCCCTACGCAAGATCAGACCAGTCTTCTCACCTTCGACGTCATCTCTGAGATTGTGCTGGGAACTGATCGCGACTCTCAGCGCAACTTCGATCGTCTGGCATACCACTTCAAGCACGCAAGTAGACTATGCAATTCCCCTTCGTTTAGCCCGAAATGGTACTTGTTAGCAATCCCGAGATGGTGGCACGCCAGTCGGCAGACAAAGATCATCACGGCAGCAATCCACGAGAGACATGCGAACCCACCTGACATCAGAGGCCGCGCAGCCATCGACCTCTTTATCAAAGCCTACTCGGACGAGAAGCTCAATCCTGAACACAAACCCAATCTCGATCCCACGCGTGACGCATACTTCATGCGCATGGCCGTCTGCAACGTCAAGTCCCTGCTCCTCGGCGGACACGACACCACCTCGTCCACAATCTCCTATACCCTCGCCCTGCTAAGCACACACCCATCCGCTCTGCAAACCATGCGCACCGAGCACAACTCCGTCTTCGGCCGCAGCCAACCTTTCTCCACCATCGCCAAACGTCTCTCCGCCCAGCCATCTCTCCTCTCCGACTCCAACCTACCCTACACAACCGCCTGCATCCGAGAGACCCTCCGCATCTTCTCCCCCGCCTCCAGCACCCGCGCCGCCCGGCCCGACGGCCCGCGAACCGTACGGTTTCGCGACCGCGACCTCCCCATCACGGGCCAGCAGATGTGGATCGCGCACATCGGCTTCGGGATGCGCGCCGACCTCTTCCCGCGACCCAACGACTTCCTTCCCGAGCGCCACCTGCCGGACAGCCCACTGGGACCCGTGCCCAAGGACGCGTGGCGGGCGTTCGAGAAGGGCCCGCGGGCGTGTCTGGGCGTCGAGTTGGCGATGAACGAGATGAAGATGGTGCTGCTGGGGATGGTGGCGGAGGGCTGGCTGGACCGGTTGGAGGTTGCGTACCCGCGGGATGCGCCGAGGGCGCCGGCCGGCTTCGGTGGGGTGGGAGGTGAGCGGAGGTGGTTCCAGAAGATCGAGTTCTCGGCGAAGCCTGTGCTGGGGATGCCGATGCGGGTGGTGGCGGGCAAGGGGGGAGAGAAAGGGAAGGTGAGGTAATCGCGCGGAGATCGATAGCGTCCAAGCAGCCTACAGACAGATATCTCTACAAGATCAAAAGAGAGGTTGTCCTGCAAGCCATCCACAGTACCTGCGACACAGGGCCACTGTATCTCCCCTCTGCCCTTCTCCCCCCACCCTGTTGAACCCTGCCTAGCCTCGTGAATCTCGCCTAACGCAAGTGCCGAACCCTCGCTTAACCCTCGCCTAGTCCTTTGGTCCCGTCCCTCTTTGACATCAAAACGGCCAGCTTGCATGCTGCATGCTGCACGCGGCGATTGGCTTTCCACTTCCTCACACCGCGACACTTGCTCCATACTGTTACGCAGTTGCTCTCCCGTCTGCGGCACGTTACCTTCCCTGGTTAGGGCCGGTTGCCACATCCGTATCCGGTGATTCGGGCCCTCGAAAACACATACAGGCGAAGTCGAGTCAGGGCAACGAATGAGCAGCTCCCGAAACCGTGCGGTGAGGCAGTTCTCTGGCCTGGCGTGTCTTGGGGAGATCCGATAAAGCCCCCCGCCGCTATCACTCGAACTGCATTGAAAAAAAAGGGGGGGCGTGAAGGCATCGGGGCGTGGGCATTAATTTACAGTCCCGGGAATCCGCGTCCAGACGCGCGCGGGACTAAGTCGTGCACAAGCTTCTCACTCCGACCGAGCTTCCTTGGCTGGAGCGGGGCCCGTCCTGACCTACGGTGTACCGAGTAATAAAGAGAGAGAGAGAGAAAGGGTTTGTGGCGGTGCGATGCGGTGCGGTTCGGCGCGTGCACCGATACGAAGGTACTTGTACGGAGCTCCCATTGTGGTGGGCGAATCGCTTCGTGCATCATGCACTATCCGAATGTGCAATTTCATTCCCGACAGGTAGGGAAAGCGTACGAGAGTGCTCCGTACACGAAGTGAGTGCTTTGCCATGGATACGCGAGTATGAAGCTGCGCCGAACTTTGCGTTTGTCATGCAGTAGTGCATGCTTCTACTTCTTGCCCAGTCCTCTTCAGAACCCGTTGGCTGGGCTTTCCCACAGCTTCTCAGGTCCAGCAAGAGGCATTGAAACTTTGGCCATCTCAACGGCGCTTCTAGAAAGTGTACCCAATACCATCCGATTCCGTTCTTATGCACTCCCTCCACGCTCGCCCGTCCGTCCAAGACCTTCGCTTGCAAAAGTCGACATACATGCAAGCGCGCCTTAAGCCCCCCCCGGGCCACTTCCGAACCCTTTCCGAGCTCTACCCGTGAATAACATGACAGCCACACATTCCGCAGCCACGATCACCAAGACACGACGCACCGAAACCGAAACCGAAACCAAAACCAAACTGGTGTTGCCCACTCTTATAAGATAAGATCCCTGCCCGAGTTCCCCCCATCTGGAATACTCCATATCTACTGCAATAGTCTGATTCCAATGCACACGACCCGAGCTCCGAATCTGGGCTGCGCGATGCGAGCTTCACTCCTGTAGACTACTACAACAACAACAACTGTACGGAGTACTGCAGCGGCTGATCGACAGGCAGGCCCCCCCTACCCTCCTCCCAAACGCGGAACGGAAATATTTATCTGCTCACGAATTCATCGACTGCATACAACAGGCTTTGATGTGAGTGAACTCTCCGCAGAAACCTGCGCCCAACCCCTCCGCATCACTCGCAACGAGCTCAGTCACAACTTACATCTCGCCTCGCCCCGCTCCACACCAGCCCATCGGGTGCTACCACTACTACGCCAGGTACGGAGTACGACATGGTCGGTACTGTAAGCCACACACGATTGTTGAATCAGCCTGGAGAGTTGCCCTGTCCAAGTGTGAGAACTGGTAAAATGTGCGTTGTTCATGTTTATCCAGCCTCGTGGCCAAAAGACACCGCAGAGGGCAATGCCTATCCTGAAGCTCCATTTATTTCCGCACCACAATGCCTTCTATGCAAAGCCTGTGCACCCCAATGTGTGAACAGGAGGAAAATTGCATCCCAGGGTCCCGATCTTGAAGTCAAAGCACCGGCTACCGAGAACGGCCCGTCCCACACTCCTCGGCACAAATGCCCACAAGCGATTGAGGACCACCATCTCTATCTCTAGAAAAGAAAAAGGGTCTGTATGCCATAACGCCATCAAGCCCATCGTAGCGTCGTTATTCTGTTCAGTGCTGGTGTTGTACAGTCCTTCCAAGCGACATAATCTGCCTAATTAGAGCCGAAAAGGCCGAATGATTGTTCAATGCCCATGGCGCCCGGCTGCTTGTATTTCGCGTCGTAAGCCTGGAAGACGTACAGCGAGTCCTGTTTGTCGGCAAAGGCAGTCTTGATGGCTGCGATGGCCGTGGACTGTGAGCCAGGGTCCGCGCTAGCACCGCCGTTCGCCGAACCGGCATGAGGCCAGCCAGACTCAGTGATGACGACTTTCTTGCCATTCGCAATGCTTTTCAGCTGCGTATACTCTTTCTGAAGCCAGTTGCCATTGTTGGCCGCGCTGTTGGTTGTGTCGAAGAAGCCGTGAGCGTTGGCCGCAATATAGTCTGAGTTGGAACCGAGGCTGGGATTGGCGATGAATTGGTTGAAGACGTCAACGGTCACGACGTTGCCGGAAAAGCCAGCCTTCTGAAGCATAGCACGGCCTTGAGCGACGGCAGCGGTGACTTGCGAGGCCGACGCAGCGCCCTGATTGACTTGCTCGTTTCCGATGTTGACCGTGTCCACAGCGGCCCAGTTACCGTTGATGTAATTGATCAGCTTCTGGAGGTCCCCGGCCACATTGCTGATGCTATTAATACCAGCAAAGACTTTCATGCCGTGAGCTGCCGCCGCCGTAGCAACGATACCGATGTTGCACCCCACATCGTAGGTTCGGACCATCTTGTAGCCATTCTGCGAGAGGAAAGCAAAGTCTTGATTGACTTGATCGGCGGTTTTGCATTGAGTCTGGGCATTGATCATGTCATAGCAGATACCGTAGCCGCCGTTGCCAGTGGCACCAACTGAAGCGCCAGTGTTGCTACCAGGGCTGGCGGAAGTACTGGATACAGGGCGATTGACGTTCGGGACAGCAGGCTGAACATTGCCAGCGAATATAGCTGGTCCGACCTTGTTGTTGACTTCTGGAGCAGCTGTAGCAGGAGAGCCTCTGTATTCCGTCGAGACCGTATTGCCAGCATCGTCGACCCAGACAACGGCGCTCGGCTCCACGATGGTCTTAGTGACTGTCACGGCACCTGCTTCGGCTCGAGCCTGATGGAGAATCTTGTGGTCACGACCTGCGGTACGTCAGCGCTTGTTTTCCTACTGGCTCGTCCAAACTTACGATGCGGTACGGCTGACACAGTCTGTGCGGCCAGCGCGGCCAGGACGAAGATAGCGGTGCTCTTCATTGCTTGGGAAGGGCGAAATCGGGTTTGAGAATTGAAAGTAATGCTTGCTGCAGCGCAGATATGGTCAGCAGCTGAAGTAAAGAGCGACTAGAAAGAGTGACTGCTAACGAGCGTGGGGTTTGCGGGTGAGGAAGTCACAAACGCGCGCGATATTCCAGGAACTGATGGGCATATAGGAGAAAGAGCGGGTCGTCGAGGAGACGGTGGCAATGGGGAAAGAGCGACGCACCAGCAATGCGAAAGACAATCAAGGAAATTGCGTGTTGATGCGGCCGGCCAACGCACTGCCACGGTGGGTCGTGCCCTTTGTTCTGCCGGCATATCCTGAGGCAAACAATGACCGCCGAGGTGTAGTCCTCGGCGCTTCCGCTTCTGGACACAAAGCAATGCGGTCTGGAATGTGGGGATGTGGATGCGTTGAGGTCATCGAAAGGAGTGGTCCGACCGGGATCTCGTCGCAGGAGGATGCGCAGAGCAAACTGCAGCAATGTCGAAGAAGTAGGCGTTATGCCAGCGTAAAAGGAAGAGGGACTCACCACGAGGTTGTGCTGACGCTTTCCAGAGCCGATGGATGGTGTTGTTGATAGAGTTAACAGCAGGAATGTGTGCAACAAAGCCCTGTGTGGGCAATGTTATGAACGCGTCTGCTTGGCAATCCGTCTGCGCTTCTCCTCTTCACTTGTTAGCGCCCCTTTATCCCGAGTGGAAACCGCCTCGTCGCGTGAATGTGTGGGGAGTGGCGGTAGAGGCGTGTTAAGTGACCCCTCACAATATGTGCTGCTGCTAGACTTAATATTCAAGACCTGTGCCGCGTCGTCATTGCAATATTGTCAACCCGTACATATTGGGAGAGACCGCCTCATCATTGCGTGCCTCGAGGAGGCGGCTATCAAGTTCATCTTGGGCACATCGAAGGAGATCAAATGACGAACAGGGCTTGCATGAAGTCACTTGACAGTCACCGCTCAGGCACTGAACGCTAGGCGGCCGGTTGTGGCTGCAGGGAGGCCATGTCAGGTCGGTGGCTGATGCAGCCACGGCAGAGCAAAGCACCGTGCACACAGAATCGGAAGCACTGGCTCGCTGGTTTCCTGTCGATTCAGGTGACATCCCGTCGTTCAATGTGCCCCTTACCGCCGGATGCGGTGGCAGAGAGGGCGAAGAATGTTGCTTGTGAGGTTCGAGAAGACTTTCTCCGCGCCAAGCTAAAGGTTTGGCGATCTTGCTGATTGGTTCCGGAGGAATACTACAGCCCCCCTCTCCAGTGCAAGGCAAAGCGGTATGCTATGCTGCAAAGCTTCAAGCCGCCGTGCCACTTACGTCGCAATTCTTCAGTCCAACTGGAACCCAAGGCTAGACCAGCCTCCCTCTAATCAGCAGATTGCACCTCGGTGACAGCAGGTTTCCTCTGACTCTCCGAGTCGTTCTTCGCCTTTCTCCCCTCGGCATAGATCTCACTAAGATTGAACCTTCTCAGTCGTTCCCAATCGTCTCCTACCACCGACATGCCTACCACATTCCGATAGATCTCTACCAAGACCAGGTTGTCGTACCCTTTCAGCGACACCTTATGCTTGCTTTCCGCGTCATCTCCACCCACCAAGCCAAGCTCTCTTACCGCCCCTGCAACAGTCTTGATGATCTGATCCTTCTCGACCTGGTTGTTGTTCCTCACCGTCACTCTGACGGCGTACTTCCGTGGCTGGCCGTCACCGAATACCGGTGGCAATACATCTTTGCACAGCTCCTCGACACCACCACTCATCACCTTGCGCACCCGGCTCAGTGGCGTGAGGCGCTTGATGAAGCGACTGCGTTGACGCTCGGGCTGTGACTCCGCATCGCGACAGATCTTTGTCACGACACTCACAGGCTCGTGCTCAAACCCCAGCGGAAAGCGCACAAAGGAGACGCAGGGAATATCGAGTGTCACCAAACCAAGCTTAGCCGTCTTGCTGGCTGAATCGGCTTCTCCGCTGGTTGTTTCAGATGGCCTTTTCCGCTTCTCCCCGGCCACACTCTGACCTGCTAGTTCGGCGAGCTCCCTCTCAATGTCGTCTTCGATGCCGCGATCAGCATTATCTGATGGGGCAGCCTCAGCTTGAGTCTTCTCGTTTTTGTCTCCTTCAGGTAGCGTGTTTGTTGGCGCGCTGTCATTGTCGAGACCAAGCTCTTCACTGAGCAGGTCTTCCATCTCGCGTAAACATGCTTTTTCTTTCCCTTTGTCGCAAGTAACAAACATGCCTACATCCCCGCTCTGCAGTCCAGAGGCACTGATGTTGGCTCTTTTTTGCGCGTAGGCAGCCTGTGAACGGTACTTGGACTTGTCTCCTGTCTGCAGAAGAAAGCTATCAGCAAATCAGACCAGGGAGCCCCGGACGAAGACCATGTGAGGCAGTTGATAGCCAGGGCTTTATGCGTTACGACATTAGCCGTTGGGCGCCTCATGGCTTCTGTCTGTTGGTCCCAACGGGTAGGCCTTTGTATCGTAGACTTCAATGTACGGAGGAATGGTTCCGCTTACCTTGCCCTTATTGCCTCCGCCTTCCCAATTTTTGGTCTTCTGCCGTTTCACGGGTCTTCCTTCCTCGGCCATCCTCTTCACGCCTGAGTTACCAATGGTTGTCTGATACGGCAAGTAGTTTATGATCTGGGGCCACAGCACGCAGATGGTACTACAAAACGATAGTTCGCGTGACCGATCCGAGGCGATGAAGTACAGTCACAGTGGCTTGGCATATCAACAAGAGCTTTTCTGTGGTTCGGAGTTTGGGACGGAGTTAAGCTGGCTTGTGATCCGAGGCACTACTGATCTCGAGGTCCAAGAACCCTCCAGATTTTCGAATTTCTCTGTCATTTCGCCGTCTCCCGCACGTTACGGCTTGGACGAGAAGCTGTTTTGGTGACTCCGAGAGTCATACGATACGCAGCCTGTACGGATCAGCCAAAGACCGAGATGCGTATCAATCAAGTTGTAGTCGTTGACCTTCTTAGACATGTTGAGGCAATCTACACGAGCAAGGTATAGGACTGTGAAAATGCAGGCTGAGGATGCTGTACGCAAATCAGAGATATCTCTGTTGTACGAAAAAAATTCGCCAATACGAAATCAAGCCTAAAGTGAATTTCATTGGAGTGAAGTATGACATATTAAGTACAGTCCACATTCAACGCCTTATTGTTTCTCTTACAAATATCACAATTCGTTGCCATTTTTAAACAACTTTCCAAAACGCGCTAAGGTGGGTATCGAGCATTCAAAAGCACAGAGTCATGACAGTCATGGTCTTGTAGCGATGAATCCCTTTGTCCCTCACTTAACTGATCCGAACTTGGGATGTGTGGTCGTTGTGGTTAGGATTTTTCAAAATCAGCGCATTTTGGTTTCTTTCGTGTAGTGGTGATACTCTAGCCGGGCAAGATCCTGGCATTACTGATGCGTCAATGGTGGAAAATGCTGCCCCCAGTATCCAAGTGGTCACAGTGTGAGAACGCTGGGTATTCTGCTTCGGGTTTTTATACTGGCTAGCAAAATAATAAGCCAGTTGGGCTCAACGCCACAGCAATGAGGCGGAGCACGATGATACGTCTGTTTTTATGCAGTGGTAATGGAGTCGTCCGCCCAGCTTGCATCATTGACGAAGTTGTCCCAAAACCCGTCTCCGGGCGTAGCTTGGTCGGAGTCCAGAGCATCGCTGTTGCCGTCCAGCTTCTGCATGTTCAAGCCCTTCGACTCCTGACTGAAGTTGAAGTCAAGGCCACTTGAAGGAGCAGTAGAATCGTTGGCAGTCGGTGCGACAGTGCTGGGTGTGCTCCCCGCCGACGTAGGCGTTGAGTCCAGAGCAGACGGGGCTAGGGTAGCTGACATGCCCGGCCAAGCCGATGGGTGAACAGGCATACCCTTAATGCCTTGAGACATGTCGCTCCAAGGATAGCCGGAGACATTGGTGAAATCCTCGGAGCCGCCCATGAGCTGGGCTTGGAACGGGTCATTGGCATCGAGCACCGGGCCTAGCATCTGCTGGGACTCGCGAGGAAGTTGGGTTGTGAAGGGACCCATGTCTTGCCACAGTGGTGGGAACTGCCCATGGGTAGCCGCTGCCGACTGGGTTTGTCTCATGTAGTCGGAGTCAGCCTCGCCACGATCAGTACTGATGGGCGTTGGGACTCCAGCTTGTGGTACGCTCGGTGTCGATAGGCGTCGTTGCTCTAGAGACTGCCGCGGATTGGATACGGCGGGAGTTGGACCAGCCATCGAGTAAGCCCTGGAATGAAGCTGTCGAAAGTTGGACTGATGAGGCGAAGGGTATGGCGTGGCTCTGTAAGACTGCGCCGGCGACTGCGCCATGTTGTGGTTCAGCATGGGTGACTGAAACATGTTCTGTGGCGTCTGAGGATATTGCGGATTGCCGTACTGTGAAGGGTACGGGTTATTAACCATCTGCTCCATAGCACTGCGCATGGCAACTTGGTTGGTCAGATAGGCCGCGAGCCGTCGATTGAAATCGGCGGAACCCGTCTGCAGATGTGCTGTTAAGCGTCGGTACTGGAGTGGAAGGTCGTCGTCCTCTTCTTCATACATCTCCTCGTTGATAACATCTTGCTCGGTGACACGAAGTGAGCGACCGGTGCGACGCTTGTGGATCTCTGATGCTCTGCGAGCAGACTCTACTCTGGCCTCAAGACTGCGATCACTCCTGCGAGACGCTGCAATGTATGCTCTGTATCGGCATTAGTACCGGCATGATTAAAGCAGGGGCATCTAACACACCTCTCTTGGTTCTCCTCGTGAGTACGCTCGGTCTTGACGGCCTTAGCGGGAGGAATGGTACGTGTAGGAGGCATCTCCTTAGCTAATCACGCCTAGAAGCGGAGGGTAGCTGATACTGAATGAAGCTGGAGGGGCCAAATAGAGGCCAGCGGCGTAGATGTGACAACTGATACTAAGATGAGTTGCGAGTGGCGAGAGCGGTCTCCGGCGAAGCTTGAGCACCTATGGACGAGGACTTGGTTTCTGCGGCACAAAGGTACTGCGGTAGGTGGTCTGTCAGGCACGATAACCTGGGTAGATGAAGCAAGTCGGTGAAAAGGTATGAAGATGGTGAGTGTGGCGAGATATGTGATGGTCGAGAACCAGAGGGAAGACAAATACAAGTAAGCGGGCGAGCACTCGAGTCAGGGCAGTGCTGGTGTGGGCTCGGAAGCGAATGCTTGGACCAAGCGAGGCGCGTTCGCCGAGAGAGAATGAATGATAGGCGGGAAGAAGATTAATCGGTACCAGGTACGTATCGAGCGAGGGGATTGAAGATCAAGGGCAAACCGGGATCATCATTGGGAAGGAAGTCGGAAAAGCGAAGAGACGGCAAATCGGGGGGCAGTAGTTTGGTCTCGCAAGCTGGAGTTCTGTACGGTGCCAAAGTGGGGCATGAGAGGGGAGTCACGGATTGTCCAATGTCCACAGAAACCAGAGACGCTAGCCCTGCCAGATGATTGTGGAAGCTCCGGCACGGTGTCGCGAAAGAGGAGAAGGGTAAAGGCTAAATTCTAGGCTGTAGGGGCTGGTGCTGGTCGATGAAAGCCAGAGACCACGGCACAATCCGGTGCTTGTTAGAAAGGATCTCAGCCATGGCAGCTGGGGGGAGGGATGCTGATTGTTGAGAATGCCATGCCGGTGAGCCGTGTGGGCGGCCCCAGTCTCGAAAGGGCAGGCGGATAGTCCTGGGCAGCCTAACGCTGGAGCTCAAAGACTGCTGCGGAGACACAGCGCCCGGATGCCAATGTGCAGGATGACTGCCGATTCTCGACGAGCGTTGATTCTACCGCCCAGAGGTGAATGATCATAGGGTTCTGGGGGCATGCATCGATCTTCGTACATACAAATCGGCGCTGCAGGAAGTCCGAGCTTCGTCTCCCGGTGGCAGGCCTTGCTGCCACAGGGGGGGACGTTTAGTGTTTAGCGCCGATGCTAGCGCATCGATAATCGCTATAGCGCCCCAACGGCTCTGCCTCCGTGCCCGCAATTGACGCCCATAGCGCAGTGCCAGATGCTGCATCTGATGCAATTATGAGATTTCTCGCGAATCCGATCGGGTGGCAACGATCGAAGATTTTGATTTTCTTTCACTGATATTCTGGTCCTGCGACCAGCTTGGGGTTGTGGTCAAGACACTTGACGGATGATGGTTCTGAGAGCTCTAGAACACGGGCACAGCGCAGGCGCACCGACAGGTCGAGCGGGCGAGAGGCAGGGTCGTGTAAGTTTGCCAGACTACGGCACCAGATCAGCCAAACGCCGCATGCGGTGCAGGGTTACTTGCTAAAGATGACTTTGGAACTGATATTCCGGTCACCAAATGGAGCGTCACAGGCTGCAGTCTTCCTGCGGACAAGCTCTGCTTGGGTAAGCGATCGGACCCCTCTTCGCTCACAATTTCCCCTTTCTATGGACAAATCGCTGCCAGCACAGCCCTCCTCGTATGGATCTGAGCAGCGATGGCCATCTGTCATCGACGCCCACCCACTAGGATGTAGAACCGTACGTTGATCGCACGTCGAAAACCATGCCCGACTCGGTAACTACGGGCGGGCTTCGAATTTTGCCATTCCCTGCCGTGAGTCCAGATCGCCGATCTACTCACAATCCGCGACCTGGCCCCCTCGAGCTACAGTACGGTTTCCTGCGACGAAAAGCTCCGAGACATAGCTTTAGCCACTGACGATTCTGCGATACCTTTGGGTCGTCCAACTGGATACGCGTCCAGAAATGCATACGGCTTACATAGCAGGTACAATTCTTCGTGGGAACTCGGTACTTTTCACCATCATGCAGCGGACCACGTGGTGGCAGGTTTCCACATTATCATCTGGAGCCTCTCATAGTGAGATGCCTGAGATCGAGATCTCGACAGATTGCGCGGATCTCTACGCGCGGCTAGTCCACAAAACCCCCCTTCTTCTTTATAACCCGATTGCACTAACGCAAGCAGACCCGACTTGGTCCATCATCTTGGTTTCGGTCATTGCTGGAGTGCCTGTCCGGTCACACCCTAGCCCAGATTTGCATCAGCTGGGGGAACGGTCAATCGAGTCGGCTTTGTCGCCTCAACCATGCCAGGGCTCCTCGACCCAGTGCCTCCCAGCGGTAGCAGGAATCCAGAAGGGTTTTCTTCAACCAGAGTTTTAGCTACCCCTGAAAACTTATGACAACGTACCTGAGATCTATTGATCGACACACGCTTTTCGTAACGAGATCGATTGCTTTCGTAGCGTTCTCCGGAATCGTTGCCTGCAGCTACCCGGTGGTTGATGAATACTGTACGGCAGGTCTCGATTTAGAATGACATCAAAGAGCTGAAAAGTAACGGAAAGGCATTTCCGTTGAACGTTGTACACTGCTCACGCCCCGCAAACGAGGTGACGGGCGCGGGGCATTGGTGCTCGAGAAATCTCCTCTGCCCGGAAGAAATTGCTTTCGGTGGCTGACACCGGCTAAGGCTGCTGCAAGGTGGAAAGACTGCTGGAAGAATATTTCCTCCTCACCACTTAGTGGCGTGCTGTCAAACTGGTACCCCCACTGCCCCCTTGCTGTCCACCAGCAACGCCTCTCACTCCCTTGCAACAGCCACAGGATTGTGCCATCACTCCGTACTTTAGCCGTCGAACCGGATCCGCTCTGCTCAGACTGAGGGTATCAATCGATATGTACGGAGTACAAGCAATTGTGCCACTGTACGGAACCAGCAGATCGAGCTACCATGGCCCTTCAGTTTAGCGGAGATGTATTTGCGCGGGAAACATTGCCCAGCCATTTTGCCATGCTATCTATCGATGTCTAGTATCGAATACTGGGCTTTGACCTTAGACCCCCTTTCAACTCGACCATACCTCTGCAGAGTTTCATTTTGAATAGAGCTCAGAACAAGGGGAAAGGTCATCTTTGGCCCTGAACGATGACAGGTTCATCTAACGGTTTCGCGCCGGACCAGCGTACCTGCTATCATAGCACTTTTCTTGGTGAGACAGGAAATCCCCGAAAGAGCGCGCCTGGCAATTGCCTGCACCAGCCCTCGAGCGAGAAGGTGAGTTGCTAGATTCGCAGGCATTATTTCCTGACCGAGAGCATCATCAGATCTGTGTTTGAGTTGTCGTTTCGGCATGGGCCAAGCGGTCTGCAGCGCACCTGTCTAAAGTGCAGAAGTGCTGCTCGTCATATCGTGCCTTAAATAATCACGGCTCTATTCCAGGCTTTCGGGCTCCCTGGGCGATGCGCCGGGGAAAGAAAGGCAACGCGAAATGCGCAAACGTCTTGGAGGGCCAGCGGTGGCAAGAGGCTGTCTCTGGAGAGCTCGCCGAACATCAAGCTGTGCTGCCCGTCTCGCCCCTTGATTCCATTTGACAATTTTGGACCAGAGACGCGGATCGATACGTATTCCAAAAAAAAGGTAAGCAAATACTGTTCGATCTGCTACTCTGCTCTATGATATAGTTCGTCAACATCACAGTGTTCGTGCTTAATCCTGGCTACCAGGCTGGTACAAACCATCATGCCGCCCGCGCTCATAACGCTTCACACCGTGACACTGCCTTCAGAATCCTACTGTTCTCACTGAATTCCCAGGCTTGGTACGCTTCCTTGCTCCTCTACAGGCTGGCCGCCTGCCGCGTACGAAACCTTGAAACGCATCTTCGCCTTTCCTCCGGCTCCTATCGGGACCCCACTCAGCAGAATCTCCTGCTGGACCGCGTTCTGCTTTCCAGCTGGTAGCTCGCGGCTCGACTGCGGCCGCATCTGCAGTGAATATGCCTTTTCGACTGCCGCCTGGAAATGCAGACCGGTGATGACTTGAGCCGAAGTGTTGCTGAACGAGGCCGTGATGTGGATGTTGGCGTTGTTGGAGGCTTGACGCTTCGAATGGAACGCGACACTAATGCCACGTTGGGACGAGTGTACTTGAATTGTGGAAGATTCGGGTTCGCTCGGAAGGGCGGATGCGAAATTCCACTCATCGTCGGTCGCGGCCGGAGCGGCCGGAGGAGGGGCCGGAGGCTGAGACGCGAGGCTGAGAAGTGAAGCTTGGTTATTTTGAGGTGGTGCCGCCTGTGAGACGTTGCGAGAGCCAGATGGAGTAGTGGACCGTGAGCTTGCCGAAACGAGGGCGGCGAAAGGATCAATTGGTGCCTGCTTCTGCTGCTGCTGGAGACTTGGTTGGGGTGTGGAGGGTTTAGATGATGGTAGTGCGCTGGTAAGTGAGGCAAATGCGTCGTAGTTGGGTCTGGGTGAGGCTTGCGGCTGCGGTGGAGGGGGTGAGGCGACTGGCGAGGAGAATGCTGATAGTTGTTGTTCAGGTGGAGGAGGCTGTTGGGAGCCAGCGAAGATATTTGAAGGTCCTTGACTACCTGTGGTAGGACCTAGTGAGATCAAGCCTTGGCCTGGGCCAGGATCGAGTGACAAGCCCAGCAAGTCGTCTTCGACACTGGTCTTAGCAGCTGCGGTAGGTGCTGCGGCTGCACCGGAGTCGAGCAAGGAGCCATTCGCGGCCTCGTTTCCTTCGGGTTGTGACGGTTCAGGGTCAAAGTCGATAAGTGAGAGCTCGTTAGCGGCGTTCTTGCCAACGCCAAAGGTAGTTCCGAGCGTGCCTTTCGCAATTTTGTTGGCTTCGGCGACATTGCCAGCTTTCATGAGCCTATAGCGTTCGATCGTCCGGTGTATGCTGTCGTTGATCTCAAACAATTTCGCGACTGCCTCGGCATCATCTGACTCTTCCTCGCACATCCTCTGAATCTTGGGATGAGCACTTGCGAGGGCTGAAGCAAGTTCCTGTATGTTGTTAGCGAGTCCAGGCGGGAAGTATGCGCGGATACTTGCCTCAAACACATCGCCGTCACCAATCTTCTCTCCTTCTTTATGATTTTGCAGCATCTCCTCCAGGATTTTGGCTTTGTGCTGCACCTTGATAACTTCTTCAGCGGCTTTGGCGCGATAGTCGGTCTTGTTTCGAGTATCGTAACCCGCCATAACCTTCATGAGCCTGTTGGCTTCCTGGAGATCCGCTGGGGTACCTCTCCGAATCAGCTCTTGCAGTTTGGCAGACTGCGCTTCGCGCTCTTCCCGTTCCATCTCCTCGGCGGACTGAAGATTCTGCGCTAATTAGTCGGGGCCTACTCGAATCGGGTCGAACACATACGTCGCTTGGGTTCAGAACAGCGGCATCATCCCTCCGAACTTCAGGAAACATGTAGCCTTTGTACAAAAGCAGCCTGTGCATGTCCCGGATGAAGCCCAGGTCATCTTTGTATCGAGAAGTCTGACATATCGTGCTCCTCCATTCTTCGATGGCTTCCAGGATCTTACCCTGGACTCGACTAGGCCTTAACGGTGGTCGCTCGGGGAAGCGACGGACCAGCTCATTGAGAAACTCTTTGGTACTTATTTGCAAGTGGAATGGGTAGCCACAGTTCTTGACACATATGTCGAGTAGGGAGATCGCAAGCAGGGAGACATTGGGATTTCGGTGATTGATGAGCTGCACTATGGTGGAGGCAGCTTCTCGAGGAGCGGTGCCTTTCTTCTGATTTATGAGGTCGACGATCTCGAGGTTCAGCGCCAGGTTAGGCTCGTAGTTCGAGATGGGGTCGCAGGCGTTGAAGATGAACCGCTGGAGGGTGTTCTTCGGAGGCGCAAACCCCTCGAAGTGGCTCCGTGAGGCCATGCGAGCAGAAGTCGCCTCCATCTTCTCTGATTTGGTAGCGCTAGACGTCCAACATCACTACCGGTAGAATGGGTAACTCATGGCTGGCCAAAGGCAGCCTTACTGCACTGCTCTGACGTGCCGTGGGGCAATGCAGCGCCAAGCCCGTTTCCGCTCCCTTAACGGGCAGAGTTGGGGGCGGAAAGACACCCTCGGGCACCCCTCCACCCAAGCTCTTCGACTATACAAACCTGTCTGAAGATCGAGTCTTGCGCATTACAGCATTATCTGTTCTGTTCTCTCCGTGTGCTGACCTCGACATGGGACTTTTTGACGAGACTGACCAAAAGCGATGCTGCTACTTCGCCCGCTTCGCCTCGCAGCCGAGTCATGCACCAATCCCATTCGCTAGGTCCATCGCCATCGGCTACCGATCTCGACGCTCCATTATGGCTTTTTGCCCTTAGTCACTCTGTGAACTACGTACAGGTGGTTGCTGAGATCCATCATCTCCGCTTGACAGTCTCGGATGATCCTCTGAGTGTCTTCCAGCTAAGGACCATTAGCCTTGTTTGAAACATTCCTAGCAGTGACGAGTGCGGGCATAAGATCCAACACGTAACTGGAGAACACTCACCGACATTCCGAGCTCCCGGGTCAGTAGCTGTAACGAGTACGATTCCACGCCCTCCAACATGACACCGAGGCAGACCTCTGACAACTGCTTATCTGACTTCGCCCATGGCCCTATGGGGATCTTGTACACCACTTCTTCAATATCTTGAAATCCGGCTTCTTGCATGAGTCTTTTGTGCTCCTTGGACATGTGCATATCACGACCGAAGCTCCTGCTAGCCCCAACAAGAAGGCTTTGCCACTCCATCACAGCATCGGGTGTGTCTCGGTCGAGCGAATGAATCCAGCTCTCTTGGGACTGGTTCTCAACGATCCCTCCCGGATGAAGGTTCTCGAATACTTGCTCATAGACTTTGCTCCAATTCCCGAAAGCCGCCTCCATACTGCGAATGTGGATAATGTCGAACTTCTGCTCAAACTCCCATGGCACCTGCTCTGCGTCGTCCACGAAGAAGTAACAATTCGGCGGTGTCCATCCTGGTTGAATTGGAGAGAGGTCTATGCCAATCACAGTAGCGGAAGGGAAAGCATCAGCCATTTCGATGGCCCAGAGACCTACACTTGTGAACACCGCTCACCCGGAAATGATTTCTGACTGACCTGTGCCCGTTCCCACGTCCAGGACTCGATCAATACGATCCACACAGCCTCCGAATTTCAAGCACTCTCCTCCTAGTGAAGATTTCCAGATGTGGTGAAGCAAATCCATGCGATTTTGCTCAATTTCATCGTTGGGGCTGACCACATGTAAGCGATCGTCAGAGTACAAAGGTACATCAACGTACACGATCCAATTACCTGCGCGGAATGCGTGGTACCTGCGAATTATCAGTAAACTGGCGCCGAAAGTTTGAGCACGGCACCGTTGGAAAGCCTGTGCCCTCGTAGATCCGCCACCGAGCGCCAGCTCCAGCAATCGGGGCGTCGTGCTCTCGGTCAAGCTGTTAGGGCAGTACTGACCGTCGACCGTTTGTATACACATAGTCAATCACACTAGACCGGATGGACTGGCTATATGATTGACCATTCTCGTCAATCAGCCTAGGATTAGGAACGTCCTCTGGCTAGTTCTGTAAGCATTCATAAAACAGCAGCCGAGGATATGGTGACTTACATCGACAGACAGACCTTCGCTCTCAGGCATGGTCTCTTGAAAAGCCACAGGAGCACTTCCTGGAAGAAAAACGGACCGGCGCAGTCATCCGGAATACGTCAACAGCCCCAATGTCGTGCATCAGCACCACGCCCAGACAAACTCGATACTAGGTCTACTGTACAATCAAGGCAGCGAAGAATATCTATCCTGCGGAGATACCGCTGGCCGGCTCAAAACGCCCGAGATCTGCGCTCTCAACGGTCTCAGCGCTTTAATTTGATGTCAACGTGATCACTGAACCGATAGCCGCTGGCTCGCTTGCCTCACCGTCTTTCAAAAGTTGCTATTACCTGACAAAGATGTTTCGATCGGCGTGCAGTCCAACCCCGCGCTAAACGCCCACTTCCCTGCTCGCCTTCCTTGGCGGCAGCAGGTTTCCCTAAGTTTGGGACACTCTTGCGCCGAACCCTCAGCAACCGTTTGGCACGGATCGCTGACGGAGATCGTGTAAGCAATGGCTTTTCGCTCGGCGACTACTCCGCCGTTGCGGCGACTCGTGATCTTGGGCGGGCTCCGTTGTGGTGTCGGGACTCCCGATCCTCCCTCGCCCTTACGACTGGTTGCGGTTCTTTATCGTAGCTCAAAAGATCTCGCCATGATATCGCGCTCTGAACAGGAGTCATATCTAGAGAGTCAGAAAGAAGACTCGGTGTGACGATCGGGCCCATCGGGGACTACTTTGGCTGCCTGATGCTCGGCTGACAAGGGACTAAGCTTGCAACATTGTCCTTGTGCTTCTCGGTAGATGCCGGCGGGCCGAACCGTTTCAACGACCGGGTGTTCATCACGGTCGTTGCATCTTTCATCTTTCGCAACGGAGCAAATGTCACCAACGACTCTCGATGCTCCAGGTCCTGGGAATACTTATGGCCGTCTCTGGACAACACCCAACTGGACACATGAGTTGTCTAGCCGCCAAGTTTGAGGTATTCAACACTCTACACATAGCTCATACACTCGAGGGAAACAGTACGTGCATACAACTACTGCTTGGCGTTTGATAAGCCAACGACACCTTTCACCCTACAAGGCTCAATGTGGACCTTTACTTCCCCCCTCCAGAGTGCTACTGCCCGACAACCCACTTGCCCCGGTCGCCTGAATGGAGAGATTCTGTAGGGCCGTTCCTCCAGCAGGAACTGCAATTCCCATTAATACTCCACCACCACCCTCCTCGTCCTCTCGCTGCCGATCCTTCCCCTTGCGTATGTTCCTCCGCCACCATCTTCTCACCGCCTCTGGATGGAAACCCAACCATATGCCAAGCACGGCCACGGTCAACGGCACCGTGATTACCCAAAACAGCCAGAACTCCTTGCTCAGCACCAAGCTTGCAGCCTCGGGGCCGCCATCTGCAGGCGTGGCGGCGTCTTCGGGCGGGTTGAAGGAGAAGAATTGCGAGCCAAAGATCGTGGCGACGGTCGAGATGGGGAGGAAGATCAGTGTGGTGATGGCAATCGTGTGCATGGATGAAGACTCGGCGCGGAGGGAGTGCGAGTCCGTTTGGGCGACGAGATTGAAGGACAAGGCGATGGTGTTCTGGATGCGAGAGTGTAGGGAAGCCGTGCGGAGGGTCGTAGAGTGCATGAGGGTGTACAGGTAGGCGAGCGTAGCGGTGGTGTTAGAGCCTCCAGAAAAGGAAAGCGTTGAACGGTTCTTTATGGCGTCCAGGAGGCTTTGACATGTGCACAGCGAAGCATCGGCGGCCTCCTTGAGGTGGATTACATTCTTGGCCCATAGATGTAGCTCCTGAAAGTAGTCGTCGGGAAAGGCGGACATGGTACGCGTGGTGGTGATGGCACGATGCTCGTAGTCGCCGACCCGGTCGTTGAGAGCCCAGACTTGCTCGTCAATGATTAGCTGCAGGTCCGAGAGCACGATGGCGAGAATCGCGAGAGGGTCGGTGGCGATCGATTGCCATGCGGAGAAGGGCAGTCGCTGGAGGCGCGTGATGAGAGTCTTGGAGGCGCCAAAGCAGAGGAGAGTAGTGCCATTTTGCGGAGTGTGCGTGAGGAAGAAGCCTGCGCGGTGCCAGGTGGGAGCATCGGGCCGCTTGACGATGGCTTTGCAGAGGAAATGCAGCCAACAGGTGACGCCTCCGGCAGGCGAGGTTTCGACGTTGAGGGAGTGGGTCACGCCCTGAACGCGCTCGCTAAGGAAGGCTGTGGGGATATCGAAGAGGGAGATCAATGTCTCTAGGACGAGGTTGGTGTGAGTTGAGGGATAGTCGAGGGCCGCCAATATGACCCGGATCGGCGAATTTGAGAGCTGAGTGAGCTGGGACACATCTTGCGAATAAGCGTAGGGGCCCTGAAAATGAGAAGGGGATTTGGGCAGGTCGATCTCGAGGACATTGATGCGGCTAGTGGGCGGGATAGAGGTGTCCTCCAGAAGCTCCTGATACCTCTGATACCGACAGGAGTCGTGAAGGAGGTTGCTTGCCATATTTTTGCCTGTGCCGCCGTAGTCACCGTCTCCGCGCCTGTGCTCCTTTAAGACTTACACAATATCTCTCACTCCATAGCTAGAGTGCCCCTATCACAGTCTTCTGCTAGCTACTGACCGGTGTGGCCTCGACTTGGAGACTAACACATTTTCTGGTCGAGTGGCTGAGTGTCACAGGTTTCAAAGATACGAGGCGTCAACTTTCAACTTCACGAGGCAGATTGGCCGTCTCCTGTTTGGCAAGGGACACTGATGTAGACACGAGGCGAACCGACGGCCTAGACCGCAGTTGCCTTGTTCGCAGTCCCCGGATATGGATCGACAGGCGAGGATACATGATGATTGAGGCAGAGCTTGTCGTATCTTGACAGTCTTAGATTGCGCCAAGCTTGGTCCGAGACGGAGAGGCTTGACGTCTGCAGGGGGTCACTCTTCGTGTCACACCTCGAGTCTACGAAGGAGCCACTCATCTTGTCGTCCGCGAGCTGTCCCTCATCTACTGGGGCAGTGATATTGATTTGGGGCCGATATGCAGCCCGGAATGCTTTGTACACGAGGCGTATTCGCCTCGACAGCCCCGGAAATAGACCCGTCTAGCGATAAACATCAGATAGCCCCTGACAGGGCAGCCTGGGTTCTAAGGAGATACGTGCATCCTCGAGGTACATTACGGTGCTGGCAAGGCTATATCATGAGCGATCCAGCCAGCATGCGGGACACCCAGGGCTCGCATATCCTTCTTTCTGTCTCTGCTCCTTGCCATCATGTCCAGACCAAAGAGACACGGGGGGCACATCTTGCCCGAAGACGTCCACTTCCCTCCTGCCTCTGCCCCGATGCCCGAACCTTACGGCCAATCAGGCCTATACCGGTCTAACAACCCATATCAAGCCCACTCCGGACAGTCTTACCAGCCGGCCTCGCAGTACCCCGGATCTCAAGCTCCCACTCCATCCACCCCTCAAAGCCGTAAGCCTCGCCATGGTGGTACACTGTTACCGGAGGAACACTATCCGGAGAAGGGTTCTGCCACTGCTGAAACTATGAGCATTCACTCTAAGACCGCATCCAATGAGTCACCACCACGTAAGCGACATGGTGGTTCCAAAACCCCGGAAGTGGATGTGGACAATATCTCTCAGGTACACGGCCGTCGACCCTCAGAGCATGACCAATTGCTAACATCACAGGCTCGGGGCCTTTCACTGCTGCACGCTCCGCCGCAGATTGTTCGCAATCCACCCTTGGGGCATCATTCCCCCTCGCCCTCGTACACGACCAACGAGAAGGGCTATGCTAATGAAACTGTTGTGGAATATCCATATGCTGTCACGACCAACAGCTCACAACAGCCACTTCAACGCAACCCAGCCCCACCACCACCACCACCTCATCCTCACGCTCAAGGAGTAAGCATTAGATCGTCTAATTTGCAGGAAGTGTACTGACATACCACAGCCGCGGCGAAAGCTACACCAAATCGGCTACCGCAACATCTGGCATCCCACGTCCGTTTTCCGCTGGTGGAAAGCGGTCCATTTCCACAAGAAGGCCAATCTTCAGTACGGCAGCACTCGCCACCGCCACCGTGATGCCGCTGGGCGAGTATATGAGGGAGTCGATGAAGAACGTTTCATCCTCACCGATGATGTACATCTCGCCCGCATGATGGTGCAGTCCACTGACGATATCTACAAAGGTGACAGTGGGGCCACATGGCGTCGTACCTTTATTCGCAACAAGGCGCCGCTAATGATCAGGTTGGCGAACTGGCCCACCAACTCTGGCCCCCCTGATAGGAAGGATTGGACAAATGCAGATTGGACTCGAGTTGTCTTGAAATGGCCTGTTGCGTGTCTTGGACTGTGCATCGCTGTACGTACAGACCTCCAGGTCATCGAGCGTTGCTGACGTTTCCAGTATCTCAAGCTTGGACCGGCCTATAGCTATTATCCCACCGGCATGAAGTATCCTGCACTTACCTATAAGTACTGGGGCTACGCAAAAGTCTCCCGCAACGCCTTGGAGAGTCTCGATGCCCAGAGTGCCGAGGGCGCATCTATCGACGCCACTCATCCCATCGCTGAACGACCACTGAATCCACGGTGTCTATGGATCCAGGACCCATCCACCAAGTCATGGGAGAAGGTGATCGTCGAGAAATGGCTCGGTGAGGGCTCGCAGAAACTATGCATTCCATTCATCCTGGTTGCATACACGGCCAACCAGTTCGACCACGATTCCCAATCTGACATCAACGCACTACATCAGATCGCCCGGGAGGCTGCGGCCGATGCTGGAGTCGAAGCCTATTGGTGTGCCGACTCTTGCATGTCGTCCGACCCAGATGAGATGGAACAAGACGTGTATAGAATCAGCGACGTCATCCGTGCCGCCTATTCTTTGACCATCGCGCTCAAGCAGCCCAGCACTGCCAGCAGAGCATTGACGGAGGACGCGCTGCTGAAAGATTGGGGTTCTCGGATGTGGACTCTGCCCGAAGCACTGCTTGGGCCCAAAGATCAACCAGTGAGGATGTACCGCTCGCACGGTGGCAACGTCAATTTGGTTCGCAGCGCAGATCGACGCCAGCTACCAACCCTGCTCTGGGCTGATGCTCCCCTGACACGGCAGCTCGTCGACCATTATGAGGGTAATATCACTTTGTCCCGCTTGGAGCTAGTGATCTTGGCCTTGAAAGCGCTGTCCGTGCGAAGCAGCTCACCTTACCTCAAGGGAGACTTGGCTTACATTCTGATGGGCCTCCTGCGTCGGCGGCCGCATGTCGACGGCACTGACTCGCAATTCCAGGCCTTTGCGAGACTGTCCCTGGCCAACGACAGCGATCGTTTGTTGGAGCGTCTGCTCTGCGTTCAGCCCCTTCGGGAGGACCAGCCTTGGCTGTTGACCGATGACGCTTATCATGTCAACTTGTGGGACATCGAGCCCACGTGCCAGATCGCCAGCATCTGCGACAATGACACGGTTGTCATCGATGGCTGTTTCGGAGCCGCCATTCGGTGGGAGACCTTCTATGCACCATGGCATCAGACCAACAATAGCTGGAAGCGCCTCTGCGCAGACCTGACTGTCCGCGGGTTTACAATCCTCTGGCTTATCGCGTTGTTGGTATTGATCATTGGTGCCCTGCAAAAGGCAGCGGTGTCTTCGCTCAGCAAGCGACAGTACAACTATGGCTATACCTACACGAGCACATTTGCGTCAGCTGGGCCCAATTCGCTCATCGTTGCGGGTGGCGTGCTCCTTGGCTTGTCTACACCTTGCTGGCTTCTGAGCCCCTGGCTGACTCGCATCTTGTTTGGTGGCAAGGCATGGAATGTTGCACCGTTCCTCTTCGGCTTCGAAGGCTACCTCGACATTGAGACAATCGAGTCCATGGTCTACGGTTTCCCATCTGGCCGCCTCAAGTGGAGTGTTGCCGGAAGTCCACTGAGTCGCCATCGCAAAAACGAATTTGGGGAATGTATTGGTGACGATCCGACCAAGGATCCTGCCGTTATGGAAAAGGTCAAGAGAGCGCGAGATGCTGGCTTTGGTGACATGAGAATCTTCACACTGGTTGACACACGGAATGGACTAGTTACCATGTTCCAAGCCGTTCGGCCTCCCTCGGCGGTGCTCTTCTGCGCACAAGAGGGTGGCATGCAGAGGGCCGTCATGGTCAGCCTTGACTTCAAGTCCAGCACTTTGTTTAGGGAGACGGTACTTCGGATGCCAACGGTCATGATCCAGGACATGTGGCGTGTGGATCGGGTCAGGGTCGGATTGAGGCGGCCGGTGGAGGATGTGCTACGATGCGTGGAAGTCTGAAGATGGCTTGTGATGGTGTCGGGGGCGCAGGCGTTCTGATGAAACGATTCCCTATAAGTTGGCTGGTCGTCATATGCTACCCGATGTAGGCGCCCAGCTGTTGAGACTAGGCTTTCTTATCTTCACATCTGCGTTATTCACATCGATGCTTAGCCGCCTGATCGTGGCCTTGTCGACGATTCACTGCGAGCTGATTTTTGCCGAAGTCGACGTTCGATGAATTTGCTCCTCCTCCTCACCAACTCGCTCCTTCGTGTTTTCGTTTAGACTTGCCTCCCATTGTCCTCCGCCTTTTCCAGCTGTAGCGACGAGACAAGGTTAAGCGACGAACCCAGTTTAGCTAACGATCGGAACTAGCAAGGGTGAGACCCTGCCAAGCTCGTACCACATCACACGCTTTTCTGCACGACATATCAACCTTGCCATAACTTGGCCGTCCTTTCCAAACCGCTCTGAGCATCTGCAGTTGTCGAAGACGACAAGAAGTGAGTCAAGATGAAGTCTAGACTCGCAGAGGAGCTTTGTCCGGCACTGCGACTCCCACCAAACCTCGTTCCGCGATGAGATCACCATTCGCCAGCCGCATGCGATGCATTGATGGACACGATCCCCGTATAGCTCGAGCTACCTCACGGCGCTCGCTGGTCACTTGAGGTTGACTATTGAGCGTGTTGGTAAAGAAAACTTGCAGACATCGACCGTCGGTCGCGTCAAAGATGTCAAGCCTCCAAGCCAAAGTTATCTCCGGAGCGAGGCTCCCGCCGCTCGCGCTCAATTGCCATCTGCATCGAACATACCCTCCTGAGAGTGAGAGATCGAGCATAAAACCTGCACAAGTTCTCGAAATGCTGCGAGTCCCAACCCTGGGGGTGGCATAAGAAGAAACAGAACGGCGACTTGAGCGTCGACAGGGAGACCACTCTCGATCCAAGTTGGAGTCTTTGAGGCCATGGATTATGCGAGACATTGTCTGATTGCGAGACAGTGTCGTGAAATGCGATATATGGCGAGGTCAAAGATCAACCTTGAGCCGGAGCTGTGGCACTACGTTGACGGGCAGCGTCCTAAATTTTACGCTTGTTGCGATGACTTCCACTCGCATGGACCATGCAACGACGTTGCCACCCAGGTCTCCGCACGCAAAGTGCCTGCCACAAGATTCTGAAATCAAAGGCAGGTGGGAGCCGAGGCCGATTTGCCCAAAAAGTCACGGCGACCCAAATTGGCTCAGCCCCCCGCCCCGCCGCTCGCTTTCATTGAGTCTCGATGGCCGCTTGGCCCACCCTCAGCCACGAATCTCGCTGCCTCTATCTACAGAGAGCAACAATCAGCACTGTCTACCGCGCGGTTCGAACCTCCGATCCTGCAAAATTGCAAAACGAGAACGGACTGATCCGTAGCCTTCAGGGACGTGCCACTGCCGTTTGTTTAGAATTGACAATGACACTCTCCAACGGTCTATCGCTCTCGAACACGAAGACCTAAGCCCCGACCGCCCAACCTCGCTTCCAATCCCTTACCCGTTGCGTTGGTCTGGACACCGCTCGCTCAGTCGAGAAGCGCTGCACATGGGTGGTGTGCCCAGCGTGCTTTGCTCTGAGGTCTAAGATTCGGTGCGGATTTCGAAATAGGTATTGGGAAGAGTAAAATATATACTATCAAAATCGCGCAGCCTCACCCCAACACAGCCTACCAGCGCCTGGAGCCCCGCCCGAGAGCCCCCGAACCCCTCGACGAGCCAGATCTCAAGGACTACAGCCTCTGCTGCAATTTCATTTTGTGGTGTTTGTATTTGCACGACAGACAGAGGCAACTACCGTGCCCAGCCCATTTACAAAAATTGAACACATACCTACGATTATCAACACAGGCCTGACAAACACCCTTCAGGAGTCCCTCAACATGAGGAAGCTGGCTAGCACTGCCACCCTTGGACAAGCCTACAAGGGGAAAAGCGACCCACAATCGCACAATGGCCAATATTGCCCCCCCGCCGCTGCCTCCCATTCACACAAAAAAAGCAAAAAAGAATCGCCAATCGACGTCGACTGTCAAAAATGCAAAAAGGAAGCATCATCGAGTGTTTGCACAGACCGCCCTCTCCCATTGAACGTACGCCGCCTGCCTCCGCCTCCGAGAACCAGCCCAGAATTCCTATCGAAGTACAGGCCGAGACAAGTCTAGCCAGGGACCTCAGAAACTGGGAAACCATAGCGTGTTCCTTTCCCCCAACAGAGGGACGCCGCCGGGTCACTTCAATACTATGGTTTAATTCTTATTAGCAGATCTGACGGAATAAAATATATACACATCAGGTGGGTCTGGGAGAAATCTTAGGGGGTGGTTCCGAGGGCTGAGGCGCACCGGTCTTAACTGAAGCAGCACTGCCCGCCCATCACCGTCATCACCAAACGCCGGTAGGGCTTTCTACAGCATACTCATTGTTGCTCGTTGTTTGAGATTGATTCAGGCATATCTCGGAGAATGTCTGCGCTACAAGAGCTGTGGGCATTGACGCTGCGTTGCGCTGTTGTGACCCTCGTGCTTGTGAAGCGGATTTCCGTTCTACGGCACCAGGCAGTAAAAGGCTTGGCAGGAAGCGAGCTTGGCCGCATATATGCTATCAGGTTTAAGCTGAAATCCCGCTCCTCTTCCTCGCATGCATATCAGAGAACTCTGACGCCTCCGAGGCTCGCATCAATCTTCAATAATGCGGAGCAAGTGCAAAACAAACGACCGAGAGTGTTTGAGCAAGATATGGTAAGTTCACCGTAGTCGATGAACCAGTCTGGGTGTGCTTTCAAGTGCATACGTCCCTGTTTCGTATCCGATCGCATAGCTCATGCTTCAGAAATGACCGAAAAAGAGCCATGGGTAAGCAGGATGCAAATCTATAGCAGTCGATGCGCTTTTTTGATAACAGCAGATTGCAGTCGCGGCTGCTTTGGTAACACGACGACGGTCTGGTAGGTGCTATTGGAACCACAACTTGGCAATTGCCATTCCCTCGAACAAGTCAGGAATGTTGACCTACCAGCATGAGCACCGCGGGTAAGCAGCCGCGTAAGAAGATCGTGTTTCAGGGACTCGCAGCAAACGTTCCACACGATGCCTCCATCCGTCAACGAGCGTCCAGATCATCGGTGCTGCCGCCAACTGTTTTCGGGCACCTCTTTGCCAAACGCCAACATGAAAAGCTACGCAAGTTCTACTGCCAAGTTGGCCAACAATATTCCACTGGCGCTACGTAGGCCGCCCTCTCTCCCACACATCCGCATCTGCCGATGACTGGAAAGTCTGTGGACCCTGCCTTTGCGTGAGATCAATTTCATATCGAGCTCCACAGTTTGAGACAGCCTACGACACATTACCGGCAGATCTCTTGCGCGGGGAGGCAGCTTTGGCTTTCCCCGAGACGCAGGTCGCCTAATCAAAAGATCCAGAGCTTTCTCTGCGTGGCTTCTACAAGGGGGCCCAGACGAGTCTGGACGAAGTCAAAAGTACCTGTGCGGGCGTGGGTGAGTGGGTGTGTACCTCGTCTGGAGTTACTGGTTACGGGGACCTTTGATAGAATCATAGAAGAGGTGGATTGCGATGCTGGTCAGACGGAGGGGTGTACGAGTCTGCCAACGGATTGGTGCGTCGGTCATGGAGAGGGTCTCGACGGGGTGAGTGATTGGTTGGACTGACTAGTGCGAGATCTCGAGGTACTTGGACGAGGAGGGTCAGAAATTTTCCGGGACGCTGGAACCGCTTTTGAGGCTTGTAGCGCGCGGCTCACGGTCTGGGCAGTCGGGGAAGGTTTACCTGATGTTTTGGCTCTGGATGGCTCTGGGTCGCTTTGAACTCTAGGAGCCCCTTTAGACGCGTCTTGTGGACAATGGCTGACTCCAGTGTTAAGATTCCATCAAACCATGGCAAAAGGCAGTGCTCAGCGATACAAGAGGAAATCGACATACTTTCGAATCGTGGAAGATTGATGGGTGGATTGCTTGTATCAGAACAGAGCATAGACAATTGGCAAAATCTACCATCCATCTCACCCGCTGGATAACATCTGGCCAGTAGTAGATCGCATCCCATGGACTCGCGGCACTACCTTGTATCCCTTTCTGTCCCTTTCCGCCGCGAAAATCCAAATCCTGAACTCCACACAAGCCCCCAACGCCTAGACCTCGTCAACACTCGACTTGACCTTCTCCCGCTGCTGCTGTCCCTGGCCCTCCCCAGTACCGTGACCCCACACGCCCTCCAACCCCCTCTGCAGCATCGCCGTCTTCCCCCCACGCGTGCCACCATAGCCGCCCCCCAAAGCGTGATTTGGACGGTGATGCGGGGCCTGGCTCTTGGGCACCGTGCAGCCGGCCCACAGGAACAGCCACGCGACGACCAACTCGGCGGCGATCTGCATCAGGGCCCGCGCGACCGTGGCGCCCGTGCCGTTGCTGAAGACGTCGAAGGCGCTCGAGTCCGGCAGGCAGGCGCCCAGCCAGGCGTAGATGAGGCGCAGCGCGATGAAGGGTAGTGCGGCGCTCGTGCAGTTGACGAGGCGGGGCTCGCCGGGCGCGCTGATGTGGCGCATCAGCATCGCGCGCGTGTAGAGGGCGAGACCGCCGGAGAAGACGAAGACGCCCGAGAGCAGGCCGACGGCGATCTTGATGAACTTGTGGCCCTGCGCGATGTCGGATTGGGAGTTGGTGGAGGCGAAGTCGCTGCCGGCGAGGATGGAGAGGATGAGGGCTGCCATGGTGGCGAGGTGGACGATGCGGGCGGGGAGGGGGGCCAGGAGGGAGTGCGCGGGTGGGAGGTTGTTGTGGACGCGGAAGATGAGGCCTGTGAGGGCGCCGACGAGGGAGATCAGGCCGACGGATTCGGAGATGATGCTGGTTTCGATGAGGCCTTCGGTGGGGGAGCTGATGGAGGCGATGCCGGTGGCGGCGCCGAGGAGACGGAAGATGCCGAGCAAGATGAGTGAGAACCAGCCAAGTTGACGGTGGAAGCCTTGCTTGGTGGCAACGTAGATGGCGAGGCCCAGGGTAGGTGTCCAGAGGATCAGTTCGATGATGAAGAGGACCTCGCGGGCCTGCATTGTGGTTGGCTTCAGAAGGGTCTGTGTTTGGGGAGCTTGAAGGGTCGGCAGAGCCTCGAGAGTAGATTGGAGACTGCCACCGTTGTGGTCGGGGTATCGGGAAGGTGTATATGTATGGCCTGGCGATGGTGGAAGGTATACGGACTGGCCGTGAACCCGTGGCTAGACCTCTATTACCACGTTCAGTATCAGCTCGCGAGCCGCACTCCAGTCTGCGACAACAAGTATAACCCGCAGAGTAATGCCGCAGCTATGGTTTGGTACCATTGACCAGGGGACTAGACTCACTGTAACTTGGTCGAGATCCTATTGTGACTTTGGAGCTGAAAGTCAATTATAGGTATACGCACTCAGCTGGCGCGTTAGTAAAGCTCGGCGGCACTGATCTCTATGGTTCGCTCACCATAGGCACATGTCAGGCCGGACTCAAAGAGATAAAGGCGGTAGATGCAGTAGGTTTAGCAGTGGGAGTCACTGCCTGTGGCCTTGAAGACATGGTTTCGTTGGACGCGGCTGTTGGTATTAGATCACGGTGGCTTTTCTCGACCATTCTCCACGTCCAGCGTTCAGACACTCGCCCGCAAGTAATGCGTCTGCATGGAAGCAAATCTGTAATACAATTCAGGAAATTCGAAACGGAACAAGCATGATGGCGATGAAAGCACGAGCATTACGCAATACGATCGCAGTACCCGAAGGATGAGGCTCTTTGCGCGGGCTTCCGGAGTCCGCATACTCAACACCTGTATACAGCGCGGTCTAGGTCGAGGTAAGAGGCGGCTGTGTTCGCGTAAGCGAGCCTCACGATGGCAGATGTAAATGCGTGCAGGGACAGTACGCTGGACGCGTCGAAGTGGAAAAGAGTTGGTAGTGCCCCGGAGTCTGTCGCCAACTCACTCTGCGAGGCTCCCTGAAGCGGCCATCACGGACGGCAGTTGAAAGAGTGAGATACTTTACGTCGAGTGGTAGAGAGGGTGGGAGGCGAGGTTTAACATCGTATGAGGATGGCAGGTTGGCGAGTCAAAAGGACCGAAGAGGTGCAGCTGAATTTGACTTTGATACTACTGGAATACGGCTTTTTGCATCTTTCTATTTTGGGCATGCTCGTGTTCGCTAGCCCTAAAACGGAAGGTCTCTACCACGCTGACAGTGTAAAATGTCTATTGCCCACGACCGCTGTCACATTGGTACCTTTGCGGCTGCCCTTCTTGATCGGTGTCGATGGCGCGAACTCACACGAGCGCATACTTTGTAGCTATAAGCTTCAACGTCCTCATGAGGCACAGAAGCTTCGATTTGATGATCTCACCATGCTGAGTTTCGGCATCGGCTCCCAGAGGGGGTGCTGGATACCTTGGTTGGGAGGTAGCGGAGAGGTAGGTCAGAACAGCTATATAAACAGCATGCGGGGAGGCAGGGCCTGCTCCGCTCCAGGAGCTCAGCGCATGTCCAAGCCAAAATGCATTATCAGTCGTTATTGTTTGCCGTCCCCTTGCTGGTAGCCGCCCAGTCCGACCAGGTTGATGCTTACGTACCCCAGAATGTGACCTGCCCCAAGGACTTAAAGGTCATCGGCGCAGGAAATCTCTCGGCTGAGGAGCGGAAGTGGAGAGATGGCCGTCTGATGAAGGCTCATGCCGCCCTCGGCGACTACCTTGAGAACGCAAAGATACCCGACTTTAACATCTCCAACTTCACCAATAGCCTGAAGGCCGAGGATGCCCCAGTGGTTGGTCTTGCCATCTCTGGAGGCGGTACACAGTCTGGTGTTGGTGGTCTCGGTATCTGGCAAGCCTTCGACTCTCGCTATGGCCCAGCAGTAGATGCTGGCACGGGTGGTCTGACTCAGCTACTCTCGTACCTCACGGGACTCAGCGGAGGAGGTGCAGTCACTGTCGCTGCGCTCTCAGCCAACAACTTCTCAAGTACTGAGGAGCTCACGAAGGCGGTTAATTTCTCTGTCAACTATGTCGTTGGCCCTGATGGCAATGCGACTGAATATCAAACCAACATCTTCGAGAACGTTGGTGCTAAAGCTGAAGCTGGCTTCCCTGTCTCTGCCACTGATGCGTTCGGTCAGTTCTGGTCAACGTATCTCAATGAAGACTGGATGTTTGGAAACTTTTCTGACGTGGCTGCCAATGGCACATCGTTCACAGCACACGAAGGTCCTATGCCGTTGGTATCCTTTGCCGAGGTCCTGCCCGGTTACTCACCACAAGTTCATGGCATCTTTTACCCCGGTAACAATGGTACAAACGGCTTCGAGCTGACCGCTTATGAGATCTCCCCTTTCTACTTTGGCAGCTGGGCAGGTGGCCGCGTACAGGCTTTCATGCCCACCAAGTACCTCGGCACCAACATGAGCGATGGCAAGCCGACCAGTGACCAGTGTTTTGTTGGCTTCGACAAGATGACTTTTGTGCAAGGTACTACCGCGACAGCTTTCAACTTCTGGTTCATTGACGACTGGTACGGCATCCCATTGTTTGCGAAGCGCGCCTTATCCCGCCTCTGGCGCAGACAGTCCGATGACATCCAAGTCCCGCCCGATCAGGAAGACAATCCGCTCGTGGAGATCGTGAACCAGACTGCCACTTACTTCAATGAGTCTTTCGGTGACGCCATGTACGCCATATATCCGAACCCTTTCAACAATCTCAAGAATGCACCATACATGAAGAATAACAGCTACCTCCTTCTACTTGATGGCTCTGAAACAGGCGAGACAATCCCCATTAGGCCACTCATCACCCCACACCGCGCCGTTGACTTCATCATTGCCTACGACTCCTCCTCAGATGAGCCTATGTACGACTGGGTCAATGGCACCAATCTGTACAACACCTACCGTGCTTCAAACGGCTCCCGCGGCGCGTTGCCCTTCCCAGAGATACCCCCAGCCACCACGCTTGTCAACACCAACGCCACCTCCCGCCCCACCTTCTTTGGCTGCGATGCTGCCGCCGATGTTCCCCTCGTCCTATACCTCCCAAATTACCCCTGGTCTGCCTACACGAACTTCACCTACACCAAACCGAGCTTCACAGATGTGCAGTTGAACACCACGCTAGAGAACGCCTTCAACGTGGCGACATACGGAAACGGAAAAGCGCCCAACGGCGAGGGCGAGGGCTGGGCAGCGTGTCTGGCCTGCGCGGTCATCAAGAAGAGCTTGCAGCGTGCCAAGATGAAGGAGCCAGAGGCCTGCACCAAGTGCTGGGAGCAGCATTGCTGGAACGGGACCATGAACAATAAGACCGTGGACGTTGGAAGTGGGCCGAGGCTTGTGCTGAACGACACGTTGAGCTTTGCGGAGTGGAACAAGACCGTGTGGGAGAGTCAGGGCGATGGAGCCGGGTCGGGGTCGAACTAATGGACGCACGTATCTCGATAAAAATATGTTCCGATCGAATTCACTGTTCCTGCGATTCATTTGCCCATGCTGCTTCCCCCCCCAAACAACCCAAACAAGACTGAAGACCGACGAAAGGCAAGTACAACGTAAGCACAGTACGGTTGCTCCTCTAGAGATGAGGTTGCGGCGCTTGTGTGAGCTTCATGTCACCTACTACCCTCAGATCTATTGACAGGACTCGTCACGTGTGTTTGGCATAAAGGGAAATTTGAACATGCTCGATTGTGCCAATGCTCTTATCTTTCAGCCACATATGCTGCCACTTAACTCCTTCACGATGCATGCTTTCAATGGGGCTAATCTATGAACAAAGGGGACAAAATTGTGTACGGCGCGGCAAACACGTGATATAGGCCTCCAATCCTGAATCGTAGATTCCCGCGTACGAGTCTAGAATGGATGCGCTGGTCGAGATGCTATGTCTTCCGCCGCGAAGAAGGCTGGCGTTGACAACATGTACAAGGTCTGATCTGTGCACTTCGGTAGCACTTTCAGCGCCCGCGTCTCGGGCTGGCCAGGCCGGAGGTGGGAATTGCTGGCAATTCTTTTGATGGCGGAGGTGGTAATGGGCCATTGGGTGGTGGTGGCCGTATCGGCAGAGTCGAGCTTGCCGCGCTATTGTTCAAGCGACCGTGTGAGCTAACGGATGTGCTACTACTTGTGCGCGGTGGAAACATGGGTCGGCTCGAGGGCTCGATTGCTGACGCTGGTTCGGGAATGTTGTCTCTTGTGCCCAGACCCGGGAAGCGGTTGGCACGGTGCACATTCTCGTTGATGCTGTCGTTCGTTTCGAGTGAGAGATGCTGCAAAGAAATCCCAGGTGGTGGTGATTTCTCGGCGATCCCAGTCGGGGTATTCGAATTTTGGGAACCGGTGGTGATGGTAGGAAAGTGTGGAGGAGAATTGGGCATCATCTGAACGTCAGCAGCGACAGGAGTTGTGCCTGTCCGTCGGGCTGTCGTTGGCGTCTTTCCGGCATTCTCCGGAGCGAACGACGAGTTTGAGGTGGCAGAAGTAGCAGGTGTGTTGTGAGAATCTGAACTTGTCCCGTCACTCTTGAGGGACTTGGGAGCAGGTGGCGCGAGGTAAGATTTGCGGTTGTGACGCTCCATCATTGACACTGCCCATTCTTGCAGGTCCACTGGCGTTCTCTTGGCTGCCAATAGGAACAGATCCTTATCGTACAACTCTCGGGGGGTTGGACGCTCGTCGGGATTTTTCAGTAAGCACTTTGCAACAAAGTCATCGAGAATTGCGGGAAACGCTTCGCTCTTGGGCAATTTCGGTGCTGGCTCGTGAACGATCTGCTGAAGTAGGTCCAGTATACCCATAGGCCCCGCGCTTGCGCGATCCCCTGGAGCAGAGTCGTTCGCATCGAAAGGGAAACGACCGATTGCGAGCTCCATGATGGTCAGACCAACACTCCACACATCAGACTTGACCGTGTAGGGATCACCCTTGATCCGTTCCGGAGCCATATAAGTCGATGTACCGACAAAGGTGTTTGCCACAGAGTTGACTGTCTCAGTGGCCACACCAAAATCGCACAACTTGATTAGCCCGCGAGAGTTAACCAGGACATTGGAAGGTTTGATGTCACGGTGCATGATCCGGTGCGCCTCATACAAGTAGACCAGACCACCAAGTATGCATTCCGTGATCTTGCCCAGGACATCGACTCGGACGGGACCAAAATCTTTCGATATTCGATCAAGAGACCTGTGTGCGGTCAATAAACAAACCTTCATAGGTCTTATGGGTACTTACCCGCAATCCATGTACTCCATACACAGAACAATGTCACGGGCTTCGTTCTGAAATGCACCGTAGAAGGTAATGACATACGGAGAGTTGCACTCATGGCCCACCTGCAGCTCTCTGACGATTTGTTTTCGGACGTTCTCTTTAGCATCGACGCGAATAATCTGCTTAGTGTTAGGTTGGGGTACCTTCCTCAACGTAGGTGGGATGTACCTTTCTCGCCATGACTACTTTGGTTATGGCATGCATGACCTTGCTGACAGTGCCGCCATTACCCGCACCCAACTCTTTCAAGACTACCAAGTCTTCGCTTCGTAGGTCTAGCTTGAACTCCAGTCCAATCTCGAGTGTGTCAGTCCGATCACCTTCCTGATTGCCTATTCCACCTGGTATCTGTGCATCGCCTTCTGACGGTTCGGGCGCCTTCGGAGGTGCACTCAGTGCGAGACCCTTCACGTTCTTCCTCTTGAGCGTTCTAGCTTTGAATGCATCATTCGACATTGTGCTTGTTCGGTGGGGGGAGGAATCGGTATCGAGGGTAGCGAACGTCAAGCTGAAAAGGACGGGTAGGCCGTAGAGGGCCCTGACACAGTCAGAAGCAAGATCTGCACTGCAGTCGACGCACGATCTTGGATTTCCGTGACGTGTGGCCGCAAGCGGCTAGGATAGGTTTGTGGTTGGGAGAGGGCGCTTAGTTGGAACGAATGGCTGTCGGGCCAGGGATCTGTGAGGAGTGGTCCTCCTCGTCACGAGAGTCAGGTGCTTCCAGAAGTGACAGCCAGAGGCTGCGAGCAGGACAATTGTCTGCCAACAGTGGCAGATCTCCCGGGCTTGTGGGACACCGGTGGAGAGACTTCAAGGGTGACAGGTGGAATGCTGTTCTGATGAAGGTCGAAAGCCGTCACAAAGGAACAAGTGAAGGGGGCAGAATTGCAACAATATTCACCAAATGTGTCTGCTGTTGATGTCCAGGGGCCCGGAGAAAGGTGGCCGCGACAATTGCTGTGAGAGACTCGCTTCCCAGACTCTCAGGCTCCTGTGGATAAGAGTCGAGTTGGAGGTGGCTTGAATTATTGGCTACGGGCGCGTGTAAGGGCCGCGATGAGCGGGGATGGGCCAAAACGGTTCAGCCTCGCCGTAGATCATTCCAGCCTTGTCCTTCTCGCCAAAGATTCCCAACGCGGATTTGAATGAGTTGCCTTTCTGTTTTGGGAATTCAATTGAATGTGAGGCAGAGATGGCCTTCTTGTTCCTGTGTCTCATACCATCCTGATTCCGATCCCTCCTTCCTACCTTTTCGGCGTCTCTGCGACCTCACTGATCGTTAAGCCTTGTTGTGTCGCCGGTTGTGGGCCCAATCCTATTTACCTCTGCAAAGATGGAGGCCCTCATTGACGACCGCGCAATGCTCGACGATGAGGAAGACGATGTCTCATTCGATGAGGAGACGGGCGAGGCCAGGGATGGTCAGGATCGCGAGAACGGCTTCGACGATTCCTCAGAAGAAGAGGAGGACGAAGATGAGGAAGAAGCGCAGCGGGTAAGCTGATCTTTCACATTCTTGGACTCATTGTGCTAACTGCGGGCCAGATACGCAAAGACTTCATTGTTGACGAAGATGAAGACGAGGAGGAGGTCGCTCGGAGAAAGCGTCGCAAGGAGAAGCGCAAACGACCCCGCGAAGACCGGGAGGACGAGGGTCTCGATGAGGAAGATCTTGAACTCATTGGCATGAAGCCCGTCCGAGAAGAGACTCAGTCCAAATTCAAGCGCTTGAAGCGTGGTCCAAGAGAAGACGAAGACGAGTCTCGCCGTGGTGGCGTCGACGACATTTTCGCAGACGAACTTGAAGAGCAAGAAGAACGTAGACCCCGCGATCGGAGAGGCGCTGAACACGAATTCGACGACTTCATCGAAGAGGATGTCTTTTCAGACGACGAACAACAACGCCAGCGCGAAGATGAGGAAGTCGCGAGACCCGCTAGGCGCGGTCCGATGGACTTTTTACAAGGTCAAGGTACCGAAGATCTCGATGAACAGGCCATGGACGATTTCCGCGCAGCTTTCGGAGATGGAACCGACTACGATTTTGCTCTTGAAAAAGAAGACGAGGCTGCGGAAGAGGAGGCCGAAAGAGATAGACATCTTGATCTGAAGGATGTCTTCGAGCCTTCCCAGTTGAAGGAGAAGCTCCTCACTGAAGAGGACAACGTAATCCGCTTCACCGATGAGCCCGAGCGACATCAACTTGCTCGCAAGCCCTACAAGGACATCGAATTGACCGATGACGAATTCCGAGAAGAAGCTCGTTGGATCTCTATCATGATCAAGAACAAACTATCAGACCCCATTCCGTCCAATCTGCAGGAGGCCTTCGAGCAATGCGTACTCAAAGTCCTCGAGTTCCTGGTCCGGGATGACTACGAAGTCCCCTTCATTTACTACAATCGCAAGGACTATCTGATCCACGTCGACCGCACAAGACCTCATAGTGAGCCCTACCAGCTTCTCGGCATGAAACACTTGTGGGAAATCTTCGAGCAGGATCTGAAATTCAGAGCCCTGATCGAGAAACGACGAGCCTTGTCGAAAGCCTACCAAGAGCTCACAAGCAATAATGTCGCGCCAGATACTATGTTCGAGGAATTACTGCCGCGAGCCGAGACTATGGACGAGCTGCAGGACTTGCATGAATATCTCTACTTCCAGTATGCCGCTCAAATCAAAGACCTTGCCATGACGGCCAATGGCGAGACGAATGGATTGGGTGTCTCTCAGAAGAAGGCTACCGGAACGTCATTGTTCGAGGAGATCCGAAAGTCCAAAGCCTACAATGTCGTCCGCGGCTTCGGTATCACGGCGACGGCCTTCGCACAAAATGTCGCCAGAGACGGCCCACGAAATTACTCCGAAGATCCCACCGACAGTCCGGAAAACCTTGCTGATTCAATGACTGACGAGGAGTTCTCAAACGGCGAAACGGTCCTGAAGGCGGCTCGCGCCATGTTCGTCGAAGAGCTTGCAAACAACCCGCGGCTCAGAAAATACATGAGAGGAGTCATCTATGGCCGCGGCGTGATCGATGTCGTCCGAACCGAAAAAGGGCTCCGGAAGATTGATGAGTCCCACCCGTATTACGAATTCAAATACCTCAAGAACCAGGATTTTGGTACCCTGATCAATGAGCCTGCAACATTTCTCAGAATGCTAAGGGCGGAGGAGGAGGGCCTGGTGGAGCTCAAATTGAGGGTCGCACAGTCCGATACCATGAAGCGTGACTTCGCTGGCCACATCAAGACGGACAACTACTCGAACGTTGCAGATGAATGGAACAAACAGCGAGAGCAAGTTGTTGCGCTGGCTTTCGACAAGATCGTCTCAATCATGAGTCGTCTAGTCAAGGAGAACATCAAGAACGACTGCGAAGGTAAAATCCTCGACGAGTGTCGAAATGTTTTAGACGATTCGCTCGATCAAGCGCCTTATCAGCCCAGAGGAATGCGAAAAGGCACCACTCCGCGAGTTCTCACCCTCTCAAACGGCAGAGGTCTTCCCGGCAAAGACCCAATCTTCTACACCTTCGTGGGCGATGATGGCCGACCAGCTGAAAGTGGACAATTCATGGATCTAGCACCTGGTGACCAAGATCGTCAACTTCCGGATGGCAAGGATGTGGAGGCCTTTGTCGACCTTGTTGTTCGCCGTCAACCCGAAGTCATTGGCGTTGCCGGCTTCTCTCCAGAGGTACGGAAATTGGTCGGCTATGTCAACTCCCATGTGAAGACTTTTGATTTAAGAGGCCCTGAGTACGCGGACGAAGATGACCGGGATAGGAGGGATCTCCTCGATGTCATCATTGTCAACGACGAAGTGGCGCGACTCTACCACACAAGCGAGAAGGCCCGGAAAGATCACCCGGGATGGGCTCCGCTCAGTCACTATTGCTTCGCCCTGGCGCGGTACGTCCAGGACCCATTGAAAGAGTACGCGTCCCTAGATCGCGATATCATATCGCTCAACTTTCATCCTGTGCAACACCTTTTATCTCAAGACAAGCTCATGAAGAAGCTTGAGACGGCCCTAGTCGACAAGGTGAACATGTGCGGCGTGGAGGTGAACGAAGCAGCTGCCGACCCGTCAATCGGCAATCTACTGCCTTTCGTGTGCGGCTTAGGCCAGAGAAAAGCCCAGCACCTGAAGAAGGTGATCAACCTGAATGGCGGCTTCGTCGAGAGTCGAGAAGATCTTTTGGTCAATGAGCACCATCAAGCCATGACATTCAAGGTCTGGAACAATGCTGCCAGCTTCTTATACATAGGGTACGACCCCACGGAAGAGAAGTCGGAATTTCTCGACAGTACTCGCATCCACCCTGAAGACTACGATATTGCCCGCAAAATGGCCGCAGATGCTCTCGAACTCGATGAGGAAGATATTGAAGCCGAACGGCAAGAGTTTGGTAGTGGTGCCATTCTCCGCCGCCTCGTCCGCGAGGAAGCTCAAGACCGTGTCAATGACCTTGTCCTCGAAGAGTACGCCATTCAGCTCGAGCGCAACCTCAACGCTAGAAAGCGCAGTACTCTTGAAGCCATTCGCGCAGAACTGATTGAGCCGTTCGAAGAACTTCGTCGCAATTACAACGCCGATCTCTCGGAGAACCAAATCTTTACCATGCTCACTGGCGAGACGTCTGAGTCCCTGAAAGTTGGCATGAATGTTCCCGTATCCCTGAAGCGCATCTCAGACTCTCTCGTTGAAGGCCTACTCGATTGTGGTATGGTCGCAACGATCGAAGCTGGTCCCCATATTGATTCGGGTACCCCTGCAAGGCAACTCTATTCGACACATCAGACGATCCAAGGTCACATCACCAGCATCAACCGCCGCGACTTCCAAGTCAGCGTATCATGCCGCGAGGATGACCTCAAAAAGCCCTTCCGCCGTTTCGAGCCTGACAAGATGTACAAGTACGATGAATGGGACTCGCGCAAGGAAGCCGACGACAAACGGAACCTCGAGCAGAAGTCCGAGACGGGAATGCGTGCCACACGTGTCATTAAGCACCCACTGTTCCGGCCGTTCAACAGCAAGCAAGCTGAAGAATATCTTGGCTCGCAGAACCGGGGCGACGTTGTCATTCGTCCATCTTCCAAAGGCTCGGATCACCTGGCCATCACATGGAAAGTCGCCGACGGTATCTTTCAGCACATTGACGTTCTAGAGCTGGACAAGGAAAACGAGTTCGCACTCGGCAAGACGCTGCGTATCGGCGGCAAGTTCAACTATTCCGACCTGGATGAGCTGCTCGTGTCGCACGTTCGTGCCATGGCCCGCAAAGTGGACGAGATGATGAACTCGGACAAGTTCCAGGACAAGACAAAGTCGCAGCTCGGTAAGCCCCCTCCATGCCTTCCCTTTCCCAAATGATTTACACGAACCCTCACCTTGTTCTTCGCCCTATCCGACATACAAGTAGCGCTAACAATCCCACCCACAGAGGACTGGCTCACGACCTACACGGCCGCGAACCCCAAGCGCAGCATGTATCAGTTCTGCCTCAACCGCGACCGCCCCGGCTACTTCCACCTGATCTTCAAGGCCGGTCAGAAGGCCAAGCTACAGGACTGGAGCGTCAAGGTCATCCCCAACGGCTTTGAGCTGAGGAGCCAGCAGTACCCGGACATGCGTGGCTTGTGCAACGGCTTCAAGCTGCTGTTTGGGAATATGGTCGGCACACAGGCTGCATTGGGCGGGCGGTGATGAAGACGATGGTAAGGAAGCATTGGAACAGCATGGAGAGGGGATTTGTACTCGTATGACAACCGAGCGTCGTGGAGTGTGGCGCTTTGTGGGCCTAAGCTGGATGCATGTCGCGTTGGCGCGCGCGCGATTGTGGCGGAACGAAAAAGTCATCTGCTTTTCTCCCCCCCTCTGATAGATGGATGCCCTTTTTTTCGCATGCAATGCATTTCTTGAGAGCTTCAAACGGGGGGGAGAGAGAAAGGATTTGTTGTACCACTACCATCACCATTACCATTACCATTACAGCTGCCGCCGCCGCTCCACAAAAGCACTAAAAGAACGTGGGTCTGGTTGCGACGGCGGCGGCGGACGGCGGCGGTAGCAGCAGCAGCAGCAGCAGCAGTAGCAGAGGGGGGCCATCATGTAGACAACAACAAAAACGGAGATGGGGCATTCAAAAACTGATTCACGCGGGCAAAACAAAACAAAACAATCCATTCGTCTTTAAACCTGGCAGGCAATCTTAAGCTTCCCATGTGCGTGCGATTTGAGAACTTCCTGTACGTTTATGACCTAGGTAATGAGACATGTGGCGCGGATTGACATGAGGCTCATTTACTAAGATGATGATGTCGGCGCACGACAGAGTAGAAAGTCAAGGTTCAGTTAGGGTCGTCAAGTCATTCATTTGATACATGATAGGTAGCCAGTGATTGATGGGCGACCAATCAATTATACTACTGTGTACAGTCATTGCTCAAACCACCTCTTCCTCATGTTGGAACGAAAATCCCTTCAACCCCTCATGATTTGTTACATCGCGTTCGACCTCGGCCGCAGACACATGTGAGCCATCGGACATGGCGTAGCGCCTCTCACGAGGTTTGAACGCATCGTTCTCTTCCTTGTCCTTGGGCTTGCCAGCTGCGGACGAAATGTAGGTTGGCCAACGCTGGTCTTGGCGCTTCTCGACCAATGCCTTCACCAGCGGACTAAACCTCTGCTTATTTGTTGTTTCCTAAACGGCATGGTCTTGGGTTGCGACGCCAGCCTGGCTACGGCGGCGAGTTTGTTTTTCGATTCTGGCCGCTGTCGAGCGTCTCCGGGCATCGGTGGACTCCGCATAACTCTGTCGTCTCGAGGCGTTTCCGCCCCAAGCTGAGCTCGCCCTACGAGCATCTCCAGACGGAATGTAACTGAGGCGCCTACCCTCATTATCCGTACGGGCATCAGCGAGTTGCTGAGCAAAAGGTGAGCGCTTGCGAAGCTCGGGGCCCTTCCAGTAAATCACATAGACAGCCAAGACCAGAATGGTGGCGATACAGAACAGAATTGTCGAAGCGTAGGCGAGATGCTTGTTACCGCCAGCATCTTTGCCGATGTCTATTTCCTGTTAGTGTCTGGAGATGTAATGAAGAGGGATAAAACTTACTCGTGTAGAAGGGAGTGGCGGGTAGTGTGAGAACACCAGCCAAGAAATCACGAGCCCAGCCGTTACCACCGCAAGCAGAGGCTGAATATGGGCCATAGGCGCAGATCATGTAGTCGATGGTGGCCATGTAGATGGCGTAATTGGCAATGCCTACTATGGCAGCGGCAATCATTGAGCCGATCCAATGAAGAGGCGGGCCAGTCGAAGTCCAGGCAAAGATGATCAGGCCGATGGGTAAACAAGGCGCGGTCCAGAGCAACCACCACAGACGAGACTCGTATTGAACGCGTTCGTCGTCCGGGAACTTGGCTCGCTGCCTAATGTTACGCTTGATGGCTGGGATGAAACTGGCCCAGGCAATGAAATAGCCGATACCGATGGCGATGAAGGACAGACCAACAGCGAAAATGGAGAAATCCCACAGCTCGTAGACAAGCGCAAAGGATTGGATGAACATAAAGATCAGAGCGTCGGAGAAACCGGACAGCAGGGACAGGACCAAGACAATGGGCTCAGTAACGAACATGCGGAACGGACGTAACCAGATGGAGATGGTCTCCTTCATCGAGAATCGCTCCCTGAAGGGCTCGAGCTCGTTGGGACCGTAGATGTTGGGATCCTCGCCGTTCTTTCTGCGCTTCTTTGCGATTCTATCCATCATGATGGTGCTGCGAGTCTCGGGGACGAGGAGCAGGTGAGCAATCTGAACGGCACCGCCGAAAATGAGCTGGATCCAGATGTTCCAGCGCCATGCGAGGAATTGTTCGACGAAGCCTCCCACGATAGGACCCAGGACGGAACCACCGACTGAGCTAAAGACGATGAAGGCAACGGCATACTGCTGGGTGTCGGCCTCCCACATGTCGGCGACCATTCCTAGCGTGACTGAGCCGCCGGCTGTGGAGAAACCACCCAAAGCGCGGCCGACGAGGATAGTGGCAAAGTTGGGCGGGAGTGCAACAGGCAACTGCCAGATATTGACCAGAAACAGACTGGCCTGAAGAACGGGTTTGCGGCCAAATTCTTCCGACCAGGGAGCCCACAGCTCACATCCGAAGGCGTAGGTGACGAGGAAGATCATGGCACCGCAACGGGCGGCCTGAGCACTGACGCCGAACTCTTCTGAGATGCCATGGACGGCATTGGAGTAGAGCGAGGTGTTGAAGTTCATCGAAACTTGGACCAGGAAGACGATACTCAGAATGGTCCACTTCTTGGCCGTGGAGAAGCCGTATCCAAGCTCGTCGTAGCAGTCTTCTTCGGTGATTTCGATCTTGTCATAGGTGCCGCGCTTGTCAAGCTTGGCTCCCTCGCCGTCCTTGAATGCGCCAGAGGGATCGTCACGGGGTTCAGCGCGGGTGTTGTCGCTCAGGTCGGAGCTGTTGTCTTCATTGGTGGCGTCAGTCTTCTCACGATTAATCTCGGCAGCGATTTGAGGGTTATTGTCGAAGGAGGGCGTTTCGCCGGGGCGAAGTCCCGCCATAGTTGATGGATGGCCGAAGTATGGCCGTTACTCGATACTCAGGCTAACGGCGAAGTGAAGATATGGTCTATCTAGGCATGTGTTGCTGCTAGTAGTTGGAGTATGAGATGGGGGCGAGAACCATGGGGAAGAAAAGGAGCAGAAGACGTGGAAGATGAGTTCAGTGCGAGGCAAGTGCGACCCGGCCAGATTTTATTATTGCTTGAGCATGTGCCCCCACCAGAGTAGCGTGGCAGCTGCCGTGAAAAGTGCTACAGACGGGAAGCTTTTGCGGGACCTGCGATGATGCTGATCGCGATCTGGATGGACGTGGGCGTGGGCGTGTCAGCTGCAAAAGTCGAGCTTTTTTGCGCGCTCCATTTTGGCATGATTCAACGGCTAGAAAGTCAGTACCAGGTGGTGCCGGTGGAGCCGGAGTGTTTATCCAGAACGCCGCTAGCTGCGTCATGACATCGTTGGTCGCACTGTCCGCCGACGAGCTGTGGTGACTTCTCATCAGCCGCAACGCCCAAGATACGCTGCATTGTCCTGTTTCAAAATATCTCTTATCTTCGGCGATTGACATCTTTCACCAAGACCGCGGTTTGTCAAGCGAAGCCACCAAGCAACTCCAAGCCTCGTGCTCAAGAGTTCTGGGCGACGGACTTGGTGCCAGGGGCGACCCAAACAAGGTTACGAAGGCGTGTGTGGCGTCTGGCTTGGCGGCAGTGAAGGCCAAGTGAGATGACATCAGTCTGCGCCTACACTGTAAGTCCTCCTTCGCTGTACTTCACACTCATCGAGTACTGTAAGCCGAACGCGCATGTTGTGACTGTCTCGGGGGGTGGCCTGACTGCTGTCATCACCGATGAACATGGGGAAAACTCGTGGGAGAGTCCGGGGCCCCAGGGTTGCATGGTCGTAAAGAGAAGGTTGGGCGATCTCCGCTAGGTAACCCCTGCCACAACGAATCTTTGCTCACGATGCCCTGCGGAACTCCAGATTGTCGCCATCAACGCTCATTCCCGTCCTTGATCCGCTTGCTCTTGCTGCCTGATGTGCACTCATCCCCAATCATGGTGTCGCAACGGCCTACTGCATCTGTGCTGGTCGCGTGCTTGTCCCTTGTGTCAGCGATGATCTGCAACGGACACGCTCTCTCTCGCCTCATTCTTGTCAGTCGTTCGGTGGTGCATATTCCGGAACGAGTAGTCGCGTATGCCCAAGCACAAACCCCGGTCTTGCAGGCCTGCCAGAGCTTGCAGCCACAACTCGATTGGAGCGCCTGATAGATACTCGCATCAGTGCCAGCATCGAACAGACATGAATCTCGAGTGCTCAGAGAAGGCATTTTGCAGCTACTCCCACAGGCGAAGCTCTTATGTCGAAACAGCACTCACCGCCATCGTCTGTGTAGATTTTCCTGCAAGCGTGGATGGGTGTCAACAAGACTTCAAAGCTCCCTCTTCTCCATATCAGCTCAGGTAACGGTTTTCAGTGCCTATCCACGAGTTTGATGCGGGAAATATCGATAACAAACGAATGTGTTTGGTGAGACTGGGTCGCACGATTGCACGATCCAGGTTCCTGTAGTCCCCGAGACTATGGTAAGACCAGATATTTACCTTTCAGCTGATTTCATGTCTGCCTGCGCACTCTCATCAAAGCTATAAAGGTGCTCAGATCCCACGTTTGCCGTCTTCTTCGCGTCAGAACTTCACGGTAAGAATTTCACAGTAAGAACTTCACCTGAAAACTTCACATCAATGAAACTTCACATCAACGTGGTACAGTAACCATTTACTGCCACACCAGCAACTAATCGAGTCAATATGGCCAGTATCAACCAACCAGGCATCATCAGAACCCGCCTCCTCATATTCTCGGACACCCATGGCCGGACAATTAACCAGGGCGAAATAACTCGACATCCTGCTGATGTTGTACTACACTGCAGCGACCTGACCGACGGGTCAAATTTCTCGGAGTTCAAGTCAGCCATTGAAGGCATTGAACCTGAGGTTTGGAACGGGAAGAATGCGGAAGTATCAACAGAAGACAGAGCATAGACTAGATGCAATAATGACCCCTTGAAGCATGTTTACAAGACGAGGGAACGCAGTTGTCGAAAAGACGAAAGGAAATCCGGGATCCTCGATCTCAGATCTCAACCGCCGGGCGGAAAGCTTGGCGGTCTGGTCCGGTATATAATACATGATTCGCATACCGCTCGCAGCCACGTGTGTCATGTATCCCGTGCACTGCCATCAATCTGGCAGCCCCAGTCGTAGCGGTCCTTGCGAGACAGCGCTTCGTTGGGCGCCTCAGCCATCGACAATAGAGACGAGGGGGCCTCCCCAACTTCCTAACCTGGGCCCACCAAACTCACCATACCAGACTCCCTCCTCCCCCTCCCCCTCCTCCTCCTCACTGTGCCGTATACCCACCATCAACGACGAACTCTGCAGCAAATTAGCGCTCGCTCACTCCCACTCCCGCATCCCAGGAATGAGCGTGGTTTTTTTAAACATACGCTGGCCCGTGACGAACGCCACGCCATCCCCCGCCAAAAACACCGCCATCTTAGCCACATCCTCGGGCCACGCCAGCCTCCCCCACGGATGCGCCGCCGTCCACTTCTCATCGATCTGCCCGCCATGCCGCTGCCTCGATCTCTCCAGAAAGGGGCTGTCACAGTACCCCGGGTGAATGCTGTTGACGTGAATCTTGCTCTCCGCGTACTCCAGCGCCGCCTGCCTGGTGAGATTCGTGACGGCGCCCTTGGCCGTGCAGTAGGCGGACAGGTACTTGGACGCGACCAGCCCGTAGATGGAGGACATGTTGATGATCCAGCCGCGGTCGCCGCTGGGGTGGGGTGGCTGCGCGAGCATCTGCGTGACGGCGTACTTGATGCCCAGCCAGACGCCGCGGATGTTGACGCTGTAGGATGTGTCGAACGCGGAGACGGGCAGTTCGTGGAGTGGCATCGGCGCGCTGTGGGACTCGATGGCGACGCCTGTATTTCTCGCGTCGGGGATTTTGGTCGTCATAGTAAGAGCTGATTGACATACCTGCGTTGTTGACCATGATATCCAGACGGCCGTACTGTGAGGCGGTCGCCTTTACCGCTGCCTCGACGCTCTCCGCCTTCGTCACATCGCAATCCACATATGACGCTCTAGGCTTGTCCCCGCCGGGCCACTTCTGGTTCAAGAGGTCGACGGTCGGGGTGCTAAGGTCTGTGCCTCTGTCCCTGGTCGTGTCCTCCAGCATTGGAGTCTTAGGTGGATTGGGAGTTATGTCAGCACACATGATATACGCACCAGCTCCTGCATATGCCTGAGCGACCATACGTCCTATACCAGAAGAGGCTCCCGTGATTAAAGCGATTCGATCGCTGAGGTCGCCGATGTTGGCGCGGCCAAAGGGCTCTGTCGACATTGTTGCGCCGGTCATCCTAAGGAACGCGCCAAAAGGTTACGATAGACGTAGAGTGTTCCGAGTCGAAGAGAACTTAGCTTTAAATACTTGTAAGGTTCACGCGATCTCGTGCGGATCAGCTCGTGGTTGGTTGTATTGACTCGAGATCGTTGAATCTCGGCAGGATGCATTTGCCGGGGCATTCGTGGCATGCATGCCGAGGCACTTGCTAGACAAGACGTCAAGGACGATTGGGGGGGTTTTCGAAATCATAAGACGTTAGTGGAATTGTGCATGATCAGACTCGGGCCTCGCTACGCTAAGCAGAAGGAAATGCCTCATGCAGCATGGACGGATCCACTGATGGCTGCTGGTGGGCTCTAGCAAAATAGACGCCCTATCAAGCTTGGCTCCAGGACTCTTAGTCTAGAATGAGCACCACGACTCCGCCCAGAAGCGATGGATCTGCCTCAAGACTCGACAAGACTCGTCCACCATGCCATCCCTTCTTCGATAATCTCGTCTTCCAGGCGGATCTGGTCGTCCACCCAGCTGGAGACGTCCTCGCGAATGCGTTGCAGTGTGGTTTCCAAGGAGTCTTCGTCCAGTATAGGTATGTCGGTGTCAACTCTTCTAGGTCGAGACCAGTCGTTGTCAACATCCTGAACCCTCTCCCAGAACGTCACAGGCACATCTGCTTGGATGACCTTCCACCAGGCGTCCCAGAATACCTCGAAATGATTCTGGTACTGTGCGTGAAGCTCGTTGTACAACCCCAGGACTCGGTTTAGCGTACGATCCAGATATTGATCTTCCTGCTGAAACTCGGCTGCTTCGCAACGATCTAGTAAGAGAGGCCAATTGGACTTATCAATCCACCAGTCCAGTTGGCAGCAAGTGTGTTTCATGCCCAGACGCTCGAACAATTCGAATCTGCAGAAGTCGGTGAAAGGTTGCTTGTCAGGGAAAGCATGAGACACGTTCAGCCAAAGCCTGAAGATCCGCTTCCTCGTCTCCCAAAGAGTGTACAAAAATCCGGCTCCCGTGTGGTCTCTAGGCTGTTCCATGTACTTCGATTGGTGCCTCAGAAGTGAAGTTATGGCGGAACAACCTCCATCCGAGCAATAGCAGCTGCAGAGATCTCGTGGAGGCCTAGGGACGACACAGGCCGCTTTTCGTAGAATCTTGGTCAACCACACTCGGATTTCGTCATCGACGTTGCTATACCTTGTCGCTACCTTTGCGGCCAACGCGTGGTACAAGGATATAGCATTCAATTCCGGAAACACAAGGTTCCTTGCGTCGTGGTCCAGGAACCAGCCCAACACCTTGAGAGGTTCCACCCCGTTCATGTAATCGTATATGTTGACTAGCAGTGGTGTCCAACCATCAGGTGCTTTAATGTCGATTTCATCGAATCCTGCCTGAAAGAGGGAGTCCGCAACTTCTACTATCATGTATTCCGTATGGTAAACCGACCGATGTCTTGAATCGGGCCAAATTCTGTCCGGTATCTTGACGCCTCGCATCTGTAGTTGCCTGATCATGTCCAGAGCAGTGCTCGAGTCCAGTAACGGATAGTCGCGCTGTGGCTCTGCCCAACCAAGATCTCTAAGCCGAGAATCAGACAAGTAAGATCTGGCGAGCCTCATCAGGCATCGACGAGAAGTAGTCAATGCTTCGACGATGAGAGGCAAGATTCGCTCGTTAGTTCCAAGCCCGTTAGCTACGTGCAGACTGTAATTCCTATAGAGTGCATGCTCCAGAAGGGACTTCTCGCGTCCATTGACTCCTAGGAATAGCCGACTATCTGCATCCAGTAAGATCTCAAGACTCGTGTCATCTTGGAGGTCAACGGTGCAGTGAACTGTTTCTGATGGGTTGGCGCCCTTCTGCAGAAGCAGTTTCATACCTGTCGGCCATCCGATGCTCAATTGCAGCGGTGTGACCCCGCGTGATCCTCCTGATTCGTACCTTCCTCTCTGTGACAGTATGAATTGGACCTCGTCTATGTTTCTGTGAACAACGGCGAGAGCTAGCCTTGAGTAGCCTGCTTCTATGGCAAGGTCGGGAATACGTGTAAAGAGCCTGACTTGAGTTGAGTCGGGCACAATATGTCGTAGAAAGTCTTCTTCGGACGCCACTGGTGCAGCTGTAACCCCAAGATCGCACAGAAGCCGTAGAAAAGTTGTGCTTCCAGGCTCCCAGTTCTCATCCATGCCCAACCAGGGAAAGAACATGGAAAGCGCTGTTCCCTCAGAAGAAAATGAGCTGTGCTTGCAAAGAGCGTTAATTGGAGTGCCATGACGATGAAGCAGCTCAATTATAGTCTTGATACTGCCTAGAGTGTCTTCTTGTATGCTCCACAACAGGCCTAAAATGCCGCCGAACATGTGTAGGAGGGTCCTGCCTGTAGTTGTTTGCACACGTCCAGAGACACGCCCGCTGCCAAAGTCTGTCTGAAGGTCGATAAGCAGTTGATTCAGTATTTGTTTCACCCTAGTTTTCTCTACCAACGAATAGTCATCATCCCACACATAAAGACCCATGATGTCGAACACATTAGTATCTCGTCCATGAATGCGATGAATGCTATCAAAGGCCGCATAGATGCGATCGTAGCCAGGGATGCGCGTGCAGTCGTCGTCATCAGCGACGATGCTTATGAAGTTGATCTGCTCAGGCAAAGAGAAAGCGCCTGCGCCGCGGACACTATTGAACATGAGTTCAATACTCAACGACGCCACTCTTCCAATCGTCAAAGAGTAACGTCTAGGCAGGGTATCTTCCGAACCTGCGGCGTAGGATGAGCATCCCGGATAATGAACACCATAGACACGTCGATTCCAAGTGAATGAACCAAACGAGAGAGGCCTGTACACTCCCAACCTTTGGCAAGGGCATTGTCTGAACGGCTGACGCTGCATATCATCCAAAATGCCCGCCACACATGCCGGTTTAGAAGCGATTCTGCCAGCGAGCAAAAGCTCTACTGAATTGCGAGTCACCCGCAGCTCCTGGGTCACTTTCCTTTGCTCTTGCTCAAATTTTCCCGCTAGCAAGCTGAACCCATGGCTCAGGGTCATTTGCAGCGCTGAAGATGACGCGTCAATCGTATCGAGCCTTGAGTGGGTCGCTCTGTGGGATTTGAGGTTCAACTCCGCCGTGTGTGCGCCAGCACAGGCCTGTTCATCCACTTTTCGATGAAGCTCGGTGATTGTCCCGCTCATCGAGGTCTGTAAAGTTGAGATGTTCTCCAAAGCCACTCCACTCTGAGCAGTTGCGATGCTAAACAACTCCGAGTGATAGAGATCCAGGGAGATCTGAAGCTGGATGTACAATTCCTTCAGACGGTCAAGACAGCCGTGGATGATGCCTTCCTGCTTAACGGATTTTACGCGACCCCAGAATCGCTTGACAGCTTTATCGTCGCCATTTGCAACGTCCAGCGGTTTCAAAATGTTCTCTAGTTCGATGAGCTCGTCCTCAGCCTTGCTGAGCAAGGAGTGAAGACCATGCCCCAAATTTGACGGAAGCGGCTGGTTTCGAGGGTCGTGCTTCTCATGCGGACCTTGGAATAGGCTTTGGATAGACGCGCTTAGGTCTCGTAGTTGCTCCACATGTTCGCGCTTGCGGCGGATCTGCTGTGGAGCGGCGGCTAGCTTTTCGTAGAGCTTCTGTGTTCCAAGGGTGACCTTGACAAGTTGATCAACCAGTTGTAGACTGGCGGCGGCGACGGAAAGAGCAGAGAAGGGATCCATTAGTGGGGATTTTGCGTGTAAACCAGAAAGGAAGGAAGATCAGCTCCAGACTTTATGCCTGAGATATATGACTTGCACGCCGTGTCCGGGCGCAGGCTGTGCGATGCAGTAGGGCAGAAACTGCTCGCTGCCCGTCGCGGGCCTCTGTGAACGCCTCTACAGGGGCTGCTGCAAGTAGACTGATTCAAGCACTGGCGCTGTTCGACCTAACCCACTTCGAGGGCCTTTAAGCTCAGCAACAGGATCGCTCCTTCCCTACCTCCAGGAAGCGGAATTCTCCATTGATTCATAGCCACAAAATCATTGACAGCTGCCTCGCTAAGAATGGAGCGTGCATAGTCTCATTAGGCTCGCTTGCATCTGGCGGTGGCTGTGGATGAGGGGTGTGGCAGTGTGGACGCTCCAATCAGTGGATGTAATCCTCCACGCCTGGGCGCTTCCTGCAGCAGGCGTCTGTAGAAGCCACAAAGCCTAGTGAGCCTTGCCCCCGTTGTCCAGTCGCGATTCTCACCGATTCGCTGCTACAAGTATGATATAATGATGGCGGAGGGTTGAATGTTGTGCAGTTCCCAGGGCGTCTCATCAGTGATGGAGACCTGATCACTTACAACAAGCAGCAGTTGTGCCAAGACTTTCACTGCCTCGACGTACCATCCACCTGCAACCCAGATTGAAATCGGCATCATTGGTCTTCATGTTGTTGTTGTTGTTGTTGTTGTTGTTGGGCTCAAAGCTTTTAGGCTTACTGATCATATTCGAGTACATGTGCTCTGCCAAAGGAGGTCTGAGTCGGCAATAATGTCGAATAGGTGTACGGCGTCGATGCGCACATCTTGCCACACCTCACTAAACGAACTTCTCCAAACTAGTTGCGCCGCATCATCGGACAAACCGTCTAATAGTTGAGGAGAATCAAAGACAGTCAGGGTGACAAAACGTGTTAGTCGTAGCACATCATTATTTTGTAATATGGTCACATGAGCGCAGCATCCTGCCGAGCAGGCGCCCATTCTGAGCCACGCTCAGTAGCCCTGAGGACAGAGACGTTCTGATGGGGGCGGCAGTCGTGGATATAGACATATGCCTTCGAGTAAGAGCCTCATGTGCCCTCGAGCAATGACCTGCGTCCCGTGAACCGCCAACCGACGATCAATCATGCGCAGATTTCATAAAGTCGTGTGGGTATGCAACAAGCGGTATTGCCATCTCTATATCGGATTTCCCTCGTTAATCGGCCGGACAGACAAGGCGAATCCATATTGACGCTGGCAACCTTGGGGTCCAAGCCAGTGCAGAGCTTGCGTCTGCAATTTTAGTGCGGTGCCACAGGCTCTAGAGCTGCTTGACTTGCCCTTCACAAGAACAGGGGGCAACAGACGACCGCTACAGACATCTGCAAGTACGGCGTGTCCTGCTATCGGGAGAAATCGCAGCCACGCTTGCGTGCTCAAAGCTTCCCCGAGAGCCCAAGTTGGCACCCAGAAGCATTTCTTTGAAAGTGGACCGAGCTCGGGTAGGTCCAGTTCTCCAACCGTCTACGAGACTGGTATCTTGGGTCCATCGACGAGCGCCAGTGTTTCGTTCAGCTCATCTTCGCTTTCATCAGGTAAATTGTCTAGCATATGGTCGATGAACGCAGACGTGTTAACCTCCGCGGCTGCTTTGTGCTGATCAGTAAAAGCGACTTTCTTCGGCGAACTGACGCTGGTCTGACTGAATTGCGTGCGAAGTGGCGATGTCATGGCTGACAAAGGCTGCATGGGCCGCAGCGAAGATACTTGAGACGCTTGAGAGGAAGGGTGGTAACCCGAATTGTTCGGGCTTGCCATGAACATTAACGTCTCGACCGCATCTGCTTCCATGGCGGCATTCTGGCTTGGCGTGCGCTGTTTCGACGAAGGTCGAACGCCGCGTCTCAGATCCTGCAATTTAGATATGCCACTGGCGCCTCCTGTTTCGTTAGGCGAAGGACGTCGCCTGTGTCCCGAAATGATATCTGCTGGTGGGGCCAGGCCTCGCAGTTGAGGTTGTTGCAGGGCATCCTCGGGAACGCCTGGAAGGCGACTGGATGAGAAAACATGGAGATCAGAGCGGCTGCTTTCAGAACTCGAGCTATCACTCCATTTGCGCGTCGAGCGTTGCTGCATCAATCTTCTGGGCGACTCGGCGAGATGGCGGTCAGCAGGAAAGCCTGACACAGTGGAGCGAGGCGAAGCAGACGCGAGGGTCTCGATTTCTTCAAGAGACCGCGACTGCCATCCATTCTGTACCTTGACCATCGCATACTTGAGTTTTGTACGCAGCTGCTGAGATATCTGAGAAGTGTCAATAAGCTGATATGGCATAGGTGAGTCACGCTTACTTCAGTAACATTACCAGTGCTACCAACTGACGCGCTGCTCGAAGCACGCATTCGACCCGTTTCGCCCGATATATCCTGTGGGAATGATTGGTGATGCGTATTCTTGATTTGACCACTGGCTGTTCTCTTAGAGCCTGCAGTGCTGTCCGTCCTAGTGCGACGTGCTGGGCTCAGTGACCGTGATGGTCCGGGCGAATCCAACTTCCGGGCGCCTATAGTGGTGCCAGCACCCTTCTTCGGCGTTGGCGACGTGGGAGTGTCATCGCGACCACCGTTCGAGGAAGGCGTTGCTGAGGAAGGCGGTGTCAGGTCGTCGGGCCGGAGGGCAGGAAAGGTAGAGGTAGACACACCACTTGCAGAGAGCTGAAGTGGAGTGGGAAGTGACTGCCGCGAAGCATTCGTGCTCTGGGAGCTGTTGTCAAACGAGGCCATGGGCCGCACCCGCGGGGAGTCGGCTGCCGACATGGCGGGAGCGACAGGGAAGGCAGTACCGGTGGGTTGCTGCAGGCCGCCAGCTGCTGTCACTTGCACGTCGGCCATACGCAGACAATATAATATCGCCAAACTTTTCCGGTTGCGACTGGAATATGTGAGAAATGCGAGCTCGACTGAACGCTCGAGGCGTGTGGCGGGACGAAGTCGCGTGCTGGGATCGCTCTCGCTCGTGCAGTGCCGCGCTCCACGCTTCACACCTGAGATACCCCACTAATGTCGTCAGAAGCGCGTCGCACAACGCGTCGGTCGGAAACGGTAGAGTCTTCCACACGGCTGTTCGTGGGGCACGGAATCTGTGAGAGCGGTCCGTTGTTGAGAGGCTCGATATGAACCCACAGACAATCGCGGAGCAGGGGAAAAGGAGGAAAGACACGGCGTTGTCGCGGCCTAACAGGCAGCGTGAAGAAAAACCGCACCGGACACGCGTTAGTCGCTCACTAAACGGCCTTGAAACTCCCCGATCCACCCGGCTCCTCCCACCCCCCAACCTCCTCGGTCATCGCATCGCATCGCACCGCACCGCAGAGCATCACCACGGTTCGCAGTGTATGTTTGGTACCTTTGGGTCGTTGTTGACGGAGGGTATCATTGTACTTCATTGCTATCGGACCGAGGACGACACAGATGCCCATCTCAAGCCCTCTTGGCCCGTTTGCCACCACCTCCGCTGTCGCCTTGTCGCTGCCGTTTGCTGCCTTCTTTCTGCCAGTACTCATCCCGCTCCCTCTTCTCTCTCTCTGCCTTCTTCTCAAGATTCTCTTCGACCTTCTTGCGATACACTTGTCGACGCTCCTCTTGCTTCTTGGCGCGCTTTTCTACCTTCTCATTGCGCATAGTCATTAGTTTCTGCATGAGGTCCCGAGCCTTCTTCTCCTCGCCCCCTAAGACCACAGCCCGCTTCTGGAGGTAGGTCGGTGCCTTGCGAGCCTTCTGCTGAGTGATCTGTGACTTGAATGGGAGATCACTCTGTATGGCACGAGGCACGCGTAGCGGATTGAAATGCCTGGTTGGCCGCTCAATCTTGCTGTATGCTGAGTCCTTCTGTCGAGGCGTAGGAACGCCGAGAGATGCTCTGACAGCGCCGGTAAGTCGCATAGCTTGCCAGCCTGTTCCAGCATCCCCATTCACGGCCGCTCGGTCGGTGCTGGGAGCGTCCAGTAGATTCGTTACCGGGTTATAGAAGCGATGTGGCCGTACTGGATACCATGCTCGTAGGAACACGATATCCGACATAAGGATTTTGTCCTCAAACGTGGCACGAAAGTGACCTTCCGGCTTGCTCAGTGCTCGTTTGATCTGGCCTCGTATCCCAGATACAGTCTTGATGCTTGCTCCTTCAAATTTAGCAATCTCGATGGCCGAGTTGAACATGTCTCGGATGAAGGCGGTATTGCGGAAAACCTTGTAAGGATGGCCCGTCAGCTTGAGCTTCTTGACGATTTCAGTAGTCTCATCCACGTTCAGCACCACGCCTGTCGCAGCGATGCGAAATCCCGGATTGGTGTTTGAGAAGGATTGTACGCAGCAGAAGCCAGTGTTGGGAGCGACCAGGGGTCCATAGAAGGTGCCGAAGCAGTGCATATGCTCAGGGGTGTATTTGAGCATCCGGTTTCTCGTTCGCGAATCCGAAATCGAATACATGGGCAGTGTTTGAAACCGCCTCCATCCCAGAGAGAAGATGAGCGGATCATTGGTCTTGAGAATCTTCTTGTGCCAACGATGTCGTTTGATCCGGATCTGTACAAAGCCAAATCGCTCCTCTGTTGGTGCGAGTCCGCCAACGATGACCGGATAACGTGGATTGAATGACCGAGCGAACTCGTAAGGCACTTTGTCGAGAACGATTCTGGCGTACGTGCCAGCTTTGAAACCTTCTGACCGCGCTCGCGAAGCTGCATCGAGGCTGTCGAACTCGGCACGATTGATATCAAGTTGCTTTTGCAGCATGGCCTTCTGTGCGTCATACCAGTCATCTTCACCAAATTCCTGCTCAGTTGACTTCATCTCGTCTTTAGCTTTCCCAAACCCTTCTCGATCCTCTTCTTCAAAGCGTAGCTTCAGCTCCTCTTTCCTCCTAGCATTTTTATCACGTTCCTGCTCCAGGTTGCCCTCCTGTGGAGATTCCTGAGCTTCGGCAGGGGTGGCTTCAAGATCTTCGAACTCGCCATCCCCTTCGTCGCTAAAGCCTTCCATGTCGTCATCTTCTTCTTCTTCGTCACCTTCCTCGAGGGCATTTGCTCCTGTGGCTGGAGCGGAACGGGTAAAACGTGGCATAAGAGACTGCATCACCTCCTCATCCTCCCACTTCTGGGCCAGTTGTTCATAATCCATATGCGGTGTCTGCCGGTCTTCCAAATCTTCCTCTTTCTCAATATTAGTCTTCCTGAAAAAAACTTCCTCATCGTCTTCGATCTCGTCATCGTGTGTTGGTACATTTTCTCCTCGCCACTTCGAGGCAACTTCTGCCGGTGATAACTTGAGATTGTACATCAACTTCGAGAGATCTGCTGCGCGATACGCAACTTTACTGGAGTGCATGCGTCGTGCGTTTTCAGCCATATTCTCTTTCCACCTCACACCACCGTCACTGTCCTCATTATCATCGTCGTCGTCCTCATCCTGGTCAGAATCATCGCCAGAGTCGTTCACCTCGCTGTTCGTACCCTCATCGCTCTCGCCATCGATCGATCCCAGGTCAGAGTCGCTCTCAGCAAAAGCCAATTCGCCTTGTTGCTCGCCTTCGGTATCGTTGTCTGCCGCAAATCCAGGCCGTCCAGTGTGCTGCGTCAGGTCATCTAGATCTTCATCTGAAGCGCCGTCCTCGTCCTCGTCCTCGTCTCCACTTACGAAGCCTTCGTCGTCGTCTCGGGAAAAGTCTTCTTGTGCGTTCAAAGATCTGATGCCCCTTTTCTCTTTTCGGCCATCGTCTGCTTGACCTCTGATCTGATTTGAACCTTGAAACAGCCGTACACCAGAGTCCGCTTCTCCGAGTAGCTTTCTCTCGTTCTGGAGACTGACCATCAGCTGCTCTCCCAATCCTCGATCCTCAAGATCTTCTGCTTCGGGATCAAATGTGTTCGTCTTGATGTCAATGTATACAGCATCTTTGTCGACAAGAACACCTCCAACATCCGACATCGGTGCGAAGAGGACCTTCTGCTTCTCGCCCAGCTTTCGTCGGGAGGTTTTTCCAGAAGCCTTTGCAAGGGCTTGGTCCAGATACGGCGTCGGGCATGGATCCGGCAAGGCTTCTATTTCCTTTACAGTCAAGTCTCCAACACCAGGAACGTGTACTCTTGCATTCATGGCGGGGAAATTTGTGCCTCTGAGATATCCGTATAGCGCTATCTGACGATCACATTTCTCATTCTCTTCGATCTCTGTTGGGGGGGTGACGTCCAGAAAGCGATCGGCAAGACAGTAAGGATGGCTGTTTCGCCATATAAGCGGTCGAGGGTTTTTCATGACTGATAGAAATCGAGACAAATTGTGCACCTCTCGGTCAGGATACCTTCCGTTGACCACGCCTGACAGGTAGAACAACTTCGCTCCATTGTATAGTTCAGACCAGAATCTGTGCTTGAGCCTCTTCTTGGCCATGCGAAGTGTGCTCTGCTTCTTGAACAAATCGAGATGGGTCAAAATGCCAAAGACATTGCCAGGCATACCAGAAGTGCCGAGGGCGTTCAGAAACTCCATGGTTTCCATCTCAAATCCATAATTGCCGTCGATCATCAGCAGGACGATGTCGGCGATCTTGGCAACATCGATCATGGCCGCCAACGAGTCTGAAGGGCATTCGAGGAACGTTAGCCGTCGTCGCTTCGAAGTAACAACCGTTAAAGGGCCACTAGGGTGCGAAAGAGTCTGTTTCGAATATCGCTTGATTAGGCTTTTGATCAGTGTTGTTTTGCCTACGCCAGGAGGGCCAACGACCGCAACGACGATAGGTGGCGCTTCTTCGGGCAATCGGTCCACCTGAGGAACATGAAGGCGTTTCTCCTTTATATCGCTGGTCCGTACAGCCTGCTTTGCCAGTCGGCCCGGATTGGCGACGGCGAAGGCTTTGGCATTACGCTCGCCTTTCTTGGGCTTCTTCTTTTCTTTCGAAGCCCGGTGCGGGCGATTGGCTTGGTCCTCCATGGTTGGTCCTATGCCTCCACTAGTCCACCTTGTTCCAAAGTATTGCACAGCATTGGGAAAAGTGGCGGACGAAGAACTTGGGCGCAGTGGCCGCTGCAGTCTGGAAACTTTTTGTTGTTATCGATAACGAGCGGAGCAGATGCCAAGCCACACCGCAGCCTTGTCCCGACCATCCCTTCGACCACCATTGCATGTCCTCACTTGCTCTTTGCTCTACCGAAGAAATATAGTCTCGATATGCAGATCCCACGGGTCAGCTTAAAGCTCGTTAAAGACCTCAATACCGCATCGAGGCGTGAGTGCTGGGCGAGATGATATGCACCTTCCCAGATTTTCCATCACTGCGGGACCCACCGGGCATATCTGCAGTGAAGTTTGCTTTCCTCTTACTCTCTTAATTTGTTAAGCGTCCCAATATGACTACCGTCATTGCCTTTGAATGATCTTACATCCTCCCGTCTGCGTCTTACACAGGTATCATTTGGCTATAAGCATGACAGCGTAGCTGGACTGCGCTGCGTATGTGGATGGACTTCTAAAATTCGCTAGAAGGATGACATCCTCAGAAATTCTCAATTCTGTCAATGGCTCACCATCGCCTGTGCATGGTAGAAGCTATCAGAATGACCTTTCCGATAACAGCTTATTCGCCCAGCATGAGCAACTCGTCGATTGGGTGCTCCGCAACGAAGGCTACATGCACCCAAATGTCGAGCTTGCCTATCAGCCGTCCAAGGGCTACCACATGGTCGTTGCAGACGGCAAGAAAATCAAGCCACAGACACGCATTGTCAGTTGCCCGGTGTCATGCTCGTTGTCGGTCCTCAACGTCTTGAACATTGCACCATTCTCAGATCACGGCACCAAGTTCCCCCGTCAGTACTTGCACAACAACGTAGCACGCCCAGAGCTGTTGCAAGCCTTCTACCTCATGGAACAGAAAATGCTTGGCGATCAGTCATGGTGGGCACCATATATCAAGACGCTACCGTCGGTAGAAGACATCAATGCTCTGCAATTTGATTCACCCGATGATCGCCAGTGGCTAGAAGGGACAAATCTGCAATCTGGCTGGGCAGACTTGACATTGAAGTGGCGGTCTCTTTACGAGAAAGGGCTGCAAGAACTGAAAGTACTGAACTGGACAAACGCAATCAATGGCGCGTTCTCTTGGTGAGTATATTCTGGCCGCTGTTCGCAATTGCTGATTGTCCAGGGATCTTTATCGTTGGGCCGCTACCATCTTCGGCAGTCGCGGATTCTCATCTGTCGTCTTATCTGACACGACTCCATCAGAGCTGGCTCGGCTTGGAGGCCACCACGGCGTCAAGGAAGCTCCATACGTCAAGGAACTCTTCACTGAACGTTTCTCCGTCTTACTACCACTACTTGATGTCCTCAACCATAAGCCCCTCGCGAAAGTTGAGTGGCAGCCGCGAACCGCTTTCGTGGGGTTGCAAGTACTTGAACCGTACGAAGCTGGTCAGGAGCTTTGCAATAATTACGGGCCAAGAGACAACGAAAGCCTACTGCTCTCGTACGGTTTCATTATCCCGGACAATCCATTCGACCATGTACTTCTTTCCATCAGTCCGCCTCCAGGAACACTCCTAGACATCGTACGTTCATGGACTCCAGACCAGCGCTCGAGCCCAGATCGCAAACCATACCTGCTAGAGGTCAATCATCATAAAGGCCACTCCGCGAGCTGTTTCGAATCTTCTGTATTCGGCTTTGACCTTCTCGACGCCGTTTCAGTCCTATCCGCCAACGAGCGGGAGGCTCAGGCTATGTACAACGCGAAGAAGACGCTTGTCAGCTTCGGTCTCGCTTCGCCTCATAACTTCGATGATTTCAGAAACTTCCTGGGGATTTTCGGACAGCTGGAGCTGAAATGTCGAGCCGGAGCATCAAGACTCAAGAGCACGTATCCCACTCAGCCGCCAGTGACTCCTAAGCAACAGACTGGTAAAGCCTACCGTGACATCCAATACCGCATCTATTCTACCGCAGCTGCCGTTTGCAGGTATATCCTCCTGAGGGCGCACATGGATGGTACGTTGGACGACAGCCGCGTCTTGGCTGTGTTGCAGCAAGATCTATCACCTGAAGCCTACGTCAATCTCCAAGCACAACTAGTCCGACATACCCCAATCACATATCCTAACGAGCTCCTTTCGGTTGATGGGTTTCTGTCGATGTTGCCTCAAGACTATCTTGAGGAGCTGCAAGATACGATGAAGAATATACCAAAACGATCAAATGACTCGTCGGGTGCCCGTCAAGCTGAGACGTCCACACAGGGCCACTTTGCGTTTCTCATTTCGGCTGCATACCACTTCTACTCTCGTGGCACTCGACTTCCGAAGCGGCTCAGTCTCTGGATCGAAAAGATCATCGCTTGGTATCCACCTGATGATCCAAACTGGTCATACGTTCCTGAGCCGGGGCCGTGGGAGCCAGGGACCGAACCCCCTCAGGGACTGGTCGCCCTGCTTGAAGCCCGTGATGAATTCGTGGGAGAGCGCAACGGAAGTCCCAATCCTGAAGGCTACATTCGCTGGCATTGGCTGAAACGACCATCATTGTGCTGGGGTTGGAATGTGATGCATGAGGAGACTATTCAAGTCTCCAAGGAAATAACAGAACTTGCCAGCACCAGCGGTGCAGACACTGATCCAGGTCCTATGAGATACTTACTCTACGTCAACGCGCACTAACTGTCACTGCTCAGTAGCAGCAGTCAACCACTTGCTTCAGAGCAACAAGGATCCGAAGCACAGCTAGCCAGGATCTACACATGACATTTCGGGCAATCTAGCAGCTGTTCACAAAGACGATACCATTATCTTTATTTTCCGCACGTGGGACGGCCGTTCTCGCGCCACACTTATATGCGTTCAGCATCCACCCCGTCTCAACACCCCCGTCTTCTGTACCCCATACCCCGCACAGCAGACTAATCACACATTGCTGCTCTGTTTTCTCGCCTCCTCTGACAACTCTCATGATACGAAGCACTCGACTACATCTAGGTGCCTGCCACAACAATGCCCTACCTCACCCGCGCCAACACGCGCCTCTACTACGCCACCCACGGCACGACCGGCCCACCCCTCCTCCTAACCCACGGCTTCTCCAGCACCTCGGACATGTGGGCCGAGCAAATCGCGCCCCTCTCCGCCCACCACCGCCTCATCCTCTGGGACATGCGCGGCCACGGCCAATCCGACTACCCCGTTGACTCCACGGCCTACAGCGAAGACCAAACCGTGCACGACATGCTCTTCCTGCTCGACACCCTGGCCCCAGACTGGCCCCGCGCCATCGTCGGCGGCCTCTCCCTCGGCGGCTACATGTCCCTGGCCTTCTACCTCCGCTTCCCCACCCGCGTCAGCAAGCTGCTCATTATCGACACGGGGCCAGGCTTCAAATCCGCCGACGCCCGCGCCGCCTGGAACCAGACCGCGCACGCGACGGCGCAGCGCTTCGAGCGTGAGGGCCTCGCCGTGCTGCGGGACGCGAGCCCGGAGCGCGCGCGCGTCACGACGCACCGCAATGCCGAGGGGCTGGCGCGCGCGGCGCGCGGCATGCTGGCGCAGCGGGATGACCGGGTCATTCGGGGTCTGGAGCGGGTGAAGGTGCCGAGTTTGGTGGTGGTGGGGAGTGAGGATCGGCCGTTCCTGGCGGCGAGTGAGTATATGCACAAGAAGATTGGGGGGAGTAGGAAGGTGGTGATTCCGCGGGCGGGGCATGCGGCGAATATTGATAATCCGGAGGACTTTAATCGGGCGCTGTTGGAGTTCTTGGGAGAGGGAGATGGGGAGAAGGCGAAGCTGTGAGGCTGGGTGGCTGGAGCTTGTGTTCTTCTTCATTGGTTGTCGCAAGCTATAGACATGTTGCAACGCCGATTGCAGTGTAGGGGGTATCTTGTGGTAACACATCGGGGGAAGGTGTTGTACATGATTTTTGACTCTTGTCTCCGCCGGATCCGTGAGGATTTCTTCCTTCTGCACCGACGTCGGAGCTCGGCCAGACACCGTGGGCCTCAAGGCGAGGCGATGAGATGGCTCGTGCTGCAAGAAACCAGCAGTGGCTATGATATCGTGATTGTGCAAGAGCTTCGCTGCCCTTGGCTGTGGGTGGAAGCCTTTCGGTCGTCCTCCGCTCTTCAGTCTTCCAGGCACGCGAACGGCTGCATCGCCTGTCCGTACGCCGCTGGTTCTGACCAGGATACCATTGGCGGCCTACAGTCGTGATATCGTCGACAATGGCGGAGACGGCCGCTCGCGTGACATGCGCGGATGAGTAGCGCTTCTCGTCGATCGTAAATCTCTTACCCATCACGGGTTGACCGACCTTGAAGGCTCGGCTTTCTCGCTTGTAGCCTCCGCCGTTGATGGTTCAGCGACCATGAGATCTTCTGCTGAGCCATTGCCAGTCGTGGCAGGCTCCTGTACAAGCGACCGTGCCTGTTCCGCCTGATACTGTATAATCTCATCATACTCTTGGTAGTTCTTATTTTTCCAGTCCCAAAGGTATTCGATACCATCCACAAGCTTTGGTTCCGTCTTCTCGCCCGTCTCGGTGCGATGCCAGCGCGGCGTAGGGTCCATTTCGCTCGTTACGAAAGGGGTGAGCTTACAAGGTTAGTCAGTGCGTTTTACTATCGAGCGAGACACATACTTTAAAATCCTTGAGGTCTGGGACGTTGTAGTGCCGCACTCTGCGCCAGTCGATAAGGTAACCTCCCCATTCTGTGTGTGCACCCATGGCTCCAGTACGAGTACCCCGATAGAAGCCGCGACCAACCTGCTTGGTGGTGAAGCGCACGCGATGGCACAAGGTCGGTGAGGGCTTCATGGCGGCTGCTCGAGGGGATGGTTCCTTCGCTGCTGCGCGGAGAGTACTGTCGTTGATGAAGTGCGTAGAGTCGAGCACGAGAGCTTGCAGATGGTGCCATGGGAATCTTTTGCGAATCGCTCCCGGCGTAAGAGTTTCTCCGTGCCACAGAGCCCCACTTAAATTTCCAAAGGCCGCTTCACTGCCTGAAGTGCCTTGCGAATTTCTCTGTCCCCCCTGCTTGCACTACTCTTAACTGCCAAAGGTCAGCATCAGCGAACTCACCATGCCACGTCAAGCGCATGGCCGACCGGTCAGTCACAGCGGTCCCTCGAGACCTCCGAAGCGCAAGCCCGCAAAAGGTCGAGGCTTAAATGCGCTTGAGATTGCGGAGCAAGAAAATCCAGAGACAACCAAGATTCCCAAGCACCGCCTTGGTGAGTCCTATGGTGATGACGATGATGGAGACACGCGATCCGACGCCGGCGAGCGCTCATCGAAGCGTCGGAAGACCGAGACACAAGATGAGGAGGAGAGTGAGAGCGGCTCCGATCCTGACGGTGAGCGGTGGCACGTGATGGATGACGACGATGAAGACAGCGACATCGACAGTGACGATGCGTTTGGCGAGAGTGACGAAGATCGCTTTGCAGACTTCACGTTTCGGGGGAGCATGGACGTTCTAGGCAAGAAGAATAAGTCGAAACAGCCTGCACAGAAGAGAGGTTCGCGACAAGCAAACGTCGTTAGCGATCTGGAGGAAGAGAGCGACATCGAGGACGATTTCGGCGACGAGGGTATCGATCTTGCAACTGCTCTAGATCAAGCTAGTGACAACGAGTCAGAAGAGGATCGGAAAGACACCTCCAAAGACCGAGTACGCAAGGATGCTCGTCTTGAAGTCGATAGTCAGTCTTCGAGCAGCGAGGACGAGTCAGAAGACCTGGACGATATGGAGTCCACATTCTCGATCTCGGATGAGGAAGACGGAGATCATACCAGGCTTCAGACATTCGTGGAGGGATTGTCAGCGAAGAAAACCGATCCAAAGCCCAGAGGCGATGATTCGGAGGCACCAAACTCGAAAATCTCGGCGGCCGATCTTCTCCAATATGTCAAAGACCCTCGACAGCGGCAGTCGCTGAAGGTCCTTCAAAACAGTGAGGCTAAAGGCCCGGAACTATACAAGGGCGGCATCCCTGGTCGCCTAGCGGCGCCGCTGGCAAAAAGACAGCAGGACAGACTCGATCGAGGTGCTGCGTATGACCAAAGCAAGAAGGAGCTCGATAAGTGGGTTGATACCGTGAAGCAAAATCGCCGCGCAGAACACATCTCTTTCCCGTTGCCTGACCCGGACGGGGCGCCCTCGAGTAACAAGAAGCTTGCACCAGTGGTCAATTCTGAGCCGATGAACGAGCTCGAGTCGAAGATCCAGGACATTATGCGTGAAAGTGGGATCTTGTCCGCCAAAGGCGACGCAATGGAGAGAGAGGAGCAAGAGTTCGAGGAACTCGAGGAACAAAAGTTGCCACTCGAAGAGGTACAAGCCCGCAGGGCCGAACTCCGCAAAGCCCGAGACCTAATGTTTCGAGAAGAAATTCGGGCGAAGAGAATTAAAAAGATCAAGAGCAAAGCGTATAGAAGGGTTCATCGAAAGGAGCGAGACAAGGCTGCTATGCAGCAGAGAGCCGAACTCTCTGCTCAAGGTCTTGTTGACTCGGATGCTGAGCGAGAACACAACGACCGCCGCCGGGCCGAGGAGCGTATGGGGGCACGGCACCGGGAGAGCAAATGGGCCAAAGGTGCAAAAGCTGCTGGGCGCACCATTTGGGATGAGGATGCTAGGGTAGGGGTGGCTGATATGGCTCGCCGTGATGATGAGCTACGGAGGCGGATAGAAGGCAAGACAGCTGGTAGCTCGGACGAGTCTGAGCAATCCGATTCGGAGGGCTACAGCTCAGATGAGGCAGAAGAGGACATTCAACAGCGGCTCCGCGCGGTCAATGCTCCGGAGTCTGGAGAGGTCAAGAGCAAGCTAGCCAACATGGCTTTCATGCAGCGAGCTGAAGCTTCACGGAAGGCCGCCAATGATGCCGAGGTCGAGACTCTTCGTCGACAGATGCGTTCTACTGACGACCACAATGGCTCAGACGCAGAGACAGATGATCAGTCGGACGTGCTTCCGTCGGGTCGACAGAAATTTGGCGGCAACAGTGAGGCTGTTGTGCGTCCTGTACCACAACAGCAGCTCTCCAAACGAGAATTCGATGAGCGGCTATCTGACGAAGAGGAAGATCTTGCGGAATTGGATGGTCCATTGCCTACTGCGTCAGCCGCGGGTCCTCCGAACGCCGCCAAATCCAAGGCACAGCCTATTCTTACTGCTGCGAAAAAGCAAAGTCGAACCGCACAGGACGTCGAGACCGGCCCACGAATAGTATCACAGATCCAGTATCAGAAGAGTCGTACGAGTGCGCCCGTCAACGAAGGCAAGTCGCAGAAGCACCGGTCCAAGGTTCTGCAGCTTGCAGACCAACTCAGCGAATCTGAGAACGACGACGACGACCCGTTCGCAGAAGGTGATGGTCAGGCGGAGACGCTGGCGGACACTATCTTCATGGGTCCAGACGATGTCAGTCGGGAATTCGCAAAGGAGAAGAAAGCCACGATTGCAGAGGAGGGAGATCAAGAAATTGATAATGGCTTACCCGGTTGGGGTAGCTGGGGTGGTGCTGGTATCAACAAGAAGAAGCAGAAGCAGAACAAGGGTCGCTTCGTGACGAAAGTCAAGGGCGTGGCGCCCGAGAGCCGCAAAGATGCGAAACTCGACCGAGTCATTATCAACGAGAAGAGGATCAAGAAGAACGGCAAGTACCTTGCGACCGAGCTGCCACACCCGTTCGAGTCTCGACAGCAGTATGAGAGGGCGCTCAGGTTGCCCCTTGGCCCTGAATGGTCAACCAAGAGCACTTTTCAAGACGCGACAAAGCCACGCGTGCTCGTCAAACAGGGTGTTATCAAGCCTATGGCGCGTCCGATGGCATGATGGACGGAGCTGGTCGCTGTACACCGTGTGCCAAGATGTGGTCCGTCAGTGCCAATGCCTGGAAGATTTCCAGACAAGGGCGCTGACTGAAAATTACAAGTACATCAATTGCAACATACTAGTATCTAGGGACCAAGGCTCCTTCACTTTCCAACATTCCTCAATGGCAGCTACCACAGCTACGTATTGGTAAGTGCAGGTTTCGCTCTTTCCTACCAATATGGATTGGCCCTTGAGAGCTCGAATCCCAACACCGTCAATATCCCTTACATCACCGCATCCTCTTCATCCATTCCTATCCCTCCCTATAGTCCTATTGTCCCATATCACAATACCCTTGTTGGATTCCCTTTGTATTCTGCCGACCCACATTCTTTGTCGTAACCTGGTGGCCCGAGCCGCCTCCACTTCAGTCGACGTCTGTCCAGCCCATCCACGTGGATGTTCCCGCTACGATCAACATGGTCAGCTCTGGTATGTGGATTTTCTTGTCCGTCTCAATGAGGCAGTCTGTTGATGCCTTGCATCATCGACGAATTTTGTACCAAGAGCCTGGTCAAGAGATTGGGTACCTGGAATATAATGCATCTTGACGCTCCCATAACACCTCATCCACACACAGCTACTTCCTGCACACCTGCATCGAGAAGGGCCGTCCAAAATCCAAGAACCCAAACTTCCTCTAAGCACCGCAGCATGTCTGCACCACATTTGATAATTTTACTGACAGTGACACAGGCACTATTAGCCGGAGCATTTCCGATTCCCTTTCGTCAGTGGTTCAGCCTCTTCACTGACACCTGCGACAGCCCTCCTCATTCTCCATCTCAGCCCTCTAATGATGATACACTAACGCAGGTGGGAGTATCCGTAGATGCCGCAGCACAAGAATCCAACTCGTCCCTGTACACCTCCGTGATCACCTTCAACGACCCCTCGCTGAGTTTGCACACCGTCACTGCCACCGAGTTGCCGAATCCTCAGCATCCTTCGAATACGACGGGAAGTCCCGACACGACCGGGTCTTTGGTTACTACAATCCAGACTGAAGGCAACCCACCTGTCCAGCCCTTTCCCACCAGTTTGCCGTCCGTTACTGAGTCGACGCTCGAACCCCTGAACACCACTGGCTTATCTGTCAATGTTTCCACTGTGCCGTCGACACTCACGCAGACTATCACCCTGCCATTGACCACATTCGAGACGGTTATTACAACCGAGACTGTGATCACCATCGCAGTTCCTACGACCGCCGTCCTTACCCAGGTCACCGTTGTCGAATCGACATACACATCTGACGGCTCCGTGATTACGACCTCATCGGTTGGCACTACCGCTGTCACAACGATTGGCTCAGCCCTAGTTGAGACGACTCTGTCGGCGTCTCAGACCAATACCTCGACCATTACCACCGTGATCACGACCGACGACCCGGACAGTGTCCCTATCGCAACAGCATCCCCAGCCTGTTTACTCAGCATGGGCTGTGATGGACAAGACATGTTCTTACCAGTGGCTATTGGCCAGCCTCCAGCGAACCTTCAACCACGTGCAGGTCATCCTGTTCCTCGCCTCGGTATCGTCAACACTACCGGTCCTATTGAGACCAACAAGTTCTACTCCAATTTCCATCTCGGTCTGCAACGCTTCCCGGCATTTGTCACCCCGTACAGCTTGACTTGGAGCAAGGGCACTGGAAATGCTTTGAGCTGGGGCATGGCGATCTCCCACATCGAAAGCAACCAGAAAGTGTTTGGCCCTAGCAACGACAACATTCCTGGAAAGCCCAACAGCTACTACATCAATCCTCTTGGAATCCAGTCATTGATAGTCTCAGCAAAGGAGCTACAGAAGGATACCGTGCTTAAGACCGATGAGCTTCACTTCATGACAGGCAGGGCCATTCTTCTACCCAATGAAGGCTCGACATCATCCATTCTCTTACCAATGGCCTCCGGCATGGGCTTTGTCAGTGCATTGTATACCAACTTGAAGCCATGGGTCCAGAGCAGTGTCTTCTTTCGCAACGTCGCTCAGATTGCATCTCCAAAATCAGGCGTGTGGAAGTACAAACTGACTCTAGAAGATGGCAAGATATGGCTTCTGTATGCCATGTCCGACAGTGGGGTCCCCCCGAATTTTGCCCTCATCTCCAGTACTCTCCTTCAAGGCGTCGATAATTGGTCCGGTCTCATACAGATTGCAAAATTGCCGGACGAGTCCGCCGAGGCGATCTACGACGATGCGGTCGGAGTATACCCAACTAGTGGACACGTCGGCGGCTACGCTCACAATACAACTGCCGAATACAGCCTGTCCTGGAGCAAGGGTGGCCCTTATGCCAGCAACACATCCCTTCTGATGTTTGCACTGCCGCACCATGTTGAGTCTTTTACCAGCACCACCCGCAGCTCCGTCAAGAACCTCCGACTCAACACACTCACCAAAGGCATTGCAACTGCGGTCTTCGCCGATTACTGGTCGCTGCAGGAAACTCTGTCAACATCGATGGGCTTCGCACCATGGCGTCCTCAAGGCACTGGACCGGTCACAAACCTGAGCGCCAATGCGATCGCCGCTATCCAAGGTATTGCAGCCATAGAAGCATCCCAAGACATGAATGCTCAGACCAATCTGAACAGCATGTACTACAGTGGGAAAGGCCTCAGCAAATTCGCAACACTCTGCTATGTGATGCATGAGATGTCGGATCAGCAAGACCTTGCATCAGCTGCGTTGGAAAAGCTAAAGACTGCCTTTGCGGTCTTCACAGAGAACCGACAGGAATTTCCGCTCCTGTACGACACCGACTGGAAGGGTTTAGTCTCATCAGCCAGCTATGTTACTGGAGACAGTGGTCTCGACTTCGGCAATTCATACTACAATGATCACCATTTCCACTATGGATACTTCATCCACGCCGCGGCCATTATCGGCTATCTCGATCCATCATGGCTACCAGCGAACAAGGACTACATTAATGCCCTGGTGCGAGATACCTCCAATCCCAGTTCTGTGGATCAATACTTTCCAGTCTTCCGGTCTTTCGATTTCATGGCCGGTCACTCTTGGGCCAAGGGGCTGTACGAGACTGGGGACGGCAAGGATGAAGAGTCATCCTCCGAAGATGCCATGTATGCCTATGCTCTGAAGATGTGGGGCAGAACCGTTGGCGATCCTTCAATGGAATCTCGTGGTGACCTTATGCTAGCTGTATTGGCGCGTAGTCTTCGCCACTACATGCTGATGGACTCAACCAACCAAAATCAGCCTGCTGAGTTCATCGCCAACAAGGTGACAGGGATTTTGTTTGAGAACAAGGCTGATCACACGACCTACTTTGGCAACAACCCGGAGTACATTCAGGGCATCCACATGATTCCTATGTTGCCCTTCTCGACTTTGACGCGATCACCGCAGTTTGTCGCCGAAGAGTGGGGTGCTTATTTTGTGGATGGTGCTTTCAACCAGGCCAAGGACGTGCAAGGAGGATGGAAGGGTTTGTTGTACAGCAACCTATGCATCATCAATCCAAGAGCATCCTATAACTTCTTCACACAGCCCGACTTTAGGCCGGAATGGATCGATGGAGGCGCTACAAGAGCGTGGTACATTGCCTACGCAGCGGCCTTGGGTGGAGCCCCGTGAGGTGTGAGATGAGTAGGTTTGAGCACGGCTACGACATTACGATACACGACAACCGCATAGAGATGGAACAACGACTATATGAAAGCATAGAACAGACGGCTGGACTTAGAATAGACAGATTGACGAAATGCGATGCCATTCCCCGAGACTCGCCAAGACTTGAACTCCGTACGCCTCGTTGCCTTGTGCTTAGCCACCAACCGTCTTCTCATCAGCCACTTTTGTAGCCAAATCCAAAGCATTGACTGGATTCGGAAAGTTACATCCTGCAGACAAGCAGCTGTTCGAACAATTCGTCAGAAGAGTGTCCTGCGTGCATCAAACGACCTAGAATCAGAAATATATTTCCTTTCGCCGCCAAAAGATCAACATACTCCAAAGGACCAGCAAGACTTCCTACAATCACGACACATAAAAAGCTCTCATCGAACCACACAGCATCGAAATTCAATGCCCGAAACCTCGAAGCCGTCCTAAGTCCCACACTGCACTGCACCGCGCGAGGGAGACGCAAGGCAGGGCAAGGCAGGGCAAGGCGGGGCAGAGACCTAGAAACCCACATTCGAGAAAGAGGGCGGGCACTCAAGACGTTACGCGACCAGTGCAAGTCTGCCTCTGCCTCGGGATCTACATCTGCGCCACCGCCCTTTTCTGCATCAAAGCAAACTACAGTGACAGCCCACACGCCTTCTTTCCCCCTCACCCCCCCACCCACCAAAAATGGACTCCTCCACCTCCATGGAGGACCCCTCCCGCATCGACGCCCACGGCGCCCTCCTCCACCCCCCTTCACCGACCCTCTACAACACCAACGACGACGACGGGAGTACCGGCGTGATCGACTTCTCCACCCTCGCCCTCCGCCACGCCGGCCTCTCCGCGCAGCTCAAACCCAACGGGCAACTCGACTTCAGCGACCCGGCCTCGGTGCGCGAACTGACGCGGGCTCTCCTGGCCAGAGACTTCGCGTTGAGGCTCTCGGTCGTGCCGGAGGACCGGCTGTGTCCGCCCGTTCCCGGGAGGTGGGCTTATGTGGCTTGGGTTGGGGGGTTGGTCGATTCGACGGATCCGAGGGTCCCCAAGGGGGATGTGATGGGGAGGGGGGAGAGAGAAAGGCAAGTCCTAGGCGTGGATGTCGGGACGGGCGCGAGTGCCATCTATGCGCTGTTGGCGCTGCGGGCGAGGAGGGGGTGGAGGGTCGTGGCGACCGAGGCGGATAAGAAGAGTTTGAGGGCGGCGAGGGCGAATGTCAGCGATAATGGGGCCGGAGTGGTGGGGAGGTGTCGTGTTGTGGAAGCTGAAGAGCGGGAGGAAGATGGACAAGATGGACAACGAGACGAAGGAGGCGAAGAAGGAGCTGGTCAGGGGGATTCAAAAAGGTTGAGGATCCTCCCCCTCAAAGCGCTGCGGGAGATGGGCGTGCACAGAGTCGACTTTGTCATGGTCAACCCCCCTTTCTACGCCAGCGCAGAGGAGATGCGTGCGAGTGCGCGCGCGAAGAAGAGGCCGCCCAACAGTTGCTGTACGGGGAGCGAGGGGGAGATGATCTGTGAGGGTGGGGAGGTGGGGTTCGTGGGCAGGATGATTGCGGAGAGCGTTGCGATCAGGGACGCTGCGACGATGGCAAGAAGAGGCCCACGACGAGGAATGGGGACAAAGGAGGGGGGGACACTGCAGGTCCAGTGGTGGACCTCGATGCTCGGCAAGCTCAGCAGCATCGGCGTCCTGATCGAGCAGCTACGTGGGCAAGGCTGCAGTAACTACGCGGTCACGGAGTTTGTGCAGGGGAGTAAGACGCGCAGGTGGGGGTTGGCGTGGAGCTGGGAGGGGTGGAGGCCGAGCGTGGATGTGGCGAGAGCGATTCCGGGGCTGGAGAAGAGGCTGTTGCCCAGTGTCACGGAGGCGAGGTTTGAGGTCGAGGGTGAGGCCGACGGGGTGGGGAAGAGGGTGGACGAGTACGTCGAGGAACTGGAGTTGGATGGCGACGACGATGAAGGCGATGGGGTGCGGTGGGTGTGGAAGCCGAGGGAGAGGATGGGCCTGGGGGCTTGTCACCGGGGAGATTGTTGGTCGAGGAAGGCGAGGAGGGCGAGGGAGCAGGAGGCGCGGAGGAGGAGGAGGGCGGGTGAGGTGGATCAAGTCATGGGTGGTGGTGATGAAGAGGACGAGACGGAGCCGCAGTTGGTGTTCAGGATCAGGGTCGCGGAGGGAGAGCTGGGGATGGCGAGAGTCGAGGTCAGGTGGTTGAGGGGTCAGGATGCAGTGTTGTTTGAAAGCTTCGTGGGGTGGTTGAAGCGGAAATTGAAAGAGGGTTGAGCAGATGGAAAGAGTGTTGCGGCTCGCTCGAGAGAATGACTTCAAGACTCCGGGAGTGGTAGGAAGGCTTCATCGAATTCGATGGCACGTTATGATAATCTCCTCACGATGTCAATTCAGCCAATATCTCCTGCAAGCGCTCCCAACCCTCTGTCCCTTCCCACGTCTCTTTTCCTCGACCCATCACCCCTCTGACCGCCGTCTTCGCCTTGAACTGCCACTTCTCCTCCACCTTGCCACCCGTCCGCTCCCTCTCCATCCCACCGAGCTCCTGGTACGCACTCACCACCCGCACCGTGGCTTCTACAATCTCCTTCCAGCTTTTCTCCGATTCATATGCATTCGGCCGAGCAGTCACGGCCCGCCACGCTTTTTCGTTGAGCGACAGTGCCTCAGCTGGCCTTCGCCTCCAGAGGGCCACTTTCGCGAGCAAAAGGTACAGCTCTGGACTGTTGGTCACCAACGGGCACACCTGTTTGTCCAACAACTGCAGTAGTGCTCGCGCAATGAAAGGCAGCCCACTCGATGTTGGTGGCGCCACTTCTTCGCTCGGTCCCGCGGCTGCCTCTTCCACCGCCTCTTGATCCTGTTCTTCCGCTGACGGATACGTGAAGGTGCCAGTGACGTAGCTCACGACCACCGATAAAATCTTTAGGTCAATGGATCCTTCGCCCTCCTTCTTGCCCCTGAGGTCGATGACCCTGCCCATGGCCTGCACGACCTCCGCCCATGGAGTCCCACCACTGGGCGGGATACTGGCCGCCACAGTTAAGTAGTTGTCCCAGATTCTTGCATCGTCCCTCTTCAGCGTCGCCGCCCGTCGCAGTGCCTTGAGTGCCATCTTCTTGTTGCGATGCAAGTCCGGCGGTCCAGCAAAGTTGGCAGGGTCGTCATCCGGTGGCGGCGGCCGGCCCGCGTCCGAAGCACGCGGTGTAGCCGCAGTGTCCTCATCGGGCTCAGGCAATCGCAGCAGCGACACTGCAAGGTTACTCCATGCTTGCGCGTCAGAGTCATCCAGCATGACGCACCGCTGGAAGGACTGGCTGGCGCCTTCAAAGTCAGTGAGTTCAAGCTGGACGCACCCCAAACTGAACCAGGTGGCGTGGTTAAGCTGTCCGCGGGAGAGCGCAAGCTTGTACGCCTCTGCAGCGCGAGTGAAGTCGCGAGCTTTCATGTAGTATTGCCCAAGGGAGCGTTGGGCACGGGAATAGGTCTGCCGCGAGTAGCTCCAGGCCAGTTGATAGTAAGCGGGATCCGTGAGTATGTCGCCGAGGATACAGAGCAGCCGGGGAGTGTCCGAAGGAGCATCAGGCTTGATGTTTGGAATGGTTGGTGGTGCAGTAGGGTCGACAAAGACAAGAGACTGGAGCAGTGAGGTGGCCTCCTTTTCGCGGTCGGTAGCGGCCAGACAGAGGGCTGTTTCCGCGTGCTTCTGTAGACGCTGATAGATTTCGAGGGCGGTCTTGAGGCCACCCATGGAGGTCCATCGTTCCGCCAGCTCCGTCTCAAGTTCCCAGCGAAGCGGAGGCGAGAGCTGGTAGGCATATTTGAGGCGCTCGGCTACAGTCGCAGAGTCCGAGTCTTGGGGTTTGGGGAGGAACGTGGAGGTCGCCGAAGAAGAGGTGTCGGCTTCAGCAGTGGGCTTGTTTGGTGATGATGTGGTCTCGGCGATGACTTGGTCAACGAGAGCCTGCAGCTGGAGAAGGCCGCGCTCAACGGTGCGGGATTTGAAGCCTTCTATGCGTGAGCGGACGAGCAATGCTTGCGTATAGACTTGCCAGTTAGAGGAGCCGCCTTCGAGGACGCGGGTGGCGTAAGGGAGTGTCTCTTCTCTGGTAAGGCCGTCGCTGGGTGAGGTGTTGGTGATACTAGAGGCAATAGCAAGAAGTATTATACTGTCAACAGGGAACAGGAGAGGTTGGTTCGAGGGATCGAGCTCTGAAAGGCGTGCAGGCAGACTGGATTCCTCTGAGATTTGTGTAACTTCTGGCTCAAATGCAGGTTGCTCTTTGAATTTGATGCGCTCAAGGAGGGTGTCATCGTTGAGGGGAAGATTCTCTGGCTGTACGGGTGCAGCAGCAAGAGGAGGCTCCTTGCGCTCTTGTGTGGGCGAGGAGGGCGCCGATGGTGTAAGTGGTCGCAGGGCTACGGGAGCTCCTTCTGATGGCATACCGGGACTGTGAGGTGGCGTTCGCATGGTGTCAACTCTGCTGCTCCTCCTCGATGAAGGTTCTGCACGACTTCCTTTCCGACTGCTGTACGGCTCGGGCTCGTGGTCGCGGCTCTTGGCGAGCACGACGAGTTGACTTAGGTCGTTTCGCTGAAACTTGGTCCGCTTGCCCAATGCCCCAGTAAGGGCAAAATAGAAATGTCTGATTGTGGAAGCTCGCGTGAGATCTTCACGGGCCTTGTCGTCATCTCCATAGAAGATCTTCAACTGAGCTCGCTCAATCAGAAACTCGACAAAATGCTCTTCGGCTGCAGCGCCACCGAACTGCAGTCGTGAATGCAGCTGTTGCTCCAAGATATCGGCGTCGGCGTAGATAATCTCCTGCAGAGCTTCTGACTTTTCGCTGAGTAGCTTCTGGTGCCAACTGTTGACGCGAAACCTGGCTCTTCGGCCGTTGAAACCCGGCTCTGCTAGAGTTGGGCTAGACATGATGAGCTTCGCCAACCAAAAGAGCTCGATGTGCGGTGTCAGCTGGTAGACGGCGTTGCCATCGACCGAGAGATCAGCTAGCATCTGTCGCTTGACGGTAGGCAAGTCTGAACCGCGGTATGTTTCTGGAAAAATGGACTCATTGGGGTCGAAGTCGAGCGGCGGGCCAGTGCAGTTGGCTTGCAAGAAGGCTTCCAGTGCTGTGTAGCCGACCTTGAGGAAAGCGAGGTGCTTGGAGGTATCGCTCAGCAGGAATTTCAGTCTGGAGCTGACCCCGCTAAGGAAAGGAGTTTTCTCTGCATGGGTTGCGTCAAAACCCAACAGCTTCCGTGTCAATGGATCATGGAGGATCTCAAGAAATGAGTTGCCCATCTTGGGGTACGGGAAGAGGAGATCCATGGTTGATAGTGATGCTAGATGCTAAGACGAGGCTGAGAGAAAAGGATGAGGGAGTTTTTTTCGTAGCTCGCAGTGTGCGCAAGCCGTCTGGCGGTGTGTGCGGTATGTGAAGCGTGATATCATCTACATTGAAGCAGCAGGTGAGTGACTGATGCACCAAGGTTCCCAGTGTGTTGCTTGGCCGGAGTTGCTGGTGAACCGCGAAAGCGCGGACGACTGGGCCGGCGAGACGGTTAGGCTGTCAGCGGCGATCAACACCAAGGTATCCAGCTCCAATATTGGCGCAGGGTCGATCGTGCCTGGTCAGAGGGCCAGTTGCCATCAATCAACAAGCGACACGTCAAAGCAAAAGACATGCACAAAAGTTCTCGAGACTCGATCCGTCGTGTTGAAAATTGAACCCCGCAATTCTTGTCGTCGCCGGCTGCGTGGTCCACCATGCAGCCCGCAGCCTGCACACCCTGCACACCCTGCGCACCGCAACCATGCACCGTCAATGGCAAAGAAAAAAAGCTTAGTTCCTCAAAGAAAAAAAACGGGCGGCTGCGTTAGCCCCCACGTCGTTGACGAACGCTTTGCCGCCGATCAGCAGGCGCCGATCCGGGTCAGATAGGCGCGAAGACTAGCAGGATGATGTGCAGCGAGGCGTCCCCGGGGGCTTATTAGCCTCAATGGACTCAACGGTACGCGTCGATGAGGTCCTTTCTCTATCGGTTTTCCCAAAAGCAATTCCCAATTCCGATTCCACTAAACGCACATGGCTATATTGGTGACTATTATCCGCTACACACGCTCAAAGTACAGCAGATCATCCATCCAACCCCTCCGGAAACGACAGGAGGGGTGGTGGCGGTAGAAAGTATGTAAGCAGTGACATTGTACAACTGTGCTTTTTATCATTGCTCTCGTCACACACATGATGATGAAGGGACCCAACAGGCGGGTCATATCTTCTTGCCGGTCCGGGCTTCATATGAGGGCATCCCCGCTGCCATATGCATCCGCTTTCGGTAGAACTCGCGATGTTGGTATCGTCGCCAGGTGCCCCAGCCGTAAGCCAGCACGAAGATCAACAACCACGAGAGCGTGATGATCATGCCGGTGGGGAAGATGCCCAAAGTCGTGCCCGGGAGCACAAAGACCGACGATTGCTCGATCGCCTGCGCCTGGAACTCGGCGCTGGCCGCGTTGTTGGAGAATTCACCCCGGAACTCGCCCACCACGAAATAGGCCGTGTCGGTGGTGGTCAGCGCTGTCTCCACCGGTGCTCGGTCGTCTTCACTGACCGCGTTGACGGTGATGGCAGGCACCATCAGCGACATGACCTGGTCATTGGTGAGCTTGTCCAAGTCGATGCTACTGTCGATGCTACCCATCAGCGTGTACTGCTGGATTTCCGTCATGTTGGTTGCTGCCTGTCGCTTGACTCGGAGCGACCGCTTGGTGTTTGTGGTGGTGAACACGGTCGACTCGGGGTAGGTGACGCCAATCATCAGGTTGTCGGGCTGCACCGTGGTGAAGGCGCCTCGAGGCTCTTCTGCGAGATACAGGCGGAGGTCTGCAGTGAAGGTATGGCCGTCCTGATCCATTTCCATAATGTTGTAGCAGGCAGAGATGCCGGCGTCGTTGGTGATGGACGTAATGCCGGATAGGGTGTCTAGACATGCTGTCGCAATCGTACTGTTCCGATCGTCAGACGCTGACGACTGTATCGTGTCCGAGCTGCTCTGCCGCCGCTCAATATCCTTCACCACATTCCTTGCTTGCTCATCCATCCTCCGCTCCACGTTGTAGCCTCCCTCCACTCCCAACATCCGCACAGCTTTCGTAGCCACGCTCAGGTCGGACAATAGCAGCGTCGCCGCCATAACGAAACTCGCTACCCGCATCGCGGGCGGCGCAATATGGATGTCTTGTCTTGCTCGAGGTCGAGTATGGTTTTGTCGGGGTCTAATATGATCTTTCTAGTGTTGCGTTGTGCTTGTTTGCAGTAAAAGCCGCCGACCAGCGTGGCCCAAGAAAAGAGTGACTGGTAAAAAGGCGCAGCCTGTGGAATGGACGAAGGAAATGGCGGGTGTCAAGGAGAGAAAGCGTGGTCCGACGGTCCTCTTAGCGAAATGCTAGAAGAATCGCTCTCGCCCACACGAAACAGTTCTCGTCAGGTGTCGTAGGGTTTGGCGTAGGCCAGGGTTCGGACTGATGTTAGGGGTGTATTTCGTGGTATTATCCCCTACAACAGGACCGTGGGGCAAAGGTAAAGCGAGAGTACAGGTTAGTCACACGGAGGTGGTGTGAGGAGGCTTTGGGATGCAGATGGCGAGACACTCGGAGCAACAAGGAGCAGGAGAAGCCTTGTAGATGCGACACTACAGAGTCTCATCGTCGAGCCATACTTGGGGTGACTTCGCCAACCGCTCAGCGGGGACTGGACTGGTCTGCACAGGGAGCGGAGCGGATCCGTCCAAGGTGCAAAAATGCCTGGTTGAGGCTCTTGTTGGTCGCAGTGGGGATGCAAGGAGGCGTGTCAGGTTCCAGCGCTAGGCCACTAACAGAGCAGCTCAGGGGTCACCCCTGCAGGCGACGTGTCGGCAAACGTTTCAATCTGCCGGACGACTGGCCTACGCGAAGCGCCGCCACAGATAGCCCTGGGGCCAGAGGTCCAGAGGTGGCCATCGCTGGCCATCGGTGGGCCGGCCAGTTCATTTTTGGAGCCTCGAGGACCTCGCAGCGTCTCGCCCATCGTCTTGGGAGCTGCTATCAAAACATCAAGAGCATCAATCAGTCCACTCCGCTCGGTTTCTAAGATTGAACTCTTCAACAACCACTCGTTGTTCGTGGTCAACATCACGTGTTTGACTGCTGGGTGGTGGCTATTTACACCAGACATCAAGGTCTCTGGTTAAGACAGAACCTGTGCTCCATCATAGTATCCCAGTCGGCTTCCATAGCATCGTTGCTCATCTCACAGTACTGTAGTAGCACTGCACTGCACTGCCATGATACACTCCCATATCCACAAGAAGATAGCCAAGCGCGTAGTCGCGAGACAGCTTTGGATCATCTCACACATATGTATCCATCTCACTCCTGGCTACCTTGGACCAGGCGCAGGAAGTCTCTAACACGACCAAGCTCGGTACCGTTGCCGATTTCCTTCTGCTCACTGATGACCGCTTGTGTCAGGCCGTCAAGTAACTCATCGACCTGGTCCGCCTCAGCCCCGGTGCACAGCACAATGATCTTCTTGTACTTGTTCTCGAGCTCATGGCTCATGGCTCGCAATTCGCGCGCCTGCTTCTCCAATCTCGCATTGTGCTCGCGATAAGCATTGACTCGTCCGACCAACACCTCGGCTCGCTCCATGCCCGCTAGGAAATTAATCTGCTCTTGGCTGAGCGGCATGTTGGACTCGAGCACGCCCCCGCCCAGAAGCTGTTCCATCATGTGGAGCTGGCCGTTGTGATCCAGTCCCTTGTCCGCCTCGCCAACATTAGTGTGCTCGGCCCCGACCGGGTTCGTCAACTGGAGCTCTTCACGGAGTGAGGTCTGCGCAGCACGGTGGTTCTTAATCTTGTGTTCGAGCTCCTCCTGTTCTCGGACACGTGCTCTCAAACGCTCTAAGCGGCCACGCTCTTCTTTGAGTGCAGAGCTAGACTCGCGAAGGGCGGCATTAGTCTTGTCGAGTACTTCCTGCTTCTCCTTCATCTCGGCTTGGAAGTCGGCATTCGATTGTGAGAGCACCTGTCGGATCGCTGCCTTGGGTCAGTCTAGTTTCAATGCGCGGGTCATGTAGACTTACAGTTGAGAATGTTCTCCTCCGCCTCCTCGATCGACTTCTGCGATGACTCATTCTCCGCAATCGCCATGTCGAAAGCGTTGATGCTGTTCTGGTGGGGTGCGACACCGTTAGGGCCAGAGCTGACATTAAAGTCAACAGGTGCGAGACCCCCCCGGTTTGGGATCGTGGGATCGGCGCCAACCTCGATAAGCTGGTCGATGATGGTGGTCGTACTGGTCCGTGCAGCGAGGTTCAGAGCAGTGTCGCCCGCCTTGTCTTGAGCGTTGACGATCTCATTCATGAATCGAGCTAGAGTGATGGGTGTGTTCTCAGGCTGACTGCCATTCATAACTCCTTGCGAGCCAGAGCCTTGGCGGACAGTGTATTCGAGTAGCGTCTCTAGGTAGTAGCGACCGACAGCGGCGCGGCCTTTCATGGCAGACGATACCGCGATGTGGTGCAACAGTGTCCTACCACGACCGTCGCGAACTTCGATGCTCGGACCTAGCAGTTCGAGGAGCTGATGGAAGCTGGATTGGTCGAGGTTGTTTCTCGCCTGACAAGCGGCCACCAGGGCAGTCTCTCCGCCACTGTTGCCGCGACGCATGTTGAAGCCGCGCTCCAGTAGCTTCTTGACGAGCGGAATTCTGGCCAACGTGGCAGCCCAGTGTAGAGCAGTGTTTCCTTTGGCGTCGATGGGCATCTCGAACTCTTCACCACTCAGCTTCAAGAAGGCCGCATCGTCATCGAAATCCGCCTTGCCAGGCTCCATAAATAAGGCCATGAGCCATTCTTGCTTCTGCTCCTCGGCTGGTCCTTGAGGCTGGGGCAAAGGCTCGACGGAATATGGAATTGGCTGCGGCAACAAGAAAGACTGGCTGTGTTGAGAGAAGAACGACTGAGTGGGCTCAGTAGGAGTGCCATCAGGCAGCGAGAGATCCATGTGGTTGTCAAAGGCTCCCATGAACGAAGTGTTGGGCGAAGGTCTAATACGCTTGCGTGGCGGCTCTTGCGACTCGGTGTTGGGAAAGTCGGCGAAACTGGCACCTTGACTCATGATCGCATTGTTGTTGAAGCTGTCTTGCGAGGCAATGCTCTGGAGGCTCTGCTGACTGCTCTGGTACTGGTCTTGGCCGTATTGAGAAGGGCGTCTTGGGCCAGTCGAGCGCCGACCGTCGATGTGGTTAGGAGAGTCCATGCGAGTGCGGTTGAGCGCCTGGATGGCATTCGCAGCGGTGTTAGACATGTTCTTGAAGTAGGTGCCAGATTGCGACATGCTAGGGTCAGCACCATACATGCGACGACGCTGCGCAGCCAAAGCTTGCTCTTTGGTAGGCGTCTCCATGCCAGAATTGCCATCATTCGACACATCGTACTCGAGCAGAGGGCGAAGGAGCTCTTCTACACCGAATTGACGGCAGAACTCTCGTCCGCGCTGGTAGTTGATCCAGGTACCTTGATATTTTCCGTAACCGCCTTGAACTTTCTCGTGCTCCCCAGTAAGAATTTCTTTCTCTAGAACCTTGGTGCGCTTGCCCTTATCGACGCCGGCGACCTTGAGGATCTGAGTAGCATTCAGCCATGAATCGGATCTGCGGCGCATGACGGCGACACCGTTGACTTCCATTTCGTAGACCGAGACATTAGAGTAAACAGCCTGTAGAGAAGTTAGACAATCTACCATGCATACGCCAACGAGATACTGACAGTGTAGATCTGACGCTTCAAGCCATCGAGGTAGTAGGAGGCAGGCGCAGGCGCCGAGGCTTGCTGCTGATTAGACGCATAGCCGCCATTGGGGTCGGGATAGGAGGGGTAGTGCTGCGGCGGCATCATGCCATTCATCTGATGACCGTTCATGTTGTAGCTCATCGATTGCTGATGCTGCGAGCCAGGACGAGGCCCAGAAGGAGGTGCAGGAGTGCCGACAGACTGGCCAGTATCGAAAGAGCCCATAGGGGGTTGCGAAAAAGAACCACTCATTGATGCAGAGTGGCCATGAACAAAAGCTGTTGCAGCAGGTTGAGAATAAATACTAGGTGCACTAGCCATAACGGGCGCTGATAAAGTGTGAGGACCCGCGATGGTGAGGCAAGGTTCGTATAAGTGTTGTTCAAGACATTACTATAGTGACGGCTGTGAGCGCGTGATGGGCGGGCTAACGCCCGGGTGATAGGTTGATGAGGGTGATGCTAAAGCTCTCGACGTCTTTGTATGTAGTGAACAAGGCTGTCACAATGCCTCGGGAACGCACGGTCTGCGGCTACAGTGGTCAGGTAGAGGGTATCGAGGTGGCTATCGAGGGAGAGGAGGGCGGAGCTTGGTATTAGGTCTCGGTGCGTGCAGGACTGTATATAGGGTTCCTGGATAAGGCTGAGTGGCTGTATAGATGTCTGACACCCTCTGAACTATCGTATACACCCTCTTGACGCGTGGTTGATCGGAATACCGCGAAACTGTCGCGAAAAGTAGGTCGAAATTAAGTCGCGGGGTGAAGTTCGCGTCTGGTGGCCGCTCTAATGGAGGCCGTTGAAGCCCTAACCCTTACCAGCATTTACTTTACAGCTGCTGCTTTCCCACCAGCACGGCGTTCCAGATAGCAAGTACTGCCTGGTGAAGAGTGATCACTGCTTTGCCCTACCGATAAGACTCTTTGGAAGTCACAGTAGACTTCCAAAAGTCTGCCTTGTTATCTAATCATGGGGATATGAGCCACAAGACCCCTCTACACTTCAATGCTCTACACGTATACCGTGCTATCCTCCGCGAAGCCACCTACCACCCCGACCCTCATGTCCGTTCCTACTTGAGGTCCTACGCAAGGGACTCCTTCCGCACTCAGAAGATCAATTTTGCGATCGAGTTCCAAGACTGGACCTCCGTAGAGAAAGGCCGGAGAGAGACAAGTCTTATGCGAAATGCCCGAAACTTCTGCCAGACCATCCGGCGTGCGAACGATGGCTACCTCAACCCATTCCAGAAGACTCTTTCTCTCACATACGGCCGCACGGGTGCTAGGCGTCGCCAAATCATGTCCGCATTGATGGCGCCTGCCACGACTGAAACACCCCCCAGCACCAAGACCGACACAAATACACCATCAACGCTCGATAAGGATCAAGCACCGCACGACCAGATTCTCCTGTCAACATCTCAAGACTCGCTCTTTGCGAACCCGCTGTTCCCAGGCGACGTATCCGGCTCAACCACGCCTCCGGAACCCAATACGTTTGATTCTGCAAAAGTCTTTCATGAAACCACCGCCGGCGCGCCTCGACAATCGAAGCGTCCCCTCCGCAAACCCTTCTCTTCCATGAGCTCCATCTCTGAAACCTTCCGTGCCCTCACCGCCGCCCAGTCCGCCGCCTCGGCCTATGTTCCCTCCCAAACCCGTAGAATTACCATCACTGGCCCGAACCTTCCGTCCACAACGATCTGGAAGCGCCCACTTACTCCCAAGCGCATTCGCAACGCCACCAAGAAGTGGTACGCCAAAACGGCCCAAACTCTGTACCCGCCCCTGCCGACAACGGAATGGGAGTACATCCGCTCGATCGCCGCCGGAGTAACCAGGCTGGAGCCAAAGAGTCGGAGACCACAGGCGGCTGTGTGCATTTTCACTACGGTGCGCGAGCCGTGGAAGGAGCCTCTCCGGGGTTTATTGGACGAACCGGAAAAGGTGGCGAGGTACGAGGGCAAGAAGATGGGTAATCCGCATCTTATGACGCCGCGCTGGCTGCAGCACAGATACGAGTGGCTCCTGCGGCACACACCTGTCGAGGTGGCGCCGGTGGCACAGGAAAACTCTGTTGAGAACACAGAGCAACCGGAGACGTCATTCCTGGGATCTAGCCAGGAGCAGGAAGAGGGCAGAAGCGTTGGCCCGAAGGAGTCCAATCCGCAGACAAATCCGAACGCGAAGCCGAAGGACAAAGGAAAGAGAACCGCTTTTTTGTGGGACAGTACCGTCGTAGACCGCGCGCGCCCCCTACGTGTGAAGCCGGATGGCGAGATGAGGAAGGCCCTCTTCGAATGATCGAGCTTGTAGCTCTCTCTGGTAGAGGTTCAGCGAGAAAGAGGACAGCTACCGTGATACCCAAATTCATGAATCCACGATAGATCCGCATATATGTACCAACAACATCAAAAGATGGACAGCGATTACAGTACAAGCACTTCAGTGAGACTGAATGAACATTTCGACTATGTATTCAGAGAGATGGTCCAAAGACTGCTGTGAATCCAAGGAGGACAGCCCGTCGATATCGTTGACCTTGTGCGAAGACTCAATTGCGACTTCAATACGTCTGTCATATATTTGCACCTGCACCGGTACCTGCACTTCTACCTCGCAACATTGCAAACCGCAAATCGCAAGGGCGAAAGTATAGCACCGCATCGCGTATTTGTACAGTCTTGTGTATCCTGCTCCTGCTCCAGAACTGCGGGTCGGACCCTGTATTGAAATATGGCCTTCCGTAATCATTGTCCACGGACGCTACAAGCCGAGTCTTGCTCTCCGCTGCTTACAGCTTGGCCTTCTCCGGCTGGCTCAGCAGTGTCGGCATCAACATGTCCCGCACGTCGCCGGCAGCCTCGTTTAAGAAGAAGCTCATACGTTCGCAGCCTAGTTGTTTGCTGACGACGTTGAATTGGAGGCTGTATCTCGTTAGTCCCGTCCTGATCTGTATATTCTATATTCCGAAAACTTACCTGTTCTCATTGATCATATAGGCGATGCCCCACCCACCATCGATGACCTGACTCCAGCCATAGCCGTTGAAGTACTCGGAGGACAACTGGCTCGAGCTGACGTACCAGGTCTGGCTGTAAGAGTAGGCAGGGTCTTTGAAGATTTCGGGGACCTCCTCACCGTCCTTCAAGCACTTCTTCAGGCCAAATAAATGTCGGTCGACGCCGTAGCCGTCACTGGCGTCTTGTGTGTATTTGACATGGGCTTGCACGGCGGCGCGGAACAGCTTCTCGCACTCTTCTCGTTCTATTTCGGGGTTCGCCATGGCGTCGCAGAATGCCACACTCTCGTCCGAGACCGTTCTCGTCGTTTCCGTACGACCTTGCTGATACTTGCGGGTGGCGGCGGACTCGTACGTGGGACGGTTCTTACCGTACATCTTGTGATATGCAAGCTGGATGACCATCTGCACGTAGGCATCAGGCGAACACTTAAACTTTTTGATCAGGCCTTTTCCGTAACCCTGGTAAGCTTGGACACGCAGGTCGTGTGCAGCGATGGTTTGGGCGAATTCCTTCTGCGCATTCGCAACATCGTCGATCACTTCGGCAGAAGTTTCGAAGCGGACGACAGTCGGGGGCGGCAGAGAGGAGCGCACGGAGGGGTTGTTGAAGTCGAGCTTGTTATGGACGATGAGTGCGTTGACCGTATCACAGAGGCGGTGCGTAGGCGTGCCATCCATCATGGAGTGTTCACCCATGAAGCCGGCAGTGCCGTTGTCGTTGATGATAAACTGTAACGGCTTGTCGTACCAGCGGTTGGCACCGTCACCGTGCCAATAGGCGTGCGCACGCTCTTCAAGCGTAATAGGGTTCGAGTTGTCGAGGCAGACAACGAACGAGGCGGATTCGATGTCTTTCAAGGAAGCAGCATTCTGGGGAGAAGCAGATAGCAAATGCTCGCGTGCAGGAACACCCTGGTCGCGAGGGAACGAAGTGAGGGCGCCGATAGCAGCTGCTTGATCGGCGTTCTTGTACACATGGCTGAATTGTAGCTCCAGTTCTGTGGTGTTGAGTTGCTTGCCGGAAACGTGGGTAGGGATTTTCCAGAACTGGTTTTTGCGGATGGCGATAATGTGATCGTTGCCTTCTGGGCCGTATTGAATGGGGTAATCGGCTGGGCTGGCTGCGACGCGGGAGCAGTTGAACATGTACTGATAGGAGCTCATGGCCATCGGTGCTTTGCGCATATACTCGGGCTCGAGGGTCTTGGTATCTACCTGGCGCTTGAACTCCAGTGCGGCAGTAGTAATCGCAGCCGCACGCTTCGCTGGGTTCCGCCGCCGACGGTCATCACGGAAGGAGTAGAAGTAGGAAACGTAGGGCACGACAGGATCGCGGTAAGCAAGGTAGGCAGCCTCGTTCCACCAATCAATGATCCAATTCCTGTGCTGAGGGTCTTTTGCGCGAGCGACTAGACGCTGCTGGAGTTGCTCTCCCAATGAACCGGGCTTGCCGAAGGCTTCGACTGCTTGTTTCGATGCGGCATACTCCTCTTTGCTGAGTAGAGGGTGTAAGCTCTTGAGATATCGCTTTGAGGTCTCCTCGAGGGAAGGTACGGGTAGTTTGGGCAAAGAGTCCTCAAAGCGGAGCATGGGACCCTTGGAGTTATCTTCACGGTACTCTGACGCCAGATCAGCATGGTAGATGCGGTTGCTGTTCGGTCGGCATACCCTCGGTGACCCAAAACTGGGTTGTTGTCGAAGCTTTCCTCTTGCTTGGAGGCGCCATTGCGAAAGCCTGGCTGGACATGAGCACGCGATACCAGAGACGGAGCTCGGCGGGGAAGCCTACCTTTGCCGATGAGAGGGTGCTCTGTGATCGAAACGCTCGTGTGAGGGTGCGGAGGGAAGGATGTCCTCGAGTAAGAGTGGACAGCATTATCCCAAACACAATGACGAAGGAGGGGAGAGGCAGCAAAAAGATAGTAGCGCGAGAGTTTTCTATGACAGCAGCTGGTGCAGTAGAGGCCGCGGTTATGAAGAGCCCCTGGTAGCAGGCCAGTAGGAGCCGTCGAAGGACGTGTTACGTAGCTTTGGGCCTGCGGAACGAGTCGCTACTGCCAGTTACTGCGGGATTGCCCTTACCCCGAACAACCTCGGCATCTGTGCCTTGGCGGAAGGCACTGGCTTCCAACCTCTTAGGTAAGACGGGAAACTTGGGGGCCTCCCGGGTCCACGAAAATGAGGATACACATACTCGGTCAGGCGTAGGCAAATTTTCGCATCATTCGGCAACAGTTCCACATCCTCGGCGTCTATACATTTCCACACATCTAGAGACTTGCATAATTCGCCAGAGCCGTTGCTGTTCTCGAGGGATTGGTGAGCTGACTGATCCGCTCACCCGCCCCAGACGGATTGGAGCCAAGGCCTCGTCTGGGGAGCTGATCCATTGGCAACTCCATTGGCGGCATCATGAGTGACGTTTAACTGTTGTCGAGGCCTGACTCTGTGGAAGCTCATATTCGATGCTGCATCCGACTCGCGATGAGCACTGTCAATCCTTGAATTTGCCCTCTGTGTAGCTAGAAGGACCGAGCTTGGGGGTTTGTTGGTATTGCTGATCTGTTGGCTTTCAGAATCTACGGAAGTTTGTGTACGATATCTATACAAGCTATTATACTGGTCTTCAGGTTTGGGAGAGATAGCTCCCCCATACACGCGCCCTGTCTCTGCTCTTGTTGTCCAGCCCAGCATCGCCATCGAGGATAGTACCATCACCCTCATTCCATGTCTCGATACCGTTCAAACTGGTCAGATGCCTCATTGTAGGCCGTCCATGCGGACAATTCCACGGCTTATCAATGGTTCCCATGTGGCTGACCACCGTCTTCATTTGCTTTTTGCTGAGTGTCTTGCCAATCATGATCGATGAGCGGCACGCTCGCATGGCGAACATCTTCCGAACCCTGCTGGGACGTGGAACCGTAGATTCTGGACCTAGCATCGGTGCCTCTGAGAGCAGGTGGATCAGCTCATCGAGGTCGCGTGTGTCAAACACCACTTCCTTGCTCAAAGGTAGGCTCAGGAGTGTGCAACGACGCCCAACCGGCTGAATGCCACTCGTATCGACTTCGATGATGAAACCATTCTTCTCCAGAGCTGGTTGATTTTCCAGCACAATCTCTTCCTCAACCGCTGTGAGATCGAGAGTGACCGGCTTGACCATTCTCTGATTGCCTACGGTCGTCTCAGCCTGTAGCCTTTCAAAGTTGAACTTTTCGTCGGATGCGTGTTGGTCGACGATGAACAGCTCATCTTTGTCGCGGGCCGGCGCATCCGCTGATGCATGTCTGACGGCAATGATGAAGCCAAGATTGAACTGTCCTACAATTTTCATCTCCGCAAAGTCTGCCTTGGACACTGTAAGTGATAGTCGTGTTTCTTGCTCTTCGTCGGTTGCAATACGACAGGCGTCGTTGCGGAGTATAGCATCATCCTCCAGCGTCTGAACGCCAGCTAAGGTGCGCATCTGTGATTCTAGAGTCTCAACGAACACATCGACAGTCGTAAGGAGGCTGTGAGTCGAATCTTTGGCGACGCCGCCTTTCAGAGCTTTACTTGCTCGTTGGCTGTTAACCTTGCTCATGGTCTCTTCCGCTGCCTGTATCAATGCAGCTACTCGTGCGTCTTCGTCAATCTTTTTGTCCTCGTCATCAATATAGTCAGGGTCAGCTTCTTCAGCCACTGATATATCATCTGAATGTTCGGCAGCCAGTTTGTCGCCGTCTTCAACGTCACTTTCCTCGGCAGAATCGTCGGTAGAAGCATCAACAGAAGTGTCGGCTGCCTCTGCCTCTGTGTTATTTTCCTCCGACTCGATCTCGATGTCCTTGGAGACCTCTTCCGATAATGGCTGTGGATCGTCCTCCGTTTCAGCCGCGCCGAACCTTTGCAGCCTCTGAGAGAACTGCGATAGCGCCGAGTTCGAATCTCTTGATACCGGAATACCTCCTTTGTGCTTCGATACTTGTTTCTTAGCTTGGGGGATCCTAGGCAGCTGTGTTCCTACAACTCTCGTCGTAGTTTCATCTCCAATCGTGATGGTGGCCAGTTGAGCCTGTGGTCTTTTAGGCCTCATTCGATCGAAAGCGTTTTGGACCAGACCCGGAGGATCCGACTTGGTGATCGGGGCCATCGAAGCAATTGGAGCTTCATTCGCTGCTTGCTCTTCCGGCGAGTGTATTTCACGCTGTCGCTGGAACATCTCAGCCTGGTCGTCACCATTACCGAGCTCGTCCTTCGATGCAACGTTGCTGCTTTGCTCGTGCTGCATCTCACGTATGTCATCATATTCTTCAACACCTTTGCTGCGCTCCACCTGTTCCGCAACGGCTTTGGCTGCTTTTTCGGCGCGCTTCTGCTGATCCTGCTCAATTCTCGCTTGCCTCTTTTCGCTGGCTGGCTCGTCAATTCCTTCTCGAGTGCTGGCTTGGTTACGGAAGTGGTCAGCAAATGCTCTTCCAGGCACTGGTCCTTCTCCGGTCTCCGCCTCTTCGTCAATACTACTGCCTTCATCTTGCAGCAAGGACATCTTCGACGCGGTGGATAAAAGCCCTGAATCATCGCTTCCAGTGATGGAATCCTGTGACCTTTGAACAGACAGCTGGCGGAAAGCGGGCAGCTTAGGAGTCTGAAACTGGCTTTGCGGAACGGTTTGCTCGTGGTTATCGAAGAGTTCCGTCAAGCGGGCCTTCAATCGTTCAATCAGACTCACAGCGTTATGGAGCAGAATCGTTCGCTTATCAGGTGAAACGTTCACATCATAGGCATTCGTGTCCATCCGAAAGTCTGCAAAAATGAAAGGAGATTGGGAGACATTGAACGATCTGTAAACCTCGTTGATGGCCTTGGCGATCTGAGGAAGTCCGCACGGCCTGCCATTCACAAAAAACAGCTGCCGATCAGGCGTCTGTCGACCTTCGCCAAAGACAGGTTTCGAGATATGGCCAAGAACCACGACATTCGTCTTCGCTGCGTCAGAAGTTACCGCCTGTGTCAAATGAGGCTCAATGTCGAGGCTCAGATCAAGCGCCACCAGGGCTGGCAATGTCTTCGCGCCATAGACGTTGGCTATGTTATCCCTTGTGGTTGTGTTGCCTTTGGTGGAGAATATGACCATGCTTTTACCTTTCGGCACTGTGTTCTTGATAGTGAACTTGACGCCTACGCCAATACAAGCGTATGCTTGTAAGAGACCAATAACTTTGCCATACTCTCTCTTAATATTCTTGCTAAGCTCCTTACGACGTACAGGGAGAGAGCTGAAGAGATTTTCCACAGTGGCGATGGTTCCTTTCTGGCAGGCTACAGTCGACGTTTTCTTCAGCGCTCCCATCGAATCAAATTCTAGACGAGTGCCTTTGGGCGCTTCAGTGGCCTGCGCCGTTTTGATGAAGAATGTAGATAGCGCGCATAGCGAGGAAATGGCCTCACCACGAAATCCAAAAGTCTCGAGTGATGATAAATCGTCGTAATTCGATAGCTTTGAAGTATAGTGCTTCAGAGCGACATTTCCGTAGTTGGAGGGGTTGATGCCGGAGCCATTGTCTTGCACTTCAATGGCATCAAGACCATGGTTCTTAAAGCGTACTTCGATGGACGTTGCGCTAGCATCGAGACTGTTCTCAACCAGCTCTTTTACGACCGAGCACAGGTCAACAATGACTTGACCGGACTGAATCTGGTGCACGGATTTGGCCTCGATGGCCTGGATCGTGGCCATACTGGCCCATTGTGCGGTGTAATCGATCTATTCACGTCCCGCGCGATGATCGTGTGCAACAATGGACAGCTTGAAACGAGTCGCTGAAGGTGTCGCGTCGAAGACTTCTGAGCTTCAAGTTCAAGTTGATCGCGTTGCCCAAAAGAGGAATGGTCGAACAAGGCGGCGAGGTGACGTCAAGTAAGGCAAAACGGCCATTAGATGAGTGACTCACATTCAGGCTCTTTTGGGTTTTCATTTCATTCATAAACTAAGGAGTTCATCATCTGAGTTCTACCCATCGCCTAGAACTGACAGCAAAATCATTTGAAGCGAGCAAAACTGCATAAAACGAATTCCATTTCAAGTTGTCAATGCTTGAAGACCTGCCAATCGAGGTCCTCCAACAGGTCATTGGTCATCTTCCCACGGTATCGGCGATAGCCAACCTCTCGTCCACATCTCGCAAGCTTCGAGCTGTCGTTGCTGAGGATGAGTCGACCTCCTACCGACCTTTCGTACAGCGGGCATTTCCCACCATAAAAACTGCGCCTGCGTGGCGAAACGTCGCAGAAGCTCTAACCTCCAGGTCCCGGGCTTGGGATAGGCGAGCATTCGTGGCGAGAGAGTGCTGTCCGCCTGAAAGCTATTTCCACGCTAATCGTGAAGGAATCTCGCGAGCAAGATCAGTCTTTGGGTTTGCGCCAGCCTTGGATAGCTACGAGGACTCCGCTGATGGCAGACGAGAAACGGTTGCATGGGGTGCAGGGGGTCGTATCAACATACGTGTGACAGAACCAAATTCTACCAATTGGCAAACGCTGAAATTTGAGGATGATCATCTACCAACGAATGACATTCTCCAGCTGAAGCTATTGAGACCATCCCAGGACCCGTCTGCGGGCCAGACACTCGTCTTCCGTCGAGCGAACGATGAGATTGCCACCATCGAGACCACCACCGAGGAGCCTGGGTACTGTCAGTATGCTAGATTCGTGGACACAGCGGCCACCGAATGCATCGAAGTGAGCGATTCGAAAGAGCCAATTCTTGCAGTTGCGAGGACCGGGAAGCTGCAGCTCTATCCTGTCCAGGAGCAGCAGAACTTCATATCGCCGACGGAAACGATCCGTCTCGAATATTTTGCGGCCAAGAAATCGCGTATGAGAGGCATGCAGTTCTTGACTGGGAACACAATAGCAACGAGTACAGCGTTGCTAGAAGGCCACGAGAACGGTCCCCTACAAGTATATGATATCAATGCCCCAGCCACAAGAGGATCTGCAGTACCGATCTGGTCATGTAGACCACCGTCATCTGGCGGCTCGAAAACCCGCCACAATGCTCATGCAATCGCTCGATTGGATCATGTCTGCGGTAATGCGGGACAGTTGTTCTTGTCGGGCTGGAGCAGCGGCCAAGCTCGGCTGCACGATACCAGAATATCTCAGCCATGGGTTGCAGAATACGTCGATCCTGTTGACAATGGACAAATCTTGTGCTTGGCTGTTATCGGCCACGAACGATTCCTCGCGGGCAGTGATCAGAACGCGTGTTTGAAGACATTCGATCTTCGCATGCCGGGGGAGCAAGCTTATTCCTACCTTGACGCTCAGTCGGCAGACCGGCAAGGGTCCCGTTCTAATGTCCACCAGAATCTGACCAAGCGCCCTCGTCATGACCAGCGTAGCTTCAACACCTTCCTTTCCGTCTCCAAGTGGCGCAACGAACGTGTATGGGATCCTTTACCGCTACCAAGACAGCACAGCGGTGCGGTCAACTACTCTGGAGCTGTATACAGTCTGTCAATTCCATCACCAACATCTCCAACTGTCTACGCAGGCATCGAGAACCATGTCGTGCAATTGGACTTCGTCAGCACGGATGACATCGAAAAAGGCCAAATTGATCCACTGCTATCTGATTTGAAACAGCAGAAAGACACTCATGTTTTCAGTCTCGGTTGCTACGAGCGCCCGAGGCCCGGAAAAGAGAGCACTGATCCGGTATTGCTCAACAAACAGGCTATGTGGCATGAGCTCAAATCGCAAGGCGAGCGCAATTTAGAAAGCGAGGCAGCTGGCTGGGACCGACGTTGGCGTCTAGGCGGCACGAGAAGGCCGAGTTGGACCCGTGGACGAGGTAGTGGCCGGGCCATCGCTCGAAACAGCGGTCGCAACGGCCGTCGGGGCTCCGTAAGTTAGGATTAAAGCGAGTTAGTAGAGAGAGAGAGTCGTGTTCTCCGTATGTGTTTGCTATCCTACGTCGTAGTGAGAGAAATGGAGTGCAAACTAGCCAAGACACTCTTCTCTTGGCGTGTTTGCATCCCAGATAGGTCTCCTCTGTCATGATGCAGCGAATGCTTCAGTCAAGAGTTACGGCACCGTCTCTGGATTGCTTTCAGCTAGGTGTTCAAATTCTATACTCCTCCGCAAGTATGGCCGCCGAGTCCCACGCCCGTACGCTCTACCGCGCCATCCTTCGCGAACTTCCGCCGCGCAGCTCTGCCGCAGCTCCGTCTCCAATCCGCAGCAGCATTCGGCAACATTTCGCCCGCCCTGCTTTCAACGTGTCGCCCGAATACAAGCTGGCAAGGCGACAAGAAGCCGAACAGTTTGTACAATTTCTCAAAGCACAAAGGGTCTATGGCGAGCTGCTCGAGCGCTACAACCCTGGAATGAACATGGACGATGAAGAACGGGTGCGCCTGAGTGCGAGAAGAGTCGGCATGGAGATGCCTGTTGAGTGGAAGACAGGCAACAAATGACCGCAAATTGTCTATCTATAATCGCGTGCCCAGCCCCGGCATATGAGTATGCCTGATTCAAAGAGTGTCGATGGGGCGCTGGGCCAACGATCAGTCTCACACGACCGGCTTGGGCTCCCACCATGCATCGCAAGAGATATCCCCTTTTGGACTGCATCATCGCTACTTTGCATTTGGATCTCCAGGGTCCCCTGGCTGAGGTCTAAGGAAGAACGGATCTGCTCAGCTGAAGCCTTTTTCCACGACCAAGTCTGACTTGGTCGCGATTGCGTATGCTCGCTACGACAGAGTAGGCCCATGAGCCTGTTCAGTCCACACATGGTCTCGAGCAGATAATCTGGACGTACTAGTCGTTTTGAGAATGGGTCGGAAAGGGTGACAGATGTGGTGTATCTGCATCAGAAGGAGATCAGAACAGGAAGCTATAGAAGCTGAACACCATTTCAGGTCCTCAGCGATGATCAGCAAGGAACGGTACAGACTCTCCACATGCTTCTGTCCTGCCACCCGCAGCAGTTCGCCGCCGGGGGTTCAACCACAAAGTTGGCATCTTATACGAAATAAAAGCCAAGACTAAGAGATCTGTCCCGGGTGTGTACCAAGGATGTGGCTGCTGGACCATTCCGACAAATATACCATCAATACTGTCCCTAGGAGAGCGCTGGGGTTGCAGTATGTCTCATCGACCGCGACCCAGGCTGCGATGAACCTGGTCAGCAAACATAGCCAGCTTCTTCTTTCGAGATGTGACCGGGCTAGAGTACCTCAATATCAATCGGATATGGCAAAAGCTAGTCAATCCATGCCGTCTTGGCCCCGCAGATCGATCTGATGATGCTGTTATGTGTGAAAGAGTCGTTGCAAACGGGGCTGATGGCGCGGTCCGCCTGAGACAGGCAGTGATTGCGCCCAAAACCTCAAGATAGATATTCTTCATCTTGCGATGCATAACTGCTGTAGCCCCAACAGCCTTACTAGGTGTCGTTTTACCCCCAATCCCCGGCAAAGTCTCTCAACTCATGGCGACATCGGCTTCAGCTGTCGAGGGAACAATACCTCGTCCTTCTATCACCAGCCCACCGACTATTAAACCTTTGCAGATACGGGACAGTGACAGGGACAACACCTGCGGCTACTTCGATGGCGATCCAGGTAGCAGTCAATGGAACTAAGAAAGGGCTTTCTGATGATTTGGCAGATCAACCATTTGAGATATGCGATTCAAACCAGTGCAATTGTCAGTCCACCAACGGGGTAATGGCATATTGCAGCCTAACGCCGTCTTTCTGTCGCTATACATCGACTTGTTACGCCTCCAGCGAGCTGCTGCAGTACGATGCAGAACATTGCGATGATAGGGTCTGTTCAGTTGATACCGATGCAACTTCTTGGTAAGTAGAGTCCCGTTTCTTCTGGCCAGGTTTCTAAATACCTTTTCTAGCTTCGAGGACGTCTATACTGAGTGTATAAAGTACTCCTGGACCGACATCTCGGTGTCTGCCTGGGGCTGCTGGCCTACCAACACAGTTACCTACCTTTCTTTCTCGCACCCGATCAAGACAGACACGGCGTCCTCATCGAGATCATCTTCGAGGACCACTTCAACAGCCTCGAGAAGATCTAGCACCTCATCACTGACCTCTCCTACGTCGTCAACCATAACCGCTGGCGTGTCAGATTACGATGATGGCCACAAGCTGAGCGCAGGGGCGATAGCTGGCATTGCTTTAGCCTGCTTCGCTCTGCTGTGCCTTATCATCACATTCATCTTGTTCCTCATCAAGCGCCGCGAGACAATGACCGCCAACCAACACCGCTCGTTCACGATCCTAAATCGGCCAGGAACCACGTTGCAGGATGGAGCTCCGACTCAATCTACCTCTGAGAAGCCTACCGAGTCCACACCAGAGGATCCTGCTCACGTCTCCTCCCCGACGATGCAGCCCCTGCCAAGCTCAGCGGCTTCAAGTACTGTTGTTTTACCCAACCTTTCCCCAGGCCCATCTCCAGCACCAAGGGACAGTGGCACGCTTCCACCGGGTGGCTCACATATGTCCGTGCCTATCTCGCCTTTCCCGGATCAGAGTTCGATTTACAATGCTATGGCGAGCGGGTATCGACCTAATGTGCCCTCGTTCACGGACTCAATGTTCACAGGAGGGGGACACGCAAGTAACTCACCGCTCGCTACCGCCGGACTCGGGAGACAGTGGAATGGAGCACGAAGCAGCCCTCTGAGCGAGATGGATGCTACGCAAGCTCCCAGCCAGGTTGTTGGTCGGGGCAGACAGACAATGGCTAGTGAATTGATGGGATCGTTGCCTAATACGCCGCGGTAGGTTGTCACAGACGTCGGAGAGGCAGCGTGGCATGTAATGGTTCGTGTGGAGGGTGGTGGCTGCTCGTAAGGCGTCTGGGTTCAGAGCTTTGTATCCAACGACTATACAACTTGTAGTGTATAACGTGTTTGTCATATTGATAGTTCACCTAGTCAGTCCCATGCAGTTGAGAGTACCTTATGATGCTCGGAAGTCGTCGGGCTCGGGTTCACGTCTACGTGGACTGGGATATGGCCCAATTTGACGCCCAACGGAAGCCATATGTGGCTTTAGCGTGATAATCAATAGGGGAGGCCTCGACTGCCGCCTGCGGAAAAACGCGGCTGGCCATTAAGATATTAGTATGTAAAAGAGAACATTCGGGGCGTATCCGATGCAGCGACAAGCGTGGAAGATGTTTTAAGACCCCCCGGTAAGGTCGCCGCCTCTCGGAATGAATCGGAGCCCCTCATTCGACTTGGCGTCGACTCCATCGAGGGGCAGTCGCGGAGTCGGAGTCGTGCTGCTCGCTCCAACCACCCGAACGGCAACGAGAAACCTCTGCCGTCGAATGTGGCTTCGTTTTCGGTGGTGGATCACCGAGTCGTCAATGTGGTGCATCTGAGGTTGGCTACAAAAGCTGCACGCGACTCCCGGTCCATGCCATTGATCTCCTCCTGCATATCTTCGCCTACCTGCCGTACTTGACCTCTGAGGTCATTGCAAACATCTCCTTTCTACCGAGGCTGATCTAAATATTTCCCTTTCATACCTAGGCTTCCAGCGTCCTCCTGTTCGACTCTGTATACCTCATTGACCTATAGCAACTACGTAAAGTCCCCAGCATTAACGATGGCTACCAACGGCACCAACGGAAACGGCGATAATGTCGGAACGGGCAAGGAGGAGATCAACTACGATATCATCACCCTCACTAGGCATCTCACGGAAGAGCAGACTAAGCACAAGGAAGCCACCGGTGATTTCACGTACGAACGCTCCGTACTATAGATGCGCAGCCCGCTCACTCACTGCCTACAGACTTCTATGCCACGCCCTCCAGTTCTCCTTCAAGTCTATTGCCTATTATATCCGACGAGCCACTCTGATCAACTTGACCGGTCTGGCTGGCTCTGCCAACACCACCGGTGACGACCAGAAGAAGCTCGACGTCATCTCTAACGACCTATTCATCTCCGCCATGCGCGGATCAGGCCGTTGCCGCGCGCTGATTTCGGAAGAAGAGGAGAAAGTTATATATTTCGATGAGCACCCAAAAGCTCGGTATGTTGTGGCTTGCGATCCTATTGACGGCTCGAGCAATTTGGATGCCGGCGTTTCGGTTGGAACCATCTTTAGCATCATGCGTCTACCGGAAGACCTCATCGAGTCCGGATCGAAACCCACAACGGAACAGCTTTGCATGCCCGGTACAGAACTGGTCGCGGCCGGGTAAGACGAAATACGGAGCATGTGAGAATAGAGCTGACAAGACCAGATTCACAATGTACGGAGCCTCGGCCCAGCTCGTCATTACCATGAAGGGTGGCAGCGTCAACGGTTTCACTCTTGTACGAACGGCCTGTGACCGTGAAAGATATCAGCTAACCGCAGCTAGGACAATGCCCTCGGCGAGTTCATCCTCACCCACCCAACCATGCAAATCCCGAAGAAGCGCGCCATCTACTCGGTTAACGAAGGCAACTCTGTCTACTGGGAGCAAAAGACCATCGACTACTTCGACTCCTTGAAGCGTCCCAGCAAGGACCAAGACGCCTCCAAGTTCAAGCCCTACTCCTCCCGCTACATCGGCTCCATGGTCGCGGACGCGTACCGAACCCTACTTTACGGCGGCATCTTCGCCTACCCCGCAGATAAGAAGAGCCCCAAGGGCAAACTGCGGATACTGTACGAGTGCGCGCCCATGGCCATGGTTATGGAGAATGCCGGCGGTAAGGCCATCGACAGCAACATGAAGAGGATGTTGGAGGTCAAGCCCGAGCAGATTCACGATCGAAGTGGTATCTACATGGGCAGCGAAGAGGAGGTTGAGAAGGTCATCAAAGCCCATTCATAGGAAAGGCAGCCAGCGGAAGGTGTCGTGCAAATTGCCGGAGATGTTGATTGATGCGAGCGTTCAAACTCATCAGTGGGAGTCGCATGATAGGACGGCATTGAGGGAGCTGCGCAATCGCTTGATTTAGCTTGGGACGCCACAGACACGTGCGTTGAGCCTTTCTGAAGGAATGTAGCAAAGCCTATTGAATGAAATTCAAACATGACCTTCTCTCCCGAACAAACCAAGTCCGGCTTCCCTGAACAAAGCTCCTCTTCATCAAGACATGCAATCGTAACCTCATCAGACAAGCCTCCCACTGCAAGTGCCCCCACCAGCGCTCTCCACCCTTCACAGGCACTTCTCCTTTCCCAACCTGTATCATCAACCCCCGTCCCCCATCTTCCGCTCCACCGCCCTCCTCAACTCCCTAAGCCCCTCCTCCACCTCATTCTCCACGCCGGCGCTTCCTCCCCCACCACCACCATCCCGCCCTAGCTTCCCGTATCTCAGGTCACTCAAGTCGCCCACCGTCTCGCGCATGGCCTGCATCGTCTGCGTCGCCTCCGTCTCCAGCGCCGCGATCTCCCCCTGCAGGCTCGCGATCGCGGCTTCCATGGCGTCGAGCAGAGAGTCTTTGCTGTGGTATGCTACCCCGCCACCGCCGCCAGGGTGCGTGTGCGAGGGTAGGGCTATGCCGCGGGGGCCGTGGAAGGCTGTGTCGAGGAGCGCGTCGAGGCGGGCGTTTGTGTTGGTGGATGTGGTGGGCAAGTGGGGGGGTTCGGAGAGCGCTGGTGGAGAGGAGGCGTCGTTGGTGGTTTGGGGTGATTCGGGGATCTCGGTTCGTTCGTTGTCTTCCTCATCTTCGTCATCCTCGTCCACAGACGCTGTGGGCGCAGCTGTCTTGTCCGGCCGAGAGTTGGACCTGGTGTCCTCGGGATCGTCGCTGGCTTCGTTGTCCTCGTTCTGATCCTCATCCTCGTCATAGGGTGAGCGCTTCCGTTTCTTGCTGGGCGCAATCTCCAAGCTTGCCTCCCTCTTTCTCAGGTCCATGTCCACAACTTCCACCTCTGCCTCGTTGGTAGACCCCGACGCGCCCATTTCGCGCATCACATCTTTGCGTAGTCTGGCCTTTACCGTGCCTGCGCGAGCGCACTCGCGCTCGATATTGGCGCGCACATTGTCGAGGTCGACATTGCGCTGGAATTGCAGGTCGGCGTACAGGCGGCGGAGGTGTCCCGCGAGGGAGGGATCATTGCGTGCGGATGATGGCAGAAGTGTGATGAAGGTGTTGTAAGGTAAAATGCTCGGTAGTGAGGAGTCCGGAAGGAGGTAGCGTGTCAGGAGGGTGGCTTCTGTTAGGGGTTGTTGCGTAGTTGTAGAGGGCATTCTCGCTGTCCTGTGCGATATCCCTCAGCGAGTCTCGCAGTATTTGTACTCTACTGGCTGAGTCAGAAGCTCAGAGGGTCGACACCGCTCACTTGTGGCACCTCAGCCACTTTGTGTAGGGAGTCCAAGTCAATAATGTCCGGCAACTCTGCTCAGTCAACTATTGTAACTCTGGTCTGGCGACGGTTGCGCCCCAGCTCAGGAGCAAAGACCTCCAGGGAAAATATCACTCCTCACTGATGTTTGCAGAGCGATGAGAGAGCACTGCCAACCTCCAGAAGGGACACTGGCTGGTGAATTCTAGGAAGTGACTTTGTACCTCTGCGCTGGAGATGTGTCGTAGTGAATCGTCGCTTTCACAAGGCGTTCCGGGTCAACACGAAGGTGTTTCCGTATGGTGCTGTGCTGGATCCGCTTGTTGTGCTCACGTTGCCTGGCGCCAGGCTTTTTGGGCGTTTTGCACTAATGGTTTTGTCTGGGACACAATATTGTTGATAGGTCCCTGTGATTGCCAAACCAGACTTTGCCTGCTCGAGAGCCTCGCGATTGATATGACCAGACCTTGATCTCCTAACGCAATGCCTTCTTCCCGGCACTTGCAGCGGACTGAAACCAGCTCCGATGAGATCAGCGACGAGAACGAACGATTGATCGGCCAGCTTCTCGGGCCGTCCGCGGGCGAGCGACTGGTGAATTGGCAGCAGAACAATCTTGCCAGATGGACAGACCAGCACTTCCAGAACCAGGCTGCAAGAGAGGCCGAACAGCAAGCCCGACGACCTCAAGAGCAAGAGACGGCACCAATCTACAACCTTGTCACAGTCTTGGCAGACGCAACTGCCGCCAACGGGCCGGAAGACGAGGACCAAGAGGTGACAGTGGTCTCACCCTCGCCGACAACGACAAGAACTGCGCACAACTACCAAGAGTATATGGCACAGAGGGATGATGACTGGCGAGCTCGTGCCGAGGCGATGACCGGAGCCAGATTCAGGGAGATGGTGGCCGCGAACAGTGAAGATAGGGCCCGATGGGGGACGGACCTCTGGGGCACAACCGCCGAGGACTCCAATGATGACGCTGTCGAGGGCAGACAAGAATTCGACGACTCGTCGAGCGATGGCTCCCTGTTTGTCGAGGTGGTGATAAGGCTCTTTGGATTGTTGGTTGCGAGGTTTGTGTGGACGCAGAATTGGGGATAGGGATGAGGTCGGCTAGAGCAAGGCAACTGACGCGCTTTGAGGGACGTGTTCTAGGCGGCCATTCTGCACGCCAAGATATCCACTTTCACCCCGTTCAAACCCTCCGCCAAACGCTCACACCTTTGTACCACCATTTACACATCTTTTCGACGAAGCGGAACGTGTCAATTCATCATAACAACAAGCTTCAGACCACCAAAGGATCATTAACCCTGATTTTGAAGACCGCGAAGACACACCTCAACGATGCCGCCAGCATCTGCCGACTCGAAGCCAATGTACGCGAAGGATGAGAAGGCTCTCTGCTTCCATGGAGAATTACTTTATGAAGCGAAAGTCCTTGAAGTCAAGAAAATCGATCCCAAAGACAAGACTAGTCCATACGAGTATCGGGTGCACTACAAGGGATGGAAGAATACGTAAGTCAGCCATGAATGAAAGTGGTTTGCCTCAGTTCGAGGCAGGAGATGACCATATTGTCTCCTTCGACCCTATTCACCTTCACTTTCATGCTAGCGTCATTATATCACCTAAAGCAGAAAGTGTGGCGAAGCCACCACTATTCACACGCCCACATGTGCAGATTTTTGTCTGCAGGCAGTGTTCCACCTCCATCGGCATCCGTCCCTTATCCTTCCCTCTTGTGCACACATTTATTGCAGACAGCCAAACTAGAGCTCTCTATGTCATAAAGATATTGTCGCTGACCACTAAGCCTGCAGCTGGGATGACTGGGTCACACAAGACCGGCTTCGCAAGTTGACCGACGACAACAAAGAGCTCGCAGCCAACCTCCGCCGCGAAGTCCAGCAGCAACAGCAACAGACCAAGTCCAGACCTACAGCAACGTCCAAGTCTCGCAAGCAGGGCTCAGAGCTAGGATCTGGTCGCGGCAGCGAAGAACGCCATTCGTCAGTCCCTGCAGGTGGTCGCGGTACCAAGCGTGGTAGAGACAACGACATAGAGAAGGTCAGTCCTTGTTTCGTTTACTTCATAACCCCTTTCCCTTTTGTAGGGTGCCAGAACCTGCGCCGGGTCGGTCCTCGCAATGCCGCCGAAGAAGAAGACTGCCGGCAAGAAGAAATCAAAGAAGAATGCTAGGGAGGCCACTGAGCTGCCGGCTGCTCCTCTCCCGGAATCAGGCAGCGAGATCGAGGTGATGCCAAAGAAGTCAAGTGCTAGGACTGTGAGTGAAGGCAGTGGCACCATCCAAGTCACGGAGGAACCTGCAGCCGGTACTTCCACAGTCACCGGCGGCCGCGCTGTGACTTCTGCCAAGGCCACAGCTTCATCCACTATTGTGCTTCGTTTCCCTCAACAAGTTGTCCGCAGAGCTCGAGCTGCACCAGACAATAAGGTCATGGCGCGAAAACGCAACGCCCGCAAGCCAGGAGCACATGCCGTGAAGCCCTCTCCACCTAGAGCTCACACAGAGGCAGTTGCTCCTCGGCGCAAGCCAGCCATGATCATCACGCCCGAAGAAGTTGCGGAAGAAGAAGAGAACGTCATGGACATTTTGAGCCGCTCTCCACCCGATGACGAGGAGGAATTCTTCAGCAAGGCTACGCAGAAAGCACGAAAGGCTGATGCTAGCGTACATCCATGGTTTCGACCTCTCCTCAGTGGCAGTTCTGCGGCAGAGAAACAACAGATCAGGCGGGAGCTTATCGCAGATGGGGCGAACTTGCTATCTAAACAAGAGTGGCTTCAAATTCTGCGAGAAAATGGCATCAATATTGAGCACGACTGGGACATCAAGCTCAACCTCTACATCAAAAAGTGCGTTCCAGAGCGGTTGCGACACCCCAACAAGGACCAGTGGCGGCACATGGCGTGGCTGATGGATGCGCCTGTCGAGGCCAACCACCACACCAAGTACGTTGAAGCACGGCATGAGGGCGACCATGCGAAGATGCTCTACTACCAAGATGCAAAGCCCCGTCAGAAACTGCCGATCGCAGGCGTGCCCAAAGACCCGCAAGTTATCGATGCGCCGGGCAGTGGCGGTCCCTTCGATGCCCTCCGACACCGAGATCGGCTGATCGATTTCCTCAATACTCGTGATTTCTGGAACGAGCCTACATGGACCGCCGAGGCCCTTGCCAAGATCCCAGCCTCCATCATGGCCGATGTCAGTAGCCGCGCGCTTGCCATGTTTCCGCACTCTGTCCTCAACAGCCAGCCGCAGCACATCATCGATCGAATCCCCGAAGACGCTCCATACTTCCATGGCCTGGACGGCACAGCTGCTCTGGAGAAGAAAACCAAGATGCCGCTTGCTACCAAAGACACTGAGGCTTTCGCTGAGGCTGCGTCGGCTCGAGAGAGAAGTCACCGCACTGACCACACTTTCGACCCGCCGAGACAATCGAAAGGCAAGCAGCCCATCTATGAGTCCGCTGCTTCAGATCCAGCTGCTCATCAAACCTGGCTTCCAAGCATCGCCAGTATGGATGGTGCCAGCTATGATTCAAATGAAACTCCCAGCGTCCCTAACAGTGATTCACTCATGAATATTCCTTCTCTAAAAGCAGCTACAACGCGTCTGCACCTCAATCATGGGCTCACTCTCCCGAAGAAGCCAGTGTCTCAAGTCCTGGAACAGAAGCTGGAGAGTTCCCCAGACAAGACATTTCTAGGTCGCAGCTACCACTGCTCGGATGTGCCTTCTCCCCCGGACTGGCAGCCAATGACCACGATTAACCCCAACACTCATGAGCTTATCGTCGTCGACGCCATGGATCCCGCCTTCTGGAACAGCTGTTTTCATCGCATTCCCGTGCCAGCAAACATTTATGAAGTGCTCAAAACTCGGGAGCCAATTGCTGACATGTTCATACAGGAAGAGCACTTCGCGAACCGTCCTTCCATCCGCTTACCGATTCCTGACCAACTCAAGTCTCTCCTTGTAGACGACTGGGAGAATGTCACCAAGTCGCTGCTTCTCGTTCCCTTGCCGTCGCAAGCTCCATGCAACTACATTATTGACACCTACTACAATGAACAGAAGCACAACCGCCGGCCTGGCAGCGCTGATGCCGACCTGTTACTCGAGTTGTGCTGCGGCTTGAAGCTCTACTTTGAGAAAGCGGTTGGCAAGATCTTGCTGTATCGCTTCGAGCGTCTTCAATTAGCTGATGTGAGTTTCTTTTCGACTCCTATTTCTTCACACCACTAACATCCGCGCCAGGTGCGCAAGCTTTGGGAGTCTGGTCGCTACCCCGAATGGGAGGGACGCGGCCCAGGTGACTGCTATGGCGCTGAGCACCTGACTCGAATGATCGGTAAGTCTTCGCTCTTTTCCTTCTCTACACTTTTGGCTTCTGGGGCATGTTATCTGACCGCGACTTCGCAGTCAACATGCCTGAGATCATCGCCCAGACCAACATGGACCAGCAGTCGATCACCCGCCTCAAAGAAGAGCTGACCAAGTTCTGCACCTGGCTCAGCCGCAACAGCGCCAAGTTCTTCTGTGCCAAGTACGAAAAGCCGTCGGCTGAATATATTGAGAGCGCACGCTAGGAGCAGCTTGGATGACATGAAAGCGAATAACATTAGCGGGAAACAAAGGATGATGAAGACCCGCACGCATCAAGTTCCGGACAAGAATAATCAATCGGAACACGAGAGCGCCGGCTAGGCTGAAGATTGCGGCAGAATTGGAACGAAAAAAAGGGTTCGAAAGTGAGGCAGAGGCATCCCCAGCGACGAAATAAGTGCTGCTGATACGTCGACTGAGAGGACTTGGATTCCGAAGCCAACTTTGCGGTACAAGCGTTCGAGCGACAGTCCGTTAGGCAGTCCAGTGTGCAAGGCAACTTTGTAATCGTGGACCGAGATCGCTGACATGATTCTCAGCAAGGCGACATCTTCCCGAAGCGGCATTGGTATCGGGTATCAAGGCATCGCCACATACCAGGGAGTCGAGCTGATTCTCGAAAAGCACAGATATCAAAAGTGGTCTTGACCAAGGTCTTCCTTTGCCCCACTCGTCTTCGTCTATCTCTCTATCCCCACCCTTATGCTCCCTCACTGCCCTGCCTCAGCATCCACCACCCCACCCTCCCTATCGTCATCGTCATCGTCATCTAGCCGAGTAAACGTCTTCCTCACCTTCGGGTACACGTCCTCGCCATACGTCGCGTTCAGCACCACATGCCCGCTCACGCCGCCGCGCTCGAGCCGCACCCACGTCTCAATCTCCGCCTCGATCTCCCCAACGCCCACGCCCTCGCCCTCGCCTTCGCCTGACTCCATCGTCTTAAGGTCCAGGACTACCTGGCGCGCCCCCCGCTCCCAGCGCCCGTACCCGCCATACCCCGTGTGCCTGCCGAAACAGGCGAAGAGCGGCGGCGGCGGCGGCAGCTCCTTCTGGCTCTGGCCGTGGCCGTGGGGGGCGTTGTGCTTGTCTCCTGATGATGAGGAGGAGGAGGAGGAGGAGGAGGATGCGGGTGTCCGCGACCGCGGCCGCGCTCCACACCAGTCATTCCCATGCTGGTGGCCCGAGAAGACGACCATCAACCCTTCCGTATCCAGCAGAGCCCGCACGAATTCATCGTCGCCATCTTGCGGCGTGAAGGCCGGTTCCTCGTTGAGGCCCGGCTGGCGGTGCGGGTGCACGCCGTGTCCCAAGTCGTCGTCGTCGTCTTCGAGGGCGCGCATGAGTGAGGAAGGGATGTGCACGAAGGCCAGGCTGGGGATGTGGCGCTTGTGCTGCGTCGCGAGGGCGGTGGAGGTGGCGCGGAACCAGGAGACGACGGAGGGGGAGACGACGCTGGGGAGGGGGATGGTGGTGTTGTCGGATTGGAGGCGCTGGTAGGCGCGGCCGCCGCGGGAGTCGAAGAAGTAGAGGATCAGGGATGGGGCGGTGGTGTCGGAGGAGGTTTCGGAGGTGGTGGAGGGGGGGTAGATGGGAAGGTAGTAGTTTGACACGCCGGCGGATGGAGAGGAGAGGTGCTGTTGGGTGTGGCTGAGGGGGTAGCGGTGCTCGCGGGCGAGCAGGGCTGAGGTGGAGAGGTTGTAGTTTATGTCGTGATTGCCATAGGTCGAGGCCCAGGGGATGGCGCGGGAGATGAGGGGCGCGACGAGGAGATCGAGGTAAGATGTGCTGTTGTCCAAGAACGTGTCGTCCCCAGTGATGAGGTCGCCATTGAGGACTACGAGGTCAGGTTTCTCGACATCGAGGAGGGTGGACATGACGGAGAGGGTGGCTGCGTCCTGGCGAGGGCCCCAGGTCGTGTGTTCTGCTTCGCCGAAGTGAAGGTCTTCAAAGATGGAGATTTTGAATTGACCTGAAGCGGGAAACCGCAGGGGCGAAGGGGACTTGTGTGTTTCGAAGTGTCGGCCACTTAGCTGGCCTAACATCCAGAGCAATTGCTCACGCATGACGGCCACGATCAGGAGCGTAGCGACTATAGCGAGGATCGCGATTTGGGACGGATGGAGGCGACGAGGCGTCGGCAGCCACCGGTAAAGCCATTTTTGTAGTCCAGTATCTCGGTACAATGTGGGCATAACGCTTGTCAGGGCACAACAGAGGCGCTCGGTACAGGCGGAGAGATTTCCAGAGACCTGGTACTGGCGGGTCCAGATGAGCTTCAGCTACACAGAGCACGAAGCCAGCAGTAGTAGGTCGCTGCTATCGACATCTTTCGCTTGCCCCATGGACAAGGACAGGACCCGAGAACGCTCGCTTGAAACAATTGCGTATCGGATGGTGCGTTCTGGTGAACGACAAGCATCGATGAGCATCGCTGCCGCGTGGGACACGGTGGTGGTGCTTATATCATTGATGCTGATTGGCTAAACGAGCTGAGTGTCGACCTCCAGCTTGGCCGCCTCAGCTTTGCGAGTTGTTGTATAGCCATCAGGGTTCTCGATTGAGCACCCTGCTCCTTCAAGAGCGCAGCGCTGTGCATCATGACAGCCATGTAAGCGGCATTGCGGCAGTCTGAGTTTCTCTGCTAGAATGCCGCTGCAAAACCGACAGGCGCGCGAGGCTATAGCCGGTAAGAGGTTTCACAGAGGATTTGTTTATATACTAGACGTTGTAATTATGCATTGGGCTTCTCAATACTCGAAGAGCACCTCCTCATCTTCCTCACCACTCATTTGATCTCGCTCAGTCTCTTTCGCTCCATCCACCTCCCCTTCAAGGTCACTCAAGTCCTCATCCACGATGGTCCCGAGATCTCTCTCCTCGAGAAACTGCCTCCCCTGGATCTTTTCCGGTAAATACTCCTGCTTCACTCTTCCACCGAGATAATCGGGATTGTATTTGTACTCCTTCCCATACCCCAAGTCCTTCATCAGCCGCGTCGGCGCGTTTCTGAGGTGCACCGGAATCGGCAAGCCACCTATACCCGGCTCCCTTTCGATCGCCTGCATTGCTGCACTCAAAGCTCGATACGCTCGAGTGCTCTTCTTTGCCTGGCATAGTGCCACGGTCACATGTGCGAGGTTGATGCGGGCCTCTGGCAGACCGACCTTCTCCACAGCCGTATACGCGGCAATGGCAAGCGGAAGCAGAGTGTTGTCTGCAATCCCGACGTCCTCGGAAGCGATGACAATCATGCGGCGTGCAATATACAACGGGTCTTCGCCCGAAGAGAGCATGCGAGCGAGGTAGTACAGGGCGGCATCGGCGCAGGACCCCCGCACGGATTTGTGGAAAGCGCTGATCGTGTCATAGTGTTGATCGCCAGAGCGGTCGTAGACCAGCGTTTTAGTGAGAGCTGATTTGAGGTCTGGGAGACTAAGATCCGGTTGGCGCGTGAGCAGGGAGAGGGAGAGATCCAGGAGATTGAGAGCGGTGCGAGCATCGCCGTCCGAGAAAGTAGCCAGGTATGGCAGAAGAGTTTCGTCCAGTAGGGGAGAGGGGCGGGGCCGGTCTGCGAGCTCCAGCTTCAATGCCCGGGTGAGGATTGAGGTCACGTCCTCGTCCCTGAGCTTGACCAGGGTGAACGTCCTGCAGCGCGAGAGGAGAGCATTTTGAACTTTGAAGCTGGGATTTTCTGTTGTTGCTCCAATGAGTGTAACAGTCCCGGCTTCAACAGGAGCCAGAAACACGTCTTGTTGTGTCTTGCTGAAGCGGTGGATCTCGTCACAAAAGATGATGGTTTTGCGACCAGTGAGGCCGAGTTCTGATTTTGCTTCGCCGAAAATCTTCTTGCATTCTGCGACACCACTGGAGGTGCTGTTTATCTCAACGAAGCGTGAGCCTACCATGTTGGCGATGACGCGAGCTATAGTTGTCTTGCCGGTGCCAGCACCACCCCAGAGAATCATGCTAGGTACTCGGTCGGATTCGATCAGTCCCCGAAGGACACCTTGAGGCCCGACTAACGACTGTCCGCATACCTCGTCAAGAGTTTTCGGGCGCATGCGCTCGGCGAGTGGCGCGGCCTTCTCGAAGGCATTGGGTTTGGAACGTTTCGCGGGCTGCTCGGAACTGGTCGACTGGGAAGTATCATTCTTGTGGGTGTCACTTTCCTCATTCAGAGGTCTCTTGATACTCGAGCTCGGCGGTGCACTGGGAGAGGATGTTGGATGACCATTAAGAGGCTCTTTCCTCGCTATCGGGGTCTTGAAGAAGCTGGATACTGGCGTAGAGCTTCTACTACCGGTGCCATTTTCGGTTTCAATGTAAGATTCGCAGCCTGAATCAAGGTGGTCATTGATACTGGCCTGGCGCACGTTCTTCCCGCAGATCGGGCACGAGACCATATCGTCGCTTCATGCCTCGGTGCTTTGCCTCGGAACGGGAGCGAAGTGGTTCTCGGTGTTGAAAGGTCTTGCGCAGACTGATGCTGTAGAGGGGCAGAAGAAAGTCGATATTCGGAGAAGCCGGGGTTAGAGCCCCGACGCGTCGACGCGTTTCGGGCAAAAGTGCTCGGTGGCGTTGAGCAATTAGTGAATGCGAGAGTCCTTCGGCGCATACATTGCTCTATTAACATTTATCATTTATAGACGGCGATCTCAGCACAATGAGTCTGCAAGAACGTGTGTGGCCGACTTATGGACTACGCAGCATGATATCAGGTGGCCACAGACACATTCATTTCATCCACTTCTTCAGGCCTCTCAGACGCTCCTTCGCCGTCTCTAAAACATCGTCGTTCTTGCACACGGCAAATCTAAGCCAGTCCTCGGCCAGGTGTGCCTTCTCGTCTGTGTAGAATTCTGTTGGAGGAATGGCCGCAACACCCAACTCGACAATCAAAAACCAGCTCATTTTGAAGTCCCTTGGCCGGTCGCGGACTTGCGGGGGAAATTCGTATCCTTCTGGAAGCTTGACCTTAGAAAGATTGGCCAGCACAAAGTACCCGCCCTCTGGTATCGAGTAGGGGATCTCAAGCTCATCAAAGACCTGGCAGAAGCGGTCAACTTTGCCCTTCATCTCAGTAATGGCTGTATCCCAGAAGCCATGCTTGTCCGCCTCCTCGAATCCAATGGCAGCTGCCTCTTGTAATGGTGAGACCGAGGAGTAGCAAATCCGAGTATGAGCTGCGGCCACGTATTTGATCAGCTCGGGTGGGCCGATGAGGTAGCCGACTCGCCAGCCGGTCGCATAGAAGTTCTTGCCAGCAGAGCCTACTGTGAGAGTGATCTTCGCAAGCTCAGGAGAAAGTGTCGCGATTCTAGTGAAAGGAACGTAGTACAGCCGGTCGTAGACCTCGTCTGAGAGAATCAGAACTTCGTGCTTGAGGCAAAGATCGCCGATGCGGGTGAGCTCTTCTTTGGAGAAGACTTTGCCGACGGGGTTGTGCGGTGAGTTGAGAACAATCATTTTGGTCTTCTCGTTGAAAGTCTTCTCTAGTACATCCCAATCAATGGTCCAGTTGGACGCTGACGATGTTCGCTCGGCACCGTCTGCTGGAGGGTGCATGGGGACATATCGCACAGTCCCACCAGGCATCTCGATATTGGATAAATATTGATCGAAGAAGGGTTCGAACACAATCACCTCATCGCCCTGCTCAACGAATCCCATGAAGGCGCTAAGCATGCCTGTACCTGTCAGCATAGGTCCATCCTGCGGCTCTTACCCCGTACCTTCGTTGGCCCCGGTTGTAATTGTAACTTCGGTTTCGGGATCCAGCTTCCGGCCGAAGAACGGGGTGTATGCATCTGCAATAGCCTTCTTCAATCTAGGTCGGCCTTTGGTGGGGGAGTACTGGTTGCACTCAACTCGGTCAAGGGCGCCTTTTGCGGCATCGATGATGAATTGAGGAGGGTTATAGCCGCTGACCCCGGTCAGTATCTTCTCTGGAGTGTCATGCATGACATTGCATACTCACAAAAATCCTTGACCCATGTTCACTGCGGAATATTAGTCTGGTATTTTTGAGCTCTGCGCTCGACGTACCAATGGGCTGCTTTGGTGAGGCAGCAGCAGCCTCGTTGACTATAGACCAGACATCTGGCTTTTGTCCTGCCACCCTCTTTGCGGGCGCAAACTTGATATCCATCCTGGCGGTGGTGGAGAGGTACCTCGGCTGTGTCTGACGCAGTGATGCTGTGAGCGTGATCGCTTTTGTGCAACTGGATAGACGCTGACGGCAGGAACGAGGAATACAAGAGGCAGCAGAAGTCATGGGTATAGTATGAGGCGCAGGTGTCTCCAGCTAGATATCCTTGCGACGCCGATAGTCATCAATCATATGCGCACTTCAATTCGTCGCAGAGACTCGAGCGAAGTCGGATCCCCCACTGCCCCCAAAATGACGCCATTGTAACGGAGCCGAAATAATACCGAGGTTTGTACGGGCGTCGCCTAGTCGCCTCGTTGGCCTGACCTCTTCCAGTACAGAGCAAGCATAGGGTAAGTACGAGGCTCATCGATTCGATATCGGCCAGCTACATACATCAAGCGTTAGGCGCTTGCATATCCTAGTCTTCTTTACATACGGAAAAGGGCGAGCAAGCCAGGTCGAAAATGAGCAATTGTTCGTCAGACCGGATACAATTGTTGGATACTATCTTAACGTCAACAGGCGACTGAAGCGGTAAGTCATCTACATCGCCTCATGTAAATCCGGCCCACGGCATTTTCATATCCAAAATAAGTTTTGACATCCCACCGGCCAACGGCGACCCACATACGACATCCTCTGTGCTTCGTATGCGGAAGCGCAGACGAGATCGAGCCGCCATCTTTCAGCGGGATCTTCTACCTCTTCCCCTTCCGGTGACTGGGCGAAGCCACCAGGAAAGAGATGGGCAGGCCCCTCTTTGACGCCCGCATCCTCGTCCATGCTGACCATTCACCTTCTCCGAAGATCGGGCTCGATGGCGCTTGCATGGACTCCTCGCGCGCAAAGAGGGGGGTCCTCAACATCGCGCTCACATCCGGTTCAGTAAGCATGAGATGTTTCCTCGAGAACACTCCTCGACAACGAAACCTCGCGGTCCGAGGGGCCACTCTCGATTCCCGTGTAACGGGAAAAGGGGGCCTTGTAAATTCGTGAACAGCGGATGTATGATCCGCGAGGGGCAAGCAAGACCTGCTTCGTCCTCGAGAGCCTCGTAGCCTCGCCAACCCAAAAGTGGGCGAGGTATCGGAGGCTATGATCGTAAAATGACTTATCGTTCCACTCCATCACGCAACTCCGGCTTGCGATATGGTGCGCAGGTGCCAGCCGTCTAGAAACCAACACCGCCTTATCTTGAACACTAGAGCCACAGCTCCGAAGAGAGGGCAAGAGCGCAACGGCCAAAAATCTCGAGGAAAACGAGGGCCGTTGAAAGAGCGGGGGGACGGGGCTGGTGGCTATTCTGCCGAAGAAGAGCAGCCACCATTCAAGCGCGCCGGAGAAGGGGCAGGGAAGGAACTCTTGGTCCCTCGGTGTGCGACCGTCTGCTTGGGGTCTGGGTTGTTGTCCTTGGTCATTTGTCCAAGATGACAGCCAGACCGCGGAAGCAGCCACACCGCATGCAGCGCTCAACGCAATACACGCACAAAACTTCAGCGCACCACAGGCTCGCTCTCGTAGGTTAGGGTCGAATCGGAATTCCGGCATCTCCTCCACAAATAACGCTTGCTTTCGCTCCTATCTTCAATAATCCAAAATGATATCGTGTCCAAAATACTATCGCTTGCTTCGGGAGAAATATTCAGTTCATGTTCTCATTCATCAAAATTCAAAATGCTAAGCTCGGCGGTTTCAGATGTAACCGTGCTTTTCATTCGCACCGTAACGGGCGTCAGGTCTCGATTTCGAGTCGTGATACTCATCTTCGGGACTGGCGAAAGGGCTTTGGGAGGCCGGTTTGATTGCTTCGGAGTACTCTGGTGCAGGGTCATTATGCTTGGGCTCCAGGACAGTGGGACCAACATTGTTGATGTAACGATCTTGGTCATCGGAACGGAAATCCGTGGAGCCAACCATCACTCCTGAGCCAGCCGAATTGCGCCTCAGAACCGAACCGCCTTCACCTCGAGATTTGCTGCGACACCAGTATGCTCTGTAGAAAGCAGCACCGGCGCCCAACATGCAGATGAAGACGTACAGTACCAGAACGAACGAGGAGATGATGGTCTCCTGGCGAACGCCGGCTTGCAGATAATCAATGACGCGAGCCACGGCACTCGTGATCTTATCGGTGGCTTTGTCGTCTGGGTCTGCGAGGAAGGGTTGGCTGTCCTTGTCATCTGAGAGACTAGCGAGCGCTCCCACGGAGAACGTATCGTTTGGGAGTGTCGGAAAATCGATGTGTGCATGATCGTGCACCCAAGTGAGCGCCTTCTGTACGCCTTGAACCTTAAGCAGGATCAAGCAGTTTAGGACTTCTTGGATGGGTTCTCTCAGAGGTGTTTTGCCGAATGCAGTATCGAGCACCTTGTTGGTTTCGTCCACAAAAGTGTTCAGAGTATCATTGACTGCATCCGTTGCGGTGCCAACCCAGCCGAGCATGTCCTTGTTGATATCATCGCTGGCTGACTTGATCGCTGAATTGGTGGCGACCTGCCACTGCTCGGAAGCATTATTCAGCTGTGTGACAACCCTGTCTGCAAAGACGCCAACCTGATTGGACAGGCCAGGGACTTGCTTCTCGATCGATTTGAGAAGAATGTATTGGCACAGACAGGAGAAGAGGCCAGCAATGGCAAGCGCGAGTACGAACAGAGCAGCGTCCGTTGTAGCATAAGCGACCGCCCATCTTGTGAGATTCTGACCGCGAGAGGCGTCCTTAATAGCTTCAGGCTCACTGGGAAGACGTGCGAGCTTGAGACCAGCAGTCGAGGTGTACGGCCGTGAGACCAGGTACACCACATCCATAGGGTCGGTCGCACCTTGGCCAACTAGCCGGCTACGCTCTTGCTGGTGACGCCATCTTCGGACCTCGCGAAGACCCATAGGGATCATCGCGAGAACAGCAGCCAGAACGAGGACAGTGATGAAGATCTTCTTGGCGAGCTCAGCCAGATCCATGAGCTTATCGAAGAACTTGTTGATACCATCATCGTCCGTGCAGAAGCTCAACTGTTCCTTGGCAGGCACTGGTAGGAGTGACTGATTGAATTGATAAGTGCCAAGGTTCTGGTCGATGATCTTCTTAATTTCCTCGAACGGGAGACGAATGACACTCTCGGTGGCGTTCTTGACTTGATCAAAATTCGGAAGGGAGTTGTTCAGTTTCTGCAGATCCGCATCAAGCTCAGGTGGCAGCTTGAAATTCTTGATGCCATCGATTTGTTTTGTCAGATCAGGCAGGGCTGGAAGGTTGATTCCTGAACCAAGTCCCAACGTGAGACCTTTGGCTGCATCTTGAACTTTCTTGTACGCATCTGAGAAACCCTTCATGGCATCGCCGATTTCACCACCGACTTTGCTGCCAAGATCGTTGATGTCGGCTTCAGCGCCATCAATAACGTTGATAACGGACCGCAAGCTGCCAGTGACAGCAAAAGTGATCAGACAGAGGTAGGTATTGGTCATCATTCCGATAACGAATACCACAATCTCCTCTACGGCGGTGACGCTCAGTGTCGACATAGACATGAGACCGTTGACGGACTTATCGATGCCAGCAGCAGTAAGGGAATTGACGCCTTGAGACATGTAGTGTGGCATGGAAGCCATGGTGGAACCCATGGCTTCGACGTCGGAGCAAGCAGATAGTGCCTCTCTTCTAGCGGAGGCGACATTGTAGTTGATACCCTGGATAGCGAGTAGGGTTCGGGCAAGGATAAGTAGGAGAAGGATGGTCCATCGATTGATCCAGACCTGTGAAAGACGAGCCCGGAGGCCGAGGTAGGGTGTATCGGAGGGTGCAGTGTGTGGTGCAGACCGAGGTGGGTCTTGGTTGGAGTAGTATTCTCGCATCGCATGACTGCCAGCAGGCATTGATGGAGGAAAAGTGTGGCCAGACATAGCGGGGGATCCGGCAGGGAATAATCTGGTCGATAGTAAGTCTCCTGGTCCTCGAAATGGCTAGTATATCCAAAGAATGAAAGACGCTGGCCAGCAGACAAAAACGTTGAGACGGGTTGGTATGTGTCGGATGGGGGAGTCAACGCCGGTAAAGGAACGAAACCACCAACAAAGGGACAAAGGAAATTCGTCACGGTGAACAAAAGAAAAGAGCTGAAGCACGGAGGGTATAGAGGACTCGTTGTTGGCTATTGACAAAGAAGGAGACAATGGGGAACAATAGGATCAATAAAGCAAGTGAATAGAGGACTGCGCGGCTGGGGGAGGCTTACCGCTTTCCGACTGCCAGATTCCCTCCGCTACCCGACAAAAAGCGCCAGCAAGTCCATTCCACGGCGTTTGGAAACAAACGGCCATGGTCTCGAATGCGGCAGTATCATCGTCCTAGTCGTCGTCGTTGGAAAGTGAAAGCTGGATTCTGGCTGTAGGCGCCTAGCCAAGAATAGACGGCAACCAGGCAAGAGTTCCTGGCCAACCAATCTCTACCTGCGCTTAATTGCCAAACAAAACGTCTTACGGCAGAGATGCCGGATGAGAACACCCTGAGAAGCGCACAGATAGATCAATGGCGCCCGTGGGCCAGGAAGCTTCAGGGCGCGTCCACCTCGACAGCCATCGCCACCTCGTCGCAATCTCGAGTCGCGGGAATGACGTAGTTGTTCAGCTACGCCATCTGAGGCTTGTCACAGACTCGAGAATGCGACGAGATAGCGACGTGGTAGAGGAGGCAATGCAGACGCGCAGCGATGAAATGTAAAAGATGCCTACGAAAAGGAAACTCGAAGAACGACGACGACGAGGTGGCTTTATGAGCTGATCGGCGAAGTTCAGCGAAGCGGCCAAAAACCTGGCAGATGGCGGCGGCAGTACCCGCGCTTCCAGCCAATGAAATTGCATCAAGTTTGCTGCTTGCCATGACGCGATCTCCACAGTTTGGATTACGGTAGTACCAAGTACTTACACAGTACTTACCGTACACAGCACATATAGCAATGAAAAGGAATTCGTATGTCTGAAATCAATAGTTCGGAGGTCTACCTCATGGCCTCTGCAGAATCGCCCTGGTAGCGCAGTAAACGCTACCGGATTGGATAAATCCGTATGTGCATAAACGTCCTCTCACGCCAAGTTCGCGCCCGCGATCGGTATCATGTTTGGGATGAAGTAGTATGCTCAGATCACTTTGGTATCGGTATTGCCAATGGCAATGCAGCGTTCCAAAGACGGTTCTTCCGGGCATGACTTTCGCATCGAATGCGAGTTCTGTGACTTCACGATACGATGTGCCAGATACTGTCACGCAACTTTGGTCGTCGATCGGGCGGCGTGATCATCAGGCGGTGGAGCAAACGTGTCGCGGCTAGTCGCGGCAATAGCAGTGCACGGATGAGCGGGTGTCATGCAAACACGAGCATCCAACACTTTGGTCCGCCGATACGTCGAGTCTCGTCAACATGTACGCTGCGACACAGGTGGCAGTCCAGGTTTGGGAACACGAGTCCAATTCACGAACGGATCGCTTCGAGTCTCAGCGCTGCTCACCTTGGGGTGGCTGGCCTCCCTGCTGTTGAGCAGCCAACGCAGCGTACCACATGGCAGCATAGTTTTGGTAGCCACCATATGCAGCATATGGATCTGCACCGCCAGGAGGTGCGCCACCATGTTCCGCAGGAGGTGCAGCAGATGCAGGATAGCTGGGCTGCTGCGCTGACGGGTACGGATTGGGATTGGCGTAGTCATCACGAGATTCACGTCCCTGGTTGCGACCTCGAGCCTCCTGCAACGAATTAGTCTTGGTCATAATAGGATACATGTCGTGAGCACTCACCACTGCATCTACCTTGGCCATGATCGCACTTTTGGCGGCTTCGATAGCATGTCGTGTCCCGATCAACCCGATTTCACGTTGAACATCACGCCCAGTTGCTGGAGAGACGTTGATCTTGCAGCCACTCGAATTCTGCATCTCCCGGATGGTTTCGCCGCCCTTACCAATCACCATACCAACGCAGTCGCCTGGGATGTAGATGCTGTCGTTGATCTTCTCATGCGAGTCGTCACGCCCGCGACTGCGCAATTCCTTGACACTGATGCCCTTCTGGTCGCTTTCCACAATTTCCATAATCAAGTCGCGCGCGTGCTGTTGGGAAGACATGCTTCCGATCAAGTTGACTGGTCGCATGCCATTAATACTCTGGTTCTCTGCAACAATGTTCACGTGGCAGCCACTGCGGTCCTGTAGATCACGAATCGTCTCTCCACCACGACCAATTATGAGTCCAACAGTGCGATCTGGCACCAAGATTTGGAGACTGTTGCCATCCTTGTCGCCGTCTTTGCTACCATGGCCACCGCTTCCGCCACTGACTACTGGCTGTTTGGATGAACCTCGAGACCGATCCAGAGCGCCGCCACCGCTGCTGCCGCCACCACCACGTTTGGCGCTGTCATTGTCTTCAATGGCGCGGTAGATCTCAGCTTTGGCAGCTGCGCGAGCAGAGCGGGGTCCAGAAATCTTGCAGTGACGTTGACTACCTGCAGTTTCGGGGCCATCCATGAATTGCACTCTCGCCCCGGTCGTCGTTTCAACTCGGCGTAGATTCTCTCCAGCACGACCAATGATTAATCCAACAAGGCCTTTGTCAATGGGAAGGATCTCAGAATCACCATCGCCACCAGACACCTGCGCAGGCGATCGATTGTCTCGGTATGAAGGAGGCGAATAGCGACCGCCACGGCCAGGTGAGTATGATCGTTCACGAAATCCTCTCTCATTTCCTCCTCTTCGATCGTCACGGTAGGGGTTGAAGCTATCACGATAATCATCACGCATACGAGGAGGAGATCGAGATGGGGAGCGAGAGCGACGATAGCTGCGGCTAGCGGCACGAGGATCGTTGTTACGGGAGCCCGGGCGGTGGGGGTCATAAGCGTCGCGAGCCTTGGACAGAGCTTCGTTGAGACTGACTGAGCCAGAGTTGACAGGGTTGATGCCAGCCAAATCTACGCTTCCCGAGCTGATGGGCTGAGGCAGGCCATAAGGAGCTGGCGCACCGGGAGGCGTCGCATACTGCGGTGGGGGAGGATAACCGGTTCCTGGGATCGGAGGAGGTGCACCTGGAGGTGCTTGTGAGGGGGTACTGCCCTGGCGCTGAGCTGCCAGCGCAGCGAGAATATTTTGAATGTCGGCCATACGCCAAAGGAGTCAAGGCGTCCGAGCTTACTTGCAGCCGGGTCAAGAGGGTTGGCACGCACAAACACGAGCAACGACAAAGATATCTGCTATGCTGTTCAGGAATCAGAACACCGTGCTGGTAGTCTGATGTTGATGCGACCAACGACTTGTTCGTGGTCAGGTGTCAAAAGAAGATGCAGAATCAAAAGGTGGCAGCAGGAGTGGGGCTGCGTTGAAATCGACCTGCGTTCAGAACAAGTATGCCAAGCCTAGGCTAGGCCAGCAAAGGTATGGCGCAGTTGCCTTGCTCCTCCCACTCTCAACATCACCACATCCATTGTTTACACTCACTTCAACCTTACTTCACATGCAAGTCGAGCCCAAGTCAGTAAAATACTCTACAGCTACAGATGACCGAAGCTGGATCTTACAAGACCCGTGAACCACCTGTCCAAGATGTTGCAGCTATATCTGTGGCTTGCACCCCAAGCTACCCACCTATGACTTGAGTACGACACATTTGCATCTCTCTATTCCAGTCGCAGAGCTTGAGTCTGAGTTACGTAGGCCGCAAATATCTGGTTTATTACCCTCAAGGCTGGCGCTATGAATGTATGCACTGGCATTGTGCCTGCAGACAGGTAAAGTGAATTATCCCTTTCACACGTTCAGCTTTGCGGTGATGCTGTATTCACGTCCTAAAGATGCTATTCATACACATGTCTTACTATATGATCTCCTCTAAACACGCTGTACATGCCATCGTTTATCTTGCAATCAGACCTTAGCAATTTGCGCCTTCTTGTCTCTGCTGCTGCGTTGTATTGTGGTTATTGTGTCTCTTGAGCAACAATGGGCAACCAAACAAGCTCCACCATGCCAGGCGCCTTCCCAGAGCTTTCTCCTCCACCATCACCTCCTGCAGACATGAAGCGCCAGAACATGTCAAAGTCTAAGAAGACAAAGAAGAAGGCAGAAAAGAAAGAGAGACAGCAGGAGCAGGAGGAAGAGCACGTCCTTGATGACAGCCACCACCAAGGGAGTACGAATGAGTCACAGCAATTCCCTACTCCAAACGCTTCCGCCGACCTCGCCACTCCCGCCAACACCGCGGCTTCTTCTCTCGCGTCCCTCAATCCCGAAGCAGCGACATTCAGAATGCCAACTATTCCAGAGGAGGCTGGGCAAGTGGTTCCGACCAACGGACGTCCATTCAGCTTCGACAGTGGCAATCGAGTGCTGATCTGCCGCCTTCCAAGCTGCGACAAACAGACTAGTGCCTTCGACGGTAAAAGCGTTGCCTGCCCTGCCTGTGGCCCCAATAGTCTTGTCCGCTACTGCAGCAAAGAGCACATGTATGCTGATACTCGACTACATTTCCTCTATTACTGTGGTCGATTCCCCGTCTTCGAACCAATCGACCAGAATACGCTGGCACCGGCGCGAGCAAGACAGCCGCGACCTTATCTACGGCCCACCCCGGGTGCTAACCTGCACACCATTGAGCATCACCGCCAGGCTGTGTATTTTGCGATGGAGGGAGACAACAGTGGCGATTATTTTATCTTCGACGACATCCATCTCCTCCGCGAGATTGATACACCGACGCTGGACCAGGTGGGGTCGTGCCGGGGTAAAGGAGACCTGGTCGCCCGCATTGTGCCGCCTGAGAACGAGGACGTCCATGACCACCGCAAACAGCGGTTCCGTCTCCTGGTCGTCCGTTGCTTAAACTCTGGTGCAAGCAATGAGCAGGGTCTGAAAGATTGCATCGACCTAGCAGCAATGATCAGGCAGGACCTAGTCAATCGTGGATCGTGGAGTGAAGACATGATCACATACCTGACCATGCAGATGAAGCAGGAGTTTGGCTTCCAACTGCCAGAGGACATGATGCGCTGAGAAATAGAAACGATCGCCTGGAAGAGGCTGCGAACGACTAGACATGAGATTTTCAGGAGTAGACCCCTGACGAGAGAGGCAGGATTACCACAGACAGGCTACGAATCAACGACTAATACCCATGCATGTTCCGCACACACTTACACCCCTTATATATTGTGCCCGTATGGTCTTCCCTTGTATCAACCCACAGCTGTTTTTAATGTACCGTGTCCTCCCTTTGAAATATTGCAGCGCTTCTGTGCAGTTGTCGACAGGGTCTGCCGCGTGATGTTCATTTGGCGGCCTCTATATTTACACAAGATTCATGAAAATGTATACAAAATCCGAAGCAAGGCAGAACCTATTCCTTTTCGATCCGTGCTTGCCTACTAATTGGTACGAAGCGCCGTCGGCGGCTTCCGGGCAACGGCCAAGTCCGCCTGGGCAATGACGCGCAGCGGCAAACATGTGCAACAGTGCCAGTACGAACTGATTATCATCTAGATTACCCTGATTCGTTTATCGTTGGCATGCTCTTTGATGTAAGACAGGCAAAAGCAATCCACCTGATAAGATCACCCGCGAATCATGCTGTAGCTCAGTGGTTGTACGCTGTGCATCGGTGGCCGCCTCCCCGCATATTTTATGTCTGGCCCCCCACCTGCGTGAGAGACTGCTAAATGAACGGTAGACCTGCATGCTGCGTTTGAGCTGTCCACCACGCGACAATGGCTCCAGGCATTATTGAGCCCGTTGCTAATGGCGACAAGGTCGTGTCATTGGCTTCACTGACTGCTAGCTACGATGATTCCCTAACCTTCGCCATCAATGGCACTATCGTGACGCTTGACAGCATCGATCCTGAGGTTACCTTACTCGAATACCTACGTGGCATTGGCCTCACTGGCACGAAGCTAGGATGCGCAGAAGGAGGATGCGGTGCTTGCACCGTCGTGGTTTCCCAGATGAATCCTACGACGAAGAAGCTATATCATGCGTCCGTCAACGCTTGCCTTGCGCCGCTCGTCAGCGTTGATGGCAAGCATGTCATTACCGTGGAGGGCATTGGTAGCTCGAAGAACCCTCATCCTGCCCAGCAACGCATTGCCATCAATAACGGCAGCCAGTGCGGCTTCTGCACACCTGGTATCGTCATGAGCCTGTACGCATTGCTCAGGAACAGCGGCCCGGAGCCCAGTGAACACGAGGTCGAGGAGGCCTTTGACGGAAACCTTTGCAGATGCACTGGTTATCGTCCCATCCTAGACGCGGCTCAGTCCTTCAACAAGGGTTGTGGCAAGTCGGTCGCCAATGGAGGCTCTGGATGCTGCATGGAGAATGGCGGGTCATGCAACGGCGCGACCAACGGTGAGGTCAGCAGCCAACCAGAGAAGAAGTTTACACCTCCTTCATTTGTCCACTATGACAAGGACACCGAGCTCATATTCCCGCCGGCACTCAGGAAGCATCAATTCAAGCCCCTAGCATTAGGCAATAAACGGAAGAAGTGGTACAGACCATCGACGCTGCAGGAGCTACTAGAGATCAAAGATACCTTCCCGGCTGCAAAATTAATTGGCGGCAGTACCGAAACCCAGATCGAGATCAAGTTCAAGGCGACAGAATATTCTACGTCGGTGTACGTGGGAGACATTGCAGAGCTCCGCCAATACTCCTTCCACGACGACTATCTCGAGATCGGCGGAAATGTGGCCCTCACCGATCTCGAGAACATATGTGACGAAGCAGTCAAGCACTATGGAGATGTCAAATCTCAGCCTTTCCTTGCAATCAAAAAGGCCATCCGCTATTTCGCTGGTAGACAGATCAGGAACGTGGGTACTCCAGCTGGCAATCTGGCCACCGCATCGCCCATATCAGATCTCAACCCTGTGTTTGTTGCCACAAAGTCGACGATGGTCGCCAAATCCTTGAAGAAGACCACCGAGCTACCTATGGATTCGTTCTTTAAGAGCTATCGGAAGACGGCTTTACCAGAGGATGCGATTATCGCTGCCATGAGAATACCGGTCGCTGCAGAGAAGGGCGAATACATCAGAACATACAAGCAGGCAAAGCGGAAGGATGACGATATTGCCATTGTCAATGCTTGCCTCAGAGTCGCTCTAGATGAGTCACAGGTCGTCCAAAGCGCCAGCCTGGTGTACGGAGGCATGGCGCCTGTCACTATTGCAGCGACAAATGCTATGCAGTTCTTGAGTGGCAAGAAGTTGTCCGATCTGAAGACACTGGAGGGAGTCATGAGTGCTCTCGAAACCGACTTCAATCTGCCATTTGGCGTACCGGGTGGTATGGCCACTTACCGGAAGTCCCTGGCACTTGGATTCTTCTACAGGTTCTATCACGATATTATGGCGGAGCTCGCGGACACCGAGACGCTCCGAGATAAAGAAGCTATCGAGGAAATCGAAAGAAGTATCTCTTCGGGTAAGAAGGACCACGATGCTTCCATCGCATACTCAGCCAAGGTCATGGGCAAGGCCAACCCTCATGTTGCAGCACTCAAACAGTGCACTGGAGAGGCTCAGTATACCGACGATATTCCGCACCAGAAGAACGAGTTGATCGGTCGACTGGTGTTATCTACAAAGGCACACGCAAAGCTGTTGAAAGTCGACCCTGAACCTGCGCTCGCTATGCCTGGCGTCGTTGCATGGGTAGACCGTCATGACGTGGTTAGTCCTCGTGCCAACTGGTGGGGGGCTCCTGTCTGTGACGAAGTGTTCTTTGCCGAGGACGAGGTCTTCACTGCCGGTCAGCCTATTGGTATGATCCTTGCTTCTACTGCACAACAAGCCGAGGCAGCGGCACGGAAAGTTCTTATCACGTACGAGGACCTCCCAGCCATCTTCACCATCGAAGAAGCGATTGAAGCGGAAAGCTTTTTCTCGCATTACCGCTATATCAAAAAAGGCGATACAGAGAAAGCTTTCAAGGAGTGCGACCACGTCATATCTGGAACCACGCGAATGGGTGGTCAAGAACATTTCTACCTGTAAGTTTACGGCCCTTACCCTTATGCTAACCGTACTGATGAAGCCAGCGAGACGAATGCCACGGTGGCAATCCCCAAGCCCGAGGATGGTGAAATGGAGATCTGGTCGAGCACTCAAAACACGACCGAGGTACAGGCCTACGCTGCACAGGCGACAGGAGTAGCAAACAACAAGATCGTCGCCAAGGTCAAGCGCCTGGGCGGCGGTTTTGGTGGCAAAGAGACGCGGTCAATGCAGTTGTCAACGATTTGTGCCGTCGCCGCAAATAAGGCGAAGCGGCCGGTGAGGTGTATGCTAAACCGTGACGAAGACATCATGACTTCAGGGCAACGGCACCCTTTCCTTGGTGTCTGGAAAATCGGAGTCAACAAGGACGGTAAGATTCAAGCACTCGAGGCTAATGTGTTCAACAACGGCGGGTGGTCGCAGGACCTGTCTGCCGCGGTGGTCGATCGTGCATTGTCCCACATCGATGGCGTGTACAACATCCCGAACGTGAACGTGCACGGACGAGCATGCAAAACGAACACGGTCTCGAATAGCGCCTTCCGTGGATTTGGCGGTCCTCAAGGCATGTTCATAGCCGAGTCGTATATGGCCGAAGTTGCCGATCACCTAAAGATGCCTATTGAGAAACTGCAGGAGATCAACATGTACAAGCCTGGAGACATCACGCACTTCAACCAGAAGCTTGAAGATTTCTTTGTTCCGCACATGTGGAAGCAAGTGATAACGGAGGCTGCGTATGAGGAGAGACGAAAAGCAGTGGCAGAGTTCAACAACACGCACAAGTGGCAGAAGAAGGGTCTTGCCATTATCCCGACCAAGTTCGGCATTTCTTTCACGGCTCTGTTCCTCAACCAGGCAGGCTGCTTGATCCATATCTACCACGATGGCTCGATCCTGGTGGCGCATGGAGGCATAGAGATGGGCCAGTAAGTTCCTCGAGACCCCAAACTGTCATCACCCAGTCCCTTTTTGCTCTCGTTGTGCCCCTGGCTTGAGTGTGATACTGATCTTTCTCTTCCCATTTTACAGAGGACTTCACACGAAGATCTGCATGATTGTCGCGGAGAGTCTGCAGGTGCCGCTGGAAAGCGTTCATATCTCAGAAACCGCGACGAACACGGTTCCCAACGCTTCGTCGACTGCCGCCTCGGCGTCATCGGACTTGAACGGCTATGCTGCGTATAATGCGTGTGCTCAGCTGAACGAGCGTTTGCAGCCATATCGCGAGAAATTAGGTCCAAAAGCGACCATGAAGGATATTGCTCACGCCGCATACTTCGACCGAGTCAACTTGTCGGCTCAGGGCTTCTACAAGACTCCAGACATTGGCTACACCTGGGGCCCATATCCGGATGATCCGAATAAGGAGAACACGGGTCTGATGTACTTCTACTTTACGCAAGGTGTCACCGCCTCGGAGGTGTTGATCGACACTCTTACCGGGGACTGGACCCCTCTAAGGACTGATATCAAGATGGACGTTGGCCAATCCATCAGTAAGTCACGCTCTCCCTGTACGGCAGGAGCAATTCAGGCCCCTGATTTATCGGTTGCTAATATATTCAGACCCATCGATAGATTATGGCCAGATTGAAGGCGCATACGTTCAGGGACAAGGTCTTTTCACGACTGAAGAGTCGCTCTGGCATCGTCAAAGCGGCCAGATCTTTACACGAGGACCCGGAGCATACAAGATACCCGGCTTCCGAGACATCCCTCAGGTCTTCAATGTCAGTCTCCTGAAAGACGTGGAGTGGAAAAACCTGCGTACGATCAAACGTTCGAGAGGTGTCGGCGAACCACCCTTGTTCATGGGCGCTGCTGTGTTCTTTGCTATCAGAGATGCACTCGTGGCAGCACGCAAGCAATGGGGTGAGGAGGAGGTATTGAGTCTCAAAAGTCCGGCTACACCCGAGCGCATCAGAATCAGCTGCGCAGATCCTATATTGAAGAGGGCGGAAGTGTTGCCTAAGGAAGGCGAGAAGTCATTCTTTATTTCGATATAGCGAGCTGTAGAGTAGAAGAGTGGTCGAACAAGTCAAATGGACTCACCAACAACCTCTATTCAGAAAAGATGTACCAGTCACAATACGATCTCCGTTCCACGCGAACCTGATTACTTAGGGGTGTGCGTTCTTCTCAGTCTTCTGCGATGGTGCGCAGCATGAGCCAACGCGGCGAGGCTCGGCCAATAGACCAATCAGAGCGGCCAAGCCATCTGCGCTAAACCCGAGTCGTCAAGCCCCTGCTCGACAAGTCCAAGGCTGCCATGCCCCTCTCACCTCCTCTACGATGCCATGAATCTAATGACTGTTCCTTCAAACGCCTCAGAGGCTTGATCGGTCACGGAGCATTCGGATCAGTGACTCGTCATATCTCTGACAGCCACCAATGGCGCCTCCTGGGACGACCCTTGATTCGAACGGATTCTATCTCGGCCCGTCGACTATCATTGATCGAGAGATGTGTGCTCCCACGCCCGAATCAATCACTGACGACCCTGGAAGCGAAGCTGAGGTAAGTGGTGTCCGTATACTCTCGCACTGCGCTCTCTAACCAGTGGATTAGCCACCCTCTGCAGCATCGCCACGTACCCCCGTTAATGCCGAGATCCGAGCATCTCACGGTCACTCAACTAAGCTCATAGCTTTTGGGTCATTCAGGCTCTCACGCAACGATACAGACCGCCGTGAGTGGCAGATACAGGATGGTTCCGTGTCCCTGCCATTCCCACCAGCAGTTCTCGTTGAGTCCCAGAGGCGGGGTTGGCTCCGCTTGGAAGTGGTCGAGCATGTCAGCCACCCAGATTTCGCAACATGTCGCATCTACTTGTTACCAGAGGATGTTGACAGATCTATTCGAGCATCACCAAAGCCATTCCGCAAGGTGATCAAATGGCTCATTCCTTTCGTCGACATATCTCCAGCCGGGTGGACTGCAGAGTGGCACGAACAGATCCCACCTCACAAATACGGTTTGCCTTCAGCCGACCAAGAGGAATCGCTCTTCTACATCTTCAACACCCTCGACTCGCCGACAGTTCATGACTTCGATGGCTCCTCATATGCGCGTGATGCCATGGATCATCTTCTGGGTGACAGCGTTGGTGGCCTGATAACAAAGCTTTATCCATACCAGAAGCGCTCCGTGGCATCTATGCTACGAAGAGAGGAGAGCCCCGTCAAGTCTCAAGACGCCAGGAAACCTCAGTACATTGACCTCGAGGGCAACAAATTCTACATGGATGTCTTCGAAGGCGTAGTTGTTCGACACTCTCAGCTTTACGTTGAACCAAGAGGAGGCATTCTCGCTGAGACCATGGGCTACGGCAAGACACTGGCTTGTATAGCTCTCATCCTTGCCACACGCGGCTTCTATCCACGGGTACCCGAAGCTCGAATTGAGCGGTCGGAGACACCTCTCTATCCGACCACTCCTAGCCTTTTGAGCATGGCGGCCAGATCGCTGAGGCACAAAGGTCTGCCCTGGAAGGCTGAATTGCATGCTCTAAGAGCGCAAGGCTATCATTATGATAAATGCTTGGAAGAGTTGCAGAAGTACCAGCGTGAATTTGGCGAGCCTATATTTCATCCGACCACACCCGGACGCAAGGCTAGCAAGCGAGAGTCCGAGAGGACCCTCCGGCTTTGCAACGCTACATTGGTGATAGTCCCACCAAATTTAATCGTGCAGTGGCAACATGAGATTCGCAAGCATACAGAGGCTGGGGCCCTTGACGTACTAGTCATCGACATGAGCACGAAGAAGATCCCGGATTGGGACGTACTGGTGGCTTACGACATTGTCCTTATCTCAAAAAATCGCCTTGACCAAGAGTATCGCGACGATGATCTGAATCAAGGGAAGAGGTTCAAGGGTTCCGATAGAGTCTCATCATCTTTGACTGAGGTCCGCTGGCTGCGCGTCATCTGCGACGAGGGTCACTCCTTCGCAAGCTCAACGGCTAGGACCAGGACGATGGCAATGCTCGACAAGCTTTCCATCGAACGACGATGGATTATATCTGGAACTCCTTCAAGCTCCTTGATCGGAGTAGACGTCAATTTGGCTGCAGATGAGACTCGGAGAGGGCGACGCAGGGACTCTATGGAACAAGCCCTTGAACAACGGCGTCTGCCTGACTCTGCCAAGCAAGAAGAAAAGGACATGGACCGCCTGCGCCTCATCGTCGTGAACTTCCTCAAAGTTCAGCCATGGGCCAACCAGAAGGGAGCCGACCAAGCCAGTTGGAGGAAATATCTCTCACCCTTCGATGCAGACGGTAATCGACGGTGTGCTCCTGGCTTAAGGCCTTTGTTACAGAGTCTGATGGTTCGTCACCGAATCAGGGATATCGATCTAGATGTAACACTGCCGCCCTTGCACAACAACACGGTCTATCTGGAGCCCTCGTACTACGACAAGCTCGCGCTAAACATGTTCATACTTGTCCTCACATCGAATGCTATCACCTCTGAGAGAACCGATGAAGACTACATGCACCACCCAAAGAACAGGAAGAATCTCGATCTACTTATCAGTAATCTGCGGCAGTCGACCTTTCACTGGGTGGGCTTCACCGAAGAGCAGATCCAGGAAACGCTCAAAGTCTGCAACAACTACTTTGACCAGCATCTAGACACCCTGTCCGACGCAGATGCCTGTTTGCTGACGCAAGCCATCATGCACGCTGAGCATGCATCTGGTGACCCAGGCTGGCGAGCATTTTCGAAACTCCATGAAATCGGTGTCTATGTCGAGCACTTCCCGCAAGAGGCAGCTAGAGCCTGGTCGCTGCATGGCCAAGGCGGCAATTCACTGCTCATGGGTACGGTACAAGCCCGCGAAGCACAAAAGTACGTGCACAGCCACCTGCATGAGCCAGATCCCGCGTCCGGACTGGTTGGCGCTGGCATGCGCGCCATGATCGATGCCCATAGACGTGCTGCTGAAGAAGAGAGTCAAAAGTCCAAATCCACCAAGCCTGGAGCCACCACAGCTACCGCCAGTGGCGCGCAGCAACCACCAGGCGTCTCCGAGGAGCCCAAAGTCCGGCCATCCCTTTCGAAGCCGCTCTCCAGCACGACGAACAAGTCGCCCTCGCCACGAAAACGTGCCCTCTCATCACCTACTGCTGCTGCTGCATCGTCCTCAATCGCCGCCAACCCCGTGCTAGCCGCTCCCAAAATCACCGGCTTCACCTCCGCCAAGCTCACCTACCTCTGCACATCCCTCCTCTCCCTCCCACCCCAAACCAAGTCCCTCATCTTCTACGACGCCAACAACACAGCCTTCTGGCTCGCCGAAGCGCTCGAGCTCCTCGGCATCCCCTTCCTCATCTACAGCAACACGCTCCCGCCGTCCACGCGCGCCAAGTACCTCAGCATGTTCAACACGGAATCGCGCTGGCGCGTGCTGCTCATGGACCTCAAGCAGGCCAGCACGGGCCTGCACGTCGCGAGCGCCAGCCGCGTCTGGATCGTCACGCCCATCTGGCGCCGCGAGGTCGAGGCCCAGGCCATCAAGCGCGCCCACCGGATTGGCCAGACGCGCGAGGTCCATGTCGAGACCCTCGTGCTGCGCGGCACCATCGAGGAGCGTCTGTGGCGCCGGCGCAAGGGCGTCACTGAAGCGGAGGTGCGCAGGCTGGCTGCGGTGGCGGGTGGTGGAGCGGCGGGCGCAGGAAGCACGGCGGCGCAGAGTATTGGGAGTGGTGGCTGGTTGGAGGACGATGGCGTGGTGGGCATCATCAAGAACGAGGGGTTCCTGGACTTGGCGCAGGGCCAGAATGGGGATGGCACGGAGGCCGCGTGTCGCCTGGAGGCGGCGGTGCCACTGTTCTTGCGCCAGCAGGAGGGTGACGCGGACGAGCGCGCCGCGTTGGGTGGCGATGGCGAGGAGGCTGCGGTAGGGCAGCCGAGGGAGAGGGAGAGGAAGAGGCGAAAGAACAAGAGCGTGGTGAGCTTTGTGGATGTGCCGTCTGCTTCGGGAGTGGCGCCTCCGACGCCGCCGGAGTCGAGCCATGGGTATCGAAGTATCTTTGGTGGTGTTGGTGTTGGTGTTGGTGTTGGAGCTGGTGTTGGCGTTGATGCTCGTGCCGAGCGACTTGAAGTCCCGGGTCAGGCGTCAGTTGGACAGAAGAGTGTGGGGTTTGTCATCGAGGTTCCTGGAGGCCAGAGCCAGCGCCAGGAATAGTGGAATCTCAGGATGTGGTCTGTGTTGGTGTTGGGTAGGGCTGATTACGATTCAGGATGACCGGTGCATAAGGGAATAGGAAATGTGTCATGAGAGATGGGGATCAAGTCGATGGGTATGGATGAGGGTCTTTGCTTCGACTACTTGTCATCGATGCACAAGGGCACCGCGCTTTACTTTGCCGGCTCAATTGCTCTACTCGTTCTCAGCCGCTGTCGGACCTCTCAAAACGCTGTAGTAATGCTGCTTAGATGCTTGCTGCTTCGTCGCTCCGTGCTCGATGCTCGATGCGCAGTGCCGGGTAGTGATGATCTATTGCGTCAGAGCTCCAAACCAACTCCCTGCAAATAGGTGTGCCCAAACTTCCTTTCTCCATGCTCCTCTATCCTCCCGCCCTTCAATTGACCGATACACAGCTTACTTCGTTCAAAGCTCTAATCGCCGAGCACCAAAAGCCCCCTCCGATTCTCCGGTGCTCGCTCGCTCTCGGGCAACTTACGCTTCGGCGGCTCCGCGATGGGCACATCCTCTTGTGTGCGCCACTTGCCCGCAAAGATGTCCTTCAGCTTGTCTTCCACGTAGCTAGCGATCAGCGGGAGGGTCGAGGGCTCGTTCCACAAGCGTGTTGTGCGGACTGTGATGGAGACAGATGCGGGTGGAATGGGTTGGTCTGCGGGTTTGGCTGAGAGCAGCTGTGTAGTGGAAGGACCTGTCTCTGCGGGCGTCGCGAGGGTAGGAGGGCCAGTGGGGAGAGTAGTAGGTCCGTTGAAATAGAGGGGTAGGAGAGGGATGAGATAGCCGTCGGGGTAAGGGGACTCTGAACTTCTGGGTCAGTAGTGTTTGTCTCTGGGAGGGGCTGGTGGCTTACCGTAGACAGTAAACTGGTCAAGGTACAGAAGTAGCTCCAGGCTTTGCAGATGGCCCAGCTTCTTCCTTGTCTCAATGATGCTCCTGTTCATCCACGGAGAATGGCAACCATCTGAGCATCGCTCTAGGATTTGGATATGCTGTAGCTTCGCTGCGCTCTTGGAGAATGACTCTGCGAAGTAGTTCAGGTCGCGCAGTGATGTGAAGGTGAAACGGTTCTTGGTGAAGATGAGGTCGAGGGCTTCCCTTCGAATCATGCGTGAGAGCAGCAGTAGCTCGGTCTGCAGGAACGGGGGAGGGTTGTCGGCAGCTTGTACGCGAAAGCTGAAGCCACGTTCGCAGTTGCAATGGCCACTGTCCATGTTAAGCATAGCGTCACCGCAGCGAGAAAGGCGGAAACCTAGTTTCACGTTGCCTTTGACGGGGTGCAAATGGATTGATTCCGGGGCTTCGACCAGGTAGCGAAAGATATGTTGGCGAACTTCGGTCGGGAGCTTCGTGTAGAGGGGGCAGTTGCCAATCCCATCGATGGCTGGTTGGGCATCGCGGACCAAAGACTCTTTCAGCTCTCGTTGAAGTTGGTCAGATACTAAGCGGTCGATCTTGAATTCATCAAAGTCGAAGCCAGCGCGAACGAGGTGGCAAGCGTAGGCTTCAGTCTTGGCTAGCCGAACAGCGGCGAAAAGAGAGCCTGGGTTTTGGTCCTGGAATGCTTCGTGAAGATTGTCGAGTGCCCTGGCGGCCACTGCGCGAGACAACATGGTGATGGAGCGCGGTGCGAGAGCGGATTGGCAAAGAGTGATGAGGCTGCGAGCTGTTGTGCGTCTCTCCCGGTGTCTTCGGTCAGTTGATTCGTGCTGGAATCGGTTGGTGACTTTGCTAAGATCAGCTGCAGCAAGCGGCAGCAGATGCTGTCCCCCTCAACCACTCTCAATGGCTGTCGATCCAAGACATAGGCAGCCCATCGAAGATTGGAGCTAATTCGCCGGTAACGAGCTCAGTCTGATGAGCCTGGTACGGAGTTGGTGGAATGGAAGTGCTGATAGTGGCACGCCTACTGTAAACCACACTTGCTAGGTAGGCTACCAAATGCACAGCAGGAACGATGTTGCCCTTAGCACGGAGATAAGCCTACTTTTAGGGAGGCTGTGCGGCCCCAATGCTCTGAGGCGTTCTATCACTCTCGATGACCGCCTCAAGTTTTGCTTAAAGAGGTACTTGCTATCAAAGGCGAGGCACTACCAAGGTGAGGTGCAGTCCAGGTAAGGAATGTCCCTGGCCAATCAAGGCGCAGCGTAAGGCGGGGCTCCATTTCGGGCTTGGTTGGTGGTGACTTTGATGCTGAATAATGCACTCCTCTCGGCGACCTCGCTTGACACTATAAAACGCTCCCGAGGCCCCCGAGCCAGTCGAGTATAGAGCCTAGATGTACCTACACCTCCTACAGCCTGCCCGTACATGAACTTCACTCCCACGGCCAGACTGCTGACCAACAGAATGACTCAATACAACATCTCCATCACCTCGGACATCGTCTGCCCATGGTGCTACATCGGCCACACTCGCCTCAGCAAAGCCATTGCGAAGCACAAGGAATCCAATCCCAACGATACTTTCAAGCTCTCCTACAAACCCTTCTACCTCAACCCCGCCGCCCAAGTCCACGCCTCAGGTTCCGGCCCAGAACCACCACCGTTCCCCATCCCGTCAATCGATCGCCGAGAATACTATGCATCCAAGTTCGGCCCCCAGCGCGCCAAGCAGATCGAGGCCATGATGATCCAGACCTCCCACGACGAGGGCCTGGACTTCAAATTTGGCGGCAAGACCGGGCCCTCCAGGAACGGACATCGCCTGATCCGCTACGCTCAGAACCACGGCGGTGAAGATGCCCAGAACGCGGCCATGAAGGGCCTGTGGCGCCGCTACTTCGAACAGGAAGTCGACATTACCACGCTGGACACGCTCGTCGAGGTGGGCGTCGAGGCTGGTCTTGGCTCTGCGGAGGGGGTGAAGCAGTTTCTGGAGAGCGGCGCCGAGGCCAAGACTGTGGACGAGGAGGCCGAACAGGCCCGCGACAAGGGCATCAGCGGTGTTCCCCATTATGAGATACAAGGTTTGTACGAGGTGAGCGGCGCCCAGGAGCCGAGAGCGTTTGAGATGTTGTTTAAGCGATATAAGGATAGCGAGGCCAAGGCAGAAGCGGGAAAGACTGCCGCCAACGGCAGCGCCTGCTTGTAGGTAGGATTGTCTGTAGTAATGTACAAAATGTCGCAATGATTCGACGATCAACGTACACGTTCCGGGACTTCTTCCGGGTGCCTCTCTTGGGTAGCGGGCTCGGGCTCCATCTCTTCCACCTCGGCCTCTTGCTCTTCGAGTTCTACTTCATCTGCAACTCCTTCCTCGAGCAGCTTCGGCGAGGTGGACTCGCTGCGCAGCTTGCGCCGCGGCTGGTAAGCTCCCCTTATCTTCACAGCTCTCTCTTCCTCAACCACCGTCGGCAACGTCAACTGGCTCGGTAGTGTGGTCCGTAGCGTACCACCTTGCTTGTCCTTCCCCACGTAGCTCGGCTGATCCGATTCACTCCACTGGCTGTTGGTCTCTTCGTCCCACGAGAAATCCGAAGCATCCCATTGTCTTTTGACATGCTCATCCCATTTCTCCATCTTTTCTCGCAGGTTCTCCCAGGCTTGATCTTGCTGTGCAATCAACTGCTGCCTCCTCTTGGGATCGTTCCAAACGTCCGCGAACGTCTCCTCCGTAGGATCGTTCTCGGGCAGCCCAAGCTTGCGGCGCTCGTCTCTGAACTGTTTCTGTACGGCGGGCGATTTCATGATAATGTAGCGCAGTTTCCAGCCCAAAAGCCCGAGCTCCTTTATCCGGCTAGGCTTGTCGCCCAGGACGTACTGGTCGAGGCCGCCAGCCTTTCGGATGGTGCGCATCACTCGAGCTCGAATCGGTATCGTCAGCTCCTGGTTCAGAGCCTCACTCCTGATCTTCTCGAGCCGGACATTGGGGAACCACTTTCGCAACGTTTTGCCCTTGTTGCGGCCTTGAGAAATCTTGTTTCCTGACTGGATCGTGGCACCACCATATAGACCGTAGTTTGCTTCTGGGTAATTGACATTCGCGCCATACGGGTATGGAGGCATCAGCGGATCTGTGTGCTTGAGCCATGGTTGTGCCAGAGTCTTGTGCCAGCTATCTCTTGACAACGCGAATTTTGGGGTGTAGAATCCTGGTCTCTTGATTTGCTTGTACTGCGCTGTCGAGGGCGATGCTTTGACAGCAGCGAGCCTGTGCGCAACAGCTTCCGTTGCCATCGTGATGGGCAGATGGAAAAATAGGATGTGCAAGAAATGACTTGTACTCCTGGCGTGGGTGCTTCGAGAGGTCGAAAGGCGAAGAATTAACGGCAACCACAATATAGAAACGTCACCGACCCATAGACAGAGCTCCTGGAAAGGAAGGAGGGAATGAGCTCCAAAGATGAGTCCAAGTATGGGGTGCCGAAGCTATGGATGGAGATGGTAGAAAAATGGTCGACCGCATTGAAGTTCAAGATTGCGGAGATGATTTTTGGCGTGTCGCGTCAATGTGAACATCCACCCACACTTCAAACCTGTGCACTCCCTTGTATGCAGACATTCTCTAGGCTGTTATAATCCTACTGATTTGCTGAAACAACTTTCACACGGTCGATCATCCCGCGACGACAGGCTCCTTCCGCCTCAGCCTTTTGTGCCTGAACTCACTCAAGCTCGCGGTCCGCCGCAGCAGATTCCTCATACACCATGGTCAGTCTCAGCGAGGTCAAGAACACGCAGCGTGAGAATCGCATTGCCGCGCACAGTCACATTAAAGGCCTTGCCCTAAGAAGCGATGGCACCGCTGATACCAGTGGCAACTTCATCGGACAAGCGGCCGCGCGTGAGGCATGCGGCGTAGTAGTCGACCTGATCAAGGCGAAGAAACTCAGTGGTCGCGCTGTGCTGCTCGCCGGTGGTCCAGGCACAGGGAAAACAGCCCTGGCGCTCGCTGTGTCGCAGGAGCTCGGCACAAAAGTCCCCTTCTGCCCCATTGTGGGCAGCGAGATCTACAGCACCGAAGTGAAGAAAACAGAAGCCCTAATGGAGAATTTCAGACGAGCTATTGGTATTCATGCCCCTCCTCCCGCATCGTTCTTGGACTGACATCCTAGGCCTGCGTGTGCGCGAGACAAAAGAAGTGTACGAAGGCGAAGTCACCGAGCTCATTCCAGAAGAAGCCGAAAACCCGTTAGGAGGCTACGGACGCACCATCTCCCACCTAATTCTCACTCTCAAATCCGCCAAAGGTACCAAAAAGCTCCGCCTCGATCCCTCAATCTACGAAGCCATCACCAAAGAGCGCGTCACAGTCGGCGATGTGATCTACATCGAAGCCAACACAGGCGCCTGCAAGCGCGTTGGTCGATCGGACGCCTACGCCACAGAATTTGACCTCGAAGCCGAAGAGTACGTGCCGGTACCCAAGGGCGAGGTTCATAAGAAGAAAGAAGTTGTGCAAGACGTCACGCTGCATGACCTCGACATCGCGAATGCGCGGCCTCAGGGCGGCCAGGATGTCATGAGCATGATGGGTCAATTGATGAAGCCCAAAAAGACCGAGATTACGGACAAGCTCCGCGCGGAAATCAACAAGGTGGTGTCGCGGTACATCGATCAAGGCGTGGCCGAGCTGGTGCCGGGCGTGCTCTTCATCGACGAAGTCCACATGCTGGACATCGAGTGCTTCACCTACCTGAACCGTGCGCTAGAGCAGCCCATCTCGCCCATTGTCATCCTGGCCAGCAACCGCGGCAACACCGTCATCCGCGGCACCGACGGGGTGACCGGCGCCCATGGCATCCCCGCCGACCTGCTGAACCGCCTGCTCATCGTCCCCACCCTCCCGTACAACGCCCAAGAGGTCAGCACCATCATCAAGCTGCGCGCCCGCGTCGAGGGACTGGCACTCAACGACGCGGCGCTGCAGAAGATCAGCGAGCACGGCACCAAGGTCAGTCTGCGCTACGCGCTTCAGCTGCTGACGCCGGCGAGCATTCTGTCCAAGGTCAATGGGCGCAGCGAGATTGCCGTTGAGGACGTGGCCGAGTGCGAGGACCTGTTCATCGACGCGAGGAGGAGCGCCAAGGTTGTGGAGGGCTCTGCAGGGTTCATCAGCTGAGAGGTGATTGTGAGTTCGCAAGCCATGTAAACCAAGGTTTTGGGGCTTTATGATTTTTACCAACGAGCATTTCCAGCGCCAGGTGAGTGTTTTGGGGAAGGGAGACGAGGCATGTCTACGGAGATGCGAGCCGGACTAGCTAAAGGGCCGCACAACGTTTCAGAAGCAAGATGTCGAAGCCTTTTTGGGCAGCTCGTGCGACAAAGACTAGGGCTGAGGCTGGTGTAGCAGTCAAGATTGCTGGGCAAAGGGGGAAATACCCCATCAGATCTCTCACGGATCCGAGTTGCTGTCGAACGACAAGCTAGATGATACATTGGGGCGGAATCCCGTCGGAGGTAGAGAAAAAAAAGGCCAACGCATTGTCTTGATATCATTTGCAAATCCAATACAAGCCCTATTTGTGGTATCTAAGCGGAAGCCGAGAAGCACTGCGGTAGCCCGCAAGGTATCAGTAATGACACCTTGGGTTCGTTGGATACCAGTACTGTTGCCGGTGCTATAATGAGTTGAGCCGTTTGCGCCTCGTGGTATCGATCAATCTAAGGCAATGCTGAGAGTCGAGAGTGTTCAATGCCGTCGCCTTTGCGCCGCTGGCTATCCTTCTGCATTTGTGCAGCTGTTCCACCCGTCATCATCGTCCCTTTCACGCACAGTGTAGTGGTAGTCTATTTGGGAGGATACTTGTTCTCCAGCAGCCACCTGTTGCATTGTTAGCTTGTCCTCGCACTCCTCAGCGCCGCGCGAAACTCACTGGCTAGCGAAGTAATCTCCCACGGCCAGAGCACCAATGCCACCGGCAACGGTGCCAGCCAACTTCCAATCCAGCTTGCCCTCTTGATGCTTCTGATACGCGCCATAGCCCACCGCTGCAGCCGTGATCGCCCAGAGCACCGCGTTGCCCACAACGACAGGGTTGTCCCTGTTGTCTGCCAATTTCTTGCCGTCCTTCTTCAGCGTGCTCTTGGCCTTCTTCGCCTGCGCGGACGCCTTCTCTTTGGCGGACTCGGCCTTCTTGACAGCTTCCTGGCGAGCGCGCTCAGTTTCGTTCTCGGCTTCACGGATCATGCGCTCGGCTTGAGTATCCGTCTGAACAGATTGCGACTCGAAGTCGGATTTGACACTGGAGATGTGGGGGGAGTCGACATCGATTAGCGACGAGGCCTGAGACTCATCGTGGCTGAGTTGAGGTACGGGGTGGGCTTTGCTATAGCATGAATGTTAGCGGATGAGGCGATTGATGACGATGGGAACGTACGCCTGGGACATGTTAGCATGGCTGGCTAGAACTTGGTTGTGACATGTGATTGTCCGGAGAGCTGGACAGACATACCTCCTCAGGGCTCTGCTCGCTGTTCTTAGCAGCGACGTCGGCGTAGGACATGTTGGCTGGCAGGGCGAGACTGTGGTTGTGAATGGAGTAGTTTTAGCAGTGATGGGAAGAACGGAGGAAGTGATAGACAGCTTCAAGCAAGAACCTTGCAAGGTCGCCTGCCGCAGATTGGCGCAGCACGTTACCGGCCTGCTCAGAAGACCAGGACGTCATAGCTGGACTAGGCCGCATACAGTCTGGCGTTCTCGGCTCCTTTAGAACCTCATTTCTTGGCTTTTGGGTTACGTGAACCTCCGACTTTCTTCCTTCAGCTTCGATCTACAACTTCTGCAGCATGAGTCTTTTGCATGTCCTATATCGATCACCAGTGCATTTCGGCGTTCTCTAAGGGATTCGTTGGCTGTCTCAGCTCCCTTCTGGAGCAGTATCGTCAAACCGAGGTGCCGATATTTTAGTCGCAAAAGTCACCGCATCTAATACCCGAGGGATCTCACCATGGCTGACTCGCCCGCCATTAATGCTGTTCAGGATGAACAACCTGAGGCAGCTGAAGTGCTAGAGAACCATCTACCATCCGGCTATGCTTTTGATGGGACCTTCGAGAGAGCTGATGGTTCTGCCATTGAAGAAGGGGAAGCTCAATCCTCCCTTACCCTATTGGGTGGCGACATTCATCGCGATCTCTACAAGATCGATGCTCGTAACAGACCTCACCACCAGCGAGCAAAGACTTTTTCTGGGCCCGACTTCACCGGCGATGAGAGCGACATGCTACCAATTTCTGAACAGCTCCTTCCTGGTGGGTTCAGACGACAATATGTCGTACAGAAATACGGAACTTTGTCCCGCTTCTCACCACGGAGAGTTCCAATCGCTCGAAACTTTGTTGAATTTCTGGATCTCTATGGCAATTTCGCGGGCGAAGATCTAGAGGAGTCAGAATCTGAGACCGAGGCTGAGACAGACGTCGAGGACGGCGAGCGGAGACCCCTGCTACCCCGTCGAAAGAGCACCAAGCGGATCCAACGACCAGGAGATGCTGGAGTTGCACGAACTTTCTTCACACTGCTCAAGGCTTTCATTGGCACCGGCATAATGTTCCTGCCCAAGGCCTTCCAGAACGGCGGCATTCTCTTTAGCTCGATCACTCTCTTTTTCGTTGCCCTTATCACCACGCTGGCCTTCCACCTCCTTCTGAAATGCAAAGCAAAGTACCCAGGTGGTTATGGAGAGCTCGGCGAAGCCATTGGCGGTCGCAAGATGCGCGCTGTGATCCTTTCTTCCATCACTATCTCCCAACTCGGCTTCGTCTGCGCTGGCACCGTCTTTGTGGCGGACAACCTCAAAGCGTTTGCCGATGCAGTCTCACACAACGCGTCTCCGCTGTCAACCAAAGACCTCATCGCACTGCAACTACTGATCCTTGTCCCTATGGCGCTGATTCGTAACATCTCCAAACTTGGCCCCGCCGCCATGATTGCGGATGTCTTCATCATCCTGGGACTGGTCTACATCTGGTACTACGACATCGCGTTCCTCACCGCTCATGGGATTGCCGAGAGCGTCGTCCTCTTCAATCCGTCCTCCTACACGCTCACCATCGGCGCCGCAATCTTCACCTTCGAGGGCATCGGCCTCATCCTGCCCATCCAGTCCTCCATGAAAGAGCCTCAGAAATTCGAGTGGCTGCTCTATATAGTCATGATCCTCATCACCGCCATCTTCGGCAGCGTCGGCATCCTCTGCTACGCCACCTTCGGCACCGCCACCAAGATCGAAGTCATCTCCAACTTCCCTCAAGACTCGCACCTCGTCAACGCCGTGCAGTTTGTCTACTCCATGGCCGTCCTCGTCGGCACCCCTGTGCAGCTCTTCCCCGCCGTGCGCATCCTGGAAGGCAAGCTCTTCGGAAACATCTCCGGCAAGCACGACCTGGCCGGAAAATGGAAGAAGAACGGCTTCCGTACCGTCATAGTCGTCTTGTGCGTCGCCATCAGCATCTGGGGCTCCGCAAACCTTGACCGCTTCGTCGCCTTGATTGGCAGCTTCGCCTGCGTGCCCCTCGTCTACATCTACCCGCCGCTGCTGCACTACCTGGGCGTGGCTCAGAACCCATGGGTCAAGGCTGGGGATATCGTGTTCATCATCGCCGGTCTGTTTGCAATGATTTTCACAACTGTCATCACGGTCGTTACGAGTTTCCTGCGGTAGAATGAAAACGTTCGCAGCAGATCGAATTGGGGTTGACAAGATCATGTTATCACACGTTCGCGTACTTTTGATTTTCCACAAAAGAATGAACGATACCCAAGAGCTGTGCGCCGATCCCGCATCGAGCGTACGTAGTCAGACGAACAAACCACCTCACTCCATCAACGCAACAGAGCGCGGTCAGAGTTCCACGGAAAAGGTAGAGGTCACGGTAGAAAGAGGGGTAACGGCACATGTATTCGTGTGGGTCCGTCGACAGTAGGCGGCATACTGACTGACTGGAGGATTTTTGGGTAGAAAAGCACTTTTCGCGGCATTTTTTGAGACTTAGCGTAGCATCATGTATGTATGTATCGATCGATCGGTCGTTTCAATGTTTGTGTCATCAGGCTCTATTTCATCCATCGCCCACACGCCATTATTGTCGCTGCCAGTCATGATTTGATGATTTTATGGCAATGCCACCAACTGCTGTGAGCCTCTCCCTAGACGTCAACAAGACGCTATTAAAGTTCTGACGTTGGACATTGGCCGAGCAGGGTACGTAGCTCTTCATGACTGTTTTCATGCTCTTTGATGCCCTTGTTCTTCCACTTTTTCCTTGATGACCACACTGCCGCGGCAGGGTGAGAGGGTCGCAGATGAACTACACCCCTGATGTTGGTGTTGATAAGGCGATAGTCAGGTTCTCCGATCGATGGATCGAGTAGGCACAGGCGTAGGTGGCCGAGCTTTCATTGGTATGAGGGGTGCCTTGCTAGACACGATAGGGACCGCTTGGAAAGTGGGACAAAGTACGCACGAGTCGTCGATGGGTAGCAGCACGTCTTAGGGCCTCGCATGCAGTGCGAGTAAACTAGGTGTAGCCTGTACGGCGTTAGCAAGCAAGCCAAATGACTAGTTGGGTCAACACTCACTTCTCATAGCGTCCGTGTACCCACTTCCACCCTTCAGGTCCCGCACAAAGCTCTCTGCAACATCAATGACCCTCTTGATGTGCTTCATGTCAAGCGGCTTGCCTTCATGTACCGCCAGTGCCTGCGCAGCCCTCACCAGATTTTTGATCTGCCGCCCGTTGACATCTCTTCGTGCAAGATCCATGTAATCCTGATCCGTGATCTTGGCCACTTCCAAGCCCTCGCTCTTCATGACCTTCTCGATGAATAACTTCCAAACGCGGTGACGAGCCTTGGTCGACAACTCTTCGTAGCGTAAGCTCAAGTGAATGCGGGACACAAATGCTTCGTCAAACGTCTCGACACGGTTGGTGGTTAGGAAAAGGATGCCTTGGAAGTATTCAAGCAGGCGAAGGAAGATCGACACCAATGCGTTGCGATGGATGTCGTGGATCGAGCGCTTCTCCAGGAAGACATCCGCTTCGTCAAGCAGGAGAATGGCACCCCATGAATGGGCGATGTCGAGGATGTTTTGCAGCTCTTTCTCCAGATTACGAGGGTCGGTGCCCAAGTCGCCAGCGGAAACCATGTACAGCGGACATTTGAGTAAGTCAGCAATGCCCTCAGCAGTAAGTGTTTTGCCAGTTCCAGGTGGGCCATGGAGAACGCAGCACAGACCACGACCCTTGCCACTGATGATATCATCAATTGATTTGGTAGGATGGAAGGCATGGCTAGAGACGAGAGCTTTGACGATCGACTTCTGCCCCTCTGGTAGTACGAGGCTGTCGAAAGCATCCACGTTGAAGACAACTTCGGAAATTCCAGACACAGTGAATTCCAACCAGAGTTTTTCAGAGAACGCAAAGCCCAGCACGACGGGAGAGGCGATCAGTAGTTCTTCCTCCGTAAAAGCACGCGAGACCGACTCCTCGATACGATCACCCTGTGATATAGCCTGGGCTTCGTCGTTCGGCTCGACCTCAACAGTCCTTATCTGACCGTCCGGAGTGCGAACGACTTTGTACTTGCGGCGCTCTTGGTGGCTGGCTTCTTCGGATGAAGAAGGGGTAATCCCGTCGCCGCCAGCTTCGTCGCTACTGCTGCAGCATCCACAGGCGCTATCGTCCTCATCATCGCTGATCTCGAAGATCTCTTCATCCTCTTCCTTCGGCCGGACGGTGCTGATCTGGTAGTTGGGATTAATACGGAGGTGAATAGCAGGGTCGCACATGATCCGACCGTTGATATTGATTTTGAGGATTTGTCGCTTGCGCTTGGTATAAGCCATGCCCTTATGGTACTTGTAGTGAACACCTTCAAGGGCGACAAACTTCTTACCACGCTCGATCAATTGAGTCCTGAGCGCCTCAGGATCCCTATGGTACTGCAATGGATAGCAATCGAGGGTAGGTATGCGGCGAACGCCCTGAAAGCTGGGCACTTGGACAGACATACTACCCATGCCAAAGGATTTACCGTCGTACTCGAGATACCTGCCTTCAATTGTGTACCAAGTACCTTTCATGAAATGCGAATCCTTGCTCACGTACTCAATCTTGAAGGCGCGTGGCTGCTCATTGTCTCCGTATGTGTTGGTGTAGGCGATGGTATTTGGCTTGAAAAGAGCCCACAGCAAGTCGAAGGAGATGGTCTTGTTGTTCAGCATTGGCAGGAGTGTCTTCTTGGTTTCGGTATAATCTTTGTCGAGGTATTTTATCAGGATCTTCAAGTGCTGAGCCTTGGTAGCGAGCTCCCTGCGGACCTTCTTCTTTTTGGCCGCCTTGCTCTGCTCGGAAAGTTTGCCCATGTATGTGCGAGTCTCCTCCAGATAGAGAAAGAGTTGATTAGGATCGACATGAGGAGTGTCGGCGACCAGGCTAACACCTTTCACACCAGCCATGACGTGCTGCAGAGCTTCCTTGAGTGGTTTTGACTTGATGTCGACGAGTGTCTCCTGGTACTTGTGCTCCCAATCGAACTTTCGCCGAACGGTGAAGATGTACTGATCCCATTCATCGGTGTCTTCGTCTTCCACCGTCTCGGTCAATTTGTAGTTGTGAATAGACTGGTCCCATAGCTGGTCGACTCGCTTGAAGGCGACCTTGGATGCACGTTTCTTCTTGGCTGGTTTGGACTTCCTCTTCTGCTTTTCCTTCAGCTTACGGGCACCCTCCAGATCAAGGTCACGGCGGGTCAAGCCGCTGAGTTTGAGAGCATCGAGGGACTGTTTTCGATTACGTCCACGCGAAGCATTGCCGAGATTCCTAAGCTGGGCATAAATGTCTGCAAGCTCGTCTGGATCCTCATGTTGCTGCTGTTGCTGTCGCATAGACTTGAGGATGTTCAACATCCGGGCCTTGTCTTGCTGTTGACGGAGTAACTCGAGCTGCATTCGAGGATCTTCGTCCTCCGAATCAGCTTGGTCCGAATCATCATCTGCTTCCTCTTCTTCTTCGCGTAGCTGCCGTCGTTTCAGCTTCTTGGGTTCCTTCTTCAGCTTTCTGGACCGTGCCTTCTTGTTCTTCCTCTTTTTGATGGCCTCTGCATCGTCAGAGGAGTCGCTGTCCGCCGCTGAGGATGACAGGTCGGAGTCTGAGTCGGAGGATGATGTTGACGAGGAGGAATCACTAGAATCTTGCTTGCGAGACTTCTTAGGCGGGCTCTTTTTGCAGTGCGCGTGCTTCTTTCGTGAAGTAGCTTTGGGCTTTTCAGTGGCCAAGTTGCCATCGGCGGGCAGCGCAGTCTCTGCAGACTCGACATCATTGTTCTTCTGGACTTCGGGCTGTGTCTGCGTGGCAGTAGTCTCTTGCTCCATGGTGACGGGACGGCTGAGTCGCACTGCAGATCATGTGGGCAAGATGCGGAGGCGGGGGAAGAACGCTGGAAGGTGAGACAAGAATATTAGAAACGCCAGCAACACTCATCAAGAAGCAACATGGAAAGCAGTAGTGTTTTGCGGAAACAACAAACGCAATTGTCAAGGATCATGTGGCCAGCTGCTGAGGATCAGGCAGAAATGGTCCTTTCAAAATGACTCGATGATGACAGGCAGCCTGAGTTCGTTGGGCAGAGTGCGACCAGCGTTAGGTCGGTTTGGTTTCTTAAAAGCCGCAGTACTCAACGCCAGCGATGTACGCAGGTTGAGTGGACAACGTGAGCGAACGAGGCATACGCAGGTGGGTATGGATCTGATGCGTGGAGCGTTGGGTCGATGTCATACGGGTGGAGCAGACTGTCCACCCGTCGACCTATACTTGTCAATCGCACACGTCCCTCTACCCTCGAGTCCTGCTCCTCGACGCCTTCGTTCATTCGCGCCTAGTGGTATGCGGACTCAGACAGCGGCTGACACGGCAGAAGCCATCCTATCATGCACCCTGCCAACCTGCTGCAGCCCTGAGTCCCCAGTCACCGGTTTGACCAACGAGTTCGCTTCCCAAGCTTAGCCTACTCAAATCCCCCTCCTAACGTCCTAGCCTTGTGCGCCATCGCCAACCGTGATGGCCTGCCGTCCTGTGGGTCGTTGCGCCCCGCGGCCCTGTCTCAGTCGAGAACCGAAGTCCGGGTAGAAGCGATGCTAGATCTAGACTCCCCAAGGCATGAGGGTGCTCTCATGGCACAGCAAGCGACCCGCCTTCTGGGTCTCATCATATCTAGTAAGGTATCCCAAGTCTTGGGGTTGCTAGCATGATTCGCACAGCTTTGTCAGGACCATGGCACAACTCCTCGCTAACGAGGGGCTGTACTTATGCTCCAGACATTTTGCAGCGCCCAATTGGTAATCAACACCGCGGTCCATAGCTAAACGTGATCGTTGGTGGGTGGTCGGATACCGAGGTATCTCCACATAACATTGATTGGCAGTCCAAGCCGTTCGCGAATAAATACCACCCGAGCCGACTTGAACACCATGATCAACATTCCGTACAGACGCGCAGCGCTGCAACAACCCCAGAGAGACGGTAAGCACAACTAACATTGTAGAGCAGCCCGCACATCTGCGATCCTGCCCGCTGCCAACCCGACCTTCGCCCCTCCCCCACCTCGCCTCAACCGCAACCATATCCTCAACCATGGTCCAAAACAAAGCTTTCATCTACAAACAGGTACCGCAGGGCTGGCCCAAACCGGGTCAAGACCTCACAATTGAGGATATTGGCTTCGATGACAATGCCTCACCTCCACCAGGTGGCATCACTACCAAGAACCTTTATGCCGCCTTCGATCCCTCGCAGCGGGGCCGCATGCGCGACCCAGCCATCAAGTCCTATTCCCCGGCAATGGAGGCTGGCAAGCCTGTCATCTCCGTCTCCGTCATCGCAAAGGTCCTCAAGTCCGACACCGACAAGTTCCCTCCCAGCAGCACCGTCATCATCGGCCGCACCTACACCGAGAGCTTTTCCGCCATCCCTGCCGACGCTCTAGGGACAGTGCACATCATCGAGGCCAAGGCCGGCGTGCCACTGACGGCGTACCTCGGTGCTCTGGGCATGACGGGCATGACGGCGTACGGCTCGCTGCACGAGATCGGCAGGCCGAAGAAGGGCGATGTTATCCTCGTCTCGGCCGCGGCGGGCGCCGTCGGGCAGTTCGTAGGGCAGATCGCGGTGCGTGAGGGTCTGCATGTCATTGGATCGGTCGGCGACGATAGGAAACTCGAGTTTATCACCAAAGAGCTCGGCTTCCATGCCGGCTTCAATTACAAGAAGGAGAACATGGCCGAGGCGATCAAGCGGCTGGCGCCTGACGGACTAGACATCTTCTACGACAACGTCGGGGGAGAATTGTTAGATATCGCGATCGCGAATATGAAGGAGTTTGGTCGGATTGGTAGGACCCTTTCATCGCCTTTTAGCACAACTTTTCCGTACTAACATCAAACAGTCGCCTGCGGCTCTATATCCCAGTACAACAACGCCAGCGCCTCGGATGCGTATGGCGTAAAGAACTACGGGCAGGTGGTCCGCAAGCGCCTCTTGTGGCAGGGCTTCCTAGTCTTTGATGAGAACATCGCGAAACATCGGAAAGCACGTGACGACAATATCAGCAAGTGGATAGCAGACGGGACCTTCAAGTCGGTGGATCATGTAACGAAGGGAATGGACAACGCAATCGATGGGTTCATCGGCATGTTGAAAGGTGATAATCTGGGCAAATCGGTTCTCTGGATTCAAGACCCTTGAGGGCATCCAGATCATGATGATACTTTCTGGCTGAAGAGTTGATACATGAGGCGTCTGCAAAAGGCGAGCTTAGTCCTGATCCTTAATCTGCTCGATTCACTGAAGATATTAGCAAGAGAACGGCTCTCCCACCGCCCCAGAACTATAAGCATCAACGATAAGCTTGATCGAAATGTACATGCCTATAACAACACATTAGTGCTGATGACTCTACCTTGAGGCTCGTTCTTGAAACCCCCGTGTACTACCGTACGAGATGCCACGGCAGAGCCTGACTTACCGGCAACACAAATGAAGAACCCCGCCAGAAATGTCGCGCAGTTCAGCAGACACATTCCCCATCGCTGCCGGTAAGCTACCCAGCCAGCGTGATCGTGCCACGCATCAAATAGCCAGAAAGCTCCCGCAATGCCTAGATTTCTACTGTCAGCAGCAACGCTTTTCAAGCCCACTGTGCCCGGATTCCCCTTGATTCGTGATATGACCAGCATTGCAAACTCACCATACGTATACCAACTCGCGAACAAGCTCGCCGCAATGCTGACCAAGTACGCAAATATCGGCACTCCGACCGCCAACACAAAGGCCGCAGCATTCATCAGCAGCACGAGTGCCGCCCACACGGCCCAGCCGAGCAGCGTGTGGTGGTGCAAGTGGCGACTGCGGGCCGGGCGGCGGAAGAGGCGCACGAAGAAGAGCTTCGCGGCCGTGTGCGCGTACAGCGAGCCGGCGATCAGGAAGTTGGGCAGCGCAATGCCGTAGGCGGCCTTGGACCAGTGGGACGGAAGGGAGGAGAAGGCCGGGCTCGCGATGCCGTCGCCGAGGTAGACGTACATGACAGCTGCGAATACGCAGTAGACGGTGGTGGCGAAGATCTGCAGTGTCCAGGCGGCTTTTTTGGCATCTTTTGGCTGGGACATTTCGCTGATGAGGATGAAGAACATGAAGTGGCCGGCGTACGAGAAGACGGGGTTTGTGATGGCGAGGAAAGCATGGTAGAAGTCGGAAGGTTTGGCCGTTTCGATGGGCTGAGGCGACGAGATGGCGCCGGCACCGGCCATGCCGACAATGCCGGCAGCGAGGATGCCGATGCAGGCGAGCACCGAGAGGAGGGAGAGGTGGTCCAACGTTCGGAACAGTGATACGAGGAAGGTTGGGACGGCGAAGATGCCGGTGTATATCATTAAACACAGCTTGTTGTCAGACAGGGTGGACAAGGCGATCTGGCCGGCTAGGAGCTGGCTGCCCGTGGCGAAGACTGCGAAGATGACGGTGCCAGCAGACAGGATCTCGCGAAGGACGGGTCCGCCCATGATCATGCCGGCGTCTCCCATATTGTGGACCTCGGGGTGCCGAAGCTTGAAGTCGACGAGAACAAGGGAGGTGTAGAGGGCGAAAATGCCGAGGAAAGCGATGAGCAGGAGACCAGGGACGATTCCTACGACGGCGAGGGCGGCGGGAAGGGATAGCATACCGTTGGAAACGATTTCTGCAATCATAAGGACCGAGCACATCTGCCATGATAGTGTCTTGTACTTGATGGTGGCATTGTCCTCCCGACCAAAAACATCGGTATCTGGTTGACATCAGCAACAATAGTCGCACAGCATGGGTTCCAGATCTCTACCGTGGTAGTCATCAGAGGTACCCGTTGGATGCCCCTCATCGTCTTCAGAGCCATGCTTTCTCTCCAAACTCCCAGACATGATTCTTCGCAGACAATGGCAACGCAAGGGATCAGCTTGAGTATCTCGTCACAGATACCAGCCATGTTCGAGGCTCGCCTCCATAGCTCAAGGTATCAAGAGATAGGCAACGAGCCAGCGGTGGTGCAGCTCGTCGTCCGCAATAGATAAGGGTGATGCATCAGTGATTTGTTCTGAACAATCGTCTCGTATTCATGGTGGTTGGGGACGCCTACAACTGGAAAGCTTCAATCTATCAAGCATACTGGCTCCCGGCACGGATAGCCGGAGAGATGCCCTCCCCCGCGCCCGGGACGCGTGCCTAGATTGCATTGCGGAGAACTGCCCGAGGTTGCTTAAGTAAAAATGCCATTTCCCCTTAACGCGGGCGCATCCCCGCCACCCCGACCGCATCGTCAACGACAAGCTCGGAAAAGTCAAGATCTGGTCATGACGACGGTGGACTCTTCCTCTGTCCACATCTTGTTGCCTTGAAAAAAAGATTCATGGAAAGACTTGTACAGCCATTCATGCGGTCAAAATGACGGAAGAAGACCTCGACGGGCCTGATGGCCATCAATCCAATGGCAGTGCCGACACGAGAACCTCACAGCCACGACGACGAAGTGCCGTACGCGCTCTGATCCAGGACTTTAGCCCGGTCTGGGTGACCTGGAGCATGAATACTGGAATTCTTGGTCTACTGTGCCACACCCTTCCCTACCAGTTTTCCGGCTTGGGTATCATCAGCAGCGTCTTGTTTGTCATCGACTTGGTTATATTCGTTCTCTGCAGCACGCTCATGGTCTTACGCTTCCTTCTCTATCGCAAAGCAGCTTGGACTGAGATCACTGGCGACGTGAATGAGCTGTGTTTCATGGCTTGCTTTCCCATCGCCTGGATGACCCTCACCACTTTGACCGCTCTCATCGCCAGCAACGCATACTGGGGTGGACACGCATTCACAGTCCTCGCCTATGTCATGTGGTGGATCTCGGTGGTCTGGGTCCTGCTGTTTGGCATCGCAATATACATCATCCTGACCCTGAAGCCACTGACCGAGGCTCGAAACCTAAGTCTGGCCATCATATTGCCAGCTGTCGCAACTAGCACCGCCGCTGCCGAAGGAGGGCTACTGTCAATATACTCCAAGGACATCTCAGCTAGACTGGCAGTCCCCATGATCATCTTCAGTTTCATGCTGGTTGGCGTCGGCTTCTTTATTGCCATCCTCGTCTACGCACTGTTCTTGCAGCGGATCCTGGTCAATGGTTGGTTCGATGGCGTGAGAAGACCATCCTTGATCATCCTGCTTGGTCCAGTTGGCCAGTCAGCCACAGCGCTGATGGCGCTCTCCACAGCGGCGACCAAGCATTTCGCTGAATACGGGAGAGGTATATTCCTCCAACAGCAGGCCGCTATGGCTCTTCACGGTGCATGTATGGTCTTCGCCCTGATGATGTTCGGCCTGGGGCTGTTCTGGACACTTTGGGCCCTCTACGCAATACTACACGCCGTCTTTACCAGGGATATCAAGTGGACACCAGCTTGGTACAGTACCATCTTTCCATCTGGCACGATGTGCAGTGCTATGATACTCTTTTCCGAGCAAATGGACAGTCCGACCTTCCGCGTATTGGCTACAGCTTTGTTGATTATCTTGGTTGTCAACACGCTTGTCAATGCCGCATACACTCTCCGAGGAATAGCACGGCGTCAGATCCTTATTGTGCGGGAAGACCCTCGCGTGAAAAAGGAAGGATAGCTAAGTGCGAATCATGAATGGCGCACAGCCTTTCTACAACTGTCCAAGATCCTTTTATCCTCATGCCTGATCGATTTCTCGAGGTGAAACTTCGCTGGTCGAAAATAGCCATCACTGTCGATGCTTTGATGGATCTTGAATGATTGAATGCCAGATCGATTGTTCGAGGTCCAGAAGAACCTGGCCCATTGATGATGCTCTTACCTGCCTGCTAATTTACATGACTTACCTCATATTCACGCTGAGCCTGCTTCACTCCGGTGGCCTTGTGGTGCGTCATTGCGGTAATTCCAAACGGCCAATGTGGGATAGCGTTATCAAGACAAACGGACTACCCTGCCGACAAATTATAAAGCGCACACCAACTCCTGGCGTGTGCAGAGTTACCTTTCCGTTAACCACTCTTGTAACCGTCACACAAACCATCAACGAAACCACCATCACGAGCAATATGCTCGGGCTGCATATCGAGATATTCGTGATCCCGAAGCCGCATCTCTGAGAACACCGCTACACCCACCAAGCAATTAACAGGCAACAGGGCTCCAATGACCGGCTTACTGCATTTACATGGGCGCTTGATCCCGAACAACGTTGGGGGCATCTGCATGAGATTCGCTATTCAGTCCAGCATCGAGGTCTTGAATAGCAATATCTGGAACGGTCACGCTTCATCGACATGGCATTTATACACTTCACAAAATGGTTGACGGATGTCTATGCCGCTTCTATTCAAACTTAATTCCTATCGAGGGCTGAGCAGTAGCATGGTGACTGCAGTCAGCTATTGTCTGTTCCTACTGATTATGCGGCCCACACGTCACTCTCAATCGACGTGCTCGGTTCGAGGTAAACGATCAGGCACCTTTTGTCTGCCGAGCTCGAAAATATATAGTATTACCAGGTATCGCCGGGCTGCTCGGCTTTTGCATCTCCAAATCCGCTCGATCAGCACCCGCTACTACCGCTGGCTATCCACGGATTCTCGCGATCCACCTTCGAAGGCATCAGAGTCCGCCCGACTTCCTCAGCATGGCACTATCCCACGACACTCGAAAGGCACTGTTTGCCATTTCTTCCCGGATCGAGACTATCTCCTTATCCCGCGCCGACTTGCGTTGCAACCTAAACATAACGAGGGCTTTGACTCAAATCCGCAAAACGCTGCTTGGAATCGCCTATTCCAACGAAGCAGGCGTGGGCCCCGGGCTCGCTGCCTGCCGGACATGCCACAACAACCACGAGACGCCCGCGCTCCTCCTCGAGAACACGATTCTCAGTCCCTTCCACAACACCGACAGGCCGACCGTCTATGTCTTCTGCTCTGAGTGCAAGGAGACGTCCAAGCTCCACCATCCAGAGATCGACCCGAAAACCATCGACTGCCCCAGCTGCGCGGAGCGGACGCACCGCGTCAAGACGCTCGACCAGAAGTACTTCCGGTGCGCGATCTGTATGGAGGGGCTGAAGAGAAGCGATTTCACATTCGAGCAGGAGATCTGTTGCAAACATTGCAACAAGACCTATTGCGGGCACTGTTATGGCTCGGAGGAACGTCATGGTTGACTATGGTTTCTTGTCTTTGCAAGTGTGAGTGCTGCAAGAACATCTTGCGGGGTGTTTGAGACGATCGAGGGGAAGTGGTCATGGGTGGAGGATGGAAGTATGTGATTGACAGGCAACCCGCCGAGGCTGTGGATTTATTTCGTTTAGTCATACGATCGAGACTCGTTAGCAGACAAAGGACATTATGTCTTCAGAGTGAGTGGTAGATACTGAACGCAGATGCTAAACACTTGCAATACAAACCTCGTTCTCAGACCACAGCATTGTCAGGCGCAGTTCCAGTCCTTCTGACGAGAAATGTATGTAACTGCACCCAACGCTGTGCGCGATTGTCATGATGCCCCTGGCAGGGCTGGTGTCGTTTACACCGTTGATAGGACTAGCCTTACACTGGTGCAAGTCCAAGGGCCGATCAAGATGAATGACACTGCGGAGCGGAACGCTTGGCGTCGACTCCTTGATCGACAGCCTTACGCGAGCGTCGTTTCGTTCAAGGTCCACCAAGAACCCTCCAGGGTACCCGTTGAACTGAGACTGAGCATTCCAAGGCTGCAGTCTCGACTAAAGACCTAGTCCTTCTTCTGCGCCGTCTTTTGCAAATACCTTCCTCAGGTGTATGAGCGTGTCGATCCGACGGCGTTCTCCACAGCTCCGGATGGCGATGGCTTTCCCCTCACCCTTGGACCCGATCTGTACAGACTTCTGCCGTCGCCACACGACATTCGACTAACACAACTATCGCCAAGCGGGAGCCTCCCTTGGACCCAATGCGTGTTCTCATCACCGGCGCAGCCGGCTTCATCGGCCAGGAACTCGCCAAGACCTTGCTGCTGGACGGAACACACGAAGTCACATTAACCGACATCGTGGAGCCACCCCTACCCTCAAACACAGCACATGGACATCAAGCACGCGTGATAACGGCAGACCTACTCGAGGCGAGCGAGACGCTAGCCGCCGAAAAGCCCGACGCCGCGCTCCTCTTCCACGGCATCATGTCCTCCGGCGCCGAAGCGGACTTCGAGGGCGGGTACCGCGCCAACGTCGATGCCACACGGGCACTGCTGTTCGCCCTGGCCAAGTCCAACCCGGGCCTCCGCGTCATCTACGCGTCCAGTATCGCCGTATATGGCGAGCCGCGGCCGAAGCGGGGTCTGACGGAGGCGATGCCCGCTACGCCGGAGTCGTCGTATGGCTGCCAGAAGGTCATTTGCGAGACCTACGTCAACGACCTGACGAGGCGGGGCATGATCAACGGCATCTCCCTGCGCATACCGGGGATCACGGTGCGAGCCGGGGCGCCTACGGCCGCGGCGTCGTCGTTTCTTTCGGGTATCATTAGGGAGCCGATGAATGGGCAGGTGTGCAAGGTCCCGCTTTCGGATCGGCAGTGGAGGACTTGGGTGTGCAGTCCGCGGACGCTGGTGGACAATATCGTCATCGCGTTGGGCCTGCCGCGCGAGGCATTGCCCCTGCATCGACGGACGGTTCTGGTTCCCTGATTCGCCGTGACGCTGCAAGGGATGAGGGATGCATTGAGGGAAATTGGGGGGAAGGACAAGCTGAAGCTGGTGAGGGAGGAGGACGATGAAGGTGTGAAGAGACTGGTGTACTCATGGCCGGAGGAGTTCGACAACTCTCTAGGCTTGTCGTTGGGCATGAAGCAGGACGAGTCGTTTGTACAGATTGCGAGAGATTATTGTGAGTCTCTTGGGTAGATTTGCATCTTTGATGCCGTCCCAAGCCCAAGACTTTTTGTTCTGTATTTCTCTTATGATCCAGGTCGGTCAATCCCTGCATTCTTGCGAGCAGGGGGGGGGCCAAGGGTCCGCCTTGGCTGAGCAACGAGTCGCGTCTCCTCGACTGCCTGGCCATGCAAGACGGATTTAAGAGAGTCAGCCATAGTGGATGCCAAGCATACCACGCGTCGCAACTTGCAAGCTGTATCCGTCACAACAGTCTGACCTTGCACAAACATCCTCAGTCCGCGGCAGTCATGCATACCTTCGCATTGGTCGAGCGGGTGGCCTTGGCGTCAAGGCAACCAGTCCAGAGTCAGATGTACCCAATGATCTCTCTTCTGAGCGTCCCCAGATGGGAATCGACAGTATCTCTCCGGTTCTTGCTTACAGACTGGCAGTAAGTCGCCGAAATCCTGGGTATGGTTCCACGAGTGGGCCGTAGTACTATTTAATGAGATGTGCGGCACCACAGCAGTGCTGCAAACTCAATGAGTCAATCAGAAATGCCGTGAGATGATGTCGTTCATTAATACCTTGAGTACTACGCTGGCCAAGATTCTGCCTGATACCACTTTTGAAGCCATCGCGTGGGTTACTATTGCGCTCTGTGCATATACCATTGGCCTTGGCATCTACCGGCTCTACCTGTGCCCTCATGCTCGCTTCCCTGGCCCAAGCCTCGCGGCTCTCACTTATTGGTACGAGTACTACTACGATGTGACACTGGGAGGCAAGTATATCTTCCGCATCGAAGAGCTGCACAAACAGTACGGTCCCGTGGTCCGCATCAATCCATACGAGCTCCACATCAACGATCCAGACTTCTTCAGCGAGATCTACCATAACAACAAGTGGATCACGCACCGAGACAGGTGGTACAACCTAGATCACCTGGGCGATGGCCTCGCGTTCACTATGCACCATGACCTTCACCGAGAAAGAAGAGAGCCTCTGGCACCTTATTTCTCCATGCAGAGCATCCGTGCGCTAGAGCCTCGCATCACGGGCGTGGTCACCAACATGGTCACACGCATGCAGAGAGCGCTGCAAGATGATGAAGTGCTCGTCATGTATAGGCTCGGGACCGCGTTTGCAATGGACGTCATCACTGAATACGCCTTCGGCAAGGAAGGAGCCACAAACATGATGCTGAAACCCGAAATGGGGGCAGAATGGAGCGACATGACCAAGGAGACAATTCAGGTAAATCCATTCGCGCGGCAGTTCAAGTGGCTCACCGCAACCCTTGCGACTCTTCCTTCAGCATGGGTGCTGCGGCTGAATCCCAAACTTGCAGGTTATGTCCACTGGAAAGAGAAACTGCTCGAGCAAGTTCGGAGGATCGTGGCCGAGCACTCAGAAGCGAACGATGACTCCAAGGGCTCCGGATACGAGGACAACATCTTCCACCATCTCCTGGACAGCGATCTGTCTACGGCTGACAAGGGCGAGATGAGGCTAACGGACGAAGCCAGTATGATCGTCGGTGCCGGAGGCGAAACAACAGCCCAAGTTATCGGACGGGCCTTCTACCACATCCTTGACAATCCAGAGGTATTGGTAAAGCTCAGAGCGGAGTTGATAGGGGCCATACCTGACGCGAAGGTGATGCCATCACTGCGAACGCTGCAGAACCTTCCTTACCTGTCGGCGGTTGTAGAGGAGGCAGTCAGGATCGCTCTGCCGTTACTGGCCCGGTCTCCCAGGATGTTTGAAGACCATGCACTCCAGTTCGATGGATGGAGGATCGAGCCCGGCATCGCCGTCTCCACTTCACCGTACGTGGTCAGCACGAATGAAAGAGTCTTCCCCGAACCGTTCAAGTTTAGGCCTGAACGATGGCTCGGAGACGCCGGTAAAGAATTACAAAAGTACGCAGTGACATTTGGCAAAGGACGAAGAGGCTGTCTGGGCAAAAAGTGAGTCATCAATGCATATTGACAGAATCCTACCTGCTAATCAACACCTGCAGCTTGGGATATGTTGAGCTCTGGTTCGCTCTCGGCGTTGCCTTCCGCAGATTCGAGCTTGAGTTGTACGAAACGACGATCGAGGATGTCACGGTCGTCCATGATTTCTTCATTGGCGTGACTGAGTTGTCATCGAAGGGAGTCAGAGCTAAGGTCGTTCGAGAGTTATCGTAATTTGTCTGCTGAGGCCGAACGGTTCTGAAACTGGAACTCTTGGAATGTCTTTTGATACTGCATTGACTCACAGCCTGCGTTATGTGCTACGAGGAGCGTGATCCTGATCTGGATCTTGCTCCATTTTGACTGGCCTCCCGCAACCTCGACAGTCATTCATTGCACACTCGCCAAGGCATCGCGCAGAGACTGCTCAAGCGAAGTCCAGCCCGCTGGTTGGTTACATCGTTTCAGTAGCTCCTCAGCCCTCTTGCTGGGAGGCTTGCTCAGGTCTTTGCCTATGCCAGGAATATCATCGGCAAATTTTCTGTCGGGGTACAGGCGTCGGATGATAGCGAGGACTTGGTTCCAATTATATGGCTCCGCGTACGCAAACAGTCGCTCGTTGTTGACATCGTGCTCGGTCAACGCCATCAAAAGTATCTTCGCATCGTCTCTCACGTCAACGAAATGCTCTGCAATGCTTGTCAGAAGATGGTTGTCTCAACAAGTACAGGTGGCTTACGTGGCGGCAGGGGTAGCAAGATCTCAAAGTTACCGTCGAAGAACATCTTGGGCCAGCCGCCTGTAGAGGGAAGTCCCTGCTGCGCTGGAACCAGACTAGGACCGAAGTTGGCGTTCGGCAGAACCGTGTTGAAGCCGAATGAAGGCTTGTTGTCAGCGACCCACTTCCACGCTGCCCTCTCAGCTGTTGCCTTGGAGGCAGCGTAGACTGACCACATCTTGGCCTGTTCAAAGGGCTCGGTATACGCTTGTTTGACCGCCTCGTCGTTATAGCTATCAACAGGTATAGTCCATTCGACACTGACTTTCGGATCAGACGCAGCCGTTGAAGATGAAGTGTAAACGAAGCGCTTGACCGATGATTGCGAGGCGGACTTCAGTAAATTGACAATGCTTTTGACTGCCTCAGAAATATAAGGCTCAGGCTTGCCGGTAAGAGCCGTATCCACAGCTACGTGAATGACTCCAGACACATCTGTGGTCGTCAGCTACGGAACCAACCGTGGAAGGTGATACCCGCTCTCGAGATATTTGTCCAAGACACCTTCTGCCGCATAGTGAAGAATAGAGATGCGCTCGAATCGTCCCGTTCCGTATTTGTTGTCAAAGTACTCTTGAAGCCACTGCGTGCTTTCGAGGTTCCGTACACTTCCCCGGACTCGATAGCCTGATGCGAGTGCTTGATCCGCGGTGTGGCTACCAATATATCCGTTCACCCCGGTGATCAAGATCAAGTCGTTCTTCTCCATGGCGTTGGCAGTATAGAATAGGCTCGTGAATGAGGTACGAATGGGCTTCGGTCCATCCGAGCAGGCTCCGAAGAGCAACGAGTGGTCGACTTTATATTCCTGAAGTGCCAAGATTGGTGCTGACGGAGGAACATCAGGCCGACTGGCCCTTCTAGGCAATTAAACACGGGTACACTCGAACACCGACCTGGTGGAGCGACGCATTATGACAGTGGAGACACTTGCCTATGCTGTCGGACTGGGGATACACGACATCGGCCCTAGGTAAATAAGTGCGCGGTGACATCTATACGGACGTGGTGAACGTCTCTCTTGGCATGGGCGGCTTCGGTGTAATGAATGCCCCGTCAAAGTCCAGATCTTGTTCGATAGCTAGCTCGATCCCAAGCTCGGTCTAGATTGTGTAAGTGTTCAGACAAGAACGGCCGAAGCGCTCAAAACTGGAAATGAGGAGAGATGTTGGAGTGGTCAAATCCGCCCTTGGATACAGTTGTATCACAGTACATTACCGCCGAACAGGGGTGCGGCAAAGTGCATGTTCCACCACGCGAGTGTAAAACTTGGTCTGACTATCTGTAAGCACTCAAAGACGACTGTGTGCAGCCGAAGCGATCTGGCATTCACTTGCAGGAGGGGCTGATGGTTGTCAGAATTGTTGCCTCTGCTGATCATCAATTGGAAGCCGGAAGCCATGATCCTCGATTGGTGTCCTTTCTTTTGATGACACGATTGCATGATCATTGTCTGCTCCCATATGCAGCATGACCAACAACTAGCTGAGCGTATGGCGCAGATCATATAAGACCTGTATCGAGTAGTTGAGGAGCGTACGCGAGGTGAGGTCAGATCAGAGCTCGCGAGATGCCATCTTGGCAGGGCTGAGGCCTAGTTTCTTGGCGCATTTGCCTTCATGAGCATGCACGATACTCATCACATTCCGTTCACGACAACAAGAACGACTCTTATCTATTGAGCCCGACGATCAAACCCATCTGGCTGCCTCAGTCCCGTACGTCAAGTACAAAGGTCATTCGACTCGCGGCTTGTCACGAATACGCTCGAGAGTTCCATCGAAGCCTCGGGAGCAGACACTTTAAAAGAGCCGTACGGAAGTCCTTGACTCACCCATGGAAGTCCCCTGAGCCCGTTTGTCTCAGTGCCCTCGGGCACGTACACTGGGGCACCATGGCACTGTCTCGTGCGAATACCCTCTACAAGACGTTGAAGCAAAACGGGGTTCTAGCACTTCCGAAAGATGGCAAATCCATTACATGGTCTCCGGATCAGCCATCAGGCGCACCGCCTAGCCTGACCATCGCCATTCAAGATGTGTCGAATCTTCAAAAGACGCCCGAGACGGCGAAGAAGGCCATGTTGAAGATCTTCGCCAAGGGGTCAGCTGATGCAAATGCCATCGATCACACCTTCACCTTTACCTCTGCCGAGGCTCGTACAGAGATTGAGGCTATCACGGAGCGCATAAGAAAACTAATCGATGACTACAAGAAGGAGCAGCTCGCTGCAGCGAATTCCAGTGGTGGTCAATCAGCCGCAATGACCATTGCCAATGCCATTTCTGGCGGTAGAGGTGTTGGACAGCTGTGGGAGGACGATGACAAGCTCAAGACCGACGTCAAACTTCAGCAAACACTAATGCAGGAAGATCCGCAGCTGCAAAGAACATTCATGGAGGCGTTGAGCGTCAAACCAGATTCTATAACAAATCTTCAATTCACACAGCAATTTTGGGCATCCAGAGTACATCTTTTACGAGCCTACGCACTGGCTCAGCAACAGAATCGTGGAAGATCCAACGTCTTCTCGGACATCGGCGCGATCGGTAGTGGTAAGACTGTCAGTATTACAAGCGAGCAGATCCACATTATATTCGAACAATACCCGTTAGTACGCAGAGTCTACGACGAGCTTGTTCCAAAGTACTACAACGAAGCCGGCTTCTGGAAGCGGTTCTTTCAGAGTCAACTCTATCTGACACTGCGAGGCATGAAGACGGATGACAGGATCAATCGCAAGGATGAGCACATTGACTCAGAGCAGTATCTTAATGCACCAGAGCTTACAGGGCTCCGGCCTACTGGAGTAGAGCTGCACATCCCCAAGTTCATCGACCTTGAAGGCAACGAGGAGAATCACAGTCAGCGACAGGGCAACAAGCCGGATGTTGAAAATAACCAAGCTAATCTGGAAAAGGCCCCTGTGATCAGGAAGCTGAATGCGCTCAGCGAAAAGCTCATGGCGGTGGTGAGGCAGTCAGAGGCCGACGCATCGGCGCCTATAGGGCCAATGGAGGCAGAATACGAGCAGCTGCGACTGCGAGATCTTGAGGGCGACCCTGAGCAGCATCGAATCGTCCTCAATATTCGTGACCAGCGCCGCTTCTTCAGCGACAACCAAGCGACCGAGGGCGACGTCAATCCGTTCCGTACAGTCGACCCGGCAAAGGCCATCAACTCGGTACTCAAGGACCTCACAAACGCGTTTCCTCAGCCAGGAGTGGGGTCGATACCTATCCCAGAATTTGAAGACATAGACATGGAAGACGACGAAGCACCCAAGGCTTCTGGCGCCATGCACGCCCACAACCACATCATATCCCTGATCGAATCCCATCGCTCCCTCACAACCGCTGTCCCGGAGCACTCAACACTCCCGGCCGCCATCTACGAGCGCTTGACCCTCACGCACGCCACCTCGATCGAGTTCCTGCGGCAATTTTGGTCCGCCTTCCTGTCCGGCGACTCCAGCCGCGCCAACGAAATCACCGCTTTGGTCGACAGCCTGATTCGGGCGACGGAGCGCATCAACGCCATCGCCGAGGACGCACAGGCGAGGAGAAGCGCGCAGATAAAGCATTTTGAAGATGAGGCCAAGCAGAAGGCCCGGCTGACCGGCTCGAGACCTCAAAAGGTAAACTACGAGAAGTTGCAGGGCGGAGGCGATGTTGTGCGGGACCTGATGCAGCCGATTCTGGCGAGCTTGTCCAAGGCGGAGCAAGCGTATCGAAAGGCGTATGCGGAACAGTCGAAAGAAGCGGCGGGAGATGAGGGTACGCCGCAGCCGGCGTAGTGTAGACTGTAACAAAGCTGATATTAACGCTGCAAAGCTCGCTAAGCTCTACGATCCAGTGAAATAGCCTCTGAATCTCGAGAAGGCACTGCGCTCTTCCTCTGGCATGGCCATGCCACTGCTCGTGACATTGCGCATCCCGTCCCTACTACCCTCTTCTTCGAGCCGTCTTCTCAGGCCCTCAAACTGTCCTGCCTGCTTCCCTCTACTTTCTCCTACCACCCAGCCAGGTACGCGATATCGGCCCATGCCAGCGGGTAGCATCTCACCCATCCATGCACTCCCGACGATCCAACCTAACGCGGCGGGCAGTATTTGGTATGGGAATTGGCTCAACGCTAATTGCGCGGCCAACAGATACGTCATGCTCTTGTCACTGAACACTACACCCTTTGCATCTGCGTTGTCTGGCGACTCAGCCGTGGTTGTGAGGATCTTGTACCTGTACAATCGGGGCACCACCTCCGTCCATGCAGCCATCGAAGCGAACACAATGCCCACCAGCCCTGCAGGCATGAAATTGTACGCACCAAACGTGCCCAGCTTCAACACCAACGTCATCAGTGGGATGAGAACGGTGAGGCACGTCCAAGTCACCAGCACGAAAGAAGCATATTTCCTACTGCCCCAGATTCGCTCGAGAACTCGGAATTGGTAGAGGAGGGCGGCGGAGACAAGGACTTCGGTGGCTGAGGTGTAGGCAAGTTGGAAGGTGAGGAGTCGGGAGAACTGGAGGTAGGGCCAGAGGTGTGGTGTTGGCTTGATCGAGGCGTAGTGCTTCAGGTCTAGCACAGAGGTGAGGATTGAGGATGATATCGAGGCGAAGAGGAGGAAGCGAGTGGCAGGTGCGTGGGTCAAGGAGGGAGTTGTCACCATGATGGCGTCGGAGGAATCATAGACTATGTATGTCCGCCTACTCTCATGCCATAGTTCGGTCAGGTCGAGAGGTGCTCGAGAATCCGCCCGCGAGACATGCCACTTTGGTGGTTGGAGAAAAGGCGAAGCAACTGGGGTCCTGGCACTAGTCTATAACTGGCGCTAGCGTCGTTTGTTCCTACCTGACACTCACGTCCCTTCTGATTGGCTAGGAGCTCTCTTAGTCTTCGTGTATGGGGTCATAGACATTGAATTCCAACGACACCCTCTCGCCCCTCGTCCGAGACCAGATCTGATCTTGCTGGCACTGTCCAGTCCATCTGCCAATTCGCCTCGTACAAGCTGGCGCCCATGATCGTCCGAGAGTCAAGACGCGCCGCGGCGAAGGCGGTCGCTGCCGCTCCACGATCAGTCAACAGCTCTGTCGCCGCCACAAGCTCCCTCTCCTCCCAATCCCGGTCCTACGCCACTGTCCAAGAAGGCACCCCCGCGAAACGAACATATGGCGGTCTGAAAGATCAAGACAGGATATTTCAGAATCTATACGGCCACCATGGCGCGGATCTCAAGAGTGCGAAGAAATATGGCGACTGGCACCGCACCAAGGACATCATTGCCAAAGGCCATGACTGGCTCATCAATGAAATCAAGGCCTCCGGCCTGCGAGGAAGAGGAGGAGCAGGCTTCCCCTCGGGTCTGAAATTCGTAAGCAGATCAATCCTGTCACTCATACTTCTAACTAACATACGAGGCAGTCCTTCATGAATTTCAAAGGCTGGGAAAACGATAAGAAGCCACGCTACTTAGTCGTCAACGCTGACGAAGGCGAACCCGGTACCTGCAAAGATCGTGAAATTATGCGCAAAGACCCTCACAAGCTCGTCGAAGGCTGCCTTGTCGTCGGTCGTGCGATGAACGCCACAGCCGCCTATATCTACATTCGTGGCGAGTTCTATCACGAAGCTACAGTTCTACAGCGCGCCATTCAGGAGGCTTACAAGGACGGTCTGATCGGCAAGAATGCCTGTGGTTCAGGCTACGACTTTGACGTGTACCTTCACCGAGGGATGGGTGCCTATGTTTGCGGTGAAGAAACCTCTCTCATCGAATCGCTGGAGGGCAAGGCTGGCAAGCCACGCTTGAAGCCCCCTTTCCCTGCTGCGGTCGGTCTTTTCGGCTGCCCATCGACCGTCACCAATGTCGAGACTGTCGCTGTCTGCCCGACCATCATGCGTCGCGGCGCCAAATGGTTTGCGGGTTTCGGTCGTGAGCGCAATCAGGGTACTAAGCTGTTCTGTATCTCCGGACACGTCAACAACCCTTGCACCGTCGAGGAAGAGATGTCGATCCCCCTACGAGAGCTGATCGACAAGCACTGCGGCGGTGTGCGTGGTGGGTGGGACAACCTCCAGGCCATCATTCCCGGCGGTTCTTCAACTCCCATCCTGCCGAAGAAAGTCTGCGACGATCAACTGATGGACTTCGACGCTCTCAAGGATTCCCAGTCAGGTCTTGGTACTGCGGCCGTGATTGTGATGGACAAGTCGGCCGACGTCGTCCGCATGATCTCCCGCCTCTCAAGCTTCTACAAGCACGAGTCCTGCGGACAGTGCACCCCTTGCCGTGAGGGCTCTACGTGGACGATGCAGATGATGCAGCGCTTCGAGAAGGGTCAGGCACGAGCCCGCGAGATTGACATGTTGCAGGAGCTGACCAAGCAAGTCGAGGGCCATACTATCTGTGGTAAGTTATCTACCCTCATCTCCCACTCCACACCTACCAGGGAATATGAGACTGATTCATGACAGCACTGGGCGAGGCCTTCGCGTGGCCGATTCAGGGCCTGATCCGGCATTTCCGGCCAGAGCTCGAGAAGCGTGTGCAGGAGTACAAGGCTCAAGTGGGAGCCGAGGCGCTGAGTGGCGGTTGGGACCACGATGCGGGAAAGAAGGGCCTGTTGACTTCGCCTGGGCAGTAGATGTGGAGCGACCCACGGTTCGAGGTAGCGGTGATGAAAAATGTAAATATCACATCAGAGACACTGGCATTTTCAGAGAGCTTCACCCAGGCTCTCTCTGTCTCTCTTTCTCTTTCCCTTCTTCTCTCGCGTTACAACAGGCAGATAAGTAAGGAACGAGGCACAGAACCCCGTCATCGCATCATCGCATCATCATCATTATCATCATGTATTGATCAATCTACCATCTACCAATCTTTGCCGGACTGGGTCCCCCCTCATGGCCTTTTATATGGGTCTTGCTCCATTATACTGTAGGGGCTCTCGCTACCCAACATTCCCAAGCGCTAGATTCGTGATCACAAAGACGTAATGGAACAATATTTGCGTCTGCTCGCACCGGTTCCTCTCTGAGACTGGGAGGAGCTATGAGTGGCGCCGTCGTAGTCCACATCATAGCCGCGCTGTAGTTGCTGAGCGGAATCGGTGCCTGAACAGCGCCATAGTGGGGCGGAGCTGCCATTGTATTCAGTCAAATGGCGACTCCCTTCTTCAAGTCTGCTGTGCTCTCGTCTGGCCTCGTTCACTGATTTCTCGAGATGCTCTACAGTTGTTCGGGCATATGGGACCGCGAACCCGTCGCTGCCTCTTTGAGCCAGGTTTTCCCGTTGCGTTGGCTCCAAGTCCAGGTCTTTTGCCATCCAGAAAGATATATCAAGATCGTACTGTGATAGCAAATCATCGAACGTTTTTTCATTCTCCTGTGGCTTAGACAAGTCAATGACACCTTGATCGTAGGAAACAGACTGTCGCCAACTTTTGCCTGCCTCTGTATCGTACCACCACCGGTGAGAGCAGATGAGATGTTCTTGGCAGGCTGGCAGGCTCGTAAAGTCATCGCAGACACAGTACCCTTGAGCCACAAGAGGACACGACGTATATCCCACCCCTAAGTCTTCGAAGCCTCCCGCAGGTACTATGACGGTACCCTGACTGCCGTTCGATTCCGATATGGCTGTCTCCCTGTCTATCTCGTGGGTGGCAAGATTATTTCGCTGCAGCGGCAAGGAGTAGACAGATTCCATCGTGCTGTTCGTATGGCCGCTGGCGATAGACTTGCAGCAGTCTGCAGCGAACAAGGCTTCACGGATTGATTCAAAGGCTTTCGGCGCCTCCCAGAAGGGTGGCACAGCTTCATTCCGATCGGGTACATTCCTCTCAGGTGAATTGTGTCGTAGTCCAGAAGCCCACTGTAGGACTTTTCTGGCTTGTAATGATGAGAAGCCATCGTTCCCTGTCACTGGTGCCCAATGTGTTTGCATCCAGGATTGAGTCGGCCAGCCACTTTCATCGATGTCGAACGGCGGTGAGTATGTGCCTCGCAGGATTCGCACAAGATCTGTCATGGGTTCTAGGCCGACAAGCTCTGATGGGCCGAAGTTCAGGAGTGTACGGAAGCCCATAGAAGACCTCGGCGCCGTTGCAGCGCTCATGAGGGCCTCATAGACCTGTCGTAGGATGGACAAGTTCTTGTCACGCTGCAATGCGTCCAAGGTGTACTCAGCTTCAGCGGCTTTTATGACATTTATGACATGGCTGAGAAGCTCTCCACACGTCTCGGGTCGCCTGCGTCGAAGAACTCTGATGAGCCTGAGGTAGACTCTGGCATACGGATCATCAGCTGGACCCTCTTGAGCAACAGGAAATTCGGGATCGGTCTTGGGAGAAAGGGCGGTACACAGTACCAACAATTCGTCGACATCACTCCGATACAAAGCTTGATTCTCATGGAACGTCTTTTCCAGGGCCTCTATGAAAGCATCCCAGAGGCTCGGATCCTGTCGCAGCTCAGCTACGTCACGGTCCAGGAGACTGAGCGTTGTAGCCGTGGTTGATACTTCATGCAGTCGTTGTTGGTGACGGTTGAGACTGTACTTGGTGGTGAAACGTCGACCACAAGCACAACCCGACCAGTTTGCCTCGTTCACCTCGCACACGTAGGGTCGATCGCCCAGATGCACAGCTTTGATGTGCTTGCGGAGGTCGCCCATGCGAGCAATCTTTTCGTGGCATTCGGGACAGTCGAATCTGTCGGCAGTATGCTGGGACTGGACATGCTCGTTCAACTTTTCTTGTCTTGTATAGCCCGCGGTTTGTTTTTCACAGCCATTAACAGTGCAGAAAAAGCGCCGGGCTTGTTGTGTTGGTCGGGAAAGGGCTGCCATAGCGTGGCACCGCACAAGAAGGCATGGGGTTGCTGCAGAAGTCTGCTGTATCAGCCAGGTAGATAGGAGGAGCTGGTTTGAAGAGAATCGGGTTCAAGAAGGTTCGCCCGAGCCTTTTTATAGAGACTTGGGCGTCGTCGTCTACCATGCAAAGCGAGGCTGAGATCGACAGCAACCGAATCAGGTACCCGGCATACTTCACTGGCTCAGTAGATCTTGGTGGAAACCTGTAGATACTTCCCCGTCAAGCCCTTGTTAGGAGCCGTTTGACTTGCCTCACGGTCCGGCTGGAGTGCCAGTGAAGACGACAGGCTGAGCAGGGGTCGTCAGTAGGTAACGCATCATCGACCAATCAGAGACACTCCAGCTTCCCTGGCACACTGGTCTTGGCATGCAGGGGGATCAGTCGCCTAGGGCAGGTGATAGCGCCCGGGTATGGTGCTGGCTGGTATCCCCCTGCTCCTCCAGTGGTGGACCGGCTCGCCGGCTCTGAGTGGATCAGCGGTGAGCCAAAGAGTGATGGACGGGGTGAACAAGAACAAGACCATGTTAACAGCGAAGGCTGTCCAAAGCGGGGGCCATCCCGAGGCGAAGACCATGTCAACTCGAAGCCATGTCAAGCAAAGGCCAATCATGAGGCAGTAAGAGGAGAAACATATCGCTCGCAGGATCTGTCTAGCAGAAACGAAATGTTGGGGTGCAGTTGCTAAGAGAAACAAGAGCACGATGTGACGTGGGAGCCAAGACACCGACCGACCGACCGACCGGGAAAGAAGTAGTTGATCCAGCAGCGACGACCGCGGCGGCTGCTGCTCTCGTTCACCGACACAAATGAAGCAAAGACATATGCTCTCAACAGTAAAGCAGATTCGTATTGTAGATGCCCCTCGTGTAAGACCTATACCCGCTGTATCCAGCACCCAAAACCGCGTTGAACATGGGGTATCAGTCTCTTGTGTACATAGCGGAGGAAGGCATCCCAAATTCCCGCTCTGTCCTTTGCAGGACCCCAACGATGCTGTCTTTGGTTGCCGTAATCAAGTTTGCGTAGATGGTCGTGATTGTGAGTTGAGTGGAATGCCCAAATTCTGTCCCTCAGGTCCCCTCTCCTAGGCTCTTTCCGAAACGCCCTCGCCAATAAGTAAAGTCTTCGTTGCCTGTTGTATCCAGAGAAACTCGTAACGCCAGCGCTCGCACCACGTCCAGATCACGCGTCGACAGCTGATGTCTCTAGCTGCTGCAACCATTCACCGGGAGCCTGTCCAACGTCCAAGCTGGCGTGAAGGGTCTGCTCTTTCTCCTTTTCCTTCTGCTGTTGCTGCCGCTGCTCTTCCACTCGAATCTTCTCCTTGAAGCTTCCCATAGCAGCTTTTCCAGCCAACTCTTTGCGGACGTGCTCGCCGTTGGTCCGTCTTTGCACTTTGCCGAGCCTCCTCATGCGGCTTTTCATCTGCTCAATCATTTCTTTCATTCGCTCTTGACCCTTCTTGCGGTCGTCCAGCTCTTTCCTGAGCCGCTCTCGTCGCTCCTTGCCCGTCCGGCCCATACGGCGTGCTTCGACTCCACCGGCAACGAACTCGACTTTTAGAACAGCAAAGCTGACACCGTCGTGCACTGAGCCTTTCTTCTCATCCGGCCATTCTCGGCTCGTGATGCCGTACCTCGCACTGCCGGCGTACTGCTCGAGGGATGGGAGCACCACACAGGTAACTACCGCGTCCTTGTCCTGCTCCGGCACAAGCGGCTTTTCTGGAGGGTCAACCAAGCCTTCAATTTTGGTGTTCTGTGCCTTGGCGATCTCGTCCAAGAGCGAGCGGTCCACCCCTTCTGGCGGCACACTCTTGATGAAGCCACTATGCATCGCAGCAGCCAGGATATCGCTGTCATCCGTGTAGATGCCGCTGCCCCATAAGAAGTTCTCCCGACATATCATTCGTCGTTCCCTTTCCTGAAGCCACAGCTTTGGCACACGAATGGAATAGGTGCAATTCACATGGTCCGGTCCGTCAAAACTCGGAAGAGCATTGGGCCGCACCGAGACATCAAACTTGTCAGCGCCCAATTTGGTTGTCACTGGATTTGACACGGCTGGATCGTATTTGAACGTTCCAAGATGTTTTCGAGGCATTCTTTTCGCAGCAGTCAGAATAGAAGATATCCGGATCGTCTTCTTTGGCTTGTACAGAAGACGCTGGTCTGTCTGACGAGGCATGTGATGGTGATGCGAGAGCTGTGTGGGCTGGCTCGTCACGTTCAGAGGGCTATCAGTCCGCTGGATGCTGTTTGATAGTGGTGTGCCTCGGCGCGCATTGTCTTCGAGGTCGATCTTGTACGAATGAGCGTACTTGCTCCGCTTGCGCCCTTTCTTACCGGCACCTCCAACATCGCTCTCGGCACGGAGTTCGTCATCGAACTTGCGCGCCCGCTTACCCATGCCGGAGGTGCTTCTCGACATCTTCATCAAGTTTTCCTCGCTTAGTCGCGTAGTACCATCCTTCAAAGGGCTGGAGGATAACCCGCCTGGCGTTGAGGTAGGACCGGTGCTGCTGGCTCCGAGACCGCCACCTAGGCCGGCAAACACTCTACCCTGCTCGGTTTTGATGCCGGTTTCAGGGACAGGAGTCTGAGCTTGTGCTCCCTGCACTGCCTGCGGCACAGGCGAGTATCGCCCTCGTCTTGACTCAGTCGCAAGACCAAGAATGGCTCTGTGTGACAATTCGTCACTGCCTTTCCGTACTTGCTCTTCTGCGGGCCCAGAGGTCACTGACATGGACTGAGATGCGACTGAAGGCGCGAAGGGCGAGAAGGCACGTGGGCCGTATCGTCCACCAAACGCCGAGCTTTGCGATAGTTGTGAGTCTTGTCTGGCCATACCTTGGGATCCGAGTCCGTCATTCAGAATGCTGCCGAAACTGCGTTCGGCGCCATTTGGCTGGACTCGCCGCAATTCAGGAGACGAGGACTGAGAATCGCGTTTTTCGAACGGTCTGACTTCTTTGAAAGAAATCGGCTGCGCCGTGGGAGGTCTGTTACTGAATGGCGGAGGTCTAGTATCGTATGAGCCACCCAGAGGACCAGGCCTATCAGAGGGCGCCTTGGGAGCGGAAAAGGGATCACCGTTCATCGAGGGAGTCGCAGACTCAGGACGCGGCAGAGGATTGGGTGGGATCGGGTTACCGTTCATCGTCGGTCGTTGAGGTGCGCTCTCGGGTCTTTGCAGAATACCGCTAATGCTCGTACGTCGAGCTCTTTCTGTGGCTTCATCTCTCTGTGGCATTTGTGGACCAAATTGGGTCGTTTCTGAATAGCGCGGCTGTTGTCTATCAATGGCGCTGGAGATCTCTGTGAAAGGACTGGGCCTTTGCATCATAGAGCCGGATCCCGATCTGTATCGGTTCTGATTGTAGTCTCCCAACCTGTCTGGAGTCGTAGATCGGGGTTTGTACGAGTATTCTGTAGGATTGCTTTTGGGAGGGTACGAAGGAGGTGACATTATTGCACCCAAGGACGTCACTGATCCCGCATTGGGTGGCATTGATTGACCGTGCGATGATGAGCTTCTTTGATGATAGTATGACTCTTGTTGATGTTTCTCGGGTTCTGAACCGAGCATTGACGATATAGACATGCTACTACCAGGTCTCTTGTGAGGGGCTTGAGGGTTCGCATATGTCAGGTGCGTCGTGTTGGGTGGAGGAGGTTGGGTGGAGTATCGCGGAAAATGCTGCGGTGAGGGTGGTGGCATCGGTCGAGAATGAGGACCGTACATGTTTGAGGTCGAGGACGTGTCAGGGTATCCTGCAGCTTTGCGTGAGTGACTGATCATAGATTACGGATGCGCGCGCATGGAATGAGAAGCGCGGCACGGGGAGGAAAGGATAGCAGCAACATACCATTCAGGTGCCTCGGTGGACTGCCTGGACCATTGAAGGCGGACGACGGCGAATGACCAGGCAAAGCCATTGTTGCGTTGTGGAAGTAGTGTGGACTCGTGCCAGGCCAGGCGTCAACAGGCAGGTAGCGGTGATGGACTGGCTGGCCAAGTTGCGCAACTGCAGAACGAGCTCGAGGTCAGCGTGGACATTGAAGATAGCCGATGGCAACGTCAAGTATAGATTGTAGTCAAGATGGATATGATGCTGGTAAGGATGCAAGAATAGATGATGGATGAGCGCAGGAGAGGCGAGGAGTAACAGCAGCACCACCACCTTGACAAGCCGAAACATGCAGCCAACGGCGGGCTGGAGGAAATGTGGATGCGTAGCGGCGCGGATGGGATTAGACCACGAGTCATCTCCAGAAGTCAAAAATGGACCCGCACAGATGGCCGGTTAGGTGCAGAAAATCACAGATGACGCCCGCTCGGCGAGGCCATCGCGCCCGTAAAAGGCGTCTAAGCTTTCGACGGGTGCCAGGGGTGCTTACCAGTCCCTGCCCCTATCGGCAAGGCCACCCCCAGCCGCCGACCGAAGTAGTCATCATCGGGTCCAGGTAAGGGCGCGCCGTTGCCAGCAGAAGCAGGGAAAAGAGGGGCCTGAGCTGTGTCTGCGCGTGGTTTGGGTCGTTGTTAGGCCTCAAACATGGGCTCGATTTCCATTTGATATCGAAGATTTTCGTGGATCATGTGCCCCTGATTCCCAAAACGCGGTGTTGCTTGTGGAAAATCAACCTTGAAAATGGGTGCACATCATCATGGTCCGAGGATGCGTTTCCCCCCGTCCAGGAGACCTGGTAAGCCCCGCCATGGGCACCAGCCCAGAAAGGGCTTAGAAGGCGCCACCAAGCCCCGATCGACGGAGGAGCTCGGCTGCAAAACGGGGGCAAGCTTCTTCAGGTGTTTAAACGAACAAAAAAAAGCTGCTGTCGCGCGGGTTGAGGTTCAGCTTTCGGCAGTGTTATTCGAGCGGTGAGCTGAACCCTCTTCGACTTTTGTCGGGCAAAAATCTGCAGTTCGTTGGCACATCTGCAGCTAAGTGCAGGACGCCGGACCGCGAGCGGTGGCATTTGCGCGTGCGGAAGCTCTCCCCCCATAATGTCATCAATGCAGCTTCAAAAATGCATCCGCGCCGAGAATCACGCGGTAGGGGGCCAAAAACAAAAAAAATGTATTCAACTTACCACCAAGATGCAAGCGGTTCCAGCCGGCATGAGATACGCCTCCTTCGACCGCCATTTGCTGCCAATTCATCATGTGTGTCGCTGCTGAACGTGGCTCATGCTGCTGCCACAAGGGTATTGCTGGGTATGATCGATGGCGCTGGTGCGCTGCCGTTGCGGTTCGTGGAGCCCACCCTGGGCCTGAATCGGTGGGGAAGCTCATCGCGCTCGCTCCCCTCGCGGTCCCATTTGCGGCGTCTTTTGTATCCTTACGGCAAGAAGTATAGCTTGTCGATCTGTCCTGCTCAATCCACGCGACACGGTGCAGGCGTGGTCGTTAATCGGTGTCGTATTGTCGCAGCGAAGTCGTCTCATGCTCTGCCCTGTCAGCTGGCGCAAAGCTGTCAAAGACTGACATGAAACGTGGTAAGAATTTACTCTTGAATTTCGTATGCTCATTCCGCCCACAAGTTCCACATAAACAGGCGTAGCCCGCTGCAGGCTAAGCTGCATCCTCCCCTGACGTTGTGCTCCGAGCAAACTCGGACAGCCAATGATCATACGTTGTTCCTGCAGCCTGACGGAGCTTATGCAGGACTGCACTCTTGCTTGTGAAACAGTCTATGGCCCCTTCGTAACTATTCTTCTGCCCTTTGCAAGCTCGAGCTGGTTGGGACTCAAGGCATCTGGGGGTCCTTGAACTCCTTGCCGCAGCGGCGGCTGAAGCAGGGGCTCAGCATGTACCATACATAGCTGTCGGCATCGCTTTTCTGTCTGCCGGTTAGTCACCGAAGAGGAAGTGCATTCAGAGTGCCCACCGCCCAGTTGTTGTTGTGCTGACGCAAAGCCCAGCAGTTGTATGGACCGTAGCCGTCCTCCGGCTCCGAGGTGTGGTCTGAACTGTCCCTTACGTAGTCGTCGATGTTCCCTCTCTGCGTTCCAAAGTACGCAAGGTCATCACCACAGGGAATGCGGCTAATGAGCGCCGCGATATGCAGCATTTCATGAGCGATGGTTGCCGAGAAGGCCTCCATCTTCCAGGAGTCGTAGTCGCCCAACGAGTCGCAATGGATCTCGCCGAGCCAACGAATGCCGAACGAACCTGAACATATCGCTGTTTTGGCTGTCAGATGCTGATGATCAGGGTCATTCTTGGGCAGGCTGACCGTGTACCCAGCATCGTTAGGGTCATCAACGTAGCTGGTCTGGCCCGGTATGCCTCCTACGTGGCCACTTTGTCTGAAAGATAGAAGATTTACCAGGAAAGTTGTTTTCTGCAAAGCCTGAGAGGTGAGCAAACACAGCTGTGGCTGTCAGTAAGACCGCCGGCATGGATACTGGAACTCACTCACATCTAACCCAGTTGAAGCCTTCATCACGGAAGTACCGTCTGAAGGCTGCATAGGTCGGCTTCATGTCGCGTAAGGTAAGGTCGATCAAGCCCAGAGCGTCTACGTAGCCTTTCTTGAGTTGTTCAAGCTGGGGATTAGAGCCGAAGAAGGTGGGTGTATAGGAATTGACCAACGGAGCCCGCTGTTCAATCAATAGCGAGCTGGAGAATGAGCTCGCAATGCGAACAACGTTGACCTCCCGATGTTTCGTGTCCGGAACAGCTTCGAAGCCGAGGTTGAATATGTTATTAACGGGCGTGGCCCAGGACATTGATACTGGAGAAGGTAGATAACAGCCAAACAAGCAGAACCTGCAGCATTCAGCATGAAACGTTTTCAGTACGAGCCATGGAGCTGCGAGTTTGACTGATTGTGTCGGGAGTGAATGCAGCGTGTTGACTCATGGTGTCGATCTCAATAGCAAAGGCAAAAGAGAGGGAGGAGGCAACAAGACTGCAGGTCAAGTGCACTCATTGCGCCTGCTGGCAGTCATTTCGGTGATTACGTAGAAGTGACAGAACACCTTGAGGTATCGGCTCTCTCTTCGCATCGCACATTGATACAGTCAACAGCTGGTGTATCACTGCAGTTCGATGTTCCTGAAGGTGCAAGGCACACCATCATTTTCTTGCTCTGCCTTTGTGACTCACTACAGTATTGCTCTGAGGAGCCACATGCCGAGCTTTTACCTGGTATCAACACGTTAGAACAGAGGCATTAGTTGGCCAGGAATATGCATGGAACGAGGATGAATAGGTCAAGCCCGAGCCATGCATCGCAACGCTCTCAGATTCAGTCGACTAATTCGTGCCGTCGGACCTGGGCGGCGCCCGGCAAGTCGGTGAACGCGAGAAGATCATACCGAGGATGGGGAAAGGAGCCCTAATACCACGATACGTATTGCTAGACAATGTGAAGGCAGCAGCCAGTGCATTGTCCATACCCTCGCTGGCGGACCCCGTATCGATGGTCCGGTGTGTGGAAATGGTCGATATGGCAAAGTCCGGCGCCAGCTACATTACCATTCAGCACCCTGACAGCCACACCAGCCTCTGGTGTGGCGTTCGGAGGTACAGGGCGAAAAGCTTGGGTTTGGTATCGTAAAATTTAGCGTCACGGTTCTCGTTTCAAAATCATATCCACGCTCCGCCCGCCACTGTCATGCTCATCCATGGTACGAGCGGGCTATTGTACCGGCTAACAGGTAGCCTCGCGGGGCCATATGGTTGCGGAACTCCTCACTTACGATTGCTGGACGGTCTCACAAGAGGTGCGGTGATCCCAATGTAGAGGCCGACTGAGGCATTTGTCCACTTACCACTGGTTGTTTCCAAGTAAAAAGATTTGCTCGCTGTACAGCTGATATGCTCTACAGCAGGTCAGTGAGACCATTGTGGGTCTTACATCGAGACCTCAAGGGTTAGATGATGGGATGCAGACAGGTACCAGTGATGAATGAAGCGGAGCGATTCTGGTGGTCATGGTGCTAGCGGAGCGGAGAAAGCTTGGTCCGAGGAAATGGAAAAAAGTCGATGGAATCCCGAATTGCTGGAGGCGGGAGCTTGATGCTCATGTGCATCGTTGCCTCCTCCACCATCAGAATACTATCTGCAACCGCTCGTCATTTTTGTCCTAGCCAATCTCATCCCCTAGATCCTCGAAATGCTTCGACGTTCCATCTACAGTCAGCAGCGCGCTCTCGCGCAATCACTATCGCGGACAACGCAGCCGCAAAGATCCTCATTTTCCTCCTTCTCCCCCATACCCTCGCGCACATCACCTATTGTTTCCCAACGATTACAGCGGAGATGGCAATCGACAGAAGCAGAAAAGAAGTCTGAAGAGGCCCCAAATACCACTGCAGACGCTGCCAAACCGGAAGAGGATCCGGTGAAGAAGGAGCTTGAAACTAAATCGAAAGAGGTCGTTGATTTGAAGGTTCGTTATTTGCACGTCGACATTGGGCACGTTTCTAACTCCTCCAGGACAAATATATGCGCTCTGTCGCAGATTTCCGTAATCTTCAAGAACGGACACGTCGTGAGATCGAAAGCGCAAAGCAGTTCGCCATCCAACGTTTCGCCTCCGACCTGCTAGATTCCATCGACAATCTCGATCGAGCACTGTCAGCTGTTCCTGAGCATGCACTCAAGTCGGGAGAGGCTGCAACCTCGAATACCTCTTCTGCCGATCCAAATGTCGCCGCAGCCACCGAGACATCTTCGGGCACAGCGCCCAACCAGGACCTCGTGAACCTGCATTCTGGTCTGAAGATGACAGAGGATATCCTCATGAACACCTTGAAGAAGCACGGTCTAGAACGATTCGATCCCCAAGAACGCGAAGGCAAGAAGTTCGACCCCAATCAGGATGAAGCAACCTTCTTTATGGCTCAGGAGGGCAAGTCGGACAACGAGGTCTTCTTTACCCAAAGCAAGGGATTCAAGCTCAACGGGCGCGTTATCAGAGCTGCCAAGGTTGGCGTTGTGAAGAATTCTTAGAGGGACTGGTTTTGTCGCTGATAAAAGCACTGTTACTAACTTGCATGATTAGCGATGCCGACGACTTGTCGGTGGCGGATTTCACGATCTGCTATAATTCCCGGGGTAGACGGATCAAAATATTGCGGCTAACATGTACCGCTGGGGTCTGACAAGAAGAGGTGGTCTATGACCACGTTGTACAAGGAAACGTTTTCACTCTTCGATGAATGTATATCATACGCCAGAAGCCGGTAGGAATTTCATGGCAGAAGGATCTGGATCAGGTGGACGACAATAATGTTTGGAAGTCATATAGACGGACGAGCAGCTCGAGACTACTCTTAGTAGCAGCTCTTGTATCTCCTGCTGGACTATACAGACTCCAAACTCGATTATCTACTTACCTCACTGCTGTCTACAACACACTTCAATACCTCAGTCCATCATACACCCCAATCTATCTCAAGTTCACCAGATCAACAACCATTAGCGGTCACATAACTCTCTTCTAGCCCCCTTCAACTCCATCAAGCCCTCCCGACGCCATCTCTGGCGATCTCCCAATCGACGAACCAACCCTGCCGCCGCCTCCACATATAAGCTTCACCACTTCCATCATAAACGCCACATTTTCCACATCACCCCCGACGAAACCGCCCAAATTGCCAGGTTCGGTAGCGATCACCGCACGGCAACCCAGGATACGCCCTGTTGCGATCAACACATCGAAAAGATCGCCCGACCTTAATGCGACCGCCACTTCCCATCCACCATATCCGGGGGCCCCCGAAACACATAAACAAAAAAGATCCCGAAGGCCGTCTGCCGCAATCACATCAGTCCAGTCAGCGCCACGGCCCCTCGCCCACTGTCGCCAAGCTCAAAGACTCTAGAATCTAACGTTCACACCACTACACCCTCCCTGACGCTCGTAACAACACCATAGATGAAGGAACAAAGCAGAAACCCTCCCGACACAAATCAGCTTCTCGTGGTCCAACCATCCCCCCACACCCTCCGCGCCTTCGCGGTATCCACTCCCAACCCCGATTCCCCACCTCCCGTCCCCCCCCCCTCCGCCCATCGTATTCAGCTACTGCGCCGCGCCCAGGAGCGATGCATACATATCGGTACCGCCTGAAGCAATGCGGGTGCCGACTTTGGAGTCTCTGGGCGAACGGAACAGTGGCCGCGGTGTGTGTGCGCCCCATGAATTACCTCACTTTCCAGTTCCAGGGCGTGTCGGTGGAGGGCGGGAAGTGGGACCAGAGAAGAACGAAAGGTAAGCAAGCATGATTGCAGTGTCAATCACGATTGACCAAGTCGCGGGAACATTACGACGTGGGCATCGGCGGCGCGGCGCTGACATCTCCCATCGCGCCTTCTATATCTCATAACTAGGATGTTATATACACGCCTTCCCTACCGCCCGCTTCAAGAGTCAAGTCCTCGGTATAGACCTCCTTTCCATCACCCAATCCTCTCCACATACTACTCGCGCACTTTGACCGTATCTAGAACACCATCGGGCTCCGTTACGCCTCGAAACCCCCATTTCGGAACCTTCCTCTTCTTCCCCTTCTTGTCTCCGTATACGTCGTCAAACTTCTTGATCTCCTTCAAGCTGCTCATGTCCTCGCTCACACTCGCGGTGATCTCCTGGAGCGCCTTGTCAAAATGGTCGTTTGTGAGCGTCCGCTTCTCCGGATACACATAGTCTATCGCAGCCGGATTCTCGGTGCGATGTCGCTTAGCGGCCGCGTTCTCTTCGCGCACTGCGTTGAGTGCCGCGGCCACGCAGAGATTCTTGAGGTCGGAACCAGAGTAGAAGGGTGTCTTCTTCGCGAGATCTGCATAGGAGACGTCGGAGGCGACGGCCTCAGCTTTGAGGTGGATCTTGAGGATTTCGAGCCGGTCACTTTCCGTTGGTAGGTCGACAAGCAAACGTCGCGGCAGACGTCGAAGCACGGCGTCATCGAAGTCCATGGGCCGGTTGGTGGCGACCATCAGGAAGGCGCTTCCCGCATCATTGCTCATTCCATCCCATTCCTTGAGGAACTGGTTGAGGAGCTCGCGATGACTGACCCGACGGCCGTGTGCCGAGCGAGCGCTGAACATTGCATCCGCCTCGTCGAGGAACACGACACAGGGTGACAGCTTTTTGGCCAAGCTGAACAGCGCTTTGACATTCTTCTCACCCTCACCAACATACATATCGTTGAGATCAGCGGCGCTGACTTCGAGCATTGTAGCGCCAGATTCTTTGGCGACCGCCTTGGCCAGAAGTGTCTTGCCTGTTCCTGGCGGGCCATAGAGCAGGAGGCCCGGGATCCGATCGGACGCTAGCACGCCGTAGGTGAAGGCCTCGGGACGGACGAGCGAAAGTGTGGTCAGGGTTTGCAGAGCATCGATGGTCTCGGCAGGTACGTGCACATCGTCAAAAGTGGTACTGATTTTGTCGCTCTCAATGACGCCGCTTAGCAGACGCTTCTCATGCTTAGTAACAGAGGACTTGAGTTTTTCAACTTTGCTTGGATATTTTCGACGCGGGCTGAAGACACGCCTGCGACGGGAGTCCTCCTTTGCAAGCTTGTCTGCCCACATAAATTTGCTGGCGTCGCTAAGAGTGAGCTTGCGGCCAACGGCATCAATCAGAGGAAGGATCTTGCCTTCCTCCCGTTCATCCAGCTCGACGAACGCCTCTTGGTCTTGTATGCCACTAATGTAGCTGGCTAATCGGTGAACGTAGTGGAATGACCACACCTGCTTGCTCAGGCGCAGCTGATCGAGGTCCGTCAACTCGGCGCAAATGTTCCTGTTCCAGAACCCAGGTTCGAGGTTCAGGAAGTTGTCTTTAGACGTCACCCTCATCATCTCCCACAGATGACGTAGGTTCACTGTAGCGACCCTTCGTTTGCGGTCGTCCAGGAGGACGTCTGAGGCTTGTTTGTCGACTAACATCGGCGTGATCACGATGGTTCTGGATATCTCGCCTGCTTCGGGGGTACGCTGCACGGTTTCGATCTTACTCGCAGGATATTCGGCGGCATCTTTAGGACCTTCTGTGCCCACGATCATGATGGACTCGCCATTGTTTCTTCTGTTCTCGACAAGTGTGTACAGGTTGTTGAGAAACTGACTGCCGACAAGAATGTTCTGAATACCCTTGACATCTTTGACGTGTATTATGGTAGACTGTTTGGGTAGATTTTGTTCTGCAGACAGCTGATCTCTTTCTTCGTTGTGCTGTGCACCGAGCTTCTTACTTGGTAGAACCGACAAAAGGCTTTCCACAAGATTGCGAAACGGCACAGCCGGACTGGAGAGAAAATTCTGGCCATAGGACTGTTGTGACGATGAGCGGCTCGAAAGGAGCTGGCTCAGCGAAGATGGTTTTTGCCTGCCTCGAGACTGCGATGGTCCTGGGAAGAAGTTGCTGAAATCGATTGTGATTGGTTTGCTGAAGAGCATCGGTGGACCTGATGCACCTGGCATACCAGGCATGTCAAAGCCGCCACTTTCATCGAAGCCATCATCGTCTTCTACGGCTTCAAGCTCCGCCGCCTTCTCGTCGGGAGGATTGTCCGCCGGTTGAGGAGCTTCTGTGAGCAGATCGTAGCTCAGCATTCTGCCTTCCACTGCGGAGGGATCCTTCGACGCCGAGCCGGCTTGGCTGATCAAGTCCGCGATGTCCTGGACATCGAGGGTGAGAAGGTCACTGCCTGTCTTGCTCGCAAGGTCATGGACGACTTCATCGAGAAGGTACTCGCCATTCTTGCCAGCGTAATGAAGAACAAGGTTGCTAGCCAATGCAGCCGGCTCGCCTTGATGTTGTTGTTTGGGACGTCCTCGCAACAAACCGCGGGCCGTAGTCAAGATCTCATCCCACTGATTTGCGCCAACGTAATACCTTGGCCTATCGAAAGTCGAATCTTCTTCACCAACCTGTGGGCCGGTTTCGGATGGCTCCGGGCCGTCTTTACTTGCGCTCTGCACGGCCTCGGAGGTGGAAGAGCTGTTTTCGTCTTTCGGGGGGCCTGCAGAGCTTCCATCGCTGGGCGATCCACCGCGTGACAAAGGCTCGGCTTCGTACTCATCCAGGTATCGCACCTGACTACGTCCCTCCACTGTTAATTGTCCCTCGCCCCACGTTGTTACATTCTGATCGTAAAACCATTGGGGTGCAACAGTAGGCGGTTCAGATGACTCTTGCTGCGCTTTCACCCTTTGCCTTCTATTCCAGCTCGAACCATAGAAAGCAGGAGCAACGGGCTGATCCGATTCTGGAGCCGGAGGTCCATGTCCTACAGCTGGCGGCACGTGTGGGAGATACGGAGTGTTTGATGGTGTCAGAGTAGGCGCTATCGCAGGCTTCCTGTCTGCGCCATCCTTATTATCGTTCGAAGTAGGCGCCGGCGTCGACCCTGTATTGCTTCCAGGCTCTTGAGAGTTCCGGAGCGGCGGACCGTGATGGAAGGCTCTCCTTGGTGAGTGACAGCGCGCGGAGCACTGACGGCACGAATAACGCAGGGCACGCTGTGTCAGCCTTAGCTCCTGCAATGTCGAATGCATTCGGAAGCGCGAGGTTGCGGTGTGTGCAACGACAAGATGAAAGCTGCAATTTGAGGTTTGTCATTCTATGCAGCCTCGTAGCCTCGTTTCGCTGAGGTGACTGTGGGCAGCCGGACATCAGATCTTGTACAAGACTCACCACATGAATCTTTTGCATTTTGTCTCTTGCGACATAAAACACACAATGCCAGTGCAATGCGAAGCCTGTCAGACAAATCGTGCTGCTGTCATACGGCCCAAAAATAACCAGAAAATCTGCAAAGGCTGTTTCATCAGTATATTCGAAGAAGAAGTCCACGAGACAATTGTGAGTAGCAAATTATTCCACCCCGGAGAGCGCGTGGCCATAGGTGCATCGGGTGGCAAAGACTCGACCGTGCTGGCATCTGTCTTGAAGACACTCAACGAGCGTCATCACTATGGACTCCAACTGGTCCTCCTGTCAATTGACGAGGGTATCAAGGGCTATCGAGACGACAGCCTGGAGACGGTAAAGCGAAATTCCATACAGTACGACATGCCACTGGAGATCGTGGGCTACGATTCACTTTATGGTTGGACCATGGATCAGGTGGTTGCACAGGTCGGCAAAAAGGGCAACTGCACATACTGTGGTGTTTTCCGACGACAGGCACTGGACCGTGGCGCCGCCAAGCTAGGTATCAACCATGTGGTGACAGGGCACAACGCAGACGACGTTGCCGAGACTGTCATGATGAATCTATTGCGGGGCGATCTACCTAGGCTGGCACGGTCCACGAGCATCGTGACCGACAGTGCTGCAAGTGAAATCAAAAGGAGCAAACCTCTGAAATATGCCTATGAGAAGGAAATTGTGCTCTATGCACACCACAAGAAGCTGGATTATTTCACTACAGAATGTATCTACAGTCCGGAGGCGTTTCGTGGAAGTGCTCGGACTCTGATCAAAGACCTGGAGAAGATCCGTCCAAGCAGCATACTGGATATTGTCAAGAGTGGCGAGGATATGGCCAGATTAGTACCTGCCGAGGTGCGCGGGTCCGTGGGTTGCGGCAGCGAAGGCGTTGAACAAAACGGCGGATGCGGATCGGCAAACGGCAGATCGAGTGGAGGCGAGATGGCCGAGATGGAGAGGCGTTTGGCAGAGAATGCGACTGCCGCTGCCAGAGAGACCGAAATCCAGCTACCAACAGGTGAGCAACCGAAGCTGCAACCAAAGGCCAACAATGTATCTACCCAAGACAAGAGGCGGCGACCTCGCAAGAAGGTGGTCACGCAGACCATGGGTCAGTGTAACAAGTGCGGCTACCTCTCCAGTCAGAAGATATGCAAGGCCTGCGTACTGCTCGAGGGCCTCAACAAGAGCCGGCCGCAGCAGACTGTGGAGGTGGGAGTCGAGGACGAAGACAGCAGCACCACGCTCATGCGGCAGGTAGGCCAGCTCGAGCTCTCCGCTGGATGACCTCAAGGAAGCTTTCGTCGCTTGGCCACATGAGCATCTAGATATGCTATGAGCATGTCGGTGCATTTCAGAACAACCAGGATTAAGGTCTGTATGATCCAAATCGTCAGTCTAGCAAGCCGCATCTTTGAAGTAATGACTGGCTTGCGACCCCTGGAGAACGTCGAATCCACAAATTGGAATGGCAGCTTCGCGCCGAGATGGTTGGTAGCAGCAGCCAAACCACTGCTAAGGCCATCTTCGTGGAAGCCGTACTTGGTCCACGCGCCACAGTAGCTGATACCACGCGTATTCTGTATGCGGCCAAGCAGCTTTTGCGAGCGTATTGCTTCAGCATTGTACAGTGGGTGTGAGTATTCCCAGATTCCTTGCGAAAGCCTGGGGTTGGGCATTTTGAGCGGATTCAAAGTCACCAGGACAGGACCGTGCTGCTTCTCCGGGATGTGCTGGAGCAGATTCATCCAGTAAGTCAAGCAGATCTTGGAAACGTTACTCTGGCCAGTGGGTGGGAACGGAGATTCGGTTATATAGTTCCACGCAGACCATGCCACTCGCCTTTGTGGCATCAGGGAGAGGTCTGAATGCAAGACTGCAATATTTCGACTGGTCTGGAAGCCGGACAAGATCTCGACTTCTTCCGCTGTGGCCACTGGTCTGAGAATGTTCAAAGCCTGGTCACCATGTGTGGCCAGAATGACATGGTCAAAAGTCTTGTGCTCATCGTTGACAGTGAGGACCACGCCGCCATTTTTGGTGGGCGTCAAAGCGGTCACCTTGGTGGACAGATGCACCTGCTGCTTCGGGAATGGCTTCATCACAGCATCGATGTACTGCTTTGAGCCACCTGGGATTGTCATCCAATCCGGCCGCTTAGAAACGGTGCTCAAAAGGTGATGATTCCACATGAACCGAATTAGGGTCACGGCAGGAAACTGAAGCGAGCATTTGTCGGGGCTGGTGCTCCACACAGCCGCCGTCATGGGCATCAGGTAATCGTCCCTGAAGGTCTGTGAGTACCCTTCGCGGTCGAGATATTCGCCAATACTCTCTGGCGGCTGGCGACTTGGTTGCTTTCCATTATCTGAGATGGGATCATTCTCACTCTCGTCCTCTTGGTGAAGGACATCAAGGGCAAATTGATTGAATCTGATGATGTCGAAGATCAAGCGCCACATGCGGAAGCTGAAGAAATTCTTCCGTTGGGCAAAGATAGCGGACAGTGATGTGCCCGCCCATTCGAAACTGCCCTGATCTCTCGAGACGCCAAATGTCATGTCGGTCTTGACGGTCGGCACGCCTAGCTCCTTGAGAAACGCCATGAAATTTGCTACATCAGGTCAGCAAGGGCTAAGAAGGGTCAAGACGGTACTGACGGTAGGTAGCCGTGTTGAGAACTATGAAGCCCGTGTCGACATTGACCTTAGTCCCGGCTGGAGACTCATATTCGACAGTATTTGTATGGCCACCTAGTCGAGACGACTGCTCAAATAGATGGACCTCGTGATCGGTGTCCTTCAACGCCCATAGTGCGCCAATTCCCGAGCAGCCACTGCCTACAATGGCCACCCGCTTTCCCATGACTACCTAGTCCACGGTACCAGATCATTCAGAAGTCAATGACGCAATGAGTATCGCCCGGTCCCCGTCAGCAAGACCTGGTATAGGCACGCAACAACTGTTTTGCAGTTCTAGGAGGACGGGTAATCTACGACTGGCAGTGGAGGCCTTCCATAGGCATGAAGATATGTAGATAATTGAGAACATGTGGCAGGTGAACTCTACTACGAGACGAGTTTCGGTGCGAGGGGTCCCTCCGATCTTCAGCCTCGTACAACACACCAATCGGAGTTGAGGCGGTTACAGATCCACCTTGGCCGCTCGGGGACGGTTGACGTACTGGGTGCCCATCCTACGGCCCTTACTACCTTGACGCCCCTGTATACCACCAACATTCAAGTTCCCAGAGCAGCAGCCGTCTACTGTCGACCAGTACAAAGATCTGCAACACATTCGACAACACTGACGTTTCCGTTGCCACCCTGCGCCTCCTCATCGCTGCCGCAGCGCAGGCATCACCCGATCCGCAGACAAGAGCCACCTTCACCATAGCGCTCACCCACCTCTCCCATTGGCACTTCCGTCGCATATCACACACCTCAAAATGTCGAATCCCCTAGACTCTGACCAGGGCACCGAGCAATTCGACAGCTATGAGGCCGAACTCAAACTCGTCGAGGCCGACCTCAATCAGAAACTAGACCAGGTAGAAGAACTGACTGGCGAGGAGCGCAAAGCTGCTGTGCGCGGTGCAGAGCGTGCAATCGAAGAAGCCAAAGAACTCGTACGCGCCCCCTCCCTATCAATCTGCGCCGAGCCTGCGGCGGTACTGACACACCACTCCCCACGCAGCTAGATCAAATGAACCTGACCAAATCGTCCATTCCCACGACCCTCCGCTCCAAGATCAACACTCGCTACCGCAACCACCAGTCCGACCTCGATGCCTCCACCCGCCGACTCAAGACCCTCGCCCGCCCCGCCGGCGGCGCCGACAGCGACCGCGCCCAGCTCTTCGGCGAGCGCTACACCGACGACCCAAACCCGCACGACGCCGCCCTAGAACAGCGCCAGCAACTCCTGTCCGGCACAGAGCGCCTCGGGCGCAGCGGAGACCGGTTGCGAGAGTCGCAGCGTGTAGCGCTGGAGACGGAGCAGATCGGCGCCAGCACGCTTGCGGATCTGCACCAGCAAAGGAACGTCATTGAGAACACGCATCGTAATCTGCTGCAGAGTGAGGGCTATGTGGATCGCAGTGTGAAGACTCTACGAGGGATGGCGAGACGGTAAGTTGGCCCCCCCTCCCCTTTTCTTTTGCTCCCCTGTCTGTCCGTCCGAAGAGGATTGGAGTAATGCGTACACAAGGATGTGGTTCCTCGGCTGACAACGATGTCTCCTCTCGTGAAGGATGGCGACGAATCGGATCATCACGATTGCGATTATTACCGTGCTGGTATTGTTGATTATTGGCGTCATCTACAGCAAATTCAAATGAAACCATTCGAGGGAACGAATGAGAGAAGGGAAAGGCGGGCGTAGGAGGCGTAAAGGCATGGTCCATTGCATGCATGTTGGCGGTCGCAGCGCGCCACCATATCTCCATCACCCCCCCGGGTCAGTCATGAGACCAGACTAGGGGCAAGCCAAAAACATCGTCAAGGCCCATCAGCGTCGACGCTCAATTGTACAGAATACAAATATAACCTTACTTATTAGACTGGCGGGTCCGCAGCCGCCATGTCCCTGCTGTGGCTCTGCGCCGCCGACCCAGCCGTCTTGTTCCAGCTTCCCACGCTCCAGTTCCAATCCCCATGCCCCTCCACGAGCCACTACCCCGTATACCTCACCAGCCCAAGCGCCACATTCAGCACGACCCCAACCCCCACGGCCATCTTCCGCCTCTCGCTCCACACGCCTTCCTCGCGCCACGCCCACATCAAGCACCCAATCGGCCAGAAGAACCCCATCGCCGCTCCGTAGATCATGTCGTCGATGGCACCCGCCTCGCTCTCCTCGCTCATCGGTAACCCGCCGCCGCCGGCCCCACCCTCTCCGCCTTGACTGTCCATCGGACCAACCCCGCCACCGGAGTTGTCCAGCCATTGGTCTTCCATATTTCGCAGTGTCGTCGGTGAGGGCATCTCGTCGGGGATGTGCGTGCGTGCGTGGATCGCGAGGAATTGCATGCGCAGGGACGAGACTTCGGTCGCCGTGAAGCCCGTGCTGAGGAGGCGGTCGAAGCCGCGCTGCGGAGGTCCGGTGGCGGCCTCCGTGTCATCTTGCGCGGCGGTGGTGTTCTGGTTTGAGGTGCTGGTCGATGTAGCAGAGGGCTCGGAAATGGTATGAGCCAGGCGCGCTTCGTTGGCGAGTTCGGCTGGGGTGAGGACGAGGTCACCGAGTGAGCAATGGATGTAGATACGCGGGCCAGAGGAGGTAAAGGGCTCTCGAATTGGGGTCTTGGGGTTTGGTGTGGTGGAAGATGAGTTACCTCGACCGATGTAGCTGGTGGGGGGCCGGGGAGTGGAGGAGCGCGAAGGCGGGTGCGAAGGCGGCCGCTTCAGGGACGCGGATAGCGCTGCATCGTCGGCGAGGGCCTTGCCGCTGTAGATGAGACGAATGCGGCGTGATGCATGCTCGGTGGGCAGGTGCGTACGGATCAGCTGCTTGAGTGTGGAAGTGTTGGCAAGCGGCTGCTCGAAGAGGGAGATAGAGAGATGCAGGTCCGGGAGGGATACGGTGAAGCGGATCGTGAGTTCGAGGGTATCGGACGGGAGGTGTGGTTTCAGGGACATCGATCGGATGCCATCTGCCCCAGTGTGCAGTGGCAGCGAGTGGGTGCGATCGCTAGATTGCGGATGATGAAGATGAAGTGCACTGGGTGAGGCACCGCACGACACAAGCCTCACGCACGAGGCTGGAATACGCCAAGATTTTACTGCCTGTTGGTCTCCGCCTGAACCTCAACCTCCACGGCAGTCGACAATGGTCTCGTGTGAGCAATGTAGACACCGGCTGCTGTAGGATTAGACCAGAGCAATCGGTTCTGCAGTTGACCATGGGAATACTGGAACGGGCGTAGCGCAGCGGTCTTCCGTGTGTTTTTGTGTATCTTGGATGTATAAATGTCAGCTAGCACAGTAGTCCAGTAACAGCACAACTTGCAAAGCATCTTCTCGCAGCAACACAGTCCTGGGGCTTGACACGGCTGATGTGGAGGATTTGATGCTCTAAGAAGGGGCAACAAGCAGTAACATTTGCTGAGATATGAAAAACAAACGGTAGGAGAAGAAGCGCTCAGTAGCTCTAGGTTGCATCTGAGCACCGGAGGTACGTCAAGTGCCCAAGATCGACGCACAAGAGCCCACAGGCAGTAGCTCAGATCTCCAAGACAGTGCTCCATCAGTCTGTAACATACAATATCCCCTATTTCCAATACCTACCTAACCAACTACTCTAACTCATGTCCTTTGCATCCCGACTCGCCCACCCCTCCACACGAGACCGCTACGTCTTCATGTTCGGTAGGTCCATGATAGCCAACCTCGGACTCTCTCGTGACTTGTGATACTCCTTGTGCGTCCACTTCTTCCTCGGTTTTGCTGACTTCGAGTCCTCGTTTGCGCCCTTGGATTCCGCATCGCTCGCAGAGTCTCTAACGGTGACGTTCTCCTCATCTAGAATAGCCTGCACGGCCGTCTGATGACGAGTTTTGGGTCGGTCTGATCGAGCAGGTGTCGTGGAGCGATGCAGGCGAGGTGTAGGCCTCGCTTTCAGTGGTATCTTTACATTAGGGATTAGCGTAGAAGCATTCGAGCTTTCTGCGTCTTTGGTAGCAGTGCCTGGCTCAGCGACTGGCCTCGATTTTACCGCCTCCCCAGCAGCCAGCGACTGAGCTCGAGTGGTCCTTCCAGTGACAGCACCGTTGCCCTTCTTCGAAACCGCCTTCCTGATCCCATCAGTCGACTCTGTAGCCTTGTTAGAGACAGACACCCTTGGCGTAGTGCTCCTTGAATTCGCTGTACTAGAAGAGGTCCTCACAGGAGTGCTGGCTTTCTTTTGCTTCTTTTTCTTCGGCTTTTCATCTTCCCAGGACTCGTCACCTTCTTCACCAGGATCGACGAAGCGTATAGCCAATGATGTGCCTGCTAGCGCGGGCGGCTGGGGCGCTGCCTCTTCGTTGAGCCGCAGCTGGAGCTTGATCTTAAAGGGTGGCGGTTCGGAAGAGGTGACAGGCTGAGCTCTAGGGGTTGTAGCCTGACTGGGAAGTGTTTCGACAGCTGTCGTAGCCATTGTGGGGCTGCTCTTAGTTCCCCGTGGTGTTTCAGCGGCTGTGATAGCTCGAACTTGTGGTAGGGGTCCGTGCTCACGCTCACCCCTTAGCCAGGCGTGGTACTCATCAAAATCTTCGTTCTCTGATATAGGAGAGATGCTCCCAAGTCTAGGTGGGCTGTTGCGGCTGCTCGAAACCAGTCTTCGTCTCAGACCAACGACCTTTTTGGGGCGCACCATCACGCTGTGGGCAGCAGACACAGCTGGCACGTCTGGAGCAAGAGATGGTCGCTGCAGCACAGGTGCGTCTTCTATTTCGATGTCTTCTTCGATGCTAGGCAAAATGCTCTCCATAGGATAGCCAAGATGGTTGATCCGGGAGCTATGCAGCACAGGATCGCTGGCCTGTTGCGAAGGTATTGTACCGGGCAAATACAAAGCCTGTCCCTCGTCAATATCCATTTCGTCAGCCGGACCAACGGAGCTGCTCGAAATGTAGCCGTCTTCGGTGCCAAAGACACCAAGGTCACCAGTATCAGGTGTGCTTGGCCGGGCTTCAGGCGATGCTATAAGCTTGCTGCTGAAATCAAGAGAATTACCCAGTCTCGCAGGTCCAGCCTCCGGCGAGCCTGGGTATACACTATATTGCTTGAAGGTGTTCTGTGGTTGCAAAGGCTCGCGGTTGAGAATACTAGGCTGCGGAGTAGACCAGGGTGGCAGAGCCACATCAGCTTCAGTAGGCGCGATAACAGGCGACTTCAGGCTCGCAGGCTTCTCGAACCCTGCGAAGTTACTGGACGCCTTCCCACCTCTCGAGGGCGGTGATGGAATTAGCTGCTGTCCGGGACTGACGCTCGCGAACCCTGTATCGCTGACCTTCAAAATCAGCTTCGGGGTTCTGGGCCAAGATTCTGACATCGAAGGAGTGACTGCTAGGGTGCCTCCTTCAACAGTTTCAGTAGCTGAGCGGTTGGGGTCTGTTTCATCGCGAGAGCTACCCCAGAAACCCTGGGTTTGTCGCAATGCCGACATAGCTTCTGTCTCCCTCAGGCTGCCGCGGCTGCGTAGACTCATAGGACCGGCAGTACGATCGTCGGAGGATATACCGGAGGTGCGGGGCAAGCCTGGTGAATTTGGGTTGTGCCCGGGAGTGGATGAGGTCGGCATTATTGAGCTATGAGCTGCTTGCGAGGATAGATGGTGGGCAGTCTCCTGAGAAGCTGGAGGTGATGAAGCTGTCGAACTTGGAGCCGGAATCTGCGGAACGGGCTGCGTCGCTGGACGCAGCAGATCGATCTGATCCCTAGATGTCTCGCTCAAGCGTGCTGAGTTGGAACGCCCTCTTGCTCGCGTGCAATTCTCGCTAAATCCAGGATTGCGGGTACGGTCGAGCGCTGGGGACGATGAACGGGTACCGAGCAGTTCTTGAAGTAGCCCAGGCGTCTGCTTTCTCGGCCGACGGACTGCTGTTGGGGGAAGCGATTTTGGGCGTTGCTGCAGGCTCATATTCGAATGGATTGGGGGCTTTCTCGCTTGTAAGGGAAGCTTCGAACCTCGTAAAGCTTGCAGACTCATCTGGTGCAGGTGCTCGCTCGTCAAGGCCCCGACAGGCAAGCGATCGGCAAGAGGCGACGCATCAATTAACTGACCAGAGCCTAGAGAATCAGATATCCATGTTCCAAGCAGGTTGCCGGGCAAACCGAGCTGGCGTAAGAACAAGCCTGCCCGGAGCAATTGCAACGGCGACCCCAGCTCGAAATGACTGATCTTGACCATCAGGTCCATGTATGCCATGAGGAGCTCCGGATTCATGCAGTTCTGCAAAGTATTCTGGCCTTCGTGGTACTGAGCCAATGTGATTGGGAACTTTTGACGCCATCTAACCGCAGCGTTGATGGCCACAGCTTCTTCTGGAGAAAGGCCAAGCCAGTGAGCTGCATTAGTTTCATCACGTAGACGACTGATGGCCTGGAAGATGCGATGCTGATATGCAAGTTCTAGAGAACCCCACTCGACCTTCTCATCCGCCCTGAATCGAGAGGCAGGCCCAAAAGAGTCGGCGCCTCCGAAGTCCCAGGAGGCAATACTATTGCTCTTCTTGTAATCGGTCTTGTGAATTTCGACCACCTCACTGATGAGTCGGGAGATATCGAGTTGCGAATACACCACTGGCGGAACTGGTCGATTGTCTTCATTCAACGGATTGGATGTGGAGGCCTCCACAGAGGACTGCTTGGTAGGTGGAATGCCGGTTAGAGGCAGGGATGGGAAGGCTGCAGGAGGTTGTCTGGGATTGTATGGTACCGTGCTACTGGCGAGAAGTTCAGGAAAGGCTGGCAGGGTGCCATTCCGTCTTTGGTATGGCTTTCGAAAGTGAATCTGTTCTTCTTCAAAGCGTATGGGTCGTTGAATGTTACCTCGCAACCGCATCCCAGATTCAGTCTCTCGGGCCATTTTCAAGTTGCGTGATCCCATGCGATAACGTGGCAAACGCGAGAATGCCTAGCTGCTTGAGTGGTCAATGATCATTATCACCAATGCGAGGGTGACAAAAGGTGACAGAAGGTTGCGATTGATGGCATGTTTGTTAGGTGAAAAGGGCTTTGTTGGCACAGACAGCGAGTGAACCAATATGTTGACCGTGACAACAGGCCAAGACAATGCGGAAGGTCTCAGGCTACAGCACGGCTGGGTGAAGGGTCACTGAAATGTGCCTGAGAGGGGGGTGAACAGGCAAGGTATGCTACTCACATCTAGCCGCACCCGAGATGCGGGCTCATGATTGTTGTAGGGAGTCCTGGTGACTCAAGTCGATGCTCAACTCGCGCCCTCCGTTGATAATGATCACCTTCTTCCTCCTCTGTCTTGCCAGACAGTCTCGATACACTTGAGCCGGAGGCATATTTGTTGTTCGTGCCTGCCTAGAGAAGCCGAAAGTATCAAGTGAAATGCCAGGGTGGAAGTTCCTCAAGGTTAGGCATCGGCGAACGGTGCCATTCCAAGTCTGCTGTCTTCCACGCTGTCGACGCACCCACCCATCTCTCCATCGCCGCTGTAGGCCGCAAAAGCTCTCTTCGTAGTCGTTGGAGCCTGATTAGACTGTTGATACGGAGACGAGCCCTGACCGGCCTGCATATGAGCGCTGACGACCTGTCTCTCGGCTTGAAGAATTTGGTCGAAGTCCATCAGCATTCTCTTGAAACCATCCTCAATATAGATACAATATCTCTGTGACTGCACTAGCTGCACCGCTGTGGCAGCATCGAGGCAGTAGACCACCATCAAGAAGGCAACGACGAAGGCAGCGGACCGGTCGTTGCCAGACTCGCAATAGACGAGGATTTTGGCGTTGATGTCGTTGGCGGAAATCAAGGGTTTGGTCGTATTGGCTTCAAGGTAGTCAACAACAGATTTGATAGCTGGCTTGACTTTGGTGATGAAATCGAATGGTGTATCGACATCGAAGGTCGCAGTATTTCGATTGCCTGTGGTAGGATAAGTAGCTGGATCAAGGTATTTCGGCCGAGCTGCTACGGCGTATGAGCTGCGGACAGCTAGCAGGAAAGTGATACCGGTGGCGCTGAGAAATGTAGCATCTCTTGCTGTTGCGCTGGCTCCCAAGTACAGGAAGGGAAGGATGGGCTGCGCGGTTCGACGCTTGTCAAAGTCCCAGCTGAGCATCTGACTCTCCAGACGAACAAGTCTGGTCACGGCTAGGTCTCTCACGAAAGCAGGATCGCCGTATCTGTCGTCACGATAGTAGGCATACCCGGCGTGTTTGACGTTGAAGACTGGAACGCCAGACTGATAGTCCAAGTTCGGCGGAGCGACGATTAGGTTTGGGAGGCCACTCTGGAGCGCTCTGGCACCATCGTATGGATGAGCAGGGACGTAGGAGGGCGGCAAGTCGTTCGTCTCTTGCAAGGAGTCATCCTCGTCCATTTTGTGGCAGCTTGCGGTTGCGATAGGATGGAAGCAACGGAATGATCAGATGGAGCACAAAGGTATTGGCTGGGTGAGGGAGATCAGAAATGAAAGGATATTCCTGAATCGTGGTAACTTCGGTATCGCAGCAGAAGAATCCCATAAGTGATACACCTATAAGATAGGAGGGGCAATTGCCTGGTGACGATGACGGTGATGGTGACTCCTTCGCCCTGCCTCTACGAGAGGCTGTCTCCGATCCATCTGTGCCAGCATCCTACGCATTGTCGGACATGGCTATCTGCAAATCAAGGCACTTCAGCGGACTGCCTCGCTACCTGCCTATTGTCTGGCAACGACCATCTGTTGTGCCCTGAATCCACTGGTTCTTGGTATGAGCTCTTCTTCAAAGGGTGTGACGATTCAGGCAAGTGCAATGCGGGAAGGCAACAACAGGAACGAGGCAGTCGAGCTCAAGCTGATGCCAAGAGAAGCTTCATGAACAAACCTTCTTGTACATAGGTTGGTCCTGTACCTTACGTTGCTTCTCCCGTCGTTGCGTCGTTACCCGCGTGTGAGCAGTGATATTGTGACTGGAGCGTGTTGCATCGAGGGGCGGTTTGACCGAGAGCGGCGAAAAGCACATTATCTACACAGGACGACAGGTACCTAACACAGCATATTCTCCGGCGCCAAGAAATCCTGCCTCACGTCGTTGGCCCCGAGATTGAGTATGCAAGGCGACAGAATGATGTAACGTCCGTGTGTGCAGAGTTGCGAAGGCGTTGCTGTTTTTGACGTCTATCGACTATGTTGGGAGCTATACACTACTGCTCACGGGACAACAGGGGCCAGCATGACCCGTATAGGTCTTTCAACAGACCTTACTGCTGTTTGTCCTTTCCATCGCCGCCCCTTTGGCTGGCTTGCTTCGTGCTTTCCTCTCGCTGCTTGCGCATGGCCCGGTCTACCTGCCATACGGCTCTCTCGATCTCTCCGCTGAGTTCAGGCACTCGTAAGCGCGCCGCCATCTTGAGGTGGCTGTCAAGTCTCAGAATGATCTTTTCCTCTGGAGCGGTTTTGTCCTCCAACTGTGATGCGGTCACAAAGTTGAAGTCTGGGGCATCGGGTGCTATCTGGTCGTATAGGTCCTCGATTGTAGGCGATGAGACCGGCCGGTAGAGTTTGTTCTCAACTATGGCGTCTAGATGATTAGAGCCTTGTAGAGCTACCATGCGTTAGCTTCGTCTCGAGACTGGGGTAGGTGCACGTACCTCTCCAATGTGACCAGCACCGGAAGACAAGGTAGAAGAAGGGAATGTTTGGTATGCTGCTTCAGTTAGATTTCAGTACAGATGAAAATCAAGCAACATACACAGGCACTAGTGCGAAGGGCAAGGTGATGGGCATGCCCAGCAGGCTACCGATGAATCGATTCCAGTGAAGCTGTTTGCGTTCTCTTGCCAAACGGAGCAGGACTTTGGGGACATCGTTCTGGTGCATAATATTGCCCGGATAAACGACATCGTGCTTAACGGCGTTCGTTATGGTTTCAGCCTCCTTCTTTGGTACTCCCGGAGGGAAGCTTTTGAGTCCCCATTCCTGGTAGGGTACGCGCTTTAGACCTGCGTTACCATACGTAACCACAGTCTTCTTCCAGCCCTTCTCAGCAGCCTCCCATTTCTCCCAAGTCTTCGCCGCGTAGTTGATGGCGCGGTCAGTGTAACTGGCTGGCTTGGCTACTTGCTGCGCCGGTTTCTGACAGTAGATCAACGCTTGACGTGTCGTCAATGGTAGGAGGAAGATGCGCATCTGGGACGGCGCTCGGGTTCAAAAAGGTGTTGCTGATCGAACGGCACAAGGCTGCGGTCTTGCGAAGGGCTATCTCATGGTTGGAGTAGCGAATGTAAACCACACTGCGCGCCCCTAAAGTGAACCACAGGACGAGACCAAAATATTCGAGACGCACCAGGCAGCTTGAGACGACCACGTCTCGTACGGAGCCGCAGGGGCAGAGAAGCTCGACGGTGCTCAACGTCACCGCTGAGAAACTTTGCAGGGATCTGCACAGCCACACGTCGAGGCGCGTGGTCCCGCCCGGGGCCTTGATTGCAGCCCACAAGCACTCGCCTAACTCGATTCTCCACTGCCTCTCCATCCCGTAAGCGACGACAACACGCTCCTCGCCTCAGCAGCCATTCATTCTTTTTCGACCTTGTATTCGTTGTTTTTGACTTCTTTAGGCGCGTCTGGCGCCGGTGTCGTTGAGACACGGTCGCCTCTGGTTGAGAACTTTACGAGCCATGCGCTGCGCTCCTGTTCGCTTGTCCTGACTCTGCGATTCCGATGGCCGCAGCCGGCTTTCCATGGCAAGCACAATCTCAAGTCAGAGAGCCCACCTATCTGGACGAAAAGAGTGTCGAACCCGCAAGATCCGAGAGCAGGACGATCGAATCCCATCAGAATGACACAATCAACAGTTCTGCGCAGCCTCAGCACCATGCTAAACGTTGCTCAAATTCCTACAATGGCAAGCAACGTGCGAATTCGGTCAAGAAATACCCACCACCCATAGTGGCTGGCGCAAGAAACTCTACCGAAGGGTCACGAAAACAATCCTCTCCGTTGCCTGTTCGCACTCTTCCCGCCTGGATTCGCGACGCCGAAGAGGACGATCTCGACTATCTCGACTCAAGCCTCCTAGACAGTCCAGATGCTGCCTTCCTCGCGCATCATAACCATAGCCCGTCGGCCCTTCGGCGGCCTCAACACTCCGGTTTCCCCCGTGAACATCGAGGTTACCCTACCTCTTCGGGCGCTGTACGGCCAGAGCGGACCTCGAGATGGATCAGTTTTGCCCGAGCAAGTGCGTATCCTAGAGAGCAGTTCGACGGGGAGAAAGTGGACAAGGAATGGCTCGATCGAAATTTCACGGACTATTCTCAGCCTTGGCTTGCCAACCAGGACGACGATGATGACGAGGAGGGTGTTAGTCGCTATCGTGCTTTCCGCAGAAAACGACAAGCATGGTACAAGCGAGCGCAGTTCACCATTCTTCGAAACCCCTTCATTCCACTGGCTTTCAGGTTGACTGTTATTACCTTTGCTCTGGTTGCAATTGGATTAGGAGTGACGATCTTCAAAGAAACCGGCAGGATTACTAGGTGCGTGGGCGAGGCTCCAGGTAGCAGAGATGCCGCTTGCAGCGCTCTTGTGGGCAACTCGCCTGTCTCGTATTATCGAGATCCATCCGCGCTAATGGCTATCATTGTGGACGTGATAGCCGTGGTTTACACCGGCTACATCACCTATGATGAGTATTTCTCCAAACCCCTTGGCCTCCGGAAGGCTAGAGCAAAGATCCGCCTGGTGCTCTTGGATTTATTCTTCATCGTCTTCCAATCGGCCAACTTAAGTCTAAGCTTCGAATCTTTGACTGTAGACGAGGGCGCCTGTGCGGTTGGCGACGGTCCAGCGACGTTCACACGGTTCAATAACGTCTGCAACCGACAGCAAGCTTTGAGTGCTGTGCTTCTGGTGTCATTGGTGGCCTGGCTGCTCACCTTCTCTGTGAGCGTCCTTCGGTAAGTCTTCTAGCAGCGTCTTCTGGTGCAGGCTAACTTTTCTCAGGCTTGTTGAGCGCATAGTGTGAGGTTGGCTGGAATGACGCAACTTTTGCTATCGCTAGACAAACTCCGTGCCTCTGCTATCCTGCGCGATCTTGGAGAGGCAGAGGGAAGCAGACGGCATTATCAGACTTGCAGCGAAGGACCATCATCGCCGTAAACAGGATCTCGCTCGAACCATCCCAGCTTGCTGATAGTCTTGACCTTTTTCTCCTCGCCAGCGCGGCCATAACACATGTCCCAATTCTTACCCGTCGGGTACGAGCCGACCATCTGAAAGCTGCCATAGTCTTCTAGCAAGCGATGGCCGACACCGGCAGGCACCACGACCACGTCGCCTCGATTCAGCACCGGCTCGACTCTCCCCTCGTTTTGCTCGCCACCGAAACAGCATTTCGCCGAGCCTGAAGCAATGGCTAGGACTTCATGGGTGTTGGAGTGGAAATGAGTGTCGCTGTACATCGTGTACCTCCATTGCGGCGAAACCACGCCGACATCAGTCAGGTGAGCTTCGATCTGTGAAGCACTGGCTTGCGGAAAGGCTGAATGATATATCAATAGCGGTTTATTCTGGATGGATGTGTTTGGAATCTTCTGAAAGGCTTGTATTTGGTGCTTGGACACTTTCAAAGCATTCAGAGGCGTGAGCGTTGTGGCCATTTTGGCGATAGATCACGGAGCAGTTGGAAAGACGTCTTTAGAAATAATTCAATAATCTCACCTGGTGATCTGGCAACTCTGTCGACAACACCTACCTCACACATTCTGAACAAGTTTCTTTCTCTCAACTTTGCAGTCTTGGATATAATATTGCCTGTTTGGCTCACCATTGGTGACAATGGATTGTGTGACGTCATGCCTGTCACGCCTGCAATGTTGTCTGCCTTGCCTTTTCCAGGATAGCGCGAGGCTGCATCCTCAGCCTTACGTGAGCAGCCCAGTGCCTCCTCGCCCGCTTGTGGGTGAAGAAGGTCGAGTGCCTTACAAGTTAGTCCTGCCCTCTATTAACTTCATTCCCTGCATTATCTTCCTTGTTCTTTGCACCCTGTCACTCCTGGTCTGCTCTTTTTTGTTCATCGTCATCGAAACGAGGGTCAACCGCAGCCTCCACCCGGCCCGTCCAAAACAGGCAGCCTTCACTTGCCGGGGCCTGACTCGCAAATACCAGGCTGCCGGCGACTCATTGAAAGCTGCTTAACTAATTCTTACTTCTTGCCTGCAATTCAGAGCGTATCGCACCCTTGGGATCCCGCACAAACCCCGCCCTCATAGCGACTTCCACCGGTCTATTGAGCGCCGACTTCTGCAAGACGACAGCGTCATCGGAACCGAGCTCCGCGACATGGCGCCGACATCTACTACCGCCAACGCTCCGTTGCAGCGCGCGCGCGATGACCTTAGCCAAACGTGAGTCACCGCCACTGACCGAGACTGCGCAAGGGCACTGACCGATTACGCAGTTGGGCCTACCTCGAGAAGAACGTCGACAATGTTATGAACAAGCTTCAAGAGGGTCTCGACATGAAGACCTACATGTACGTCCTGAAAAGACTGCAAATACGTTCCATGCTAACCACATTGTAGGGGTGTCTACACTGCCGTCCACAATTTCTGCACGTCGCAGAAGGCTGCCGTTGCCCCACCTGCGGCTGGCAACGGTGCTCTGGGTCAAGGTCATCGCGGTGCTCACCTCCTCGGCGAAGAGTTGTACACCCTGCTCGGCCAGTACCTCTCTACACATCTTGGCCAAGTCCTCGAGAAGTCCGCTTCGCACGTCGATGAAGCCCTACTTACGTACTACATTCGCGAATGGAAGCGATACACTGATGCTGCGAAGTACAACAATCACCTCTTCCGTTACCTCAACCGCCACTGGGTGAAGAGAGAGATGGACGAGGGCAAGAAGAACGTCTACGATGTCTACACTTTACACTTGGTCAAGTGGCGTGACGACTTCTTCCAGGCCGTCAACACCAAGGTTATGGACGCTGTTCTGAAGTTGGTCGAGAAACAGCGTAATGGTGAGACGATCGATCAGCTGCAAGTCAAAGCTATTGTCGAGTCGTTTGTCTCCCTTGGCCTGGATGAAAACGACCCCACCAAGTCTACTCTTGACGTCTACCGGCTGCACTTCGAGCGCCCCTTCCTCGCTGCTACCAAGGAGTACTATGACAACGAGTCCAAGCGCTTTGTTGCCGAGAACAGCGTGGTCGAGTACATGAAGAAGGCGGAATCACGACTTGATGAAGAGAAGGAGCGTGTGGGTCTTTACCTGCACCCTGATATCATGAAGAAGTTGATGGACACCTGCAACGACTCCCTCATCACCTCTCACTCGATTCTCCTGCGTGACGAGTTTCAGGTTCTGCTCGACAATGAGCGCACCGACGATCTTGCTCGCATGTACAAGCTACTGTCACGCATCAAAGATGGGCTCGACCCTCTGCGCAATCGCTTCGAGACTCATGTTCGCAAGGCCGGTCTCGCGGCTGTTGAGAAGGTCGCCACTCAGGGTGAGAACTTTGAGCCTAAGATCTATGTCGACGCGCTTCTTGAGGTTCACGGCAAATACCAGCAGCTCGTCAATGTCGCTTTCACTGGTGAATCCGAGTTTGTTCGATCTCTTGACAATGCTTGCAAGGAATTCGTCAACCGCAACCAGATCTGCAAGTCAAGTTCGACCAAATCTCCAGAGCTACTGGCCAAATACACCGATCAACTCCTCAAGAAGTCGGCGAAGGCTGCAGATGAGTCAGAGCTTGAGGAATTACTGGTGCAAATCATGGTCGTCTTCAAGTACATCGAGGACAAGGATGTGTTCCAGAAGTTCTATTCCCGCATGCTGGCCAAGCGCCTGGTCCACACCAGTTCTGTCTCTGATGATGCGGAGACCAGCATGATCAGCAAGCTGAAAGAGGCTTGTGGCTATGAATACACCAACAAGCTACAGCGCATGTTCCAGGATGTGCAGATCTCCAAGGACCTCAACGCCTCGTACAAAGAGTTCGAGGACAAGGTTTTGGAGGACAACAATCAGAAGCGTGCCGTGGATTCGACATACCAGATTCTGGGTACTGGCTTCTGGCCTCTGAATGCCCCGAATACTCCATTCGCTCCTCCCGCCGAGGTCAATAAGGCCATTGAGTCGTTTGGTCGATTCTATGACAACAAGCACAATGGCCGCAAGCTGACCTGGTTGTGGCAGCTCTGCAAGGGTGAAGTTCGCGCCAACTACATCAAGAATGGCAGAGTGCCGTACACTTTCCAAGTCTCAACTTATCAGATGGCGGTTCTCCTCCTCTTTAATGAGGCCGAGAAGATTGATTTCGCCGAGATGAGCGAACTCACCAAACTGACTGACGAGAACTTGGAGCCCGCTGTCGGCATTCTAGTCAAAGCTCGCGTCCTGCTCCCTCAGCCGGAGGATGCCAAGCCTGTCGCTGGGACGAAGTATGTTCTGAATCACAACTTCAAAAACAAGAAGGTCAAGATCAACCTCAACATCACAGTCAAGTCAGAGCAAAAGGTCGAGGCCGAGGATACGCACAAGACTATCGAGGAGGACCGCAAGCTCTTGCTTCAGGTAAGTTGATCTCTCGCTCGCAACCCTCATATGGTTACTAATATTTGCCAGGCTGTGATTGTCCGCATCATGAAGGGCCGCAAGAAGCTCAAGCACGTCCACCTCGTCGAGGAAGTCATCAATCAAGTGCGCAACCGCTTCCCTCCCAAGGTGGCCGACATCAAGAAGAACATCGATGCATTGATGGAGAAAGACTACATCGAGCGTCTTGACAACGATGAACTTGCATATATTGCGTAAGAAGGTTCGACGACGGCGTTTAGCCTTTGCTGCTATCATGTGGCAGTAACTTTTCTCGTACTTGTGAGCGTTTACGGCATACGGGAAGGATCACGACCAAGCACCTCACCGGCGTTGGGGATGGATTAGCATTGGGAAGGGTTTGACGACTTTCAACGAAGTCCAACAGGCTCATGAAGTTAGCGCATGGTGTGATTAGGAATGGCCTCTGAGGTACCATGGCTTTCCGAATTCCAGCCAAAAAGATGCACAGGTCGAAACATGGAGAAATACCATAGACTGCGAAAGGCAGAGACATTCTACCTTGATCGGGTCGAGAAGCCTTTGGCCATTTTGACTAGGCAGCCCAGTCTTGTAGACCAAATCGATCGCGTACCTAGTAAATAGTCGCCACCGTCCGACCAGGTGTACGTATGCATGCACCTGATGCTCTGGTAGTAAGTCAATGCCACTGCCATGCATGGAGAAGGGCGGCGCCAATCATATCCACCTTGCCGCCTTGGCCACGCGCGCGCTGTCTCACGACCATCTTCGGCCGCTGCAGTTTCGGTCGGGGGTTTTCGTCCTTCATCTCACCAGTCGGTAGTCAAGTCCAAGTGCCCTCGTCTAGTCCGGCTACACGGCAGCTTTTCCCGGTCTTGTGCACCCACATTTGACGTGGCCGAATTCGGTTGAGCGGCACGCCCTCAATTCAAGATCGACGCCTGTCTACAAGGCATGAGTGCCGCTGCTGAGTGACCGTAAGAATGACGGCACCATTTGAACCTCAAGTTGCTGTCATCGATTTCCACCATCAACGGTAAAGTCTCCCCCAAGCCCCTACAGAAGCCTCTCGATAGACAATATCCTGACGAGGCTCACCCAACAGCGGACCCGAGGTTGAGTTCTGGGTGACCGAGGCAGGGCAGAAGCTATACGACCACAATGACTGGTCTTTACTGGCCTTCATGGCCCTCTCAGACGGTGCTCACGCCATGGTGGAGGACTTCAGTTACTTCACTCTTCTGCATCAGCCCGGATTTGGCGCGGGCGACGAGAAAGCGCCTCAGGCAAAGGAAGGTGAGGTTGCGGAGCCGCGGAATGGCGCAACTACACTCTTTGGCATAGCTTGCACACGCCAGATCCGGTCCGATCGTTTGCGCACACGCTCGAAGAGCGTCACCCGGAGCAGTGTCCAGAAGTCGGTCGTTGTGATCGTCAACGGCGTGTCTGGACTGGGCGAGCTGCGGACTCGGCTCGGGATGGTCACGGAGATGTGGTTTGGTAGGGTTTCTGTTGTCGCATTCTCCTTGCACAAGGCTGACTGCAGATAGCGCAAGATGATTTCACCGACACCACTATTCTCAAGGGGTTTCAGGACAGCCTCGTCAGAAGCGCAGCGCAAGGTAGCCCCGGCGAGCATTTCTTTGGCCTATCTCTCCGCGAAGTCATCCACGAGTTTCGGCACCAAACGCTGGTCCTCGTCAAGTGTCTCCTGCTCCAGCGGAAGATGCTGTTCTTCTCCTCGAAATGTGAACGCCTATGCCTGCTGCAATTCGCCCTCCTCTCTCTGCTGCCGGGTCTGACAGCTCATCTTGAGACGGCTGCACACCCCTCGATGGAGTCCACCGAGAAGCCGGACCCTACAGCGATGAAGACGCCGCGGGCGGAATTGCTGGAGTCTTTCGGACAGCCGCTGCGCATCTTCTCCAAGGGGGCTTTCTTCTCGCCCTACACTCCGCTGCAACACCTCGACATGCTGGGCAACTACAACACCAAGGCCTACGTGGTTGGATCCACGAATTCTCTGCTTCTTCAGCAGCAATCAAGGTACGCCGACATCATGGTCAATCTGGACACGGAGCCGTACAGCATCACGATTTTCTCGCCTTCACTGAAACAGGCCGTCAATCTATCCGCAGCCGACCGTCGATGGATCGACAATCTCACGCAGCAAGTAGTGGAGACATGGGACCCCGAGAATCCGTCACGGCCGAAGAACCATGGTTACGCTGGCAGTGAGGAAATGATCAGATTACAATTCGAAGAGTACATCCTCAGCTTGTGCAGCTGTATGGCCTACCAGGTGTACCGTGAGCAGACTGACGGCACGGTCCAGAGTGTCATGTGGAAGGACGACGGCCAGGAGACCGGGGTCATCAGTACAAGAGATGACAAGGAGCCGCCCGAGCTCGAAGACAAAACGGCGAGTGAGAAAGCTGAGGAGCCTTCGGTCGCATCAGCTGAAGCCAGCACAATGCCAGAAAAGCCTCCGCGGCCTGAAGCGAGAGTCTCGACCTCTGACTCGCGATCGTCTTCGCAGGCAGCCCGCCATCGGGCACATCTACGCACTTCCTCCCTCGATGTCAACCTGCCTCCCGCCGATCTTGACAATAACGCCTTGGATTTCCGACCCGAATTCCTCGCTTCGTGGCGAGAGACGCGCAACTTCGAGCTGTTTATTGCCTCTCTTGCGCTGGAAGCCACGACCGCGGCACAATCCCATGCCCTGTTATCCGCCGACGCCAAACGGCCACGCATATTCGATCTGATCCCTCCTGCACATCCGACCGGAGGCGGGCTCAACATCGACGACGTGCAGCGGCGGCTGCAACAGAGCATCGAGGATTTCCGCACCACGTACAAAGTCGACGAAAGATACCGAGAAACTCGCGAGAACGTGGGCAAGGCACTCGAAGCCGGCAGGGAACGATGGGGCAAATGGTGGACTGAGATGGAGGAGAAGCGACGCAAGGCCCACGAGCAGAGCACCCAGCCCGGCTCCGTGGCGAGCAATGCTACAGCTGCCACAGGGGAAGCAAGCAAGTCTGCCGATACCAGAGGCGCGCCTGCCCCAGCGGCGGGGGGCACGTGGGCGGCGGCTTTCAGAGAGCGGGCGTCGAAAGTGCAGAAGCCGGACCCAGTCGCGATGCAGGCCGTTGCGAAGGATAATGCGGCCAAAGCAGGCGCCTACCTGAGTTCGTGGGGGAGTTGGGCGAAGGAGAAGAGCCGGGACTGGCAAGATCAGCGGACGAGGAGGAGCGAGGACAGTGGTAGCGGTGTCTCTGCTGCTGCGTCTGCTGCGCCTACCGCTGCCGCTGCCGCTGCAACGGCAACGACAACATCGGCGCCATCGGTCTCCGTTACAGCTCCTTCGACGGGCGCATCGGTGGACGAGCCAGGGACGACGTCAACAAAGCTGGAAGCTGAGCCGGCAGTCAAGCCGAACCGGCAGTCGGCGGGCAAGTTTACGGAGAACATCGATTGAAGGCCATGCCGTTGCATGTGAGAAGCTGGATTATGGGTGCTTTTCGATACGAGACGTGGCTGTTCGTGGAAGACTTCGAGCGTTCTAGTAAAAGCAATAGATATCTAATTGAAGTGGCAGTCATATTGAAATGATGATTCGTGGCCCCGAGCCCCTGACCTTGATTGCGACTGACTTCAGGCTGGGCTGGTCGTCGAACTCAACTGACTTTTGCCTCGGATCGAGCCTCACCCAGCAATGGCTGGAGTACAAGCAGCGGAAAGTCACGTAGACCCAGTACTTCTTATGAGCAGCGGGATTGTGTTGTGAGTGTGCATTGGGAAGGTGGGGCAAAAGCCAGCCCCTTTCCCGAAGTTGAACCCCGCTACCGACTGTCGCGGAAAACATAAGTACTTTGAGTCACATCTCCCGCCCCATATCCTTTTGCTTTCCTCTGCTTCTTTCTTTCCATGGGTGAGGGAAATGTCTGGCACCAGAGTCTGACTCCCCATGCACCCTGCCACCGACTCGACATCGACGCCCAGGCCTGGCGTGGCCGCCGACGAAGCTGGAGCAACAATCCCCACCTGTATGGAACCAGTCTCTGGTGCTAGACATTTCCCTCACCCATCCCTATGTTTTTGCTACGACGCCTCACGCGAAGCCGCGACGTTCGGTGACTGTCGCCGCTGGTCAATGCCAGGCCCGCGACGAGACCTGGCCGCATGCCACTTTGCCGCCAGGACATTCTGTTCCAAGAAATATAAGCCGGTGCCGTTCACGAGAGCTCCGTTGGCGGCCTCTAGGGATCGCCAAATGACACGGTATCGTGTCATCGGATCTTCCATCCACGAGGTGGGTGAGGGAAATGTCTTGCAATTGCCAAATGGCACATCTATCGATTCCTTTAGCCGGAGGAGCGCGAGCAGGAGCGCGAGCAGGAGTACAAGCGCTGTGTTCACGCGTCCTCGACGGCGAAAGGTGAAACCTTATCTTAACCTATGTTGTTTCGGCTCGGCGCCAATGATAGGCATACCAGGCTCACTGTCTGTGCCTGCTTTGTGCAGGCCGATGATGAGTACACCAAGCTCATTGTCTTTGCCTTGTGTTGGCCGATAATGAGTATACCAAGCTCATCTGTGTCTGGGTCCGCCGCTGCGCTTGTATTCGCTAAGGGACAGTTCCTGGCGTAAGTTTGAAGACCTGAAACACCGCTTCAAGCTTGTGGACGAGCCACTTTCTGAGAAAGCCCCCCAGGAGGTCCAACACCTGCGAACAGAGCTCTACGAGACTCTTAACAGCCTCGCTGAGCCGCGAAAGAGTCGGCACTCCTAACGAAGCCTCCCTTGGGAGTGTTACCTGGTCGAAGAACGCTCGATACTCCGAGCGCGTCATTGCCTGGCCTCAAGTTCCACCACTTGATTACAACTCTGTTGTGCAACAAACATTCATACAGCTCTGAAGGTGGTTCTGAAGAACGAGGAATACCCTTGGGAAGAGAAAAAAGATCATTGACAATTTCTAATATAGCCACATAAAAAAATTTAAAAAAGGTTACAAAACGAATCTTCTTCATCATCAGAGCCTCTACGAACAGCGGGCCTGGTCGCTGATGGCCTGCTGATGGCCTGCTGGTGGCCTGCTGATGGCCTGAGCTGCATGCCGATGTGTCATATCATTGGGAGTACGAGAGCACACTTTCACAGTCTTTGTTCTCGCAATCTGAGGCAGCAAGTCGACACCGACTTTCATGGATCTTGTCAAAGCCTACGAGCCACGTGAAGAAGGAAGGCATGTAAGCTTTTGGCTACTAATACTTTTTGGTTTTCCTCCCCAACGAAATGTCCTTACGGAGTGATGCTCGTAAGTGCCTGTCGTGTATCCTGTAACTCTTTCCCTCATAACCGCATCCAATGTCCGATGTCTAGGTCAACCAGTGCCGCCGCTAGCGTGCTAGTCTGCAACCAATTGCACTGCTGTCACCCTAAAAAGCACGTTTTGTCTATCTCAGTGCATTGGATACTTCGCAGACGTAGTCGAGCCGAATGTCTAGGTCTCAAGGCCAGTACGTGCGCGCACCTCGGCTTCCTCTTTGACCTGGAGCGGCTCAATGTTCCAAATGGAGTCTGCATACTCCTCGATACAGCTACTTCCAGTTAGCGATTAGATGACAGGAAAGGGTTGCTGCTCACCGATCCGATGAGAAAAAGCCCATCCGGGATACACTTTGAATCGAACGAGTGACCCACTTGTCTTGGTCTTTGTAGGCCTCATCAATGAGGTCTTGGGTTTGACCTAGCATCAGTTAGCAATCGTCCAAGCGCGGTACTACAGGGACACTTGCAATAACTGTGGAAATCGTCCGAAACGAGGTAGTAATCACCGTGATCGACGATACCATTGATCAAGCCGCTGAAAGCACCCTGGTCGCCAAAAGCGCCCGACTTGATGTGATCAAAGACTTTCTTCAGCTCGGGGTTGAGCTCGTATTTGCCGTAGAAGTGGGCATGTCGTAGATCTTCAACATCCTCAGAGAGGGTACCGAACAGGAACACGTTCTCTTCGCCAATCTCGCGGGTGATCTCAATATTCGCACCGTCCAGAGTGCCGATGACCAAGCCACCGTTGAGCACAAACTTCATGTTGCTGGTGCCAGACGCCTCGGTTCCGGCGGTTGAGATGTGTTCGCTGATGTCGGAGGCCGGGATAATGATCTCAGCCTTACTGACGTTGTAGTCCTCTAAGAAGATCACCTTGAGCAAGTCGCCCACGTCTTTGTCGTTGTTCACAACCTCACCGACCTTATTGATGAGATGGATAATGGTCTTGGCCATCCAGTAGCCCGGAGCAGCCTTGCCACCGAAGATGGAAACTCTGGGAGCCAGCTTCTTCCTCTCTTCCGCAGACATTGACTTGATGGCCATGTATCGATGAATGACGCCGAAAATGTTGAGTTGCTGGCGTTTATATTCGTGGATCCGCTTAACTTGAACGTCGAAAAGAGCCTTTGGATTGACGCTGACGCCGGTCGTGTTAAGAATGTGTTGAGCGAGGCGGACCTTGTTGGCATACTTGATCTCGGACCACTCCTTCTTGAAATCCTTGTCGTCAACGAAGGCCTCGAGTTTGTTGAGCAGTGTGAGATCCTTGAGGAAGTCGTAGCTGCCGACCTTTGATGCAATGAGCTCTGATAAGCGAGGATTCGCTTGGTGCAGCCATCTTCTGGGCGTGATGCCATTAGTGACGTTGGTGAATTTGTCCGGACCGTAAATTGTCACGAAGTCCTTGAAGATGGTGGTCTTGATCAGATCGGAGTGCAGTTCAGCCACACCGTTGACCTTGTGTGAACCAACAATGGCCAAGAAAGCCATACGAACCATCTTGGGCTGAGACTCCTCAATGATGGAAACTCTGGAGAGAAGTTCGCGGTCCTTGGGGAAGCGCTTCTCTACAAGCTGCAAGAAGTACAGATTAATGTCGTAGATGATCTTTTCTCACATGTTAGCAATGCTCTCTAACGTGTCAATGGCAAGAACTGGGGTGGTCCGGTGTTCGACGAGGCCAGTATCCGAGCTACGTAGGGAACATATACAGCAAAAGGAAGGTACTACTTACTTCAAGGTGTCGGGGCAGGAGATTCTGAATAAGAGGGACAGACCACTTCTCGAGAGCCTCAGGAAGGACAGTGTGGTTTGTGTAGCCGAATGTTCGAGTGACGATATCCCAGGCTACATCCCACTTGAGGCCTTCGATATCGGACAGGATGCGCTGAAGCTCGACAATAGCCAGGGTTGGATGCGTATCGTTGAGCTGGATAGCAACATGATCTGGGAACTCAGACCACTTCCTCTTGGATTTCTTGAAGCGGCGAACGATGTCGTGCAGTGAGGCAGCGCACCAGAAGTATTGCTGCTTCAGCCGCAGCTCTTTACCTCGCTCGAGGTTGTCATTGGGGTATAGCACGGCAGAGATGGTCTCGGCGCGTTGTTGATCTCCCACAGCGCTCTCATAATCACCGGCGTTGAACTTTGCAAAGTCGAACTCGCCGGAGGAGGCTTTGCTGGACCAAAGACGGAGGTTATTGACGGTTGGAGTGCCGTAGCCGGGAACGGGGACGTCATAAGCGACAGCAGTGACGATCTCACCATCTTGCCAGGAGGTGATCTGTCGACCTTCTTGATCGGTGTACTTGTTAACCCAACCGTAGAACTGAACGTCGACTGTCACGTCGTGTCGAGGGAACTCCCAGGGATTGAAGTCGAGCCAGTAATCCGGAATCTCCACCTGGTAGCCATTCTCGATCTCTTGCTTGAAGATACCGTATCGGTATCTGAGACCGTAGCCCCAGGCGGCGTAGTTGAGTGAAGCCATGCTGTCGAGAAAGCAAGCAGCAAGTCTTCCCAGACCGCCGTTGCCCAGAGCGGCGTCGTGCTCCTGGTTGACCACATCCTCGATGCGGAATCCAAGATCGGCCAGACCGTCTTTGGCAACGTTCTTCAGACCAACATTAAGCATGGCATTGTCAAGAGCTCTTCCCATCAAGAATTCTAGAGAAAGGTCTAAAGTGTATTAGCGGGCGACCTGTAGAAAGTCGGTACTGCGTACAGTAGATTCGTTTCTGATCAGCAAAAGTCTGTCTTTGTTGAGTCTTATCTGTCATAGGCGTCAGTCTTGGGTTTTGCAGCGACCGGTCATACTTACTCCAATCAATGACCAGGCGGTCTCTGAAGGCGAGAGCGGTTCCGGAGTAAGCGGCACTGTGCAACCGTCAGTCGGACAACAGCAGCAGGCTGAATGAGGACGAACAGCTCATCACAGTTGAAGAGGGAACGTGCGAGAGTTGTCTCAATGTGCTTGACGACCTCTTTCTGTGTGACTTGTCAGCAGTAGTTGTGACTGCGCTCTAGAGACACGAACGCCGAACTCGTCCTTGGTCTTGAAGCCGGTCGCAGACTGGAGGATGTCAGTCGGGCAATGTAGCAGCGATTGCCTCAACCCACAAACTTTCTCCATGCTTCCCTCATGTGCTCTGGGATGCTGCTCTCGACAGCCTTGATTTCACCAGCGCCGAAGCCAGTTACTGTAGGAAAAGTCAACCCGCGCATCAAACCAGTCGGCAGCTCTTCGCACCTACCTGTTCTCTTATGCTTAGGCCTCGTGAACCCCGGCCCAACAGGTCCTTGCATAGTCGAGATAGGAGCATGGGTGCTCATCTTGCGCTCGCGGGGAGCCTTGTCGACGGCTGCGGTAGCCATGACGTGGGATTAATGTGAGGCACGATGTCACGACAGTCGTATAGTGAAGTAAGGATAGAGCTCGGGGAAACTGGTCAGTTAACAGACCGGAGGAAGAGAAAAGGTGCGGTGAATATCAGCAGGATGACAACGAGGGGCAGAAAGTGTGGTATGAGACTGAGTTGGAGCTTGATTAGCTGCGCGACTGCTCGCGAGAGGTGGGAAAGCGCTAGCAAGTATCCGGCGAGCCTGGATGAGGCGAACAGCAACTGCAAGCTTAGAGAGACTACTGGGTATGGCGTGCATGCGGGCCGGTCGTTGCTGCAGCTCTACTCAGCAGGTGGTTTACGTGGGCTGCTGGCTGTAGCTACCCGCTGCATTCTTTGGCAACGACCCACTCTAGCTACAGCAATCATCGTCGATCAGCTTATATCCATGAATCAAGCTCTTGGGCGATATGGAAGAATGGGAGGCGGTGAGGCAAAGAGCATGGACAAGTTGGACCGAGCATGTGCTTGATCGTTGTTAGAGGGGGATCGAATGTCCATCGCTGATTGTAGTATCATTGTGCAAGTAATCGACCTGCTGGTTTCAGACCACGCGCATCGTCGTCCCCTCTATCGCACTGTCTGCCCTCCGCAATCCAACGGCATGCCTCGACCTGATGCTTTCCCTCTTATCTGTGGCGACAATACTCTTCGCGTACTTGACAAGAGTGTCTCAGAAATTCACCGAGATGCCACATAGTGGGGCACGACTCGCTGGCGAGGAGGGGTAGCAGCTGATTTGTGGGGGCAAAGCTTGAAGGCGGAAACGGGTGGGGGCGGACTTAGGCCCAGATGCCCACGAGTCGGTATCTAGGTACGAGTAGCTTCACATGGGTGACACGACACGGTCAAAACATTGCTCGGCCTTCAAAATGGCAGTAGTCCCTCACATCGGTCAATAAATGCTCGTATTATAGTCAGTAGTACAACGACCCATTTCCTGCTCTTGATGTTTTCACGCCATATCTGACCCTTGGCCATTCGTTCCGCTGACTCCATACCATTTTCGTGTCCTCTCGAAGCGTGGCTGTCGGAAGGAATCCGTTCTTGCATCAATTCTCAACTAGAGAGTCGTTCCCAATGGTCCTCATCTCGGGTCTGCTTCCACCTCCTGCTTCATTCGAGTGTGTTGAATCCCACGCTTCCCTGCGTTGGGCGATTACGGCCTGACGTGTTGGTCGCTGCTGCTCTGTCGAATCGACCTGCTCCAACTTTTGCTCCTGTGAACGAGGAATGTTCCAACCGAATTCACCTCGACGCCGCTTTTCGTAGGCCGATATCGAAAGCGCTACCGTGGTTCGTGGGCCTCTGAGTGAGGCCAACATGCATCTGAAATCCAAAAGTTCCGTGAAATCATCGCTATCATAAGATGCCTGAATCCTTGAGGGCGTTCTGCAAAATCGTTTCCTTGACCGCCGCAAAGACCAGCCGAATATTGGTTGTGTCGGTGGCTTGTGTCAGGCTGCTCAACGTTAGCCTTGCATGTGTACAGGAAGCAGAACACTTACTGAGGGTACAGATTGAGTTGCGCCCGATTAACTTGGTTGAACCGCCATAACAGGTATTTGGCGGCGCGGTTCACATCGTTACCGCCTGAATAGTCGGGGAAGTAATTTCCTAGAGGCGACCGTCCGAGCTTCTCTTTGAACAGATCGACTTTGTTAAGGAAGAGGATTATACTCGTCCTCATAAACCACCTCGAATTGACGACTGAATCAAACAAGACAAGACTCTCCATCATTCGATTCTGCGTACCGTCAGCAACTCATACTCGTGAAAACGCCAATGAAAGTACCTGGTTGGCTTCCTCTAGCAACACTTGATCATACTCGCTTAGCGCCACACAGAAAATGATCGATGTTACATTCTCGAAGCAGTGAATCCATTTCTTGCGTTCGCTTCGCTGACCACCGACGTCGAACATGCTACCACTGGTCAGTCTCGGTCCAAAGGAGGAATATGGCAAGCATACTGTATGCTCAGTTGCCCCATGGTAAATCTGGTCTCGTAGATACCCGTTGTCTTTGTTCGGGCTCGCAACACATCTGCTTCATTGGGGGTATAATCAGGAGCCGCTAGTCGTCGGACTTCATCGAAGAAACTAGGGTGGTCAGCAGCCTGACAAGGACCAAATGCTGCGTGACTTTTGACTTACTATGACGCCGAGTCCATGAGGTAGAACTCGCTCTGTCGTTCCATGGTCTTACTCGCTGCAGGGTCACTCCAGATCGCTTCGACCGCGTCGGCGGCTTTAGGGTCAAGACTGCTGTCTGGGTCGGGGTCGACATTATAGTCCTCTATGTAAGCAATGTAGTCTTTGACTTCTTGCCCTTCAGGTTCGATCTCGAACTGCTGCATGGCGGCGATGAGCGATTTCATGCAGTCAATGAGATTCTTGTAAACGGTCAGGCGATATAGCGCCCTTTCTTCCTCTGTGTACCCATTCTGGTGGATAATCTTCATCTGCTTAACAATTGTCGACTTGCCACTCTCGCCCGAGCCTACCAGGAAGTTAGCACAAGGCGACCGCGCATACAGCCAGTGAACGAACCGAGTAGCAGGATCTTGCATTCTCGCCGTAATCTTCTCGAGTCTTCCTCGAGTTTGCGGTCAATGGCTTGGCTTCTTTTCTTCTGCTCTGTATCCTCTCCGCCGCTCTCGGTACTTCCACATGCACCCATGGTAGAACCAGGAAGTGAAGATGGTGCGACGAGGAGGTCAGGCGCTGCCCGGTGCGGCGCAGGGAGTCGACTTCAGCGCAGCCCAAAGCTCCTGCGATCCGGCCGGACTGTGGAGTCCAAGTTATGGCTCGGCGACTTTAGCTGGCTGGCTGAGCTGCTCAAAAGTGGGAGATCTAATTTTACAAAGGTAGCAGGAGGCGTTGCGCAAGGACTAGAGGTATCGTAGGAATGTCTGGAAGCTCGGACGTTGGTGGGCACGATGTGGGCTGGGTGATGTCGGATGAAGCCGAACCAGCGTCGCGATGGGTGGAGAGAGCAGAGGATGACGGCCGGAGAAGGTCGCCCCGGTAAGTCTGTGGGCGCGACAAGCGTGGCAGGGCGAGTATCGAAGACAGGGAAAGATGAAGTGAGTATAAGGTCTGATCGCTTCGGCGGTTTCGTGTCGAGCAGAGGTGCACGAGAGGGGGTGGGACGTGAGAGGGTACGAGTAGTAGCTCAGCAGGAAGGTGGAAGAAGCAAGACTCCAGAGCCTGGATTGGTGACCACGCGGTGGAGTTAGCGAGCACAAGCGGAGGAGGGCAAGGCCTAAAAACTAAGCACCGCAGAGCGACGCTACGCCACCCAGTTAGGAGTCGATGAGTCCAGGGCTACGAGTCTGGGGCAAGCTCTGGACTCAGTAACGTTGGCCACAGCAGCTGGGCACGGGGCTGCCTTGAGGCAGATTCCAGCGGCCCCGTCCTTTCTTCGAGGCAGCATTCCACTACCTGCGACCACATCCAGGCAACGTTTGTGCATACAAGTACAGCTCCTGTGTTGTGCGACCTACTTAGAGCTTTTCTGGTGCTCTACCAGTGGGATCTCAGCGACAAACAATTTGGTTAGAGCTAAGTCACCAGAGAATTAATTTTGACGCAAATTACTGGTGACTTGGAGGGCATGGCACGCACCCTCGAGATTGCATCGCCGCCCGTGGACAACCTTTTGAGCTGCTGGGCAACATGAACTTGATCCGTCAACTGAGTGATGTGATATATTGATCACGGGCCCCGTTCAGTAGGTCTCGGGATAGTGAGCTCTGCTGCTACTGGGACTAGCCACGAGCCGCCCAAATGGGATTCGCCCTGGCTCCTCGTGGTGCTTTTGCTGGGCTAAACAGCACCAGATCCGCAACCCCTCCAGCTGATTGGAAGAACTGCCCGTCGGATTTGGAGCTCGTATCGCACAGCACGGAGTACTTGTCGCGCTTAATTTGCCCCGTCTGCTTGCCAGTAAGTGATGAGCGCCCCTCCTTTTCTAACAGTTTTTGGCGCAGACATGTCCGCCACTATCTGCCTCCTGTCCTTGCTCTCGAGAGTCTGCCTTCAGTGACGTGCGCCAACACTCAGCACCGGTGCAAATGATACAAGATTTGAATGCCCGGGGGCATCCGTCGGGTAGCAGCTCTTAAAGCATCTAAAGATCCTCTAGCTTGGCCTGACCCTCCCGGCCCTATCCCGTAGGTCAGGACCATTAAACTCCAGGTCGCTGCAAGTTACCGATCTTCGGCGCGCACATCAGATCTGGCGAGCTTGTCCTGCCTATCAGTATCTACCTCTGGCAACATGCATGTTCGGTAGTTCTACCGAATGGGTCACTGATCAACTTGCTATATCGAACTGCATCGTCGCCCGGAGACACGGCGTGCAAGAAAGCCATGTTACCGTCTACTCCCCATGGCAGGCGCTAAAGGGGGCGTCCCAGCCTGTGCTCCGGCGTACGCAGAGTGTATTGGCTGCGACGGGCGTGGCGGCACAGTTCGCATGCTGAATCATCGCTCCAGGACCGTTTTAGACGAACCGCCTAAAAGCAGATTCGCTGGCCTGCGCTGGGCGCTCAGCTCTGAGGTCATCAAAATAACGCCTAAGTTGGCAATCAACCATCCCAAGGAAATAATCAAAACTCGATGAGATACAATAACAACCGGCGAACGTGGTGATCAGCTTCATCTTCGGGGCAGGCGACTCACTGCCGCGACAGATCTCCAGCCTCGAAAGGGATAGTTGCATCGACGATCCAGTCAAGGGCCGCGGATGTCAAACCCGGTTGACTCGAACTTGAATCCCCAGGAGAAATGGCGGTCTGGGCCAATGTTTGCGGCCCATACCTGTGGCTAATGCCCGACTGGTAGACATCACGGGCGATGGATGACCTTGGAGGTTGGGTAGAGCCACGCAGCGGCTGTAGCGAACAGAGTATTCCCGACCAAGAAAGCTGCTGTGCGGCAGATCATGTAGCCTGCAATCTGAGTCTGTGACAGCTCATTGTTTTCCTTGACATAGTCCCGGCACAAGCACCTTCGCCGCTGGCTTCAGGCGGTCGCGAGAGCGCTTCCCTCAAAAGGTCTCGAGTCGCCGCCCCACTGTCAAACCAAGTTGTCACTAGAGGTGCAGGGAATCCTCAACTTGTGATCGCAACATTATACTTGCCGTCTTTCTCTTCTTCTTCACCCTGCCTATATCTGGACATTCTGCGACGCCGACCTCGTGAAGACCGAAAGTTGAAATCTGTTCCGGGGCCAATTCGGCACCTGCTTCCATTTCCCCCGCGGCGTTTCGCAGCCCCTCTGAAGCCGCAGCGCACTCCAAGCTTCGACCTCATTCAATTAACCTCCCACATCAGAAGGCCTCCGTGCGCACATAGCCCATCATGGCGGAATTCGTGCGTGCTCAAATCTTTGGCACCACCTTCGAGATCACGAGTCGGTATGAACAACCGGATTGATGCCGCCAGATCCCTGAAGATTGACCGTGGATCAGGTACACAGATCTGCAGCCCGTTGGCATGGGTGCTTTTGGCCTGGTCTGGTAAGTCGATGCCAATTGAGATAGGCGTGCGTCGCAGCTGACATGATGACAGTTCCGCCAAAGACCAATTGACCCAGCAGCCGGTCGCCGTCAAGAAGATCATGAAGCCCTTCTCAACCCCGGTTCTCTCCAAGCGCACGTATCGAGAACTCAAGCTTCTAAAACATCTGAGACATGAGAATGTGCGTGGTCACGGACCTCTGAAAGAGTACTGGAGTTGACAAACATCGCAGGTCATCTCGCTGAGCGACATCTTTATCTCGCCACTGGAAGACATGTATGCAGCCCAATGGATCAACAAAGGCGGTAACGAGCGCTAACAAAACTACCAGCTACTTCGTGACCGAGCTTCTGGGCACCGATCTTCACCGGCTTCTTACTTCCCGCCCGCTCGAGAAGCAGTTCATCCAATACTTTCTCTACCAGATTCTTGTAAGTACCTTGCCCGGTGTCTCCAGGCCACTTGTTGATCGTTGCTCCAGCGTGGCCTCAAATATGTTCACTCCGCCGGCGTCGTTCATCGAGACCTCAAGCCGAGCAACATTCTTGTCAACGAGAACTGTGATCTCAAGATCTGCGATTTTGGTCTGGCCCGCATCCAGGATCCTCAGATGACCGGCTACGTCTCAACCCGTTACTACCGCGCTCCTGAGATTATGCTCACATGGCAAAAATACGATGTTGAGGTTGATATCTGGTCTGCGGGCTGCATTTTTGCCGAAATGCTTGAGGGGAAGCCGCTGTTCCCTGGCAAGGATCACGTCAACCAGTTCTCCATCATTACGGAGCTTCTGGGTACTCCGCCGCAGGACGTGATCGAGACCATTTGCAGCGAGAACACTCTCCGGTTCGTACAGTCGCTGCCCAAGCGAGAACGGCAGCCTCTGAGCTCCAAGTTCAAGAACGCCGACCCATCTGCGATTGATCTTCTGGAGCGAATGCTGGTATTCGATCCCCGGAAGCGCGTCTCCGCCGCTCAGGGTCTCACCCATGAGTACTTGGCCCCATATCATGACCCGACCGATGAGCCGGTTGCCGAAGAGAAGTTTGACTGGTCATTCAATGACGCGGACCTACCCGTGGACACGTGGAAGATCATGATGTATTCCGAAATTCTCGACTATCACAACGTGGACCAAACGGCCGATGACCTAGCTGGGCAGGCTGGTCAAGGAGGCCTCACGATCGAGCAAGCAAAAGCCGCCAACGCTAATGGACAGGAAGTTGGTTCGTGAACTGGGTGCGACATGAGCCCGAGATGAACCGCGATGGGCCGCAAGGGCTCCAGCTTCGTTTTCGTGACTCTTTCGAGTGCTCGATTGAGACGACATTATGCAGTGGACTTCAGATATCCAACCAGCTCGACAGGACAGGCATGACGAACGCGGGATGAGATCCAGTCGCTTCGCAGGATATAACTTGGGAAAGGGAAACGGCAATAGAGCAGAGCATATCATCATTGTATTTACGAATACCATTATCTTCCTCCTCTGACTAGCTGTGACCAGCTGCAAGAAGTGCTAGTAGTATCTATCTTGAGGTTGTTCGAGTGCGAAGATGCTCCGTGCAATGCTCTCATATCGAGAAGAGGACGAGCTTGACGAGCTATTCAAGTGCGCTCGTTGATTGCTGTCATCTGGGTTTCTCTGGCCTGACGCACATGAAATGCTCCACCTCCTCGTTCCTCAAGTGATCGACGACGGAAATGGCTCAGCTCGTGGTGGCCAGCTTCCGTAGGATTCCCGCGAAGCGTAGAGCTTACTACGTGCAAGTAAACTCTCTGCTCGTCATCTCACAATTTCCATCTTTTTGCTTCGGCACCGGTCTGTCGATTCTAGCACATTCATCATGGCATCAATACCGGAAATCTACGGCAAGCCAGGCCACAACGGAGGCAGCCCTACACTCCTAGAAAAGCTCGACTTAGCACCTGCTCTCATGTCAGTCTGTAAGTGCTCAGGTCCGTTCCGTTCTCTTGCACCTGGTCCAGCTTTGACTAAGTCTTCAGTTGGCACGGGATTGTGGCAACTTCTCAGTGGCCCTTTTAGAGGCGATCAGGGCAGTGATACTTACAAGCACCATATAACCCACGCCTTTCTACGCAAGGTGGAATCCATTTCTCCTGAACCCAGCCCTTTCACTGACCGCCGGCTCAGTTTACCGTTCGCTTAAACAGTAGACAGATCCACTACCTCGCCCCGCCCCTTCGCACCTTGTACAAGCAGTACTGTGCTGCTCACGCGTCGACACCCAATATAGTGACCCTCAAGTCTGGAATAGACGCGTTCTGGGTAGGGTCTCCCGACGCCAAGCAAGTGATCATTTACTTCCACGGTATGCCATAATCCCTGCCAGCCACGCAGGTCTTGACTGACTCTGCCAAAGGTGGTGGCTTTTCATTGGATGGCGGTGCTGAACACCTCAACTATTGGGGACAAGATATTGGCAAGCACCTCAACGACAAGACTCCTAACGCAGTCTCATTTTTGTTTCTGGCATACACTCTCGTCCCGTACGCTACATACCCTACACAAATTCGTGAAGCTGTGGAGGCTCTCGAATATCTCACCGGGAACCTCAAAAGATCACCTTCTACCATTTCCCTGGCCGGCGACTCGGCTGGAGGCAACATGTGTTTAGCGGTTCTCTCTCATCTTCTGCATCCTCATCCAGACCTTCCACTCCTCAAACTCGATTCGCCCCTTAAGAGCTTGATATTGGTGGCTCCTTGGACGTCCTTTCGAACAGATTTTCCTTCCGCCAAAACCAACGCCCATCGAGATATCGTTTCTGTCGAAATTTCAAGGAGATGGTCCACAGCCTATCTTGCCGGAGCCGCTTCGACGCCCTATGCCGAAGCACTAGATGTCGACGGTGACTGGTGGAAAGGGGCCGACACCCGTGTGGACCAGATCCTCTGCGTGGTCGGCTCTGATGAGCTGCTCCTCGACCCCATCACCCAGTGGGTGGCGAAGTACAGGACGGCTACATCCGAGGGACATCTCGAATTCGTTGTCGGTTATCGCGAAATTCACATTGCCCCCCTAATCGAACCTTTCCTTGCCGATGCAGTCCCCACACAGCAGGGCGAAGCCATCAAATCCTTTTTGGAGGCAAGGTTATAGCTGAGAACACATGCTAGGCACCACATCGTATACCACGAAAGTGCTGTCCCGATTCTGTGGGCAAGGCGTTAGGCATCCGCCTCTGCTGTGATTCAGCTGTGTTTTGTTGATACCCACAAGACCCACCGCTACCAAACTTATGCACCTCACTGGCCCCGAAGATTTTATATAAGATGGCGTTGCCGAAGACAGCCGTTGTCTACTTTCGAAACTCGAATTCCCATCATCGGCTCACTCTCTACATCAGGCTTCTTATCAACGGAAATGGGCTACTTCACGCCGCGCTGGAAAATACAGGATTGTGTCTGCCAGCTCTGAAGATGGCAAAGCTGCAGAAGAAACCAAGACAGCAGCCTGTCAGTCACCTGGTGGACAACGACCACTCAAAATATTCATTGGATCCTCCACCTGGAGTACCTTTAGGACCCATATCCATACTTCCAAAACCGAGTGTGGCCGCAAATCCCCGTGACATGAATGACGGCCGCTTCAATACTCATAGCCAGATATCAAAACTTCCAGTCACCTCGACTACAATCAGAAGCCGGCCATCCGCCATGCCTAAGGTCACCAGATCGGTCCTGATCAAACCGGTGCAGAGAACGAGCCTCCGACCAACACGTAATCTCTCAAACGGCGATCCTGATACCACTGCACCAGGTCCAGATCCGCTTCTTGAGCAGTCTCCATCTTCCGAGCTTGCTCGTATGGACACTACCGTTTCCATTAGCTCTTCAGTCCAACCAGTACGCACACAGTGTCCTAAATCACGATCAAGCATAGCCAGACCGGGGAAACTCATGCAGACTAAACCCCTACCCGCCCTCCCCACAGGCCAGGTGTTGAAACGCCAACTACCTCCTCCTCCACCCCCCGAATGCTGCACGAGTATACCACGTATAGATACGCAAAACCATTACCTCAACTGTGACCAGCAGATTATGCCGACATCGAGCATCAACAGCCGTTCCTGTCTCCCTCGACTGCGCGACTCGACATATCCTGTCCCACTCAAACATTCGCCCCTGATCGCTGGTGCATTCGATGTCCATCAATGGGCACCACTCAACAGCAGTTCCGGGAGTGCCCGTTCGTCCTTGCAACGGCTGTCCTCCAAGGTCCTCCGGAAAGTCACACATGGTAAGCCTCAAGCAGAAATTACAGTATCAAGACCCTTGTCCACGGCTCAGGCCGAACTTCACGGATCTGTTCCGTTACCGTACGAAGCACTGCCCCAGGCGAAGGATCCCCCTGTCTTGGTCCCAACTGCATTCACCCCCAAGATCCTTTTGCGTGGTACCACACCTGCAGAGGCTCTTCACCGAGTGGGCAATACTGTCCGAATATCGCATTCGGGACATCGCGACAAGCCAAACAATGACATCCGCATCTGGCCGTTGTTCTACTCTCGTTCCAAGAGCAAGAAAGCAGACCCACAGAGCGGGAATTTGCAAAGAAACACAATCAAAGGCAGCCTCCCTGGCCGTAGCAGATCTTACAGCAGCGAGTCCAAGGTCCTGAAAGCATATCGGCCAAACATACCCCCGGGCAGATCTTACAGCCAACGTCGAAAAGGTGGTCTCTGGCCGCCAACTGCACCTACTCGCCCTCCCCGACCTGAGCAGCCACTGTTTTCGACCATCGAAGAGCAGCATCGGCGAAATGTGGACGTATTGGCCCTACGACCGCCTCCTCGGCCACCAACTTCCCTAAGGCAGCCGGAAGGTGACATATCGCCTTCGCGCTCTTGTTCGAGCAGCCCAGTAAGCCGACTCACGCCTCTAGAGGACGGCGTCCGCGTCAAGCTTCATCGACACCGAGCTCTCCTTGCGTTGGGGGGCCGAAGCTGCCCTCCAGTAAGTCCTACCATCACTGAAAAGAGATCGCAGCAGTCCATTCCGCTTCCGCACTCCTCATTCGCTTCCGGTGGTCCAGCAAACTGCGGCACGGATGACGCGATAGGTGCGGTACCACCTCATAGGGAGACTTCATTCAGACCAGCGTCGCGAGATAGTATCCGAGCAGAATGCATTGGCAATCCCGATCCCAAATCGCATCCGAGAGGACTGCCAGGCCCCGATCTATGCTACCCAGCTTCCGACCAGTCGAAAAGGCCAACGTTTCTCGACCAACACATATTGTCGGGGCCTGGTCCTGAACTGGCCTGGTGGGAATTACAGGCGGCCCATTCGCGGACGCCACAACCGAGTAAACAGTCTATCTCCAGGCCACTGGTGAGAGATGTGGCAACCAGTGCCTCCAGCGGCGGTGAGTCAAAGGGCGAGAGCAAGGGCAAGGCGCCACTGCGCGAGTCCGATGTTGCGTTGAAACAGCAAGCAAAGGAGCAGATGGCAAGCACGCCGCCTTTTCGAGAGCAGTACAAGAACGAGCAACGCAACTTTCAGCGTGGAAGACAGCTGGCTCGGAATGCTTTCCAGAAGCACCGCGAGGGTGGGAAGTGGAACTTCTCCGAGTACGAGCAGGGTGTGGATAATGCAAATACCTACAGCAACAAGAACGGCAACGCCAGCAAAGGGTTTAATTTTCGTATCATCCCCACCGGCATGAGCAGTGACAATGTCACCAATAATGGAGCAGGTACGGCAAGTGAGGTGAACAGCACGGGTGCCGTCCACGGCCGTGGCGGCGGCTCAAGCAGCTCCTCATTGACAGGGCTCAAAGCTACCGTGCTCTGCAACGGCAAGCCGGCTCCGTCCTTGAATGCTTACGAGGCCGCACACGCTGTGAAGAGCAGCCCATCTGCTCGCTCATATCGTCGCGTCGGAAGCTCATCCTCCTCCGGTGCAGTAATTCTCAAGGAGCAGAAGGAGTTGACGAAACCAGAATCGCTACGCGTGCGGTCGCAGGCGGGAGCTGCAGGGCCTTCGAAGCCAACAACTCAGAGCGGTCCCAATGTCCCTTTGGAACGCAAGGGAGATGAGGGCGAGAAATCGGCCGCAAGGCCCAGGGTGGCCCTTAGTGCGACACCCCGCCGTCGCCCACCTCCACCACCGCCCCGGATACCACCTACCATTCCCGCGACCAGCACCTCAGCAGCCAGCACACACGGCGGCCAGGAGACCCAGCGGCGCCGCCCTGCGGATCCGCCCCCACCTCCGCCAGCCCAACGCGCTCTCCCGACGCCACCGCCGCCCGTCCCTCCCAGAAGCGAACGTCGACCACGCCTTGGGGACGACTGGAACGGAAGCGCGATTCAGGATCCGAAGCAGGGGATGTTGAGCGGGCACAGCAAGAAGAAGAGCCTCAGCACGGTGGCGGAGAACGCGCGAGAGATCCTTGTGCCTGCTACTCCTCGTAACCTCGAGCGACCATCAGGGGCCGGACAATTACGGGCCGCGAGGCACGAGGTGTCGAAGGACTTGTCGCGGAGCTCGGTCTACTCCGATGGCGGGCAGGCTTGTGAGAGTGCGAGTGAGAGCGAGAGTGAGCATTTCTGGAGCGAGGATGACGGGTGCGCTGGCGGTGCGGATGGGGAAGGTAGTAGTAAGAGGACAACGCCGGAGAAGGCTGGGGCGTGGGAGGATCCAGGGGGCTGGGAGGGTGAGACGACGAAGGACGGTGGTGGTGAGGTGGCTGAAGAGACTCACTTGGTGGAATACTACTTGGAGGAGCAGCGGAAGGAGGTGGAAGAGAAGAAGCGGGAGGATGAGGAGCGGAGGCTGAGGGTTGCTAACTTGATGGCGCGGTTGAAGGATGGGAATATGTTCTGACTCTGGTCCATCATTTTGGCGTACGGGGCATAGATGCTGTTGAAGACACTCATTCATTTGTTCTGTAGGATTTGATGGTGCTTCGATTCGTGGCGGATAGGCAATACCAGACATTGATTCGTGTCACTGGATCAGGCTCATTCCTGCCATCGCACTCAATTGAGGTACGAAGCCACATACGCCTTGAGCTCCTCCTTGGTCATGCCCTTCAACCCAAGCAACTCATTATCCACCTTGCCCGTAAAGTCACACCCCCATCCCTTCCCAAACGCCGCCTGCCTGACCAACCCGGTCATGGCAGTCGCGAAATCCGGCTTCTCCTTCCCCAGCTCCTTGTACGCCTCCTCCCGCAACACCGTCAGATCCACCGGCGCGACACTCCAGCTCTGCCCATCCGCCTCCTTGGCAAAGCCCACGATCTCGTTCTGCGTCGTCACAATGTCGTGCACGTACACGGCACGGTTCCTCGTCTCCTCGAGATGCGAGAGCACGCCCACCACGGCCCGCGCGATCGTGTCGAGGCGCGTGGCGCTAAACGGCGTGTCGCCGCCGTCGTACAGATTGATCTTGTGGTTCGGCACGTCGGCGATGAAGCCGTTGGTCAGCCCGCTGTCCAGGAAGGCCTGGTTGAGCACTGCCGTCCACGTGAAGCCCGGCTGGCTGTCGGCGAGAGCTTTCAGCTGCTTCTGCACCGCCACTTTGGCGCCGTAGACGGGCAGTTCGGAGACGCGGGGGGCGAAGGTGTCGCACCCGAACTCGGACGGAATGAAGCGCGAGACGCCCGCGGAGGCGGCGGCGCTGATGAGGCCGGTCTGGGCGGCGATGCTGGTGCTGCCCAGGGTGGCGATGACGGTGTGTACACCGTTGAGGTGCGGCGTGATGGTGTCGGGCGAGGCGTAGTCGACTTCGGCGACGGTGATGAGTGGCGATGAAGGGAGCTGAGACGTCGTCTTGGAGCCGACGCGCGTGAGGACTACGACCGGGTGGGAGGCTTGAAGGAGGTGCTTGAGAACATAGCTGCCTAGCTGGCCAGCGGCACCCCCGAGGGCGACTTTGAAGGGCGAAGACATCTCGGCGCGGCTGTACGGTAGTCCTCGATTTGCTCTCTATGGATGGAAGGGGATTTTCAACGTGATTGATGTGAAACGTGAAGTACTTTCCGGGCAGTGAATGCTTGGTGTTGAAGTGTCTGGTACAAAAGGTCGGGCCGCCGTTAATTATATACGGAGATATTGATTATAGCCCGGTCTCGCCTTCACACCTTGCTATGTCGTGCGTAGCTCGCTTGTCCCGCACTGATTATATAACCTGTTCCATACAAGCGGAGGCGGGTGCGCCGATGGGGCAATGGTAACTTGCTGCCGATGTGGAAGCAGCTATCGTGTGGGGCAACAAGTGGAACAGTTCCGACTCCAGCAACCTGGGTCACAGCCCGATTCTCCAACCTGCAAATGTCCCCAACTGTCTGCCAAGTCGGTTGGTATTTTAGCCGTGGGCAAGCAGTCCTAGGAGACGCAGGACACCGTGGACGTGCGCTTTGGGCGGACGGCGACCTCCCACTGTAAGAGTACAGGCCATGCACACGGTGGGTGCAGTATAGAGTCCACAGTAGAGTCCATGGACATCGCGGTTACGTTGCTTCGTTTTGTGTGAGGTGGCTTCCATCCGAGGAAGACGTACAGCCTGGTCGTAGTCGGCCTCGAGGGCACGTCTCTGAGGGTGGTAATATGATGCGACTTTTGCGAGACAGCGACCCATTGGCAATGCAGCAGCAGTAATGGTCTCTTTCTACCAAATAGACACGATATCTCTCATGAAGGCACGCCTTCGTACTCCCAGCCCCCGGGACCGATACGGTGTCTCTTGCTGTTGCGTCGGTTGACATTGCATTTGACCAAGATGGTCAGGGCAGTGAGGATTAGAATAATGAGTGCTGCGATCGTCGGAATGAGCACCTGTCTATTGCGCTCTTGTTGACTATCTCGTTGATAGCGACAGGTGCCATTGGGACCCGTTGTCACCCAGCAATTCATCTCGTCTAGAGCGTTGAGATTGATCCAGACGCCCCTCTGCAGTGAGCTGTCGCTCTGATTCTCGGTGTCGGCAAGGATGTGTTCGTAGAGATAGGTGTTCTCCAGTTGCGATACTGGTACGTCGAAACTGCTGCCTTCTGGGCACGATTCAGGCGCCCCAGTGAAGTCCGTTTCCGTCCTAGTTAACCGCCAGTTGTATGGCTGACCACCAATGCGACAAGCTGCTCGATACTGGCCTTGGCAGCTGACAACCCGCCACTTTCCACGGTAATTGTCCGTTGAATCGATAACTACGCAACGAAACTGGTCTTGGTCCCTATCAGCGTCGACACCAGGAGAAGAACCATTTCTGGGTTCACCATCTGCCCAGCCGATGATCGTTGATTCGACGTAACGCTGGTAGTCAAGATAAGCCGATGCCGCAGATTGGCCATTCAACGTGTCATTGAGAAGAGGTGACACGCCACAGGAGGTGATGTTCTGAAGGAAGCTTTGCGATGCGGACCGACTATTGTTCAAAGCGGCAATGGCCCAGGTGTTATTGACTTGCGCAGGGTCTTTGTCTCGGTCGCTGTAGAAGCAGCCAGAGGTCACCACTCCCTCGGAGTCCTGCCCCAAGTCGCGTGACTCGGAAAGTATGCCGGGAGCAAAGACATGTCTGCTATCTCCAGTGAAATTGTATCCCTCCATCTCTGAATCGATGACACCCCAGGTAAGGATCAAACGTCTGAGGCTCGTCAAAAGCAGATATAGCTCGCTCGGCCAGCCGTCATCTGTCGAGACCACGCCACTCGAAGAGGTCGTGGTGTGAAAGTACCCCGTCATCGGTAGCCTTTCTTGCACGCGCACCTCATACCAGGACAAGTTCATGTTGGACCGGTCCGCTTCCAAATCCCGCGGGCTGTACAACTGTGCGCCCATTTCATTAGCGAAGCGCCATCCAACAAGCTCTTGTGTGGTTGGCAGTGCTTCCGACGAAATGTTTTGAGGCGCTCCTTCCGGATCAGCCGCAGATCTCGCGCTGTGGAGGTTGAACTGCAGGATCTGCAGAGTGGCAGCTGGACCGTCGGAGCTCGAATCCACGTAATCCTCAATAATGTCGATGATTGATCCAAAATCCAGGTCGGGACTGCACCTGAAAGGGCCAAGGTTGATCAAGGTAGCTCCTGTAGGTCCGTCACTAGTCGTGACATCAGACGAGGGAGAAGGCGCTGCTGTGCTGGTGACGCCGCCGCCGCCGCTGCTGGTTGTATTTGAGGATGTAGCGTTTACCGACTGATCCTGGCGCCTTGCGAAGCTGTCTTGCACATATTCGAAGACGGAGCGTGGTGTTAGAGTGGGTGGTGATGTCATCTCAGCATTTGCCTGGGCGCTGACCGTGTTGTTGCCTATGTCCGGAACCTCCACAGGGCAGAGGCCAAAGAAGCCGTTACTGGCATCCCAGTACAAGTCGATCACTAGTCTCCGGAAGCCGACAGCGATGAGATTCGAGAAGCATGTCTCGAAAGAGTCGCGATCATAGACACCATCAGGATGGCAGGCAGAAGTAACATAGACACCCGGAAATGTCGTCTTATCAATAGGTGCCTGTCCAGTGATGTCTCGATTAGACTGGGGGATGTCAGTCAATGTTGGCAGGCTATGGCGGTGTCCTGTTCTCACCAGATACTTGGGGCCCCAGAATCCGTCTGGCCGTGCCCCATCACTAGGGTTGTACGAGAGCGGCATGGGATGACGAATGGCTCGATCGAATCAACATCATCGCCACTAGAGCTCGACAACGTCGTCAAGATCGTTTCCTCGTAGCATTCACCTCAACGGGCAATAGCGGCACAGGGAATCTCCAGGCCGTGGATGAGAGAAGCAGGACGATGCGGTAAGCGAATGGTGGGAAGATCGTGACAAACACGCCAAGAGAGTTTGCACCATGGCCCCCCTTGGCCCTAGGGACTTTAGGGGCCGGCTGCGGCGTCCGACTTGGGGCTGTGGCATCAAAGTAGATCTGTTCTGTTCTAACATAATATCCACAGCGCTTGGTCGCCTACGACATCCGGCCATTGTACCCGCAAAACAATAGTTGCAGCGACGACGATTCTGAGTGAACTCCGGCCACTTTTCAATCGGCTAAAGCCGCCCTTTCACTGCACTGTCCTTCACTATGGCTACTAACGGTCCTCCGGCTGGGCCCCCACCACCTGGGCAACAGCAACCGCAGCAAATTCCACCACAGATTCTGCAACTCATGACAATGGAGGCGCAGAAGCGTGGTATGACTCTCGAGGAGTTTCAGGCTTTTCAGCGCAGAACCATCGAAGAGGAGGCACAGAAACTCGGTATCACGCCCCAAGAATTCGTCCAGAGGAAACAAGCCGAAGCGCGAGAGCAGATGATGAAGCAGAGGGCCGCTGCCGAAGCCCAGGGACAGGCGCCTGGCCAGGCTCCTGGTCAACCACCGGCGCAGGGTCAGGGACAACCCCAACCTCAACAACGCATGCAACAACTCGATATCACCAAGCCTGTTGAGGCGAAGCCAGAAGCGCTGGCAGTTGCCAAATTCTTGCGAGCGCAGAATCTGAAGACGAGAACGTGCATCTTCAACGGCCAGCGCAAGGATATGTTCAAGGGTGAGTACAGGCCCCCGAAGGAATCAGGCATCGTGGCTAATGAATTCACCAGTCAAGCGCGCCCTCCGGGCTTTACAGTCAGACGCCTACAAGAAGGCACAGAAGAAAGACCCGCTTATGCCCAAGGTCGAAAACGAACTTGAAGCCCGTAACGCCCTCCAGATGCTGCCCCTCTCGATGCTCGCTCTCCGCGTTTCCAAAAAGGATCCTCACGAGGGCCACAACCATGCCAAACCCAAGAAAGAGAAACGGATCAAGGGGCTGTGGGAAGTCAAGATCGAGCACAAGCAGGAGTTTGAACCCATGATGCACTATGTGTGGGTTTATGAAGGCTCGCAATGGAAGACCAAGGTCTGGGCGGGTCTCGCTGTTCTGGCTGCCTTTACGGTGGTGCTTTTCCCTCTGTGGCCCCTCTTCATGCGCCAGGGCGTCTGGTACCTCTCAGTGGCCGCCATGTGTCTACTGATAGCGTTCTTCGGGTTGGGCATTGTTCGACTTATTCTCTTCTGCCTTACGGTTTTCACCATACCACCAGGTTTGTGGATCTTCCCGAACCTGTTTGAGGATGTTGGCTTCTTCGACAGCTTCAAACCGGTTTATGAGTGGGGCGACAGCAAGAAAAAGAAGAAGTCCAAGAAGAAGACCGCCGCTATTGAGGGTGCAGCGGATGCACCTGCGGCGGAAACTAAGGAGCATGCTCCAACTTCGACGGAGACAGCCGCGCCTACCGCTAATGGCACGGCTGTCAGCTCGGGCGCGCAGCCGGCCCCCACGGTTGCGCCTGCGAAGCGGCATGCAACAGTTGAGGAGGTTGAGGATGACTGACGCTCGAACACGTGGGCTCGGTGGGTGGTGTACGATTATGCGGCATAGAGCATAGGTGGCGTTCTTCTCCCGGGGGCGCATGCCTCAACATCTTAGGGTATCAATTCATAACTTCGTCACATCGTATGGCGTTTCTCATCTCGCTCACTTCATGTCCATGATCGTCGCCAACTTCTCCTCAAACCCGACAGTACTTTCTTGATCTGCACTTGCTGCCACACTCTGCCCCTGTAGGTCCTTGTGCTCTCCCATTCTCGCCGTTACGCGTGCGAGCAGGACTCGCATCCTCTCCAGCTCCTTCCCCAACTCCCCGTCCTTTGTCACCAGATTCGGCTGTATGTGCTCTTGCGGCTGCTCATAAGGCTGCAGGAGCGCCCGCAGGCGCCTGTACCTCTCGAGCCTTCTCTCTGTTTCGTCCCTCTTCTTACACAGCTCCAGCAATTGGACTCTCTTGTCTTCGTACCTCTTCGCCCGCTGCTCATCTTCCTCCACATGACCCTCCTCGTGTTCCTCAGTCTCCTCGGCTAGCACGTCGGCCCACTTCTCCCCTAATGCCCTGACACCCTTGTCTGTACCCAGATCTAGGTCTCTCTTCACGACCGTCTCTCCTGACGCTTGACCACTGACCTCGAGCTCCACGCGCACCTCGTTCCAGTAAAGTGTCTCGATTTGCTCGGCAATGTGTCGTGTAGCTTGCGCGGAGAATACAGAACGATTGTGGTGCTTGATCTTCTCATTAGATCTGACGAGAACATCGGCGAGAGTCTTGTCGGAGACGGACGGAAGAGTGGTGTGCGCAGAAGAGGGGACGCTGAGCGGGGCGGAGAGAGCGCGGATTTGGCGGGTGAGGAAGGTAAATTTCTCGGCCGCTATGGGCTGGCTTCTGGCCATGACGGCGTGCGTACACAGTTTTTGCGAACACAGATGACCTGGCTACTCGGATGGGTGCAGTGAGCAATTCGCTATCCATAGATTGCGAATTGAGGTCGCGTTCGACCGCGAGCAGACGCGTGCCCAATGAGGCAGGCTTGCCGGAAAGTGCCAAGCGATTCACCGATTTTCAACTTTTGTTCGCGAGGTGGAAAGTCTTCTCTTCCTCGTTACAAGAGTCCTTGCAACACTGTCAGCCAGCGTGTCTTTGACACTTGTATCCGTCCATACGTAGCTGGATCGCGGCTCCTGATGCGGACGTGAATAGGAAGTTGACCAGGAAGGGAATTGCTGCGGCCACCTTTGCCATAGCGAATGGCTTCGCGCACTAGAGATTGGCTAACTCACCACAGAATACACAGCCAAAATATTGACAGGTACGTTAGCTGCAGCCTTCTCATCTCCCTGTCATCTCCTGATGATATAATTTGCGATTGAACCCATTCTCGGAGACTCTCGCCGGAGTCTCTCAACGGGTTTGGAGTGTTGATATTCATTTCTTACATATGCTGAACACAACATCCATTTGAATTGTCTGGTTGCCGTTCTGCAAGCAGCGCTGACGTTGTCTTTAGATAGAGATACCTGACAAGCCGCTTGATGACGGTACTTGCTGGCGAGGCATGGTACGCACATCATGATCGATGCGAATGCTGTGCAATGTAACGTGCTACCGTGGTAAGCCAGCCTTTCGTTCCACAAACCCTTTCCCTATGACGATAAACACAGCACGCTACGATAGTATATGAAGGTCAACTCATGATCGTACTCTTTCTCACCAAGATCTCCGAGGGAACTTATTACCATATCTTGTGTTAAACCTATGCCTGCAAGAGCCATGGCTAATTGCACGACAGATACTCTGCCGTATTGAACAATTCAGTGAGTTCCGAATGGCGACGCCTAACACGCTCCTGCAATGTCGCAGGAGGTCATGTGCAAATCGGCAGCTGCACAACAGCTGGTGCGGTGTCGCGTAGCCTGGTTTTGGTTCGATGGCTGCGCAATGTGTCGTCTGCATGTGCGGAACATATAAAGATAGCCGTATTAAAAGGACAATTGTGCAAGGTGTGCTACATTCCTCGCCTGACGGACTCGCCTGCAAGCGAATCGAAGTCAGCTGTTGATCCCCCACAGCCGTGTGGAGGTTGCTGCAATATCGCTAGCGGCCGTTGAGCCGTTTTGCTGGTGCCGCGAGCTGGAGGCTGCGACAGCCAATGACCGGAGGATGTCTGCTCTCGGATAGAATCCCCATCTCCCTTTAATTCCACCTGTTCTTTTCCTTTCCTCCCCGACAATCCGTGAACTGATGATACGTACGTTGAGTTTCCCGGCGATGGGAGCATCCGTGGCTAGCGCCCGTTTTGCGTGACGGTCTGGACAACTTGTGTGTCAGACCTCGTGTGTGGTACAGGCGGGAGGCTTCTGGCTGGGATCGAAATCGCTCGCTCGCAGCTAGGAACCATCCATTAACTGCCAGCCACGTGAAGTCCATGCATTAGCTCGATGCGCCGATCAACTTTTCTCTTACTAAACTGACGTGGGTCTGGACCGCTGCAAGGAAAAAGTCGCTGGGGTCAAGGCAAGGGGCTGACCGTTATCCGATATTGAAACGCCATTTCATGGGGGCCAAAGCCGGGGAAAAACGGTTTCCTGTGTCACCTTGATCCCTTGATCGGTACATTCGTATCTCAACGTTTCGAATCGTCTTTGCCAGGCTAGAGATTCGCTTATCGGCAAGTCATAGGTCCACTTGCGGGCGACGGAGCAGAAATGGCAAGGATCAGGCATGTTCGAGAAAACAGCTGAAGACGGCCATGAGAGGCGAGACGGCTCGAAACTCTTCGGAAGCAGCCACAGGAGACTCGGAGCCGCACGTTCACGGCGCGGCAGACTGGTCACTGAGGTGCTCGCTGGAGTTTGTGCGGTCCGAAGTTGATCCTCCCAACACGTCAGACCGAAAGTCATCGATGTATGGAGGAAACGCCATATGGCTGCTACGGAAATGTCTGTTGTTGGTGTTGACTCTCAGCACAAGTCACTGGGAGGTGGTATATGAAGAAGACCATTGACGTTGCCTCTCACCCTACTGTTCATGGTGTTTCCTGGCCTCTGCTACACTTCCCTTGCGCCTGTGCCCCGTCTTCACTGTCTTCTGACCCCTCCCATCCCCCGTCTTCGACCTCGACAAACGTATCCTCGGGCACGTGCCTCTTGTTCAACCATCTTCCGCCTTGTCCTCCACGACATTTCACCCTTGTCGTCCATGCGACCATCCGCGACATCTCAGTGATCATCCAGTGGTCATCCTCTACGCAGGTTACAATTGCCCTGTGCTCATAAGAGGACGGCACTTGCAGATTGCAAATCGCCACTTCCTCTTCCGCTTTTAGTCAGGCTGCCGGCAGCCTCTCGCCCGGTTACGCGACTCTCTCCACCACCCACCAGTACACTCACAACCCATCCCGTTCTTCAAAAGCCTCAGTCATCATGCAGTTTGCAAAGGGCCACGATATGTCCTTCGACTACAACATGGACGGGCTCGGCGTCATCTACATCACCGTTCCCACCGTCTGGACCGTTGCCTTGGTCGCTGGCTCAATCTTCTTGTTCCGCAACCGCGACCTACCAGCTCTACGCATCCGCAACATCCCTCTCTGTGTCGGTGGTGTGGCTACTCTTCATGTCTACTTGTTCCTCTGCATGATCGCTTACGTTCTCAACGGCAACTTCCCTTGTGCGACTGAGTTCTGGATTATGAGTATCTACCTCCCTCTGGGCATTGCACTCTACCATGCTTCCAACACTCAGCTGCTCCATGTGGCCATGCTGCAGAAGAAGTTTGCTCCGAAAGAAGGGACAGGCAACAGCGGTGGCTCTGACGCAAAGAAGCCAGCCTGGCGGATTCTGGTGCAAAAGCTGAGAGACTCTGGCCCTACCAAGCGGACTTTGCATCTCATTGGCATCGGCATGATCGCCCAGGTCAGACTTCCCCAAATGATATTCTGAAACTGTACTGACGGCAGCAGTTCTTCTTTGTCCTCATCGTCTTCCTCATCTCGAAGAAATTTCACGACAACTTCGGACTTGTCGAGTGGGTCAACAAGCCTACTGACTATCGCGAACAAGCCAGCCAGTGCCGTAAGGGGTGGGAATGGTGGCCATCTATTGCCTGGCAGTTCGCCTGGTCGTGGATCTACGCTCCTTACCTGCTCTATAAGGTCCGAAGCATCAAAGATACACACGGATGGCGCCTTCAGACCGCATGTACTTGCATCGCCGGGTAAGGAGCCTGCACTTGTCTTGTGTGATACTTGCTAATTGCCATAGTCTTCCTGCTTCGCCCATGTGGCTTGCCGCACTGTACCTTCCTGCAATGGCCCCGTCAACGAAAACTTTTGTTCCGCCTCTATGGTGAGTTTCTTCGCTGTGACTGCGTGACAGTGCTGACTACCGCAGGTTCGCACCCTCAATCATCCTGATGCAAGGTTTCGTTATATTTGTCCCGTGCTATCAAGTCTTCAAGAACCGTCGACTGGAGAATGAGACTCGCCAGATCATTGCAGAGTGGGAACACAAAAAGAAATACGGGAGCACCTACAGCAGTGACTCAACAAAAGCTGGTTCGAAATGGTCCTCCTCAGATTCGGCGAGGAGCTTTAAGAGCACACGCAATCCGGAACTCTACACCCTCAGCTCGCTCGAGAAGTGCTTACAGCTCAACCCCAAGCCACTCCTGCTCTTTGCGGCCCTCAAGGACTTCTCTGGTGAGAATATCAGCTTCTTGACTCATGTTCACGAGTGGAAGACTGGCTGGGCGGTTCAGTCTCCTGTCAAGGCGAACTTCCTTCGGAAGACTGAGATCCGACCTACCAGCGACCGACTTCGTCGTCAGCAATACAATCTCGCCGTACGCATCTATTCTTCCTTTGTCAGCATCCGCTACTCGGATTTTCCCATCAACATCTCTTCAGCACATCTCCGGGAACTCGAGGCGCTATTTGCGGGCGCTGCTGCAAAGATCAACAACCATGCTGCCGACAATGCTGCCACTCCATTTGCTGACTGCACGTCCCGCTCTACCGACATGGAGCACGGCCTACCATCTGAGACTCTGGCTGCCAACAGTCATGCTATGGTCGACATCATGCCTTCCGCCGAGAGAAAGCACTACAGTCAGATTCAAGCCGTTCGTATTAGTTTCGATGGCAACCTTCCCGAAGATATCGAGGTCCCTGCTGAATTTTGCCCTGGCACATTCGACCGAGTTGAAGCCAGCATCAGAGAATTAGTGCTGACCAACACTTGGCCCAAGTTCGTAAACGCTGGCTTTGCCGAGAATGTGGAGAAGCCGACTCTGAAGGCGCGTGTTGAGGGTTGCTTTGGCGAAGTTGGCGATATGGTGTCCAAGGCGGTCAGCAACGTCAGTCCCAAGCGCAAGTCGCCTCGGTGCGACCATGATGACGGCGAGATGGGAGGCACTCGCTCCAGTTCGGACGAGCAGAAGCTTGTCGGATGACTCATATCACAGATGTCGAGCAATCGCTCCTCACAAGAGTCGAGACACATCCTGAAACAGATGTAAGCATTTCATGCATCAGACTACAACAGAACTGAGACATCGCTGTCAATATGGTAGGCTGGTCTGAACGGGCTCTAAACAGAGAAAATGAACGAAAAAGTGATCCATCAAAGGCTACTGATGGTAAAATTCCCCTGAATCTGGCGATTTGTGCATCGTCCTCTCTTCTCATCTGTCTCTGCTGGTATCGTACAGCCGATACAACTTGTAGCAGATGAGCAACTCTTGGTTCAAGAACGTATATATCAGGTCATGAGACGAAAACAGAAAAGCACCATCACTTGAAGCATCCTTGTCTATTCTCTATCTGCCTTGCTTTGCTTTCTTGCGCTCGGATTCCTTGACAGCAGATCTAGAATAACTTTTTCATTTTTCATCGAGTTTGCAGTCATTTATGCTATGCAATGGAGGCAAAAAACACACAAATCTGAGGGAAAAAAGACCTTCGGCGGCCGAGAAAGTTTGTGGTCCGCGGAAACGAGACACGAGGGAGACGTGATCATTCTCTTTCTTGTCGGTCTTCGTTTCAATTTGTCGTGTGTGTCTAGCAGAGCGTTGTGGGTCAGTCTGCTAAGGCAGTCACTCGTGGACGGCGTTGCACATGGGAAGGACATAGACATTTCGTTCGCATCTCGTCCGTCGCTTGTTGTGAGGAGACCACCTTTTTACAGCTTGTCGTAGTAGTTCTCGTAGCCGGGAACAACCTCCTTCAGACCCTTGCGGACACGCATCTTCGTGACGACCTGGCCGGGCAGGGAGTCGGTCTTGAGCGGCGAACCACCGGGCAGGATCTGCCAGTGGTCGAACACCATCTGGGGGAAGGCCTGGCCGGAGGTGGCGGCGCGCAGGTCGGCGTTGAAACCGAAGGACTCCATGACGGGCAGGTAGGCCTTGACAGTGAACAGAGGAGTACCAACACGCTGCTCCTCGGAGAAGACGTGACCACGACGGCGGGTGAGCACACCGTAGATACCGCCCATGGCCTGCTCGGGCACCTGGATTTCGGCCAAGAAGACCGGCTCCATGAGGCCGGGGTCGGCAAGCAGGGTGGCAGCGTAGAGCACACGACGAGCAGTGGGGATGATTTGGCCACCACCACGGTGAATGGCATCAGCGTGGAGGGTGACATCCATAACGTTGAAGCGGATGGCGCGCATGGGTTCCTCACCGACGGGACCCTCACGGGTGGCCCACTGGAAGCCAGAGAGGAAGGAATCCTTGATTTCGTTGAGATACTGCACGGCCTTGGTCTGGTCAACAAGCAAGTTGGGACCAGTGGTGTCGGGACCGAAACCCCAGATCTTGCGGGCGTCGGTGACATCCCAGCCGTACTCGTCGGCGAGCACACGGGCACGGGTCTTGAAATCGTCGCGGGGGTTGACCTGGCCGGCCTCGATAGCCTTGGCAACTTCGTCGCCAAGAGGCTGAGCAACGACATATAGACGGTTGTGCTTGTTGGGAGACTTGGACAGAGCAGTCATACTTGACTCAGCACCAACAGTCTCACGGTACGAGACGACGGGATCGGAGATCTTGAGAGGTACACCAGCGTGGTCCTCCTCGAGATCCTTTAAGCAGATCTCGAGATGAAGCTCACCAGCACCAGCGACGATATGGTCACCAGACTCGTTGATCGTGGTCAGGACACAAGGGTCAGACTTGGAGAGACGCTTGAGACCTTCAACCAGCTTGGGCAGATCGTTGGCGTTCTTGACTTCGACTGAGCGCTGCACGACGGGCGAGACCGAGAACTTCATGACCTTGAGGTTGTGGGCGGTCTCAGAGGTGGTGAGAGTACCAGACTTGAGCAGGAACTGATCGATACCGACAAGACCGACAATGTTACCAGCAGGCATATCCTCAATGGGCTCGACAGTCTTGCCCATCATGAGAACTGTACGCTGAATGGCCTTGATGAACAAGTCCTCCTTCTTGCCAGGAACATAATTGGGGCCCTGAATGCGGACCTTGAGACCAGAGCGGACAGTACCGGCGAAAACACGACCGAAAGCGTAGAAACGACCCTTATCGGAGGTCGGAACCATCTTGGAGACGTAAAGCATTAGGTCGGCCTTGGGGTCGCAGTCGCGGATACCAATGCATGCCGGGTCGTCCGAGGGACCCTCATAGAGAGTCTCAGCACGATATTTTTGAGCAGTGACGGGCGATGGCAAGTGGATAACCATCATCTCCATCAAAGCATCGGCGGCAGGCAAGAACTTGCGCATGACGGTCTTGAGGAGACCCTTGCCGGGTTGCTCCTTCTCCTCGCTGGTGATCTTGATGCCGAGCTTGTCAGCCAGAGTGACGACCTCGTCAACCTTGCCCTTCATGAAACCATCGAAGATCTTGAAGATGGGATCCAGGATGAACTGGTTGAAGGCACGCTCGCCACCATCAGAGGTCTTGGTCCACTTCTTGGTCTTGGGGTTGAAGTAGTTGTCGCCCCAAAGACGCTCCATCATCTTGTTCTTGTCAACACCGAATTTCTTAGCATATCGGACGGCGAATTGACGGATGGTGAAAGCCCAGCCGTGGAGACCGGAGCCGAAGGCAACGGTACCCTTCTCGGGGTAGACCTGGACATCACCGAGAGCCTTGTCAAAGTAGGTGGAAACAATGACGTTGACGGACTCAATGGTACGAGAGAAAGACTGGTACAGGTCTTCTTTCTCGACCTGGAGCTCGAGCAGAGCACGATCAACCTTGTTGATGACAACGACAGGCTTGATACGCTCACCAAGAGCCTGTCGGAGGACGGTCTCGGTCTGGACGCACACACCTTCAATGGTGTCGACAACCACAAGCGCACCATCCGTGACACGGAGGGCAGCAGTGACCTCAGACGAGAAGTCAACGTGACCCGGTGAATCGATCAAGTTGATCAAGAAGTCATTGCTGACAGTTTTCTGCATTTGTCAGCGTCTTGTTGTTCAAGAAGCCGAGGGTGCGTACCTGGGGAATGTCCTTGAGATCCTCAGGATCGGGCAAGTGCGCATACAGGGAGATGGCGGTAGACTTGATGGTGATACCACGCTCCTGCTCGTCTTTTCTTGTATCGGTGAAACGACTATTGACCGTCAGTTTCCGCTCTTTTTCATATGTAGATTCGCCACATACGCTTCTCCGGCCTTAGCAGCGGAGATAATACCGGCTCGCTGGACGAGGGAGTCGGTGAGGGTAGATTTGCCGTGGTCGACGTGGGCACTTCGTAGAGTCAGTACAGTACCAGGCGTCTTTTCACAGATTATTGCTCACATCACACTCATGCTGTAGAATCAGAAAGTTAGCAAAAATTCCTGCGGCGGTGGGTCAGTGGAGCGCAACTGACTTGCGAATGTTGCTCGGCTTGTCCATGAGCTCACGGATCTCTTCGACTGTGAACTGTTCATCGTGTTAGTAGCTGTCGCTTCTCTTTCAAGCTGTCTCTCATTGTGAAGGGCAGGATCGAAGAATCCTAAGTGGCGGGGTCGAGACAGCGAGACTGCGGGGCAGATCAACATACATTAACCATGTTGGCGGTGTTGTTGAGTCAACTGGCTAGATAATGGTAGGGCGCTCTCGTGAGCTTGAATATCTAGCAGCAGCGTAGACAAGCTGCGATGCAGGTGGTGCGCAGAAAGATTCAGGACGAGGGATGGCTTAAGACCACCGGGAGACATTTTCGCAGGTGGGGGGGTGATAGTCTTGGCGCTTCTGCCGCTACCCAGCCGGCACCTGATTGGTTACTGTGGCGAGACACTGGTATAGTGAGGGGCAGTATGTATTGGGCAGTGAATGAGTCGCAGACATGACTTTCAAGTGGAATGACTCATTCAAGGCGCGCTAGCACCATCCAAACACTGGTCAGCGGCGACATACAGCCTCCAATGGCCTCAAGAAAGCGCACAATAAAGAGATCTTGATCACACTCGGTTACACTGGTCCATCGGAAACGCAGCTCAATGCTATTTGAAATCGAGCATCGACGAGTTACCTGGCAAAAATCACCGCCACATATGAGTGAAGTAGACTCCCACTTGTGACTCCCATTCATGAAAGGGCAAGGCTTTGTCTGATCAAAGACAGTCATCAGCAGACCAGGGTAAAATGTCTGGTGTCTTCCAGGAGTTGCTGACCCGTGGCGAATCTGTGATTTGAGGACTCGTCCAAGGCCCATTGCATCAAACTCATTCCAAGCGTTCCCATTTGCTTCCTTTGCCATTACGACCACTATCATTTCCCGTTCGGGTCATCTCAACGTCTCCACCGCCGACCTGGGGTGCTCCTGGCTCTGACGAAGGGACAGGCACGACCGCAGTAGGGCCTGGTTTTTCGAGTGGTAGAGAATCCTTAGATAGAAGTCCAAGATCAGGCTTCGAACACAGGCTTAGTAACCTCTGGCCATTGCGTGGTGACCTTCTCTTTGAATGCCTCAAATAGTGTCAGAACGCACCCCCGGTTGCTATGCGCCAACATGGCTGGACATTCTCCCGGATTTGACAATCAGCAGGATGGTACAGAACGGCGGGAAGCATCAGGCATGCAAAGAACAAAGCGTCTGTAGTGTTTACCGTTCCCATCTAATTCTAGCCAGTAACATGATGGCGAGACTTCGTGGCGTAGCCTTATGAATCGAGGCTGCAGGTGGTCATCTTGCCTGCTGCATCACCCTCGAGTCTTGCCGGCGGCAGCAGCCGCCGGGATAAGCTTCTGCATCTACAACTTCGCCCGCGTGGTGTTGTCAAGAAGCTGTAATCCGGTGGCCTGCTCGAGCTCTCTGACAGCCTCTTGCGTCCTCCCAAGACGCACTCTGATCGTCTGAAAGCCCACAGTTCGGCCCATTTTCAGATTCTCACCAATGTCGTCTAAAAACAGGATCTCTTTGGGTCTAATGTCATCTCCCCACTTTTCACGTATCCTAGCCAGGGTGTACTCGTAGATATCGCGATTCGGTTTCCTCATCCCGACATGCGCACTGCTGACGAACACATCAAACAGCTCTCTCACGTCCTCCTCGGTGCGCTCATTGAACGCGTGACCTTCCGGAAAGACCGTGGTGTTGGACATTGCAGCAAGGTGAAAGCGACCGGACTCCTTCAACTTCTTCAACGCTGGGTACATGAACGGGTCGTTAGTTCGCGCAGTGCTCATCATTGTCCAATAAAGACTCTCGGTGTCAATGCTCGGTACGGGCGGGATCTTCGTGGTCGGCGATTTCTGGCGATGAAACTTCTCCCAGAGCTCGGGCTTCTCTACATCCGCTTTGAAAGCCTTCATAAAATGCTCATCGTTCTTGATCTCGCCTCGCTCAAGTTTGTGCCAGGATCCGTTAGGTGTAAGCTCCCGTATACTGAAGTTAATGTAGCCTATGGGGATGCTATGCTGCTTCTCGTAGTCTAAGATTGCTTGAAATGGAGAGACAACCTAAACACGATGAGCAAGCAAAAAGCAAGGACGCTGTACTTACGCAGACCCCACCAATATCAAATAGTAGAACGCTGCCAATAGTTAGCGAACACTGAATCGCAGGACCAACGGAGCGAGGCTGTGTTGACGGAAGGACTTACTGCGGTCGCTGCATTCTCATATTAGACCCAACGTAGGAGTATGGAAGCCCTATGATATTGTAGCGCTTCATGGAATCATCAGTAGTCTACAGGAGCAGCATACTAGAGAAGATGTAGAGTTGAATGCGAGGTGAGTCCATCATTAACTCTAGCCGGGGGGAAATGCTCGTCTTACCGAGGTTCGGAGATCAGAATAAGGCTCGGGCTAGCTGAGCGCTAACTCGTTATCGGTTTAGCGCAGCTGCAAATCTTGGCTTGAGAAACGCACATTTGCACTCCGCCCGCCGAGTTCATTCAACACCCACGACATCGACTTCGCTACCCGAGTTCGTCTAATACTTGCAGCATCGATCTCGACCCCTAGAAGTCGACAAAATGTCTATCGAGATCACCGAAGCTGGTTGGAGGCTCATTCAAGCCGGAAGAGTTGTCCTCATCAGGGCGGAGGGACACCCCGGAAAGGTGAGCGCTCCAGCATAAAATCCTCCCGCTCTGGCTTGCAGAGACCGAGAGCGACTTAATCGCTGGTAATGCGAGAGCTAACAGGTCCTCGTAGGGAAAGTTCGGTTGTATCACGGCAATTATCGACCAGAACCGCGTTCTCGTCGATGGTCCCAGCGCGAAGCCCGAACTCGCTCTCGCCAGACAACCCGTTCACGTCAACGCTATCTCATTGACCCCCATCGTCATCGAGAAGCTTCCCCGCGATGCCGGCACCGGAGCGCTCCGCAAGCTCTGGGAGAAGCAGGAGATTGACCAGAAGATCGAGGAGAGCACCTTTGCGAAGAAGCGCGACCAGCAGCAGCGGAGACAGAACCTGTCCGACTTCGAGCGATTTAAGGTGATGCGGTTGAAGAAGCAGGCGCGCTTCGAAATCAAGAAGACTGCTGCGAAGGTCAAGGCTGCGGCTTAAGTGACGGTTTTCAAGGTCAAGAAGAGTTCTGCAAACGTCGAGGCCGCGGCTCGAGCGAAGGTGATGGGACGATGAGATGATTCAGTGTGGCTGAGCGGCACACTATGATGGCATTCAAAGGCATGGGCGTTAATGATGCCGCAGGCTTCACCATGTCTGCTTTCAGTCGATCAAGGGCTGCGCAACCTCAACCATAGGCAGCACATTTCCAGAAAATGAAACAACCTTCATATGGAACGGATACCGCGGTTGTACTCACACTCTTCATTCCAGTACGCGGTCAATGTTCAGCTCTGCTTCGATGTATTCCCTTCTTGGTTTCCGACCCCTACAGTCTCCTTCAGCATTCAATGTGTCCAAATAGGTTTCATGAGGGTTCGGAAATAGTGCAACTCAAGGCCGCACAGCTGTAGAATCTGGAAAATCTACAATGCGGCTGGCCACTACTGCATATACCTCCCATCAAAACATTTGTAAGGATCCTTAACTTACGGGTCAGAATGTTGCCTTGCACTTGATTGTCTTTCTGTGTCGAGTTGGCCCTGAGGCTTTGGTTGGCGCTTTCTGCGTTTGTAAGAACCGTTATAGGCTGAACTATCCCAGAACCCGTCAATCCTCATGGGCCAGTCCTCGACCCCAATCCAAAGTCAACCGAGCATACGTAGCAATCATCTGAGCCAACGATATCTTCTCTTAATCTTTCAAACCGCCTTCTATGGTTAGCTTGAGATAGGTGGACCTCGCAAGTCGAAAGAAGCACTCACACGTAATACGCTCTCATCGGTATGAAAGGCTGTAGCCATGACATAGACTCAGAGGCATGTTGCCTTGTACGAGGCGTCCCTTGCGCCTGCCCTACCAAAGTCGGGCCGTTGCACCACCGTCGTCTACACATAGCCATCACGTGCAAGCAATGCGAAATGGAATGGACCACCGTCAAGACATGAATACGAGTGGTGGCGTTCGGTGCCAAGAGTAGCCATCTCCGCCCCAGCTCAGCCTCCCATCCCTGTCAGTCAGCCATTCTGGCGGTGCAGAAACCTGTTTGTGCCACAACGTCCCTGGCAGCGGTCGACACTTCTCTCGACCACACCTGTCACACGGATCCCGCATCAAACGGCACTTCAGTCTCGATTCGTCTGATGAAAAAGCCTTGCGAGTCGGAGATTTACCATTGGTCACGGCACGAACATTTCCGTTGCCAACGCGGCACTAGAAGCCCAAGCCTCTGGTGACCCTGCCGCAGACCAGTGACATCGCAAGCCCAATTTCAACCAAGGACTATGATGCCATACACGCGTCTGTGCTGCCACCAGAACACATGATCAACTTGCTTAAAGTAATGTCATAGCCTCAGTTTTTGTTTTGAAGTTCGTCCTCCCATTCTTCTATCGCGTCGCAGCCTCTTGCCCTTGGTCGTTCAATATCTGAAACCATGCCGTTCCCCGATCTCGCCATCCTCGCCCTGCTAGCCACCGCCTTGGTGTTCAGCATTATCGAGTTGGGCCTCTCCGCCTACGCAGTGTCGGTCACTGACCGCACCTACTATGGCTACCGAGGACACACTCCCGGCGAGTACGCCTTTCTTCTCTTCGCCTCGCTATGGACTCTGCTGGTCGTTGGAGCACTCGCCGTTCTCGACTTCCTCGGCGCCCGCAAGGGAGGCGTTTCACGCCCTTACCCTTGGCTCGGCTGGGCGACATTGGGCGTCAACTTTGTGACTTGGGTTTTCTGGCTTGCTGGCTTCTCTGCGCTGGCAGCATTCTTCGGCGGAAACCCAAGAGGAACAGCTGGCGCCCTCCTAGCCTTTGCGGTCATGCTCTGGTACGTATCTTCCCCATCACCCCACTCCGTTTACTGACCCCGCGCAGGCTAATCTTCACCGCCCTCCTCATTCTCAATGCCCTCACAGCCTTCACCGTCCTCAGGAGCGATCGCGGTGCCTACCCACCTCTCTTCTCCCGCGATGGCAAAGTTTCTCGACCAAACCAAGGTCCAGCGATGACATCTGCCTAGTCGCACGCCTGTGCCAATGTTGCGCTCACCTGTATCAACTTGGTCCACTTGCCATGCGAATCGACTCTCCTTACTCTCCTATCGATACCCAAGATACCTAAGATACCCCCTGATGCCCGGTGTTCTGTTGGTTGCAGCGAATACTGCGCGTAACAATTTGGCTTTTCTGTATTTGCTACGTTCGAGCATGGGAGTTTTGAGCAACCTCTTCCAAGGTAATAGAATGATACTTTTTGACGACCCACTCTTTGCAAAGACTCCCGCCATTATATCCCTCCTGCATGAAACAGCCTTGCTAACATCAGCCCACGCCACACGCAACGGTCCGGATATGTTTTCCATAGCATCACATCAACTTTTGCCGATAAAGGCGCCGTTGTCAGCGATTGGTCACGGATCCCAACGTTAATGGTTCGCATGCGGCATGTCACCTAAATCTTGCATTGAGTCTACTCTGTACGCGAAGATGTCAAGACGCTATGTACTCGCGTGTTCTTCCCACATCATGCCCTTCTCCTGACAGTCAACATTACGTAAATTTCCTGGCAGACAAGAATCCGCGCTAGAGTCCAGCTTAGCGGGCCAGCGCCGCGGCATCTTCGTCAACAGCGACGACAGTCTTGTCCTCGTTGAGGGCCAGGGTCTTGGTCGCGACGGAGAACTTGACCGGGTTCTTGGCCTCGAAGATTGCGTTGAGTTCCTCGAGCTGTGCGCAGATGTCAGCAAGATCTGATCAGGGATTTGGGAAAAGGGCCACATACCGTGCGCTTGCGAGTCTCTGGGAAGAAGAAATACGCGATGATACCTTGGGCGGCACACCAAACCACAAAGATGATGTAAGTCTTCCACTCGATCTGCTTGATGGCGATGGGCCAGGCGAACTGGTTGAGCAGGCCAGCGGCATTGACGAAGAAGGACTGGAAGGCCATGCCCTTGGCACGGATCTCAAAGGAGATACACTCAACGGGATACAGAGCCTGGAGAGGCGTCAGGTTGAAGCTGTACACGGCGGCGAAGATGAAGATGAAACCAAGCACGGCATTGGCGGCCGAGTGGTTGTCGTACACGGCATCTCCATCAGCGACGCTACCAGACACCAAGGAGTTTGCGAGCGTGCCGGCCGAAGCGGTCATGCACACCCAGATGATCGAGGTGCCGAAGAAGCCCGCCAGCATCAGCTTGCGGCGACCGAAGAGCTCGACGAAGTGAGCACCAATCACGGCACAGACGAATTGAACCACGGAGTAACCGAGCTGCACGTTGGCCTTGCCGATGGAGTCATTGACGCCGACGGTGTCGAGCACGGCGCCGAGGAAGTATGAGAGCGGGCCGTTGCCGCACCACTGAGTGAAGGCCGAGAACCAACAGGCAACAGCGATGCGGTAAATGCTGGACTTCTTGTTAAAGAGACCGCGGTAATCCCACCACCGCTTGTCGGAACCGTCGAGCTCAATGTTGGCCTCGTACTCGGTGAGCTGTAGATTCACCCAGGCGGACTCGCGGTTCCCATTGCCGTGCCATTTTGTCAAAGTGTTGACAGCGGCCTCGCGCTTGCCGTGGGCGTACAGCCAACGTGGCGACTCTGGGATCACAAAAGCGCCAAGTATGATGATGCCGGGGAAGAAGATCTGCAGCCAGATGGGAAGGAGCCAGGATGTGTTGCTCTTGAGATCGAGACCACCGCGAGTTGCACCAGAGGCAAGAATAGCGCCGACCAGCCAGGTGGTGTTGCAGAGGCCAGTGATGACGCCACGGTAACGAGGATGGGCGGTTTCGACGACCCAGATGGGCCCAGCAGCGGCAGCGACCGAAACACCGAAGCCAATGAGGAAACGGCCACCCATGAATTGGCCTTCGGATGCATTGGTGGAAGTGAGGCCTTGGATGATGGCGCCGACGACGATGAGGACAGAGCCGATGAACATGCCCACACGACGGCCCCACGTGTCAATGGCTGGGCCGACAAACGGAAGAGCGCAAACACCGCCGATCTGGTGCATGGAAGAGATCAGGCCAGCCCATATGCCCTTATTCTCGCCGTTGAAGTGCGCCAGGAAGTACTCCTTGTTGTTGAGGAGGCCGCCCAGCAGCATACTGTCGTACCCGTTCATGGTCTGGCAGAAGAAACCGATGATGAGTGCAGCAAAGAGAAGAAGCTGGCGAGGATGGGTCCAGGAGACCGGTTCCTTCAGCGATGCTTCATTGTAAGCCTCGCTGCCTTTGACCTGCTTGACCTCGACGACCTGCAATGATGTTAACATTTGGCTGGCGGCTGGCTTCTGGAATGCTTACATTCTTGGCTCGGTCAATGGAGTTGACACGTTCGATGGAGGTGTCGGGGACCTTCTCAACGCTGGACATCTTGACGGTTAATGCTACTTGTCCGATGGATGCAAGCTGTTGTCTGGAAGGTTGAGACAGCTTGGACAGTGGTCAGGAGAGAGGTATATATCAGTGTTGTGGACCCTTCCTCCTCATGGTACGTAGAATGGATCACTCGATACTTTTTCCAGAGTCATGGTTACCCGACATGCTGCCGGAGTTCAAGCAGGGGTTTACCGAGAGGTACGGGATCATGGAAACGATCGAGCTCCCGCCCTAGCCATATGGAGTCCGGGGGACTTGCAGCTGGTGCATGTGGAAGTGCCCGTGGGGGTCTGTGGGAGGACCTGGACTGGGGAAAGGGCGGTCGAGTGTGAAAGCTCGTGTCACTTGTTGCACCGCGGCATGTGCCTTTAGGAATGATTGGTGTCAACGATGAGCCGAAGTGAACCCTGAGAAGATGGTGCAGTCCATTGGCGGGCAAGCCACACCTGCTAGCCCTTTTGCGATGTTAGCGCCAGCTGTAGGATTGGCGGCCTCGTAGGTCAGCGGGGATGGCTTTCGAGGGGGTGGAAGTCGGTCTAGATGTTGCTCGTCATTCTCACGTGTTGTACAGCGCCCTCTCAGTATGTCTGGGGAAGAGATGAAAGATGACTCAACTCGTGTCCCAATATGTGCGATTCGTAACGATCCCGATCGTGAACAAGATCCTCGAGGGGCAAAGATTCAAAACGGGGGCCTTCATAGCTAGCCTCGCCTCGCTTAGGACTCGAATAAGCGGGGAGGGCTTGGCGAGGAGTTGGTCAGGCGGGGGCGCCCCGTGGTTCAACCGAGCGCCGCGGTTTAACCACCCTTGCCAGCACGCACTGGCTTCTCGATGTGGTCCAATCTTGACGGACCAATATCACGATCTCCTAATCCTATATTCGGATACGCTTTGACTAGTCCTAGCCACTCGCTTCGCCCGTCCTGTCCCTTGAGCCACTCTTGCGCCATGTGGGCGTTGCAAAGGGCGAGGCTCTTGCCTGGCTCATCTCCGGTGCGAAGATTCCCAGCTTAGCGCGTTGCACAACCCTGGTGTAGCAAAGTCTTATCACTGCATCGAGCACAGACTCAAGCTATCACTCCATACTTGTGGCGAGCCGACTACCGGACTTGCCAGCACTCAGTGGCACCCAACATGTCTCGAATGATGAGAACTGATGCCCAACGCGTCGTTCGTGCTGCTGGCTCTCGTGAACGCAGTCACGAACCGATGTTCAGCCTGTCTTGGTTTCATCGCACCGGTCTCGCTAGAGTCATTCCAGATGCCATTCGAACGAATGGACAGCCGAGATCGTGCAGGTAAGACGACGCCGTTAATACGATGTCCCTCTTGGGGGCTCATGCACTTTTCTCAGAGGCTCTCTGTGTGGCTGACCCACAGATCCGACCTGCCCACTCAACGGCCTCTCAAGTCTGGACTCTGCAGATCTACGAGACAATCCGGCTCAGGGTCCGTGGCTTCCTCTTTCATGCAGCTCAAACCTCGCTCCGAGCCACTCGGCCAGGCCCGCGAGGAACAGAACCCCATCATGCGGAAAGCTAGCTGCATGTCGCGCCTCAGCTGTCCTCGATCACAGCATGACAATCTTGTACCGTCCCTACGGCGATATGTTCTCCGTTTTTGATCTGGACTTCTTTGGTCATGGTTGTCGTGCCCAGCCCTTTTTCGACAATACCGTCTCATGTCACAGAAATCTCCCAGACCTGAAGGCATCTTGTGGCGGAACAATCAGACCTTGCAGATCTGACTGGGCCGAAGATCGGAGGTCAAGCAATGTTACTTGCCCATCAGGCCTGCCGAAGTTCGTATTCCACTTGTCTGCTCCTCCCCACCTTTCTTCAATCTCAGGTCGAGGAAGACAGCATAATGGACCTTTTAAACACATTGGTGAGGACTACCCTATTCTGCCTGAGCTTGGCGACGGCTTTCTTGCCGCAGGCTCGAGTCTCTATTCCCACTATGGAGGCCAGTGGCACCAAGAGCACATCGTTGTCTTCGAGGCCTAAAAACCGGCGGGCCAGTTGCAGGACGCCCATAGTCAATCATACTCCAACAGTCATAGCATGCGTGAAGCGCGTACTCCTTTACAACCCCTTATGTCGTTCAGCAGATTACAACAAAGTGATATGCGAGGTCCAGAACATGCTCTGTTCTGGCAAACCTGTGTGGTATCCCCGTCGACTAGTAGTCTCTCAGAGGTGTGCTAAAGCCTGCCAGAAAGCCTCGGTCTGCTGTCCTTCACTGCAAGCGGCTGACGTGTATAGAAGCAAAGAATCTCCGCAGTGTCTGCCAGATATACCATGCTACCCTCAGGGCGGATGCCTTCATCCTTGACCTCTCTTCTTCCGCAACAGTATGACTACATGACAGTATGGCTCCAGCAACCACTCAAGCCGGGCTACGGGTGTTCCTTCAACCGCCCTCTGCGTTTCAGCACAACCATTGGTCGCTCTCGTATGCTTCTGCTCCAGTGGTCTAGCGCACACTGGGCATACCACGTAACGCACCCCTCGAAGTGTCAGCAGCATTAAGGCGTTGCCAGCAGCAGCACCTTGCACTGCTTCATTTCACTGCCTGAAAGCTACTTGGCTGACGTCATTTTCGAGACGTCACGACTCACCATTGATCCTTCACCGAAAGTCGTCTTGAAGTACTACATTTCGCTCTCTTTGCAGCTCAATATGCAGCCATGGAAATTCTTTCTAACCTCTGGGATCAAGTCTTCAACCCCGAAATCCGACCTGGTCTGCACCCGATTCCGGGCTCAGTGCCCTTAACGCTCGAAGCCGCTGTGTGTCCTCCTCTAGTCTACTACATCGCCCTTCTATTCCTGGCTCCGCCGCCTCCGAATGGCATCGAAACGACACCAATAAAGCTCTTGCGTAACAGCCTCGCCATACTTGCCGGGGTCCTCTTCTTTCGCTTGCCGCTTGCCTACCATGTGCCTCAGAGTATCGGCCTCACGTACCAACTCGGACTTGTCGGCCTGTACGGAGGCTGTCGAGTCGTGGATGCCTTCTTCATCAGCCCCTACTTGTTCGGCCATATTCCTAGAAGGGTAAGGTATGAGCATGTATCGCGACCATCGACTCCGGCGCTGGAGCACAAGCCTCAGAACTTGAAGGAATGGTCTAATGGCGGCGTGAAGGATCCTTTCATGGGTATTAACGACGCATCAAACCGTGTCTCTCATCGGGCCAGAAAGGAGAAATCCACACCTCCGTCAACGTCCACAAGCAGTGACACCCGCCGCCCATCTATAATGGATCATGCTGAAGACTACTTCTCACGTACCCTCTCTGGCCCAGACCCGAAACCGGTGTACGAAACCGCCCACACCGAAGAAGGTTGGCCCCAAACTTTTCTTGAGCGAGCTTCTTGGGCCTTTGAGCTTGAGCTCTCCATGCGCGGTATCGGCTTCACCTGGACGACCGCCGACGTCAGGCACACCCGTCGTACATGGCTCCCAACTGTTTCCAACCGCGTGCACAGCCTGTTCCTCCGCTCCGGACCAGTCCTCTTCGTCGCCTGGACCATCATCAAATACACCTACACCACCTACCTCTTCCCCTATGCCGACATATCATGGGACGAGCAGCCCTACCACCTCTTCGACACACTTCCCCTGGCGAACCAGCTCCTACTGACAGGTGCACTGGGCGCGTTCCTGATGGCAGCGTTCTCCTTTGGTCATTCACTGTTCGCGATCGTCCTGCATCCGCTCTCACCCTCGCCCCTAGCCTTCTTCCCACCATTGTACACCACTCGCGTGTGGGACATCACATCGGTGCGCCGCTTCTGGTCGTACGGCTGGCACCGCCTCTTTGCCCGCCTGTTTCTGGTCTATGGCGTCTGGCCGGGCGAGTGGCTGGAGCGAAAGCTCTTGGGCAAGCGGGCTGATCAGCCCGCCGATATAGGCAAGGTTCTCGGTGGGTTTGGCTCGAGTGCGTTTGTGCATGCGTTTTCCGTGAGGGGGGTGCTGGAGGGGAATTGGTTCATGGCGGCTGGCGAGGCGAAATTCTTCGCGCTCAATGGAGTGGCGGTAGTGGTTGAGGGGATCGTAGTGCGCGTGGTGAGGGCGGTGAGGACGCAGAGGGGTTGGCCGAGCGAGATGTGGTATGATGCGTGGTTTGGGAGGGTGTGGTGGATTGCAGTACTGCTCGGCACAGGGAGGAATTTTGCTAGGGGATGGGTCAAGGCCTGCTTGGTGAGAGAGATGGCCTTCATGTGAATTAAATAGCCGAAAATACAGCTCTAGAGATTGGCCTGCCTCCCCCCTCTCAGATCTAAGCCCTTCAGCTTGCCGTCACTACGCCACGATCGCATCAACTCCAGGAACTTCACGGCTCCTGCCCCGTAGCTCGCGTTCTGCGCCGCCCCAGGTTTAGGGCTGCCTTCGTTGTTGTAGTACCCTGGCGTACACTCTTCAAAGAACGGTCGCCGCAGCTCCGACAGCTTGACTATCGTCTGCACCCAGTCCTCCTCTGCTTCGGCCGTCGGCTCCACCGTCTTGATGCCTCTGTTCTTCGTTTCTGAAATGACGTATGCGATGTGCTCCGCTTGCTCGGCCGTAACGTGCAGGAAGTTGGGCGATAATGCAGCTTGCACGACTGTTGATGTTAGTCGGGTTCAATCTAATGCCGGGAGGAGTGGCAAGGATAGAGTGGTTGTGATATGCGGACTGAATGCCTCGCATGGAGTGCGCCATAACGCAGTTTTGCAACCGAAGGGTTGTACTTACCCTGCACAAAGAAGCAGTTGGGAAAGCCACGAGTAGTCCACCCGTGCAAGGTTCGAGCACCGTTCTTCCATGTCTCGGAAATCGTGGTGTTGCGGCCGTAAATCTCCATGCCGGTCTTGTGTGTCCATTCGGTGGCAAGCTCGAAGCCAGTTGCATAGATGATGCAGTCGATAGCATACTCTTGCCCGTTTGCCACTACGCCATTCGGTGTGATGGCGTCTACACCCTTACCATCGGTGTGGATGAGGTGGACAGAAGTTAGGTTGAAGGTGTGTAGATACTCGTCGTGGAAACATGGTCGCTTGCAAAGCTGATTATACCAGGGTTTGAGGTTTGCAGCAGTCACCGTGTCCTTTACAACGGCGTCGCATCGTGCCCGGATCTCTTCCATCTTCTCAAAGTCGGCAAGTTGTCGTTGGGCTTCGATTTTCTCCAAATCCATGCCCGGCTGCATTCTAGCAATTAGCTTCTGCAAGATGTCAGTCCAGCCATCCTGAACAAGGTCTTCGTCGACGATCACGCCGTTGACGATGCCGTTGAAATTATCCATGCGATACTTTTGCCACCCAGGTTGAAGTGATGCCGCCCAATCTGGGTCGGTGGGGTGATTGCCTCTGACATCGATCGATGAAGGCGTTCTCTGGAAAACAAAGACTTCCTTGGCACTCTTGCCCAGATGAGGCACAATTTGCACAGCGGTGGCACCGGTCCCGATGATTCCGACACGCTTGTCCTTGAGTTTCTCCAGGCTGCCGAGGTTCCCACCGCCAGAAAAGTTGTAGTCCCATCGTGCAGAATGCATCGTGTGGCCTTGAAATGATGTGATACCTGGCACTCCTGGGAGCTTGGGTCTATGCAGGGGGCCAGCGGCTGGGATCAGGTACGAACAGCGAATGGTGTCTTGACGATCAGTCTTGCATGCCCAAGTCAATGTCTTCTCATCCCATCTTGCTTCATAGACCTCTGTTTGGAACAGTGCTCGATCGTAGAGGTCCCAGTGGCGACCAATGCGATCGGCATGTTCGAGGAGTTCCTTGGCATGGGCGTATTTCTCAGTTGGAATGTAGTTCAACTCTTCCAGTAGCGGCATGTAGACATAAGACTGAAGACGGTCAGCGTTGAGAGCTGGATGTTCTTGCTTTCGAACGACAAACCTCTATGTCGCATCTGCTGTATTGTCAGTTTATGTCCTTTGGTATTGGAATAGATATCCTGGGTCTTGGCTTACTGTGCCCCTGGATAACGGTTCCAGTACCAGGTCCCACCGAAGCCTCCAGCCTTCTCGATAAGGCGGATGTTGGTGATACCAGCCTCGATCAATCTCACAGCAACCAACTGAGCGCCATACCCACCTCCTATGATCACAACATCGACCTTCTCTTCAACCGACTTTCGTGTGAATCCTGGCTCTACCCATGGATCCTTCAGCATGTGCGAAAACTGGCCGTCGACGTATTTGTACTGGTCAATGCCATGGATGCTGGCCGTAAGGCGTTTGTCCCGCTCGGCTTTGTACTTGTTCCGGAGCTCATTGGGATTGAACGGCAGTGCAGATGCTGTGGCCACTTTCTCAACCTTTGCGTCGAGGTTGACTTGTCGTGGTCTAGGGCCTAGAAGGTCTGATGGGGCTGCAACTTTTCCATCCGACATGGTCAAACAAAGGATTCTGCTGCTCAGGTGAAATTGGGTCTGGGCGTTGCGAAATACTGCGGAGGACGGGTTTGATGTTGGTCTCTCCGTGAGATTTGTTGTCAGCCATACCTGTACCTCGGAATAAACTCAACGTTTCGTGGCCAACACACATTGCGGAGTAGTCATGGTTGGGTTGTCAGATCCTGGCCGAGGTGATTGGCATCTAAGCCAATCAGTGAGCGGCGTTCCCGACTGTACCTGCAAGGCGACAAGTTCTCCCCACCCCCGCAATTGACTCGTTGCCGAGAGTAAAACGCCTGCCGAGGTTCTGGTGCACCAGAGGTGCCAGGTGTACTGCAACGGATGCCAAATGAGTCCGACGTGGGTGACAACTAATAGACTGTCGCTCTATGATGGCTCGCAGAGTGTTGCAGGCACATTAAGGTCTTTGTGCTCTTCAGAGTAGAGGGCGTGGCAGACAGACTGTCGTCTCTACGAGACGGAAGCGCTATTCCTGATTGGGTTTAGCATGTGCCTCTTTCGTGTGACCTCGACTTCTAATAACCGCGTCTTCGTGCTTAGAATACCTTCGACAACCGGCTCTGAAATGCGATATTGATCCCACGTTCGAATCAACGTCTTGCTCCGCGTTGAGATACCCCATACAATGCCCGACCCCGATCAATTGGACGATACAAGCCTTCTCGCCGTGTCGCCGCGTCAAGCACCTCCAACTCTCCTCAGTGGCTAAAGGTCTAAGGTTGTTGGTCGCGCTGTCAGCCGTCACCTTAGATTGCAGGCGAAGGCCTCCAGTGAAGCAATTGATGTCTCCAAGCCCAGTTACATGTGGGGCGGAATGAGTTTGTCGTTCTTTTGCGACGCTCCAAGGCAGTTCTCGACCTCATTGGCATACGGACTCATGACATCCTTGGGCTGGCTTTCCAGATGGCAGACGCATAGCTTTGCAGTAGCAAAACTCCAGGCCACTGAAAAAGTCCTACAGGCAAGGCACAAGGACGGACGTAAATTTGCGTCACGGCCCTCCGCGGCTACAATGATCGTACTCCAACGGGGCTACGCAGAACCGGGTTTGTCTGCCCCTTAAACCGCTCAGTACATCAAGAAGGGTCGCCAGGGGGTAATACCACGTCGCCCATCAGCTGTGGATGACCCTTGTAACATCGAACTTCCGGCCAGGTCTTCGTCTGCTCGAGAGCAAACTGTCAGTCATATTCACAGCTGATCATTTCTCCGGTACCGAGTACTAGCATGGCCTCGTTGATACCGCACGAGAATTCTACGATGCTGACCAGACCCTGCAGATCTTTCACAGTAGCCTGTCGCTTGGACGATGTTTAGTCCAGTAGCTCCCGCGTCAGCCAAGAGATGACCGGAGTGCTCCACGGCTAAGACATGGTTTGCCTTATTCAAGGCAACGGACTTGACCCAGACTGTAACCCAAGCCTGATACATGCCCTAATCCACCAGCGAAAGCGACCAGGCGAGGTATGACGCAGCAAACTTATTGCCTCAACAGATTGATAAGAAGTCGGAGCAACGGCATACCTGTACGAGACATCGCGCACACCTACCGAACAAGACACTGCCTCAATCGGACGAGTGTACGCAAACCAGCATATCACTCGTATGCATTGATTTCGAGCCTGTCCACTCGATACTATGCAACTTCATGGACAGACCATTTCCAGCTGTGGGAGTGAAAGCTGGTAAAGTTCTAGCATAACCCCACTCCGCTGGCGCCCCGGTGCGGCTGACGCAACCGAGCATCCATGTAAGTGCCTGAGGCAGTTATCCGACGAGCACTGAGTTCGATAAATCTTTCTGCCGCTTATCAACGGAGTGGACCAGTTGGGAACACCGGACTCTACGCGAAAGATAAGGAGAATCCGACTTTACGCAAAGCAGGAGTGCTCACTATAGACTATGGGCATGCACCGGTGCCCTGCCCCGCCGCTGAGCTGCCTTACCAAGCTAGGGTGCCGAGACCAGTCTCCGCGTCGGAGCTGCCAAGAGCGGGGTGCCAAGCTCTGGGCGGAAACATGATCGGCGGCCGATTGTGCTGTACCTCGTGATATTTTGGCATATCGGGGCCTCGAGTACGACACGTGCTATCGTTTATCTGAAGCCATATATTGCACTTGATTGTACCTACAGCGATTCGAGGCTTTCGATGCGGGCTGGTGCTTATCCGAAGCTTTCCTGCCCGAGCCGGAACGCCAAGCGGTTCTGACAACGACCAAGTCCTGCTATCTTCTTGGGTATCATTGGCCAAGCATGCAACGCAGGGATTAGCTTCGTTGCTTGGTTGTTGCGAACTTGACTGCGAGGGAGAAAGTCCACCAGCCACCAATGACGCTGATCATACCTCTTCGAGTTGACGGTTGGCCACATGGCCGAACCGGGCACGGCTGCATACTTAAGAGGACGTCTCCCAGAAATGGTTTCTGTCGCACTAAACTTCAGAACGTCAAGATGGTTCGCATGGTCTCTGTTGCTCTGCTCTGTTCTGCCTTGACTGGTATGAGCAGAGCCGCGGCTCTTGGCTCGGCCGAAGAGTATGCGTCGGGATCCGTTCATGCCCAAATCATGGGTCTGAAAATGGTATGTGCTTTCGCATCGTTCATCATATGCCACTAACTCTCTGCAGGCCCAATGGGAGGCCGAGTTGGCTGCTGGTCAGATGGACAGCGCACAATATCCTGAGCTAGGCTATACCAAGTGTGAGAACGGCTTCGCTGCGGCAATCCCAGGGGACGTCAACAACACTTTCAGGTGCAATAATGTGAGTACGTATCTCGTGGTTATCTCCAAAGCTAATCTTGTAAGATCGATCTCTACCATTTCTTGTCTCATGCCGATCTCGGCAGCTGGGGAGGCCGTGGTTCGTCCTCGTGGGGCTGGACTTCCGAAGATGGGAGAGAGATTATGGCCGTGGGTCAGTATGATGGTACCGCGTTTGTTGAGATTAGTCCCGAGGGCAAGATGATCTACCTCGGCCGACTGCCTCAATACGATCCCATTGGCTCCAACTGGAGAGAGATCCGTATTGTCAACGACATCGCTGTCATTGGCTCCGAGGCTATTCACCATGGCGTTCAGTTTTTCGACATGAAGAAGGTCCTTGATCTCGATCCCGCAAACCCTAAGAACTTCACCCAAGACGATCTGACTGGTCACTGGGATGAGCTGCCCGTGGGTCGGACTCACAACATTGTCGTTAACGAAGAGCTCGGCTACGCAATTGCTTGTGGCTCCGTTGGTGGTAACGAGACCATCAGAGTCAGAGACGAACTTCCCTGCCGAGGTGGTTTGATCTTCCTCGACATCTCTGATCCCACCAACCCAACCAGTCCCGGCTGTGCTGCTGGCGACGGCTACGTCCATGATGCCGAATGCTTGGTGTACCGTGGTCCCGACAAGCGCTATCAAGGCAAGGACATTTGCTACGCGTACAACGAGGATACTCTGACCATCTACGACGTCACCGACAAGGTCGGCAATACTACCAACATCATCTCCATCACCACTTTCCCGGGTGCCGAATACGTCCATCAGGGAGTTGTCAATGACAGGATGAACCAGGAATATCTGTTCCTCGACGACGAGTTCGACGAACGTGACGCTGACGTTGGCCCAATGACTCAGGGCCTGCCTACCACACATATTTTCGATATTCGTGACCTCGAGAATCCTCAGTATACGGGCAATTACGTTGGAAAGACTCGCTCCATCGATCACAACCAGTATGTGTACGGTGATTACCTCTACCAGTCCAACTACGGCAACGGCCTGAACGTTTTGGACATTAGCTCTGTCACGAAGGATCCCACTGGCAGTAGCATGTGTGAAGCCGGCTTCTTCGACATATACCCAGAGGATGATGAGAACGAGGGTGGTGGCACCGTCGCCTTCCTTGGCTCATGGTCCTCGTTTGCTGGTTTCAAGTCGGGGTTCATCTTCGTTCATACCATCGAACGTGGCTCCTTCGTTGTGAAGATGACCAGCAAGGAATGCCCCGAGCCTCCTGTCTGCAAGGCCGGCAGCTGCTTGGCTTCGCTCGAGGGAAGCCCAGAGGAGAGCAAAGAGTTCTGCCACGATTTCTTGATCAGACAGAACGATGAGGAGAGTCTGGTACCGGGTTACGCTGCAGAGGCGTGTGGTGGTGAGGATCTCATCGCCCAGGTCAGCAGTGCCTGTGCTTGCGTGCCTACCTCAGAGGTGCCGGAGCTACCCCGCACGACCAGCAGGCCTCCTGTGCCAACTGTTCTTCCTCCAAAGGCGTAAAGACGCTCAGATGCCATGAGTAACGAGAAAATTCATCTAGCGATGACTAAATAGCAAAAATGTAAGGCGACTCACCGTTCCCAGAGCCATGCTGCGATCCATGTCTTTACTTTTGCAGTGCATTCTCTTCTCACATCTTCATCATGTCACCCGGATCTTGATTTCTGGCGCTTGTCTGGAGACTTCCATCATCACGCCTCGCTCCACGAGCAGGTAGTAAATCGGTTCGTGACACACCGCATCGAGTGGAAGGAGGCCGCGGGGACGTTGCAGAGGTGTTGCGCCTAGGTGGAGATCCAGATTCAGAGGGCGGAATCTGCGGAAATTTAGTGGCGCTCGGCGGGGTTTGCAGATGCTCCCAAGGCTGAACTGCTCAGGGGCGCTGCTGTGATAACCTGTGGGCGGTAAAAGCTGCGGTAAAAGCTGCTCGACTGTGATCTTGGGATTTTCGAAGGAGCTCATGGGAACGTGAAAACAGTGCTGTTGGGCGTCAATCGTCGCGCTGTAAGCGTTATGCGGCAGAGTTACTCGCTGCGCCCTCTGAAGCAGTTTTGCCACTGAGGGGGAAAAGCGCAAGCGCTTGGGCGGACCGTGCTGAAAAATTTAAGATAGACTTTACCTGGGCTTCATAAGAACATTGCAACTGCCTCGGGGGGATTTCAGAAAAGTCTCACCGAGATTCAGGATCTTCTTGACGTATTGGATCTGATGTAGACGCTGGGGGGATCTTCTGGACCGCTAGCGTCTGACTTTTGGAGTCAGGGGCAAAGATACTATGCAGCAAGCGAAGATTGAGAACTTCAGTTGCTCGCATTGGGTGGAGTGAACGCGGGTGGACCGATCGCGAAAGGCGTTGGTGCAGTAATAGACTGGCTGGCAGACGGAGCATGGTGTAAGCCGGACTCTGTGATTGCTAATGTTGCGGATGCAGTATGCACAGTCCGGCAATGTTGTGAGCAGGTCTTTTGTAGCCTCTTCAAGTTGCCCTTCCTGCGAGCGTGTCAGATGTATAAGGGTCTCGAAGTAAATGAACTACCTGAAATCTCTTAGATGGAAGATCATCTCTCTGAAGAAATGGACTATCTCTCTGCTGGAAAAATCTCCTCCCAATGAATGGTGAGTCTCGCCTTGCCATTCACTGCCTGCGCTAAGCAGAGGGAGCTATGTCGCGCCCGTGCACATTCGCTTTCCGAGCTACCACTTCCGCATTTATTACCTACCAAGCTTTTAAAAGTCCACAATCCACGGCTGAAACAACTACAATGAGTCTGCACCCGCGTTGCTCACCCTCACTGGTATCCAGAACTTGACCCTTTCACACCGAGTCCAACCCATGTCGCCCTCAACGTAGGTACCTTTCGCAGCCTCGCAATGATGAGCACGAACTCGCAGTCATCGGCCACTACATCAGCGTTGGTGAAATGAGGAAGATCTACTCGTTCTATGCCACCTTCGGTACCCTATCTCCGTTGCACTGCTTGTCGAGCTGAACTCTACTTGGACTTTGAAACCGAATAAGCTAGCCGAAGCCCTCGAAATAGCTAGAGCAGAAGTAGGTATTTGTTCAAGCTAGTGCGGACGTCGCTAACAGAACTGCAGCTGGTTCCTAAGGATAGCAACCTCTCAGAGACCAACTCCACCGACACTACACAACTCACTAAACTTGAGTGGCCAGACCTCGAGCATATGTTCGATGTCGCCATCGACAGCGAGCCTGATGACGTAGAAGAGCGCTGGAATGCTGTCTTCAACGACTCGAAAATCGCTCCAGCTCTGGTCGGGCTCGCGGCTGCTACCGACACAGACGACTCCTCCTGCGCCGAGGCTCGCATCCAAGACCTTGCTGCATCGGTGGCACCATTCAACGAGTCAGGCCCTGATCATGCTGTCAAATGATGCGGCAGCCCCTTCGGGAAGCTTTATCTATGCTGTGCTTGTAACACGTTGGCTATGGTGTTTTTGGCGCATGACACTCATCAAGACTGGCATCACCGCAGACGAGAACAAAGTCAAGCACATGATAGCAACGTATGTGCAAATGGACAGAGTATTGAAACCCCCGGACAAGAACCTGTCTCAGGAGGACTAATGGTGGCAAGATGGCCAATAAGGCAGTCTTTGACTGCAAGCCAGGATCCGTCTCTCACACATGATGGCTGAAAGGTTCAACATTCTGGGAATCGACTCTAAGTCAGGCCCTCCAGGGGTGTGCTTATTGGCCAGTATACGAATAGAAGTACGGATGGGACACAGGAATGCAGTGCTCAAGGGAAATAGTTTGATAGGTATCGCTGTCAAAGGACCTCGACCTTTGGCAGCCAAATGGAATCATGAGCTCAAGCTGTCATCGAGTTGCAGACAGGCAGCTCTATTGCTCGAGTCACCTGCTAGATAAATCACCCTTTCATGAAGCGGAAGCACGCTCTCTCGTCATATCGCATTTCCACATTCCACCAATGCCTGCCACCCCCTGTCATAGCCAAAGCATACCTTCACCATTAGTCGTATTCCGGCGAATCACTACAACCTGAATTGCTCGCACTTCACTAGCGGCCGGCATCTTTTGGATCTGTTAGCTCGGGAAGCACTTTATAAGATACGTCTGGCTAATGGAAAGGTTCGCTCGTCATTTGGTGGTTGGCCGATGCCAGGCAGGAGGTGGCGCTGTAGATTTGCCATCGACGCGACAACATTTACCCCTGGATACAGCAGCCTTGTTAGGGGCCTTACTGCCCACATAGCTGTGGCCCTTAATGCATTTCGCCGCGCCGCGCCGCGCCGCGCCTTGCGCTCGACGACGTCAAGAGAGCAAGCCAGACGGTCATCGTAATGGGCATAGCCCCTCGCGACTTCGTCCTCCAAGGTTCACCTCGCCTTTCCTCATCTTGTCCGGCCCGGATCCTGGGTAGCTCTTGACTCCTCTCTAATGACTCGCCTCAAATCGTCGAAAGCCCGCTCAAGGATAACGACAGAGCTTTGTTGGGTCCGAGTCCTGATCTGGGAAGGCCCCCCAGCTCCTCGAATCCCTGTGTCGTTGGTGTTGAACTGCTTGACCTTGAGCTGGGAACGAGCGATGCAGACATAGCCGTTGTGGAGCTGCTTGCTAGCGGAGAACGGTCGACTGTCTGCAAGAGGCGATCTCGAGCCTAAGCACCTCGTTGTTTCTCAGAAACGCTTCGTGCTGAACCTGCTTACCTAGCGACGTTCTCCATACTCCGCCCTCGTCGGTCAAAGAGCTGGACATTAGCATAGAGCGAGACGGCGGCGGACTTGTGTGCCACTTCGCTGTCTTCCAGAGCACCTCCAAGCTTTCTTTTCACTCGTCCACTGTCCCTCGTCGACTCTCATCACCCTCGACCTATCTCATTGCGCTCAACCCTCCTTCGTCCTTCGTCGACCGTCCCTCGTCGACCAGTTTCTCGTTCTCGACTCTCATCGCTCTCGAACCTCTACATCCTACACCTCCATAGCCCTCTAGCTTCACCGCTATTCAGCGTCCTGGCCCTCAAACCTCGTCGCCCTCGACCCTCCATCGTCGCTCGCCGACCACCTCCACGCCCTCAGACTTCGGCGTACACGACTCTCATCACCTCAAGTGGCTCGGCAGTCGAACTCTGCCGAGCATCAAAGCGTTTCTCATGTCGCCGTCACTTTGTGCACATCAGCTACATGTGTTAGATGACTAGGCTCCCTGATAAGACGAACACCCCAGTGGAGCATGAGACCGGTCGGCCTAGAAACCACAGTTTCTCCGGACTGCTCGTACTCGGAGACTTGCGTTGCTGAGTGTCGTCCGAGATTTACACAAGAGCTTGGAACTTTCGGATCTGCTGCACCTCTCACATACTAGGTACCGAAGCTGATGCGATGCAATACGGCGAAGGTGTCCAGTGAGCGAGATGAAGAATCACGTTCCCACAACTCCTTACGCTCTAGTCTTGTCGACGGCCATCTCATCGTCGTTTCCATTCCCATCACCAATACCTCCAACGTCATCCCATCGTCTTCCACTTCTTCCAGTTGCCTTGTTTTCCATCTTCGTCACTGTATCCTGATGCTCACTCCTGCCCTCTCGCAACTCACTTCCGCCAACTCGAACCTCATCCACATCGCCTTGAACCTCATTCAACGTCTCGCATCTCATCCTCATCGTTTACACTAGGTACAGCCTCTGATCTATCGCCCGCCATTCCGAGGAACGCTCTGCGGCTTCCTCTGCTCAACGCTGTTACAAGCTACGGCAACACAAGCACGAAAGCAAGACCTCACTGTGAGTTTTCATTGATGTTGCGACCAGCATTATCATCGGTCAACTTCCATACTCTCATAAACCAACACTGGGATTGGAGCACCACAAGATCGTCACGAGTTCCATGTATCATACACATTCTAGCATCGCTGCGGCGTCCTGCCACTGGATATCTGGATAATGGCTGTTACCTACTGGTCATTCAACGTTACATCATGCTCGCAATAGTTCTTCTTATTCATCACAAGTCATCCTAGGGCAAGCCGTCCTTAAGCAAGTGGCCTTTCCGTATACGAGTGACTTTCAGGTTGAGTCATGCTCAACACTGACCCAGTCGTCCTCGATTCATCGTCTCAGCAAGTGGTTTTCAAGCAAGCTACCCCCGAGGCGTCCTTGAGAAAGCTGTTCAAGCAGAGTTACCTAGTAGGTATGCTTGAACAAGTTATCTTTGAACGAGCACGGCCGTCCTCAAGCGACACGCCAATCCAATGCGAGCATGCCGGCCACAAACATGTTGCCATAGGTTTTGAACGCCAGTCATCCCCAGTCTCGGCGTTCCAGAGCCCCAACGGCAAACTGTTGTCATGAGCATTGACCACGATCAAAGATACCTAGTACTTTCACAATGAACAGTGATCGTCCATAACATTCTCGCAAGTCATCTTTCGTCAAGTCATCCTCCCAGAGTATACATCAATCGCACAAGTAAGCTTCGAAGACACAAGTCGATCGTCTTCAGTAGCACTCGTGG